CTAGAACTTAGTTTCGACGGCTCATACAAGTCTTGGAGCTCCTGGACCACGTTCTGCATGGCCACCAGGCAGCAATCCGCGCAGCGGCACACTCTGCCGTATGCAAAGCATGATCCTTTCTCTAGCTGAACAAAACTGTTTACTGCTCGATCAAATTGGGATTATGGTCCTAGCGAGAGGCGACGGAGTTGGGAGCAACCCGTGTAGAAGACGACGATTGACCGTTCGGGAGAAGGACGCCATCAGATGTGTCGTGCAGCAGCAGCTTGACGTTCCCACTTTGAGGGTCCCTCTCTGTGTCTCTACCAATCGACGGAACATCATTGCCTAGCACACAGCTAGTTTTCCCCACCCCCAAGAGCTGCTCTGTTGTAACGAGTGTAACACGGTCGCTTGGCCCTGTCGGACAACATCTTTGATACAGCAGCTTGCATACGATTCGCTTTCTGGACCCCCGACCGTTTACAGCAATCACTTGCAGCGCTAGCCCAACTTGGATGCAAAGCCATCATCCAGCGGCATACACGAGCATTTGACAATGGACAGCATACGTGCTCCACAATTATCCAGTCCAACAATGCAAGAAACGCAAACTACATGCACATTATCAATCCTGCTCCTCCTTGCCCGTTCCCCGTTCGCGACCCTTATCCTCAGGGATATCCAAAAGCATAATTGGATTTGGCCAGAGGACGTTCTTTCAAGTGTAGTCCAGTCTTGGTCTGGATACCGTCAGCCCACATCTGCATCTGGGTCACCAATTTCGGGCCTGTGTGGATATGCGTGGCTGAAACGGATGTCTTTAGTGCAAATGCTGTGTAAAGGACAAGAGTGATGCCACCTCTGCAGTAGGTCGTTCTTCCTGTCGCAAGACAGGTCTGGGTTCCGCAAGAAAGCTGTAATCATCGTACGCCGTACCTAGCCTAGTAGTTCGGTAGTACGGCAGCAGCAATCGTCGCCGCGAGATGCTTGCCATGTTCATCTTATTGACGACCCCGCCTCTATAATTGCATCATGGCTGAGTTGGGTTTACAAGGAAGATATGCAACCTGTTCGAACGTCCAGTAGTCAGGACGATTAAGGGCAGGGAAGCGGATGATGTACGTCTTCCTCGCATCACCTTCTGTCCCTCTCTTCCGCACGATAGAGCTTCGCCCCGAACATACCTACAGCACATGTCGCGTCCTGCACATCATTCACAACGACCCTTGAGAGGAGATGCTATCAGACCTCCTCATTCGCGACTTCCCTTTGGAAGATAGGTGTAGATAGTGTAGGCGCCTCGCAACACTAGCACCACACAGCCCGAATCCATCGCATCCCTCCATGCCATCATCACCACTCGCCACAATTCGATCCGCCGCGTCCAGACCAACGTCCCAAGAGCCACCTAACTCTCTCGCAGTTAGTGAAGTCTCTGTTTGCCGCTCGCCCCGACGAGACGGACGGACGGCTTTACTCGACTTCGTCAAAGGTCCCATTAAGCTTTTCGCCAAGCATCCAGTCGCTGACGTCTCCGGCTGCGTTCGCTGGATGACATGTTCGACCGCGTAGCCTCCCAAAACACTACGCTATGGTCATGAATGGATGGGGATGCGACGAGTGATAGTGTATGCCTATTATAGTAAAAAGGCGACAAGCGAGTGTATTCCTTAGCTAACGAACGCGCGAACGAACGAGACGAAACGAAACGAACGATTGATCTTTTAAAGGGATCTGCAGCACCCACCCCGGAGCCCTGCGGGCGGGTAACGTCGTACCTACAAGCAGCGGAACACATCGTAATCTCGCGGACGCGCGCGAAAAAGCGGGCCTCTCAGGCCTGTCCAGAGCAGGTATAGGCGCATCAAAATATTCTTACAAACACAGGTAGGGACGAGCAACTCGGTAAAGAATAAACTTCTGTTGCTTTACCGTTCCGTCCATGGTCACGAGAGGGGGTAAAGAAGTCTACATTGCAAGTGTCACAGCTAGAGTGTGCATCCTTGCACATACATACATGACATACATAAACGATATATTAAGTCAAGTTGTCAAACTGTATGTAAGTAGGTCGGGGGCACAGACTGCCGACCGTACACTCGCGCCGCGGCCGTGAATGCATAGCAAAGACGGGATTTTGATCCCGACGACTTCCCTGTCCGTCGGGTAACAGATCGGTGGCTTTCACGGGCCCGGCATCCTTGCCGGTTCCTCCCTCCCTCCTTTGAATCATAGCGTGGGTGAAACTACAACGACTTTTCGCCTCGGCCTACATACGTCCACGAATGAACTTATTCCCTTCATCCAGTCCTTCAAGCCCACGTCGGCTATTACTCTTGTTCATGGAATTGGTTCCGCGGTGTCGGAGAGCGCCGACGGCGTTTGAATTGTATGGTCTCTCTCACTTCAAAAGCCGTTCATACTGAACCTCGAATTGCCGACTTCGCTTTTCCGTAACCACTTGACGATTCGGCAGATGTCTCATACGCGTGGGATAGATGCATGGCAAGTAATTCCCCATTCCACAGGCAGTCATAGCTTCGTTTCATTCCACTAGGTATATCCTATTGTTCACCGTTCAGTAGGAATGCGGTCAATTGTGCCGATGCACTAACCACACCAAATCATGTAGTCTACTCTTTGCGGAAGAAGTACATGTACATCTTGATACATCTCCAATCTCAATCTGCGTTTCTTTGTCCTCGTTATCCCCTTATCGTGGCTGTAAGGCCAGAACATCGAACACAAATATACACATCTCGATGTGGACAGCATTGGGATTAGAATCAAAAACAATCCCTATCCATCATTGGTGAACTACCCAGCACGCACGACTCAAGCGTCAACGCCATAGCCTCAGCACATGACAAGCCGCAAGAAATTAATTCTCCTGTCCCTCCCAAACTCGCTCCGCGGAGGTCGAATAACGGTTCAGGGCAAACGGCATGGCTTTTGCATTTGAGCCTCGACTCCTGCTGCCATTTGCTTTTTCTTTGTTCGCTGGGTTTGTAAGGCGCGGGTGAGTGTTTAACCCACCACGCACGCACCTATCATCCATCCCTCGAGACGAACGACCTTACAATCATGCTGGCATCTATCAACCGCACTTCTTTTCCTCGCCATGACAAACCAGATCTAGAATCCAATCCCTCCTCACCCAACGAGAAACGATCAAATCTGCCACAAAAAAAATCTCCATCGGAGGATTGAAGGGGAAAATAAAAGGCCCTGTTGTTAAACATTAAATCGTACCATTCGTACATGAACAATCGGGCACTACTGCTCGCTCGATCTGAGGCTAAAATAAATGGCTAGGGCTGGAGCTATCTATGCACGCCAACACCATCTCTTTAGCTTCACCTTTGTACTTACCTTACCTTACCTTACCTCACCTACAATATAGGGTATGTACTGCTATGGAATTGAAAATGGAAATGTCATGTTCGCAAGTAGCAATACCTACCCAGTCGAATAATCGAACATAGCCTGGGACGAGAAGCCACATCGTACCATTACCATAACCACCATACCCATCAACACCACAATCTGCCCATCCATCCAAACACCTCTCCTCTCCACCACCCTTCACCTTACCAAACCTACCACACCACACCATAGCTACCATACCTACGTTCAATTGATGTGGGGGATCCATCCACAGCCCCCAAAATGCCCCCGAAGTTCAGCCAAACAACACCCCCATCCCATCCACATCCACATCCACAACCCCCATCGTACGTTCACAATTCTCCGGGCGCCGCCACAACCCCCCCGTCACCATTACCATCGCCCATCACCATTACCAAAAAGGGAAAGGAAGGGTGTGTGAGTGTCGGGGAGGTGGCACCATCTCCTACCCTCGAACCTCCCATAGCGTAAGGCGCAAGGCGTTAGGCGTACCTGCCATATGTGAACGAACGCCTGAGAGCAGGAGATCGGAGATCGGGAAACTGAGTCAGTACGCTGCGGAAGGAGGGAGGATGGGAGGATGGGGGGATGGGGTGAGGCTCGGGTGGTTCCGCTCCCGCACCTCCTACACTTCCCTCGTATATGTTGAGTTGGTTGTTTGGGAGGGTTGGGAGGGTTGGGAGGGTTGAGGGTGGTTGTGGTAGGAGGTGATGTTGGGTATCTTGAGGTGAAGTGATGTCTGTATGGCAGGGAAAGGGGAAATGACTCTGAGGGATCTGCATCCCGCGTGCTCGAGATATCTAACATCATCACGTCACTGCCATCGAACATACTCACAGCGATGGAGCGGGAATCTTCAGACGTGAAGGGAGCGTTGGAAAGTGTGGTATATCACACCCCACATCACATCTCACATATCCCATACCCCAAGTCCAACCACTTAACATTCACTCACCACTACATTTCGTCCCCTAGCCCAGGATAAGTGGAACCATACCCAGCTTTTCCGATCGGATATCCGTCTCGGGCGCGGATCCGAAGGCACGAGTAACGTAGGCGTTCTTGGTTCCCGTTCATGGGAACTGGTACTGTGTTTGTCGTTGGAGTTATAGTGGGGACGTGAGGGGAGGAGAGGGGGTGTTTTGTCTTGGTTCGGTGGGTACCTCTTGATGTGGTGATGTGGTTCGAACAGAGATATCAATTCAGTTCGTCACATGACAGCTCAAACAAGTCGAGGGCGCCTGGTATGTTGTTGGTTTGGGAGATTGCCGTGTACGTACGTACACTTGTCCAAATAGTCTAACTCCAGGCACGGCAAAACAAAGTAAGAAAGGCGGGAAGCGTCAAAGCGGAATTCAAACCGTGGGGATGTCGTTCGTTGGAGGGAGGTGGAGGGAGGTGCGGTTGGATTGTGGCGTGGGGGGATGTGGGTTGTGGGTCGATGGGGTTTTTATGTGGGTTTTCTTGTGAGGAGGTGGAGATTTGGGAGGGGGTGTTTGGCTTGGTTGAGGGAGGGAGTGTGAGGAGGGGGTTTTTGTGGAGATTTGAGGGTTGGAGGATGATGTTGGGAGGTTGAGGGGGGAGGTTGTTGTATGTGTTCGTGTTTGATATGAAAAGTTATATCATGTTTTGTTTTGTAAGATTGGGAGTCAGAATGTAGTGGAATCGAAAGTATGAAGGAAAATCAATGGTATTTCTAAGTACGTGCATAGGGGCACCTTCCGTAGACTGCTGTATACGGCAGCAGTGTGAATGATATATCCGTGATACCACCCCCATCTCGGTAAATCTGGATATCATTCCAGGAACCTCCTCCGTGAGCAGGAGAGCAGTATTGTCGGTGACGATATGTATGCCACCATTGAAGTTGCGTTCCCAATCATAAAGTGTTTACTATCTCATTCATCCATCACTGACATCGTAGGCCAAGCCTTCAACCGAAGGTCTTGAACAGCCGTTCATTTCCTTCTTCCACATTCACCCCATTCTCCCGAATGAAGTCCAAAAGCCGATGCATTTGTGCTGCTTTGTGCAGGTCGGGCGGTGCTGCAAATTTGAGGACATCCGTATATGTCTCTTTCATTGTCTCGATGTAGTGGTGCATCGCTTTGCAATTACGGAAGCCGTAATCTTGACAAAGCAACTCCGAGGGCTTCAGGCTATCAGTCCTCAAAAACTGAACAAGTCTGTAAACGGATGGACGCTGTTCCTTGTGTGTATTCAGGAACTGTTTCAGGCCGGGGATGATGGTCTGAACGTAGGAGTATCCACAGCGATCCAGGATGGTAAAAAGGTCGTTGTTGTGGATGGATACCCAAAACATTGTGAACAGTTCTCTTCCTTTTCCTGTGCGTTCTCCGCATCTCTTGAAGAGGTGTTGATACATGTCCCCTAGGCTTTTCTCTTGCTGGGAGGTTTGACATAGGACGAAGCCGGCGTCGTAATGGCCCTCTTCCTCAGGTGGAGGATTGAGTCCTTGTAGAATGTAACCGAGGAGTTTTACCGCATTCTGCTTTGCCACTGGGAATATACGGAAGATTCCCGCATGTCTGTCCTTTTCCTCGAGGAAAGGTTTAACAAGTGACCTCATATTTTGGATTAACCCCACCGGGAGCTCTTCATACACTAAAGTTTCTCGTTGACTTTGTCTCGGACTATTCAGAGTCCAAAAGACACGGTTATGATCTGGGATCGTGCTACCGTAGGTCGATGGTGCACCCGGGTTGGTTCTTGAGCTCTGCCCCAAGGGCGACAAGCCTTGCGGCATTGCTGTCTTCTGATGCCTGATTCTCAATGATGAGAATCCGTCCAGACTTCTGGCAGCTCTGACACAGGTGTTAAAAATCAATTTTGGCTTCGCAAGAAGAACGATATGGGTCAATAACCGATCGAACACTTCGTCATCTTGAAAAAGATACCGGAGCTGCAAAGCTCCGTCCGTAACTATCGTAAATGCCTCTTGGACAATATCTGCGAGGTGGGGTTTCTGGATATGTCCTTTCACAATGCTGGAGACTCCGCGCTCAAGTTCGAGTAAGCTGGTGATTAAATCGGCTTCGTGCTTCAGCAAGAGATCGACGTCGACTCCAGCTCCTCGTGCACTAAGCGCATTCAGCTCATCCATAGCTTCATCAAATCGTTTGTCCAATTGAGGTAAAATAGCGTTCAACCTTTCACGAAAACATTCGAAAGTTATTACCTTGAGCTTCTCCTTCGCGGCATCAGTTCCTTTGCCTTCCCATCGTCAGTGAAACGTCTCTAAGCGAAAAACCCTCAATACACTTACCAGTGACTGCAGAGGCAATGCCCCTCAGCGCGACCTGCAAGTCCGCCAAAATCTTCTCATATCGCCGTTCTTCAAAACGGCTCTCGCCCTTTATGAGTAGCAGTGCCCGCTGCTGTCCCCCCTCCCGGGTCAGCTTAAGACTGACCCCGTCCTTGGTATTCCCACAGGCGACCTTTTCTGCGATCGCGAGCTCAAAGCGAGCTCTGAGAGCTCTTAGATCCGCTTCGTTTTCTAGAAGCGTTTTGGACTCATCGACGATGGTGTCTAGGCCATCTGTGGTGAAACTGTCGACGTTGTGTTTGTTTTCTCGCACTTCACCTGTACGGTGAGTGCTGGGTTTTGTCTTTGGAGCGCCTGCCATGGTATGGTGATGGCAAAGGAAATTTGGTTTTAATGAGCTGATGCAGATGGCGTGGGAACCTGCAGACTAAACAACCGTTCGGTAGGTTAGGCTTCGAGGTGATTGCGGGCTTCGGCGGGCCAGTCGACACAGCGTCTCGGTGCTTGAGGTTGGCAAGTAAGATAAGATTGTGTGGTGGATGAGAAGCAGAAGCAGAAGCAGGAGGAGGAGGAGAGGAGGGGGAGAATAATGAGAAAAGGAAGAAAGAGAAGGAGAAGAAGAACAAAGATAGATCCAAACTCTGCTCGCTGAGAACCGCTCTCACTTCACGAGCAGGGCCTGTTTAATCTCAGAGACCTTTGGCTCAGATCAAAGTCTGGGTTGAAGTAAAAGGTGTGGTGAAGGAGAGATCGAAAGTCTCAACCAGCGCAAGCTGCAAAGCAACCTTTTATGTCGACGTGAAAGTACGATCAAGCAATGAAGTGTGGTGGAAGAAAGATCGGGGGTTAGTGAGGTGATATGGGGCCTTTATAGCCCATTATCTCGTGAAATTACCGGCTATGAGGGTTAGAAGCTCGGAAATGGAGCGGTGAAGGAGTGATTGCGTTGAGTTCGACAAACGGCGAATAGTCCTGTATGGAAGGTTGATCACGTTGGTACTGGACAGATGGCATGAGCATGTAATGGAACGATGGAATCATATTAGGGAATCTGCATAATGAAAGCGAGCTGCTTAGGTCGCGAATCGACGAGGGCGATACTGGCTTACTATCTAGAATACGCCTACGCTTTGCATGCAACGGTGTAACACATGCTGCGTAGATGGGGGATTTTGAACCCTTTTTTTTGGATGGTCTACTGAGGACAAGATTCAGGTACTTTTGGTACTAGATGTCATGTATCTACATGGATAATACAATGACATAAATGATGAGAGGACGAAGGAGGTAGGACACGAAAGGAACAGTGCCCATCTACCATCCGAAAACTTCGGCTACGCTTATGAAGCTCATCCGCGTACCTACAATGGCGACGAATATTGCTACGAAGTCCACGGCAAGTAACACGAGCGCACCAACCATAAAGCGAGGGCTGAAGATGCGATAAAGCATCAGATGTCTCCTCAGGTGCCCTGCCCACATGGTGGTGGCAAGGTTGATGACTGCGTAGAAGAGGAGGTGTGTACCAACGGCCTTTGCGACGTCGCCGAGGAGGCCGCGCTTCTTGGGAGGCTGTTTCCAGAGCACGACGGCGGGCACGGCAATCGCGCAGAGAATCTGTGCGCCGAAGCTGTTGAGGATGATCAGGACGGGAGTCCAGGGGTATTTGATGGTGCGGAGGGGGATGAAGGCGGATTCCCATTGAACGCTGGCAATGGTGGCTTGGTGGCCTGTCTTGAAGAAATGGAATGAACCCAGAAGTCCGAGGACAATGGGCCCGATGGGGGAGTCGGAGAGTTTGTTGGTGTCGATGATTTCGAGGAGGGAGAAAATCTGCCATGTTGCGACGGCGATTGCACCGGCGCCCATGGGCTTTTGAACGAGACTGATTGCCAAGAACCACATAGTGATGAGGAAGGCATACCGGGAGCCGTGGACGTTAGAGTATCCCAAAATGGTAATTGCGGATGAGCCGCCGTCTGCGACGATCTGCTCGCCAGGTTTCACAGCCTCACGGGCTTTTGTCTCAATAGTGAGGAAAGGCTTTGCCCATGTAAAGGTTGAGTAACCAAACGCTACGGCAATTGCAAGCGTGATTTGTGCTATTATGACTTTGGTAGTCTTAAGAACCTCACCGTAGCCTGGATACCAATCACCATCGTCGGCAGCATCTAAGGTCCAAAATGCTGCACTGAGGAGGAGCCCAAAGCGGAGTGCGATGTCTAACCAGGTGATAGCTGATCCTTGGAAGTTGCCTGTATTCTCGTAGTAAGAGCGAATGAAGCTTGGCAACAACAATGCTACAGCGAATGGGATTGCCAATTGCCATGTTGCTGAGGTTGAAGAGGTAGCGGATGCATAGTATGTGGACTTGCAATACGGCATTTGTTCTTCTCGACATAGACGTGACATCGAAGCAAGCCTAGTGAGGACGATGAAGAGAATTGAGTGATAGCATCCAAGCGCCCGATCAATGTTGTTTTTCTGTCGTATGGACGACAGTGTTGCCAGAACACCGAAGGTCGTGAGGAAATGGAGAAGGATCTCATCTTCCCAGATCGTGAAGGAATTGGCAGCAAAACCCGCTGACAATGCAAGTGTGAAGATGATACTGATCCATGACCAAATCGAAGACGGAATTGGGAGTATAAGTCGGCGCCTAATGTACCAGAAAGCGGTAGCGACCCCAAGGAGGCTGCCTACGGCTGTCGAGAAAACCACGACGTGGTCACGAGAAAGGTCTGGAGCTGCGAAGGTAACACCTACACCAGCACCAGCACCGACCAAAGTGCCAACAGCGCCTCGAATCAGCAGAGCCGGTGTAAGCTCAGTTCGGTCTCCATCCAAGCCGCGAGAATAGATACCAAGTGTGATCAGGGTGAAGACAAGTATTGTGACTCCATTCAACATTCTCGGTACATCAAATCTTGCCCACAAAGCGCGGCAAATGCTGAGAGTTTCGCTTTGATATGCTTTGAAACTCTCGTAGATCGATCTTTGATGATCACGACTAGCTCTCCCATTTCTCATCAACAGGTCCCAGCCATCATTGGCAACGGTCCATAGCTTCAAGGAGCTTGCCCTGGTGCTTTCGTCTTGTCCACGTGCAAGAGCATATTCAAACTGATAGCGTTGAATCTGTGCTGACACCAACCGATTCACATTGGCCAAAGTTTCGTAGTCCTCTCCTTGAGCTCCAATGAAGGCCTCTTCAATTGGGGTGCCAAGGTTGTTGAAAGGCACTGGCAAACCGAGTAAGAGGGAAAGGGTGGGAACCAAGTCGATCTGTCCTACCGGCCTTTCCTTTGCTGTCGCCGGCGGGATCTTATTTGCCGGAGAGCTGCGACCAAAGACTCCTTTCTTGGAATACATCCAAAGTGCGGCCTGGATCTCATCATCAGACTCCCCTCCATGGTCGCCTTTCGAATCCATGCCATGATCACCCATAACAACAAGCAGAGTATCGTCGTCAATGTTGGCTATCATCTTTCGAATCGTTTCGTCCATCTGGTTTAACTTTGCTGTCATCGCAGGGTGATCCGGTCCGTAACGGTGGCCTGCATGGTCCACTCCAAGGTAGTGGCCAATGATTACGTCCCACTTGCTCGCATTGGAGGGTTGCATGAGGGGGAAGATGTGCTCAGTAACACCATTATCGACGGTATGCAGGTCCCAGACATTGAACGAATCATACGCATGTGTAAGATTGGGCTCGAAGTAGTCAGGGAAAAGCGCATGCCACGTATCATCACCTAGATGAACGATTCTTTTGCTGGCATTGCGCAATTGCGCCAGCAGATTATCCTCGTCGATTGCGTTTCCTGCGAAGTTTGAACCTGCATCAACGAACGTTGGAAGTGTTCCCGTTGTAAGTCCCTTCAATCGTTGCAATGTGGTTGTTGGTGGATCGGCAATGAACGGTAGCAGGAACGCATTCTGGGGCTGCGTGACGGCTGTGTCGTAAAGAACGGGGAGTGCATTATGGAAATGTTGCGGTTGTTCGCCCGCGGTAGGACGGAAGGGTACTGTGAAATCGTAACGTAGTGCGTCTATGAGGATAACAATTGCTTTGTCGAATGTCTTAGGATGCCAGCATCCTGACTCGGAGGAGCCGGAAGTGTAAGATATCAAGTCTATCGGTGGAACATCGCATTCCGACTTCTGATCGAGGACCAAGCGGGTGAGGAGGAAGCCACTTGTGAACAGGTATATGCCTAGGACATGGAGTAGACTGATATCGAGTTAGCATTGGCGCGAAGTGATTATTGAAGTTGACTTTGGCTCACAGTATCCAAGAGAAAAAAGCTACTATAATGCCATGCGCAGCCTTGAAGTGAACTTCTCCTTGCTTGTTGGCTGCCGCAGCATTCCCCACTGTTGGCTTGAGACCTTGCGATTCCTCCTTCTCCTTCTGCGCTTTTGCCTTTGCGAAGGCCGCGGCTAGGCCTTCGTAGGAGGGCAAAGGCTCTTCTCCATCCATTGGAAATATCTACGAGCCAGGATGCATAAGATGGATGTTACAATGAGCTACTAGCAAGGTGCTCTTCTACCATCGCAGTCGGTTTTAGGTTTCGCCGCTCCGGCGCTCCGGCGTTCCGCCATAGCAATTCTGCTTTAGGCATTTTCTCCTCGGACTTGTAGCGGCTATCGACCAATAGTTCCATTTGGTCAGTCCGAAAGGACCAGTAGATCTGTTTATCAACAAACCATTGATGACGATGACGCGTATAGAGTGGAAAGGTTTGTGCGCATGGTAGCGCAATGAAAAATTTCCTGCTTCGCGATCGATAGTCATGTGAGGGCAATACAGGTACGAGTCAACATCAGAACAGTCATAACGTTCGATAGAAACAAATTTCTTGTTTAAAAGGCTTGTATTGCATCCGTTGCTGCAGAGTTGCAGTTGGAGTTGAGGACGTATCATACATTAGAAAATAGAAGCTATATAAGAGGACATAACCTCAGGGGACTGGTCCGACGTGCTGGTACCAATCATCTCCAGAAATGTACAACAGGCCAGAGCCTATACCCATGCGAATATTTCGAGAGCCACCAGTCGACAATTCGACAATGGGTAGAGAAGATATGATAAGGATGACTGAACACAAATGAGTCGTCACCAAAACAGTCGGGTCGTAGCCAAGCGGCTTATGTAGTGTGCGTGGAAGATAATACAAAAGATTGTGCTGGGGTTTGGTGGGCAGCTGGTCAATGGCGGCGGTTAGGAAGAAGGCGTTTTGTGTGTCGGGTTGACACAATTTAATAGTAGTCCTTGTCGCACTTCTCTTTCAGTCCGCCCATGCGATCGAGATCAAGCGAGTCAAATCGATCTGATGAGTGCCGCTGGTATGGTGGAAGGTCCTCCTGCAGAGGCTCCAACCCGACGCTGTGGTCTCCGACGCGGACAACGACAACCCTTCCAGACTGTCGCTTACCTGCATCATCCACCTCGTCGGGGAAGGTAATTCGAATCTCGGGAACGGGGCTTGCGGGAGGGCTGGATGAGTTGGCCATAAGATCTTGCTTTTCCTGGATAACAAGGTGGGATTCGCGTTTGCCGTAAGTCGACGTTGTGATCGTCAGTCGTCGAGCATTCGGCTGTCGTTTCTCGTGCAAAGGTAGTTCTGCCTGCCTCTGTTGGTTGCGCATGTACCTGAGGAACATGAGAGCTGCAATGGCAAGCAACCCGATAGTGACCAAGACCACAATTGAGACAACCAAGGGGAAGATCACCGAGTCTGATCCTCCAGAGACATCGGTTCCGCGCACAACAAGGATGTTGATAGTACTCATAGTTGGGGTTTTCGGGGATGTTACAGTCGGTCAAGTGTGTTTATGGATGCGTTACAGTTGGCGCGGTCGTTATAGATTAATCGATTAAGGAGCGTATAAGCTGGTTCCATATTAGCTACTGGCGACCGATTCACGAATTGCATCATCATCTCCGGCATAATGGCAAGTTGAAGATTGAGGAGCAGCAGCAGTAGAGGTAATTGGAACTTCAAACTGCCTTGGCGGAATGTACTCGAGGAGAGAAGGCGACGCACCTTATCAGGGATAGGCAATGGCCACGGTCGGTCGGGTTTGCAAGGAGTGAGTGCGGTGATGTGATGTGAGGTCTTAGATGGCCGGAAAGAATGGATGCAGACGCACAGCTGAATGAGTGAAGCTGGTGTCGCAAAGGAATGAATGTGAGGAGGGTTTGAGGGTCGAGAGCGCGCAAGGCGTTGACGATGGAGGTAATGATGGTGGAGAAAGGAAGGGAAAAGGGAAGAAGAGGAGCGACACGGCGAGCAAGGAGAAACGGTCGTATTCATCAAGGATAGCAGCAATCAGGTTCAATCGCCAGGTTTGGTTTGGTTTGCACTTTGGGTGGGGAGCTCGGGCCATGAACGGTTAGAATGAATTTAGAATGAACGCGTCGTTAGCGCACCAGTCGGAGATGAGGATGAGGAGGACGAGGCTCTCACCCCTTCAAGGCCCTTCACACTTTAACCTCATCCTTCCTCTGAAGCGCTTGCACCATTCCCCAATACGTTCTTCGCCAATACCCCTTCAATCCAATGAGAGCACTCTGCTGCGGAACTGGGTCAGAGGGAATGTGATCCTTCGTCTTTCTATAAACACCAACCTGCATCCATACACCAACTCTACTCCCTGTGAGGCGGTTATTGAGTACCTGACCTAGGTACTAGTTAAGCTGACCTCCTGGACACAAAATCCTCTGTCGCTACCGTTGTGGCGCAATCCACAGAAGCAGAAAAGCGCAATTCGCCTCCATACGTATTCGACTTGGTCGACGACGGTGTGTGCTGATCAACGAAGCCGTCGTGTGGCCTACGAGTAGGTGCAAACGCTGCAAATGAAGTGTCGACAGGGGTCACGGCAAGGGAAAACAGCCCATGACCGCGTGCTCATAGCAACAGTTTGTGAGCGAGGACAGGGGAGCAGCCGAGCAGGGTGCGGTGCTATGAGTATGCCCAGACTGCGCTCGGGGGATTGCCATCGAATTAGGCACACCCTCGAGATCTCGAGTCTCGACTCCTCGAGTCGTCTGGACACTGCTGGCACGCGAGCATCGACCTGGACGAGGCCGCTCCCCCAGATATAAACGACAATGCGGCCTGCCCACTGCTTTAAGCTTACCCTCTCGCGAGACCTGCAATGTTTTGCATTCTGTCATGACATCAATGTTGCTACTTTGATTTGAGACGAACTGTGTACGTGCGACCGAACAGTCGCAGCAACGTCGGCTTCTGGTTCTTCCGCCAGCAGATGCCCCTTTGCGCTGACAGCTGACAAGGCGGTTGTGTGGAGAAGTCGCCTGCGATCATGCTTCAGGCTCAAAAATAATGTGGGCTCAGGCATGCTCAAGTAATGCGACCGGTCTCCCGAAGCCGTGTACTGTGTACTGTGCCGCCTGCTTCCTGTGCTATCTACGGACTCGCCTGAGCGCTTGCGTTTGTGTTTGCACAGTGAGTTTCGACTCTCGAGTCCGTCGCTTAGTCTGGGTGTGTATACGATCTGCGCCCAGCGCTACGGATTCGCGATTCTCCATTCACGTAATTTGCAGCCTGGGTGTGCATAGTATGATGTCTTGACAAACGTAAACAACGGACAATTGCCTTGAGGCCTCACTCCAGTACTCACTGTCAGCTGTTTCAATGTCGAAAAATATTCGCGATTGGCCTTGATGTTTCGACGTTGTTACGCCGTTGCTCGCATATTTGCTTTTACTCGCTCTGTAGCGCCCGGGATTCAAGGATGGTCACGTTGTGACGACGCAGGCCCGGAAGCTATTCTTCCCAGAGCCAAGTCCGCACAAGAGCATCCGAAGCACTGCTTGGACCACTGTGCATCTCAGATCTGTGACAAGCCTCTCTTGTGCCAGATATCTCTCGCGCTTCTAGAAGCAACTCCCACAACGTTGAAGAAAGATTTGAATTATGCTTAACAGGCAGGAAAACATTCTGACACACGTCTCCGATATGCAACTCGACTCGTAGCTTCTGTTGATTCATCGCTCTAGGCGAGCATATTGGCGATGTGGTTTGAAGCTTGTGTTGGGCTTCACGTCAGCCTCTGCCAAGACGAGATTCGGAAACGGTATGCTCTCCCAATTAGCAACAGGAGGCGTTATTTTGGAATCCAAAAGCTTTGCACTACGGCAGAAGGTGCCCGTCCCAGTATGACAGAGGCCAATAATCCAATAATGGCGGCGATTGTTCAAAGCATCTCCTTCGGCTCAGAAGCGCACCAACGCAGTGGAACTTGAGTACAGAGTGGAGGTCAACCAATCTTTGGTTCACTAGAAACAGTAGCCCGGATCACTATTTCGATCATCTACCTGGGTAGGGAGTCACAGTCAATGTGCTGCTGACCAAAAGTCGACACCCAAAAAAGCGACAATCAATCGCTGGGCCTGCAACTGTGATCGACAAGCTAGGGCAGGGCTCCCCAGAGGATTTCGCACCATTGCTTTTCCCCAATGTTCAAGGCTCAAATCAGCGGTTTCAGCGTGCTCTAAGGTACGGCAACCAGAGACATCGCCACATTGAAAAGCACATTCAACAAATTCATGCCCCGGGACGCTGATGCCTCTCGCAACTTAGGTATGTACGTGTACAGAGCAGTGGGGATGCACATGATCTAGACGATGTGGATCCACATGAATGCATTCTCTCAACAATGCGTTTGTTCGGGACAGATATCGATAGGATGACGAGATGACGAGATTCTCGAATGCACACATGGTGCGTTGGGGTTGGCTGCCCTTCCTGGGGCCCTTAGGCTTTAGCCCCTTCAATTAAGATCCAAACAAGGCGCGAGTCGGAGCAAAGTGTTTGGTGAGCGGGTATAGGGCCCAGGCGGTGATGAATGAGGCCACGAAAAGAGGTAGCATATACTCCGCAACCGTTGCAGTACCCTACGCATGACCGTATTCATCTATGAGGTTCGTGCGCAGGAATATATCTATCTACCCAGTGTTTGAAAGGGCAGACGGGCGGTGAATCGTGAAGAAGTGGACCGGAGCAGAGGAGCTGGAAGCAGACAAGTGACGGGGCCGGAAATCGGCATGGGGCTGTGAAACGCTCCCAGGAAAGAGCAGTTATCAATATTCGGTAACCATCTATCCAGGTGCACCGTACGGTACGCAATTGCGACTTGGGAGCATCTAGGTGATGAGCGAAGCTGCGCGGTGGGCATGCAAAGCGAGGAGAGGAGAATGTCTCAGCTCTATTCATGAATTGAGTTTGAGGCATCCAGATCGACGAGGTCTGTCGCTTTGAAACACGACACCCCGGCCGGATCTCCAGGGCAGACTCCTGTCCTTCTTGGCAGACGAGTGGTGGATACGATTGGAGGCGGAGAGCATTGGCAGGAGGCGTCTCTCCGCTGCGAGGTGGAGCCCATAACGGTTACGGAACAGGGCAAGGGAGCATCAGCGTAATGTCATGACTTACTGTTGGAATAGGTACTATTCTTACCCGACATCGAATCTGTGGTCCGCAGGCGCAGGTCCAGCCGACGATTATCGCCCCGCTCAACGATAAAAAAAGGAACGGGGGAATGTTGAAGATGTTTGCAAAAAGAGAATGGCTAACTATGGTAACGAGAGAGTTTTACGTTGATGTACTCCGTACGACCAGAAGGAGAAGAGCAGAAGGCGTAGAATTCATGGCTCTGGGACAGGTAGCTAATCAGAGAGAGGCAGACTAACGGAAGGAGGAATGATTAGGGGTCGGGAGTTAGGGCACAGGACCCTGCGGCAACGGGACAGGACAAGAGATTCGAGAATCTGTCTAGTGAATGAGGATTGAGGGATTGTTTAGATTAGGGCTGGGGACAAGAGAGCTAAGACGGCACCATTGAGCGACGATGGGATGTGATGACTGGGTGGATGTGCGGGAGAAGGGCGACACTAGGAGGAGACGAGTTAAGACGGTGAAGGGAGAACGCGGACAATTCTGTAGTGCGGAACCTTAGCGTGTAGATCCTCTTCTTCTATCCATACCATACTGGGCTGGCTATACCGTAGACTGCAGTTCTATATCACACTGGTAAACTGTAACTTGAACCCATGATCCTTATCCCATATCCCATATCCCATAATCCCCAAATGATAGTTTATCAATAGTGAGTGATTCACATTCGGGTTCGGCTGCTTCGGCTTCAACTTTTGAATGTGACTCTTTGAAATGCAACATTTCGAACCGGACTACTGGACTGGTTACTGACCACTGCAGCCTATATCGTCATGATGTTTGGATGTATTGCTGAACTCAAAAAGTCCATCCTTTCCCCCCCCTCCCTTTACTCTTTTCTCACTAGCCCACGTTTTGGTAGACCCAAGGCACCAAGGTAATCAAACAAATTCTCCGTAACTTTGCCTGGTTGCTTCGCCTTGCCCGTTTTCTGTTACAACGAGTGACTACCACTAATTGGGTAGATGGTAGTGATGTGTTCTGTGTACCTACTTCCGTCTACTGTCTACTGTGTTCAGTGTATGTGTATGCTACTGCTATACAGCAAGTGTGTATGTGTGTGGATGCGTATGATGTACCCTTCGGAGATGCCCCTTGCCCTTGTCCTTGCCCTGGTCCACAATGCTCTACTCAGTCTACTGAGCGACACTTGGTTACCATGATTCTTCTCGACTACCTCTGCCTCTACCGAGTACCACTATAACCTCTTCCACTGTCATCTCTCCATCAATCTTTCTCTTCCTCTTTCTCACTTTCCCTCCTTCTTCCATTCTCCACCCACGCTCGGAGGGGACGTTTCAATAAACGTTGAGCCCCCTGTTCATCAGTTTGCTTGTTCACCTGCAGTGCCAATACCTGGTAACCAGGTTCAATTCGAGATACTACCTCGGAGCAGAGGAGTCGTTGAATTGGTCCTCTTCATCGTTCTGTATATCTCTTTGCATTTTTTCCTGACTCGGACAGGATAGTCACTGGTATTAGCATTGAACCGTGGGAGCCATTATCGGATTGGACCTTTGGGGGAGGAATGCGACTGAGTGCCATCTAGTGGTTCTCGCCCCAACGCTTTCGCCTACCGGTAGACTGGCTGGCAGTACGAAGTCCACCCAGTCCAGTCCATCAAGTCCATCAAGTCCACCCCGTCCAGCCTACATATGAACCCCCCGGCCTGCCCTGCCTGCCCTGCCCTCACCTACATTTAACCCTCCCGCACTACCCACCCGCTACTCCCTCACTACTGTGTACTGTGAACTCAGTGCTCACCCACCAACACTACCACCACTACTACTTCATCTTGCATCCATTTGCTCCCACACTTTGTCTCTTACTTCCTTTCCCTTCCCCAATTACTTCACGACATACGAGAAATAGCATACAGTGTACACTACGCCATTTACCGTACACTCTCTTCCTTTCCATCTACAATTCTATACCCTCGCCGCCTTCTCCCCGTCCCCATCTTCTTCTTCGCCGCCGACGCCTCCGCCGCCGCCCCAATCATCACCATCCTCACCAGCATCGTCACCACCCACTACCACTTCCACTACCTCTCCCACTACCATAAAATCAACACTACCGACTACCAACTACCTGTCCTCTCCTTCCATCGTTCACTCTTCTATCCTACCGCTGGTCGCTCTTAACCGCTTCCATCGTCGCTGCGCATTCGAGCGCCGTCCCTTCCGCCGCGCGCGCACTCTCTCTCGCATCCGCATCCACGCGCACACACTCGCGCACACCCACGCAACACAGACAGGAAAGCTCCTACCCTTCCTTCATAACCAGTCATTCACCCTTCCTCGCCCCTCCATCTCTCTTCCTCTTCCACTCTTCTCTCAAGGGCATCTAGGGCATCTCCCCATTCCAGCATCGATCCCAGTCTGTCGCCCTTGCTTCGCTCGACCGCTGGCCTCCAGGTGTTGCAGCACCCACTGATGCGTTCCCCCGCCTCGCGACACCACTTCTCCCACCTTAGCATGCACACTGGATAGATCTGTCCATCGAACATTACACGAAATTCTTCCAAGGGGTGTGCCGGTGAACCTGCACATATCAACCCTCCCTCCTTCCTTCCGCCATCTTCGGCGGCCTACTCCCTTCGCTCACTCTTGTACCATACCCACCACCTGCGGTCTGCTCCTACATCCACATCCACACCCACGTCCACAATTGTATCCTCCTCTTACTTTCTAATACCTCGTCACTCTTGCAGCATAACCACTCGGTACGTACGCCCCAACTTTGGTCCAATGATGCGCTACCTGCACGACTCCCGAATTTGTTTGGATGCTGACGCCTGGAATTTAGTTGAGCTGTCCAACCCAGAAATAAGCAACCCCGCCGCCCTACATTTACTCCCACATTGCGCTTCCCCAGCGCCCACATCCTCAAATACACACATAAAGATTTACAGATAGACATTTGCTGCTACACAATGGATACCACATCTAGCGTTGGTGGTCGCACTATGGCTATGACGAATAATGTGGGTCACGCATCCTCCTCCGCATTCTCATCATCATCACCGCCACTTCCCAGACAATTTCTGACAGTCTCCAAACAGGGTCGCGCTCGTGAATACTCCGGCGGAGTACAGCTCAATGGCGTCGAAAGCGAACGACAGTCTCATTCCACACTGGGCTGGGGTCATCCTAGCATCTGGGGCAACAGCACCACAATAGGCTCCGGCTTCGCCCAAGGCGCCCGAGACAACACCCGACCGCGTGGTACGTTTGGCACGCATACGTCAATACAGGCACGTTCCGCTCACCAGCCGGCAGAGAATAGTACATATCTAGGGGCAACTGCATCTTCGAATGCTCTTGAAGGCAAGACAGGGTCAGGCTCGCTCGTCCCTTCTTCCGAGTCTGAGAGTTGGACCACCCGCTCTCCATGGCGGGACAGCACAGCTGCGAGTAAGCCACATGCTCGAAGCTCCGGCGTGTCGCCAGCGCGGAAGAGGTCGATTGCCCACGCGCAGCCTGGTCAGCAATACACCGACCCCTCGTCCGCCTTCTTTCTTCCCAGATCTGTCATAGGTCCCATAACAACAGTGTCAAAACCAGCTCTCGACCCCACGACCGGAAACTTCACCTCTACACGCACTGTTGATCCTTCGATCTCCAGCAGCTTTTCCAACTTTGCATTCTCAGAGCCAACTTCTCAGCGTCCTGAGCCTTCCACTTCCAATGGGTCCTGGGACAACGCATCGGTGCATTCTCCTAACGATGATAGGCGAAGTGTAACGGACTTCTACGGCACCACCAGTTCGACGCCTTCGAGAAGTGGCAGCCTTCCACCATCCCGCCACGGTGACCCCACACAGCTTTCCCAATCTGGCGATAATTTTAGCAGATACGCTCATGGTAACCGGCAACATTCCTCCTTCTCTCACGCCAATGGTCGCGCCTACCAAGAGCGAAGCGGGTCAATCCAGAGCGATGGTCTACAATTACTCGGTCGCCTTAGCCTGGAGCAAGAGCACGAAACTCCTGGATCGCACAGGGCCTCCATCAGTGTGAATGGCCCTGGGCTCGGTCGGCCTGGCAATGACTTGGCCTACTCACGCGACAATTTTGCCGACATGAAACAGGATGAAAATGGATTCGTGGGTGTCAACAATTTCGTACCGGAAGGCTTTCCAAATGGCATCAATGATGCTACTACTGCACAATATGGTGCTTTCCGCTTCGACAGTCGTAGCGCCCCCAACGGAACAGCTGCAAAGCAAAGCCCATTCTATTCTCACAGTGGCACCCCACCCGCTTTCGATCATCTCTACCCTTCCCGCGGTGAGCAGGTGCTCTCGACTGGAAACAACTTTGCCCTTGTAAATAGCAAATTGGCGGGATTCCAGCAGCAACAGGAGCGGCGCAACTTCGCACCCAATCCTTACCCACAGCAAGGCTTCCACCCTTTGCTCCCCCCACAAAGCCGCCAATCCTATGGCTACGCAGTCGCACTTCAGAATGGCTTTCCGTTGCATCCCATGGGACCCAACATTCAGATGTCAATGATGCCTCAGATGGTAGCTGTGATGGAGCCGCCCAAGGCTCCGCGGGAGCATCATCATCACCAGCAGCAGCAGCAGCAGCAGCAGCAGACTGGGGAGTCTTTGATGAGCAAGTGTCTGTGGGACTATCGCCAGAGTAGCAAGAGCGGCACTCGCAAGTACGATTTGAAGGATATCTACGACCACGTCGTTGAGTTCAGCGGCGACCAGCATGGCTCAAGGTTCATCCAGTCCAAACTCGAAGTCGCCAATAGCGATGAGAAGGACCGTGTTTTCCGGGAGCTTCAAGGCGACTCCCTGCAGCTTATGCAGGATGTCTTTGGCAACTACGTGATCCAGAAGTTCTTTGAGCACGGCGACCAGACTCAAAAGCGCATCCTTGCAAATCGCATGAAGGGGCATGTTTACCATCTCTCCATGCAAATGTATGGCTGCCGTGTTGTACAGAAGGCCCTTGAGCACATCCTCACAGACCAACAAGCCTTGCTTGTGAAGGAACTGGAAAAGGATGTTCTTGCCTGCGTCAAAGACCAGAACGGCAACCATGTCGTGCAAAAAGCCATCGAAAGGGTCCCCTTTGAGCATATCAAGTTCATTGTCGAAGCATTCAAAGGACAAGTCGGGACGCTTTCGGTCAATGGTTATGGATGCCGGGTCATTCAGCGCATGCTCGAATTCGTGCCGGAGCCTGCACGCCGATTCATCCTGGTCGAGTTGCGTGCCGAAGGTTCAAAGCTCATCACCGACCAGTATGGAAACTACGTTGCCCAACATGTCATCGAGCACGGAACAGGTGAAGACAGCCAGGTGTTCATTGATCTGGTTACCAACGACATCCTTCTTTATTCGAAGCATAAATTCGCTAGCAACGTTGTCGAGCGCTGTCTCGTGTGCGGAACTGATGCTCAACGTCGGGCTATCTCGCTCCGAGTCACAGCCAAGAATGAGCGTGGTGAATGCAACCTGAAATCGCTCATCAGAGATAATTACGGCAATTACGTGATCCGTAAGATTCCATGATCCCTTCCCGACAAGTATTCTCGACTAACAATCAGCAGAAAAAATCCTCGAGACTCTGTGCGAAGAAGATTGGCATGAATTTGTCGCCATCCTAAGGCCCGAGATGGAGGAAGCCAAGAAAGTCATCTCAGGGAAGCAAGTTGTCCAGGTGGGTTGAATCAGTAGCTCATCGCTTATACTACCATGCTAATTCGCATCTAGATCGAGAAGAAACTCCATCGCTTCGACCGTGTGGACAGTGTTTCATCCACGACCCCCCAGCTCAGTTCCATCAGCTCCGTAACTGACGACGTTCCCGTCCTCACCAGCGAGTCCCAGTCTCCTCAAAGCACCACCATGCCCCCGGACAATCTTAGCACCATCGGCGAATCTCCACACAGCGTCGCCTCGATTTCGGACAAAGCCCTTCCCACTTCCAGCGTTCAGATTGTGAACGATTCTTAGTACATATATACCACATTTCCACAACCGGGTCCATTCGTACGCGTATTATATCACCTGTTTCGGTTTTCCCTCTGTTCTACAGCATCCATGGAATATGACCGGACGGCGTCGGTTGTTTTAGTTCCATCACTGCCTTTACACGGATTGGAGCATGTTCTATACCACATACTTAGCCTTTTCCTTTCGACATTCGATCTTTCCTCTCTTTTGTTGTTTCAATTTCGATGTTTCCTAGTTACCTGCTCTGTTGCCTTTCACCATTACATATTTGACTTTCTTCCCATTCTTGTACGGCGTCCATCGTCATCATCACCAGGGTTATTCATTCTGCGCACAAAAAATTCGGAGATATGACGACATGTGTCTCTCCTCTTCCCTCGGCATGTCGAGAGTACGAAATTTACGATTGTTATTGATGGCGCGAATCTAGGCCGCCCCCGAAAAGAAACGGAGCCACGGCCATGGGCACACACAGTTAGCGATGCACAAAAAAGCTCGCATCTCCCCTTCTCACCATCTCGGGAAGTGGCGAGAGTGGGGATCGATGAGCAATGTCATACTACGGGCGTTGACGAGTTCTCTGTAGACATCCTGTTTATTTGTTTGATTCTGTTTTTTTTCTCTCTCTTCCTTTCTTTTTTCTCATTGTTCGGTGTTGTAACTTGCGTGCACTTCACACACACAAACAGGGACAGGTTTTATCCATAGATGGTACGTGTGGATGAATGGAAAGTGTCCTTAGGAACTCAGTAATGAGGACTTCGATGGATAGGATGGGGATCGCGCCTGGCCGGACTTTTGTAAGGCAGGGCTGCGATGGATGGGATGGGGATCGCGCCTGGCTGGAATTTTGTAAGGCAGGGCTGCGGATGCTAAGTCATAGAGAAATCTCCCCATCGACTGTCGTCGTCCTCATCATTAGCTGTAATAATCATCAATCAACCATGATTACATGAATGTGCTTTTTGTGCTCTGGTCTTGTGATGTTTGCTTTGAATACGTCAAGGATGAGGAATGGCGAGTTAAGATGTTTGGCCTTGTGATGTCGTGAGGGTAGATGCCTTGATATTGGGAAATCATGAACAGAACCGACCTCTCTTCACATTTCCCAAATGCTTAGTACAATTCGAACCAGATACATAATCACAACGTCAAGAAGTCATATCTACATAACCAAAACCTCCTCGCGCCTCCCCCATCTCTCCTCTCTTTTCTCGTTGACTGCAATCTCCGTGAGTATAGAGAAACGACAGCAACTATGAAGTGGTATATTCCTTGGTCCACCATCACTTAGTTAGCCTCCATGCGTGAACGGAGGGGAAGTGAAGCGAGCGGTCCGGCCCGTCCGTTGATTTTCTTTGTTTTGCGTAGTCTGGCTTGGTCATTGCTTGATCGCTCGCGTGTGAGCTGCTGGTAACCACGTTTTACCCTTTTCCTTGGGTTTGGGGAAATGCATCGTTAGATCCACGTACATCGATGGGAAAAAAAAAACGTAGAAAACACAAAACACGACTTTGGTATTCAGCTAACTCTCTCAATCAAGGCAAGGTCTAATGTCTAAGATGTACGTTTACGACCACCCATCCAACTGCTGCGCATCCCACACGCCCCCTCCCCCAGAACTCGATCCCGCCTCCGCCGCCTCCGCCGCGGCCGCCGCCTCCAGAAACTCCAAATCACTCCAATCCATCTTCTCGAGCTCCCTCCTGAAGAAATCCTGCTCGTCCTCCAGCACCCCCATCCGCGCACCCATACCCTCGGGGTACCTCCTCAGATTAAACCAGTGCGTCAGCGCGCGGAGCGCCTGCTCAAGCGGCACGCTCTCGTCGACCTCGGCGTCGACGTCGCTGCCGGCCAGCCAGTCGTCGCGGAGCTCCGGGCGGCAGGTGAGGTAGACGGCGGTGATGACGCGCATGTTCGTCTGGCGCCACTTGCGGCCGCAGTAGGGGACCTGGTTTTTGAAGAGCTTGAGGGTGTAGAGGCGGAGGGAGGGTTCGGGGACTTTGAGGGATTTCCGGAGGAATTGGGACGACTTGTAGGATACCAGCATCAGGTTGCGGTGGGCTTTGTTTTTGCAGACTTTTTGCATGATGCGTAGGTAGTTTATCGTGGTGAAGAAGGCGCGGAAGGAGTAGGTGGTTATGGGGGTGGTCGGGAATTGGGTGGTTGGGAAGCCGAGTTCGTCGACCTCCGGGGCTTGTTGGAGGGGGGGGTATATGCCTGGGGGAAGGGGCATTTGGTCGGGGGAGGGGTGTTGTTGCGGGTCCGGGTTCGAGTTGCGGCGTGTGGTGCGGATGGGGGGTGGTGCTGCGTCGTCTGAGTCGGAGTCGGCTTCTGGTTCGTGGTCTTGTGTGGTTGTGTCGGGGTCTCCGGGCGATGATTGTTGCTGTTGTTGCGAGGGTATGTTCTCTTCGATACCAGCGCGGGAGTGGGTGCGGCAGAAGTAGAAGAAGCTAGGGGGTCGTTATGTTAGCAAAAGAGGTATGGTGATAGTGAGTGAGACATGGAGCAGACGTACTTTAATTCCTCCTGCTCGCACTTGAAAGCAACCGCCTTGTCGACCTCTTGGAGTTGGAGGAGCTTCAAGATCAGGGGGACATAGCTGGAATCTACAAGAAGCTGTGTAATGTATTCGAATTTGAGGATATCTATCATGCCATGTTAGTTGATGGATACTTGAATACGCGCGTGGCTACTTACGAGACACTTTGAACCATTTCAACATCAGTATCAGAATGCCGGAGACGGCTTTGTCGAGGATTTCCTGGGTGCGCATTGCATCCAGCTCCTCATTCGTCGTGACGTTGTCGTGCCCATTGATTCCGTTCATATGAGATGGACCATTTTGGTGGTCTTGGAAATGGAATCCACTTTGTAAACCGTTTGGTCCATTGCTTTGCGTGACTAGAGTAGTTACGTGCGTGAGAATTGCTTTGATGAGCACGATGACCAAAGACTGGAGATGGGGCAGAGCCGCCCGCTATTTACTTGTTAGTTAATGATCATACAATGTATTTCGAGAACGTACATAGCACTCCTCCACTAGATCCAGCCTCTCTTCGGTGCTTCCTGATGGATGGACCGGTTTCTGCTCATCCGCCTTAGGCTCGAGGGATAAAGCCTCGACATCAATGTCTTCGTCAGCGCCAGACCAACCACGTTCGTACTTCATGAACTGGACGCGCTCCTCCCATAGCTGCTTCATCGCACGAGTGGCTCGCATTCGCTTAGAAAATAGTTCTGCTGCTTCCAGAATAGATGTAGGAATATCTGCACCCTCCCACTTGCGCCCGACAAGCAAGTCTTGAAGATCGGTAGAGCCTTTTCCGCCGAGCTTGTTGCTCGATTCATCCAATGGTGGGTAAAGGAAAGGGAACATCTGGTTCGTCTGGTAGTTCTGCTTCTTTCCTCCCTTTCCGCCCGGTCCAGCTGGAGACGGAGGGGGAGATGGCGCAGGAGTGGCAATATGGACCGGCTGATGGAAGATAGAAGTGTTGTTACCATTCATATCACCCAATCCAGAACCAAAGACGTGGTTTCCGGCAGCTCGATTGGGGTGGTTTTTGAGTGGTGGTAGGATTGAGTTGTTTTCGGGTTCAAGTGGAAACAGGGGAGGCGGAGGATTATATGCCGGATATTTTGAGCTTATTTCCTGGCGAAACGCGTGGTAGTCCAATGGCGATGCGGTAATGATCGGTTGTCCTCGAGCGTCTTCAGACTCAAGATCGAGATCCTTGTTGAAGGTTTCCTTAGCTTTTTCTACTTCGGACAGACCGCCAAATGAGACGAGGGCGGTCTTCCATAACAACAGGCATATTTTTGGCAACGAAAGATTGATCGAATCGTCCCACCGCATCTTTGCAACAATCTCTGCCAGTATGATGAAGATGCCGGGATTTAATGCTAGAAGCGCACTTCGGATGGAAAGATCCTGGTTTTCCTTCTCTTCGATGCGTGCAACTTCTAGCACCACATAGATGGCAGTCATCGAGCACCAAACTTCCCGGCGTTCTGCCTCTTTTCCATCTCGAGGAGCAGTAGGATCGACATCGACCCCACAGGCTCTGAGACAGGCAGATTTCATCGTCTTAACAAGAATCGGCAACCCGCCACATTCGATCAACAAACGGACATTACTTCTTAGCAATCGAATTTGACGCGCCGATTTTCCGTAAACTGCCTTTGGACTTCTATCAGGACTCTTTTCTGTCGATTCGGCGCTTGAGGCTGGACCGAGACCCGCACTTTCATGCCAACAACCGAGCAGAATGTACACCAATGCCTCGAGCTTCCTGAGCCGCGTCACGGGATCCGACTGTCTTATTGAAGTCAAAAGGGACCTCATGAAAATTTCCTGATTCTCCTCCGCTTGGCTCCAGTCCTTATTCCCCAAGCCGTCTGCAGTCCTGCGATACATGTTCCACTCATTCGTGAATGCTGTCTGGGCCTTGAGTAGCATAGCCTGTTCTTCCACACTGTACGAAAACCATTCCTCAATCTCTTCCTCCAGGCAAGAAGCATCATCGTATGTGAAAGCGTACGGCGCAAGTTCGACCTTTGTCAAGTCTTTTGCAAGGCCTTGCAGCTGGGTGATTGAGAGAGGATCGGCGGTCTGATTGCCTCCCAACGAGCCTGGGGGAACAGGAGGAGGTAGATGTAGCGGCGCTGGTGTGGGCACTGAATTCCCTCGCTGCAGCCCTGGCCGGTTTGGTCCAGATATACCGGGGTCATTTCGCCCAGCGGATTGTGGAATGTTTCTATCGAAGAGGAGGCCTTGCTGTTCGGCGGTATCGAGGGGAGGATCGAGGACCTGTGACGGCTCTGCTTCAATAATAGGAGGATCGGACGTGCCCAGTCCTATTAGTTCGGCTTCGTCTACCACTGGCGGTACCAATGGGGCCTCAGGTATGTTGCTCATCGTTGATATCGTAATTCGCCCGTGGCGACGAGTGTATGGAGGAAATGCAGTGAGTTCACCATATTCGGTAAGGGTAGCTCACTATCGCTCCATGTCGCTAGGTCAAGAAAGATAGAGAGTATCGTGTGCCTGTGAATGAAGGCAGCGCATGGAGGGGCATATCGAACGAGGTGTGGTTGATGCCAAGAGTGAAATGGCTCGTGCAGGAGCTTTGACCATGCTCCTAAGACCATGTATCAGCCATACCCGCTCGAAGGGTGAACAGTGCAATATGGTACCTTAGTGTTTCCTCTCTTTGAACTGAGAAAGTCCATGGAGGGTCCCTAGCCTGAGCTACTCAGGACTCTCCGACCCTGGCCACCGTAATCACCAATATGTTCAAGGAGATGTTATATGTTCTATACTTTTGAATTCATTGCGTGTGTAGTAGAAGGAAATTGTCATTACACTTGGTTAAATCGTCACACTGAGCTTCTTAACCCTACTGAATATGTGCACTGAAAAGTCCTGGAAGAGCATGTGTATACTCCCAAGTCGTCTCGCGAATCCCTGCAAAGGCTACTTGCCCATTGCGCGACTGACCATAGTTGTTCTCCAATCCAGTGACTGGAAAAGACATCGTGAATAAAGAAACCACATCAATACCTGCCGAGCGAGTGCTAACACTGCTGGACTAAACGCCCGGAAAACAGCAAACAGACATCAAAGAGTATCAAGGAAAAAGAGGTGAGATCGCGTCAGTCGGTTCCGAAGGTCGTGCAACAAGCAAACATCCACGTCCGTCTTGTATAGAAATTGCGTCTTGAGAGAAAAGAACTCCTCGTGGTATAGGTAGAAGTCGACCACCTGGATAAAAATTCTACGCCTTATCGATTTCAATCAGAGTACCACCGCCCGAGGCGTTGATGCATAGTTGCTTAGCTCTGACCGTTCTGTTCGGCATTGTTTTCCCTCTCTTTAATCTCATCCGGTACTAATCCGGCGTTCTCGCATGTGCGCTTGTAGATGTGACATTCATCCCAAGCGCGCTGCATCTCAGCCTTGAACTTGTCGCAGCTAGCGCTCAGTTCAGTGATGGCTTGTTCGGTCAATAGCTTCTCGAGTGTCCATTTCTCAATGTTCTGCTGTTCGTTTTCTTTCAATTGTGTGATGAACTGCACTGCACGCTGTAGAATGGAACCTTTGTTCTTTTCACAGCCGGGTACGATCTTGGCAAGTTCGTTGATGCCTTCGTTGATCGTCTCACGGCGACGGCGTTCAACTAAAGTTGCGTTAGCGAGCCATGATCATGAAAAGAAAACATGAAGAACAAACCTTCTTTATGGTTATCCCTGCGTACTTTGTGCCATTCCTCAGAGCCAACAGGCGGCTTATGTCCGCTCGTGCTTGGAGGTGACTCGTTCGTGGCGGCTTGGCCAGATCGTGATGATTGAGTTGCGGCTTTAAGCGCCTCGAGGGTATAATCCTGCATGGAGGTACTTTGGCTTTGATGGTCGCCCAAGTTGAAAGATGACGAGTCTCCGGAAGAAGCTTGTGGTTGGAATGAGAGCTCGGTGGCTTGGGGTACTGTCATTTGGTGGTAAGCCAGAGCGGCGGCGGCCGTGTCTCCTACACTTGATGCGCCTGCACCCCCATTCTGGTGAAGATCGAACTGTTGCTGCATGTCGCCGTCGTTGGTTGACGCGTTGTGGGCCTGGAGAAAGGAGGCGGTCGCTTGATCGTCGGCGGATATAGTAGAGTTGGGGGCAGGAGGAGCTGCGCGGGCGTTTCCTGAATCCCGTGCGTCGCGCTTTCTTTTATTCGTGGCGTGGAGTGAATCGGTATGAGCGCCCAAGCTCGAAACAGCAGTATCGGCCATTTTCAACAGATCTTGCTTGTGCGATCGAAAATTGATCGAAACTTATTAAGAGAGGGGTTGTACGTCCGTGTGGAAGGGTATGATCCTTGGTCAACGGCTACTACGACGACCTGCGCAACACAAAGCTGGACGAACGGTGTCGTTGTATGTGTAGCTGCAACACAGCCTTGATAGTCCAGATGAATAGGCCCAGGTGGTGCGGGAGAAGCAGAAGCAGAGAAGTGTAGGGTTCAGGGTTGATTGCGCAAACGCTTAGGAAATGAGACAGCAGCGCGTCCAGTGCAAGATCAAGCGGGATCTAGGTCAAGTACAGCAGTGACACTCAAGCACCGATCGATGGATCGCGCAAAGGTCTAGGGCAGGGCAAAGTTAGCATGGGAATACAGGGCTACCAAGTCCCGTTCTGAGGAACGTAACGAGGCATGGAGCGGGGGAATCCGGAATCGCTGGATGTGCCGCTGGTCCATCGCTGTAAGACAGGCCTGTCGCCGCTCGGGAGAGAGATGCGACAGCCTTTGTATAGCTGTGCTGCGCATAGTGCGTCGCACTCGCTCCTTCATGAGGATAGGCGCGCGTTGAGGTATTGAGTGACAGGCCAGTCGAGCGCACAGGCGAACAGACAACAGGAAGAGCTATGGCACAAAGAAGAGACGCGAAAGGACACAACAAGAACCAGCGCGGGGATTCGGTGTAAGAGGGCTGGATGCTGTGCACCAGACGGCAGCTTCATGCAAGCTTGGGGAAGAGTTGTGAAGTGTTGAAGGGCGGGGAAACGAGATGGTGACACTTACGACAATGTTCTGGTGGTTGAGGGCGAGCAACCCCGTGACGACAAACAGTGGAGCTAGGTTCCGAGGTCAGCAGAGAGGCCCTCACGCGAAGAGGAGAACAACCAGGCAAAGGGGGAGAAGAAAGATGTAGCAAAAAGCATCAAGATGGTAGCAATAAGGAAGTAGAGCTTACCTGGTCAGATTTCAGTCTGAAAGAAAAGCGCAAGGCGATAGATTTTGGGTTTCCTTTAAGCAACGTAGAAGAGGGCGCGATTTCTCGTGACATGAGAGGGATGGTCGAAGAAGGAGCGATGGTCACGGGGGCGGGCGCACTTGCATTTATTACGTCTCGGCCTAATACATCAATATGGCTGGGTTGGCAGGCGCAGGAACTACGCTATACCGAAAGAGATTAGCGTGGGAGCGACAGATCGAATCACTTCACCATGCTCATCCACGGACGATCCAGCCAATCCAGCCAATCCAGGCAGTCCAGCCAATCCCACCCTCTCGTCGACGTCCCCACCCGCTCTCCTCTCCTCACTGCTCTCTCTCTGTATTCATCATCACCACACCCACCCGTCCATATCCAGCACCTTCATACCACACCACCATTATCAACACCCTATGCTCCAAACATGACCGAGCATCTAGACAACTTAGACTTCCTCCATACGCGTAAGATGTAAATGTAGCTCTGAGCTGACAAACGCTGCATTCACCAGGAGGAGGAGGACATGCTGCAGGCATGCTCACCTCCACCATGCCACATGCTGAGCTTACATAGAAATAGATACCATGTCTCTAATCTTTCCATCCACCTCTCCGGAGTACGGAGACTACACACAGATATTCTTGTTCCTATCTCACAACTATCTCTGAATCCAAAACTAATTCTACTTACCTAGTAAGTAAGCAAGCTGGTCACGTAACTGTTGTATAAACTCGACCTAGTCATGTATTACCGTCTTTGCTCGCCTTCGCCTAATATGGAAACACACGTCTTACCGTCTCTCTATTTGGATTGGAGGTTTCACTACCTCTCAAAATCACAAAACTACGCGTTTCCTATACATTAGCCATACAAACTCACTACATCGCTCAACTCTGCGTCGTTGCAACTTGTTCCGTTTGGTCGACTTACTCCATCGCTATCGGAATCATGCGCTCCCTCCTTGTCATCCCTGCGCGCTTCATACACAAAATCACGCGACACTCACTCTTGCACTCACATGGCAATAAATGCGCATCCAAGGCTTGCACCTAGTGTTGTTTTCAGGTCTGGCATGTGACCTCTTCACACCACTTCTCTGAACCATCAGCCACACGGTTACTAGGCGTGTTCGGTTCTCGCAGATCCCTTATCAAAATCGTCGCGGCGCTAAAAGACCTACCGATGCTCCGAACTACTCCACCTCCCCATCTTAGATGTTTACGTTTCACACGCATACTGCGTGGACGTATGGGGACATCTCCATATGCCCAAAGTAACCCTCCATACAGGGAGCTGTATTGTCGCTTCGCCACAGTCAACACACCATCATCCTAATTACTATTCCTCTTTTTGGGAACCCGCACTCTGTGCATGTGATCACTATGTATGTATGTATATACCTTAAGGCATATGTAGGTAGGTAGATATGCACGCATTGCATTGTTCGTCTTCCAGCATCAAAATCTGTCTCAAAGATAAAAGAAAAATGCCTCGTTAGTACAAGGTTACAATGCCTCCATGATGCCAGTCGACTAGGCTTCAGTTGGTGTCATGTTCGTGTCCTGGGAGGATCACATGCACAATTACCAAATGTCACCCAAGAACTCGTTTCATAACGTTATACCAAAGATATCCGTACATTCACGTTTTACCTCCCAGGGCCCTTACGCATCGGGGTTCCTCCCTTTAGAAATTATACCTGTACATTGCTGCACGCTCACGCCTCCAACATCACATCACAACGGGGACGATGTCGAGATGTCACAGCTCTCAACAAATTCAACCATTGTTCAGGGGCAATGTTTCATGTTTGACATTGATGTTGACATGTTACGCCCCAGGCTCGTGAAGACGGTCAAGTTTCCAATGTCATCATTCTTACGTCCCTTTAATAGTGCTTGTTGCGGCAGCAGAGTAGGAGCAGGATGTCTAGCTGAAAATTATAACCTACATCCTACAATTGTTTTTATTTCAACCTGTGTTATATGCTGGTCATTTGAAGCTTGTTTGTGCTATATGTTGCAATACACACTTGCGTCACTAATTATCTACGTACTTACATGCAAGGAAACAGAACCCAAAACTTGTAGCAAACTAGAAAGTCAATCATTGTAGAAGCTCTGTGAAAGACTCCGAAGCAATCAGATTGGATACATTAAAATAACATGCTCCAAATTCGCTACATTACAATGTAAGTGGTAATATATAAGGTCTCGTGCATGGCCAGTAAAGTGAGCCGGAGTGGTTCCATCCACACGTTTTTCGAATCTCCGATCAAGAGGGGTTCTTGATATAGTCCTCTCGAAAAATAAATGAAATTGCCCTGGATTATATCCATTAAAATATAAAAAAACGGCGGATAAGAATAATATATAACCATAAAGATCAGACTATAACATCTAATAAATGTTCGTTGTCAATAAACGTACTGGAATCGGAGACTATTCTATGAGTTCCAAAAGCTTCCACGCGACCGTGCGGAGACGCTAGGGTCTTGGCGGGCATCATGGGCGCGGAGAGGGACGAGGAAACACGACCAGCTTCCAATCCTGTTCAACCTCACTGAATAATACCAACAACCTCATTCTTCATATCACGATCTTACATCGCGCATTACGCGTAACTATATACCGAAAATCTTCGCTCAAGACCTTACAACACTTCTAAACATGACCACCGAACCCGTTCCGAATACCCAGGCATCTGCGCCGGGAGAGTCGAAGACCGCTCGCAAGAAGAAGGCCAAGGCTGAAGCTGCTGCTACAGCCATTCCCATCCTCGAGAAGACCGGTTCTGAGGCTGGAGCAGAGTCTTCCAACCCTGCTGGGAAAGTCAATGGCAGCGACGGAGAGCATGCCTACATCAAGGAGCTTCAGAAGTCAGTGATACCCAATGTTCTTCGTTCCTAGTTACGAGCCTCCTACTAATGTGCGAATCTAAAGGAACATCCGAAATGTTAACAAGAAGCTGGTAAGCGCAGACGAGATCACAATATCGTAGCTAGACTGACATACTTTCCTTCAGAACTTGATGCAGAAGGTCGACTCGATATTGGAGGCCAACGCCGGAGTGTCGCTCGAAGAACTCGTCGCTTCCCGCAAGATCAACGCCGACCAGAAAGCGCAAGCCCAGAAGAAGCCCATCCTCCAATCCCAGCTTGCCCAACTCGAGGAGCAGCTCGCACAGTACAAGAAGTTCGACCAGGAATACCAGCAGAAGATCTCGCAGGAGAAGGAGCTTCTGCAACAATCGCACGTATCTGAGTTGGAGAAGCTGCGAGCAACCTTCAAGGCTGAAGCTGAGATCGAGTCAAAGAAGGCGTTCAAGGAGAAGGCCCTCACATTGTCTCGTTTCTTGAGGGCCGCGGCTGCTCGACGCCAAATTCCAGACGATGACTCTGAACTCACAAAAGCTTTCGAGGGTGCTCTGTTGCAGGTTTATGGAGGTGATGCTGCAGCTGTTGCTGCTGTCGAGAAGCTTATTGATGGCACTTCGGACAACGTCCCATCCACAGAAGGTGTCATCCTCGATGTCACATGTGCGTATAACAATTGCTCAATTACAGCATATTGTGACTGACAATTGAACAGACAGCCAAGTCAAGCAGGCTGCATTAGATGAGGCTCCGTTCGCTGCTGAGGAAGCCTGGGTCGACAGCGTTGCAGCTGCTGGTTCCGAAGACCCACTCGCCTCTTCAACCGACCCCACTGTTGCTAACGCGGGATTGACAGAGGTCGACACCACTGCTGCTCCTCTCAGCGGAGGTGCTGAGGCCGATACCACCAGTGCTCCTCCAGCGGCCAGCATCGACACTGGAGCTGCAAATGCCGCAGCAGCAGAGCAATGGGACAAGCAGCCTTCGTCCTCGGATGATCCATTGGCAGAATCATTCGAGATAGTTCCCCGTGATCCAACGGAGACTGAGAACCCTGCTGCCCCAGCCCAGGTCAGCAGCGTTCAGAGCTGGGCTGACGACGCCCCTGAAGCAGCAGCAGCTACTGCTCCCGCGCCCGCCAACGACGGATTCTCAGAGGTCACCCACCACCGCGGTGGAAGGGGACGAGGTGGTTTCCAGGGCGAGCGCCATGGTTCCTTCCGGGGCCGAGGCGGTCCACGAGGTGATGGTGGACGTGGTCGCGGACGAGGCCGTGGTCGCGGTGAGTTCCGTGGAGGCCGGGGAGGTGGCTTCCGGGGAGGACGTGGAGGAGCTGCTAGCGGCGGCGGCGAGTCTCAGTAATTTCGAGACCGTCATCACTGCATTAGCTTCAGTAAAGATGGCTTCGTCAGTGGGGCACTTTTGTAGATTTCTTTCTACGTCCCACTTCCACCGCATACAGCATCTGGATTTAAAACTGAACAAAGGCATAACAAATACTGGGGGACCAATTTCTTTGTACAGCCTGATGTAACTTCTTTTTCTGCATAGCATTGGAGCCTTGGGTTCCTTGGGATGGGAAATGGCAGCATGGCTACTGGGGATACGGCTGGAATAAAAAAAGTAAATGGCTTGTATCAACAATCTCTCGCATCCTCTTCTCATGTTTCGTGATCGCATCTCTACTGCTTCAACTTGAAGCTCATCGCCGTGACCTCCGGCTGATCCACAGTCGACCAGGCGTGACCATCTCGTATCGATAAAGTAGTCACCTTCCGTCGAATCGACCTCCGGCACCCGACAGGCGTCGCGCAGGCTGCGTCTCTCAACGCTGCCCAGTGTTAGCTCCCGTCATGCATCAACGCTAGCCTGTAGTCAGGAACAACGTTTTCCAGCCCACTCTCTCCCTGGCCTCACGGCTGCGGCCTTTTATCCACGGCGCCGGTAGAGCACCGGAGCACTCAGGGGTTCGGGCCTGGGTACACGCATACAACACTGCACATCTAAAGGGCCGCTGCAGCGGAGATGGGCACAGGCATCTCATAGCTTCGCCCGATGACGAAAGAAAAGCGTTGGCCCCGGCGTTCGCTCGCCCGCTCGTTCCTGCAGGTCGATCCGGAGGATTGGTTGCGGGTGCGGGTGGGTGGTCGTGTCGCTCGCTCGGTCAGATAACCGAGGGGGGTTTGAGTTGTGGAGAGGGTACGTACGTAGATCGGAGGAACGTGGCGGTCTGCGTCAACGCAGTGGCGTGGTGGCAGGGCTTGAAAGCAACGCACTGCATCGGTATTTCTGTTGCTCTTGGATACCGGGCGAGTGTTTTCTATGAGCTGTTTTTGTGAGGTTTTTTGATTGTGGGGAGTTCGTCGGAGTGTGTGCTGTTCGGATGGTGAGTGGCCATGGAGATGTCGACCAACAGTGCCAAAGTATGCTTGATCTATTGTTCAACGCAAGCGCACAACATCCTCAGTATATTTTCTATGCTCTAAAGTTGGTTACAACGAAATCAAAATGATGGCTTGGTGCATGTTGGGTGCGTTGCGCTGAGATGATGTCGGTGGCAATCGTCGTAGCACGACATCTGCGAACGCAAGTCAGGTCAACACAACTCAGCAGTAGTCAAGGCTTGTTTAGGTTAAACTTATTGACATATCTTGTGTTGTTCTAAAGAAGCTTTTTGCGCCGGCAGGCTAAAGTGACTTCATTGAGGTTTCATCTGTTTAGATGTTTGGAAACGCCGGAGCTGGGCAACCCCCATGTTCGTGGCATTTCCAAGACAAAAGAATAAGTACATCAATCTGCGAGTTTAGTTTGAATGATAACGAGATGAAGGCGTGGACTTTTCACTGGCAAAGTTGGGGATGAAGGGTGGACAGATGATCTGATAAGATATAAGTTGGCAGATCTAAATGTGGCTTCTGATGACGTGCATAGTGCGAACACAACTGAATGTCTCCAAAATTGGTCCAATGAGCATATTGGCGCAAAATATATGCTGTTTTGAGTTCCGCAAGATGCTAGCGATCCAACTCACATTAAACAGACAACCTCCCGGCCTTTCTTAAGGGAGAAATACAGGATCAATAAATTGCGTCCTCGACCACCGTTTCCTCTCCCGCCCCGGCATGTCAGGCCACTAACGTTCGAGCGATCGATTAGGATTTAGCGCCATCCTTGGCACGCTCGAACCTCCCCTACCTGAACGTGCTCTCCTGGACATTCCAGGCCTCTCGTCCTCATTCAACGGCCTCTTTATTTGTGCGAGAACCTTTATTTACACTTCAAAACGCATGCGCCGCGACTAGGAGCCTGTGGTGCTGCTGTATTCTTCCGTCGACGTCGCCGTGGCGAGGAAGGGCGGATGCTACTCTCGGACCTCTCTCGAGCGACCTGCTAGATCCCCTCGTGCGCAACACCTACTACAACGACCGCAACGACGCTGCGAGAAGCCTCCTTCAGTATGGAGGACCCGGTAGCTGTGCTCCCCTCTGTGGAGCCAGCGAATAACCCCCTCGACGATCCCACGAACTCGAAGCCCGCACTTACGCCGCCCACGAGCGAAGACTTGGACAAGAGGGATGAGAGACTATCATCAGAGCTCTCAGAGCTGGATAGCGACGAAGAATTTGGAGAAATTGAGCCAGATCACTATTTCGAGGGTGGGAAAATACCAGTGTTCAAGCCGGTAGGTTGCGCCGCCCTGCAGCGAATTCCCTGCACTAGCCGGGAAATTCCTCACGATGCAGGGAGAGGGAACCCATAAGTCAGGAAATATTGATCGCTGACCCTGCGCTTGCGCAGACAATGGAACAGTTTCGAGATTTCAAGAGGTTCGTTGATAAAGTCGATAAGTATGGAATGAAATCCGGCATCGTCAAGGTCATTCCGCCGAAAGAATGGTAAGGACCCTGCAACTCTGTAGAACGATGTGTTACAGCAGGCTCATCTGTTTAATGCAGGCGCCAATCTCTTCCCGATCTCTCTGAGTCGGTCAAGTCAATCAAGGTCAAAAATCCGATCATGCAAGAATTTGCTGGCCAACACGGCATCTATACTCAGGCAAATATTGAAAAACAGCGGTCATATAATCTTCCAGAGTGGAAGAACTTGACTCTTGAGCCTCATCATCAGCCACCTGCGAAGCGAGGCGAGCGACGGAAAGCTGCCGCAGAGGCCGCCGCACCTACTCGCACACGATCTACCAGAGCTCAGGCCTCGGCACCGCCCGCTGACAACTCCACTCCACCACCAAAGCGCAAACCTGGACGACCACGCCGCCGACCAATCAAGGTAGAGAAAGACGACAATGCCGATGACGAAGATGCTATCGAGGTACCTCCAACCCCAAAATCTCCTGGTAAAGATGAACCGGAGAAGGAGAAAAGATCATCTCGAACCCGCGTCAAGAAGGAGGAACCGGAGGCCTCGACACCTACCAAGCCAAAGGGTCGCCAGCCAAGATCAACTGCTTCACGCAGGATGAATAATCGTAATGTTCTGTCTGATTATATTGATGAGAAGGCGTTCGAGAACTTCGATTACCATCTTGCCGGTCTTGACGAGTATTCGGTCGAGCGATGCAAGGAACTCGAAGAAAACTACTGGAGGACCATCAACTACGGCCAACCGATGTATGGAGCGGATATGCCAGGCTCTCTATTCAACGACGAAACAACAAGTTGGAACGTAGCTAAGCTTCCCAACCTTCTAGATGTCCTTGGTACCAAGGTTCCAGGTGTCAATACTGCCTATCTTTATCTAGGAATGTGGAAGGCTACTTTCGCATGGCATCTTGAGGATGTAGATCTCTACAGCATTAACTACATCCACTTCGGCGCACCTAAACAGTGGTACAGCATCTCGCAAGAGGACGCTCGACGATTTGAGGCTGCCATGAAAAGTATATGGCCCCGAGATGCGAAGAACTGCTCACAATTCCTTCGACACAAAACATATCTCATCTCGCCTCAGCAACTTGAGAGACAGTTCAACATTAAAGTCAATCGTTTGGTCCATTACGAAGGAGAATTTGTCATCACTTATCCGTACGGCTACCACTCAGGATACAACATTGGCTATAATTGTGCCGAGTCTGTCAATTTCGCCAATGAATCTTGGCTCAGCTACGGAAGGATCGCTAAGAAATGCGAGTGCGAATCTGATAGTGTCTGGGTGGATGTCAACGAGATCGAACGCAAGTTGAGAGGCGAGCCGACTCCAGAATACTACGAAGAGACTGACGACGAGGATGATGTACCCGATCATCTGCCTAGCCCTCCACCAAGTGTTGCTGGGAAAGCGAAGGGCAAGCCGGGCCGCAAACCTGGCAATAAGAGGAAACGAGCCAACGAGGAACCAAAGGAGGCACCCAAAGCAAAGAAGGTTAGACGTATTCGAATCCGCATCAAGGTTCCCGGCCGTGGCCAGCCTTGTTGTCTGTGTCCCAATGACGTTGACTACGACGAGCTACTGCAGACTGACAACGGGCTGCAAGCACATAGACTGTGCGCGGACTATACACCGGAAACCTTTATTACTTCAAAGCCTAACGAGAAAGTGTGCAACGTTGCCAACATTGGCAAAGATCGCTTAGATCTCAAGTGCAACTACTGCCGCTCTAAGCGTGGAGCTGTCTTCCAGTGCTCTCAGAAGAAGTGCACGCGTGCCTTCCACGCTACTTGTGCAGCAGCCGCGGGCGTACAAGTGGATTTGGGCCCAATGCCAACTTTTGACGAAGAGGGAACCGAGTATTTCTATGACGGGTACGACTTCAGGTGTCGCTTCCATCGTCCGAAGAAGAGGAATGCCAAGAAGGTTACCTCCGACACGCTTGATAACGACAAGTTCATTATGAATTACGCAAGAAATTTGAAACCCAAGGATGTGGTACAGTTCCAGTATGTCGACGCTGAACTGTACCAGATCTATGGAGGGCAGGTCATTGAGAACCGACCGGGAGAAGCTACTGTGCTTGTTGAGGTGCTTCCGGATGGGTAAGTCAAATTTTAAAATGCCATGAGCTTATGGTGCTGATGTCGTCGTAGGGATCGTGTGGAAATCGAGTGGAAATATCTCCTTGCCCTGGACCCGGTTGATTCGGAGCGACCTAAACCCTCTGCGAATGCTAAGCCTCTACCTGAGCATTTGAAGGAGAACGACGCTTCTTTGGCCATTACTAACAGGACGGACGGTGTTCCGCAAATAGGTGATGCCTTCCAGGACCCCAACTTGGAACAGAAATGGGCGGAGTTCCACACGGCTCCAGAAGTAACGCAAAAGGTCGCTAAAGTAGACTTGGGCAAACCCAATCAACTGTGGCACTACCTTGGGAAGACGTCCACTGAGGCTAGGCCGCAGTACACCGAGGATCTTGCAAAACCGAAGCACAATTCAAAGAGCAACTTCCTTGATACTGTCAAGCCGCCTCCAGCACCTGTTGCGTACATCGCACGGCAATCATATCCAGCGTCATATCCAATGCAATACCCGCTCAAGGCGGCGCCCATTGCCATGCCACCCAGGACACCAATACAAACGAGACCAGGTGAGAAGGCTTACCAATACAAGCCGAAGGGTGAGCCATCATACAGGCCATCAACCAGCTACAATTATTCGCCAGATACTCGCAAGAATCCGCACTCCCCCGTAGCACATCAGCCCAACGTGGTATATGACCATCGCGCATCGGCTCCTCATTATGGTTATTCGGGATACCCCCCGGCGCCACAACCACAACAGTACCAGCAGCCGGTACATTTCCATCAGTATATCCCGCCGCAGGCTTCGAACAATTGGAAACCATCAACATCCACGCAGCCACCGCTCCAAGGCATTGAGCAGTATGCGCGACCCGGACAGCCTCTGCCCCCATATCCATTTCAGCAACCACCGCCATCTAGTAATGCTAGACCACCTCCATCTTATCCTTATCATCAACAGTACCATCAGCCGCCTGGAAACACTCCATTGGGGGCGCCAGCTCCTTTGCCCAAGGATAATCGCCAAGTGAAAACAGCAGCAACGAATGCGCATGCACCGACTTATCCAGCAGGGTCTGCTCAAAATCCAATGTACGCACAATCCCCCTTGTCTCCAACCGAGTATATTGCCTACGTCTCGAAGTACCCCTATCTTAGAAATGCATTTTTAAGGAGAGCAAAAACTTACATTTCTCCTTATAGCGCAAACGGCGGGTTCACGCCCCAGTGGATGCCCAGGCCCCAGTCAACGAACGCACCAGTCGCAGATTCAAGCAAAGGATCCATTCCGGGAGGCGCTCCTGCGGGGCCATCGACGACGCGACCCCCGGCTCAATTCCAATCCGCTGATGCGTTTCAGCGTGATATGGCCAACGCACCAGCTACTACAAATAGATACCCACGATGGGAAGAAATGATGAAGCAACTTGCGACCTCAAAGGTACCGACGTCTCAGCCAGCGTCTACACCGGTTGCGACGTCAGCCCTATCGACACAACCGTCTCTAGCCCCTGCTCCAATAATTTCGAGCTCGTCGGCAAAGGCAAAACAGAATCCAGACCAACCCCCTCCGGGACAAGGCCCGAGCAATCAAACGCAATCTCTCGGTGTTGAGAGCCATACGCCTCCCAAATCACCAGCAGCTGAACCTGACAAAGCAACTCCAGCTGAAGGAGGCGAGCAGAAAATTGCATTAGGGGAAGCCGCACAGCCTGCAGCTCCTGGAAGTCCCAATCGCCCGGTGTATAGTCCAATCAGCGACAACGGTGCACCAGCGACTGACGACGCGCCTGCATTGCCAGCGCCATCCATTCACTCTGGAGAAACATGGCGATATTCCTAAGAACATCGATACTAGGGTTGGATGACTTTACTGTTTCAGTTTTCCCTTCTTTTAATGTGTTAATTCGCGGCGTCGGACCGGGATAGTTTAATTCAAGATTATATCCCTAAACTTGCAATCGCAACGGGGAAAGCGTTTCGGATTATGGGCAATGACTTAGGATAATCAGATGACTTTTTACGTGGAGGCCGCCAGATTAGGATTTATGACCAGCCACTATCTATCTAATAAAAGCAGCTTTGAAGACGTGCTTTAACAGGTTGTAATCAACATTCATCTTAATACCACTGCAATCTTGAGTGATAAGTAGTACGAGTCACATAAATGGAGCGGAATGGACTTGAACTCGACTGGACCAACCAGCAACGGAGCCATTCAGATGACGGTCAATGCTCCACTATTGCAGCAACCCGGCCCGCGCTACCAATAATGCGCTTCGGTTTGCACCACCCCGAGCCCTTCATACCCCCATCATGCCCCCCGCAAAAGGCGGGTGACTTGCCCTAAAATCAAGCGTTTATCCCAACATAGGCCACTAGCTACTGCTGAGACAAAGATGTCGGCTATAGCTTCTTCGCCAGCCCCAGGTTCTCCTGCTTCTTTCCACCCTCGTTCTTCCGTCTTCAACATCGTCAATTCCTGTACCAAAACGAACAGGAAATAGTGTTTTGCATTCCAGCTTCGGCTTTGGAAGTTTCATTGTAACTCCTTGACATCATGGCTAAAGTTTTTGACTATGCAGAAGGTCAGTAGCTGCGTTTCCGGTGTAGCTCCACCTCAATTGCTAACCTTCGACTGCAGTTGCAAAGCACAACACTGCCGAGAGCTGTTGGGTTGTGTTGTACGGCAACGTGTACGACGTGACAGAATTTATTCCGGAACATCCTGGCGGTTCGAAAGTCATCCTCCAGCTCGCCGGCACCGATGCCACAGACGAATACGACCCCATACACCCGCCCGGTATCCTCGAGGAGAACCTCAAGCCCGAGAACAAGCTTGGGACGGTCAATCCAGATACTTTGCCCACGGAGGAGAAGTCGCCTGTGCAGGCAGGCGAGGTGGCGCAGGAAGGACCTGTGGATTTGGACACCCTGTTGAACCTAGACGAGATCGAGGAAGTCGCTACCAAACAGATCAGTCACAAGACTTGGGCATACTATTACTCCGCTAGTGATGATCTGGCATCGAAGAGCTTCAACAATCGCGTTTACAGGCAGATCCTGCTGCGGCCTCGGATGTTCGTCGATTGCACCAATTGTGATACTTCGACCTCGTTCCTTGGGCATAATGTCAAGCTTCCGATCTACGTGTCGCCTGCCGCCATGGCTCGATTGGCACATCCGGATGGGGAACATGGCATTGCACAGGCGTGCGAACAGTACGGTGCCATGCATGTTATCTCTCAGAACGCATCCATGACCCCGGAACAGATTGTGGCAGATGCAAAGCCTGGCCAGGTCTTCGGATGGCAATTGTATGTCCAGAATGAGCGGTCGAAGAGCGAGGCCATGTTGGCGCGGATAAATAAGCTCAAGGCAGTCAAATTCATCTGTTTGACGCTCGATGCGCCCGTGCCGGGGAAGCGCGAGGAAGACGAACGAAGCAAAAACATATCTGCAAATCTCCCAAGTACTGGTGCAAAGACCGGACAGAAGCCCATGGGCCTTGGGCAAAGTCTGTTCTGGGGCACAGCAGCCGATTTGACGTGGAAGACGACTCTCCCTTGGCTAGCGGAGCACACCGACTTACCCATTGTCTTGAAGGGCATTCAAACTCACGAGGATGCTTATCTAGCAAGCTTACACGCGCCGCAAGTCAAGGGAGTTATTCTCTCGAATCATGGTGGGCGTGCACTGGATACCGCGCCTCCTGCCGTGCATACTCTATTGGAGATCAGGAAATATTGCCCTGAAGTATTCGACCGAATCGAGGTCTGGGTAGATGGAGGTATCAAACGAGGAACAGATATAGTCAAAGCACTCTGCTTAGGGGCACGAGGTGTGGGGATTGGCCGCGCTGCTCTCTTTGGGCTCGGAGCAGGTGGAACACCAGGTGTAAAGCGCGTTCTTGAAAGTGAGTTACTCCCTTCTCCCATCAGTCTGAAGACTGTCCCTCCGGATAAATGAGACGATTTGACATATACATGAAATACATGCTAACAACACCGCTGTAGTTCTCAAAGCTGAAACCGAGACTTGTATGCGACTTCTAGGAGCACAGAAGATTTCAGATCTCGGCCCGCAATTCGTAGGTCTTTCCCATTTAGGTCTCCCCTTGGAGATCACCGTTGAGCTAACATTCGACAGATCAATACGCGCGTGGTGGAACGAGACATTTACGACGGTCCCGACGGCTTAGAAAGACCGAGTTTGTGGTCAATGGCCAAAGCTAAGTTGTAACAAGATAAGGATCAAAGTCATGCGCTTTTGTATAATGAGTAGAGAAATACGAATTTTGAACTATGAATAAACAGAATCACAGAGAAGGGAACAACCATGCTTAATGAGCAGCTTACTCGACCAGATCCGAGTTTCACGGGAAGATGCTGTTTTCTTGCATAATGCGTCATGCCATGGGAAAGTGGGTACAGTGGGGAAAGCGAAGAAAGTTTCAAAGAACATGAAACAAATTCCAGGGTCATCCGAGAAACTCTGGAAGATGTGAAAGAACCAGCATAACGCCTTGTCCGATTATCTCAAGGTCCACTATCTGGTCCATTTATAGAGTCGTGGGGATGATGCTGGTCAAGCATGGCCTGTCCTCGCACAAATTGGGCTGGGTTGGTTGACTCCAACGGTGGTTTACGTCGTTTCATCAAATCAAACATCAGCCCTACCCACCACTGCAACGCAGCGCTCAGAGTCGAACAAACTTGCAGCATTCCACGTGCGACCTTGCCTCTTCAGGTTGGCATGAAAGGTAGAGTTGGTCAATTATATCTCTCGTCCTATAGTGATGAGTTCACTGGGAGCGTGCTGTGTCTGTTGGCTTCGTATCGATCCACGATAGCTTGCTCCTGCTATGCTACGTCATCCAAATACGGCTGTCCGATCTTACCCCTTTTGGAATGTTGTCGTATGCAGAAGAACATTGAAGGGTTGGGGGATTGTCTCTTGACAGCAGTTGATTCGCACGTGCGATCCAGCTTCAGCGAATGGCTTGTGAAGACTCCAACACATCAAGCTGAGCTACCCTACCATTTCTCGCAAGACGCTGGAAAGGGGAAGCGATGACGGCTATGGCCGGCCCCTGTATCGTGTGGAGTGGAATTTCGAAGGACCGCCATGGTGGTGACGGACGGCAGACGGCCCACGCCAGTACGTTTACGCCTCGCGTGCCTGAATTGTCCGGAGCAATCACATCCGTACGTTTCCCTTCGCAATCCTTGTAGTGTGGTCGTGTGAAAGATTAGCGAACTGGGGTCCCCTCTATGACCCTCGCCCGCCAGACAACGTCACTCTCCCGGCTGGTCCTTCCGTGCCCTGAGAAACCGCAACAGGCTACAGCCCAAATGAATCTTACGATGATAGCTCTATATGAAGCAGTATCGACCTCGTCAGTGGTCAGGAGACCCTAGGTGACTGCCCGCATTGGTCTCTGAATGGCCTTTGGCCCACATTTAGAAAAAGTGCACGTCAGAAGCAGTCGGGCAGCCTGAAGTGTAGTTGGATGCCACAACTGTGAGGTGATACCAGGACAGAAAAGCCCATCTCTTCATGTGAATGGGCTCTTGATGGATAATGCTGCGATGAGACAATGAAAGGCCGCCGAAGTTAATCTCCGACTGTCTCTCTTCTAGCGAACAAGGCACGATGTAATCAGGATGCTATGCTCTCCAGTGGCCCGTTGCGTGCTTTTCTCCGTGGCTGAGTCGCTTCACTATTCTCTCAGTCCTAATTAGGAGTCTACCTATGTTGGTCGAAATATATAAAGAGGGGACATTCGGGCCTGTGAGAGGGGTCGTGTTTGTGTTATCGATCATCTACGACTGCATTACCCCGTCTCAGGCAGACATAAATATATATATCTTCCTACTTTTCTTCCACCCAACCAGGATTCCTTCTTGTCGCAACACCGAAATCTTTGGAAAGCACCCTCGACCATTTATTTCCCCTTTGCCTAAAATACGCACATTCTGCGAACAAGACGTCCCTACCTTCTCTGCATTTACTTTGCGCCAACTCTTCCGATCTATCCGCAGCGAGCAGCGAGCCAAGTCAACCAGCCAACCACAGGATGCAGTGTCCGACCTGCCATGGGTCAGGTTCAACCAAGTGCGACAATTGCAATGGCACCAGCTGTAGGGAATGCAAGGGAGGACAGCAGATATGTCATGTCTGCGAAGGAGCCGGGGCAATCAATACGGACTGATGGGCAGTGCTGCTGCTATTATTGCTTCCATCGGACCGCAGCGCAGCAAGTATTCTCGAACGACCAGCCGTCTTCTATGTTACCTGCACGCCGGTACGGTACGCAGGATTGGAAAGGAATCTGGGGATGCGAGCTAGCCTTGCCAGGATATTCCAGGTAACGTACGTATTGCCCTGCTACGTGCTGCGCCTTCTCAGATGTCATTTCCTCCTGAACCAGAGCACGATTGAGTTGATTCCTTCGGAAAGTGCACAATCGTTCTGCGTTTTTGGTAGTTGGGCCGTGGTTGAGCCACGATATCTATCGACGTGCCAGCCACACTTTGACAATCCGTCCACGAACGGAAGGGGGAAACGCGCGCCCCCTTTTATTCTTCTGCTTACGACGAATACGCTGAGCGAAGTGCGTGCTGACTTGAGCAGATTGAGATTCACGTTTCACAACTTTTTCTGGGCCTCTTTCTCTCTCCCTCGTTATCACGACCTGCCTTATCACGCGCGATAAGGAGCAGCGCTGGGACGCCTGCGTGATCCCTGGTACATTTTGATGATTTGCATGCGCGGGTGCAGATCACGTGGAATGAAACACGATCGAATTTCCGAGATGTCGCCGTTAACCCACGTTTCGAAAAAGACGGTCATTGCTGGCTGGCAATTGGTCGGTTGGAACCCCTAACCTTCCAATTTACATGGACAATTTCGTTACACGCATTTCGCGAGGATTTCCGGGATTCGAGGGGACGGGGGGCTGGTGTTTGGTATGAACGTCGGTCGGGTCGGGGTTGGATGGCTGTCGTGTTTTCTTTTGATCACCCTTCCACGTATGCTATCTTTGTTTTTTGCTTTTTCGTTTTGTTGCTTTTTATTTCATGAGCGTGTGACCCCTGCTTGTTTTTTGTTCTTTTTCTCCATCATGATGGTCTCTCGTTCTACATATCTGCATCTTTGCCCAGCGTTTCTGCACGATACCAAAGGAGGATTTTCATTACTACAGGCGCGCTTTTGGAGTTATCACAGCATTATGTTTGATTTGTTCTGTCTGATCTTTCAGATATTTCTTTCTCTTGAAAATGAGACTTTTTGACCCTCTCTCAAGTTCTACAGAACATGACGTAATTTCTACTGATGCTGTTGGAGAACATGGGATATATAATCCTCATGTAATCCTTCGTGACCTTACCTAACACCCCAATACGAGCCCTCGTGACTAAGATCATTCCGACCCAATGGAGGATACGACCTCTCGTTGTGCATAAGTATAATGCATACAGGTAAGTATTGACAGGCTCACCTCTTTTCGTTATCCGAATGTAATGCATTGATTGATTAGTTATGCCGAACCCGTATATCCTCATGTGCTAACTACAACAAGATCGAAACGAAACAACGCAGTAGAAGCCGACCAGCGAGGGAAATACTAACTGGTCAATATGTAAACTAGACAGTCTCTCTCGTTTCTTTGCTCCTGGGAAAGGTGCCTAAGCATAAATATGGATGATATGTAGATCCGGGGTGCAAAAGTGAGTAAGTATAGTAGTATGTAATCTTCAAATATGCTTGTGCATAAAGCTGTAGTAGGTGCGGCTGATACAACATATGTATAATAACTACAAATCCATGGTGAATCTCCAACCAAAATGCGGTTAGGCCCACCCCACACTCGCCACAATCTTCTTTCCAAGCTATCATCTGTATCAAATATTCAATTTCCAACAAAAATAACGTCCATCTGAATAACCCTTAGCAGAACCCTCCTTCCTCCAGTGCCAAGAAATAGCAAAAAAAGAGAAGTAAAAATCACAAAAAACTTCCGCTACCGGAATTCGAATCCGGGCCGTCTGAGAACTTTCACTTTCATGAAAGCCAGAAATCCTAACCACTGGACCATAGCGGATGTATTTCCTATTAGGATGATTGGTTTTGATTACAAAGCAAAGGAATTACATATTATATATACCCGTTCAATTATGTGACTGGGAAAGAAGAAGAAGAAGAAGAAGAAGAAGAAGAAGATTGGGGGTTTGTTTGTTTGTTTGCGGAGAAAGCACGGACGTGGTGGGTGACTAGTACGATCTGGAGTGCGAAAATACAGAACTGTCAAGTACGCTGACCGTTTGATATTTGATTATCATATGCACGATAGAATAGAAAGGCCCGCATCGGACTAAGAAAAACTTTATATAGAATCATCATGGGTCGGAATCTGCTTCTTCATGCATATCAGGGCATGATCGCATATGGCAATAAAGTGAACGAATGGACGGATTGGCCTAGGGACTTTTAGATTAGAAGTTTGATAAATGCCATCTCTGTCTTGATACAAGGAAATCCTGCAACGAGACACCTATTGTAGCTCATATTTTATGACTCCTCGCACATATTAAATGATCTTCAGCTGTAGACCTGTTTCTTCATGGTGTCGTTATACCTAGAGAACACTCAATGTGATACAGAAATGCTGACTATATTAGCCAATTACTTATATCGTCTGACTATACTAGAATGTACTTTTTATACAGATACTAACTTAAAAGAAGGAACAGCATAACGTCATATTCCACTCCGGCCTGGCGCACACGGAGCAAAGTCCTTAAAGTCTATATTCTTGACAACCCCAGCAACTGCAAGACTCCAGTTATCAGCAACAACATCCGAAATGTCCTGATCAATTCTTGACTCTTGTTCAGAAGTATTAATAAATCCTGCAAGAGCCGAACTGTTGTTCGTTGCGTAGACGCCCTTGATCTTCTGGCCTGTGCGCTCATGGACTGTTTGAGACAGTGCTTCCTCACACAGCTCTCTCAAGATGTTGTTCGCGTCTTGTTGTCGTCCAAGTTCCTGAAAGACCTCCTGTCTACTATGTTCAAGCTCCGCGCTCGACTGCGCCTTGAGGCTCAACTTACTGCTAGTACCCACTGTAAGTTGCTCTATGGTGCTTTGTATCTCGTTTGCCTCAGCATCTGCTTGCACGACCTGCTCTCGGATAACAACTTCGTTCTGCCGAAGCATCATATCCCTGAGCTCTTTCATTAGATTCTCCTGGCGGGCGGTGGTAATGCTGCTGTATGTTAGAAAGATGCAGCCTGGGTTTATGGATTTGAGTTAAGTACATTGTCGCTGTTGAGAGTGCTACGCTGAGAGTGGCCTTGTAGGCACTCAACTGGCCCTTAAATGTATTGATCCGCTCGAGGCCAAACAGTGCAACCTTCCATCTGTCTACCCAGAACATTTTGTCCCCTGTAGAACGCCTCATCCAGTGTTCTACTTGCAACTGAAACGCGTTGCATCCTTTCTTGCAATTTTTAACAGCGAACTGGATCTGTTCATTCAGAACGATCTGCGAAGAATTGTTTTGCATTGCTCCGGCAAGACTTTGTAGTACAGGCTGGATTGTCCGAAGGTCATTGCTGATGCTCAAGACAATGACTGGAGCCTCTCTAATATTCTCGATGGTCTGCACGAGGAGTTGGACACTCTTGAGGGTAGCCATGGTGACGCCAGCTATAGAGGCAGGAATGCTGAGAGGGTCCATGGCATCAAGAACAATTTTGTTCAGAACGCCGAAAAAACAGAAGCTACGAGAGAGTGAATAAGGGGCGACAAGGTGCATTGAGTATTAAACAAGAACTAGGCAACTGATGCAGCTGCAGTCAAGGGTGCACATCCAATCATTTCATCTAGGGTAAATGGAAGATGGCTGCAGCCTGAGAGGATGTCAGCTTCGAGGCTGTACAATACCAAGGAAGCCTTCACGCAGCATTTTTCAATGATCTTGATGAGAAACACCTTGAATATCGTTTTCTTAACCGGATTAAAAACAATTCGCCGCATGTTAAAAAAGATTATGTGTTAGCGATACAACATCATAGTAGTGCTGCTGTCTATAATGGCTGGCAATGCTTTACCTCACTCACTCAACATTCATGGAATATCTGCAACCGATGGCGCCCAAATATTTGCTGGTATCAACCTTGGAACCGTAAATTACGCTCCTAGTAAGAAAGAATCATGTTAGTATATATCGCTGTGGCCTCTGCGATGACGCCAATTGATTATCAGTAGCCCTGAACGAGGTGCTTGACACTCTGCCGGTCGCCAAAGATGCGCCATTCAACTCATATCAGCGACAACATGAACCAACATGCCTGCCTGATACCCGCGTCGACCTCCTCCGCGAGATACACGACTGGGCAGACGACGAAGACTCTCCGGGCATCTTCTGGCTGAGCGGTCTAGCTGGCACTGGCAAATCCACAATAGCGCAAACAGTTGCCGAACACTATCACGAAGAGGGCCAACTTGCCGCGAGCTTCTTCTTCTCACGGGCAGGCGGGGACATTAACCACGCAGGAAAGTTCATGACAAGTATTGCGTCCCAGATAGCAAACAGCATACCAGATCTAAGGCACAAAGTCTGTGATGCCATATCAAAGCACAGGCATATTGCAAGCCTGTCTATCGCCCACCAATGGCGAGAGCTTGTGTTTGATCCAATTTCAACTATTCAGAATCAGGAGCACAGTTCAAGTTATATTGTTGTGGTTGATGCTCTTGATGAGTGTGCAGGTCAAGATGATGTTCATGTCATTCTTCAACGTCTGGCAGAAGTGCAGTCACTGAGACATACTCGGCTGCGCGTCCTTTTAACGAGCAGGCCTGAGATTCCTATCCAATACGGTTTCACTCAAATACGAAAAGACAGATACCAAGATTTCATCCTTCATGAAATTCAACCCGCCGTTATCGAGCACGATATTTCAGTGTTCTTGAGACATGAGCTTGGCCAAATCATACGCAAACATGGGGTCGGGATCGAGTGGCCCAACGAGACAGCTATTGCACGTCTATCAAAAAACTCAGGTGGCCTGTTTATCTGGGCTGCGACCGCCTTGCGATTCGTGGATGAAGACAGCCAGCTTGTAGAGACACGACTACATTCGCTTATCAATCAAGAAGGCAGCGACATACTTCCTCCGGAACGCAAGCTGGATGAGATATATACCACTGTCCTCGCCAGCTCTTTCCATGGAAATCATAACGAGGAAGAAATCCAAGCACTGCGTCGCCTTTTCCGTCAAGTTGTTGGGTCCATTGTTATACTGCAAGATTCATTATCAGTGGATCAGCTTGCAGAACTTCTTGGGATAGACAGTGCGGTTGTAAGAAAAACTTTGGCCAGATTACATTCGGTCCTTCATGTGCCAGCAAGCGAGACAGGATCTATTCAGCTACTCCATCCATCCTTCCGCGACTTCCTTTTAGATCAGGGGAGATGCTCAGAGCTTGATTTCTACATTGATGAGCGACTTGTCCATAGCGAAATGGCCGAGCACTGTGTCCGATCAATGTCGAAGCATCTACACCGCGATATGTGCAATCTCCAGGATCCGGGAATTCTTATAGCGGATTTGGGCTGGTTTGACATAGATCAATACGTCCAGCCGCATCTACAGTACGCGTGCCGTTTTTGGGTCCATCATTTAAGGCGGAGCGATGTAGACATCAACAAATGCTCTGACGTTGGAACGCTCCTCCAAAAACACTTTCTTCATTGGCTTGAGACACTGACGCTGCTCAACTGTGGATCTGATGCCGTACATATGATTCGCATGTTGAATAAAATGTTTTCCGTAAGTAATCGATCTATCTTCGCCAGACCTTCATAGCTGACCTGCCAGAATAAGCAAGAGTCAGATGTTCGGGAGAGACCGAAGCCTCGAGATTGGATCAAGCACACCTTTCTGACAAGCCTGAATACTAGGACCAACAGCATAAGGCGACTAAGTCTACAAGCTCTGATCCAGGATGCCGTACGTTTTGCTGCAGCATTTCGACCAATAATTGAGGAGGCACCACTTCAATTGTACTACGCTGGCCTGGCATTCAGTCCGAGGGCAAGTTTAATCAAGGAGATATTCTCGAACGAAGCTACTGTCCGACGTTTCTCCCTCCCTCTAGACAAGACTGGAGACTGGAGCTCTTATTTGCATAAGGTCAAGGGCTGTGACCCCCAGGCCAGCTCTGTCCCCGTTATGCCAGACAGGAAGCCGCTGGTGTCCGGGTTTCGTGACATGAGAGTGAGGCTCTGGAAAACAAGCGCAGGAAGGACGCTGCAGACGCTTCGGAGCCATTCAGATTGGGTCAAATGCGTAGCCTTCTCTTCCGATGGCAAGATCATAGCGTCAGGATCTTTGGATAAGACAGTAAAGATTTGGGATGTATGCTCAGGAACAGTGCTTCGGACGCTCAAGGGCCATTCCGGTGCAATTCTTTCTGTAGCCTTCTCACCAGATAGCAAGACGCTGGCATCAACATCAAGGGATAAGACAGTGAGGATTTGGGACGTTGGCTCAGGGAAAGTACTGCAAACACTTGAAGGGCATTTGGATTGGGTCAACTGTGTGGCCTTCTCTCCTGATGGCAAGATAGTAGCATCGGGGTCTGACGACAAAACCGTGAAAATATGGGACGCAGGCTCAGGAAGGGACCTCCGGACACTCTTGAACACTCCAAGCCTAGTTACCTCTGTGGCCTTTTCGCCTGATGGCAAGACGTTGGCGGTAGGGTTTTACAAGGTTGTATGGCTGTGGGACATGGAGTTGGAGAGTTGGCAGTGGGGGTTTCATGGGCTTCCAGATTGGGTCAACTCGGTGGCATTCTCGCCTGATGGTAAGACGCTGGCGGCTAGGTCCAACAAGATGATGAAGCTTTGGGATGCAGGTGTCGAGAGTACGCGGACGCTCCGTGGTTATTCGGGCCCAAGTAAAAGGCTCTGGTCTCAATCAGCTTCTACACTGCCGCTAAGCGTTGTGGATGAGTGGGTTTATAAGTATGGACAGAGGAGTCTTTGGATTCCTCCTAAGTATCGCACGAGCACAGTGGCTGTTTGTAAAAATGCTCTTGCATTTGGGTATCCTTCGGGTCGAATATTGATCTTCAAGCTATAGCTTGATGCGTACCTAGGACATTTCTAGTCCGTTCTTCTCTAGTATACCAGTGTCTGCCACGAGGGGAGTCAACTTATACGGCTTTATCAACAATACATATAGTCCCATATAAAGGGCAAAATCTAACTCAAGTAGTACTGCATCAGGAGAGACAATATAACCCCATCAATTAAACTGGAAAAGTAGTTAGTCCATTCAACAGAATCCATACAAATGCATCTTGCAAAACCAACGACTGGATCGAAAGTGGTTTTCCAAAGAGTTCCACTTCTTAAAGCAATAGCACCTCTACATATAGAAATCATAGTAAAGTAACACCTTTCAATCTTTCTCTCTCATTCAACTTATACAAATCACAGGATATCATCCTAAAACGCCATTTCCCTATGTAAAGTACGCTGAAGTACATAAGAAGAAAAAACACCCACTCCGCGTATCTATCCAGTAGATACCCAACTTTTCCAGAGCCGGCTAGCTAAACGTACACACCTACAAACATACAACGGAACTAAACCGCGGGACGAGAGACTTTATTTTACAAAAAGATGCCACGGAATCTAGGATCGATGCTTGAAGTACCGCTCGTGACGTCGCTCGCGGGGGAAATGTCGACGCTGGCCGCGGTTGACGGCGCTCGGGGCGGGAAGCTCGGCCGTGACGGTCACGTAGTCTGTGACGGTGACGACGACGAGTTCGGTGTAGACGCCTGGCTGGGATGGCACTGCGGCGGGAGGCTGAGCGACGGCTGGACGTGTGGGAGTAGGGCTGGGTGCAACTGGGACAGCTGGTGCGGCCACAGATGAGGCGGGCGGTGTGACAGGAGGGACTTGAGGGTTCTGTGTGCCTCCTCCGTTGAGGGATGCGAGCTTAGGGCCCGGGAACTCGTAGGAGGTTATTCCATAGGGGTTCGTGGTGAGGCCCTTCTCGGCAAGTGTGTAGAGCTGGTTTCCGAGGACACCTTCGGGTTGATCAGAGCCACCACCTGAGACCTTGAGGCTGATGCAGATGGGGTAGTTTTCCGGGCCAGTGCCGCCGACTTGGTGCAGGGCGATGGGCTCGTGGCGGAGGACGTAGTTGCCGGCCTTGAGACTCGCGGGGACAGTGACCTTCCACTTGTTGGTGGCGTGGAGGATGGTGTTCATGGTCCAGTCACCATTTTCGAGGCCGGACTCGGCGATCTTGAAGAACTTGAGGTTGTCGGTAGTGGCCTGCGTAAAGTCGCTCGGAGCCGCTGCGAGGTAGTCGATGATGGGGCCCTTGTCGTGAGCCCAAACGCCGTTGCCACCGGTTGTCCAGGTGAGTTCGATCTCACTTCCAGCCTGGACTTCAACCTGTGAAGCCCCGACCTTGCCGTCGTAGTTGCACGCAATCTGGTTGTTGTTGCTGTAGCCGCCGGACTGGACGGGTCCAAAGGGATCAGGTCCTTGATAGCTCCACACGGGGCCGGCTCCAGTGTTGGCCTGGCCCTCGTAGGTCTTGCCGTCAGCTAGAATGGTGCCCATGACACCGTGAGCCGAGGCACTACCAGCCAGGGCGGAGAGGAAAAGTGCAAGCTCTGCTACACGATACATGATTGATAATATGGAAGTCTAGGAACTGTTTGTTCTTGGGTATAAAGCGAGGGAGTACGTTCGATGTTTGTTTTGTACCACGGTAGAAACTGTATGGGGAAAGCAGTGCTTGAGCAATAGATATAGTCTGCTAGAAGAGAGTATACAATGACACGAGCTCAGTGAATGAACGTAGTTTGTGATGGAAGGAATGACTGTTTCTATGTGAACTGAGTCAACAATTCAACGTGTGGCAAAAAGAAAATGGACAAGATCGCAGATCGTGACCGTAGCAAGCAAAGGAAAGAAACAATGTTTTGAATAATGATAATGAATGGATTGGTAGAGAGGGAAGAAATGTTTCGAGGCTTCTCAACGCAGGTACATATATACTCGACTCCCACTCGGTGCCTGTTTGCTCCTGAATGCTCCTGGTCCAATCGATTGATTGGCCCCACTCACGCGGTGTAGACGCAAGAAAGGAGAGACTAGGTCGAACATGCATAGGGGTGGTGAGCGCTAACAAAAGAAACATATGTTTCAGAGTCTCTGGGATCGCTGTGGTGACATAATACTATGCCTTGTGTGAATGATACAATGGCGAGATCGACAAATGCAGTAATGCACAAGGTTCTTTCTGACTATTGTGTCCATTGTTTCAATTTTTTATTGGTGACTGCATTGTGAATGATACGCATTGTGAATGATACCCTTTCGACTGATCGTACCAAACTGCCTTTTCTCGTAAAGTTTTCTCAGCAGGCAGAGAATTATACTGAGCTGAAGAACAGGATGGACGCAGCAGCTGACACTGGACGTTGTCGAGGGAGCTGGTCGTTATCCCAATCAGGCTAGCCTTGATATTCCCAGCTCCCCATCCCCCTCTCAGCTCACATCAACCCATCAATCAACCACCAACAACCACTCCCAAGGCGTCACGCCGCGCCCTCCAGTCCCACATCTGCATAAAACCCAAGACGTAGAAACAGGAAACAGAAAGGAAAAGAAAAAACCTTTCCTCCTGATGTTCACCTAGTCACGGCAACGCATTACTAACTATTTCCCCGACCCGCCATGCACATGCTCCTCTGAGGCGCCTGGCAATGTTGGCATCGCGGCACACCGCGCCCTCCCATTCGCCAGCCCCGACGTCCACTCAATTTGCGACGCAGAGCACGCACGCGCGCCGTAGACCTGCAGAAAAAGACATCGTCAGGAAAGGAGGAGGCTTGTCGATCTGCCGACGTCTAAAAAAGAAAAAAAAAATAGGTACCTTGGGAAAGATGACTGTATGCTATGCTTTGCTATGCTTCGCTGCGCTGTGTGTTGTTGTTAATAGCCCCGTCCCACCAAGGCTCCCTCCCCTCCCCCTGATGGAAGGAAGAAACATCTTGTACGCTTACATGATGTTTAATCTTAAATAACTACCTTCTTTAAATACCATCACTTCGCTGCGCACGGTTTGAGTTACTTAGCTACTTAAGGTAGACGAGTAATAGTTCAAGGGCGGATGAGGATTCCCCGGTTGTTTATTCTTGAACGTGCGGTCTTGGGCTCACATCAGATGGGCATCGTTATATCCCATCCTTCTCCCTCCCTCCCCTCATGTCCCCTCATACACTACCAAATCTACCCACCGACCAATTAACCAACCAACATGACCACGATCTCGAGACACGCATTTGCAAACCCCTCGTCTTTGCTCCTCCTGTTCGTCCCGCACCGCGCGGCAGAGGTGGTTGTAGTGTAGTGTTTCATGTACCGCGATACTCAACGGTATCCTGATACTGATATACCAGTTGAATGTGTTTTGATTCGATGGTGCTGGGTTTGGCATGATACATAAAGATGGAGAAAGTCGGGTTTAAGTTGAGTTACTTTTTCTGTCGCGAGTCCGTCATGGGAAGTTGGTAGAATGTTTGCGTCTCTGTTTTTTGTGACATTCTCTGATAGCGAAGGATGGTCGGTAAGGAACGGGGAATCGATATATCCCAGACATACCCGGCCATTCATAATCCTGCCCGCAAGTGCAGGTTCAAGACTCAATCGAATACAATCCACGCAGGACGAGAAAGAATAGCGAACACACTTTAACTACTTCAGGTATAACATTGGACCCCTCTTCTACCACTGCTGATGTATGTACCTTAAGTCCCTCTTGCTTCTTTGTCTTTTTCCTTTTCTTTTTCTTTCTGATATTTCTTCAACGGCTACAACGCGATTTCAATATTCAACCCAAAGCAGCGTCAGCGTCCATTTTTATAAAAAAAAACGAACAATCCCGCTGCGACCGCACTCCCCTCGAATATACACAGATGCTCCAACCCTAGCCTCCGAGCCCCCCCGGATCCCCGTCGTCGAGGCGCACTCAGCAGCGCCGCCCCTCGCCCATATATGTGTAGAAAGATGAATGAAGAGGGTATAATGACGGAAAGGAAATCTTGCGTGCGTGTGTTTGTGTGTTTGCATGCGTATTGTATGTGGTCTTTAGTGGATATGATGGTAATCAGAGCACTCGCTATGCTGTCTCTCTAGTGTAGATGTGATAGATGGTGTATGTGTGCGCGGCAATGAGGACGCTGATCTATACAGACGAAAAGAAAACAGCACTGTCTACGTTAGCACATTGCACATGAAGAAGATTGATTGACGAACTTACTTGATGGTATTTCTCTATCTTCGCGCTAGGCTCACTCCTGTGTTCAGGACCCCCCTTTGTTTGCCCAACCAGCTCTTGGGAGCTTCTTTCCGCTGGAGGATGACTGTGTTGCTTTGCAGTCGAGTCGTCATGTCGTACCAAGCAGATGTGATGAGTCGGTTCTCGCGGCGCAACGTCTCGACCTCCTGTTGCAGCTCGGCCGAGCCCTTCTCTGCAGTCTCCTTCTTCGCCTGTTCCAGTTGCTGGCGCAGGAGTTCATTCGCAGCTTGCTGTTCTTTCAGTTCCTAGACGCTTGATTAGCACTGTTTGGCTAAACTGTCGCGACATGTGGATAAGGCACGAGATAACTGCTTCGATCCGGGACAGAGACAGACATGATCGAAGCAAGCGAAGGAACTGTGTTTGCTCAAATGGTGGGCCTCATGCATCAACTTGCCACACGTGAGGAGGGTGCCCCAAGTGTCGTTGGCCGATGGGCTGATGGAGCTATGTTCCATTTGCCAAAGACATCTGACATTCTTGCCCATGTGGAAGATCGCGTGCCAGCTATTGACGAAGCAGAGTGCTCGAAAAGGGGCATGTGTGACGATTCCCCAGTGTCTTCCGTGGTGGGTGATGTGGGTGACGCGGGAGTAATCACGGGAGAGTGATCGGGAGATAGGGGAGAAGACATGGCAGACGATTCAGAACTGGAGGGTCCTGATGCAGGCCGTTCGGCTCCGGTGTGGACAAACAGTTGAGTCCTCGGGGGAACACGCTCAGGGGTTTGGATTTGGGAGACGCTTACTTTCTTTGCGTTATCGAGTGCTGCTTGGGATTCCATGACAGTTGTAGCAATCTCCATCGCCTCGGCATCAAGAATCTTGGACTGCGATTCCGCGGGAGCCTTCACAACCCTCTCAATCTGCTCGCGGACACGTTGCAGAAGCTCGGCTTTCATCAACTCGAGTAGTTCTGGTGTCAGGTTGTTGCGGTTGAGTAGTGCTGCGCGCAGAAGACCAGTCTTCTCTTCGTTAGCCAGCTCGAGATCACGGATCTTCTGATTAAATTTGTGTTGCAGGGAGAGAAGGCGTTCGTGCTCAGCCTGGAGGCCTTCCGCCTTTTCTTCTTCGCTAATGTCCGCTTCTGCACTTGCATGAGCTTATCGTAAGTTTTTCAATGATGACCGGGTTCAACATACTGTTCATGACTTCGTTCTGAAGCTCAGCGGCTTGAAGTTCTTTCTCCCGAAGCCTGCGCTGCAACTCTTGAATTTCGTTTTCAGCGGCCTGGAGTTTCTCGTTCTGCTCAAGGAAAGGTCTGCTTCATCAGTATTGAAGGATGATGTAATGTCTGGACCATGTATACCTTTCATTCTTTTCGTCATCGCCAGACATCATGTCTGAGCGCAGTCCAAGATTCTCTTGCATCTGCTTGAGTGTTTCTGTTTCGAGCGACTTTAGTCGAGCACTCAGGATATCAACCTTCTGCTGTAACGCTATCGCATCTGAGCTTATTCGCCCGTCTCCAGAAGCGAGTAGGTTGGTCGATGCTTCCATGTTGTCGCCGTTCTCATCTTGAGTAAGCTCATCTTCTAGACTGTCACCTTGGCCGGCGGGGTTGGATGATTCAAGGACCCGTATGCGGTCTTCGAGTTCTTGTCGTGCATCTTCTGCTCGATACTGAAGATCCCGGGTCTGTTCCAACTGCTTCATGAGAAGAAGGTTCTCGTGCTCTACCCTGGTACGTTTGCCCTTCTCTTCGAAGATGGATTGTTCGCACTGGACAATGGTCGAGCCATTTTCTTTGTTCACCTTCTCCAAGGCAGTACATCGCTCCTCAATAGCTTCAAGCTCCTGAAGTCTCTCTCGTGCTTGCTGATAGTCTTGTCGGAGCGTTTCCAAGTTCTTCGTTTCCTGCGTCAGAGACTGAATCTTCTTCTTGAGGTTCTCATTTGCCTTGGCCTTCTGGGCGAGCTCGTCTCGTTCAGCTCGAATGAGCTGTAGCTGATCGCGTAGTTCTTGCTTGGAACCCTCCTCTCCATTCAAACGCTCGAGTCGACGCTTTTGGCTATCAACAATGTCCTTAGCATTCTGGAGGTCAGCCTCGAGGCCTTCGATGTATTGTCGTTCGCGGGTCAGGTCATGTCGCAGCTTTTCGACCTCATCAGAAGATGCCCGTTCCCCGCCGTGCACATCCAAGTGTAGCCTAGCCTCGACCAAGTCCTCTTCAAGCTGCGATATTTTGCTCCGACTGCTCTCGACCTCCCCCTGTAACTTCGTTACCTGCGACCGGAGTGCTTGCCTGTCCTTGTTCGCCTCGAATAGTTGAGCTTCCTGCTCTAGACCTGTATCACGTTCGATCGTCGATCCAGCCCCAGAAACAGCTCGAGTCGGTGTTCTGAATCCCGCGAGATTTGGCTCAGGGGTCAGTTCTGACTCCACACCCAGCGCAGACATTCTCTGATCGAGCGCCTGCATGTCCTTGATGGCGTCGGCGATCACCTCAGCATCCTTCTGATCCAGCTCTTGTGTCATGATCTGGACCATGCGTTCACTCGACTTGGGCGAGTAGAGGGATGCGAGGAGGACAGCCATGGTGAGCTTCGCCGTTAACATCATCGAGCCATCTCGAGCACCGGTCTTGAGATCGGGTATCATGCGTTTGGTGAGGACGGGTAGCTGCTGGCATTCCTCGCGAATGTAGGTCGAGACGGCCCGCTCTATGTGTTTGAGGTTCTGCCATCTCGGTATCCAGTTGTCGGAGGTGCGGCGGTGCTGTTGCTGGAGATCGTCAAAATTGGGGAGAGAATCGTTGAAGTACTCGGAATCGATTTCGGCGAGGATCTGCCAGAGGGCCTGGCCGTCTTCGAGTTGGTTCCATGCGTTGACTCGTCCGGGGAAGTCGAATCTGTTGACCTGAATCCGGTGCGTCAGTATATTTGTGGTCGTGATGTGTCGGCGGTTACCCTTGGGCTGCTGCATACCCAGTCAAGGAGAGCCTTTAGAAGCTCCGGCCTGAAGTCGTCCATGATTTATGTTGCGGGCTTAGGCCCGCCGGTAAAGCACGCGTATTTTGTCGAAGATTGGTAAAAGGGTAATGGTTTCCAACCTGTGCATCATGGGTGGGGTGTAGAATTCATTAGGAGAGCGGTGGGGAGAGGTGTGTATGCACGATGCTCGCGCAACGCGCGGTGATGCTGTCGGTAGTGGAGCCACGCTAATTAGCGGTCCCTTCCAGAATCGATCTGGCCTAGATCCGCGCTGCACCTGCAGAACACACCTCTACTATCTAGAATGGTAATTAGTGGTAAGAGAGACGTCGAAGGGGACAAGTGCTGTTGCTGGCAAAATTCTGTGCATATGGTATGCATGAAATGGCGAGCATGCTGAAACAAAGTGCGCCCTTGAACCTCGAGCATCGTAGGTCGAAACGCACCACTCTATCTACCTAGGTACCTGGGTATCGATGGGGTCACGACATATCAAGCTGCAGTATATGGATGCCCTAAAGGGAAGCCTCTGCGTATTTGCGTTTCATAAAATATTCAAAATGGTCGAAAAGAAATAGATATCGTGATATTTGTCTGAGATTCAAGAACAACGTCTCCAAATGAGATAACACTGTACGAGGCATTTCATTCATTATTTGGCAAATCAGCCAGCAACCCCACGACAAGTGACGGACACCCAACGTGTCTCAAGGAAAAAGCGGTAGATTGTTGATACACCCGGTGCCCATAAACCATACTCCAACCAGTGTACTGCAAGAAGGCGACTTGTAGCAAAGTCGAAGTCGCGAGAATAACTATCCGTTCAATTTCGTATTCGTAGATACCAACATTCCAAGCTCCTGTTCTGTCGCGCGCAACCCTTGGTTTGTTCCTTTAGTTGCCGTTGGTATGCATGACGCCGTCCTCCTCCACCAAGGCAGCGAACTGTGTGCTCAGTGAGTGGATCGACTCGAGGACGGCAGCGGGTGCCTGGCATGCGAAGCCCTTGATGATGTTGTATTTGTGAGTGATGACGCCGCCCTAGTAATAAATCATGGTTAGTCGGACCTGTTCTAGAGGGACTCGGTTGAGTAGGGATTTGAGGGGCAACGTACAGCTTGCTCGATGCTCTCCATGGCTTGATCGACGAGGCTCTGGGGGGTTTCGTTGGGGTAGCTGATGATGACGGCCTTGAGAGGAGTGGAAGAAGCCATGGCGTAGGTAGCGAGAAGAGCGAGCAGGAAGGAGAAGATGGCGAAGCGCATGATGTTGGATGGATGGATAGTAGTTGAAAGGGTGGGCGGTAGCGTGGTTTTGATTGAAGAAGTGGGTATATGTAGAAGCGGAGGTGGTAGTTGTAAGAGGAAGGAGGATTTGCGGACCGGCGGTGTAATATATCGGAGGATGGAAGGTGGGTTATGTTGATGGGGGTATGTGGTGATGGGTGCGAATGATGTCGCGAGATGCAGAGTACAAGTAATAAGGTTGGCCTGGTTCAAGGGAGGCGGTCCTTGTGTCGTACCTGGTAGTGTGGTATGTATGTGGGTGGTGTGGTGACTGGTGTGGTGTGCGTGCGTGTATGGTGAATAGAGCGGAGTGAATGGAGTGGAGTTGACTGGTCAGTTATTCTAATTATAAGGAGGATGAGATGGGGACAACTAGACTTGGTAGAGGTAACCTAGGTACTCCCTACACTAATTAACTTAGGGTTCCTAGGTATACTTTATCTTAAGAATGGAGGGGGACAAACTACCAATTCATCGACCATCTGTTTCTCTTTCTCTCTCTGTTCTCTTCTCTACACAGTACTTCATGTCTCATGTCTCATCTCAAGGCGGAAGGTGGCGGCGGTGCCCTACAGGCTTACCTACAGGCTACGGTTCCTATCCGCCGCCCTGTCTGCCCTGCCCTGCGTCATCTAGTCCGATCATCCCAAGGGTACTCACTCACCTCGATTTAGTTATCAACAATGCCGTGCTCAGTAGTTGGTCCGAATCTCGACTATCATCATCTTATCCTTCTCTTTCTTAAAACATATATCGCCTAAGAGCAACGGCCCTGCTCTCGAAGCTCGAGAAGTAATCCATCCCTCGGAGTCCAGGCAGAGACTACGAGGTATCTAGCCTACCTAGGTACCTAGGTAATTATGCCATGTGTAAGGCATGAAAGGATTCGTCCCCCCAACGGCCACTCCGTGCGACACAGACCATCCTTACAACCGATCCCTCCAACTTCCTATCAAAGTATATTCTCATGTCGCATCAATCGTAAATCATGTGTTAGCAGCAGCCGTGTTTCTTCTGTTCTTCAATTGCTATCCCTTGTCTTCGGAGTTTCTCTCCTTACTGCTTGCTTCTAGTCACCTAACCTCGCGTGGGTTTAGTTAGACATCGCACTACTCCGTACAATCCCTCAATTCACATCTTCACGGCATGCTTGAGTCAATACTACTGTGAACCGCATTTACAAGTAATCGTACTTTGAATTCCTATTCCGAGGCCTTCTTTTCTGCTACTACTCTATCTACCATCCGTGAAAATCCAGTGGCAGAAATGTGTCGGTCCCACTGCATATGCTGGCTTCTGGCTGTTATGATGTTTGTCGGGGAGGAGAAAAGAAGAAAAAAGTGTCCCCACCAAACGAGCCGAGAAGAAAGAAAGAAATCCCGAAGCAAAGCAAAGCAGATGAATGTGGGGGGCCAACCGTGCAAAAGCCTAAGCCTCCCTCCTCTCTTTCAATATCCGCAAAGTCCAAGTCCATGCCATCAACCATTACTTTTTGCCGAACCTTCCCGTCCGTCCGTCGTCGTAAGGTGGTTCGTTGACAAGGCAAAAAGACGCCGATTGCTGTGATGAGAGCCATAGTGGAAGAATTGAATGCCGCCCTTGTGCGACAATCCTGTAATGCAAGCAATGCCGATTGTGAGAAACATGCAGGGGATCGTTTTCGGGGAAGAAAAAAAGGCGACCACTTCGCCGAAACAAATAAGACAGCATAGAAAAGAATGGGGGAAAGATGCTCGTGGAGCAAAAAATGAAACGACCGGGGTACATGAATGCAAGGGATGTGAAAGGTAGAAGATGGTGTACAGCCATCACAAAACTAGGCCGATGCGCCTACAGGAGATTGAAAAATAGCTCTCAAAACTATTGATCATGAACCCTAGGTGGATACAGACCGATGTGATGATGATAAGAGGCGGGGATACTATACAAGACGACCAAGATGCCAATCACCGATGCAGGATGATGAAGATGTACCAGCAACATCGGCATCGAGGTGTCTCGAATATTGGCGCAAGATCGGGAGCTACGCAAGGGGAATACTCATGATAAGCATGGTCGCAGAGCACGACAGCGCGGGGGTGAGGTCAGCTGGCAGTGATCGGGAGACCTGGTGCTGAGCGAGAGCGGCCGTCAATAATCGTCGCGTCATGAAGTCATCAGAGGCCTGTTCAGAAGAAGTTGTTCATGCCATTGGCGGTTTGGCCACCTCCATACTGAGCATAAGCCTGGTTGTGTACAGAGTTCTGAATGTGGGTGGGCAACGGCGGGTTGCTCAATCGATGGGGCTGTGGAGAGGCAATGTTGGAGCCATAGCTATTGGCATGGGCGGTATACATGGGAGTATTTTGGAAACCCGAAGCAGGAGCAATCTGGCTACTGAAAGTAGAACGACGTTCGGGTGACTGCGTGGTCGAGATTGTGTGAGGCGAGACATGCCCAGAATTACGACCAGTGTAGGCCTGCAAACGGGATTCACGCTCCTGGACCTTGCTCTGGATGCGACGACCATAGGGAGTCTGGCGAATAGCAGGGAGGATGGGGCGCATGTTGTCGATCAGGAGGAGGCATAGCTCGGGGGGTGCAAACTCGAGGGCGGTTTGGATGACATAGTTCCCGTATGAGTCCCTCATGAGCTTCTCCAGCTCTTCCGGGTTCATCAGTTCTTCAATCAAAATCCGCTTCGTCTCCATGTCAGCGCAACGAATGCACTTCTCAATGACATTGGAGCTGAACTTCTGCTTAGAAAGCTCTGCGACCTTACTAGCAAAGCCAACGCACAGAGGATTCGTAAAGCTCGGGTCGTTGAGATCTAAGATGTACTGCACAACGTAATTGCCAAAAGGATCCTGGACCAAGTTGAAGCTATTGTTGGTGATTTGGCGGACAAGCTGGACCTTTTGGAAACCAGAGGCATGATCAATGCAGCGCTGGAGGACGCAGCAGCCATGGCGGTGAGTGCCAACAGTGACACAGTGCTGGCCTACCGCATCGAAGATGAACTGAGCATCTTCAGCCTTGAGGTGGTTCAAGCACTTCTGGATGACGTGATTGCCGTTGAGATCCTGGATAAGTTCAACGACTTGGTCGGCGAACGCTTCGATGATCATGCGTATCTGAATATATGTTAGAGACAACCTCTAGGATGAAGAGAAATGACAACTTACCTGCTGAGGGGTAGAAACAAACTCGATCATCTTCTGAAGAGCACGGGTTCCATGCTGGTTCAAGGCAATCTGAACGAGAGATGGTGCGGCGTTGCGGACGAGCGCATCACGTTGTTCATCATTGGTATACTCCAAGAGCTTCTGGCAAAGGTAGTTGCCAAATGGGTCTGGAAACAGGTTAATGCTTGTTCGCGCCTTGTCATGTAGATGGAATGATACTTACCAGTCATGAGCTCAACTACGTGCGGAGCAGTCTCTTGGAAGATAATGTCTAGGTGCTCTTCATTGCGTTCTTCGAGCTTCTTCTGCAAGAAGCGGCATCCATGTTGATCTTTGCACAGGGTGTAGATCTCATGGCGAGGCATCGTCTTCAGGTCGTAGTTCATGAAGCGGTTGGCATCTTCAGAAGTGAGCGTGTTGGATTGTGACGCACGGTGCTGGTACGTACCGTTTTGCATACGGCGGCTCTGGATGACGCGAGCCTGGCTGTCTTGAACGCGGCCATTCGGTCCGAAGGTGGTGTAAGGATTGTAGTATTGACTGGGGCCAGTGGGGTAGACACCATTAGGATTGAAGACAGGTGGAGCGCCCATTTGAGGAGCATTCATTTGAGGGGCACCCATCTGAGGTCCGAGGTTGAGCCCATTCATTGCGCCATTCAACATGGCCACATTGTATCCGTAGTAGGGACCATTGGCAGGTGAATTGGTGGGATACTGGGACATGCCAGGCGAGCCAACAGAACCAGCGACGGAGCCATTCATGCTGGAGGCGGCTGACATAGTAGGTCCGAAAGGTGCTGCAGATGCATGGAGACCCGATTGAGGAGAGCGGAACGGACTGTCTTGATCCTTGAAGCCAGACGACAAGTCACGGCTGTGACGGTTGGAGACAGCATTGGCTGGAATGCGACCCATGTTGGCATTGTGGTTGTGGAGGTGTTGCTCAGCATGAGTCTTACCGAAACCAGAACCGTTGGCACCACTACCATTGTCGCCATTCTTCAGGGTAGGGACATCGTTGCTCGAGTAGGACTGCTGGAGCTTAGGCATACCATTGGATGGACTGGCATGATAGCTGGAGCGCTTGTTGCCATTACCACCGTAAGGGCTGAAACCACTGAACTCAACGGAGCGACGATTGTTGGCGTTTGGCTTTGTCGGTGTAGTTTCAACGTTGCCATTACCGTTGACTTGGCTCACGTCATACTCATCGACCTGAGAGGCCTTGCGAAGTGTATTCGTAGGCAAAGACTGCTGCGAGTGACGGTGACGGTACGACGACCAACCGCCGTTCTGGCCTTCGGCGCCTGTGCATTGTGAGTACGTGGGATTAATGGTGGTCAAGTGAGTGTTTACATACCATTACCGTTGGTGTCACGACGGACGAGGATGGGGAACTTGTCGTCGGTAGTATTCATTTGTAGAAACGATTTGGCGTCAGGTGAAGGGGCAGTGTTCTGAGACTTCTCGTCGTCACCAAATAGGAACGCAGCAGTGTTGATATGACCCAGGACAGAAGCGAGGTCAGGAAGGTCGTCGCGACCACGAAGATCAAGGTTGGTGACAGGCATAGACATGCGATTGTTGCTGCGAAGTTTTAGCTGTGGGTCCACGCAAGTTTGTGCTGGCTTCACCTGATCAACGACCACGGCTGAAATGGTTGCTGATAGATAGTGAAGGTAGGTTGTAGGGACAGAGTAGAATGGCCGAAGTGATATTGAGTAAACTTACTTGCGAAAGACTGGACTCATGGGTGCGAATTCGGTGTTGTCGAAGTCGTCGCCTTCTTCGTCTGAGTTGCGGCGCGAGCCAGGAACAGACTTAGAGGGCAAGTGATTGTTATTGTTGTGACTTGCGCCTTGTGTTGCCTGGCCAGACGGAGGGGAGGTGATCTGCGATCCGGAACGGCTGCCACGAGGAGTGCTCACACCAGTCACGCTGGACATGCTGAAACGGTTTGGTCGAGAAAGAGCAGTAGGAAAGCCAAAGCTGTCGCTGTACTCAGGCGGGGTAGTCGGCTGGCTGTGTTTTCCGTACTGGATGTCAGAAGAGAGACGGTGGATTTCCTCCTCGTCACGGCGAGACTGTAAATCAAGAAGTTCCATTTCAGCCTCGAAACGACGACGTTGTTCTTTCAGGTATTCGTACTCAAGCTTCTTTTTCTCCAGCTAATTGATAATCAGCGGCTGGAGTGATTCCAAGCAAATTGGCGTTATCACGCGTTAAGTGAGAGAGGGTGCTGAACGTTTGAACGTAGTAGGGTAGTGGAGTAGAAATGGAAGAGATGAGAGAGATTGAAATGGGTAAATGTACGAGCAGATCCCGGAACGAGAAACTGTTGTACAGCGTGGTGATATCAAGAAATAGGAATGAGAAGAGAAGAGAGAAGAGAGAAGAGAGAAGAAAAGTTGAGGAGTTTTTGAAGGTTTGGTAGGAATGAGAGGTGGGCGGGGGTTGAGAGGGTGAGTGATTATTGTAGCAAGCAATTGGGGGGTCAAGGCGTGCGAGAGTGAAGTAGGAAAGGCGACAAGGATGGTGGCAAATAAAGTAAAGGTAAAGGTAAAGGCGAGGGCGAGGGCGAAAGTGAAGGTGAAGGTGAAGGTGGAAAATTTACTTACAACTTGAAGCTTGTGGTACGTCTGTTGTTCAATGTTGTCAGTTTGGATTCTCTCTACCATGATTTGAACACTGGGGTTTTTGACCAGACAATAATAAGAAAAGTAGACATGAAACACAACCACATCAAACAAGACCAGGCACAATTTCACAGAACGGCTCATGCGCGCAAAATATGCCACTTATTGTGCACGAATACATCACAATCACCGCAACGGAGTCGAGATGACGCCCAGGTACGATACGAGCATACCGCGCCGCCTACTAGGAAAGTTGAGAGAACTTACCGCAGTAGTGAACTCTGGGGGCTCTGCTGCTTGCCTACGTTGTTGCCCAATTGGAGACAACGGTGTGTTCAGGGTGGGAATGTTGTTTGTGGTGAATCGACGGTGGAGTTGCCCACGGGCATCGCTCGACGAGGAGGAGGACATTTGAGAACCAACACCGCGCAACGGGCTGGTCAAGGAAGCGAACGAGGTTTCTTCACGGGGGGATTTGAGCGCGCCACGGTCTCCAATGGCGGAGGAGAAGGCCATCTTGCTAGAAATACACTGTGGAAAGGCCTGGTCAGCGGACAGTCCTGGTGATGTATCGAGGATGTGTGGGGTTGCGGTTGGCGGTGAGGGGAGGGTGGAACGGGTGGAAAAGGAGAGCTCTGGGGACGCGCATACGTCGAGGAAGAAGCGCTGGATGACGGAGAGGAGGCGGACTCACACAATAACTCTTACACGGGACTGACTGCCCTCGAACCCCACGATACTGCAAACAACAAGCAAAAGATCTTCTGGCTGGAGGTTGAGAGAAGGTCGGGTCAAGATGGCAGGTGTTGCACGTCTGGCGCTTGGCTGATGCACCACGCGGCGGTCCCTGCGCGCCTTCCGAAGATGCGACAATCGATGGATACGGACCACGGAGGGGATGCAACGACAGTGACGGTGGCAGTAACAGGTAGTAATGAGGATCCCAGAAGAGGCGTGAGGATAAGGACAGTGGGTAGTGATAAGACAAACTATTCGTACGTTGAACAGGAGGAGGAGGAAGAAAAGGAGTGCACGCTCGTCGCCTCCATCAACGAGTTCGAAGACTACTATGGATACAAGAAAGTACGAGTACAATAGTGGCCGAGATGTGTTTTGTAGGGTCAATAGCAATAGTAGCAGCAGCAGCAGTAGCAGAAGTAGTAGTAGTCACTCGGTTCAATCAGTCAGAGTATTAACTAGTAGACAAGACAGACAGTCGAGACAAGACAGGGCCGACCGAGGGGTGGGAGGGGAGACCCTTATTCGTGTTTAAAGCCAACGAACTGGCGAACCAACGAGCCAACGAGCCAACCGAACCTCCCAGTGTCACCATACTGTGTAAGTTATAACCCTACCCTACCCTACCCTACGAGGTACCACTCCACTGCCTATGGATTACCCTACCTACTTGTTAGAGTCTACCGCTCTACCTAATTAACTCTACGGCGAGTCTACGCCTAAGAGAGGAAAACATCAAGGAACCTAAGGAACCGAATGAACCTGACTAGGCTCATGCACGCCACCGACTTTAACAGCAGCCTGGCCGCTGCCGCTTGTCTCGAGTCCCGCGCCAGTAGGAAAATGCGTAGCCTGTGGGTGTATAACCACTTGTAGATAGTTAACCTACGGAGTGTCTGTACTATTGTACAGTACATAGGTAGTTATGTGCGGGTAGAAAGGGTAGCAGTGGCATTACGGAGTACATACTGACCATGTATTTGTAACATACATCTAGTTGCCACCAGCGATGTGGTTCAATTGCTGCCCAGTCTAAAACATACCACATACAACGTATGACACACTCTGTACATGACTACTGTACTCCATAGTTATATGTATACAAACACAAAACACATCCTTTCCCCCCACCCCCCTCCCCTTCCCAGAGCCAGGCTTCAACATGGCATACACAGTAGTCAACTAACTTTCATCTGAATCAAGCGGGACCACAGTCTTTGTACGGAGTATGTTTACGGTGTACTCAATGATGGAATCAACACAGTAGACAGGAACGGCATATCATTGGGGGACATCCCTAACGCCGATTTGTTGCACGCGCGTTTGCAGTCAGACTGTGCAATTCCCCCTCCCCTCTTCCTCTTCTTCCGCTTCCTCCTCCTCTTAGCCCACATTATATGCAGCATCTAGGTACATAATTAGTACCTAGGTAGGTAGTGTTTGTTCCATGCCTCCCCTCACCCCCCTCACTGTTTGATGTGATGAGTAGAGTACCCCCGTGCAGGTGGCCATGTCTTGGCGCATCCCCATCCCCATTGTCAAATTCCAACCAACTACGAGAACTCCGCAGATACCTACCAGTGTAGGTATCCCGTACAATATGTACATCCGAATACTGTACTACTCAAGCACGATGATTCCAGTTTCTCCGACCATGTCCTCTTCGGCTGTTCGCCCGCGCTGCCCATGTATCACGATATCAAACAAACTCCATCCCCGGGTTCATTGACCTCGCCGCTCGCCTACAACGCCTTCCAGCAATGCCTGCAACTTCTGCAACGCCCACGCTCGCGCCCACGTCGGTATACGTCGGTATACAATATACTTGTACCCAGTACATTCTGGGGTGCGTGCTCCTAAGACCGTTTTGTGTGCTCGCTAGGCTTTTGTCCGATTTTGGTCATCACAGGCTCCTCCTCCATATGGGGTGTCGGCATATTCTGATAATCTACCACCCCCTCCCGGGTTAGACGTCATATAACGGAGACCAGGCCATGCACGCACAGAATGCCGCGCATCATTTGCCAAATCAGAAGCCGTGATCTGCACTTCCGAATGAGTAACTACACAGTACGGTGTACAACAGAGAGAGGCATTGCACGAGAATCTACACGACAGGCAAGGAGGGGCACGGTTCTTGCTTGCATGTGCACTGGTTACCGCAGACTGGCGGTGGCGGGGCGAATCAACCATGCCGAGCGCAATTGAGGACGAATAAGCCATTAGGTACCCCCGTATTCTGCTGCTCCCGCTATCCCACCACCACAATTCCAATTCCCCATTATTGTTCATATTCACCACACGAAGTGGCGACCGGGGCAAAGAGTTCTTCTACCTAAGCGTATCGCAGCTCACCTTCCGGCTGTCTAATCAAACAACTAAGAACAACGCCGCTCAAAAGTGTTACGATAAGTCGTGCTACCAAAGAATCGCCCATTCGCGGTACCTCACAAGTAGTCACGACGTCCAGCACACCATCCCCGTCACACCTATCTACCCCGTGTCAGCCCGTGCATGTGTGTCTTCTTACAAGTACCTACACACTACAGAGTACTGTACGAATCTATCCAGACCAGACCAGACCCGACCAGACCTAGGCATGCCCCTACGCGCTGATCGCTGCATCACACCCCACGAGTTTGTCCGAAATCAAAAAGAGGTGACATTTCTCCATCTGTCTGCCGGCCCTGCAGAGTGGGAACGCTCCGTTAGACTATTTACAGCACTCCGCACAGAAGCGTGGAGATGTTAAAAGGGTCAAAGAGCCTCTTGTGATGTACTCTCAGGTACTAAGCTAAGCACTTGTACCCTAACAACTAGAGGATGACCTGGTCGGGTCGGGACTAGAACTTAGTTAAGAACTTGCTCACCGCTTCTTGAAACGGATTCCTTGCTCTGCAATGCAGCCATGTACTCGTACATACACAGTTCTGTATGTAACATACGGTCTCTGCCATCTGGTATCATCTCAAGTTCGGAGTAGTCAAGTCTAGGTTGAAATAGCATAGCGCTACGAGTATCGATAAGCAGCCGTTTCAATGCCAATCATCCACATCTACCATTCCCTACTCGCCATCCACCATTCACCGTTCGCCATCCATCACCAATCGACAACCACGCCTCACATTGTAGTCACGAGCGACAGACTCGCCATCAGATATGACACCCTAGATTTGCCCGCGTCTTATTTCATGTTCACTATTTGACCAGTTCCCATAGCACTACTACACCGCCATCTACATTCTCACTTTGCGATGCGGACGCAAATTCCGATTGACGATATCGTCACGCTCGCCACCACCCCACCTCTTATAGCCGCTGCCAACTGCCCGGAAACAATTGATTGAATTCTAGTTACCCGCAGGTTAAACTGCACAATGAATCCGCTGCTCCCTGCAGCATGTGCCAAGCACATATTCCTGTGGCACGTATCCGACGAAGCGGATCCGGAGAGAGACATCGATCCATAGGCTGTCCCCCTCAGAGACTTGAATTGTTTGCTTTTTCCAGTCTTGTGATCTGAGCCATAGTCGATGGATGGCAGAGGATCATCAAATGCATCTGATTACTCGGCAAAGCTTCCGTATGCTTGGGTCTTTCAAGCATCGAGGAAGCGCGGCTCTCGATCCAATCTGTGCCTGGCAGTTCTGTAGAAGCGATAGGGTATTACACGCCTCACTCGTGACAGCGCATACCTACAGCAGCAGTTTGCTTCACGCAGGTCATTCTCGATGCGCTGGCTGTTCCTCGTACAGTGAAAATATCTGCTCTGGTTCATATTGACATAACAGAGATCTTGAAAAATCCGTTCAATACTATGTTCTTCCCACCTGACAGATTCGAGTCCATCCCTTTAGGTGTGCTGCATCAATGACAAGACAAACTTTACATTTCGACGAACATGCAAGAATGAGCTATCCTTTGCCGACTCTGCTTTCTTTTCTCTACGAGAGCTCAGTTCGTTCTTCAAGCGCCATATGTAGAGGCATTTATGCGCTCGGAAATTACGCATCGTCTTATCGTGATTCCAAGAGTGTAGGAGCTCCTATCTCGTTAACCAAATATGATGTGCGACATGCAGCAATACCCTCTTCTAGTACATGGTCCAGCCTCATCATCGCCATCGTTGCTCTGTGTCTAATTACTTGTTTCATACAAACAACACTCATCCATCATCAGAGGCTATCGGCTCGAAAACGCAGATTACATCGAGGTCTTCAAAAGTTTAACATTCTTGCATAACGAGACATATGTGTATACCCACCCCATCGACGCCCTACTCCATCCACGTTTTGCGACGTCCTTTCTGCGCTTCATCTCAGGCCCTCGTATGAAAGTAACTGATATGATCCTTCGATTGCTCTTATCACGCACCCCGTGGGACCATTGCTGTCTTGGGAATGGTGCAGATCGTTTCCGTTACGGGCCGTTACGCCACCCTATTCTGGAGCAAACTTCCCCAAAGCTTCCCTTCGCAACAAGGCTTACCTCAAGCTCGTAGCATCATCAGGTGTCGCGAGATATAAAGTACATGGTGCCCATGTCTTGATCACTCGCTTTATAAATATATAGTCAGTCGTCAGTGGAGTAGACTTCGACGTACTTCAGGCGTTATCTTGTATTCAACCGGCAGTCTCCGTCGTAACACCAAAGCACCACCACAACGTCAATGGCGTCTGGAACAATCAATCCATGAGTCGCACTGCACTGATTACAAAGTCCGTCCAACCTACACCCATGTGCACGGGATCGCATCGCAAGATACTCTTCACTTCGGCGAAAGCGAATGTTTGCCTATTCTATTCTCTACCTACAGTGGGGAGAAATGACTGCGAAATTCCTGTTCCAAAAGGACTCTCTCGCTCCGTGACGTGGTTGGTTCCAACATCATCACAAAACGCACCTTCCCAATCTAGCACCGCTTCATTCCGTTGCCAAGCTCCCCAAACTCACAGTTGACAAGCACAATCAAGCTCTATTGTCTGTAAGCAATATCTTCCTTCTCTCTCTGGCACTGTCGAGCGACGCCATCATCTCTCGACAACGCCACCCCAAGTATGCCCAGCGCTGCTAAGCTCAGGATGCAGTACAATGAGCGGGGCTGGTTGTAATCCAAGATATCCCAAAGAGCAAGGATAAATGACGAACAACCAATGATGCCATTCAATGCCAGAGAAGGCAACAAGGAGCTGGGATCATTATGTTGATGGCGTTCCTGAATACTGGGGATCGACAGCAACTTTTCGGCTTCTGGTCAATGTCATCCCTTGGATACGAGACATTTTTATGAGCTCTGGGCCGCGATGATGATGTTAGCTCATCTCCTCAGCGATAACGCATGTCGGATAGCGGCATTGTATCCAGAGACAAGGTCTGGGGATAAAAGGGCGGGCGCTGGCCGCAATTGAGGTCGTCCCATGCTTCCCTAGTCCCAGCCTCTGCTTCAACATCTCTGAGGAACCACTGTATCTACCTGCCATCATGAGATTCGGAATTGCAATTGGAGCTCTTCTAGCAGCAGCCTCTGCTGCAGAGGTTTCCCCAAGAGGCTATGGGCACAAGCCATTGGTGGACTCCGTATGTGCATCCCTCGACCTGATCGAAAGAGAGTTTCGCTAAATTCAGCACAGAAAAAGCTCCAGAAGAGCATCAAGGAGAAGGCTCTCCTCAAGGGTGCAAAAGCCCTACAGAGCCACGCAGATGCTTTCCCTCCCCGCAACAGGTTGATGGGCGGCGCTGGCCACAACGAGACCGTCAAGTATCTTGTCAAGGAATTGAAGAAACTCGATTACTACAACATCGAGCTTCAACCCTTCTCAGCTTTGGTTCAGCTCAATGGTACGGCCTCACTCACACTTGATGGTGAGGTGGTCGAGCCTGGACAGTTCGATTACTCCCCATCAGGCAACGGTTCTGCCAAACTCATCGTTGTCAACAACCTTGGCTGCGAACCTGTACGTTCGACCCCGTCATTTCTTGTCGGAATGTTTCGATTACTGACCCAACGCAGGCAGACTACCCCGCTGAGTTAACCGGGAACATTGCCCTCATTTCCCGTGGATCTTGCGAGTTCGGATTGAAGTCAGTCTATGCTGGAAACGCCGGTGCCATTGGCGCGATCATCTACGACAACATCCCCGGTGGTCCTATTGAGGGCACACTTGGAACGCCCCCTCGACCAGAGGGTGAATACATCGCAACCATCGGCCTCAGCCTGGACCAGGGCAAAGCACTTGCAGAGAAGATCACTGGCGGCGCAGAAGTATCCGCCACCTTCGACGTCGTCACCGACATCCAAATCCAGACCACCAACAACGTCATTGCGACCTCCAAGAGCGGCTCTCACGACACCGTCCTCGTCGTCGGAGCCCACACTGACTCCGTCCGCGCCGGCCCCGGCATCAACGACGACGGCTCAGGAACCATCGGCATCCTCGAGGTCGCCAAGCAGCTCTCCAAGTACAAGGTCAACAACGCCGTGCGCTTCGGCTTCTGGAGCGGCGAGGAGGAAGGTCTCCTCGGCTCAACCCACTACGTCGAGCACGCCTCCCCGAAGGAACTCTCCAGCATCCGCGCCTACCTCAACTTCGACATGATCGCCTCCCCCAACTACGTCCACGCCCTCTACGACGGTGACGGCAGCGCCTTCAACCTGACCGGCCCCGCGGGCTCCGCCGAGATCGAGAAGTTCTTCGAGGAGTGGTTCGCCAGCGTGGGACAGAACACCACGGCGACCGAGTTCAACGGCCGCTCCGACTACGCCGCCTTCATCGACGCCGGCATCCCCGCCGGCGGCACCTTCACCGGCGCCGAGGAGATCAAGACGGAGGAGGAGGCCGAGCTGTTCGGCGGCGTCGCGGGTGAGCCCCTCGACAAGTACTACCACGACGCTGGCGACGACGTCAACAACCTCGCCCTCGACGCCTTCGTCCTCCACACCCAGGCCATCGCCGCCTCCGTAGCAAAGTACGCCACCTCGTTCGACAGCCTCCCGCCCAAGGCGAACGTGACCCGCAGGTCCGTCCCCGCTGCGAAGAGGGAGGTCAAGAGGCACAGCCACGGCAGCAGCTCGTGCAAGAAGATCTACGAGTAGACAGCTGTATCAATTCGTAGGGGGAAATAGTAATGTTTCAAAAGGAGTGTGTATAAAGCGTATGGTATGCTGCTAGCTAACTCTGAAAAATGAATGGATGAATTGATGATAATGTCAAAAAGACAACAAATCCCGCAGCCTCCTTGCTCCGTGATACCGTGACTGTTGTAGATGCCACTTTCTAGTCCATGTATACGCTGAAGGAAATCCAAACCGACGATACCTGACAGCATAGAGGAACCGTCATTTCGTGAGCGCGCATTGCATTGAGAATTACCCAAAGAGCAGCGACACAAAACGTCGATCAAAAGAAGTGATGGAAACAAATTGACCCTCCATAACTAAGATCTCAAGAGACAGGAATTTGCTCCGATCCCCACAATACTGCCCCGCTCATGGCGCAAGAGGTAGTACATAAAAGAGGAAATCAATCACAAAGGGACCTCCGACATGACGACATCGCCATCAGTATCGTTGCCATCACTACCACTATCGCCATCAGTATCGCTGCCATCACTGCCACTATCGCCATCAACCTCGTACTCGAAGATCGGCTTCAGGCCATTAGGACAGTTACCAACCTCGTCCTCCCACCGGACATGTTTCTTGTCCTTCTCCGGTGTCGGGAAGCAGGAAGACTTCAGGGACGAACGTACGGGCGCTGGCTCGTCTATCTTCGATTTCTCTCGCTGCGTGAGATCTGGATCCAAATTGGCGAATTTGAAGCTCTTTATCTGTTCGTGGAGTCGTGCCGCCGTTTCTGCTGCGAATTCTGCGGCCGCTTCAACGTCACGAGGGATAGGGTGTTTCCTCGTCCTCTTTTTCGGTTCATTGGAACTTTCAGCGCGCCTAAGAGCTTCGAGAGCCTCGAGAGCCTTGAGAGCTGCTTCATTGGGGTCTTGGCTCGGCATCTTTTGGGCGTTCCAGATTTGGCTTTTCCTGCGCTCGAGGGCCTCGACGTGTGCTTTCGAGCCTCCGGCCTGGAAATCCCATTCTTGATAGATGCCTTCTTTCCTCCGGGCCAGTTCCTCGCCGTTTCTTTTGCCCCTCTCGCTCATGATTTCGGCGAACCTTCGGTCCATTTGGATCTGGTAGGCCTCTTCGGTCTCGATGGCCTCCATCCGTTTGGTGGTGACTAATGCTCTCCATTTCATGTCCGTCAGGTCGCGATAGAAACGCAGCCCGTCTGGTCGTAATCTCACCGTCAAATGGTTCCAGCCGAATTCCACGACGTGGGAATAGACGGTGCTCTCGCTAGAGGTCCCGTAACTGGATGGGAGACATGCGATACAATGGTTGAGAATTATAATGTCTGCTGGATTGAGAATGATGTCGCTCTTGATGTACCTGAGCGATAGATTCGGGTGATCCTCTCGCATCTTAGGCAGAATCCTCGAGATGTGGGATATCATTGAAGAAGGGCTCATGCCTACTGTGGCGGGCGCGAGCTGATAAACAGGTACTGGTTCGAGATTCCTGACAGCAGTGATCCCAGTCGCGGTCTGATTCCAGAATAGCACAGGAGCTTTGTTGGGCTGATTCGCCGTACTTGATGACGATGGCCCTTGTTCGACCATCCTCGAACTCGAGGCATGATATGGATTCAGAGGGCAACCAGCTCGGAAGCCGTCGACAGGTCCGGCACTTCCATTTTGAGAACCAAAGGCGATCTGAGCTGTCCTCTTCATCACCTCACTCCGCCTCACTGCATACTCATCCACCTTTTCCTCCAAGAGGTCCAAGAGCTTCGAAAATTCGCCCGACGACATCGTTGCCAGAATTGGCTGCGACATAGGATCTACACGCCCCTCAATCAGCTGGACCACACGTTGCGGGGAAAGATACCAGGGGAAATCCTCCAGATTCTTGAAAGTTTGACAGATTAATTTGAACATTTTCATAACACTAATAGATGATCACGGCTCAAACCCCTCCATCGGGTCGGTGAATATAAGCAGCAGAGGACGACCCCTGGTCACGTGGAAACAGGGCTCGCGATCCTTTCTCTCGCTGCAAGGTACACGGCACTTACTCTCCATGATTCGAGTTCAGGGTTGCGGATTGTTCTCCGTCGAGCGAGATTCGAGTCCCAACGTTTCTCGAATTCCGAAGGGTTTCCGTGGTTGTGGGCGGCGGCGAGGGCGTGTGTAGTCTGGTAGCGAGACGTAGTATCAGGTACGAGCGAATGGATTAGATATGCGTAACAGTATATTGGTATTGGTAACGATAGTAAATATCCCAACGATGGGGCGGGGGATGGAAATGATACGGAGATTGGTCGAGAGGCGAGCGTCTGTCTGGTATGGGTCGAACTCCATTGTCATGGGGAGTATCTTGCCCTCTTTCTCTTTCACGCTGTTCAAAAAATAACATTGTAGCTTCCCTGGAGTTGGTTCGGTAGAAAGAACGGGTCGCGTATACTTGACTGGTAAAGTGTCTGTGAGGTTAGGAACATCTATTCTTGGAGATTCCTATTTCTGTAGTTTCAATCGACTTAGCCAAGTTGAATGAAGCGTACTGGTGGTTCATTGATGTAGTAATTCATTTCCGCTATCTTCAATACTATGTCGGACGTTACACTGATCATCATACGAGTACTCGAAGCGGCCAAGTATGTCGAGCCCAACTGTGTCGATAGTGATCTCCAAGTCAATTGTGTGCACCTTCTGGTCCGAAGTGACTTCCCATTCGGCCTGTTCCATTTGCCATCCCCAACTATTTCTCGAATCTCATCGTATTCTTCAAACTGCCAATACCTTCCACCTCAATCTCGACCACATCGCCATCCTTCACGAACCCCTTCGGATCCATGAACAGCCCCACACCGCTCGGCGTCCCCGTCATAATGACCGTACCAGCCCTCAACGTCGTTCCCCTGGAAAGATGCTCTACAATCTGGCGAATGCTATAGATCATATCATCCGTACCAGTCTGCTGCCTCACCTCCCCATTGACCTTAGTAGTGTACTTCAGCTTCTGAGGATCCGGAATGACAGACGTAGACACGATGGCGGGCCCAATGGGCGCGAACTTGTCGAACGACTTGGCGTACCCGAACTGGCCTCCGGAGACGGAGGCGGGGAGCTGGAAGTTGCGCGCCGAGACGTCGTTGCCGACGGTGTAGCCTAGGATGTAGTCGTATGCGTCCGCCGCGGTCACGTTCTTTGCGTCTTTGCCGATGACGACGGTCAGCTCGCCTTCGTAGTCCAGCATCGATTGGCAGTCTGGGTGGATGGGGATGTCGTCGAGGGGTCCGGCGAGGGCGTCCGGGGGCTTGGTGAAGACGGTGGGGAATTTGGGGATCTCGAGCTGGAGGGAGGGTTTGGTTAATCAGATGTAAACTGGCATTGGTGGATTTCGTGTGAGTTATTTACATTTGCTTCTTCTGCGTGGTGGCGGTAGTTTAGGCCAATGCACATGACGATGTTGGTTCGAGGAAGCGGAGCAAGAAGCTGTACAAACACCATCAACAAAAGCTTCATCTACACCTCTGGCTTGATCTTCACCTTGGAAACCGTAGCTTCAGCGCCAGTCTTCTTAAACCCACTCTGCACATCCCCCTCCAGCACCTCCACCTTCGAACCCTGAATCTCAAGCGTAGGCGTATGCTTCGTCAAATTCCCATACCTCACCTGGCCATCCTCAGCCTGGAACCGAATCAGCCGTTCGAAAGTCGACATCTTGTTTGCAAAAGCACGCGTATGAAGGCCGGCTAGTCACAGAGGGGCCTGGCAGGTAGTAATATGCAGACGACAACAAGTCAAAGAGGAGCTCCGCCGCACGAAGCTCCTCAGCGCTAATGTGGAAATAGACATGCCGTGCGTGGGCGCGCGCGTCACACACCTATTCTTTGCGTGCGTTTTACGGCTTTGGAGGGGGGAAATGCCCCACGTTGCGTAGTGGGTTGTTAAGTGGTAAATACCTAGGCAACTAGAGGTGGGGTCAGAGGCGATCCCGCCGGCAGCTGTGTGCGGTCCAGTAGTGTAGTTTTCTTATGAGTAGGTTTTCGGAATGGGCGGAATGGAATTGTGTGATTTGCGTGTGGCTTCGGAACGAGAAGTTTACGGTTATGACAACAAGTATGAGGCATACCGTAGTGTGGGCCAAATAATAATGTCTCCTTGATAGCAAAGACAGGTCCATGGTCACTGTATTTTGATAACCATATTGAACACATTTGCTTGACTATAATCAAAGTAATTTTCAAGTGGCCGCATTATTGAAGTGAAGATGATATATTGAATTGACGGTGATATCCGGGGGGACCTGCAACCTGCAATTAATTTCCGAAATGTAATCATGATGCATATCCTGTAGGCGGATTATGACCCAGCGATATTCTGGAATGAAACAAGGGTTGTTACCGTTGCTCTACTGTGTTTGTACTTTGAAAGTGCTCGGACAATTAGGTCATGGACGATTGTGGGGTCAATTTAGATTGTGAAGAACGTAGATTGTTCGATCTGCTCAGACTTCACATATCGAAATTGAAGATGCACAAACTTGAAGTAATGAGTCACAAGATGATCGAGCAGTCATATGAAAAAGGTATCATTGTGATTCTATCCAACCATCCAGATGCTCAATATCCAGGATCCTGCCCCGTCCTGTAGAAAAAGAATGAGATCATCAACCAGTCATGGCAACATCTCCATTCTCCTGGACCTCGCCGTTCTGTGCTTCAGCGGCCGGGTTGAGCTGGCTCAAGCAGCCGGGACAGTTATGGAGCACCATGTGGCAGAACATGTCGCAGTCGACGCAGAAGTGGCTTTCGCAGACCATGCATTCGTACCGCGAGCTCTCGCTGGCTTTTTGCTCTATTGATTCGTCTTCTTCCGGTTGGACCTGGGTGATGGCGCCGTCGGTGTGCGAATGAGGGTCGTGGTTGTGGGCGTCTGGTTCGCCGTTGGCGTCTTCGGTTGGGGGCTCTGGGAACTCGCAGAGACAGGCGGTGCATTCCAGGCTTTCTTTCTCGCGCGCTCTTTTCCAGCTGACTTCGCGCCAGTTGCGGAGGGGGAAGAGATGGTGGTAGCTTCGCGCAAGATGCGTCGATAGGAGAAGTGTAAGGGAACAACTGGGACATGTGGTTGGTAGACTACACACTTTGGCGCTGCATCTCGAACATGTATAGCCCCCCGTTGTAAGATTCCCGTGGCATGCGCACATTGTAGGAGTGTCTTCTACCACTCGGGAGGGAAATCCCATCATCATGAGCGCTGCGGATGATGCAGATTGTGCGGCATCTGCAGAGTTCGGATTCCGCACCACAGGAGGGGTTGTGGTTGCTAACAGGAGCTCGCGAAGCAGCTCCTGGTCTGTTGCAATGGTGTACTCGCTCTCATCACCGGCATTCGTACGGGCGACTATCTCCTGACAGATCTTGAGCCGCGCGCCCATCCCGATTATGCTGACACGTACGCGATCCCGGACGCATGACTTGATCGTCTTATGGATGTCGCCAGGGTCCAGCGAAAGCAACGAACCGAAGACTATGATAACCTCTCTTGTTCCATGGCTGGGTGTGTGGTATAGCGTAGCTCGTGCGAGTTCCAGGGCGTTCTGCAAGCTCGGCGAACCCTTGGGCTCCTTGGGTATTTCGTTGCTATTCTTGGGGAAACGGATGGCCTGTATCGCAGCGATATGGTCTGCTGGATTCCCAGAGAGCTCCGACACGCGAATGCTGAGGCCATCGTGCATGCCCAGGACGCTCATCTGCGAAATGGGATTCTGCTCAAAAAACTCCCGAACATAGTCTTGTGTGAATTTTATCATTGTGATGTATCGATTCGGCCGCATATCCTTCTCTGCCATAGCCTCGGAGAGATCCAGTACGAGGACGACATGTCGAATGATACCACGCTGGAAAGGTTTTGTATCTTTGCGTAATCTGTACAACCTTAGCTCTCTATCTTTCACCCGTATCGCATCTCTCGAGCTTGCGAATTCTGCCCTACCTTTTCCTCTTCCTTTCCTCCTCTCGCTCCTGTATGCTTTGTTGTATAGTCCCATCTTCGGCTTCCTCTACCGGAGCCTCGTACTCAGGACTACTTTCCTTTCTCGAAGACTCCCAAGCATTTCGTTTTCGTGCTGGCGCGGGCGCCTTGCCGTTCTTCTTCTTCGTCCTGGGCTCTTGTGTGCGAGGAGCTGGATCTCCCTTGCCGCCTAGGTACTCGTCGTCTGAAGCATCTTCCTCGTAGTCGTAGTCGGAATCGGCCATGCCCGTGGCTTACGGGGGCGTAGCAAGTTTGCGGTCCTGTGCCCTCGGGACCTCGCGACGATAAGCGACCGGACGATACACGTAGCGTGGAATGAAACAAATTGCGGAAACGCGGCGATCCTGGGTGCACAACTGCTGCTGGTGGTGGCGCGATATTATGTTGAGGTGGGCGAGGGAGGAAATATGTCTAGTAGGGTTGTTTGCGGGCTCGAAAGCGCGGTGCAGATGGCGGCGCGACCTTTCACGTTTGGATTAATGGGAGAAGGAGACAACGAGCAGGAAGCGAAAGGACGCAGTATGTGCATGCCTTTCCTTTCATCATCCAGCGTCGTCGCAATTGTTAGTGCTGGTATTTGATAATGACATAGTCCAAAGGTATGAGGTTGAGGCGCGGAGACCGACTAAATCGAGCGAGACGGGTGTGCACGTGATCGGATTGGTAGTTGATCTTTATGCGTTGATTATACATCGAATAGAACATGTGATAGATGTACAATGTATTTCTTTTCGGAAATCCCATCTTTATGTACAGACAATTCGCTTCCAGTGCCAGACTGTCGATCGTTCTTGCAAAGTTTCCCGAGCAAATAACTTAGTCTATTTCTACAGCATCACTTCAACATGCAGACAGTCTAGCTCTGCTGCATGTATTTGCAAATCACCGGTCAACTGTTTTGAAGTTATACAGACATTTTTATGTATATATGTGCGTGATAAAGTATATATGTGATAGCATACCGCTCATCCAAAATAGAAAGCTCAAACATGGTATACGCTATGCTAGCAAATAGCAAAGATTCATGAAACATTACAACTAGACCTCTCACCCCATTACATTACTCGCCCATTTTTTGTTTTACTGGTACGATCCCGAACCAGACATACCTGGCATTGGCCAGTCATCTTCGGTGATGCTTGACCAGAAGAGCCAGATGGTCACTACAGCAAGTAGTGTGAAAAGAGTCTCGAAGAGTCCTCCGTTGATCTTTCCATTTGAGCCATTGCATATGTGCACGCTGATGACATATTGGAAGATTTGGCCTATCGCAAAGAGTAGAGCGGCGGCGGCAAGGTACACTGACATTGAGGTTAGCATCTTATTCTTGATAAGATTGATAGAAGTATGACATACTCATAGGTTTCCTCTCTCCCAAGATTCGAAGGACTAGGAAGGCTTCCAAAAGGAAGAACACGACGAGGAAGACGAGGGGCGCAAGCTGATAGAGGGTGTAAAGCGCATAAGCTTGGTTCGATCCAGTCAGAGTGTCGTCCCAATATCCAGTCCAGCTGAAGCCGGTGTCCAGGGCAATGTATCCTGTCCCAACGAAGAGGATGGCGGCAGAGACGAGAATGAGGCCGAGAGAGACGGGGGTTCCGTCATCCAGCAATTGGTAGCCGACTATGCCATTGAGCATTAGAATCCAGAGGGTTGCGACAATTGCGGCAATGTGAATGGCGCTGAACGCCTTCCTCACACTCCCGTTCAATGGGAAACCTCCAACGGTGAAGATCTCGCAGATTTCGATGATGATAAACCCGATGAGGAACAATTGGATCTCCCTGTGTGCCGAATTAGCCTTGGTCCCCACGACTTCGATGAGCCGATCCGTACCTGCGTCCCACGGCAGCCTTTTTACGCTCCGATCGCCATAGCAGCAACCCTGATATGACGATGGCAATGCCACAGAGGATGATAGACCCTAAGATTGGTTAGCGCCAACCCAAGACTCCCATGAAGAAGAATGCGAACCCAAATTTGCGAGGTTTTTATCTCCACTCAATGATATGCCCGTCAAGTCGCATCCACCCCATCCGTTTCCACCGCGTGTAGGAGATTGGCTGAAAAGCTATGCGACGTGTATCGTTAGTATGTTGGGACGATGATGGTACTATGAGGTAATAGGGGAGGAGGGTCGCGACATACGTTACACACTGTGAGGTGGTTAGTAGAGAACATTAACGATCAAAAGATAGTATCTCGTCAGAGAGCGAAAGGACTTACCTGGTAATGTGGAATGCTGACTTCCGGTGTCGCGACAGAAGTCGTGGAATTTTCCATACTGGTTCGGCATGGCGACGACTCGGGCTCAGGAGACACACCCGTTGCTGTGGGCGCGTAACCTCGTGAGGTCGTGAACGAAAGGCAGCGATACGGGGTAATTGAATGCGATGCGATGATGAAGGCGTATCGAATGCGACGTGTGAACGAAGGCGGTTTGTTCAGTGGGGTTGCTGAAAAGTCGAGAAAGGAAAAGGGAAGATGGGATGTGTGGAGCAGGAGTGGACGAGAGAGGCGCGATTGATTGATGATGTGTACCAAGGAGGCTGGTTTAGAAACGGAAACGGAAACGGGAAACCTGTTGGTTCGACTTGGTTGCTACGCACCAGCACACAGACACAACCCAGACAAGCAACAGGGGGACCCCAAGCCTCGCCTAGTAAACTACTCGTAACAGGATTGGTGTTGGTCAACTAACGATTGCGCACAGCAGCAGGAGAGATCAGAGATGATGGGCAATGGTCGAGCTAATTATGTGGCGCACTGCAGGCCAAAGGCGAGGGCGAATGTGAGTGCGATTAGGATATGATACTTGTACTCGTACTTGTACTCATTGCGACGTGGACGCGAAGAACGAGACTTGTGTTGCCGTGTCGCGCCAGGAGAGGAGAGTAGGGAGTGTGTGTGAAGGGTTTGAATTGTTACAAGTAATTATTCACGAGACACTGTATAACAGTATAAGAGAGGAGAGTACAGCGGAGTAGAGTGTGAAAGAAGGACCTTGGCCGCTTGCTCGATGCGTCTTCACTTCAGGTGATTAGCGGGCCTTTATTCACAAGTCCTGCTTCAACAAGACTGACTGTCTGGAACTAATAGTCACCGTACACAGACTCACAGCCCAGTCCTGTACGACGGACACCCAACGACGGCTTCTGCTTTGCAACTGGGCTCTGAAGGGCGACAAAAAACCTTGCTTTTCTCTTTACAACATCCCGGCACATCACCCATCTCGCGCTTCTTCCATCCCCGAAGCAGAATCAAGCAAATGAGGGCTCTTACCCAATCACATCGTCTATGCAAACATGAAACGTCTTGGGGGGCCGGGGGCAACATCTCCTATATTTGGCAAGTCGGTGCTATTATATCAAGATACTGTGTAGGTAAAAGTAGGGCCATGCTGCATGCACATGACAGTCAGACCGACAAGCAGACAGGACAGTCTACTAATCCACTCCACTGCACTCCACGGGCCTTTGCACACTGCATTCTACCGCTCCACTCCGCTCCGCCTTGAAGAGATCTTGCATTCCTTCCTGCACGCCATTATTACTTGGAGCTACTGCGCGCCGCCCGGCAAGGCGAGGCTTGGGTAAGGCACTGTTCACAACAGGAGGGGGTGAGGTGTTGATGACAGGCACGCATTATGATGGTCCATACCACATATGCGCAATATTGATAGTGTGGGTTACAGTGCCTTATGGAGCAAATATCCCTCTAACATTGCCACAACATGTACGGCGTAGATACTACATGTTGCACGCTGTGGAATCTCAAGTCAATTCCTGTCAGTCGTGTACGAGGTCACTGCAGACTGTTGCAGATTGATGCCTTGCCAGCAGCATCCACCCACTGGTTATTTGCCTTTTTCTCGTACTTGTACTGTATAAAGTGATGTGAGCACATCTACCGAGGTGTGCTGCAGAAACGAGAGGGTTTCCTTGTAGAATTTGGCTTACCGAGTTTGAAGTCGTAGAAGACGAGGAGGATCCCCGGCACAGTATTTGGGGGCTGTCATGCCGAGATGCCAGCTTCGTGAGACTTGAAGCAACGCAAGCAATCAAGGAGACAGTGTCGGAGATAGTCAATTATGTGCAATTGATGCTTCTGTTCTATGAAGTGCATTCACTGTAATTAATCAATGGCATGTTCGATTCTTGTTGGGGCAAAATAATACAATGATGAGGCCGTATAATGAAATATAATGCATCCATGCAGTGCCTAAGTTGTGCTTAAGTCAAATCACCAATCCTTGTTCAGTTATCAATGGCATGACTCTAGCGAGATGAGCATCTTCGAGGTCAATGCAAAGAATCAGTGCACTCTGTACGAATCAGGCCGTCGATCATACCAAATGTGCAATCACGATTCACGACTACAATTACTGCAGTTGAGTCTCAACTTGTACAATCACACCCACAAAGTTCCTATTCACGCTTGTACTTGTAGGCATCTGCTATGCTCCAACATCTACACAACGCCCACCCTCGGTCTTGCAATGAGTGACTGCATCTCGGAGTTGGGAGAGAGAGGTTTCAAGGCCGAACCTACACAGTAAGAGCTCCTCGGGTAACTACAGGTCTCTGTGATGTGGTTTGCTTTACCGACTGAAGATATTTGTACTCGTAGATGCTTCCTATCTACGGAGTATGATGCGAGTATCTACTGTGTACGCCGTACTTTAGTATGTATCGTTTACCACGGCGGGTATTCCATACCAAAGTTCCAACGCATGCGACGTCCACGTGAGAACCTATCGTGACCACCGCAAACTGGCAAGGGGGAAGCACGCACACACGCCGTGACGCCCATGTTCAACATTTGTTGTCTCTAAACCCTTCTCGTCCTCAAAACCGTACTACTGTCTGCCTAGTGACGTCGTTGGGCAGATAGCACACACCCATACCTCATCAGGGCGCCGCTCGTCCCGCTTCAAACTGTCCACCGCAATCGTGAGATTCTCGTAGACCATTACTGTGTAGTTATTACTGTGTAGTTCACCACCTATCAACTCATAGGTAATTGCTGGAGTTGTGGGGATCGATGGGTGCAGACTCCATACTATCCCCAGCACCCCACCTGCTTCGAAACTTCGAACAATGTTGATTCATCAAGCTTATGACACTATCAAGGTCAGTAGTCAGAGGTCATAGGAGTAGATACGGGTTTCACATGGGAGGCGCAAATGATAGACATCCTCCGAAGGCAGACAGATACACATTTCATCATGAACCGGTGCTGCTCTGTCATGTTCGCGGGTTACACATGCTTCTGCAATCTATCCTATCAACCTCGTCTCAGAGCCCACCGCCCTCCATCCGTCGCCCCTGTGTAGAATAGGCTGACCTGCCACTGCCGGGCTATGTTGCAGGCCATTCCATTTCATCCTGCGGTGGAAGCGTAGTTGTGGAGTGGGTTGGTACGATGTGGGCTACAGGTACGATCAGCGTCAAAGAATTAACAAGTATTCCGCCTGCTGTACGCGCGGAGTACTTATGAGAGGTTATACTATTCCATTACGGTCAATGTCGTACGCACAAGAGATCTGTAGCAATTTATTAGGTAGTGGGGGGAAAGATCGAAAGCAGAGTGACGATCAACGTGCATTCATTCATGGCCGCAACCGCAACTGCGACGTTCACGCTTCCTCTTTGTAGGCTACGAGTATTAACAAATCTCTCTTATCGACCCTTTCCCCCAATAATAATCGCTCAATCAATTGGTAGCACGAGTACGGAGTAGTGCGAGGATATCTTTATCTACACGCACAAACTACTGTCCAAAGTATGATGTACCTACAGTACGTACTGGCTGATACACCGCTCGGGCCGATGTCATAGCGAGGATAATGGGAAGAGAGGGTCTTCTTGGCAGGAAGCTGACCAGACGGTGCCAGGGAAGAGGAGCAACATCAACGATCACCTTTCCTGGTCTTGTTCTTATCCTCTTTCTGTGCCCGTCCCAACTTGTCTAGGTATATGCATGCTTAGCTACTCGTACCTAGTTTCCTACTTCAATGTGACTTTACCGCTGCTTCCACAACTCCTCCACCAATCCTGAATACGATACTGGCCCGGTGACGTGCCGCCGTGCTGCTGCTGCATCTTCTTTAGAGTCAGGGCTGCTCTCCAAGGCCCGACTACTTTCAATATTCCTTCCTATCCGAATTCTAGGAGGCCGGCCAATATTCCCCTCCACACCTTATCCTCTTCGTCCTCACGAACACGAGACGCCGACTCGGCCTATCTCCTCGACGACCAAGACAAGCTCAGCGAACGGTCCTCGTTCGACACCCCATCCACCGACTCCGACCTCTCCGTCTGGAGTGATACAGGCGACCTCGTCGACCAACTAGCCGACCGAGAGGATCCTCTTCGAATTCGCCTACGAGAGTCACTCGACGGAGCTGCTCATCCTCCCAAGCATCGCCGCCAGCAGAAACGAGCTCGTTTCCAGTCGCAGGACGATATCAGGGAAAAGCCAGGTGGTATCCGTAAGGAGGATATCGAGATACCCGACCCTGGGCCACGTTCCATTTCGAAAGCAGAGAGGATACTTGCAACCATCATGGCACCCGGAGATGGACCGTCCCGTATCCACGGGCTGCACGGGAAGAAGCTGCTGTGAGTTTGGTATAAGCCCGCGATGATGGGGCGTACAGACTGACCCAATGCGACCAGCTATTTCACAAGTGTTTTTGTCTCATTAGGTGTATTTCTATTTGGATATGATCAAGGTGTAATGTCTGGTATTATCACGTACGCCTTTCCAACCCCTCTCACAGTCGATCGCGCCTAATCCTGTCCCATAGTGGAAACCATTTTAAAAACTATTTCAACCAGCCCACAAGCGCCGAATTGGGTACCATGGTGGCCATATTAGAAGTCGGCGCCTTTATATCTTCTTTGCTGGTGGGTAAGATTGGTGACATCCTCGGCCGACGTAGAACGATTTTGTACGGATCCCTTGTCTTCATCGTCGGCGGAGCTTTGCAAACCTTCGCAAATGGCATGCCAATGATGCTTCTTGGAAGAATCATTGCTGGTTTTGGAGTTGGTACCCTCTCCACCATCGTCCCGGTATACCAGTCCGAGATCTCGCCTCCTCACAATCGTGGAAAACTTGCTTGTATCGAATTTACCGGCAATATTACCGGTTACGCCGCGAGTGTCTGGGTGGACTACTTCTGCAGCTTCATTCAAAATAATTGGTCGTGGAGAATACCCCTCTTGATGCAATGCGTCATGGGCGCACTTCTTGCGGCTGGTAGCTTGCTCATTTGCGAGTCCCCAAGGTTGTATTCGGAATTCCTTGCACCATGTCACAAACTAACACTGCACCAGGTGGCTCTTGGACAATGATCACGACGAGGAAGGCATCGTGGTTATTGCTAACCTCTACGGAAAGGGCGATATCCACAATCCCAAGGCTCGAGACGAATATCGCGAAATCAAGATGAACGTGTTGCTTGGCCGACAGGAGGGTGAACGCTCGTATTCTGACATGTTTAAGCGTTACTCCAAGCGCGTCTTCATCGCCATGTCTGCTCAGGCGCTCGCCCAATTGAACGGTATCAATGTTATTTCCTACTATGCACCTTTGGTCTTCGAGGAGGCCGGCTGGTACGGACGACAAGCTATTTTGATGACCGGTATCAACGCCATTACCTATCTGCTCTCTACGATTCCACCCTGGTATGTTGTCGATACCTTAGGACGCCGAGTGATCCTGCTATCTGGAGCCGTGGCTATGACGTTGTCGCTCTCTGCTATCTCGTACTTCATCTATTTGCAGGCAAGCTGGACACCAAACTTGGTCGTTCTATTCGTAATGATATACAACGCCGCCTTCGGTGCTTCTTGGGGACCTATTCCATGGCTGTACCCACCCGAGATTCTGCCCCTCAGCATTCGCGCCAAAGGAGCAAGTTTGAGTACTGCAACGAACTGGGCATTCAACTGGCTCGTTGGAGAGATGACGCCCATCCTACAAGAGCACATTCAATGGCGTTTGTACCTGATTCACGCATTCTTCTGCGCTATTAGTTTTGTTATTGGTAAGTTGCTTGTGCTTCGCGCAACGCTGAAGAAACAATACTGACCGTAACAGTCTGGTTCATCTACCCAGAGACTGCCAATGTCCGTCTGGAGGACATGAACTCTTTGTTCGGAGATGCTACGTCTGTCATGCCCACCCCACAGACTTTGGCCGAAGCAGAGTCACTATTCAGTGGTGGCAATCGTTCCCCCGTGCCCTCGCTCGATATTCGATCTGGTCGTGCCGGACCCGAAAGTGCCATCCCTGGCCTCGACATTGAGCCTCCGGATGTCGAAGCTGGCAGCTCTTTACCCAAGGCCGAGGGCGAAAGCAGCGAGGGTCTTGGTGGCTGGATTTCGAACATTGTGAAGAAGAACAAGGGAAAGAAGGATGGCGACAGTTCAGGCGGCAAATACAAGCGTGTGGGACAGGACGATGATGAGTGAAAAGCCATGCATGCGCGCATATACTAATGATTTCGCATTTTGGCCGCGACGTGCCACGATATCCTTTTTCCTAGCCACAGTTTCGTCATATAGAAGGCTCACATTTGTGAATGATTACAGGGGCGGTTTGTGCCTACAATATACAAAGGGCTGGCATGCCAGGCTAGCTTCCAACTATTATTTTATGCCTATGAAGGTATAATCGCGAGAGATTAAGACTGTTATTATAGGTAGCTACAGTATACACTTGAATAGCTACTTCAGATATGGAAGATACATGAAGCTAGCAGGTGGCCCGGCCTGATGTGCTAACCCTCAGCAACTGACTGATAGTTGCACGTGTAAGTATGGCAGCATCGTTATAACTTATGAGCATGTCTTTATTCAACATTGTAACGCACAGAAGAGTAGAAGTGAAACAAAAGACAAATCTGCAGTTACCAACTTACCCCATCATCCCTTTGGTAGAAAATGTGAATGTGCCTTGCCTCGGTCGCCCCCTTCAAAGTTCAGCTCGCAGCCTCGTAAGCGGCTGTCGGTCGTAGATGCCAGTTGTCTGTCCCAAACTCCCGTCCCACTCTGGCATAGCGTCCCGCCCTCACCCTTACTTCTATTTTGGTCCCTCGAAAGACCTCCTGTCCCGCCGCACTGCTTCTTCTGCGCAATAAATCTTTTTGATTGAGCTGTTCATTCAAGTCTTCAATGACTGGCACTTCTATTACGCCTTTCTAATTCACTTTCTCTTTCCTTCACTTAACGACAGGCTAGCTTCATCGCCCCAGGATTCAGCCCCCAGGCGATACTCCGCAGCCCACCCCCCCGGTTGATCGTACTCCCTTTTAATACCAACGCTCGCTCCATCCTCAACTCGTCAACAAAACCCACGTCCGAATCGTTTTCCAGCGTAGATCGCCATTCAATATGGCGTCCACGGCGCACACAACCGGTGCCAATGGCAATGCCGAAGAGCTCAGGAGGAGAAATGTTGCACAACCTACTGGACCTTACGCAGCGAAGGCTCCAGAGACGGAGAAGTCAAAGGAAAAGGTAGGCTACCCTGGTCATTCAAGCACATGAAGGACACATTTGGTTTGCAACCTGCTCTTACCACTTCATTTGTTGCTTGAGCATTGCAAGTGCAAGGCAACACATGGCGAAGCTGGCAAGGTGCGATTTGTGTCAGCTCAGGCGGGCTTGCTACGACTCGAAACATCGTACGAACCTTTTGATCAATATGTCGATGGCTAACGCAGCATGATAGCCCTTCACCGTTTTGGGTGCTATAGATGACTACGAATTCATCTGGGCACCGATACTTTTCACCGCCCTTGCCTTCTTCACGCGCATGTGGAAGATTGGCTTGTCTCCCATCGTTACGTGGGACGAAGCTCAGTATGTAGCATTCCGACAAATCTCTACTACTTTCTAACCATTCACTTAGTTTCGGTAAATTCGGTTCGCATTACCTCAAGCGCGAGTTCTACTTCGATGTCCACCCCCCGCTAGGAAAGATGTTGGTTGGATTGTCCGGGTACCTCGCTGGTTACAATGGTTCTTTTGAGTTCAAGTCTGGCGAGACATACCCACCGGAGCTGAACTACACTTTCATGCGTGTTTTCAACGCCTGCTTCGGTGCTCTATGCGTTCCCGTAGCCTACTTCACCGCAAAGGAGCTCAACTTCCGTAGGCCTACCGTCTGGCTCGTCACTATCATGGTACTCTTCGAGAACTCGTACACCACCATCAGCAGGTTCATTCTTTTGGATTCGATGCTGCTCCTCTTCACATTCACCACCGTTCTGTGCTGGGCCAAGTTCCACCGCCTCCAGCATGACCCATTCTCGCCTGAGTGGGGATTGTGGTTGATGTTGACTGGTGTCTCCATCGGTTGCGTCTGCAGTGTCAAATGGGTCGGCTTTTTCGTTACTGCTTTGGTTGGTCTCTACACCATTGAAGATCTGTGGAACAAATTTGGCAACTTGAAGATGCCCAAGGTATGTTGGAGTTCGATTTTCTTCAATGCCACGATCTGTGCATATACTGACAAACATAGGTTGAATTGGCCACACATGTGGGATTCCGTGTGTTTGGCTTGATCGTCATCCCCCTCGCCGTCTACATGTTCTCTTTCTTCCTTCACTTCCTCATCTTGGAGAACAGCGGTCCCGGAGACGCGCAGATGAGCTCCCTCTTCCAGGCGAACCTTCGTGGTACTGAGGTTGGTAAGGACAGCCCTCTTGAGATTGCGTTTGGTTCCCGCGCAACTTTGAAGAATATGGGTTACGGAGGTGGTTTGCTCCACTCTCATCACCAGACTTTCCCGGAGGGCTCCCAGCAACAGCAGATCACTTGCTACCACCACAAAGATTCCAACAACGACTGGTTCTTCTACCCCAACCGTGGCGAGGCTGATTACACCCCGGAGGAGGAGCTTCGCTTCCCAGGAAATGGCGACACCATCCGTTTGATCCATGCCCAAACTGGCCGCAATCTTCACTCCCATCAGATCGCCGCTCCTGTGACCAAGGCCGACTACGAAGTTTCCTGCTACGGCAACACCACCGTTGGTGACACCAAGGATCATTGGATCATTGAAGTTGTTCGTGATGCTGCTTCGAGGGATTACTCCAAGATTCGCACTCTTACCACTTCTTTCCGTTTGAGACATGCCGATCTTGGTTGCTACCTCCGCGCTGGCAACGTCAACTTGCCGCAATGGGGTTTCAAGCAGATTGAGACCACCTGTGTTAAGCAGAACAAGCCGCGTGATGTCTACACTCACTGGAACGTGGAGAGCCACTGGAATGAGAAGCGTAAGTATTCCATTCGTCCAACGTTGGATAGAGAAATGACTAACATGCATAGTCCCTCCTGGCGACCCTGGCTCCTACAAGTCTCCTTTCTTCCAAGACTTTATCCATCTTAATGTGGCCATGATGACTTCCAACAACGCTCTTGTCCCTGATCCCGATAAGCAAGACGATCTTGCTTCCAGCTTCTGGCAATGGCCTATTTTGCACGTTGGTCTGCGTATGTGCGGCTGGAATGACGATAGTAGGTGACTCATCTAAGGTTTAAAAAGCTAAGCTAATCTGAAATAGTCGTCAAATACTTCCTTCTCGGAAACCCAGCTGTTTACTGGGGAAGCACTGCCAGTCTGGGAATTTTCGGTCTGATCGTGCTCTGGTACCTCGTCCGATGGCAACGTGGTTATGACGAGTTGAAGCAGGCCGACATCGATCAGATTCATTACTCTGGTCTTTACCCCGTTATCGGTTGGGTGCTTCACTACATTCCATTCGTCGCTATGGGACGTGTTACCTATGTTCACCATTACTACCCCGCTCTCTATTTCGCCATCTTGACCGCCGGCTTCTGTATCGATTGGGCCACAAGGAAGCTCAACAAACAAGTCAACTGGATCATCTTCGGTGCTTTGTATGTTCTTATCATTGGACTATTCTGGCTGTTCCGCGCCCTCTGCTTTGGTATGGAGGGATCAAGCACACAATGGCGCCACCTCAAATGGTTCAGTTCCTGGAGGATGACGGATTAAACGCTATGAAATCCCCCAAAGGGCACGGCGATCCTTACCCGGCTTATCGCACCAATATGTTCAGCGTAATCACCTCTACATACGCTTGCACATCTAGCCGCGGGGCAAATGAAGAAGATGAGAGACTACGTACTTGGTCAGGCCTTTGGAAGGATCTGTCTCCGGAATCGCACAATTTTTGACCTTCTGTATGCCATGTAACAACATTACTACACCCCCTTTACTCACTCTCCACCTCCCCTTTCCTCCTTTTTTCTTCCTTTCCGATTTTTTTTGCAGAGTTACATCTTAGGGAATATGGTAAAAATCATCATGTCTTAGAAATGTTTCCTCAAGCTGGGCTAAGTGGGCGGCGGCTTGTTAGCGAGTCCATGTTCACAAACATGTTTCTCCTTTTTCATCTAATTGACTGTAGGCATTCGGCTACAGTCACTTAGAACGATAGGTGGAATGTCAATGGCCAGGTCAGGGGCCTGGTCGATCGACAGTCGAGTAGAGAATGTAATGATTGATCAGTAAACCAATTGCAGACGTGATCCCATTTTAGACCCTATGCTTGTGCCTGTCTTTGGTCCAGGCTTGCTTGAACACAGAGGCACAATTCCTTTCTGGCTCGATACTGACACTACATAGACTCTATGGAGGAAAGCTACAATGCGGAAGCGTCGATAAACTGAAGCGCATATGACGTAGTTATGGAAATGCTCGTTGCCAAGACATCGAACTTACGAATTGCCACACTCCGATATCCTCATTCGATCCAATACTAATCGCAAAATCAAACACATTGTATACAATAGACTTGCTGCAAACGGCTTGCAACGAATGAGCAGGATTTGTTCTGATCAAATCGCCCAAAGTTGCTGCTAAACCCTCGTTCGCAGCAACGACAGTTGGATGCTCAGAGCATCTTCACGCCACATCACGACCATCATGGCCCAGGAACAGCAAAAACGAAACATTGTCATAATCGGCGGTGGAATAATAGGCTCCACGACCGCCTACTTCCTATCCCACCATGAGAAGTTCAACCGCGAAAGAGATAGCATAACCCTTCTGGAGGCGACCAAGATCGCCGGCGGGGCATCAGGCAAAGCAGGTGGTCTTTTAGCGGTAACCTATCTCCCCCCATGTATCAAAAGACACGCCATAAAAAACACATATACTGACCACGATACATCCAGAAATGGGCCTACCCAAGCTGCATAGTGCCTCTAAGCTACCGCCTGCACCAAGAGCTCGCATCAACCCACGCCGGCTCCTCACGCTGGGACTACCGCGGCGTGAACTGCGGCCAGCTCGACACGAAAGGTCGCCCGCCATCCAAGACGCCCAACAACGCACTCAACCTCAACAAGGATTCCGTCTCGCTGCAGAAGCGGTCCGAGAAGGCGCTCGGCCTGCTGCGCGCCGCGGGAGTGCCCGACGACCTCGACTGGGTGCAGGCGGACGGCATCGCCGCGTACGATGAGATGGGCGATCCTAGCACGACGGCGCAGGTGCATCCGTTTAAGTTTACGACGTCCATGGCTGATCTGGCTGAGGAGAAGGGCGTGAAGGTCGTGTTTGGCTCTGCGAAGGAAGTGCTGCAATCGTCCTCCACGGGTAGTGTCGAAGGTGTAAAGTACACCGACAAAGCGACCGGCGAGGAAAAGACCCTCGAAGCCGATACCGTAGTACTCACAGCCGGACCATGGACTCCAATTGTTTGGCCGAAAGCGCCTATCTCGGCGCTCAGAGCACACTCCGTCACGATTACGCCTTCTAGGCCCGTCTCTGCGTACGCGCTGTTTACGAGCATCGATCTGCCCAAGGCGGGTGGGAAGAGGAGTCATACGGTGACGCCGGAGATCTACGCAAGACCTAACAACGAGGTGTATGCTTGCGGCGAGGGGGACCAGTACGTTCCGCTACCCGCATCGACGGATCTCGTCGAGGTCGATGAGGGCAGGTGTCAGGATATTGTGGATCAGGTCACGAGTATTTCTGAGGAGCTGAGAGATGGCGAGGTCACGGTGAGGCAGGCGTGTTACTTGCCGAACGCGACGAGGGGTGGTGGTCCGTATATTGGGGAGACGAAGACGAAGGGCTTGTTTATAGGGGCGGGGCATACGTGTTGGGGCATACAGAATGTGAGTTCTTGCTTGGATGGAGGACATTTGTGATAATGATACTGACGAGTCTGCCAGGCACCAGGAACAGGGAAAGTTCTTAGCGAAATGATTTGGGATGGGAAGGCGAAGAGTGCAGATTTGAGCAGTTTGGACCCGAAGAGGTTCATGTAAGCATGTTGTCTGGACGGACGGTGTGCATAGATGTATCAATGGATTGAAAGATGAAGATTGATTAGGGGGTATCAACGTGTTATGCCTAAACGGCGTATAACGGAAAACAGTCCATGTGCGCCTGTAAAGAAGCTGTATGTACTATTCTGTGACTTGTGGGAGGGAAGCTCAGTCATCTCTTCGACGTGACTGGTAGGGCGATCGACTTCTGTCTCGGTGACGATCCCGCGAGCGCGGCCGCTCATCATCCAAGGGCCGCTCCCTTCTCCGATGATGGCGCGAATCAGGCTCCCTGTCACGACTCCTACTTCGACGTCTTTCCCGCGCACGGTCTCTTTCCCTAGATCGATGCCTACGTCGATCGTGTTCGTCATCCCTATGCCTGTGTCGCCTGCCCTCGCGTGACCTTGATCGGTCTCTCCGTCTTTCGTGCCCGTGCCTGTGGTTTGAACGACTCCTTGACCTCCGCTTCCTCCTCCTTCTTTCGTCTTCTTTGTCTCTATCTCCTCGATCTCTCCTTGAGCGGTGTCGATCCTTCTTCTCATCGTCCTTGTCAGGCTCCTCCTCCGCATTCTTCTCGAGCGCTTTATCGACATCCGCTGCATGAGCCTTCTCGCCCAACGGTGTAAGATTCGCATTGGTGCTGGCACGTTCCGGAACAGGCAGTCCCATAACCCTCAACATGGCGTCTTCCTCCGCTTCCTTGAGTTTGCGCTTCTCTTCTTTGATGATGTCGGCCTCGCTCTTCTCTCCTTCTTCACCATCTCCGCCTCGGGCATACCAGTTCAGGTCTCGTCCTTTCTGCCACCGGCCGACGGGCGCCATGAGAGAGTGGCCGAGATAGTTCTCGCGCTGCGAATCATTCTTGACATCTTCCCACTTGAACTCGTTCCGCCCGCCACTTTGCATCTATTAGTTTCTAGTTCCTGCAAATCAGATCAAAGAAGAAAAGCTTACCGACTGCCTTCCTTGCGTACTGTCTGTACAAGATCCATGATTGTTGCTGTATAAGGTGCAATTGCGGAGAAATACTAGTCGGCACGGAGGTGTCGTCAAGAAAGTTTGGAGCTTGGACCACCATCTTGGCGCGCATCTAGTGGGGAAGCGTATTGTCACTTCAACATTAGATGGTAGCTCGCCGCGCGCTGATTTCACGATTGTGACTCGCCATTGCATGCGAAGATGTCGCTCTTTAACAACCCTGCTCCGGATGAGCAGATGTTCTATGACCCCGATGCCTTCTACCGCGACGTGAACTTCGGGGAAACGATCAATTCCGACAATGTGATGTGGTACTTCTCGCGGTCGCCCTGGTACGACCAACAATCGAACAATAACGCTTTCATTCTGCAGACCGCGGGCTTGGATATCAACGAGAGGAACGCGATCTGGCAGAACCGACACAACTTTGAGCGCATGCTCAGCAGCAGATTCCCACTGGGCATACAGTACGTCGTCACTGGAGAGGCACAAAGCCCCGGCCAGCCGTGGGTTATACAGAGGCAGAATCGGGTGAAAGAGATTGAAGATGATGGCAGTGAGGTCACTCGCACATATGTAGAGGCGGTTTACTATGTGGTTGGATTTGCCATATTCATGGCGCCAAGTGTGGGGGACATTATACGGTCACGACTCGTAAGTACTATCAAGATTATAGCGCTGAACTCCGCTGACAATATCACTAGCAAACAATTTCCACTTCTCTTCAGGATATCTTTGAAATGGGTCTAAAACTGGACAGCTTCACACCCTCGACTGGCCATACATACATACCTTCCGACCTGGAGTCCTCCAAACAACAAGCGGCTGCAGGGTCGTTCAGTCGCGCCGGCAGTGTCGTCCCGTCCGAAATCGACTCCTCGCAAAATGCAAATACACAATCTGGCGGAGATGCAGAAATGACTGAATTCTCCGACGATCTCTTCTTGCAGTCACTAATGCTCACAACGAGATACGGGAACGAATACGCCGACGAAAACCCTCTGCAAGGTGAACCTGGATCTTTCGTTTTCACAAACACAAACCAAGCAGTCGAGGCCAGAAACAAAGCACAAGCAGCTGCCCAAGCCAACACTGCAAGCATAGCAGCAGCAGCCACATTGAAGCAAGCCGAAGCAGAGAGCATCGCCAGTGTAGCACCGACGCCCAAACCTCCGCCGCCTGAAGCAGTATCCCGGAAAGGTAGCATCTCCAGCCTGCCCAAGGCCGGCAAAGAGAAGAGGAGGAAGAGCAAGGGATTGGCAAGCCCGATTAGTCCGCCGGGTGCATGAAGCGATCGTCTGTTAGCGTTTTTGATATAGTTATCCTTTATTGATACCCGGTCTTGCGATATATATAATGTTAAGCTCACGCAACACTTTTGGCCTCTTTTGCTTTTGACTTCTACTCTTGTGCATATCTCGAGTGACGCAAGTATAGCCTACTTGATTTGCATACTCATCTCACCTTTCAGCTCGCTTTCTCGTCAAATTTCATAAGTTAGTAAAGGGTCGCCTCGATCATGTCACTGAGGCAGTAACACATTGCGAACAAATATTTTCCCGTGATATCCTCTTCTCGTATACAAACACTTCGCCAACACATTGTCAGTGCTCGTCTGCAATAGCCCGACCTAGTTCGTGACGCCTTAACCACGCCGCCGCTCCACGATACCTCAGTGATGACTTCAATCTCACCACAACAAATAGTACGACCATTCCGCCATCGAATCTCTTTTACCTCACCTACAGCTACCAGATAGCCCGGGCCCCACTTTTACAGGCCAACAGTTTCGCAATCTCCCTCGCTTATCTCTCGCTCTCTCTCACTTTACTCTCATTCTCTCGCCTCCAAGCCTCGCTCCCCAGACATGCCTCCACCAGATTTTGCAGGCGCCCTGTCCGACACCTGAAGTCACAACAACACAAGTGAAGGCAGACCCAACATGGAACCTCGTCGTCGCCCATGGAGACCAGATATGGCGTGCTCTCGGCCAGCCAGGCTCCGCGCTCCGTGTCCCCCAGGAGGTGGAGGTATAAAGGTCAGCTCTTCGCTCGCACTTTTCCTGTTCTTCTTTTTCCTTTTTCTCCCCCTGACATTTCCGTTCAGTTTCTTTTGTCGTTATTTGACGCAAAAGAAACCAGAAGCTAATGTCCAGCAGGCAGACAATGATCCCCGGATCCACGTCCTCGACGTCCTCCGCCTCGCAGGCGCGCGCTCGAACTCCCACCTCCTCCGGTGGTGATAACGACACCGACAGCAGCAGCTGTCAAGCTCACGGAACGCCCTCGAGGCTTCGCCGAATCGGCACCATGCTCGCTCGACGAGCTCATTTTGGTGGCCACAAAGGTATGTGTCAACCATTCCCCTCTACTCTTCTCTCTCCATATGTGACGAACATGTTGACTGACACCTCAAGCAACCCTGGACTTGATGTCCTTCCCTCGCGAAATTCGCGACCGCATCTACGAGCTCTACCTGAGAGAGCAGAACGAGGAACCCCACCTCCGCATCTTTGGTCCTGTACCCCCTCCTGGTCTCCTCCGAGCAGGCTCACCAGCAAGAACAGACAGATCCACCACCTCCACCTCCACCTCCTCCTCCTCCTCCTCCCTCCTGTTCCCTCCACTCCGCCGCGCCCAAGCGGCAGGAGTCAGACTCTACCACCGCCTCACCCCGTCCTGCTTCCGACCCAAGCTCCCGCCCATGGACCTCCAGAAGCGGGCAACCACACTCTTCCTCGTCTCCAAGACGATCCACGCCGAATCCAAAGCCATCCTCTTCCTCATCGCCATCGTGGAATCCGTCCCTCTCGCCCTCCGCCTCTCCCACACCCTCTTCAAGCTCTCCCACCCGACCCTCCCCTACCCAACCTACCAACCCGAGATGTCCCTCTTCCTCGCCCCGCGCTCAACCCACTTCGTCCACATCCGACACCTCAACATCTTCGTAACGCCGCACGTCATCCCGGACCTGACCAAGGTCCTCGAAGCGACAGAGCAAGACCCGCGCGACGCCGCGATGATCACCGCCAAACGCTTCGTCCGCTTCCGCGTCGTCCACCCGCGCGACCTCGCCCTCCACCGCACCTGGTTCGAACCCCTCCGCTACGTCGTCACGCACATGCTCAACCTCACCCGCCTCGTCCTCGACATGACGCACATGCAGTGGCCGTCCAGCGTCGCCGCCACGTACCCCATCCTGCGGAACCCGGACCCGGCCCTCGTGCCCGCCGCCTCCGTGGTGCGGCTCTTCATGAAGGTGGTGTCGAAGTTGAAGAAGGAGCGTGCGTTTTTGCTGACAGCCGCGAGCGGTATCGCGGACGGGATGGTGAATCTGAGTGGAAGGACCAGACATCGTGGCGATCCGGATGTTAGGCGCGGCATGTGGAATGGGCTTAGGGATGCGGTGAGAGATGATCCTGACAGTGCGGGTGATAGGAAGGTGCTTACCGTCACGTACTTGCTCACCGACGAGCAGATTGAGGAGCTGCAGACGCCTTCTTCGTCGGCAGCTGCTGGTGGTGGTGGTGGTGGTGATGCGTCGTCTTCGTCGCCGTCGAACAGAGAGGGTGTTCCTGATGTCCAGGTCGTCACGCACAGAGATCCGCACTTCGTTGAGCAGTGGGGTTATCGGAATTGAGGTTTCGACTTTGTCAGATGTGATGGATTCTGGTTTGTTCGTTTGTCCCGTTGACAGACCGCTTTTTGACGCTCAAGTTGCGTCCGACTGGAAAACACGACATTCTGCTTTGTTCTACCTTTTTTGTACATTAGCTGGGAGGTCAGTCTCTTTGTCTTTTTCTTTTTGTCATGATACCCAAAAGGCCGGGTTGTGGCCGTTGATTTTGAAGCCTTGAGCCAGTTTGAAGAAGAAGACTTCGCTGAGTTTGAGACGTCTTTTGAGACCCATTGAAGAAGGCATAGCACACTTGAAGGCACAAGTCATAGGACCCGTCTGGAGTCAATAAGGCATGTAGAATATCATCAATGCACTGCTTCCTTCGTTCTTTCCACAAACCTGACAAACCTGAATGACCACGCACATGTTGAACACTCCAAACGTACGACTGACTGGCAGGGCTGGAAGGACTGCATTTGAGAATATCTACTACTACCTACATACATAGACGAAAGGCTACCTGATGGCAGATTGCTATCATCATCAAGACTGATGGTCCAGGCATATCACACTTCAGATGCAAGTTGTGGACAAGAGTTTGAGTGGGTAAATCCCGATAGACCACAGCTATGCTGTGAAATCTACCCGACGGATACGAGTCTTGACTAAGCTAATCATCCCTATGAAAATTTTTAAAGTAAGTTGTGTCGTTCTTGTTAAACATCCCAAGCAGAATCCTTGAAAACCCAGCAGCCCCATGTGGCCAAAATGCATGTGGAAAAGCTTCTTCGCCCAGCCGCCGAAGACAGTTTGTGTTGTGAAAATTTGCCCCAGCCGACCAATGCATTCTTGTATAATGTCCCACAATGCTCCTTGAGATGAGTTGAGAGAGAAGAGAGTTTTGTAACAAAGGAGATACCAACGAGGGCAAAATCAGCTACGGTAGAAAGGTAGAGAGGTGAAAGGAAAATGGTATCTCTAAAGCTACAGACTTCGGGGTAGGACGGGTTTGGTAAAGATTCTTAGGTTCCAAAGGTGTTAAAAGGGTTTATCGTTTCAAAAATATAAGGGAAAAGGAAATAAAAGAAAGGGATGATGAGTTGTCAAGACTACAAGTGGAGGTCGTTCCAACCTCCAACCCACTCCAGGTCACCGATGTCGTCGTCGTCAAGGTGACTCTGGTGTTGGCGCCAATCTTTGCTGGTGAACCACTGGTCCTTTCGCTCCAAAAGGCCGTTAATATTTTCGTGACTAGGGCCCCAGTGGATCGGTCGACGCCAGCTACCAGTCCGGCTCCGCTTCCGGGCGGAGTTGGGGGTAGACTGGGTCTGTTTTGGCGACTTTGTTGCTTTCTGAGGTGTCGAAAGCGGTTTTGATTGTTGATATTGGTCATGATGCTGGCCACGTCTGCGGTTACCAAGCACCGCCCACTTGTCCATGATGTCCTTCTTGGAAGGCGTCGTATGCTTGGTAGCGGTGACGACGTGGTCCTCGAAGATGAAACCCGTCTGCTGGCTCACGTGCTCGGCTGCGCGACGATTCTGAGGGGAACGGCTCCTGCTGTTGTTGACCATGGCAGGGTTCTTGAGCTCAGAAAGGCCGCCGCGAGGGGTCGACACGCCAGAGGTGCTCTCGCGCTGATCAACCTTCTCCTGCTCGAAGACGGGCATGGGCAGATAGTTGTTCTCAATCTCGGCGAGAGCTTGCTCTTCCTCTTCCTCGTCCCAGAGATCGCTCCAGCTCTTGGAGATGGCATCACGCTTGCCAAACACAGACGCCATGCTGTTGAAAGGCTTGACGGGAAGCGAGCCGGAGATGGGCATGGGCTTGGAGCGAGCAAAGTTGATGGGCTCATGCTTGCTGTTGTCGATGGACTTGAAGGACAGACCCAAGCCGGAGTCGACGAAGGAGACATTGGAGGCGTTGTCTGGCTTGATGTCGTACCAGCCATGGCCCGACGGGATGGAGCTAGAGAAGAGGTCGTCCTCGTAGATCTCGGTGTCCGGGATGGCAGACAGTTGGCGGATCTGCTGGGGCGGCGACATGGCGAGAGCCTTGGCCCATGGGAAGGAGCCACCTTGATCGAGCTGAGGAGTGGAGATCGAGGGAGTGCGGAGGGGCTCGCGGTTGGCGCTGGCAACAACGGGATCGCTGTCGTCGGTGCAGAAATCATCGAGGATCTCGTCGTCGGTGGTGAACGTGACGACGCGCTCGAGAGCCTCGCGGATCAAGGCAAGGCTGCGCTTCTCCGGGTCGATTGCCAAGCAGTGAACCAGTACCTGGTAGGTGTCTTGAGAAAGGTTGGGGAAGACATCAAAGAGGGACTGGCGGTCCAATGCGAAGTCCGCGTACAGCGGGTCCGAGGCATTGGGAACGGCAAAGGGGTTGCGGGAGAAGAGCACATTGAGCAGGCAGATGCCGATGGCCCAAATGTCTGCCTGTGCAGTAGAGTACCCGGTAGAGGGGGGATCGTACTGCTCGGGGGCCATGTAGCGGTCGCTGCCGACAGCAATCTCGTAGGACCAGGCATCCGAAGTAGCAAGGCCGAAGTCGCCGAGCTTCATGGAACCATCGTGGGCGAGAAAGATGTTCTCTGGCTTGATGTCGCGATGGTAAACGCCCATGGAGTGGGTGAACTCAATGGCGTCGACGAGCTGAAGCATGAAGTCGCGGACGTGCTCGGTCTCTAGGGGTCCTTTGGAGAGGCGGATGGCCTCGTACAAGTCGCCATTGGAGCAGAACTCGAGGACGAGATAGATGTGGTTCTGGGTCTCAAAAGATTGAAGCAGGTTGACGATGTTGGGATGAGAGCCAATGCGGAGGTGGATGCCAAGTTCCTCAGAGCGTTCGTCAACGGCGAAGGCCGAGGGGCAGTTGCTGGCGGCAGTGGACTTGGTGATGACCTTGATAGCAACGTGTTCACCGGTTACAAGGTCCTTGGCCTGGAAGACCATGCCGAAGGAGCCATGGTTGAGTGGAGAGATGGTTTCATACCGTCCGTTAAGCACAACACCCTCGTGAAGCTGGTTGCGCATACACTCCATTGGTGTTGATTGGAGATGAAGATATGGATACAGCTAGCCGGGGGAACTTAGGAGAAGGTCCGGGGGCAGAAGCTGAGAGCGGGCAGAAAAGAGGTAGTAACCGATGAACAGGAAATGGAGAGGTGCGCCGATGTATGTGGAGAGGTCGTAATCAAACAAGGGGTCGACGAAAGTCAGGCCCAGAAAGTCGATGATCTATTGCGCACTTTTAGGTGACGACAGAACTTCGGAGAAAGATAGCAATAAATGGAAAATATAGTGGTTGTTGTAAGTGGTTGGTTGATTGATTGATTGATTGATGGTGATGTTGATATGGTGGTTGTCGTCCGATCCGTGATGGGATGGTTCAAAGGTGTACAGACCGGGTTGATGTCGTCAAAGGTAAACAGGCTGCAGGTTGCAGAGTAGGCCGCTCCAAGTAATTCGATAAAAGCTTAATAAAGGAAATGATGTCGTCGGGAATATACACAAGGGGTCCGTCGACTGGTAAAAGACAAGGAAAAGGTCAAGAGAGTGTGATGCTCATTTGGTGTATTAATTTGTTTGTTATGGATAACCCGAATCAACGAGCGGTTGGAAACAGAGTGTATCGGGCGCCGGTGGTCCTGCGCGTCCGGGAAGCAAGAGATGGGAGATGAGATCGCTGCGTAAAAGAAGAGGAGAAGGTCGTTAAAGCGTTTAGGGACGTATGGCTCAAGCAGTCACGATGATGAGTCGAGAGGAGCTTGGGCCGAGGAAGCGTTGAGTCACCGTGGCAGACTCAAGGACGCTAGGAGGGAGGTGGATAGCAAGGCAGGTCGGACCTAGAGTACGAATCCGAGGGTGCTAACGGGTTGACCGGCTTTCACTGGTAACGAGGTTTGATGGCAGAGAGCGAGCACCAAACGGCGAGACCACGAAGCTGTGAGGTGTGTAGATGAAGGTAGAGTAACTGTCGAGTGGGTGGTATTGGGGCTTTTAGAGCATGGATGACGAAGCAGTAGACGGAGCTGAAGACGGAGTTCGGAAGATCAGCGTCGACGACGAGTTGCTACGATTTGCATCAATGTTTTGGAAGGCCGGACTCGATGGGATCTGGGGGAATGATGGTCGAGTAGGTTGTCGAAGGATTGTCGAGATGATCGAGGACTGATGAGACGAGACGGAGAGGGAGGAGAGTAGTAGTAGCTCGTCGGGGCTTGCAGCAGGAGAGGAGGAGAGTAGGCGGTTGCGAAGGGGAACGATGGAAGGAATGCGAGGAGGAGGAGGGAGTAGAAGAAGGAATGGAGGAGAGCGTTGCTGTTTGCGGCGACGGCGTAGGTGACGAAGTGAGGATTAGGACATAACGTGGTAGGAAGAGGAGAACGAAGCAGGAAGAGAGAGCGAGAGAGAGAGTGAGATGAGAGAAAGAGTGAGGAGGTATGGGCAGATAGATAACGGGACGGGATGTGAAGGTGCGAGATGGGATGGAAGGGAAAGGCGTGGGAGTCAGGCCGTACTAAATGGGGATGGGACGGCAGGGCAGGACAAGACTCCAGAGGAAGGCAGGACAAGACAGGACAGGGCAGGAGCGAGTGGCCATTCGGTGGTTAGGCAGGTGCAGTGCAGTGTGCAGTGCAGTGTGAGTTGGAGGGTGGACCGTGCATGACTCTCTTGGATGGAAGAGGGAAGGAGCGGCCTGAGGGATCTAAACTCTAGTAGGCAAGGTTAAGACTGGGATGAGGTGTGGGTGTGGTGGACTCGTAGCGTAGTGGAGGTGGAGTCAATGGGTGGACTTGTCCGTTGGCAGACGAGGTTGCGAGGGAGCGAGAGCGAGGTTGCAGGCGGACGACCGACAGCGACATCGAAGGCTACGAGTTTACGACGACGGACGACTACGACCAAGACCAAGACGAAGGCGGTAAGCAGAACAGACAGCGAATACTCACTAATCCCCCGAATCGACCTAACAGTTGTACGCCAGATACGGGCTAGGTTATGACCAAAGGCGTAAGGATAACATGGCACAGCAGACCGAGCTGACCAACCATGGGAGAGACACAAGGAGACACAACAGACACATAACAGGGCATAACAGGCATAGCAGGCATAGATGGGCACATAACAGGCATAGACGGGCATAAGTTACGACAGAGACAAGAGACAAGAGGGAATTGGAAGCGATCATAGGGATCCGCATAAGGATTAGCGTATATGCAGGGATGGAGGAATTAATTTGGCACACGTCTGGGCCCTTCCTTCCCTCTTTCCCTCTTCCCCTTCCCTTCCTTGGAACACGAACAGGATAAGCAGGAACAACAGAGACAGTCATTCAGTCATTCAGTCAGAGCACCTTCGACGTGGCTTCTTCTTCTCTCTTCTTTCTCTTGCTGGTGGATTCCATCATAATACCTTACTCGTAATAGTTAGCTCTTCAGTACTGTACCCCATAGTAATTAATGTATTTTATACAAAACAACAACACAACACAACAAACATAGCAAGCATAAACAACACAGCAAAGCACAACACAACAACACAACTGTTACTGCTCTGTTCGCCATAGCACGCACGCAAGGAACCTGTTTCACCCTCCATCTGTTCCATTATGCTTCCATCCACCCATCGATCCAGTCAATTGGTAATTGGTGAACACTGAAGACGGAGTAAAACCTACTTACTCTCTCTAACCAACTCATTCTGCCTCACCGACTCCCGGCAACGGTCTGTTACGAGTGCTTGCTCTGCACACAATATTCATTCAACCACCACGATGGTATCGATCACGCAACCTCCCACCATTACGAGTTGCCATCCATGAATTCCTTGTGCTCTCTGTAACTCGTGCATTCAGTCAATCAGACAATTCCGATTCCACTGCACCCCATTCTTTTTACTCGTTTCCGGCACCATCAATCTGAGTGCGTCACAAGAGCACTTCAGGTGGTGAGAGCCATGGCGCCATGGGGTGACCAATAATCAATGGTTATTGTTGCAAGTGTCTGATACATCACCACCACAACCACCACCACCACCACCATGACAACCACAATTAATTGCCGTGCTCTGATACAGACAATAATACGGTATGAGATGATAATTACACTCTCTGGTTGCTTACTTCCACGTCCCTGGATCGATGGTTGCAGCAATTTGGCAACAGAAAGTCATGGAAGGTCGTGGAAACAGTACCTGTCATCCCTCCTGGCAGTCTTCCAATGAGAGACTGGACGGAGTTTCGGAGGTTTTGGCATTACCACTGCCTTGCCATTGCCTTGCCTCGCCATGCTCGCCCATTCATTCTCTTTCCCTGTGCGTGACGTCTGACGGAGATCACGTACCCTCCAGCGACTGATGTTCCCGGACCCTCGCGGACCACAATACGGTCGCAGTACGAAAACAAGTAGTCATCCTGTCACCCTGACCCATTGTCACTATTGTCGCTACTGTCGCTACTGTCGCTACTGTCACTACTGTCACTATTACTATTACTGGAGTGGCCAACGAAAGGGTCCTTTGTCCTGATGATCGGAACCATAACAAACATCCTCATCGATGATGTATGGTGATACATCATCGCCATCATCATCATCATCATCATCATCAGCGACCGTATGAGTATGTACCGTTACAGCTCTACTCTACTCATCAGTACCGGTCCTCCCCTAGCAACCTCTGCTTACCCTCCCTCTCCCTCCTCTCCTCTGCCTCCAAAACGCCATATCCTCCTAAAATTGTCTACTCTCACCTCATTGGCCTCGGCCCTTATCCGTGACTGCTGATCCCAACCCCAGCTCTGGCTTCTCTTTCGTCACTCTCTCCAACCAACTCTGCCACCACAACCACCACTAAGGTAGTCAACCATTACCATAATTACCACCACGCCAGAAGGGGTTCCCTGTCGTACGAGCACTTGTTCACTGAGCACTGAGCACTGCACTCTACCTCATACCCTGCCACTCCTGCCTACTCTTGTCCATCCTCATCTGCCGTCATATCGCGATATTCGCCCTCCAAATCTCCCCATACCTACTATGTAGTTGTACACCGCAGACCGACCTTTCAATTCTCCATCAATATCATTCAATCATTATCGACAGGTAGGTTTCAAGGCTCCACCATTGTGAATTCACGCAGACGACTCCGTACAATCATGAACGGTGGCTTCCTCGAGCTGTTACTGTACCACACAAAGATCATCCCTTTCGAGCCATGACACGTTTCAGGTCTCTTTCAACCACCTAGCCGCTTGGAATCGCATCCATGTTCTTGTCCTACACCAGTGACCACTGCCCCCTCGAGTTCCGTCCGCGAACGTGTGAGCTTTGAGCTCTTGAGGCACGGCCAGCGGGTAGCAGCCGCAGACGTTGTGACAATCTCTGGGGAATTGTTGAAGATCAATCCCATCGACCACAATGCTAATGCTCATGCCTCATCTCTGTTTGTTTGCGAAACCTGCCCTGCCCTGCCCTGCCCCCAGCCGCCCGCCAATGCGAACGGCCGACCCGAGCGGAGAAGAATGGTGGCAAATTCGATAAATAATGCTCGTAGCAATGCCCGTGACTTCCCTAAACCGTTCGTCCGTCCATTATTTCAATGCTTAACTTAGCAACGCCATAATAATAATTATTACTATTATTTCCATCGACGGCGTCGACTGGTGGCGGAAATGGATGACGGTTTAGCTCAACGCATAGATATGGATGGGTGGCAGTGAATGCGATAGTGCCCAGTCCGATAGGATAGCTGGTACACCATTCCTCCGACAGTAGGTCCAGACGCGTCAACCTCACATCTCCGTTGCGTAGTGCAAAAGTCCAGCAAGGTGCGATTGCGATGCCTACCTACTCCGTATTCGCACCTTGATGGCTACGACGGCTGCGTATTGCGTACTGCTTAGGTAGACAAACTGCGAGTATGCTCCGACTCTCCGTTGGTATGCACTGTTACCTGTAGTATGTGCCTACCTAATTGACAATTGGCATTTCCCCTATCTTCTACATGACCTCGTAGCACGATTACGGTAGGTAGCTAGGTAGACTATGACGAGTCTGTCCCTACCGTACCATCTCCTCGCTGGGTCCGTCTTCGGAAAAGTCGCAAAGAATCAAAGGGCTGGCTACTCTCTCTCTCTCCGTAGCGCGTGCCGAGACTCCGTTGGGGGAGGGTTTGATTTGCTTCCAATAGGACCACGATAACCGTCCGTCCTGTACGACAACGAGTACATGCGTATGTACCATTTCCTTTGCGGACTTCCTCCTTCCAACTGGTTGGAGAGCCAACGTACAGGAGAGTAGAGAGAAGCGCAAATAGATTAAAAAAAAGTCTCCTATCTTTTTTTGTTTGTTATTCCCCAAGCATCCACCGTCCACTATCCCCGTAGTTACCCACCTCCACCTCCCTCCGTCCTCCCCAGCCATGAATTCCTGCAGCTCAGCCTGCAGCAAATCGTGGGAAATAGCGTGCAGCCATCCCATCATTGGCAGGACTGGGACACACGACTAACTCGAGAGGCATGGTCGAGACGGGGGGCGTGGCTCCACGATAGCGTGCTCGACAGGCATTGGATATGGGGGGGCTGCCGTGACTACTGCAGGTTGCAGGTCGAAGCATGCAACTACTCCTGTACCTCTGCTGTACCTTCATGTACTTCTCCTGCGCTACTCCTGCAACTCAATTCCAACCGTCCACTCACCTGTGCCTGGGCTTCGGCGGGCGGTGTAAGGGGGTGGAGACAGCAAACAACGCAACAGACTGTGTAGGTAGAGAGCGATGGGAATGGGAAAAGCTTAATGGGGACTTCGGCATCGCGTCCCATCGTCAAGCATGGCGATGGGATGGGTACACATTCGATGGGACAGCGGGAAGGGTGGGCGTGTGGGCTTGCCGACGAGAGAGTGGGCCAAATGTCTGCGGATATGGATACCAATACCCATCTCTCATGCAGCCTGAAGGGGAGGACGGGGGCCAGGAGTAAGAAACCTGGCCGAATCTTTTTTTTTTGGACCTCTGACTCCGTCGTCGTTGTTGTTTACTGTCAACATCTAAACAATAACAATCGACGACATTTTTGCGGTGGATAGACAGACAACACAGCAAACATGACCAGCATCTCCCTTTCAAGTTCTCAAACATTAACGTATGCGATTACTACAGTGTATGGTTTTTTTTTTTTTTTGCGTCGGTCCGCTAGCACCGAAGGGAGTTTGATACTCCGTAGATCTAGGCTCTTTCAGGTAGTACAGCTCTTCGAACCCCGAAGAGAGGTGTGAGGCTTTACAAGACGTGACTGGCACACTGGCCGCATGGCAGAACCTGTTACAACAGGTGAAAGAGAGTTTCGCGGCAATCACTCCACGGTCGTCGCATCGCATCGTGGTCGGTTCGAGGCGACGAGAATTTTCAGCCGTTCGCCGCGGAAGTTCCAAACCACAGACACGGGACGAGGGAAAAGGGTATGGCTTCATCAATGCAACAGGCAGTTCGCAGTTCGCAGTTCGCAGCTCGCAGCTCGCAGGCAGCGGATGGCGGTGTGTTCTGCTTTGCTCGTCCGTCGTCGTTCCCGACGTGAAGAGAAACTTTGCGCGGTAGTCGTGGGTTTGAATCATGGGAAGCAGGAACAGGATAACTACTTTGCAAACCAAACCAAAAGCAAAATGTCTCGCATCGTACCTGAGTAAACTACCTGAGTAGTTTAGTAAATGACAGATCGATTTCTGCACTTCACGAATCGTGCTTCTTGATAGTTTGGTCAGGTAGACTGGTAGATACAAACTGGGAGGTTGATGCTAGTCCATCTACATGAACGGTGACATCGACTTTACCAGACCAGGTCGATTAGTTGGGCTTCTCCAATTAGATCGGAATCCCATCCAGAAAAAAATTAACAAACTTGAAAGAATTCACACATCCCCTACCACCACCACCACTACAACCAACAACCCCCAATCGCGATTGCTGACCGCCTCGCCTTGATATTATTTTTCCTGTGACTTTATTCCATCGTCCTCATCCATCCCGTTTCGCACCAACCAGCGTCTGTCCCAGGCACAACCCTCAATAACTGTGAAGAAGAATTTTTCGCTTCACCGCCCCTCACCGCCTATAGCAGGAAGATCTGCTGTATCTTTAATACACTCAACAGTTTACCATGTCTGTCGCATCCCTCGATCGCGAACGATGGGAGCGCACTGAGACGGTCGTCCTCGACATTGGTAAGTAATGCTTTGCGCTTGTCTTCCCGTTCCGCATCAACCTGTTCTGCTCCCACGACCATCGACCATCGACGGGAGCGCGCGCGCATACTGGGTAAAGACATGCGAATGGGTAGTCAAAACCGGTAGCTATCCGGGCCCTGGATACGAGTCCCTTGCCTTACACAGTAGGACTTGGAAGACAGCAGTTTCGCCTTCGGCTTCGGGATATCATCGAAGGGAAAGCGCATGCGAGTTGCTTCTTGGGGCGGTTCCAGACCTCGAGATCGTCAGACGGTGACTTGGAAGCTTCCAACAGAACAGAGAGAGACGAGACACTGGGGAAGTGTTGGGGTTGTGCCACGCCGACGCCGTCCTACCACTACGACTTATCACCGGAGCTATCAGCTACCTAGACATCACCGATTCATCACGAACCAAAGTGTGCTTCTGGGTTTCCCCACGATTCGCCCTCTTGTCTGTTCTGTTCTACTCTACTCTACTCTACTCTACTGTCTTTCCGGTCTGGTATCGTCGCAAACCCACTCCGTACTACGTACAGTAGTTTTGTGTGTCTCAGCCAGAGCGCGCGCGCGTTCTTACCCCGGATTCCGCATGCGCCACTGCGACATTGTCATCCAATCTCAACCTCGAATTCTATTTTCTCCGTGTTACCGTTACGCAAAAAGCATGCCACTAACCATTGTCTTTTCTGCTTCTAGAGGGGACCATCTCAAGCATCTCCTTTGTCAAAGATGTTCTGGTGAGCCCGTTATGTCTCTCTATGTCTCTCCCTGTCTCTTTTCCTGCCTCCTGTCTCCCCCACCCCCTGCGTCTAGTCTCTCTTAGTTTCTCGTCCGTCTGCTTTTCGCCTCCATAGGTTGGCTATTTCCCCGCAATCGGAAGGCGTGTGACCTCCCAGACCACCAACCACCAACCAACACCATCACCATCTCCTACCAACCTCAGATCACACAACATCTTCCTACTCGAACCTTCTCCCTGCGGGCCGCATTTCCCCTTCCTGTTTGGCTTCACTGCTGCAAGACTGTCCATCACTCAGTCCACTCATTTCCCTTTTCGCCCCCTTCCCACTTGCTCCTCTCCCAAACCGTGTCTTGCCTTATCACAATCTCCCCAGTAACCCCGTCACGCGCCACCCGATTACTACACACAGGAGTGCAGTAGCAAGCCGCCTTCGCATTCATCCCAAGTCCAACTCGACTCCTTGCTCACAGTAGGCGCAGTACCCGTACGCACTCGATCGTCTCAGAACGCTCGCACGCGACTCTTGGTCTGATCCAAGCTTCCAGGACCTCATCGTGGGGTTCCCTGAGGAGACCAGGACAGATGCCGAGACACTCATTGCGCACGTCGAGGATTTGACACGTAACGACATCAAAGCAGTGTACCTGAAGCAGCTACAAGGTGGGTCTCATTGCAATCATTCCCTTCGCATCTTCCAGTCGTTTCTTTATCAGCTTGTCAACGTTATCCTCGTTCTTATCGTTGAATTCTGGGTCTTGGTCCACTCTTTCTCCAGCATGGTCCCCGGGATCTTCACCACGTCAAGCCTGCGATATCAGTTATCAATTAGCGTCGATCCGCTGCGTAGCCATTCGGTCCGTTCATTTACCGCCAGAGGAGCAGAAGAGCGTACCCCTCGTGATATTCGCCTCCACTATTCCAATGAGTGGTGGCCGTGGGGCAGGGGCGATGATGAGCTGTCTCTCGTCAGCACCAATCCCCTCGCCGTCCTCATCTGCTGGGCTGAATGGTTGATTATACAGAATATACTAATTACATGTTATTTGCGTTTACGCGTCGTCCATTGTTTCAACACTGCCCCACGTCTCTCCAATTATTGACGTTCTCGTTTGCATGGTCTCCTTGGTTGTCGTCGTCCAACTAATCAATGCTCAGGTAAATTATGGAAGATTGGTTATAGCGATGGTGATCTTAAAACACCACTATTCGACGATGTGATTCCCACCTTAGAGGCATGGAAGAATGCCGGCAAGACTCTAGTCATCTTCTCCTCTGGCAGCGTCCAAGCCCAGCTTCAGTTCTTCTCATACGTCCAAGATGGCTCCGGCAGCACTCGGGATCTCAAGCCTCTCTTCTCTGCACACTTCGATACCGTTAGCGCTGGCTCCAAACTAGAAGCAACTTCGTATGAGAAGATCTGCAAAGAGATAGGCAAACCCACGGCACAGGTGACCTTCTTAACAGACAACGTAAAGGGTAAGTCGATTTATTATTCTCCTTTCCATTCCTCAATTCATGCGTATATCGCTCCTGCGCTGCGGTTACATATCGCCTGAACCGTGGTCGCGGTTCGCTCTTACTATGGTGCCGCACTATATCTACATGAAACGACTCCGATAGATTGCGACTTCGCTTAGTTGTGTCATCCATCAATATGGGCCTCGTCAAACATTGGTTGGAAACCCCCTCAATCGTTCGCGGCCTGTGCAGAGAGGGCGTTTCGTGGTCCTCCTCACCGTCGTCATTGCGCAGCGCAGAAGATTAAGAGGCATAAACCTCACTTTGGAGCTCATCTTAGCACGACGATCATTTGTCACCGTCGGGATGCCCCTTTGGTCGAGCTGTGCCCTGCGCAATGCATGCAAGCAAACAACCCAGAGGACTGAACAAGCCTTCTCATATACGCGCAATGTCGCATGCGGTTCACCAAGCCCTCACGGCGGTGACAGCACCCATCGACGATTATACCCAAGAACCAATCTACGCAACCCCGGACCCTCAAAACGCACCACCCATTACCCGTCCTCTCACATATCACCAAACCGATAGCTAACAAAGACTGATAAACAGAAGCCGTAGCCGCGACCGAAGCAGGCGTCCACACAATCGTCGTCGATCGTCCCGGCAATGCACCCCTCAGCCCCGAATCCAAGTCCCAGTTCGCGGTCATTGAGTCCCTGGCCGACCTTCCGCGCTTGTAAACAATCAATCACTTCCTCTTGTGCCCACATCCACCCTTAACTATGTGTATCTATCTATCTATTCCCCCCTTCCCCTCCCTCCTCCGTTCGACCTCGCAGAATGAGGAGTGAGATGTGTTTAGTTAGACAACAACCCAAGGGATGAACCCACAAAGTGACGTCAACAAACGTGGGGCAGACAACAAAACCAAAACCGTCCACGCAATCCCAACCCACCCACTCACTCACTCACTCCAAGGGATGAACTCATAGATTCCTTCCGAAACCATCCCCATCACCTGTCATCTATTCCCTTCAACCACCCTCTTTTCCCAAAACCCCCACTCCCACGAACTAAAATGAGGCACGTTTCAGAAGTTAAACGAACTGTTTTCGGACTTTCTTTTGTGGGGGGGAGGGGGAGGAAGTGCAAAAGGGAACGAATGGTAGAGTGGGGGATTCATGTCCGCATTCCTGGCGTTTCAAAGATGATGGGAAAGTGGCATCCCCCCCCCGCCAGCCGGTCGGGTTTACGCAAAGCTCACAAGGAGAGATACCGGAGGATTGGGTCTGTGGGTTCTTTTTTGGGTGAAAGTACCCCGCCTTTCGCTTTGGAATGACTGGAATGGGATGGGGTGGGGTGGGATGGGGAGTGTGTAGAATTAAATCGTATGAAAAGATAATATGATACGACATGAATTTCTTCTTGGGATGTCAAACATGATCTCCATGACTGGTTTAACCCGTGTGAACAGCGCTCGTATACACATGTTTGTCCTGATACTCTTTCATGTACATACGTGTGATGCCATAAATGCATCCTAACGTCTCCCGCATATGTCTAGCCCTTTGTTTATCTCTTTCGTCCACACGACGAACGTAAACGTTAGATGCTAGTCTGAGGTGTTAGTCTACGGTGATGATCTGAGGTGTTGGAGGTAGACGTTAATCTTCACTCTGTTCTTCAATGACCTTTTCCTCGTATACATCCCTTTCTTCCCATGTGATCAACTTCCAGAAGAGGGTATAGATGAGTAGGATTGATTTTAAGGTAGCAATAATCGCACTGGTTATGAAATCCATTTGTTCTTTCTTAACTCTTAAAAAGATAAGTAACGATGGAAAAATATATATAAATATAATAAATAACTAAACTAGTATCGATAATCTCTATACAAGAGGAAAACAATTCCCATCTATTACTCTTGTAAAAAAAAAAAGTGTAGAAACACTGCGAAGAGGGCAAAGGAATAGTTTTATAGAAAGAAAAGACTAGAACAACTAACGCAAAATTATTAACACAACAAGATAGAAATCTATATATGAAAAGACGGAGCTGTAGTGCAACTGTATGTCATTGTATTTATCTAACATTATTGTTATGTCAGTGAACTTACAGTTTTTATTTTCAAGTTTAAATATACTTTTATCTTTACATCCAAGTTAATGATAAAACATTTACTTCTGATATCTATGGGCATTGTTATATAAGTCCCTTACTAGGTTACACACTTGCGCACACGTATGTACTAATTGATTTTTTTTGGTAGCTCACCTACAAGATACCTGATCTGACGCCGGGTTATGGGGGTTTTTGTACTTGTTGGACGTAGAGTCCGTTGTTTTCAACAACAGTACCTGTGTATGTAGGTATCGTGGGAAGGCTATACGTAAATAGTATCAGAACGTTCTTAGGGGGTGTATGGCGGAACTGTATGTCGCTCTCATATGAGGAGGATGGGGAGGGTAGTTGTTGGTGTGGTGGCTTCATCTTGAATCTAGAGCTGGTTGTCATATACGTACCAAGATACTACTTTGCGAAGAAAGACTCGGTCGAATCGAAATTAGGAAAAGGGAGACATCAACGAGAAGTCAACGTAGGGCACATCGGATATTCTTGTAACTTCCTTGATGCGAGCTAGAGAATCATGTTTGGTGTTTTCTTGTTCGTCTTCGAAGTTAATCATACCGATGATATTGCGTCGGAGGTTTAGACGAGAGAATGATTGTTCATATACCTCGTGGACACGATGGACTCAGGGGTGGTGGGGTATAGTGACTCTCAAGCGATTTGAGACACATTCATTCGAGGCTTCATGACGGAATAGTATGGCGGCCCCCTCTTGCTGTTGCTACCGCGGGTCTGCGTTGGTTTTGATTGCGTGTCGATGATTGAAATAGTAGCTATTATTACGCCCTTTAGCATCATTAATCAATCAAAATCTGTTGGCCTGATTATGGAGGAGAAATCAATGTGTGATTTCTTCCAAGATATCTGAAAAGACTATGGGAGGGAAGAAGTAAAGAATCATCGTGATTGGGTATAGTGAAATGTTCGTTTGGGAATGATAACATTCTAACAGATGTCACCAGTGATTACTGTCTGTTCAGTAGGATTTATCTATTTGCTCATCACTCATACCAACGCCGTAGATACTGCGGCGCCTAGACATCATGGGCGCTATGTATGGCATGGCTGCTTCGAAACTCGGAAGTGAAAATAGAAGGTCTGGGTTTCTATTATATTGTTTGATCTGTGAGTGGACATGTTTCTTTCAGACGTCCAAACAATGCTTATAGTGTGGCTGAAGATAGCTGTGAGTAATTCTCGATTTACTTGGTTTCAAGTGGATGAGGTAGGGAATGAACAACTATGATAATCCAGAAGAAACAGTCATGTTCTAGCTAGGCAATTGCTAAGATCGGAATATGCATTCTCCTATCTCTTCCAAGATGACTGCTAGATATTCTGCAAAGAGGAAGGAACAAATGAGGCAGAAGAGGTAGGAAATCAGGCCATTTACGAAGAACCCAAGCAAATACACTCCAGTAAACTTTTTCAGGTAGCAGTAAATACGCTCGAATAAATGATTACTCGAAGATTAGATGACTATGTACTTGAAAATGTCGCAATGAAGCAGATGGAATCTAACCACAATACCAACCCCCCAGACAACCAGATCGAAAAGACTAGAAATCGCCATCGAAGCCGCCGCCATCGTCAAAACCACCGTCGTCCCCGTAGTTGTTGTTCTCGATGTAAGTGTCGCCGCTATCTCCTGCGTCGGCAGCGCCCGCGAGCGCCATACCACTGTCAAACTAGTTAGTATCTCATTTCTTAAACCTATGGAATGGTAACTTACCCCAATAAACCTGCACCTCCTCCCTGATAGTCTGTTAGCAGGACGACTACGTCAAATGGGTTGTAGATTCTAGCTTACGAGCAAGGCGGCTCCACCCAATCCCATCCCCCCGCCTCCCGGACGGCGCCCTGGCTGCTGCTGCTGATACATCGGTTGCCCGTACGGCTGACCATATGGAGCTCCGTAGCCTGGCTGGCCATACCCACCAGGCTGGCCGTACTGCTGATACTGGCCTTGAGGTGGATATCCGCCGTATTGTGGCTGGCCGTAACCCTGCTGCTGGGGCGGATAGCCGTGCCCACTTGATCCTCCACTAGACTTGCCGAGTAGCTTTCCCAAGAAGCTCTTTGATTTCCCCCGATCTTGAGACGGATACATATTCGTTGCGTTCTGCGGTGGATACATGCTTCCTCCTGGTGTCTGGCTCTGAGGAGGTTGAGGGCTGTTTCCGTAGTAGCTGCCAGACTCTCCCCTGTTGAGAGGCAGGCCGTGGCTCTGAGATCGGTTTTGCTCCTCCTCTTGTAGCTGCCTTGCGAGTCGCTCGTCTTCGCTCATACTCTGTCCGGTGTTGTTTGTGCTCGCGTAGGGGTTGTTGCTGGCTAGATGGCTCTTCTCCGTCGCAGGCGTTGATTGAGACGTATTCGATGCGACATATGATGGTGGGGCGCCAGCGGGAGGAGCATCAGGAGCCTCGCCGGGCGGGTAGACGGGTTCTGTCGGTTTGTCCCATTGCGACTTCTTTGTATATATGTTGACGTAGAACCATTCGCTATATTGCTCTGGCCATGCGCATTAGCAGACGCATTCCTCCTCTCAGCAAGTCTGAATTACTTGCCATTCCACACTGCCTTGTATCCTTCCGGTACCTTCGGTGGAGGTGGGCCCTGGGTTGTAGATGAGCTTCTGAACTATTGTTCCGAACTTCCGTCTGGGCGCACTTACGGATGGCGGAGCGAAATCACTCATTTTGAAAGATCGTGACTGCGACAGGAGGGCAATGGACAGGAAATGTATGGGGATACCTGCTGGGGCGAGTGGAGGGTTAGGGTGTAGAAGTGTAGTGGGTTGAATGGGGTCGATAGATTTAGGTATTCATGCAGCTGCAGATGCAGATGGCGGGACTATTAGTTCCGAGCATGAATCGAGACACGAGCTTGCGTCATGATAGTGGCGGCGAGCGGCACTATCGGATCACATGGCCGCTATCGATAACCAGGATGCGATTAGCGCTTGTTTGCTTCATTATGATGACTTGAGGATGGACAATTGATGGGAGGAGCAAGGGAAACGAATGCAATAAATTGACTAATCAAGTATGTGCAAATGGAAAGTCGTAGGGTTGTAGAACGAGCCAAATGAATGCCGCCAGAAAGCCAAAAATTAAGTCAAGCCCATCAAGATGGCGTGTCGGTATGCGCGCTGAATTCTGCTCCAAACACATAGTAAACCAACGCTGTGGGTATGGAAAGCATTGCTAAGCATCTCTCCGATAGCTTTGCAAGCAGAAGTATTCGTACAAATATTAAACCATCGCAAACTATAGTAACTCTTGAAAGGTAAGAAGGGAACGGACATAGACCACTTCGCGTGGCCATGCTTGTATCGGATATCCATGGCAAGCAGTCTGCAAAGTCCCTTGGTGTTTACTTGGAGGAAGTGAGATAATCAGCTGCCTGTTGATTTTTTAGTGATGGTCATGCCAGAATCGTCGGGCCCATAGCCTACCTTGTTGATGTCGTAGTCGTATTGCTCAAGTGCGGAAAGAGCATCGTTACGAGCGTAGCCCATACCGGTCAATTTCTTCAAGATGGGGTCATCATGCTCAGTACCGCTGCTAATGGCACGACCAAGCTGAGGCATGGCCGGTTTAGACAAGGAAGAGGAATCTTCGCCGTCGAGCGAATCAAAGACAGATTTTCCAGCATCACCAGAAGACTGCTGTGGGCCTTTCTCGTTTTGAGGTGTATCTAGACCCGAGAAGATTGCGTCCCAATCCTGCGAGGATGAAGCGGTTGGCTGCTGGGTTTTCGGCTGACTGAAGCTCTGTGAAAGATGCTCGAAATCGCCAAAGCTATCATCGCCAAAAGCCTTTCCGGTGGGTGTTTGCTGAGAAGCCATTGTATTAGACTTTGACGCAGCGGGTGAGTCAAATACTGGGTTAAACTCATCAAATCCCTCACGATGCTGAGACGACAAGATGAAATCATCATCGGTTTTATCATCTGCCTCCTTTGCATCGGTCAGGTCGTCGAAACCAGCATCGAAGTCGTCATTGAACATAGACCTGCCGGCCTGGGGGGCATTCGTTGGCGGTGATGGACCTTTGTTGGTCTCACTGGTCCCCTGAGAGACTGCAGATTGATACGTGTCTGATGGGACGGTGGATGATGGAGTATCAGTCGGAGGAGGAGAAGTGGCAGTGGGCTTGCTAGCCGAAGGAGCACCAAACAAAGCTGCGCCCTGGCTTCCGGCAGACATCGTGCTGAAAGAGCGTTCAGGCGACTGAGAAGCCACAGGAGGAGAAGTCGGATCAGTACGGGAGGGGAGAAGTCCTCCGAATTCTGGGGGGAACTGGTTCGAGCCGGTCTTGCTAGGGACACTTTGATCATAAGTGGGCGGAGACTTCTGGGCTCCTGGCGAAGGGAGACCGCTTGTGCTGGAGTCGAGACGAGTTGTCGGAGGTGGTATGGCGGGTCCGTCAGCGCTGAATGCAGATCGCTGTTGTTGCGACTGCGAAGTAGAGGGCCTCTGTTGTTGTGGCGAAGTAGACGTGAAGTTGTCTGCAAAGCCCGGTTCGCTGTTGCTATCGCTGTCATCATCGCGACTAAGATCCTCAATGGGAGGGAATTCTTTGTTGAACTTCTTAGATGTTGAAGGATTACCGTTGGCAGAGCTAGATTCATTGCCCTGGCGATTTGCGCCGAAGCCGGCGAATGCGGAATCGAAATCGACCTTGCTGGACGCTCCACCACGATCAGAATCCTTGGATGCTGAAGAGAAAGGATCCTTAGACTTGCTTTGGCTGCTAAAGCTGCTCTCTCCTGTGGGGACTTGCTGCAAGGGAGAATGCGTGTCTCTGGGGAAGGCGCCCGGAACATCGTGTCCAACAGCGGGAGCTCCAAACCCGGGGAATGTATCTTTACGTTCGTCGTTCTTTGTGCCTGACCTTTGGGTGTCGCTCGTGACGCTAGCAACTGGTGACGCAGTTGTATTTCGGTCGAAGAGTGAAGGCCCAAAAGCATCGGTCTCAGTCTTCGAGGTGCTGGACCGTTCAACGCTAGGCTTCTCAGGGACCGGGGTCCCTGCTGGCGAGGCCTTGGTAATTGTAGGCGTCTCGTTGCCTGGACCACCGTACCTACTAGCAGGGGCAGACACCTTGACGGATGAACTGAAGGAATCGGACCGTGGTACTGTGTCTCTCAAAGGAAGGAAGCTAGATGCGAATTGGCGTGACTCTGGAGGTGCTGGAGGTTCCCCACCCCGAGGAGAATCCTGATAGGTAGTGGATAAAGGAGGCGACGTTGAAGGCGTCGGAACATCTGGACCCTCTGACGAGCGAACGGATTGACCAGACGGAGCGGAGAAGGTCGGAACCTGACTGTGGCTATCAGATCTGAACGACGTGGGAGGGACGGTGCTCTGAGGCGAGGCAAAGGTGTTCCCGAATACGCTATCAAAGTCCTTGTGCGTGCCTTGCGAAAATCCCGAAGGAGTCATGGTGTTGTCTGTAGATGGTTGAGGCGACCTCCTGAAGAATGGGTTGGTGTTGTGACTAGCCGTAGAAGTCGCAGGGCTGGCTACACTAGGCGTTTGGGTTGTAGGGTTGCGAAGTGCTTCCTCGGATGCTTTGGCGAGGTCGCTGATCTCATTCGAGATCTTCTCCCGTTCATTCTCGTTAGTTGCCAACTGCTTCTTGTTGATGGCGACAAGACCCTTCTGCTGACGCGCGTCGGTGCGCATCTTGTCGAGTTGTGGGCGGAGCTGTGCAATCTCAGCGTTAAGAACCCGGATCTGCTCTTTGAGATTGGCATTTTCGCGTTGGTCCGTCTCGAGCGCAGAACCAACTTGGCGGTATTGGCCTTGAAGTTCCTGGTATTGCGCCTCGATGACGCTCAGATCTTGCTGTAGTTTTCGAGTCTCATTCTTGGAAGTGGCAAGCTGATCCTCCAATAGTTTTACGTTCTTAGCTTCCTGTTCGTACTGAGTCTTGAACTGGGAAAGGCGCAATTCTAGGTCCCGCTTCTGATTGTTAACACTATTGAGATCATGCTCGGTTGTGACCTTCTTGTTCTGCACTTCATGCATCTGCGTCCGCAGTGTGCTCATCTGATTGGACATGTTTGCCAGCTCCGTCTGGTCCTGAGTTAACTTCTTGTTGATATCTGGATCACTTTCACCCAGGAGATCGTCCATGGGTGATGGCTGATTGGGCTTAGGTTGCGTCGCCGATGATGCAGATTGACCAGTGGACTGCGTCGTAAGGGTTTGACCGAATGAAGAGCTCGGCATGAAAGGCTTGAATGTCGACGCTGGATTGCGTGGAGCAGGAGCGAATGGGTGAGGAGAGGTTGGCGACGCTGCCTTGCTTGCGAATGGGTCCGAGTCGAATGGTTTGCTGAAAGGCGCGGATCCGCCAGTGGACTGTTGGACTTGCGCGGGAGCTGCTGCTGGGGGAACAGGATCCGAGAATGCATCGCCAAGTCCAAAAAGATCATCCGCAGCTGACTTTGGCTGCTGTGGTGGTGCGAAGGCGGGAATATGGGAGTCCTGGGTTGGCCTAGCTGGTTGTGACCGCACTTGGTTCCTCATGGAAGGTGGCACCAAGTTAGGTGGCAACGTAGTTGGGAGCTGTTTTCCTGGGTTACGCTGCTGTCTTATCAGGTACATGGCCACTGCGAACTCGTCCCTGCTCAATTGGCCTTCAGAGTTGATGTCTGCGAGATCCCAGATACCCGCAAGAACATCCTCGGCGAGCCCAGAGTCGCTGAAGAATGATACCGCTTGTTCACCAGTGATAAACCCGCGGCCATATGTATCCACTTTGCTGAAGAGATTGTCGTAGGAATCCTTCTCTTGTGCACTAATCAACCAATCATTCCCAGTTGCCTGGGCTGATTGCGTGGGAGGCGTGCCATATTGACTATGGGAGAGTGGGCTACTGCTCTGGAGTCTGGTGCCACTGAATTGACGAGGGATTGGATCTTCGGGTCGGCGGCCAGCTGGAGCAATTGGAGCTCTGCGGGATGCAGCCTCAAACAACCCTGGGGGCAATGTGGTCGGAAGGGTTTTCATCGCTCCAGTCCTACAGGACGCCAAGAGATGCATGGCGATGGTAAATTGTGTCACACCGAGGGCTCCACGCTGCTCTGTATCCGCCAGATTCCAAATCCGGCCCAGAGTTTCGTTGGGTAGCCTTGCCTTCTCAAAGATCTGTTTAGCATTTTCGCCTATGAACATTCGTTAGCGATTAACCCTAAAAGGAGACTAGTTAATTGGCATTACCTGACAAGATACCGTTCTGTGCGCCTGATTTCTCAAAAAGGCTTGCATACTCTGCAGCTTTTGCTGGAGTAAGTTGAGGTACTCGTATAGGCCCGCTGCCGCTGATCTGAGGTTGTAGGGTTCCAGGTGGCGGTGGAATATGGGTCTGTACTGGTGCTGGGCCGGTAGGAATGGTGAGGCCTTCGAATTTCGGTAGCGGACCAGCTGGCCTTGTTTAGTCACTGAGCGCCTATGGATTAAGAATCGACTCACGCCTGAAAGCTAATTCAGCTGATGGATCTCGTCCAGCTTGATAGTGGCCGATCAAGCGCAGGACCTGGCAGAAACCAGAGGAGGTCAAGAGACCGCGGTTCTCCGTATCAGCAATCTGCCATATCTCGCCCAAGATCGCAGGTTGCAGTTTGGTTCGCTCGAAGAACTTGACAGCGACTTCGCCAGTGACGACACCCAGCTTTTCAGTATCTGCCTGTTGGAAGAGGTATTGGAATGCGCGCTTCTCTTCGGGGGTGAGGTTGAGAATGGGGTGATCTGCGACACACATTAGCTGCTGCTTTGCGCGTACGGGGGAAGCGCAATATACTTAGTTCCGCGCCGCCCGTGAGGTCAGCCATGGTTTCAAATCGTCAAGCAGCGGAGCTCGAGGATGAGAAGAAGTGCATGCACAGAGGCTGAAGCTCCAGGCTGCTGTGTAATGAGGCGGGGAAGCTGGGGATACGCAAGGCGCCCAAAAGAGAAAACACGGGGGGCTGGTAGTGGACCGGAAGGTGCAGCACGACTCAGAGACAATGAGGACCGCCTCCGCAGTTCAACGAGCAACGGGCGAGATGAAGATTAAAGAGTGAGTTTGGGGAGATGGAGACGACAACAAGGACGAAGTGAGTGCTTCGACGTTGTAGTTGTCTAGCTGGTGCTCGGGCCATCAAGGAGCTGCAGGCGATCCGACCTTGGATTGGACGAACCAACGACGAGGACGTGGACAGTCGCTGCTCGCTCGCTTCCTCTTAATCATCTCTACTTTCTGCCCATGTAGCCAACCTCAATAACTATCCCCTCATGCACCACACTTGACTCTTTTCCTAAGTTTTATGAGATTGTAATCAGACCTCTGATTAGTGATACGTAAGGTAGACACTCGCGGCTCCTCCAATACAACTACTAGCTCGTCGGATATTGACGTAATGTGTAAATGCTAGCTACGAGGAAGTATTGAAGTCCTATACGACGACTTGTCATCCAATTGTGCAATTGAAGGTCGGAACTTCAGAGGTCATGCGCAGACACTTACGAGTAAGACAGACGACGAATGGCAAGACAGATTTATATCTGCATTGAGCTGTCAAGAGGGCACCAATAGAATGCTTCAACCCCCAAGCTGCCGAGACAGCCCCATTGCTACTGAGCGTTTGCGGAACGTACTGAGAGTCGATCAAGTCTAGTGACACAAATTAGAGTTATAGGCTGCCACTGCTGTATACACTCCTTGCGGCTTACTCTATGACAATAAACACTGTTCCTTGACTACAACAAAGTTTCATAGTCTGGCAGCACTTCCGCGTTCCTCCAAAGTTGAGGCATGCCACGTTAAGGTTCCTATCATCATTGGCAACTACTATCACAACATAGCGGAAACTCCACTTTTGGGACACCGATTGGTCACTGTGATCAGAACAACTCCCTAGACGCTGTTCCGCCCATAGTGAATCTGATACAGTCTTCAACGGCGAGACTTGAATCATGATAGCGATCAAAGAAACCTGAAGTCGAAGGGTGCTTTGATGGTCTGTTAGCCGACGACTTGGTTTCTAATTCTTATGTGCAACCCTGTCTTGTTTTTCTGGCTAGACCCAATACAAGCACCGCATACAGCTAAGATATGCCTCCCTGAAACAATGTGTTTGAGTAGCAAAGGAGGTGGCGAGGTCACCAGAGGTTCAATCTTGCAATGAGTGGGAACAGGGGAGACCACGCAACGAAGTTGTTAGAACAGAAAACTGGGGGTATCCACTTTGCGTCCAATTGCCAGAGCAGATGAATTTCTAAGATGCTCGTTGGTCATTGGTTAGAAAGGACTCAATATTATAGTCAAAGAGTGGACTGCCGTCGTATATCGTGTGCAGTTCAAGTCGATAGTTGTCCTTGACTTCCAGCCTCTTTCGAATCTGCTATTGACACTCCTGACGCCGACTTACATTCAGCTAGAAGCTGAGAGAAAAGATGTTTATTGTTTACAGAGTGTAGGGGTTAGTGGTAGTGATACAATACAAAAAGAGCAGCCGTAACCCATTGTGCCCTACATTTTGCGCCTGTCATGAACTTACATAGCTTACTGGGAATGAGGCCGTGGAAAACTGTCGACCGCCGCTACAATGGCTATTGTGATATGCATGACCAGGTTGCCAAGGGTATTGGTCCGATATTGAACCCAACCTTTGATTGACATGGCCTTTGCGGTCTATGAATGCCTTCCTCTGCCGGAATCATTGCGATTTGGCCTCCGATCACAGTCACTCCGAACGAAAGCTAGACTGGGGACTGCTTCTTCGCCTCTCTTTCCCCATGCTCGCCCAAGGAGCCAATCAGTCACACTGATGACTTTGGCCGTTTTGTCCCAGTTGCCATTCTCTTCGGCACGTTCGATGGTGTGATTGATGATCCGTCCTTCTTCATCGAACTCGAATACAAAGATGCCAGTGAACTCTTCGTCGTGGCTGCCAGATACTGACGACGAGCTGGAAACCTTTCCTGATGCTCCACTGACCGACTTGTTCGCTGTATCTGACTTGCCACAGGTCTTCCATTTAACAATCAATTTTTCATGCCGGAGATGCGTTGGTGAGCATGACCCTCCATTTTTAACCATGCGCTCGGATAGTATTGCCAACTTCACATTCCCTAGCACAGGGACTCGACCCCAAGCCACAGGTGCTGTCCATAATGCTGCTGTATATGCAAGTTTGCCTCTCACGGTCGGTAGGTGGGGATGAGTCGACGGGAAAAGATGAAGAGTGATGTGCGGAGAGAGTATATCTTGTGGCAGAGGCGACACTAATAATTCGGGAAGGCGCTCATGAAGCATACGAATTGCTATTGACCGTCAGCATGGCCTCATGGCGCAAGGGTTGTATTGATTCGTACTTCGACCCAGCTTCAGCGTCCGCTCATCCGGTGGCCGTATATCCGAGTTCGAGGAGCACAGTGATACGGTAGTACTGGTGAACCATGTCTTGGAAACCGAAGCTTCACGTGGCCGGATGTTACTGAGTGTTCTTTGGTATTGCTTCAATCCTAGCAGTCGAGGTGCGGTAAGGTGGTTCGATGCAAGTCGCGAAGAAAGCTGCGCGCGAGTAGACGACGAGAATAACCTCCGCATCAGACCGGCGGTCATCTGTACGGGCCGGCGACCATACGTAGCAGTGAGTAGCGTAGGATACTTGTTAGACAATTATTGTGATGGTGCGGCCAACATAGGTGTGTAGAGTAGAAAAAAGTTGCTTCCGAGGCATGGGGTTTGCAGAATCGATAGAGAGCCGGAGTAATGACGTGGGGAGCTAGATGGGCATTCGCTGGATGGTTGCAGCCAATGGGACGCGGCCATTACTTACTCTCACCACCCCGCCCCGTTGACTACAAGTAACGACGGAAACCATCAATCAGTTGTGGTGATCATATAAAAGTTAAACATTGTTTGTGTGTACAGTCTTACAGTCAATTCCTTTTCACGGCTATTTTGGTATACTCGCTCCATTCTCCATTCTCATCATGTCCTCATCTACTGGAAAGAGGGTCGTGTTCACAGGTGGATCAGGCAAAGCAGGAAGGCATGTCCTACCCGCCTTGATCCAGCGAGGATATGAAGTGCTCAATCTCGACCTCATCGATTTTCCAGACCCTGATGCAAACATCTTCACGCTTAAGACCGATCTCACCGACAGTGGTCAAGTTTTCAATGCATTGACTACCCATTTCAACTTTTCTGGGTATGAAGGCTCCCATGTACCAGGGCCACCAGATGCAGTCATCCACTTTGCAGCATATGCCCGCAATATGCTTGTACCGGACAATGAATGCTTCAAGGGAAATGTCACTTCAACCTACAATGTCATAGAGGCTGCGTGCAAGCTTGGTGTCCGCAAAATAATTATTGCCTCTAGCGAGACAACTTACGAGGTGTGCTTCGGACAAGGAGATCTCGACTATAACGCATTTCCACTGGACGAGGACGCAGATGTTAACCCTATGGATACATACGCCATTTCAAAGCTGTGCGGTGAACGAGTCGCCAGAGGGTTTGCGAGACGATTCGATGCAGACATCTACGCCCTGCGGATTGGCAATGTCATTGAGCCACACGAGTATGAGCGCGACTTTCCCAAGTATATCAGTGACCCACGCTGTCGAAAGCGGAACGCATGGTCGTACATTGATGCCAGAGACCTTGGACAGATTTGCGATTTGTGCGTACAGAAGGATGGATTGGGGTTCCAGATATTCAACGCGACCAATGATACCATCACTGCTACATTTCCGACACGTCAATTCTTGGAACAGTGGTGCCCCAATACACCCATCACGAGAGATTTGGAGGAATGGGAGGCACCATTGAGCAACCGTAAGATTCGAGAGGTGTTGGGCTTCAGAGAAGAACACAACTGGCGCCAGTATTACAAGGCTGATTGAGCGTGAACTGTGACATAGAGCATTGGCAAATAATACGTAGCATTTTACACTTCTCCTCCAATTTATTCATGATGGTATTTTGTGAACTGTGACGCCCCTGCATGGGCGTGATTGGCGATGTGATTGAGAGTGGGGTGTACTCCTCAAGGTCAGGATGCTCTTTGAAGTGTCGAAATACGTGTGGAAGACTCGACATGTTATGAAATTTGGTGCATATTTGACTCGACAGATAAGTGGGTAGACTAGAATGGAGTCAATAGACATCGTACCAGGCCTTGGTTGTAGGCGAGCAGCTATCGTTGGCGTGTAGTAGTTGATCCTAGGCAATGGAACAATCGATTTCTTCGCCCAAAGAGGCTAGCGTGAAATTCGTGCAATCATGCGCCGATACCGTCGAAAAAAACAATTGGATTCCCAATTATCCCCAGCTTTTCCGAGTCAACAAGTTTCGCAGCATCACTTCCATTGCTATCTTCCTCGTCCTGCACCTCGAAGTCTTTCCCTCATTCTCTTCCGGTTCACTCTTTAATCTGTACCTGCCTTATTTTACTGCGCTATGTCCCCCTCAGTGTCAGATGCGGCTGCGAAGGCCGCGGCAGCAGTCGCAGCACCATCTTCTGCAGCGAAAGAGTATAAGAAGGAGTCGACAGCAGCCCGATTTCTTGGTGCAGGTATGCCTCACTAGGACCGTCTACAATGATTGAAGTTCACACATGCAGGATGTGCCGGCATTGCGGAATTGATGGTCTTCCACCCAGTCGACACAACAGCGAAACGACTGATGAGCAACCATGGCAAGGTGCGCATTCAATATACCCCAATGGATGAACCAGGAAGAAAGACTGATCAGGACACTAGATCACATCCGCTTCGCAGCTCAACTCGGTCGTTTTCAAGGACAAGGCGAATGCTTCTGTTGGCGGCCGATTCTTCTCGCTTTTCCCTGGTTTAGGTTATGCTGCAGCATACAAAGTACGACCTCTCGAGCCTATCGATCGATGCATATGCTAACAGTGCATAGATCCTCCAGCGAGTTTACAAGTACGGTGGCCAGCCCTTTGTCAGGGACTACCTGGCAAAGAACCACGGTGACAGCTTCGATCGCACATTTGGCAAAGGAAATGGAAAGGCTATCATGCACGCCACAGCCGGAAGTCTTGTTGGTATTGGAGAGATTGTTCTCCTTCCTCTGGACGTCTTGAAGATCAAGCGACAGACCAACCCTGAGGCCTTCCGAGGACGAGGCCTCTTCAAGATCATTGGTGACGAGGGCTTTGGTCTCTACCGTGGCTGGGGATGGACTGCCGCACGTAACGCACCTGGCTCATTTGCGGTATGCTTACACAATTTTCGATCCATTAGGGTCTAGGACTGACGAAACATGTAGCTCTTCGGAGGTTCTGCTGCCGCTAAGGAGTACTTCTTCAAGCTCTCCGACTATAATGCCGCTACTTGGAGCCAGAACTTCGTTGCCTCAATCGCCGGAGCAAGTGCATCTCTCATCGTTTCCGCTCCTCTTGATGTCATCAAGACCCGAATTCAGAACAGGAACTTCGAGAACCCTGAGAGTGGCTTCAAGATTCTGTCCAAGATGGCTCGTAACGAGGGATTCTCTTCATTCTTCAAGGGTCTTACTCCCAAACTTCTCATGACCGGACCTAAGCTTGTATTCTCCTTCTGGCTAGCACAGACATTGATTCCTGCTTTCAACAACTTGCTATAGACGGACGACTCACAGAATCACTAGCGTAATGGCTTCTCACTTGTATTATAGATAATGTATTGGGTTTCATGATGCCAGGGTAATGCAGATATGCTGCATTTACGGAGGAAACGGTCTGCGATTATATCCAAATCCATAGTGTCTGGGAAACATAGAAGAACTTCTCTCTCCATTCCGCAACATGTTTCAAGTGTGAATCTGAGTTCCGCACAGACTGTAAGCATGTCCACACACACCGTGACCTTCCAAGGCAGCTAGCTCAAAATCACCGCAAAACCACGTCACGTGAACAATCCTCGCTGATGGGCACATGCTAGAAATTCCTATTATAAACAGGGTTTTTCGAGTGCAGAGGTCAGGTGTTAAACAAGGTGTTAGACCTACTCTCTCAGGCCGCGGTACTGTTTGTACGTACGTGATGTCGAGGTCTTAAGGCGTCTCGGCAACCTAGGGGTCCGTGCCCGTCTTTCACTCTCTTGGGATACAACATCTCGTAACCTCACTGCCCACCCTCCACCTTCTACATATACCCTCAACTCTGCGATCTCTTTTATGCTCAGAAATTTGCTTGCGATAACGACTACGACTGAGACGCCACTTTCCTTCCTTCCTTCAACGACAACTTAGCCAACATGAATCCTGAGTAGTACGTAACCTCCGGCCCAGCGTGCAGCGCCACCGCTCTCGCAGGACTATCTCGTAGTCGAGCTGTTGTTTTGCTAACTAGAGTATCACTAGAGTTATATCTGCGCCCTACCTGTGGCTGTCCGGATCGGTGCTCCCCCTTTTCGACTCCTCCGCTGACCGCTTCGCTATCATAGATACGACTACCTCTTCAAGCTGCTCCTCATCGGTGACTCTGGTGTTGGAAAGTCTTGCCTGCTCCTCCGATTTGCGGATGATACTTACACGGAGAGCTATATCTCCACCATCGGTGTCGACTTCGTAAGGATACATTCAGCCGCTCGTCGATTATCCACCTACTAATCTGGCCATAGAAAATCCGAACCATCGAACTTGATGGCAAGACCGTCAAACTACAGATCGTATGCTTCCCTTTTACTTCGAATCCAGCGACGACAAGACTAACTGTTATCTTAGTGGGATACTGCCGGTCAAGAGCGATTCCGAACCATTACCTCATCCTACTACCGTGGCGCCCACGGCATCTGCGTCGTGTACGATGTCACAGACATGGACTCATTCAACAACGTGAAGCAGTGGCTTCAGGAGATCGACAGATACGCCACCGAGGGCGTTAACAAGCTTTTGGTCGGCAACAAATCCGATATGGCAGACAAGAAGGTGGTGGAGTACACGGTAGCAAAGGTGGGTTGAAAAACGCGATAAGGGTGTTCCCCGAGAAGGGCATTCCAGCTGACTATGTGGATTATAGGAGTTTGCGGACTCCCTTGGTATTCCGTTCCTCGAGACCTCTGCGAAGAGCGCTACCAACGTCGAGCAAGCTTTCTTGACGATGGCCCGCCAGATCAAGGAGCGCATGGGAACCACAACTGTCAACAACAAGCCAACGGTGCCTATCGGACAGGGCCAGGGTGTACAGAGCGGATCTGGTGGAGGCTGCTGCTAGAGTAGTAGAAGAGCGTAGTCCGGAGATGACACACAGTTCTAGGCGTGGGTGTTTGTCCGGTGTGGTACATTAATGCTCATGGTTTCTCCTATCCGCCGTCCATCATTCCAGTGTTCCATGCATGGCTAGAACGGGGCTTGTCAGTTTCTTTGTTGGATTCCTATGATTTCGGTATCAAGTTTGCTGCATCCTGAGAGGACACGGACGAAGCGGCGGAGGAACGCGATGTCTGTGGAGGTCCCCGGTCGTTTTTTTCAGGTGTAGACTGCTTTTTGTCATCGACCATCTTGTGTTGAGCACCGGATATTTTCCTTCTCGAGTCTCTTAGTCTGGGCAAATCATAACCGTCATATACTTGCGATCTTCTGTTAGTTACATAATTGTGATTTTCTATTCATCAACGCAGAGTGACTGATTGGTTTGAAAGATAGCATAACAGAAGCATCGTAGATCGAACCTAGAGGCAAGCCTGAAAATGCCAATGCACGAAATGTCTCGAAACATGTATAGTATATATTCCGAGCATGTGGATTGTTTTGTTAATTAGTGCGTAGGCGTACCTGAATCCGTACCGCGACGCCCGTCTGCTCGATTCAGAAAAGGCTACAGCCCACACACGTCATCACACGATACGCATACAACGATAATATACCATCGTCTCCACCATCTAAAAGACGAGCCACTAACGTTAAGAACGTTTCCTACAAAGACAAACTCGTCCAAACGTGAACGCGGCCGAGTCGGACATCCCATCGGATCCGAGGTAGCAAAGTCCACGAACTCGGTGCCTAACGTCGAGTTCCACTAAGCATCTTAACCCAAAAGGGCAACGGTGTACCAGTTTCAATTGTACCGATCGTAATATTTTCCGGGTACGCGGATGGTTTTGGCAAAGGAATATGTTGTCATAAGATGATACGAAGAAGAGTTTGACGTAGAGGGACTTAGAGGGTGGGCTCGACTTTTGGATTTAAAGTGGAAGAGGAGCAGCCTTTTCAGGTGGCGGCTCATTTGAGATTGATATCACTTCCTATCATCGTGGGCTTCATAGCTTTCACTATCAGATCCTGATATCTGTCACATTGGTTTAGATGTATTGAAGGCATCTCTTCTATTAATACACCAACGAGGCTTCACACTACTATCAGTGAAACAAAACTCTCAGCACCACCGCCGAAGCCGATTCCAATTCGGTTTGGACATCATGCCGACATCTAACGTCTTTGCCAGAGCTGCTGGCTGGATTGCAAGAGAGATCGGCCTTGTTGCAATGAGCAAAGCAGGGAAAGACGTCTACATTCTCATCTTCACTCGCTTCCTCCGCCTTGTCGCTTTCGGGGCTATCGCACTTATCCTCGCTCGATTCTTCGAAGAACTCGGGTTCTCTGATGAACAGATTGGTCTTTTCATGACCCTAACGCTACTCGGAGATGTTGCTGTCAGTCTGCTCTTGACGCTGGTGGCTGATGAATTGGGCCGCAGGAAGACATTACTTTTAGGTTCCTTCCTGATGTCCATGTCTGGCGTCGTCTTCGCAACTACGAGCAATTACATCGCTTTACTCATAGCTGCCATCCTTGGCGTCATCAGTCCTACAGGAAACGAGATCGGACCTTTCAGGGCAATCGAGGAATCTACTCTCGCCCACTTGGTACACGAGGATTCGAGAGCAGAGGTCTTCACATGGCATGTGGTTTTCGCTGCATTGGGGACGTCGACGGGTCTCGCTGTCGGTGGCCAAGCTGTTGATCGGTTGCAAGGCCTTGAAGGTTGGACACCACTGGACGCATACCGTGGTATATTCTGGATATACACACTTATAGGGCTCATCAAAGCACTTTGCCAGCTCTTTCTGGGCCGGCGTTGCGAAAAGGATGAGGTCGTCGACGACCATGCCGAATCTTCAACAGCTGGGGAACGTGAGGCTCTTCTCGGTAAAGCGCAGAGATCCCAGCCAACACATTCACCCAAACCCAAGGCGAAGAGCCGGAATCCATTCACCACACTCTCCAAACCAAGTCGCACTGTCTTGCTCAAGTTATGTAGCTTGTTCTTTTTCGACTCCTTGGGCAGTGGTATGGTGTCGTTCACTTTGATCAATTGGTTCATGCAACGAAAGTTCCACATTGGTTCGGATAAGCTTGGAGGTATCATGTCAGCGACGTGGTAAGTGTCTATGCTGGTCATCATAACGTCAGAATTATTGACGAAATGTAGGATATTATCAACACTCGGAACCGTCTTCGCGTCCTCGTTAGCAAGGCGTTTGGGCCTCATACAGGCAATGATAGTCACGCATCTCCCAAGTGCTATCTTTCTAGGGCTTTTGCCAGCTGCTCCGAACTTGGGCTGGACAATCTTTCTGCTGGCTGCTCGCTCATTGATGAGTTCGATGGATCAGGCGCCTCGGTCAGCGTTCCTCTCGCTTGTGGTATTGCCAGAGGAGCGAACGGCAGTCATGGGGATTGTGAACATCATGAAGACCTTTGCTCAGAGCAGCGGTCCAACTGTGACTGGTATTCTAGCTGGCCGAGACCACTTTTGGGTTGCTTTTGTCGTGGCTGGGTCTGTCAAAGCGGCGTATGATCTTGGCCTGCTGACATTCTTCGCTGGCAGGGTCCACAAGCCGAGGGTCGCCGCAAAGGAGCCAGGAGAGTCCCCAGAGGGCGTTTCAGCGGGGGAAACGGCTTGAGACGCGAGGGAGATCTAGTTGACGATCTTTTTCGAGAATGGAATTTGGGTGGCAAATTGTAACAGAAACGAGACGAGTTGAAGGTCGTAGTTCCTGGAGATCATTTGCTCTGTATGGGGGACAGTGGAGGTTTCCCATCGGGTTGTGCCCTTGAGCTAATCCAAATGTAAACTAGTGTTGGACCCTGACCCAAAAGAGGGTAACTGCAGCGATAAGCGGTCCGATGTTGCTCACTCATCTTTACAGAGTAACTAGAAGCCTTTTCTTCTTCTTCTTTCATTCTTTAATTGTTCTTTCCTCCTTCCTATTCCTATTCCCGCTCCCATAATCCATACTCTCTCTCTCTACCAGACCATACTGCGACCTCGTTCCCTCATTGTCCCTCACTGTGTTTCTTTGATAGTGCTTCATTCTCGTTATCTCCTTTGTTTCGTGCTTCATCGGAGTCACACAACCGCGATTCAGCCCTATCGAAGTTTTGTCCCACATTTTTTCCTCCGGCCCGACAGGAACTCAGGGTCCTCATTCCTCCTCTCCGGTCTTTCCCTTGATTTATTGCCCGCAATTGTCGCCGAGTTACTGCACTCTCTTCTATCGACTCAATTGACTTTTGAAGCAATCGTCTTGGTCGGGTTCGCCCGCTTGTGAGCGATAGCATCGTAATATTATATCAGCCCGGTGCTTCCCTTTTCTCTGGTTCAACCTCCGACGCAGGACACTTCTTGGACACAATGTCGCCTGCATTGCTCGCCAGGAAAGCCAGGATTCTATACCTGGATGCCTACGATTCATTCTCAAACAACATCGTTTCTTTGGTCGAGGAGACACTAGATGCCGAAGTCACATCCATATACATCGATGATAGGAACTTTTCGAACTTAGATGCAACGACCAAACAAAAAAAGTTCGAAGAGTTTCTGCAAAACTTCGATGGAGTCATTGCCGGACCTGGACCAGGTTGGCCCAACAATGATCAAGATGTTGGCCTTATGAAAGAACTCTGGGCTCTCGCAGACAATCATGTACTACCAGTGCTTGGTATCTGCCTCGGATTCCAGTCACTTGCTTTGGCTTTTGGCGCGGAAATGGAGCGACTTAATGAACCGAGGCATGGATTAGTCGCAGAGATTCTGCACAATTCAACTTCGATCTTTGAGGGTGTCGATGAACTCCGCGCAACACAGTATCATTCTTTAACGGCCAACATCGGACATCCTATCCAGACAACACGAGCTGTCCGATATCCACGGCAGCTCTGGGACCCAACCGAGAAATGTCCAAAGCTCGAACCATTGGCGTGGGATTTTGACAATCGTAATAACGGCGCCGTACTGATGGCTGTACGGCACACCGAGAAGCCCTTCTATGGCGTACAGTTCCACCCTGAATCCATCTGCACGAACTCAGAAGGGACTCGACTTTTCCAAAATTGGTGGGCCGATGCGCAGACTTTCAATCTAAAGCGCTCGGTAAATCGAGCCGCTCCGGCTCCAGTGACAGTCGATGATCAGAAGATTGCGAGGACGCGAAGTAACAGTGGTGCTGCGGCACTAGCCCACATGATGGCCCATGGAGATGATAAAACACTTCCAGACCTACCCCCGGAGATCGTGCATTGCAAGACAACTGGTAGCGGTCGACTTACAGTCGCCGACGTTTGTGAAGTTTTCGATATTCCCCGTAACGAGGCCATAATACTAGAGTCCGGTCTTCAGGCGGACCTTCTCCCTCTAAAGGTCGGCACAGGGCGTTACAGTATCTTGGGATTGATCATTCCAGGAGAAACTCTTCGCTTGCACTACTATAGTACGACACAAACCCTGCAACTGATCAATGGCCACGGCAGTGTGCACTGGGAATCTTCAGTCAGCGATCCCTGGGAGTACCTGAGAACAATCATGCAACATCTTAAACCGAAGCAAACACCATCTGGATCAACGCTTGCGCCATTCTGGGGAGGGCTGATGGGATATGCCTCATACGAAGCTGGGCTTGACACGATCAATGTTAAGCCACAAAACAGAGCACAGTGTCCGGATATCTGTTTTGCATATATCACGAGAAGCATTGTATTCGACCATCAGCTGAAGAAGATATATGTCCAGAGCATACGCGGCCAAGATGATAAGGCGTGGATAGCCGATGCAGCGGAACAGATCTATGAGGCTGCAGGGCGCAAGAGCGCTCAGTCCTCGCCTAATCATACACCCATGTCAAAAGCCGACCCATTTGAGACGGACTATCAACTTAATGACTACCTGGCATCCTGCAAACTGAAACTGGCAGAGGGTGAACAGTACCGTAATGCTGTCGCCCAATGCCAAGAATACATTGCAGATGGGCAGAGCTATGAATTGTGTTTGACCACCCAGAACGAGATTCGAACATGCAACCCAAAACTCGACACAGCGGACAATAACGAACTCTCCTGGAAGATATACCAGCGCCTCACGAAGCACAATCCGGCCCCCTTCAGCGCCTACATTCGATTACACAATGTCCACGTCCTCAGTTCATCACCGGAACGCTACATCAGCTGGGATCGCAACCAAACTGCACAGTGCCGCCCGATCAAAGGAACTGTGCGGAAACTTCCAGGTACGACGCGCGAAGATGCTGTGACGATTCTCTCCTCCTCGAAAGAACGAGCCGAGAATCTTATGATCGTCGACTTAGTACGCCACCAACTTCACCGCGTCTATGGTTCTGGAAATGTCAACGTCAGCCAGCTTATGGAGATCGAGGAGTATGAGACGCTCTGGCAGCTTGTCTCTGTCGTCAATGCCATCCCACCTGGTGTGCAGAAGCCCCGTACCCCTGAAGAGTGGCAGGATGTGGGCGACTACGTTTCGAACCAGAAGGTAGAAACCAACGAAGACATGTTGGGTTTCGATGCTTTCGTGCAGAGTCTCCCACCTGGTAGCATGACGGGCGCACCGAAGAAGCGAAGCTGCGAGATTCTCGAAGAAGTTGAGGGCCAAAAGCCCCGTGGCATATACTCGGGCGTTCTCGGATATTTGGACGTCGGCGGAGCAGGAGACTTCTCTGTCGTTATCCGTACCGCTATCAAGATCGACGACGAGGATCCTGCCGCGGAAGAACAAGTCTGGAAGATTGGCGCTGGAGGCGCCGTCACAAGCCAGAGCACTCCAGAAGGCGAGTACGAAGAGATGAAGGGTAAATTTCTGAGTACTGGCCGCGCTTTTGAACATTCATCACCAACCAACAAGGCGGACGAAGTACCGGAAATTTCTACCGCCACGATGGCCTTCCTGACTGGAGGTCGAGGCACGGCATGGACACCTGGCGACATCCTCCGTGCAGTTCAGGAACTGCAACCACTCGTAGACCAAGAGAGAAGGAGGATAAACGACGAGCGTGATGAATTAGACCAATAGATGGTGTCTACCTTTTTACTGCATTGCATTTGATATGGCACCAGCATCAATACTTTGGCGATGCGCTCATTTGGCGGGGTTTTTCTTTCTTGTTTTACTTTCGTTACACACCATATCTCCTTGAACGGAGAATTGCATATCTTATAGATTTAGAGAGATACTCCCCAGTTCTAGCGACATAGACTGCTAGAACCAGCTTCCTCAACGAAGGTTTCCGAATGTAATATGAATATATGATAAACCATACTCAATCACTCCCCCTCGAATCATCCTGACGTTTCTCATTCCTTCATGTCAGTCACACTGTTCCCCCGACGTTACGGTAAGAGACGCTTGAATCCATAACCCCCAGGCTCCAGGCTTTAAAATAATTTCTAACACAATTGGGTATCTCACAGCTCCTCGCACAACCATTAGTCCTTCGACGCCTTAGTCTCCTTATATGTGTCGGGATCCAGATTCTGGCCCCACCACAGCTCTTTCTCCCTCTCTTTCCATTCGTCGAACGTCCCATTCGCGCGATCAATCATCGCCTGGTCAGCATCCGCCTGCCACTTCTTCGTGCGGCGGCCGTTCCTCAGATCATTCTGGAATCTCGCGATATCGGAGCGGAACGGGTCGTAACTGATGGTGAATTCCTTCGGACGAGGGATGTCCGTTTCGCCGGCCTCGATTAGCGAGAGCAGATCCTTGTTCGCCTGTGTTGGAGGCAGAAGATTAATCAATTCGGTTTTGTCGGCAGGTGTGAGTGAGTCCCAGGCTTGCGGTTCGAGAAGCATGTGCTGTGTCGTGTTTGTTAGACAACGATGCCCACATTGTCTGAATACATGGGGATAAAGACTTACAAAGAGGTCGTGAGTTGCGAGACGGCTTCTTACGTTCGTCGTCAAGTAGACAGGGTCGTAGGAAAGCCTTGTGTTCGAAGCTTTTCCTTTGGTAGTAGCGGGTTTCTTCGGTTGTGCAGGTGCGACCGCGTCCTGTAGACGTTCGGGCGCTTTGCGAGTGCGACTCGGACGAGTGCTGACCCGCGGTGGCGGAGGCGTCTTCTTCTTCCTGGGTGTGGCACGCTTCGTCGGTTTTGCGGACTTATTGGGCTTGTTGTCGATATCTTCTAGGCCGGCTACGGAAGGGGAGCGTTTTCGGTCTTCAGATGGGGTTTGGGTGGCGTCTTTGGGTTCCTCCGGGGTGGTGGGGTTGTTTGGGTTCTCTGAACTTGGGATAATTGAGTCGTTGCCATTGCTTTCCATGGCGTTGTCATCGCCAGGGATGTTGGCAGGTTCATTTGGTTTATCTGACTGCTCTTCTGTTGCTACAACTTCCATTGGGGAGCCTTCATTGCTCGAACTCTGAGCCGCCTTGTCATGATCCTCGCTCTTCATGCTGATAAGCTGGGGCAAGGGAGAGGCCCAGTCCGCAAGCTTGCTTGACCGTAATATTTCCCCGAGGGAGGAGTGCGATATCCTGGATCGACTTGGTAATGGCGATAAGGCCGGGACGCTTGGTTACGTCGCGTTTGAGATACCTTCCTGGAAATGAATCACTCGCTCACTTATCGATAGCACTAGAAATCTATCTAATCGTAACGAAGTCGAGATAATCGCATTAAACTGCTCACGCGTGATCAGCGATAAATTTCGAAAATGCGTTGAAAGTAGGGCGTTACAGGTCGACGTTGGCGAGATAGACGAAAGTCCTTTGCTTGGATGTAACGCGCTGCGCCGTGATTTCGTTGACTTCGATCCTAATCGGAGTTTGCTGAGTCACGAAGCAGATCCAAGACGGGTTGTGGAACGACGAAGTTGTTTCTCGTACGTTTTGTTGACTGTGTCGGCGTGTGTCTTATGATGCGCATGCCCTTTCGCTTGTTTGTATACGTTCGTGGCGAGTGAAGGAATGGTACGGTTGGTGACTGTTGAGCGCTAGTACAATTACCCTATTAAGCTACGATGACGAACATTGAGAGCTCATGCTACTGGAGTTTACGCCGCGTCTACTGAGGTTTTATTGTATTGATTTGTATTGCTAAATTGCAAATCTCCCTTTGGAGACAATTCTCTGGTATCACATTCCATTACTTCTTGATTGTCTCGGCCGGAGCGTGGGACTGATTCAAGAAACTTCCAACGGGATTTTGATTTGATTTCAGAGCTATACTACTTATCACTCATTAATTGGGAATCAGAGCGCTCAATATCCATCCTGACAGGCTGCGCAGCGATTTGTCTGAAAAGTATATACGATATGTCCTTCATCAAAGGAATGCTGTGGCGGGCAGTTAAAGAAGATGCAATGCGCCGATCGTATCAGATTTCTTTGAAAGGGCACTTGCACTGTAAAAATATGTCGAAGTGATTCATGCTCCTTTCTACTTCGTTTGTTTGTGCTTATAATTTATGGAAAAGAGGTCTTTGTTACCTTTCCGGATATCTATTTGTGTGAGAAGGACGTTCGTTATTCTGGACTTTTGGCTGGCCCGAGCTCCGTAGTTTCCGCATCATCACCATAACTTCTGGCCAGTGCCGGCCTACGACACGTAGCCTTTAATACACCACAACGCCTCGATCCCACTCCTCATACCTCCGCCTATTCCAAACTCACACTTGCGCCTTGTCACCTTCTACACAACCATGATTCGACATACCCTGATAGCGCGGATCGACGGTACGGCAGCATTGCAACTACGTCGAGGAAGTCGAGAGAACCTGGCATAGCTAATACACCTGCAGGCCTAATTCTGGTAACGTCGAGCGATAATGGAGAGGTTTGAGCCTCCAGAATTATCCGAAACGTATATAAGACTTACTCTTTACAGGTAGATGCTGCGCTCAACGAAGCCAAGGGAAAGCTCAAGCTCATCCTTCGCCGTCTCAACGCCAATGCAGAGCCCCAGGCCACCATTGAGGATGGTCCCTATACCGCCCAGTATGTTTCTTTCTTAAAGAAATACCCAGGAACATTAGCGCTTTGGGTCAAGTTGTATTGCTTGCTGACGCACAACTTAGTTATATAATGAAGAACGACCTATGCTTCTTCTGCATATGCGACAAATCATACCCTCGAAAGCTCGCATTCACATACCTCTCCGATATTTCCTCCGAGTTCACCAACACCTACAACTCTACACAATACGGAGCATCATCATGTCGGGCCTATCAATACATGGAATTTGACACATTCATCCAAAAGACCAATAAGACCTACCAAGACACCCGCGCCACACAAAATTTCGACAGATTGAACGACGAACTCAAAGACGTCACAAAAGTAATGACCAAGAACATCGAGGACCTTTTATATCGCGGCGATAGCCTTGAGCGCATGGGCGATATGTCGAGCAGATTGAGGGAAGACAGCAGGAAATACAAGAAAGCAGCCGTGCGGATCAACTGGGAACTGCTTCTGAAGCAGGTGAGTCATGCCGTCCAAATCAATGATATGTGTGCATCACTAATCTCTTATACAGTACGGTCCCTTTGGTGCTCTTGCGTTCATAATAATTGTGTTTATCTGGTGGCGATTCTTCTGAGTGGCACCTTGTATCTTGAGTTTATATCATGCTGAGGGTAAGCGCCCCTACGGCCTAGAGCCAAGTGTAATGTGATTTAGGAAATATGTAGTATACCCCAACTAAAGATGTAATCAAGTTCACTTATGTGTGTTGTTCTGCGTTGTGCAATCGTCCTGCTTGAGGACTTACTTTCTCAGCTGGCTTACTGGAGCTTCATTATCAATTCCATTACACTAACTGACTACAGTGAAAGATGAATGTGAAGCAACGAGTTCTGTACCTAGTTATTATTCCTCGAAATCCATAATTAATGGAGTCTAGTTCCATGCGTAAAGTGGGGATTGAAACCTCACACGTCAACAATGGTGGAGTGCACCAACACCAGTGCAAGTAGGTCCGACATCAAATGATTGCCTAGTACCAAACCAGACCATGCGATTGCAACAATGGAACCCTCTATGCCAACTTAGTGCTGATTGAGATCATTGGCGTCCGCGACCTTGTTTGACCGCCTCACCCCCAGCTTACGGGTAGGATCCTTACCTTCCTTCCCGTACGATATGTCATGATTGAGATTCCGACACTGTGATGCCGTTAGTGAGATGCTGTTGTCTCATGATCCGACTCCAGCCCCAGGACAATTATATAAAGGCTTTAACATCGTCACATCGAATGTCCAATCTGTCTGAGTTCGTCCCTTGATTTACCTTCAATATCTCATCTATCCCACTACAAAGAGTAACTCCTTCCTTGTACCACAACCCATCTACTTGATTGAAACACATTGCAAGCATTATTCAACATGAGCAAACCTCAAATCGTCCTTGTACCTGGAGCCTGGCATTCTCCAGACGCCTTCTCCACCGTCACCTCCCAGCTCGAATCCAACGGCTACACCGTTCATACGAGACAATTGCCATCCGTGGGTAACGACAACCCACCAAAGGACCTCACCGAAGATGTCAATGCTCTTCAAGAATTAGTCACCAAGGCAATTGGCACTGGAAACGAAGTGATCGTGGCCCCGCACAGTTGGGCTGGCATCATCACGGGCAGCGCGTTGACAGGCTTCGGCAAGAAGCAGCGTGAAGAGAAGGGCGAGAAGGGAGGCGTGGTGACATGTGCGTACATGTGTGCCTTCATTGTGCCGGAAGGTGTTAGTCTGCACGATGCCGCCGGTGGAGTAATACCGCCGTGGTACGCGCACGAGGTACGTTGAACGGGACATGGATTGATCCATCGGATCTTGCACGCGTCGCTGATCATCATCCATTTTTAGGATCCGTACACCGTTGTCAAGGACGGCAGCGTGTTCTACAATGACCTTCCGGAGGAGCAGTCAAAACACTGGCAGTCGCAGTTGCAGACTCATAGCTACGCTACCCAGGCCGCACCGGCGACGGGTGCGTCGTGGAAGGAGATTCCAACTCGCTACCTGCTGTGTGAGGACGATCAGGCAATTCCTGCCTTTGCGCAAGAGTTGATGGCCAATGGAGTCAAGGAGGCTGGAGGTGATATTGAAGTGGAGAGGATCAAGACAAGTCATTCACCGTTCTTGTCGAGACCTGATTTGGTAGTAAACTGGATCCGAAGGGTTGCTGGAGAGACAATTTGAAGAACAGGATGAGAACGGAAACAGTAGTATATAATATGAGAACATTGAATATGTAATTGCGTCCAACAACGCATATCAGAAATTTGATCAAAGTCTCAAGTGCCCCTTGCGAGTATCTGACATTACAATGCAATTACCCCGTAGATCTAAACGCACTGTTGTGTAACAGCAATACGATGTGGACGAAGGTGTGTACCCCACACGTAACGGGTAACAAAGGATGGAGGTGCAGCAGCGGGGTACTCGAGGGTTCCGACCAACGGTTCCCAAAACGTCGGCTCCCGCCCCCCTTGCATTCCATCTACCGGATCCCCAATCGGTACAGTGGGCATGCCTCACATATGCGGTAGGACAGATGAGCAGTGTTACGAGGATAATTTGCATATAATCGGATGCACAACGCCGATTATGCTATCAGAGTCATGATATACCGAGTCACCTCTGGGCCTCCTTCTTAGACCCCTCTGAACCTCTCCCGACACTAACTATCATGGCCGCCTCTGCCTCTATCGCCGGATGGGAGCAGCTCGCTGCCTCAAAGCGTGACGCCGTCGCCGCTAAGATCCCCTCGGAATGGCGTCTCCCGTCCTCGCTGAGCAGTCAGATCTCAGAAACGTCCAAGATCAGCGTGCTGTCGTTTCCCAGAGAGAGCAAGATTCTCACGGAGAAAGAATTAGATCTGACGGAGAACTACGATGCCACGAGCCTGATCGAATTGATGAGCACGGGAAAGGAGAAGAGCTATGATGTGACATTGGCATTTTGTAAGAGGGCTGCCATCGCCCAGCAATGCGTGAATTGCTTGACGGAGATCTTCTTCGATGAGGCACTTCAGAGGGCGAGGCAGTGTGATGAATACCTTGAGAAAGAAGGGAAGCCTATAGGGCCTCTGCATGGTCTACCGATCAGCTTGAAAGTATGCAATTTTCATTATTATCAACATCACTGATCATCATGTGCTGAGAACATGAAGGATTCATTCAACGTGAAAGGGGTACATGCTACCATCGGATACGTCTCGTTTCTCGCCAACCCCCCAGCTCAATTCAATTCTGCCTTGGTAGACATACTCTTCCAAGCAGGAGCTGTGTTCTACGTGAAGACGAACCTTCCGCAAACGATGATGACGGCCGACTCTCATAACAACATCTTTGGGCGTACATTGAATCCCAATAACTTGTCTTTGACAGCCGGTGGCAGTACAGGTGGAGAAGGCGCCTTGATCAAGATGCGAGGAAGTGTACTGGGGCTCACGACCGACATTGCAGGCAGCACCAGGATTCCGGCCTTGTGCAATGGCATTAGTGCATTGAAGCCGACCGCGAGTAGATTGCCGTTTATGGGCAAGGTTGCACCGGGACGTGTAGTAAGCCCAGGGAGCGTGTTGCCAGCGATTGGTCCCGCAGGAGTGTCGATACGTGACCTGGAGCTGCTGATGAAGACGGCTATCGACAGCCACCCATGGCATTACGATGCCAATGTGCTCAACGTACCGTGGAGAAAAGTCGAGCCTCCCAAAGTGCCACTACGATTCGGCTTGATTCGAGGGCATCCGAGACGCCCACTCCACCCTCCTATCGCTCGAGCCTTGCACACTGCGGCCACGATGCTCAAGGAAGCTGGGCACACAATTGTGCTACTCGATGACAAGATTCCAGACCTTTGGGAGACCGCACTGCTCACGTGGAAGATGTTCGATCTTGATCCCAAGAAGACACCCAAGCAGCATGTCAACGCATCAGGAGAGCCGTGGGTTCCCTCCATACCAACAGCAGCATTCGCAGAACTTAAGGACTGGGTGGCGTCGCTCAATGAACTCTGGGATACCAACCTGGAGCGGGCTAAGATCTTGAACACATATCGTGAACTAGTCGTGGAGAACAAGCTCGATGCTATCTTATTGCCGGGATACCAGACCACAGCGGTTCCGCACGACACTTTTGGGGTACCAATCTATACAATGCTGGTGAACTTTCTGAATGTAAGCGTTCGTCTGTATTGCACGAGCATCATGTACTAACCAAATCTGTAGTATCCAGCATGTATCTTGCCTTTCCTTAAGGCAGATAAGCAGTCTGACGCGCCATTTATCAACAAAGACGCAAATTACGAGCCGCCCTGTAAGTCGCAATCTACTTTTGGTTCCTGCCCAGTTGGGCTAACTGCTTGTTAGACGAGCCTGAAAAGGTCGAAGGAGCACCTGGTGCTGTCCAAGTGATGGGATTGCCAATGATGGATGAAGAATTGCTGGAGATTGTGAAGGTGGTGGAGCAGGTATTGGTAAAGGGCTAGAGTAGGACTGTTTCACCAGGCTGATCTTGCAGATCTAGCGATATGGCATAATTCATAGCTGTCGTAAATTGCCTGGTGTGGCTACCATAGATGCCCTCGTATCCAACTTCTTTCACACCTTTTCTGGCCATTCAGGTCCAATCACATAGTCTTCCCACTTTTCCGAGCCCATCCATCGACTCCAGTTCGTACTAACAGTCCTGCTCCCCGGGTTCGGTTTTGCAACCAAGTGCACGCAATTCACAGTATCCCCCCGACTAACGTGCATACTGATAGAGCCACCACAAGTGTTGCGCAGGATCTGATTGATTGGCGCGTCGTCGTGGCACCAAACATCAGCATAAGAACCTTCAGGGAACACGATGCGTGATTCCAGCTTTTGCATACGACCTGGTTTCGGAGAAAGGATCGTTCGCACAAGCCGCGCAAGGGCGCGTGGGGCTGCTGCTGCAGTGCAGAGTGGAAAGGGTGGCAGAGACTTCATATACTGCCTGATAAAAGGGCTACTCATTCGTAGTCTCATCGGCCTGGGGGGTAGTGATGGATTGATCGCATTGATAAAAGGCGTGGGCTGTGGAGAAGAGGCCTTCGGTATGTTGTAGTATCCGGATATGTATACAGCCTTTGCCTGGGAGAGAAGAAAAGGATAGAGCTCTTTGAGTACCAGGACTCCGTAAGGATAGGTAAGGTACAGCGCCAATCCCCCATTGTCTTTTCCTGGACGCCTGTTCCTCATGTAATCGCTAAGTTCCGCATAGATCATGCCGCAGGACTGCATCAGCGCCTGAGGAGCATAGTAGGGGGAGCTTTGGTGACATGTCTCGTTCAATTCATTGTCGACATCTAGGCTGATGCTGGGAGGATCCGATAATGACAAGAGTTTGGAATCATAGCCGTAGCGAAAGAGGGGGCTGTAGTCGCGAGGAACGCCTGGAATCTCAGCCCTTGCTGTGTCTTTGATGTTGTGCCCAAACACAGTTAGTGGTGCTGCTGTGATGGTGAGGACATTTGCGTCTGCTAGACAATAATCATATATTTGCAGTCGTATTTCAGTAGGAAGTCCCAGAAGGAAGCTATGTTGGTTGCTTTGGTCTAACATCCTGAAGTGGTTGTGGTGGGAGTAGAAGAGGTGATGGAGGTGACGTATGCTACAGTGGGAGCTATGCTGTGCAGCTGAGCCTGAACCGGATGTTGATGGATACTGGATGGAATAATGCGGATGAGGTCGTGTTTGTGAATATGCTCGAATAATGTATGGGCGTCGTTTTTATTTTGTGTCTGTCTCTACACTTACAACATCATGAGACTTTCCAAAAGATCTTTTCCTAGATGAAAGGTTGGGGAAGGGATGCTGGCGTGAAGAGAGTACCGTACCATGAATGAGGTACTCATGCCATAGTTACCTTAGGCTAAGAGCGCGTGACTTGAACCAATACCCCAAGCACCCCAGAGTGCCCAGATTCCAATAATAATGACAATTGAGTGCCACCAACCATGGAATAGGGCGAGTAGGGGCTGGATTAATCAAATGTTTATTGGGGTTTAGCGGGGAAACACACACGACTCTCGTCGCACCTTTTCAATGACCAAGGGCCATTCATCTGATCATCCAACCTTTATGGTCATGCAGCACCACTTGGTCTGTTACATCGGTACCTAATTCTGGTCTATTTATCGGTCACAGTCAAGTTGGTTTTTTTATTTTGTAGGTCACGACGGTAGCAAACAGCTCACCATTCACCAACTCATTGCGTCATTCAGCTGAGTGGCCACAGTCAGTCCCATCGTGTCCGTATTTCATGCAGTGCTCAAGCGAGTCCTTCGTGTAAGAGCTCCGCCGGCCGGACTTCACCAACGATAAGAATGCATGAACAACTTAGTTTCAAGATAACAAGTAGATCCAAATTCATCGATGATCTTGCTGTTATTGAACGTGGAATTACTCATATACTCTTCTTGGGTATCAAAATTCGGGATGCTCGATCCACATAGCCGAATGAGTCTGGCTGCACCTCGAGCTTGCTGTGAGCAAAAGAAATGCCACATGTAGATGAATCTCAGGCTTCCCATCATCTATCTCGCCTCCTTGGATCCCTACTCGCATCGTATGTGTTACCTGCGGTCGGCGGCGATATTGTACGGCCGGCAGGGCCAGAGATGCTGCTCCTTCGCTGCTGATCCGTGACAGTCCGGGGGTCGCTCGCTTGTGCACCACCCATCTGGATATCGCCATCAGCATCACGTTCGTCCGACGCCAACGCCAGTCCTCGCGTCAGTGGTTCCGAGACTCCATGCGCTTGGTTCGTAATGGGGAGAATGCCATCGTTCTTGTTGGGTTCTTCTTCCAACGCCTTCTTGATCTTCCCGTATGTGACTTTCACGCTCTCTGGGAGATCAGGACCTGCGGCTACTCTCTTCATATGGTCTGGGCCCCCAAGAGGCAAGAATGTGACACGTCTTTGGTGATTATGTCCACGAGGTTCTTGCGGTTCCAAAGGTAGTACTTCAGCATGAGTGAAGGAGTCAATGCCCTTGAACGAGGGTGCACTCTTGCTGCCCTCTGGTTGACGAGTGTTGAAAAAATATGCTATGTCCTTATCGATACGGACTTGTCGACTCTCACGAACGTCCGGAGGGAGTGGACCCAAGAATGAGCTTGTTCTATTTGTATTTGTCTTTTCCGGACTTTCTCCATTCACCTGATCGACATCCTAGGCGCCATGTTAGCACGTAAAGGCGAGGTAGTATTGCACCTCTTGACATAGGCATACACGCTCGGTCATATTGGCGTCTGCCATAGCTGTAAGCGTTCTCCACTATATGCAGTCTTTTCTTTTCGTTCCAGAGTTATAACGCCGTACAACTTAGTAAGTGGTACATCGTATTAGGTAGCACAGATCAAGATGGAGAGTGTGGTGTGGAGAGTCAAGACGCGACTACTAATCGGGACGCTAGCCTCTCTAGGTGTGCGCGTCATTATAATTACTTTCACCACCGATTCAATTGCAGTACTGACCTCAAGACATTATTGCAAAGAATAGGTAACGTCATGTTTTTGTTTATATATGTAGACATTGTATATATAACCACAATTATTATCTATACTCTCTTAATATACATACCAATCCCATGCATTTTGCGCTCTTTGGTCGAAGAGCTATAATACCAGCAATTGCTAAAGTCCAATCGTATCGACCCATCACTGCATTTCTTCACACTCGTCCCATCATGATGAATGCCGCCGTAGATGCGGTCAAGTCCACCGTTGCTGAGAACTTTGGCAAAATGATCCCAGCCCACGATGCCGCATCAAAAGACTCACAATTCTCTCTCGAACAAGTTCCAGACCTCTCTGGAAAAGTAGCAGTAGTCACAGGAGGGTCCGAGGGCATTGGCTACGGATGCACGCACACTCTTCTCTCTCACAATATCTCGAAACTCTTCATCATCTCCAAGTCCGAGGATGTAGTCAAGGACGCACTTGACGCCATCAAGACCGAAATGGGTGAGGCCGCTGCTAAGAAAGTCGAGTGGCTTCAGTGCGACCTATCAGACTGGGAGGCAACAGGAAAGACAGCATTCACCATCACCGAGAAAACCGACCGCGTGGACATCCTCATCAACAACGCCGCAAGGGGCATAATGACCGCCCAGAAGGACAAGAACGGAGTCGATCTGCACATGTCAGGAAACCATATCGGCCATGTCATCCTAACAAGCCACCTCCTCCCTCTCCTCAAAGACACTGCCAAAAAGGGAGACAAAGTCCGCATCGTGAACCTGTCCTCGAACGCCCACCAGAACGCCCCCAAAGACACAAAATTCGAAAGCCTGGAGGAACTGAACCAGGATCTCGGTCCAATGGCTCAGTACGGAAGGACGAAACTGGCTACCCTTTTGTACTCCAAATATCTCAATCGCCACCTCACTTCCAACTTCCCAAATATTCTGGCGAACGCCACGCACCCCGGTTTCGTGGATACGCGTCAGTCGAGCGAACTCATCCTTGAGGCGTATCCGCTGGGTGGATATGCGATGACGCATGGTCTCAATCCGTTCAAGAAGACACAGTTCGAGGGGGCGGTTTCGACGATGTTTGCAGCGACAGTGACGGATAAAAGTGGACAGTATATTTGTCCGCCGGCGATCGTGGAGAAAGGTAGTGATTTGGCAAATGACGATGCACTGGGAGAACAGTTGATGGATTTGACATGGAAGATCGTGAAGGAGAAAACGAAGAAGTCTTCCGCTGATCAGGGATGTCCTTTCAAGGAACATTGAATAGATATATGTGTGTTTGCATGTAATTCTTAAATTTGCTATTATATTAATACTACGACACAGAACCCAAACGATTTTACGTGTTCAAAAAATAAATAAATCAATAAATCTGCAAACAAGAAACCCCCTTAAACGATGCAACATTTCCTATACTCCCACATCAAGTATCAAAACGCCAACAATGAGTTTCCACTCCGTCTTCTTTAAGAAGGTCGTACGAAGCGCCGCTACCCGTCACTTGGGCCCTCAAGTCCTGAACAGCATCGTTAAGCCACAAATTCTTCCTCGGCTCAGTCATGCGTAACTTGAACGACTCAATCTCCGGAGCATGAATCCCCCTCTCCACAATATACGCTCCTATCAACCCGATCTTCCTGAAGCAATTGAATCCAGATATCCAGGGACAGAAACTGGAAAAGTCGTCGGATAGAGTGAGGTGCACCACACAGGCCGGGATTACCTCCTCCACTCGTGCAGCAAACTCCGAAACCCATCCCAAGATCATTATCATAGGTATGTCGATAGTGCTCAAGTTCTGCATTGGCCGAAGGGCGACAAGGGTTCCCTCGATGGGAGGGAATGATATTCCTTTCTTCTCCATTTCTTCCAGGGAGGTGGAGGCAGGGTCAAGTTTCAAGGTCAGGCGAAGCTGTTCAAGGGATGGCCCGACTTTCGAAAGAGCTTTGTTGAGACCATTGATGTTCGTATACGCCGAAGGCGAGGAAAGACCGGGCACATCGACCTGGATTAGAATATCATGCTCGTAACTGAGGCGCTTCAAGTGGGGGGCCGTGGAGAGAAGTTCGGCCAGCAACTCTCTGTGGATATTGGACCGAAATAGATCGAGTACTGTCAAGTTCTCGCATAGTGGTGCTGTCGGCTGTTTCCAATCGAAACGCCAAGGCTGCGTCATGCTCAATTCAAATGCTTGTATGGTTGGTGTATAGAAGATCGGTCGAATCAGATTGAGGTCCATATAGGACACTTTGTCTTCCGGCCCACTCTTCTTGTCACCAAGAATGACATACCCTAGTCTTGGGAATAGTTCTGGTGCGCGCCGTAGTATTTGCGGTAAGAACAATGAATAGATCATGAAGCCCTCTCCAATCTCCAGCCGGACCAGTTGTGTTAGGCGCGTCAACACCATAAGTGCTAATGCATCTTTACTCCGCCCTTTGAATTGCGCAGGCGAGTCATGCATTTCCTTGTCCACCAACTGAGAAAATTGACTCGAGGCGAATAACATCTGCGTTTTGGAGAGAACGCTGCATCCTTCCAACCCCCAGCGGTTGACTGGAAATGCCACGTCGGCGGGTGGCCATGGATCGAAAGTGTTCCAACATAATTGCGGCCCAAGAAGGCGATAGGTCCTAATGAGGGATGCTAGATGAGGCTGTTCTAGCAAAGTGCGGAGCAGCAAGACGAGTCTTTCCGCACATGAAAAGGAGTTCTTTGCTGTAAAAGTAATATTACGGTATAGATAAGGCCCGGATTCTCTATACAGGAATCGGCATGTCTGCGTGAGAGAGTAGTGATCTTTTCTCGAAAGATGATTGAACACAAGAGGCAGAATATTAGATGGTAAAGTGGAAAGGATCGACATTGTATCGTGCTGATTGCGGCTTCGACATGGCCACGAGAACGTTGCAGAACACTTCGTCGATATATGTCACTATATGGTGAGGTTGGCTGCTGTGACAGCAATCATGAGTATTGTGAAGGACCATACATTTTGGATGCGACTGTAACTTCAAAGAGAAAGGCAAGGCAGAGAACAACGTCTCTTCGAAAAATCTCCGCTATTACAGAATGAAGCCCTTCGTATTGCTGCCTCAGGCTGAGTGGTCAGAATGTAGGCTTCCAGGTGTCCAACGCGGCTGGTCCTAGCCTGATTTGGAATGAATTGATGAAGTATATTCTCCGACCATGCAGATACGGGTATTCGGGATCACCGAGCCCCTCGGAGTGCTACAGCACTGAGATGATCGCAATATTGAGCGAGCTGAAGGTAGCAATGGACCTTGGCGTATTGGGTAACATATTAAACCTCAAGCGCCATGGATTTTGCAAACGACTTTGGTTGCGGGACGAACGAGACATGGCTGGCCCGGTGAGCCCAAAAGATCGTGGGGGCCAAAGCGCTCGAATGGAGCGCGGAGAACGATAATTGTGTACGATCATAACGATATCGTCCCTGTGTAAACTTCTGTTGCCCCGCCGCCTTTTCATCCGGTTTCGGAACTCATGCCCGGTTGGTCTTTACCTTGATTGGCTTATGGGTAATCGCTCCATGCATCCACAGCACCTTGTCGAATCGCGTGAAGATGATACTGTGCACCAAGCCCCAACGGAATCCCATTCTCACGGCGGCCGCGCAGTCTCTTTTCAGTGAGATTCCCAATGGATCGGTTTGGATCGACGAGAACACATTCCTTAACCAGATTCCAGTTCTCGGCCTTTAAGGTTCTGATGAGTTGCGGATAAGCAACGACACATGCGATTCTATTGTCTTTGCAAAGGGTGGTAAGATCTTCAAGTTGGGCCTGAGACCAGCCAACTGATCTCTGTGCTGGCTGCCATATAGTGACTGATTCCAAACCGGGAGTATTAGCCACTAGAGATAACGTGACTCTGAACATGTAGGTGGTATCTGTATTCGCAACGACAGAAGCTTCTGCATGCTTCGTCCAAGCCGTTAAGTGAGTTTCCAGCAAAAAGAGTGTTGTATCCACAGGGTAGGTGAATTGGGCACGAGACATGTCTGGGCGAAGCAAGAGATGCCGTAGATTCGGTGGCAATTTTGACTCGAAAGCATTTCGATGAGAAAATTGGAAGTCGCCAGTAATGAATGGAAAGGGTAACTCGAGCGTATGTAATTTCTCAAAGTCAACAAGATCTAACTTGCCCGTAGACTGAGCCAGGATGTCTGGCTGCTGGAAAAAAGGTCTTGTAAGGTCGCAACATTCGACACTGGCAACCAATATCTGTAGTGAGGATTTGACGAAATGCAAATTGTCGTTCAGTGCCGAAACATTGATCCACCTTTTTTCTGATACGTTTCTGGTCCAGTCGTGGCTACCCCAATCGTAGAAGTATTCGCAGACAAGGGTCCGAAGGGCCCTAGTATGTGGCAAGATGCATGTAAGGATCCCCGTGATGAGTCGTGTATGGCGAAGAATGATAGTGGTGATATTGAGTGCGGCCAAACCTATTGTCGGACTGAAACGCGTAAATGGCATTTCGGAAGCAGACAATCTTGTAATATTGTAGACATAGAACTCGAGAGTCGTAAGCCCTGGAGTAGTTAAGACAGACGCTAAATCAAACCGGCAATCTCTGTTCAGGCTCTGGACTCCCGTATGATCTACGTTGAATGACATTTCCGGAATGGAGGGTGAGGGTATTCTTTGCCTAATATCCATCGTGTTGAGGTGGTAATATAGATATTGGGGCAGTATAAGGTTACAACCTTGATCCATGATCTCGAGCCTTCGTAAGTTTCTTGACAACAATATGATTAGTGTTACGAAACCCCCATAGTTACGTGAGTAGATGTCGTCGATTAAGTTCTTGCTTTGTTGGCTTAAAATAGGACCGAACATGGCTCCCAGTATTTTACAAGCTAGGTTCAGCACTGTCGTTTGATTCTCAGGCGTCGAAGGGGCCAGCCGTTGCCTTCCGTCAATCGCAATCCTTTCGAAGGAACTCTGGCCGATCCGCAGTGTTGTAATACGATTCAGTAGTCTTCTTTGATCAGTCATGTTGATGATGAAGCGATCTACTGGGGGAGCCTTGGAGCGGATGCATAGATCGACATTTTTGTAGAGGAATGGCCCGGTGATGTTGAATAACGATTTCGACATAATCGAGAGGGCGTACAGCTCGGGTTGAGAACAGTACGAGAGAATGAACTCCACAAGCTCCAAAGGGAGATCACTGAACCCAGCCATTCTAGATAGCAGATTATGGACCACCAGAGCTCATAGGGAGGAAGGAATGATGGTGATATATAAAATGCTCAATCTTGGAGAGAGGAGAATTTGCGGCAAGTTAATAAATGAGAGAAGATGGAAGAGGTTGACTTGGATAGTACTCCAAAACCAATGCTAGACTATGCAAATGGTTTACCATGTTCCTTTTATGTTTCCTACGGGAATGGGGCCGGATTGATTTGGGGTATTTGTTTGGTTTGGTAGAGATATATAGAGCACAGGCCATGTGAACCATGAGGTCCGTATGGTAGCACCTTGACTAACCACAATAGGACGGGAGTACTTTGTATGGAGTCGCATACAAGATGGCTGCCCCACCAAACCAGCTCAGTGTGCCAGCCCAGCCCAACCCAATCAGATTAAACTAGACTAGACTAAACCCAGACCAAACCAAATATGACATGCGGAACGGAACGCGTACTGAGCAACATCGGATTCCATTCACTCTAACTAATCCCACCTTGTTCAGAACCATTCCTGCAGCTCCACGAGACGAACAGACGAATAATCCTATGGAGATCCTAGCCTATCGTCATGTCTTCACGCAACCCGACTCACGTGAAGAGCTCTTCAACCTCTGATCGGCGCTCTACAGCTCACAATCACGCGTCCTCGTCACGTCCCCGCATGCCTTCAATGTCTGCAGAAAACGAACAACAGCACAGTTCCACCTCCCATTCGAGAAAGCAATCTACAACAGTCGGTGGTGGTGAGAGGAGAACAGAGAGGCGAGAGGTTCGAGAGAGGGAGACTGAAATACGCAGGACGCGCAGTCCATTGAAACATTCATCGGAATCTCGAGTCAATGCCAGGTCACGCACAGAAAAATCCACGCGGCAGGCGGACAGGGCCCCGGCGAGTACTGCGACCCGGAAACCACAAGAAGAACCCCAGGGTATGTCTCGCATATCCCCCGTGGCATGTTCCAAATCTAATGGAAGATTTGTTTCAAGACTGACCAATATAGCACCATGGGAACCCCAAGCACGCCTTATTCCACACACGACGGCTCCGCTTGCCACGCGCATATCCATTCCCCCACTTGCATCGACCGCACCTATCAACCTTCAGCCGGAAGCCCTGAGCCAACTTTCCCTCCAAGACCAGGAGACCGCAATAATTGAGGATCTTCTGTTTGTTTTCATGGGATTTGAAGGACAGCACATACGTTTCAGCGACTCATATAATCCCCACGATGAGAAAGAGCGACTCGTAGGCCCACAGTTCCGGATCTTGCCTGGGCTTGATCCCAGTTTGCGCGACCTTACCCACTCTATGCTTAAGATGGCTACACATTACATTGCAGTAGAAGCTTGCGTGGAGGTACTGAGCCGGGAAGAATACGGCGCTGTCAACCATGCACTATGTGCGGCCGTCCGGCAGCTTCTCAAGGACTACCTTACCTTGATGGCGCAACTAGAACATCAAATGCTGACCAACTCGTCGTTCACTCTGCATGTGCTCAACCTACACACAAAGCAAACGGGTCACATGCTCTTTCAGCTCTACAGCACAGGGTTGGAGCTTCTCAAGGCAAACGCTATCCTAGAAGACGAAGATTCCGAGGATTCCGCTGACAATAGCGACGATTTAGAGAATATCCTAGAGTCCCTTCGTGAAGGTGGCAACGTGCAGCTTACTCAGAAGAAAATTTGCAAAGGTGGAAGCGTTTTGGGATTGATATCTAGGCGACTTTCCTCAATGTCTGGTGACCCTGCCGCCCGGACTTTATTGACCACTCTACTCCGAGAAGCGAGTAGGCCGTACATGTCCATGTTGAATGAGTGGTTGCATCATGGAGGCATTAAAGACCCCCATGCAGAATTCCTGATCAAGGAGCAGCAAAGTATCAAAAGGGAGAGGCTAGATCAGGATTATACTGACGAATATTGGGAAAAGCGGTATACGATAAGAGATGCACTCGTACCACCCCAGCTTGAAGGTGTCAAGGGAAAGGTGCTTCTTGCTGGCAAGTATCTGAACGTCGTTCGCGAGTGCGGTGGTGTGGATATCAGCAAGGTAGCACAAGACGTTCCGACCAGTTTTGACGACCCACGATTTCTGGACAACGTGAATTCGGCATACGCTTATGCCAATTCATCGCTGTTCAATCTCCTCCTTACAACACACGCACTGCCCGCGAGGCTACGGTCACTGAAGCACTACTTCTTCCTTGACCGGTCCGACTTCTTCTCTTACTTTCTTGAGCTTGGTGCATCCGAATTGAAGAAACCTGCTCGCAGTGTGAACACAGGAAAACTCCAGTCCCTTTTGGATATCGTCCTTCGACAACCCGGATCGGTGGCTGCAGAGGATCCATATAAGGAAGACGTCAAGGTGGAAATCAACGATACGGGGTTGACTAATTGGCTCATGAAGATTGTCACTGTCACAGGCATGGACCAGGAAGCAGCCAATTCCGGAACGCTTTCGAATTACCTCACGCCGGCGACCACGGCTCCTGTTACAGATGACAGCAATATTATCGGTTTCCAGGCGCTTGTTTTCGACTATGCCATGCCATTCCCGCTCTCGTTGGTAGTCAGCAGAGTGACTCTTACACGATATCAACTATTATTCCGGTATCTGCTCAGCTTGCGCCATCTGGAGACAAGCCTCGTTGACTGTTGGGGAGAACAAGGAAAAGGTGCGTGGAAACACCGATCAAAGAATCCCCGAATCGAGCTCTGGAAGCGCAAGGCCTGGACATTACGCGCGCGGATGTTATGCTTCGTCCAGCAATTGCTGTACTATTGCACTGCCGAGGTCATCGAGCCAAACTGGGTCTCGTTGATGTCCAGACTGAACGAAGAAGGCAAAGACGATTCCAAGGGAAAGGGTCGGCCAGGGAGTCATGGAGAAGCACCACAGGTTACACGGACTGTGGATGAATTGATGCAAGACCATGTTGACTTCTTGGCGACCTGCCTGAAGGAGTGCATGCTCACGAATTCCAAGTTACTGCGAGTAAGTTGTTGCCTGACCTATTGAATCGATCTTGATGTCAAGATGCTAACGCGGAGTTCCAGATCAATAATAAGATCATGTCCACGTGCAATATGTTTGCAACATTCACCCAATCCCTATCCCGTTATCTCATAACGGGTGATCCGGATCTCTGCGCGCAGGTGAACGCTGCACACGCAAACCAGGCCCAATCATCGAATCAGCCTAGCAAGGGGCCTTCGGGGGCCTCGCACCGTCATTCGAAGTCTGGGACTCAGTCGTTCGTCTACGATCCTCAGCGCGTGGATAAGATGTTCGACATGTTGACAAAATACGAGGACAACTTTGCTCGGCATTTGAAGATACTATTGGATACTCTGAACTATCTTGCAGCCACCGAGACAGTCGTATTCCTGAACCTCTGTGCTAGGCTGAGCAGTGCAGGAGAAGGCGGAATAATTGTGAGCACTCCCGAGGGCGTCTTTGGTGCCTGAGGAATTCCGTACCCATTTCTTGATCGTTTTCAGTATTGCGGTATGAGCAGGGCAACAATGGAGGAGCATTTTCCAGGAGTTTAGTATGGGACTGTCACGTGGATTCCGAGACCACCTGTTTGATACCACTTGTATGATGTATTCAATGATATACGATCACCTAGAGACCTCAGCCATGGGGAAAATGAAATAGCACAATGTCAACCAAATATTGCCTATGACCTTTCATGCTTTCTCTCCTATAGACGTCATGCCGTTGATCCGTTCCCGTGATGCGGGGTGAATGGATGTTCAACCTCCTGCCCCGCAATAACAATGCCCGTCTCGCGCGCAATACTAGGCACCAAGACCCCATTCCACTGCTTCCAAGTCTGTGGGGAAATGGAGACAAGCCATGGCAGGACTCATCGGTTGCAGGACAGCAGTATTGCAATTGGGTGAAAAGGCCTTGTTGAGGAGAGAACCGATCCATGGGTTGGCGAAGGACAAGGCGGCCATTTACGGCGTAGAGATACGCTAAATTGAAGACATACATACATTCATCGTATGGTGCGTTTATTTTATTTGTTGTCATGTCATGCCATGATCTACACTGCACTCGGCACACCTTCCTCGGGATGGCCGTGGGAGGTGTGCATTTGCGTATATTCTCGTACCTACGCATATAATAATCATTGCTTGAATGATCCTTTGAAATGTGTATTGCTTTTGGTAACTCATTCAATCTCCCGCTACCTCGGACACGAGCTATCGAAGTGTACGGATAGCATCGGTCCGTGGTATTCTACAAGTCAAGTACTCATATGGTACAAAGTCTCCAGTATATAAGAGTAATATAGATGTGTGCTACTCGATCGTAGTGGCTTGGGCAGATCATGATGGATGGTCGGCTGCAAGTACATCTATGGAAACGGCAGCCTGTTTTTATGCATAGGCGGCTTGTATCTGGCGAGGCAGCAGGACGAGTGGCAGGATTACACGCAGCGTGGCACAGAGGTGCGGGAACTGCGCTGCGAACGACGCAAAACGGTTGGAGCGGCGCCATTTGGGCCTTATGAAAAGCTTGCTCATTGTTGGTTACGAGGAAGAGAGTGGTGGCAGGGAGGGGGGACGATGCATGGTGGGCGTTTGTTTGGCCCCGGGTTAGACCAGATGGATGAGCGAATCTCGCAGGAGATTGCTTGCCCGGCTATGCGAGAAGAGGGTTGATGTGCTCGATCGCATGCAGCGGTATGCACAGTTGGGTGGGTGTCGTCTCAGGTGATGGGATTATTATCGCAAGCTTTGTGATGATACTCAGATAGGGAACTTGTTCGTACTCATAGTAGTAGTTGAACATACGATACTTGGACATTTATGTACCGTACCTTACCATTAACAGTAATGGCAGTGAATTGGAAGTCATAGTTACTCGTAGGATCTTAGTCATTAGTGTCATCGTACCTAAGAGGACTCGGTTCTGGCTCGGACCCGCTAAATCCATCCGGGTTTGCACAAATCAGCTGCTTCCGATTTCTTCCTTCGGCGGCCCTTCACTTTCACCTGCCACTGCACTGGCTCTCTGGGCTCTGGCTCACACCCTCCACATTTAACACTACACTACACTACACTCCACGATCTCAACTCTCTCCTCGCCCTCTCCACACTTCCCGTCCCGCACACCATAACACAGTATCCCTCCCTCCTCTTAACCCACTCCAGTCCCCCGCGTGAATCCATCCTATAATACAACAACCCACCGCCGCTCTTCCCATTGCCCGTCCACATCCGCTCCGATAAGCCTTCAAACCTACGTCACATTGACAACCGCTCTCACCCGTTCGGAACCGCGAAACCAACGAGCCCGAATATAACACTACACAACTGTCCCTCCTCTGGTCTTCCCGCATGATATCCATATAGTGTCCAACACGGTACCCCGAGTATTAGTGCAAGCGGGCAAGATAACGTTTTGCCCGTCCTTCGCTGTAGTTCTACCGTCCATCAAGGTCTGAAGGACTGTGGATTTCCATGCACAACGATCGCGAGCGCTCCCAAACACGGCGGCCAACTCCCGAAGACACCATGACTACCAACAGACCTTTCTTCTCCAATTTCCTCTCCGCCTTCCGGGCGCAGTCTGCCATCCAGAAGGCCGCTACAGCGCAAGCTACGACCTCCTCCGGCTATGCTCATGCCCAAGCCGCACCCTCCCAATCAACAAGCACTACCACCGCAAATACATCACGAACCATAAGCACCAAGGCAGGGCCTACATCAAACGGCGCGACAACGACTGCTGTGCAAGCGGCAGGTCAGTTCCAGCCAACCCGACAGCACACCGCACCTTATCACCGATCCACGTCACCCACCGCAAAAGCCTTCCCCATCCCTGGCGCTTCGCGGAGAGACAGGAGGGGCTCAGACAGCTCAAATGAAGGCTTCCACGAAGCCATAGGTGCGGAGAAGTGGTATATTGGAGGCCGAACAGCTGCCGGTGAAGAGAAGTTCTACAGGCTTGGCATGGTGAAACGACATCGAAGCGTTGACCGGTTAAGTCTGGATAGGCTCAGCATCTGAAAGGGCGTACGATATAATGAAATTCAAAAAAAGTTGCATGGACAGGCGTTCTCTCTGGATAATTACAAGGATACTAGCACCCGAGGGGTTTTTTTTGGGGTTACACAGATCTGGACGATCTAGGCGTTAGGAAGGCAGATACATTTCACTCATGTCTCAAGCGAGTATAGGCGTATACTCGCACTCAGATCAGAATACACACACATACAAGTAAGACTAACAACAGGTACTCTCGCGAGTACAGATTTTGTTTTCATAGCTTTTGCAATGATCATTATTGTTTTCAGCATCACATGCGAATGTTTCCGTTTTATACGCAATGCAGTGTATTTTGCAAAAAGTGTTTTAATGTCATTTGATTGAACGTTTTATGCTACTGTTACCTGTGTTTTCAAACTTTCTGAAGAGCAAAAGAAAGGCTTTGCCCCGCAGCACTCAGCATACCATTCATTCTGTCTGGAAGGACCCGACAACTCCTACATGGTTTCTGTCTGTACAGTGCAGTCCAAAGGGGCAAAAAAAGAAGGGTATTGGTTTGCGACACCTGCAGGATCTAATTGATGCTGTTAGAATGATATCAACCGGAGATATATTGGATGGCACAACTTACTCGAACCTGCGCGCCCGAAGGCAATGCCTCTATGTCAACCATAGCAGGGCATCCCGTTAACCACTCCGGCAAAGTGCCAATGTGCTTGTTTGATGACATAAGTTTGGAATTAGAGGTCTTATGTACCGACCAAAAATCATATCGTCATGTGTTTGCAATGATGAATTAATGTCTCTATTCTACAGTGGCATCGTATACAGCATACGTGGTACCATCGCGTGTGAGCAGACGCAATCATACGCTCGTGTGGAGTCAAAAGTGGAGTTGTGCTCCGAATCGTCGCACTTCTCGCCGCCGGAGTTCAACTAACGGCAACGAAGTCAACATCCCCACAACATCGTGGCTTTCTCACCAATCACAAGTCATGTGTATCCCAACTATAGTAGCACTGCTTAAGTTTTAATTCCGACTACAACATTAAGGAGTTGTGTCTTCGCAAGCTTCCCGATTCCGGGTACATGTCGGCTACTGGAAAACACTCACGGAAAAGCCGTATCGAGACGGCTGGGACGGCAAAGCAGCCATTCTGCTTCCCCAGAACTTCCTGACTCGTTCGCGTTGGGCAGACGCTAAACGCAAAGGAACAATGATCTTCGGAGAAATTGAGACTTTTAAATCTTTCACTTCAATTTTCTGTTCGTTAATCCGATTTGAGTCACTTCTTATCTCGAAATCCGGGGGTGGCTCAGGGATATTAGAGCCCCTTTCCCATATTTTCTGTGCAAATTTTTAGATTTATTTTGCAGAGACATTCTTCAAAAAGTGCTACGGAGCTTTACAATCTATTCCCCATTTATTTACCATTGTCTTACATGTCCATAATTCGTCATCATGGCGACATCCAATTCGCCAGCCGCGACCAATGTCCAAAGCGAGCCACAACCACCACCACCACGCTCAGAGAAGAAATACGCCTCAATCGTTCCCGATGGCAGTAGATCGGATCCACCTAATGCGCTTCGGCTCGAACCGACAATATCGAACATCAGTCACCATGACATGTCCGATGTACAATATGTGCCCACGGGCGAGAACGACGAGGTCTACAAACGCTTCACAGAACGTCGCAAGCACATAATTGTTGTAGTATTGTCCTTCTGCAGTTTCCTTGCACCAGTGTCGTCGACTACCGTATTGTCTGCCGTTCCAGAAGTAGCTGAGACGTTTGGGTGTGATGGAGCCATCATCAACTTGAGTAATGCCTTGTACATGCTATTCATGGGAATAAGTCCTTGTTTTTATGGACCATTTGGGAATATCTATGGAAGGAAATGGGTACGCATTATTTTTCTCTCTACTTTTCCGAATACATCAATATCACGGTTCCCTCGAAGACAATTGATGACGATGAGAAAGAGTGAAGACCAGGTACATGATCACTAACTCAGACCACTGTAGGTTTCTTTCTCTAGTGCAGCTTTGTTCTTTGCATTCTCTATTGGCACCGCACTGGCTCCTAACTTGGTTTCATTCTTCATCTTTCGTATCTTGACCGCTTTCCAAGGAACAGCTTTCTTGGTCATTGGGTCCAGTGTCATTGGCGATATCTACCAACCTGTATGTATCTATCCCGTCACTACAACATCACTCCTCTAAATCCAGATACAGACGGAACGTGGTACAGCTCTTGGATGGTTCATGTCAGGCACCCTCATCGGACCAGCCCTAGGCCCTTTCATCGGTGGCATAATCGTAACCTTCCGAACCTGGCGAGACATCTTCTGGCTTCAGACCGCACTCGCAGGGACAGCAACCTTCCTCGTCCTATTCCTCCTCCCCGAAACCATCCACTGCAAGCGCTCCGAAGAACTCAAAGGCCTGCCCACCAGCCAAAAGGCACACAAGATGTGGCAATGGCTGAACCCCTTCCGCGTCATCCGTCTCTACCGATACCCCAACCTCCTGACCGTCGCCCTCGCCTCCTCCTCCCTCGTCTGGAACATGTACTCTCTCCTCACGCCCATCCGCTACATCCTCAACCCCCGCTTCAACCTCACCTCGCCCCTCCAGTCCGGCCTCTTCTACGTCGCCCCAGGATGCGGGTACCTCGTTGGCACTTTCTTCGGCGGCCGCTGGGCCGACCACATCGTGAAGAAATACATCGGCATTCGCGGCCAGCGAGTCGCAGAAGACCGGCTACGAAGCTGTCTCCTGTTCATGGGTGCCGTGATTCCAGCTTGCATGCTGGTGTACGGATGGAGTATAGAGAAACGCGTTGGTGGCATCGCTCTACCCGTTATCATGATGTTCCTCCAGGGCGTCGCTCAACTGTTTTGTTTCCCGAGCTTGAACGCCTACTGTTTGGACGTCATGCAGAGTCGTAGTGCGGAGGTCGTTGGTAAGTCATCCCCCCTCTGCTCATTATTGTGGATATCTGACCTTGGGATACTACAGCGGGCAACTACATGCTCCGATACTTGTTCGCTGCCGCAGGTTCGGCAGCGTGTCTCCCCGCCGTGCGGAAGATCGGTGTCGGGTGGTTCTCGACCATCTCGGCTGTGTTCCTCGTCCTTGCTGCTGTGGCGACGTATGTTACCACGCTCTATGGGAAGGAGTGGCGAGACTCGATCAATGAGAAGAAGGCGGCGAAGAAGGAGGGAGAGAATAGGGTTTGAGTTTGAGGTGATTCGATGTTGTGGTTTTTTACTAAGAGATACCTATTTGGAGTTACTGGTCGTCATCAATTTTGCATCTAGATTTCTTCTTGTTTTGGGTTGGGCGTTGGAAACAAAAAAGTTGAAAACATGTTGGCATTTTTGATACCTTTTTGCGGCGTTTGGACATAAGAAATTGCATGGGAGAGGGAAGTTGATTTGTATGAGACCCATCTTCATATACCGTAATAAATTAATATAATCGCCATTGATCGGTCGTCGGCCGAGTTCATTTTGTTCTCTCTGTGCGATGTCACTTGCATTTGTTCTTACCCCTGAAGCCACATACTTCTCCTTTGTCAAAGCAAGCAACGGGCTTACTTAAGATGTGGTGATAAATGACCTTTGGGTGTGAAAAGTGACATGCAATCGCTTTGATCAAGAGAGATGAATGGGCTACGATATGTATGCGATCTAATGGAATGCCAGAAGTTGATGTAAGGAAACCAAGTTAACTGTCTGTTCTGTGTGTTGTCTACGTATGCGGTGATCTAGCTACAAAGGACAACAAGAGCATGAATATTGAGGCCAAACTCTTAAGTTGATAATTGATGTGATACTGTGTTTCATCTTCCGTGGCCAACCCCCATGCCTACCATAGTCTTACCAGCGTCATGAACCAATCTTCGTTTGGATGGTTGTCCGGCTGTGTTGGTGTATTTATGAAGAGCGCAGGCCTCGACTGTTATCACTCTCCTTGTCATGATGATCGTTATTTGCTTGGTAGTGATAGACTGTTTGTTAATCGCGATTCTCCACGAAAGGGGAAGCCCTAGTCCAGCCAGGTGGAGTATAACCAAAATGACCATAGTCTGGTTGTACCTCTTGGGGTACTTGGGAGTCGTACCCTACTTGGTATTGGGGGTCCTCTGGCCGTGATTCTGAATGCGGGAAAGTTACAGGCGGTAGGCAATGAAGATTCTCCTTGCCGTTGCGTTCTAAATCCGACTGATCATTGCCGACCATTCGCTGTCGCCGAAGGAAATGATCTAAACTCATGACTCGTGGGGTATGATTCCCATGATTTCCATATGCCTCTTGATATAGTGGGGAGTTGTGGCGTGCCCAGTACGGCGGATCACCTGGTGAATAGATTCCGCCGACGTCATGCCATGGAGCAATAAGTGAATGGGATGGCTTTCTTGGAGGTAGAACTGGCCCCTCCTCGTCATCCACCCGATTCTCATCTATCCAATAAAGAATTAGACGTCTCAAATCGTTCGGTACGACAATACCTAAGTCCTTGACCCTGTTGTTGCATTCTACAGAATAAGTCGTCTCAAAACGGATGCGCGACGCAGGAGGCAGCACGCCATTCGGATTCACCATTCCAACTTGGAAAGGAGATATAGCCAGGCCTTTCTCCACTTCTCCCTCAAAGACGACTGGGTCTTCTCCCATGCTGTAGACTACTGCGTGCTTGCTTGCGTCGCAGCCTGGATTCAATGTTCCTTTGTTGCTATAGGTGAAAATCCCCCTGACGGGCGTTTCAGCGAAGCTATCTTACTCTGGAAATGAAGACTTACACTGCTTCAACATAGCCTTCTCTTACTCTAACAACAATGAAATTCCGCAACTGGACGAAGATGGCCTCTCCAACTTTAACGATTTCTGCATAGGGTTCTTCAGAAGATGATGCCGCGTTTGCAGAACCGACTGATGGATCCAGCAGCGAGAAAACCTGCAAATTGTAAACATCCATACTATCAATTTGACAACATCGTGGAAATATCTCACCCTGCCCTGAAGGAAGAACTGTTCAGCCTCCTTGTGGGTCCTCATACGATACGCTGGTACGTCAGAGATGGTTTAATGGAAGTTATGAGGCGACTTACATGGATCTATCGAGTCATGCCAGCCAAAATGAGGTGTACCAGCTATGAAATTAGGGATGGTCGAACGGATATCCGGTGCAACTTCTCAAATCGTTAGAAGTGGAAGAAATTGTGTCGGAAAGTCCTTAAGTACCAGGTGGTGGCATTTCATCAGCGCTAGAAGCGAAATTCCTCACTCCTTCTAAGGAGTTTCTACGGGAGGTTGACACGTCAGCGATGCTGTTCCTAATAGCTAAAGTTGTAAGGCCCGCAAACCTGTCATGGCTTGGTTGAAGTCTGGATGACTGAATTGGCCTCGTCTGCTGTGGCTAATTTCGATGAGCACTATGTATCACATATACACAGTCAAGTTAAGTACTCACTTGACTATGAGTCTGGCCGAGGGAATCGTTCGTTAACCCAGACCATTCATATTCGTTTACGCCTAGAAAATGTTATCGTTAAACATAGAATCTTTTGATGTAAAGTTCAAACCATTATTTACTGTAACGCGGTAGTAAGCGTTATGGGGTTCACTCCAAACCCAGTCTGAAGGATTGAAAACTCCTATAATGAATGAGTCTCAGGCTTGGGCTTTTGCGAAATGAGCGCGTAGAAGAGGATGAATGAGTTATCATTGTTACGGTTGGTGATATCTCATACTTTTTGAGGTGTGCAGCTCAATGTATGCATACATACCTAATGGGTTGGCCGGTTCTTGCGATGAATCATTGATGGCTGGAATGCTTGAATGAGCTGTAATGGAATCGGGCATAGTTACCAATTGCTTCCTGTAGGCGCGCGAATTTCTTGTCGAAGGTATATCAAGTGAAAATTCCGTGATATCGGGAATGCTTGAATGAGAGGTGCTAGAATCGGTATCAGATCCTGATGACTCTCCAAGGCTTTCTGAATTCCCTGTTACAGGTACATTGTTTGAAATTCTGCGAACTAGAGGAACTTTGGCGACTACATCATTTGAACGACCTGTGTTGGAGTTGGTCGTAGATTCTGTACGTTCCCCAAGGCCTCCTGAGCTCCCTGTCAAAGGTTGTTTGTTTGAACTCGTACAGCTTGGACAAAAGTAATCTTGGTCTTTATCCCGAATTTGGTTGACGACATTGGTTGCTCGTGGTCTCAAATTTGGACTTGCATCTATCATGCTGGAGATAATGGTCCGAAGCCATGGGTAATCTGATGAAGACACATCGCATGGAGTGGTGAGCTTGCGTTGGATCGCATCAATACTTTCATGGTATGGGTCAGGTGTAAATTGAGAGGCCAAATTAGGGTCGCTATAAACAGCCAACAACTCAAGAAGTACACATCCGAGAGAAAAGACGTCTGCTTTTGAGTTGCGACGCTCTTCGTTCTTGACCTCCGGTGCACAGTACTTGGCGGTGAACATTTCGGGCTTGCCATAGGTGGTGCTGTTGCCTGCAATATCATATTTCAAAGAATAGCCGAAGTCGGTGTATATCATGTTCCCTTGGTGTATCAGGATATTGCCGGGCTTAATATCCTTGTGCCGGATACCTTGCTCGTGTATGAAGGCCAATCCAACCGAAAGGCATCCAAATCCAGAGCGAAGGATTGCTCTTTGGGCAGTGCTGGGTTGCGGAACTTCTTGACAATCGTGTAAAAATGATTTAAGGTCACCACCATCAGCGACGGGATGTAGTATTATGCCAACCTCTTGTTTTGAGGTGAAAGTAGCGAAGACGCGAATGACATGGTGGTTTGCAGCTAAGCGGCGAATTATTGCGATCTCGTTTCTGAATGTCTGTCTCTGCTGCGCTTGACGGCGATGTAGTCTGAAGGTCTTTCGTGCAAGATATACTCCTGTGGCCATGTCTTGAATCTTCTCAACAATCGCACTGTGACCATGCCCAAGGTTCTCGACGTGACTGTACGCAAGGCGCTCGTTGTCATTGAGGTCGAGATCATCGCCTTCTGTCACAGGAATAAATTTTATCATTATCGCGTGGACTCGACGTTTCGTAAGGCGATATCGTCTGACTTTGCTACTTCAAAGTTTGCCAAATATTGCCTGTGAGAGCAATAGGGACACCAATAGCCCGGGATCAGAAAGTTCCAACCACAAACAGTCTGATGACTGAATATGATGTATCGATTGGATAACACTGCTGCTGTTAGCTGTATCCCCAGTCTAATGGTGAGGCCTCTACCGCGTCTACCTACCTAATCATCCGATTCGAAACCACTGATGGATTGCGGTCGTTGGGCCCAAGTCGATGATCGACTATAGGATCGCCGAAACGAAGTTCTATGTATCTACTCCGTAATACGATCAGAGACTGATTTCAGCACGCATATTTGGAGGACGGTCTGTATGCAAATGAAGAGAATCTTGTTGTGCGTCAGGCTGAGAGCCAGCCACCTGGACTTGGTATACACGTTCATGCATACAGCTGTGAGTTGTGAGCCGTGATTGGCTCAATGCTTTTGGGAGGGTGCTTCGATGTGCAGCCCTGCTATTTGGGTTGGAGTGCCTCAAGGTTGCCTGAAGTAGGTATGCTACTGACTCTTAGAAAATACGAAAAGGCCTCAAAGTACTTCATACGGAGTATGCTCACTAGAATTCCTCATTTCGACCTAGCATTGATACCTTGGTAGTCCCCCAATACTGTTGTTTTACCATCTCATCAACCCGACTAATCCCGACCTCTCTGATTGGCCACAGCGCAACGAGCTTGCCAAGGCCGAGCACTTCCAACTTCTCATCGAGCGACCTCAACGATCACATCTCAAGTCATTCGCCCCGGTATCAACATCACCACCGCCGCTACCATGTCCAACGTTCCCCGCGCCTCGATGGCTAAGACGCCCGCGTTCCAGGTACGACCAAGAAGGCTGCAATTGAACCCCTCGCAGGGGCGCAAATCCGGACCATGAGCTGACCGTTTACAACAGTCCCAGCGAACCCCCTACAAGGCGTACAGGAGTCCTTTCGGTCCTGCGTATGTATTTAATTCCTTATGTTCGGAACGGAGTGTGGTTTTTGGTTCGACACAATGGGGTGCATGTAGCAAGGACTCTGGCGGATGAGACTTTGGCAAAAGACGGGTGGACGGAACTTGGGACTGAGCACATTAGAGTCTGCGAAAGAGCTGGAACTATACAAAAAAAGGAAGATGGTGGAATTTTTTGATCGAGCTTTTTACGGGTCGCTGACAAGATGACAACAGGTACAAGACGGCACCTCACTTCCACGGCATCACCGCCCGATCACTCGTCAAGTTGTATGTCAAACCTGTACCCAAATACTCTGTCTCGCTCGCAAGACTATTTTCGCGCACGAAAATCTCCGCAGCTCGGTTTGCTAACAGGAAATTAGCGGTACTATCGCTGGTGGATTCGGTGGTGTTGCTGGATTCTTCGCCCTCTTCTTCTTCGCCGAGGTCCCTCGCGTCCGTGTCGATATCATGCAGAAGATCCCCATCCTCGGTCCCTACTTCATCAACGAGATCCCCCCCGAGGACAACCCATTCTAGATGCCGAATTGGCTGGGCGATTGGGCGATATGTTTTGTACAATAGATGGCATATTTAGCAACGGACATAGATAGCCGATGCTGTATAGTACAAGCGACGGTGCTGCGAATTAGACTTTTCCTCTGTCTGATGTCATACTGCCTCGCTATCCTTGTGACTGTGACATCTCATGGTGTACGAGGGACATAAAAAGGAGTGTTCTGCAACGGGAAATGGTCTACAGTAACTCCACAGCAAGAGTAAACCCATAGTTTGAGGGAATGAAATTACATAGTCTTCATGAGCATTGATTCATGTCTCTATTTTACGTTCGATCGATTCCACGTGATGCCGCGCTTGCGGGACGCGGAGTTTATCTAGATTCGTACCCGGGCTGAAGGCTTGATCTGCGTTATGAAATCTAGTTCGTGGGCAATCTTCCAACAACCTCCTCCATCTCTTCATCAGTGTAGATTCTGAAGCCTTTGTCCTTTGTGACACTTGCAAGCTGCACGTTCTTGCTGTCTAGTTTCTCCTCCATAACCTGCTTGAGTGTCTTCAAGACAAGGACCTCGGCCTCCGGGAGGGTCAATGACTTGTGGAATTCGTTCTGGAGTTCAGCCTGGGCGCCCTCGGACCCGGAACCGATAGCTTTAGCGTCGTAGCGGTAGAATGTGCCTGATGGCTCGGCGTGATATCTGTTACTCTGATTAGGATATTGTCCGCTGGGTGCATACGTCGGGCATCTGCAACATACAGACTTGGACCATCCTCATCATAACCCGCAATCAGGAGCGCAACACCGAACGGCCGCGACATGATACTCTCTTCTCCCTCAGCACCCTCACCGAACCGCAAGGCAAGATCACATATTGCCTGTGTACAGCTTTCGACCCTCAAAGGCTCGGCGTAGTTGAAAGCGTGGTTCTGCGACTCCACTCGTGCATGCTCGACCATGCTTCGTGCATCGGCCTGGAGACCTGACATGGCGCATCCAATGTGGCTATCGATTTCTACGATCTTCTCTACAGAGCTGGTCTCGAGCAGGGTGGACGTCACGCGCTTCTCAACTCCGAGGATTACACCATCGCCAGTTGCGACCTGTTTTATGCATCAGCGGGGATAGCTTTGAGCCTGAATGGTATGATCCATACTCCTATCGCTGTTGATCCGAGCTTGATGGCTTCTAGAGAGTATTCGACTTGGAAGAGACGGCCTTCTGGCGAGAAGGTACTAGGTAATGGTGAGTGGGCTATTCGGAGGTGGGAGGCGGTGGGGTAACCAACTTGATGCCACGGTCTGAGAAATATGTTGTCAGTATAGTTCAAGTATAGGATATAACTCATGCAACTCACCATATTCACTTCGTGCTATGAACTAGATAGATTAGCATAGTGAGCTTTGGCGGGCGGGCGTTAGAGCATACCATGTTGATTGATCAAACGGTGGAAGACTTGGGAGCTCTATGGTGGTTCGAAGAGGAGATCGAGGTGTTATTGTATGGCAGGCAAACTAATCTGCTAGTAACGGCCTCGGTGTGTAGTTGTGAGGTTCGTTGGAGTGCTTTGGGGATTCGTATGTTGTAAGGTGGAAGCTTGAAGCTGCGCGGCCCACGCTGCCTGCTCCAGAATAGTGGTCCAAGCTTTTGATGCCAAGACCTTACCTCTGAAGCAGTCGTCTGAAGTAAGTATTGAATTCAACAACAACAGAGAATGTGCAATGAAACATGTGAAAAAGTGTGCCGATTTCGATTCGTTAATGATAATCAAAGTGTATTTATCCTGAGCATTCTCTTGAAGCAGGCTTCTACGCCGTGCTGGTAATTTCGATACGCCGCAGCTATGCCAAACCGTGACTGGACCCATCTGAAAGCCTTCCTGTTAATATAAAAGAACCAGTATAAACTCCGCCCATGCGACTCTTCCACAACTGCACTTCATCTCACACATCATATCGACCCCGACCGCGCCCAGGAACCTCATCTTCAAATAGCTGCCCCGCCTCGACACAGTATCTCGCATCGCCTCTTCCATCAGGGCCGACTTCACTTCCCCAGCAGACGAGAACTGCATCCAATATACCACTAAGAACACCCTCCATTGCGCCAAGAGCACCCCAGCCAATGGCGGCACTGATTAGACCAACAACATAGGCATACACGCTACCCTTGACGCCGTCATTCCCAATTTGCAACATTCTTGCAGTTGAAACCCAACCGCCGAAACCCAGTGCCAATGTTATTACCCAACGGATAGCATGAAGAAGCAATTTGGCAAGGCGGTACGAGACGATGGATTGCCGTCCGTGTGAGGGTGCGAAAGACCGTGGGCCAAGGGTCGTTGTAGGAGATGAAGGTGCTATGAATGTCATGGAGGATAGCCCCCTTGCAGCGGGCGAGAGCGCCATTCCGTGAATCGATGCATATGTAAGGGTAAGAGGATTCGTTAAAGAAGCGATAGGGGATGGAACTAATTGATAAGCGCACATGCTGATCATGCCAGCGATCCGCCTCGGTAGAACAATGAGCGGCAATCGGACCATCAAAGACAGTAAAGTGGATAGACAGATCGTGCCAGCCATCGTGCTAGTTGCATGCTTCAATGATGCGTAAACAACGGTACGAGCAGAAGGTGCCGGCACGGTTCGGCGATGGAAGTACCACTGGGAGACTGTGGCAGCGGTGGTAGAACGTTGAATGCCAGCAATGACTCCCAGGACCCAGAAGTAGTCAAGGAAGAAAGCCGCTCCTAGCCACCACGTACTGGGATCAATGATCCACCTCGTTTTCGATTTGTTGAAGTGGCCGCCGAGAAATAGGTGGGCGAACATTGACATCCAGATCCAAGACCATATGATAACACCGGCGAGAGTGCCAATGCCGACGAGCATGAGCGGGTACTGAGCCTTCAAAATGTCTCCACAGAACTCCAGCATTGCGGTGGCTTTATGGAGCGAATGTCGCCCTTTCCAGACTGTGTAAATCCAGAACAACATGAATAGAAGTGGGCCGAATGACAGCCATCGCATTGCTTTGTCTTGGGCACCATTTCCATGTAGGGAACCTTTGAAACTCCATATCAGTGGGTAAAGGAAAAATGAAAATGAGATGACTGGCACAGCAACCAGAATCAGCATAATGAGTGGTCGCGCGAAAGACCGTAGTAAGGATAGCCAAAGAAGCCCCACCACTATCGATACGAGCGAGTAGATTCCGATCAGGCGGAACGAGGATTGAAGAACGGTATAGATGGTGTCACCAAGCTTACGATCCGGCGGTGAATCTTGGAGGAGTGAGATGAGATAGATTCCAACAATAGCGCACTGAGCAATAACGAACAGCTCAGCGAAGAAGACGTTGTATCTGGGAGCTGTTATCGGCTCGACAGCCACTTGTTCAGGAACGGTTTCGCGATCAGGGCTCATTGGCCGAGGCTGTTGTTCCAATAAGGCATCTTCTTCGGTTTCTTGTGGTATTGGCAGTGTGGTTCTCAGAGGGCTACGGCCGCGTTTTGGTTTAGGCAAACTGCGAAAAGACTGATACGATGGTGGGCGACTGTCCATATCCTTCACAATCTCATCCCTCTCTAGCTCTTCCATACTGCCCCGCATCGTCGATGCAAGTTCCACGTCCACGAGTTGCTCTATTCCTTTGCTACTTGGACTGCTCGACTCCGATAGAGGGACGCTTTGATCCCTCTCAAGCAGGTCTTCTTGTCGGGTAGTAGTTGCAGACCTCCCCCGAGGCTCTGGCTTATCGCCTCTCCATGAGCTCTTGATACCTCTCCCAAGCCCATAACCTGGAGTGTCTCCCTCCACACTCCCTCCGTCTATTGTGTGATCGGATCTTCGCTCCATATCGTCATCCACCTCGGAGGATTCGGATAGATTGCTTGCTCCGAACTGTCGCCGGGAGCGCTGTAGCGCGAGATGATCAGCGATCTCCCGGTCATGTTCGTGATGGTCGTCTTCTTCCCGGAAGTCATCAGTGGCAGAGTAAAAGAGCGGAGCCGGTGCGTTGGATGTTCTAGACGCAAAGGCGAATCGAGATAGCGCTTGCGAAGCGTACGGATTCATGTTGCGACGCTGTTGATAGTTGCGGGAAGGCGATCTTTGGGTAAAAGAGGGCTCAGGCTGGCCGAGAGATAGTCGCGACTGCGACTGCGAAAGGAATTTGGAGGCATCTGGGGGATAGCTGGTCAGTCACACGCGCCCAAACGGTGCAGATGAACGCTTTGAGCGCATCACATGCAGCTCGATCAGGACCGGAAGAGCTTACATTCGGAGAACATGATGTCTGACTATTGACGAGGTGTGTTTGTAGGGTCATGCAGTTTCCTGCTCTGACCCGATGAGAGACTCTGGCGAAGTAGCCTGGTGGTGAGAAGTGGTTGAGTCAGGTCGGGCTTTCGATGTGAGGCGGCAGGGCAGGCGAGGTGCAACGTGAATGACGCCAGTGCCAGGCAGAGACAGGCATCCAGCTGAGCGGTAGCACCCACTCGGGGCTAGGTGTGATAAGGTAAGTATCTAGGGGATCCGCTTATGAATCGATTTTCTATATCAACGTACTCATAGGCAGGTGTTATAGCTAAGAGTGTATATAATATAGGTGTGGTGTACTGTGTAGGTAGCAGAGAATAGGACGATGTGGTTGTTGTTGGTCGTTTGCTCGTCCCCGTATCGCCGTTAGATGACTGGACGAGAGAGGAGTACTGAATGTCGGCCGTCGGAATTAACCTGGAAGCTTAATTAAGTCCTCGACGCTGGGACCACATCCTATTGTCATCACCATCACATCAACTTATGAAACTTATATACCTACCTTCAAACATATCACAGTATCAATATGAATGTTTGCACGTCAGTTTGCATGCCAGCGATATAGAATCGTTGAAGTATTCTTTTCATTCTCCATCCTTTAATATGATCTACTACAACCTTGCTCCAATATCCCTCGCAGATGGACGGTCCAGCTCTTCCTCATTACGAACCATGAGGAAAGACGTATCTCAATGTAGGACTCGTACGTTAGGTGTCCATCTGTTGTGAGTGAAACGGCGAGTAGCTGCTATACATTTCCCAAATCGAACTCCAGCGGATATGATTCCTAGCCAGAATGCGTATCAACCATAGTCATCAACCCGTGCCTCCAACCCGATTTTTGAGCAGTCGCAAGGCCTGCAAAGGCAACGATCAAACCAAATTTCCTTATTTGGTCAACAACAATCGAGGTAGTAGTGGAATCCGGTTTACGTACAGTCATAAAGAAAGGGCTGATGTTGCCGACGCGGCACTGCGTCAATAGTTGAACATGTCGCCATCGTCTTCGAAATCGCTTAGAGCATCTGGGTTGGCCAAACGCGTGTAGAAGCCGTCATCCTCCCCTTCTTGCGGCGGGTCTAGTAGAATTATCTCGTCCCTTACGTTCAATCCCTGAATTTGGGCCAGCGGTTTCCAGTGGAAGACGTAGGGAAAAGCACGCTGCTCCATCTTGGCCACTACCTGACCAACCCAGCTGCCAAAGTAATTCGGGTTGAACAGAGTCACCCTAATCGGCAGCTCTGCCAGACGAATAGCAAATTCGTCCCAGAGAGGTTTGACGTTGGTGAGCAGCTCTTTGAAGAGTGCAACATGCTCGGCTAGGAGCAGAACACGGGTTCCCGAAGCATACATGAGGTACTGCTCATCCCACCAAGTTTCCTTCATGCTGCGAATGAAATCGTCATACTTGTCGGGAACTTCTCGGGCGACACAATCGACGACGAGCGGCTCGTTCTGCTCAATATGGTAGAAGCACCAGTTCTGCCAACCTGCTTTGTTTCCGCTGCAGAACGTCGGAACGAGAGCGACAGCTGCAATTTCACCTGTTGTCAGTATGCATAATCATTGAACTTTTCGGGTGAAGTGATGAAGTAGAGAGAGTGTGGCAGCACTGCTTCTCATGGTCTCACGGACTTACCATTAACTTCAATCCCCATAGGGTCCTTGAACTTGAAGGCGACAATGTGGTAGTTTGTCATACCTTGACTGTTATTGCGGTGCTGGAAGTTGAAAAGGTCCATCGTGAAGGCGTTGGTAGAGTGTAGATGAAGTTGCAACAGGCACGAGGTGAAAAACAGTCGAGGGTTAGCTGGTGTGCGCTGCGTCAAGAAAAGTGGTGACGCGCGAGGGAGATCAAGGTCAGGTAAACAAGCTGCTAGAAACTTTTTCGTGTCATAACCGTCAGAGCTTCACCTTCACCTCTGGCATGGTTTTGTTCACATGAGACTTTCACCAAAAACACTGCGCTTGCTATACCTGGTGAGAGACAGTAAAGCAGTGAGACTGGTGGAGCCCAATCCGCTTGATGCTTCTCAAGCCGACCAGACAAACTGTCTCTCTGTATGATCGCTGTTAATCGTTGATCCATTATTTGTTCCAGAGTTTCCCAAGTTGTTACGATTACCTATTTAGGCGATACCATGCACGACCACCTGCCAAGCCATCTATGACGATCTCCGCATGGACGGATAAGGCCACCGCAGTTAACATCCATCTGCTCCAACGTCACTCTCCAACCATCCTCTGAATTCCTCCGGACCACAATCACTCTATTTCCAGCGAAATCCAGCGGTGTTGTCTAGAAAGGGCCACATCGACGTTTCGCCATAAAGTCTTTTCCGCAGCTACACCGCCAACTTGACCACTTCCATCCAAGCGACCACAATAATCGACATCCGAACCTACATTTCCAAACTTCCTCACACAAATGACTCAGCCATGGGACTACATAGCGAAGATTGTATCGTTAGGTGACTCTGGATGCGGCAAATCTAGTGTAAGAACCTCCCCCACGCAAAACCCCTCCGCCTACATAGCAACCCGCTTCTCCAGATTTCCCATCTAACACCTCCCCAGCTCACAGTGCGCCTCTGCGAAGGCCGCTTCTCACCCCACCACGACGTAACGATAGGCGTAGAATTCGGCTCGCGCATCGTCCCCGTCGGCCCACCCGCCTCCCTCGAATTGAATGTCAACAACCCCGCCGCCAAACCCGCACAACCTCCCGCGCCCTCCTCCAAGAACCAGCAGCAGCCGCAGCAACCGCCACAGAAGCACATGAAGCTCTCGCTATGGGACACCGCAGGCCAGGAGACGTACAAGTCGATCACGCGGAGCTACTTCAGGGGCGCGTCGGGCGCATTGCTGGTGTTCGACATCTCGCGGAAGAATACGTTCCTCAGTGCGACGAGTTGGCTAAATGACCTGCGGCAAATAGCCGAGGAAGGAATCGTCGTCGTGCTCGTGGGCAACAAGAGCGATCTGGCGCCTGCGTCGACGGTGTCTGGGGGGGACGGCGAGGACAACAAGCGGCAGGTCACCCAAGAAGAGGCGGAAGAGTGGTGCAAGGCGAATGGCGTCATGCAGTACGTGGAGACGTCTGCGAAGTCCGGTGATGGAGTCGAGCGTGCGTTCCTTGAGGTCGCAGAGAGGATATACCAGAACATCGAGGCGGGCAAGTACGATTTGAACGATCGAAGAAGCGGTGTGAAGGGCCCGGGAGCAGGTGGCAACAACGCGAGGATAAACCTCAACGACGCAGCGAAGGGGAAGAAGGGTCAGCAAGGCTGGGGAGGATGCTGTTGAGCAGCTTTTTCCTTCCATTCCCCGAATCTCTCTTTGGATAATCAATACCCTTCATGTGATAACGTTTGGGCTGGATGGCGGGGAGGAGGCGGCGGCGGGATACATTTGGCATCGTGGGACTTGGGACAGACACTCCACGAACCTCCTCTCGTTTCGAAACCTTGCATTCTCTGGCGTTTTGTGTTACGAATTTATGGTGTCCCCATCGTTTTTGTCTTACTTTAGATCATTCTTAATGCATGCCCCCGTCACTATAATCTCATCACGATGAAGAATTCGCATCAGGACGACAGTGTTGGAATTTTGTAAATGATGCAGCATTCAATATATGTCTCCTGGATCAATCTATCCATACTTACAACCCACAACAACGACCACCACCTCCCAATGCTAATCGGGCGCAGTCAACAAAAAGACCGCGCCTATCTACTTTCTATACATGTGTTGAAAAGAAAATTGAATATCATGTACAATGACTTGCAGAAACCCAGGACTACCGTATACATACAGCCTGTCCGTGAATGAATGCAGTCGGATGGGGAGTTTTCGACAAAACTACAACTTCGCCTTCGCCTTCGCCTTGCCGCTGGCCTCCTCCGCGAGGGCCTCCTCGTAGCAGTCATCAAGCTCCTGCCTGAACTTCTTCGCGGTCTGCGGCCTCTTGAGCTTGAGTCTGTGGGGGCGTCGTTAGTAAACACTAAGTTGATAAAGGGGAGGGTATGTGGAAAACTTACGTAGGGGTCAAGAGCTGGTTCTCGATGGTGAAGGGGTCGACGAACAGCCTGACCGCCCTGACGCGCTCGTAGCTATTAAACTTGCTCTTCTTAGCGATGAGGTCGAGCTCCTTGAGGACAGCCTTCTCGACGCGCTTGTCGGCGGCCGCGGTCCTCAACTTCGCGACGTCAGTCGGCTCGACCTTCTCGCCGAGCACCTTGCTGGCGAAGGGCGCGAAGAAGTCGGGCGCGACGCCGAAGAGCGCGACGAGGAAGCTCTGGTGGGAGTCGCCGTGGACGTAGGCGGTGGCGAGCCAGCCGCAGTTGGCCAGGTACACGTTCTCGATGCGCTCGGGCGAGATGTACTCGCCCTGCGCGAGCTTGAGCACGTTCTTCCTGCGGTCGATGATCTTGAAGCGGCCGAGCTCGTCGATCGAGCAGATGTCGCCCGTGTGGAACCAGCCGTCGCTGTCCATCGCCTTCGACGTCTCCTCGTCGTTGCGGAAGTACTCGCGGAACAGGGTGGTCGAGCGGATGAGCAGCTCGCCGCGCGGGTACGGCTTGTCTCTCGAGAAGTACTCCATGTCGGGCACGTCGGCGAGGCAGCACTCGGTGGTAGGCATGATGCCGCCGCAGTTTCCGCCCGTAAGGTCGCCCTCCGCTTGCACGAGCGCGGCGGCGTACGTCTCGGTCAGGCCGTAGCCCTGGGGGAAGTGGTTGGCGACGGCGACGCGGAGGAACTCGTGGAGGCTGGGGTCGATGGGTGCGGATCCGCTGACCATGACCTTGCAGTTCTGGAGACCCAGGCCGGCGGCGACCTTGGAGGACCAGATCTTGTCGAACAGCAAGTGCTTGTTGCTTGGGTTCTCCTTGTCGCGGATGTTGGCGAGCTTCTTGCCGACGACATAGCGGGAGAGAGCTCCCTTTCCGCCGGCTGCCTGGATCGTCACGTCCTTGATGGCACTGCCGAATCGGTTGTATAACCGCGGAACACCAGCGAAAGTAGTAGGCTTGAGGAGCTTCAAGTCGTCCACGAGCTCTGTGATGTTACCGTGGAAGTAACCAATGGCACCACCAGAAGCAAGAGATGCATGTTCTCCCAAGCGTTGGTAGATGTGGGCGAGGGGAAGGAACGAGCAGATGACGGACTCGCCGCCAATTCCAAGTCCGATCAAAGTGCTGCAGGTTGCAGCCTGTGCGTTTCGGTGGGTGAGGACGACACCCTTGGGGTTTCCTGTAGTACCAGAGGTATAGTTGATCGTGACGATGCTGTCCGGTGTTGGTGGGTTATAAGGGATAGGCTGCTTCTCACCGAGAGCCTCGATGTCGCGGATGTTGTGGATAGTTACGCCCTGCTCGTTCGCAAGGGCATTGAGAAGATCTCCCTTGGATTCTCCTGGAAGCTCTCCGGCCGATAACGGGTCGAGGACGATGATCAATTTCAACGTTGGCAAACGAGGCTTCAGCTTGAGGAGTGTGGCCACATGGTTCAACGCCGTCACCACGCAGGACAGCTCAGCATGGTTGATGATGAACTCGGTGGTATCCGGACCCAGAGTGTCGTAGATCGAAACAGTGAATAGACCCTGGGACATGCAAGCAAGATCTGCGCGCTTCAGCATCAGTATTCACTCCTAGGAGCAAAGCTTCCCAACACATACCAGTGATTTGCCATTCCGGCCTGTTCTGGCACCACAATCCAACGCCGTAGGACTGCTCCTGAACACCAGCCTGCTTGTGCAAATGGACCAAACCCGCACCAAAGTTCTTCCTTCGCTTGTGGATAGTCTCGTAGTCCTCGAAGACGTAGGGACCGAAAGTCTTTGTGGCCGGGTCATAAGGTCGGTGTCCTAAGCACCTGTTCTTGGGGTATGTCTTGACTGTTATTCCCGTCAGTCTTTGCATATGGAATCGTCGACTTTCCGTGGTTGTGCCACAATAGTCGCTTCTCCAAACTCTCTCCAATCACGTACCTGCCGTCTCAAAAGCTTCGTGCGCCGTTGTGATCTAGAAAAGCCACATGTCAGCCATTTATCCACTTAAAATGCATTGCAACATCCCTCCCCCCAATGAGTTTCCCTCCTCAAACTTCCTCCTTCAAGGTATTATAAAAGGAGAATTGCAAATGTACCGAAGGATCCAAAACTTCCAACAACGGACGGTCCTTGAACCTCCAATGGCGATAGACAGCGGACTTTCCCTCCGTCTCGGAACCCAGGATCGGGACCGAGTAGGGCTTGCCCTTGGGCGGAGGAGCTTGGAACTCCTTCGCCCGCTCCAGTTGGACGTCTTTAGGACCGAACATTGTGTCTTTCTATTATAGTCCTTGTATTATTTCTCCCAAAGCTCTTCTTGCGTTTCGCGATCCTCGAATTCGGGGTGGATAGGTATTCGGCGACCCGGGGGAAATGGGCGGCGTTTCAAGGACGGGATATGTACACGATGCGTTCGGGCGCAACGACGACGTAGGGTGACGGGTTGATTTCTTCGCGGATCTGTATTATGGCGACGAGAATGTTAGAACGGGGGAAGAACGGCTATATTGGGGCGTAGGTAAATTCGACGTTGAAATGTTGGGGTATCGGCATCGCCGAGGAGGTAGGAGGCCTTGGGGAAGCATGCAGCACGTATGTACACGACGGTTCTACTTACATATTGCGCCACAGAGATCAATGCAACCAAGGTTGTGAAGAACTTGGATTCCAGTCGTATGCAATCTATGAGGAGGTTCTCCAGGTTAATGGGGAAGTTGGAAGATACGTATACAATACAGGGTTGGAGAGAGAGAGGATGGAGAATGGGATTCGAGAGAGCGTAAGTAGCGACGCAGATGAGACGGTAGCTTGCGGGCGCCCCAGAGCAAAAAGAAGACCAAGACCGAAGGAGTAGATGCCTCGGTACAAAAGACAATTCAAGCAACAAGTCTAGGTATTAGTTAATAACTAAAGGGAAGAAGGGGAGTGGACGTTCGTTCGTTCGCTCGGTCCAAAAAGGTGGACCCGCTATTGCGCCGCACCACGCGGATGCTGATGATGATGCTTTGTTGCCCCAGGCCCTTTTTAAAATTTGGAGAAAGGAAGATGGCTACGAGGTATTATCGGCCCTCCGAACGGGGATAATGGTCTTCGCAGTTCGCACCCTTTCGCTTTCCGCCTGCCGGTGCATAATGCATAGTCAAGAATTATCATTAATACTGTTAGCTTTCAATAGTCACTCGGCTGCTCCGGGCGGCCTTGGGGCAGAGGGGAGCAAAGAGGAGAACGGAGCAACCAGGCCATGAGCGTCGTTTGTGTGCGCGCGTGTGTTGGGTTGTTCTGGTAAGATCTCGTGTACGCAGTTGTTCCGAGAGAATACAGTAATACAGCGTGGAAACCAAGACTGCTCAAGACATGTGGCTGCGCAGCCGCTGGTGGAGTGCTCGTACGAAACCGTCGTTGATCTGGGGATGTTGCCAGAAGAAAGAAGGTTGCCCCGACGCCTCCAACATGGGTACGGATGACAGGGCTGCTTATTAGACTCAGGATTGCCAGACAGAGTTAGGTATACCCCGTCGAACGAATAAATGAGATAAATAAAACTAATGCGTGCTACTCGTCTCTTGCATTTCACTCATGTTGTTCAATTCATCATGAGAAGAAGTCGTCGCACACATGCAATGATTAAATGGAAGAAAACCGCGGTTTTCACGAGCGCGGTGTTGGAGGCTGCATCATGATGCCATATGCATGTATTGCATGGGACGGTTACCCCATCCCCCATTTTCACATGCGTGCGTGGCTCTAGATGCAATGCGATGTCCCCAAGAAACAAAGGTTAAGGTTGATACGGTTGGTTGGTCGCTGGGAGCCTGGGAGTCTGGTCACTGGTTTTGGGGCGCAAAGCACGCGGACGTTCCCCATGTGCCCACGCAGCCCACGCAGCCCATCCCATCTCGCCATTAGATTGGGCCTTCCTAGCGAGTAGCGAGTTCCCCTAAGAGGCAAGCCTCCGGTCCTTTCGCAGATCACGGGGGAGAGCTACACTGGGGGTGCCGAGGCATGTATGAGCACTTTACAGCGTCTGTGGTTGGCTGGCTGAGTTGCTGGCATCTTATGGTGTTGGCATCTGTAGGAATGGTCAACTTGGCTGGCTTGTTCCCCCAAGGATTGGGCTATTATTGCCTCCGGTCTTTATCTTGTGGTTGCGAGAATATTGCGGGGGAAATCGGTCGCTTGGGTTTGACTTGTGGACTGGGGTAAAACATGTGAGGACGATAACTAAGGTACGAGTATATACGACATGTACGTACAGTTGGCATGTGCCCCGGGTGAGTTTCCCAAGGTATTGTAATCCACCATTGAACATGGACGTACACCAATATTCGTATCAGAATTTCATAATCACAGTTCACACTGCAAACATGGTGATGGTCACCCCGGGATTCTGTTCTTTTTTGAACGTTTGTAAATGCTTCATCATATCACATGTAGGTATAGGTATAATCATGTCCATAGCACTTGTACTCCTTTTTTCTCCCCCCTCATAATATTCCACCCAACCATTCATTTATACAGAGCCAGCAAGAGATCCAGCGGTCTCGCCAGTCTTCTCGGCGTTGGAGGCGTCGCCCTTCTCCTCAGGCTTGGTTGCAGATGCCTTGAACGACTGCTCGAAGTCGGCGATGATGTCGTCGATGTGCTCGGTTCCGACGGAGATACGGATGAGGTCCTACAGAGGTGAAAGGGTCAGTTTCCTGTTCTTCAATCCGGGTTTTCTATAGTGAGAAGACATACCTCAGTCACACCAGAGGTGAGCTTCTCCTCATCGGACAATTGCTCGTGAGTGGTCGACCAGGGGTGGATGGCAAGAGTCTTGGAGTCACCGACGCTGGAGAATCATCGTTAGCACCTACTCATTATCTGTGGTTACATCTTTTAGCAGGACTTACTTGGCAAGGTTAGAGATGAGCTTGAAGTTGTCGACGACCTGGCTTCCAGCATTCACACCACCCTTGACACCGAAAGAAAGGACACCACCGAATCCACGCTTAAGGTACTGCTGGGCAAGTGCGTTGGAGGGATGACTGGCAAGACCTGGGTACGACACCCAGCTGACGTTTTCGTTGCTCTCCAACCACTTGGCAAGCTTCAAGGCGTTCTGGCCGTGACGCTCAGCACGCAGGCTCAAAGTCTCAAGACCAAGGATCAACTGCTGTGCGGCAAAGGGGCTCAAGGAAGCACCGAGATCGCGGAGAATCTCGACACGAGCACGGATGATGAAGGTGATGGCGCCGAAAGTGTCCCAGAACTTGAGGCCGTGGTAACCCTCGGACGGGTCGTTGAACTGAGGGAAGCGCTTTGCGTGCTTGCCCCAATCGAACTTTCCACTGTCGATGACGACTCCACCGATGGTGGTTCCGTGGCCTCCAATCCACTTGGTGGCGGAGTGGACGACGATGTCGGCGCCGTGGTCGATGGGTCGGACGAAGTAACCTCCTGCTCCGAATGTGTTGTCCACGATCACGGGAACACCCGCCTCGTGTGCGACTGCGGCGATCTTCTCGAAGTCGGGGACGTTGTACTTGGGGTTTCCAATGCTCTCGATGTAGATGGCCTTGGTCTTGTCGTCGATGGCGGCCTTGAAGTCCTCGGCCTTGTCGCCGTTCACGAACTTGGTCTGGATGCCGAGTCTGGGGAGGAAGACCTTGAGCTGGTTGTATGTGCCTCCGTACCTGGTTTAAATGAGCTTTGTGCTTGTATATGGAAATACGTCCCGTGAGTTGCTTACAGATTTGAGGTAGAGATGATGTTGTCTCCGGCAACTGCCAATGTAGCGATGGCAACGAACTGTGCGGCCTGGCCAGAGGCTGTAGCAAGAGCAGCGACACCGCCCTCGAGCGCAGCAATGCGCTTCTCGAACACATCTACTGTAGGCTAATCGCGATTATCAGTCTAATTCAAGCGTCTAATCATGCCAGAAATTGGGGCATAGCAAATATACAATTGCGCTATTCCATAGGGAAACTCACGTTCATGATACGGCTGTAGATGTTACCGAACTCCTTGAGGCCGAACAGCCTCGCTCCGTGTGCGGAGTCATTGAAGACATATGACTTGATTTCCGTCAGTCCAATTTCTTTTCCCTACTCATAAATTCCTCTGAGAAACCCACGGTAGTAGCATAGATGGGAACGGCGCGAGAGTTGGTAGCCGAATCGGGAGTGTGACCTGTTCAAGCCCCCAAACGTCAGCAAATTCCCCTCCCTTTCGATCCTTTCTTTTCCGACGGCTCGAAGGATGCCTCGGGGAACGGAACTCACCAGCGTGCAATTGCAGCGTCTCGAAGTTCTTGGAGATCTCCTCGGCCATGTTTGACTATGTATAAAACGTCTGGGGTATCTTTGTAAGGGAAAGAAGTGTATAGTATACTCGGGCACAAGCTGAAGAAGCAGAAGGAAGAAGCAGAGGAGAGAGGAAGAATCCAAGAAGCCTTGAGAGCGGGGGAATCTCTGGAATTAAAAAGAGATTCAGGGTCCGGACAAGCGCGAGCAAAAAAGTAAAGACAACACCGTCCAAGAGGGTGCTAAAAGGCATTGGGACAGGTTCAGGTCAACGAAATTATGCTATATTCCGTCGCCGTCACGTCATCTCGTTAGTGTGCATGAGAGGGACCCCACGAGTTTGAGAAGAGCCATGGCAATTCGTGATCATTGGAAGGCTGTTCGTGATGGCCAATTCGGGATTCAAATGATGCGCAATTGGACGCGTTACGAGAGCATCTCGTATACAAGTATATGCATTCAAGCTTCGATCAATATTATCTTTCAAAAGGTCACCTTCGATCTCGTAGAATCTGAATCTTCACATTGATTGCCAATTGAGAAATCGTGTGTAAATCAGCCCACCGATGTCGGTCGTATCATGGCTTGGAATGGGGAGACGCGAGAGCTTCTGGAGTGGGAGTGCAAGCGGGAGTGCAAGTGGGAGGAGGAGGGGCTTTGGATCAATTGCGTGCTCACGGAGCTACCCCGCGCGAACCCTAACTCAGGCTAGATCTACCTAGCAACCTCTCAGCTCTCACCAACCTCATCGTGTTATTACTCAATGTGGAAATCTAAGTGGGAGCCATCATTGCCGTAGTAATGGGAATTATTAGAAGACGTCGCCGTGGTGGGGGAGAACATTTCACTGTATGTGATCTATGTGTTCAATATGGAATTTTATTCCTGGAGCATCTTCATATATAAATTCCCATCTATGCACGCACATACTGTGCCACTCCCAATGCTGTGATTACAATCTCTCTATCCCACCGGGATCCAACAAGCTGGAAATTAACGAGACAGGCTCCCGGATCTTGCATGGGTGAATTGCAATCAAAATAATCAAGGCACACGTACGGCGTGGTCGGAGGATACTGCAACCGGCATCCACATCATTCGGTTGACCATGTCGTTGGTGAACCTGCGAGCTCTCTCATTGGCCCGGCGAGTTCGTCACTGCAAATGCCGGAGACTCTACGATCATACATTTACTTATCTTTGAGAAAATTCCAATGAGGAAAAAGACAATCTCTATAAATCCCTTTTTAGATTACTGGCAATTGAGCACGGGACTTTTTCGCCTTTGCGTATGTATGCGGTGTCCGATATAGGAGCATTCATACACATATATATAGTCTCCACTGCCTTCAGGTTTCCATACTTTGCTCCTATGTCTGCCTATTGTCGATAAATATATACAAGGGAGCAACGACAATCACGACGACAACTTTAACAGCCCAGAACTGACACATTGCTTCATGTACAACATCCAGCCCATTACTCATCCCCATCCCCATCGATTCTAATTCATGGCAACAAGGGATAAACGCCCAGACAACCTCCTCTCCCAGTCACGTCGATTGAATACTTCATGCAGTCGACCCTACCAGGGCTCCCCTATAAGGCTATTCATATGAATACAGTGTTATTATGCCCATCAAAGATGTAGATTACTATTTCGGCAACAAGCCTGAGCATACGGCATGTCCTGAGTGTAGGAGAGAGAAAGATAGCAGCAGGCATCCGCCGACAAAGGCACCTCCTCTATGGAAGAGAGACAGGAATATTCTCAGCATGGCTTCAACCAATTCGTCATATACATTGTACCTACCTCTTCTAACGCTTCAGACTTTCATCCTGGGGTTTGCTACAGGTTGAGGGTCTCTCCTGACGCGAGTGGAGATAATGTGTTCAGCATGGTTCAGATGGCAATGGATTAAGTTCCAATTGTGCATATCTGAGTAGATCATTTCCATATACAATGGGTGCTGATGTACTCTGCTTGGGCCGATTGGAGTTTCCAATAATGGTAGGTGTAGACGACGAGTTTGTAGAGTTGTTGGCTCATGTTCTCAGATGGATGGATGTCCTAGTAAATGTGAGTCCAAGTAAGTAGACGTCCCCAACACGATAAAGATGTATCTGCAGTCAGTGGCTCAGACAGCGTCAAAGGGAACGTCGGTTGACTACTACTCTCTGTAAACCACCTACCCCGAAAAATCAGTAATGTTAATTATGTCTTATAAATATACGGAGGTAAGTAGTAAGTGCATCCTTTATATAACTGATGGCTGCTTAGGAAGCCTTGTTTTCCACCAGGTTGATCAACCTACAAGTAACATCCAACAATAAAACTATAAACATATCACCAAAGCGTGACAGCACGTAGTACTAAACCTGTATTTACTATACAAGTAGATGAAGACATGTACATCACGCAAGTACAAACCGTGATACAGAACAATAACTCTCTTCAAAACCTGCATATTCGAATTGATGTTATACTACTACCATGTGCCCGCTCAAGCAAAGCTATAGATACCTGCAGTGCAGACTTGCCCCAAGCTTTCTTGTTGAACAGTCTTGGAATACACATGTACATACATATATGTACTTGAGGGTGAAGAATAAATAAGAGCAAGGCAAGTTAAGGAGGGAAGGAGCAAGGGAAACGAAAACAACTGAAGTAGACGTAAGAGGCAACAACCCTCCTTCCTCCTTCCCTCCATCCTACCTCCTCCTGAAACCAAAACCCAAACTCGAAACCCTCAAGCTACTACCACTGCAAAAAGAAAAGCAAACATACAAGCGCTAGGTGAGGCAGTTAAGCTAATGTACAGTGAGGTAGGATGTGATGTAACAATTCCAAAAATCATAGACAGAGGTCGGAACCTGCATTTTCCTCTTCTGGACATGAGACGCGTGGGACCCCGTTCGTTCGATTCTGCTCATTTATCTTAGTCATTATTGACGTCGTTTGGTTGTTCTAAAAACTCGTGAGTTTTAGCTCTCTGGGGCCTAGAATAACTTTGTGTCGCTCGTTGGTGTGTCAAACAACCCCACCTATTCTCGCCTGGAAGATAGGTATTTCTTTGTCTGGTCAGGACAGGAATGGAAAACCCCTCCCGTTTCTCGAACCACTCAGTAGGTAACCCAAGGGTAAGAAACGCACGAGGTAATGGCCGCATTTGGTTAGGAGTACTTGCACTGTCTGGTGGGTCACCGTAGGCACGCTTTGGAGATGAAGTGGATCACATTTGATAGAGGACTAACATGCTAGCTATCGTTTGTTGCTGAGATACAGTAAAGGAAAGAATGATAGAATGATATACGCCCGTGTACCACGACCTGAGGAACCAAAAGAATAAAAGAAAAATAAGAGTAGCAAGAAGCGATAAAAGAAAAGAAAAAAGAAACCTAAAGGAAAGATATCAGCATGATTGCCTATCTCGTGCGCTGCCAAAGTGCTTTCTCTTTGCTCTAAGACTAAGCACACCGAGTAGTGTGTGTGCGCGCACACGGCGCGAAACGAGGAGCGTGGAGTTTCTGCCCTGATCCTCCAGTGCTCAAGCGGTCTTCGTCTTTTTCTTCTTGGTCGTCTTCTTTCTGGTCATCTTCTTTCACCGTCAAAGCTTACAACTACAATGAGTAGGGCAAAATAGGAAATAGAACGTGAGGCAAGTGGTTAAGGAAATTAGGTATGTTGCTTCGAGTTAGCAAGTGACAAAGATTGCGTCTTGGTTCGTTTAACGTCAAGGAAAATTCTGATTGTGTGGTGCTATACGTTCCCCCAATCAAGGGAGATCCGACAAAGCAAATGGTGACAAAAAAAAATTGTGAGAAAGCAAGGTTATACCAAAACAAAGATCGCTGATGGTTTCATTCATACGTTCTTCTCTGTGGTACAAGGGGATATCGCGAGAAAGGTAGGCACTCCTGATCAGTCATAACCGGAACGCCAAGATCTTTTAGACACCAGAACAGAGTGCCGCCGTGAAGAGATCACAACTGTGACGAGCCTAGATGGCAAGCTCAGGAACCCGACGCGATCGTGAAGTTCCATCTGCGCGGCGGTAGCTCATGGAGGCTCGATCCATTGGCTCCTCCATGTCCGGTTCGTCGTAGCCGTCGTTGTAACCATACTGAGGCGCGGTTGGATTAGGTCGAGCACCCTGTTGCAAACGGTCTGTCATGTGCTTCGTGTCAAAGGTACTCGAGAAGCTTCGCTTCTGACCGACGCTAGACGGCGGTGGGCCTTGGGGCGGATACTTAGACAAGGACGGACGAGAGCTTTCGGGATACACATGAGGCTGCGGAGCATCTGAAGTGGCGGACATGGGAGCTGACAACGAGTGGGGCGGTGACTGATACGATGGAGAAACAGGTTCAAGTCTGTCCATCGAGGCGGGCGGATGCAGCGTTTTCAGTGGTGCCAAAGCATGACCGTTAGACATATGGATTGTACCGGAAGAAGATGATGATGGCGGATTCGACGACTGGAGCGGTTGAAGCGGTTGAAGCGGTGTGATGGACTGATTCATCTGCTGAGACCGGTTGTACTGCTCCATGGGACTGTAGGGCGGGACCATCTGGCTCGGACCTGGATATTGCTGTGGAGTCTGAGGGACGGACGGTCGACGGTATTCACTTGCAGGCTGAGCATACTCAACGGGAGGCTCCTGGCGAACAGGGGCAGGCTGCTCGTAGTGTGGCTGCTGATAGCTCTGGTTGGACATGTATCCGTAGGATTGGTTCAAATGCATTCCGGACTGGCTGGGGTAGCTGCTGTGTGCCGCCTGCTGGGACTGGTGAGAGTATGGAGTCTGAGGTGGTTGCATGACAGGGGCCGCGGGCTGAGGAGGTACATATTGGCTCTGGTACTGGTTCTGGCTGGAGCCGTATTGGTTCATCTGTGAATAGCTGGTGCTGGGAGGCGGGGCCATGGGTTGCTGCTGGTAACCGTTGTTCGACTGATAGGCGGAAGCCATCTCTTCCATGCTGGGTCGGCGAGGAGGGGCGAAGGATGCATTGCTGGCGTTGGAAACAGAACGAGGGCGATCACTGCCATCGAGCGCGTTGGGAGTGGGGAGGCCCTGTTGCTGCTGACCGTATGCGTCGGGAGTTGCGGTGCGTCTGGCCTGCTCGTAAGCAGCTTCCTCATCGTACTCGTCCCAATCCTTGGAGGACTTGTTCTCGCGGCGCCTCATGCGCACATCGCGCCTGATACGGACGCGGCATCCCTGCTCGGCGACCATGCGGCTCAGAGCGGTGCTCTCGGACAGGCCAGGGAATTTCTTCGCCGAGAAGACGACAAAGGGGGAGGACTTGACCTCGAGACGATGGGAAACGTGGGCGTCCAAGCCATTCTGGGTATGGGCCTGAGAGTGAGCCTGGGTGCGGTCCTCAGGGTCCATATCCTTGGGATCCTTCAACTCCTCATAGAGAGCGAAGCTCAGGCGGTACTTGCCCTCGTGGCGGACGGAGAGATCCGGAAAGATGAAGTAGCCGGCTGGACTGGGTCGATCCAGGTAGGCCATTCCGGCCACGGGAGTTCCGGTAAGGACAGGGAAACTCGGGGCAGTAGGGGGACCACGGCCCGGGGCGATTGCGCGAGCATTCTCGAGGGTGGCGAACAGGAAGAAGTTTGCATTGTATGCAAAGGTTATCTCCTGCTTGTTGTTGCCCTCACCTTCGTAGACGCGCAACTCGACAATCGGTGGGGGATCTACAGGACGCCTATCTGCAGAGGATTTGGCACCAGAACCACAGGCGCGAGCACGCTCGGGCTGTTGGATAACCTGCAATGCATACGTGATGCGTTTACCTTCCTTGGTGAGGCGAGAGCCAGAGGAGGTCGTCTCATTGGCGACGGGGATTATACTCGCCATCGATGCGCGAGTGGTGTTGATTCGGGACTGTTGGATCGGGTCAGTAGATGCAGACAAATGACAATTCCTTTGATCACAGGCGCGTTCCTGAATGATCGAGAGCTGGTAGTGATGACGGTTGGCTGTGGTGGAGAATGGAGATGCTGGGGAAGGGCGTCCGTGGTATCGGCGAACCCAAGACCAAAGAGCTGGGGCAGGACCTCGATTCCAGTGGGAAGAAGCGAAAACAGCCAGGAGAGTGAGGAAGAGCTCCAGGAACTTACCTCGAATCAACGGGACAAAGCCGCAATTTATGTTAGAGATTTCGATCAATTAAAATGGTGAGGAATACAGTCAAATGTGTGATGTAGTGTGCGATGCAGTGAACCGATGGAACGACGATAAGACAAGACCAGAGACGTGCGAGACGGTTGGGACTACTCGTCTGGGAGAGTTGAGGACAGAAGAATGGGCGCGCGATAGAAGACCGCCGGGCGGGCGAGGGATCCGTGGTAGAGAAGAATTGGGAGGAATCCAGTGGGAGCCGAGCGGGAGGGAATGAATGGGTTTATTTGCTTTGGTTGTTGGCGGCGACCTTTCTCTGTTCAATATACACAATATGGCGTTCCTTCACAATGTCCAAAAGCTCTTTCTTCCTCCTTTTTCTTTGAGTGTTGTTCGCTCTTCTCTCTTCTCGTCGTCCCGCGCGCAACAACCGACAGGTGTAATTGTTGCGAGGAATGAAGGGGAGAAGGAGAGAGAGAGAAGACGTGGATGACGGGAGAAGGAAGAGAAGAGAGAGAATGGGAAAGGGAGCAGCGAGAGAGAGAGAGAGAGAGAGCGATTGGGAGGAGAGAGGGCTGGGCTGGCGGGCTGGGGCTGGCGGGTTCGTAGATGGGATGGGTGATTGGCTGATTGGCCGGTTCAATGGATAGATAGACATGGTTTAGTCCCACATGTGGTATAGTCGGGTTCCCCCATCTGACAAGGGTGGTCTAACGAGGAACGAGGAACGAAAGGGAAGGAACGAACCAGACTTGGGATTGGGCGGGATAGGGGGGCCCGGGGGAGGCAAGCCAAGACACCAAAGCCGATATTGGAAGCCGCTAGCATGGATCTACCCTTCCAGCACAAAGACACCCCTGTCCCCCTCCCCTCCTTCCCCAATTAGTCCATCCAGTCCTTTAGTAGCCCACTCACACCCACTGATACTATCAACCACACCCATTACACAGTACGGTACACCCAAGTACCGCGTACAAAGTGTCCTGTGTAGGTATGGTGATGATAACAATTCTTTGTTCAATAATTAGGAACTTCTACAACACCCGTCGTCATAAGGGTCTCACCTACAATCCAATTCATGTCCGTTAGCCAAGCCAAGGAGTGAACTTCATACCCCGTACCCGGAGTACTCTCCATACTCCATACATAGTGTATGAGTAAGTGCAGAGAGAGCATTGCAGCAACCAATTCAGCCGCCCCAGCCCTTGTGCAACTGCAACTGCTGCTGTGCTGTTCCAAGCCCATGGGACCAACTTGCTCCAATCACATCCATTCTCCATCACGCCACGCAGTCGCGCCCCTCCCATCCCTTCCCATCCACCAAAACTGTGGAAAAAACCTTATATATCACCCACAGTATGGAGTACGGAGTACCTTAGGTAGGTAGTTATGGATGGGATAATTTGTCTACGTGCGTGCGGACTGTGCGTCAATGTTAATAGGAATTTCAAGACACTGCAGCTACATAATTGGGGGGTCCAAACCGTCTGCCAATACCGAAAATATATACTCCGTACCGGAGGCGGATGATTATGAATAGCAATCTAGATATAGACATGGGACGGTCATGGAAGATGGAAGGTAGGTGGAAGCGAGAGCATGGGTCTATACCAGGTAGGTAGACTCCAATAATTACTTGCACCTAGGCCCGCCCCCATACAAGTGCGAATCAAGTGGTTTTCCTGGCATTGCCTCTCTATTCATATCATCTATACTCTGTAATCAACACTATGAATGATATCCTTCCTCGAGTATGAGTAGTCGCTCTTACGGTTTACCTACGAGTAACTATTGCCGAGTGGTTGATGGCTCACTTCAAGTCTCCGACTCTCCGCCCAGCGGCCGCTGCCAGTAGCCCCTACTAACACTACTGACCACACTACTACGTGCACTACTACTTCATCCTTACTTGATTGCTTCCTTCTTTTCTTTGTATCCATCATCTACACCCACCGGTACACCTCAGGCGCGAAGAGAACGAACAGAATCTTAATACGTCGTGCGCATGCATGGCCTCAACGATGATCGCGATGAGTTTAGTAGTTGTCGGCATTCATCTTACAATCTGTACACTGTAAGCCGTGATCGGCTGTCCGCAATCCGGAATGCGCACGGTCTGTTCATATATTCACCCCATCCATCTTGTATCTTGTATACGCTCACTAACCCGTTTTCTATTCCCAGCGTCTATTCCGTAACAGTACTCAGTACTTCGCAATGTGCAGTTATTTCCATGCCAGCCCCCAGTCTCGTTTTAAACAATCCCATCTCATCTACGGAGCATAGACTACTATTCCAGTCAAGCGGTCCAACTAACTTCCGACGGCGCGCTTTGCTAAGCTCGACGGTGACGGCGCGGGTCGGTCGCGGGCACCATTTCCATTCACCATGCCTCTTGTAGTTGGTTTCGTAGCTTTTGTAGCCCCATTATGCCCGTCTAACGAAACATCACCAACTCGCTTCGACTCGTTCATGGACAAAAATGGGTCGCACCCCGCCGCATCACATTCACATCCACTTCCCCCCCCAATGTCCACCTGCGATTCCACGGATCATGTCACATCCAGGATATTGACCTAAACTAATACTCCGTACAGCACTTGCATCAGAGCCTCACCTCAATCGTCACAGTCATGAACATGGTCATGGTCATGGTCGCGACCGTTAGACCTTCATCTCTTCTCGCGAGCGCGCATGCCATCGAGCCCCTTCGGCCGTGAGTCTGAGAATACCACCATGGAACACCCCCGGCCCCAGCAGAGGCCATCATTGTCACCCATAGACTAACAGTCTAGTACCCCGTAACTACTCTGTACGTCCTTACTCAGACTCTCAGAGCAAGACTGCGACGCTTTTTGATTCATGAAACAATCATTTCCTCCTCTGCAACGGGCAAGTCTGTACTGCGCGCATTCAGCTCGCACTGCAACGAACCTACCTACGACGAAAATGGCGGCGGCAAAATCATCAACAGCTCATGCTCCTTCTCTTCTTTCGCTGTTCTGCATATTGTTTTGCCTGTGCCCATTATCGTACGTACAACATGCAATGCTGGCTTTTCCGCTTACAGTACTTTACATGGAAGGGTGAGTTGCAACTTGCAGGGGCACCGTCCCGCGGAGCAGAAGCCTATCCCCTGCTTCTTTTCTGCGGGACAAGTCTATTCCTCTCCTCGGGCGTTCACATCATGCCATTGTGGTCCAGCATTAGAAGCACAGGCTCCCGTCTTAGGGCCCTCGCACCCATGGCAGAGAAGACTGAGCAGCAGTGTAGCGTATCATCTCATCTTCGCATCGTACCGATCAAGCCCATCGCGCCATCCCGTTCAGCTCAAGATGCTTTCTTCCTTTGGCTGTCCGGCGTGTACTCCCGCAGGTTGACGAAGATGGTCGCAACAGAGGAGAGCCTGTCCTATGCTAATTATGATGCTTTGCCAACCACTGGACGCATTTGTTCCCAGGTACGGAATACACGTTTACCCTCACGCGTGCTGATTGCTCGTCACGCTCGTATATCTGACTTTGGTGCTATTCTACAAGGAGTATGCTAGATTGCTAGTGGGCTATGGTAGGGATTGGCCCGTACTTACTCATCGCTCATAACTGTGCACTTAAAAGAACAGGTCAGGTGGAGCCGGGTTGGATGCCAATAGCCGTCGCTTTGGAGTCCCACTGTCCCAGTACTGGCTCTCCCGGAATTTTCATCAAGGAATGGGGAATTTCGCAGCACAGTACACAGTAGGGGAGTCCTTCCCTTCTTCCCCTACCGGGCCTGCCCTGCTCCGTAAATCTACTCGTACTCACTAGTAACAACGACTGACCTCCCTACGATCATTTCCGTTCACGCTTCTCTTTCCCCTTCCCCTTCCCCTGCTCTCTTCTCTCTCTGGCTCCACTCATCTGCCAATCTATCGGTCAGATCCTCAACGGTCTGCGCGTTCCCTCAGGGTTAGGTTGGCGCAATCTCCCAGATGTGGTATCTTTGCAGCGGCCCATTTTTCAGAGCCGCTGCCTGCCCATCTCCCGCCGCTGTCCAACTTCAAATCTCCGTCGGCATCTCCATGACCGGAGACGCATCAGGGTCATCCCCGATCCTTGATGCTCGATGCTCGATGCTCGACGCTTGATGCTTGATGCCTAATGCCTGATGCGACTGTCGTGCTGTCTCGGACCCGTACCGTTGCCGATGTGCCTTTGTCCCTCTGACGGCTGAAACATTCACTCTGTCCACCCACATCCAGAAAATTGGTCTGCCATAGGAAGAATAGCCGTGTTCATTCTTTGCCATACCATACTAGAATCGCCCGTGGTTCTATCCACGTGCTGGCTCCTTTTCTGTGCTGGATTCGTACGGGCTCGCCTCAACTGTCTCGCTGGATACCCCTCACCGTAACCATGGGACTGTACGGAGTGCATTGCTCTGAAATAACCTCCGACGCAGCCTCCCGTGACTATATCTGAGTCCTCGCCAATAGTTAAATGTTACGTGAGCCAGGACGTCAAAGAGCAGGAATACCACCTCACAATATGGTACTAGCCCCTACCCACCCGCCCACAGAATGCAGGCAGGCAGGTACAGTAGTCCGATCATCCGATGTAGACATCTCCTCAACCTAAGGGCCCGCAGAGACATAGTTCTTCTTGCAGTTGGAGCGAACAATCACTAATTGCAGCATCATTATTGATCGGCCGACAGATATCAATATCTAACTACGGGATACCCATTCCGCTTCCGCATTGAATTTCCATGAACAACTTAAGAAGGAAGAAAAACCAAGCATTCTTACGTGATCGCCACATAGGATATCCAGAGACGCTGAACTGGAAACTGGATGTTTTCAATGCGAGGCAATACCATCGTCTGTGTTCCCCGTCCCATATCAGCCTGTTCGGCTACGCCTGCTTCCTCGTACTCCGCACGCCATGCGCGCGAGTCTCAAGACCCGGGAGGAATATCAGTCGGTTGGTAACATTGAAGGGCTTTCCATGGCATACCAATGTATTCCATGGGAATCCGGATCAAAATTCGGAGTTTGGAGTAGATACCGATATCTTCCCACGTCACTCAGGACACCATGTGCGACGCCAGGCATCGTGAGGCAATTCAACCACCATTACATAGAGCAGACACACTTGGGTCAAGCATAATACGCTCAAACGATATATACACACAGATACGTATACGCACGTGTCTACGTAGGTACACATCTATACAACCGCCCTTATCCTAACAACCTTCCCACCCAAGTTCCAAACCCCCCACGACCACACCACACCACCACAATATCAGAAAGCATCCGACCTCATGACCACATGTGGCAAATTTCCACTCCCCATGCGGACACCCATTACACCCAACTCCACTCCACTACCATGTAAACCTCCACCATTACCACCACCACCCTCTCTCTGAAAATGATAGAGATATATCATAAACAATAGATAAGCATGAATCAACACACCACAACGCCACATATACCGTTACCATGAACCATGAATGATTATACGAATGACGTATGCACATACGAATGAGTACTCTCCCATCCCCGCATCTTTTCACCTATAACGCACTGTTCAAGTTATATTCCATGGAATGATAAGTTCCTTGTTTGTTCAAACAATGGATGAATAGAGGAACAATTCAGGCGCAAGAGCGGGATGGGCGAGATGGTAGGGAGACAGGTGATCGAAACATGGTCATCGGCCATAAGATGCTGCCAGAGATAGAATAGTGGAGAAAGGAGTGGCAAATTAAAGCCATAGCCACATGGAGAGGGTTTCGTGTGGTCAGTGTAAGAGTGTTCCCAAAAAATAGAAGTTCAGTATTTCGCCCTACGCTCGAAACGTTTACTCTCAACAGTCTCGATTCCGAGCTTAAGGATGCCATGCAATCCCAAAGAACACGTACGTTTTAGGTTTCCACGTGATTTCCAGAAATCGTTGAGCGTCGGAGCGTTTCTGAGGCAAGTATGGATGGACATCGTGGCATGCCCAAACTTCAGGTTCCTCGACATCGTCATAGCCTATCAGCACGACTATGCCAAATCCAATGCTGGCGCTCCATATACCGATGTCCGTTGCCACTGTAATACCCGTGAGCCCGGGGAGCTATCAACTGTGTCCCCCCGACGGACCATGCACCCTTCCGAAATGACTTGCAATGCCATACGTCGTCACCCGTCGGGCTGCGGCTGCTAGTGAAATGGCTATCAGAGGCTCTCATTCCAGTCCTGATTTTGGGGTTTTGGAGGCAGTTTTTGGGAGGCAATAGGAGTAGTGAGCTAGTGGATGTGACTGTGCCTCAGCACTTGATGTAGATTTTGCACGGGACTTGCCTCACTTCATGAATTTGGATTGCGAATCAGACACACTTGTTAGAAAAGACAAAGTTTCAAAGCTCTCATCATGTTGATGCAAAGCCGCCGTTGTCGTGTGTAGGAGTAATCTACTTCTTGGATATATTGTGCACTGATAGCTCACCATGTTTGATATTCAGTGCGAGATCATCGACTGAATCGTGAACACTTTGATACGAGCACATAGCGTGATGAATCGAACTTGTGATCATCTATTGCTGGTCCTACGATTAAACAAATAACTTGAAATTACATAGCTGTCTTTGTATTATAGCAAGGTGTGTATCAATGAAACGAAAGCAACCGTCTAGAAGTCCATATACCATTCCGTCCACAGAAGAGTGTCCACAGGAAACAATCATGAGAAAAGATGACCTGGGATGAAGTATATATGCTGTTTCATCGCTTAGCTGGTCCATATTTCTTTCCCTGCGTTCCCTGTCTTCTGGCCCTCGTCGTCGCTAGAGTTGTGACCACAGGAGCTCGTGGTGCGGGAGTGGCAGTGTTGCGTCCCCCCGTTGCTCCTCTTACTGGTCTGGATGTCGTCGCTTGAGAGTTTCCGAGTGTGACCGAGCCTGGTCGAGGTCCAGGTCTGCGTGGGCCTTGAGGTTCTTCCTGATCCTCTTCTTGCTTGATCGGAACACCAGCATCTTCTTGCTCCTGCTCCTGCTGTTGCTGTTGCTGCTGCTGCTGCAGCTGCTGTTGCTGCTGCTCAGCAATCCGCTTCTCTTCTGCAGCTTTCTCCTCCGCAATCCTCTTCACTCTTGCAGCTTCCTCCGCAGCAATTCTCTTCTCTCTTGCAGCTTTCTCCTCCTCAGCAATCCTTTCCTCCTTAGCGATCTCTTCATTCAGTATCCTCAGCTGCTCAGCCTCCTCCTCAGCAATCCTCTTCTTCTCTTCTTCCGTTTGTTCCCCCACGAGTATGACTGTTTCGCTCTCGTCCCCGTCTAACTCAAAAGTTGCTGCGGCTGCTGAAACAAGCGACGAGTGTGGCAATACCGTGGAGGGCACATTTGGCATCTCCGGCACCTCTTCATCCTCCTCTTCTTCATCGCTTGCTTCTCCTTCATTTGCTGCGTGAGTAAGTTCCAAAATCTCGTGTTCCTCTAGCCAGACCCGTCGTGGGGAAATGTATGAAACATTGCTAGATCTGATACTAGGAAAAGAGTTGTCTATCACGGCGTTTGTATCCTCTGCATCGACCATGTCGACATCTTGAGTCTGCTCCTCCGCAGGAGAGGCTTCAGAATTAGTCCTTGATGACGATGATGACGAAGCGCTGCCATCGTTTTCTATGGTGTCTACGGGCTGCGTGGTATTAGCACCTAGTGGGCTAGGCATGGGATAATCTCTGAGAATGAGTTCACTTGCCTGTGTGAGCTCCTCTGCTTTCTGAGCCGCATCTTCTGCATCTCTCTTCGCCTTATCTTGTGCCCTTTTGGCAAACTTCCTGGCTTCTCTTTCCTCATCACTCTTGGTAAACTCCCTAACAACCTGCGCCAAAACCTCGGCGGCTTCACCAGATGGGTCCTCTGGCGTCGGTTCTCGTGCGTGTCTGTAACCGAAAGCAGACAGTATCTGGCGACGGATCCACGAACTGCGGTAGGGTGGCAAGGCGGGGTAACGCACTCTACCCCGCGGGCTGTCAGGGCTGCTGTTATTAGAAGAAGAGCTCTGATCTTTGGTAGAAGATGGGCTCTCTCCAGAACTGGGTTTCGAATCCGGACTGTTGGTCTTGGTATCTGGCTTCTTGGTCCTTGTATCTGGCTTGTTGATCCTAGTTTCTGGCTTGACGGTCCTAGTAGCTGGATTGATGGTCCTAGTAGCTGGATTGATGGTCCTAGTAGCTGGATTGATGGTCCTAGTAGCTGGATTGATGGTCCTAGTAGCTGGCTTGTTGATCCTAGTAGCTGGACTCCCCTGAATCTGTCCGGTCTGTTGCGCCGAGCTGGTACTGGCCTCTGGCGGCGAGCCCGAGCTCACGGAAGCAGCTACAGGTTGTTTCCCCTTCTTGTTATCTAATGGCGACGATGATACAGAAACCACAGAAGAATCTCCAGATGGGATGTCGCTGGGTGTCGAGGTGGCTTTCTGTTGATCCTCTGGGCTCAGGCTGGAAGATGACTGAAAACTGCGTAAGAGACTCCTTGATAGTGGTGACCACGTCTTTGATTTCTTTGCGGACGACTCCGGAGAGTCGTCTTCAAATTTGCGTTTCTGTGCAGCATTTGTAACTTGCTCGCCTTCTCGGACGGTCAAATGCTGTCTGCGGACCATCTCCATCACCTCGGCATCTATCGCCCTAAGGATAGCACGGGCATTTTCGATGCTCTGGTGTCGAAGACCATGCCTGGTATCCAGAGGGCGGAGTACGTGAAAGACGGCAAGCTCGATGCGAGCTCTGTTGTTCCTGTTGCGGTTGATATAGTGATAGATGGTTGCGCCAGCGCCTGCAATCCCCGCACCGCGAAAGAGTTGCTCTACCAACGGCCGGTATTGCTGAAGTTGAGTTGGAAGTCGAGGCCACTGATCTTCGTAGATGGCCCGGACGAGCAGTCTTGCTATTTCAAGGTATGTAGACATGTTTGCAGTGAGGCTTTTGCTACATACACGCACGTTGTGAGGACTGAAATGTGCGTGTGTTGGGATAGATGTATAGGTGTCTTCGATTTGGACGTGGAAGTGTAAAGTGATGAACAATCTTGAGATTATATCGAAATGGCGGATTTGGAGGGTTCTTGAATTGTTCAGATCCTCGCAATCTGGGGACGCTTTGTTGGTTGATAGCTTTCGATATACAGACAAAAGGACGTTGTTGACAAAGCTTGCTGGACAAAGCTGTGTGAAAATAGCTAGACAATGCGAGTATCCGCTTGAATAACAATTGTCAAAAATAGTACGCCCAGGCAACTAGAACGATCAATGGAGCTGTACGAGATAGAGGTATTCTTGATGTCGAAAACAGACGGAGAACAACTGGTCATATGCAGGAAGATGTATGTAAATTGAAGCTTACGCTAAATACAATGCGGCATGTATGGTCGTGGTGGACGCTTGGAAGCATAACTGGGATGGGCGCAAATAATTGTCAAGCAAACAATCTGCACCAAGGTGCTCATGACGCAGAACTTCCGCCTGCATCTTTACTCTCCTCCTCAAGCTGCTTCGACTTCTTCATCCTCTCTTCGACTGCTCTCGCTAGGATTTCTCTTCGGCTGAGATTTCCTGCTGGAATACTGCCGCTAGCGCTGCTCACGACAGTCTCTCCTCCACTGCCACCTAGCACAAACTCTCCGCCAGTCCATCCGCCGTGATCGTAGACCTCCTCTTCCCCAGGATCGTAGTATTCTACGTCACCTACACTCCGACCTCCAGCGCGCCAGTCGTCCCGGTCCACTTCTTTCTCAATCTGCTTACAGAGATTCCAGAAGTTCTTGTCATGCGGTCCCCAGACGTTATGCGCCAGCTCGTGACAAAGCGTCTTCCGTATCGTCTTGTAGTCCCTGTACCCATCATATGCATCGGTACGAAGCCGCAGCTCGATGACCTCGCCTTGGTTCCTGTTCAGACCAAGCGTGCGCGACTCGTGTGTTGTGTGCATCGCGGGATCCATCTCCGTCAACAGAGGTACGCTGAACTTGTGCGTGCGCATCGCGGCCTTGATGCCGGCGTCGTCGCGGAGACGCTCGAGGAATCGTAGCGATCGCTCGGGGTTCGGGAGGTAGGGGAGAGGCCGGAGGGTGTGGAAGGTGTATTGCGCCTCGTCTTGTATCCTCTTGTAGTCACGGTTTCGTGCTGGCAATGCAGCCTTGATAGGACCCGGCCGCCGCGGCGCGGAGGCGGTGGATATACTGGCGTTCAGCGAAGCGACTTCATCACTTGTGCTGCCCAAGAGGGTTATCTTCTTGGTTGTGAGTTCGGACAAAGGAAGGTCAGGATTCTTGAACGGGAGCTTTTGGAGACCATGCTTTGCGATAAGGAACTTTTGATTTGCGGGCGGTATTGACAGTTCTTCTGAGACTTTTTCTGAAAGTTGGGAGAGAGTGGCATCTTGTGGGAAGTCGAGTACTATAGGCTTTCCGTGATGTGTGAGGGTCAGCTGTAAAGTATTGGTAGGGGCAGCAGTGGGCGACGTTGTGTCTTGGGTCATGTTGGTTGGAATGTGACAATGTTCAGACAAGGCGAGATACTGTTCTGTGCTATGTTAAGTGATATGGAAGGTTAGTATACAGATCAAGCCATGTGGGCTGCGGTGAGTAGAGATTAGTTATGTGGTGGCTTCAGTGACGTTCGCAAGGCTTCCATGGCCATTTGCCATCCGACATTTGTAATCGCCGGTAAGTCCGATCACGTGTGTATCATCATTCACTATCAAAGAAGGCTTTCCCCCGCAGAACGTATTCAAGGGAATTGGAATGATGATTCATGGGACTGGCCAAGTAGTCGAATTCTGATGAGTGTGACCATATATTACTTATTGAAAGTGTTTGTATTCAAAGTTGCTGATGTGGCCCTTGTCTTTGACCAGCTACTATCGATGAACTACCCGAGTCGAGTGCAGGGTGTGAGTATCATATAAATGCAAAAAAAATGTCGAAAAAGTGATATCAACTGGTATCCAAACACCGTATGCGCCATGCGAATGCTGTTTATCCAAATGCACATTCCTTACTTCGAACGAAGAACCGTGGGAAGGGCCCCCAAAAAGGTGTACAATGCCTCACAGACCATGTCTCATCACTGAGATTCTGCTAGATTCTTGGTCATCTTTGTCCTTGCTCCTCGGCCTTTTTTCGCTCCTTTTCGATTTGCTCAGGAGTCTTGAGCCACTCCTTTTTCTCCATGTCCCATTTATGACTATACTTTGTTAGTATAAGCTCTGGTGAGGATGAGTTGGAAGATATTCCTCACTTTTCGAATTCCGTAACGACCAAGGCCTTTTCCTTGTATTCATCAATCAAAATCTTATCATACGCGTACGGGACCTTTGCAAGTACGCCCTCAAAGATGGTTTCCCGCATAGGAAACAGCTCGGAGGTTTTGTAGCGGTGGTAGTTCTTGCAGCTCCAAACACCGGGTTTGGTGTCCGGGTGAGTCTCACTCAGCCCAGTTATGTCGATGAACAGTCCGTTCCTGACGTCCACCCATCGTGCATCGATGATGTTCATGCCATCCCCTCGTGTTCGCTCCCATATCCAAGGATTCACGTCCAAAAGATATTCGCGCTTTACGCTGCCATCCTCTGACGTGTATTTGTGTCTGGATTGATTATGGTTCTCTCCAAGATATTGCAAGGTCGCACCGGAGACTTGCGTGTCCATGTCGAAGTCCCAGGGTAATCTCTGTGGCTATTGTCAGATTTCCGATCATGTTGATAGATGAGGACGATGTTCATACCTTCCCATTCCACCACCACCCTAGGAGTGTGCCATGTGCGATCCAGGTATCCAGCCCTTGGTCGCGAAAGAATTGTAGATAGGCACGGATCATGTGGAACTGAGTGTCCGTCCGTTCCTCGTCGGAAACGATGCCGTGAAAGTAACGTGCATCATAATGGCCAAGTTCCAGATTTCCTCTGAAGTTTATCTCAGTAAGATGTTTGGGTAATGGTCGTCAACGGGCTGTTGATTGTGCGCGCAGTGAGGGAGATACATTGTATCTTCGCGTTCAAACCAAGAATTGGTGCAACTTACCCAGGCTCGTGAAAGTACTTGTTCTTTTGCCTTTCCTGTCTACTTGCGACCTTTGGGTCTATTCTTGCACCCAGCTCTAACTTGCCATCGTTGGTGACCGGCGTAGCAATACACGAACTGAACATGCATGCTGAGATAAAAGCTGTGGCGTATGCACCGAACCGCATGACGAAAATAGATTAAGGGACCGTAAATGATTTTGCAGATTGTGATTCAGAGGCGGTACTATCAAGTTGATATGTGGCGCCGAATCATAAGGATAGGCGTAAACGTTATATGATCCGTGGCTGGTGTCTCGGAAAAGAGCACAAACGAATCCGGAAATAGAGTATTGGATATCTCTAAGACATAGAATGGGTGAAAAGAAAATCAAGTCCTGTGGCGAGACGTGTAAAACGGTTTCGTGTCGATATTTATGAGACCAGCTATCCACAGATGATAGGTTATGGGGGTGCACTGTATAGGAGCAATCCAGGATATTGAAGGGGAGGGGAGGACGGATGGTAATGTACAGAGATGACAGGCGCCACAAAGACGACAGAACGATAGTACCTAAGTACTCATAAGAACAGGTTCGTTAGGAACGGACCAGCCGGCAACTCGTCATGGGCCTGTAAAGAAGAGGGTGGAGAGATGAAAAAAGCCACAAGTCTTCAAGGCCCTCTAGTCCTTCTGCGCCATTTGATAGTACTCTTCGCGCCCCTACCAGTGGAACCATACACAGTACGTGGAGTTATACCGTTGTTTAGGGAAGGATGTCGCGTGCGAGCTGCGAGCTCCCCGCTCTTCGCATACCTGAATCCTGATGCGCTCATCATCCCAGTATTGACCTGAGAATTACCTGTAATCTTGTTGTCTTAGAAGCCGTTGATTCCGAGAACCGACTCAAAGCCATGCAGCGGGTAGCTGACGCCAACCAGTCAACACGCGTCCTGCATTAAACAAGCTTTGCCAACCCCTTTTCTGTCCTTCATCCGCCGCCCACTCCCAAATCCCATTGCGTCAGCATTCATACTTACTCATGCTAATAATTGACTAGTTGACTGCAAGTATGTATCTCCATTATTGCCAACGTAAACCGCAGAGAATGCGAACAGATACTAGGTACGGGGTAGTGTCACTGACATGTGTCCGACTGTCGCGTGAGAGGTTGTGCAAAGAATGCAATTAGACTGTGACAAACCTATGGAATCCATTCTGGCGAGAGGCTGAACCTCTTCTAGTGCATGTTACCGTTGCCCCTCAAAGACAAAGCATTTGCAACGGTATTCCGCGCACTCCCGCCGGTTTATCACTCATACAACTTCGCAGATTCGTCCCATCTTTCCATGTTGTTTGTTTGCTTCACCAAATCTAATAATACTGAAGGAGTATGATTGAATATTCCTATCTGTCAATGGATTTTCGTTCTTCGGACAATTACGATAAGGACCACAGGAACAAGGCAAGCGGCAAGGTCGTGGGGGCCCTGGTTACAAGGACATCGACATGGCTTACAGCCTTTCACTCTGTTGAGCGATTCGCTCGCTTATAGAAACTTCCAAATAAGGCAACATAATCATCGGGAGGAAGGTGAATACGTATGCTCCGACGTCCATAGATTCATTCATAGTCGACTTAGCACCAAATAAAGCTCTTAAAGGAATATGATACAGTTAAGGCAAGACGGATAACGGCACGACATGATTCTGATCGCTTTCTCCATATATCCGTACATCCGTGTACGCCTTTATATGTATCTCAGACAGACATACATAGACTGCAGCCCACGGCCTTGAAACTCGCCCTTTTACCATTTTCTTCCTTCCACAGTGTACTCATTCGCCTATTCCTCCTATCGTCCTACTTCTTGGGCGAGAGATACTCCACACTAGGAAAGACGTGATCACGGCATTGTTGTCGCACACCCTGGTCGACTTCCACGTAATCCATAGCACGTTTGCGATACACATTCAGCTTCTGTGGTTGCAAAATTACGGCCATAGGCCTCGAATGGGCAGAGTGCGTAGACTATGTGGTAGGCATAGTGCGCTAATTCTACTCTAATCGTGCTATCACTCCAAAGACATCGTCATGGCTTGCGTTGTCAAATCTTGCATGAAACGGCGAAAACGTAAGACTCGAAAATCGGGAAGAGTTTGGACATGATAGTTGACAAGCCGGCAGGCATCAGTAGGCATCGTTGCAACGGATGGTATTGACTCGTAACTTCCACCTGGTGTGATATCTCGAAGAAATTATGTTAATTCTTGAAAATACTTGTAATATTACACTTTTGCATAGACTCTGATTGATGCTCTCTAAATGAAGCGCCCCGACCAAGCCTGAACTTGACGCATACACACCCGCGAACGCCATGCTAATTACTCTATGTCAAATTCACGACACATCCATAGCATCTGTTCCGTTTGTGAAAGAAAGAGACACGTCTCCTCCATCGCCAATGAGGCGCTTTTCGGATTCGGTAACGAACTATTTCGTGGGTTAGTATGGGTTAATGGCATTTCAATACGGGAGATCCGGGTCTGACATACCTTCACACTGCGCGTGGGATCGTAGAAGAGCGCAAAGCTACGTTGCACGTCGTCGACACTGACTTCCGACGCGTCTCTCTTTCCTCGAATCAAGTCAGAGGTAGTAATTAGATTACTAGCATATCTCAGACCGGTTTCTTGGCCGATCTTTGTAAGAAGTGCCAAAGCATCGGGTGAAATGTCGACCTCCTCCTCTTGTGCTCTTATCGAGATGATCTGCTGCATCTCTTCCTGGGAATAGGGATGCGTGCTCACTATCACAACGCGGTCAAGGAAGTCGAGGGGAAGGCCATGGGGCGAGCGATAGTCGGTTCCCCTGATCTGCGTATTTCCACGATTGCTGGCCATGATGACAATAGGGGCCAACTCAGTCTCCAGTGCCCGGTTGATGAATGAAAAGCACTCGATATCGAGCATGTGCACTTCGTCGATGAAAAGAACTCCTGGTACAATTTCTGCTTTACCCTCCTCTTTCCATTCGGCAACCTTGGTGTTGATCTGATCTCGCACCTCGCTACGAATCTCTCCTGTATCGCCGGAGAAGAGGGCTAAGAAGCCTTGCGTTCGAGAGTTGATCACATCAATCTCATGCAGGCTGACCGTGTGCACCACTTCGCGACGTTGCTGCAGCTCGCCCTCTGGACACTGCACGAACTTGGTGTCGATGCCCATGGCATCGTAGTCTCTTGATCGTGTGTAAGATCGACCAAGTTTTGTGATCTTTCCCGACGCCTTATCAATCGATATAATATCACCCGCCATGACTTTCTCCTTCGTCATAGAGTCTATCATCTTCGTTCCCATGTCGTAGATGGTTTCCATGTCGGTTGTTTTGATTGTGAGCTTTCCTTGTTTGTTGCCCTATTTAGGTGTCAATAACTCTTCGAATCTGTAGCAGACACGATGAAACGCACTCCTGTAACACTACGGTCGATCTGAATTTCGACAACCTCTCCTTCAATGACCTCGCTCTCCTCGGTAATTCGCACGCCGATGGATTTGCGGAATGCTTGCGTCAAGGCCTCGGTCTTGGACATCTCAAGGGAGAATATCTCTGACGATGCAAGCATGGTGAAAGGAACATCCGCGCCTAGAGATTGTGCCATTCCCATCGCGATGGCTGTTTTTCCAGTGCTCGGGGGACCAGCAATCAAAACTGCGCGGCCTGCAATCTTTCCTTCTTTCGCCATCTGCAGTATGACCGCAGCAGCTTTTCGCGCCTTTTCTTGTCCGACGAGGCCCTGCGATGAGACCTTGGGTTCGAGAGTATCTGGCTCCACTCCGAGGCCGCGAATGTGAGAATGCGCCGCGATGAGGTTGAGCCCCCGGAGCTCTTTGCTCTCCGATATGGTCGTTATAGGCTGTGTGACGATTAGTTCGCAGGTTCTCCCATATGTCCAACACCACCTACCATAGCCATGATGGCAAATTGTGTGCAGGGACAGCCGTTTCGTTGGACGTAATGTTGTGTTGATGCAGACGAAGTGTTTTGTCGTTGCGCGCAGAGGCAGCTGGAAGAGCTATCCTTACTTCTACCAATGAATCGATAGAGCACTTGATTGCGCACTAGGCCTTGTATAGACTAGCGCTGGTGTTACAGACTAGTCCATATGTAGACAAACACGTGACATGTGTTGCGCTTTGATCGCATACTGCTCTTTGGCGGCTGCCGCATTGACCACCCGCGTCCCATCCTGTCTTCCTCCATACGCGCCTAGAGTTTGACTGGCGCCCTCCCCTCCGATAATGCTTCGTCCATCCTCAACTTCACCTCAATCGTACACTGTAGCCTCGCCCTCTTACCTCATATCAAACGACGCTACTCGTAAAGCTCGGCATAGTGATGGCCCTTAGACCTCATGTCACCGGCCATCCACGACATCGCCTTTGTTTACGCTAACTGGGGGGCCTTCCCGATTCTACGTGGTACCGTGACCTTCACAATTTCACTCAAAATACAAAATGTCATATACACGCGGCAGAAACCTTGAAAACAAATTTCCTCATAGTAGCCATGCAAAACATCCCTCCGCCTCGGCTCCAGCTCACCATCAAAACCTAAAGTCCACTCCCACCCGGTAAGTTAATTCAACTTGAACAGGAATATATTGCAATACCCTCTCTCGCCCTGCAGTAACTGCCCCGCCATTTGCGAGAAGTGTGATCCTTTTCATCCTGTTTTCCCTTCATAATCTGACCCGAGGAGGCATCCAATCAGTAGTTCAGCCCGCTCGTACTCTAATGGTCATCCATCGGGTGAGAACCATAACCCATCAAGCAATCCACTGCCGATAGACACATCATCGAAGAAGCGTGTAGGGAACCAGTCACGCGGGCATAGTCCCCCCGAGAAACGCACACGTCATCGAGATAATGGCCCAAGTGAGGTATGTACGATGACCCGAGGATGCTTTTTAATATGTACTCTGAAGGGTATATAATTTTACAACAAAGACTGAACAAACAACATAGGCGCCTGAAGAGGGTGAAATTCCAAACGAACAGCATACTGTAGCTCCCATTGCAAATAGCAATGAGTTTGAATCTCGAAATAGCAAGGCAACAGGTTCCGGAAAGAAAGGGCCTGATAAGCAAGGGCCTGTTGAGGAAACCCCGCCGACCTTTATACCATCTCCTATGTCAATGCATGGTGAGGTCACTCGCCCAGAAAGTGGTAGAAGCACCCCAGTCCAATTCGCACCTCCTGCACCTCCGATGGTATCGGCTGTACCATCAAAAGGAGTATCTATTATTCCTGGCTCCAGAACGGTGTCTGGGGCCACGCAAGTCAAATATGCTTCAAACAAAACACCGTTCCAATTAGCAACTCTCAGAAGATTACAAGAAAAGAAACGAGGTCACGTCTCAGGGAATACCCAACCCAACACAGTGTCGACCGAGTCTGTTACCTCTAAGCAAGATGAGCTCTCATACCAAAAACAAAGTGCCGAGTTGGCGGCAATGCGGATCGAAATCGACTTGTTAAAGAAAGACCGAAAGTTACTCAGCGAAGAAGTCAATGCTTTGAAGGGTGAAATACCATTGCGTGAGGAATATACAAGATCTCTTGAACGCCAAGTTGAAAAATCCATCCTTGAGCAGGTGCAAAGGTTAATGGAATCAAGGCAGCATACTGGTATGGATCAGCTGAACAAACGAATCGACCGTATCCAAGAACAGACCAAGAGGGATCAGGAACTAGTTACGCAAAGAACAACTACGATGTCAGATGCAATCACAAAGCAACTGACTGAGCGCGTAACTAAGGCTGAAGAAGCTACAAAGCTGCAGATTCAATCACTAGAGAAGCAATCCAACCAGGAAACGGAGCGTAGGCAGACAGCCATTTCTACCTTGAGGACAGACCTGAGTTCACAAATTACGAAACAGTCGGCAATACAGACGGAGGTTGATACCATTACGAAGCGGGCCAACGACGCCAGCAACAAGATTCAAGGACTAGACGACAAGGTCGAAATGGTCTCAAAATCTAGCCTGGACCAGATCGAGAGCCTTGCGCAACAGATCGAGGAATATCGCAATTCGACTGAAATTAACCTCGAAACTCATCGACTGGACACGCGGAAGGCTTGCGCAGATATTGAGCAGAAGCTAAGCTCAAGCAAAGAAGTTCGCTTTTCAAAGTTCGAATTACGGTTATCTAGCCTGGAGGAACAGTACAATATGACACACGACACACAGCTAAGAACAAAAGAAGATCTCCTGGCGCTAAGACTTGATACGAATGAGAATGCCGCGAACACTACACAGTTGAATTCAGACCTCCAGAAGGTCGAGATCAAGCAGTTGGAAGATGGTGTCAAGATTGATGAGACAAAAGCCCTCTTGTTGAACGATGTTAGAGATGCTTTGAAGAGATTGGATGAATTCAGGACTGCAGATGCAGGAGAGAAGATTGGACAAGAGTCTGCCGAGATAATCAAGCACACGGTGGATCGTGTTGCCACCTTAGAAATGGAGGTCGACATGATGCGTCACCGGAACAGCGAGGCAACGGCTGAAACGGTCAAGCATGTTGACACTGGATTATCTAAGATGGGGGAACAGGTCGTCTCACTCCAAGAGGTGACCAGCCAGTGTTACCAGCTCGGACAACGGAACCATAACTCTCTCACAGTCGCGCAGGAAAGCATAGAGGCGCAAAATATCGCCTTGCACGTCTTGAACAGCAGATACGACAACCTGTCTTCCGAAAAATTAGTTCGCGAAATGGTACATTGGTTCCGATCTTCAGAGATCGACACACTCCTGTCGCAAAAGATGCAAGCAGTGGATCATAGTATCGAACAGCTTAGGCAGGAGCTAGTCAGTGCGAAAGAACGTATTTTTGGCTTGACAAAAGAAATGGCAGAAGCAAAACGCCAGAGGCCGAACGACGTACCACAATTTCATGGTAGCCCCCATATGTCCCAGCATGTACCTACTAGGATCCCGCCAAACCAAGCTATACTCATACCGCAATTGGCAGAAGAAATGACGGATATTCGGCGGCGACTACACACCTGTGAGTCTTTCCCAGACGAGCAGCGGGGGAGACTGGATGCTATCCAAATGAACATATCAAGATTGGAGAACATCTTGGAAGTCTTGCAGCAAAGCATGGGAGCCTTCGCCAAACACGTCGACCTTGAAGATGTTAGGCGGCAACTTGGCAGCCGTCTAGATGACGAACGTAACGACCGTATCCTGGCCATTGCAGAGGAGGCCGGCAGCAACAGAAGAACGCATGACAAGATGAAAGATGCACTCGACAAGATGATCTTAGAGCTCAAATATCTACCCAATGCTGTGCGAGATATATCGAATCTCCAATTCTACGTTAACAAGATGAACGAGAATTCTAGTAGGCCTATCGGTACGCTCAAGTTTGAAAATCACCTTCGAGAGTAGTTACCGTATGGCCTCAATTCCCGAATTGGGTTCTGGCCAAAGGCTCTCCCATTCCTCATTGTATACTCTTACCTCTGCTTGTATGTAAGATATCATGAGCTCCTACTTTCACTCAAATTGGCTAGGGTGGCAAGGCTTTTTAGGACATTGGTTTGGTTGCATGATTGTATATATACCCATGGAGCGTTTTGTTTTTGTTTGGATGGGCGACATGATACCGCAAGGGCAGCAGCTGCTTGATATAGATATTTGTGTCATTAGGTAAATGTGAACATACTTTGGTAATGAGTATAGTGATATGTCATTGTGAATTTTTTGGTCAATGTATTTCGACAGTCATCTGGTACTTCCTTGAAGACGTCAACTACGAATCTCGTCTACGGTCATCAGTCAAAATCGATGATCATACTCTCGGAGCTAATCCAGAACACGCTAGTTAAGTCCGAGAGGCACAAAAAAGTCCACTGATCTCATCACACAAGCAACAACAACCACGACGAACCAACGTCCACCACCATCGCACTCCTCACATCCACAGACACCTCCACAACCCACTATACATCAGAAATGCCTCACGCAAACACAAATCCCCCCTCTGGCACCGACGGCCCCCCCGCAGACCCAGCCACCACAACCTCCTCCCCCTCCGTCGCCGCGACCAAGAAGCGCAAACGCGCCGAAAAACCACACATTCTGCACTCGTGCACGTTCAAAAAGCCACAATGGACATACTTCCACCTCTCTCTCACGACGCCCGGCACTATTGCTGTCACCAAGGCGTCCCCGCCCTCGTCCTCTAGTAAACCGCACAGCGCAGACCCTCAGAACATTGACGCCCTAACTGTCCTCACGCTGCTTCGTCCGCCGCTACAGACGTACCTCGGGCTGATGGGGTCTAGCATATCGATCGACGTGCTGAAGACGGAGGGGAGGGAGGTGTGGGTTAGGGTCCCGAGGTTGGATGCGAGGGGTTTCAGGGCTGCGGTGTCAGCATGGGTGGGCAGTTGTGAGGGGGCGCTGATTCCGGGGACGGGCGACAGTGAGGGTGGGAGGGTCGGCGTGTCGTGGAGGGTTGTCGGGGAGGGACAGTTTGTGGGGAGTTTAGCTGGTGGAGATGGGGCGGATCTGTTTGGTTGAGGGGGGGAGGATTGAGGTCATTGAGACTTGGGAATGGGAGAGATGGGTTTGGTGGTCTTTTGAAATTATGATACCCTTGAACCGTTTGCGTCTTGAGATTGCGCCGTTATTTCTTTTTTGGCGATAGGGAAAGGAGAATTGAAGCATGCTTTGCTCGGAGGAAGCGTACTTTGGATGGGGATTGGCTATGGCAACCATAACAATACTGACACGGTACTGTCTCCGCGTATTAGAGATCCTGTAACTAGCGAGAGGACTAGAGACATATGATATGGATCTTCACATGATACAAAATGAGAAATAGCGAGATGCAGGTGTTTTGATCAGCCCTAATGCGGCAAATATGGATTTGAACTAGTTAAATAATCATTGATAGTTGGGACTTTGATTTCCCCAGAGTACGCCGGTATTCGCCCGGATGACATGCAAAGTGGCTAATTGCCAATCGTTCTGAAAACATTCCCAATCGCTGTGTAAAATCATGCGCACGTAAGTTGTAAGTAAAGCCAATTCCTTAAGACTTGAAGATAGCCTCGAGCTTCTCAAGAAGAATGTTGGCGTGATGCTTCTGGAAGATCAACATTGGCCTGAGACGGACGGCAGCCTCGCCGCTTCCACCGATGTTGATGCCGACGGTCTTGCCCTTCTTGAGAACCTCGTCTCGTCGTGGGCTGTCCCAAGCGATGAATGTGCCTTGTCCCTTGCCCCTGAGGTTCTTGATCTCGTTGGGGTACTTCTGGGCGAGGCTCCTGAGACCGTCGTAGAGGTAGTCTCCAGTGGCAGCAGTGTTCTCGACGAGGTTGAGACGCTCGACCTCCTTGATGATGGCACGGAAGAGAAGAGCACGCGCGGGGTCACCCATCCAGGTGTTGAACTGACGGTACGGCTTGTTGGGTCGGAGCTCGGTGTTGCTGTAGTAGTATCCAGCAGCCTGGGCCTTCTTGGAGAAGGTCACCATGTCTGGTGGGGATGAAAGACCCCAGTGCTCGTGAGCCCAAAGCTTTCCAGTGGCGCCGAGACCAGTCTGCACCTCATCGACAATGAAGAGGATGTTGTGCTTCTTAGTGAGCTCGCGAAGACCGCGGAAGAAGTTGGGAGAGGCGTGGTTGTCGCCACCCTCGGACTGGATGGGCTCCACAACGACGGCTGCGGGTGGGTTGTGCCACTCCTTGATCAGACGCTCGGTCTCATCAAGGCAGCGCTGCTCCTCGGCGGCGTTCTCAGCGGCGTACTCATCGAGTGGGTACTTGCACGAAGGGAAAGGAGCGCGGGGCCAGTCGAAGGCGGGAATATCGAGCTTGTGGATGGGCTTGGATCGAGTTGTGGACAGACTGCCAAATAGACGTCCGTGGAAACCAGAAGAGAAGGAGAGGATAGAAAGTTCAGGAGCGCCTGGAGACTGATTGACCATAGAGGAGTTAATCTCGTGTTCGGTGAAGTCAACGTGGTAGCCACCACGCTCTTGCTGTCTCTTCCACATGAAGGCAGCCTTGTAGGCTAGCTCGTTTGCGTCTGAACCAGTAGTACCGGTGAAGACCTGGTCCAACCCCTTGGGGGCCGCGGCCAAGATACCAGTCTCAAGAATGTCGGCCCAGTCGTGCTGGGGGAAGTTGCCCAGTGCAGGACGGTTGATGATGGCAGAAGCCATCTCGGGGGAAGTAGCGGCGAGGAGGAGGGTGGGGTTATTGTATCCCACGGGAATGGAAGCAATCTGAGCATAAACGTCGAGAAGGACATTGCCATCTGGGTCGGCGATGCTGCGGAAAGTTAGTATCATATGCTAATTTGCAGTGCATGCAGGAGATTGTGGGGAACGTACTAGTTGCCATAGCTCTTTTGGTAGTCGGTCATCATGTTCAAGCTTCGGGTGTCGAAGACTTTGCTCAGCCTTTCAATGGCTTTTTGGCTCTTTGGGCCTGGGATTGCGGTCTTGACAATGGGGCCGGTGGGCTCGTCGGGGAAGAAGGGTTGCTCTCCATTGTCGCTAACAGCAGCAGCAGCGGCATGTTGCTTGCGGACAGCGATGGGAGATAGCCTTGAAGCTGAGCGAGCAATTGGGCTGGACAAGAAAGGTCGCGAGCGACTGGCGGTCCTCAAGAAGGTGGCCATTGTGAAATCTAAACGAGGGAGTGACGATAAGGCCAACACCACGGGTCGGAATCCACGGGTAGAGCGTGCGTACACTGAGAGCTCAAGGAGATCGCGGGTAGATAAGGTTCAATTGTTTTCCTTGGAGGAAGCTTTACAGCTGCAGGGAAGTGTATGGTGGGAGCAGAGGTGAATCGTGAGAGGAAGGATAGAATGTTTTTCGGAGATGTGAGGGGTAAATGGCCCTTTTATTTGTATTGGGCAAGTAGTAAGTACCTAAGGTAGGTAAGGTATGGTATCTATCAGACGTGACGAGAGAGATAGCTAAACTCGGATTGCTGGCCACCAACTCCACCCAACCCCCAATTGACATCAGCGTGTAAAACCGACGCTAATCCTGAATTGAGTCTGTCCATGCGAGATTGGTAGTTGACACACGCCCTAGACGCGCTTCCCCGCACTTACACGCCCAGTCCTCCACTCTACTTCTCTGTGTACATTCTGGCCACACAAGCAATTGGCCACTCTCGACAAGGGAATGTCATTCCGGAGAACCCTCACATTGTCAAGGCTTCTTCCGACGGTAACCTCACCGTTGTCGGATACGAATGTAAAGAAGGATCTGGTGGACTTTTCTATTCCGTACGCTAGACTCGACCAGGCAATTTGATCGTCCCAGATAACTGTGAACGATCACGAGAGTAAAAGATGGACATTGAACATTCCTTTCAAATGAGTACGGCCTAGCTTTAGAAAGGAAATACCTATTCTGGAACATCTCTGGCCCTTATGGGAGAATTACCTTCCCCAGTCGTGCTTAACGTAGTAGGACAACACTATCAGCAAATTACTACTTATCGACTTTATGATATTATGTCAGACTGCTATAGAGTATAGCCCTAATGCTACCTCTCTCTGCCTACAGCTAACCACTATGCTCGCATCCCACCATTTTTGGAATAGAGATAAGAACGAAATGCAAATGCAAGACACCCATACCCCTCGGTTTGTGAATTGATTAGATACCGATCAGTGCCCATGGCACTTCGCCCTTGAACGCCTGGTTTGCCAAAGAAAAACCATCATGGCAACCAGCAAACAGTATCGGGGTTGAGAGACTGACTAGGGTTCCTGGACGCCAAGCAATGAACGGTCGTCCAAATAAAGAAAAGTGATTACAAGACGTAGGGGGGTAGAGGTGAAATAGAATCAAAGAAGCGACCGCATGAATGTCGTAAGACCAGAAGGCAAGGCGGGTCAGGATGAATGGGAAAAGGGCTAGCTTACTGGCAGTTACGCAAGCCCATTCGTCTCAGTTGCCAATTTGCTGCTCTGAACAGGCTTGCTCAGATCTCCTTCCCCGTCTTTCGTGTTGCTGTCATGCTCACAAGAACCGTTCATGGTTGTTGGTGGTGTTGCGAGCTGCATGGGGCTCTCTGCCCCATTCTTCAAACGATCAGGTAATAGTTCAGTCGAAGGGCTTCCACTCATCGCAGCAATGGTGAACGGATCGGCGTATTCTATTGGTGTGAGATGTGCACCCTCGATATCTTGGGGCATATCCTCGGCTGGGGGCGGGGGTGGTGGCGGCGGAGCTGGAACAGCATCGGGTCTGAGTTTCTTCGGCGAAGCAACCTCATAATCCTCTTCCCGTTTTCGCTTCAAATCCGCGGCGAGAGCATCTTCGTCATCTGATAGACCAATCATCTCATCGTCTGAGTCTGCCCTCTCGGGTGCTTCCTCTTTCTTTGGAGATTCTGGTGAAGCCTCTGCAGGAACCTTGCCAGCAGCTTTCTCTTTTGCTCTTCTCTCTGCTTTAGCTGCCCTCTCCTTGTCCTTCGCCTCCTTTTTCACGACGGCCTTGTCCATGTAATCCTTCACGAACTTCTTCACCGTCTTCTCGTGCTTGGAGTCTAATTTTGCCGTTGGATCTTTGACTTTGTTGTGTTTGTAATCACCCCGGACGAGCTTCTTTGCGACCTGTACCAGCAATATTAGTGGATGATGATGTTGACATCATGCAACATAAACGTACTTCTTTCGACAGTCTCTTCAGGTCATCCTTCTCCAGCTTCTTACGGTAGTGGGAGACTACATTCATAACGTGAGGTGCGAGCTAAACACAGCATTAGCAGTTGTTGCAACATGTACTCTCCAGGACCTTACGGTGCGTTCGTAAAGCTTCTCCTGCTTCTCCTGGGGCAGACTTTTCCATTTCTCTTTCTTGGCTTGCTTTCCGTGCTTATAATCATCGACAGGCTGCGGTGTGGTTGATGCAGAAGTGGCGACGGGTGTTGACGAAGTTTGGGTAATGCTTGAAATAATCTCTTGCAATCTTTGCTCATTGGATTTGGATTTCGACGGTTGAGTTTGCGTGGTAGCTTGTATTGGTCTTGTCCATTGAGTGTCACCTGCTGAATTGTAATAATAAGTAGAACCGTTCTCTGACGTGGCTTGAAACCAACCCGCAGGCAGCGGGTTCAAATGTGGTCGTGGACGGAACGGCGGGCGAGGGCCACTGAATGATGCCGGATTTCTGGGGGCATTAAAGCCACGGGGCCCGATCGGGATCGATGATGGTCCTTTAGGCGCATCTTTCACAGGGGAGGTGGATCTTGAACGAGATCGTTCCCGGCCCCGCTCGCGACGCTCAAAATGGTTCTCCCGGCGCGCTGGTGTACTGGCATTGGGATCTCGCTTCATGCGTGGGATTCGGTACGCAATCTGGAGTTTGCTCCAAGCTTCTAGTAGTTTTGTAGCTTCAGACTGCACCCGTTCATCGTCATATGATTTCAGGCTCTCAATGGTTTCCTCTATGCCAGAGTCTTGAATCTTGTTTTTCGTGATTCGAGGCAGGTTATAGAGAATGTCAAGCACTTGCAGGACAATATTGGTATCGTCCCTCCATGCGGTCAGAGTCATCTTGAAGATGAGATAGCCATGCATGCGAATGACACGATGGCCAACCTTTTCGTCGTCGGTCCGCTGGATGCGACTCAAAAGCTTGACAGCCACCCATTTCTCGTTGCACTGTCGAAGAGCGGCCATGACCTTTTGCACTCCGTTCTCTTCCAAACTCCTAGGTTGTATATTGTTGACGTACTCCTCATCGTCCTCACTGGCCTTCTTCTTGCGAGGTTTCCTCGCAGTAGCCGTGTCCCAGCCATCCCCGTCATCGATACCAAGCGCTTCAATCGTTGCGTGCGAGAGGTTCGTAGCATTGTCGGTCTGAGTCTTTCCGCCAATATATCCCGTGCAATTCGGTTCACCGCAATAACATGGCTGCGGATCGGCGCCATACCGGTCAACGTTGTAGTTGAAAACTAGCTCCTCCCCTGCCTTGATCTTACGCTCGGCGAAGATGCCCATACGCAACTTGTCACCCACGACCCATTTGTCTACGTAGCAATTCGGGTTGCACGAGTGATTGCAAAATCGTCCAAGGTTGCCCTTCTTTGTCGCATCGACAAATTCGCCTTTCGTGAGAGACATGAAGTAGAAGTGCTTGATACCTTCTTGATCGTACTGGATCATTCGGCGGCGAAAATTTTGCTCGTTGATGACCTCGCCGATGTATTCGAAAACGAATTCGCCAGGCTTGAGGTTAGTATTGGCCCTCAATCCAAACCCTTTTTTGTCCGTTTTCATGACAGTCACGTTGGCATACTGCTTTTGTTGGAATCGGCGATTCTCGCACGCCGCCCCGCAGCCGCAGTCCACTATACATTCCATCTTCGTCGCGCGGTTGATACAGTCGGAATCCTCGCCACAAGCCCTGTTGACCCCATCTTCTGCATCTATGTCCAAGTTAGTGACCCTGTTGCGCTTATTAGACTACAATCCGTGACCGGAATACACACCCCACTCTTCCGAACAATCGCATTCAAGTGCAGGCTCTGTTGTGCCTAGCGACTTATTGCCATACGTGCACTCAGTGAGCACACTGAATAATTTCTGTGCTTCCTCGGTAACATCGGGCAAGTCCAAGTATAGTGGTGGCGGCTTTGACACAACCTTCTGCGAGGCTTTACGCGTCAATTTGGGTGCTTTGCCTGGTTCCATCTTCAATGTGACCTCCCCACCAACAATCTCCTCCTGCTTCTCATCCACGGGCGTTGAAGAACTCGGGCTTCGCTTGACGGGAGAGTGAGATGTAGACCGAGACTTGGTTTTTGATGGGATAGACATGGGGGTCGGTGTACGTCCGAGCCGATCGTCTTCCAACTTCACCTTCGCATCCTCGCTCTCAGCCACGTGGGGTTGCCCTTCCTCAATCTTCATGTCGCGTAACACGGGCTCGAGCCGAACCGTCTTTTTCTCCGACTCGCTGTCTGACATTGTGTGAAGGGGCGATGCGCGATGCCTGATGCTTGATGGGTCGAAATGTACGGCTCGAAAGGAGGCGCTGAAGAAGCACTAAGCGATGTCCCGACTGCTTTGCCCAAACTTGATAACCATGGCCTGTATCTACTTGAACAGATAATGATCGTACTTGAGAAGAATGTAGTCTCAAGCCAGCGACGGCGTGCCAGGTGAAGTTGGTGCAAATTCGAGAATCTGAGCTCAACGGTCTTGGGAGAGCTCCTCCAGCCTACAACTCTTCGGGAACGGTGAGAACGGTTCGCTGGGCAATGGATCTATGACACGCGACCAGGAGATATGCGCCGAAGAAGAACAGAGTCCAGGGGTCTCGGAGAGGACGACTGCGATGTGAGCTGGCGAAAGGTTTCGGCTCTCTGGGACTGAGTAGGGACTGTGGAATCGGCGCAGGCGATACAGGATCGAGAATACGTCTGACTACCGTAGGCGGCGTTGATTCATGCACAGGAATGTGCAAAATGAGGGTGCTGTGAATAGGGAAAGGGATGTGAGGGCGTATGTGCTGCGAGAACGGTTTGCAAATGTGCGCGTCGTTCTAGACGTGCCATGGGAGTTGCGGCTCTACTAGATTTCCATTTCTCGGCAAAGGCGCAAGGCCTCCGCCGAATCACCGTTTGACCACCTCAAGATGGACCACTCTCACATTTTCTTCAACAAGACCAACAATCAATGATCGGAAATTCACCGCATCGTTTACGACATATACGTCATCCTCTTTTGTCTCAGTATTGATGATTGTCTGATGGATGGCATCGTGACCCAGTATTTATTAGCATTAGAAAGTAGCTCATTTGTCGCATCGCTCACTATCGGAAATTTCTACGACTTGCGAATGCGAACCATGAACGATATCGGAGGAACATCTTGCGGTATCTTCTTTTGAATGTCAACGGAATCGCACAGACAATACGTTGTTATAGTGAATCTATTTAGACTGACCTCATAGATGGACTCAGTAAAGACCTAGCTAGCTCCATTGCCAGAACAAATACTCCGTACAGGATGTGATAGAGAAACTCTGCTGGTATGATACAAGCACCTCAATGAACGGACTGTGTTGCTCATGGCATTCTCAGTGCTCGCTCCCCCAGACTGAATGCTTAGTCGCAGATACAGAGCCTGCGTAAAGAACGTTTGCACAGTTTTGATGAGATTAGCGAGCCTCTAGGAATCTATCCCGAAATGTTCCATTCACGCTTAGACGAGTGACTTCAGTCGTCCCCAAGGTCAAGGTCCCTGCAAGCATTGGTTGATTGTAGACGACTACAATATGTGATGCAAATCACTAAAGAAGCATTGGCCCACGTGGAAATTGGAAGTCAGAACGGATGCCTGTAGGCAAACCTTCCTTTAGTCTGGGAAACATAGAGGAATCCTTCAGCCTGCGGGTCAGCTCTGATCTGATTTGTTGTTTGTGGATGTATTCAATACATCACATGTACCTCGTAAGATGACTTTGGTCGGAATCTGCCGGTCCCCAGCCATGATTACAGGCTAGGGCATACGTACGGGATCAATACGAAAAGACGAAACTGACAATCCAGAAGAGGTAAAGCCAGAGTTCATGCCATGGTATTGGGACGATCGTGTGCCGTCTCAACAAGCCTGCAGTAGCGACATCGTGTGAAAATAGATGAGGATACGATGGGATATGGTGACTAGTGATGCTTGGGTGGCTTGGTTTGGTGTGGTCCGTTGGTACCAACTGGCAACGGTCACCTTGTCCTTTGATGAAGCCACCCCAATTCATCCCCATGTCGTGTGAATGGAGAATAAATGCATTATTGTACTGTACAAGTACTCGTACCGGTAGGTCGTAGGGGATGCAAACCGGCGAGTTACGAGTGAACTGCATATTGATGAAGTAGACATTGGCCAATCAGCGCTCGCGAAATGGCCTCCGTTCCGTTCATGCAGCGCTCATCAGACAATACCTGACTGAGACTTGGCGTTTGTGGGAGTCGATATTGTTAGTGCGAGGGAGTTTTCAAGGTCAGCGGGGGGTGAATGGATTGGAAGCGTTGAATCGCGGACACAGTTTCAGGATCGAGGCGAGCAAAGATCAGATGATGGCGGTGGTGGTGATGGGTGTTCTCCGCTACGGAGTACTCCCGTCCACTATTGTGCTGCCGCAGTACAAAGACTTGCCGATATGCAAAGGTCTGCTCACAAACAAGTACGAGTACGACTAGACTTGAAGTATCAGTAACGACACAAGGATGTGATCGTGCTGCGAGTGGCCTTCTTCGTTCAGTTCTCGGCATTGGATGTTGATTGTGTTGGAGAAGTCCCTGGCAACATCTGATAGTTTAGGTACCTAGGCTAGGTACCTAGGTACTCCATGGAAGGCCGATCAATGGTTGATCTCCTCCCTCCTAGACTATCATCAAGATTCCGACCTAGGTAATTTGTAGATACAACTCCATAGATATCCATCCTAGATACTCCGTAGGAAGAGGCATGTGAATTATTGAGAGACTCGTCCATTACTGTATACACACTACTGCACAGTACATAGTCCGTATAATCATTAATATTGGAATCATCGTCTTGAACAGAACCGGTTCGTTCCACTTTAATTAAAAGGGACGTTCCACTTTGAGTTAGTCTATATCGTTCCGCCCGAGTCCATCTGTTCTGGGACTAGCTCCGGTCGGGACGATTGAGAACCTCCAGGTCATCATCTCGAAGTTGGACAATAATGGAACCAACCCAAATGTGCCAACCCAACCCAACCCGCCTGCATTGCAGCTGCATCCACTCACGATGATTCAAATTTCTGCAGCCGTTCCGTCGTATTATTGTACCCATCGTTCGTGGACGACGCGTTGCGCGTTGTGGTCTTGGCTACTACCTACCTTAGGTTGGCTACCTATCCCCAAGAAGGTACCGACCTGGTCCTGTTGTAGCTTGTTGCGCTCATAATCCGTCGTCGCAAACCGCAAACCTCTCGTTACGATAGGGCACATAGGTAGGTTGCTTGTTCGTTGCTATGAGTAGTTATGAACTTATGATTCCGCTGTCCACAACAACGTACGGGTAGCTAGTACTGGAGTACCTCGTACATCGAATCAGTTTTGTACCAAGACTAGCTGCACCATTCAGACAGTGTCTGTACTAGGTAGCATCTTACAACATATCTCAATATTCTCGGCTGATGGGCAGCTGCGCATGGGGGTTCACAGTCCTAGTCACCAGCGAGTTCTACAGCCGATGGGATGTGCCTCCACAGCGTGGGATATACAACCTCGAAGAATTGCCCATTGGTGCAACGTGGCGATGCATAGAGCGGAGTCCGGACGATGATGGTATATAAGAAGAGCTCATAATGGCGATACTAGAGCTACACAGCTGTGACCTTTTCATCGTTGCTCGAAGCCAGCCATCGTTTACTCTGGAAATCACCACGGCGGACCATGCAATACTGGTACAGCACAAGTTTGTTTTTCGATCATGTTTCCGTAATACCGTTGTCGTCGTCATAATTGCCGCCATCGCGGATTATGGATTGCAACGCGAACAGGGGCGGTAGAGGCGTCGACGAATCGAGCCGACCCATATCTTCCACACCGTCGGCCATCCGCTGCCCCGTCGACTCGAGAAGCTAGGGCCGTCTCATCCACATTGGGATGCGCAGATGATAAGTTCCTAAAAAGATTGCGCTGATGATTGGCCTTTGCATGGCTCCTTTGGTTTTCCCCCGTCATCATTTCTCGTTATTTTTGCGCGCAGCATGCGAGCGTGGTAGCTCCAGCTGCAACAGACCACAGGATGAACATACACTGCACAATCCATCCCGTGCGGCACGAGTTGGATTGAAACCATTTGCAAATGCAGACGGTGCGCGATGACCTGTGTACGTACCTACGTTGTATGTATCAGGACTGGGGGGCCATGGTGAGACGAGGTGGGTAGACGGGGACAAGAAGCGATTGGTCCGCGAACACTCGTTGCGCCATCGCTGCCAGGGTCCATCATCATTATCATGGCTTTTTGCTGCGGCTTGTGGGGGGGGCGACGGCGGCGCGGTGGGCAAAAAGAGACAGAGAATGGTGGGTGGGTGCATCTACGCTGCTGTATGCAGTCCTCTCCCCCTCCCCAGCAATCAGCTCGCTCTCGTCCAGTCAATTCCGATTAAGTCAGTGTAAACAGACAACTCCCCCTCCAACTCCAAATCAGGCGACCCTGCAAGCCGGATGTCTCTTCCAGCTTCTGGGGTTGTCGAAGTAGTGGTTGGTGGAGGGTGGTGAAGATGGGTTATGGTCCACGTTGAGACTCAGAGTACGCAGTACGCTGCAGATAGGCTGCAGCAGTTGTAACGACTGTAACAGCCGGGGCCAGCCCGCAAACCCGTAACTCGCAACTTGCAGCTTCTCGCAAGGCACAAACCGTTTGAAAGATGGCAGGATCTGGAATAGGATGGCACCATGGGATGGGATGGAAGTTGGAACAGGACAGGACAGGAAAAGACGAAACAGAAACAGGACAGCCTACAGCCTACAGCCTACATACAGGTACAGGCTACAAAGGACTACAGGCTACAATGCCTTCCTACGTACGGAGTACTCTCTCTGTGCAGAGGGTACAGTAGCACTCTGGAGTGCTTGCTGTACAGTGCACATACAGAACAGTACAGTACAGACTGCACAGTCAAGTCAGTACTCCGTACAGGCCGCAAAGCAAACTCTTGGTGCGAATTTCCCAATTCTGCGCGCCGGTTATGTCGCGCATTAGCTCTAAGAAAAATAATCTGGCCTTGCCCACGATAAACAACAGATGGCTGGCGTTCGGCCCGTTCAGTTGGCCCCACGCCCACGCGCTGCAGCTCCTAACACTTGCATAGGATGCAATTTCCAACGGAAAGCCGCTGCTCTCTTTCTACTTTCTACCTTTCTTACCCATTTCTTCCTCGTCCAGCTTCATGGAAAGTCTCTTTTGACTCTGCCTGCTGGCATGAGACTCTTTGTGTGTCACATCCTTTCCTTTCCACTCGTTAGGCCCCTTTCCGTTTCCATTACTTACTCTCGTTTTGTTCCTGTTCCTATTCCTATTCCTTACCCGCACCCTCAGTCGCGCGCGAGGGGGTTCTCTTCGCGCGCGCTTCTGCACCTACTTTACGGCCTTGTGATCGTTCGTTGCTCAATTTGTCTGGTTGCATTCTGTTTGGAAGCTGGCGACTACTTTTCTACCCCGTCTCCCTCTTGTGCTTGCTGCGAGACACGACATGGAGCCTGCCCGGGAAGCACCATGGGCAGAGCACGAGAAGGTACGTGCCGCTATAGTCGAACTCCTCACCTACTCGCCCTTTCCCCACCTAGTTGAGGTATCTTAAAGCTGATGAAATCTTCAACCTAAAGGTGTATCTTCTGGCCGAAATATTGAAGGCGGGTTTGCCATCCCATGCTCTCTTCAACATCATTCGCGAGACGAACCTCCAGCCCAAATGGTCCGACATTGCTTTGCCTCACGGTACGTGCACATCATTCCTCACCGCGGCGCCTTGCCGCCGTTTACCCAAACGCCCACTGGGCCATTATGGGCAATTCGAAATCAAGTTCGAAGGCGCAAATGTACAGTTGAACCACCTCACACTCCAATACTAACACGGGATGTTTCCCCTTTTGCAGGACGCTCTCTCCGATCAAGTCAAGTAACATACCATGAGATGAATGCGACGATACCACCATCGGATTTCCGCCAGCGCCCTCAGTTGCCCGCACCTATTATTTACCCTGGCCCTGATATACCAAAGAAGCGCGCGCATCAACCGGAGAGCACGACACCAATTGGCCGCCTCATCCAACCTCGACCGCCGCATTCATATCCTGGAGACTACGTCAGTGGGCCCGCCTACACAATATCCCCCGTAGGAGAGCCAGCGAACAAAAAGAAACGTGGACGACCGACAAAAGCAGAGGCGCAAGCAAGAGCAGATGCCGCTGCAGCGCGTGGAGAAATATACCCCCCGCCGAGAAAGGCGAGGCCGTCTGTAACGGCTACAGATACACCGCCTGTAGAGGCCCGTCACCCAGGGGAAATGACACCAGGACCAGGACCAGGAGCTATGAACACCCAGCCAACGGCAGTAATGACACCACAGCAAACCCAACCGCCTGAGCACAATCCGGATTCGTCTTCGGGGAAGAAAAAGCGCAACAAACCCACACCACTAGAGTTAGAAAAGCCGCGCAGGGAGCACACCGGAACGGAATCACCATTAGCATTTGGATCAGCAACTGGAGATGCGAATCGCACCCAAATATACTCGACTTACACCCCCATATCCGCACCACTACCGGCAGAACCCAGGGACCGTGATATCAGAATGGAAGGAGTTGAAGAATCACAACCTCGGACTACCACACCTCGCTCGTTTAAAGACACGGTCGGCATTTAAGGCATTCTTTTTGTCAGAAAAAAAAGCGCAAACGGCGGATTTTGTGTTTTGAAAGCGTTTTGAACGACTTTTTACGCAGTCATGATGACCCATTTTTGCCATGATACCACAATGGAACTTATGGAGGCAATGCTCTGCATTCTTTTACGCGTGGCATGCTGTCCATGAGCACCATCTTGCGCAATCAAGTTATTTCCTTTCCTCTTTGTTCCCTCATGCCAGAGCATCTGTATCTCAACACGCTCACTTTAAAAATTCTCTTGAAGTCTTTCTTTTGAAAATTCTCCTGTTCTATCATTACAATCCACGCTTTCTATATGAGAACGGGATGTGACGAGTCAACAGTCTAATGTCTTATTTCTATCTTGACGACTCCCAGAAACAATGTACTTGTGGACGGACGATCATTATATTGTGCTCACTTTCTTGCAACCATGTACGATACTATCGAGTTTCTTCATTACGTTTCACCGTTTTTAAGCTTCACTGTTTACGGCCTTGTACAAAAGTACCTACTAGCAGAATATACATAGCAACTTGGCATTTGACCATCGAAATGTAAAGATCTGCAGAACGGCAGCTCCCATGACAGAGATATCCTACCTTTCCCTTCCTGCGATGTTGTCAGATAGTCTGTGCTAAGGTTGCACAGTACCTGCACGTCAAAAAGTACATCTTTGGGTGCCAATCAATCCCTCAAAACCTTGTCTTACAAACGACAACCCCGCAGCTTCCTGCATGCAAACCAACAAGGCAGTTGACAAAATGTTGAGATCACTATTTTGGGGCCTTTGGGAGCAACACAGAACGGGTCTTGTTTCACCTTTGACTATGTACTCCGCACCACCATTCATGCTCTTTGTGCACATGACCTTGGACATGGGCACGTTCGCAGATCGTCCCCTGCAAAGCAAAATGAACCGTAAAAGTACCCCCTCACATCAAACCTTCCTGGTAGGTGCATGTGTCTGACATGTACGGAGCACTTAAGCGCCCCCCAAAAAGCCCCGGACATGGACAGCTAAATCTTCAAATATGGAAGAAGGCTCTTATCGTGGCCAAGATCGATCCATGATCTGTTTAGGAAAGGATGGCAGTATTGTCAAACTCGACGAGGCGCTTGCGGCTCACTCAATAACCCTACCTGTCCTTATATGGAATCAACTGGGCGGCAGGATGTACAAGCCCGCCTGCTTGCATGCAGACTCCGATCAGCTCCATCCTTCCTGCCCAACCAACTTAGCCTGTTGCAGTTGACGGCTAAAAGAGCTGTTTCTGTCCATATACACACAACTTTTCGACGGGAGAGGTGTCTAACATGGCTAAATTGTTGCAGCATGAGCCACTAGGGGGGGATTTTACTAGGTATTTCTGAGCAAGAGGAGGGCCAGGAGCTCACCAGAATGGGTGTTATGCTCGTTTGGTTACGCTGCAGACGTCAAGACCATTCGCGGATGGACCTTCATTTTGTCCTCCCCCAACTCAAGATCTCACATAGCGATATGCATCTGCCGGACCAAAGAACATCAATAGGTCGGGATCGCAGCATCCAGTACCCATAGCCGGCCTACGGAGCGAAGAAGCGCTGCAAAAGAGGCGAAAGGGCCAGTCTGATTAGCTGTCCACAGTAGGATGCGGCGCAATCACGCGAGCCTTCACGGCTCCCCCTCGTAGCTGGTCCGTTCCCACCTACTTTGATGCCCGTATACGCGTAAACTGATCGGTATTCAGGCACGATGGACCCGAACGGCGCATTGTATTGGTTCTTTAGGCTTTCCAGAAGCAATTCTGTTCGGAAACTTCAGCATCTGGTCGAACAAATCGGTATAAACTAGCGTGTCATATTCGTGTTCTCTACAGCACAATCTGCAGCCCCCGAGAGGAATCCTATCAAATCCCTGGCCCTCTCATTGCTTCTCTGAATTCGCCGGTGTGCGTCGCATAATTACTGCAAACATCATCGTGTCGTCCATCACGAATATCAAAGATCCCATACACGTAACCCTCCCAGTGGACATAATAAACGTAGAGTACCAAACACAAGTTCATGCTAAGTCGCAACTATACGCAAACCCAGGCAATAAGATCTCCCTCGTATCCCAATCTAAATCTCATCCCCCCCAACTTATGATAACCGCCATTCAATATGATCTCCATCCTGTGTAACCTCAAACCTTTCTTTTCTTTTTTCTTCATTCTCCAACCCCCGTCGTCAGTCTCCCCCCTTCCAAGGATTTTGCCCCAACTCCTAAGTGTGGGGCTTCCCCCCCTTTCGTATGAAGTTTCCTCTTCTTTGCTTTTTTCCTTCTATTCGCTTTCTGGAACAACGTACATTGCTTCCGTATCCCGAACGCCCCGCCAGCCCTCTCTGGTAAATCTTGATGGCGCCCTAAGGGAGCCACAATCCTCTCTCAAGCCTCGAATTGCACAACCGAGGTGAGATGTCGAAGCTCCAGGACCAGGCTTACATTCAGGGATTGAGGCATGCATCGAAAAGGGTACAAAGTACGCAGCTAGTCTAGGCGACGACGGTTCGCTGGATCGAGTCGTCACCTTTGTGTGAGGGTTTTTCTGAAACGCGGAAGCTCGGTGTGGTACAAAGTTGATCGAAGGCGATGTCTCTCTCTTCTATCTAGTATCAAGCTGGAACTACCACTAGGGCTAGACAGAGGGAATGTTACCGAGACCTAAGGCGCAGACGCGCCCTCGTGCGGAAATCGGCTAGCGTTGCGACTTGCTGCTGGTTCACTTGCGAGATGCTAAGGTTACACGGTATTCTTGTGGTCTTTGCTACTTTGGGTTGTTTGGGGAGGTCTTTGGGTGACGATTGTGTTTCAAGGTGAGATATGAGTTCGGAGTATAGGGAGGCACTTCGGGGTGTTGAAATTACTCGATCGAGGCACTACACAAGAGCATGTTTCGTCGAATCGGCGAATTTGGTGACCAGAATACCCGCAAGGTGGAAACGAACAGTGAGACTCGGTGTTATGGACGTCTTCTACTTCCGGTTATTAACAATCTGTTCCGGTCGTGCACAGTAAGTACTACACGAGAGAGGTCGCAGTTGGTGGAATACATGACCAACAACAGTGACATAATTGGACCATTTCATTGGGAGCGTTGGATTTATCCACCCCTGAGGATGCAAATATTAGATATAGTTACGAGAAAATGCCTACTTTGCTCCGCCATCAAAGCGTTGCTAGATCTTGGGCTAAACCTCCCATGCTCTATGCTTTTTCTCGGGATTTATATGATTCCAAGAATATATATAATGTGCAAAGGTTCTTAACAACCCTTACTTCTGTAAAACATCAACTATACCATCTTCTATAGCCAGTGTCATTGTCAGGATCCTCTTCGCAATCCTTGCAATACCAGTCCTCTCTTTCAGGAAGCGGTTCGCCATTTGGCTTCCATGCTTGGACCACACAGCTAATGTGGAAGGCATGACGTAAACAATACTGAAAATCGTCAGAGAAAATATCCGGAAGGAACCAAGGACATAACTTACTATGCTCTCACAATAGATGACAGGCTGTCTCTTGTGAACGTCAGCTTGTCTTCCGCAAAGACACTTGCCATGTTGACTTTTGACGCCGTTTTCAGGGATTATTGGGTCGGAAGAAGCATTATCATCCCCTGGAAGCATCTCGATGTCGCCCTCGTAGTCCAAGTTGCTAGACTTTCTCGTTCTTCTTCGCGGGCCATGATTCTGACGCACGTCTGTGGCTAATGTCATAGCAGCGTTGTGTATATGGCTTGTGATGATTTCGAGATCCCGGAGCTCCTGGATTAGAGTTGCGAAATCCCCAATCAATCCTTCCTTCTGCATCCAAGGCCCCTTGAAATGCGCGAAACGTATCAGCGTGTCTCTGAAATGTAGATCACTCTGGGGTCTCTCAGCCTGCAAATAGGCGTTCCAGCCTTTCAGGAAACGCTTTGCCGCTTCTGGGATATTGCGGTTACGAGTAATCTCGGCTTCTGTCTTCAGTCTTAGCCAGTCAGTGTCGATATCGTCTTCGCTCTCGGATATCTCTTCGTCTGTTTTTAGAATTCGCTTAGACCGTGATCTGAAGAATGTCGTTCCTGCTGGTGCTGGAGGCACCTTGTATTTCTTTTTGGATCTGACAGGCTTCATAAGAGTAGCCTTGAATTCTTGGCGATAGATGCTCGCTCTGCTAAAGTTGTTCGTGGCTTTCGATTGAGGTCGGGTCGTTTCCTTCGTCTCCTCTGTCGTGGAGACATTGGTGTCGCTCTCTGATTCGGACTCGGTCTCTGTCTCATATTCCCATTCAAACATTTCCTGCCTAGCTTGCTTTTGCCAACTGTCGTCACCATTCTCTAAGTAATCAGTTTGACTGAAGGGCCGTCTCGGGGCGAGGATGGGTAATGGTCGGTCTTCGCCATCGTCTTCTATAGCATCTCTCCTCGTAGCTTTAGTGTGTGCAGACTTGCACTGCCAGTATTGTGTCCCGTTGACCTCCTTTAATAGGCGCCAACTGTATTTGGAGGAGATGTGCACACAGTCTAAGTGTAACCTGAGGTCGTCGATGTGCCCGAACTCATAGCGCCCGCAAATTAGACACATCAGACTACGAAGAACAACCGTTCGGCCCCAATAGTCAAATGATAACTCGTATCTAGATCGAACATTTCTTGCAGGTGGACGAGTGAAAGAGAATGTAGAGTTTGCCGATTTTCTTGTTTGCATATAGTCCTCAAGGGTAGATTTCGCCCGTGATACCCATTTCAATTCCATTTGTAGGGCGAGACCTACAGACCGCAGCTCAAACCCAATACTGGAATGTGGGTCGGAAAACAGTGGGAGATTGGCAGACTGATAGATACTTCGTTTTGGTTGTGCTGGTCTCTTGACATCGTGCCACATCGCTTGCAGTCGTGAGGGCAACTCCATTTTGAGCAGAGGATACTCAAGATCAGCGAACTTCAGAAATGATTCCATATCACGATGCTCTGGATCCGAAAATCTTAATGTGGCTGTGATAGCATAGTGACCACCATCTCCAACAGTGATAAAAGGTTTCAGCTCCGCTCCGCGAACCCTTATACGTTCCCGCTGATTGATTATAATGCTTGTCACGCCCCCAAATAGTGTCACGTGCAACTGGGCCGCGATGGTTCGAAAATAGAATGGCCTTGCCGTGTAGGCCTGTCGTATGCTGACATCAATGTTGACATCAAATGCAAAACAGTTGGGAAGGGCACCTCGATTGTCAAATTTGCCCGAATTGATGGTTTTGACTGAAGATATTCCCTTCAGATTAATGTCCAGGTAACGCAGATGGTTGCTCTTATCATTGGTCCATGGGGGTTGGTGGAGTGGTGACGCATCCCATCTCGGTCTGGATGTGGATGTTCCCGACTGATTGCGATCCTGTAGCCCTTCTCCTGCTTGATGAGCTTTCAACGCCTGTTTCAGATTCCGATTCAAGAATGCAGGTCGGCGTTCATCACTGAGGATGCCGGAAGTGAGTATGCTCCCAGTGCCATCCGAGATGATCTTTGTTTGGCCCATATGGCTCCGTTGCTATCTGGAGATTGAAAGTAGAGTGAAAGTAAAGTTACTCCATACTCTCGATGAGTGTGGCAATCTTGATGTCGCAGAATAAGCAACAACTTCGCCAGTGAAATGTTCTTCGTTCTATTGAAGAAAAGACGCTTTCGGGGGCGCGAGATCCGAAAGTCGTTGGCCCGTTCACTATTACAGTCCGTGGATATGAGTCTCGGATGAAGCTGTCCCAGTGACTAGAAAGCTGAATAGCGGAGATTTCAGTAAAATGGATAGTGATATTCGCTTCAGATGTGTGATTACTGCGCCGCTTTGTTGCTACGATATGTGGTGGAGATATTGTTTTGAGACACTGGATGGGCGATGATTTTGCGCGGGAGACTGTGTGAGTGAAACCTCGTTGAGATGGAAGAAAGTTTATAGTAACAAAATAAAAGAAAGTGAGGGTGAAAGTGAGAGCGAAAGTGAAAGTGCAAGTGAAAGCGAAAATGGGATTGAAAGTGAGGCAACTACGGTAGGTACCCGTACCGTTACGGGTTGATGCTGATCAGCAATCACTGCATCAAACGGAAGCTTAAGCAATCAATCGCACCATTGCGGCAACTGAGAACTACGCGTAGTTATTACCATTGCACATCAACTTTCCTCACGGGACGTTTATTATTCTCGCGTCTGCATCTTTCAAAGAAGTAAATAATAGGGATGGTAAGTCTAGATTTGGTGGATCTGAGATGACTAATGAATCACGTGATAGTATTCCAAAATTGAGTTAGCGCACTCGAGTGTCGTCACTGATTCTCGCGGACTTTTCGCGGGGCGGCGACTTGCTCGGCAGACAATGACAAGACAGGCACTCATCGCAATGTATGCCTGCGATACGTGAGGTTTCTTGAGGGCCGGCACAACCTTCACCAACTTCAGAACATCGTTTGACCACTAGCACGCCTACACTCTATATCATACGATCGAGTCCACCAGTCCCCCGCTCCAAATTGCTCCCAATCTCCACGAATGCTTCCCCGACATGGCGATCACGCTTAAGCGGAAACGGGATGCTGTTTCCTATAAGGAACCTAGCAGTGATGAAGACTTCTCCGACGAGCCACAAAGCTCACACGCTCCTACGAGACAACGAACGACCCCAAGACGTACTAATACCCGCCAACATTCATCTGCTGCAGATGATGCCTCAGTCCGACCCTCTACAAGCAATCGCACTTCTCATGCTAGGTCCAGCGCGCCGAGATCAAAGAACGTAAACCTTCGGGGAAGGCAGAATATCAGCTATCGCGAATCAAGCTCTGACGATGACTGGGACGAGGATTATCAAGAGGAGGTAGAAGTAACAACTCCACGACGAGCACCACGTGTGCAACCCAAAGTTACTCCTCAGACAAACAGGACATCAAGGGAGATATCAAGAAACAAAGGAAGACAAAGGCGATCTCTTGGGGCTCCCTTGAAACGGAGACGCTGTAAGTCAGAGTAAAGTGTCGTATGGTCTTATCTAACGAGTTTATAGCACCCGAACAAGCCGTCGATGCGCCTCAAGCTGCCATCATTAGTGACGGAAATATTCCACCGTGGGCCACACTTCCTTATCATGTCCTCCTTCAAATATTTGTTTACGCTTCTCATCCCTTACACGACGAGAATTTTACACCTACCCCTTCTATTATATGGCTTGCACGCGCTGCTCGTATGTGCTCAGCTTTTACGAAGCCAGCTCTCACGGCCCTGTACCGCAACCCACCCATATTTGCCGTGAGACAAAATCGGAAGGATCTCGTCCATCGCATAAGCTCGAGTGTCTCCAAGATTCAACAGGACTATGCCGTCATGGTCAAAAGACTGGAACTGGACGCTACGAGGATGTCAAAACTGACTGATACTGCGAACAGTGTCAGTGACCTTGCTGCTTTGATAACTTCTTCCAAGACGCTGAAGGAAATTGACATTTTCGACCCTTTCGACAAGCCACCATACCGACCAAGATCCAGGCAGATCCGGCGTTGGTACTATCCTGAGGAGCTCTTCGAGGCTCTCCGCCAGAGCGAACTGCGATTGATGAGCTGGCGATGGAACAGCGCATATTGTGCGCATGGTCTTGTCTGGATCAAAGACATCCACAGTACAACCGCATTCCAAACACTTCGCGACATATCACTGACGAAATTTCACTCGGACTCCACGCCGAAGACCGAGGAAGACGGGGTCCCTAGTGCTGAAGAACTGCTTGGTACGGCGTTGGCTGCGCTTCCCGCTCTGAGATCTTTAACATTTGAGACTTGCAGTATTCTCAATGAACGACTATTGCCTCTGCTTCCGCACAGACTGAAGAGCCTGACCATCACCAACTGCAGGGACATATTTGCTGATCCACTTCAAGCCTTCCTCACGTCGCATGGTAGGGAATTAGAGGAGCTGATCCTGGACCACAATCAATGCTTAGACATGTCCTTCTTGGTCAATCTGAAGACTACCTGCCCGAAGCTCGAGGTGCTCAAGATGGACATGCACTATTACAACTCATTATCCACAACTTCGGACAATGAGCCTCTTTATGATCATCTCCTGGAGGAAGGGGAGATTCCTACCTGGCCTTCTACTCTGCAAGTTATCAACTTAGAGTTTCTCCGAAATTGGACACCGGTAGCGGCGATAGCTTTCTTCACTTCCTTGATTGAGGCAGCAGAAGATCTACCGTGGCTCCGGGAAATTGTCATTACAGCTATGGTCGACATTGACTGGCGCCAGAGGGCCAAGTTTCGGCGAAAATGGACAGCGCGCTTTCAGAATGTGTTTGCAAGAAGGGCAAAGCCACCCAGTCCGCACTTGGTATCTTTGCGAGCGTTCAGAGAGTGGAAAGCGGCCAGCCAAAAGAATTCGAACACGACTTCCGGTCAATCTGTTACACTGCATGAGGGACAGAAGCACGATCAAGCAGCTTTGGAAGGACCAGATAGTGATAGCGACGCTCCCTTAATCTCGTCAAGCAAGAACCCGTCCAATGAGAAATGGAACACAAGACGTTTACGAGATAGAGTAAAGTCGGATGAATCCGACGAGAGCGATGTTGACAGCGACGAGTCTGACGATGCGGGTGCAGATTACATACAAGGACTTTGTTACAAGGTGCTCTTTCGCATTGACAATTCCCGTCCTCAAGAGCAGATATATGATGAGGCAGACTTCCTTGACGACGAGGTTAGTGGAGACGAGGATTGGAATGGCAATGATACGGTAGAAGACACGTACGCCTGGTAATGGTTCTATGTTTCTTGGTACACCTAGGACAAGCTGTGGGAAACCTCGGAACACATACGCTCAATAATGATAATAATGATGTACGCTATTCGGAATGTAACGTCGCAAAAGCCGGGAGGTTCGGGCATTGACTAGGATGGCATGATACCACTCAGGACTTTATGACAAGTGATACTGATAATATAATTCTCTGTCCGACTTTGACATGCAGCAACAAATCGCCCTTATAAAGTTACGTTAATTCCTGCCTACAATTCCATGCTTTAGATTAGGCCATGCAGAGCGCGCGCACGGGGGGATGAAAGATGAGGATGCAGTTAATCCTATCAAAGCTGCAGCAGAATCACTAAGAAAAGCAACACAACAACAAGAGGCGTTGCGCCACGAAGACTCTTTACCTCAGCCACACTTTGCGTAGGTCTGAAGATGAATGAAGGTGTGTGTGCGCTCCGTACTGTGTATGTGCATCTCACAGCTGCGTCTTTATTGCGGTGGCCGGGGCTGTTCGCACGGCGGCGGGCGCAAGCAGGCCTCGTCCGCCGTCGTCATTAGGGTAGCACTACTCAGCCACCCTCCGTCTTGCCCAAATAACACCAACTTCACCACTCACACTCTCTCCAGTGCGCTCCCTGCGACCATATAAGCGCTCGTTCGATCTCGAGGACTCGAGACCTGCTACTCTTCCGGAAATTGTTCACCCTTTCTCTGGTCGCTAGTAACCTTGACTCTTCTCGTGCTCCCACCATAGCATCTGCCCCGCTGCCACCGACCACAAGAGCACTGAAGCGTGAACAACATCAACATGGCCGCACCACCCCAATCTCCTCCAGACTCAGGACCGACAGATCCAACTCTACCCAAGCTCCCAGCCGGATGGATAGCTCAATGGGATGCCAGGTACGTACTGTATTCTCTGGTGTCATTATGGCTACTCACTACCCCGCCACTCATCCCCATCCACTCTCTCCATATCTCGCTAACGATACGCCCAAATAGTTCCCAGAAATACTACTGTACGTCATACGCTTCTTACTATCGCGAACATTTAGGTCGTCGTCCTCATGGTTATCGAATCATAATTGACAATATTCAATAGATGTGCAAATCAGTAATGGCAAATCCCAGTGGGAGCTGCCCCGAGACGACGACATTGCGTCGAACGGAGGCTCGCACGCCGGCACACCTGCGCAGCCGACAAATCCTTACAACAGGCCTCATGATGGAACACAAGGCCCTGACTTTGGCGATGGCACACGGGGTGTGGATGGTCCATCCGGGGACCGTGGTCTCGGCGTATGTGTTTAGTCCAAGCCGTTGAGGTGGACGTTAATGAACTAATAACGAGATTAGAGTGTCGCAGTGAATGCGCTCTTGGGAGGAGGAAAGAAGAATGATAGTGGAGGCTCCAACAATCTGGTCGGACAACTAGCTGGATCATTCCTTGGAGGAGGCAAGCAATCACACGGTAGCAGCGGCCATGGAGGCAGTGGAGGATCCGGACTTGGGTCCCTCGCCAGCAGCTTGTTGAACAGTGGTGGCAAGCCATCCTCGCACGGAAACCAGCAGTCTTCTTCTGGGGGTCATAATAATTCCGGATCTGGAGGGCATGGTTCAGGCGGTCTGGGAGGGCTCCTCGGTAACGTACTGGGTGGATCATCTGTAAGTTATAGTCGACTCGGATTGTCCACCGGATATCTTGTATTGACCAGTTTGGCAGCACAACAAGCCATCCAACGATTACGGATACAGCCATAACAGCTCTTCAGGCTCTGGACAGAGCTATTCAGGACCTCCCCCACCCACATCTTACAATCCCTCTGGACAAAGTCAATCGCACAACCAACACGGCGGCGCACCAAACCAGAGCAGCTACACCTCCCCACCGCCGCAGCAGAATAACTCTTACGGCCAGAATCAATCTCAACAGAGCCATGGTGGGCAGCACGGTCAGAACTTCCCACCGCCACCTGGTTCGTACAACTCGCCTCAGCCAACACAACACCAATACAACCAATACGGGCCACCATCCTCGCACAATCAAGGCCAAAACCAAGGCCACAACCAAGGTCACAACCAAGGCCACAATCAAAGCTATGGTGGATCTCAGCAACACCAGCAGCCACCAAGTCAGTACGGCAACCAATCCCGCCCATACGGCAATGAAGCTGGCTATGGAGGTCCCGCCAACCAAAACCCTTCGTATGGCGGTGGTCCATACGGCGGCCATCCGAACTATGACAATCATCAGCACAACCAATACGGCGGTGCTCCTAACCCATACAACAACGGTCCTCCATCCCACCAACAAGGATATCATGGCGGACAAGGGGGACAAGGCGGACCACCACAGCCAGGCTGGTAGTAGATTGCGGTCGCTACAAGCTTGAAGGGACTAGGATTTATTCAAAGATTGAATCGCGAGAGAAGGCAGTCGTCCGTGGAAATTTTCCCAGGAATAGGAGAGGGCATCAGAAAGGGCATTTCTTGTGTTTAACTTTTTCCCCCATCATCTTATTCTTCTCACTTATTCTAGATTTTTTGGTAACTTTGATTATAATTGGGACCGTCACGAATCTTTATAATCGCGCGTGGGAGGGCGGGAGAGCAAGAGGCGATGGCGGGATCTTTGGAGCAAATTTTCCCGTTGCAATGACAATATACTTTTTCGTCAATCTTCTTTCGTCCTTTTTTCTTCGTCCTGTTTTCAAATTGCAACGTAGTGGAAGTGGTTCACATGGAAGCTCTGATATTGATGTGTAAAAGAAGCGATTTACGTGCCTTAATGACATTCATCTACTTTTCCTCGCTCTAAACAGAGTGCAAATCTCCTTACGCCTTGAATTTTTATAATTATCCCGCTTCTTCCATTTTCATCGGAAACTATACAAGTATTTCATCTGTCGTTCTGATACGAATTACCTTCTCATTCACGATCAGATTACCTCAGTAGTCACCTCGTTACTACATCCCGCCCATATTTCCTGTACGTATCCAAGAACAACGAAAATGAATGGGGAAGGAATTAAAAATCGAAACATTAAAATGAATACATGAGGGGAAAAGAGAAAAATAAGTTGAAATAGCAGTATTTGTATTTTGAAAAAATTATTCTTGTACTTGGTCTGCTTTAAATTGCGCCACATTCTATGTTCCCCTGGCTGAGGGAACAAAAACAATTTACTACCATCCATATTCACCAGCGAGCATGAGACTACATTACCCCCGTACTGCTTAGACATATATCAGGCCCACTATTCGAGCGAGTAAACAATGTGGCATTACAAAAGGCAGACACTACCACGGCCGGGCGAAACCCTTCCAAGCATGATATTAAGAATCCGACCGAAGACTACGACCTCCACGACCACTTTCATCGATACGGCGTGGACCAATGTAAGCATGCCATGTATTCACATTGAGAAATCACGATTATTCAAATGAGGCGAGGAGAGGACATCAGACGTATGTTTTGAATGAATATGTACCATTATCATGCATGCATGTATGCATGGGCAGGTAGGTAGGTAGGTAATCTTCCTAAAGACTATAACTAGATGGACCGTCGTCTCTCCATGTATGGTAATAAAACTATTGAGGTATCGAGGGGCTATGGCGTAGACCACCGGTCCAGATGAAAAGCAGAGGAATAGAATATATAAAGGAAAAGAGGAGGCCGTTTAAAAAAAATACTCTGCCGCCTCGTTTGGGGTATCGCCCTTTGCCCGCCAGCCAAAAAGATTCAAAGGAAAATGGAGAAAGAGGACCGGGATTTGCACCCGCCTAGGCGACTTCCACAGGGAGAAAAGAAAAATCCGTGGAGTCGTTCAGTATGGAAAAACAAAGTGAGTGGGACTGATGTAGGTCAATCAGCCCACTTCTCCACAACCCGGAGAGAGAGTAAACGCCATTTACTTAGGAAGATTACCCGTCGATCGCACTGGTCGGTGCAGGATAACGCCATGTAAAACTCAAAATACAGATAACCCCATTTGACTCAGTAAACCCAGTCCGCTATGCCGAATTTCGAGGTCGTTCATTGTACACGCAGGAATAATGATATGCTTTTTTATACTTCAGGCCTGTCGAGGCTGACGCGAAGCTTGTAGTCGACGCGTTCCTTTTCGCAGTATTCACCCAAGAACTTGATGCCGAATCTAACGGCCTGGATAGGTGTCGTGTCATTCTGAATCGGGAGGAAATATGGACCGGAGAGCTTGCCTCCTGGGAACTTTTCTGAATCCTTGGAGACATTGGCGATCGAATCCCTGTTTGCCCATGTCTTTGGGAAGTGTTTTTGGATGTCTTCGACAGGCAGCAACATCCTAGATTCCTGCGCGTAACGATTTAGTTTCATGAAGTGGTCGGCAAGCAAAGCGAAATTTTTGGAGAGAACGCTGTGCTGTTTGGATAGCTCATTCTGAGCAATATCCTGAGGAGAATCATGAGCTTCCGGCCGTGGAGCACGGGGCGCCATCTGGGAGCATATGGACGCAGCGATAGCAGTGCCAAGGTATAATCGTAGGCCATCAAGATAGGGTACATCATGGGTGAACCTCGTGAATGATGTACAGAGAGGCAGGAGGGTCTTCCAGGTGCCTTCGACATCACCCGCACGACCACGAAGATGGTTGGACCTGTCCTGCGCGGTGTACGCAGCCATGTAGGATATGATGCACTCGAGAGCGGTGATAGCCACACGCTTTTGGTCGTGTTTGTTTAGCTTCCCCCCAGCGTCGCTTACGATCTTCTGGGCCTCGTGTTTGAGTGCCCGACCCATCTGGTTGAGCTTCATCGATACTTGTGAGAGGATCTGGAAGTCGACCTTGCCCTTTCCGCTCGGAGGAGCCGAAGTCGGTGTTGTCTTCACGTCCAGGTGTTTAGCGTTTGTTGGTGTACCAGACCGACCTGGGGTCGAGTCGGTACCTTCGTTAGAGCCTGTACGAAGCAGATTGACGGCCCGGTGCTCCTTTCGAGGGGTTATGTATGGTGCCTTTTGTGCGCTGGACTTCGCTGATACGACCGGGGATGCCGTTGCGTGTTGCGGTGTGCTTGAGCCGTCTTGGACTGCCTGTGCCTTATGACGCTTGCTTGGTTCATTAGACGGAGGATCCAACTCGCTTCGTGGTCGTTTCCCAGCAACCTTCCCTGTTGCCGGACTACTTTTCGCCGATGAGACGGTGTTTTCAAGGCGGCGACTCGTAATCTTCGGATTTTCCTTGGGTTTTGTTGAAGACGGCTCGGCTGCAGTTGCTGTCGTTTTGGAGGGTCGTTCTTTCTCGGAAGTAACGGGTGCCTTCCTGGCTCGAGGGAGCCGTAGAAGCTGCGAAATTGTTGCCGCATGCCGCTTCCCATATTTGAGTTTCACGATGAGACTAGAAGCCGCACGAGTGCTCTGCGTGGCCGTAGGTACATTTGGAGACTTCGAATTCACCGATACGGATCTCACCCGTGGGCCCTTGGATCCTTCCTCACGCCTCTCAGGTCCACCATCAGGAACTGTCAACAGTTGACTCTTTGCAGAAGTTGAGGAGGCATTCGAATCTCCGCGTTTTCGTTGTGTTTCTAACCTATCCAACTCTACCTGGATATTTGAGGGAAGGGTCGGGGACAGGATGTCAGGGAGACCATAAGGATTGCTGACGGGTTGGTCGACCGGAGATAACAGAGGAGGAAGACCGTGTGGTGTAGAGTTGGAGGGTACGGATTTGTCCAAATCGGCCCTTGGTTCTGCAGAGCTTCGATTTGTTGCTTCGCGTGATGATTGGTGAAGGTCGTCGCGAGGACGTTTTGCGGGTTTCTCTGGTGGAAAACCTTCGGCTGCAGGCCTGTTGCGAGTTAGAAACATATGGTACAACCTGACCGGTACACAACTTACCGCTTGTGTGACCTTGAATCTTCGGGCTTCTGGGTGGACGATGGCGGTTTCTCGGTCTTCTTAAAGCCGTTGGACTGTGAAGGCACTTTGGCAGGAGGAAGGGTGGGCGAAACCTTCTTAGCACCCGGCGTGATAACTCCATTTGCCTGTTTGGACTTGTATGCAGAAAGACTGATCTTCTTCTTGGGCGCTTGCTGGGCTTGCTGTGATGTACTGGAAGCTTGCGATTTGGGTCGCTCGTGTTCTGCCTCCTCTTCCTCATCGGGTTGTAGCACAAAGCAGTCTACATATGGTTCGCGGAAATGAAAAGTACGGTATTGTAGGTGTTCTTCGTCGGGTCTGTAGAGGCGTCCCAATATCCAGGCGCGTGCCTCATGTTTGGAGTAATGATTGTAAGGATCAAGGGATGGCGTTGATAAGACGTAAGGCGCGCCGGGAATGATATTCTTTATACGCTGAAAAGCGCTATCGATCATGTCGAGATCATCGTTGTCGGCCTTGGATAGATCTTTGCGCTTCTTCTGCGACGTGGGAGCCTTTGCCTCCGCCGACTGATCCGTCTCAGCCATGCTGGTGGCCCTCGTCGACGATAGCTACCAGAGCTCAATCGGCGGATGTGGGGACTGATCAAGGGTAGGGAGCGTCCGATTATGGATAGAATCGTAGTGTACTTCGAGGTGGGTGGAGAACATGAAGAGGTTCAAAGGAGCGCACGCGAATCGGGAGAGGTGAGTGGGGAGGTGAAGTGATAGCTTGCGGTCGCGGTGAAGGCTCGAAACGAACGGTGGGCCCGCGGGCGAGTCGATTGTTGCGCGCGCAATTGATCTGTGAATAGCAGCACTATTAGCACAATACTCGAAGACCTGGTATTGTTGGGAGCGCTGGGAGAGAGCGCGGGCGCAGGTGGACTTCACTCACCGTGTCAAAGCCGCTGAGCGCGAGTGTTACCTCAGCCTATGGTTCGTAGTATAGGTGAAGCTGCGCGAGTACACCATTCCGGCCAGGCCCAGGACCGCGAACGAGGCGGAGGGAGCGGTGTGAGGACGAACAAACGCAGAGAGCCGGGACTGGCGATATCAGATGGTAGGATGGGGTTTGGTGTTGATGTTTGAATGAGCAACAGACGGTTTGCGTCAATGGGGCTCTTGGCATATGAGGTTGTTCCGATCATGCAGCCCTGTTCAACCCTCAACTCCAGCCCTCATTGGTCCAATCCTTGCCTATTATTGAATGCGCCTGGCCTAAGCTTTCCCTCCCAAACGTCGTTATTGTACTCGTACGGTGTCAGGTGTGCACAGTACAATATGTATCAGTCTCAGTTACCATAGGAGGTACCTTTTGCGTATTCATCATGTCTGTTCTTTCTATTGTCACCCTTTCTCCCCCAACAATAATAATTACTAACTACTGGCGTGCCACTAGATACTCTTTCCCTTAGCTATCTATACGTCCACACGTCTTCGCCTGAATATGGCATGGCCCCGCTCGCTCCACGTCGCGCGCGACATCGTCATCACGCTTATGGGCCGTGCCGCGTTCAAACCTCACGTCCCATTTCTCTCGAAGCGGGAGGTACCGCGACTATGAGCTTATCACCATAATTATTCTCCAGAACATCGACGAGATCAGAAGTACAGTATGAGGCTAGCAGTGAACGTACGCATGTACATTATAAGCTATTTCCGTGATTGCGTTGTTGAACAAAGACATCTTTTTGCTTTGATTTCATTGTGGTGGAACAAGTTCGCGTTTATTCAATCAGTGGTGATGAACTCATCCAGATCGTCTACGAAGGGTATATATGCGATTCTCATCATGATGGTGGACTCAGATATATCCGTCACCTATCCTAATAGTCGTTGTAGTGCGCCAATTCAAAGCTCATCCTCTGTTTCGTCCGAGTCCTCTGCGGGGGGAGCCTGGATTTTCGTGGCTTGTGTGCGTGTAGTAGGCCGGTGGAATGGTAGTTCGCGTATTGGAGGTGGAGCATCAGGTACAGAGGCATCCTTGGGAGACTGCCCTGATTTGGTACCTGATGTCTCAGCCTGCTGCCTACTTTGCGATACTGACGAGGCCGGCGCACCGCCATCATCTTGATTGTCATCATCATCTGTCTCGTCGTCTGTCACTCGATCGGGAGTGGACGCCTCAGGGATTGAGTCGTCATCCTGCTCTGATTCTTCTTCTCCTTCCTCTTTCTTCACCTCGTCGACCTCCATACGGTCGCTAGCTTCCTCTTCCTCTTCCTCGGCAACAGGAGTCTTCGCCGGCGCCTTTCGTTTCGACTCACGAGATGCACCGGCTTTACGGGGCTTTGTCTCTTGTCTAGCAGCCTTGACTGCTGTGGCTGATATCCGCGTCAGTTGTGACACTCGGCCCGGAGAAGTGGCACTATAATGATGGACTCACCTGCCTCCTTATCCACCTTTGCACCAGCCAGCAACCGATTCTGGTCTCTGATCTTCCTCTTCTTCTCATTGAGCAGCTGCATGAACTGCTGCAACATGGCTGTTTCTGATTCATTCTTCGCCTTGATGAAGTCCTTCAACTGGGCCGTCAGCTGATCTATCACCTCCTGCTTGTTTCTGAGTTCGGCTTTCATTCGCGTGATTTCCTCCAGTGCTTGCCCATGTGACTGTGCAGCCGTCTGCGCCCACTCGAACGGCGCTATTTCCTCCTCTTCATTGAGCTCCAGCGAGATTTCCCCAAGGATCACCTGCTCATGGGTTAGTGGGGGGCGAACGGAAGGGCCAACCTCCGGTAGGAGGAGATATTGCTAACCTTGATACCCTGGACGTCCTTGTGGATAGTGATCTCCAGCTTCTCCGCCTTGATGGTGTACGCAACGCGGACGTCATCTAGGACCTTTGCCTGGTCGCCTTCAGGCTGTTTCTGGAGCAAGAAGTAGGAGAGCAAGGTTTCCCAGTCTTGGTCGCTGCCCTTGAAGTTATGTTTCTTGAGCTTGCCAATATCACGGTGTCGGACTGTGAGGTATAATTGTCAGAAAGAGGGGTAAATGTAGATGGTACGGTAGGATAACAAGTTTTTCTTTTGGTTTGGTATAGTCCATCTTGATATTGGGGCTCAATCTTACTATCTGTAACGTATCCACTCTCTCCCTCGCACCCGACCAGGCGCAGATCGAGTGGGTGCTTGCCTTTAATTGGCGTCACCTCGATGAGCACGACCGGATCAGCGTCGGTAGTTCCGGGGATGGGAATGATGTGACTGCTCGCCATGGCGTACGACTACCAAGGCTTGTAACGCGTCTGTCAAAAATGAATATAAATAAAGAGAAAGCAGGCAGGGTAACGGAGCGACCTTGGGAAAAACCTGCTGAATCAGGTAATTAGGAGCCAATGAAGCGATGGCGCTGGATGAGAAACCTTGGGAGTGGACGTAGTGGTGAGCACAGCGGGATGGGGTGTGATACGAGAATCCTTGGGATGGTGTGGAGGTTATGAGTAGGGTGATGCTTGTAAAGAAGGTAAGACGAGGATGGTGTTCTGGATGATGGATGTGGAAGATGATGAGGCAATCTCCCGAGCGTTTCAAGTGATATGATGGAGGAAGGAGGGGAGTCCGCCACTAGGTGAGGGGAGTAGGACGTCGAGGAAGATTTATAAATTGAATTGTTTTTTGACTGTTAAGGAAGAAGAGAATGGATAGTAGTAAATGGTAGAGAGCAGTGTGGGTGTTGATGTGTTGATCCTGTGATGTTGCCTTGAAGGCAGCACAACTACGGAGTAGGTTAGGTACCTACGTGCCTACCTACTGTGGTACGGTACCGTACCTACGGCAGGCTGGTACCTGTTTTGCAGTGTGGCGCCCGCCGTTTGTGGCAGCCCTCTAGGCGCAGCAGAGACCCTGGAGAGCAATCATGGTGAGGATTGATGATCTCAAACAACAAAACTCCGTAGATAGTAATAATAATAGTACTACGGAGTAATAACGATAACAATTATCTACATATAATAATTTCCACAACAGGGAAGAAACCATGTCCTTGTTGTGTAGGTAAAACCGCCTACTGTGAGTGTCTGTGTGTACGGAGTACTCCTTACATGCCGTTCCATAGGTAGTAGGCCACTAGGAGGGTGCGATACAATAACAAACACACGGACACACTACAGATCACTTTTCGCGCACCGAACGCATCATATGCGCGTCTGGTCTGGTAAGAGCAGTAAGAGCAGTAAGAAAGGAAGAAGGGCAAGCAGGGTTCAGGTCACCTACTGTCCCGTGGGTACGACAGTGGTCGAGCAGCTTTGACCGCTTCTCGCTTGGTCTCTCACACGGCCAACACCCACCCAGTAGGGGCCAGTACTAGATGGGTACTAGGGCACAACCACCAAGTCACCCAGCGCTGGCTCTGCCGCCTCTGCCCTTCCCGCCAAGTCGCGCCAGCTATTCGGCCACATTCAAGGGCCCCAAACCAACCAACCTCCTCCCAACCTCAACCCATCCCACCGCAAATCTGCAACAATCCATCCATCCATCAACCCACAACGGAAAACACACAATTACCACCTCTCGCCCGCGGCGCGCTGCCATGTCTACAACCAAAGGCAGCTTCGCGCAGCGCATGGCCTCCATGGCCTCCACCATCGAAAACTGGGACGACGACGTCGACTTCCAAGGCGATCTTTTCGCACACTCCATCGGCACCGTACCCTCTCTCTCCTCTCGCGTCTCCGTTCGCTCCGAATCCAACACCGGCGACGACGACTGGCAAGTCCTAATCACACCCAACGATGAGCTCTCCACCAGGAACGCAATCTCCTCTGCAAAGCAGGCCGGCATCCCCATCCCCACGAGTGTGCCCTCGTCTGCCCTTCTTGGCGGATCCATTAAGCGACTGGGAAAGAAGAAATCGAATCGCAAGATTGCCGTCGACGACGACTGGGGCAACGACCTCGAACTGCCATCCATCGGCTCCCAAGGACTGAAGCTCAAAGTGCCCGTGCCGCACACTCCCGCAGAAGACCATGATGATTTTGACGACTGGGGCGAAGGAAGCTTGGGCATCCGGTTTGCAGGAACGAGGCGAGATACTCGTGGCGGCCGAAGTTCGTCTGTCTCTGCCATGAGCCCGAGTCTAGGTAGCTGCATGACCCTCGAAAGCGAAGACGACGATCTGGTCGGGCTTGTGCTCCCGACCGAACCGCTCGACTTCAACGCCCGCCTCGAGAAACTCAAGAAAACAGACCATGTTACACCTGATGTTTCGCCGCTTCCAGCCCAGCAAAAGCGCGATCCCCCTCCCACATCGGCACCTGCTCTCCCACTGGCACTGGATCTTCCCTCATCGCCAGGATTTGACATCTCCTCGTCACCTCTCCCTCCTGCTGGTTACACGCCACCTCATCTCGAGAACTCACCCATTCCCAAATCCAAACCCAAGCCTGCGGACGATGACGAAGACTTTCTTGAAGGTCTTGATTTTGGCGTGGAGGAACCCATTGACACTAAGAAGCTCACTCTCAATCGCAATCTCGTCATTAAGAAGCAAGCATCGAAACCAGTTGCTCCACCAGCTGCTCGACCTGCGACAACCATAACATTCACCGACAAGCCTTCTGCCTCACGTATTCCCAGGCCACTACCTTCTTCCAGTCGCACGCGCCTCACCCCAGTCTATGAGTCTGGTGCATCGAATTTGGGGCCTTCTGTGGGCCTCAACCGACCCATGCCAACAACAACTAGCGCGCAGCTCCTTCGAGCCAAGCGATCGGCTCCTGCGCTTCGTAATAGCCATGCCTCTGTTGCTCGTCCTCCTGTACCTTTCCTACCTGCCGGAAGCTCCAACTCCCAATCGCATCACGTTATGGCCAAGAACTCGCAGACGCATCTTCGTCGCGATTCGGACCCGCGCAGACCCCAATCCCCATCAATGCGATCATACTCGCGCATGTCAAGTACGAACCCCCAGGACACGCCTAGTCGGGCAGGTATGCGGAGGGATGCAGTATCGACTTCTAATCTGCGGGAAGGCGCGATGAGACGCAAGAACAACAAGAGCATTACAATGGCACCCAGGAAGTTATACGGTGATGGGATGGAGCTGGAAGTGTTTGACGACCTCCCGACATCTGCGACCAAAGAAAAGCAATTCGAAAAAGTACCGAAACCTGTCTCGAGCAATAGGAGCCTGCGACACCTGCCGAGCGTCTCAAAGTTGCCCATGCCTGATCGCATCACTACACCATTACCCCAGACCCCCCGATCCCCCACGAAGATGGAGAGCACTCCGCGATTTGCTCGTGATACGGCTGCAAGTCGCATTGCGCGTGAGCAGCGTCTAGCAGGAACTCGTTCACGTGGTGAAGGACCCATTGCACCCACGCAAACGAATTGGAAGGCACAAGTTGCCGCACGAAGTCCCCATGCTAGCCCAACGGCGCATCGAAAGAGAGGAACTGGACAGAAACCGCAATTGATCTCAGGCCTGTCCATGCCTTTCGCAAAGAGTGAGTAATCATATCCCAGCCTAGACCCACAGAATGACTGACAACCCGTGTAGAGGAGAAAGGCATGACCTACAATCCAACATTACAACGTTGGGAAGGCAACGAGGAAGCTCTTGTTTCCTTTGCTCACCCAAATACTTCTACTACCACATTGGCGTTGACCACTGCGAGCACACCAACCTTTGCCCCTCCCAATCATCCCTTCGCTCACACCCATGACCGCTCGCATTCGATCTCGCACACTGCGTTATCTAATATTCACGCTGCGCAGAAGAGCTTCTCCTCGCGTGTGGCCAAGATGGCCCCAGTTCCTACGCCATCGCCGCCGCGTCCTGCATTGATATCCCAGATCTCCCAGCCGCGAGGTGTGCAAATTCAGAACGGAATGCAGTTCGATCCAGTCAAGATGAAATGGATGAAAGCTCCACGGAGGTCGAATGCCGACTCACTCTCCCCGTCCGTGGCTGACGAGGAAGAAGAGGAAGATCCCTTCGCCGGTCTTGAGGATCTCAAGGACAGCAACGACAACGCCAACTTCGGCGGTAGCCAGATCGGTGGCATGTCCGGGGGTGAGACTGGCGGAATCCCCAAGCTTGATGAAGCTTTCGTCGGGGAGGAATTCGACCTTGGCCCCAGTTTCATCCGAAGACAACGAGAAGAGGAGAATAATTGGAGGAAGCGGACAGAAGGTTGGGTTGGTGTCGTCCGTGACAGTGGTGAGCGCAAACCCGACGGCTACAGATGGTCGATTCGACATCTGGCAGCATTGGCGTCGGCGGAAGCCTCGAGAAGATACTGAAATCAGCCGATTTCTGTACTTCTCAATGAGCACATGACCTTTATGACCGCATCAATATGGCGCTTCTCGGGCATTGACCAAAAAGCACATGGGCGTTTTCTATTATGGTTGCTTTTGCTTTAATGAAAGATATCCTCTGAGTGTAATGTCGGGCGCCAGGTTTGGATGATAACTGGCGCCTCACTCTTATGACGGATTTATGAGTTGACGATCTCTTTACTATTCTTTCTGGCATGACGAGACATGGGCTCACACGATGCTCTAGCACGTCGCACTTTAGCATTTAGAGCGACCATCATGAGGTTTCTGGTCTAGAACAGATGACTTGCATAATAATGGTTTGATGATTATTTCTCTTCTACTATCGGCGTTTTGGGGTGTGACCTTTCTACTATTTTGCTGATGATACTTGCTAATCGTAATTACAGAAGGTGTTGATATATCTGTCTCTTCTTTGTTAGGTGTAGTTTTGTGTTTCTTATTGATGTATGCCTAATGTATAATCGATAACTTAGCTGCCTGGTTGCCGCGAATGGTGGGGCTCGGTGGGGGGCGATTTGTTAATCGGACAGGACCCTTTCTCGACATTTCACCCACCAATCTCATAACCAACTTGTGCTACAACATGTCGCGCTCAACAGACCCAGGACACTTCTTCCAGACGACGTAAATTCTATCTATTGAATCTAATTTGGAACACAAATCTGACTGCCCCTAGTACCTCCATCGAGGAGTCTGCTCGCAAGGCCACGAAATCCAAAAACACTCGAGGCAACCCCGTTAAGCTCCCTTCCAAAATCCTCGCGATTGTCCGCGACCCGAAGCACGATGGCTCCGTATACGTTGCAGAAGCAGCTGGCAGCGTAAAGCAAATCAATATTGAAGTCGGTTAGAGCGTTTGTGCCACCCCTGGTACCCCAATTCCTCCCTCTTCGCCTTCCGTTTTTCAAAATATCGTCAGTTGCTAACGCGAACCGTTTCCTACAGTCTGGTAGCATCTCTGCAACCTTCTCCGGTCCTACCGCCCCCCTCACCTCGCTCGCCGTTTCCTCCAAGCTCGATACCGTTTTCGCTGGCTGCTGGGACAAGTCCATTTGGGCATGGTCGCTGGCTAAGAAGGCCGCTCCACGTCGATTTCAGGGACATACCGACTTTGTCAAAGCTGTGGAGATCATTACTGTCGAAGGTAAGGAACTCCTTGTATCTGGATCGTCGGACACAACCATCATAGTTTGGGACATAGAGACAGGGAAACAGCTGCACAAGCTCAAAGGTCATTCAAGAGGGATCCTTGCGCTGGCTATCGAGCCCCAGACTATTGAGACGGCTGAACCGTTAGGAAAAGCTGTGACTTTGCTCAGCGCTGGGACCGACAGGGAGATCCGCCGCTGGAAAATTGAGCTCGGCAAAGCGACAGAAGTCGACTTGAATGCAGATGCTCCCGGTCCGTTGATATCGCACGAGACGAGCATAGACTCCATCCGGTTCGACGCCGATGGAGACCTATGGACCGCGTCTGCGGACAAGACCGCCAAGTGCCTCGATCAGAATCACAATTGGGAGGCGAACACGACGCTCGAGCATCCGGACTTCGTTCGCGACGTTGTTGTAGATGAAGAGGGAGGTTGGGTCGTCACTGCTTGTCGGGACGAGGAAGTTCGGGTCTGGGAAAAAAGCAGCGGGAAGCTACACCATGTTTTTTCTGGACACTTCGAAGAGGTCACTGGATTGGTGCTGCTTCCGGGCCAGAAGGTCGTGAGCGTCGGAATCGATGCCACAGTACGGCAATGGAGCCTGAAGGCTGCTGATTTGGCGAAAGCTATCCAGGATGCAGCAGATGAAGAAGCTGGGAAGGAGAAGGAAGAGCCCAAGAAGGAAAGCCTGATGACGGAAGAAGAGGAAAGGGAGTTGGCGGATTTGTTGGAAGAGAGCGAATGATATTGATTGAAGCTTCAACTACACAAGACGGGCAGAGCGTTGCCGCTAAATAGAAACCCAAATACCATGATCATATCCACCTGCAGCATCGCAACACTATAGTACTATATTTATCACATCCTGCTTGACCTATGTAGTTATGTAGTTCACATGGATGTTCTCCAACTGGTATGAAGCTTATGTCTAGATTGAATGCTACACATCCGCCAACAAATGTAGCTCTAATCGCGCTTTCCGCGCCCCGCAAGATACGCGATAGTGTCTCGATACCGCGAACCCATCTGTAGGTCTGGAAATAGCACTGGGCGGATCGTTTGTGTGACGAATGCATGATAGGGAACTTGAAATGAAAATGCAAGGAACGCTGGACTGTGTGACTGGATAGTGCATATTCGGGATGGGCCGAGTCCTCGCGTTTACTTTGCTATCTGTTGTCCGCACTACGTAGCTGTCCTGGTTCGCCTGGCTCTGCATGCTGTAGGCTGTATGTATCTTCACATGACAAATGATTCTCCTCTGGCCAGATGGTCCCCAATGATGATTGGTCCCTGGTATTGCAGTGGATTAGACGTGTCTTTTCATTATTATTGTACAACAAATTACTGCCCACGCCGTACGAGTAAGACGTAGGACGAGTGGCAGTCGGACAGGACACGCGATAGTCTGAGAGGGCTGACGTGGTTGGGCTATGGTACTTGCCTGCCCTCTGCCCTCTGCCCTATGCCCTACTTGCCTGCTTGCCTGCTTGGCGTGTTTTGTCCCAGTGACTCTGACGCGCTTTGACTCGCCTCGCCTCTCTCACTCACCCACGCTCCGTCCCCGGGCCCCCCCATCGGATTCTTACCCCGCCGCCGCGGCCCGCCCGAAGTGGACTACTTAAGACGTCCATTCCCCATCCAACATTCCTCTCTCTTCCACCGCCAGCCCCCGCTTCGCCAGCCCCGAGTCCTCCGTCGTCCTACCTCCGTACGTGCTACGCAACTTACGGCGTTTACGTTTACGTTTACGAATGTAATCCTCGATCGAGAGGTTTACAGGGAACAGGTTACGTACCTTAGTACCACCTATGGGGATCATCATCTTCTGGATGTGATCAATGAGATATTGCACTTGACGTGCCCCGCAGCGAATACGGTCGTGTTTTGACGCGTTTTTACCCGTCGTGTACCTACCTACCGCATTTACGAATTGGATTTTTTCCGGACGTACTTCGTCCAATGAGACTAACGGTCTCAGAACGATCCCGAGTAGAGGATATCCTCCCCATCCAGCTGTGTCAATCTTTTTGAGCTGAGAGCTGAGCTTACCACGCTGAGCAGACCACTGGTTGGTAGAAGCCTACAGATATTGAGCACTTCACTTCATGTGTTGGTTGCTCTGACAGACTGCAAAGTCCTTGGCTTAAAATACTCGGGATTGAGCGAAGCTCTTGTTGTGTCTCCCGGGTTATCCCGTTGTCTCAGGCATGTGGGCCGAGAGAATTTACTATTGGTAGTTCTGGCCAATAGTTGCGATTGAAGGATGGGTCGCAAATGCGTCACATTCTATATGTCCTCAGCTATTCAGGCTGTTGGCATTTTTAACCTTCTTCCGCGCGTATGCAGCGGTCGAAGGTTCTCGTTGGGGCCTCTAGACGTCTACAGTAGGGGACCAACCCCCGATTCAGGAATAGGAGTCTGTGGAGTCTCGTCCTGTGCGGACTTGCGTGGAATACAAGTTCGACAGCTATGGGATTTCTGCGGTCACACTTTTCCGAAGAAAGAAGCCAACAGATATTGGGAGTGCCTCTGCCTGCAAGCACTTTCTGACAGATCATTTTTGATCCGTGGCATGTTTTACTGAGATGCACCTACTGGCCATTGTTTCCATTAAGGGTTTGTTCCCTAGTCGGCCATTTGGCTGGCGGCCACTCCTGTGAACAACGTTGTGGTTTTCTTTGGTTAGTACATGTTCGCAAATTTTGTGAAGTGGAAAGCCCCCTTTTGGCCCATTTTAGGATGGCTATTTCAATTGACAGTTTGGCTGTCGACATCATGATCTACTCCGCACATGAGGATATTTAAGAATTTATTTATAAACATTTCATGTTTGTATTGTTGGATCTCAGGACGGCGCCAATTAACGGACAATCTATGGACCTCGGTGGTCGACGAAACTGTGGGCTCTCGGTCGTAAATACAGTATAGGGAAATGGATTGGGGTCGTTCCTTTTTCCTTCGAACGGCCCGGCAATCGCAAGAGGAGGATGGGCGGTAGAAGTCGGACTCTTGCGCCTCCACGTTGGTGCCGCCTGGATAGTCTTGAGATCTCGAGATGAACCAAATGCAAGAGACGCGCCTGTAAGCTATGCCACGATTCGTAATGACTGCTATGCTATGCTTTGAGACGCACTCGACGACCTTCGAGGGTTGAAATGCATATGAGGGAAAGACCTTGGTTGACTCGAAGTCTTATCACAGAGGGAAGACGGGGTAGGATAGAACTACAGTGGGTAACTAGATGAATTCACAATGCACAATGCAAAATTTGTTGTCTAGAGCCATGTGTTTTCATAAGATTATGTTGGGGCCAGGTGAATCTACATTGTAAATGATGTCCATTTTACATTATGTGCACAGACATGCAAGGCCATTGCGTCAGAGAACAGTGAATTAGATGCAAGTTGTACGGTTGTATTTCACCTGGAGTGCACGTACCATGGCACATATGCACATATATAAAGACTGATATTTCCACGTACAGATCCAGACTCACACACAACCCACGCTCATCCACAACTATATACTATACTCACAACACCTCATGGCTTGCACCGACGATCGCTCTGCTACATGAGCAACCTCTACCGGTCATGCCATGACAACAAAGCCCTGCCCACAATTGGTATCCTCAGACACCCAAGCACGATAGGACAAAGCTCGCTCTTCCGAAGGAAGAGTTGAAAGATCTTCGATGATTGCTGGATCCTCGAGTCTATTCAATCGGATTCATGAATCCGATTCTGCAATTAGATCCAAGATCCAAAATGAGATCGAAAGGTTTCCAGAATTCAGGTATCAGGCCGAATTTCTGATCCGGACCATTCCCCATATGAGTCCGGAGGACAGGAGACTCCTCATTACCATCCATCTGCAGACACAAGAGCAAATGAACAATGGCGACTACTCAGTCGGCCACGTCCTTGTAATGGAGAGAGAGGAGACTCCACATTACCATCCATCTGCAGCCACAAGCGCAAATGGACAACGGCGACTACTCAGTCGGCCACGTCCTATGGAGGAGCGGGACCGCGCCTACGTACTGGCAACAGGCGACCTTAGCAAAGATATCCAAATATGGCCTGCTATCTTCAGAATAGAACCGATTCGAAAACCGACGTTTCGAAACGAACAAAGTTTGCTCAAGAGATATCAACTGTTGTCTCTTACTCACATCATGGCGTCGCGTCGCAATGATCGCGCCACGCCACAGACACTCCGCCGTAGTGCCCGTATTGCGGCCAGCACACCCGCGAATGTGTCTCTCCGTTTCTCCTTGGAGTCCGTTCGCGTCCCCGGCCGGTCATAGCACAATGTAGCTCTCAGAGCTCGTCCATGGAGAGCTGCAATCAGCTCATTGATCACTCAGATCTCATTCTGAGTACAATAGCTATCATCAACAGCTACAATCAGCCTATGATCTTTCCGAGCTTCTGAGTACAGAAGCTCTCATCGACAGCTACGATCAGCTGATTGATCCCTCAGAAACCACGACACCAGATTCGTGGATCTATTTAGAGATCGGAGCGAAGCTATGACGTGGATCCAAGATGAGCTCCCCCACCCATATGAACGAAAAGAAGGTATTCAAAATGCCATCGATTTCCAAAACCGACGTCGCTATCATGCTACATGTTGTTGCATTAGTAGTGCTATGCAACGAACAATACCAGCAACAACAGTACCATCAACAGCTGAACCATCAACGCCAGAAACAACAATAATATGAGCAGGTGGACCAGCAGTAGCAGTAGGAGCAGAAACGATACCCAAAGCGACGAAATATCTGCTCCTACACACAGATATATACGCGCCAAAACTTGACTATTCATCACATCACCGCAACGACTTGATGAAACAACGATGAAGCAGCCTGCCGCAACTTGGGAACAAACCTGCCAGAACCATATTCCGAAGGCCTTGGATGAGTATGTGAAACAGATTCATTGCCACTCCAGCTCCAAGAGCAAGGAAAAATTCGGCAATAACGATAGTCACAAAGACCACTCAAAATATATACAACCGCCACCACTACCACAACATGTCGAAGACTGATCAAAGAATATATACGTATACACCCGCATCATCAACACCAATACCATGATGCCAAAGATCCGAGAATTTTGTCGGCAAGTCCAAAAATATATCCACAGCGATGAGAAATCTTCGGTAGAGAGAAAACCCCCAAACTTTATTTTCTGAGCTTACAATAGCGATGGTGCCAAGCTGTACTTTGGATAGTCTCATGGCAGAGAAATCCGTGGCGCAGTTACTTGGGAAGACTATATGCATTGCCAGTTCAGAGGCTGGGGACTTCTATCGACAAGTGCAAACATACGTCGATAGCAAGGACAAGGCCTCGGGCAAGGGCAAGAAAGACATGGAGGGTTGAGAACTTTGGTCAGATCAGCAGTTCTATGATCATCGTGGCTTGCAGGATGACAATGATGCACGAGCTGCAGTTGCCGATTCCTATATACGGAAGTGCAAGAATATAATAACTGTGCGAACGGTTAAGAATTCCGATAAGTGGAATTCGATGAAGAGTGCGAGACAGCATTCGAATTCTTATTGGAGATCCCGGTTCGATGAAATGATGGACCTTGAGTGTCCGACGCCTTCACCTGCAGAGGGTCATCTCGAAGATATGGAATCCATCGAAGATCCGGAATACATCAAAAACATAGAGGAGTATCTAGCTAGAATCGATGAAACCTGAGGACGTTGATGAGTACATGGCCCAGTACGATAAAGTTAAGGATATTGATCCATCTCACCAAGGAAGACAAGCCAGAGCCCCCCCACGCGAGCGGTTGGAAAGTCTGAGAAGTGGAAGAGGCGATGAAGAATGGTGCGAGACAGCATGCAGATTCATACATAAATAGAGCGCGACGGGATCTTGATAGCGGGACCAATCACGCGAGCAGTTGACGACAATGTCATCTACTCTTGGATGTAAACATATACTCGGGCCCTTGCGGTTCTTCGAAGTGTAACGCATGGGTTTAAGCCTCTGTAATATTCGAAGAACCGCAAGGGCCCGAGTATATGTTTACATCCAAGAGTAGGATTAATCACATCATTAGAACCCCGCTTCATATATAGAAATGAAAAACATTCAAACAATAAATGACCACTCACATGATGTATGCACATATGTACCACCATAAACATGACTACGATCACCAATATGATTCACACATGGATACACTTATAAATACTGTGGCGTATAGATGCCTTTATATTAGGGGGCATTACATGCATGACCCGCAATCGGTGAAAAACTAAGATATATAGATATTTACCACTGTTGATGGGCCTGCGGAGGAGGTAGGTGGATGATGCCTCAATGTCCTCGGCTGCCCTGATCTATTTATCTCTGCTCTGCCAAGTGCCCTTTCTTCTTCCACATGATCCCTCAATCGCCTCACTCATACTGCTATACCACAATACATAGGCACTTCAAGGATCATTGCATCAAATTATCAACACGAACAAGACATACACAAGAACGTACTCACACGATGTGTATACAATGATTTATAAATACAAATGAAAAGACATCATCGTCTACATGAACTTGCAAAGCTATCATGCATATACACTTGGAAGGCTATCATATCACATAACAATAACAAAAGACCGCTGGGTATGAAACGAAAACTAATATCAAGTCTGTCGAAAAACTATCTTTGCCTCAACCTCCATATAAAAGACCTTCCAATCGATGTGACAAACCTGCCTTCATTATACTCAAGGGAACAAACAAACAAACTATTGCCCGAGTCTAAACTTTCTTCCAATCTGTGGTCATCATCGTGGTCGTCGTTATCGTCGCAACATTGCTAGGCATATGTTGCGGTATGGGAGGGAGTCAACACCAAAATGCCAGATGTGTGCATTTGGATCCTGTCTAATAGATATCTGCCATGGTTGCATCGCGGCCCACGAAACAAGTCTCCGTATCATCGAAGCGAAGAGTGTTGATGGGGCCGAGATCGACACATGCTTGGACAGTCCTCTTCTTCATGGACGGAGCGGATGGTTTCCACCAGGCAGATAATGCTGCTGATGTCGCTTGAATGTGTTTGTAGGAGCGACGGGCAGCGGAGGTGCCGTATGTATAGGATGTGGGACGGCGGGGCCCGTTCGTGAGGGTTGGATGTTGGGTGTTCGGGTCCGTGGGGCGAGTAACAATAAGCTCGTACCGCTTGGTAGCGCGAGCGCTCATCGATGGAGCAGTGGTGTTGGCTGCTGCGCTCCATTTCCGTTCGAGGTCGCTGTGGGAGGTCTTTTGCTGTGGTTTGGGCTGTTTTCTAACAGCCTTGGCTTCCGGACGATGGGACCATTGGAGCTCTTCGGATAGAGCCGCTGTGAGGGCCGACTGGTCTACTGGGACATTGTACTCGAAGCGTGGCTTGCTGGAGGCTTTGGTATGATACCTGGGCTGTGGGGGAACAGGATCGACATTGACCCAGTCATCGAGGTCTTTGGCTCTCGCTTCGATCGCTTCTGCCTTTTCAAGGTACATGTCGATATCCTCCGGCTCTTCTTCTTCGAGGACAAGATCATCACCCTTAGCTTTATCGTATTGGGCCATGTACTCATCGATGTCCTCAGGTTCATCGATTCTAGCTAGATACTCCTCCATGTCCTCCAAGTCTTCGAGATCCTCGATATGACTCTCTGTGAGGGTGGGCGTGGAGTACTCAAGTGCATCGAGGAAAACGTCATCTACTCCTTCTTCGTTCTCTTCTGGGAGCAGATCGATGTCTTTGGGTTCATCTGCTTCGAGGTGCACGTCGATTCCTACATGATGGTACTCTGGAATGCAGAGCTCATCTGCATCTGGGAGAAGATCGATAAACCCATGCACGAGTGGGTGGTAGCCGGCTGTCTCAGCCATCGCAGCTGGGGCCGACGAAGGGAGGACTGTAGCGAAGTTGAAAGGCCTTGGTGCCCAGGCCCAGTTTGCCTTCAACACCTGGCAAATGGTTGAGAAGAATTTTGGGAACATCGTTTTGAGTGTTAGAATAATTTGATGTTAGATTTATCTCAGTGAAACACTTACTGTTACTGAGGTGTCGTGGTTGGGTGTTGTTAGTGGATGCAAGAGGGTCGAGTTGTCTGGTTGAATCTTGGTGGTCAAACAATGTCGAGTTGTAGTTGAACAAATTGTAGCTGAAATTGAATGAAGTCAAGTTGTAGTTGAACGAGCTTGAGTTGCAGTTGTGCCTTCGAAAGAGGGTGCTGGAAAAGAGAGGTGGTACCAGTGGGAAAAGGTTCCTAAGTAGTAGACAATTGCCGTGACAGTCACTTGCGGTGGGCGACGGCAGCATACTGAACGGCGGGTTCCTACTGGCCAATCGGGCAAGGAGATGGCAAAGTGAATATGAATGTTGACGGCAACCTAGCTCTCTTTTCACTCTTCTCAACGCACAGACTCTATTCTGCTTCCTGCATGCACTGAGGTTAAACTCTTGGCGAAGTTCCCGGTGAAAGACTCTGCTGATTTGCTGATGGTGTCCTTGGGCTTGCTGGTGCCGGTGATAGTGTCCTCAGTTGTTCAATTATAGCTATACATTTAAGTTAGCAAACGGACATTCCGCGAGGAGAGTAGATACTAACCTTCAAATCCCTTGTAGCGCTGTAAGTTGAGTTCCTTTTCCTCATTCTCAGTTTTCAAACGATCGCACATGTCCTCCAGATTCTTGTGGCTGTCAGATAGAGATCTTCCCTGCGATTGCAAACGATCCCGCTCTGACTCTAACTGGAGGATAGTAGCTTTTTGTTCATTACTCCGTGTTAATAGTTGACTGAAGGCCGTGTTCTCCGAAGTGACTTTCCCTTCAAGTTCAGTTATCTTTGCGTTCTTCAGATTGAGTTCCTTAGAATGACTCTCGACAAGAAGTTTCCTCTTGTCTGCGTGCTGGACGAAAAATGCGGCACGACGATCCGCATCCTCACGTAAGTGGTCATTCTCTTTCTCGAATTCGGCTTTCTCATTGACGACGCGACTATACTCTGCAGCAAGCATTTCTTGCTCCTTGATCTGCTCTTCCTTTTGCCGCTGGCCATCAAAATAGAGCCTCTTCACATTCCTGTACTTTGTCACCAATGTCGCATGCTCGGCTTTCAAGCTCTCGAGCTCCGCCAAATGCTGCTTCCCAGAGGCATCCTCGGAGACCTTCTCGATCCAGTCTTGCAGTATCACACTTTCGGCTGGAGAGAGTCGACGCCCCAAGGTTGGTGGAAGGCTATACTTTGATGCTGTACGTGAGAGTGGAGTATCAACAATCGTGTCAGCATCTGATGACGTCTCCGACTGTTCTACGAGGGTTCCAAGGGCCACGCTGCTTCGAGATTGGGCCAACGCACGCCGGTAGGCCTGTGAGTTAACGACCACATCGTCGAAAATGAAATTGGTCGAAGTCGCAGCGGAGTCCACGGAGTAGAGACTGGCCACATCGTCAAATGCATTTTCGAAGATAGATCTTGGTGCTTTGACTTGAGCATTTGCATTCCTGAATTGACCTAGGCGCTGTGCAGCATTTTGCATTGTGCCCATGTTTGCTTGGATGAGGGTTCTGATCTCATGAATGGAGCTCCTGCAATCAATTAGTCGCCGTAGTATTGCTTATCATGATACAGGCTGTGGCGCCCCTGGACAATCTCCCATCTGGCAAATGATACGTACATCTGGAGTGCTTGTATCAACAGGCTTAATCCGGCTTGTTGCCCTCGAATTTGCATGAGCACATCTTTCATCGCTTCTTCCTTCCAGAGAAATTTCATTCTGCCCATCGCTCCTGCAACTCCCTCTTGGCGGATTCCCTCGTACAGTCGCCTGATTTCTTCATCTAGAACGGAATACACAAGCACGCATCCCGTCAACGCCTGGTCGAAAGTCGCCTCAAGCTGGGGTTGTTCTTGTAAAGTCGTTCGCAGAGCCTCCGGATTTCTTGTGCAAAGTCCTTGGATATGTGCTAAAGAAGTTGATAGAACATTGGTCTCGCTGTAGATTGCTGTAATGGTCATGGATGCATCCTTGTACTTCTCTCGTAACTCGTAGAGTGCGCGTGCCGAAGTAATACAACGAGCGGAGATGCCCAGGACCGTAGACGTGATTGTAAGTGGATCCATGGCCGATAGTCACTTTAGGGGAATCACCAGGAAGCAAATGCAGAGTAACGAAACGACAGTCACAGAGTCGCGCAAGAAGGCTGAAGCGGGGGAATATAGACGTTCTGTAGTGATCCGCTTTTCAGCTCAGCCCGCACCAAGCTTTCCGAGTCAATCCAGAACCGCCCCAAGCGAGCCTTAGGCTATGCTGTGAGGCGCTGTGGCTGCGCAACTTTGCGTACGCATCCTCTCCTCAGGGTGCTCGTGATGATGCTATGAGGCCTATGATATTAAGGAAATGGCACCAGCCTTTCTTAAATACTTCTTCAAGTTTTGCTTTTAGAGACTTTGTAGATGGCTGTGCGAAATACTGGTAGTCGCGAATGACTTCACGCGACCCGTCGCGGCGAACCCTTAGAGGCAGGCTGGCACGGCTGGATAGCTGGATGGTTTGATCTGCAGTGTGACGAATCCGTTCTAGTCGGTGTGTACCATTGATGATCGGCTAGATACCTTCCTTTGCTAGAAATATCAAACGTTCTGGCCTGGCCATCAAAGATTGTTACATGTATACCTACCCTTGTAACATTTCTTAATCGTACGTCGCTCAGGAGGTGCTCAGTTACTCAGGCCCCCAGCACAGAGTCCTGCTAATTGGTGGTGCACAACAGCTTCTTAGACCAACTGTTATACAGCCTTGCCATTAGTTATTCTGAACGTTACTGTGACTACATTCGGTTTTGAGCTATTAGCTAGGGATGCTCAGCAAGTGCGTAGCGAATATAATTATCGGAAAGATCTTGCATTTTCTGCAACTAGGGGACTTCAGCAAAAGTATAAGGCCGCACAATGATGAATGAATCAAACGTTATCGCTCAGGGTTTAATGGTGACGGTTCTGGCTCTTTCTTCCGCAACGAATATGGCTTGTACTAGATCATCGAAGATACTCACTATAATTTAATGAAAATCTTCGAGGTGATTCTGCCAGGAACCAGATCATCAGATCAGATATGTGCGAGCTGTCGTGATCTGCATGTTCCCCGACATGGATATGTTGACTCCATAGAAGAGTTTGAGCGTACGAATATCATCAATATCCTGACAACACGCGCTACGACAGCAAGCTGAGTATAAATGGCTGCTGCAAGTGATTGGGAAGGCAAATTTCATTTAGGTCATTGGTCACTTGGTCTCTGCGGACCAGTTATCTGGGCGGGGACGCGGACCCTTTCAAGCGCTGCCAGAGCTTTACCTGAAGCAACTTTACTTCGTGTGCTCGCCTTCTCATCCCGAGCTGGCTATTCACTTGATTACTTCAGTACCGGGAATATCTTTCACTGTGTGCTTTCTCTACTATCTTTACTCCCCACACTCTCCTCCTTTTGTACCATAAACCCACACTCACACTCACGATTATGACTAGCCGTGATCTTCACGGCACGCAAATGGACTACACAACTGATACGGACAATGGCGCAGCACAGCAAGTCAACCAGGGAGCTCTAAATGACTCCTTGATGTCTGGGTTGCCCGGCCCGACCTTGACTGAGAATAGGCTTTCATTTTTTAAGTATGTCTGGTCTTGGAAGCATGATAAACAGCATATGCAATGGTTCAGGGCACGCGGCGTTGCAAAGGGTATGAGCGACCCTATCATCAACGAACCTTATTGGGACCACCCTACGATCCCGTTCCCTTCAGAATATATGCGACCTACAACGTCTTCATTCATTTCACCTCAAATGAGCGGAGCAAATGCCATCACCACGGCTTCGTCAGAGTCGCTCATGGCGGGCGCCTCCACCGAACAGCGAGCCGCAGAAGAAGACGATTTCACCAATTCTGAAAGTGGTGCCTCAGATGATACAGTTCCAACGGAAATAGGTCACATATCTAGGCCTCATGACGACGAGGGCGCGGGCTCTTTCACCTGGGGACGCCATAAGCCTCAGGGTGGACACACGCCACAAGCGGAATTTCCGACCAGACACATGCAGCCATCCGGGATGCAATCTTTCTACGACGCTCAAGGCGCAAGGCAACCGCCTCCAGATCCTAAGAGCGGCGGAAGTCTGGATACCAGTAACTCTCAGCCAGATATCATCACGTTGAGCGATCTTCTACGGTTGGAACAATCAGATACACGACATGATGTATCAGCATCTGACAACGATATCTCTTCAACGGTCGCATTCAGTACTGCATCTGTGGCTCAGAGTGACACTGGCACTTTCACCTCCCCCAATGACAGCCAGATGTTTGATGCTAATGATGCCACCCAACTGACGAAAGATGAGATAGCCGATACAAATCCAAGAAATCGCTCTTCTGCGGTTTTGAAGGGAAAGAAGACTATGGACCAGGTGGCAGGTACTAAGATGAGCCACAGCCAGAAGCTTGCTGCAGCGCGTCGGGCTAAGAAGGGGCATCATTGCAACATCACGCCTCCCAAATTGGATGACGAAAAGACCTCCGGATCCGCGTCTCGGCGTAAAAAGTCTGCGAAAGACAGAGGGTCTACCATGCCTAATGAAGAAGTACAGCCAACCCATGTGACCTCGAAAGTTGTTTCAGATGCGGTGGAGAAGCTTCTTCTGATTGTGAATGATCAGAATAAGGACGAAAGTGAACGACTGGAGGCTCGGTGTCAGCTACAATTGCTCTTGAATGTAGCCTTGAATATGGTTGGTACTCAGCATGAAAGAGAACAGGCATCTGAAGCCTTGGTGAGGACTTTGGCATTAGCCGACGATCTTCAATCGGATAGCGCCTGCGTTGTCATATGAATGAGCTATTTCTCACTCTTTCTCTCTCTAGGACACCCCAGCCAAACCTGACTCCGAACGCGATGAAGGACCCGACGAGTCTGTTGAGCTCGTGGAGCCTGGTGAACACGACAATACCAATGGCGCACAAACATCCGTCCCAGTCAGTGCAACTCGAAGAAAACAAGGGGGAATATCCAAAATAAGAAGGCAAAACGGCCGAAAATGGGCGAGGAGTGAGATATAACTCATGGTGAAGGGGACGGCTTGGATGAATCGAGCGAGCGACGTATATCCGCGGGCACCAAATAGCGAACAACTTGGGGTTCAGTATGCAACACTGTTGTTGCTACAAACGAATCGATACCCTAGGGGTTTGATTGAAGCGATACTCAGGAGACGTGTCAGTGTTGGCGTTCATTTCCTATTCCACAATATGGATGCAAGGGTGGGTTTGCGACCGTTGGGAATGGTTGGGAGGTTGGCTTACAGTCAATTCGAAGGCATCACATTCTCTCTATAAGGTCATTGAAATTCAGTAGCTCGAACCATATTACAGAGTAATTCAATTTGACATTGTTTGTGATGTGGATGGCCGACCTCATTCTGTACTACTTGTCCTCCACTAATTATTCTATGTAGCCATGAGATCGTGTCATTTTTATCGTACCGCCGAGAGTAAGCCCAGTACATCCCTTCCTTGTGCTACTGGGCGTCTGAAGTCGTAGTTAGAATCTGGTAGAAAGGCAAGGCTTCCCAACTAACGTCGTCGGCGGCGCTTGTTGCCCGGTTGCGCGATCACGCGAGAACCTAGACTTCCACCAGCTTGGAAGATGAAGGGGATTCCCGCCTGTGAGCCATCTGCCTGCGGGACCTGGAGCGCAGGGGATGAATTTCCATCAGAGGTTACAGAAGTGTCCGGAGTATTGACAGGCATTGCATCAGACCCCGTTTCTGTGTGAGATTGCGTCGCCATCGAAGCCTCCTGCTCGTTACTAGGCATCCTGATTTCGAAACCTTGCGCCGTGCCAAAGAGCCTCTCACGAGCTTCTACCACCTGTCGTATCTCCGGGAACCATCCAAATCGTGAACCGTACACCAGCTGCCGTACGTCGTCACTCATCCTCCCGAGGGATTGTGAATGGACCAGCTGCCATGCCATTATCTGCACATAAGCTTCTGCGTAGAGCGGGCGATACCGAGATCCAGAGGTTTCGGGCCTGCTTCCAAATGTAATCCAGATCCACCATACTTGCTCCGCCAGCAATTCGACCCTCTCGTACAGAGACCACATACCAGCAAGCAGGCGATCAGCATCTTCCCGCATGCCGAAATGAGTCAGTATGACATGTAGATGGATATAGGACAAGGGGTTATCTTCGAGCTGGATATCGGGAGTCGTGTTGTTCATCCTAGCATTTACCAGAGAGCAGACAACGTTTCGAAGCATGTCTTCATCGAGACCAGTGGAGGGAATTACGATGGCCTGATCGTGGATGTAGTTCCTCAGTTCTGGCGCACCTTCAAAGAGGTATTTCGCTGGCGCAAAGCAAACCACACCAGGATTGATAGTAGATGGGGGGTCGAGGCCCTTTCCTTTCACCATGATTGGAACCAAGTCTTCATCCTGGAGGCTCCTAGTAGCCTGTGCACCGGCGACGGAGGACATTTCGAAAAGTGGGTGGTAGATGGAGGCTATTCGTAATCAAGGCGTTGGCTGGAGGTTGGTCGTGATGTGTGTCAATATGTTGTAGCTGATGCGGAAGCTATCATGACAGGTAATAACAGAGCTTGGGGCTTATATAAGGGGAAGATAGGACGTAGAACTTACTTGGTATTGTGTATTCACGATGGGCTAGTCTCCTAGAGTTACGATTTTTTCCGTAATAAGGTGAAAGAGGCTGGTGCGCAGACGCGTGTTTGGTAGTATGTTATTCACTTTTGCATACCGACAACGTGGTAAAGGTGAAAGTGAAAGTGATTTGGCGAAGAACCGACCGCACACTGGCCATAACAGGGAAGTTGAGAAATAACCCAATTGTGATTCCATCACCTCATTTATTGGCTTCAAGATGTCGGCTATGATTGAGTTTCCACCATCGGCGAAGCCTTTACCCACAAACCTCACCTCCCCGCCATATGTGATATTTGGTATCCTCAATGAAGATGTATCTTCCAGGTTGCCTGAAGATATCCCGTTGGCTCTAGTACTTCACTATGCACCCAAACTCGAAAAATGGATCCTCCCACCTCGACCGCACGCCGAACTCCCGTACAAAATAGCTTGCGCTGCAATTCTGAAACCGCGTATCGGAATCAACATCACAGAACCGATCAGCATCCGAGCGCTGAGCTACCTCGTAAACCGAATGCTCGAAAAGGTCGGCCTATTTCGCCAGATTGATGCATATAGCATACGCCCTCACCTTCTCATGGGTTGCGAAATCTTCCACGCCTGGAACACACTGGAGCTTCCGTCGCCAGGTATAGAGCCTCTTATTTCCCATATGCTTGGGCGTCTTATGCTGGGGTCTGCGGTCGATCTGCTCGAGTGCCAGACAATCTGGCATATATTTCCATCTAATTCACCAGTCATTCGCGAGCTGGTTCAGAATTATCAGCGAGGCCACGATGAGTTTGCGTATGGGATGAGTGAATATGGGAGGATACATAAATGGATAAGTCTAGATCCAGATCGAATGAAGGCTTTCGGTGTGGTGCATCAAAACACACGGGTGGTGCTCCACAGACCGTTGGAAGGATCCTCAGTCATGGCAGATGGGAAACTCGTGGGATTAGGTGCAACAGGTTCGATGGAAAAGCGAACAGTCGGTGAGATCCTGGAACGCAATAAGACGCTAAAAGTCACGATGGGGGAAAGGAAGGAGCGTCATAGGCGTGATTCGGTTTCTCTACAGTCAAGGCTTAGTCGACTGAGGACTGCAAACTCACGTCTGTTAGGAGATCAAGATCATATCAATCCCTATAGCTCGAAAGAAGTCAGATCCTGCGGATCGTCAAGTGCGGGGAGCTCTCAGTCCATTGATGCCGAACGTAAACGTCTGTTGACGAGAAGCTCATATGGAAGTGAACGCATATCGAAAGCTGTCGATGCTGTTGACTTATCGGAAGCTTTGAAGAGATTCAAAATGAGCGAAGACCAGTAGAAATGTACATTATTATACCATGGAGCGAGAATCCTCACTTGATTGGTGCTAAGATCTCAGTGCCATCTGTTCACATGGCTTTTTGCTTAAACGCCATTCTTTGATCTCTGTTGATCGCAACCTACAATTATTATAAACCTACTTGAAATGCATGTCAATATCTAGAAGTTGCATGATCCCGTGTCACATAAATTGGCCGATGACACCAGTGCAGATCATCTTATTCGGCAAACAACTTCGGGATAATTGAGAGGACTAATAGTGTTTTTCGCTATAGAGCAGAGCTTAAATAAAACACACTTGTTTTTACTTTGACGATGAGGGCAAATTTGAGTCGCACCTTTAAGGTATCTTCTTTATGATTCATCCCAAAGATGGGAATGATAGCGATCTAATAAAAATAAACAATAGTAATAGAGATATCCAATGGCATGCGCACCGCCACTCCCACAAAAATCACACATTATGGTTAGGAATTGGATGACAAGTACCCGAGACCTGCGAATTCTCATGTCTGCTCTTCAGTCTTTCTAGAGCGAGGAAGAAGCCCCTTCAGCCTTTCTTTGAATGTACGATCCTCCGAGATCTGGTACATTGGTTTGTGCTCCTCATGGGGGTCGTGGTCATTCTCATAGTCCACATGTACATAAGCTCTCTCGACGTCTGCAAGACCTAGACACATTCAGTCAATACAAAGGAGCCCACATGAATCATGGTAAATAGCCTACCTTCAAGTTTACGTTGTAATGTCTGGCTAACGTCATGGGTGATTTTTAAAGGAGCGTCTTCATCCATGACAATATCAACTTCGACATAATAATTCTGACCAGCATGATATGCTCGGCACTATACCAGGTCAGCGTCTACGAAGATATAAATGGGGAGACTTGAAACACTTACAGTATCGACTTTCCGAATGCGGGTATCGTGTGTCACAGTTAGATAGATGAGCTTAGATATAAACTCCTTAGGTGCTCCCTTGCCAACAAGCAGCCAAACATGTTCGAATGCATTTGCAGCCCATGAAACCAAGATCAAGAGACCGATTAGAATGGCTCCAATAGGATCGACGTACCAAACGATACGCGAGCCAATGACAGACATCATCAGACCAAACGAGTTGACAGCGATGTCATTGCGGTGGTCGATAAAGAACACATGAACAGCTGGGTAACGGCGGAGGAGGAAACAGTAGATGCAAAGGGTTGCTTTGCAGAAGACTGGGCAAAGTCAATGAGCCTGGCCGACAAGGCGCGGAAATTGATACTTACTTGCAATAGACACGAATATGATCGGAACAATATGAAGCTCTTCGGACTCATCAGGTCCGCCGCCAAGTGCTCGGCCTGATTCGATCTTGGGTTTTTTCATTAATCTTGGGTTTTCTTGGGTGCCAAGGGGCCGAGAATACTTACAATCAACTGTATGGCCACAGTAGTCATCAAGCAGCAGAACATGATGATGCCAATCGTTTCAATACGCGTCCTGCCAACAGGGTACTTGTAGACGCTCGGCCTTGAGGCCATACGGCTTGTCACAAGCATGACTACCGATGACACCAGATCCATGAACGCATCCGCTGCAGTAGCGAACAGTGACAGGGAACCTGTGGATATGGCCGCATACAATTGGATAACAAATAGACAAAAGTTTACAACAAAGGATGCGTTCACAGCAAACTTTACTTTTGGGCCATTTTCAAGAGTGTCAAGGGCTGCTAGCCGCTCCTCGTCACCACTTTGAAGAAATTGATCTATCATAGCATTTTGTCGGTTATAGAACTTCTTCATGTGGCGAGGCTTTGCCAAAGGATGATCAGCCTTCATTTGGCTTTGAGTAACATTAGTGTGTCGATGACGCCCAAGATTAAGAGGGTCATCTGTGGCTGTTGTAGCAGAGTTGATTTCCACAATCTGTTGCAGCTTTGGCTCCTGGGCATCGCTGCTACTATTACTGGACTGCAGATTGATTGCATCTGTGTTCTCTTGGCCTGTAGTTGATGCTTCGGAATGATTCGACAAGGCCTTGGGCGGTGACGAACCGGCATTGGCTGGAGTGGTTGTTTCTCCGATACCTTGGCCCGCCGGAGGGGATGAGGCTAAGAATATCTGTCAGAGCAAGATGACCCAGGAGACGGAGTATGATACTGACGACGAGATCCGGGAGACATGTTGTCCGACTATACACGTAGTAATGAGGCGTCGATCGCAGATGGGAATGCCTGGGGTGAAAAGATACAGAAGAGCAGTATAGGGACCAGCAGTTTTAAACAGCATCCAGCGGCAAAAAACAAGTCGGGCTTGCAGAGCCGCTAGGAAGCTTGAACGTCGCGCGTGTGCTCTTAGCAGCCATATTGTGGCTGGAATTTCGTGCAAATCACTATAGTATGCTGGGGATTCAACTAGAACAACCTATGATGTTGTCGCGGAATTCGAAACCGCACCCTGCACGCGCGGAGCCTCTCCGCGTTATCATGAGCAAGAGGAGCCGACATGCTTGGCAGACGCAGTCTCCAAAGAATGAAAGGGTGCATACATGCAGGCAGACGGTATGGGGCAAAGGAGGATGGATGAGCGATTCATGATTACAATAATAGGGGAGAGATGAAAACATTCTACAACTGGACGAAACGGAACTCCGTACTAGCATGATGTGAAAGTTAGCATGTGTCTATGTGTGAGATTCAACAATTCTGGGACGTCCGTCTGGGGTAGTTCACAGTAGTCACGTCACGATGGTTACGATAGTTTGTTCGTGATAGTGGGTAAGAACAACGTTTAAGAAGTCATGGAAAGTGGAGAGTGGATGAAGTAGTGAACGTTGGAAGATCTACAACCACGGGGACTTATGATGGAGAGTGCGAGTAAGCTTTTGCCGGATCGTCTTGATTGGGTATAGACTAGAGCTTATTGAGCACTAGCGTCGGCTAACTGGACCCACTTTGCCCTGGACCCTCCAGGATCTACAGACCCTTCGTTGATGAAAGACTGCATACGAGCCTAATGGGGCACATCTATCGCACAAGGGACAAGTGATTTCACAATTCATTAACAGATGAGGCTGGTGGCTGGGGGCCAGGGACATCCGTCGAGAATACTCCGCGAGTCCACTCGTACTAATTGTAAAAGCCCCGAAGTCCCTGTAACCCGCCTCGCCTCCTGCGAAACGATCCATTCCACTTGCGGGCGTCTCCCCCCTTCCGTTCATGTCCCATCATCAACCCCGTCCCATTTCAGCCAAGAGCATCCTGTACCTTACCACTCCAGGCTATTGTATCGGATCCAGTGACCGCCGCCTTGGCCTTTCATGTCACACTCTTCATCCCGCTCCTCATTGGATCCCCGGATTTGAGTTCAGTCTCCCTCGAACTGGAACTGCTCCAGACTGTTCCCTCCGAAAACACAGAGCGCATCAATAGCACATGCTATTACGACCATTTTCGTCCCCCAGCCCCACCGCTCCGAGACTCCTCTTGAGCCGCATCGTGCTCCTTCTGATCGACGTGGATTGTAGCTAGATTCAATATTTTCCTTTTGCCAATCTTGCCAATGTTGTCATCCCCGCCCTGACAATCTTGATAGTAATGCTTCTCCCTATGCTGGCGGGTCCTAGCTCGTCTCTGCTGGCCAGCCCTCAAAGAAATGTTTGAGTCTCCGCGCTCTGTGACAACCCTATGGAGGTCCGGAGGCTGAGGCAGGGAATGTTCGTTGAAGCATCGCTACGTTGCTTCTGATCCTAGATGTTCTAAATATCCCGCCGATCATCCAGGCGCAGTTAGCGTATTCCCCACGCAATAACGTCCTTAAAGTGGACAGCATTGCCCGGCGCCGAGTCTAGAGTTCCATCGTGTGTACTCACGTCGTGTTTCTTCTCTTCGTACACTCTCTGGAAGAGACCCATTTTGTTGTTTTCCTTTTCCTTCTTTCCTTCCCTTCTGTTCTTTCGTCGCAGGCCGACAGTGTTGCTTCCTGTTCGTTGTAGGTTTTCTGCTAAGAGGAGGAACTGTTTTACGACTTCGATTTTCGTCATCGTTTTTGTTATTTACACTATAATTTCGAGACTTCGAAATGGCCGACGAGAAACCCCAATGTGGCAGTGGCGCAGATGCTGCCGAGTATGACTTTCCCCTGCACGTGGGAGCAGTGTGTAAGTCAACCACGGCTGCGTCCTAGGTACCTATCAGAAGCTGACAATCATAGTCATCGTGCTCATTGCTAGTATCTTCGGTGCTGGTTTCCCAGTTGTAGCCAAGAAAGTGAAGTGGATGAAGATCCCACCGAAGATCTTCTTCTTCTGCAAGCATTTCGGTACTGGTGTTTTGATAGCGACAGCCTTTGTTCATGTAAGAAGAAGACGTCTGCTTCATCCTATGCGATTGCGCTTACAGTGTACAGCTTCTACCTACGGCCTTTGCATCCCTCAACCACCCATGCCTGCCAGACCTTTTCATTGAGGATTACCCAGCTTTGCCCGGTGTGATTATGATGGGTGCTCTTTTCGTCTTGTTCGTTGTGGAGATGTGGCTCAATGCTAAGACCGGTGGACACAGCCATGGCAGTGCCGACGGCCACGAATTCAACGGCCAAGCAGCAGCACCCGGAATCCAGGACGCCTTCAATAACCCAATTCGACGCGTCGACAGCTATGACTCGCAGAAGACAATGGTGCGTGAGGAGAAGAAAGGATGGGTTGAACAGTCCTATCCTGTCGACAACTTCCCTTTCCCCAGCCAACAAGATGATCTGGAGCCAAAGTCCGAGATGCCCCCTTGGTTCATTGTATTCTACGAACAGTACATCCGCCAACGCGACGAGATGTTGGCCACAATCAACCGTGCTGTGCCTGCCGTCCCGGGTTTCTCGCAACAGCAGCAGTCTCAACAGAATGTGAACCAACAAACATCGTACTTCGAAGATGATGTGGAGAACCAAGTCGTGGACCCCATTGCTTTAAAGAGGCAGTCAATGCAGATTACCTTGATCGAGGGTGGAATTCTCTTCCATTCCGTCTTTGTCGGCATGACCATCTCTATCACTTCCGAGGGCTTCATCATCCTCTTGATTGCCATTGTCTTCCACCAAATGTTCGAGGGTCTCGGTCTGGGCTCGCGTATCGCTGCCGTTCCCTACCCTAACGGTAGCTGGAAGCCATGGGCGCTCGTTGTTGCTTTTGGCACCACTGCCCCCATTGGACAGGCTATCGGTCTTGCTTCTCGCGGAAGCTACGACCCAGAGAGCGCTTTTGGTCTGATCATTGTCGGAGTATTCAATGCCATATCCTCTGGTCTTTTGATCTACGCCGCCCTCGTCGATCTACTTGCTGAGGATTTCCTTTCCGAAGAGGCCAACCACACCCTGACAGGTCGCGACAAGACTAGGGCATTCATCTACGTGCTCCTGGGTGCTGCTGGTATGTCGATCGTCGGTGCTTTCGCTTAAAGTGCCTTAGTTTGCTTTTTGCCTGCTCTTCCAAAGACGAATCAACGTTTCTAGGTTGCCTTGCTATGCTATGCTACGATGATGCAATACACGTTACAGCCTTCGACCCCCCCTTACCAGCCTCCGCTGCAGCGATCGTCGTCCGCAAAGTGTTCAGCCGCGTTAAATCTCGACATGGCCAAAGCACCGGACGGACTTCCAGATCTCTGCTGGACTTTCACAATTTTTCTTATGTCAACATTTACATTGTATCAGCCTCCAATCAGCGGATTGGGTAAGGCTTAGTCATGGAGGAAGCATCTCTCGGAGTCGAGACATGCACGTGTATAACTACGGATCTTCAAGGGGACATCTTACAATCGGTTCGTGTTTAAAGCTTCTTTCCCTTTTTTGCCTGTCTTTTTTTTCGCGTTTGGGACAAATATAAAAACTTAGAAAGTCTAAAATGGGGCAACCAGTCTTTCTTTTCTAATGTCATGTATTCCGTTGCCTATCAATCGCTTTATACCACTATCATTATTATTTACTGGCTCTTGGGAGGATAACAAGCGCCCATGGGACACATGGTCTGGGGAGGGGGGCCTATAGATTGGGGACATCATGATATATAGAAACAGTGCGCTCGCTCAGAAAGTCCATTGAAGACTCTGCAGCTCAAATGAAAACACTCATTCAGGCAGATCCTGATCAAAACTCCATTTTGTCGTTGATCGTGAATTCTCTGTTGAAGTCTCCATCGCTCCAGATTGCCCAACTTGTTGATTTCGCCATCTCTGCTCGACTACACGACTCGGATGAACGACCAACTTTGCCATTGTGTCTTCTCGTATAAGTCTGTCAAATCCACCGTAAGCGTGCTGAGATGAGAAAGTCGTCCAGCCGAGAGGAATTCGACGAGCAGAGGTTCGCCTTCCAGCGGTCGAAATCATCCGAGGATCAGAGGTCCACCATTGAGCATAGAAAGAAACTAGAGAATCAGAGGTCCGCCATTGAGCATGAAAAGATAGAGGTTCAGAGGTTCGCCATAGAATTGTGTCGAAAGAAGCCTATCGCTCTGGCTTTCCTACAGATCTCCCTCCTACCACGCTTCCGAACGCAATCCTTATATATCATCATAGTCAGGCACTCAAGCCAGGCAACTGGAGAATCCACCAAGACATATGAGAGAAACCCATTGAAAGCCAAGTGCAAGCAGTAACGGATAGGGACTCTGCCGTTCGCTCAGGATAGAAATGCATGACGCTCGACATGGCTTGATTCCAAATGAGGTCGCGAGGACAAGAGACTTGGCCGAGGCAAGACGTCGGAGGATATTTCACATCCCCCAGTCCCCTTTCCTCCCCTCCATGCTTTGGCTAACCTAGTAGCCCTATGGATTTATTTTCGGACGCAGCTGGCTGGCGGCTATGCACCACACCTATGCATGCACCACCCGCATGTTTTAGGTTGGCTATCTGTAAATCCACATTACCTAAGTGTGTTGATGAGATTCGGGGGCTTGCGTGGCTTGCCGGGACTTCGAGTCACGTCCACGTCGCAGGCTGCCGGCGAAGGGGTTGGTTGCCGATACGTGCACGTTCTGAGGAGTGTTTCAATGGGCGGAAGCGAGGCTGCCGAGATGTTTTGAAGTGACTGATTGGCCGTCTGACTTACTCGTTCTAGTCGTAACGCCAAGCGCATCCGTACGTTTACTGTAGCGGACGGGGACATGGACGTGAAACTATGATCGTCACGGGGAGAAAGGGATGTTGAGAGGAGCGCAGAGGAGTGGAGAGGAGATGTATTTATTCCAATGGTTGGCGTTCTGGGTAATTGATCGCGTGATATCATACTCTTTGTGTGTAGTCAATGGGTTCATTTGGTGAGCGTTGTTCTGTGCAGAGAACGTTTGATGGCCATTGGATCTACCGCTAATGCTCCGCGAATCTCTCTACATATTTTCCTTCCTTCTAGAAAAATAATGGTGGACGGTTCGGAATTAGCCGAGAAGGGGGCATCTCGTATGCGAGGTTTAGTTCTGACCCTACACGTAAGTCTAGAGGATGCAAAGGTTGCAATTTAGATATCGAAGAAGCTATCCGTTAAGTCACGTGCATCGGTTCACCCGATATCGATGATTTTGCTGCGGAAGGCGGGGGAAAGCGTTCTAGGCAATGTGGTGCAGCTTCCGCGTAGTCCCTTTCTCTACTTCATGATGATGACGATTACGATTGATGTTATTGTTGGGTTGCGTATGGTTGGTCATAAGGACAGCCATGATTACTTCGGCCGATGCTTTTCAGCGAATCCCTTCCACCGAAAGTTTGCTGAGAGCATCATCCAAACCACATGCCTAATTGGAATCGCACTAGGACAGAGAAGCATTCTTTATCTTGGAACATGATCATGATAACGATAAATTATGGATCTTTTGCGGGGCGCGGGGTTGCTCGCTTGCAAGTCGTGAACAAAAGATGAATGGCGACATGCACGTGACTGGCCGGAACTTGGAAGCCGGTCCCTTCCGCCGCTTTCCGGGCTGGTGGACGGTCAAGCATATCGTACTGGAGGTGGAACGGGAGCAAGTAGATATATCATGTACATTGTAGAAGGGGAGTTTCTCATCCAGATGCACATTTTACCAGTGCCTCTCTATCTCTCCTAAAGGAGATGATTGTTGATTCCTTGTTTGTTTGTTCCCTAGTCTTGATATGTTGTTGATAGCGCCCGGGAAGGATACCGGAGCGCGCTTTCCCTCGGGCAAGTCCCACTGGTGAAATAATTTTCGTACTAGAGCAACTAGTTTGGCAGGCACGACTGGCAGGACAGGCAAGACAGGCAAGAGACATTGGAACTAGCAATTTGCCGTCATAATCCCTTCCCCCCCGCCATTTTCTACCTTAACTGCGTAGGTAGTAGTCTACACCCGTTCCCACTTGCCCTATAATCTCCCCTCCTTCCGCCTTCAATATCCGGTGCTTTGCTTCCTCTTCCACCCACTCCTACCGCACCACACCACACCGCTTCTATCATGCCAGCAACAGACGACAACACCTCCAACCCAGGTACCTCCCAGGACGCTGCTAGCCGGAAACGGACCCATCCTGAGGACTTCAAACGTGCATACAAGGCTTGCATCAATTGTCGCCAAAGGAAAGCAAAATGTATCCTAAGTCCTGGTCCCGAGGGAGACGAATTGAAACCCCCATGCCAAAGATGCCGAAGAGAGATGCGCGAGTGCGTCTTTCGCTCCGAGCGTTCATGGGTAAAGAGACGCAAGCCTGGTCACCCTGCCAATGAAAACGGTAGTAACGAAGACAACTCGACCACAACAGTGGACGGTACTGGATCAGGTCCTGCTCCACCTCAATACACTACTTCGCCTTCTGTGCCTACTATCAATCGAGCCTCATCAGATCATAAGCCATCTACCTCCAGTGTCCCTGGCTTAACCCCTGTAGACACTCCTCGTAGCCAGGACTCCATGTTGTCTCCCTCATCGCATTTGCGACGAATCTCAACATCGCAGCCTGTGGATCTAGCCAATTCAGTCATGAGGACGGTTGTCTCCAGCGGCACAGATGCCCTCAACCTACTCTTTGAGGCTGCTCACCATCGAGACGCCCAGGAGAGTCGCGATCAGACGGCTCATGCCTCTCGTTCATATGAGACCCCCAATTCAGGGACATCGTATCCTCATGCTGAATCATCCCCATTCACATTCAAGGCACAGCCCGTGCAAATGTCACAACCATCGCCAGAGACCCTGAAAATCTGGACGACGTGTCGTTATGTACAGATGGGTTGGTTCTCAGCTCATGAGGCCATCACTTACGTTGATCTCTTCTTCAAAAACTGCTGTCCCCTATCACCAATTCTCTCCGACTTCTATTCTCATCATTCAAACCATTACTCACTCATTGCTCTGGATCCTTTCCTATGTGTTACCATTTTGATGGTTTCATCACGCTACAATATCCTCCCTGGAGTGGGAGGTGCGTCCCGTGGTTACTTTGTACATGACAGACTTTGGGAGCAGTGCCAACGATTCATCATGAAGATCATGCTCGGCCAGGTCAAAACCTCCAAAGCACAGACTCGGACTATTGGCTCGATCGAGGCGCTTCTACTGCTTTCAGAATGGCACCCACGTGCCTTACACTTTCCTACTGCTAGTGACGGATGGGACTGCGAACTGATGGTTGGCGTCAACAATCACACAAACGAAGGGTTGAAGCTACTCGAAGGAGATACATCGTCTAACAGGTGGCTTGAAGATGTAATTGAGCCTGCTAAAAGATCAGATCGAATGTCTTGGATGCTGATGGGCTGTGCACTTTCTTTGGCACAAGAGTTGGGTCTCTTTGAAGATAACAGTAACATCGAGAAGGACCAGATCTCGTACCCCAAGTTCTCCCATGAGTACCTACACCTGCGGCGCATCAGGGCTCGAAAATTGCTTTTCGTCTTTATCGAACAGCTCTCGTGGCGTTTGGGTTGTACATCTATGATACCTCAAAGCCTCAACCATGCACTCATGGAGAAGATCCCTGTTGATTCGACCACTGGGGCAGTAGAGCAATGGCAGTCGTTCATGAGTGCGTGGGTCGAACTGACTCGGCTTTCGCGCTCTGTTTCCGATACTGTTTACCCATCGGCTGCCTTTACGCGTAATTTGTTGCGAACGGGGAGGTACATAGGACTTCTTGAGCACTTCCAACCACTGTTGACAGCATGGCGCCGGAAGTATCTAGACCCCTGCAGTAAGTCACTATAGATTGTATTCCAAAGAAGCAAAAGCTAATCTCTCGGCAGAGCTCGATAGCGGCCTCCATGACATGCTCATGATCGAGTACCATTACGTCCGAATCTACACAAACTCTCTCGGCATGCAGGCCGTTGTTGAACGCACACTAGCAGAATCCGATCCCGACGGCCCGCAAGAAGATATACTGTCAATGACCATTGAGCCGAGAGATTATGAGTTCATCCAGGAGGTTGTCGATGGAAGTCGACAGATACTTCAAAAGACAACGCAGCTAGCCGAGTCTGGAGCATTGCGATACTCGCCAGTTCGCATATTCCTCCGCATCACAACATCTTCGATCTATCTCATCAAAGGCCTGAGTCTTGGTGTTCGTAATGCGAAGCTACAATCCTCTTTGGATATTCTCGACAATGCAATCAATGCATTGCGTCAGAGTGTGTTCGATGATATGCATATTGCCTCTCGCTATTCAACTCTGCTAGAACTACACGTGAAACGTCTTCGCGAAAGTTTTGTAGTCTCCTCTCGTCCACCAAGGCTGCCATCGGGAGCAGATTCAATGGACAAAGGTGCGACCAGGTGCATGGACTTCCTCAATAGCCACAATGCTGGCGGATCAGGCATTGCAGCCCTTGCTGAAGATGTCACTGGTCTTATGCCGGAGGATGACTGGCTCGCACTCCCATTCGATCCCTCCATGGCACCGTTCGGTCTCGACAGTCAACAAAATTTCCAAGGTTTTGATGACGGCACCCTTGATTTTATATGGAATCTGGGAATGTAAAAGTACGATTGCGTAATAATTTCCGAGCACTCATACTGTACTTTACTTCTTCGAGAATGGTTCATGGCTAGAGTCGGGCTCTTCGCGTGACCGTCTGGCCACTTGCTGTGTCATGCCTCCACGTTTACAACTTAGACAAAAGTCACCATCGATGAAAGGGTCAATACTGGGTAGACTAATAATAATTTTATTGCTTACGAATAGATGAATAAACGCTCCAAGATGCTATCATACTTTCAGACCTGCATTCTTAAGGATCGTCAGGCTAAGGAAGATGTTAACTAAAATGCAAACCCTTAAACAAGGTTTCCTCGCAACTCTTGTTCTCGCTCGATTGCCTCGAAAAGACTTTTGAAGTTACCAGCACCGAAACCGTCGAAGTTGTTCCTTTGGATAATCTCGATGAAGACTGTAGGGCGATCCATCAAGTGCTTGGTGAAGAGTTGCAGCAAATAACCGCCCTCATCAAAGTCGATCAGGATATCCAAGCTCTTCAGAGTCTCAAAGTCTTCGTTCAGAGTCAACCCGGCGCGCTTCAGTCGCATCTTCATCGAATCATAGTATGTCTCCGGCACTTTGATGAACTCGACTCCTCGAGCCTTGAGGTTGGTGATGGCAGAGATAATGTCATCTGTGCGTAAAGCAATGTGCTGCACACCCGCGCCGCCATAGAAGTCGACGTATTCTTCGATTTGGGATTGCTTCTTTCCCTTTGCTGGCTCATTGATGGGCATCTTGACAACATCGTTGGGAGAGCTCATCACGATTGATTTAAGAGCAGAGTATTCTCTGAAGTTTCGCATTAGCGTTTACCCACATGGCTCGGATTGTCTCAAACTTACGTGCAGATATCCTTGTCGTCCACCGACCAGAAGCGGTGGAATCCCAGTACTTTCTCGTAGTACTCGCAGATGTTCTCCATCTCGTCCCAATCCTGGTTGCCGACGCAATGATCGATTGCCTCAAGCTTAATCTGTGGGAGGAACTTAGAGAGTGGGTCCTTGGAGGTCATTTCTGAGCGATATCCGGGCAAGAAGACGCCGTTGTAGTTCTTCTTCTCGATGAGAGTGTGCGTGGTGTCGCCGTATGTCTTGATGGTCGCGAGTCGGATTGATCCACTCTCATCGCTACGCTCATGGGGAGCAGCAATTACCTCTGCGCCAGCAGACACTGCAGATTGGTAAATGGCATCAAGGTTGTCGACCTCAAATGCGACATCTGATTGAAGGTTAGTATATCAAATTTCGTATATGTAGGGCACGCCAAACCTTTTACGGCGTCTCCATGTCGCTCCTGATGCGCATGGATCTCCCTGAGCAGCTTTCCCTCTTCGTCGCCGAATCGGGAGCTCTGTTCCAGGCATCGCAGTGGCGAAGTCAAGACGAAAGTCACGCCTCCGTTCCTCACGACATGGGAAGCAATCGCTCGAGAGCCGGTCTCAAGACCCCTGTACGCGACACGCTCGAAGCCCATGCGCGAGACATAGAAGGCAGCGGCTTGTTTGGCATTTCCAACGTACCAGTGGACATGGTGGTATCCACGGTATGCCGACAATTCTGAGCTGGTAGATGGGAGGCTGTTGTTTGATTGGGGGGATCTCGGTGGCGAAAGTGCGGCGGGGGCCATTGTTGCTGACTTGGATATTTGATAGATGCAAAAGATTCAGCGACTTTTTGACGACTTTGATATCAAACGCAGCAGTGTTGTATTCGAGTTGGCCGAACTACTGGACTTTAAATAATAGAAAGGGGTTATGAAATCGCACACCTTATCACCCCCTCTTTATTCAATCCCCGATGACCCCAGATCCAACAATCTCTGCCTCGCTTTCTCACGCTTCCCCATGCCCGCTTTCTGCTATGACGAAGCATCAGCATCCTGACTTTCCTAAGCCGAGCCATGAGGTTCCTTCGCGTACCGACAACGAGTGCGCTGTGATTGGCTCGGTGTTGTGGCTGGTAGCCGTGTTCGGTTGGTCGTGGAATAGGTGTGGCGGTGCACCGCATGTATCCGCTATAGACCGCTGGGAGACTGTAGAAATACGATTACGACCAGACACGGGACAGAACAGGTACCGCGGAATGAGGACGAAGATAGGTTCCGCAGTGAATCTTCTCGGAATGCACGAGTAGCAGACCCCGAATTGCGATTTTGTCAGCTTTGCTATGCCGGTCAATGTTGAGAACTATCTTTCCTGATACTGTTCCTTTAGCTGCTTCTGATTCACTGGTACTTGACATTGTCCATCCGTATCCTCTACACTTCTTATTTCTCTGTATATTGTCACCGTATACACCTATAATTCGTACATCCCTCCTGGAGAAAACAACAGCTGAATTTTTGTTATTTCACCAAATCAACACAGTCCCGGGGCAATCATGGCAATTCCAACTCCCGATACGAAACTATCGGCCAACGACACCCGTATTCTAAACGCACTCTTTGACCCAGAAACCCTTCCCTCATCCGTCGCCAAAGCAAGAGACATCTCCACAATCGACAGCACTCTCCCGTCCCATCCAACCATCCCACAATCTGAACTTTCCACCCTGGAGACACAACAAAATGAAATCGTCTCAAAAGTCTCCTCGACATCACCATCAGCACAAGAGGACCAAACCACCATAATCGATTCCAGTCTCTCCACTCTGGACGAAATAATCCAATCATGTCCGAAATATCCCAGCGCCTACCTCAACCGCGCAATGGTCCAACGCATGAAGCTTGAAAACACCATCACCGACACCACGCCACAGAAGTCCTTCTTCACCTCCCAAGAATCATCAGAACCCATCAACTCCCTATTCAAAGACCTATCCCAAGCCATCCAACTCTCCATGCCCTCCACCCCCTCCTCACCCGTCTCCCCCTACCAGGCACGCATCCTGCGAACAGCACACTCGCACCGCGCGTATCTGTATCTCAAAGCCTCAGAGAGCGGACAGGAGTGGGACGGCAAGGGCAAGGCGGAGCTTGAGGAGCTGGCGTCCGGGGACTTTTCGGCGGCAGCGAGGTATGGCGACGAGGTTGCGAGGGAGATGAGCGTCAGGACGAATCCGTATGCGAAGATGTGTGGGGCGATCGTGAGGAATGCGCTGGCGGAGGAGAGGAGGGAGGCCGCGCAGTTTTCGAGTCTGTGATTTGCGAACTTTGGGGGCGTAAGTAGATAAGAACCAGATGAGGGCTCTGCTAGGTGTATCAGATACGACATAAAATCAGTGGAGGTTGCTAAATGAATCAGGAGGTGTCAGCATGATTGTATATGTTCGTTAGATTCGTAGTGGTATAATGATATCCAAACGCCTAGAAAATCCCTCCAATGCTTGCGAATAATGCCAATATGCTACCTCCATGACGTCTTAATAAATCACAACCAAGTACATGCTGCCGCAAAAACAATGCCACAAAAATTCCACACTATCATCTACTCTATATGGCTCCACTCCTCAGCCCTGCCATCGTACTCGACATTGCCGGCACCAAATGCTGGCTTACGGGCGTACTGGAACTCTTTGGTAGCAGGAAGATATATCTAACAAGAATACTCTTCTCATCCTTGATAACGTGGATACCATTCCCCTTCGAGTTGCCCGGGCCAGAAACTTCGCACCCGATCAACAGCCTCATATTGCTCAGCCCACTGTTCCGCCAACTGAGCGCCGAGGGTGAATACACGGCCGAGGTAGAAGGTTCTTCAGCAAGGTACACGCCCTTTCCGTGGGCAGCACCCGTGCGTTGGAGGGCAGTCCCGGACTTGATGCGAAGTCCCTGTGCGAGGATGGCTGGTAGACGGTCCAGTGATGTGCCGTGGAAGAGGACGCGAGTGCTCGACTTGAAGGCCGTCATGGTACTCGCGAATCCGACTTCTAGATGCGGCGCTGCGTTTGCAAGCACAAATTGATGTGTCCCAACCGGGAGCCCAGGTATCTTGCAATTGCCCCTCGCAGACGCAATGAAGCCGCGGAAGTGGCTGCAGGCCCATGTTAACAACACCTCAGCATTGTAATGATATTCCCTGAGAATAAGGGATAGGTGGACTGCATCTCGTAGGATACTCAACGGCGGTAGAGCCTCCAGAACATTGATCACAAACTGGGGGTTGGTGATTGGGCATCCTGGGAGAAGTTCCATGTTGTTGGCTTTCGCAGCCACGTATACAGCCGTTAGGAGCATGTCGACAGCAAAGACATCGGAGCGTAGCTCGGGTATGCGGATATCTAGAGGAAGCCTGTTCCACATCGTACTACATGATGGTGTTTGGCACGGCATTGCTCTTCGCATTTGCGTATTGTTAGCCCCGTGGCTGGATCCGCATACCACACACTTATATGCGAGTTTAAGAAGCTCTCCGCTAAGGAAGGTGTGTAGTGAAGCAATCTTCAGATCGTTTTGCTTGATGTATTGATGCAAAATACGGTTTAACTGCCAGGTCAGAGCGCTGTTGCGGCCCCGGCAGTAAACGAGCTCAGGCGCCTCCGCCTCATGGGCAGGCACCCAAGGGCTAAGATGTTCCATGTCGGCATCGGCTGTATCAAATTCATCATCTAGATGCAGACAGAAGCCTGTGGGTACTTCTCCTGCCCAATCGATGAACAACCGAAGGAGAAGATTCTTGGAATCGCGGAGACCCAACGCCGTGCGCTGCATTTCTGTCAACGATGACAATGGGAAACTTATTTCGATCTCCTTATCGCCGCGTTTTTCGACGGCACTAGCCATAGTAATTGGCAACAATGCTAACTCATCGTCTAACGGTGTTGTATCTTCGATGTTGAGTGTTCCCAAGAGCAGTGCGGTACCCACTGGATCTCGAGACTTCAGTGCTAATTTGACATCCGCCAATCGATCCGCTTCATCAACAATGGCTTTGGTGATTGGCGCGAAGTAATCGCTCGCAGCGATCAGATGGGCATCTGGGATTTTACCAGTGAGGACTTCCAGACCAAGAACTCGTGCCATCGCGGTCAGGGCGGTAATGTCGTTATCGCACATATCGTCATCTTGCACCCAACCGGCCAGTACAACTTCAGTAACAAGTCGATACACTGCCTTGTTCTGATGAAGATCAATGATTCTCTGACACGCATCGGCTCCTTCTTGTGTGATAGTAAGCAATGCTTCTAGGGCCTCCGCGACACCGAGCGTGACTTCTTTCTTCTTGATGAGTTTGGAAGCTACGAACTGCATCATCTTCTCATTAGGATGATCTTGAGCGTTTCTAAGGGCTTTCAAGATTCTAAGGATACAGTCTCGCTCGAGAGGTACCCCTGCCCCAAGCTCTTGGAGGAGCAATTCTTTCTTTTGAATTTCGCCGCCGTTCAATATGCAGTGAATCGGGACTCTGTTCGAGCCTACATATTCCTCGAGTCGTGTAATGACAGGGATGAATCCTGATACACTTTGGACCCATAAACGAGTATCTAGCCGGAGCACTGCAGAGTTCGCGCTCTTCGGCGACGAGATCATGCAGTCCCCTAAGAGAGCATAGATGTCCAGCATGTGCAAAGTCCACGCAGAAGCATCAAATCGCTGCAGCAAATAATCGGCAAGCTTATCAGCAGACTCGCAGATTTGCTCGAAGAGAACACCACGCCAGCACTGGACTATATCTCGATCGGTACATTGCGCAAGTAGTCTGACCAGTTTGACACAGCTTTCGCCTTTGCCTGTTAATGAGGTATCCGTTGATTCAGACAGTGGCTTGACTAGGTCCCCAGGTAAGAGTGTGATTTGTGCAAGGCATCTGCATTTTAGAATGTAATCTAGTCCGGCCTTTTTGCAGATGACCAAAGCTAGGCGGCGTCGCTCGATTTCTTTCGTTCCTTTCCAGACATCGAGTATGGCATCGATGATCCGCTGCGACGCGTCTCCAATAGGAGGGCCCCCTATCAAGCGGTCCGTGCAGAGTGCTGCGACCGCCTCTTCCAGTGCATCTTTTTCGGTTGGTGTGGTGGTAATTTTCCTCCCGTCATTTCCAGCGCAAATTTCCATTATCATCTTGAAATCCTCAGGAGATGGTAGTAACTCCAAATGCTTTCTCAACCAAACATCCAGCAGGAAATAACATTTAGTTGAGCTCTTGAGGACCAGGAAGAAAGAATGCAATTCGTCCGCCAGGTGGTGCCACTCAAGGCGATTGTCAATATGTGTTCGAAGCGCTGTCCGGCATTCTCTGATACAGGTCTCAATCCCCTGAACGAGCCACGTTCGAATCATCAACTTGCATAAATCTGCACTTGCCGGATGTTCAAAAGCGACAATGAGATCAGATAGATCGTCGATGTGGAACCCTCCGATATCATTCTTAGACGTCCATAACGTGAGGACAGCATCATGTATGCAAGACCCGGAGGCATTAATGAGATTCTCCACGGCTTTGAAAAGTTGTAGACTTTCGACAATAATTGGGCGTGCATTTAGAAGTCGGAAGAATGCCTCAAATGATTCATCGCTCGATTGAAGTACGCCCGTCAGGACTTCGTCTAGGCGATCGAGAATTTCCTTTAGTTCTTCTCTTTTACAATTTGTGACTTCGAACACCAACCCTCGAAAGCGTACGATGGACTTGGTGGCACCATACTGTGCAATAAGTCCTTCCTTCAAAGTCTTGTTGTTTCCAATAATGAAGTCGGGCCCGTCTAAAGCCATTATATCCGGTAACACGGCGCGCTTCATAATGTTGATGCTATCGAGCATGCAGACCCGATCCAAGTTAGGCTCCCATGACGACCAAACCCGCCACGAGGGGAATTGGGAATCCAGTAAATTGGTTGATCGCAAAGTCTTGTCTCGGGAAGTCGAAGGCACGTTGATTGCGTACTTGCCGAACCACGCAGTAACGGAGCGGGCGGTTGTCCACTGAGACTTGAGTCTCAATCCCTCCAGATGCAAGGCAAATGACTCGAACGCACTTCGCGTCAGGATGGCAAAATCAGGAAGGTGGTCCATATTGTAGATGGTGTTATTATCCAAAATAGTACAAACACCCTCGAGAAACTTCCCGGCTGCACCTAGCCCGTGAGAGACGAATGGTAGTAGTTGTCTTGCCCATGATGCTTCCTGATCACTCACTGACCCCGGATTACACCCATTGGCGGCGATAAGAGATTGAAGATGTGCCTCGAGGCCGAAGAAGGTTGTAGGCGTGACACTAAGATTAACATTTAGTAGAGCTCGCACCGACGTAGGAGACATGGCATAAGCGCATGCCGCCACAGCGACATCTCGAGCTTCATGGCTATCGATCAGCGAGGACAGTCGTATGTCGACTTCTTGCTGCGTGAGCTTGCCTTTCCTCTTGAGATATTGGTCGGTGTGTTTCCTCAGCAGTTCACAAGGAAAGCGTTGATCCGACGGATGGAGAAATCCTGCTGTAAACTCGATCTGTTGATGCCATTCCTCACTATCTTTCTTTCCTCCGAAAATCGACTTCTTCGAGGCACCAACGGATATGCGCTTTACGTGGACCCCGGTCCGATCTAGTGTTGTGGAAAGGAATAGGCCGTTCATATCAACTCGTGGAGCAACCCCGATGTGAGATACATCGAGATTATATCGCTCTTCCAGTAGTTACGGCCTATCCATTACTCAAGTGAGCAAAATGAAATCGACGTGTATATCGGTCGCTGCCTCCAGAAGGCTGAGAAATGGCTGAACAAGGATGTGAAACAGGACGAATGATATGCAGTAAAGATAGGTACAGAGTAATGATGGTCCTTTCTGATTGGGTATTAGGTTATGCGGGCTTGATGAGAGTTCTGATGAACATTAACCAAGGTTAAGGTATATTGAACAAAAGGAAGAGAACCATGGAACAGCGCGGGCGGGTAAGATAGCCTACCTACGTATTTCTAATGTGATGTATAGTTGAAGTATAGATCGACCTTCTCCATTTTGGGTAGTATAGAAGTCTTCCAATGCGGCAGGCACTTCAACTAGGTTGATGAGGCTGAGCAAGGCACAGACCGGCGAAGCTTGACTACGGCCTCACCGGGTGCCCAATACGACAATACCGTGTGGGTGCATCATGATTTAACAAAGTGACCCCACACAACTCACTATGCGTTGCGCGCTAATGTACACCCGTAGAGTTATCAGGTAGAAAGAAGCGAGGCTTGGTCAAGGTTGTCGGTTGCCTTGGTGGCCGAGTACCGCATTTCTACATCTGGAGATTGATAGGAACATAGTATTTTTCTTTGTTAAATATCGTGATCGGCTTATTCTATTAGACCTGACTCGAAGTCAAGGCCGACAAATAGCTTGTCACCTTCTTGTGGCGTTGTAGGCAATTCAACCGTTCCTGCGCCACGTCAACGAGACATATTTGCTGCGGAGCATGGAGTACTTAGTAGTTGAATTGCATACTACGCCCAAACCTCCCCTTGTCTATCCATAGCAGGTGCACCTGAGGCTTCTTTACAATTCTGTGAATCTACAATGTAAATGTATCTATTTCTATAACACCTAACAAGTCCAACAAAGTCCGAAAAGCCGATTCACCAGATTCGTATTGTTGTCGAACCAACGCCATAAACCCAAAGATCTCACATCGTGATGCACTTGCCATCATTCGGATCTGGGAGTGCACCTCTATTGTTGCGCAAGTATTGCGCAGCTTGTTTGATAAAATCGCCAGTCTTGTGAAAACACACGCGATTGCCTTTAGCATCTCGCACGGCTTCTCCTATCGTGAAATCGTAGGACTGTCCAGTATGACTGTCTTTTGCGGGGCATCTAAGGCCATCGAGAGCTTTCTGTTCTAATTCGGGGACTGTGACGTGATTAGCAACCTCACGTTTATGAACCCAGGCGCACAGAACTTACGAGTAGCAACATATGCCATGAACAGATCAACAGCGTGTCGACTAGGTAGGGTGTCACTGCTCTGATCTTCAAGCAGGATTTTGGCCAAATCCTCCATCTGGGTGATCGTCTCTGGCCGTACGCCCTTGGACATTTCGGCTTGTTCGACTTGCAGCTTGGCCAGTTGCTTGCCCTTTGGATGCCAGATAATCCCCTTGATATCTTTAGACGTAAACATTTGGCGGCTAAGGGGATTTCGCATAACGCCTCCATTTGCGGTAATGGCTTGAACAAGCTCCTCCATATCCCAAGCGTAGTTGTCCTCCGTAACCCAGAAGTCCTCCCGGGGAACATCCTTGATTTCATCACCCAGCATAGTTTCGGTGTTAACATAGGTCTTGTTCAGATGCTCATGCTGGACATGCATGAGTGCGATCTCGGGAAAGTACTTCAAGTCGTCTGGCAATGCGGCTTCGAGGGATCGTACACGTTTGACGAGGGCATCCCTAACGATATCGTCATCAACAGTGGACGTATTTCCCGGTGAGTGCCGTAGCCACCCCATTAGACTTTCAAGATCTGTGATTGAGAGACCAACTGCATTCTCTTTGTCAGATTGAATGGTCCTTGCAAAAGACCTCGCACTGCATGGTGGCGAATACTTTTGCAATGTTGTGCTATTACTTCCGTTTACAATCGCCTCGATTCTGGGTGTGTCTGGAGATACTGGCATATTGCTCCTTTTTCTAAGTTTCTCTAGATGAAGTAGATCCTTCAAAATGGTATTGGCCTGTTGTCGTAGTGAGGTATAACTTTGGGCGAAATCCTGTTTTGTAGACTCTAAGTCTTTCGGCAGCTGAGTAGCCGTCTTGGGCTTCTTCCGTGAGAACATGGTACTTGCGGTGAATTTGGGAGGCTCTTGGGTGGAAGCCCGTTGTGCATTCGTGGTGACTGATATGGTGGATTTTCCTGCAGGTTCTGGCGCTGGAGGTTCAGGTTGCTTGGAAAGGACAGCCAGGTAATTAGCGACGTCCGGATCGTGAGGAGCATGTCTCCTCAATTCGTTCGCATTGTCCATGGCTGCATCAAGCCACCCAACAGAGATATAGTGCTCCACAAGAAGTTTGCGTGCACCGAGTGCTGGTGGATGTCTTGATATGTCCTCCAGCAGTTCACCTATCAAAACCATATCAGGCTCACCAGAGCCTGTTCCACCTGCTGAGGCCGTAGCCTGACCAGCAGGCGTTGATCGAAGTGTCATCCGCATAGCTACAGCTTGTAATGGGCGATAGACAGTTTAACGAAAGTCGTGTGCTATACCTGCAGTGATATTGATTTCAAAAATGTTCGCAGAGTGGACATGCCATCAACATCGGATCTTAGGCACTAGGTTGACAAACTGATCCTTTGATGCTTTGGCCTGTGGGCCGTGCAATCGACACTGGGCGAGGCTGTAACACGGTGTGAGCCCGAGTAGAGGGCCAGTTGCGCGGAGCCGGTGCCGGAACCCCCTCATCTACTCATAGAGATGCTCACCGGTCATCAGTTTTGGGGTATGGGGGGTACCACTTGGGAGGTGATCCATCACCACCAATCACGTTTCGCCTCATTCGGGGTAACTGAGGCTGTGGTTACTGGGGTTGGCGAGTTTGCTGTGGCTGTACTCTCCCCATACTCCCCACTCACGAGCACGAAGCAAATCATAACTAATGATGCAATGAGATGTGGAAGAGATGTTCTGATAGAAACATTGAATTTCACATGTTCCATCTCTGGCTTCGAAATGATCGTCCGCGTTGTCCATAGCTAGTAGGTAGGTACCTAGCTTTCACCCTGCGGAAGCCGGCTCCACATTACTCCGAGCCTCGGTCTAAGATAAGAATATCGTTCGGTGACCGCGCATGTTATCAACATTGTCACTCCTTTTTTGCTCATGTCGAAAACCGCCAGTCTCGCCGTCGTGGGCGCCGGAGCCTCAATTGCTGCGCTTGCAAGCCAACCAGCGCTGCGAAGCTTCATTGCAAAGTGGTCCGGATACAATGCGCCTGGCGGTGTCTGGCGGATTATAGCTATCCTGCTTGCGCTTGGTAATCTGAAGAGCTTACCCTTCGTATGGCATGTAAGTCTCCTAATATGCCCACCTGTCATATCTAATCGTACTAATGTTACATAGCTGCGATTCTTCCGCGCATTCTTATACCAACTATACCTGCAACCCACGCCCATCCCGCCCCAAGCTCTCTTTGATCCGATCATTACTACAAGTCGCACCTCGATCCTAGAGACAGATTACAACATTCATAAGAGCAACAGTACTTACTTCGCCGATTTTGATAGTAATTACATCCCGCGCATGATATACTAGAACTATTCTGACTCTTCTCAGTCTCCCGAACACATCTTTTCACAGCTATAATACGCAATGGTATCAAGAAGAACTCCCGCCTATATGGCAAAGGCAAGAAGGCCGAAACACTAGGTCGAGAAGAGGGGCCTCGAGGCAAGCACTATATCGCGTTAGGCGGCGTCAGCTGTCTCTTCAAGAAAGAGATTCCCCCGCTCGCCAAATACGAAATGTGGACAAGGCTTTTATGCTGGGATCGCAAGTGGTTCTATCTGGTTACACACGTAGTGAAACCTGGCGTCGGAAAGCCGTCTAAGTTCTCGCTGCAGCCTTGGAGGAAAGGAGAGGCGGCTATTGAGGGCGAAGACGACGAGAAGGTCCGGCAAAAGCTTCAGGGTGCTATTTATGCCACGTCTCTTGCTAAATATGTTATCAAGCGTGGTCGCATCACCGTGCCACCCGAGCAAGCTTTGATCGACGCAGAAATGGTCCCTGCTAAACCCGAAGGTTGGGTATACCAGGGTTTAGTCGATGGGGATGCTGTGGCAAATGGCGACGCTGAATCTGTGCTTCCTAAGAAGCCGGAATCTGATGAGTGGAACTGGGATATTATAGAGGCTGAGAGACTGCGAGGATTGAAGTTCGCAGAGAACTTCGCAGGTCTAGACGGACTGCATGAGGTATTTGATGGCGGAAAGGATGGTGCGCTTGGAGAGTACCCCGATTTAGCATTTTAGAAGAAGATATACCCTAGATTTTGTATAGTAGTCATAGGAGAGGCAGCTGCAATGTGTATGTATATTCAGACAAGACCAGGCAGATCTACAAGTAATGCAACGCAGAAGGGTATCGCAATTCTGAGCTAGTTTCTCCGGGTGAGGAAGTCGGCCATTTGATGTTACTATACATGAGAAAATCTCATTTCTTCTTTCCCTTAGTTTTGTCAACCACCTCCACCCAATTTCGATTTACCCCCCTCTTTTCCAGTGCCTTGATGATTGCATCTTTCTGGGGGCCTTGAACGAGGACCTCCATGACTGGATTCTTCGGACTACTTCCTTGTAAACGATCGACACTTGTGCTCCCAGCACAAGTCTTCCTTAACTCATCAGCGAGCGGTTGCGGTGCGATATAGTATGCCTCAACACCGCTCACTTTAGTCACTGTCTTATTGCCACTCCTCGTTTCAAGGGTAATGTGAATCTTTGGTGGAGCGCCAGCTTTTGGTTTCGAATCGGCAATGCCCGTATCATTGCGAAGAATTGCATGAAAAGGAGCTGAGGTAGCCACTATTCTCTCAACAAGAGCATCTCTTGGAATCACACCGGATGCTAGTGCCTTGTCGTCAGCAGCCGAATTGCCTAAAAGTGAATTCGCGATCTGTGGGTTGAGATTGATCAAGCGCCGATTCTTTTCTGATACCAGGTTCTCCGCCTCAATGTAAGCAGTCAGAATTTGTTTCAATTCTGTTGGAGTATATAGGCCACGCGGATCAGCCTTGGAGGCATTGAAGATGGGTGCGAGCTTCTCCTTTGGTCGTAGCAGCGACACGAGTTTGAGCTTTTGCCCAACAGACGTCTCAGATGCTGACGGCGCCGCTGGTTTTCCATTCGCTGCTGCTGAGCTTGGTGAATCTTTCTTTGGCAATCGATACGGAGTGAAGGACTGTATGTTCTGATCGGCGAAGTCGATGTCAAGTATGACTACTTCGTTACCGTCGCGGTCTTTAGATTTGATGATCCGCTGCTTATCCAAGTGTTTAATGAATTTCTTGATATTTTTCCAGCTGGACTTCTTTATTTGCAGAGATGCTGTTCGCGCGGGGGTATATGTAGGCAGAAAGGGTTGTACAAGCAATGACATGACGTTAGATTGCGACAGCGGAAAATCGAGGCCGAATGTAGGGTGGCTTTTGTTGTTATCCATGTGATATCGTACACCATAGAGAAAGGCGTTCTTGAATGCATCGTCGATCTCTTTTGTCGTCAATTCTTTGTCCTCCACTTCTTCGACGAAGTCCGGGTTCGACGGGGCGTTTTCTCCTTCGATCCCTTGAGCATTCTCTTCCACTGATCGCTCGGTGGGGTCTGCATTTAATGCGACACCACCATCTTGAGCCTCGTCGATCTCCAGATCTTCGGTTTGTGTTACCAGGTCGGCCTCGTCATCTTGTGCCTCATCGTCCCAACCATTGAGATGCTCTGGAGGGTCTATACCAGGTTTGCTCGACGAGCTCCATGCCCAGAGCTCATCTCCAGCCCAATGGAAGGTCTGCACTGCGTGTCCTTTTTGTCCTTGGACTTGCTGCAGTGTACTGACATCTATTATGCATGTTCCTACTGCCATTGGCACTGTAGGAGTCTCGAGGCTGGCAATCGCAACGACTGCACCCTTGACCGCTTTGGGGGGGAATGGAGGCCCACGCTGCAAGCCTGGTGTCATCAAGTCTGCACCGCCCTGCAATTTCTCAACTACAAACGAAGGGGTATAAAGGAGCGGGACGATTCGTGGGTTATGCCAGAGGGTGTATACTGTCCACAGGTCAATAGGCAGCTCCAGTTGGCACTTTTCAAGGACGCACCTGTAGGATACATCTTCTCGTCGACTTTGACCCAAAGGATCCGCAATTCGTTTGATGTCCCTTCATGGCTGCCAACATATACGGTCCCAGACACTTGCTTTAGGTCGGGGCCGGCTGTTGTAGTGAATCGAGCGGAGAGTGAGTCCTCTGGAAGTAGGGATCTTCTCAGAGCCGTAAGGCCTGCTGTAGAAGCGGCCTTGTCATTCGGGTCTGCATCTTGGTTCACGGGAATCTTGATGCCAAAATCGCTAATGATCTGGTCAGCAGTACGTCGGCGGTCGGATGACTTGAGTGGCGAAAGTGGTTTGATCTGATCGTCTGTTAGCTTCTAAAAGAACCCATAGGTAGGCTGGTGGTGGAATCAAAACAAACATTCGGTTTCTTTTTGAACATTGTGGATAGCGATATTGTATATGCCAGAAATGATGACGGGGGTTCTACACAGTAGATGTTTTCGAAGTCGAGCTACGAACCCGTTTTGAAGCTGTTGGTTGATGTCAGCGGGGCATGTTTTGCCCCACCAATTAATGAGCGGGCTGAACGGGCAAGGGTCAAGATGATCCCTACCTAGCATGAGCAGTATTAGGTACCTACACACCCTAACTAATTAGGTACAAATACAAGTACTACTCATCCACTACTTTCAGGCAACATCCCCCAGCACGACACCCCCGAATAAAACAACCTACCACAGAGTCACAGACTCACTTCGACTCATTTCTACTCAAAATGCTTCCCTTTTCTGAGACTTCAGTACAGTCATCCTACTTGTAGTCTGTCCGATGCAAGCAATTGATCGACTCTACTCGGAGAATTCCCAAGTTAATATCTTTTCTCCCCTCTCTTGTCAACATGAATGTCGATACGCCAATATACAGATTACTTGATCTACCTGCAGATTTGTTCGATCTGATCATACAAACATGTATGCAACTAAATGGATTCGAACAAACAGCCATGATCCGCTCTACTTGCCGTAAGTCACATCATTCACACCCCACCATACACAACTCTCGTCTCATGCATTGTAATAGGCGCCTTTGATGACTTTATCGTCTTATTACTTTGTCGGAAGAGGTACTTCGAAACAAGACCCTCACTTCGTGTTCACGAAAACCTACTTTTGAGATACCTTCTACATCATGTGACGTTAAGCAATAGAAACTTCCACGAAGTTGGTGTTACCTTGCATACTACTCTTGATTACATCGTGGAGCAAGCACCACACCTGAAAGGCACCAAAGAAGAACTACTCAAATCTCTTTGTAGATGCGTAGTTCAAACGAGCGGGTCTAGTATGATCGGAAATATCTTAAGGCCATACATGTTCTCCAAGAGAAATGCAGACTCTCACATCAACTATCTTCACGCAGCTGCATATCTGGGCCTTCCAGTAGTGGCCGAGCGGCTTAACGGTATGAGGATGGTTTTACGAAAGCATTTTGAAAGGCTCCAATCCACAGGCAAGATGCGCGTGCCACGAGGTCCATCCGTACACAATGGTCAAGGAGCGCTTCAATGCTCTGTAGCAGGAGGCCACCCTGAGATCGCTGCAATGTTGATAAAAGAAGGCTGCATCTGGAATGCTGCCAATTGGCCAAATTCATGGAACAGGAACGATGCTTTGATTCTATACTCTCTCATCAGAACAAATTACAGTAAAAGAAATTTAGAATTCTGTCTGCTACGAGCAACGGCAGTGGGGAATTTCGATGTTTTTCAGAAGATCATGGCGTTTGGGATGGAGAAAAGATTTGCGCACAACCACAAAGGTCATGCACCAGCGACATCATGCCCAGAGGATTTACTAACTGCGGTTCTCATGGTAGCAGCTTACCATGGTCGTATCCAATTTGTCGAGTACGCTATCAATCAAGGTGCAAAGCTGAATTGCAGAATACACCCCAGATTTTACGAATGCAAAGGAATATTCATGACTAACATTGGATATCATTATGGCAACTCGCTGGAACTAGCAGCCAAATGTGGACAGTACAACGTTGTTTGTTATTTGCTCACTCGCGGTGCGACACCCACTACACAGGCTTTAGGTGAGGCAGCAAGACGGGGCTGGCTGCGGATCTCCCAAACATTGATAGATGCTGGCATAAGCGTTTATCCATGCCGCGACGGATCTTATGGCTACATGGAACTTATGGCGCATGTCATAAGAAGAGGTCATACCGAGATTGTACGTTTGTTCCTTGACAATGGATTTGGTGCTGAACACGTTGAGAAGTGGCCAGAGGACGTGGAACGTGCATTTCGAGAGGCAAAAAGGAAGCGAACAACCAGAATCATGGACCTGATGACTGAATACGGATTGAAGCCTCGACAGTAAGAGCTGTGAGGGAGGTGCGGTGTGAGAAGCTGGAGCTCACATCATCTCGCGCACAAGACGCAGCAGCCCGCAGTAACATGACGAGAACAGAGTGCAAGTGGGTGAGGCAGAAGGTAACATTCAAACCAAGAAACTAACACAATTCGCCATTTTCACACCGAACCTGCGTACAATCGAAGTGGGCGGGTTTTGACTATCATGGGAATCACATTTCCAAAGACAATTTTCGCCAATGATGGTCCACTCATGATCGTCCATAACGTCGTTTGATAGGAGCAAGGGTTCCATGTGCGCGGTTCCACGCGTTCGCCTACAAACACAGGGATTCCACAGCTCTGTATGTACGTTGCATGTACGTTGTATTATGTACGAGTACGGCGGGCGTAGACAGGCAGTGTCGGGACGTTTTGTGACTGTGCTTCGTGGCTATACTTCAGCACATATATGCTGCAACAATCGGGCGGAGACCTTTCCCCCTTTCAAGCCTGGCGCTGAATACAAATTGGGGAACATGTAGCAATAATAATAATAAAAGTATATTTTTTGGGTTTCAAGGCCGAAGTGTCGTTGTTCATGCGCGTCCTCACACTCTCGTTGATTGGACCGAGGTTGACACGGAACTGTCCCGTCCCAACTCTCGCCTGATGGCAATAATGTTACGAGTAGTTCGCGGACCGACTAGGAAGCCTATGCGCTCGCTCCAAAAATCGTGTCGAACCATGCGCGGTCGGATTAAACGGCCGACCGCTAACTGATCGACGCATGATACGTTCCCATTCTAGTCCTTTGTCGCTGCTTGGTACGAGTTGTCACCAAAAGGGTGGCCTGGCCTGGCTAAAGACGAGAACCACCCCGGCGTCACCGGACACTAGGAAGGGGACGCCACCACCATGGACAAGTAACGGGCCAGTACCAGCAAGGAAAGGTACGGCGTACAGCTCCTCTGTGAATCGTTGTTTAGCTGTCGTGGCGTGCACACTCGCCGCCTGTGAGAAAACGCCTCCGCGTTCTCAAATTTGCGGAGTAAAGATGGAGAAGAGTAACAAGCCCGTTCTCCCACATCCTACATCTTACATCTCATTCATCGATCCTCATCTTCTCTTCTATCAAGGTTCTATACTCATAAATGCTGCAGCTCCGTCGTCGCGGGGAGTCACTACCAAGCGCGAGAATGATTATAGACTGATCATCCACTGACATCACAATTGACCGTCCCTGGTTCGATAGTCTCGGCACTTCTCAACAGCATGAGCCCTATAAATTCTGCGAAAGGGCCTTCCTCGCACTTCCTGGAACTACGCCGCGAGATGGTCCCCAAACCGCAAGATCCTGATGCACTCATTCTAGAGGCATGGAGTCAAGGCTATCTAGTAGGAAGCCTGATCATCATGTCCGTGATTACGATGGCAAATATGCGCCGCGGCGTGCTTCTCCATAAGGTAGGATCCTTTCGGAAAATTTTGTGCGTGCCACCACTGACATTGCTTTACAGCTGATTCTGCTCGAGGTATGCAAAGACACACTGGAATTTCGCAGTCGAGCGCTAATCGGTCACAGTTAATCCTGGGAATCTGGCAAGGCTTCTGGCTGTTTTTCAGAAGCCCCGTGTACGCGTGGTGGCTTTCTGTCAGTGCCATCTTTCTCAACATGTCCTGGGTGCTCCATAACGTAATCTCTTGGTTGAAGATCAAACCCTTCCTCTCCAAACCGGTCAGTCTGTTTTTCATTGGCACTGTCATTCTCTCTCTCGGCTACTGGATACTGGAGATCTACGCAAACTTCACTTACTTCCATGGGATCAACGATATCTTCGTCAGAACTCGACCATGGGAAGCTCTCTGTCGGGACCCTTGGTGGATATTCGTGACTGTCTATCTGTTTTGGATCATCATGACCCAATATGAGTTGAGCGTGAAGGAAATCATCAGAATATCCCCACGCTTTGGAATCATGCTTGGTGCTATGATTATGAGCATCATATTCTTGGTATTGGACATTTGCTCCGTCACTGGCGCGTTCCAAACCTCCCTCCCAGTGGGAATTAACCCTTTTTGGAAGCTGGCTTTCGTCTTCAAATGCCTAACAGATATGGTTGTTCTTGACGACTTCAAGACTGCTTTAGATCGGCTGCGAGCATATAAGCTGAGTCGTATGGGCAGCTACTCCCAGGATACCTCCGACCGTCGCGTTAGGAACAACAGTAGCCTCGTCAAAACATGGGAACAAATTGAACAAGAATCGCAAAGACGGCCGGCAGCAACATTTCCGAGTCCCGACGGGGACTATGTCGACTCAGCGCGCTTCCCAGGAATGGAGATCGACCATATACAGTCTATTCATCGCGACTCTGTCGTGTCTCCGGGGTTTCCGCGTCATGACACCTCGGAAAGCAATATAGGGCCGGAGGATCTTGTGCCTAGTGCTCTCAATGCGTCAGATCTTACTCGTATGGAAAGTGCGCATTATCGCGAGATGGAGCGTGATCGTTTTGACCCCGATTGGAGAGCAGGTCGCCTTTCAAACAGAACTACCGAAGGTGATTATGCGCAGGCCCTAAGGGATCTTTCCCGCTCCCGAAGCAATCAGTCCAGAGACCTACCGTCGCCTCGCAACCCCCCTTGAAGACGCATACGGATCGCAACAATACGCATACGAATCCACGAATCATCAATAATCACTTCTTCGCATCATTGGTAAAGAAGGTCCAGTCCTCCACAACCACACAAGAGTTGGTCAGCAGGCCTGCCATAGAGAATGGTGAATCGGTTTAGATACGGGCATTATTAAGTGTACTATCCGACACGAATACTTGCACAAAAACTGCCGAGAAGGAGGATTGAAGAGCATCCATAAACAGGACATTCTACGCGGAAGATCTTTCCGGAACTTTTTCGATGGCTCTGGGTCAGTTTGTTCTGTGCAGAGCAGGGTTCTTGAATTACGATGTTCGAATATTCTTACACCCACTGCTGGGACATTATTTAAAGCCAGGACTAGTGGATCTCACATCTACTCACGATATCTCAAGGGGGATTGAGTTTGGTTATTATGGTTTTTGTAACCTTTGGCCTATGCCGTCCTGTCATCTGCTGTCATCGCTTTGCACACACGCCATAGCGTTTAACTTCGGAGAAATTATCGTCAACCACGAGTTCCCCAGTTCCAAACAAATGAGACGGCAATGCGCATTGCTCGCAATTGCATGTCAGTGGGCCGAGTGTCGATGGCAAAACCCGCCGTTGATCACTTGAAACATCAAACCCTAGTGTCGATCATTAACCAATGATCCCATACAATCATTTCGAAACATCAAGGGACCAGGTCAACGGCATCGACAACCGTCTTTTTGGTAGTGAGTTGCACCCGAAGTAGTTGAGGCCCCGCAAAAATGGGAATTATCGTGAATATAGGGGCGACATAGCGTGCGCCTGGATGCCTTTTGTAAGGAAAGCCATTGCTACCACACGATATGTTGGGTCCTTGTGGTACGGACACCAACTCTATATGGGACATGTCTCCGAACAATGGAGCACCCCACAATTGACATACGTATTGTACATATAAGAAATCTATATATGCCCATCATTGGTAGCCATTCTATCTTATTCATTCGTTTTCTTCTTTGCTTCGACCTTTCTGCAGGCAGTCATTCGTTTTTGTCCGACGACCAATCCTTCATCATGTATCTCTCACAATCGCTCATCCTTTCCTTTTTTGCTAGCCAGGTCGCAGCAGCAGGTGTTGTCGGCGAAGCATTCGGATTCGCAAAGGGAACCACAGGTGGTGGCTCTGCCGAACCCGTTTACCCAAATGATATCAAAGAATTGACCGGCTATCTCACGGACAACGAGCCCCGCGTCATCATTCTCCAAAAGGAATTCAACTATATTGGCAGTGAAGGCGAGGTCACTGAGGATGGATGCCGACCTGCTTCCAACACTTGCCCTGGCAATGGAGGCCAGGACGCAATCAACGGAGCAAACTGGTTCGTCACTCACATATACTTTGGAAATATTGACCATTGTTAATATCTACTTCTAGGTGCAACGGCCAGCCCACTGTTTCCGTCACCTACGACAAGGCTGGAACATCCGCCATCAACGTAGGATCCAACAAGTCCATCGTCGGCGAGGGCACTTCAGGAGTCATTCGTGGCAAGGGTCTCCGCATCGCCAACGGAGCTAAGAACGTCATCATCCAAAACGTCCACATCACGGAGCTCAACCCTCAATACATCTGGGGAGGAGATGCCATTACCATCGTCGGAGCCGGAGGCCAGATCTGGATCGACCACGTGAAGACCTCCCTCATCGGCCGCCAACACATCGTCTCGGGCTATGCTCCCTCTAACGGCATCACGATTTCTAACACTGAGATCGACGGCAACACCAGCTGGAGCGCCAGCTGCGACAACCGACACTACTGGGCCCTCCTCCTCATCGGCCAGGGCGACAAGATCACCTTCCAAAACAACTATGTCCACCACACCTCGGGCCGCTCCCCTAAGGTCGGAGGCACAGGAGAGGGCACATTGCTGCACGCCGTCAACAACTACTTCTACGACAACTCGGGGCACGCTTTCAGCATCGCCGCCGAGGAGAACGGCCGCGTCATCGCGGAGGGCAACGTCTTTGAGAAGGTTAAGAAGCCGATCGAGGATGGCGACAGCAAGATGTTCGCTCCCCAGGACGCCCAGACCGCCGCTGCTTGCGAGAGCCCGCTCGGCTATAAGTGCGAGGTCAATGTTCTCTCTGGCAGTGGCACCTTGACTGGCTCCGAGACCAGCTTCTTGGGCGATGCGAAGGGCGAGGGTGTCACTCCCGTGCCCGCCAGCGAGGTCGCCGCAAGCGTCAAGGCGAATGCTGGTGTTGGCAAGCTATGAGTTACACGATGAAGCATGAACGTCAAGTCACAAAAAGGAGTGGAGGGACAAGCAGTCGAAGACGACGACGAAGGAGTTCAATTCTTGTATATAGCATTTTGACAATGCCAATTATTTCCACAACACCGCCGTGCTCACGGCACTTTCAAACTCAATTCTCCATCTTCGAACACTGTTGATGTCGTATCCGCTCCTCCCCCAGGACCTTTCTCCTTCAGGACTCCATGGTCCTCAGCTCTCCCCAGAAGCCCAGAAGTGATTCCATGCATTGGTTTCCGTCTCTGGCCCAAGCTATGTCGTGCCGGATCAAATGAACCATAAAAAGCCGTCGTAATATTCGGCTTCGCCCTCGCCGTCCCTATCGTAGATCACTGCAATGACACGGCGGTCGGGCTCCCTCATTTGCCGATCGACAACGTCCGCAGTTCGATAGACAATGCTAACAAACTAGCAGGTCAACGCCATCACAAGGGCCATTTCACTCATGTCCATGATGGTGGGAATTGAGAAGTTCATTTCCGAGATTTGCTTTTGCTTGACGAGGAGCGTCTTGCTGGTTGAAGGTGGGATTGGAGATGGAAGATGATTTTCTTCCTTGTTTTGCTTGAAGAGGATCGTCCTGCTCGTTGAGGGTGGGAGCAGAGGTGGAAGATGATTAAGATGATTTTCTTCCTTGTTTTTGCTTGAAGAGAAGCGTCCTGCTGGTTGAGGGGGTGGGAGTAGAGATGAATGATGATTTTCTTCTTTGCTTTTTGTGCGGACTGTGTGATTGCTCTACTCCTCTTCTTAGGCAGCACGTGTGGCTTCTGGTATTGGAAAGGTTTCGGTTGGATGGGTCTGCATTGCCGTGCTCTGAGACAGATGGAGATAGCGCGGAGAACCGCATGCATTCACTGCCAAAGCACAAACAAATCTATCGGTAGAACAACGACTAGAACCAACACAGTCAAATGGAAGTTTCGATATGTTAACATTAAATGAAATCTCGGACCTTCCCGCAGTCTCTAGAACAATCGTTTGACACGCAAAGAGTGCACTCTGTCATCCATAGCCGCCTCAACTCAACCCGCCCATTCTTTGCACACTCAAGCGATAGCGCACAAGACTCACGCTTTTATGTCTTCCTCAGAAATCGCACAATTTCTATGCCCCGTGCGCTCAGTGCGCTCCCATTGTCCACACCATTTAGAGCTAAATCCGTCCGTGAACAAGACATTCCCTCCCACGTGTATCAGCCTAAGGACCCGTGCACACCTCACCAACCCTCTATAAAAACTCCCGTTAGGAAACAAAACACCTGGAAACACAAACACAAACATACCTCCCCCAGTCATTCCCTCCTCTGTCAAGTTCTGCTGTTACTAGAATAAATAACCCACAAACCCCACCCTCATTTTTCTCTTTTCATTCCAAGCACATACACATCCCCAACCCATCATCCTCTCCCCACCCAAGACCAACGACAAAAGAAGGTAGAGTGTTCCGAGAGACTATCGAACAACAATTCAACCCTCAAAAAGAAAACACTACGACAAACCCCTCCGAGGACCAACAGCCAACATGAGGAACATCCTCACCTTCTCCGCCTTAGTCGTCGCAGCCGCCATCTTCTACGCGGGCCCCGTCCAGACGTGGAGTGATGTGCCGTGGGAGTTGATTGTCCCCGTTGGCGGCGCGTTCTTTTGCTTGGTGATCGGATTCTTGGTTCGGGTTCCTGGGTACGAGGACCGCGGCGATGGTGACGGTGACGGTGAAGGCGGCAGGCGGGAGGGGGAAGGGGAAGGGGAGCGAGAGCGGGAGGTAGATGAAGAGACGTTCGATGCGGAAGATGCTGGGAGTGGTGTGGGTGATCTGGAGTTGGAGGTTGGAGGTCCGCAGGATGGGTCTGGGAAAAGTGCGGAGAGGAAAGAGGGCTTGGATAGGGAAGGGAAGGGGGCTGGGAAGATGAGGAAGGAAGAGAGTGTGGAGAGGGAGGTTGCTGCGAGTGAGGAGGTGTCGATGACGACTGGGGTACACAATCATGGAGAGGATGTGATGGTTCATGTCGATGGCTCACATGGGAAGGCGCGATTGGAAAGGGAATACCACGAGGGCCATGAAGCTGACGAAGATCACTGCAACAACGGCAAATATGAAGATGATGAAGAATACTACGAGGACGATGAAGACTTCTACGACGAAGGCGAGGACGAACAATGGGACGAAGTCTCATTGGGGCCCCCCAGTTCCCCCAACATCCTCCGGGAGGCACCACTCCCGTCCCTAAACTTCACGCCCAACGCCAATCCAACAAATCCATCATCAGCATCAACGAAAGCAGCAAAGCAGAAAAATTGGCTCCATCGCCTTCCACCATCCACGCCAATTGCCAGCTCATCACCCCAACCGGAAGCCGAAGACATCGACAACACTTTCCCCCGCACGGGCGGCGGTCGTCCCTTGAACGCACCCCTCCCAGCCATTCTCGACGGGCCCCGCACAGGTCGGCCTTCATCCCCGGGATACCAGACGCCGTATTCCAAGGCGGGATTCGCGGCCGCTTCAACTTCGAGTGCCAGGTTCGCCAGTCTGGCGCGCACAAGGCCAGATGAGTTTGTGAGGCTGCAGAGGGAGGGGATGATTGATGATAGGGGGGAACCAACGGCGAAGTGGAATGAGCATTTGGAGAGGGGGAGGAAAAGGAAGAGGACAGGCGCAAGCGCAAGCTCGAGTTCGAGGTCGAAACGGAAGGCTAAAGACGATGGTGCATCGCGTACTGTGTAGTGCGTTGAGGGAAGAACAGCCAGGGGAACCGGAGAGCAACAGGCCAGCTGGTGATATAACAAATCGTCTGGGGCGTGAAAAGATACCCGCTGCATATTCCGGTTCATTTACAGGCGTGATTTCGATTTTCCTTCTTCAGGGTGTCATCTGTTCGGCGGGTTAGAGAAAAACTATCATACTGTGCAATACGACTTACTTTCGTAACATATCTGTTCCATCCCATATGCCTCCCATTCCTGATTGCCATTTCATGGGACTTGACGAGCAAAACTAAACCTCATCATCATCCAACTCGTCCAACTCATTCGTCTCGTCCATCTCATCCAACTCATCTAATTCATTCGTCTCATCCAACTCATCTAATTCATTCGTCTCATCCAACTCATCCCACTCATTCGTGTCATCCAACTCATCCCACTCATTCGTGTCATCCAATTTGACCCTAATAAACTCAACCCCGACCTGAAGATAAACGCCGTAGACCCAAAGCTTGAAAAAGTGCCCCCATACCAAGTGCTCGTACACGATCAGGCACAGCACGGCGATGATGGCGAGGGTGATTACGAGGGCCATCCAGATGAGGATCCAGTATACGATCCGGAAGATGGGTCTAGATAGGCGGGTGATGATTGAAGGAGGGGACATCTCCACGTCCGCGTCTAGAGGCAAGACAGGTATATGATTCATGTCGTGCTTGTAGCAAAGGATTTTCTTATTGCAATATGATGGTGACAATGATGATGACGATGATGATGAGATGTCGATTAGGTAGCGATGAGATGAATCGATCGTATGTATATATGTACATGCATTTCTACTATTCCTCCGGAGGGTCGAACACATAGTAGAGCGTGAATGTTGAGGCCTGTATTAGGTTCCATGGTTTGGGGTTCATAGTTCCTCTGGTACGTTTCGATATTGGTAAATAAATTGCAGTTCGTGGCATATTGGAGAAGTATCGTCGGTGTGTGTTGGGTCGCGGAAGCCTCCGATGCAACTTTTTTATGTGGTCGGTACCAGCTAACAAAGAATCCGTACCTGAATAGGACTGTTGGGGGCAGTATAAAGACAATAGACCGCCTTGCACCCTCGGAAATTATTCGCTCCCAGACACTGAATATTTTTCGGATTTTCATACAGCGGTTTTTTGCATTGGAGGTTAGTTGAAATGGCTTTGCCTGTTGCCCAAGTCATCGCTGAGTATTTCACAGGCGAACCCTACACAAGCATCAAAATCATCATCGCGAACAAGACATCAGCGATAGAATCCATCAAGAACAAACGGCCCAGACACCCACACATACATACACACTACATCCGGACGACGCAGCCATGATGGATGACGATTCAATATCCACAATAATCGGCACCGTCTTCGGGGTTCTCGCCATCGCCGCCCTGGTCTACACCATGCACCAAATAACGCGTATGCCCGCACACTTCGACGAGGAGAGTGGGCGATCAACGTACAGAGGAGCTGCGAGGGTGCACCAGATGAGATATCGCGACAACGATAGGAGTCGGAGGAATGGCTCGAAAATCGAGATGAGGGATGACCTCCCTTGGGGGGCACAGGGGCAGGATCTAGGCGTGCGTAGTCAAAGGTGAAAAGATCGTGGGATGAGGCGAATCAGAGGGGAATTTCGGACCAGGTCAGCTTTAGGAAATTTGGTTATATTGGATCTGAATGCTCGTTTCAACATCTCAATAATGGAAAGGAGATAAAATTGGGGGTATCGATGTTGCAACGAAACTTATTTTAGCTCTGATACAGAGTCTCACCTAAATGACCTGGGAGTTCCTTCCAAGGCCTCTTCTCACATGCCATACGCCAGACCTTCTTTACTGACCCACGAATCCTCTGAATGTGATCATCATAAAATGCCAAAAGGACGCCGGAATTTGACACCTCCGATAAGTTAGCCCTACTTCGATCGGTTGAAGTCGCCTTTGGGGGTATCTGTAAATCATCTCATGCCATTAGCTATGAGGGTTGCTTGCCTGCTTGGAATTAGCCATCACTCGACAACGGTGGAGGTCTGCTCTGCTTCCCTCGAACCACCCCGAGCGAGGCTATCCGCTGCGGTGTTCCCCGCGTTATCTGCATGACCCTTGATCCATTGAAATTTCGTGCGAGCACCGGCCATCTCTCTTTCCCGTATACGGGCAATCACCGGTTCGACGAGGTCCCTATTCTCCACCGGCTTTCCGCCGCTGGTCAACCATTTGCCGTTCTTCTCCCACCTTTGGAACCACTCGGTCACGCATTTGATGGCGTAGTTCGAATCACTGTAGATGAGTACCTCTTTGTCAATTGGTGCTAGCTCGACAGCCCGCTTGATTGCAGTCAACTCTGCTCGCTGGTTGGTAGGCTTTGGCTGAAGCGGGAGCGGCTCTGAAAGATTTCTGGACCAATTCAGTAAGTAACAATCGGTATTAGGTCAAGAACACGGACCTGGGATCCTGTGGGCCGAAGTAGACGCCAATGCCTCCTACAGCTCCTACACGGCCATTTCCAAGCGTACTGCCGTCAGTGTAGATCACAAGGGGACCGGTGAAGTTGCCTGTTGGCTGTCGCATCGTCCTATTCAACTGTTCCTCCGTCTTGTACTCTATCTGCCCAGTGAGTGGGTTGAGCATGAGCCTGCGGTCGAATCCGTCCTCCGCATCTGGGGGAAGTGGTCCTTCTCCAGGTTCATAAGTTCCATTGATGATTGCGATCGGGCCGCGGGCCGTCTTCTTCCTCTTCGCACCGTCTCCTATCTTGCTGCCATTTCGGACGTCCGCTAGAGACGGTTCTGAATCGAATTCACCCTTAATGCTTGTCGTCGAGCCGGGGCCGTTGCTGGCGGAGGCAGACGCTGTCCCAACCTCGTTGTTGACGAAACTTTCAGCCTCCTCTCGCGTATTGAACTTGTGATGTTTCACGCCTTTCTGCCCGTGGATGTGAGGCTTCGCTTCGTCCCAGCTGGTATAGATTCCTTGTCCAGGGCCACCGCGAACTGCGTAGAATCGAACTTGGCCGTCGGTAGGTGTTTTGGGCTTTGGCACACCGTCGCTTGCGAGGAATGCTTCGGCCTCGGCGAGTGTGTCGAATCTCTGCTGGTAAGAGTTGGGGAAACCTTTGATTTGTTCTTGCACATCCGACCAATTCATGTAGATGTCTGGCTTCCAGCCCCGCTTGACTACATAGTATGATACGGTGGACCTCTTGCGTTTCTGGCTCGAGGTGCTCGTTGCGACGGATTTGGGGCGGTTCATGTTGCGTGAGAGGTGGATGAATGGAAGAGTTGGATGAAGGGCGGGCGCGAGTGAAGCAAGAGCTCGATGATGTGAGGGTGTTGGCGAGCACACCAGAGGCGATGTTTTGTGCAGGAGCAGTGCTGTGGAGTTGACGTGGTTGGTGTAACCGTTCCGTGTGCTATGTGAGTGTTAGTGTTAGCAATGCGGATAGAGAGCGAGACAGCAGGTTGGTAGCATACCGTGTAGCGGCAAACAATGGACGAAATGCTGGCATTAACAGTTTAGAGGTTTTCAGAAGTCAACCATGCCCTTGTCTGGAGTGGGAGTAGAGGGAGCGGCGGGTTGTACGCGGTCCGAGTTGTGGCTGCGGAGCGTGGGGGAAGGTGGAGGTGAAGGTATCTCGTCGCGGTGGTGGTGGATGATTGGGAAGAGATTCGCGAGCTGTAATTCGGCGGTTGCCCCCTCCCCCAGTCACCAGTCAACACAACAAGGCACATAGAGTAGCCCGGGCCAGCACCGCACCAGCACCAGCATCACCAGCAGCAACGGCCAAAGTATCTTTGGCAAAGGCATACCCAGGTAGATATGTATCAAGATATTGAAATGATTTTTGCTTAGAGATTTTTGTTTTTCCAGGTAGATACCTAGGTAGGTAGGTAGGTAGGTAGGTAGCTTGCCACATTGCTATCTACAGTACATACATCAAGACAGCTTCGCAATTCCATTTTAGTACCGCCCAAACCTTCGATGATAGCATCATATCATAACTATCTTACACAGAGCATCTACAATGTAGTTTATCACCCCCTTTCAGCCCCGTTCAGTGCATTCCAATCGAGTTCATGAGCTTCGGAGATGGGAGCATCAAAAACATAACGGTACGTGCACCCAGCATATTCACCCAATCACAGGTATAATTGCAAGTCTCCCATTTTCCAGCAGTTATCCTCCTGTGCTCCTGCACTCCCTCTATTAGATTTGCCCAGACGGAGAAAGGGGGAAGATCCCATCTAGGTCATGGCTCATGTGAGCCATCGATAGTGGTGAGCAATGACCCGCAGGTTTGGAGACAGCATGGGGAATGCTATGAATGCTATGAAGATGATATGCGGCGAATTTGGCAGAGATGCGGGACAAGACCTCGGCGGCGTCTCGCTACCCAAATCCGTACAAAAGCAGGCACAAGACAGGACAGAACAGGTCTGAACATACGAAGTACCAACCACCACGGTCATCACCACTGCCAGTCCACTACTACCGCTACCACCACACACCACCACTAACAGCCATCATTAATTATCCATTGCACTGCGATCACAAGGGGGCCCTCGCACGTCATTCGGGAGAGTGACTCGCTAATCACCACCTTCCACGGCGCATAGCTCGCTGAGGTTTGTTGCACCTCAGCTACCACCTTACACAGTACAACGCACATTTGTGCTCTACTATACGGGTACTGTACCATACCATAGACACCTGGTCCGGCTCGCATGGGTGGGTTTGGCAGATAGTAATTACTCCGTAACGAACGACCTGCAGCTGCAAGAACAATGTTCGAGGTAAATGGATTCAAACGTCCGAAGACGGCCTCCGCGAGAGCATTCCATTGAAAGCGCAGTTTAGGGACGACACGCCGCCGACAGATATCAGCTACGGCTCCATAGAGCCCGGTCAGTAGTTCTGACCAGCAGTGAGCTGGTCGAGATTCGGGTAAGCTGCCAGCGCGCATATGCTGCTGCGTCTGCATCTTTCTTTCCTATCTGAAGTTCGCATCAGCATCGTTGTCGTTGTCGTTGTCGTTGTCGTTGTCGGATTCATCATGATCATCGCTGAAAGCTGGGGCGTTGTAGGCCGCACAGAGGACGTTCGAAGGAGCGTACATCCGCACCGCGATCGGGCAGTTCAGCTTCGCGCTCATCGTGCTGAAGATCTTCACTGCGGAGTTCTATTCCATCGGCGCCCTGTTCGCCGTGTACGGAGCGGGTATTCTCTTTACGAGTTTGTTCCGCCGGCATGAAGGTTGGTGACCCTACCTACTACCTACCTACCCAGCTCTCCGCGCCGCCACAGAGCTGCTGCACCACCTACCAAGACCCTACTTTCAATCTACTGACCACGGCGGCATATTGTAGGAAACAAGCAGTTCTTCTCCGAAGTGGGCGAGGACGGATTGCACCGCAAGAAGTTCAGAACGAGCGGGAATGTGGTGTCTGTCCTCACAGCGCTGAGCATAGCAGCCTACGTGTGTCTGCTCGTGCTCACGCTCAAGCTTGGTTCCTAAAGTGGAAATGCTTGCGGATTCAGGACTGCGACAATGCACATTTTCCAAACGAAAATGCGCTGAGATAGTCATGTTTGTTATCTTTCTGTATTTACTTTTTCCCTTTTTCTTCGTAGTTGGGGCTGTAGTTGGTAGGACTCAGGGAGCTCAGGAGAAGAAGAAGCCTTGCCAATTCAACATTCTTGTCGTTTGCCTTCCCAGTACAGTCTACTTTCGTACTATGTATCTATTGATCTGCAAGCGCGGCGTGTCTTAGCTTTCATTTGTATAATGCTTCACGCAGAGTGCTTAACGCTGGGAGGGATGGATTGGGCACCGTGTCCTCTGACTCTTCGCCTTTGCCGGCGTGGATTCTGGGGATGGCGAAGGGCAGGTGCAGCATCCAAGTGTACTCAGATTGCAGCCAAGGGCTTGGTCGTAGTACTCGTCGTAGTAGGTGACGTCGGGTTGATGGACAGTTCTCCGTCTCCGGGAGGCGGAGGGGACGGGGGAGGTTACCGGCCATGGGGCTATGGGCCCTGGGGTATGATGGGACGGGGTATTGGCGGAGAGGGGGACCGTTGAACAGAGAGGAATGTTGTTGGCATGGAACAGAGGAGAGGAGGAAGATACTATTAGTGATAGTATTTTATTTGATTTTATTTGGAGGTATGATGTACCTGATAGATCTTGTAACATCTTGTTACTCTTCACCGATGTGCCTAGAACTTAGAAGGCTGGAGGCAAGCAAGTGTAGCAGACGGGGTGAGCATTGGGGGGAGGGAAAGGGCGTGTGCGAACGATTGGATGCCAGGCCCATGTCCAGCTTGGTGAGAGAGTATACGGGCAAATCCCAGACGCATCCGGACAGTATCTACCAGTATCAGGATAGTCCACCTATCTTTACGGTGGTGCTGATGCTGATGAAGATCTTGAAGATGATGCCAGCATGATATTACCATCATTGCAGTTGCCGAGAGATAGTGAATGACTGTTTTCACATTTGATATTACTGTGATCTGTGGTCTGTGATCTGGGGGGGGTGTGAAGGACCATGACAGGGCGACGGCGATGGCACACCCACGCTGGATATTCATTCAAACCCTTCATAACTAAATAAACACATCTAACTATACACAGTATACACGTTATTACATGCATTCATTCATACGGGTACATACACTACATGCTACATGCTACATACTACCATAGGTAGATCCAACTATATTCTCGTACTCACACTTGCAACCACACACACCCTCTCACATACCCAATACATTCACCGACCATTCAACTCTCTATAAAGCTGTGCTCGCTCTCTCTCTCTCACTCACTCTCTTTCAGCCTCCCCTTTGTCTCACTCCCTGATAACGACCAAGAACATGCCTCACCATTTGCACAGGCTCCCCTCCACCCACTTTGTCCGTTATCAGGTATCGATGCTCTGTCTGATACAGTGATACACACCTTATCCCCCATCCCCCATCCTTCCTACTCAGTACATTCCAACAGCTCAACAATTCTTCCTCTTCCTCCTCTTCGTTACTTGTTGGTCACTTCGCCCCACCTACCTATCTAAGAACATAGGTAATCTTGTTGTTGACTTCCCCGTACTCCTCGACCAAACGCACTCACAATCTCCGGCCTACGATTCCTACTCACCCACCTACCACCTACAAGTGAGAGCATCGTACACCACCCGGGGCCGGGTCCGGTCCTGTACTGTGCTGTACAAGTGCTCTCTCTCCACGTTCACCACTCTACACTCTACTCGTACCTAATTACTGGAGATACCTACCTAGGTAATTATCCCTCCGAACCGTCAGCGCGCCGTCGTCATCGGCCGTCTTTCTTGCTCCGCATCCCTCTACTATACTACTCGTACCTACGACCGGGGCGGTCCATCCACCTACGAGTACGACCACCACCACCCACCAGGGCCAAAGACCACATCACCTGTCGCTCGCCCTACTTCTTTCCTGACTTTGGCCCGGGTCAACTCCTATTTACCACTTGACTCTGACTCTTACTCTTATCTTAATTCTGACTCCGGCTCCGACTCTATCGTACTTCAACCCTTTTCTTCGCTTTCACCTTTCGACAGTCACACCATTACTCCGTGCCTACCTTCCTACCTACCTAGGTATTTATTATTGTTGTCGAGCGCACCGCACAGAAGACAGCCCATCAGCATCAGCAAAGGACAACACCATTGACATCTGATGACTACTGTGTACGGGAAGCATATAATAATCCTCAAATACTTCGGGTTGCCGCATACGGATTACGGAGTACTCCAGCATCCGGTCGAGCTAAGCACCACCACCAACATCACAGCACAGCCAGAGTTGCGCCGGGAAGTGGGTGTAGACTTGCGCCTCTCTCAAGCTTGTCCTCAACCGATCACAAGGAACCATTACGACGTACGAGTACCTCACTACCTGGCAGCTAGCGGTACCTGAAAAGGAACAATACCATCAAGTTTTTGCGCTGCGCAGGGCAGGTTCAAACCAATACCAGACGCATACTTCCACGCCTACCTCAAGGCTAATTGTTTAGTCCAACCAGTCCTCCAACCCCCATTCACAGATCATCCACCCAGATTCAAAATCCAAGACAAGTAACTAGTCAACTATTACTTGTAGCGATAGGCGGGAAGGAAGCAGCCAAACCAGGGTACTCTGAACTAAAAACCCCCCGGCCGAAGCGAAAATCGAAACGTGCAAGATCCTGCGAAACGTGTGAACCAAAATCGGCCGGCCAGTCACAGCCTCACGGTCAGGCTAGTCTCCTTCTAGCCTCTCAGATATTTCTCGGACTAAACACACAAGTTACAAACCAGCATTTCAATATCAACTGAATAACTATCCTACCAGAAAGCATTTTCAACTCACTCTCGATCGAAATTCCTTGCTTACCAACCTCTTCCTTTGGTTGCCAGAGACAAAAAAAAAACCATTCACACTGCACCTCGTCAGTGTGCGACGGGACCAACAAACATCCGAGTGCATCAACCCTTTTGTGGAGGAGGGTACATTATAGTTGACACTAAATGACAGCCCTGCCGATGGTCGCCGTTCCTGGCGATACGAACAGCATACCTTTACCAGTAGGAACAGACCTCCCGGTAGAAATTATCAGCTTCCGACGCACTATTACTCCCAGTACTTGTACCTGTACAGGTCACGGTCACAATCACGGTCACAGTCACAGTCATAGTACTTGTACGGGCACAAGCGCAAGCACAAGCACAAATAATAATACAACTGCGTCACTACCACTACCAATACCGCTATCGCAACCACCTTCGCCTCCGCCATCACTGCCACTCCGATCCAGATCTAGATATAGTAACCCCTCCACTTCTTCTTCCGCGTCCACTTCACCTTCTTCTTCAACCTCTTCCTCGCCCTCCTCTTCACCAAAGAGACGATCCAGCGCCACCCACTCCATCATCGCCAAAAACCTTCTCATGAGAAATCTCAACAACCCGGTTCTGGCACATACGGCCCGCCACAACATGAGCGGATCGGATGTGCCCCGACCTGCCTCTGCGCAGCCGTTTCTACCGACCAACAGCACCTCCGCGCCCACCTCCGCGCCCGCGACGTCAACCTCTGCACATGCGCCTGTGCCTGCCTTCTCCCTCACATCCAACCCCACCGACCTCAAGAATCCCATTTCAGCGTTAAGAGATTCTTCTACTACTCCACATAACCATCCAATCCATCACCATTCAGATGTCAAAGGAAAACCTTTGCCCTATGTCGCCTGTCACAACGGACATGGCCCTGCCATAGCGAAAGACGGTGTCGGCGCTGCCCTCACAGACACGCCCATGTCGTCAACTCCAGGAAGCCCGCGCATGTGAGTCACGTCCCCACAAATCTCAATTCCAGTTTGAGTCTTTGTCTTTCCCTTTCATTCTTCTTATCCATGCTAGCAAGAGTTGAATTTGCAACTAACATTTAATTCTTTCAGGTCTGCCATCCGAATGAATTCTTCGAATTCGACGCCGCGCATTCGTCCCACCACCCTCGATATCCCCGGGCTCACCAAGTCAAAGGTTTCTCCCGACGGCAAGATCGCACAGCGGGATGTTGGATCAAAACTCGTCATCGTCATGGTGGGTCTGCCCGCACGTGGCAAGAGTTACATCACAAAGAAGATGACGCGCTATCTTAATTGGCTCCAACACGACACCAAGATCTTCAATGTCGGCGAGAAGCGTCGTACCGCTGCGAGCGGTCACGGATACCGCCTGTCATCGGTCAGTCGCTCGGCAGAGGCAGATGCTCTGAATGACGGTTCGCAAACCCTTCCGCAGATCGCTGCAAAGCTTTTGATAAATGGTGGCTCCTCTTCGACAAATGAAGCACTATCCCCACTCGATATCGGAATTTCTGCACGCAACCTCCCCGAGGATGCCCTACAGGAGGTCGAACCCATACCGCGGGTGGTGGTGAACTCGCCGGGTCCTCAAGTGCCCACTCCGCCCAAGAAGGACGAACAGGCGCAGGAAGAGAATGGTGGGGAGGAGGACGACGATACGTTGGACCAGTCGGCGAACTTTTTCGACCCCACCAACAAGAAGGCAGCCCAGCTCCGAGAGCAATGCGCAATGGAGACTCTCGATGATCTGCTCGACTACATTCTCTTCAACAATGGTTCCGTCGGTATCTTCGATGCTACCAACAGCACTCTCGCCCGGAGGAAGCAGATCATGGAGAGGATACGGCAACGGGCTGGCCCAGAATTGAACGTCCTCTTCGTCGAGAGTCTCTGCCAGGACCCGACCTTACTTGAGTCAAACATGCGATTGAAGCTCTCCGGTCCGGATTACGAGGGTAAGGACCCCGTAGCGGCCTTGGAGGATTTCAAAAAGCGCGTTGCCATCTACGAGAAGAACTACGTTCCGATCGGAGATTACGAAGAAGACAACAACATGCCTTTCGTCAAGATGGTCGACGTCGGTCGCAAGATGATCTCGCATCAGGTAAAGGGTTTCCTTGCCGGCCAGGCCGTTTACTACCTCCTCAACTTCAACCTGGCTCCGAGAATGATCTGGATTACTCGCCACGGCGAATCCGAGGACAACCAGGCCGGCAAGATCGGCGGCGATTCCAGTCTCAGCCCCAACGGCCAGAAGTATGCCCAGGCCATGACCAGGTTCATCGACAAGCAGCGTAGCATTTGGGAGGTTCACCAAGCTGACAAGGCCGCTCATACCCATTTCCCCCCGGTTCCTGGCGATCATACCCCGCCCAATCCTTACTACGACGCCGGTGTCGAGGCGAAGAATTTCTGTGTGTGGACTTCCATGCTCAAGCGTAGCATCCAGACGGCTGAGCACTTCTGTGAGGAGGATTACGATATCAAGCAGATGAAGATGCTTGATGAGCTCAACGCTGGAATCATGGAGGGACTGACCTACGAGGAGATTAGGACTCTCCACTCAGACGAGTACGAACGACGCAAACAGGACAAGCTGGCTTACCGCTATCCGGGACCTGGAGGCGAGGGTTATCTCGACATCATCAACCGTGTCCGGCCCGTCATCGTCGAGCTGGAGAGGATGACTGACCACTGCCTTTTGGTCACTCACCGATCCGTCGCGCGTGTGCTCATCGCCTACTTCCAAGGTCTGAAACGAGAAGACGTTGCAGATCTCGACTGCCCGCTTGGTCTACTCTATCAACTTGAGCCCAAGCCGTATGGAGTCGAGTTCAAAGCCTGGCGCTACAATGCGGAACTCGACGACTTTGAGTACGTCCCCGACTATAAGCTACGACGAGCGACTTCTCACCACGCTTAATTCCGGGCCTGGACGATTCCATTCCATCCACTGTATTACAATACCCAACTTTCTACCACTTCGCATGTTTTGCGTTGTTTTTCTGCATGACCATTTCATCATCATCATTTTCACTGCATATGTACCAAAACGACAACAACGGCGATGAATGCAGGCCGCCTGATGCTTGTTTCTCAGTAGACGACTTTACCTCATTACTGCGTTGATGACTACCTATAGATAGCATTTGTCGGCGCACATGGGAGGGCATGACTGAGAGACCACAGCATTGATCCAGTCCTCTTTGTTCTTAGACCATTCATCCGTGTATTGTTTTTCTTCTCCTTTTCTTTGGCACTTGGCGTTCTATCTCAGCGGGTTTTGAGTCCGGTTCTCTCTCGATCTTTCCATCGCCGCAGCTTGGCCCAGTGGGCAGGATCATGCCCCAATCGACTGGCCGACGGGGTGGCGGGTGGATCGATTCTGTGCGTGCGTGCGTGCGTGCGTGCTCGCTTGCTCATCTGCTTGCTTGCCTGCTTGCCTACTTGCTTCCTTTCTATGGTTTGGCGTTCCATCTTGCTTCCATTGGCCGGCGTTCCATTCCGAGCTGGCGTTTCATTTTGCCGGGTCCTTTTTTTCTCGTCTCACTTCGGCAGGAGGACGGTCAATTCGTATACCTACTACACTTGATACGATTCTTACTCTTCTCTTTTCTCTTTTCTCTTTTTTTGGTGCTTTGGGCCAATGGGTGACGATGATTGCCTGTGCTGGGGCTGGCTTAGCGATAATTCACAAAAGGAGATTGGAAATAAGACGTCTTTATCTTCATCCTTTTGTACCTGACTGTGCATGATGTGACTTGACTTGACTTGACTTGACGGAGGTTAATAACACAGAAATAATGTATCACACTTCCCTAAAACCCTCGCCGTCTTCCTCTTAATCATCTCGTAGCACACAGTGAGCGGTACCATAACAACCACCACCAACCAGCCCCATCTATGCCACGAACTCCACCCACCTCCTTTCCCTCTCCTCTTACCCACTCATAACGACATGGACACATCATCGGTCACACGCATGTTCAGCATTAAAGAGCTTGAATGTGGTTTCTCTTCATGCTATATACTGTCGATCGATTGAAAGAGATTCGGGTTTGGATGGGCGAACAGAATGGATTGTTCAACGGGTTGTACGATCTAGGTAGTACGAACCTACTACTTTTGTTTTGTGTGTATGTGATGCAGGGTGGTGAAGGTGAACATGAACGTGAACATGATGGTGAACATGAACGTGAACATGAAGATCATCGTGAGGATGAACGTGAACGTGAACGTGAAGATCAAAGTGAGGACAATAGTAAAGATGATGGTGAAAGTAAAGACAAGAGTGAGTAGGGAAGTAGGATACTGTTTCAAGTAGAAAAGATGCTAGGAGGGGGTTTAACACGTAAATGTAGGCAGCCAGCTTGCACTTTTTAATTTAGAATAGAGGTTAGACTAAGAGGTATGTTATTTCCTACACTATTCTCTGAAAACAATCTAGATTCATCCTCTCCCCTTTGTTGTAAACTCTGCTTTTAGTCCTTGACTCTGTAACCTAGCTTAATTCAAGTATCAATTTATACTCGTCTTTCCCTCTCCTACGCTACTACCACTCAGTGTTAATAAATATTTAGCCAAATTTCTTTGAGGATCCTTTGGTTGGTTCAGTCTGTAAAGGTCCTCTGTAATGATGTTAAAGGTCGCCCGTTTAGTTTCGTCGTCTCCAATTTCGTCGTCATGGACGCATGTCCACATCTCCTACTAGTGTAGGGACATGGACACTTCTCGTAGTTACTTCTTTAGTTGGACTCTTTATGCAGCACCGCTGCCGCTGAGAAACTCGACATTGCTGTCCTCGTCCCATCTTTCGGCCTTGGCTCGTTCCATGCCGTGCGTGACTCTAAAGTGGCAGTTGTTGCCATACTGGCAACTTCCTACGTCTCTTTCGTGGGAGCACTGGTGTCCAAGGTCTGATTTGTGTCGGGTTAGTAATAGTAGAGGTAATTGCAAACTATTGCCCTTCTGAGGATAGGGGAAGTGCTCACAGCAGTCGAAGTTCTCGCAGCCGCGATCTTTGCATAGGAGCTGGCGGGTCTTATAGCGCAGGGCGTTGAGCTCGGAGGTGCTGAGTTTCGGCTCGTGTTGGAATCGACAGGATGTACCACTGGGACACTGGCCTCGATTCAAATGCCAATTGTTACACAGGTTACGGCCGGTCTATTCACGTTATCAACTTCAAGGTCACACCTTTGGTCATCGCCATGCCGGGATCAGTCTTACCTCGTTCATGCGTCGAGTGAGTGCGACGGAACCGTTTTCATCCCTTGGAGGAAGAGGCTCGTCCAACCGCTGACCATTCTTGTTATAATAAATATATTTTTTCTTTTTCTGACCTTTAGTCTGGAGGGATATGGTATTTCCACTTGCTCCGTTCTTTCCCACAGTGGCCCACGTTGAGTCGACTGAGCCAGACCTTGAAGCACTCACAGCGGGACTTGCTGGTTGGACAGGCGATGGTTGAACAGGGGCGGATTGAACAGGGGCTGGCTGAACAGAGACAGGACTCTGTCTTTTCGGGATTGGAGTCTGTACCTCAGGCCCCGGTGAAGCAATTCCGGACTGGGCGTTGCCGTTTGATGCGGTTCTCAATACCGTATGTGGCACAGCTGGTTTAAGAGGTGGGACATAGTCAGGAAGGGGATTTGTTCTGAAGACGGCATCGAAACGGGCGCGGTGAAAGTTGGGCAGTTCCGCGAAACCGCGCGCAGGCTCGGTTGACTCAAGCAAGGTAATGCGGGACGCCTTGGTCAAATCGTGTTTGTATTGATCTAGATTAAGGAGATAGCCGGAATCATGAGATCCCGCGAAGATGATGTGCTTGCAGGTGGGATTGTCACCGAATGTGCGAAGCATTTCTAATTGGCAGGCATTAGCAGAAAGAAAAGGAAATGGCGTTGCTCAGGTCGTCACCTTTGATCCGATAATCGGCTCGCTCCTTCCCTTGACCGACATCTATAATACTGAATAGTGGTTGGTTGACTCCGAATGACTGGGCAAATGCGCGTAGCTCTGTGGGGTGTCTGAGGAGCAAAACACTGGCGAGCTTTTGTGCCAGCTTGTCCAGGCTGACGTAGACATGCACCATTATTGGCCACTTCCTGGAGATGCCACCGTATAACGATTCCACGTGTTGCTGGATGGAAGCCTGCAGTTTAGAAGCGGCTTCTGATCCGCCATCGGCACCAGCCTTAAGCAATAGATCTTGAAACTATGAAGTGTGTCAGTCAGCCGTTCAGCCTTGCTGGTACAATGGGCCTGCGAATAGTTTCTTACAATAAATCCATCACCATCAATCAAAGCCAATACAAAATTGGAACTTTCCTATTCTAATTAGTGATTTGCTGCACTGGAATTCGCATCGTGGTTTCTCACTAAACTATTTCGAAGCTGGGTCGTCTCTAGCTCGAGGGCTTTCTTTTCAAGATGATAAGCACGACGGACTGTCTGTTCACTGTGGAAATCATCCTTTAGAATGGTATGCTCTTCCAGGAGATTTCTATACTTTTGGATGAGGTCCTAGAAAGATTCAGCAAGCATATTCCCAGTGCGATAGCGGCGGTGCAGAACCCACAGTCACGAGCTGATCTCGAGCCTCGTCTGAGCGCCTGAAGCTTTCAAGCTTGAAGGCGTAGTGGTCCAACTCGCCCTGGTATGAGTTGCTAAATTCTACCATGACGGGCTAGTAAACATATGGATACTCTTCTATTTGCAATTGGGAAGAGCCTCGTAAGTTAGGTAGGTATTTTAGGAAGGGAGGAAGAGATGGCGTTGAAAAAGAGGGGGTTTGCAAGGCAGCAAGTGTGCTCAGCTGGGAAGGTCCCAAGAGCAGAACTTATTCAGCGAATGCGAGGCTTTCCGTTACACAACGCCCAAAGTTTGATCGTTTATGAGGTGGCAGGTTACAAGGAACATTGGTTATCTATCCGTACTTTAAGAAAGGTGGAATCGAGCGGAAGGTCAGCAGCAAGTATGCTCGCTGATTATTTGCATTTGTTCTGCACGAGCCAACGTTTGAAGCAGGAATGATTCCCACGTCTGTGGTTTCATAGCTAACTTCTTAGCCCATTCTAAACGGTGATACACATACTTGTAGCTCTCGAGCATATGTTCTTTCGATTTGTATGAGTCCAAAATCATTGCGTCGTCTACGGAGTATTTTGAGGTCTCCTCACTTATTGTGAAACTTTGTAAATTACTACGTGGCTCGGTGGCGCTATGTTTGCTTCTCTCCCAACGAAAAAACAAGCACCTCGCGACGATACATCTCATCTCCAATCAAGACGTGATGTGCCGAACTCAGTTGTTGCAAGGAAGACAATCCTCAACCTCTCACATGGAGTACCCACGTTACATGGCATAGAGCCAGCGGCACGCTAACACTGTGATTCGACGCGAGTCTGATGGGAATGGATTTCGTCGTCTCGGTACCCTCAAGCCAACTTGGCAATCAAGTCTGTCTATTCTATCGATTATGTACTTCGTACCTCGTAATATATATTATATCTTCCTCCTTTGATCCAAATGTGCATGTGATTCGGCCCATTGCGGAGTCGTACACACAAATGCAAGGCAGCCAACCGCACTTCGTAATTCAACTTCTACCTAACCCAATCCAGGCCAGGCCAGGGTAGCTGCCTACTCCAGTGTCCGAACCGGTGATGATATAATACTCCTCCTTCATTCAGGAAATGCCGGAAGCAATTCAACCTCACTGTGACGCACAGATATATTGTTTACGGAGAGTTAGCATCCGCGACAGGTGCAATTGTTAATACTTGTACCTTTTATACCCCTCACGCGACCACTGTTTCCTCTGGAATGCTCAAAATTCCGTGTCACTAAACAATCCGCAGATTCAATTGTTCCCTTGGAACATATCGATTTCGGTTGACTGAAAGTAGCCCATATTGGCCAGAAAGCCGCGTGAGAGCATATCCAAAACCCACACCAATCACTACAGAGTCTTCGTAGAACGATCATGTCTTCAGCTAAGAAAGTCCGCACCCAACCTCCCTACGAGCTCCTCTACTGGCCCGTCATCCCTGGCCGCGGCGAGTTTATCCGCCTGGTCTTCGAGGCGACCGGAACCTCCTACAAAGACATATCCAACGAATCCAAGGACGGCATCAACGCCGTGCTCGCCTGCAAAGACGACAAACTAACGGTCGACGACGACGGCAACCCGCCGGCCTTCGCACCACCTGCTCTCCGTGTTCCAGGCGAGGGCAAGGACGGGAAATCGCTCGTTCTTTACCAAACCCCAGCCATTCTGTCCTACTTGGGAGATAAGCTAGATCTGGCTGGAGAAGACGAGGCGGAGAAGCATTGGGTACTGAGCCATGCGCTGACGGCTCTCGATCTCAACAATGAGACCCACGACACGCACCACCCTATCTCTGTCGGTGCCTACTACGAGGATCAGAAGGACGAGGCTCTGAAGAGGGCGACTGACTTCAGAGAGAACCGTATACCCAAGTTCTTTGGCTACTTCGAGCGTGTGCTCAAGGGCAACGAACCCCAGGGAGAGGGGAAGCACTTGGTTGGAAAGAAACTCTCATACGCTGATACAACACTCTGGCATGTGCTCAATGGGCTCAAGTTTGCGTTTCCGAAAGAGGTGGAGGCGAGAGAGAAGGACTATCCCTTGCTATTTGAGTCGTTCTACACGAGCGTGCAAGAGCGGAGTGGACTGAAGGAATATCTTGCCAGCGACAGGCGACAACCATATAGCAATGGCGTCTTCAGGCACTACCCAGAGCTAGACAGACAGTAGATAAATCAGGCAACCGTTGGGAGACGTCAGTATGATGCACGAGAAAAAGTTCAAGCAATTTGAAAAAGGCCATCACATCAAAATGAAAATCAATTGGTATCATACGCCCAAACATGGGCACGAATCATATTTTTTGAGACCAAGGACACATGATGCATGAGTTATGCCCTAGCCGTACGCCTGAACCATGAATGCCCAAGTTTTCCGCCTAGTAGTCCGCAGCAGCCTGGGGGAACTCGAAGTTCACACCCTTGCCAGTGAGGCGCTTGTACACCTCAGAGTAGGTGTCGAGCCTGTAGTCAACACCACCGCGCTCCTTCTCGTCGAGGATGACCTTGAGGATCTTGGATCCGTCCTCACGGGTCCTGGTGCGCTTGCCAACGATCTCGACGGGGTAGACGAGGTCGGTGAGGATAGCGTCGTGGACGGCAGTGAGAGTTCGGGAGCGGGGACGCTTCTGGGTCTGGGAAGTGCGGGAGCGGTTGGAGCGCTTGGGACGGGGGAGAATGCGGCGGGAAGCGATGATCAAAACGTGGCGGTCAGAGAACTTCTTCTCGAGCTCACGAGTGAGACTGAAAAAAATTAGCACTCGAACATGGCTAGTGAAGTCTCAATTTTACATACCGCTGCTGGGTCTTGTGCCAGCCCTGGAGAGTAGGGACAGGGACGAAGATGACAATGGCCTTCCTGCCATGACCGACCTCGATCTAAGAATCCTGGTGTCAGCGTACTGAAGCTGCCCAGTGCCCACCGCCTCTTCGTTTCAACAAGATATTGTATGGGTATGCAATGGCTTCGGCGATCGAGAGCGCATCGATGGAAGGATTTGTGTTGTAGACTGGCGGAGTTGCTTCATCTTACCTCGCGAGCGGAGACGAACTGAAGAGCGCGAAGAGAGGTCTTCAAGTCGGGGATGTTGGTCTCGAGGTCGTAGAGAGCATTGGCGATGCTCGTCTCGATCTCGGACGGGTTCTGCCTCGAGGGGCTGTTGGGGGCGATCTTGTTCAAGGCAGGCGACGACATTTTGGCGGTTTTGGTCGTTGAGTTGTCGATGTGAACTGTCGTGGTCTTTGAAATTCAAAAGTTGTAAAACGAAGAGTGCGAGTCGCTTCTCGTTAGCGCCTTGGCAACTACCACGGTTCAATCAATAATCCGATGCGTCCCAATCTCGGGTCAATTACGAACACCAGTTTGCATCTCAGTCGTCACATCTGTCAAATCTTGAAAAAATGTCGGAATGAAGAGTAATACTATTATTTCTACTGATTAAAATCTATGTATATTTTGTGGCCATTCTGTGCCTTTTGTTGCCGATGCATCTCAGCGCCTAATCTTTGTAGATGGGAATTATCCAGTACATGATTCCGTTGATGATCGCTGCCGTCAAGTCTCCAAACCAGTGGATGTAGTGGTAATTGAATTGGTCTGGAAGGCATTAGTGGAAGATATGGTTATTTTGCATAGGTTGCTTACCGGCTGCTGACATCAGGCCCAAGCATCGTGCGGGATTCAATGCTGCTTTTGTCAGTCGAGAAGCCTCTCATTTCACTCATCATGTACTCACAAGCTCCCGTATAGCCTGGCCTGGCAATTCCGGACACGAAGCTGGTGAATCCAAGAGCCATGCCTACCAACAAGGACGAAACTGCAGGACCAAAGACCTGTCTCTGACGAGGATCGAGACCGACACCAAAAGCGATAAAAATCAGGCCAAACGATGTCATTGTCTCAAATACATATCTGCTGGCCGTTAGCGTGCTGTCTCATGTCTGGAATGGGGATGTAGCGTACGCTTGGCCAGGGGTGATGATAGAGGTGTCAATGTAGCACCCTGGGATCATGCCAAAGGCCTGTTTACTACCGATGGCCGCGCGAAGCATGAAGCCCGCAACCACGGCTCCTGTGCATTGAAAGATGACGTAGAGGACGGTACGCGGGAAAATGGAGAGGCGGGCAAAAAAGGTCGACAGAGTGATGAAGGGATTAAAATGACCACCTAGAGAGCGTTGAGCGATGCGTCGCCTTTTGGATTCATTCTTTCGTTACTTACCTGAAACGGGTCCTCCGACGAAAATGAAGAATGATATAAGAAGGGCGTTCAAAACACCTGCAAATCCAGCTGCAGTCAATGGTGTAGAGGCGCTGGCGAAGCTGCTGCCGGGCCCAAGTCCAATAGAGAAAAGACCAGACAAGAAGATTTGGAGGCATGTTCCAACACCTTCCAAAGTCGCTTCTTTCCAGAGCTCGCCGTCTGCGAAAGCGATCAACCGAAAACTATCTCTCCAGGTAAAAGTCCCCGAAACGTCAGGAACCTTTTCAGCGATTGTTGAGTAATGCGAATCATTACGGGGAAGCGTGAATTCCTGGTTTCCACCAATACGTCCAACGAAAGGTCGTGAAGATACGGAGGGCTCTTGCATTATCCCTTTTCGTCGTTTATGAAGTTCCTGTGATGCCGAGGAATCCGCCAGCTCGACATCCTGTGTTGTCGCTGTGCCCATGTTCTCGAAATGCATGGTTTCAAAGGATCAATGTTGCTGACTTTCGACAAAGGAATAATCTGGCGAACACTGAGAATTGTGAGAAGAGAGATTCATGTTTCTTCTTACGAGTTCGACAATTTGACAAGAGGGCGTTGTTTGATACCATAAGCATTACGAGCTATCCGCTAGCAAACTAACCCTACCTGACCTTAGTCATGAGCTATTTGCACTGCTACTGTCTCGTCAGCGATTAGTACTCATAAACGGCTCAAACGGACCGACAGCACTGCACAGTCGTTGGCCAAAGAAATGCGCCGCTATCGAGATCGTGCCATCATCAGCACAGGGGTTGAGCTGAAACGGGTATTTCCCAAAGTGCAACCCCACATACATGCCGCATGTTCTTTTGGTGATCCCACTGCTCCCCTGCAGGTCTGTCTGTCCTGGGATAACGTTAATTAATAAATAGGCATGTCACCAAAAGCATGTACAAACCTCTCCGCATGCTGTGCTGCGAGTCGTTCACTCGATTAACTAATACTCCGTCCCTCGGATACGTCATATCCATTAATTGCAAATACAACATTAAGCCCATGCACTACTAGTACACGGCGTTTGTGATCCGAAGCATTGTATCGATCGGCATCAACGTCGGCGTCTGCAGGCGTGTTCTAACCTTCCGAGGTTAATCATTAATTGACTCACGGAGGCCCTCCAGAGAATGTTCTAGCTTTCGTAGAGAAATAATGGTGTGCAAAAGAAGAAGAGAACATCTATAATGCAATGTGTGGTCGGTGGAGTTCAGATTTAGTATTAGGTATAGCTATGAGGCTCGCATAATTGTGGTCAATCTACAAACACGATATTGCGAGGTCGATTCTCAATGCAATTGCATCAGGACAATCAATGAACATAATGAGGTTGTCAGTAACCTACAAATAGGGGTTCGATACATGCATAGTAATGCCACGGCCTTCCAACTACCTTTTGATAGTACATATGTAAGTGCTTCTTCAGCGTGGCACGTTCAAAGTTATGCCTTTAGCATTCACGTTCGAAGAATCTTTTCAATGAAAAACTCAAGGATTGACCACTGCCGAAATGTCTGCCTGCAAACTGAATTCATTGGTGAACTCCAGTGTCTTTTTCCAAAGCCGCTGGCCTTCATCTCTGCCATAAGCTGTCTTCATCATTGAAGGTAACTCGTACAGCTTTTCCCAGTTGTGCTGCAACGCACCCCAGATACTGGTATGCCTGAACTGCCTGCTGCGGCCGTGGAAAGCAAAAGTTCGAGCCAGTCCTACGGGACCAAGGGCTTCCAATCTATCTGCATCAAGCACCACCGCCAGCTCTTTATGCTCGTTGCAGATTCTTCGGACATGGCCTGGTCTTCGCTTCTCGTTCCTATACGACACGTTTGTTGCAATGATCTGGACCTTCCGTGCCAGTTGTTTAGAAGCACCACACTTGATAAGCATCTTCTCCTTGATGCGTTCGCCACTCTCCCAGAAACGTAGGTATTTGTGGTCGCCCACGTCGTGCATCAAGCAGCCTAGAAAGACAACCAGAGGGTTCAATTCAATGGCAAACATCGGGTCGGAATTCCATATTCGGTCGGCGTTTGCGACTACTCTTTGAATGTGCTCATAGTCGTGTGTGTTATCATATCGCTTCATATATTTGCGAACTCTAATGCATACCCTCTCAGCAAGAGCGTCATCCTTTGGATCCAGGTGGGGAAATACAAGAAGTAACGAGCTGACGTCTTGTGGTGAATCGAGGTATGGGCCTGGCACTTTGGGATTGTGGCCGTATGCCTCTGACGGTGCACCAGTATTACGACGTGGTAATGGCGGCATACGTTGGGGTGGCATTGTATGTTGTGGGAATAGTTTTGCGCAATGTGAGTAAAGTAAAATCAGAGTGGTACCATAGCTCAATTGGAGCAAGAGGAAAATTGAATTGGAGGAGGAAGAAGTTAACAGTAAAGCTTGCTATCATACATCATTCAAATTGTGAGTGAATTACTGAGAGAGCTCTCGCATCTTGTTTGAACGTGCTAGTGTCGAGGCATAAGGTTTGTTACTATTGAGGAATCTCTTGCATCTGAAGCGTGATGATGTTTTAAGTTGCTGCAGGATGCTTGGTCCCCTCACCGCGAAAATGGAGCCGTGTCATGCGGCTCACGCCCTGTATCAGGTACCCCAACTGTTACAGTCATTGCAAAGTGATAGTTAATTCAGACTCTTGTCTGAACTGTACAGCAAAATCTTCCAGAATCTTGTGCCTCGCTTGTGCCAATTCACGCCCCGTAGTGGTCTTCATCATGCCCTCCAATTTGAACAGTTTTTCGGTAAAATGATCTACTGCCCTATTTAAACGGTTAGCTTGATTGGAATGAATTGCTGCACGTCTTACTGACCTTGACATAGGCTTATCTGGACACTTCGCAGCGCCATAAGAAAAGGCCCTTCCGACACCAATGGCACCAATTGCATCGAGGCGATCGGAGTCCTGCACAATAGCTAGCTCGGGATGCTCCAGCAAAACCTCTTTGACAGCTTCCGGCTTTTTCGTTTCCACGCTGTAGCTGACATGTTTTGCGATTGCCTGGACCTTCAATGCAAGATGCTCCGGGGCTCCTAGCTCTACCAAGACCCTTGATATCTGTTGCTCGACATCTTCACCGGGCTTCGCATATTTCCGATCTCCAACGTCGTGAAGAAGGGCTGCAAGGAAGAGAGCCGAGGTGTCGTATTTCTGGGCTGGGTTGGCTTTGAGTTCTGCTTCCAAAATGCGGTTGGCATTGGAAACGACCCGCAGGATGTGAAGGAAATCGTGGGAGTTGTCGTGTCCAGGCTGAGACATGTATTCATGAACGTATTTCACAACGCTCTTGAACAAATCTGCATCTTCTTCCTTGATAGGCACAACAGGATAAGGGATTGAGCTTGGAGTGGCCATATTGTGTGAATTCGAGAATTGCTTGGATCGAATGCAATGAATGTTTAGGTGTATGAACTTGAAGCAAGCCCTTTGATTTATATGTTTTCTGATAGGTAGACGTCAAGCTGTTATATCAGCAAGTAAGACGCGTCTATTTCAGAGCGTTGACTGTATAATATCGCGTTTTGTGTGGTACGCGGTGTCATGTGGTAGACGACTTATCCCGTGTTGAGTAAAGTGTCGTTGCTTTGCATCATAACCCAAGTCTGCTTGGGGGACGGAAGCGCAGGCAGCAGCAGCGTTGAACGAATGAATATTAGATTAATGTCAGATTAAGCCCTTCCAAGATGATGAAGGGCAGATTGTTTGTGTTTATATGGAAGGTCCATGAAAATTTGATTAAGAACCTTCCTCTTGAAGGTAGAATATTGATACGAGAGCACTCACTAAAAGAAGCGACTCCAGGCGGACAAATGTCGGTGCAGATTACAGTATCTCAAACCTTGTGAATGTAAATCGTTCAAGAGTCAGTTGTACACAATTATGATTAATTCCATTCTTATTGTAAGGAGTGGAAAGTTATCTGGTAGTCTTGCAGTGGGTTCGAGGTCTAATAATACTTGCCGAAGGATGAGCCTCTGAGCCTATGAGGTACTCGTAGCTTGTGTTCGGGGAACTTGCCGTAGACCTCGGCAGCCACGCGACATGACTTCACGTATGTCCCTGCCACCTCCTGCTTTGTCGACCTCAAGCCCCGCGACATCCAACATCTTGCGTCCGCAAGCATGTACAAGCAAGCGACGCAGAGGACCACGGAGGTCCTGTCTATGCCATCAAAATGGCTGGGCGCATATTCCGACTTTATCACCAAGAACAACAGCGCAGTCACTCAGGTCGAATCGGCGCTGCGCTCCTTAACATACATCATACCCGGTGCGCAAACGTTGCCCACTTGATTTCATCAAAGCAAAATCCTAACTATCGCAGGCCGATATAGAGAATCCGAAATCGCGTCAGAATCTTGTATGTTCCCTTTGGTGGTAGTGTAAACGCCTTATCTAACAGTCTATAGTGCACAGCGGCGTTCAGCTCCTTTCATTATACCATGATTCTCTCCTTGCAAAGGCAGTCGCGCGCCTTCCTGGCTCGCCGCGCCATCATCCTTCTCCGCATAATCGATACACTAGCTTCTGGACTCAGAGATCACCGACTTACAAACGTGTTGCGCTTCTTCTGCAGATGGTCCAGTACACCGAGCTCCTCTGGGAAATGGCAGCGAAGAGGAAAGGCGAGAAGATGCGATGGCGTGTTATCGTATTATTGGAGGTCGTGAAGGCGTTCTGTAGGCTTCTCCTGATGCGCCTGACCAACTCGAGGCCGCTATTGTCTCCACCATTGCCTCAGAGAGAGGTAGATCCCTCTAGCTTGGAAGATTCCAACGCCTCTGCGGACGGCATGGATACTCCACCAAGTGAGCAATCAGTGGAGATGGAGAACTGGAAAATGCCTCGAACTGGCTTGTCTCTACCAAGCCTTCCGGATTCCTCGGATATCTCGAGCTATCTGCTTTCTAAAGTCCTGACCGCAGACGATATCAAGCCTCCAAAGGCCCTTCTACACCGAGTGAGTGGCAAAGGCGAGATTGCCGAAGTATTGCACATCCTACGACCCGTCGCATACGCTATCGCAATGCAACATTTCCGTGGAGATAGGAAGAGCTGGCGACCTTGGTTGATTGGCTTGAGCATTGAGTACGGCGCACGTCAATTGGCAAAGAAGGACTTCCAGGAACGTCTAGCAGGCGGACTTAGGGGCTTGACCGGTTTGGAAAAGGAGGAGCTGAAGAAACGAGGCTGGGCCCTCGGATGGTGGATGATGCGGGGTGCGTTCTACGAAAACATCACCAAGTAAGTACATGATGGGAGATTCGCCTATGATGCGCATAGACTAATGAACAACAGGGCTTGGATACACAGTGTCACTCGAAGGCTTCGAAACAAGCCTCTCTTGGATATTGTCGGAGGTGTTATCGAAGACTATGAATTCCTCTGGGACCAGTACTACTTCCCGACAGCCACAATGTAATTTCTTTTGTTGGCGTTCATTGCTCTCTGTTACTGTGTTTGCGTATTGGGTGCGGGCTTTTGTTGTATTGATAGGGACTTGGGAATGGATGATACCGATTACTGGGGAAGGGCAGGAGGATTTAACATGATATCTACTTGCGAGACTACCGGAATAGTCTGCATTCGCGATAGTATATATAATTCACCACGCATCGCAGCAATGCGTGCTATACCATTTTGAATGATACTTACTACTCGAAATTTGGAATCACGCAAGAACATAAATAATTATCTTCTACTGATGTCATGATAGGAATGTATGAGTGTTCCCATAGATGTTCCGTACGCTGACGCAGTTCCTCGTGTGCCTGTTATGCCAAGCTTTCGGAGCTTAGCTTCAACGAATATCATAGAGCCGCATCGTCCATCTACGCAGTACACAGACCTCATCTCCAACCGCCACCTACAATCAGACCGTCACCACATTTCCTGACATTCCTCTCATCCTTTCCCGCCCGACTTAATATCTCCTTGATTGCGCACAACAAAGATGCCCGCCACCACAGCTGAGACGCTGTCCCTTGTTACCCGCAACGTCTCCGTCGCACCTCTCGTCCTCCTTTCCGCAGCAGACCACTACGGCCGACAAGCAAAGGGCACAAGGAAACGAGTCGTCGGTGTGCTTCTTGGACAAAACGATGGAAAGAACGTGAGGGTGTCGAACAGCTTTGCTGGTACGTAAACATTGCCCCGCTGCATCATAACTAGAGTACAGCGTCAGCGGGGTGCAAGGGCATAGCTAATCAGCTCTGTAGTGCCTTTCGAGGAAGATGAGAAGGACCCATCAGTCTGGTTCCTTGATCACAACTATGTCGAGTCGATGAACGACATGTTCAAGAAGGTCAACGCGCGGGAGAAGCTCATCGGATGGTACCACACAGGCCCCAAGCTGCGAGCATCGGATTTGGAGATCAACGAGCTTTTCAAGAGATACACACCGCATCCACTGCTAGTCATTATCGACGTGCAACCGAAGGAAGTTGGTGTCCCGACGGACGCCTACTTCGCAGTGGAGGAGATCAAGGATGTAAGAACTGCCATGTCTGGTGCCAGCTACTGTCAACAACAGACTGCGCTACTTGATTTAAAGAATCCACACTTTGACTATCGGAGCTAATATCGTATTGCAGGATGGAACCACAACCTCTAAGACCTTTGTTCACACTCCCTCATTAATCGAAGCCGAAGAGGCTGAAGAGATCGGTGTCGAGCACCTGCTACGCGATATCCGTGACGTCGCCGTCGGTACCCTGTCCACCCGCATAACCTCGCAACTCCAATCGCTACAAGGTCTACATCTCCGTCTGCGCGACATTGGCCAGTACCTCCAGAAGGTGTTGGACGGCGACCTCCCAGTCAACCACGCCATCCTCGGCAACCTGCAAGACGTCTTCAACCTTCTCCCCAACCTCTCAACACCTAAGCCCACGCCCGTGGGAGGAGCAACGAATGGAGTCGGACCGGCTGCCGGTTCTGCGGGAGCCCTAGACAACTCAGAACTCGCAAGAGCTATGAGTGTCAAGACAAACGACCAGTTGATGGCCATCTACCTTTCGAGTTTGATCCGAGCGATCACCGCCTTCCACGACTTGATCGAGAACAAGATCCAGAACAGGCAACAGGCAGAGGAGAAGGAGGCTAAGAAGGAGGAGGCGGCCAAGGAGGGCGAGAAAGACAAGAAGGCCAACGGATCGGGCGCTGAGGGAAAGGAAGGCGACAAGGGCAAGGAAAAGGAAAAGGAGAAGGAGGGTGAGAAGAAGAAGGGTTGAAAAGCAAGGCAGACGGACGAGAACGTCCCGACGGACAAACTCGAGTCGAATTGAATTGGGGAAACCCGTGACGGAAAGTGTAATTATACCACACTGCTAGCTGGGGCAACTTATCGAAGAGAAAAGTGTCCAGATGGTGGAAACGTCTGCACTCAAAACGACCATGATAGAAACATATACGATTACGAAGTTGCGATCACAAAAGACCCGGTGCTCTCTTTTAACATTTTGAATATTAACCATGTGAATGATGTTCAAATAAACGATGAATGTATCTCCATGAATCCGGGGTATCAAACGCCAAATCCAGAGCCCCCCCCTTTCTTTCCATATATGGATACACAGACGACCGCTCTACTCTGCTCTGCTTAGAACACCTCTCAAGCAGTTAATCTATCAGTCCCCCCAACCAGCAGCCCACCCCGCCGCCTCCTTCACACTGACCTCCCTCGTCTCCACGAATGCCCCAAAAGAAGGACACCTCTCCGCCAACATGCACGCAAGCAGATGCTTACAAACAGGCGGCATCCCGTCCCCGAGACTCATTCCCCCGAAACTCCATCCAGCTCCCGCATCCTCCCCATCAACACCCTCGTCATTATTGTCGTCAAACGACATAACAGCCGGCTCAGGATGCACAGGCGGAAACGCAGCGAATGCGAAGGCGGGACAGGAGCAGTTCCACGCCTGGAGACGCACTTCGTACGTCGTTGTGGGCGTTGGGTCGAAGGATCGAGAGGGCTTTTGGGGTTGCGCGGACCGGACGTAGTATACTGTGTCGTTTTCTCTTCCTCCCTCTCCTCGTACTCCTCGTACTTGTTCTTCTTCAGGGGCGGAGGCGCGGGGTTTGGTAAGGATTTCATCGACGTTGGTAGTAGTAGTGGTCGGAGCAGCAGTAGAGCTCTGGACGGATTCATCCATTACGCCCTGCACGACAGCGCGCGTACCTCCCATTTCCGCATCCACATAGGGCTCATCTCTGTCGTCCTGAGCGGCGGGTGCCGTTAACGAAGAGGGACGATTACGCGCCCGCGTTCCCGTCTGCGCCTCATCATCGTCGTTGTTGCTAGGATGAGGAGCGGTAGCAGCAGCTTCGCCCTGGGGACGACATATCCGATGGCGGGTGACGAGCCGCCGGTCGAGCAGGTCGAGGGCTGGCAGGAACTCGTTGGGGAACAGGACGTGCAGGGTGAGAAACTGTTTCTTGTCTTCTTCGGTGGCGGAGTGGAGGATGTTGCCGCTGTTGGTCGTCGGCGTGTTCGCTGTGATGTCGGCGCTTGTGCCTGTGCCTAGGACGGTAGACTGATGCTGTTGGTGCGGGAGTGGGAGCACAGGAAGAGCATTGAAGAGCTGCGCCAGGAAGACCCTTGGTTGAGGCAAAGACGATGAGGGCGACGACGACATTGTTTCACGCCGCCGCGACGTTCTCGTGACATGTTCCTTCGACGGATACTATGGTTGGCTATTCCGTCGTTCACGACGCCATCGTAACTAGCTCTTGATGTTTGAATCGATGAAACGGCGGTGAGAGATGGAGACGAGGAGATAGATCCAGGTTGGGCTTATGGTTTGGGCGTTTAGCCTTTGGTACGCGTATCAACTATCTATCTAAACTATCCATCGTCATCGAAGCCGTCTGAATAAAGTGTTGGACAGTGCTACGCTAGCTAGCGGGGCCCCCAAGCAAGGCAAGGGCAAGCAAACGCATAGAATTAACAATCGATCGGGAGATCCACAGCACGCATGAGGTTAAAAAAAGGAATTAGAACATTTCTGGGTCCTTGAAACTATGTAGCTTAGAGTTAGGTACATGATCTAGCGATGCAGCGGCCCCGTGACGCATGATTTTATCTCCCCTTCCGTTGCGCTTCACCGACTTTGATGGCCATTGTGATTTAGCTAGTGGTCTAGAAAGTAAAATAATTGAATATCGAGATCGGATTTGGGATTTGTCGACCTGATTGCGATTTATGTTTGTGTAGGGAGCTTTAAGCAACGGTGTTGTATTTAACTGTGTAGGTGTTAGTACAGGAACGATCGCTTGCTCGAGTTTCCTGGAGAAGAACTTCAGTTTGGCCAGGACGGTACAATTGATCTTCAAAAGAAGATACTGGATAAGCATGACATCCTAAGCATCATGATGCGATAATACAGCGTCTCTGATATAACGACAATGGTCATACCACGACATTTCTACTCGTTACTGGTGTCGATTCAGCGTTAGAGCGGGCTTCCATCTATCTTCTTAGCATCTAATGCGCTCTAATCGCCATTGTTGAAGGCTGACATTCTGCTTCTTCGTTTCGCATCAACATGAATATAAGAAACAGTCGAATTCTTACGCATCGTTTGTCTAGAGATCACCGCATCAAGCAATTGCAGAATCTGACCGGAATGTTCCCATCTGCAATCACAAGTAGTACTACATCCGCAGCTGCCTGGTCAACAGCCTCGACTGATCTACCTGTGTAACCGGTCAGACAAAGTCTCCACGCACGCCAGACCGGTCACCGAGGGAGGAGTAAAGCCAAAATGCGGAGGAACTCCCCCGCTCTTTGAAGATCAATTGTCAGCCGGTGAGTACCGACTCTCGCATTCTCTGAGAACCTGGAGGGGGAAGCGAGTGAAAGAGAATCTGTGGCGATCTTAACAGTAGTGTTAAGAAAGAGTAGGGTGGTGTTTAGTATTGCAGGGTTCGGCGGCTTCCCAAGTCCGAAAAGCAAGATTCCCGTGTACAGTTACTTGGATGTAGCTTGATTTTGCGCAAGAGCGGCAATGTACTGATTGGGGAATTCGTCAAGCACGTTCTTTTGTTTGGTGCCGTACATTGCTTCACACGTGTACGTGCCTTTATTCAACACAAACCGTGGTTAAAGAACAAGGGCACGGCTTGCTCAGGACGTGAAATGGGCCAATTGTGAGATGGAGACTGACAAGGCGAATATGAAAGGACCACGTCCGGATTACTCCATCGTCTGAGTCTCGAAACAAAGAGGCGCGAGCGTCAATGAATGAAACAAGGTTGAACGAGAACAAGCACGGGCACGGGCGGTGCAGGGCAGGCACCCAACTAGGTAGAGAGAACATGGGAGGGAGCTGCAGGGACTGCCTCCGGGAGATGTCAGGGCAGTGAATGGAGCGAACGAGGCGCAATCGCATTGCATGCTTGTTCTTGTTGGAGTCCGCATTGACCTATCGGGAGAGGTCGTTGCACGAGTTTCTACTTCCGGCGAAGGGAACTCGCAGATCGATAAGAGGTTAGAGAGCGTGGTGGTCCTTCGTTGGACCCCAACCTGAGCACATACGTCCACATACATACGTACCTTCATTGTTTCCATTCATTCGAATGGACACAGTCTGAACGTTCGGGGCAAGATTGCTCCAGTCCTGAGGTCGATAAGAAATTAAGTTCCGGCTTATTGTATTGCTTTGCGCCGCCGGGCTTGGGCACTTCCTGGCCTCGATCTCGACCTCGACGAAGACGGCGCATGTGGCAGGCTGGAAGGACCATCGACGATCGGCAGGCCAAAGAGATGTAGAGTCGCCATCGGTTGGCAGCCTGACTGTCTAAGGCGAGGATATGGAGGAAGTAGTAAGGCGGGGTTCCGTCGCGATGGGCGGTATGTTCGTATATTGGAGTCCTTCGGCACTAGGTAGATAGATATTGCAGTACGGAGTAATTGCGATGAGGATGAGGAGGGGAAGATGATGCCGTGATGGATGGATGGCCTAGGGTGGTTGCGAGTGGGCGCTTACCCCACAAGATCATGATAACGATAATGCACCTCGACTCGTGAGCATGACCACCATCCCCATCATCACCATGACTCTTATGACCATGACCACCATGACTACCCCGACTATCATCCATCTCAACTCTACACAGTACATTCCCTAAGCAGTTGTATATCTATACTCCCCACACTACTACAATCATCTTCTCCCAAGAGGGTGTGACAGTACAATCTCGTGAATATCTCAGCTGCCTCCCTACCGCCATGGCATGGATCACTACATTGCGACTTCCGGGTCGCTTAGGGTGGAATGGGTGGGATGGATGTCTTGCACGCGCTGTGGAGAGTGTCCAGCTGAGGCACCCGCGCTTTCACATGCAAGCATTCTTGCATTATTCGCAACACACACAAAACCCGTAGATGAACAGTAGTCGACCACCACCAATTGACGAAGAGGGTGTGCGATGGATGCAATTGCCCGTAGGCGGGCATCAAGGCATCAATTCGGTGGGAGAGGGCGCGAAGTAAATAATAAACAATAGCGATGATGATGCACACAATAATGCGTGTTTGTTAGGTCCACACACATGCGGTAACTCAACCGTACGTTAGTCGGTCATTGTACTCCGCAGTATGTAGTGGAATAAGCAGTGTGGTAATGATAGTGATAGTGTACTCCGTACCTACACAGGAAATACTGCAGGCAGATACTCGTAGCGCGCCTGGCGAGCTGCAAGACATAATAGATTGGCTCCAAAGCTCGCCCTGGGAACCGCGTGGCTTTCCCGTCTTTGGTCCATGGGTGGCGATGGATGGACAGAGGGATGGATGACCTTTGAGTCTGATTCCTAGAGACGCCGCACGTCACAAGACCATCCTCGCCCCCAACAGCAACGGACGAATTGCGAGCAATTGGCGGCTATTTCGGGCAGAAGAAGCTGTCCAACCTGCGAGTATCCAAGAGGTCATCCGCTGCTGAGCTTGCTAGAACTGTATACTCCGTAATAATTGAATAAGGGATTAGATGAACCCGATTGCAAGCCCGGCCGTCCGCCGGTGGTGCCCGCTACTGTCCGTTTGAGTTCCATGGGCGTCGTGGTTTAGTGAGTGGAGACACAGAAGGTGATGGGATATGGCGCGAACAGCACGCCACTTAGGCAGAGCGGTGGAATGTCAATGCAGTGTTTGTCACTCGACAATGACGAATTCTGGAACTGTATTTGGCCAATTGATGATTTGTTTCGTCAATGATGGATGTCAATTGAGTAAAGCAATTGGCAATTGGCGACTGTCGCTGCAGGACGTGGACGGAGCCATTATTGGAACGAAATGCTGGCATTGATTGCCAGCGCGGGGTAGACAAACCCGTACTGGCTGCCCTGCCTGAGTGCTGTACGGGAGCATATGCACTATACGGATACAGTAATCCAAAAATGGGCTCAATTGGTCTGGTGGAGTCGATTGCCTGCTGCGACGCCATGTGGAACCTAGGAGGTTGCCGCCCGAGCGGTCAAGATAGCAATCAGGCTCTCTTTTTCCTCTCGTTACTTTGTACACAATGGGTAAGGCAAGGAATCTGTATCGATCAAGCAAACTGGCTGGATGGGTAATGGCTGATTTGGGTCGGGATGACGCCCGGGAGCGGTGGAGGCTGGTGGAGCTGTGGTACCCCTCACCCATTCAGCCCACTTCCACCGGTAGAGATGGTGGATGATGAATGATGGATGATGGGCTGGACGAGGCCGAAGAGGAATGGGAGGACTGGGGGGTGGAAGGTATCATTGTACGAGCAGGAGCAGATGATTTGAGAGGGATACTGCTGGGAGCATCATCAGGCAGTACCGTGACACGTGTGTGGACAGATTGGGGGTCAGTGGAGTACGAGTAGCCCAATGGCATGACGACAGCAGTACTACTTGATAAATGACGGATGGGGGAAGAGCAGGAAGAGCGAGGTGTCCGGTGAATTGGCATCAATTGAGAGTGCATTAATATTGCTATTGTTGTCGTTGCGCATTGAATGGGTGGAAGCGGATGCCGCCGATGGCATGTAGTGCTGTCGAAGGTAGGCAAAATGGAGTAGTAACATGTAGGTACCTACATACATACTGTGCTGTACTGTACTACCAAGAAGAATTGACAGGCATTGCGAGACGTGCAATGGAGCGATAGGAATTGTTGAACGGAATTGACGTGGAATGGATATTGCAGTGGCCGTAGCGAATGGAGTAATGTGATGAATGATGCCAGATGGTGGTCATGGTGGTGTTGTTGAGATACGAGTTGGGTATGACGATGATACGGACGGGGACAGAAGAGGCAATACACGGACCTACAGTTCCTAATTCCGGATACCGTACGAGTAGTGAGCGAGTGCATCATCTCATGGAGTTGTATGATATCTTCTATCTCCGTATGGACAGTAAAGATACGTACGTACAGTACGGAGTATCACTATTAAAATACATGACAAAGAAGATGGGTGACTTTGCGAAAGATACTCCGTAGACACCATCAGAGGTTCATATTGCTCTATACTCCGTGCAACAGGATCCAATGATCAATAGTGAAGCATCATCCAAGGGCAAATGGTGGGCAGTGGGCAATAGGCAATTGGCAGTGGGAGATGCTTCAGCCCAACCACAACCACCATCAGAGAGAGGAAGAGGCTCAGTCTCATCATGAGGGTTCTGTCTCACCCCCCTCAAGGCTCTCAAAGTATCCAAGCAAGAGGAGTAGCAGCCAGGATCCAATCCAAGTATGGTAGTCTAGAACGAAGTTGACCAGGGATCTGAAGCGTTTGACTCATTCAATTCACTTGCTCACTAACTAGTTAGTTACTGTGTAGGTAGTTGGTTAATTGCTTTGATCAAGTCTTTTGTTGTTCAACTCACTCACAGACAGTCACAGTCATAACCAGAGTTGTTGTTGTGTCGTAATTGACCAATGCCTCTCCTAGTTGTTCCATGCAATAATCAGGAAATCTAATTGCCCACCGTCATGACATGACACACTCCCACTCTGTCGCCCATGGTGGTCGGACGTATCATCTTTTCGCTTCGCGTCGCATGCGCATCGCATGTGCGTCGCATTGCATCAGCCCTCTCTACTCTCTTCTCCATTCTCTTGTCCATGCCCATGGACATTTTAGATTATTATTTCTTATTATTGGCACTTCTTGTTTCTGGTTGCCTACCCTGCCCTGCGCCCCCTTCACCTCTTGACCTTCGACTTACATTTACACAGTACCCTGTCCAGCCCCCCTGTCGCTATGATACCCCCTGTCTCTCGTCTGCAATTGGTCAATCCCATTGGGCGGATCTTGCCCTTCCCTGCGCTTCCATTCACTTCTTGGCCACCCAGATTCATCAGCTCCCGGCCGTGGACTGGGAGAGACTGTGCCATCTTTGTATAATGAGGCGCGTAATGTAACGTAACATATCGTAACATATTACGGAGTAGTTTGCATTTAACTACGTGTCGTGTGCGACGTGTATAATGTGGAGCAAGCAAAAAAAAAAAAAAAAAAGGAAAGAAAAAGCAGGAAGAAGGGAATGGTGGATGTTGGATGGCGATGGATGGTGATGGACGGTGGATTGATTGCGCTGGTGAACAATGGGATGAAGGAATAGTGTCGTGTGTCTACTCTGTAATTAGTTCGTGCCGTATCCATCTCGTATACCGTGTACTGTGTCCAGTATAATTATGTACTGTACTCTGTATTATTTATCATCAACTACGGAGTATTATAATCATTATATTCATCACAATAGGAGTGTGCATTATTGTGCGAGTGGTAATGAATGAGTGTACATACTGTGTACAGTATGTGTAATGTTGGCTGGCTGGCTGTGCGCTGACTGACTTGTCGCATCCCTCGAATTGCCTTCCTATTCTATTCCTATTCCTGTTCCTGTTCCTGCTGTTCCTGCTGTTCCTATTCTTCTTCCTCTTTCTCTCTCTATTACTAGACACCTGCGCAGGTAATTATCAATCAACTCTCCTACCTTACTACTACTATTACTCTAGATACTACCACCTAACTTACTCTTACTCTTTTCTTTTTCTCTTTCTCTGTCTTCTTATTCTTCTCACAATAATCGTCTATCAATCAGCCAACTCACTACCTCGTACCCTCTCAGCCACACTCTTCTGCCATTGTTACCCTTTATTGTCACAACCACAACCATAACCACACACACACCCAACCCGACCAACCCAACCTAGTAATTTCTAGTTTCAAAATCATAGTCATCTGCCTTGTCCCTTGTCCCTTTGTATGAGACAGACAGGCAACCATCTTGCGACCACCTACCACCACCTACTGCCTACCACTACTACTATTCTATCCACACACACACACACAAACTCACCCTCCATCATCCCCCCCCAAATAGCCCGACGCCGCCTCCCCCCTCCTCTTCTCTCTTCTCTCTCTCTCTCTTCCTCAATTCCCCTTTCCCCTTCTTAAGCCCGTCATCCCCCCTCCAATTCACGTTCGGGAGGTTTGGCATACCCAATTGTGTAATTACCACACACTCGTCCTTGTTCCACCCTAACTCCGGTGCCAATTCCAATCTATCCTCTCCGCTTGACTAATTCGCTTTCGCCCTCTCCAGCTTCCCGTAAGCCATTTGGTATCATTCCGCCGCCTTCCACCGCCCACCATCCATCCATCATTCATTGCAGTAGTTACAGTCAAGCGACGCTTGTTCTGTGGATTACCGTTGGTTTGCGCTCGCATTCACAGTCACGTTCGCCCTCTTACACCCACTACTACTTTACTGGCCGACCGACCTGTCACACTCCCCAAGATTGATTACAACGATTACGACGATTACAGCGATTACTACCTACGCCTGCGAGCAACTATAACTCGCCACGCCTCCCACCATCAACCCACCTGCTACCTCCCCATTGTCAGACTCACTTTCCTCGCCAATTATTCATAAACCACCCCAATCCCCCCCCGTTCAGCCTGCCATTCCCACATTGCTGGATCCTGCCAGACGCTGCCAGTCACCATTACTCGTTGTTGCCTGCGGCTCAATCCAATCCCGCTCTCGCGCGCGCCCTCTCTGCTACCCAGTACCACTAACTACCGCGCCACTATAAGAGAGAGAGGCCTACCGCCCGACCACCGACGGCCAAAGCCCCCCTCTCCCACCCCCCCACTCACTCACCAACTTACCAACACTACAACAACACAGAATGGCAAATCCTGTGTACAAATCGCCTCCCAGAAACCGATTGACTGTTTCTTCTCTCCTCTCCCCTCCGGAAATGAAACGATCTGAATCCTTTGGCTCCTCAATCGCACCCTCAACAGTCGCCTATACCTCTTTCACCTCATTCGCCTCCAACTCCGAGACCTCCAAGGCTGCAATGGCCGACTACACAGTCGCTTTCGAACCTACCGCTTCTTCTGCAAACCGCGACGCCTACGCTTCCCCACCAATCTCTCCGTACGACCGCCAATCGCAGAAAGAGAACATGGACACTTGCCCCAGCGACAATGGCATGCGTGACCCCCAATTGTTCGTCCCCAGTGACGCCGCCAGCTCAATCGCTCCCGATGAGCCGCTCTTCCCCCAGGATCCCATGGACCCGCTCGCCCAGAGCCTCATCAAGAAGCACATGGAGTCTCCAGACTTCGCCACCCTTCCCAGCAAACCTGCCCGCGAGGACTATGAACTTGCAGTCTCCTTCGTTTCAACCGTCTATCAGTCATACAACAAAAACCCACGAGCGTGGTTCCTGCAAGAGAGGGAGTTCGACCAGCGGTACGGCCGACCCAGCGGTATCCAGAAGAGACCGGCCTTGAAGAAACTCGCTCCCGCCCCCTCCTCAGGACCCCGCAGGCAGAAGGTCGCTCTTCCACGCCTGCCACGCGCCCCTCGTGCTCCCAAGCGCACTCCTCAGGCCCGTGTTTATGACTCTTTCGATACTCTTCCTTCCTCGGCTTCGCCGAAGCCTGCACGACCTGCCACCAACCGAGATGACACAGACTACACTGCTCTTCCGGACTTTTCGCCACCCCTAGAGTCTCTTCCAAAGGGCAACAACAAGATTCTCAAGGCGGACTGGAAAGGTCAGGTTCTCGACCTCTCCAACGATCCCGACCGTCACCTCTTGCACGAGGCTGAAGTGAATCTCGCCGCTACGCTCCGTCTCAGCTGCGCCACCTATCTCTGCAGTAAGCGCCGCATCTTCCAGGCACGCATCGATGCCTTGAGAATCGGCAAGGAGTTCCGCAAGACAGACGCCCAGCAGGCGTGCAAGATCGACGTCAACAAGGCTAGCAAGTTGTGGCAAGCATATGAGAAGGTTGGCTGGTTCAAGCAGGATTACTTCCGCCAGTTTGTCTAAGGCCACTCGTTGGTCAGACTTTCTTTCACGACTCTTTGCAATATTCTCAGCATATTTCCAGATTCCCCGACCGCAGACGCTGGATGTGTAGTCTGCGTCCCCCTTTGGCATCAAGTTGCATATCACATGGACATGGGTGGTGTTGTGGCTTTGTTTCTTTCCTCCTTTTCTTCTCATTCAGATCAGACTGAACTACGGCATGGGGACTGTTATCTCCCCCTTTCTCATCACGCACTCTTCTCAACGATTCACGAATGGCGTATCTCTACTCTGCGGTCGTTTCGACTTGTCTCCATGAGCTGACTTGTCACTTTTCTTTTATTGTGTAATGTTGGCGTTAGTAACGGACGCCCTCAGCTCCATCATTTCCTTTGTTCACATCATGCTGATACCCCCTATGCCAATGACCCGAACATTTTTCATATTTCTATGATATTGACCCCTGCTTTCGAGCAATCGAGTTCGGGCCTTGCCGGCCAAGTCAGGTAGTCTTAGATTTTTACAATATTATTCCTCGAGATAGTCTCCGATCACCACTCATTTCCTCCAATTATCCATGCAAGCTTTGGCTGCGTTATGTGATGCCTTGTATGGTGATAGTGACGGTAGCGTGCACACTCGCCTCATGCTTCACCTCTGAGCCCATCCACCGCACAGGACTACGTGACCGTCATGATCAATTACGTGCCAATGTGTAAGACAAGAGCAACGGTTATCTCGATTCTCCACTCGGGCTTCGCCCTATTGAACTAGTTCAGTCCGCCGCATACGAGTGTACAGTCGTCGTAATGAACTATAGCGGACGAAGATCGTCCCGGCTCAGTTGATTACTAAATCCTAAACGGAGGAATTGGCTGGCGTTTCAACAATTGGCAACAGTCAGCAATCTATCGCGCCAGGATTCGCAGTAAATACTGCCTCGACCGATTCAGACGCTCATATAGTCGTGATTAGAGAAGTACGAGACTCGCCATCTTGCTGGCTTCTCCGCAATCTACTAACTCGGGAATCGCAGAGGTAGATACCATACCGTGGTACCTTAGGCAAGTCCACCTGGGGTTGGTAGTTGTGGCGCGGCTGTCAGCTCTAATTTTGGACCCTTGCACGCATGCGAGCCGCTACGGCGACCAAGCACTCCGTCCGCGACCCGCGACGTCGTCCCCCAATAACTTCAACGGCGACACCAATCCATCCACCAACACCAACTGCGGAACAGCGCGGAATTACTTTTCGCGATGTCGCAATCACAGCCGCTCGAGAACAACGACTCGATTTCGAGCCAGGATCCTCATCGCGAGGACAAGAAGAAGACCAAGAGCAGGAGACCTGCGAGTAAGCCCGACCAGAGAAACCACGACGCAAGCTTCCGGATGATGCTGACGATTGTCCAGATACTGCCTTTCGACAACAGCGACTGAAGGCATGGCAGTACGTTGTATCTCCATCGTATAGACCCTATCCGCCGCCGATGCTAACAATAAACCTCCCAGACCCATCCTCACTCCTAAGACCGTACTGCCGCTGTTCTTCGTGATCGGAATAATATTCGCTCCCATCGGTGGACTTCTCCTTTACGCCAGCGCAAAAGTAAGACATTCGCAAATTCCTCGATGAAACAATGGTGGGCTTTGTGAGGACGCCGAGCTGATATCCCGCTTCTTCGACAGGTGCAAGAACTTTCGATTGATTACACATCATGCAAATACAAGTCCCCTGCGACGTCGTTCGAGTTCGACCCGAACAATAACACCCTTGAGGACATCCCCGGCGACCGTGTCTCTGCTACTTTCAACTCGGACATGACGGAGAAACCGAAATGGGGCCACGCAACGGAACGGTGGGAGTGGCCCTCAGGCAGAGTCAACGAGTCCACGACCGTCTGCATTATCGAGTTCAACATCCCCAACGACATCAAGCCGCCAATCCTGTTCTACTATCGCTTGACAAACTTCTACCAGAATCATCGCCGATACGTCAAATCTCTGGACATCGATCAGTTGAAGGGCAAGGCTTCGGATGCATCGGCGATCAAGTCTGGTGACTGCGACCCCCTCAAAACAGCTCCGAACGGCAAACCATACTATCCCTGCGGTCTCATCGCCAATTCCATGTTCAATGACACATTTCCGCTTTTCCTGAATGCTTCCAACGGGCAGAACGGCCAGGAGCGATATGAGTTTACCAATAAGGGCATTGTTTGGTCGACCGAAGGCGAACTCTACGGAAAGACAAAGTACAAGCCGGAAGATGTTGTTCCTCCACCTTTCTGGCAGGATCAGTATGTTAATGGAAGCTACGAGGGCCTGGAAGAGCTTCCCAACCTCCACGAGAACGAGCCATTCCAGGTCTGGATGAGAACCGCAGGTCTTCCGACCTTCAGCAAGCTGGCCATGCGAAATGACAAGGACACTTTACTGTCTGGAACGTATCGCCTAGCCGTATGGGACAGTATGCTACATGGCCCCGCCAATTGTGTGATTGATCTTTCTTGCTGACTCTCGCCAGGGTATAATGTCGATAAATATGGTGGTACAAAATCCATCCTCATCTCGACCCGGACTGTTATGGGTGGCAAGAACCCCTTCCTCGGCATTGCATACATTGTCGTGGGTGGCATCTGCATTCTGCTTGGAGCCGTTTTCCTGGCCACTCACCTTATCAAGCCAAGGTAAATGCACTCAATGGTCTAGACATACTCTCACAATTGCTGACGACCAAATAGGAAACTCGGTGATCATACCTATTTGACTTGGAACAACGACCAGCCCAGCACGGCAACAACAACCGGACGCAGCACCCGCCCCACCGATACTGCATGATTATGACGATTCCCTTTTCCTATTACAGAAATAAGTCCATTTCTTTACCTGAAATCAGGAGCCGGCTCGGGGGTGTGTATATGTATTAGAGATCTTTGTGAAGTCTGGAGTTGGGCGCTTCTTGCATCAATTTGATTCAAATTTGTTTTATGCTTTGTCTACAGTCTGCGCTTTCGGTAAACAGCCACTCGATCTTGACGAGTCGGTGTGGTTCTCTATCATCCAAGAATTTAAGCTTTCTGTCAAAATTTTCGTCCGCGTGGTTCCTGAGACAGTCTCGGCGACGTCCCGCTTGCAGGGGCATTGATGGGCTGGATGAATATCTGTACAGATGCCATAATATACTTCTTGGACCATTTTGAGACCCCGGAATCCAGACCGTTTGAAATGGAGGATATAAGCTGCAGTGAGTACCCATGGAAAGACGGACTGTCGCTACCGACGCAAAGCAATCATCCCCCTCGAACAGAATCATTCCTGCTCCCAGGCAAGCATCTCCAGACGAATCCACTAGCAGCATACGATTACATTCTTGGAGGGTCTTCGTCGCAACAATGATCAACCACATTCTCCTTGCCTCCCTGGGGCTCTTAGCTGCAGCAAAGCCGTTCGACTGTGGCACCGACACTGCACATGCATCGGATGATTTCCTGAAATCCATCTCTGCCCTCTACGAAGACAACAAGAATGGCTCGCCAGCAGCACGTGCTGCCCTCGCCGCCCGCGATGGGGACAACAACTCGCACATCGAAGTCGACGCTGTCTTCCACATCGTGGCGAAGGGCGAGCACAAAGGCGATATATCCGACAGCATGCCAGCAGCACAGCTAGACTCCCTAAACGAATCCTACAAGGACTACGGCTTCTCCTTCAACCTCGTCAACGTGACCTGGACCACCAACGACCAGTGGGCCGTGGGCGAAGGCGACAGCGACCTCGAGATGAAGAAAGCCCTCCGCCAAGGCACCTACCGGACCCTCAACATCTACTTCCAAACGGACATAGGCCATGTTCTAGGACGCTGCACGCTGCCGTCGAGCGTGGGCTCGAACGCGGACCCATCCGTGTACGCCAACGACGGCTGCAACGTCAACGCCAACACGATGCCAGAGGGCCTCATGGACGGCTTCAACAAGGGCAAGACGGCGGTGCACGAGACGGGCCACTGGCTGGGCCTGTTGCACACGTTCGAGGGCAAGTCGTGCGACGGGCCTGGCGATTACATCAGCGACACTGCGCAGGAGAAGGAGAGCACCGAGGGCTGCCCGGAGAGCAAGCGTACGTGCCCTGACTCCGGCCAGGACGACCCCATCCATAACTACATGGACTACTCTATCGATAGCTGCTACACAGGCTTCACGCCGCTCCAGCATGATCGTATGCATTCCATGTATAACATGTACCGGGATGGTCACTGAGTGAGTGCTACTGCTACGGGGTGTAAGGGGGGGGGTTTGCTTTCTGGATCTTGGATCATGTTCATCGTTATGAAATTACGGCCATTTCTTTCCTCAAGACACAAAAGTGTTTTTTGACTACCTTGATCACTGAAGGGGGAAGTTGGGAAACCGCTAAAAAAAAGTATCAAAAGAGAAGGAGGAGAAAAGGACCTCGACACCAAATTGCTCACGCTCATACATGTATTTTGTTTTCTATCGTCTTGTTCTTTCTTTCTTGATTTTTGGGAGTAGGACGGCTTCTTTCATTTCTTGTCGTTTATTTTACTTTGGCTTCTTGACATTCTATCTGGTATCGCTATTCGTTTCTGTAGATTATTGAGTACCTACCTTCTTTGCACATAATCTGATTTACTTCGTTCACTGCACATCAAACTTTCCCCTTCGAGTACCTTACTTAGATAGATATGCACATAACAAGGCAAATATTCCCGTCTATCAGACCTCCAACACTCCAATCTCCCCCCTTCTATCTTAGTGATTCCTACCCATCCCATCACTGCCAACCCAGCCGCCAGGTCCAACCGATCCCCATCGACCCCCTTACTTCCCTTCCCTACCACCAAAGCCTGGAAATTGGTAGCATTCCAACGGACGCAGCCGGGAAAATGGACAACCCCATCGGTATTGTGTAACCACACAAGCATCTACCGGTGTTCATGCAATGATTGCAATGCTTCTGCTTTGCATTCCAGACCATTCTTCTCGGAGGGAGCCGATCACCCACACGCCTGGGCTGTAATAGTTGTATCTGACTATCTTGTTTGTTATCTGCTAGTCTAGATAGAGTGATTGATAGATGCACTCTGGTCCGGTTTGCCGGACACCGGCGATGTACATACACTCGAGAGATAGCGAGCAAGTGTACGTGTCTTCCAGACACCACCCCGTCGTCTGGAGCCGGAGTGAAGTGTATTTGACTTAACCTGTCTCTCGACTCGCCCTACACACAGTCTTGGGGTAAATGACTCTGACGGAACGGATAGCCGACGAAATAACACAATTCGATATCCCAAACATGACCGATGGAGTATGCGAGTGCGATCCACGACATTTTCGTACCGGGGGAGTTGAAGATGGGGGAGACAACGGAGCGAGCCCCGTGGCTGCGTTTGGAAAACGAATCCCCAAGGGCTGCTGACTCGTTCCAAGGCATCTCGAAACAATATCGATCATGCATACGAATGTAGTGCGGGGAGGGTTTCGGCATCTACGGTTCGGTTTCTGGATTGATCGTGAAGTGTGTGTGAGGGAAGTGGGTGGGGTGTGGTGGATGGAGGCATGGGAGGACGGGAATAACTTCCAGTGTCTTGGTGATATCGGAGATGGTGATGAATGTGTATAGGGTGGGGATGTCAGTTTCATTGAGACAATGTTGTTCGCATGGATGGGGGAGAGAGACAATGAACCTCTTGGTTTAAGGCGAAGAGATACATGCGACACGTGGGAGGCCAACGTTCGGAGATGATGCATGGACGATATGCGAGTCAAGAAAGATGAGAAACAAACATCAATGTCTAGAACATTTCCAGCAGGAGAAAAGAAACTCGACACTCGTAAGGAGAGACATGACAAGCAGCCTGAATCATTGATACTCTTCAAGTATTGGCTATCGTTCTTCTATTCCAGCGAGGTCTCGACTTTGCATGGACCGCCGATGCGAAGGGCATGTTTTGATATCTTGACGATCGAAGACAATATAAACCGCCCATCGTCGCATCTAGTCAATATTCCTCCTTGTTCTTCCTTTTCCTCTTCTTGGTCTTGTTCGATTTCTTCTTCTGGACGACCAGACGACGTTGGCATCTAGGTCGGGGTTAGAATCAGGATCCGAAAGGGGTAATAATGTTGTTGTTTTAGTGGGGTTAACTCCGGGTATGGCCTTCGGGGATTAGAGAGCGCGGCCGCCGACGTCGCGTGACGATCATTAATCACATCAACCAACACCATCCGTCATAATGCCTGAGTCAGACCGATCGTGGATCGATATTCGTCCGGATGGATGAGATCTTTTTGGCCCGGTTGTAGTTGCTGCTGTGGGCGTGCATGCATGCGTGCGGGCGGGCGGGTTGGTCTCGTTGGTTGGCTGGTTAAACCGTAGGTCCTTTGTCTGCCTCTTCCGACCGTGCAGGGCGTGCATTCGTGGGAGAAGATCAAGCAATGCGATCCGATGCTTATAATTCGAAGCTTGTTCATCCTTTCGCTTTCTGCTTTGCTTTATTAGATCAGACTTTGGTTGCTTTGCCTTACCATCTTGACATCTCAATCTTCAAGTTGAACTTTACATTGTTAGCTCCCATCGGACCATATCGTATGGTACCTTTTTCTGTACACATTTATACACCTCTACCAGAATCACAAGCCAAGATGCCTCAATCCATATTTCACCGCCGTAGGACATCCTCATCTTCGTCCTCGTCCTCGTCTTCATCAATATCACCAACAATAACAACATCGAAGCCGCCTTCTGTCCTTCGCTACCTCCTGGTCATACTTAAAGCCAAACCCACTCCAACAGCATATGCGAGCACATCTTATCAACAAGACGACAGTGACGATGACGACAGCCTTTACCATCCCATGGAGTCGAAGGTACCAAGTCTAAGCGTGGTGCCTGCGGCTATCAGCTCGTCGAGTAGTTTGGCCATCGTTTCAACGAAGAGACCGGATCGCTATCGCCTGCCGATGGTATGAATGATTACGAAAATAATGAAGGGAAGTGGAATGCCCTCTCCTTCACGAATCACGCCCACGAACTTTCGACATGTCTCGGCCTAGTCCCGAGAGAGATCATGTGCGCCACGCCCAGTTGGTGGTTTTCCATCTGCCCTCTCGCCAGGGAAGTACCAGCTTTGCATCGTCGGATGTGGCCTGGAGATCCTTATGCCACAAGCTTTAATGGGAACCCTTTGTCAGGCGCCGGGGGCTCTAATGTCGTAGGGTCGATCATTTGCGCAAGTTGGACTTGCAAACAGAGGTCGCTCTGGGACGATGATATGATTATCGTCCTATGAACCGGGGGATGAAAATGTACCGGGCCACGCAGGGAAATGCCCTTGTCGGGGTAAAGCTTCAGTGTTGCTGTATTTGAAATCGAAAGAGGCATTATGAAAACGTCTCATGGAAGGCGCCGGTGCAGGCGCGGTATGAGGATGAATTGGCACTGCGTGTAAACCCATTTGTCGTAATTAAATGTTGTAACATGTCCTATCGTACGTCAAGACGCACTCCGTTGTGAGACGCATTTCGAGCACCTCAAATTAAGTCAAGAAGATTTGACGCTGCAAACAAGTGGAATTTCAAATGAATCTTCATTCATCGTACTAAGAATCACAAAGAATGCATCCTCACTCCTTATTCTAAACACCCTCCAGGCATTTGAATGATCTGATGTTGCGCATGGACCACCGCATCTCAGCCAATTAAACCTCGTTGCACCGACGACATGTCATGATGTGAGGTGGCAGGGTATGGAAGAGGGGATATTCATACAACAGTATTGCAATGTCAAGTCTTAACCTTTACTCTTGAAAGACTAGCACAGCGGATATTGGCACGCATCATCGCCGCACCCACTCTTATAATAGTCACTCTTTACATTTACTTCTGCCACCTTGTTACTATTTACAGTACCTACTGCTGTGCCTCCTGTGCCGCAAAGCACTGTTCATTTACCCATCTGAAGTCACATTTTGCCCGTCGCATGAAACACCTCCTCTCAAATCTACGATCGAATCTGAAAGTTGCAAGTTAGACAGCCCAAGATGGGGAGTAAAGTACCATATCTACCGGCAGAATTGGTCTCCCATATCCTAAAGCGCTGCACGCCGTCCACCCTCGCAGCCGCAGCGCGGTGCTCTCGGCAATACAACAATATCGCTACGCCACTTCTTTATGAATACATCGATTTCGATGACGAATTAGATGACGAATTAGATGACTACGAAGAAGAACCCGAGAAGGCACCCGAGAAGGCACCACTTATGGCACTGGCAATTCTGTTCTCAAGCAAACCTCACCTTGCGGCATACGTGCGACATCTCAGTGTGCGTCCTAAATATGGGTGGCCCAGGAGACTCAAGGACACCGACAGCAGTAGTGGCAGCAGTAGTGACGATTATTCCATCGATATGCCCGAAAGAACTTGGGAGCTCGAAAATCCTGGGGAGCTCGAGAGCACTGATGAGCTAGGTAGTGCTGAGGAGCTCGAAAGTGCTGAGGAGCTCGATCGTGCTGAGGAGCTTCACATCAGTGAGGAGCTTGACAGGGATGAGGATTCCCTCTCCTCGTGGGAATCTCCTGAGGGTTTCTACAGCGATGACGACGATCACAGTGACGGTCCAGAACAGTCACGACAGGTGGACAGCATCCTCGATTGTTGCGATGAAGAGCGCGTGAAGCAAATCATGGAAGTCAAAAATTACGAACTTCTACACGCGGTGCTACTGCCCACTTTTCCAAATCTAGTATCTCTAGATGTAATGGATTCGGAGTACAACAATCATATGGATCGCATGTTCATACGTTTCGGAACTGGTGCCCAACACGGCTCGGCATTCACGAAGTTGAAGTCGTTGTTCTGGTGTTATCGAATGATGCCATGTACGCCAGCAGGTGTCATTATTCCTCCAGCCATATTTGCATTGCCTGTGATCGATAAAGTTTACCTTCACCAAGCTCGGGGATGTGGCGCCTCGCATGAGGATGAGGATGAGGATGAGGATGATGCATGGGACTATAGGCGTGATAGAGAAGCAGAGGATTTTAGGCTGGCTAGACTTAGTCCGCGCTCTTCGACATGCACCCATCTCGAGCTTAGAGATTGCCGATTCAACAAAAAGGATCTGTTGAAGATAATCTGCATCCCAAAATCTCTGAGGGTTTTTGTTTATGAATTAGGCCCATGGCAGCTCGGCTCAGTCAGCTTCTCTACGATAAGGGAAGGGCTCGAGTTTCAGAAGGATACGCTGGAAGAGTTCTGCTTAGACTATTGTCACAATGGTGTTGGGGCATGGCGATGGTTGGAAGAAGACTGCCCCGCCCGATCTATGGTTTTAGACGATTTCCCAAGACTGACACGCTTGAAAATTGCATCAGGCTTTGTCATCGGGATAGATCTACGCCAGCCGTCTGGCCATACGGACTTATGGCATCGACGTCTCCGGCAATATCTTCCGAGATCGATCGAAAGACTACAGCTTACGCACTGTGAGGTGCTGGATAACATTCAGATATTGATACTCCTTGATGCTCTGACAGATGTCCTCATTGAAAAGGCGAGGCTTGCTCCAAGGCTTTATGAAATCACCCTAGAGGTCACGGCTAGCATAGTCAAAGAGCAACTTCCATTTTTGGAACAACTCATACGAAAGGCAGCCGACGCTGGTACGGATATAGTGCTTCTCAACAATTTCAAGGACAGTGCAGACAAGGGTCGCAGTCGAAAAGTTGAGAGGAAATGGGGCTTTGATGAGAATATAGAGCGGACAGACTGTGGCGACAACGAAGCCTACAAACCAATCTACGAAAAAATTGTAGTGCAAACAAGCGCCCCTGAAATTTCTTAGGTGCAATTTTGCAAGCTAGGGGTCTTTCCAAATTGACAGAAGAATGAAATTTGCGTCGAAGTCCAGTTCAGAGGGATGGCATATGCGCCGGGAATTGTGACACGATAGAGGCCAAAATACCTCAGTTCAGCCCCCAGATGCACATCGTTCGGTAGCAATATCGATACTTACTTGACACTTGTGTGCATAGGAGCTGAGGATCTCGAAGCATGTAAACAATATCGTGTATCACCAGTGTCTCTCATTTCCAACTGTACTAAAGCAACTATATTCTAACCTATGACATTTCGAGGAGTATGTATTTAACTATCTGTGGGAAGCCGTTGCCTCAGGTGATGCTTGTGCCGCACGAACGCCTCTTCGCTGTCATAATGGACAAACGCCGCTTCGCCGTCGCGACTTGGGAACTCATCCTTGACGAACACCGAGATTCCTTGAAGCTATCGTAGTTACACTGTTAAACTTGGCCTTTCACTGCAAGTTCCTCAATCGATTTAAGGTATAAGTAGTCAACATGTCTTTTCCCAATGCAACATTCAGAAAACAGTTGGATACGGTACTTATCCACTTCGAGAACTATACAACTTTCTCCAACAATCCCGACTTTTTGCTCTTTTGTCTTTATCTTCAAAATATCCAAGCTAGTTGCACCTGAAGATGCGATTTCCTGCAGCTATCTGCACAATATTGATGTTCGCATCTTACGCCGCAGGCTCGTGAGTTCTTTCTACCCTCACTCTCTCCAATGTGCAACCCATCTTGACCGAAAATCAGCACTATAGAGCGACGAAAACCTTTGATTGATTACACCGAGTGTCCGGGAGGCAAAAAGGCTGTCGCCCAACTTGAAACAGAATTTGAATTTGCACGGAAGATGATCAGCGTTGGAGGAGAAGACTTTGGTCCTGAGAATGAGTTTGCAAAGGCGTTCTTCGACCCTAAACGGCTCACTGAATCGAAAATCAAAACCATGAAGGATCGATTCAGGACAATGAGGCGGATGGCTGATCCAGGAAAAAAAGAGAAATATCTGGAAACACGAGTAAGCTGCGAAAAGGCAACGTACATGTACTGTAAACAGCGCGACGTTACTGCGTTTACATAAGTTGATTTTCTTACTTTTACGGAGCGGATAATTTTGTGCCCACTGTTTTGGGAAATGGAAACTACAGAGTATGTGTAAATTGATCATGTGCTCAATCAAGTTGACTTATCTCGTCGTAGGTCGTTAATAAAACGCTGCGAGACTGAGGATATCTCACTCCGGGATGTGAGAAGGACGCAAGGTAAGTATTCAGTCTCCTCCACACCCACCGCCAGGGAGAAAAACAGTTCTTATTGACCTTTAATAGCGCGAGTGCTCGTCCATGAACTTGCGCACAGCGTAAGTGAAAGCAAATTGCTCTTCTCCTTCAGGAGCTGACACCTGCCTCATTTAAAAGTCCGCAAACCACAAACGATAGACTATGCCTACAAGGTCTCGGACCTGATTTCACTTGCTAAAGGCGAGCATGTGTATGATAGAAAGATACAACCTTCGAAAAAGGCGGAAGAAAATGCCGAGTCCTATGCTATGACACTTGTAGGAACATACTACGATAGAAAGTAAGCGAATACAGATTCCAATACAGTTTTCAAGGCACTTACAAACTCCACAAGGTGCAAAATCCTTAGACCTAATGCTAAAGTTCTTTGGGGGACCCCTGCAGAACAAGCACAAGAAACGGAACATGAAGTGGAACCTGTACTGGAAAATGAACCGGAACCTTCACCGCAACCCGGACCGGCATCTGAAAATTAGCCTGATGTGCAGCTGCAAGCGTTGGAAAGTTTAGACCGTATAGACCGCTACGTTACCTTATAGACTGGCCAAATTTTATAGATTTCTTTTTCGTACTTGGGTTAGAAGGGCTTGGAATATAGAACGTAATCAACATCAGTACATTTAATACTAGCCATTCAGAGTGTTTTCGTGAACGGTGAAAGGAAATTCGGCGAAAAGCCTGGTCATGTTGTAGTTCTAGCTAATTCGTCACGATATACGATTGTGTTCACATCACACTAGAACAGTACGTCTCTTCTTAGTGAAATGAATGATGATGAAACATATCAGTAACCTAGTGAAGCCCTTACAATAATACATTCAAAAATCTACCAAATAATAACAATACATTTTGTCCTGGGGTTTGCATATCTAGGTAAGTTCCAATGCCTTGACAAGCCAGTACCATTAATTACTAGTCTGTCAACGCTCTGAAGTTTTGTCATGGTACCTCTGTTCAAGAGACATGTCAAACTGTTCTTGCAATGTTTGAATTAGGTGCGTGATGAAAGTTTGTTTGATGTATACATGCCAATACTTTTTACAATCAGCATAAAATGTTGGTAAGAATTCAATGCTACTGAATGACCCTCAAGCACTTAGGATGAGAGTTGGTTTAAGATAAGGGTAGAAAGGGCTCTGAACAATAGTTTCGAGGGGTAGTGTCGACAAAGCCCTTCTGTTCAACAGGCAGGACCGCCATACAGATCTCGGTGAATGTAAAGCAAAATGCTTTGCCGGATTGAGCAAGCGCCAGTGAATACAAGTGCACGTGCGACGAATGAACGCCACGCTTCCCTCGTGCTCCAGCATTGTTCGTCTGACAAAGCGTTCTTGGCGAGGGGCTCCCCATCTTGATTTCGGATAGACCATACATCCTCCAATATAAGTACACCTTCCGAAAGTCGTCTTTTACAACCAGTATTAATAAACCTTTGGTACGGACCCTCAGTCAACTCGCGACGTCGTAAGAGGGTATCCCTTCCCTCAAGTTGCCAACCAATTCGGCTCTCCCTTCGTCTCTCCGGCTTTGCGACGGACTGTGGTTGCGCACGCACGCGACGCACCGCCTCGGCCATGTTCTGTCTACGGAGCTGGATACCAGTTCTATTCTTCCTGTGAGTTACCGAGAGACGTCGAACCTGGCCGTTCCTTCTTGTACTAATTGACAGACTAAGGACCCATGCCTCACCGATCTACCTCGTCCTCTTCATCTCCGCAACCTACTTCCTGAACCGACCGTGCGTGTACTGCTCATTGCTTCTATTCATCCTCGTCGTCGCTCTTTTCGACTTCCAGACGCCATGGTTCGAATTCGAATCGCCGATCAGCGGAACGACCGAGATAGCACTGAATGGCTCGACTCCCTATGGTAATACCATTTTCGAAACAGCCGGAGTGTTCGTCTCAGCGGCGAACCAAACCGCCCAGGCGGTCATCAAGGCGGCGGCAGAAGGGATCAAAGAGAAATTCTCGAATGACGGGAACACCGGTGCCAGTGCAAGCAGCGCGAGCTACGAGTGGGTGAAAGGCATCTGGTCCAAGAAGGAACTGCGGATACAATGCCTGGATGTGTTGGTCAGATTATGAGAAGTCTCCCGTTCGCGGGCAGCGATTTTGAGCGCTTTGGAGTGCATTGGAGCGCTTTCTGGAGGTCACAAAAGGAATACAAATAATGGATAAGAGGAAGAAGTAATTGAAAAGCTGTTCGGAATAGGAAGACGGCAGGCATTAGCTCGGCGCATGGCATTGATGAGCATTTTTCTGGCGTCATTTCTTTTATATTCAACGAACGTACGATGTGAAGGGATGAGCATGTGTACAGTGGTGTGGCATCTATGTTTTTGTCGTTCCCGTTTTACATTTCCAATCGATACCCAAATCATCGTCCTCCCGTAGCACGGTTGTGGAACCATATTCCGAGAGATATAGTGTGTATATCTATGTGAATCGGAGTGATAGAACTGACTAAAGCTAATTTTTTTCTTCTTCTCTAACGCTCTCGTTCCGATACCCACGATAATTTCCATGGTAAATATGAAGGATGATGCAATTGGTCAGCCTTGTCAGTCGTTCTACGGAAGTACACCTTCCTAAAAGCAACAAGCGGGAATCTGTATTGGAGCTCAATTGTTCATTTCTATTCCGTGAGCACTCCGGCACACAGACAGAGGATACGAGATGAGTACGAGCTCCGAGGTTTCCAGTGATGGAGGGATCATGGATTGTGAAATCAAGGCTGTCAAAGTCCTTACTCCGATTGAAAGGTGAGGAGATGGAGGAGGACGGATTTGCACGAGAGGATTGTCGCATATTCCGCCTTGAAAAAGCATTATTCACCGGTGGACCAGTCTTCCCGAGGCTTGCTTTTGCGCATGCGGTTGGTCAACGATGTCGATCAGCCCATGGTGGATTGAAGGTGTGCATAGATACTTGCTCATAGTCTGGAGATGTATGTGCAATTTACTCCGTTGATTGATCAATGGGATTGCTAGATGATTAAATTAATTATCTACCTACCTACCTAAGGTAGTAATTTAGTGATGTTCTAGTTCGAGTACGAGGAGGACTGGAACGAGGCTGCCAATAAGGGACTAGCGCGGGGTATCTCTGTGTGTATCTCCATCGTATCGTTCCTCGTAAAGTGGCGTGGGACTCGAGCAAAAATACACGAAAATAGACAGAAATAGACAGAGTTAGAGTAGAATCACAGGCAACTAGATCTCTCTATTCCCCAATTCGTACTCGTCCCTGTCTCGTACCACACCGATGGAACGCCCGCAACGCTGTGTCACCTGCACCCCGTCCTGGTCCTGTCCTGTCGTGTTGTGTTGTGTGTGTGTTGCATGCGACTTGACGACATATTAGCTCTCTTTCTCTTTCCCCTCAATGCTGCTCGCCATTACAAAATCTCCACGCTCCCTCTCCTCAATTTCAACATCTTGTGCCAGACACTTGACCCGTTCTCACCTCCGCTTCCCCTCCATTCAACCCACTGCCTACAATTTATCATACTCACGTCGCATAGCTACCGGAGCTACAACAAACAAGCTCCCCTCGCGATCACGACAGACCCCACGTGCACACATTAGCAAAGGGAGCTCGTCAATTGCCCAATTCGGACAGCAGATCAGACGTTGCTCTAGTGAAGTTAGCAGCAGCTTCATAGCCATGGCTTCCGACAGAGATATCTTGCCCAGCTGGTCAGTGGTCAATCTCCGGATCTTCCTGGAAGGAAAATTTTGAACATCACCCACGCCCCTGCCTCAATCATAAGAAGACGGCAGCGGACTCTTGGGTTTGTCTTCAGTGTATTTGGATCAGATCATGCTAACGTTCGTTATTGTACAGGGTCAAGCCATCCCACTACTCCCTCTCCATCTTCGACATCGAGTTTGGTGGCCAGTTCTCGTACCAGGGAAAGGTCGCGATCAACCTCAACATCAGCAACACCGAAAGCTGGAGCGAGATCGTTCTCAACACTCTCCAGATCAAGGTCCACAGCGCCGAGTTGGTTGTAGAGGGATCTCCGCGGGAGGTCCAGAACATCTCCTACAATGAGAAGCAGCAGCGAGTCGCATTGGACTTTGGGGAGAAGTTCCAGTACACTGGCGAAGCTGTTCTGAACATCAAGTTCGAGGGAACCATCAACAACGTGAGACGGACTAAAATGCAGTTATAGAGAAAGCTCGACTGACTGGACTAATCAGGTCATGGCTGGTTTCTACCGCTCTAAATATGTGCCCAAGGGCGAGGTGGCCGCTTCGGTTGCCAAAGATGACGAGTACCACTACATGTTCAGCACTCAGTTTGAGGCATGCGATGCACGCAGAGCCTTCCCCTGCTTCGACGAACCCAATCTGAAGGCCACTTTCGACGTCGACCTCGAATACCCAGAGGATCAGGTGGCTCTGAGCAACATGCCGGAGAAGGAGGTCAAGTCGAGCAGCAAGCCTGGCTTTAAGGTCACTCAATTCGAGCGCACACCTATCATGTCCACATACCTCTTGGCTTTCGCTATTGGTGACTTCGAATACATCGAGGCTTTTACCAAGCGCGAGTACAATGGCAAGAACCTTCCTGTTAGGATCTACACCACGCGCGGCCTCAAAGAGCAGGGACGCTTTGCCTTGGACAATTGCCACAAGGTTGTGGACTTCTTTTCCGAGGTTTTCCAGATTGATTACCCTCTTCCCAAGGTCGATCTGTTAGCTGTCCATGAATTTGTGAGTATCAAATTTGATGATGTTTTGCGCGCTTTGAGCAACATCGCTAATAGCTTAGCCTATTATATGTTTCCCCTTCCGTCCTTATAAGAGTAAAGCTGACCATTGATTGCTAGTCACACGGTGCTATGGAGAACTGGGGTCTCATCACTTACCGGTATGTTGAACGAGATCGAGTGTAGCGTAACAAAACATTGACATCAAACATTCAGAACGACCGCTGTGCTCTTCGACGAAAAGACTTCCGCCGCCAGCTACAAGAACCGTATCGCCTACGTTGTTGCACACGAGCTTGCCCACCAGTGGTTCGGCAATCTCGTCACAATGGATTGGTGGAGTGAACTCTGGCTCAACGAAGGCTTTGCCACATGGGTTGGCTGGTACGCTACTGACCATCTTTATCCCGGTAAGTCAGAAACTTGAGCATTTGATACCCACCACTAATTCAATGCGCAGAATGGAACGTTTGGTCACAGTTTGTTGTACGTAGTCGATCACGAGGTATCTCTGCTCCTTGCAATGCTGACATATTGATTTTCTGATTAGACCGACTCCGTCCAACTAGCTTTCGCTTTCGACGCCCTGAGAACTTCTCATCCAATTGAAGTGCCGGTTTACGATGGCCTCGAGGTCGACCAGATCTTTGATCACATCAGCTATCTCAAAGGCAGCTCTGTCATCCGCATGTTGAGCGCCCATCTTGGGGAGAAGGTCTTCTTGCAGGGTGTTGCCGACTATCTCAAAGCCCACAAATACAGCAATGCCACCACGAACGATCTTTGGTCGGCTTTGAGCAATGCTTCCGGAAAGGATATCAACAGCTTCATGGATCTTTGGATCCGTAAGATCGGATTTCCTGTGGTCACTGTCACCGAGGAGCCCGGTCAGGTTAGCCTCCGCCAACAGCGCTTCTTGCTCTCTGGCGACGCAAAGCCAGAGGAGGATGAAACTGTTTGGTGGATTCCTCTTGGTCTCCACACCGGATCCAGCGCCGCAAACGCTTCTGGACACAAGACTACAGCTCTCACGCAAAAGGAGGACATTGTCCGCGACATTGATGACTCTTTCTACGTGATCAACAAGGACTTTACTGGTTTCTACAGAACTAACTATCCCCCACAGCGGCTCGCCAAGCTTGGTGATTCCAGGCACCACTTGAGCGACCCGAACAAGATTGGTCTCATTGGTGACGCCTACGCAAGCGCAGTCGCAGGCCACGCTTCAACTGCTGGCTTGCTTGCTCTTATTGAGCGTTTCCAGGACGAGACGAACTACTTGTGAGTGTATAGCCACGTCGATTTTAGCAAAGCTGATATATGTTTCAGGGTTTTCTCTCAGATCGCCGCATCGTTGGGCAGCGTTCGCAGCATCTTCTCGGGGGTGGAAGACATCAGTGAAGGATTGAGGCAGTTCCACCTCAAGCTTTTCACTCCTGCGGTTGAGAAGATCGGCTGGGAGTACAAGGACAACGAGGACTTCCTTACCGGTCAACTGCGCAACCTCTTGCTCACCTCGGCGGGTATTTCAGGACACGAGCCCACAATCAATGAAGCCAAGCGCCGATTTGATCTCTACGTGTCTGGAAAGGACAAGTCTGCCGTGCACCCATCCCTCCGAAAGACCATCTTTTCCATCTCCGTCAAGTACGGTGGACGTGAGGCCTATGAGGCCGTCAAGAACGAATATCTCACCAGCGATTCCATCGATGGCAAGGAGATCTGCCTGGCCTCTCTTGGCCGCGTCCAAACCACCGAGCTCGCTCAAGAGTTCCTGGCGTTCAATTTCTCCGAAAAAGTCGCCATGCAGGACAAGCACACTGGAACCGTTGCCCTCGCCTCAAACTCCAAGGTCCGCCCCGAGGTGTGGAAGTTCATCCGAGAGAACTGGGATTCCGCCGTCCACCCGCAACTCTCTGGCAACTTCGTCGTGCTTGAGCGCTTCCTTCGCTTCGGCCTGAACAAGTACACTGATGCTTCGGTTGCCGATGAGATCCAGGAGTTCTTCAAGAACAAGGACAACAGGGGCTACGACAAGGGATTGGCGGTGGTCGACGATACCATCCGCAGCCACGACAAGTACAAGTCCAGGGACGAGCAGATCATCCGTGAATGGTTGAAGACCAACGGATACATCCAGTGACTTGTGCCGAGGCTGTAAGGAATAGTGAACTTGTCTGATGACCCACGAAATACGGGCGTACACATCAAGAGATGGAATGGACAGTTACATAGGAATAATCATGAATCATGAAAGGTTTTGCAATACAATCCAATTCCCCTCGTGATGCCAACCAAGCTAGAACTTGATATTGAACAAATAAGGAATTGTAAAAGTGCAATCTAGTTCTTCAAACAATGAAGTGTAATGGGCAGCCATTCACGGGAAAGCAGCACGGTTTCAATAAAGTCGCTTCGAAGTAAACATGTTGAACGAACAAAGTCGTGATCTATTTTTACGAGGGTATTATATGTATGTCTGTGTGCATGTACATGGTCCATGATGGTTGGTAGTTTTTTTCCTTTTGAGTATGGTACAACAATGAAAAAAGGGTAAGTATAAGTTCGTGACAGGGGGGATATTTTACATTTACACCCACTCCTTGGGGTTCTTGAGGACATCGATGAGTCTCTCCTCCCTGCTCCCAGGCTCGGGGGCATGCATGTACTGCCACCTAGCCGTGAGGGGCAAGCTCATGAGGATGCTCTCGACCCTGGAGCCGGGGGTGTTCAAGCCGAAGGAGGTGCCGCGATCGTGGACGAGATTGAACTCGACGTAGCGGCCGCGGCGCAGCTGCTGCCACTGCTTCTGTTCCTCCGTGAAAGGCATGTCCTTGCGGCGGTTGATGATGGGGATGTAGGAGGGGAGGAAGGCGGAGAGGCAGTCCTGGACGAAGGCGAAGAGCTGCTCGCGGTCCTTGACGGTCTCGTCGAGGTCGTCGAAGAAGATGCCGCCGACGCCGCGCGTCTCGCCCCGGTGCTTGTTGTTGAAGTACTCGTCGCACCACTTCTTGAACCGCGGGTAGTACCCCTTGTCGTGCTTGTCGCACGCCGCCTTGATCGTGTTGTGGAAGTGGATCGCGTCCTCGTCGTACAGGTACGAGGGCGTAAGGTCGCAGCCGCCGCCGTACCACCACGCGTTGGTGTTGCCGAACTCGTCGGCCGTCTCGAAGTAGCGGTAGTTGAGGTGGACGGTCGGCGCGTTGGGGTTGGAGGGGTGCAGCACCATGCTGAGGCCCGCGGCGAAGAAGTCGACCGACTCGACGTCCGGGTCCAGCGCCTTGTGGTTGACGCGCATCTTCTGGATTGCTGCCCGCCCTAAGGTGCCGTACACGACAGAGGTAGCGACGCCTGCCTTCTCGAAGACGTTGCCGTCTTGGAGCACGCAGGTGATGCCCCCGCCGCCCTCGGCCCGCTGCCAGGTGTCGACTTGGAACTTCTTCCCGTCGACCTCCTCCAGCCCCGCCACGATCTGCTTCTGGTGCTCCTGGACGAACTTCTCCATTCGGAGTCGCATGGGCGATTGTGTCGTCACGCCGTTCTCGCGCTTCGTCAGGGCGTCTTTCTCAGCGATGCTGGGACCCTCGGTCTGGATTTCAGTCGTCCACTAGAAGGTCTTAAGTCAATTGAAATTGTTCCAATGTAATCAACGTATTCATCGTGCCGGTTGGAATTGGTCCCATACCATTGAGTATACCAGGGCTCCAATGAACGGCACAAACATCAGTCGAAACCTGTTCGGCCATTTGCTAGGCTTTGGGTTGCGCCATTCGGTCAATGGGTCGGGTTTCTGGGGCCCTGTCGCCAGCGAACGTCTCGACGCTGCTAACCGCGTGCCGGTGAAGAAGGACGAGGGAATTGAGCGCCGCGGAGGGTAATTGTGCTGGAATTCAATTGCCCGAGCAAGGCGAGTAGACGGTCGGAAGGTAGGCATGGCGTGGGTGCGGACAGGAGCTCGAGGCAAAGTTCAATTGCCAGCGATTGACTTTTTGAGGGAGGGGAGGGGAGGGAAGAAGAGGATGCTGTCAAGGTTGTGCTACGGAACAATCATTGAAGATCGTTGCAGGGATGTGGCAATGGATGAGAGGGAGATTGAGGTTCAGGTCGAGGTCGCCTGCGGTTTATAAAAAGAGGAGGATAGGTGGTGTAATCAGGGTGATGGTGGTTCGTAGAAAAATTCAAGCTGTCGTGGTAGCATCACACCACAGTGGAGGCATAGTAACATACCACATAGTCATACCAAGCAATACATCCCTAATACTTCCACATTAGGCGGAGCGGAAGACCGAGGGACCTCCGGTACAGTCCAAGTCACGTGATCACGTTCGAAGTCCAGATACTCTTAAGTGGGTAGGTAGGTAGTTAGCTATCTAGACTGACTACGACTAGTTACCCCGGATGAGTGCGGTACGGTGGCCATGGTCCTGTCGCATACGAGATGGAAGCATTTAGAGATGGAAAGGCCTTCTTGCGCGTTCTAGGTATTTCTTCCAATGATATCATATCAATAGGCAGGCAGGCAGGCAATCAAGCAAGCAAGCTAGACTCAGATGTGTTTGCACCTGTATGGGCAGCACAGGAGTACATGTGCTGCGAGATGAGGTAGGAGGTACTGCTACAAGTACATATTGAATGGTACTCATATCTAGACCCTGGAATCGACAAACTTCAATGCGGAGATGGGCAGTGATCTGATGCCGAATTGTACTTCCGCAGAAACTGGTCATTCAAGTCATGTAGATAGATGATCAACGGGTACAATAATACGTAGAAAAGGTACTTTGAGTCAACGTTATCATGGGACAGGGCTGAAGGAGTCAGCGAGGCCGAACAGAGGAGTCACCAGTGTGAAGCCCGCCACGGGTTGTGATGGGGGTTTGAAACAAAGGGCGGTGGCAGTGAATGACAATGGGTACGGGGTACGAGGTACCTGGGTGGTTTGCCTCCCCATTCACCATCAGGGTCGACGTTCTGCTTCTACTGTGAAGTTTGCTCATCCGTGCCTGTAGATATGACCTGTCGTGATTGTAGTCAAGTCCATGGGTGGTAGTTTGGGAAGTGATTGTGGCTTTGGTAAGCAAGGGAGGTTGTGTGAGGGAGGGATAACCAGTGAAGAGAGTGAGAGTCGTCGCCTGCTGGGCTGCTGGTGTGTCGCACGCGCCCCGCCCGCCCTCTCTCTCTGCTGCCTACTTTAACCTCCTCTCTCACCGCTGCAAACCCACCCTCCTACTCCTCTCCTACTTAAACCTCCCCGCCACCACCACATACCGCAACCAGCCTTCCAACCAACCCAATATACGATTCATAAACTCCATCCTATATCCCACAACCTACCATCCCATACAACTCCCAAAATGCGATCCAAGTTTAAGGACGAGCACCCGTTCGAGAAGCGCAAGGCCGAGGCCGAGCGCATTCGCCAGAAGTACAACGATCGCATTCCTGTAAGGACTCCCCATTCATCGAGCTTTCAGAAGCACAGCTAACCCAGCTCTAGGTGATCTGCGAGAAGGTCGAGAAGTCTGACATCGCGACCATCGACAAGAAGAAGTACCTCGTCCCGGCCGACCTCACCGTCGGCCAGTTCGTGTACGTCATCCGCAAGAGGATTAAGCTCTCCCCCGAGAAGGCTATCTTCATCTTCGTGGATGAAGTCCTTCCCCCAACAGCCGCTCTCATGAGCTCGATATACGAGGAGCACAAGGATGAGGACGGTTTCCTATACATCACGTACGTATTCCCCGAGTTAGGCTCCAGCTCCACCAATACATACTAACCATGATACAGCTACTCCGGCGAGAATACCTTTGGCGAGGAAGCATAAGCGCCTTTATCTACAACCGCGGCCTCTCTGTTATATTAAGTTACCGTCACCGAGGGCGTGGTGATTTGGGATGGGCGTTCTGGCTTGCTTGGGCTTTGACAGTTTCTCATGATGTATGGATTTGACACGCACAGCACACTCCAGGGAACGCGACACAACGCAGACTATTTGATCTTCGATACGATTTCAGGAAGTCCACCGAATGAATGGCTTGGACACTCCGACGAAGGCTCTGAAGAGCTCTGCGGCGGGAGGAGTGGCTGTGCCTGCATGACTGAGTGAGGTGGATTGGGTTGATATTATGGATCGCACACTGATTGAATGTTGCATTCCCGTCATTTCCTGCATACTCAACCTCACAATAAATGAATCGGCTTCTTCTGACATGAACTACGTCCTTGTACTTGCATTGCTCCCAGTGACTGAATCCTTGGTACCCGTGACCTGTCGGCGTGACTTGGTACCCTGAAACTATAGATGACGACATGCCCACCCAACGTGACCGGATAAGCCTCTCGTGGCCATGCTCAGTTATACAGATGAACCCCAGTGTTTCAAGTGAATATTCAAAATTCACAGTAAACAAAAACAGTGAACGTGATTTGTCGGTGAATGAGGAAAAGCGAGAAAAAAATCCCAAAGTGTCAGACCGCCATTGTTGTACCTGAGTGGCACCAGCTGAGCTGTCCCGTGGGGCAAGAAGCTCAGCCCTACGAACCAGCCCAAACAATTCTCGGCGGGTCGGACGGGGTTCAACCGATTGATTTTAAGCTCCCAGCGAGTCTGTGCTTTTTCTGGATTCAACCCATCTTTTTGTAGTTGGACTCGTCTCCTCATATCTTGACGATCGGACTGGTCTGATTGTTCTTGCGCCTACTTAACGTTGCGTTGGTCCAGCTTGCTCGCAAAGCAGCGAACTCGTTTCCTCCCTCATCGTAGCTGTGCGCGGTGTCCAGGACTTGCATAGAAGTGTCCGGCGCAACAATGGCGTACAAATACATCATATCAAAGTACGCACAATATACATGGTCCCTCTGGAGCTTTTGATGTTCCTATAGGCGACAACAATACCCTTGATTCCTTGCTAACGGCCATGTAACTAGGTCCCTCGACCCTTTCTTCGCGATATCCATCGGTCTTGCAGCGGCCCTCACACGCATAAGCCGGGAAGAGAAGGAGCAGGGACGAAGCATGCAGCAGAGCATTGAGTTATTCAAGAAGAGGAGCGGGATTGCGTGGGAGGAGGTCTGGAAGAAATGAGCACCTGGTATCACAATCTTGGAATGAGGTAGGAGTGTACAGGTGGAAGTGCTTGTGTCAGCCCCTCGCGACTGGGGATGGATAAGACGATGGTTTTGTTGATGAAAGAGAAGACTGGATAAGTGGTGGGCTTTGAAGACGACTTCGATGTTCCATACAGGGATGGAATGATTGATGATACCCATTTGGAAATGTGTGGATCATGCCACTGTTACGAACATATTCGATATACTTATGGAGAACATATGTTTCCGGTTTTATATATTCTCAAGAGGAAGCGCTCATAGTTGGAGAGCGAAAGCCTGGGTGACATGTCGATACAATGAGATGTGGAGAAGAGGCAGAAAAGTACTCCAACGACTCAGAGAATGCGGTCTCCGATTTACCAATTGCGTTCTTCATATATGTGCCTAGCTTTGCCAAATTGAATTTTGTGAATACAGAAGAGGTCTTCAATTAACAGTCCATCGAATCGTGACCGTTGTCAATAGACCATACTCAAATGATCATTTAAATCTATGATAGATCATGTTCATATGGACGTATACCTTCCAATCTATATATTGATCTGAAAGCAACCCACCCATATTCAATACATCATAGAGGCAGTTGATGACCATCATCATTAACCTCCAAGCTTCACGAACATATACAATTTATCTATTCCAGAATGCTCCAACATCCCGATATCTCAATAGCCAACTCCTACATCCACCCAGAAGCATTCACATTAGCGTCTTGGCACGAACATTCCTCACCATTGGCCCAACATAGCAAAATACATCCCCCCCTCCCAAATACAGAAAACCGCCACATATTGTCCGCAACAAACCCCTTACAACCTCCTCAAATTTTCGACTGCAAAATAGGAATCAATAGAAAGAGATAGCGCAAGGAAATTGGCGAAATGGCCGAGACCGACGCACAGGGCCAATCATACGAAGCCCAACACGTGCACTCAGTCTATGAGGAGATCGCATCACATTTCTCGTCTACAAGGTACAAGGTGTGCGTTCCCCTCCTCAACTTCCCCTCTCGTTCTTCTCCTAGATTACTTTTCAATCCCTACCGGCACGATTGGAGCATTGATTGAGTACTGACTCTGTGGAACGAATAGCCATGGCCCATCGTGGAACGATTTCTCGAGGAGCGGCCGGACGGTGCCATAGGTGCTGATGTCGGGTGCGGGAATGGGAAATATCTCAGTATCAATGATAAGGTGTTCATTGTGGGTTCGGATCGGTGAGTTAGTTTGTCTCTACTACGAAAGTAGCCCCGAAAAGTGAAAAAGAAGAATACATATAAATCCTCCCATCCTCCACATGAAGTACAACAGAAAAGATAGTAAGCTGGTCTTGTATTACTCTTACAAAGACAAAATACAAATATGCCCCCGCCTAAGATCTATCTTTGGGTTTTTTGAACTCTTATTTCTAGGAAAAGAACCAAAACTAAGAGCTTCACACAGATCCACAAACCTCGTCAGCATCGCCAAACAGCACCACCAACACCTCAACACCTCCTCCCTAGTCGTGGCTGACAACCTCTCGCTCCCGCACCCGCTCCACGCCTTCGACTTCGCCATCTCCATCGCCGTCATCCACCACCTGTCGACGCCCGCGCGGCGCGTCGAGGCCGTGGCTGCGGTGCTCGAGCTGCTCAAGGGGGCAGGAGGTAGGGCGCTGATTTACGTGTGGGCGCTTGAGCAGAAGGATAGTCGGAGGGGGTGGGATGAGGGGCATGAGCAGGATGTTATGGTGCCGTGGGTTATGAAGGGGAAGAAGGAGAAGAAGACGGGGAGTGCGAAGAAGGGGAGGCGGAAGGGTGATGGCGAAGAAGGATATGGGGAGGCGGCGAAGGAGGAGGAGCAGGCGGTGGCGGCGGTGCAGGACAAGACGTTTTTGAGGTATTATCATTTGTATAGGAAGGGTGAGTTGGAGCATGATGTCGAGGAGGCTGGGGGCGTGGTCGTGGAGTCTGGGTATGAGAAGGATAATTGGTGGGCCATTGCGAGGTTGAAGGATGGGGATGGGAGGTGAATGGGACGGAATTGAACGGCATCTAGATTCAAAATGTATATGTTATATGAGAAATGCGGTTCTATGTATAGAATGCTTGGTGCTGATCCAGTTGAATATAAAATATCAGTTACTGTGACAGCTGCCATGCTCGAGAATGGCCATCCCGATATTTACTTGTGTTTTGAACAATACTACCAACTACTATGCTCTTCAGCTCTCTACCAAGACTACAGGTAAAGCGTTGATGCTCTCAGTCAAAGGGAATAGACCTCTGTAAAATCCATAAGCACCGGCTATCAGAATAACGTAGTAGGCTACGGTCCAAGCAAGCCCTGCGGATTGGATCGACGAAGATGCTCGACCATATGTCCCTTGGTCATCATCACGCTTGTCAGCGTCGGGAGGCCCGATTGGCACTCCCGACTCCACGCCGACACGGCCCCAAAAACGGGGGAGGCCCATCCAATTGCAGAATGCATGGGTCAAAATCAGAGAAAAGACATTCCCAGTACGAATGAAGGCGAATGCTGCGAAGAAGCCAAAGAGAGACGTGTAGGTGAACTGAAAGAGGGAGCGGAAGACCGCAAGAGCCAGTGGTGTTTCCGGATGGGTGAGGCGGAACTCGTACAGGTGGTGAACATGTGCGATGCCGAAGTACAGAGGTGTAAGGAAAATGATCTTCGTCCCGGAAATCTGGGCCAGGATGTGCAGGGGAATGATCATTCCGCGCCAGATAAGTTCTTCACTTGTGGGACCCTAGTATCCAGTTAGCCTTCAGAGTAGAACCGTCTCGATGTCTCTACGCACGACGACAAAGTTCCTGTATCCAATCCAACTGCTCAAGGTCTCATGAAGACCTCTGAAGCGTATCCAGTCTCTCCATCCTCCATCGACAATTCCCTGCTCAAACAACGGTCCAGCAAACAGTATAGCCACTAGCAGATTCGTCTTGACTATGTCCAAGACAGAAATCGGCCATAGTCCAAGCAAATGGAGTATCCCAGCAGGCGACACATCGCCAGATTGGTGTAGCACGTAGGTAGTCAGGGCAAGAGAGATGATACTAGAGAGTGTCACAGCTCGAACTCGGGCGCGAATTGAGGAGGGCGCATCACGGGAGAGCGTCACCGATGGCCGCGTGGCCGAGGAGAGGTAGAATGGCACGACATAGATGATCGTAAAGGCAACCTGCAGCAGCGGTGTCAGTTATTATCGATTAGCTTGAGCGTCAATGCGTGCCAGACTCAGAGATTTTGTGTATAACGTTGTCTACAGGGTGAGGGGCAACGAGGGGGGACGCACCGATAGAGTGACTGCAGTAGTGGTAGAGATGGCAGGCGCCTTGGGGGCTGTTGAGAGGTTAGCCATGCTCGAGCAATGAATTCGAACACAACTTCTGCTACAGAGTAACTACGGAGTACAGCATGCACTATGCAGATGGTGCAGCTTTGTAGTGGATATGGATGGATAGATGGGGCGTTTGAGAACAATGGGAAAAGCGTAGGCCAATGGATTTGTTGACTTACCGCCTTTGAAGTGTTGTTCAAACAATCTCCCCAGCGCACTGAAACGGTCCGCTAGTAGGCTGTGGATCTTCTTTCCGACAGGCGGCATCTTTGTAGCTGTAAGAGGCCAAAAACGAGGGCTAGAGGAATAAAGTCGAAATCCAACGGGCTTCGAGGAGCGCGCTTCAATCGATCTATTCCTGAACCACAGGGATCGGGGTAGATGGGTGATATGATGATGTGCAATAAGCGATAGATACCTGGTGATAGAGAGCGTTTACTCGATTACCCCGCAGCCTTAAAAGGTGGGCTGAATGGGCTTCCTATTGTCGTTGCATTACGATTTCGTTATTATTTGTCCTTTCTTGATTAAAACCATCATCGTCATCGTCATCTTTGGTATCAAGTATACGAACCAAACACAACAAACAGCGCTTCGAGTCCGGACTCCATTGGACTGAGGTCGAAGGGTTAGTCAGCAACCCATAGAACCATCAGTCACCATTGTTTTCACGTGACTGCGCGCTCATCCAAACAAATCGACCTTTTCCAGAAATCAATCCATCCCATTCCAGTCGCATTCCCATTCCCATCCTACCCGCCATCTATCGTCGCCCCTCTATCTTCAGGGCCGATAGATGTACGGATTAGATACGGGTAGTTCTATCGATTGATTGCCCAAGCCTATCGTTCATACCGGGACTCCGTGGCTCAGTTTGACATCACGGCTACACCTGGGACCAGGGCCAGGGCCAGGAACGGGGACCAGGAGTCTATCGAGCCAGACCACGTTCAGGGGTTGACCACGTCTCACCCACGGATCAGCATACAAACAACACCTATTACACAGTACATTCGATACCTGCACAGTACACAGTATACACAGTACGCGCAGTACACAAAACACAGTGGCTCCTTGTACACAAAAGTACATAACAAAAAGGATAGACTACCAAGCTATCTACACGAAAGACACAGACCACCGCGTGTCTAGTGGCAGCTGTGGAGACCGTCCAACGGCCCGTGGAGAGACATCAGTGGTTCAAGCCTCCTCCTAAAATTAATCCCCAATTTCCACTGCGAACCCACTCAACGCGTCTCTGGCTTCACCAGTCTAGCTCATACGGGTTGCTCGTGAAAATTCCTCGTCCTTGACTGGTCGGCCATTGAACCGTCACTGGATGGGCACTGGATGGGGATACCCCAGGAGCGCATCTTGTCAATTTCGCAGCAAATCGGTCGAGCGCACCACCGGTTGGCCCACAATCGCGCTCGGGTCGTATACGGTATATCTGCTTGAATAAACATATTGTACAAATCTCATCGCCAGAGGGAGCACCCCGCATCTCCAATATCCGATATATGGCGGGTTGTGTCTTCTTTTTCTCTGTCTGAATCTATCGTGAATGATTCCTGGTGGACCTCGACATCAAATCGAGCAAATCACAGCCTCAAAATTCGACCCGATTCGTAAATCGAATCCAATAATACAGTTTCACCGCTTCATTCAAGAAAGCTCGTGCTCACCTGTTCCTCTTCCTCTATCCTTCTTTCTCCTCCGCCTCCGCCGGGGTGTGCGCTGGCATTGGATAGCACCTGCAGACGCGAGCCTTGAACCTGCATACTCTTGCATCAGCTACGAACCTCTTTTGGCTTCGGCTCGCTGCCTCTGCCTCTCCTGAGAGTTTTAACACCCGCCGCCCACTCTCTTTCCCTTCTTTTCCAAAACCTCAAACTCTTTAATGCCGTTTGCGATCCATTTGTCACTCATTTGACCTCTTGTCTATAGCACATTCTTGTCACTCTTTAACAATTCACCTTTTCTCCATTCCCCCCCCCTCTTTTATTTCATTGTCCTTTCTTTGATTTTCTATATTGATTTTATTTTTATTTTTGGTATCAACTCCATATTTCCTCCGATAAGTTTACTCTTTAATGCTCGGCTTTATGTCGTTCGGACCCGTCTACGGCTTCACGTATCACAGCTCATGATCGAGTCCGGCACTATCACCACATTCATTACGAACATCTCTACAGCATGTCTTCCATTGCCGATCGTGGCACTTCCGGTCACAGTTCTCCATCGTTATCGCCATTGCCCTCGCCGCTCGCGCATGGCCCAAAATTCTCACCACCAAAATCCAGAAACACCTCTCCTATCCGGAGGCCACTTCACGACCGTTCCAATTCGCAATCCAACCAACACCTTGGCCCAACCATACGCATAGTCGAGGATCCTGGAGCTGAGGTCTACGAAAAGACACCCTTTCCCAGTCAAGCGTCGCAAATACTACCACCTCTTAAGAAGCCAGGGTATTCGTTCGAGGGCCGGGGTTCTCGTGTTTCAGATGAGAATCAGGTTGCCCATGCGGTCGCAAAGATCGAGGCATCCCAGACCTTGGTTCCAAAACCCTTGCTGCACAGGAAAGCAATTAGACATTCAACATCGACTAGCATTTCCGATGCGGACACATTGGTGGCTTCGTCGTTTTCACCATCCTCCAGTCGATTCTCTCAAGGTAGCACATCCCCGTCAGAGGTCTACGCCGACGAAAAGGGATTGGAGGTACTTCAGGAGAACGTTCCCCTTCCACCCTTCCAACCGATCCCTCAATCGACCATTCGAGCTGTCCCTCCTTCGTCTTCTTCCAAAGAGGACCCGCTCGAAGGCCACGCATTGACACCAAGGGCTTCTGCCGCATCGCTTGCCTCAACTGCCTCCGTCGACACCTTATCTCCCCCTCCCTCCTCCGCCAACTGGCAAGCTGCCTCACAACCATCGTCGTCTGGTACCGACCACAGGAAGCCGGCTTCATCCACTAATCAGGAACCACAACGACCTACTCAAAAGCCATCGACAGAATCTTTTGCCTTCTCCGACTCCTCCTCCTACAGCGAACGACCAAGCACATCCTCACATCCCTCCCCAACCATCCATGCCGCACGTCAAGTCAGTCTCTCGAGCGGAGTTCGACTTCACTACCCCATCGTACGAGCCCCCTCGGCCAGCAGCTTACGGGCTTCGTCGGAGAACCTACCAAGCATCACCTCACGAATGAACAACCGCGCTTCCCAGATACATCAATGGAGTTCGCAGCTTTCGACGATCCATTCCGAGTCGGACCGTGGCTCGCGATCGATTGAACGAAGTTCGCGCTCTTTTGATGCGCGGTCGCAATCGCAAGACTATCATGTCAGCAATGGGAGGGAAAACATTCCTCGTATGAGGCGACAGACGGTCGGTAGCGTCTCATCATCCGACAACATCTCTACGAGTCATACCGAATCCTCATCAGTAGCTGTTCCTCTACCTTTGTTCTCGCCTATCACGGGACCTTCGCATGAAGAGAGAGATTCTAGCGACGAGCGTCATGATACCATTTCTCCTCTCCAATCGCCTCCGTTGAGAACTAAGCGCTCCTTCTTGAAAAGACACGATTCCGATTCGCGCTCTAGCTCCTCTCGCCCAGGCTCGGCTCAATCTGATTTCTCTACATTCATCGCCAACACTATCCCTCCATGGGCTCGGTAAGTTGAGAAACCAAAATAGGCAAAATGAAAAGTTTCGGGACTAATTCACAATATAGAGTTTACTATCGGCGAGATCGAAATTCATTGGGTGCCCCGGACTCGGCAACTGAATCCACCGATAGTTTGCGATTACAGACAGGGCACAGTGGTAGAACAAACACACCTTCCGAAGGTAACTTCCCCTTGAGCATATATCGACCCCGCAATCGGCCACACCAACGGATGTCTCACCCAGAGACCATGTCAATGTCAGACAGAAGTGCCGTGGAGCAAGAAATATATGTCATTGAACGCCCGCGGCGTGCCATGGTTGGGCCATGCACGCCTCGTCTTCAAAAGGATCGGCGAAGTCAAGCACGCCTCAGCGCCTGGAAAGCGCCTTCATTCGATGACTCTCTTGGGACGTTACTCTTCAGTCGTCAAAATCGTCAAGTATGGCTGTTTTGCCTCGGCTTCATCCTTCCTCTCGGTAAGACATATTCCAAATCCTGGCACGTATTATGATATACTGACCTATATCTAGCATGGATGGTCGCATCGTTCCTTCCGCTGCCCCCTGACCCTGAACTGTGTCCTTCAACGCCGAATCCAGCTGATATCGAGGGCCAATACGACCGAACCTTTGGGCCGGTCGACGATCGATCTTATCAAAAAGCGAATTGGTGGCGCAACCTCAATCGAATAATGTCTGCAATTGGTACACTTCTCATTGGTGTCATCGTAAGTCAAGCCATTCAAATTCAACCATATAGTAGCATACTGACTTGGGTAGATTGCATTGGCAATACTCGCATCTAGGATGTCCTAGTCTTGCTCCTAGGTCTCTTTCATACTACGAACGATTTCCATCTCTTCTACCTTCTGGTCACGCACAACGTATCTCCCTTGGCCATATATATCCATCTATGCGGAAAGCACCTCTCCTTGAATATCTCACCACCACCACCACCACCACCACCACCACCACCGGCCTCGTCCCGACGAGATCTCCTGTCCATGAACGCATTTGTACGATTCGCAAGTACGCCATCTTACGCCTCTAATTATGTATTTCTTTGTTCTACCTGTTACGAGCTTCTCTGATGATTTTTCTAAATCGTTCCGAGTTTCCTTGACACGTAGATGACTGTACACGCTTCTATTTCTTCTTAGATCTACCTTTGATCCACTTCTGCCTTTTCTTTCAGCGACTCTTGCGCATTGCATAGCGTAGCGGGCGTAATCCGCCTTTTCCATTTTTCTTTGCATGTCCGATATGTACAACACTTAACCCCCAAACCTCACGGTACACGTTTGCTCAGCCACTTCACTGGGTTTGCGAAAAAGACCGAATGACCTGCTACCTGATATGGTATGCAGGCAATCATTGCACACTGAAGCCGTGCAAAACACACTGCATAATGTAGTTTTTATTCCGACATTGAGGAATCTATATGAACTTGTAATGTTAGATTACGCCTACCAACGATACGATGGAGGGGCACATATACAAAAAGTCTTACTTTCTAAACTCTGAGCGCAACATACTCGAATGATGTTACAACATGCAGATATTTACCCCAGCTATAATACCATTTGAATATTGGTATAGGTCGCCATGTCCTATCAACTTGCAAACGCTCAAGCCCACCCAAGTCTTAGCACGGGTATAAGGCACGAGCAACGGCCTTACCTGGGCCAAGGCAACCCCCTGTGTATGATGTGTGAAAGAGAACGAGGGTCTGTGCGTGGCATCGTGCAAAGACGCAGAAACCGCCAGGTTGTTTCACGACTATGGTCGGATCAGCCCGCAAGCACGCATGCTCGGCAAGGAGTAAAAAAGCAAAGGTGGGTTTGGATCCTGTTGCAGTTAAAGAGGAGGCTGGGAAAAATGAATTGGCTAGTTCTCTCGATAAGTTCACCTTGATGTAAATTGGACCAAGTCGTTCGGGACAGATGCATGAACTCGTCCATAGCTGCAATGTATCAACATATCTTTACAAGGTAATGGCATCGCAAACGAGCAGGCTGATCTGTCATTCTACAGCTGTGCTACAACATCAATCGAATGTGCGCATGACTGCGGAACCATCTTCTGCATATCATTCTAGGATGATGGACTTTCGCAACTGCCCATCCTTTGCGCCCAATATCAAAGCCTCCAAGTTATGATGTCAGGTACAAGAAAAACAATAGTGGCTCGATCTGTACCATGTATGAACATCAAGATGAATCATTAACAGATACTTGCCATTGTGGCTAAGTTACTCAACATGTGTTGCGTTTGGTGTGGCTGAATCCTTCGCATGATAATTTCGCAGTTTGAGCAAACGTGGATTCGCACTTTGAAGATGGAAATCCAAAGCCACAGACAACAAAACAGCAATTACCATCGCAGTCACAGTCATAATCACAGTTACAGTCATCGCTATGGCTCGAGTGGGGACTAGAATGCGAGGTGTAGTCGACTGCGACTGGCTGGTGGTGTCATGCCTGTCATTTAAGGTTGAGGCTTAGAAGGACAACTCAGTATGAGTCGAACTTTGTATTAGCAAGACATGACAAGGGTAGTTGTCCATACGGACGCTAAGCCGAATCCAGTCCACTGAGGGGCGACGGCCGTCATGGAGGTTAAAAGCTTCCTGGCCCGCACACCATTTTTCAAAAGGGTATCACTAAGGAAGCGCCAACCAAGGAGCCACAACCTTTTACACACAGTCCTTAGAACTCACCACCGTTCAAAACCCTCGAATTCATTCTTTAATCCCCACTACATCCGAATCGAATATCTACGAAATCACAGCAGCCATGGCCGTCCGTGCTTCCTTCGAGAATTCCAACGAGTGAGTTTTCCGCGCCCCGCTATTCACCATGCATGCCATGCATGGCAGGTGGACGATTTTGCTGATAGTCTGCCATAGAGTTGGTGTCTTTTCAACCCTCACAAATGCGTATGCGATTGTCGCAGTCGGCGCTTCGGAGAACTTCTACAGGTATGCGTCCTTCTTCTTTTCTCTCTCTCTCTCCCTCTGCAAACTCTATACACGGATTAGATATGTGTACTGGCGACGCAAAGTCAAAGTGACATGATCGAATCACTCCCTCCAAGGGACCATGGACTATCCTATGTTGCCATGCGCCAAACAGTCTAGCTAACGTATTTCCCAAGTGTTTTCGAGGCCGAACTCCAAGATGTCATACCAATCTGCCACGCCACGATAGCCGGTACTAGAATTGTAGGCCGCTTGACTGCTGGGTGAGTGATCCTCCTGCCATCGTGCCACTATATACCGTACCTCGAGACTAAAACCCTCTCGCAGTAATAAGAAAGGTCTTCTCGTCCCAACCACAACAACCGATCAGGAACTGCAACATCTTCGTAACTCGATACCGGACACAGTCAAGATTCAGCGAATAGAAGAGCGACTCTCAGCGCTCGGAAATGTGATATGCTGCAACGACCACGTCGCCCTCGTGCACCCGGATATCGAGCGAGAAACCGAGGAGATAATAGCAGATGTGTTGGGCGTGGAGGTCTTCAGGCAAACTATCGCGGACAATGTTCTCACCGGATCATATATGGCTCTGAGCAACCAGGGCGGTATCGTGCATCCCAAGACGAGCATTCAGGATCAGGACGAACTCTCAAGTCTGCTGCAAGTGCCCCTTGTAGCGGGAAGTGTGAACCGCGGAAGTGCGGTTGTTGGTGCGGGTATGGTCGTTAACGACTGGATGGCTGTGACAGGTACGACTTCGATACTCTCGGGATGGTTGCTTGGAGAAGCAGCTCATACCCCATTCTGTGAAGATATCGACACTAACATGATACGCAGGTCTTGATACCACTGCCACTGAGCTCTCCGTTGTGGAATCGGTCTTCCGTCTGGGCGAGGGCAACGGCCCAAGCGCTATCAACACCACCAACAGGGATGCTATGGTCGAATCCTTCTACTAAATCAAATCTTAATGTACTCTCTTCGAACCTGCCAGAGTGGCGGGCAATGAGCTATGAACACCGCACAAAGTCATTGGATTCGGTCTAAAGTTCCATGAGGTCGACCGGCGAGCTAGACCTGATGGTCGAGTGTGCGCAGTCAGTCCAGTACAAGGTCTATTCCCCGTTGAAAGCAATGGATAGAATTACCTGACGCAAGGCGTCCAGAGAAAGAAGGGCAGGAACGGTTTATCCGCCGCTCTTTTGATGTAGAAAAATATAAATGATACCATCCCGCGCAAATGCCTCTCTCTCACGCTTTGATTTGTGTTTCGCATGCTAGATTGATTGACCCGTATTCTTCAAGGCTGTTACTTCATGCCTTATTCATATTAATTGTGGTTTTATTTCTTTGATGTTGAATATGCGAAAAAAGATGTCATTGACTGCCACATCCCACATCGATAGGGCTGAAGGCGGTGAGGGAGATCGCCAAATCTTGGCAGATTGATTGTTGAACCTCGAATCCGTGGTTGATCTTGAAGGAACAAACAAGAACAACAATAGCTAATATTTGACACCACTCTTACGGAACTCTCAAGTCACCAAGAGACAGCTATGGTCATACTCGAATGACCATACGACACACGCTCGGCCTCTGCGAACACGCGCGACACCTCAACCATAATCGCACCCCCGACCTCTCGACTTCCTACGCACGTCACTGCCTACACATCTATCCACCATGTCAACCTCTGAGCCCTCAAATGCTGTCGCAAAACGGCCAGCCTCAGGCGCTCTCATGGCACCGCCACCAGCGCCCAAGAGGATTAAGCGCCCTGCCATTGTCCTCGACGACGACACCTACAGCGACGCCGTTGCGCACATAATCCGGCGCGACTTCTTCCCCGGCCTCGCAGAGACAGACGCACAGAGAGAATACCTGAATGCGTTGGAGAGTGGCAACAAGGCATGGATTCGGGAGTCTGGAAAGACGCTCACCAGCGTCATGACTCCGGGGCCAAAAGCACAAGTACGGGCTCAACGAAGGACTGTGGGAGACGGTGGATTTCGGGGAAGCACACCGGTAGGAAGAGCAGGCGAAACACCAAAAGGCTGGGTAGGAGATACGCCCGTGACAGTCGCAGGAACAGAAATCGACGATGAGGAGAAAGCAAATCAAGAGAAGCGACCCGATGTCGATCTCAACCTCAGCTTGAGCGCATTCCAAGCGAAATACATATCTGAAGACCAAGAGTCCTTCTCCAAGATCCTGGACCGCCAGAACGCCAAACGGTTCGAGAAGAACGCATGGATGCGCAACGGCAACATCCACCCCTCGAAGCAACGCATCGCGCAGCACAAGGCCATCGAAGCCGCCAAACAGCGCTCTGCCTCCCAAGCCCTCACCGTCCGCCCGTCCCAAGACCTCAACGACCGCCCCGCAGCACCGACAACGCACAAACACACGGCCTTCAACTCCCTCATGTTCGCCCCGGACTCGGTGGAAGACTGGGCGCCCACGCGCGCACAGAACGCCGAAGCTGCGTCGCTGGCTCCCCCGAAGGCAGTCGTACACCACAACACACGCCTCCCAGACCCAGATCCCAACGTCCCGGCGCGGCCGCCCTCCCCAACAATGTCTGCGGTCCGGGACGCCGTGGCAGGGCGCCCGCGGCTCTCGAACAGCGAGGCAGGATACACAGGGAGCGAGACGCCGCGGGTGAACGGGTACGCATTCGTCGACGCCGTTGGGCCCGATCAAGACAGCGACAGCGACGACGCACCAACCGACCTCCTCGAGCGCCTCGGCGCAAAGGCGAACCCAAGTCCCTTCACGATATCCGACTCACAGCGGCGGGAGAGACTGCACCACAAGATGGTCGACCGCATCAACCACAACCATAAGAACAACTACGACTCTGGCGGGGACACGAAGACCGGGCTAGGCAGGTTCGGAAACGACACGCCCAAGTTCCTGACCGCGCCGACGCCCAGGGTGGCGGGTGGTGGTGGTGTACTGGCGGGCGGTATGACGCCCGGCGCGAAGAGGAATCTGGGGAATTTGACACCCGCTGCGCAGAGGTTGTTTCAACGTGTAGGTGGTGGTAGTACTGGCGGTGCTGTTGGTAGTAGTGGACGATCGGGCACGACGAGGAGCGGAGCTACGAAGGGTGGGTTTGGGGGCACGTCGAGTCGGGACTGGACGCCCACGCCGAAGGTGAGGAGGAAGGGGCAGTGATTGCTGTTTGGATGGCTCGCTTGGCTTCTGGATGTTGGAGATGTTATGACTAGACTGATCCAAGGAGAAGTAGAGTATAGAAGAGGAGAGAAAGACTTATATACCCCCTATTCTTAGTTATACAAACGACGACGACGACCCGCCGAAGTGCTCGGATCGGGCGTCCTTTTTCTATGTTAGAATTCAAGATCAGCATTTTTGGGTTTTGATATTTTCATGTTACGTTGTATTGCGTTTTTGATGTCAAGTCTGATTGATTATCAAAGTGATGTGATGATCGGAGATCATATCAGTGCAGAGCTCGTTGAAATATGTTTTGGAAATAGACAATTTATTTCCTATTATTTCATTTTCGTTTTGACATTAGAATGGTTTCGTTATTATAAGTATAATTTTTAATCTTTGAATTTCACGACGAACACAGGTCAATCAATCTCCTTTTGTAATTATAAACATATGTGATTTAATACTATTGATCTCAAGTGCACGGAACAGCATGATTTGGATTCCCCACTCCCCGGTATATACTTTACACAGAACTACAGAAAAGAAGGAAGAAGAGGGAAAAGAGGCAAGCAGGGATACGCAGAAAAAGGCAGGAACCACTGTTTTATTTTCCCGCGCCCGCAAAAAAAATCCACACAGTAGGGAGAAGAAGAAACATGAAGGTGCTTCGGGAGGGAACAGAGACGGGGAAATGAGCTTCAACCCTAGCCCCCCCGTTTGCACCACGATGTTCCGATGACCCCTTTCAAAACGCCAGACAGATAGAGAGAGCCCAGTGTTGAGAGAAACAGGACGTTGTTATTCGCTTTCTTGCCCCCGTTGTTGCTTCCTTTCCACCGCCGTGGCTGGAAGGATATGCCCGCCCGTCGTATGAATCAGTCATTTGGACCGTGAAGGATCAGAATGAATGCCGATGCAGAAAAAAGGGGCAACTATTAAACAAAAGTGCATGTAAAAAGCCCAAGGCCCAAGGAAGGACCAGCAAGAGAACTTTGGGAGGACCATGAGGGGAATGAAGAGGATTCCCAGGATGTGTCTTGTTTCAACCGAAGTCGAGGGCCGGGCCCAGGCAGGCAACACAAGGAGGAGGAAATTGGAGAAATATGCCGAAGGGTTTCCTGGATGGGAAGAAAAGCTTCTAGAGACCCCCAATGATGATTTGTTTGATTCAGAACAGGATAGTGAGACCACGCCAAAATGCTATGCAACTCCTCGATGATTTCAATGGTTTCGCGGATATTAGAAACGCCGGTGCTGATGGATGGATGGACGGATGGAAAAAGTGGAAGATCCGACCCCTGCTTCTCTTCTCTTTGCCAAAGCGGGGGTCGAGACAAGTAATGGATGGTAAATTACAGTGGATAGAATGGGTGATGGATTCGTTTGATCGCGTGACATAGTCTAGGACGGGATTTTCGATCGTTGAATCAAAGGGCCGGATGACGTCGTTGACAATCTGACAATATCTTAGTTGCCGCTGCTACCTTGGCGATCGCCACTGTCAGCGCTGGTATGGTTGCTGTTGCTATTATTATTGTTGCTGTTGTTGCTGCCTCGCTTGGGCTTGTTGGGTTCCCAAGGTCGAAACTCGGTTCCAGGAGCATGCCACGACCTGTAGGCACGTCGAGGGCGTGGCTGAGGCTCAGCCCGCTCCTGTGGTGGAGGAGGTGCAGCCTCATATGGGCTTTGCGAATGATGCACGTAGCCGGAGACATTATTTTGAGGAGCAGGGCCGTATGCTGGAGGAGATCCCTGAGGACTTGGCTGGCTATACGGAGGAGCCATGCTGGCAGGTAGAATAGGCTGGCCACCGTATTGGTGAATCTTCAGGGGAGGGTACTGATTCGAATTCGCAGGAGGGGGAGGGGGAGGCGGTGGTGGTGCCTGAAAGCTGCCAGCTGGAGGAACATAACCAGGGAATGGCGACGCAGCAGCGTGGGACGTCGAGCCTGGAGGCGCTGTGCTTTGGGGTGTAGTATTATGAGAGGCCGTGCTATGAGGTGTGGCACCGAACGGTGCTGGGTAGTGAGACGGCGTGGACGGGCCGGCTAATGGAGGCGCATGAGGTCGGGGTGAGTATGGTGCATGAGGATACAAACGGCTGGGTGCAGAGGGAGCCGCTGCAGGAGGTGGAGGTGGAGGAATAGGATCGTAATGGGCGAACCGAAAATTGACTGGGGCAGGAGCTGCAGCGGATTTGGCAGGACCTTGGGACTGGTTATTGGTATTTGGTGGAGGTGGATATGGACTTAGATGCCCAGGAGGTGTTGGGCCTGTTTGTTTATAATCCAGAGAGGGATAAGTCTGCGGTGGGCTGCCTGCATATGATGGCGGTGGGCCCTGGGATCCGCTCAAGCGCCTGCTACCATCGTCCCAGGAAGGACGAGCTGGCTGGTCGTAAGGGCTGTGTCGCGGGACGTGAGGATATGGAGTTTGATGTTCCCGGGGTGATTGCGCCAACGCTACTGGGGCAGTTGCGGGCGACGCGCTGTATGTCCCGCTTGACATCCTCCGATTACCTGCGACAGATTCGACGGTGGTATGAGGACTGAATGCTCGTGCAAGAGTAAGAGACTGTCCTTGCGCGTGCTGGTCATTCTCATGGCGAGGTTCAAGTCCATCGGAACGGTCCCTTGGTGTGCTCTCCGAGAAACGAGGATACCGAGTGCGCTCTTCGTGTGAATCCCTAGAGTCCAGCATGTTTCCAATACGCATTGGAGGGGCACTGTCACGATGATGGGTTGGCGTGGGAGCTCGATCAGCTGACGAAGCATGCATCATGTTGCCAATGTGCATCGGTTCGCGGGGATTTTGTGGAGGTGACATGATCGAAGTATGAACAGTGTCCGTCAATCCTCTGAATGGTGGGATCGGAGATGTTCCGCTATGCTGGGAGATGGAATCCCTTGGGTTTAAGTCCGTCGCCTTGCCTTCTTGACCGATACTGGTACTACGAACTGTTGACAAATTATTCAGCTCTTGCCCACTATGTTGTGCCTCTTTCGATTTATGGACGGGGACATCGTCATTGTTAAGCATGTCCATTATTCTGTGTGTACTCCTGACGGGTGCTGGCTTGCTGACAGGCTCGGAAGGTTTCTCAGGGACAGCACCGTTGGTCTCTGGATATAGAGGGGTGCTATGTGTGGCCTTCTTGTTCGAGGTTGGTACAGGTGCTGGACTGATTGTGGGCTTCTTGGGTGTCGATGCCATAGGAGGAGTAGGCGGGTATGCTGGAGGCGAATGTGGTCCCTGGGTGCCATTTGGCTGCGCAGGTGTAGATGTTTTGCTGGGTGCCGTTAAGGGGTCCCCTGCTTTGTCATCTTGTTCCGTCTTGATGATGGTCAGGTGGTCTCGTTCCGTCGAGAGAGATGCGAGCATAAAGAGCGCGTCTGCTTCCTCATTTCGTATAACCTTTGGCGGCTCCGGTGGAGGTGGAGTCTTCTCAAGCTCGGCAGCCGCATTTGCGAGGCTGGCAACGTTGAAATGTGCAATTGCATCGGCTCTATCCGGTCCAATGAATTTGGCAAAGCCATTTGGAATAGCCTCAATTGAGTCATCGAAGCCTTCGCCAGCAGCCAAAAATGCTTTTCGTTGCCGATCCAGATTCTTACGTAGATCTTCGGATTCAAGCATGCGCTCAGTCTCGACATAAGCCCGGCTGCGAGAAGCATATTTGGAACCTAAACGGTCATCATCATTGCAAAGCGGGAATTCAACACGCGTTGGGTTGATGATATGCTCCTATCGTAAACGTTAGCTATGCGCCGGAGGGTCTAGTCAAGTCACTTTGGATTTTACCTCATCGTCAGTGCCATCCCCAGACTCTTTCCTGGCAGAACGTTGCAGCTGTTTCATCTGATAGTAGCATTGCAACAGTAAGTTCTCGCGCATTTCCTCGAAGCGATTCTAGAGATGTTAGAATTAGATTGACGAAAGGGAATGATAAAACGCACTAGATATTGCTCTTCTTGGATATGCTTTTCAGCAGTCATCACACGCTCGAGCTGTTCAAGTTTATATTGTCGCAGAGATTCGATCTGGTGCTTGCGACTATCAAGTTTTTCTCGGAGCTGTGCCATTACCGGCTCATAAGCTGGGCTTCGCTTGTGGCGTTCCGGGTCTTGCTCAAGTTCTTTGAGAGTACGCTTGGAAATTTCTTCCAATATTTGTTTCTGGATTTTAGCAACAGAGCGATAGTTAACCTTGATGTTGAGTTGGCGACGGAGATCAACTTCAACGTTGATGTCCGGATGCGGTTGGCGCCTCCGACCAGGGAGACGCTTCGCGGCTTTTGCGGGTGGCTCGCCATTGGCGGGAAGGATAACATTTTGGAGGCCTTGGCTGCTCGAAACCTCTGGAATGGCCTCAGGTGACCCGGGAGGAGTGGAAGCATCAGTTAATTCTGGAGGAGCGTCGGCAGCATCTGGAGGCGTGTCGTCCGTCTTTCGCTTTTTGCGACGCTGTTGCTTGTCGGAAACGTCGCTTTCGCTGCGGGCGGCCACCCCATTTGGTCGACCGCTCATTGTTTTGCTCGACTGACTAGAATCAGCAGAAGCGCGTCGCTTTTTCGACGAAGACTTTGGTGGATTAGGAATAGCAGCCATGGCTTGCGCTTCAGAAATCTCCTGGACGGGAGTTTGCATGTCTACAGCAGGAAGCTGTGAAACTGAGGAGTCCATGGAGATTGGCGGCGAACCAGAAAGTGTCGAGACTCGGCTGCGCTTAGGTGGTCTGGCATCTTCAACATCTGAATGATCTTGGAATTGATCGATATCATTCAATGAGCTCCTGCGACTGCTTCCAGCGATGGAAGATGGAGCAGCAGGGCTTGTGTGATTAGATGCAGCTTTCGCAGCACCACGGGTAGTCATATGGAGAGGTTCAGTAGGTTGAAGACGCGAAGTCCTCAGTCCCTGAACGCTAGAGGAGATTCGCTTAGTGGCGCTAGTCCGTATTGCACCAGCCGCTGCCAAGGGTCATATGTTAGCATCGATTCTTCGGAAATGTAATTGCAATCGGGTAAGGGAGAAGAGAGAGGCGGTGGAGAAGAGAAGAAGGAGACTATAGGAGTCGAGCGGATGATGATGGCTCTTACGGATGTCGAGTGTTATTGGTGATGTGGTGGGAGATAACTTACATTTCGCTGTTGGTGTAGGTGTAATGCCCGCCCCAGCCTCTGCGGCCTTTGTTGTCGCTTTGAACTTTCGCTTGGGCGGCATTGTCGCAAGGGACTAAAGGAGCACCAGCGTTAGCCCGTGACCAAGATTGCAAAATGCTCAATAGTTGCGTTGGGTACTTCATACCTTTGCGGCTGCCTGTAGATGGCTTGAGATGATGCGGATGAGCACGTAGCAATGGTTTGTAAATGCGTATTCAGCTATGAGTCCCCGTTAGTGACCGATGAAATTGCCAGCTGTACCAGGGACCCGAGCATTGCGTATGCAAGCAGCAGTCTCAGGATACTGGAGCATTAAGAAGGCATTGGATAATAGTAGCACGTACCTTTCTTGATAACGTATCGTTATTCTCTCAAATTCACTTGGTCTGTGAAGGCTCTCTCGAAAGTGAAGTCGAAGAGCAACTGTTGGCTATGGAGTGTCAGTCAGCCAGCCGAGTGAGAGGCAACGCTCGGAGAAATCTTTGAAAGAAGCAGTCGATGAGGTCGTTTGTGCATTACTCGATCAGGACATGAACGTGAATTCCATGGTTCCCAAGTGCCGAATCATGTGGGTTGATTGAATGGAGATGAAGGGGGACTCACTTGGGGGTTTGACGTGGTGACGCCGGGTTTCGTTTTCAGCAACGTGACTGAACGGGGACAATGTGATCGGGCCAGTAGAGTCACCTGTTCAATGATTCATCGCATCGCCAGGCAGCAGATAGATCAGTGACAGTATTTGAAGGTTGTATCACCGTTCAGTTTGTTTGGGGAGTGGCTGAAAGTGAAAGACGTAGCAGGAGGAGGTAATAAAAAGCACCCATGCAGGTGCAAATGCTCCGCTGACCGTGAGTGGCACGGATGATAAGATGGCGACGAGGGGCGCAAAAGAAGCGACTCTTGGATAGCGAAGCAATTCAAAGAGAGGAGCAAGGTCTGTAGACTGAGAGTAGCAGTGTGCGAGGCCAGGCGCAGTGATGAGGATGCTCGCAATTCTGGTCCAGGTGAAGATGCTCCAGGCTCAGAAACGGTCTGCGCTAGTCCGAAACAGGGTCTGAGACAGGGATGCCAGAATACGGCGCTCAATCAGCGAAATTGTTGCCACGAATCGCCGCTTACTCCCGATCCAGCAATAATGGCATAGCAGTTCTTGAGAGTGATTATCGTAATTGCAATATAACTCCTTGTACTGGGGAGAGTGGAGTGCGATTCGCTACGGTTACGATCAACTCGTCTGTTGAGGTACAATGCTTGTATAGGAGTGCAGACGTCTATTCATCACAGGCAAGTGTGAGTCCCCGCAATAATAATAGTGGTTAGTGACTACGACATATACAATCCAACCCGAATCACTGGGCCGAACGACGAGGCGGGCAAAACTTCTGTTGTCCACTACGGAGTACAAGACTAATCACTACTGATCTCTCTCCACCTCGCATCATCGTCGCAGAACGGGTCACGTCACGTCAAATCCAGTCAAGTCAAGTCAAGTCAAGTCAAGTCAGGTCAAGTCAAGTGAGGGCAAGACAAGACAAGACAAGACAATAATCGGTATCTTTGCTAAAGACGGCAATTGGAAACTGGATGCTGACTACTGGTTCCAACTTTTGATCGTCACAGCCACATCGCACTTCCATCCATCTGCTTCAGTGGCCGTCATGGCGGCTCGTACGAATATTATATTTTTCCCGTCCATAGCATAGTGCATAATGCTATTGCATACATCTTCGTTGTTCTTTGTACAATTCCCAGCTATGTCTTTCATTGCCTCATCAGTGTTTCGAGGAAGAATAAACGTCATTAGCCGTAACGCTCGCTAAGCCGGACCTTCACCGTCAAAAGTGTCTTCCACATAGGCGCTTGGCGTTGGAGCGAGGCGGGTTAGGAAAAACCATCATGTTGCTAAAGTCAGTAGCCAGCCACAGCAGACAGCATAACAGACTATCACCATTTTCTGCATTAAGTTTGCTTTTCATCTTCCAACGTCATCGTCATAATCAAGTTTCAGGAGTAGGGCGACGACTGACAGCTGCAGTAAGATGTTGATTCCTCCTCTTATTCTTATTCGCATGGAGTGTTGTTGGTGGCAGGGCAGGGCATTACACACTACTCGAGTAAAAGCAATGCTATGATTGGCCGAAAACTTACCCCAGCTCATGCAAGTTAACCGAGATCCGCCCATTCCTCCTGATTGGATAGATGATGCCTCCTTCCCGTGGGAATGGTATTGGTTGAATGGAGCTGGTACTTTGGGTATGTACCTACCTAGGTACCAATGTATATACTGTACGAACGCAGCACAGAGTACAGAGCACAAAGCATGAATGAATAGTTACATGTGTTACTGAATAGCCATCTTTCTTTCATGTATTTGTCAGTTACCACAACAAGGTCTAGGATCCTCTCATCAAGAGATTTGATGTAATTTGATTCGTCAATGCAACCTACATGCATCCATCCTCCTTACCGTACTACTTCCGTCCGCCCCTTGCAGAGCGACCTTTTGTCAACATTCAATATATTTGCAACACCATCGTCATACCAAAACCCCACTTTCTATCAAAATTCGAGAAAGGTAGCTAGAGGTTGTGACATCGTTTGAATTTGTTTTGGAGATGTTGAATTTTTTTGAACTTTGAATGTTTTGGTATTTTTGGTTTTTCTGTACCTTGAATTGACGACTTGAAGCCATGATGTAGACTTACCACTGCTACTCACTCCACTTCTACCTAAAGGCGGGTACCGCCTTGTGTCTCCCTCCAATGTACACCGAGATGGCCCACATTGCCCATCTGTAATAGACAAATACTGATTAAGACGAATACTTTGTCTTTTAATCCATATGTCCAGGCGGCCGGTGTTGATATAAACAATCAGTCACCAGTGCCTCCAAAAAATGAACCCCCAAACGCCACAGCATAAAACGCTACAAGAAAACAAAGCCCCGAGAGTGCCGCAGCTCAATCGGTCAATCAAAAAAGGATGATCGATAATAGAATGATGACAAAGGAGAGTGGTGCCCAACTCTCCAGAGGGAGTTGAGGTCGCGAAGAGCTTGCTCGCGCAAGGTTAGGTAAACCAAAACAATAGGAAAGTTTTGCATGTGAATAAACATCGTAATAGTCGCGTAGAGTGAGTGGAGCATCACACATGAACTGAACGTTAACCCATTATATCCAACAAACCCGGACGGATTTCTGTTTCTCAAGTCTTCTCGCAGATCAACTGACTCTTCGTCGTTCGCTCCACCCGCTCGTACTAGTACGAGGCGTGCAGTTGAGGACGAATTCCGGAATGGGCGGCGTCATCTCGCGGCTTGGGGGCGAGAGACTCCTCTGGCTGCTCTGCGGGCTCACGGCGCGGTCGCGGAGGCTGCGGGTGCTGGCTCGCGGCCCGGGGCTCGCGGCCCGGCTGCTGTTGGAGCGCATGCGGCTGTAAGGCCGCGGCGGACATGCTATCATTTGGGTGCTGAGGGGCGAGGCCATGATCTGGGTTCCTGGTGTGGCGGCCGGCGGAGGAGTGGGACTCTCGGAGCGGAATAGAGGGTGAATGTGTGCTTCGCTCACTGCTGGGCTGGGAGGTCGTGCTAGGTCGGGGATGAGCTTGGGGGGTGGAGAGAGTGGCCCGTCGTCGTCTTCGTGTGAGGTCAATAGAAATGGTCCGTCTAGTGCGTGGGCTGGCGATGCAGGCCGGCTGCCAGGAATGGTCTCTAGGGCTGTGCCTCTTGACGGCGCCACACATTGCACGAACGCATCCCTTGTCTGTGGGTCTATGCTGCTTGTATCCCAGGTATCGAAGCCATCGGATTGGGAGATGTTGCTAATGGAGTGGCCGTCGGAGTAGAGGCTTCCGTTCTCTCGCTGTGATGACGGCCGAATGAGCTTGCTGCGCGAGGTAACCGGGCGGACGACTTGATGCAAAGAGTCTCTGAAAGAACGGAGGGACTGGGATGACCGAGTGGAAAAGGTTGGTGATGGGAGTGTGGCTAGTGGACTAGATGGTTGTGTTGCCTCGAGCATGAAGAGATTGGTGGTAGGGTGAGAATCCCGCATTTCTGACATGACAGAGTCTCGAGGACCCGACTGTACAATCGTGCGGATAGGCTCTGGTTGCGAACTCGTCCAAAGTGGGGAGGAGAAGAAGACGGCCTGGCTCACGCAGGCCAATGCCCATATGGTGATATGGGCAGGGAAAAGTCCAGTCCAGCTTGGGATAGAATGCTTCGATGTGACATTGTCTACTTCCTCTTTTTTAGTCTTGATCAATGTCATCGAGGCCAAGGAGATAGACATTGCTAATAGACAGAGGAAGAAGCAGGATCCAGCCAGAGTGCGTCGGAGGATTGTCGAAAGCCCCACGAATCCTCCTTTTTTCCACACATACTGGACGGCAAAGACTGTGATGGAGCATAAGGCCGTAATGTTCAAAGCGCTTGCAGCAATGGGTAAGCCCGAGAAAGAGAGACCAGACTTCGATAATGTCACGGCGTCATGGAGCACAAAGACTGTGTCAGCAGCGACGAAGGACCATGCTGCCGCACCGAAAAAAGATACGTATATTCTGTGGGGGCTGAACATGGCGTTTGTACAAGCAGAAAATGATATTTTCCCGTCGAGTATCGATATATACTCAAGAGATAGAACGAGTGGCGGGACCAGCGGTGCTTCGTTATCGGCTAGGGTACGCAAGCAAGAAACCGACAATGAGATACTGGAAAATCACTACAACCAGCGTTCAGGAGCCGCAGAAAGATGGCACTGCTGGATTTGACATGGATCGATTGTGAGTAGTCGGCCCGCGAGGAAAGTCGTCTAGGAAGCTCCGGCCATAGCAATTGCGGAGAGGTGTCGAATGAGGCCGAGTAGATTTGCTGAGCAGCTCACACAAGACCAATGCGGCTGAAATGGATATTGGAATTCTGCCACGAATGTCGAACCCTAAGATATAAGATAGGTTGAGACCGGACGTGTTCGAGAAATACGTTGGGTCGATAATGTGGACAATATGCTGTAGTATAGTTGAATGTACTATAGGAATAGTGAGATTGGATCCGAAAGTGGGCCTTATGTGCTGAACTCTACAGCTTGATTTTCAGCAGGCAATGGTGTAGTGATTGTCGAAGGACAGCTCCCAGAAGTATGGACAGGACGGTAGAGTGCACACACAAGACGAAACGAAGGTAGATGTGATGTACGGAGTAGGTATGTATGCGTAATAGCGAGTGAAGGGCAGAAACGAAGGACAGAGCGAAACCGAGCAAATAGGTGTGGGGAGCCACAAGATAGATATTAATTTTAGAAGAGAGAACGAAGGCTGGCCTTTGGGCCGTTATGTTATGTGGGTTTACCTGCAGTTACAGTTGACGCGTTGAACATGGTGGAGCGCGACCGGGATAGGTGGGCGATAATCCTGGAAGCCATAATTGAATCCGTGTGGAACTTCGGAGATGGGGCATGGGGGAAACGCGAGCAACTGCGCGACCTCAGATGCACGCCAACCGATTCACGGCTGGCTTGAGGCACCACAGTAGGAATTGGTGCTGCACGATTGAGTAAGTGGCCTTGGGGCCAACAAATTGACTCGACGTTGCAGGAGCATAATGCTCGTAAAGACGAAAATGAAGGATGACCAGTAGGTTGTAATTGGTGTAGCAACTGTCTGCACTGTACTCCGTACATAGTACATGGTACAGTCCTACCTACCTAGGTAGAGAGCAGGACAAGAAACTCACACCCTACAGGGCTATACTATGTACAGGGTAGTACCTGTCCAATTACGAATTTAGAGCCATTCGGAGGCAGTCCGCAGAGAGTTTTCGACCTGCTGACAAGATGAGCACCTGGGGACGCTTGTCTGTGGCTTAACAAGCAGTAAGGCCGGTCGCTGTCACGGCCAAGTCCTTCATTTCCCACGCGTTGTTTGTTTGTTTGTTGCCAAACAACCAACCAAAAATTCTCACGCCAAAGCAATAATACAATAGTGGTCGCTACACAGTAAGCAATCTGATGATGATGATGATGATGTTGGTGATGGAATCTTGCGATTATGATGCTAGTGGTCAGCGTAACATTCGCAACGTACAAATACAAACCCATGTCCCATGGTACACACACACTTTCTGCTGGTTGGTAGCGATATGCTATTACCTGCTGTGCTTAGATTCCACAGCATATTTCATCCCGTAGGCGACAGTTGTACACCTGCGTGTGCTGCAACCACTGTCTGAGATGCCACGACGGAACTTGAAACCTGCTGACCCCTCACGTCTCTGTGACAGCCAATTGGCCCTTTTGCGACATGCGAGGGCGAAACAAAATATTAATCACTCAGAGAAGAAAATCTTTCTTCGCGGGTGCGGCTGATGGGGCCATGGAGACGATAGTGGAGAGGGATTGCGCGTGTTGTCGTCTTTCCCGATCGCATACCAGGATATGGTGGGTTCAACATTCAGGCTCTCCCAGTCGTCAGCTTCGCCCGAACTGTGGAGCGTTTCGACCAGCCAGTGATGGCCCAGTGATGAGACAAGACAAGACGAGAAAGGACAGCCGGCGCTCTCTGTTGTGACCAGGGGCCATGACTGGCACACTGGGCACCTCAACGGGGATTGAGCCTGACGAAGAACGAGGCACGGGCGTGCGGGTCATCAGTCAACTAGAATTGAAAATCCTGGGAAATCATTTAATCAAAGGTCAGGTACAACTAATGCGATTTCGATTTCGATCTCGATTCGTTGGGCAAAGATCCGATCGGAGAAATACTAAAAGTACTCCGTACGAGTCGTTGGAAGGAGATTAAGAAATGACATTTGAACTATTCGAACGCAATGCGCTTCGGATGGCACGTGAGCAACGTCCTTGGTAGGGCAAACCATGCGATCGTTCTCTGCAATCATGTTCGCAAGCTATTCGACTCACAAGTCTTTGTGGAATTATTAATCCTCGAGTATTGTTGCTACCGTTGCTACGCCTGATCAATTCGTGAGCAACGGGGACCATGCAGTTAGCCGATATCAGTGTGACATGATGCAGGGTATTCACCGAGATGGAGAAGTTTGGAAAGTTAAAATTCATATCTCTTGGGTTAGACAGCTGAATGCAGGTGTGGGTCTCATTTTGCTTCTTTTCAGTGTCTCAGGATCTCATGATAGCTGCTGCAAATGATTTTGTTGTATGCCGCAAACAAGGATGGGCGCCTGAACAAGTTCCCAGGTTATAATGAATGAATTGCTTCTTTGTAAGCGTGATGGTGAGCCTCAGTAGGTTGTTTCCAGATGATTTTTGATGCTAGCATATGACTGTTGGAAACTTCCATTCTGTAATCATTCAAATGGCGATTTTTTTGTGTTTGTTGTTGTCATCAAATCGAACCAACAATCAACAATAACAATAACAATAACAATAACTATTGTGTATTACTCCGTGCTTCGCTTCGTAAACAGTCGATTGTTTCGTACCCAAAGTCAAAGAGAAAAAGGGGCTTGGCGCACCGCCACCATCACGTGATAGCATCCATGCTTGGAACGCCCCCCCACCCGCGGTTTCCAGATCTCAATGACGGATTGCGGATTCTGCCTGAACGACCGACTACTTTCTTCCATCACATTCGCTCCGTCGAACAAACCCTCTGACCTCCACCCTCCCGAATACTTGCAGCCTAGGCCGTGAGGTGCTCCCAACATAACCAACCGCTCTTCCTGCGAACCCAACCGTTACCCTGCTGAGCGTCAGCTATAACCCCATCCCGCCTTGCCCACAGGCCCCGCCATCCCTTCCACCACAACATACCATATCGCACCAGCTTCCAGTCACACCCAAGATGAAGATCACTTTCAAGGTAGCCTCTTCCTACCGATATCTTGATGCAGCTAGGACTAACATTTACAAAAGGATCTCAAACAAAACAAGTTCGTCATTGACGCTGAGCCATCGGAGACGGTATGCGAAGTCTTGATACCCGGTTAAGTGGTTATGAAACTGATGGTCGATACCTGTGATAGATCGGCGAGCTTAAGGCTAAGATTCAAGCGGACAAAGGCTGGGAAGTTTCTACTCAGAAGCTCATCTACTCTGGTATGTTGCCTGTATCGGCAAATAAGGCTCGAGACAACCAGAGCTACAGTCTCTAACCTGGCAACACAGGCAAGATTCTGCAAGATGCAAACACCGTTGAATCGTACAACATTGAGGAGAAGGGCTTCATCGTCTGCATGACCTCCAAGGTTTGTCCGGCTATGCGTGCCACTGTCAGTGTGATGGCTAATTCATCGAGCAGCCAAAGCCTGCAGCGTCTTCAAGCAAAGCTGCACCCTCAACGCCCGCCCCAGCAGCAGCGCAAACGCCAGCTGCTCCAGCGGCGCCGGCAGCCCCGGCTCAATCATCATCGACTCAGAATGTCCCTGGTACTCCCTCACCTGCGCCAGCGCAGCAGTCGTCCGACTCCACTCGCTTCAATGACCCATCTGCCTTGACCATGGGAAGCGAGCGCGACGCCGCCATTGCGAACATGGAAAGCATGGGATTCCCACGAGCTGACATCGACCGTGCGATGCGTGCGGCTTATTTCAATCCCGACCGTGCGGTCGAGTACCTTTTGAGCGTAAGCGTGGCATAACACCTTCCGTATCCATAACTTTCTAATGTTGCGCAGGGTATTCCAGAGAGCGCACTTCAGGAGCAACAACAGCAGGCGTCGCAGGGGTCTCCGAGGCAGGCTCGTGGTCCAACCTCGCCACCAGCCGCCACCGGTGGTAACACAGGCACGACTCCCGCTCCTACCGAGGGCGACCAGCCGATCAACCTGTTCGATTTGGCTGCACAAGCTGGGCAAGGAAATCGAGGCGGTAACGGTGGTGCTGGTGCTGGTGCTCGTTCAGGTGCTGGTGGTGCTTTGAGCGGCAATAGTCTGGAATTCTTGCGCAACAACCCGCAATTCCAGCAATTACGACAGGTCGTACAACAGCAGCCACAAATGCTTGAGCCAATCCTCCAGCAGGTTGGAGCTGGCAATCCTCAATTGGCGCAACTCATTGCACACCACCCTGAACAATTCATGCAACTACTCGCCGAGGACGACGATGAGGATGCCCCATTGCCCCCTGGTGCACAGGCTATCAGTGTCACCGAAGAAGAGCGCGAGGCCATCGAACGGGTAAGTAGTACAGACTGAGACTCGATGATCCCCAACTAATCAAATGCCAGTTATGTCGTCTTGGCTTCGAGCGCGATCTAGTGATCCAAGCCTACTTCGCTTGCGACAAAAACGAGGAACTCGCTGCCAATTTCCTCTTCGACCAGCCAGAAGACCCAGAGGACCATTGAGCGAGCAGACCAGTGCCGAGATGTATCACGAACGGATTCTTCGCGCCTTTTGTGTGCCCCTAGTTATGACCCCAATGGGGCACGCTGATTGATTCTGGCGATACACATGAACATCAACCCCGCGTTATCTCTGTGCTTCCTCTGGACTGTGCCAACGAAGCAATCACCAGTTCTCCTATATCACCGGGAGGACATATACGATGGCTATGATACCTTGCAAGATGTAATTCATGGCATTTGGCATTCTTTATTGGGCGAGCATGAGTGACACCAGGCTCACCGAGCCCAAAATAGTAAAGCGAAAACTCTACTCCAGATAGTACTGCAAACAATTCTGAATGAGGAAAAACTGGCCATTTGTGCTTTGATCATTGCTTTGGATGTGAAGTAGTGCTTTCCCACCTACTCTAAACCTTTAACCTCGCTATTTCTGACCGATCGTCGCGCAAATCCTCGTCGCACAAGGGATTAGGATCGTTCCCGTCGGGATAACTCTAGAACAATTTGGAATTGTTAGCTCACGAGGTCAAGCATTAAAAATCAGGGTGGAAGTGACATGTTGAATGACTATTTAGACATCTAATAAAGTGACCGCTTTTGGTATAGCCGACCCAAAGGACACCGAATACATGCAAGAACATCTTAGTAGCAAATGGAAATCATGGGTTATCATCATCAGACAAGGAGGAATCGGTCCCTCTTGGGGCCTGGGGGGTTTCTTTCTAAAGTTTTAGTGGTGGAAAAGACGGATGTGCTGCTCGACGAAGGTGATGCCCAACTTCTCGGCGGTCTCGAAGACAGCGCCATCGTTCTGGGAGCCGGTCGGGGCGGCAATGTAGCTAACGCCGGAGCGCGCGGTACGGAAGACGTTGTCGATGAAGGGGAAGAAAGCGTCAGAGCTGACGGCGACGCCCTTGAGCTTTCCGAGCCACTCCTTGCGCTCCTCGGCGGTGAAGGGCTTGGGGACCTGGCCCTCCTCGAAGTTGGACTCGAAGTCCTCGCGCTCGATGCCGGACTCTGGGACGAGGCCGCTGCAGAGGAGGTCGATGACGTTGGACTTGGAGGGTCGCTTGGTGCCCTTCTTGAAGGTGAGGTTCAGGGTGCGCTCGTGGAAGCGCATCCACCAGTTGTCGGCCTTGTCGCCAGCGAGGCGGGTGCAGTGAATGCGTGCTGTCTTATGTTAGCTGCTGTTTCGTGCTTTGTTCCATGAGTGACTGAGGATATGCTTACATTGCTGGCCGGCTCCAAGGCCAACAACCTGGCCGTTGAGTGCGTAGCAGACGCTGTTGGACTGGGTGTACTTGAGCGCAATGGTGGCGACAGTCAAGTCTCGGAGGGCAGCCTCTGGGAGAGGGCTGGAGTTCTTGGGAGTGATGATGGTGTTGAAGGTCTCCGCAGGGACGATCTTGGCGTCGTTGCGGTGCTGTCGGAGGTTGATACCGAAGACGGTCCTGGTCTCCTCGGGGCCGGGCACGAAGTCGGGGTCCATCTGGAGGACGAGGTACTTTCCACCCTTCTTCTTCTTGAGGATCTCCAGAGCCTCGTCGGTGTACTTGGGGGCGATGACACCGTCTGAGACCTCACGGCTGATGATCTTTGCGGTAGGGAGCTTTTAACGTGGATTAGTAAACGTTTCTGAAGAATGGGCAAATTATGTGACGACTTACATCGACCTCATCGGAGAGAGCAATAACGTCTCCGAAGCTGGACATGCGGTCGGCTCCACGGGCACGAGCATAAGCTTGGGCGAGACCAGACTTCTCAATGCCTTCAATGTCATCGACCATGTACACTTTCCTCTCCTCCTCGCTGAGCGGGACACCGATGGCAGCACCGGCAGGGGAGACGTGCTGTATTGAGTTAGAGAACGATCTACGTGATCAATAATATGCATATCCTTACCTTGAAGCTTGCGGCGGCGGGGTAGTTGAGAGCTTTGCTAAGCTCCTGAACGAGCGGCCAGGCATTGAGAGCATCGAGCAGATTGATGTATCCGGGGGAGCCACAGAGGACCTTGAATGGCAATTCGCCCTCCTGGACGAAAGTGGCAGCGGGCTTCTGGTGAGGGTTGGCACCATATCGGAGAGGCAGATGCTGCTGGCCCTCTCCAGCATACTTCTTGCGGAAGAAATCGGAGATCGCGCCGTCGTAGGCAGCGGTTTGCTCGAACGCCTTCAGGGCAAACTTCTGCCTGCTCTTCTCGGACAGCTCGCCGCTCTCCTTCAATTCGGCGAGGAAGTCATGGTAATCCTTGGGGTCGCTGACGATGGTGACACGAGCGTGGTTCTTTGCTGCGGCGCGGAGAAGGGTCACTCCACCGATATCAATCTCCTCCACTGCCTCGGGGATGGTGACGTTGATCCTGGCAACGGTCTCTGAGAAAGGGTAGAGGTTGCAGACGACGAAGTCGATCTTATCGATGCTGTTCGCAGATAGGTCCGAGTCATCCGAGTCGAGGTTCCTTGCGAGAATTCCTCCATGTACAGCTGGGTGAAGGGTCTTGACGCGACCTCCAAGCATCTCGGGAGCCTTGGTAATTGCGGATACATCCTCGACGGGGAAGCCGGCCTGGCGGATCATCTTTGCGGTACCGCCCGAAGCGAGCAGTCTGACGCCCTTGTCATGGAGGCCCTTGGCCAGGTCCAAGAGACCTGTCTTGTCGTATACCGACAAAATAGCTTTTTACTGAGCATCAGCGCAGCACTCGGATTGAGATCCAGAAAAGGTTACCCACCTGTCTTTTGTCCGCCCATGATGACTATGGGAATAGATCAAACGCTGGTGCACAATCCAATTGAGAGGGATCTGGACAATAACGACGAACGATTGCTGATGCTTCTAGGATGATTGAATTTGATGGCCAGGGTTAAAGATTGAGAAAGTCGCGAGGCGGATTTTTTGTGCAATTTCTGCCCCGCGTTTACGTCGAGGGCGGGCAGCCCCTCGTCCGATTTCGGCAAGGTTGGGGCCAAGCACTGTGCTATCCATATCAATCGACGTGCGAAACCATGGGGAGGCGTCCATGCGTCAACTTTCTAAAAAGACCTGGGGTTGATTGCATCATTTTTAACCACTTCATTGACCAACAATACGCGAGCTCAACTTCTCAAATTGCCAGTCGATTGCCTTCCCCGGTCTCTTTTTAAACGAAGAATACCCTGAGCATCCTATCAACTTAAGTCTAATGCCATTGTGACCACCAATCGTCTTACAAAAGCTGAAACTCGGGCCTCGGCTCCGTGGAGCTGTGATTTGAATCCTTTCTTACGTGATTGGCATTGGTTCTTCTGCATTTTGATTCCACAATTTCCATAATAGCATACAATTCTGGGGCAAGATGGAGACTGGGACCGAACCGCTTGTTGCGCACCTCAAGAACGTCCTGCTTGAGCTTGCAGCCAACCCGTACCCCGAGGTCGCGTGCCCTCCCAATGTCCCTCGAAGAGCTTCCGTAGCTGTCATCCTTCGCATCCAACCCAATTATGCTCACTGGCCCGCTGTGCATTCAAAGCAGCTCCATACTCCACATGCACATCACGCACAGCAGCGGCGAAGATCCTCGGTAGCGTCCAATTCCGGTCAGAAGCTGTCGTTCAAAGATATCCTCGATGCATTCTTCGAACAGGATTGGGTGAAGCATGGCGACCCGGAGATGCTCTTCATCAAGCGTGCTACACGAATAGGAGACAAATGGAACGGTCACGTTGCGCTTCCGGGAGGGAAGAGGGACCCGGAAGATGCAGACGACCAGGTCACTGCAATGCGAGAAGCTATGGAAGAGGTTGGCATAGATTTGTCGTTCTCCCACGCAATAGCGGTCGGAAACTTGCCACAGCGTGTGGTGACGACTTCTTGGGGGAAAGTGCCGTAAGTACACACATTGTTGGGCTGTCTATTACTGCCTTTCTCTATGTCTGGTGGTCTTTGGTTTTTGCTCACGTCGTTACAAGATTGATGGTGCTATGTCCCTATGTATACCTCCTCACCTCGTCCGACTACCCACCGCAACGTCTCCAACCCACCGAAGTAGCTTCCACCCATTGGGTCTCGCTCCGCGCCCTCCTGTCCCCTGCCCTCCGCACCCACGAGTACGCCGACGTATCGAACCGCCTGGCCAAGTCTGAACTAGGCATCAAGCGGTGGTTCCTGCAAGCAATGCTGAGCAAAATGATGTTCGCAGCCATACGCCTCGTCCCATCAGAAAGCACGTATTGCAGTTCCATTCCGGGGTTCGTGCCGGAGGGTCCAGCACCGAACAGTTCGTTAACAGGGAAGCTGAAGGAAGTGCTGGTCGGGCCGGAGGCGGGCTATGAAGCTCGCCCGCCACCACTACTGCTGTGGGGGTTGACGTTGGGGGTCATTTCGGATTTCCTGGAGCACATACCGCCGCACAATGCCCTAGAGCTATGGACTTACCCGACGTTTACGAATTGGGACGTGCGGTTCATAATGTGGGCTATGTCTTACAGGTTCAGGAAACAGAAGGCGATTGAGATGGGTACGGTTGATACAGGTGCTACTGAAGAGACCAATGAGTCTGAGATTGCAGAGGACAGAGAAGATAAATCCACGGAGAAAGTCGAAGAGGTTGAAGAACCGGGAGAAGTGGGAATAGCTGGTCTAGGAGTAGGCCGCAATTGGGGCAGGACGGGGAGGGCTAAAATGATTGCAAGAGGAGCAGCTGTGAATTCGATGTTGGAAGGATACTATCCCATTGTCCGCAAGGCTGTGGCTACGGCTTTGGTCGGAAGGCTAGCGGTCGCGTCGCTTGTGGCAGTCTATGTGTGGAGAAGATACAGCAGGAACTAGGAATCACTTCTATACCTATAGTGTCTATTCAAGAGTGTAATGTCGCCAGTACACAGACTTAACTGCTCGTTATATAACCTCGCGAAGGCACTATTGTGGGCATGAAATACCACTCGTAGCAGGGGGCCAGTCCGACGTGCGACGTGCCAACCCTCTGTACAATGTGAATAGCATGTATGACGTATTAGTAGCATATGGATATGCAGGTACTCAATGAAGATATCCCCAGCCTTCCGCGAACGTGAAGAACAATGTATTCGGGAGGTTCGTATTCTAAGAATAAGTATAAGGCTGATTAGTCGAGAAACGAAGCCCATCAATGTGCCTAGGTCGGAATTACTGATCTACAATACGAGTAGAGAAGGTTGTTGCGTGGGTAGATCTGGTCGGAGATAATTCTCAGATGGTCTGGGGAAGCTCGGTGGCGACTCGGAGTCGCTTCGGTCTCTGCGAGCGAAGTGCGAGAGGACCTTTAAAGGTTGACCAAAGCCCATCTACGTCCCATCGCACATTTTGCAAAGGAATTGCAAAAATTAACCATGAGATCGATGATATCAGTAATAGAATGAGTCTTAGAAGCTTCCAATGAAAAGAATATTGATAATCAGGCGTGATGGCCGATGTAAAAGCTGAGCGGCATGCGGCAAGTCCAAGGAGAAGCCGAAGCGGCATTACCTCTGCGGGTACCACCGTAAGAAACGAAGAGAAGGGTTCCCCCGACGAACACGCGAGAGCGAGAGTACCCCGGGGCTGTATTATTGTATCATTCGTTATTGTTGGGGTTGGCTTGTTTAGGTTTCGTCGGAGAAGGATTTTTTTCTAAGCAATTGGAAGTGGACCCTGCATTAATCAAGGCGCTCTTTTACGAGTATCTCCTTGGAGGCCATGGAGCAGTTCTGTAATTAATTTGATAGACTACAGTGTAATACGGAGTACCATATGCGTACTTGGTAAGAAGAGGGAGTACGTATGTACAAAGAATCAATGCTATTGTCCATATCAACATAGATAGAAAACTACCTATAGTAGATTGCAGCGACGACTCATCCTTGATTGCAAAAGTTAAAACAACAAAAATGAGAGAATCGGAGAATCTGATCCATGGTTTCAAAACGAACACGAGGTCATTCAATTGTTAAATCTGGCGTGGTGGAGTGATACATTTGCCAGATTGCGGTGATCACTGGTCGCTGTGGTGGTTCTGCTCCCCCGGTTGCCGCCGAAGAATACCTAGCGAACAACGCTTTGCCTGGATTACGCTGACGGTGCTAGACTGCTTATTACACTCGCACTCCAGACCCTCCTCTCTTTCCTCTCAGCGGGCCGGAAGCTCGGCGACGTCACCATTGCACTTTTCTGTATCGTCCGATCAGGACCTTTGAAAATATAAGATCCCCCCAAGACCCGCTCTAAGAGGTCCTACCCACTACATACGATCTCATTTCCACAAGGCTACACTTACATTCCTCATCCCCTCCGCTCATCTATCCTACTCGTAACAACACTATCACAACCCTTCCTATCAACCACATTTGAGCAAATATGAAGGTCCTTACCAAAGAAGAAGAACAGGCACATTACAAGTATGTCTGCCACACCTCTAACAGAGCTCCTCATAGCTACATCTTCGAACTGTCATTGATCATATCTATAGTGCCACCATCAAGGGCGGATCCATTGCCGGTCTTATCGGTACCACAATCGGTGCGGTGGGTGTCATAGGTGCTAGCAGGAGGTTTCCCGCTTTCCGCGCCCTTACCATCCCCTTCCGAACCTTCCTCGTCGCATCCACTGGAACTTTCGTTGGTGAGTTGCACTTGTTCAATTCTCTTATCTAGGAACTGGCCATCTGACTCTCTGACTCTAGCCGTCCTCGGCGCCGATCGTGCCTCCGCTCAATACGACATCGATCACAACCCCGAAAAGCAGCGCGAAATCGCCCGCGAGAAGGAACGTGAGGAGAAGCTCATTGCCGGCAAGACCACTCTCGAGCGCGCAAAGGAATGGGCTGAGGAGAACCGTTACCCCATCATCTTCGGCTTTTGGGTACTCTCCATGGGTGGATCCTTCATCGCCGTGAACCGCAACAAATATCTCTCTGGCTCCCAGAAACTCGTTCAGGCACGTATGTATGCACAGGGCGCGACACTCGCCGTCTTGCTCGCCTCCTTTGCTTTCGAGACAAACGACGCAAAGAAGGGCAAGGGTCGGTGGGAGACTATCAAGGTCATCGACCCCAACGACCCCGAGCACAAGCATTTGATCGAGAAGAGAATCCATCACGAGCGCTATGCCGGCGAAGATCAATGGAGAGGTATGTTTCCTTCATCACGGGGACAATCGCCCCTCAACAATTGCTACGAATGCTAACGTCAATACAGATATGGTCGCGGCTGAGGAAGCTCGCCTCGAAGCCAGAAAAGCTGAGGCAAAGGCACAACAGAAGGCTGAATAGTCCGGCAGCGAGAAGGAGAAGTCTTTTGCACTGTTCTGCTCTAATTATTGATCTCAAAAGTCTTTGTCGCGAACGGCACGCTACTACTCCGACACCTCTCATTTCGAAAACGTACGCATAAACCTTTCCCCCTGGTATCTCTGGGGAATCCATCATTTCACGGCGTTTTAGCGGGTCCTGGTTGGAATAATGTCCGACTTGTATTTCTAGGCGGTTAAACTTCCTTGTTCTTCTTTTTTTGGGAATTCGATAGGGCTGCATATGTGTAAATCTTTTCAGGCGCGTGGGCCTAACCCCGCGTCTATGTACTCCATGATCGGGGAAATTGGTCTTCCCGCCACGTCGATTATATATCGCTATATTACGATCTACCTTTAAACAAATCGAACATTAACTGTGAGATTTATCATGATGGTCAGATTGACTCTTGGATCTATACTAATGACCCCACTTAAGCACACGTCGACACAGATCTTGGAATTTTCCACAAGACACGGTGTTTCCCAGTTGGAGCTTGAACTGCCTACAAGTATACTAGTATTAAGTCTATCCTATTTACCAAGAAAGAATTTCAAACCACTCTTAATGCTGGAGTCGGTAAACTTTAAGTAATACCATGCGAGACTCAGATATCTGATAAAAATGGGTAATCGCAACGATGCAAGGGTTCTAGCACTGAAGCTCTGGCATAGCCACTGTTGCTCGCACAGTTGGCTTACCTTTGTGTTTTTGGAGTCTGATGAATAAAGTCAAGCACATAATTCATGCTTCCATAAAGTAGCTAATTCAATTAATTGTAACTGTGTTTGATACCTACACCACAACGTCGTTACCCAGTGGTCGTGACAATAGTCGGTTGATCGTTTGGCCGAACCCCCGACCTCCTTCGTCCCGCCGCCAAACCTCCAACACCAACAAGCCAAGGTTCCCCAAACCACAACGTCAAGCCAACATGAAGTGTAGTCTCTTCTCGCTCGCCGGACTGGCATCAACAGCACTCGGTGCGCGCTTTGCGCTCCATGTACCCAACACACAGCTTGTCAACCCCTCGACTCTGCCATCTTCCACCCACGCCATCCTCCAGTCTTCGGGTCCGCCTCAGGAAGCATATCTCACACGGTCGAACTCGTTCAACTTTTACAATGTCTCCGCTGGAAGCTACCTGGTGACCATACATTCCCGTGACGCCCTGTTCGAGCCTCTTCGGATCGATGTCAGCCTAGAGGAAGCTGTGGAAGGCAGCGGGGATAAGAAGGAGGTGATCAAGTCGTGGCAGACATTCATCGGCAACGAGTGGGACAACAAGGGCGAGTCCCGCGGAGAAGGCGGCAATGGTGTCGTGTTGGAAGCCCGCCTCCTTGGGAAGAAATACTATTTCCAGGAACGCAGCGGATGTAAGTTGGGTCGATATCGAGAGTAGCGTGTAAGCCTGGACAGATTATGCTAACTGACGATCTATTAGTCTCCCCGCTTTCTTTCTTGAAGAACCCAATGATGCTCATGGCATTGTTCTCCATGGTTCTCATCTTCGGCATGCCTAAGCTCATGGAAAATAGTAAGTACACAGCAGGTACCTGGGTTGGAAACATTGTGTCTGACGAATACTTTGTAGTGGATCCCGAGACCCGTGCCGAGTTCGAAGAGATGCAGAAGCAGAGCCCTCTAGCTTCTGGCGGAGCCGCCAACCCAGCCCAAGCTATGCAGAACTTCGACCTCGCCTCCTGGATGGCCGGCAAGACTGATACCTCGAACAGCCGCGGCCACAGCCCAGCTCCTCAAGGCAAGAAACGGGGATGATTGTTGATGAATTGGAGTGTAAAAACAGGTCGAGAGGAGATGAGGCTCCTGTGCAACGACCATGGTGTAGCTTTTAATGACTGTTCGTCGATACGTCGGACGATTACATAGAGATTACATTATACATCATAAACGCCAAATACCTGTTTGGTTAACCCTGTGCCGCTTTCACACGGTTGCTAAACTAGAATTGCTATATATTCAATTGGTATCTACTCTAGTATGTTCAGCAAAAGCATGACGGATATATTGATTTGATCTCCCCATGTAATTTCTGTCTCAAACATCGAAATCCATCTCTCAAACCATAGAAACCCCCTTACAAAAGCGTCCCCAATTCACACGATGAACGAACTTTAAACAGCGCCGACCTCACCCTTCCCATCCCTCTTCGCCAGCTCCTCCACCCGCAGCACCTCCCCGGTCTTGACGCTCTCCTCCAACTCCCCCCTCGTGACATTACACCTAGCACTATACCTCCCCTTCGCCCGCCTACACTTCGGATCGAACAGCAGATTCTCACCCTGACACGTACTCCCCAGCACATCGACCACCAGCACCGCAACTACGAGCCCCGCCGTCGTCCCCACGAGATCCAAGCTATCCATATGCGCAGTCGGCAGCACGATGATAACCGCCGCGACGACGAACCGGAAAACGAGACGCACGCGCTTCCCGAGGCGCTGGTTAGGGATAACCTTGTGGATATGCGTCATAGCGATGACGCCCATGCACGCGAGCGCGACGCCCACGCCCCCGCAGAAGAACCACGGCAGCCCGCTCGGGAGGTGGCCCTCGGACCGCGCGACGAAGGTCTCGTAGAGGGTATCGACGTCGGCGTCGTGGGTGTCGTGTGCGCGGACGAGGACGCCCAGGGAGGAAGCGCCGAGGACGAAGGACATGATGAAGGGGGCGTGGATGGTGATCCATATTGACGCGGACCAGACGGAGCGGCGGATGGCGTGCGTGTGCAGGTTCCAGGCGTCGATCTCGAAGTAGATCCAGTTGAACGTGAAGGCGAGGATGAGGCCCAGCACGGCTTTTCCGAAGAACGCGTTGATGCCGAAGCCCACGGAGCTCTGGTACAGGAGCCCCAGCACGCAGGAGCCGAAGACTAGCGTCACGAAGGCGGCGGTGCGCTCGATGCGGTGCTCGATGTTGGCGGCGGGCGTGAATTCGAAGGCTTTCTCTTTCGCCCAGCGGATGTAGGTCTGGCCCATCCAGGAGGCGGGTCGTGATAGGTGGAGAAGGATCGTGGCGCCGAAGAGGTCGAAGAATATGGCGGGCCAGATTAGGCCTTGCTTGGTACCTTCTTCGACGTGGATGCTTGCGACCCAGAAGGCGCAGGGGATGATGATCATGATTGCGTTACCAATCATGGTCGCGCGCACCATGGGGATCTTCCACGCGAACCAAGTGTACGACGCTGCGACGAAGAGCCGGGATGCGAGATAGAATGCGACCAGAGGGGTGTAGGTGTGCTCCCAAGCGTCGTTGATGTTCGTCGTGAAGCCCAGGAGACAGGTCAGGATGAAGAGCACGGAGAGGCGGCGGATGAGGTCGTCTGCGTCTATCCAGCCTATAATGGTCGCAAGATCGGACCAGAACTTCCAGCTCATAATGAAGATGATGACGAAGTGGAGCAGGGACTTCCCCGTGGGGTGCTCGGCGGCATGGTCTCCGGTGATGGCGATGATTCCCACGTAGAAGAGATCCACGAACAGTTCGTAGCTGCCGACCTCCTGTGCCTCGCGAGCACGCCAGAGGAGCCCCTTGTGGAAGTACTGGCGCACGATGGGTCTCTGGTAGAAGCGCATAGTCCCGCCTTGCTTTCGCTCAGCTTCCCATTGATTCTTGTCGAACGAGCCAGAGCTGGAGTCATCAGAGGCATCGTCTTTGGTCCTCAAGTGCGCAGAGTAGCCGTACTTTGAGAAATTTGCGTCGAGTTGGACGGCGTGCTCGGAGATCATGTGGAGTTCGTTTGAAAGAGCGTCCATCTCGCGAAGTACGCGCTCGAACTCGTCCACAATGTCGCCATGCTTTTCTTTGAGTTGGCGATGCATATCCTCATGGTGAGCGTGGGTGTGGCGCAGAGCGTCAATCTGTGTATTTCTTTAATATAATTCGATCAGATGCTGCCGCATTGAATGGGTGATACACACGTGCTCAGGCGAGCCGTGGATGAAGAGATCATAATCAACATCTTTCTCGCCGTCCGCAAGTCCTTTGCGGATGTGATCAGCATCTTCTGGAGAGCTGGCAATGTGCACTTTCGTGCCGTTAGGTCGCAGGAACTGCCTCAGTCGTTTCCCAGAATGGTGGTGGTGACCATGCAGGTGGGGCATGTGAGGTAGATGGTGGTGATGATTGTCATGGTTGTCCGAACTCTGGGGTGTTGATACACCATCCTCTGCTGCTGGAGCCATAAGCGGATCTCTTGCGATATGCGCAGACTATCGCAGCAGTAGCACGAGATACAGCGTTTGGCAGTTTGCCATACTTCCCAAGGGGGATGCCATAATATCTACTCCGTACATTGGGAACCATGTTGCTTCGCATCCGTGCAGATCAGCCCTCCTGTGGTGTACAGCAAAGCAATGTGCAATGTGTGACAAATGCCCCTTTCCGTCCAATCGTCTAATGAGGAAAACGCCAATGTTGGGTATGCGACATAATCTCATCGACGCTTTTCCAAGGGTTCCCTTCGAATACCAGTAGAGTCCAAGGGAGCGTTCCTCGGTGGCCGACGATGGGCTGGGGTGCCCTTAGCTCAGTAATCCTCCGAGCGACTACGAGTATATCTACCCTGTAGTATCTGGTGCGCCTCGTATGGATGCTGGCCCATCCCAATGCTTACGAAGCAATTCATCTTCCCAATTGCAATTTATCCATTTCTTGAACCAATGCGACGTGTAGATCAATCGTTAGATGCATTTGCATTGTAGAAGTTATTAGTTCACCGTACAAATCCCACCCAAAATGCCCTTGGGGCGGCAACCTTCATCACGTCCGACCTCTCGGCCTGTGAATATCAATAACACGCCGCTGCCACCTAGGATTTTCAATATCCCCCAACCAATACAGAATCCCCATCATGAGATAAAAGAGGAGGAAACCAGTAGTCATAATTTCAACAATGAAAACCCCCTACCAAACAACCCGAACAACTCCCAGGCCACAACACCCACCATGACCCCCATTACACGCAAAACCATGCGCAACCGCGCACCACGAGAAATCATCGAATACGCCGAAGGCGACATTGACCTCACCCACCTCAACGACCCTACCAACGGACTATTACGGGACCACGCACCGCCACCGCAAGCCAACTACGCCACGATAGAAGAAGCCCAGATCTCTCTCCGCAACTGGGCGCGCACCCACGGCGTCGTGTACACCATCTTCAAGACGTGGTGGCGACCGCACGAGACGGGGCGGCGGCCCTACCGCCTCACGTACGGCTGCAACCGCGGCCGCAAGCGCTCCGCACGCGGCAACAGCATCAGGAAGTCGACGTCCGGCGCCCGCTGCGAGTGCCCGATGAAGTTCCAGTTGCGCGCGGAGGATATCACGGATCCGGCGAATAGCAGGTGGATCGTCGAGCACCTCGACAACCGCGCGTCGGTCGTGCATAATCACCCGCCGGAGAAGGATCCCTACCAGCACGTGACGTATAGGAAGGAGCAGCTCACGCCGGAGGTGTCGAGTGTGTTGCTGGAGGAGTATGCGAAGGGGGGTGCGGTAGGGGCGCTGAAGAGGCTGAAAGAGAGGTTCGGGGATATCAGGTTGAAGCCGAAAGATGTGTACAATCATTGGGAGCAGCATCAGCGGACGAGGAAGGAGCGGGAGGCAGAGGGAGAGACGGTGGTAGATGAGGGGTTAGCAGCGGACGAGGGGGAACAATTTTGGTGGTAGGAGTTTGCATGGTGTTGATTGAATGAGTATGGAGCTGGTGCTCGTCAGTCTTCCGACTGAATGGAATGGATCGTGAGGTGGAAGATCACCAAGTAGATACTTGAACGAAAGTCATTGCGTATATCCAATCATACTGTAAGAATAAGGTATTAAAGTAGATGCTGTCAAAAAGAGACAGTGAACCACACACGATCCAAATGAAGGCATGTTTCCTTCCTTTCTTATTCGATGTTCTTTACCTTTCCTTCCTTCCCTTGTTCGACATTGAATACCGTTCCTTCCTTCCTTGGTTATCCAAGATAGTATAAACCCCCCCCTCCTGCTTCGACCTCCCCCAAGGATTTCGATCCCTCCGTAATGGTGCAATGTGCCAACCATATCCCACCCATCTATATTATGTGGTAATCTTCACAGGAATCGGTCTAAAAAGCGTAGCGTTGCTGATATCCATTTTGATGCTTGAAGAAAAGGCGTTGGATGCCTCACGATGAACTGTTATAAACACGGTTCTCAAACGCTTTGAACTCTACACTGTTCGATCAACGTCCTCGGGAAACCGTATCGTTCGTTGCACAGGTCCTGATGGTGAATCAGAGCCACCAGGCGTCGTAGCGGCAGTCTTGATTCCCACGTTCCTGCCCACAGCTGACGGCTCGATGACTCCACCGGTTGACCTTGCAGGAACGGGCGTCGATCTGCCACTTCCGGGATTACTGGACGACTCATTATCCTTTGGCCTGATAATCGACCTCCCTATCCGGCGGATCTGGTAAGGCAGGGCCTGCGACCCCGGCGACTCGAGCTCTCTGCCCAAGTTGTCGTTGGACTGCTGGACATGGAAGGGTTCTTGTCCCTCAGGCAGATCTGAAGACAGAGCGTTGGATATCGTGCGCGGGAGGTAGATTCCCAGTTTACCGAGCGGGACGCTTAGGCCGTGGATGATCTATAAAAGTCAATGTGCCGTTCTCTGTGAATGTCTCGAAGGTGACTTACAACGCTGCATACGCAGAGAAACCAGACGACGACGTTCATGACTTCCATCAGAAACTTTGCGTCTGGTCTGATCTCGCCATCGACAGTGATGTGGCGCAGGAAATCCAAGCTCACGTACAAGTAGAACACTGCACTGACGCCAATTGGGCCGAAGAAGCCAGTGTAAATGGCTTGCCTCTTTTCCTCGATTTGGTGGATCCATTTGTGCATGGCGTAGACGATGGGAGGTCGCCTTAAGAGTAGCACGAGGATTCCTAGGAAGATGAGGCGGTAGATGGGAATCACGGAGTTGTGTGCGAATTCTGGCCAGGGACATACGGCGCCGAACCATATGAAGATGGTCACGTTTAGGAGCATATCGATTGTTGGCTGGAAACTGTCATCGAGGGTCTCGAGGCGAAACCAGTCATCCCAAGTGAAGGTGTTACCGGCAATGAAACATGCTAGGACATCGTCGGATCCAACGAGTCCAACAGTACCGACGATGAAGAGCTGGAAGTTAGTTAGAGCTGGATCGTTGTATCATATAGATCTAAGTCAATCAAACTTACAGCGAGTGCAATCGCGAACACAAGAAAGCTCTCCCGGTCGATATAGTTTCGATCTTTAGCCCAGTGCAAGATCTCTTTGGCGATCCACCCGACAGTAGCACCATAGACGACGGAAAGAATAATAACATAACCCCAGGTTTCACCAAACCAGTCTCCAATGGCACGACTCGTACTATGATCCTGGCCTAAGCCACCGTATCCGACATGGAGAATCAGATACAGTGGTAAGAAGAGAAATGGATAACCCAATCCGTCATTGGCGCCACTCTCGGCTATGATGATCTTTTGCAGCTCCTTGGGAATGTTCTTGTCTGCAAATTTACCCTTAACTATGGAGTTGGATAGAACGGGGTCTGTGGGTGTGACACATGCCCCGACAGCTAATGCCTGGAGAAATTGAATGTGTGGGACAAAGGCAAAGACGAGAAGACTTGTGGAAAGCCACATGATGGTCATGCCTGGACCAAGTAGAAGAGCGAGGCTCTTCCATTCTGTCTTTAGGTACTTTGAAGGAAGCTGGACGCCGGCTAGCACTAATTGTACACCAAGCACGAGCCGAGTAAAGTATAATGTTATTGTGTCCAGAGTTTCGACATCACCCAGGGCATACTCAAGGGGCCTTATGAGGTTTGTAGCATGAGGTGAAAAGATGACTCCCGCTACTAGAGATATTACTGGCCAATGTCAGTAACGGCTCCTACTGGTCGGAGAAGGAGAAGGCAATACAAGGCTCAGAGAGATAGAACTTTTCCTTGAATAGGTAAGAAACAAGGCCAAAGACAGTGATGAAGCCTCCCAATGTGGCACACACAATGTTGAAATTGACGACTGCCAACGTTGGCATCGCGTGTATGCTCTGTCTAGGCCTATTGGAGGGTACCAGGTCGTTCGCTATGAGATCCCCTTGAGAGAATGATGGTGGTACTGAAGTATGTCATTACATCATCGAATCTGCACAGGTTGCGAAATTTGTGTGTTGTTGCACGGCAAAGCTAGAATCAGGCGGTCCAATAGATCGAGCCTGTACTTCCTCTAGCCACTCGTTTTAGTTTTGACTAGAATCATGTTAGACCTTGTCAGATGTCGTGAAATAAATGTCTCAAAGATCTGATAGATGCATATGTCTTGGCATAACAGAAAGGTGTTAGTGTATTCTCCCTGCGAACGTTCTTGATTGGTCGCCATGATCACCTTCTCGATTCAACGACATAACTTGGGAGATCGAGTGCTGTGCTCAGGATTTGCGTTGTGTTGTCATTGTGCTCAGTGGAAGGATGAGTATGTTGGCTGTTTCATAGCACTCAAAGGGCGATTGGTGGGCGAAAATAGTTGATATCAGCATTGTGCCGATCGACCAATCTCAACCCATGGTCCGCGGCGTGTCTTCCAGCTATGTCGCGATTCAACACTCACGGCTCCTGGAATGTAATACCCCGCCTTCACATGCTCAGCATAGTCGTTGTAGCTCTATTCACATGGCGAAATTTGATAGGGAGTAATGAATACTACCAGCATTGGTAAGGGTTCCAGCTCGTGACCTTGATATACGGGAGCCGATCGCTAAGCTGTCCCGAGACTATGCTTTACAGATGACATGTGGAAATTTTCCTTGATAGGATGGAAACCTTTGCAAAAGAGAGAGCAGCATCAGCAAAGTAGGGATATCACAGACCACAAAAAGGATGAATGAAAAAGGATGGAGAGACCACTGTATATATATCAAGTCGATACTGATGGAGTGCATCTCTGTCCAAAGGTCAGTACGGTTTGTTAAGAGACAGCAGGGCCGGAGAAGCAGTGGCGAATGGGACAGCTGTGATAGCCGTCGCATGGTTAGTGATCAAGACAAGGTGTATGATTCGTCCATGTAGAGTGTTGAGCAGTAGGACAAAGCTACCGATACCAAGCTACAGCTTCATGAGTACCCACCGTACTGTTGTCTGTGTTGAAGGGTCCCACACCTCCAAGATCTGGGGGAAATTAGACCACTTTGCACTGATACAATCTACGATGACGGAAGTCGAGAAAGAGCAAATCAGACAGCAGTGTATGGCTCAGGAGCGTATTCCGCAAACCCGTTCTGACATGTGAAGGCTCATGAAGGCCAGCCCTACAGTAGGTTGAGGGTGGACAATGATGGTGTTGTGCATATGAGATAAGGGTAGTGCACCACAGGGCTTGGAACTTGGGGCGTATTGGCGTCGAGTCGGAGGGGCATGGGATACACGTGCTAGCGGGAGGCGGTCCGCGCTCGGCGATGGAAGAGAAAAAAAAAGTTGGATGGTTGAAAATGGCACAGCACACCACCCAACCCAACACACCGTAGCTTCGTGGCTCGGGAAGATGGCCACGACGGGTAACGAAGGCCCACGAATGAGCAATGGGCTTGACAAAGCAATTGGAAGTGGCCATTATGGAAGCCCACACATTAGCAGAGACGGAACGCTTCGAGAATCGACACAGACACGAGCCGGGCGGGCTAGAGAGTGCTCCAGACGGTAAGCGTGTGTTACTTGTAAGGGTTCCGAGAATCAAGCGAGGCAAAAATCCGCCTTTAGTCGAGCGTACGATGGGACGAAAAAACCAAGGTATGTGGAGAACTGAAAGGAAGAGAAGTCAGAAAAGTAGCAAAGAACGCATTGCGGCTGGTGCGGCCGATCTCTGTGTGTCCCTGCAGACGGCAAAAGCACCCAGGATCCCAGACGGCAGACCTGACTCCTGCCCAGGGGTCTCTTAGAGGTTCTACCGTCTTACACACCCCGGCTCTCGCGACTCAAGCCTATTTCATCAAGTTCGGTGGTTTTGGTGGCTACGGGGTAACCCCACTGTGTCCTGATATATTGGTGTCAATCTGTCGATATTTCTGGGTCGCTGTTGCTGCTAATGCCCAGTGTGTACACAGTACACGTTGCTTGCTTCCATTATTATCACTCGTACGGCATCTTTCCTAGCCGTGGATGTGCAGGTGGAGTGTTCCAAACATATTTCCGATTCAATTGCGAGGAATTGAAAGTCTTTCCCGCTAATGAGCAGAAGACGACCCATTGTTTCCATTGTAATTATCAGTTGTAGGGGTAGGTATATGGGTATCGCTATCGGTATCGATTGTGTAGCTGTGGGGGTGAGCACTGAGCACTGAGCATTGGAATGCCAACACGATGCCACTAGACTGCGAGAGCTAGGAAGCTGTTACTGTACATCTTAGCTGAACATGAGAGAGCCAGTAGGGAACCGAGTAAAGCGTAGCAACGCAGTTGAGCAGGGCCTCCAGGGTGCTGGACTCCTGTTGAGCGGTTGTAAACGAGGCGAGGGCTGGCCGTCAAGGCGTGATGCTGCATGCAAACTGGCGGTCTGCTTCGAACCAGTAGCACTGGGCCAAGGCCGGCGGACAGGAGGATCTTCAGGAAAAATTTCAAGAGATGGCCAACGCCGCCGCCATCCAGGAGTAGTTCTTCGCTGTAATAATACACCTTCCATGAGAAGATGGTACGGAGTAGTATTAGTGGAAGTGGAGGTCGGAGGGTATAGGCAAGTAGGAAGGTTACTAAGGCAAGTAGAACGGGAAGCGATGCGACGAAGAGCAACACTCTAGACTGGCGCACGAAAAGGGTCCGGCTAGGTTTCAGTGGCAGTGCGACGACTCCCGATGAGTACGATTGCTGTGATTGCTGCGCTGACTGCAACTGTCTAGGTACCTAAGCGGTAAGTGGTAAAGAGGTGGAAGAGGCGTTAGAGGTGAAGAGGAGATGTAACTAATTATTGTGTCGTTACTATGAAGGCGGTGGGAGAAGATGGACAGGGGCGTTCCTGCTTTTTTCCAATCGCGGTTTCCTCCTATTCCTCGGCTCGGCAGCCTTGCTGTTGTGTGTGTGCCTGTGTGTGCCTGTGTACGCATGAGGCAGTGAATAAGCTTCTGAAAGGTAAAACTTTTCTTTCTTTTTCCCTCTGTAGTCAGTAGTACACCGTAGATGGTCTGAGTATGTAAGATGGTCAATTCGGTCCCCAGGAATGTTCAGTGCGGTGGCAATTGGACCCTTCACCATGAATCACCACCAACAGCGGCATCCTCTAGAGTCCAAAGAGAAGCCGACTCTACAGCGTCTCCACAGCAAAGGAGTGATTTTCGCCAGAGAGCATTGGCGGGTCCTAGGTATGGTCCCTGGCGTTGTCTATCAAACTACCTGCTAGTTACAAAGTAGTTACCTTGAGACCTTAGGTAGGTAAGTTTTGCATACGTTGCAGGCGTATCTTTTTCCTATCCGCCGTTGACCCCTGGAAGGTTCCATAGACCCATAGACCCATAGGGGAAGAAGGGGAAGGGATGTACCGAATAACTACTATGTAGGTACAATGGAATAGTACAGTGACTAAGTGAATACTCCAGACTAGTTATGTGTAGTAATGCTCTCAACATCTACGTACCGTGCATGTACCGTACAAGTAACAATACCATTCGTTTTTTTTCCTTCGCGTGTCGCTAGCCCGGTCCGATTTAGGATGTCCCTCCATCCCTCCCTCCCTCCCCCCGTAGTGAATTGCAAAAAAGAAATGCCCAGAGCTTCTAACACAATAATCACCCTCCCTCCCTCTACTAGGTATCCTACAGATACTTTATAAGTCACCGCCTCCCCACACGGCGAATTCTATTCCAATTCCTTTGCCCCTCTTGCTCGTCCATTGTCCCATTGTTGTGTCGAGTCGTGTGTGTTTTGTTGGCTTGTTTCTGTTGCGAAGCCGTCGAGGCAGACCGCCAATTCCTCCATATCTTTATCCACCACAACCACAACTATAACTATCTCTCTCTCCCGCTTCCCAACAAGCGACCCGCCTCTCTCAACAACAACACCCTCGCTTTGATAGCTGCCCCCTTCCCCCCGTCGCAGTCAATCGCTCCTGTCCATCGTTGCTTGCCTTTCCAGCTGCACGTTTGACGTTCTGCTTGCATTTTTACACCCATTGCTATCTTTAAAGCGCCGGTTCTTCACCTTGTCAACATGGCCACCACTGCACGACCCCAGAACCCTGTCCTGAGGAGGACTGTCACCACCGACTCTGTCCCTTCCTCCTCCGCTCCCTCGGTATCAGTCTCTCCCGTCGATTCTCCTACTCAATCGGCTTCCTCTACATCGCTCTCCTCGCTTGCTTCTGAGGATGCCCCCGTCAAGAACACCCGCGGCAAGCTCCTCGATACCTACGGCAACGAGTTCGAGATCCCCGACTACACCATCAAGGACATCCGCGATGCCATTCCTCCCCACTGCTTCGAACGTTCCGCCGCCCGAAGCTTGTTCTACGTCTTCCGTGACATCTTCATGCTCGGTACCTGCTTTACCGTTTGCTACAACTTCATAACCCCCGAGTATGTGCCCTCGTACGCTGCCAGGACCGCATTGTGGGCTGCGTACACCGTCTTCCAGGGCTTGGTCGGTACCGGTCTCTGGGTCCTTGCCCACGAGTGCGGCCACCAGGCCTTCTCCCCCTCCAAGACCCTCAACGACACCGTCGGCTGGATCTGCCACTCTGCTCTCCTCGTCCCCTACTTTTCCTGGAAGATCTCCCATGGCAAGCACCACAAGGCCACCGGCCACATGGAGCGTGACATGGTGTTCGTCCCCAAGACCAGGGAGTTGTATGCCACTCGCGTCAGCAGGCTCGTCCACCAGATCCACGAATTGACCGAGGAGACTCCCCTTGCCACTGCCATCCACCTCTTTGGCCAGCAGATCGCTGGCTGGCAATTGTACCTCTTTGCCAACGTTACCGGACACAACTTCCACGAGCGCCAGCCCGAGGGCAAGGGCAAGGGCAAGGGCAACGGATTCTTCGGTGGCGTCAACCACTTCTTCCCTTCCAGCCCCATCTATGAGAAGAAGGACGAGCATCTCATCCTCCTCAGCGATCTCGGTCTTGCCATCACTCTCGGTTTCGTTTGCTGGGTCGGCAAGAACTTCGGCTGGACGAACATTTTCGTCTGGTACGTCATCCCGTACTTCTGGGTCCACCACTGGCTAGGTAAGTTGGCTGTCACCAATTCCATGTTTTCGTAGATCATCTCTAACGGCTCGCAGTCTTCATCACCTACCTCCAGCACACCGACCCTCAGCTCCCCCACTACGATGCTAAGACCTGGACCTACACCCGTGGAGCCGCTGCCACCATCGATCGTGAGTTTGGCTTCATTGGCCGCACTTTGTTCCACGGCATCATCGAGACCCACGTCCTCCACCACTACATCTCCAGCATTCCTTTCTACCATGCCGACGAGGCCACCGAGGCCATCAAGAAGGTCATGGGCAAGCACTACCGCTCCGACACCAAGGATGGTTCCATCGGTTTCTTGAAGGCCATCTGGAAGAGCGCCCGTATGTGCCAGTGGGTCGAGCCCAGCCTCGAGGCCGAGGGTGAGGGCAAGGGCGTCCTCTTCTTCCGCAACAGGAACGGTCTCGGTACCGCTCCCTTGAAGATCGCTGCCCCTGTCCCCAAGGCCACCGCCGGACAGAAGGCCAAGATGGCCATCGGTGCCGACAGCGATAACGAGTAAAGCTACAACATGACGTTTATGTTTCCGAATGAATGGTGCCCCCCGTCTCCAAATGGACCGACGTGCCCGTTCTCCTGCATTAGAAGTGGAGTTTGAGGTTTCTTTGCAGCCGTGTCAAGCACTCTGGCAATAATGACATCTGATGTTTCTTGTTCTGCGCCTCCCTCTCTGACTTTTCTTCTTTTCTCATTCTGGCGTCAGAAGCCAAGCGTTTGTGTGCTTTCAGGCTTGTATAGTATAGACCACTATATCCCCCCTGACGATGATTCGGGCTGGTTGGCTTCGGTTTGTAGACCCTTCGGGCGGAGTTTAAAAAACAAGACCCCCTTTAGATTAAAAGACAGATCAAAACGAAAAGAGAAAAAAAATTCCAAGTTTACAAAAAGTTCAACAATAAAGCGCCCGTCTGTGTTCGTGATGTGATGTTCGTACGTGTGTATGTTCACAGGATTAGAGGTGGGGAAGTTCTCATGACATGGCATGAGCCCGGATCCGACCGCATCCTACTCCTCCTTCATACGCCCTCGCCTCTTCTGCGGGGAAATAATCCGCCCGATGGTTTGTCACGATTTCGGGAGTCGTGCACTTCATCCTCTTTATCTCCTATTGTTGTTTCTCTTGCACGTACATAATCTCTCTAAATCTTGTACAACCTGACATATCTACTCAAAGAGTCTCAATGCAACGTATTATTCCTTTCCCCTCTCCCTCTTTGTTTTTGCCTTTAGAGGTTGGTATAGTAATTACTGTATTTGATTGGGCGCACGAGTTGTAGTCGGTTGCACGCTTCATAGCATCACACGCATCGCTAGCACTATCATTCGTTTAAGCGAAGGTCGAAGGGTTGATGTAGCTGGATATCTCGACATGTCTCCGCGTACTGAAGGCCATCACGATCCTTGATATACGTGCCGGGTTCGAGGTTCGAGGCTCGAGGATGATGCATGCCGTTCATAGGGATGGAACACTGTTAGTCGAGTGCAATGGGGATGGATGTGGGATTGGTGTTGGGTGGTGTCGGGGCCAGGTAGGGGACTCGCGTGCAGAAGTGTCCAGATGGACTAAGGAGATGTGGTAACATAGGATGATATTCGATCTTTAATCTCGACGACAGCGGCTGGAAGATAGGCATGCTGTTTCATGGGAGGGTATGAATTAAGTGTTGATGGCCATGGCGTGTGTGCATGTAGGCCATAGAGAGATTTGATGGAGCCTCTTCAACCACGGGATATACACGCACGCACACAAAGTGGCTGGAAGATATCTATGCCAATTCATGGGAAGAGACTATTGATATAAATCGTTCTCTTCCCCTTGTTCGTCCAATGCAATTTATGTGGACTTAATTGGCTGTAAACACAGGTTCACAACGTGGTTTCACGAAATGGGAATGGGGGAGGATATGATATGTAGCGACGTTGGTAAGGAACAAGATTTCATCGGATAGAACCCTCGTCAGCTCCAGCTACGGCGCACGGTAAGTCGTGCTCTTGGGAAGATAGCAGGGGAAAGTCAGACGTAAGAAAATAGCGAAGCCACTCTTGCGAGCGAGATCACCCTGACCTTCCTACAATAAAATCCGCCCGTGAATGAGTTGAAGAAGAGGAAAAGAGAGAACAGGACGAAAGGTTTTTATCATTGGCGAGCGATGGGCGCCAAGACCGCAACCGTGCTTCGGGCCAATCACGACCCAGGCGAATAAGCCGTGAGGTCAAACCTCACATCTTGACGTCCTGATCGAGCTCCGCAGCAGCAAAACAACCCACACATCCCCCCCTCCCTCCCCATCGCACACGCCCTCAATATGCTGCGGCAACAATTGATCCGGTCGCTGAGGAGGCCTGCTAAGCTCGCAGGCCTCAATGGCAGCCGGGCCTTTACTGCCTCTGCCAACAGGCCAGCAGAGGTAGAAATCACAGTTGGTTTGTGCCACCCCTCGAGTACCACCCACAACGCATGCTAACGCGCCTCGCAGATGGAAAGAAAGTATCAATCGAGGGTACGGAGCACGATTGCAATTGATCCCCAACTTTCGAGACGATTCTAACACTTCCTTTCTAGCCGGCTCTGCCCTCATCCAAGCGTGCGAAAAAGCCGGATCCACCGTCCCCCGATACTGCTACCACGAGAAGTTGATGATTGCTGGAAACTGCCGTATGTGTCTGGTCGAGGTGGAGCGGGCTCCCAAACCTGTGGCATCCTGCGCGTGGCCGGTACAACCTGGAATGGTCGTCAAGACCGACTCACCACTAGTACACAAGGCGCGAGAGGGTGTCATGGAGTTCCTGCTCGCCAACCATCCTCTGGACTGCCCCATCTGCGACCAGGGAGGCGAGTGCGATCTCCAGGACCAGTCGATGCGGTACGGTGCCGACCGAGGACGTTTCCACGAGATTGGCGGCAAGCGTGCCGTCGAGGACAAGAACATTGGACCGCTCGTTAAGGTAGGGATGCAATTTGTCATCAGCATCGAATAGGCATTTCCTGACACTCGACAGACTTCCATGAACAGGTGTATTCACTGCACCCGTTGCGTGCGTTTCGCCAACGATGTTGCCGGTGCTCCTGAGCTCGGCTCAACGGGACGTGGCAACGACCTCCAGATTGGTACTTACCTCGAGACCGCCCTCGACTCCGAAATGTCTGGAAACGTCATCGATCTCTGCCCCGTCGGTGCCCTGACCTCCAAGCCCTACGCATTCAAGGCTCGTCCCTGGGAACTCTACCATACCGAGACTGTCGACGTCCTCGATGGTCTGGGCTCGAATATCCGTGTCGACTCCCGTGGTATCCAGGTCATGCGAATTCTCCCCCGATTGAACGACGACATCAACGAGGAATGGATCAACGACAAGTCCCGTTTCGCCTGCGACGCTCTGAGCACACAGCGATTGGTCAACCCGCTCGTGAGGGAGGACGACCAGTTCAAGCCCGCCACTTGGGAACAGGCACTCGTCGAGATCGGCAACGCTTACAAGAGGATATCACCAAAGGGCAATGAATTCAAGGTTGTTGCCGGCCAATTGGTTGAGACTGAGACTCTTGTCGCTATGAAGGACCTCGCCAACAAACTCGGATCTGACAACCTTGCTCTGGACCAGGCCAATGGCAGCCAACCCGTTGCTCACGGTGTTGATGTTCGCTCCAACTACGCTTTCAACTCTAAGATCTACGGTGTCGAGGAGGCTGACGCTATCCTCCTCGTTGGTACCAACCCCCGCCACGAAGCTGCCGTTCTCAACGCCCGCATCAGGAAGCAGTGGCTCAGGTCTGATCTCGAGATTGGCATCATTGGTGAGGATTTCGAGAGCACTTTCGAGTACGAGAAGCTTGGTACCTCTGCCGCGGACCTCAAGACGGCCCTCTCTGGAGCTTTCGGAAAGAAGCTACAGGCAGCCAAGAGGCCTATGATCATCATTGGTAGCGGTGTCACCGAGCACGCTGATGCCAAATCCGTCTACGAGCAGGTTGGTGCTTTCGTCGAGAAGAGCAAGGCCAACTTCCAGACCCCCGAGTGGAACGGCTACAACGTCCTTCAGCGCGCTGCATCGCGAACTGGAGCCTACGATGTCGGTTTCACCGTCCCATCTCCTGAGGTCGCCAACACACAAGCCAAGTTCGTCTGGTTGCTCGGCGCCGACGAGGTCAACGAGGCAGACATCCCCAAGGATGCATTCGTCGTCTACCAGGGCCATCACGGAGACCGTGGCGCCCAATTGGCCGACGTTGTTCTCCCTGGTGCCGCCTACACTGAGAAGTCCGGAACATACGTCAACACCGAGGGCCGTGTACAGATGAGCCGAAGCGCGGTTGGCCTTCCCGGCGCCTCGCGCGACGACTGGAAGATCGTCCGAGCTGCTTCAGAATACCTCGGTGCCGAGCTCCCTTACGACGACATCGAGGCGCTCCGCGACCGCATGGAGGAGATCGCCCCCGGTCTCAGGCGATACGACGCCGTCGAGCCCGTCGCCCTGCCTGCCCTCAGCAAGGTCCAGCTCGTCGACCAGAACAAGGGCGCGCAAGCCAGCAACCAATCCCTCAAGTACCCCATCGAAAACTTCTACCTCACAGACGTCATCTCAAGAAAGTAAGTTCCCCCATTACCTCCCCCCTACCTGACCAGCCGAACATGAAATACTAACCTCGAAACCCAGTTCCCCAACAATGGCCCGCTGCTCAGCCGCAAAGGCATCCAAGAACCCGCTTACAAACTTCGACGCCCCAGGCGAGCCCCAACCACAAGTCGGCTACGGCACACAGAGCCAGAGCGCCCTCGCTTCAGCATAAAGATCTTTTCTTTCTCTAAACCGCGGAAGGAAAAATTGGTGGAAGGGGGCTCCTAATAGGTCCCGTTTGCTTGTAAATTCTAGAGATGATGCGGACGGGGCAGTAAGTGGGAATGATGCCCCTCTAAGAATAGAGCGAGATATGAAAGCATGGAAAGGGAGGCGAAGGAAAGGCAGAGGAGAGGAAGAAGAGCATGAAATTCAAACCGTCCCTGTACTGTACATAGGCACACACCGTTATTGGGTTAAGACACACTTTTTTTTGAACAACAATGATCATTTCCAACGAAAAGTTATCACACGTGAAGAACGTTCACGCACACGCATGGAACGAACGTACAGGGTTAATCAACAGGATAGCGAGACGGTCTCACTCGTGTATTGTATATTGTCTTCCAGACCCAGACCGAACAGCCAGCCAGCGTATGTGTACATCCATCGTCAAAAGATCAATCGTTCAAAGCATCTTAGATGGTCGGCGACGACGACAATGGATATCTTTGTTCTTTATCTTATCTCATGTACTTCATGTACTTCATCCACCCCACCCCATCTCGCCTCATGCCCTCTCCGAAGTAAGCAAAAAGCCAAACAGAAAAAACGCCGGGATATATAATGCCCTCTAAATAATATGATATATCTCTAATCTTTCTCTCTCCTTGTCTTCTGTCTCTTTGAATGTCAATAGAAAACACTCGGAGCGTTATCTAAACAAATGTGCCCTCGTAAGGTATGTGCCATCGACCGCGACTTTCCGTTGAAAATACGTGACGTTTGTGACATCGCACGTCGTAGAGAGTCCCTTCAGGAAGGAGAAACGTCGCCATATCCAGACACCCCGAACGACGGTCCCAAAGCCAATCATACATGCGGTAGCATGAGCGTGTACAATAAAAAGAAATCCAAAACCAAAGACGACGGCAAAAAATCAACCGTACGAGACACCCACACCGCCAGCCCTGCCATTCGGCCTCCACGTATCCTCCTGCTTCGTGCCCGGGGGCAGCCAGCTCGCGGGCTGATGTCCCGCCGATGCGAGGTTGTCTGTCCTCTTGTCGTCGCGGGGGTCTGCGGCGATGGCCGTGGTAGAGGACTTGGGGTATGCGCCCGTGCCTGCGGACAGCATTGTTGAGGGGGAGGCGGTGATGATGGGGTTGCGGGGGAGCTTGTCCGATGCGGTATTGGCGGTGGAGAGTGGGAGGAGGGTGCTTTGGGATTTGGCTTGCAAGGCTCGGGCGCGCTTGTCTGCTTTCGCAGCGTCGGAGGTGCGGTCGTAGAGGTAGAGGCCGAGGAAGGTGAGGAAGAAGCCGAAGAATTGGATGTTGGTCATGGGTTTTCCGAACCAGATGATGGCGAAGACGATGACGAAGACGCGCTTGATGAGGGAGGCGACGGAGTAGGTAACCGGGGAGATCATGGAGAGGAGGACGAAGGCGACAATGTTCTGGCCGAAGTGGAACGTGCCGTTGAAGAGGAATTCGAGGAGGAGGCGGCCGTGGTCGTAGGATCCCGGCCGGTTGGAGAGCGAGATCGAGGCATCGCTGAGGAAATCGCCGAGGAGGGTGAAGCCCTCAGACCAGAGCCAGATGGGGAACGTGAAGAGGAAAGCGAGACCCGAGGAGTAGCAGAGGAGGTTCAATTTGTCTGGCTTGGTGAATTTGGTAGGTGCGAGGCCGTCACGTTCTGCGGCTGCCGAGTCATTGAAGATCTGTTTGGAGACGATGTTCTGCGTGACGAAGAGGATCGCAGAGGCGAAGGCCATGAGGAGGCCCATGAAGTTTGCATTGAAGTCGGCGGAGCAAGCCAGGACTACGCCCAGGGTGAGAGGGATCAGGGAGAGGTACGTGGGGATGCTGTAATGGATGCCGTAGAAGATTCGATATGCGGCGACGGTCAACAGCGGGGAGAGACCTTTGATCGTATGGACCAAAGATACGGGTATCCGCCGGGTGGCATCTGAGCTCAAGATGTGTCCTCCGATTTGGAACAATGCCAATGGTAGAGTAGTCATGAGCAGGTCCCTGGTGGGAGGGCGGATGCCAAACTTCAAGACCGGTATTGTCTGCTTCAGTCGTGGGTATCTTCTCGCCAGCGCGGCAAGGAATATGCACCATGACGACACGAATGCGAATTGTACGAGCGTAAGCGTGATGGGCTTGGGGAGCGCGGTCAAGATCGCCTTCGAGGAGGTATTGGAGAAGATAGAGGTCATGTACCATACACCGCATAGCATCTGCATGAATGCCATTTAATCAGCCCCAGTTTCTTCAATGTTATCGCAGCGCGTGGTGGGACTTACGATGAGGTGCGGCGACATGGGCGCCTTTAATGCCTGTGCAATTTCTTGCGCATTTTGGCTGACGCTTGCTTTGCGACCTGGCGTGCGGATTGTCCGAATAGCCTCACTCAGACTCTTCTGCCGACCGTGTCTGGTCGCATTCCCTGGCGCGAGGGGGCTTGAGTAGGCATATCTCTGCTCCTTCCGCGGTTCCCACTTCACCGAGGGAATCGCTCCATTAGAAGGGGCTGGACTTGCTGATCGCGACGTGCTCAGCCCGTAGGGTTCCTCCTCATGGGTGGGCAGGAGGTCAGGTTGGAAAGCTGGGAACTTGAACGTTTCTCGCGAATCGGAGTCGGTATGCGACGCCGAAGCCATTAAATAGGGATGTTGGGAAAGAGCGATATCGTTTGTAAATTTCTCAAGCCATGGGTATTATGGAAATATATAGAAGAGGCCAAAGTTGCGATCGCTCGTTGAGGTGCTCCCTTACGGAGGGAGGAGAGACCAGAGGTGACTGTGTTACGTTTAAGGGCGGATGAGGTGGAGGGCGTTCCACTGGACGAGAAGTGCGCGAGGGTGTCTTTTGCGACCGTGAATAGACTCGTAAATATGTACTGTGGAGAAACCGATAGAGGTATGTACGGAGTGGTGTAGTTAAAGAGTGTGGTTAGAGAGGGATCTCTTCTTCAATCTCTCCTTCGTGTTGACGATACAACTTTAAGTCGAGTTAAGCTTACCCGATTCGGCACAAGTACAAGTAGACTAGTTACAATACACACGGACGGGGGACCTGCACTAAGCCAGGATTGGAGTCCGGTCCAGCCTATCACATCACAGCAGATTAAAGAAGAGTGGGAGAGGCGTGGGATGCTGACTTGGCATCTTCTACATACGAGTACTTAGTAATTACTATGTACATGTATGTATCTAGGATAGTAATGAATGTACATGTAGGTACACTCTACTATACTTCAACAAACTGGTAACTACCTAGTAGATACAATGTAATTTTAACCATCGGCAGGGGTTTGATGGGGATTGAACCGTGTGATAATAGATGACCGATGATCACCATAAAGGTATGTACACACTGTGTACACCTACTCCGCTTTGCTTTGATGCGCCACGCGTCTTCTTGCGCCGTCGTCTCTGTTTTGCCTCGTCTATTCGTCCCGTACCCGTAAGCCCTCAGTACAGTCCGGTCTTGTCTGTACTCTTGTTTCAGTACTTGTACCTCGCAGTGAGTTGTGCTATTTACTCTGTACAGTACCCGTAGTACAATGTATCGTGTAGGGTTAGGGTGCATACATTTTGGTGGTGCCTTCGGAGGGTTCGGCTCCTCTTGCTGATTCAGTAGTAGTCATTCCCCTCAGTGCTAGTGTAGGCTTTCATGATGCTTCTGACTGGTTGTAGACTGCCACTTGTCTACTTCCTAACTCTATGTGCATTATTGTCGTTAGCTTCCTGGTGCAACGCAGAACATGATCACGAAATGGTTCGCCTTCTGGTTCCCGTAGAGTCTCGTCAAGCAGACAACCAGAGCCCTCTCCGCATCAGCGACACATGGCAATTGCTTGGGCCATTCCAGATTGGGACACGAGGCATGATAAGTTCCATTGGTCAATGCGGATGCTGCATACTGGGGCTGACAATGTGAATTTGTAGAGGGTTCATGGGGTGCAGACCCGCTCGAGTACCATGGCGGATTCAGGAACTTGCAATACGACCCTGATACCACTTTTCGAACTTCGCTTGCGACCAATGGCGTTGCAAAATGGTCCAAAGTCCAAGCTGCTCAGACCGACGTTACGTCCAACTCCACCAAGGCATCTTTGAGTGTTGGCTATGACAACGTCAATTGGGACTTCCTCAAAGTCGTCTACGGATGGGCTGCAGTGCAATATCAAGCGTGGGCTCGAGGAGAGCTCGTGGTAAGTGGAAACAAAACACAGCAAGTCGTTTTACATACAGATGCTATCATCGAATACTGGATCGATGATGTACACTACTTCGGGGGAGATGCCTATACATTCCGAAAGGCACCGCCCGTACTTAGCCTTACGCCAGGCGCCCACAAGGTCGATATACGGCTCTGGCGAGATGTCAGAGCTTTCGGTGGGATAAATGATCCTACCATCGATGTTCTCATCGAAGCTCGATTGACCAGTGGTACCCTAGAGCTGGCCACACCTGGCATACTGATATCAGATGTGGTAGACGGCCAACTGGCTTCGCCCCACGCCTCCGTAATAGTTCGCAATGGGGGAAGTGATGATGTCGAGATCACGAGCATACGATCTATAGAGGTACGACCTTACGGTTCTTATTTATGAGTCGTGGCTTCTGAATGTGCATACCAATATAGTACTCACTACGTTTTAGTCTGATTCGCCTGCTGCGATCAACAGCTCTGGCATTACTGTTATCGCTGGGCAAACGAGGCCAATTTCTTTCAGTGTCACGCTGCCAGGCAAAAATGCCTCTTCGATTCACTACATCATCTCGTACAGAGTCATTGGCCACGGGACTCAGTCGCATGTCCTTGGCGTATCTCAACAACTTACCAAAGGCTCCATTTACAATGCTCACAAATTTACGTTCCTCCATCCGGGTGGGGTTGTGTCATACGCCATGCTTCGACCGCCTGCAAAGAACGTGACTTGTGAGGGCGTCAGTGCTTTCCCTGTATTGGTAGCCAACCACGGAGCTGGTGTGGAAGTTTCGGACCCTATGGCGGCTCATGTTTTCGATGCACTACCCGATCTGTGTGCGTGGGTGCTTCTGCCATCTGGCGTTACACCGTGGAGCGGTGATGATTGGCACAATTGGGGGTTTACCGACTTGGAGGCAGCGGTAGCAAGCATACCACATTGGATTGAAGATGTCAGCTGGGGTGGCCCGGGAGTCGATGTCGACCGCTGGATCATGACCGGCCACTCGAATGGCGGGCAAGGAACGTGGTATGGGATGACCCACAGACCCGACCGACTTATTGCTGCTGCTCCGTTGTCTGGCTATTCTTCTATACAGAGTATGTCTTCCCCTCCAAGATGTTGCTTTGCTAAGTGCATACAGAGTACGTTCCTTATGAACTGTGGCAACCTGCGGATCCTAGACGGACCGCCATTCTTAGTGCTTCTCTCAACAGTTATCGGCATGAAATATTGCTTGAGAACCTCAAGGGCATACCTGTTCTGCAGCAGCATGGAGAAATAGACGATAACGTTCCAACGTATCACTCCAGGTTTCTCGGCCAGCAGTTGTTCCAAGCCGGCGCCAACTCTACATACAATGAGGTTCCTGGACAGAATCATTGGTGGGATGGCATCATGACAACTGATCCGTTGAAGAAGTTCTTCCGATCTCAAGCGACCAGCGATGTCACCATACCTAGAAAGTTGGATGAGTTCAGTTTCATCATCGGAGATCCTGGAGATATGGGACCCAAAGGAGGCATCCGCGTCTTGCAGCTAGAGGATCCTGGGCAGTATGGGAAGGTGCATGTTAAAGGTCATGTGTTGACAACTACCAATGTCCTCAGCCTGGAGATCGATATCAAGACGCTAGGGTCTGCCTCACTTTCAATCGACGCGGATGAACTCAGCGCTGATGAGGCATTGACTATCATCACGAAAGGAGATTCCGGAAGGTGGAGCGTATGTATGCCTACTTCACAATCTGCTGTCCGTGCTAATTCATCAGGTGGGTGAAATACCCAATATCAACGAAGCTATCAAACATCGCAGAGGGCGGCAGCTTGGTACCATGACCGCCATCCTCCGCACGAAAGGACCCTTCATCATCCGCCATCATGGAAGTCATACCATTCACACTGCCTTACAAGTGTCACGAAACTTCCACCAGTATTTCTATGCCGATTCTGTGATTGCATCATCCAACTCTACAGACGACAATGGAAGGGGCAACACCGTCACTGTTGTTGAGGGCCACGATGTACCGCCAGGACTCCATGAGAACTTCCCGATCTCAATATCGGCATCCACCGTGTCGGTAACTGATAGCAAAGGAAGGATTCGCAAGTATGGTGGGGCATCTGACGTCGGTGCTATATATCTACGACCGCTTGAGGATGAGCGGCTCGAACTCGTAGTTTGGGGATCCAGTGCTGAAGCACTTTCGCGAGCTGCTCGTCTCGTGCCGATGATGACTGGAGTAGGCCAGCCTGACTTTGTGATTCTCGGTGATAGTGCTGCTTGGAGAGGCGTGGAGGGCGCTCTTGCTTTGGGATTCTTCGATCACTGGTGGGCCGTGACAACTTCATCAGTGGTCTCTTAGCAGACAAGCCGATTGACCAAACTATCCTACTTGGCCGGGAATTGATGATTCGTATGTTTTAAATGCTTGCCAAACAATCAATTTGTCGGTGAAGTCCCAACAATCTTGAAAATTTTCCTATTGCTGGTCCAGTGACGCGGGTGAGAGAGGCGCGCGCCATAATCGCGGTACCGCACAGAGTCAAGTAAAGTAGATTATGATCCTGAGCACGACGAACCAGAACGAACCGAAGCAGTGAAATGTGCCCTTTTGTGAGGCGGTGAAAGGTGATATTCTGGTTTCACTGTATGGTTTCTTGCCACCCAACCTCGTTACCAGGAGATTGGTTGTAGCGTGCCTTCCCTACTCGCTGTTCTCCTCTTACCTACCTCTGCTGCTGCTACTTAGGTTACTGCTCTCTCCCTCCTCTACCTCATTTACCTCACTCTCTCTCCCTCTCCTACCCACTCACACTCACTCACCCACCGCAACCACCTAACCTCCACCTACCTCACTTCCTTCAACCCTTCTCAAAATTTCTCTTCTCTCTCTCCTTCTCAACCTTCCCTTCTTCAATATCCTCACATCTACTTCCTAAAACTCATTTGTCTATCTAATCTCCCTCCCCTCTTCCCATCATCAATTCCGCTCCTCAAACCCACTCACCTCTTGCCTCACATTCTCACTGAGGTAGTGGCACCTTCAATCGCCGCATCTCTTTTCGCCTCTTTGGCAATTCTTGCTTCTGCAATCTAGATCAGCATCGACTTCCTACCTACCTACCTTACTTACCATCTCCCTGTTCTTTCCTCGCAATTCTTCCCACAAAAGACGGGCTGCGAGTGCTCGTTGCCTCCTCATATAACACTGCTTCATTTCGTCGAGCTTCTTCAGGTCAAGCTTTGTTCCTACATCTACCTGTATTTACAGCTATACGTTGAGACGGCTGCTCGCAGGTCGTAGTTCACTACTACCCTTCATCTTCGATATTTCGAAAGCTACTCGCCATTACGTGTCGCATCTCTCGCGTCCAGCGGCGTCATCAACAGCTACTGCGCAAGTGCCTCGCTCACCATACTCAAGCCCACCTTATCCCCTGCAAGGCTGTATATCATTCCATCTAATCGACACCATGAGTCTCAATATCACCTCGGATGGCTCGCCTACTCCACGCAAAAATCGATATTCCATCGCGGATGACCTGAAGATCGACACGTCCGCAGAGACGTTGGGTATGGCGGTAGGCTCTCGCCACCCCTTCCCCTCCAGGATGACTGCACATACATCTACCAATTGGCGTCTTGGTAGCCCATCATTGACATCCAATATGCAGGGTGTCAAGCGCCCAAACTCGACGTCTCTCGAGCCCTCGGTCCCACTCATCGCCTCCAATCGCAACAACAAGCACCCGTCCCAACAGCAGCAGCTGCTTGCCAAAGCATCGAATCGTGTGCCTGTCGATGGCTATAAGGTCTGTCTCACATCTCATCCCCACCAGGAGTTCTTGCTAACCTTGTCAGAAGCTCAAGACCAACCAAGATGCCTCAAATGAGCAAGCATCCTCGTCTGTCGTAGATTCTCTTCTGAGGCGTCTGTCTGATCAGCCATCTCCTCCGGAGAAGTACCAGGACAAGCAAGGAGAGCCGAACCACTCTAACATGGGACTGACTAAGGAGTACGAGAACTCTTCCAATGGTTCGCTCTCCATTACTCCTGCTACAGATGAACTCTCTCAGACTCCTGTTACTGAGCCGGATCTACAAGGTGTTGTCGTCAATGCTGTTGAGTTGCACCGCCTCAAGAATGAGCTGCTCGAAGCCCGCAATGAGGTCGCTCGCATGAACCAGGAACTTCATACGACTCATCTTACCAAGTCTACTCTGGACCACGCTATTGGTCAGTCATCCGATACGGACTACAACTACTACAAAGGTGATGTGACCGAACAAGCTATCTCACAGCTTCAGAATAAGTTCAATGCATCCACCCGTCCCGGCTACGGTCCACAAGATGGATGGTCCATGAACCAAGGTACAATCTATGACAAGAACGATGTGAAGCCCTTTGGAAATCCCCACTCCATTTGGGGCAATGCTACAAAGTCTCCAGCGCACTTCAACAACCCGGCACCGAGCCAGCCTATGCCTCCGTCTATCAGCATCTGGAACAGCGATCAGCCTCGCCAGGCTCCGTTCTACAACGGCAATAACATGCCAATGAACATGAACACCGGTATGGAGCATCAAGGTCAGGGTGCCGTTCAAATGCACCCTCGGGCCTCTACTGCTCAGCCAGGCTTCCGTGGTAGGAACTCTTATTTGAATGAGCCCATGCATTTCCCATTGGATCAGGGCTTCCGTGGCGGCTTCTCCAATCCTCCAACTCGTCCCAACTCCGCCTTCGACAACCCACGCTTTGGTCCATTCCCTGGCAACATGAGCCCCGCGGTTCAGCCCATGTCTGGCCCTCCAGCACCCATGCATGCACCACCCAATGGCATGAATAATTTCCAGGCTCGTGCCATGGGCCCATTCGGTACTCGTTTGTCCCCCGAGGCAGCCGAATTCAGTGTTGATGCGATGGCTCCCACGCCATGGAATGCTCAGGTGAATACCATCTCTTTGGCCTCAGACGGAATGGCTAACCTTAGTATTCATGAGCAGCCCCTTAATGAGGGTAATGCCACGTACGCTTCCACATCTGAGCCCATGAACTATCGCCGTCTTCTTGACCGTAACATGAATTGCAACTGGAAGTACATTGTCGACAAGATTATCTGCAGCAACGACCAGCAGGCCTCCATCTTCTTGCAACAGGTAACTATCATGACCTCTTGGGCTACAACATGTTTTGGTCTGCGTATTGACCCCTTCACAGAAATTGAAAGTTGGAACTGCAGAACAGAAGTTCGAGATTGTTGAAGCCATCATCGCTCAAGCATATCCGCTCATGATCAACCGCTTTGGCAACTTCCTTGTTCAGCGCTGCTTTGAGCACGGTACTCCAGACCAGGTATGAAGTGTATACATGCCCATGAAACATTCGTGCTCGAACTAATATATTGCCAGGTTATCGCTATTGCTGGCGCCATTCGTGGTAACGTTCTGACTCTCAGCATGGACGCCTTTGGATGTCACGTCATTCAGAAAGCTTTCGATGCGGTTCCCGAAGAATACAAAGCGACTATGGTACATGAGCTGCTTCGTCGCATCCCCGAAACGGTCATCCACCGTTACGCTTGCCACGTTTGGCAGAAGCTCTTTGAGCTCCGTTGGGTCAACTCGCCCCCGCAGATCATGCGTTACGTCAATGAAGCTCTTCGAGGCATGTGGCATGAGGTTGCCCTTGGAGAGACCGGCAGTCTTGTGGTTCAGAACATCTTTGAGAACTGTCTTGAGGAGGATAAGGTGAGCTAAAGCTTACACTCTTGAATTGTGAAGATGTACTTACGATACTCTCCAGCGTCCGTGCATCGAGGAAGTCCTCGCTAGCATCGATGTCATCGCTCATGGTCAATTTGGCAACTGGTGCATTCAACATATTTGTGAGCATGGAGCGCCCGCTGACCGTAGCCGTGCTATTGAGCACATCATCCGCTTTGCCACGGAGTACAGCATGGACCAGTACGCTTCTAAGGTCATCGAGAAGTGCCTCAAGATTGGTGGTAGTGACTTTCTGGATCGCTATCTTGACCGCGTTTGCGAAGGCCGTGCCGATCGTCCTCGCATGCCTCTGATTGATAGTAAGTTTCACCTTGATCAACAGGCATCGAATATGTACTGACCTTCACTTTTCAGTTGCTGGAGATCAGTTTGGAAATTATCTCGTCCAGTACATTCTGACCAACTGTGCTGCGCACCATCGCGAGATCGTCGCGAGCCATGTGCGAAAGCACATGGTCTCCCTCCGCGGTTCCAAGTATGGCTCCCGGGTCGCCATGCTCTGCTGCAATCCGGCCCTCTCTACTCGCCCCGGACCTCCAGCTGGCATGCAAGTCAACCGTTACAACAGCTCCAACCTTCATCGCGGCGCTGGCTACACTGGTTTTCGTTAAGGTTTTGGAAGTTCGCCTGCAGAACTCCACTTGATCTCGCTCCAAATCTTCATTTCCAAAGCCTGATCCTCGATGATGTCCAAATGTGCTTGGTTGGGATATACCAATAGGTGCAAACGGCGCTCTGAAAAGCATCTATTGGAATTGCATGGATTCTGGAGCCTCGAAAACCCCTTTATGTCTCTCTTGTTTATCACATTTCCTCGAACCTCCGGCGAATTGACCCAACTTCATTGAAACGATTGTCGACCATTTCCCAAGCTCAGAGCTGAGTTATCTCACTCTGTTGCCATTTGGATCCGAACGACCTGGTATGGAATACCTATCAGTTATTGTTTGACATGGCTGCAAGTGCAGAACCGGGGACAATTAAATGAATATGATAGTTAGTAGTTGGGTCACTCTTCTGTATGCTTAGCTTTCCCTATAATCAGTCAGGTTCGACATGGCAGACCATATGGAATATGGATAAGATGGGAAATCATTCCACGAGGTAGATTATTATCTTTTGTAAAGAATGCAATCCATGTCCTGGATTAATGCTCCAGCTTTGCTCTAGGTTTTCTCTGTGATATGTGACTTCTATTCTCGGGATTTATCTTAGGTATAGATATCTTAGGTATTCACCATGCCTAAATCTTAGGCCTTGCCGTAGCTAACTCGTTTGCGCAAGCCCTCGTGATGAACACGGGTGTGTCCCAGTGTCATCATATGCCATGGCATCGTGACGTGCAGGGTTGAGGATCGAATCAGTTGGTAGGTATCTAGGTAGTCACTCGATTAAACCTCATCCATGAGCGCTGGTATTATGAATAAGAAGTACAATTTCTCAAGGCAGCGAACAACGCTTATTTACTTTTCACTATATTAAACACTCACGCAGTCCTTCTTCAGGAGTCGGGTTGGTCCTCATTCTTAGTGTACAATCTTTCATCTGTACCTGGGAAGTGACCTTGTCCAGCCAGGGTGGTTATTTAAGCGAGACTCGACCGCGAATCGAACGACAACCTCGCCGCGAGTGACATCAACGGTTGACCGCCCGCCTCTCCTACCGCCAAATACCCTTTTAGCTTTACGCAGGCCGGTTCGTCACAAGTGCGTACCAACAATGGCCTCCACTCTTCAGGTCAACGGCAATGGCCGGCCCAGCAACATCAAGCATCCTTCCGCCCCGTCCCTGATGATGAACTCCCACTTCGCATCTGTCGGCGAGGAGGCCTCCAAGGAGGCTTACGAACATGGCATTCAGGTCATCGACGGGGACAAGCTGTTCAAGTATGCAATTCCCATGTTATTCGTCTACCATTCCCTAATGCTAACATGATCTCGCGATGTAGTGAACACTTGTCTACTTACCTCAACATCGAGAAGGTCATCCCGGCCGGATTCAATTATCACCTCATCTCCGTATTTGGTTCGCAGTCCACCGGTAAATCGACGCTTCTCAACTACCTATTTGGCACACAGTTCGGTGTTATGTCCGAGCAGGAGCGCCGGCAGACTACAAAAGGAATATGGATGAGCAAGAACAAGCGCGAAGGAGGCGGCAGCGGCATGGCGGAGAACATCCTCGTCATGGACGTCGAAGGCACAGACGGTCGCGAGCGCGGAGAAGATCAGGATTTCGAACGGAAGAGTGCTCTCTTTGCTCTAGCCACCAGCGAAGTGCTCATCGTCAACATTTGGGAGCACCAGGTGGGGTTGTATCAGGGGGCAAACATGGGTCTGCTGAAGACCGTTTTCGAGGTTAATCTGCAGCTTTTCGTCAAGGACAGCAGGTATGTTATATTCCTCGTCACTTTCCTGTCGCACCGCTAACGAATGTAACAGGACCATTCCCCGATCCCTTCTATTCTTCGTCATTCGTGATCATCTAGGCACTACGCCACTCAAGAACCTCCAGAACACCCTTTTGCAAGACCTTTCAAAGTTATGGTCTACAATTTCCAAACCTACGGGCCTTGATAACTCACGCATTGAAGACTATTTCGACTTCGCCTTCGTGGCGCTCCCGCACAAGATCCTACAACCCGAGAAGTTCGAGGCCGAGGTACAGAAGCTAGGAACCAGGTTCCGGGAAGGATACAATGACCCGAAGAAGAGCGGACTTCTTGACGAAGCGGATTTGCCCATATTTCTACCACAGTACCACCGCAGGATTCCTGCTGATGGTTTCGCTGTCTACGCCGAGGGCGTGTGGGATCAAATCGTCAACAACAAGGATCTAGACTTGCCGACCCAACAGGAGCTCCTTGCTCAATTCCGATGCGACGAGATTTCGCGAGAAGTTCTCATCGCCTTCGACGAGGTTATCACCCCTCTTGAGGAGAAACAAGCAGAAGATGCACGGATGGGCAAGCCGGCCCTGCTCCCTGACCTAGGCCCAGCAATGAATACAGCAAGGGGGAAAATCTTCCAGGATTTCGAGACCAATGCCAGCCGATACCACAAGGGTGTCTACACCCGCAAGAGGGCAGAACTTGAAAGCAAGGTTGATTCAAGGCTAAAAGCCCTCTCACAAAAGCAGCTCTCTGCAGCACACAAGTCTGGCGTCGAAACGTTCAGCAATGCAGTTAGCGCAGCTGTTAAAGGTGGCCAGAAGAAGGGCGCATCTTATGACTTCGCTCAAATTGTCGAGACGGAGAAGGGCAAAGCTCTCTCCAAATTCGAGGCCGATGCTCAAGCGATTGCGATCGAAGGTGCAAGCTGGTCTAGCTACACACAAGAATTGAAATTGTACCAGAAGGACTTGGATGAGGTTTCCTCTCGATTGCGAAAGGAGGAGATGCGCCGCCTCGCCACTCGTGTCGAGCGCTGGGTACGATCTCGCCTCGATGAGTCTGTCGGATTGGAGTTCAACAAGCTGGGAAGTGGTCGTGGAGGCTCTGGTGCCCCTGAACATGGTGAACGACCACCCTCTGAGAAGGACCTTTGGGATCGCGTCTGGAACATCTTCACCGACACCGTCAGTGACGCGGAAAAGCGCTTCACAGACCGAGCCCAGAGCTTCGATGCCAGCCCGGAGGAGGTCGAAGTCGGTTTATGGCGGCTGCGACGCAAGTCCTGGGCAGTCCTTCGTGCAAAGATTGACGAAGAAGTCATGGAGGGCAACATCTTGTTGAAGCTCCGAGAGAACTTCGAAGACAAGTTCCGATACGATGAGAGTGGTGTTCCCAGGATATGGCGACCGACCGATGACATCGAGGGACTGTACACGAAAGCGAGGGAGTCGACCATCACTCTGATTCCACTCCTGTCTCGGTTCAAATTGTCCAAGACAGCTTCTCCGCCCCCGTTGGATGCGTGGATAGGAAATGCGCCGCCATCCGTCTCTCCAGCTGATGAAGAAGATCTTACGCCAATTGGTGGCGTTGATGAAGACGAGGGCAAGAGCCTGGAAGAGGAGATGACGATCTTGAGTGACGCCAAGCAAGCAGACCTCCTTGTCCGCTTCAAGAAGACTGCAGATGGCGTCTATGTTGAGGCTAAACGTAGTGCGATCGGTGGCATGACCCAAGTACCGTTGTACTTTTACGGTCTCTTGCTTGCATTGGGCTGGAACGAGATAGTAGCCGGTAAGTGTTTCAACGATTCAGTATTGACCTACGACATCCACTGACATGTTCACCAGTTCTTCGCAACCCCCTGTATTTCATCTTCCTCATCCTTGCTGGTGTAGGTGCCTATGTCACTTATACCCTCAACCTTTGGGGTCCTATGGCACGCATGGCCGATGCCGCCAGCAGACAAGCCGTCGACATCGGCAAAGAGCGTCTCCGCGAATTCCTCGAGTCGTCGGATACCGGACGCCAGGCCATGGCCATGTCCAGCCAACAGGGCGGTCGCAGGCAGCGCGATTACGATGAGGTCAGCATGGACACCCTCAATGAGGACGGCACGAAGAAGCGCAAAGACGAAGATGACCTCGATGACATCTAATCTCTCTGCCCCTCCGATAGCTGCAAAAAGTCGCCCTTGGCCATGGTTGAATATGTGGACAGGGTGTGGTGTTATTCTTACGATAATGAAAGTTGCTTGGGAACAGATTCTCTTGGGTGGCTAGATATGTTGTGTTCGGACGGATACTGATTCCTGAATACCTAGTGCACACTGCTGTGCATAACCAATAGAAACGAAATGAAACCATTCTTTCCTCCAATTGTTTTAGACTCTTCGGTATCGTGCTGCTGGTCCCCCTTGACGTTTGTGTCTATATGTTTAGCTATAGGTCGGGTTAGAAAGAGTGAAGGTTCAAAGCCCTGGTTCCTAACGATGTTGCGTTCTAGCCTTGAGAACCCTGTTCTTTCATAAAATGCATCTGTCATTTGTACATGGCATCTGTCTGGCACTAATAAATCAATTACCACCTTATTCAGGACCGACAAATGGTTGGAATGTTTTGTCATTTTCTATGACGTCGACCATTGTATGAGCACACTTTATCGGCCTCTTTCATACTATCAGCCCTCATTTGTTTGATCACATTATAGAGCACTTGATTCTTTCTGTGGGTTTCCCGACCTTAGCTATTCTACGTTTCTGAATGGATATTCTAGAGGTACCATCGAATGTTAGTTATCGTCCCCACAAGCAACGGAACCATTTGAGCACAACGCATATCAATCTGTGAATTGCCAACCACAACAGCATCCCTCAGTCTCTTCATCAATTGAAATTTGCAATCCAAAGAAAGCAAACCAGGCCACATCCCCCAACACCACCATCATGTCTTCACAACCGCAACCACAACCACCCCCAACGCTCACATCCCTCCTCACCCACCTCCTTCCACACACCACCCTCCTCCACGCGCCCTCCCCTTCCTCCCCCTCTGCCCATCTAACCTCCACAATATCCTCCCTCCAACTCCACCCCACCCTCGAAGCCGCCCTCCACCTCGCCAACGCCGACCTCCCCTCCGCCCACTTCCTCGTCCGGCACATGCAGGCGGCGCCAGCCGTCGAAGGCATGCTCCTGCACGCCATCTTGCACCGCTGCGAGGGGGACTTCGCGAACGCGAGGGCGTGGCTGGGGGATGTGGGGGACGTTTGTGCGGGGTGGGTTGCCAAGAAGAAGGGGGTGGAGCGGTTGGGAGAGGATATGATGGGACGGGTTAAGTTAGAGGGGGAGGAGAGGGGGTTGTTGGGATTTGTTTATGGGGAGGGGAGTGAGGATGGAGGGGAGAGGTTGGTTGATGATGTTGAGGGGTTTAGGGAGAGGTGTAAGGGGAGGAAGGGAAGGGAGGGGGAAAAGGAGGAGGATGAGATTGAGGGGAGGATTAGGAGGGAGTTGGAGATGGTGGTGGAGTGGTGTAGGGGGAAGTTTGGGGACGGGAGGTGGGTGGATGCGTCGAGTGCTTGGGTGAGACATGGGGATGAGGTCAGACAGGTGGCCGAGGACATGGTGTCGGGGAACAAGGGGTTCAGGAAGTTCTAGAGGGAACGATTGAGACAGGACGAGGATGAAACGTCGTAAGGATAAGCTGTCCATTTGCATCTTGGAAGTGATCATACAGCAGCTAGTAAAGTCACATACATTAATCGCCACCAAAACCGATCAGCCACTAGAGAAAGAAGGAGAGATTGATAGTGGGAGGGGAAGAAAAAAGGCACACCCGCACGAATGCAAAGAAAAAATTGAAGCAGGTATGGCAGAAACAAAAGATCCCCTTCCAGCCAGCCAGCCAGTCAAACCCATCGCCAATCTGCAGAAACAAGCAGAGAGCATTGTAGTACACGCAATAAAGAGACTTGAAAGGACAGACCCCGGCATGTTTCTCCGATGGTGTAACTTCGTTCGACGTCAACATTCGCATGAGACATGAGTGGCATGATGATTCGTCTGAAGGTGCGGAACTGCATCGTGCATGGTAATGCTGCCATGAAATATTCCGATCGTGGGTGGGGCTCGTAACCTCTGGAATACATGTCTACTCCACGCTTCTTCATATATGTATATATCGTGTTTACGTGATGATGCCTAGCAGCATCCCTTCTTTGCCTCTGTGTCTGCCGACTTGCTGATCTCGAGGACCTTGCGCTCGCCGCCGAGGACGTTCTGACCGCCCTCACCCTGGTCGAGGGCTTTGCTAGATACAATTCGGTAGATCTCTGCAATGCCGTTAGTTCTCTTTCATGTTGAAACCAGCCAGTGTACAATGGCATTTCACGACAAATGTGATCTGGAGCTGGAAGATGGAGACCAGTCTGAAGCCCTAACGTACCTGTGAGAATGTTCTGGAAAGCGAGCTCGACGTTGCTGGCGTCCAAGGCGGACGTCTCAATGAAGGAAAGGTTGTTCTCGCCTGCGATTATCGGTCAGTATGTTTTGTCTCTCCCGCATTTCCCGTTCCGCAAGCAGCTACGCACTGGCAAATTGTTTGGCCTCCTCTGTGGGCACTGCTCTCAGATGCCTCAAATCGCTCTTGTTACCAACCAACATAATGACAATATTGGAATCGGCATGGTCGCGCAGCTCCTTCAGCCATCGTGTCACATTCTCATATGTCTGATGCTTGCTGATGTCGTAGACGAGGAGGGCTCCCACAGCGCCTCGGTAATATGCGGAGGTGATGGCACGGTATCGTTCCTGACCAGCAGTATCCCAAATCTGTGCTTTGATGGTTTTGGCGTCGACCTGGATGGATCTGGTCGCGAATTCGACACCGATCGTGGACTTGGAATCGAGGTTGAACTCGTTACGAGTGAATCGACTCAACAGGTTGGATTTACCGACACCAGAGTCTCCGATAAGGACAACTGCAGGTCAGTTAGTATGCGCTCAGTGCGAACCCCGAGGGACAAGCGAACCCTTGAAAAGAAACTGTGGACGGTCAGCTCAGCATGCACAAGTAGCGAGGGCGCATTTTGTATGCGGGATTAGGACTCACATCGTATTCGTCGTTCGCCATAGTTGCGGTGGGTGGGCGAAGGCAAGAGTGGAGAGCTCAGGGTTGAGGAGGCGGGGTAGAAGGCAATGTGGATAGCGGTAACGGGTTGGTGAATGTATGTGCAACGGGGCTTGAAGAGGGTAATTCACAAACCGCCGGTATGTCCCAGTGCTTGTGAAATGTCGTGTCGTGTCGTTATTTGGCTGCCTCGTCGTGGTGGAGGATGGTCGACACCGCCGCACAAGGATTCCATCACGTGTCACGCAACGCTAGGTGGGCGCTCGGACCAGCTCTTATAGCTACAGGGGTTGGTCCGCTTGTTTGGTCTTCCACTCTTCCATCTCCCAATCTCCTACCCAAAACACTCAGACACTGTCACACAGCACAGTAATCACTGATCAATCAATCAATCAATCAGACAATCACCTTCGCCTCCCCTCGTCCTGTCTCAGATGAAAGGAACACAGACATCTCCCAGCGCACAATCCCAAGCCTGAGATCTTCAGATCTTTAAGAAAAACAATGCTTGCTTGTTCGACTGCGAGCGGAAACCTCAACTTCACTTACTCACTACCTAAATGAATGCTTCCCTTTGCCTGTGATCTTCGCTACCTTTCATCCATCGCTAGGAAGTAGGAACCAATCACCAATCACCAATCACCAAGCCCACCCTTTCATGCGCGAAACAGTCGCCTCTTGCACTCAGTATCATCGCCATGGATAAATACACAATCACAGACCCTGAATATGATACTGATACAGTCTCTTTGACCTCGTTTGAGCCCGAAAGCGGAGAGGATGAGAATGAGGATGATGTGTACTACGAAGTTGAAGACATCATTGCCGAGAAGACAAGTGAAGGCGAGACCTGGTATCTGGTGAAATGGAAAGGCTACCACATGTTTGAGTTCGTTATATGATGTTCTGACCCTCGCGGTTCTGTTTACTAATATCACAGATGTACCCTTGAGCCATCCACCAGCTTCGCAGACCCTAGGTTCTTGGAGACGTGGAAAAAGGTGCAAAAGGAGAAGGGAAGGGACTTTCAATCGTTTTGTGAACGAAACCTTCTACTTTGGGACGAAGCAAAGGAACGAGCCAGGACCTTAAAAAACAAAAAGAGAGCCAAGAAACGCGAGAAACTGCGAGCAGCAACCAAAACCCGGGGTATAGCTAGACCCATAAAGCCCACAGTGAAACCAAGGAAAACACACACCCAAGCATCTAAAGAGTCTCTTGTCAACGACAAAAATAAATACAAAGACAGCGAGAACGAGGACGACGATGATCATGATGCTCCCTTAGTCCGCCGACCGAATATTGCTCCTTCCCAACAACCGAAGTGGAGAGACTCTAGTGAAATGCTCTTTGTCGAGGCGGCCCCTGAAGCTCGAAGATTACCATTCTCACAGTCATCGTCATCGTCTTCTGAAGCAGAGGACCCTGATAGTGATTCTAATGGTAGTAGTGTTGATTCGATGATGGAGGAGCTGTTCCAGAATGCAAAGAAAGCGACCAATAAAAAGGATCAGCCACCAAGATCAGCAGCAATTTCCCAGCCCCCTCTAAAGAGGTCAGAGCAACGAAGTAATCCTATCTTGAAGAATGTCGTACCCAAGACTAGCGTAGAAACATCTACAGGCAGAAGAGGAGATCTTTCCAATTCGTCTTCAAAGGCCGCAGTATTTCCAACCATTGCGGATCAGCTTTCGCATAAGGATGGACAAGTAGAACTTGGAAATCCAACTAAGGTGAGTAAGCGATTGCTGATCAGTATTGGTTTTCTTTGAGTACTTTCACTTGATTTATTTCGAAGATCAATAATGCACGACACACCATTATTAATTGTACTCTAGGAGACTCGCAAAGAACCTCGTCGAAACTCTTTACGAAGCGAAGGGGCGACAACTAAAAGCCAGATAAAGGCCCCCACGAAGCTTAAAACTGGTCTCGTAGATAAGCCCATCAAGATGTTCAATGAGCCTAAATCCGCAAGTGTTGCTACAAGTAAAGAACCTATTGGTGGCGCTTTAAGAAGATCGTCACATGATGGTCCAGCAACGTTCTATGCCAAGATGTCAACCAAGTGGAGAGCTGAACGTAACTCACGCAACGAATCGACACCGGACTCATCTGCTTTGCAGTTCCTGAATTCAGGTCAATCGGCATCATCCATTGTGCCGCGGCCGCCTTTGAGGACCCATGCATCTGATGAGAATCCATATGCCAGACGCGAAGTAGGCCGCCGTCGCATCCAGGAAGAGCGCTCGGACGATGAATCCGACAAAAAATCCAAGGAAAAGCCTGTTGTCCTTACGGAATCCGAACTAGGTAAAATACCTCTTACGTGCTGGGAGTGGCGAAATGGAAGCTGTTATAAGAGGGAGAAGTGCCGTTACCTACATCGTGACACGGGGAAGCTTGCGCCTGTCAATGGGTCGATTCCCCCTAAATATATGAATCCGCCTCAGACGTGTTTTTGGTGGATGACATTAAAGGCTGGATGCAAATCCAGCGATGAGGACTGCAACTTCGCCCACAAGAACACCGGGTTGTTAGCAAGGCCAGATGGTTTCCCGCCTCAGGAAATGGACCCGACGATAATTCCAGTTTGGCAAAAGATGAAGCTTTCGGAGCTGACCTGTTGGTACTGGAAGAATCTAGGTACATGTAAAAAGCCTGCAGAGAAATGCAAATACAAGCATTACGATACAGGCACCGTGGCTGATCCAGCCCCAAACCACAAGCATTACGATACAGGCACCGTGGCGGATCCACCACCAAACCCAAACCCAAACCCAAACCTAAAAAGACTGATCTGCAAGAGGTGGAAGAGTGTCAATGGATGCATGTTTGGGGACACTTGTAGATACCTACATATTGACCCTTTCCCCACGGAAGACCAAGGAGAGCCCATCAGCCAGAATCAATCCGATCCAGTAGAGCCGCCAGCAAACAACCAGCCTGTGCCGCCAACAAATGACCAACGCGCGCCGTCGACAAATAAACAACCTGCACCGTCAACAAATGACCTGTATACTGCTCCGCCCAAAGATAGGAGGCCATCGAGGTTCGGACCAGATCTAGTGCCAGAACAAGGAATGCAGGAAGGTGACGGCAGTCTACTGACTGGAAATATATTGACGAGGCGTCACTCCACCAATGATGTTAACCGACCGCAACAAATAGTTCCAAATCGCTCTCCACACCTTCAACGGGATCTGAAGGAAAGAATTGAAGGAATATTCAATATCGAGTTCGATACAATGTTCGAATGGAATTCCAATAGCAAGAAAACGGATGCCAATTTGGGGCTCATGGATCGGGTGGCTTTTCTGATCTTTCACCCAAGCGACCAGGCCGAAGAGTTGGAATTGCTTACTAGATGGTTGCTGATGCACAATGTCGAAGTCTGTAGTTTCTGGGCCGAGGGTTCGTGGAACTACTTTAAGGACAAGATGCTCAATGGTGGCTCTGGGGTCATACTGACTCATCCCGACTTCCAGGAATGGTGGAAAGTACCAGAATTCGGAAGGATTCTGAGTTCACAAGTACGCATCTATTCGATCAATCCTCGGTCTTCACTTGACGGCAGTGATGCGCCTGAAGCAGCATACGAGTGCGTAGAGATATTTCCTCACGGTGGCTTTATATACATTTCGGACGAGGTGTTCCAAGAGCAACCTGTAGAGGCGCAGAAGATCATCAATCTCTTCTGTAACAAAGTAGTCCGGTGTGGGGAACTCGAGGGTCCTACTGACACCCAGAAGAAATTTAGCGACGGATGCTTGATCTGGAGACTTGCCTTGATGCCTGATTTTTTGGAAGCTCTGGTACAATGGTGTGAGGATCGAGAATCTGAAATGCATACGCCCAAAATGCAGGCGCTCGCCAAAATCTACGACGAGTTGTCCTTCTACGACTACATCGAGCAAAAGTCTCAACCCGCAGACGTTGAACGACCCCTTGACTACTATCCAATCCTGTCTGAAAATCGCGAGTTCGTGCCCGAGTACTACGAGCGACTTGCCCGTAGCCAGGAGGAAGCGAATCGATGGTCAATTGAGCTGTACATTCAAGTACTCATTGAACTCAGACGGGAGTATCGCCAATTCATAGTTGTACATACAAAATCGGCAGAGGTTGGCTGGCAGAATCAGTACCAGAACATTGCCGAGATCATCACACCAGCGAAGTTGATCCAGTACCTGGAGGAGCCGGACCGCGAAGGGATGCCTATAGATTTTTTCCATTGGGCAATGCCGGAGAAAGCGATGGTTGAATGAATGAAGGATACCCTAACCATGCGCTCTGTATGTACACGAACATGCACGGAGCGTGTGCGATGTTTGCAAAAGCTTGATGGTATAACTGGGTAGTTTCATGTTCACTTAGGCCCAGTAATGTTTTGTACGAATAGGATAATAATGAAAAAATCCCGACGACACGTCAAATTGAGAAGCAAGAGTTCATTATGAATATTGTGATGATTGTTGTTGTTATGCACGATGCTCGAAACCACGAGGTTTTAGGTTCCTGAGGTATGATGTCGTCTGTAGTCGCGATAGACGCGCGACGCAATAGCCCAGATAGCGGCAAAGATGTGGACGATCACAATGTTGGAACTGCACTGGACTGGACCAGTAAACATACCTTGCACTTACAAGCAAAGGTAGCATTTCCCTGTTTTGCGTTATCAGTAGCGATGGCGTTACGGAGGCTGATAATACCTCGTAAAGCTTGATCTTCCCCCAACATGCCGAGGTAACATTTGGCCAGTTTTATCTATGGAGCACCCAGCAAAGGAAGATAATAGGGCAGTTGTCAGGAGAGATCGCGAATTCGCCGATAGATAGACAGGGGGCCATGTTCTGTGTGTATCGCACGTTGGGGGGTTGGGTGTTGGATTGAGGAGCTAGATGGATCTGGGATGTGCACGCGACGTGAATGACATGAACGGAACCTGTAAGCTGACGCATGAGGCTTATCTCTCTCTACACTATACAACGCAACGCTCCGTTTTTCGCGTGGAGGTGGAGGTGGATACGGGGAGATGGGATGGAGCGAACCGCAACTCACGGGTTGGTTGCAAGGATCTAATGACAAGGAAATGGACTGGATCTACGTCGTAGACTCGTGGACTTCAGTACTAACGACACTGACAGCCGCCTTGGCCTACATAAACAGTTTAACAAGTACATAGACACGAATGAATGTATGTATGTACATACGGAGGACTCCGTACATGTCAACTATATGCAACTTACAAGTACTGTACTCCGTGCTGGAACCAACATTGTAGTTGCTGGTAGTTTGTCTGTTATCTGTCTGGCTGTCTAGGTACCTAGACATCGGCGTTTTATCGACTGCACTAGACCATCACCATTTCAACCAAAGATCCGGTCCTCCCAGGTTTCATTATCTTTTGGACTACAGTAGTTACAAGCTACAAGGTAGTATCATTATTATCGACGTCTTCCGACGCCGACTAGTCAATCGTTCTCCCCCGCATTCCCCTTTCCTACGCTTTTACATAATTCCCACGAGCCGCACACATCATTGCCCACCACCATCCCAGCTATTTAGTACCACCCCAAGCCATCCACCTACTTCGTACTGCTTTTGTACTCGTACTGTTATTTCTCTCCAGTCATACCTCCTTCGTCGTAAGACGAACCCTACATGCGCTGACGACTCATTCGAGTCCTTTCCTACCCTTTCACTTCTCATTGCCATCCACGATCGAAGCACAAGATGGCGACAAGAAGTGCTTCTATCACATCGGCCGCCCGGCGTTCCATCGCATCTGCGACCAAGCGACATGGCTCGGTATCTGACCCTACTGCCGATGCGCAGCTCGCGAAAATGGGTTACAAGAGCGAGCTTCCCAGGAATTTGAGCATGTTGAGCGTGCTGGGGTTGTAAGTACCATTTCAAGACTCGTACAGATCAAAAAGCCCACGGCAAAACGCAAACTTGAGGCGAATCATTCAATTGATTTTGTCGCACGTCCTGGGTGTCCAGTGAATAATTACTGACTATTCAACCAGGAGTTTTGCCATAATGGCTGTCCCCTTCGGTCTCAGTACCACAATGTATGTACAAGGAAGCGCATTGCGCGCTGCGACTCGCCATGCTCCCCCCCCTTCGCCGCAGAATCATCCTTTGCTAAAATTTCCACAGGTACATCACTCTAACGGACGGCCAAAGTGTGACTGTGCTCTGGGGCTGGGTCCTCGTCTCTCTGATCAGTCTTTCCATTGCTGCTAGTTTGGCCGAGATTTGCGCCGTGTACCCAACTGCCGGTGGCGTCTACTACTGGTCGGCCATGCTTTCCACCCGCAAGTACGCTCCCATAGCTTCCTGGGTCACTGGATGGTTGACGCTGGTCGGGAACTGGACCGTCACGCTCTCGATCAATTTCTCGGGCGGGCAATTGGTCCTCTCTGCCATTACGCTCTGGAAGGAAGATTTCGTACCGAATGAATGGCAGACGATCCTTATGTTTTGGGCAGTCATGTTGGTCTGCATGCTCATCAATATCTTCGGCGCAAAGTATCTAGACTTGATTAATAAGGTCTGCATCTATTGGACCGGTGCCAGTGTGATTATCATCTTGATCACGCTCTTAACCATGGCTGATACGAAGCGGAGTGGAGAGTTTGTCTTCGCCCACTACGACGCGAGTGCCAGTGGCTGGTGAGTCTACACTATTTCATCGAAGAGTGCGTGTGGTTTTCTGACAATCAATAGGCCTGCGGGTTGGGCATTCTTCGTTGGCTTACTGCAAGGTGCATATGTGCTCACGGGATACGGCATGGTCGCAGCAATGTGTGAAGAGGTGCAGAATCCCGAGCGAGAGGTTCCCAAGGCCATCGTTTTGTCCGTCGCAGCAGCCGCAGTTACCGGTGTCGTCTATCTCGTCCCCATTCTCTTCGTTCTCCCGGATGTCCAGACTCTTCTCGATGTCGCCAATGGTCAACCTATTGGGCTACTATTCAAGACAGTCACCGGGTCCGCAGGCGGTGGCTTCGGTCTCTTATTCTTGATCCTCGGTATTCTCCTTTTCGCTGGCACGGGCGCCCTCACAGCTGCATCACGATGCACATATGCCTTCGCTCGCGATGGCGCCATCCCCGGTTCCAGGCTCTGGGCGAAGGTGGACAAGCGATTCGACATTCCCCTTGGAGCACTACTACTCTCCACCGTCGTCGACTGCTTGCTCGGCCTCATCTATTTCGGATCCTCGGCTGCATTCAACTCCTTCACCGGCGTCGCCACCATTTGCCTATCGGCATCCTATGGAATGCCCATCCTCATCTCTGTCCTGCGCGGTCGCAAGGCAGTCAAGAACTCCACCTTCTCCCTCGGCCGCTTTGGATACGCCATCAACATCGCAATGATCGTTTGGATCTGCCTGGCCATCGTCTTGTTCTGCATGCCTGTCAGTCTTCCTGTGACGGCCGGCGACATGAACTACGCGAGTGTGGTGTTCGCCGGGTTTGCAGCCATAAGTGTCATCTGGTACGTCATACGCGGACGCAAGTCATTCAATGGACCGCCTGTCCCCCAGGATGTGGCGCCGGGTGAAGAGGTTACGGTGGCAGGGCTTGCAACGGCGGACTCGAGAACGGAGAGGAACAATGATGTTGAGCAGAAGATTTTGGATGAGAAGCACCGGCCGCACCAGGGTGATGAGCTTAAAAGCACTTCGTCGTGATTTGTGGCGGAATGAGCTTGTGCTGCGAGTAACTTTACTTGCCATAGATCATGCTTGTAAATACCCGTGTCTAATACTTCACTTTGCGTATAAATACATCAACAGAGTTAGTTGCAATCATATGTAGACTTTGTATGAAATGAATGAAGTTGAAGATAAGTTCAGTAAGTCGTAAAGTGAATACGAGATATACTGGAGCAAGCCCGGCACTACTTTTACTTTAAATGTTTAACGATACTGTATGATACGATATATACTTGTAACTATTTGGATCAAGCGTGGGACCTAGACCATTCCGCACCGCCACCCGAGTCCACCCACTTTTGCACCTCCACACCGAAACCACTTTACGCGCGACAACTTTATTTTCGTCTTTAACTTTAACCACACCCTCACACAACACGCGACCCACGCCGAATGGACGCGTACAGCGCACACCACAATGGGCACGGCGTAAGTCTTCTTCTCACCTTACTCTCTTCTTACGCATAAGATCAAATACTGCACCTTCACATTCAAATTGTTTCAAGCGCGTAAATTAACCCGCGAATGCAGCGACTGGAGAGATTCCATGCTCATTGATCTCACGGCCGACGACTCGAGTTCCTCCTCCGACCTCGAAAGCGACGAACAGCAGCAACATATTAGCCCTCTCACCTCATCCCTACCAACCGCTTTGAAAGCACCACCACTACCTCCATCCTCACTTCAACCCATAGAGCCGAAACCTCCAAGCATAGTTCCTCCCCCTCCACGGTTCATCGCCTCGCACTTCACCCCGCAATCGCAATCGCAATCGCAATCACCGCGCACACCGTCCGCCCCGACGCCAGTGAGTTTCGCGCGCCAGAAACCGACGTTCAAAGTCAACAGTGCGAATACCCGAGCGAACGGAAGAGGGCAGGGCGACTGGGCTGGGCATCAGAGCTTCGATGGGCAGGGGAAATTGGTGAAGGTATGGAATGAGAGCGTCGGTTATGAATACTCGTCCGGGGCGCCGGGGCAGGCCGGCGGGCAGGGAATTTACAGCGGAGGGCTGAATGGCTCAAATGGGCAGGTTGGCGTGGGAGGTCATGATGCTGTGGCAGGTCACAGTCAATTTGGTGTCCAGGGAAGCATCTACAGTGAGCATCACTTTGGCGCGCAAAGTAATCTGGGGGTTCAAGATGCCTGGGGTCGGAACCAAATCTTTGTGGGTTCTTCCAGCGCCCAACATAATGGTGTCAGTCAACACGTTCCCAGCGGCCAGGGTGACTCGAGGGGCACGGGGAGTCAGATCAATAACGGCGGACATGGTCCAAGCAAAATCGTTGACTTGACGGAAGCTACCAAGCTCGGTGATTTTTCTGGCCCCCCAGACAAAAGAAGGAAGCTCACCTATAACAACGACGGCGAACCAACCGTGCGCTCGTTGAATTCTGCGCTTAGAAGGGATTCGGAGAGGACAGTTGCCGTACCAGACACTATGGTCAAGCACGGATCGCGAGCGCTAAATATTATAAGATCGCCAGATGAGGACAATCCTATTTTTGAAAGCGCTCTTCCTGAAAGCAGAGTTGCAAGAGACAAATCATCTCCACTGGACCAGGAGTTAGGACCTTCGGACCTAGACGACGATCTGCCATCGGATGACGACGCTCTCAAATGGAGGACCCCCCAATCCAACCTGTTGAAGAAAAGGATATTACTAGAAAGTCCGAATCAGTACAGGCTGCAAAAGCCTAAATACTCCCCAGCAAGCAACCAGACACCATCGGTTCTTGCCAAAAAGAACGAGAACATTGTGCAGGAAATTGAATTTGGACCCAGGCCTTCCGAGATCAACAAGCCTGTTTCTCTTCAATCGAACGCTTTCTTCCCCGCATTCGCGCCCTTACCTAAGGCACAATCCCAAAGCCCGTTTACCGAGCAAGAGGAGCACCTACTCATATTTCTGAAAGAAGTCAAGAAGATTAGATGGACCGACATCGTCAAGGAGTTCCCTGGCCGTTCATTTTCAACCATGCAGGGCAGATACTCTACCAAAATCAACCGCAGAGACCGTGCCCTGGATCCCCCTCGCTGGAATCTACCACCCAAGTATGCGGATGAGATGACGGGCTATGAGCGATTTGCTGAGTCGATGAACGTCGAGCCTTCCGTTGAAGCGACACAGCCCCGGGTAGGAATTGAGTCAGGCTTCGAACCTTCAACGAACACAACACAACCGCGGGTAGAAAACAGGGCCGGTCTTGAAGCTTCCATCAGAGCCATCCAGCCTCGACTACGAGATGATACGAACCAGACTGAAAAAAGGCTTCAGGGGCATCATTCCCATGAGTCTGCGTACTCATCCGCAACGGAATCCGGTCCAAGAAGAGCGACTCGAGCTCGAGATCACAAAATAAGCTACGATCTGTCGCGCAAGTTTGCCTCTGTATTTCGAGATGAGGAAATGGATGACACCATTTCACCTCAGGAGCAGACTCCATCTTCAAGAAGGTTATCGCCAGCAGAGTCACCAATGTCTGAAGCATCTACGCTTGGCACTGTTCTTCCTGTAGATGAGCAAATGAACGTTGATTTCGATCAAGAAGACGCGACGCTTGTCGTTTCCAAGCAAAAGCTTGACTATTTGACGGCAAGTGAAAGATCACTTATACGCAGAGGATCCCGATTGGCAGAGTGGGATGTCCGGAGTGGCCGCGCATGGCAAGGTGTGATCGTTCATGTTGACTTCAGTCAAGAAGAAATGCAGATCGTGGAAGATGTTCTCGTTTGGGTGTCTAGAACTCCTTCAGAGCGGTCGTCTACGAGTCGTAGAAAACGTGTCCAACACATTGCACAACGCTTGACCGAAGCCAAACGTATGCGAGCATCGCATGAGCTTTCAAATGTACTCCCCTTGCGCACTGGAAAAAGCATAGATGCTTTCCTAGAAGACGCGGCGTCAGGAAAACTTCGCCGCGGCACTCCCCACATCCAGAGAATAGGGGCAGTGCGGCCAAGCAGACAACACAGCTCACGACCTAGGACGTCAGCGCCGTCGTTTTTGCGAGAGCGCGAGCTTGGTCTACAGTCTCAGAGAGGCTGGAAATCAGCTTCGCGAGCATTGACGTACCAGTCACGAAACACCATCTACGATACAATGGGGCCTGCCCGATGCTATACTGGGGCTTCTGGCGATGTTCACGCTGCAGCCTGGTCCCCGGATGGCGAATCGTTCGTTGCAGGAGCGGTATGTGTTACAGATCCGCACTCACGGCAATACAATAGGCCAAACAATCTTCTCTACGGAGACTTGCAGACGAACACGATCCATGAGCTAGCAAAGCATCATGTTGAACGAGAACAAACTAGTGAGGGTCCAAACTCCACACATGCAATGCATGTGTCCCAGGACAAACGACTTTTCACTACTGTTACATCTGCACTCTTTACGCCCGACGGCCAATACATGGTCTCTGCAGGCTATGACCGACAAGCACGTGTGTGGATGCTGGCAGGTTCCGGGGAGCAGCCAATCTTTGAAAGGGGATTGAGCCACAAGGCAGAGGTTGACCTCATGGTCATCAACCGCGACCCTCAAAACACGCTTTTGGCAACTGCCTCCAAGCGAGACGACAAGTCTATCAAGGTCATACACGATTTCACGGGGGATAATGCAAGGCCCTTCGCCGAAACCTATTCTTCTAGGAAGGGAAGTGAACGACCCGATCTCAAGCTTTTGCCCACCGCGCTCGAATTCGAGCCGAATTATGGCCATCTTCTGCTCGCTGGATACGGGGCGAACGTAAATGAAGATCGCTCTGACAGCTCCGGCGACATTTGCATGTGGGATGTTGAAATGAAGGTCCCAATAGGTGTATATGGGGCGTCTAGAAACGTTTTTGACGTAGCTTTCAATCCGATCGCCGTGTCACAACCTCACTTCGCGGTTGGATGTGTGGCCAGCGGCAACGTCAATCGAGGCACTCGTTCACTGGTCCGGCTGTATGACGGACGGGGCGCGGACAAATACTCTTTGAACATGGAACTAGAATGTCCGGCCTTGGATATGAACTACATCATGTATTGGTATGTAACCCAAAACTAATCACTCTACATCAGCTAATCCAGAGACAGCCCATATGACGAGAATATCGTTGCTGCTGGCTGTACCGACGGCCGAGTATACATCTGGGACCTCCGCTGGCCTGACGATTTGAAATACACTCTGAAACACGGAAAGTCTTTGATGCCTCTCAATGACTTCGACAAACTCGAGGAAGTCGATACTGGAGTCCGTTTCTTGTCCTGGGGTGACAATGCCACCCGTTTGTACAGCGGCTCCTCAGATGGCGTTGTCAAAGTATGGGATGTTGCGCGTTCTACTGAGGACGTATTCATCAAAGATTTGATCACAGTTGATTCAGGCATCATGAGCGGAGCTTTCAGTCCGGACAACAGCAAACTGATCGTTGGTGAGGTCAATGGGTCCGTCAATATCCTTGAAGTCGGCTTGGACGACCGTCCGAAAAAGGACATGGAGAAACTCAGCTACGCACCTTACGCCAGCTCTGACGACGAAGATGAAGACGAGGACGAAAATTTCAATCCCAGGGTCGATACTCCAGTCGACCCCTTCAGCTCTGGACAGTTCATGAACGTTCCCTTCGGCGGATTCCCAATGCGCCAGACAGTACAAGGTCCGAACTATACCGGGCCCATGGACATGAGCATAGACGCCCCGTACCTACGGGAACAAGCTCTCGACTTCCAACTCAGTCTATCTCAAGCCAAGGAACCGCAGTGCGACATTCCCGAATGCTTCAACGACTTCGTCACGCTCACCAGTGAAGAAGTCGGCGACTCCCAGAGAAGCAAGGACAGAATACCCGACGAGCTGCGCCAGCAATGGCACGCCGCCAGCAACCCCACCGATCGCATCATCGTCTCCGGCAAATCGAAGTGCTCCAACTGCGGCCGACCCGCGCGTCCTCCCGAAGCCAGCGAGATCGACGACCCCGTTCTCTGCGAGCGCTGCGGATTCGCTTGTTTCCACTGCGGCCAGCACAACGCAATCGCCCCTGAGACCACAACCCTCAAATGCACAACCTGTGCCGGAGTATGGAGCATCGGCGCCCTAGGCTACGACCTCCTCCGCAAACCAAACATGCGCGCACTCCTCCCTGACGTACCGTCCCTGAAAGGCTACGACAGGGACATGTTCGAGGCGCGCTTGAATCTCGAGGATAACGCTACGCATGGCGACGAGATGAACGCTTTGACGGACTATTATCACTCATTGACTATCGATGAGCCGGCGTTTTGATTGAGCTCTCCTTGCTAGAGGCCCCGCCACCTCACCCCTTGAAAGGCAAAAGGCCGTCATGTATCTGCCTTTCCATCTTGTGCTTTTCCTCTTTTGACTTTTTTTTCTTTCGTCAGTACTAGATGCAGGGACGGATTTTGACGTTTTATGTTTTTTTGTCACTTGTAGCTTGATGATACCCCCCCTCCTCCCCTTCCTCCCTTTCAAATCACATGAGATACTTCCTTTACTTTTGGGAAGGAAACAGGGAAAAGGAAAAATGATAATTGGTTGTGTGCAGTCAGGGATTTTTGAATGAGAGATTTCCGTATGGATGAGTGAGTTGGTGGCATGGAGAGAGACATGCATCCACCAACAAATGAAAGTAGGAAACTCCCCTGCGATACACTACGAAAAAGATAAATGAATCAAATCAAATCAAAGTCACAATCCACGTGTGCACATATGCAAGTACCTGTCATTCACATCATTCGCCCCAAGAAAGCACAAAGTATAGAAGTGTCATAAAGTTTTTGATTTTGATTTCGTCTGCGCGGCAGACCACCGTGAAAAAAAAGAAGGCCAATATAGTGACCAAAGAATCGAAAAAATGCTGTTTCGCTCAGTAAAAGATATATACACAGAATCGGGAATCCATATGTTCCCCTTTCCCTCAAAAAGCTAGACTTGGTAGGGTACATAAAAAGGTACGTGTCTAGAAAGTGAGGGTAACACCAGCGGTGCCAACGACAGCGGCCTTGACAGCCGACGCCTCGATGAGGTCAGCCTTGTAAGGGACAGAGTCGAGGGAGCCACCGAGGTCCTTGACCTCCACGCCGCCGAAGTCGTTTCCGCGTGCGACGGCGAAGCCGGCGTCAGTGGCGTAAAGGGGCTTCTTGATGCCGGAGAAGGCGTTGTTCTCGACGAGGAGCTGGGCGCCGAGGCGGGTGTTGATGCCGTCGGAGACGTCCTCGTAGAAGTTGTTGTAGATGTGGCCGGTTCCGAAGCGGAAGGAGGGGACGCGGGAGTTGAGGTTCTTGAAGTAGTTGTTGTTGTAGGTGATGTGCAGCTTGCCCTTGTCCTCGGACTCGTTGGAGTTGCTGTGGCCGACGAGGGTGGCCTTCCAGTGGTCGTGGAGGAAGCTGTTGGAGACGGTGACGAAGTCGGAGGCGTGCGTGATGTCGAGCAGGCCGTCGTAGTAGTCCTTGTCGTGGTCGCGGTCGCTGAAGAGATCGACGTGGTCGACCCAGACGTTGGTGGCCTTGTTAAGGGAGATGGAGTCGCCGCCAACGACCTTGGAGAGGGCGAAGTTGCGGAGGATGACGTTGGAGGTCTGCTTGACGGTGATGGTGAAGCCCTCGAGTTCTGATGATCGGGTCAGTTGGTGTAGGTAAGAGCTTGGAGAAAGAGGAGGAACTTACTAACTGAGGAGTCCTTGCCGATGATGCTCTTGTTGGAGCCGACGCGGACATCTCCAGTGGCCTTGATGGGGCCTGTAATGAGGATGATGGAAGCTTCGTCGCCCTTCACGGCGGCAGTAAGCTCGTCGAAGGATGAGACCTCAACGGTCTTTCCACCCTTTCCACCGGAAGTACCGCCATTCTCAGTGGCGTATCCAGTGGTGGCAACCTCGTCGAGGTTGGCTCTCTTGATGAGGCTGGCCCTCTTGAAAGTGGGAGCTGCCAGAGCGAGGGCGGGAAGACCCAAAGTGAGGATAGAGGAGAGCTTCATAGTGAATGTGGAGGGAAAAACGAAGGTGTGTATATAAAAACGAACGAAAGTTTAGTAAAGTAAACAAAAAAGAATGAAAGTCACAGACTTGGTTGAATGATAAAAAGTTGAATTGAGAGGAGATAGATGCTCTTATATATCGTGATATTAAGCAACGCATTCGTCAGATTCCCATCCTTCATCTCTTCGGCAAGCCCATGCCGTACATGTCCTCAGATCGCGCCATAATGGCACAAGGGTTGTTGTCCTACAAGGCGTTTCAAGATGATATCGCACCAATCGAACGATGCCGAAGTAGGGAATATACCGAACAACGAGGTCGGAGACTCGGAGTATTAACCATAAGAACAGAGAAACGTTCACGAACCAGACTCATGGTACACCGTTGTAGTCTTGGCTCCAATATATTCGGAAGCGCTGTTTCGTTTCAGCTGCCACCGAGCCCCACAGTTTCGCGCGGCACGATGGCCTTTAACCCCTATACGGACCTCGAAACATACTTTTTCGCTACAAGAGATTTAGGAAGGGGAACTGTTATTGTTTAGAGCCATGCGCCAGCCTCCGGTAAGGCTGTAGATGCAGAGCCAAGAAGGATGACAGTGGACCGTCTGCACTTGGTAATCTCGTACAAAGTCGCTTGCATAACCGTTCATGTCGAAGCGCATTGCGAATCCGAGTGCGGGCGTTTCTTCCAAAGTCGTCTTGCTCGATCTCTGTTATATTGTTAGTCATTCCGAATTGGTGGAATTGGTGGAAGTGGATGAAGGGTGGAAGAAATGGACAATATCGACATGCCTTGAGATTAATTGACTATAGAGTGATGTCGATTGATCCACGACGTCCTTTCCAATACGGACGGGCATTCGAATTGATTTTATGTACTTGCAATCTTCGGCATGTCTTATGACATTGAGTGGAGTTTGGAATACTTTGTACTATGACATTAACGTTTCTCAGACAGCATAGTTACTGAGGTCTCTCTTCTTCAAGCCTGCGCAATCGGTCTTCAAGCTAGTCTAGTCGCTTCTTTTCTGATTTATCGTGGTCAGGCGCAGATATTTGGGAAGGTTCATGCTCGTAAGTAGAGTAGATATAGAGTGGGAGTGTGACATATACTAGACCGAGTAATGCATATGACGCGTATTGCAGGCAACAATCCGAGATAGCGAGTCCCAGAAAAGGAACTGTGGTGGATTGAGGGTAGTTCTGACGCCCTGGGTGAAAGGCTCCACTTCCTAAAGAAAGTTAGCACGACCTCAAGGGATCGAAGACATCCACAACTATATGCAGCAGATGTCTAGGGACGATCGATCTAGTGCCAGAGGTGATCATACTTTTTGCTAGAAGATAGAATATTACTATCGTAGGGATAGACATTGTTACATTTATCCTGAGGTTGGCAAGTTGGCGAGGTGACAGAGGACGGGTGCAAATAGGTTGGGAGTGGCTATCTGTTATGTTAACCCGCTCCGAGTCTTTGGTTCATTCAACAAAACAAATCCGCCTTCCTCCTTCGACCCTGACGTGACTGCAATATGAGAAATATTAGTTGGATTTATCGTCTACTACAGAGACTCTGGAATAATAACACCTCTGGCGTTGCGTTTGTTGAAAGCTGAGGATTTTAAAAAGAGACTATCATAATTCTTATTTCCTGTTTGCTGGCTTCAAGGTGTAGGAGGAACGCTGTATACTATATGTCGGATTCTGCTTCAACATTGTGACAAGCTATATTCAATGAACTGCTTTTGGCACATTCAATGATCAATAGTCGACAAAAATCCAGTCCCCAATTTGTTGTGCGCGAGAGCATCCTGCTTGTATAGGGAATAGTAAGTAGTAGACAGGTGACGAGAGAGATCTACCCCATACATGATCAGCTCTGCAAGATCCGAACGAACCATATCATATCAGACCTATGAAGTATCACATTCGGCATGAATATCAAATATTAAGAGATTTAGTAGCAGAAGAGCAACAGTCCGTCGTACTAAACGCATTGTCGATTCCATACACTTCGGACGGACAATAAAGGCCGTGACATCATCGCCCGAAGCGGAAAGCACCTCAATATATCAAAAGAGGCCAACGTAACTCTCTCTCGAAGGCAGCAACAATCGCCACTGATTCCCTCACTCTACCTCCATAAAAGTACTACTACTATCCTCCTCTCCCTCTTCTATCGAACGTATTGGAAGGGGAATTAGACACCAAGTCTCGTCAAACACCGCCAGTCTTGCATTCACACGCAACCTCAATTCACACACATACTCACTCAACCAACCTCACCACCACCCACCTTTCCCTACACAGTAGTAACACCCAAACCCACACAAATCAACGACAATGCCTCCAATCCCCCTCCACAAAAACGACCCCATCAACGCCTCCAAACCCACAGGCACAACCCCGCAAACCGCGAACCCGCCTCCAACCCGCACCACGCCCCTTCAAGCTCCAGCAACCACCACCAGCACAACAGACGCCTCGAACCCTCCAGCCCCCCAGCCGGGCGCCCGTCCTGCGCCCCCGACTGCCGCCGCCGCCGTACCCTCGAACACGGGACCCGCGGCGCCGCAGCCTGCGGAGGGAGGATACACGGCGACGCACATCACGACTGAGACGAGACGTGCAGCTGGAGGTCCACAGCCAGCGCAGTTCGCGATTCCTCCGCCCACGGACTCCCAGCTCGCGGGCCGGTCTACCACTACAAGGACCGAGCATGCTGGGCCGGGACCCACGACGCTGAACCTAGGGCCCGTGGCGTCGCCTTTCCAGGAGGCGCATTCTGGAGGGGTTGGAGGTGCTGTGCAGACGAGCACTGGTGGTGGTGATGGGGAGGAGAGGAGGAGCTTGGAGCATCCGCCGGGGTATGTGCAGGCGCAGGAGAGGTATACTTATAGTGGTGGGGATGGCCAGGGACAGGGCGGCGCTGGTACGCAGCAGGAGGGCGTCGGTGCGGCAGCTTGGAACCTGTTGTCTAAGGCGGGCGAGGCGCTGCAGAAGGGTGAGGAGGCAGCTTGGAGGGCGGTTAGGAATAAGTAAGAGAGAGGGTTTGGGAAGGTGTTTGATATCTGGCGTTGGGAGACTATACGTATCATCATGATGTCGATGCTCAGGGGTTTGAATTGAAGTTGGGGAATGCCGATAGCATATGAATCAACGGAAGCTCATCAGGCTCGGAAGGTCATCAATGTCAGAGTAGTAGCATCACATGTAGCAATTGATCTCGAGTTAACAAATCGACGAACTCTATTGTTGACTATTTTCCCCCCGCCGACACCAAATTGACGAAGACCGGAATATAGTTAAGGAAAGGGTAAATCAGACAAAAGCAATGCCAGCCGATGATGACGTTGTGTAATACAGGGTGCTGGATTAGGGAAATGGGAGGTGCCAGGCAAAGTAAAGTACAAGGTGTGTTACCACCGCCGTCGTGCTTTTCGTGTACCAGAGCAATCCCCGCCCAAATCGGGCTTGTTATTGCTCTAATCAATCTACCACTACCACCACACGCGCTGACCCCTGCGCCTCCCCGTTATTATTTTTCACCACATCATTCTTGGAAAGGGGTATCGGAAGAGTGAGACGCTTAACCAGATCCACCCTTGAACTTCTTGCCGAAGAGGATGAGCTGCACCTGGTCGTAGATGGAGAGCACACCAGCACCGGCGACACCACGGAGGATGTTGGCACCAGCACCCTTGAAGAGAGACTTGACACCCTCAGCGGCGACAATCTTCTGGGCAGCATCGAGGGAAGACTTGTACTTGACGGCCTCACCGGAGGTCATCATCATACGACGACGGATGGTGTCAAGAGGGTAAGAGGCGATACCGGCACCGGTGGTGACGGCCCATCCGAGCATGAAAGAGGCCAAGAAGTTACCCTCGAGGGAACCGACGAGGAGGACGGGCTTGATGGAGTCGTACATTCCGAAGTACAGACCACGGTACACGACTATACCGAGGACGGAGGGCATGAAACCACGGTAGAGACCGGCAATACCGTCGGAAGCGAGGGTCTTCTTGTAGACATCGACGAGACCGTTGAACTGACGCTCACCACCCTTCTTGGCGGACTTGGCGTCGTTGGCAAGACGGGTACGGGCGTAGTCGAGGGAGTAGACGAAGAGGAGGGAAGTGGCACCAGCGGCCTGTGATTGTCAGTATATTGAATGTAGGATGTCGTTGTATCAAGGATAACTTACACCACCGGAGGCCAAGTTACCGGCCATCCACTTGGCGTAACCATCACGCTCCTTCTTGAAAGCGAACATGGACTTGTAGGTATCGCGGAAAGCGAAGTTCAAGGCCTGGGTGGGGAAGTAACGGATGACGTTGGCGGTGTTACCTCTCCAGAGGGAGAGGACACCCTCAGCCTGTGAAGTGCGGCGGAAAGTATCGACGATACCGTCGTACTTGCGGTCAAGACGACCAGACTTGAGCATCTCATCCTGTGGAGCGAAAACTGGTTAGCGATGATGTAGTGGAGATGAGCATCAGTGTGTTTGTGATGGCTTACCTGGTTCTGGATGAGGAGCTTGACACGCTCGATAGGAGCGGCAGCAGTCTTCGAGACGGCGGCGGAAACACCACCCACTGATAAGGAGTTAGTTTGCCGATCGGATAAAGATGTCAAATTTTTCAATCAATGCCTCTCCATCATCGCAATTGAGATCCAATGGCTCTCGGGATTGATGGAGGGTTGATTTGATGATGGGGACGTACTCAAGAAGTCCACGGCAAAGCCCTGCGTGTGTGTTAGAAAATTGTAATAAATTGCCTCAATATTTCAGTGCCGCCAAACAACCCGCCCTCGCCCACACCCGACCATCGAAAACAGACGCAAAATCATCTCTTGAGCACTCGTCGCATCGCTGGGAAGGAATTGCTCCGAGTTTTAAATTGAGATGGGTTCTTGTATCTGATCGATCGGACAAGCGTTTTGAGGCAGAGATCTGGACAGGTTGCTGGTAAGCGCTTGAAAGAAGGTAGAACTTACGGGCAAGCCGAAGACGGACTTGTCTCCCTGGTTAACGGCCATTTTGAATGAGACGACTGCTGCGAAGTCGGTCGAAAAGGGTGGAGATGAGAAGAGGAAGAGGTTGAGGATTGGGAGGATGATGGGAGAAGATGCGAGTTCTTAAAGCTGGCTTGTCAGAAAATTCGTTGGCGGCCGGGCTCGAGCGCACGCCAAGACGCTAGTTACTAAGTGGATCTAGTTCGCCGCTTCTCCGAAAGGTCTTCGCGGGTGTTGAACCTCGGGGGGAGCGAAAGGAATTATTACTTTGGATCAACTGTGTAATGCCATTGCGGATTTATTTATGTAGCTATGAATCTAAATCTACTTGCTACTCATACTTCCATTGCCTGCGGATCGAATTGAACTTTCAGTTCGTGGTTCCCCGAATGTCTCCGTCGCACACAGCTGGAACTGTAACACTCCCTATCCCAATTATTTTTCCTTTGATAGTCGCAAGCTGCGCACGCGCCACATCCACCCCCTAACGTTGCCGCAACAACAACCACAGCAATAATCATCTACCAGTAGCAGCTGTAGTATTCACATGCAGTGGTAGTGGTACAATTGGTAGATAATAGTCATTATAATTAGTATCTACGCCCCAGATAGCAATGGCTAGTTTCTCTTACTGCTACTATGACAATCGGTATTCCGCCTTTGTAGATGAAACTGCAATTGACCGGACAGCTACCCGCAACGACGACCATCGGATATCAATTGGCGCACACAGGCACATGCAGATAGGCGTATGTAGTCACGTAGGTCCCTGGGCGTATGTAACAGCAACAGCGGCAGATTGCCAAACCAGATCAGTGCCAGATCACGAAAAACCGGGGGTGAGACCTGGACTGGACTGGTTGGTTGGCCTGCTAGTTTTTTCTCTTAATCGTGGAGAGGGAGGCGAGGATCCCCAGGAAAACCCAACAGCCAGCACACGACACAATTGATAACTATTCTCCAGTCTCTGTCTCTCCATGAATTCTCGAATCCTTCCCGATGGTGGGCTAGTTGGATCTACTATACGGAGTAGACTACCATGGAATGTGTGTGCTTGTGCTTGTGCTTGTGTGCTATGTTGGTCTCGCTCCCTCTATGGCTGAGGTCTTTTTTTCTTCTCTGTCTAAAAATCGTCGCGGCATTCGGGTAATTTCGGCTTCGCCCAGCGATGTTGCACCAATCACCGCCCGCCCGCCACAAAACTGTTGGCGATGAGGCAATCCAGCAGCACTGGAACAAATTCTTTCCTTTTCCCGGGCGGCCTTTTCCAACAATAGGCGACTCTCCTTTTCGGATTTGTTGGTTTCCAGATCCCTCCTGCGCGGAACTACGAATAGGGCTGTGGTTAACTAGTGTGTACTGTCCAGCCTGTCTCTCTGCCTCGGTGGGATTGCTACCGATGGGGTAGCTTATGCACATATCTATTGCCACCGCCGTCATTGTACGTATACTTTGCGTGGGATGTAACTACGAGTGTAGTGCGCAGGCGGAAAGAAACATGAAAGAATACTCGGCACTCCCCCAGTCCACACCCATTGGACCCCATGTGGGGAGTGGAGGGGAGGGGAGGGGGGCAATGTTTCTCTTGCAACCCGCTAGATTAATTCATTGATATATTGCAACCATTGGGATGTCTGTTGCTCTTTTCAAACTATACATTTATATCACAGAGACACATGTAGGTAGGCAGTTGTAGCTAACCATCAGTAGCATGGCCCATCAATTGGTAAAAATCACGAACCAAAGGAACATAGCAAGAGTTATTATGATATGGATGCATGTCTTCAATCGAACCTCTTTCGAGGCCGATAGCATTGCATCGAATCTTGGTTTGATTTTATATTAAGCATTACTGGTGGACGCACGTCTTCAATAATCATTTCTGACGATAGCATGTCGCCCTTTTCCTCCTAATTCCTTCGAAATTTTAGATGCATGTCTTCAATCACCCCTCGGCGATAGCATGGCACCTGTATCCAATCAGAGTAGCCCGAAACCCTATGTGTACCGAGTGTATGTCTTCAACCGTCCAGGCGGTAGCATTACACTTCTAATCACCATTATATGTGCGGATATCCGCTCAAAAATTCCGTAGATGCACGTCTTCAATCGTCCAAGCGATAGCATGTCATCTTCCTCTCCTGCCATTAAGGAATGCACGTCTTCAACCAGATCCAGTCCGATCTGATAGCGTTGCATTCTAATCCCTCCCTCCTACACAGCTCATACCGTCCATCTAATAGATGTATGGCACGATTCTGTATGGTACCAACTCGCAGTACCGCTCCCAGTCCTTTCCGTACTTTCTCCTGCACTTCTCTTCATCCCTTCGCTCGCGGTGAATGAGAAGGATGGCAAAGTAAAGCATGAAGAAGTAGGTGAAAAAGGTACCCCAACCCTTGGCTTCCCCAGGAATGGCGTACTTTCCATACGAATTCTGGAAGAAAGCGGCGTCGCTGGCAGTGGCCTTAATAGGATGTTGTTTCGCATCCTGGATGAGGTATCCAGCAATAGCCGTCGGCAGGCAGTATGACCAGCTCATGAACCAATCACCAAGGTAGTTGATGTGACGGGCCGTACCCCACCAGCCTGTGATCAGAAGTTTAGATCCCGAGGCAGTCTCAATGTACTTCAAGTGCTTCACACGCGGATCCTCGGGGTTGGTTCTGAAGCGATTCTTCTCGTTGTTGACGGAGCGGAAGATGTAATATCCAACTCCCTGTACCGCGAGGACACCGGCGATTCCAGTCCATCCGAGTTCCACGGGATAGGTGGCAAGATACCTTGCCTGGATGCTGTAGGTGAAGGGAACCCAGACAAGGTCGCCGAAGCTCAACATGGTGCCGAAACCGTCATTGATGATATCAATGGTTGTGAGGATGGCACTCTCCATGTACAAGCAATCAAAGACGTAGACAGCTTGTGCGATCGTAACGAGGAGAATAGAATCAGTGACCTTTCCGAAGTTGCGGTATTGCTGCATAACAAATGCAAGGTCAAGGATCACCCAGCCCAACAAACCAGGGCGCACCTCGCACCAGGCCTTGATGTCGACTTCTCCAAAGATAGGCAGCGTAACACGAGGGTTGAGTTCACGGCCGATGAACCAATCGTAGAGCATGTTTCCGGTATGTCCTCCGGCGGCTAGCTCGCGCATATGAGGATCTTTGGGGTGCTTGACACTGAAGGAACGGATGTAAACAAAAAAGGCAAAGAAGTAAGCAACAAGGATGTTGCTGGTGAGTAGGCCCAAGTAGTTATCAGAGATAAATCTCCAGACAACGAAGTCTGCACCTTCAACGGCAGTTCCAGCGGCAAGGATAACCATGGTGAAGATGGCTGAACCCCAGGCTGTATAATGTTAGGATGGACCTTGAACGTGTCACGTGCTTCGAAAACATACCATTGAGACGATACTTGAGGCGTCCGCCAGTCTTCAGCTCAGTACCCTCGGGCTCTTCAGCAGGAAGAAAGGCATAGAGAGCAAGGTTGAGGAGATAGTAGCCAAGAGTCGCAAGGAAAGCTTGGGTAGAAAGAAGACCAGAGATACCAGGCCATGCCACCTCCTCCTTCAGCCGCTCTAGAGTGAGGGTGGAAGGATGGAGCAGAGAAGGTGCAGGACAACCAGAAACATCATTGCAGAAGAATGTCAACACGTAGCAGAAGAGAGGTAGACCAAAGGAGATCAATGCTGCGCCAGGACTATCGCCAATGTCAGTATTGATGTTCAGGATCTCTTCACAAACTTTCAGTAAACTTACGGTCCGAAGAATTCATAGCCGTGAGGCTCCTCAGTTGCCTTTGCAGACTGTGATACCTTGCTTTTTGGCGCCATGCTTGCAAAAGGAGTCGATATTGATCTGGCTGGAGGGAGACGCGTAGAAGGAAGAAAAAAAGGAAGGGGAAGCAAAGAAAGGGGCGAGCAACCAAGGCGTGGGACGAGGCTGGTGTAGATTTATTTCAACCCGACCAGAAATGCGCTACCGTCTGAAAAAGTCTGGAGAGGAAATGGCCTCTTTATACCTTTCTTTTTCGTCTTCTGAGCCTGTGCCTGCGCCTCACGACAACACGAAGCTTGGTGATAAATTAGTTGTTGCTCGTTCGATTGTCATAGAGGACGGAGTGTAGATTTCCGTGGTGCACCTTGCAGGGTTCGTCATGACGCGCACTCTTGATCGCCAAGTGCGCTACTCCTGATATGGAATCGTCCAAGGTTCCTGCAGCGGACGCCGCCGCGTGTAACGGAACTTGAGAGGCGTACGTAGCGCGAACAATCTGACCTGCAACTGCAAGCCAGTGTGTGCCTGGAGACCGATTACACTCCTTTCTTTACCTTTGTTATTGTTCCTGCGATTCCTGCTTGTTCCTGCTATTTGATTTCCCACATTATTCGCCATGGCCATCATCGCGTGGTCAGCGCTATTGCTGCTCATATCCTCCGCAACCTTGTCCCGCGCTGCCGAACCGAAGCAATGGAAGCCATGTACCATTGTATCGCCAACCACGGAGAGGTTCTTCGACCTGAACCCCCTACGCCGCACACTCCCGGAAGAGGGGAAGAAGAAGAAAGAAGGGGAGGAGGGAAGCTGGCATGCTCGAGGACATGACTATGGCGCAAACTTCACAATCAACTTCTGCGGGCCAGTGGTGGAGGAGCTCAGTGACGTAGAGGATCTGGCCAAAAGCAAGTGGCAGAACGTGAGCGCATTCTATGAGAAGGGTGATAGAGCTTATGCCATTGGGTAAGTGGACCTTTGTTGGACCCCGCAACCATAGAAGCATCGTTGTGGTGCTGTTCGCCGAATGGGAAGTGGGATGACAAGTATACACGTTGCTAGACCATGTTTTACTGACTTCCGCTCCCTCAGTCTCGAAAACGACGAGTTGGTTTTCCGTGGTCGCAAGCTTATTCTCAATTACACCGGCGGGTCACTCTGTCCATCGTCCAAATCGAAGAGGGAACCTGGTCCTATCGATCTTGCATCCCGAGCCATCATCGGCGACGACGACCCGGACGACAAGGACAAGGACAACGAAGACGAAGACGCACCCAAGAAGAAACCCGTCTATGATGGGCGCCGCAAGAGCACTGTCATCTCCCTGCTCTGCGAGAAGGACCCGTTGGCCAAGACCGCAATCTCCTTCGTAGCCGCTGTGGACGATTGCGTCTATTTCTTCGAAGGCCGTTCGCCGTACGCATGTGGTGGTGTTCATGTAGAAGAGCAGGCACTGGGCCCTAGCGGTGTATTTGGTGTCATTGCACTGATCGCTGTATTGGTTTACTTCGTCGGTGGTTGCGTATATCAGAGGACCGTCATGCATCAACGTGGCTGGAGGCAACTACCCAACTATCATATGTGGGCGGGTATTTGGGGCTTTCTCAGGGTATGTCCAGCTTGCCCCTAATTCTGTAACATTGCTAATACCTTAAAAGGATATGATGATCATCCTCACATCATCATGCGCCCGCTGCTTGCCCTCTCGTCGAGGGTACAGTCGGGTTTCGCTTAACCATGACAACAGTCGCCGCGGAAGGAGAAGTGACGACGAGAACAGGCTTATTGACAACCTGGATGAAGAATGGGATGATTGAGTTATGGGATAATGTCATGTGATACCTATGATTGCATTTGGAATGACTGGCGTTACGGGCATCGTCACAGAATGAGCCCTTGGGACTTGAATTTGCTTACGAACATTTCTGCATCAGATCAAAAGAAGTTGTGTTTCATCAAAATTGGTTTATTTTGGGGTCGGTGAACGTGCCACTGCTAAACGGATAGGATCGTAGCGATTTCCGAATATCTCCAGACTCTTGCACCAATTCTATGTTACAATTCCCTGTCGTACAGTATATATCTGCCTGCTGAAGTTCTTCAAAACAATCTCGGCGAGGAAGCCTGAACTACTTCGTGAGATCATTTTAAGCGTCCATATCTTTAATGTAACATGGTAGTTACAGCTCCACCTCGTCTCCCTCATCACTAGGAGAACTCCAGCACTCGTTGAGCTTCTGTGCGCGCAGCTCAATCGATCGAAACACCCCTAAACTCGTTCTTGACGAATTCTACAACGTCGGCATCGGCTTCTCCGTTGAGGATAGTCCCGAAGCGTTCATTATTTCGTTGAAGGATTGAGAAGACTTCTGCTTTGAAATCTACATGCTCTTGAACTCGTGTAGCCGTTTTGGCTAAGCTCGCTGGACGTGCCGCATGATTCGCGCGTAGGTGAGTGATTGTTCGCTTCACCTTTTTCTTTATCTTTTTTTCTATGTGGGCACAGAGGCGATCAAGCAATTCTGCCGTACGATCGATAGCACTGTGAAACATGGTATGCCGTTTGTTGTCGACATGGGTGTCCATCGTAGATTTCATCCTCGCAAAACTTCCTACCCCCTTCTCGGCGGAGCATGCCACGTAGGCATCATGCATCTCAGATTTAACCACTGGGACAAATTCTCGGTTGGCATTGCGCTGTTCCTCCATGATCTCTTCCAAAAGGCACACTCTCAACGTATCAAAAGATTGCTCGGCACGTTGAGCTTGACGCTCCACAGTAATGTCGTTGAAGTCGCCAGCAGCCCTATGTAGCGAATCGGCGTTCACTGCACTGTAGAAACTGCGCAGCTCTGCTTGAAATCGTTTGATACACTCGTCCAAGGCCTTCGGAACCCGGCTCTGGAAAGTACGTTCCCATGTTGCACCGAGCTGCTTCATGATGGGCTTCATCAAGTCAGCGTTAAAATCGTGGATGCCCGAGCTATTTGAATGGAAGACGCCGTGTCGCCGAACCACCGCCTTGTACGTCTGAAATGGGAGGCCATGATCGCTTCGGCCCTGTACCCAGTTCCGAGAGATCTCCAGGGCTTCATCAGTGGCGTTATCAGCGACTGCTCTGCATTTCATATGAAGCTTTTCACAGACGAGCTCTTTCAATTTGACGCTGCACTCCTCAGCGATGGTATCCCAGACTGATTCCAATTGACAAAGCATAGCCTCTGGGTCCCTAATCTCCTTGTTTGATGTCGCAACAGTGTTCGTATTCTTCGACCATTTGTGACACGACAGGATCTCCGAACAGAGGTCTTGCAGGAACGTGCGTGCTGATTGAATTCTTTTATGCTTTGTGAGCTCTCGATAGTGGCTCTGAAGTTGCGGAACTTCAGTCTGCAATAGTGAACTAAAGCCCGGTGTTACTCCATCGTCCTCCGATCGTCCTTGCAACCTTTGATAAGCTCTGCTACTTACGCAGAATACGGGCAATGCGTTCGCAATCTCGTCGTAGTCGCGAATAGCGTCCTCTGGATCAAATTGCTGTTCATTGGATCTGATCGCGCTTTCTTCATCGACTTCCTTAACACCAGTCGCGAAGTCACGCTGAATTCTTTGCCTCGAATAGTTATTGCGTTCAGAAATGCACCGTGCCGCAATTTGGCTTGCATTTGCTGCTATCCTGGCATCGGCATCCTTTAGTGCCTCGTTCACCTCCTTGATCTCAGTAGTGGTGTCATTCCGAACTGTCCGGAGCTCGTGTCGTTCGGATCTGATATTCTTAAGCGCTTGCTGCACAGAGTCTATCGTCAGGGGAACTGGCGGCCGTTTCATTATATCTTCATCGGATTCTGAGTCACTGATGTATTCCCTTGCATGATCCGAGTGGTCCAATCGTGATCTTTTTTGCGCGTTGCCACGAGCGTTGCCTTTTCTTCTCTTACCAGAAGCTTCCTGTGGAGCATAAACTTGCTCCCCGGACTCTAGCTTCTGTTGTAATGATTGCCACTGATCTTCTTTCTCGTAAAGGTCATCATAATATGAATTGAGTCCTTCTAGCCTCTCTCTCAGAGTGCCCCGACGGATTTCAAGATGTTTTTTTGTAGTTTTGCTATTGTCAATCTCTTCTTGAAAGCCAGAAATCTGGTCCTGGATACGCAGGCTTTCGGCAGCTTCCCTTATTTCAATATCATCCGTTTTCGAACAAACGAATGTGATGCCAGAGAAGGCACAATCAAACTTGAGCTGACGCCTGAATGTATCACCCAGGAGATCTTTTGCCGACTTGTCGTCGACCGCCCGTGTAATTGGCGCAACAATTAACATGCCGTTGCACTTCCTGATATATGAATCGGCAACGGCAGCCCGGGCCGCATTGTCGTCTTGTAAGCCAGGAAGATCAACGAGGACGGCGCCATTTGCCAGAACTGCTGATCTGACGTAAATTCTCACCACTTTGATCAGTGGCCAGAACCCAAAAGCTGATCCATCCTTGTCTTTCTTGCTCTTGCCCGAGGACTTTTCCTTGCTATCGACGTATGTTTGCACTTGTCGATAGAAGTCCCCAGCCTCTGAACTGGCAATGCAAATAGTCTTCCCAAGTAATTGCGCTACGGATTGCTCTGTCATGAGGCTGTCCAAAGTGCAGCTTGGAACCATCGCTTTGGTAAGCTCGGGAAACAAGGCTTGGAGCTTTGCCCAGGCTACACCTGCGGCAGTGCCTGAATTCGACATATCATTAAATACTGTGCCATCGTTGCTAGTCTCGTCAAGCAACAAACTGAGCTCAAGGCGCCATTCCTCGGGCGTCAGGAATTCGATCTCCGCACGATATCGATGACCAGGATTTGTGAATTCATTCCAAGAGATTTCAGTTACCACTGCCGTGCATGCGCGCATGCAGTTTGTGGGGACCAGACGCTCCTCGTCCAGTAGCGCATTTATGATAGAACTTTTGCCGGCCCCGGTGTTACCAACGACTCCAAAATATTGACGGTTGTGCTTCGGCGTGGAAAGTAGATCGGTGATACTATCTAGCCAAACTTGGGCTTCTGGTGTGGTGACGACTGCTTGACTGAAAACATCGCGCAACTGTTCAAGCGTCTTGATGCCTTGACGAACTCCGGCTTCAAGAATGTCCGGGTCATCTTGCTCGATGAGGCGCCTTATTGTGTGTACTGGCTCGGTGATCGCTGATTCTGGGTCGACTTGGACTGGTGCTACTTCGCTATCATCCACAATACTGACAGGCATGTGTCTGCTCATCGTAGGTAATGCTGAGTCTGTCAAGCAAGCTTGTAACAGGACAAACCGATCACCGTAGATGTCCAGTTCAGAGATGAAGGTTGCGGGCGGTTGGATGTTTCCTTCAAATGCGAACTGGAGGTCAAGTCCAGGATAATGCTTATTGGAAAATCTCACGATGAGCCTGCTGAGTTGCCCGTCCTTTCACGGGGAATTAGCGACGATAACAGGCGAGGTGAAATAGTAGAGAGGTGAAAGCGTCGTACCGAATTTACTCCAAACTTGAAGATGCGAGCTTCCTCTGTGGGTGAATTTGCGGGCTCGCGGATTCCCGCGACGTAAGAACCAGGCGGCAATTGTGATCTTGATGGAAAATCTCTTACGATCCTCGCGTGGTAAGCTCTCCAGTCCGTCATACCAGGGTCGAAATTAAGCGTAATACTACAGTCTCGGATACTGTGTACTATTTTGGGCTTCAGTCCTTCGATGGTTGTGTACTCCGCACTGAAGGGAAGCAGTGCTCTCCAATTATCGTAGCCGTACAGCGCCCTACGTATCAAACAGCATGACCGTAGGCGGCTGGTACAAGGTAATATTGACAGCAAAATCTCAAGATGGGCTGGTTCTAGGATGGTGTGCGCCGTGTGAGGGAGAAGGTAAAGGTAGGTGGAGGGGGAGGTAGGGCGCGAAGTAAAGTTGACGCGCCGCGCCCTTGGTGATTTTAAGGACTGTTGTAGAAAAGATGAACGAATTCTCACGTGACACTCTAATCACCGCGCTTTTACTTCAGTGACGTATCCTATTGGGCGAGTGATAGTCTCCGTGCGAGTGTACACTTACGTGACTAGGTTCGCGCAACTTGCTTGGTGTGAAGGATATCATTCCTAGGTATCAAGAAGCCGCAATGCCAATAGCGACGGGGAATTACCCAATGAGTCTGTTGTCCTCTCGTATACTCTTGTTGAGAGAGATGTTCCCTGCAACGACTCTAGAATCAACTACAAGCAGCTGGATCAAACCTCCCTCTTTCAGACCTTGGAGCAGTTTGTACAATAGTCTTTGTTGACAAAGAGCATATCAAACCAATGACAATGCCTTGTTGGCTAATTATAAGTACTCTGTCTCTACGATCGATGCTCGTTATGTGCTGCACAATGCGATTGTTCTGTCCAAAGAGTTAGAGATGCAACACATACCATTATCAATGCCTTCGTACCCACCATGCTGGTCTCATACAAGATTTCAGAACATGCCTTCTGCTCAAAACCTGTCGGCTAGGGGTCCATTTGCGGCCATATGCCTTGCGAATAGATACGATAAATTCAAGCTTCTCGAAGATGATTCGGTTCTCCCTCCAGATCTAGATTATCCTATACACCCCCTGTTTGATCACTCCAATTTTTCGAATACTCCTCCAGAGGTATACCAAACTCTTGAACAATGTCTACGATTGGCATCGACATTTCTGCACGATGACTCGGTTCTTGAATGGTTCGTCATACCATTGTTTGGCCTGCCTCTGTTCGATGTGCAATCTGGAAAGACCTATCTTTCGGATCCGCTGATCGATAAGACGCCACGCGAGAAAAAGGCATTGGTTCAGGAAGTCTCTGTAGCTCTGAAATGTCTCGCACACTGTGTTCGGTTTGAATTTTTCAAGACTACCTCGTCGGGCAAGTTTTATGCTCGGACCTTGATGGATTCAAGGAGACCTCTACACGACAATTCATCTTGTACTCCGCACTTCAAACAATCTATGTCAGCATTGATTCAGTTGCGTAAACAGTACTGGGAGTTTCTCACACAATACTACGCGAAGGCTTCCATGTGCGAGAAACTTCGCCATGACTTCTGCCTAGCAACTGCGATACTCCACGAAGTAACCCATGCTGTTGGAATCCTCAGAAGGGGTGACATGAAAGAGCCTCACATCCGTCTTGACCACCTCGCGACCCCTGAATTCGGATTTGCGTGGGAGAACTTCATGTTCGGCGGCGTGATCAACCCATTGAATCGATCATCGAGCCATGTCTCGCATCTAATGAGAAAAGTGTGGCAAGATGACGAGACTGCTATGAAGTTTGGCGGAAAAGAGTGGTCTAGTGTCCCAATGTCTTACATTGCACAGTGGTTCCGTAAAGATACCTGGAAACAGATTTCCAAATACGGTCCAACTGCAGTTCCCCCACCAGAAGTGTCGCTAAAGCTAAGATTCGAAACGACATACTACACTCTTTTAACAGACAACAAGGACACAGCAGCCTTTTTCTCACGTATTCGAAGCAAGCTTGCGCATCGCTTTTGTAACCAAGAATCCACGCTGACCGCTATGAGCATGTTCATACTGCAGCTCAAAGTGGAAAAGGTCGACACGATAGCTCTACAGAAACCCAACCTTCCCTTACCTTCCAGATTAGGGTCAACATCGTCACGCCTCCCAGTTGAAAACGTGATGAAGAGATTGAGTAGCTCCCGCAACTTAAGACCAAGACCACTACCATATTCGGGACCGCGGAGGACCGGATCATACACACAGCTGAAAAGATCATCCGAGTCTGATGGCTGCCATCGCAAGGATCCCAGACCTGCGAAGCGTCAAAAAAGGTAGAGAGTCAGCATTGCCAGCATATTTGCGCATAGCCATTGTGGATTCAAAGGCACCAATACCAATCTCGAATAGATTACTCTGATCGTTTTTTTCTTCGGTCGGAGAGCGTAAGCATACCATTAGCATCAACTTGTCGGCATTCTAGTTCAGCATCATTCAAAATTGTATCTTTAGCAAGCAAATAATCCACTAAACTTAGAAACACAATGCATACATAACATCAGAGTGGCCTGCCGCATGCCCTAATCTTGCTGTCACTTGATGAAGCATTCTAGACTCTTCCCAGTTCCTACATATCTCTAGGGCGCAGTGCTACTGAACGCATGATTGATTGATATCGAGCACATGTATTTGGGTTCGGGATATGGCACTTATCAGAGTCAACGCTGGCGTATGCACCAATTCAGATGCAGCTGATATATGGTTGCTTGCAGATGCGAGTTTGCCTTGAGCCCAAGCATTGCCTTTCTACACCTCAACGATATTACTTTGGCAACCCAACACCACTTTTGCCACCGATGGATGCGCATCGAATTGATTCTTAACATGCAGTATTGCAATCTTAATCTGCTACTTTTTCTATTTTCGAATTGGGTCTCGTCCCGTCCCGTTGAAATCTCACCTGCATGTAATGTAGTTTTATCTTTCATGTTCGTTCGCTCTGTGAAGTCGCCTCCTGCACAGCCTCACTGCAACCGATCTCATCTTACACCCCATCCCTCAGTTCTTAAACACCAAACCCCCTGGACAAGGAAATAGATGAGACGCTACATTACCGTACATGCTGCCGAATGCATCCTTAGTGTCAGAACATCACTTGCCGTTTACCGATCACTGGCCCGCGGGATGCGGAGTTTTCCTGGCTTGTCTATCTGTAGGGCTGGGTGAATGATACCTTTCTCCACTGTACGACCACGGCACCGTGTCAGTCATATCAGCCTTTGGTCACACGAGGGTCCTCAGACATCTGTACATGACTTTCTGACATCAACACCTTCAAAAAGCGTAAATCAGCCAGCCTGGCACTGCGCAACCTGCCCTTCTGAGCGAAGCAGTGCACACACAGTCCCATCAGATTGACCTCCCCTCGGCCCTCCCTGCACTCATCAGCTCCTCTTTTGCCTCCCCTTCAGCTTCAAAAATGCATCAGGATATTTAGCCTTTTCAGCCCCCAAATGGGTTCTTGCCTCCCCACACTGGTCCATACCTCATGTGTGTCTTAGCCACCCGCGTGCATATACTAGACCATGAGAAAGACGTACAAACTGCCATCGTGTGGTTACACGCGCTCGCGCGCGCGCACACCCCATCGATGATACAGCTAACGTCAGGTCGCATGCGCGTGGGCCGGAGCAAGCCACAGCACCGTCAAGTAACCTCTGGCCGCCTGCCTAGAGGGGAAGTAGAATGCATGTTACGCCCTTTAGCTCTTTAATCTTATAGAGTTTCTCATTTGACGACAATTGGACATGTTTTAGCAATGTCAAGTAACTTATCCAAGGCGTAACGTTAGACGGATAACCAACTCTCATCTCTGTCCCTGTGTTAGATGTAGTAGTATTCAAAAGAAAATGCGGCTCGGGGGTCAGCAAAAGCAAAGCAACTATAGACGATCCTCACTCTCTCCCACTCCCTGGTACCGAAGCATGTGAAAAAAGAATTCACCCTTGCATGTAACTGTATCCTTTTCTATCTCGATTCTCTCATCTCTTTCCGGAGCGGCAAAGATGCCAGGCCAATCAAGATAGACCGGCTTGCTACTCCTGGCTAACTTTCCCTCCCGGCTGTCCACAGTTAACCCAAATTCAGACCATCCCAGAGCCTTAATCTCGCTTAAACCTCTCCACAACATACCCATTCGCAACAAGACTTTTGATCATCCCGATTGCCGTAGCATTTGTCTCCTGTTGCTCATCTCCCGCGAGGCTGACACCAGCATGCAAGCCTAATCCGCAAGGCATACATCTGCAAATCGCGAAAATGGGATAGGTGGTTCATGAATCATGCCTCATACCCCCACCAGTTTGGGGCTCTTAGCGTAATCTCAGGGGGGGTGGGAATTGCACCCTGGAAAGGGAACGTTATGTTGGTTGTCGCTATAATAGCGGTCCAGCGCGAAATGTAGCGTTTTGAATAACTCGCCCCCTGCATGTATACCTAAAGTAGTGTGTTGATGGGATATTCGGCTGATGCTAAGGCCACTCATCAACGGACCATCGCGTCTTACGTCTCTGGGGGATCGACGTAAGAGGAATGCGGAGGATATATCTGAAGTAGGATATGATTTGGTTTCTAAAGATACTCGTCCGTGTGGTGGTTGTGCTTTCTCTGCAACAGTGAGACTGTATGCAATAGCAAGTTTTCTTTTTGGAGAAGTGCAAACGCGGAATACTGGAGATAACGGAGTGTAGCTCAAGATAGTGAAGACTCTCTCATCGTGTCGTCAGTAGGTAACGAGAACACGAGCGGCTTAGTTACAATCAAACAACGGCGAATGCAATTTGTAGAGAATTTCTTTGTTCAAGGGTGGATTATCAGCTCCATCATGCATTAATCCTAATATCGTATATACACATAGTTCCGTGTCCAATCCAACAAGATATTGAACAACTGGAATCCGAATCCGTGATGGAAAAAAGCGAGGGTATCATTGGGTAGAATTGAAGAAAAGGCCTACTGCCACCTTGGACAAGGCTAATGAAGCGAAATGAACCGGGCCCACCTGATCCTCCCCTTCCAGAACAAGACATGTTTGTGTTCGCTCCTGGCGGTTTCATCGGCTTCTCCAGCTACGAGAGCGATTCCACCTCGCCTCCAGCTCTCGTGCTCGTTCTGTGGCCTCCTTCCTCCTCTTTGAAGCCATTTCCGCCTGGCTTTGTGCATAATTGGGTAGCTCCTCGTCAGGTTCACCGTCATCGCTGATCCCTAACCTCTCTAACTCCATGTTGATGACGTTAATACCGGGCGATGGCAGGGGAGAGTAATACGAATCTGGACGAGGCAACGCTGAGCTTGAAACATGCACAGGCTCAAATTCGGTATATTCTGGTCTCGTGACTGGTTCTCGAGCTGCAGACGCAATGGAATGCTGGAACGGGATAGGGATGCGGTCATTCTGGCGTCCTCGTCCGAAGAGGGATTCCCGAATCTGAGGACTGGTGGTCGAGTTATCGTCTGTACTGCCGTCTTGGAATCCAGACGTAGCTTCGACGAACAAGTGAAAGTCGGTGTCGTCATTGAACGGCTCGTTCTGGTCTCTGGTCGACAGCCATGTATGCGGCCGTGGTCGAGTGGAATACGAATCGCGAGGACTTGTTACGGAAGGAGATCCCGTTTCAGGGAAAGTGCGGCGAGACTGGGGAGGTTGTGGTTCGAAGTAGGTGCTCATTGATACCGCTCGTGGCTGCTGCTGCTGCTGCTGAGGAGAAAAAGGCACATACAAGCTCGGAGTGCTATAATCTGCTGCGGCGGAATGAGCACGGGCAAATGACACAGGTGTTGGTGGGTCCTGCGAGAATGCAGCGGGAGAATTGGGCATGCTGCGAGACTGATAGACTGGCTGATACAACGGTTCTGGGCTCAAATGTCCCGTGGCAGAAGAGGAGCGCTGATGCTGGTAAGGCAGTGGCTGGAGATGTGAGGAATCGGAGAGATGGTCTGAAGGATGGCGCCGTATGAGATTGCGTAAAGCCGAAGGCTTTCGCTTTTTCTTTTCGGACTCAGGAGAAGGTGGTAACGGTTTATTCAAGCCATCTTCTGTAGTCGAGATCGACGGTACTGAGGAGTACTGACCCGGAGCAGCCGATCTATATGCGCTGTTCCGGCTCGCTGTAGCTTGAAAGGCAGTAGGTTCCGGACTTCGTGATCGTGATCTTGATCGTTCTCGGACGCTCCTTGCTTCACTAGGCATGGAGAACCATAGTTCGTTTTCGCTGGGTCGGCCGGTGCTTTGTGGTCGAGTGAATTGGTGATTGTGTGCCATTCGATCCTCCTCTTTCGCAAGGTTGTGCTCGTCCTGCCAGAATGATAGACTCGAAGAAACTAGTGTGAGTGCCGAGGAAGATATGTCCTCTGGTTTATAGCATGCATGCGAAGTTGAAGCGGTCAATAGCATCCTAAATGTAGAGCTGCCGAGTAGAAGCGGACGTCTGGGGCTGAAGCTGAGCCCTCCAGTGTGGTGACAAGGGTGATCGAGGCAGGCAAGTCCAAGAAATGCGGTGACAATCGTATGCAGCGGCAACGGCTGCGCTACTGCTGCAGAAGGGTGATATATAATCCAGCCAAATTAATATCCCGTAACATGCGAAAAGGGGTGCCCAGAATTCCGATGATAGGGTAGCGTTCAACGGTTCTTTACGCAGATATATTTTTGATATTTCTGGATGGCGCAGGTGCTGGTGCAGGTATGGTGCAAGTGTTGTGGGATGGTGTAGGTAAGCTGGGACGGGGTGGGTATATGGTAGGTTTTGGTCGAGCAACAAACCGGGTGGCAGCGTGCTCACAACAGGGTGACGTGGGGATGTATATTAGGAATGATGATGAGATGTGGAGGAAATATGCCCGAAAAGAACGGAAAATGTTTGTTCAGTACAGATTTAAGATTCCTTTGTCATGAATCAGGGCGAGGGCGGCGGCGGAGGGATGTTATGCCAATGCCAACATACGGGTCAGGAGGAGCGCGCCTGGTCGGAAATGAGTGCGAAACAGCCAGATTCTAGGAATGTGTATTCGAAGGATTTGAGGCCCAGTGTGAGCCAGGAGGTCAATGGCCCTGGTGGATTGAGGCTTGAAGTGTTAGGACAATCGCGGACGAGGGGCCCAGCGATGGTCTGTCCGGTGGCCCTGCAGAAAGAACCTGATACCCGGCCGAACATCCACATATGCGCCCACTTCAGAAGCTGTGTGACTACTGTTTATGTACTGCTGATGACATGACGGGCTGCGCGAATCCTGAGCCTCGCCCGGGCTAGTTGTATTATTGTAGGCCTGAAGACAAGCGCGTATTCCGTCTTGCCGCTTCAATAATACTCAAACTTTCCTGCCGTTTTATGGTGAGTGTAGTAGTGCTAGTAGTGGACAAGCGCGAGTAACTGTTACTACTGTACGAAACGAAGTACGAGCAAGGGTTAGTACGAGACAGTGGAGTTAGTAGTGGATGAGGAGGATGAATTGTACACAGTACATACTACATTCAGTGCGGTGTAGGTGGCGTTGGTACGAGACAAGACGAGGAGCGGACACTGAAGATTACTGGGCATTTTGGATACCGATTGCCGGATTGGTGAGGCATGAGAGGCATGAGAGGCACGGAGAAGGGGGTTTTAGTGGGTGGCATTTGTGGTATTGGTGGTATCGGTGGTGGGAGTGGTGGGAGTGTAGGATACGATGTGGGCTTGCGGCCAGACGATCAAGTCGTGCCACTGAAGCCAATCCATGTACGGTTAGCTCGTAATTCTCCATGCGCAAACTCCGCCTTCTCTAAATTTAGTCGGGTGTGCCGACTCTGATTGGCTCGAATAGCCGACCACCATTCGCTCTCCAAGTACAAGGTACCAGTAACCAGGCGCCGTACATCAACACCACTTCACCCCTTTTACCATATTTCGACAATAAACCTTGATCCAGATTGGGACGCTTTCAACAAGTTCCACCTCATCTTTCTTTCAGATTAGATAGCTCGCTACACTTCCACCGCGCATTTCTCTTTGTATTATCCACTGCGCAAAAAGACTCCACTTTCGGCGGTGAGGTGAGCCATAGCCTGGGTAATACCTTTATCATCAGCAAACAAAGCTCCGGGGCGCTGTACCCCACTAATAGAAATGCCCCGATCCAACTTGTATCTTTCCCAGGCTAGTAGTCTTCTGAATCAGCATCAATGCGAGACATGGGCATTGCTTTACCTACTCCGGACTGTCTGCATCAAAGGAGAATATCATTGTCTAGATCTTCAATCAAATCGAACGCGAACATGGATTGCCGGTACAATAGTGACAACAAAGAAAAATGCTGCATCGTTGTTGTGTATTAACCGTCCTGCAAGAAGAACGCCTCGTAGCGAATAGCACTGCCGCTGCTCCTGCATGTACAGACGCCCAACTGGCAAGACCATTCCAACTGCTTATCCCGCTCGACCTGGATGCACCCGCCAGATCTAATTGCAAGGCTGACTATTATCACGCCCGAAATGACTGTTTCTACGTCTAACTTTTTACATCACTCTACCACAGCCTTGTTTGACTGGTGATGCTGTGAATAGAACACCGATTTCACCAACCACATTTACTCCGTCCGAATCTCATTGCCATAATCGCCGGTGCGAGATACTGTATGCACAATGCTTAACCTGTGCGGTATGCCCAATTTCTATATGCGTGCCTACAGTGCTTGCCCGACCTTGGCCGCTTTACTGATATTCGTGATGGCAAAAAATGTCGCCGGAAAAGTGGCCAGTGAACTCCTCAACTCCAACGCACAATGCAAGCACGAGCATGTTGCGCTGTTCCATGTATCGCCTTGAAATCTTCTAATTTCCACATGTCTTGTGACCGAAGAAAGTGACATTCTAGAGCGCCAATTCCAACTTAGCCGCGCGCTCTTTTACGCCCGTGGGAATTCACGAGGCGGAATCGACACAACGATAGTGCCAACGATCTGTATCGCACGAAAGGCGAATTCAGGGCAACTGCAATCGCATGTATATGCTGTTTGAGAAGACGTCAGTAGATTACACGATACCAGTTGCTCTCTGTATGCTGGCATCCCCTTGCTTATCGCACACACCGAAGTCGGGAAGTATCTCTAATTTCATACCCTGGAAAACTTCAAGTCACAGTTCCCAGAGAGCAGTATGTAGAAACTCTAATCACTGATCCAGGGCATGCAGCCTCGCGGCGAGTTGGTGTGTTGTCTACCAGGATATCATTATTGCAACATAACCACCGTGCCTGCCTGTCACCCCAGCGGGCCTAACGAACAAACATCCTTCAAGTTACAACAAAGCGCCACCATCATATCGCCTTGTCTACCTTCGAAACCTAGCTCTTCACCCGCATACACCGTCCACTATGTAAAAGGTATTATCCAAGCTCTGAAACCTTACGCACATGACTTCCCCATTGCTATCTCCTCTATCTCCTCAGGTATTGCTAACCCGCTGGCGCCCGCAAGTTACCGGATGACCGGCGCGACAGCGCCATTGTGCACAACGGCTAGGCTTGCCCTCGCCTCGCAAAGCTTCCAAGTGGCAACAAACCCTGCTTCGTGGGCTGTCGAAATAAGTGCTGGCGATCGTCATATTTTCTCCTCTTAGTACATTGTGTGAAGCAGAAGTGTTAGATGTGCACGGAGTTCCGGAGCATAGTTTCGGAATTTTGGTCAGCTTAGTCTGGAAAGTTGGGAAAGAATCACGACTTCTGGGCAAAGTCCGGCTCTCATCATGCCCGGGAGCCATTCTCCAAAAAAGAATCTTCGATCGGGAAGAGTGGATAGACGGATTGCGGATACCGTATGCGCCTTCTCGCCAATTCCTAATTCAGCAACCAAGCGTTGGTTTCCTGCTTGCCGTACGTCGCAATACCCAATTGACAAGGTTCCGATGTCGAAGATTTACCCCAAAAGATAAATATGGCATTGGTACTATTAATTATTGAAATGCAAAGACAACGCAGACTCCCGAAGCCGAATAGGGGGCAAGACTAACTAACAAATAATCTGTTCTACTGCGTCGGCGCGCGGTGAAGCCTTCTTTAGGGGTATTCGGCGTAAGGCCACCATACAATTGAGCCATGACCTCATATGAGGCTATGTGCTGCAAGATGCAGCGCAACACTGTCCTTATAAGGAGAAGGGGTCTTTTGCTGTCTTGGAAACTTTTTTTGGCCTCTCGTGTGATCTAGTGCTTCTGTCGTATACGAGTCATATACGCGATTCCTTCGCTCGAAGTGTAAGGAATTAGTTCACGATCTTTCGAGTGATGTACAAGCCTGTTAATTTTTTCTCGACAAATTGAGAAGTGTTATACCCTGCCATATCTGTTAGTCTATTTCGCAAGGAGGATTGGGAAATCCTATGAAATCCTACTCCTTCAATACTCCTACTATGACCTGGCCTTGCGAAAACAGTGACTTAAGTGGCTCGAATCTCGCAAAACTTCCCACGTCTGCCGCCAGCGATGTATCTTCGCATTCAATAACATACATATCCATTTTGTGATCATTGCTTCCCTAACGTAGAACGAAGACTCTCGTTCATTTGTCCTTGCGAATTGATCGCAATGACGTGCTTGTTCACCTGGCGACTTTCGTCGTGTGAGCTTCTTTGATTGCATGTCATGTATGTCATTGTGTAAAGATTTGGAATTCGCTCAAAATCGTATACTTTTCATGACCTGTGATTAGTATGTGATACTAAACGCTATCTTTTGTGGTCAACTTGCGAGAAGAACAGCGCCAACAGACTCCGATCCACATCCTCCCATGGAGAGCTTTCCAATTCCAAATCATGAAATGAATAGGTGACGATCCGATAGGGGCTATAAATGGTCCGTACGATTATTTCAACCCATTCACTTGATCAGATTACCTCCTGAGGTATCGAACGCGCACACTTCGCGTATCGCGCTGCATCGAAAAGACTACAATGATCCAAAGGAGAGAATAAGATGCTACTCTTCTGATTTCATCTGTAAGACATCAAAAAGGCTGGAAGGAACTAAATTGGGCTCAATGATGTAGCTGTGCTCGATTTGATCTGGCCAGACTGGTTCTACGCAAAGTATTGCGGTCTTGCATCGTCCGCTCTCACTTTGGCAAACACTATCCGTTATCTACGTTATTGCGAATGGTGTACCTATCCTTTCGCACCACATAATGATGCTTTGTAATAACTTACAGTTGTGCAGATCACGCAGGGTACCAGCATATTTGGTCGTTCAAGCGTGGAATAAAGACAAAGTATTTACTTGCCTCTTTTCGTGCTTTGATTAACATAGCACAGTCACTTAAGATTTCAAAACGAAGCCTTTCTAGCTACGACCGCCTCGCGTAGCGTCTGACCAAACCATAAAATCTCAATCTACCATCGAGACAAATCCTTCCGGTTTCAAACCATTGTCACGGTCCACCAAGATGGCCATTGTGGTTTGATCTGGCTTGCGGCCGCGCCCGCTTTGATAGTATCGTGAAGTTATAGACCAAGTTTTCCGTTCGGCAAGACTCCTGTACCCCGCAAAGAGTGTCGTGCGTACACACTGCTACAGACATATAGCCATAGGCTGTGTAGAATTATATGGAACAGACTGACAACGAAGTCATCGTAGGCTGCCGGATCATTCGCCTCGAGTCGGCGCGGAAACGATTCTCTACCTCAAACTCTTCCGAGAATTCCGATGCCGTTTCATCTGTTATTCGACATAACCAACAATACCCGAATGGCGAAAGTCAAGAAGGAAGGAAGAACAAGACTTTTATGAATATAAAAGGTTGACATTGACGAAGGCTACCTGCACTGAGCGGGCGAAAGATATGAAGCACGTTGATGATCAATCGAAAGGAGAAAAGGAATATACATAATGATTGAATGTGTCGTTGGACATATGCATCTCATAAGTCTACATTCAGGTCCCGGAAAGGTCGCCCAAAAGAACGAAAACTGAGTATTCTCCATCAATGCTTCTTGCAGTTGAAAACTTGTTGGCCGAGCACATCGAACTATGAAGAACCTCCACAGTATTCTCATCGTTTGACCGAATGTTACAAGAATACGTTCACAATGTCAGATCAACACGTTGACCCGTGTTGCAGTGTCGATTATCCAGTCATAAAATGGCCATAACTTCTATATTACTACACCAAGACCAACAAGGCGGGCCTCCATACCCTTCGAATGCCACTCAATTGAATTGAAAGCATATTTCACCAATAATGAGTTTCATGACACTCGTTTGGTTGCAAACTTACCTTGAGGAATCGCATTTGCGTTGTAGAAGGGGGTGGGGGCGAGTATCGGAAACCTTGAAAATAACCAAAGCCTAAAGTATATGATGTTCACTCCAACATTGCTGATACAATCTAATGAAAGAGGCATTTTGCCAGCGACTGAGATCGATACCAAGGTTGGACTCGGGTCGTTGGCTTAGTTGTGCTAGTAAAATTCTAGTATAAGAGCTGTGCACGCTGAGAAGATAAGCTCGTCAGCCCTTCCCTGGCATTACGACCTGAGAACTAAATTGTATTTAAAGAAAAAGAGAGAGAAAACAAGAGAAGAGCTATATATAATCATAACCATTTAACAGCTAAAGAGAAGCTGCGCTGCAATTGGTTTACCCTGCAATGTGAAGCGAGCTGCTACTATTTCCCTAACTGGATGATGAACGACAAGGACCTCTACCACAACCCTGGACTGTGGTATCCCGATATATGCTTATTTGGGTAAACCGACCTTGACCTTGATGATTTATGCGTTTCTCGAATCGCATTCGATATTGGCTAGATCTCGAGGAACACGAGTTTGGTGAATTCCTTAAGGCACAGGCCGTTTCCGTGAGGCCCTGCTCGCCAGCGTGGGTGATCACCAAGCCGGCTTGAGAGCTTTACAACGCGGAATATGGCCGCAATCGATACTTTTGTCGTTGCAGTGAGGTGATCCTTTGCGAGTAGAACTCCAGATACGGAGTCCCATGAAAGGGATGCGCACTCATAGACCCTGTTCCACAAACTATATCGGCGGTATATTAGCCGTTGCACACGCCTACCAACACCTCTCCAGTTGCAACATTTCCCCACTGGACCCGGCTATAATGTATAGAGTAAGACGCCGCTAAAGGCCCGGTTCCCCAGGCGTTGCCCCATTATCAACCTATGCCCGCGCCGCACAGAATGGATCTTTGGACTCGCCTGCGCTAGAGTAGCTGGAGCGGGGATACATTTTAATAGTCTACTTGTCAGTGCGCGCAGATGAAAGCAGACTGATCTGTAGTCTACAAAAGCTTTTAAGGTTTGGGCCACACATACGCCGAAGGCTGCGGTGCTTCGATAATAAGAGGAAGCTAGGGATGTGCACGAGTGGAGCCTTGAACCGGAGATTCGACAGGGTTTCTGTTGGTTTCTGTTTCTTCGCATGGAAACAGACGTGCGCCCATGTGTGTTGGTTAATATATGTGCGACCAGTAGATTCCTGGTAGTTGCTGCTGCCACAGGTACCTAAATATCCAGTTAATCTGTTTGCTCGACGATCCCATAGTCTTGGGTTCCTGCGCTCAACTTCACCTCCGCTCCTGGTTCTCGGGCCTGCCATTGACTTTCTAATCTATCGAAGTTTTGGCGTATCAGCAACCGAGAATGAAGCAGGTCATGGATCTGTTACTGGGTGCAGTCGCACTGCAGTCGTTTCTTACTGGCGTCAACGCTGGACCGCTCCCACGCAAGTATGCAAGGGAAGCCCCAGTGGTAGATCTCGGGTACTCGGTGTATGAGGGTGTTTACGACGCGGACTCCAATATCAACAGCTTCAAAGGGTGAACATTATCTACCATAACGTTATATTGTCCGACGGCCACTGATTCAATCCTTCAGTATCCGATATGCAGCTCCACCACTTGGAAACAAGAGATGGGCAGCACCGTCCGCTCCAGAGACCAACAGGACGACTACAATTCCAGCCACCGAATACCCTCCCGTCTGTCCACAGACTGGCGCATCTTCAGAGACACCCCCAGAATATGGCTTTGCTTCTAAGCTCGGAAATGAGGACTGCCTATTTTTGAACGTATTTGCGCCCGCCGATGCACATGATCTGCCAGTGTTCTTCTGGATCCGTAAGTAGTCCACCACCGATGCGCGAGCGATCGCATAGACCTGTCGATTAATGCAATGGCAGATGGAGGAGGCTATGCGCTCTTCAGCTCGACCGGTCTCGACGCCAGCGAGTTCATCACGACCAACAACAACGGCTTCGTTGCTGTTGTCATCCAATACCGCCTCGGTGCTTTCGGTTTCCTGGCCGGTGAGGATGTCAAGCAGGACGGCGTGCTCAATGCGGGCCTATTAGACATGAATTACGCTCTCAAATGGGTTCAAAACTATATAGGCCAGTTTGGCGGTGATCCCTCTAGAGTCACCATTGCCGGAGAATCTGCAGGTGGTGCCGCGGTACTTTACCAAGCAATGGCCTATGGAGGCAAGCAGGAGGAAGACTTATTTGAGAATGTTTGTGTAGAGTTCATCATCTTGACTTCAGCCTACTAATGCTTTGATAGATCATCTCGGCTAGTCCATGGTTACCCCATCAATATGACTACAACGACGATGTGACCGAGAAGATCTACGATGATTTCGCTGGAGCTGCCGGCTGCAGTGCAGCAGATGATACCTTGCGATGCCTACGAGAGGCCAAGTCTGAGGTTCTACAGAACGCCAGCGGCAAAGTATCCGAAGCCGGGCCCTTTGGCACATTTGCCTTCGTCCCAGTAACAGATAGTACATTTGTCCAACATCGTCCTACCGAGCAGCTCATCTCCAAGAATCTTAGAGGCAGGCGCATCCTCACCGGTAGCAACGCCAATGACGGGATCCCGTTGAGTCCACCCACTTCTAGCACCTTGCAAGCGTTTCGAGACTACGTCGACATTACTTTCCCACTCTTCTCAGATGCCGATAAGGGGGCACTGGAAAAGCAGTACTCATACGAGGGCGACGATCAGGACACAAATGCAGAAAACCCACTGTTCGATACATCGGGGACGTCTTTCCCTACCGCGGTGAATCAGTCATCGTTTGCTACAGGGCAACAACAGCGTCTTTTCAACCTCTTTTCCGAGTACGCATTCCACTGTCCCAGCTACTGGATTGCTTCGTCTTTCCCACAGGCATGGAAATATCAGCTTAGCGCCCTTCCAGCATTCCACGGCTTCGACCTCAACGCCCTCTGGTCGAAAGACCAGAAGATCCCCGGCCAGGATTTCATCCACGCATTCCAGAAGATCTGGGGCAACTTTATCATCAACAATAATCCCGTGATATCGGTGGCAGACGCAAAGCAGTCCAAGGACAACGCCACCGTCCCTGCCGGAACTGACGGAAACATCGAATGGCCGCAGTACTCAGAATCAAGTCCGACGCTGCTCAGCTTGAATACCACAGGCGGGGTGCCTACCTACCTCACGCCCGCTGCGAACCTGAAGTACTATGTTTACAGTGACCCTGGCGTGACCAATGCATTTAAGGTTGCAGATGCGGCGCAGTGGGAAGGCGGTCGAGGGAACCGATGTGACTGGTGGAAAGTGAATGCTGCAAAGGTTCCATACTAGTATGGTCATATTTCAAATGAAGGCTTTTAGATCTCTGAATAGGGTCGTAATGCTACTATCGAAAGAAAATCCCTAGAATAGAGGAGACATAGGTGACGAGAACAATCGAAGCTAGCACGCAGATGATACAAGGACAGACAATGTAATTATACTTATTGACCAAACCACATTTCCCCATCGAAATTCATCAGTCTAAATCCAGTACAAGATGATAGATAGACAAGACAGTTCCACCCTCACCGACCCCCAATCTCACTCAGTGTTGTATCTAAACTCCCTAGGTACTCACCTTTCACTACTCGCCACTCACCTAACAAACCATTTCCTCAATCGTCATTTGTCGTGATATCCACTGACCATGTCCGCCTAGTCGACCATGTGTTCCCAGCCCCACCACATGCCATTCTCCCTCCCCTTCCCATCTCAGCACGCAAGCACATGTCCCGAGCTCCCTAAAACAGACACCTCGCCGAGTTCGCCTACCCCTACCCCTGCACCTGGTCCTGCTCTTCACCCACCCATTCGGGAATACACCGTGGTCTCGATCGATCAAACGACAATGTGCGTCGAGAGGAAAAAAGTAACCATAGAAAACCAGGACACAAGATAGGAATAGGGAAATTACACATTCAGCAGCATGGTATAAATACATTCATTTGCCCAATCATCGTGACCCGATCTCCAAAAGATAAAGAGAACCATCATCCTGTTCCACCAAACCACGCAAACCAGTACACAAACTGCTGAATTCCTCTCTCTCGCGTCCGCAAGGGACGATAAAGAACAGACAGAGGAGACATTCATACAGTAGTTGCCTCTGAAACCTCACCCAATCCCCAGTCACTATGCGGCTACGCCGCCTCAACAGCGGAAAATACGAGGACTTGACCCTCGCCCTACACACAGTATGTATGTACGTATAATACCCGGAGATTGACACCATATTCATTTCCTTGCGCCCTGGAATCGTGCTTTCATGCATGCGCGTAATCTAGGTAGATTGAGAAGAAAGAAGTCCCTTTCGACCACATGGTCATTTCGGACTTTTTGTCCCTTATTGCGGCGTACAGGGTTGCCTGTTCTGATGTGGAGGATTTAGGGTCGGTGGAGGGGATGCCTTTTTGGACGTGGGGCGGGCCGGGCGGGTGGGTGCGGGTAACACCTCTAGACTTGGGAAGTGGTGGGGGATGGGGACGTGGGATCGGGAACGACGTTGGATTGTGTGCGGGATGGGGTCGCGATGCGATGATTAGTATCTAGCAAGAAAGAATACAAAAAGAGAATGGATGAAAAATGAATGGCGTCACCATTGTGGGAATCTTCATTTATTTGTTGTCTTTGCGGTTTTGGAGCAGACTTGTGTTCAGAACAGGTGTTATACGATAATACCTCATAGTGGCATGAAATAGATGACGCAGACTTTGCGTCCGACTGGATAAACTTTGTCCATAATGACCGTCGCAATAATCAATAACAATTTCTTCTTTTCTGGTGCGACAATGTCAGCAATAATGAGGCTGGAGAGAGTCAGTAGTTCCTCTGTCAGTTTGTGCCCGTTCGGGAGGAAATGACAGGCGCTGGGCGCTGCCTGGCGGTGGTGGCGCTTTTTTGCACGCGTAAGCTGGCGCAAGTCATTGGTTGATGTAATGACGAATTCCAGAGCTGGTTTGGTAGGTGGATAAGTTTGCGTATCATGGACGATGAAAGCTATCTTGTGAATGTGCTTGAGCATGGCGGATTGGATATATAGAACATATGTACATGGAAGCCCAAAGACAAAATGATTTAACAATGGTAAATGAAATACAGAAGAACAAGGCTGAAAAGGCACACGAGATGATAGGCACCTAGGTAGGTAGCTTTCCCAATCCAAGCGGTAACCGTGACCCTTTTTTGTTCCGAGAGATGCTAGTGATGTGATTGATTCCTTAATCCATCCAATATAATCCTACAAGTAAACCGTTCCTTCCTGGAACGGCTATGATGAAGTCCCTGTCTACCTAATAGAAGGGGTCCCCTGATTTCCTCCTGTTCGCCATAATCAAAGGGTTATAAATGGGTATCTACTTGAACTCCTCGATGAAGGTTCAAGTTGTATCTCCCGCATTGCTTTTCATGTGCATGTGCGGTTTGATTTCGAAAATTACTGCAGTTTTGAGCCAACAGAGTCATGTACGCAGCCATAGATTGGAGGCCACAACGGCTCCACTGAGTATTCAAATCTGACGGAAGGTGATAGTGGTAGTGTATCGGCTGGTTCAGCTCCTGTGCATGCATAAACCCCTGGAGGAATGAATCAACAACATAACTATCCCTCGTGATGGACGGATTATGGCTGTTTACTTCTTCCGCACCTCCCATATGTTCTTCCTCATTCCCTTCTGCTGGGGCGTCTTTCGAGAACTTCCAGCCCAGCTATTCCTTTTCTGTCCTCCCTCTCCTTCAACGACGTCGACATTCTGTTCCTCTCTTGCGCCGCTGGTGGGACTGCTCATTAAGCTACTTTCTCCCTCTTCCGTTCCATTCGTCGTCATCGAAGTGGTCTTCTCCACCTTGCTGAAATATTGCGTGGGCCGTGGCTGTGCAACTACGACACCGCTATTCACCTTATCGGTCGTCGTGGCATGTTGAAAACCGCCCCACTCGTGATCGGCGTCGTCTTCGCTCCCGAGTATCGTACGCGACTGGCTGTCGGTGGCAGTCTGATCGTGCGTGCTCAGTCCGAGGGAGCGGACGAAGCGGGTGCGTCGAGAGGAGCCGCCGGACCCGGGTGTGGCGGTCGACGAAGGCTCTGACTTTGACTTGAACATAGAAGACGTAGGTAGCAGTGGGCGCCCGCGTTTGCGCCACATGTGCCAGATGATGGGTAGGTTCGTGCAGAGAATGCCGCCCAGGGGCTCGAATGCGGAGAATGCGCCGAGGGGTACGTAGGACCATGTGAAGTCGGCGTAGCCGTGACCCAAGACGACTCTCAAGCGGAGTGCGGAGACAACGCAGGTGCTGTGGATTTTGCAACGGGTTAGGGGTGTGATGTGATGATTGATAGAGACTTGCGACACTTACGCTATACCGACAGAGAAGATGAAAGACAGAAGAAGTTTCTTCTTGGTCTGTAATTGAAGGTGCCAAATGACAGGAACCGGCATAAGGAAGATCCAGATATCTGTTATAAGGTTTGATATGTTCGTGAAGTATGTAAATGTTACGAGATGGAGGCATGTGCCCGCAACACTAGCATCCCAGTATGCTCGAAGCGGTCGGCAGACAAGAAGTAAAGTGACCGTGATACCGATTCCCCATGCAATTACAAAGGCCGCGGTCGCAAGGACAACCTTTCTAAAGACAGGAATGGCGAAGACGCGATAGTAGAAGGCGAGTATACCGAGTTTGACCGAAACGAGTGCAATATCGTAGAAGTGACTGAATACATAGTCGCCCTATAGAGACAAGGTATTGGCGAAGTTCAATTTGAAAGATCATAGTAATTTTATACTGCGCACCTTGCGAACCATTGCTTGATCTCCAGGACTGACGGCAATAACATGTCTGCCCATGCCGTGCGGTGGACCTGGGTGCACCATGATCAGACTGAGGCACCGAACAAAGTTACAATCCTCATACATACCGAAACCTAGACCGCTAGCACACTGTCCAATCAGGCATATCTAGCAGAATTTAGGATTTAATCATCGAGAACACCAAAGATCCAGAAATACCGTTGCGAAAACAATGAGATAATCATCAAGGGTGATGCCATTTCTCCCCGCCTGTTTGGCCCATAGTCGCAAGGAGGTACTGAGAGTCGCAGCAACTATCGGAATCGAATAAACCCAGTGTATTTCTTGAACCCTCGAGTCGTTGATATGCGCTTTCATGTACTCCAACTCTTCAGGCGTGAATGCCGACATGGCGCATTGGCGGTCACGACCAAACCAGCGACGCGAAACCGTAGGTGGTCGTTGGGCGTTAATGAGGTTGGAGACTCAACCGCAGGTTCACATGCTGCTAGAAGGGTTCGTTGTAGATGATCGTTCGGAACTCGATACGATGATACTATTCCTACAGCCTGAAAGTTTATTATGTTTCCAAAATCACGCGTAGAGTGTGTTCCGCGGTTGAGTGAAGCGCGTGCCGAATAACAGTCAGTATTCGGCGGGGCGATCAACAGCTAGGAAGCAATTCAAGCGAGCGGGAGGGGCGTACAATAAGAAATAGGAGATTCATGTGGAGACTTGTGGGTGGGATCGATTAAGTTATTATTATTGGGGAGAAGGGAGTGTCTCAAGGCCAGCCAGGGTGACATGGCTATGGGTATGAGTGTCTGTGGCATCAAGCCGGTGGGCATATGCTAAAAAAGGCCCTTCTTCTCTCCCCATCCTTCCCCCATCTTTCGTCCACCATCCACTCCCAGTCGTTGATCATCTCGTAACGTTATTGCAACACCCTCCAGGGATCGACGGCGGTGCTCCCTTCTTTGGCTTCACACCCCGGACCCCGTCGTGCCCGTATCGCAAGCCGACAACGGGGCTGGACCGTCCTCTGTGTGACGGCAATGCTGAGTCGCCAGGGTGGAGTTAGGAAAATCGATACAGCCAGCATTCGCCATGCCCAGATATTGACAGTCAAATAACAAAACCTCTAGTTATCATTACCAACAACAATTTCTTTCCTTAGCTTCACCGTCGCAAATGAGGTCTATGCCTCATTTGGGTAGCATTGATATCAGGAGAGGCCGTAGAAGGCCCTCTACTGCTGTGCGACCACATCGTCCGCACGAGTCTTTGAGCGCGATGGTCGCTTCTCCTTGTATTGTTATTGGTAATGTTAACCTTTACATGCACCCCTGCCCTTCTCCTTCTATGTGCTGTCAATGCGTACTTCGGGTGATCGGCCAGCTGCAGTCTGAACTTGTATTGCTGATCATGATATCACCCAAATTTCCCACCATTCATTCATTATTCACACCTCTCCTTCGCTGTACGGAGTACCTGCTGAGGAATCTACCAATACATCTACGTGCTAGATGACCTGCTCAGAGAAAAGCCCGGGAGCAATTAGAACGCTGACCTGTACCACCCACCCACTCTCTGCCTTTCTGCAAGTTTCACAGGCACAAAACATCACCGGTCACAATGATCAGGACCCGAATGGATGTCCGTACGGCGTAGACATAAAGCGACGGCGGCGGGAAGACGAGCAGTCTAAGCATTTGCCGAATGGGGCTCGTCGTGCCCCCGTCCTGCAAAACCCACCCACCTGCATGCGATGCGAGGAATGCACCTGCGTCCCTTCTTCCATATTGCGTCGGCGACGCACACTTGCGCATTAAACTACACATGCACGCAAGCACGCAAGGCTGTGATGTGTCGGTTATTTCTGTCTTGATCGGTTCCCCCATTCGGTTCGGCCCGTCCTCCTCCATCCATCCACTATATTCACCTATCCACCCTTCCCTCTTGTCCCTGTATCCATCCGCAGAACATCTGCGTAGGTGAGGCATATGTAAGCATCTAAAAACTCTTCTACTGAAACAAAATAACGTCCTTCCGATGGCCCTCTGCTCTGTCCGCTCACTTAGAAAACATCCGCCGCCCTTGTACTCCGTACTTACATGCGCATAAGCTGGTATTTCAATTAGCAATCAGACTTTCAGTCATCACTATATGGAAGGCTAAGACTGAGATAATCTCCGACCAGAACATATGTTCACCTACCCATTACCGGACGGCATCTTCAAGTACATACTCTTCTCCGGAAGTGGCGGTACTCTTATTGCGTAAGTGCGCATGTCTCGGCCATCATACAACTTCAGGGACTCTTCTCACCTGGTCTAATTTTGAGGGACGATGTAGGTTTGTGTACATATACACGTAATGTAATACCGAACGTCATGATGAATGCACTTATTCTATGAGTAAACATGTAGTGACCAGCGTACCCATAAGCGAAGCGGCCGGAATGAGATTGGTATAGATGCACAGAGAGTAATACTCTGTGTGTTTGACCGATGACCGCCGTGCTTCGGGATCGATATCAAGTGCAGGATCTGGTGCGACTTGCTTATCTCATACCCTGAGTTGTTGTGAACAAGGGAGGTTCGTATATTATCAGGTAAGTGTGATGATTTTGGTGATGCTCAAAGAAACCTTGGCATCAGGTAGGTTCTTTCGTTCTTCTACTTCCCTACAGTGACTCAGCTTTTCCAAACGTAACCGCACCTATCAGCGCAGAAGGACTGTGACCATAATCGCTGATGCGAAACAAGGTGTTTGAATTATGTAACCTAGTCAAATTAAGGTACCGATGCAAAATGAGCTACATTCGTATCATGAATCGCTAATGCATATGTTCGAACAGTATCGATCTCGATTGAACTATACTCCATCGTTGAACTCGTAGTCTTTATCCCATCGCTGTTACAGATTAGCGAGCCGCTCAGTAGCAAGGGTAGAAGTCAGAACGAACCTTATCCCATGGTTTACTCGAGTCGACAAAACGGAGATCGGTCCCGACCCGAATGATATTGTCGTGGTCAAAGTTCATTGTTGATGCATGAATCTGAGCAAATGATTAACTCGAAAGCTTAGTGTCAATCTGGTGGGGATAATCCTACAGTATACGGTGTATGAAGAACCACGTCTCCTGCTTCATAGGCAGTCACTAGCCAGCGCCGCTGGAAGGCATCAGAATATTCCTTGGGCCCATCTGCAAGCAACCCAGTTGAGAGCATGTTCTGATTGAAGGCATTCTTGGTTTGCTCGTCTGAGAGTCCACTCTCCTTCGCTTTTCTAGTGAACTCGGCCTCGACTTCCCGACCGAGAGTGTGGCCTGTAGAGTATTGAATAACACGTTACGACAGGTCACGCAATGAGCTAGGCTTACCATTTTCCAAGTAGATCAATCCACCTCCTGTCAAGCTGATGTCGCCCATTGGGACCCAAGCGGTGAAACTTGTTGGCTCTCCATGTCGAAGGAAGATTTGATCATAGTGCACGCCAATGGCTTTGTTTCCAGGCGTGTTGTTTCTCAAAAGACTTCTCCTTACACCAAGGGTACTATCGCCCCACCCAGAAATGCGCGCAATCGTCTCTTTGAGAACAGGGTGCTTACAAAAGGTCTCTTTGTACCAATGTGCATAATGGGCTTCAAGGGCCAGGTCGACGAATTTCTCGGCCGTAGCAGCTCCAGGCTTGCCATTGTTATCGGCGGCGCCAGCGCCAATGCCGGGGTAGTCGGCTTTATCTTTTGTTTCATCAAATACACCTTGGACGGGAGCTGTACCGGGCTTCAGCACCCCGCTGGGTTCAAGCATCTTGAAGTATTCTTCGCGAGCCTTGAGGACATCTTCTCGTGGTAGGAGGCCCTTGAGGAAGATATATCCGTCCTCGTTGTATCGTCGACGCAGCTCCTCGACGGGCATATCGGCGGTGGATTCTTTCAATCCGCCTACTTGGTCTGGCCTGAGCAGGCCATCGTTTACATAGAGTTTGTCGCCATTGTAGCTTGCAATGTCCCTCTCTGGGGACTGGGCATGAGGCATGGTTACAATTTACGGATTACAAGGAGATAGATGTAACTATCGATATGTGCAAAATGGCCGGGAGGAGAAGAGAAGAGGGGGGATGTCGTAGCGATGCTTGAATGTATTTATAGACAGTAACGGAGACTAGCGATTCTAGTAAAGATAGCCGTTGGAGTACGATTGCTACGTTTGAACGATAGCCTTTTTACGTGTCAGCAGGTAGAGCTGTCGTTGGAAGAAAAGAATGGGATCGGATGTGGGGTAGTTGGCTGGCTGATCCGCATCCGCACCCGCTAGCTATCCACCTACCTAAACCACTACCCAATTACGCACACAAGACACAACAGTATCGGAGTAGGTATGCTGCCTTGCTCTCTGATTACTATTTGCCTTTGAAGGTATTTAGTGGAGACGATCCATCAACAATTGGAGACTGACTCGTATTGCTAACTGCATCATTGATGGCTGGTCTTCGGGGAAACCTTCTTAGTAAAGCGCGCTACTTGGTTGGGTGCCTTCAAAGATTTCAAGCATCTCGGTCGGCAATTCCCCATTCGATCGGCAACTGAAGTCTCGTCTCTGGAGTTTGAACTCTCATCCCAACCACCCCCGGCCAATCTCTGATACCTCCCATTATTGCCATTCCATCCTTCGTCGCGTGCAATTTGGGGCAAATCACTCCGGCTTCGACTTGTCTCCATTGGAAAGAGGTCCATCTCGGATCTTTTCGAGTCACAGATGCCATGGTATGCGCCATCATGTCCCGCTTGTGCTTGTACTCGTCCTCGTGCTTGCGCTTGTCCTTGCGCTTGTGCTTGTCCTGTTCGCTGTTCGTTCTGCTCTAACAAATCTTTCGCAGTAACCGCTGCCGGACGCGCCATTACCGCTGCAAGTCTCCTAACCAAAATTTCCCCGCAACGACCATGCGCCTGTTGCTGACCCTCTTTTGACAGGTGACGGGAAACAGCCTCAATGTAGTCGATGCGGCCAGGCCAATAAAGAATGTATCTACGAAACTGGTAGACGCTTTCGACGTTCGTCTATTCAAGAGACATTCAGCGATGGCCAGCCCTGGGTCGCTCTGCCGCCACGGAGTAAGCGCCTCTCCCGTCGCACGTGAATTATCAATGTCATTGACTGTATCAATGTAGTACAATTCCTGGACGAGTCCCAGGAAATCCGGGCGCAATATGACTCGGATTTCTCCCCTTTTGATAATGACCCGCCGGCGCCACCATCAAATCCATCATCCCGCCATGGCTCATCAATCACACCCAGTGCAATCAACCAAGTGGAGACTCCACCACCGTCCATCATCAGCCCAACAGAAGGCTTAACGGTGCTGTCATTGCTCAACTCGGAGTCTCCAGGCCAGACGCATCACTCCTTCTCAACCCCTCCAGCTCTCCAAGTACTCGAAGCGCATAGGCCTCCTTCCCCTCGAGCACATCATGAACAGAACACATTTGTGCACCAACAGCCAGCAGGACTTCCGATCTTCTGGCCGCTTGAACATGAACAGGAAGCAATGCTACTTGGCCATTACATTGACAATGTCGCCCTTTTCTTTGACATGATCGACGATAGACGCCATTTTGGCAATCATGTTGTACAAAGAGCCAAGAAGAATAGCACTTTGATGAACGCCATCCTTGCGCTTTCTGCACGACACCTTAGTCGAACTTGTGGTTTCGACGCATACGTCGCTGATGCTTACTATCAACGTTGCTTCGAGACCCTCATTCCCGCTTTGAACGATACAGTCGCTATTCGGGATGAATCGCTATTGGCTGCAACCATTCTTCTGAGGCTGATGGAAGAGATGAACAGTACGATACCTACCCAGCGGTAACCTAGCAAGCTAACATGCCACAGTTTCCATTCTAGGCTCTGATCCACAAGGGCACTTGCTGGGTACCCAAGCCATAATTCGTGCTGCAGAACAGCAATATGCCGGAAATTCTGGCCCTGACTTCAGACAAGCCATCTATTGGGCGGCCTTTCGCCAGGAGCTCTGGATTTCTCTAATGACGCAGCGACCATTCCAGCTACATATATTCCCAACTGATCGGTCATTGGATCCTGCAAATGACTCGATTTGGGCCACAAGGACCATCGCTCACCTCGGCGAGGTCTGCAATTTTGCGTTCGGCGAGGACAGACATAACGTGCTTCGGTACAATCAACTAATGGATGACAACGCTGCATGGCGTACACGCCGACCGGAGAGTTTTGAACCATACTTTTTCCGCCAAGACCGAGATGGTAGTGGAAGAGACTTTCCTGATATCAGATTTCATGAGAAGACACATGGTACGTTCACACCAGCATTTCAATCTCGCTTCACTCAATTTAACACATGGCTTAGTGATGGGGACACAATACAATACATTGGCGCGTGTCTTGCTCGTTGTTCACAACCCGACTATTCCACAACTGGGTCCTTCCCACAAACAATCACGCCAGAACGTAGATGTACGTGGAATAAAGCAGAACTAAGTTCATTCACTAATGACAACAGCGAGTGGTACAAGAAGCCGTCCGGACTTTGTGTGGTGTCGCACTCTCGAATGCGAAGATTTTTCCTTGCAAATTTGTAGCTTGCTTTGCCATCGCACTAGGTACGATATAAGCCAATCCATTGAACCGATCAAGGTCTAATCAATACAGTGGGCGACCGATTTTCCAACCACGAGGATCAGAAAAAGCTACATGATATACTTCTTCAGACCGAATCTGCGCACGGATTCCCACCTACCGCTACGATCCACCTGCTGGAGGAAGCATGGGGTTGGGCTAATTCCTGAACCAAGATCCAAAACCGCGATGCTATCGAATTACGATTAAGCCAACAGAGAGTACTACTAATGCAACATTATGAGGTCATTTCAGGATACTTCACCGCCTTCCCGTTGGTAAAATCAGATCTGGAGAAGGTGGTAAGAAGTTCCTAATCTTACCGTATGACCTCTCCAAGGCGTGCTTCAGCACACTTGCCGTAATCCTGGTACGGTAATTGTCGTCCATACACCGTAGGATCATCTCGTTCAACTGTGGCGAGTAGCCTGGAGCAGGATGGAAACGCCAATTATACGCCTGGTGCCACTGGAGCTTCAAATGGCACAACGAAATCATCGTAACACCTACCTGCCACACATCACTCGTCTGGTTATAGTACGGGCTCTCGGGTGGCCGGTAGAGATCGGTATACTTCGACTGCCTCGCCGGATTCGCCCTACCGTTTTGATATTCCCTCTTGGAAACGGCACACCCGAAATCGGCGAGGTTGACTATCACCATTCCCCTGTGAGGGCCTTCTGTCGGGCGCGTCAAAAGAACGTTGGCAGGCTTGACGTCCCTATGTATAATGAAGTTCCACTCGGCTCTGGCTCTCGGATCTCCACTCGGCCCGTTGTAGCAATATGACAGCGCACCGGCAAGCTGGATGAACCACGTCCAAAGATAGTGCTCCCCAATTGGCCTCATTCCCGCTTTGCACTGTCGTATTATCAACTGATCGAGCGGTCCCAGCTCGCAATAGTTCATGAAGACGCCGGCGCCACCTCTCCTGGGATCATAGTATCCGTCTACGAAGCGGGTGATGTTTGGATGGCCGGACAACTGGCGGAGATATTGGAGCTCGCGCTTGGCATTGCCAGTGTTAATATCATGCTTCGTGAAGGTTTTCTCGACGGCCTTCTTCTCCGTTGTCTCATCCTTTACGATGTATATACCTTTATTCATGCCTCCTCCTGCCGTGCCAAATCGCTGTACGACTTTGAAGCGCGTGGGTCGTTTGTGGGGTAATGGCATATCTATGCGGACTGAGTGTACGTTATATGATAGAAAAGAATGTAACCAGGATCAACCCTTATAAAAAACGCTCGCGCTCAGATATCAGTGTAGCTCTGTCGTTGTGGGAATCTGGTGTCTCCCTCGTGAATGCGTTTTTATTCCACTATAGTATTAAATCACCGTTGTATTCAAGGCAAGTGGTGTATAGACGCTGGTTGTCACCATTAACTGTTAGTATGAGCAATGCTTTCTCCCTTACCTTGTGCCTGGAAAGAAAGCGCCGCGCGACGATATATAAGTCTACTCCAACAGTGGTGAACTCAAGGGTATTGACAAATCGATCTTGCATATTGGCAGCACACAAGCACTTCGTATAGCTGTATGAATCAAAGTGTGTTGTCCGCCAGCAACCATTGATTTCTCACCGTGAGACAGTGACAACTCTATACAAGACATTCTCGCCATCACGCCCATAACTTCCCCATCGACGAGTACAACCATCTCGCAAGCCTAGCCAGATCAATCGCCATATCTACATTTCCATCTCCGCCTTACAACAAATACACCCCGCATTCAATACGTAAGCCTACGTTCCCATCGCGACGATTTCCCCCCAGGGATTCCAGAAAGGCGCGCCAGCCAATCAGAACCACCAGTCGTACTGACGTATGCACAGACCCTTCCACTTTTCTCAATACGTGCAGGTACGAAACGAACGTAATCGCCGTACACGTAGAATTCGTGATTGTTTCGAATGCTGAAGTAGAACAATGTTTTTTTTGTGGATACATCCAGAAGTCGCATTCATTCAACTCTTGGCCATGCCTTAAATATTCAAAAAACCAGCATTCCCGGGGACCTTTCGTGCTCACTCACTTCATCGTAACATCTACACAGCCAACTTCTCCAAACGACTGGATTGAGGTGCTCACAACAACAATCAAACGCCCAAGAATCTTGACCAAAGGAAGACATCCAAACAGCAAGAGAAACAATCTCAAAATGCTCCTCCCAACAGCCTACTGGAACAATGCGGCCAGAATTCAAAGAATCGTCCACATCGCACAAGTCGTCCTTGTCCTCGCAGCCTTCATCACCGGCATCGCCCTCCTCGCCGACTCCACCATCCAAAGAAGTCGCTCGACCGTCCTCGTCTTCGTCTACGTGAGCTCCCTCCCAATTCCTTCCCCCCTTTCATCCACCCATGTAGACAGAGAACTAACCAAAGGAAACCACAGTCCCTGAAATCCATAATCGTCCTCTTATACTTCTACCTCTCCTCGCACACGGCGCGGTTCGCCCGCTTCGCGAGCGCGAAGGCGTACTTCATCCTCACGGTGCTAGAGGCTCTGTTCTGGTTCACCGCGTTCATCATCATGTGCATGGGCGGCGGGAGGTGTTTTGGCAGGGCGTGTGCGACGATTGGGGTTGCGGCGACGCTTTCGTTGCTTCTGAGGTATGTTCATATCGATGAGAGCGATTATGAGAAGTTTGGTGAGGATGATTCTGACGCCAGAGTAGTTTGTCGAACGTGGTGCTTATCCCGGTTACGTGGGCGGATTGGAGGCAGTCGAAGAAGGTCCCGGCGAATTCGGAGGTTTGAGATGATGGAGTGGTTGGGGACGAAGGGAATATAGATATCGGCAAGACAGATCATGGAATCGGTGTTCGGTGTTTGGGGTCCAAGGGGGAGCTTCGCTTCCAGTGAAATATGCATAAGAGGAAACTTGCTTTTAGAGTTAGAAACTAATACTGTCAACTAAACACATAACCAATATATGCTTACACATGGGATCTGTAGGAGCAGTTGATAAGCTGCGTTGATATGGATGTGTTATGATGAATGGAAGGAGCCAAATGCAGTTTTCATGGCAGCGAGTTTCCGCTAACTGAAAATATTTGTTGGCAGGGTAGTAGGTAGGTTTATGTTGAGGATTTTCTGCAAGGTCAGCAATTCACAGTGGTTCAGAAAGTCAAATTGGGGAGTTAAGTCGCCAAGTTCCCTAGACGACGACTTATCTACTCTCAAACGTCTAGATATAGCCCAGGGCTGAATTGCTAAACATACGATCGACCCAATTGCTAGGGCCAGCAATGGACGTTGCGACGGTAGCGCGATACAAAAGGCCCACAAAGATCTGAGGCTGAGCTTTTCTAGAAGCCGGTAGCCAATCGAAATCCGCCGTTGCAGGAATAGTCAGATCTCGTCGCACTCGAAAGGAACAAGGTGACGTACCATCGTTCCCTTGCTAGGTGCGCAGCGCCCTATGAAGTACCGCCGCGACCGAGCGTTCGCATTCGCACTCTACTTCGAGCATGGTCGGAACTTGCCGCACAGTGTAGATAGCCAAGTTCGTCTCGCACTCGCACTTGACAATCTCAGTTAGGACTACGCATAGACACATTCTGCTCGCACTCGCATCCTGTTCCAAGTGTAGGTTTTATGTTGATACGGATAGTGACAAAGATAGCTCTTTTATCGAACCCAAAAACATCATCGACAACAAAATGAGTAGCTATATAGTCCTTCATTCTCAACTTCTTATAGATCATCCGCTTCGATTCCCAACTAATTGACCACCCTTCATTGAAGCTTTCAAAGCAATCCATCCAGACATCACCGCCATCCGCATTCCCTCATCAGTCGTTTCAAAAATCCCAACTTCATCATCATGAGTTTCATAGACAGCTACTGGTACCACGCTGCGGTAGTCAAGAAAATCATTCACGCAATCCAAATCTTCCTCATCATCGGAGCTTTCGTATGCGGTATGATTCTCTGGAGGGACAAATCCGCTCCTCGGGGTCGAATGAATATGCTCATCCTCGGTTACGTACGTTTCCCGTCAATTCACGCAATTCTCCCTCTCCAAAGCTCACACAAAGCACAGTCCATAAAATCCGCCAACCTCCTCGCCTACATCCTCATCACCTCGCACGTCGCGCGCTTCCACCGCTGGGCGTCGCCGAAAGCATACTTCATCATCAATGTCATCGAGCCCATCTTCTGGCTCTCAGCCTTCGGCATGATGTGCATGCGGGCACCCAAGTGCGTCGGCGCGAAGTCGTGTGGGACTATCGGTGCTGCATTGGGGCTTTCCTTTGGTTTGGCGTAAGTTTCTTCCTTGTCATTGTTGGAAGGGATGATGGAATGCTGATGAAAGGGATTGAATAGTATAACGAGTGTTCCGCTCCTACCGATCACTTGGCATGAATGGCGGAAGTCAAGGAAGGTTGCACCGAATGCTTCGAGAGTGTGATACTGCATCGCCAGTGCGTAGATTCATAGAGATCTGTACGAATTATCATGACACCGAACTGGGAACGGCCTACCCCTAAAGATAGCTTGGTTAAGCTGGAGACAAAAGAGAACGTCGAGCAATCCTGAACGGGATTCTTGGGCATTTGTCAGGATGTCACTGACTCCAACGAACGGTATTATGGGTCTGCCTTTTCTCTTTGGATGGTTCATTATTATTGGCCTCGACAAAAACTTTTATGTCAACATTAGATTTCTCCCAGTTACGCAATCTATCCGCGCAATTGCAATCCCATCCCATCCCAGCAGCTCTTATCCAGAACAACGGTCTTCGCGACACCAATCTCAAAGTTTCGTGTGCAAATACTTCGACCAAAGCTTATGTACCCACACCCGGTTAACCTTACCGAACATATCTATACCATCACTTTCATTAGTCACGCAATCCTCTCTAACCCGAATACGAAGGGAAAAGGGAAAGACACTTACACATGGGAATGCAGCTCACGAACCCGCACACCGTCACGATTCCGAAGACCCGACACATGTGGCCAGGCCCCTCCTTGGCCGCAAATTCATTGATGAAGGTGCTGAATGCGTAGAACAGGAAGTTCTTGATCATCATTTGGAGGATGAAGATCTCGGTGGAGTAGCTTTTGAAGGAGTCCCTGGGTTATTGAAGTGATTGGTTAGCCTGATGCGCCATGTCTAGCTACATGCTCGACAACCGTAGACTTACAAGATATATAGTCCACCAGATGTGGATGCAACACTCGTCCCGAAGCATATGGCGCCGTAGCAGAACGAGCAGAGTACAACACGCCCTTTGGCAGGATGATCAAGAGCCCATCCGAATGTGAACCAACCGATCGCGAAGACGACTACCGCGAGCAGACAGACGGGGATGCGGAATTCGGGCTCGTAGATTCCTTTGTTTCTGCGCGACAAGAAGCGGGCGGTGAAGTCGCATATTGGGCCGGCGGAGATACCGAGTATGCCGCCGACAAGTGCGCCGGTGAAGAAGAAGCCGTTTTGTGCGACGTTGAGGGAATACGGAGGCGGGGTGAAGATTTGGGCCAACGTGTACGCGGTTCCGACGAAGAAGGACTAGAATGATATGGTTAGATGGCCTATGTGTAGAAGGTATTTTGGGTACATACAACGAGTACGGCGCTGACGATCTGGATCCAGATCACCGCGGGGTTTAGCAGATGCACAAAGATCTCGCCCAGGAGCTTGAAGGTACCGTCTGAATTGTAGATAACCCCAGAGTATGGACGGAGATCTTGCACGAAACTACGCTTCGGGATAGTGCTCGTATTCGTAGTTGTTCGGTCGATGGAATCCTGTTTGGCTACCGTGTGGTCGCCATTCTTTGCTTCGATTTCTTCCGATGACGCTGCCGGCATGGACGTTTCATTCCGCACAAATTGACTTTCAGGCAAGAAGAAAAACGTGCCCAAAGTACCAAATATCTGAATCGGTAAGAGTATCACGAAAAGATTACGGGCTCCAAGGTTCTGGAAACCTGTGCCTGCGATGATCGCCACGAAGCTTGAAAGACATGCCAACGTGAGGACCAACAAGGCAGTACGCAACCCACGCTGGTGGAGGAAGAACATGTCACCAATCGCGGCGACAGACAGCGATTCGTACGCGGTCGTACCGATGCCCTGAATCATTCGACCAGTAAGCAGCACATTGTACGACTTTGCAAGATTCTTCTGATCAAAACCTGCAATGCAGATCCCGGTACCAATGACTCCGAAGATCGAAGCGAATAGGAATTGTGGCCTCTTGCCGTACTTCTGTGCGAAGATTGAAACGAATGGGCTATTTGACAGTGGATTAGCAATGCATTTCGGCAGTTGGTCGTGGATGCACGAACCCGAGTGCTCCGACGATGAGCAGTTGATACCCAGAAAGTTGCGCAACCTTCTTAATGGGAACGTCAAGCTCGACTGCCAACGCTACCGTTGCTGGCGCTATCATTGGGCCGGGACATGCTGCAAAGATGATACAATTGAAAAAGAGAAATGCGAATGAGGCTTCGCGCTTCCAGCGTGGCCAAAGCTATTGAATAAATGAGTTATCGGCCCTATGAAGATCGTCAGAAGCCTTACGAGTGGGTCATTCGGATCGTTCGACGGCTGTGGAACTAGTATGATGTCCCCCTTCTATCTTGCCGTTAGTACAAGAGCTGCAAGAGGCATCTGCAGTAATACTGACTTTGCCTTCGCTGTGCTGTAGACGCGAGTGCTCATGGTGGTGCTCAGGATCTGCCACCGCAGTGTCAAACAATAATTCGGTCCCAGGCGGCCGCTGGTTTGTTTTTGGTTCGATGATTCCGAGAGCCATTGCAACGAGGGCCGAGGCGTTGAGATTCTTCGAAACATAAAAAATGCGGCCGAGAGGACAATGGATGTAAGATTAAGTATGAGGGGCTTTCATGGATAGGCCCACTGCGAGCTTCAACGGTATGCGGCAACCCCTATAGACGTACCTATTCTCGAACGAGCCCCTCTTCAATATCCTTCATGGGATGGTGCGAACACCCCCGGGACCGATATCTGAACCCTGCTCTGTCCTGGCGAGCAGTGTCATAAGTCATGAGCAGAACCCTTGTCGGTGACAGGGGTGGTAAGTGGAGTTGAAATCTGCCGACAAATCCAGCACAGCGGCTAGCCGTGATGATCTGCAACTTTGCCGGGTCCATCATATCAAATACGTCAAACGATACATCAGTGAGCATGAATGCCACCGTTGTTCTCATATTTGCATTTCTTGGTGTAATCAAATTGAATGCCCTGCATGGCATTATTAGATAGCGACACTTGTATTCCTCTACGTAAAGAGGATCTAGTATCAGATTTCCTCGTCCGTTTAATTTTCTACTCTGCATTATGCAAGTGTTGCATACCCATGTAGAAATCGGCATTTCTGGCAGAATTGAACATGCACTATACAGCACCTAGAACTTTCTTCTCTTGCCGCTAGCTTCCAGCACTACATAGATGTCATCGTAGCTCTACGTATCATGTCCGTTACTCAAACAGAGTAGACGACAGTGCGGCTACTATGAGTATTGATGTGAGCCATGCGTCATCTCTGCATTGGTGAGTCTGGTTTGAATTCAACAACCAGGTAGGACCGTAAATGACGGGGAGCCGTTGATTTATATCTTGCCTGTCCAGAAACGAGGTCAAAATAGCATGATGAATGCTTATCGAACTAGTGGATGCAAGACTGAAGAACCAAACAGCCCTCAGGCAGAGCTAGCGTAACATGGAAGCCCCTCGATTTAATAATTTGGCAGATACAGTGCTATCGTAATTATTGGAATCCAAAGCCGTGGTATGCCTGAGATGGATCGATAGGTATCGAATCATCTAGACTCGTGAATTGTAACATATCCGAATTTAGGTCAAAGGATCCTGAGTCCTCGAACGTTAAGTCGAGGCTTTGCTGAGTCTGCAGTGGCGTCATGAAGTTCCTGTAACATTGTATTAGCATCTACTAGGATGATCCGATGAATGGCATTATAGACTTACGGGTCTAGGTTACCCCATAATTGTGCGATTAAATCATCATCAAGGAGGACTCCAGTATTTGGCTGGTTATCAAATGTCAAGCCCAAATCAGCAAGTCGCATCGGCGTCTCTTCGGTGACCATCTTGCAGAATCCAACCTGGGGCATGCCTTTCAGAAGGTGTAAGGCAGCTTCGATATTAGAGCGGTAGTGTTGAAGCTTCGTGTGCCCAAAAGCAAGAATGAATATCATCACGATTCGCAGAATACATGTGCTATCGAATGCTGTGAAGCTGGAAAGGTTGTTGTCTGCCGCCATCAGCTGCAGGATTGCCAAGCTTTTCTGCGCAGCATCGATGCAGGTTTTCCCCATTCGCTCGAACCATATCTTTTTGCTTGAGCCGAGTGTCGCATAGCTGAGAACCAGGTGGAGCAGGAATGGGCGACAGAGAAGTATTGTTGAGCCCCAGTATTGGAGGTGTAGTACCGCCACCGCACGTTTGTGAGTAGGAGGAACCGGTACGTCATGTTTCAGATGGGGTGGAATTTGCTGCATCCACTTCTGCAGTGAGAGCAGTAAGTTTGATATTGTTGAAAATGAAATCGTGCGTGAGGTATTGGACCGCTCTGCGTAGACGGTCTGGATGATATCCCTCTTCAGTCGACATAGTGATACGGAAGTGGATATCCAAGACAGCGGTGTATGCATACCAGGGTACAACATCTGCTTTCGGTCAGCCTTATCAACAAGGAAAGTTCTCAGCATCATATTACCTGCTCAGATGGTAGCGGGGTGGCGATCTTCAACATCCTCTCATCGACAAGTGTCGGTGCACCACCTCTTGAAGCAACTTCTTGCTCAAGGATGAACAAAGACCACCAGAGTCTCCTATACTGCTCTCGTTCTAATGTTGAACTTTCATCTGGAACCTGGTCACGATGAAGTCCTAGCGAATAAGCCATCTGAATACTGGCGCCCATGTAAAGGTACGAAGAGACTCGCGAGCATAGGTTCTCAAGCACGATACTCTGCGGATATGGTCAGCTTCTGCAACATTGGGAATCGAATAGCTGATTACCATTATTGCCAAAGCACGAATGCTGTCAAGGTCGGCTTCGTCATATACTGCAGGAATCAATTGCTTTGCCATTGTCACGTAGTCCAATGCCGATTTCTCATCACTTAGTAAACCTCCATATGAAGAGGCATCTTGTTCATCTGCACCAGAGGTGACGGAGCCAATTGCGAAGATGGCGTACAGCGAGCAAAGCCATGAGCTAGTGCATGTGTTCTCCGTGACAATTGATGAATATGTTTGATCGACACGTCCAAGAAACGATTCAATGGAATATAGCCAATGGGTGCAATGGACATGTTCCAAGAATTTAGAGATGTAGATATCACAAGTCTCTCGGGAGGGAAGGTAAAACTGCTCGCCTAAGGGTGAATCTCCTGTTGATGACGATGGAGTAGGCATTGCAGGAGGATAAGAGCCAATCTTGGGGGGATTTATGATACTAGAACCCTTGCGTGAATCGTCTCCTATGGAGCAGACGGCGGCATTGAACGGAATCTCAGAATGAGCACCAATATATCCTACTCTCCGTTAACGCCTGTAAGCCTCCGATGATGGACCAGGCACTTACGGAATCTTCCTTGGGAGTCTCTCATCAGACATCCAAGCGGTTCGTGAAGGTCATTTACAGACTCAACAACGGCCTCTGCTTCCGCGTCGGGGACATCGTCTTCTTCGCCAGAGGATCCTTGATCGTGTGATGGAGGAGTTTGCTGCGTCACGCTTCCGGTGATGGTTCCATTGACGATGCCTTTGGCGATTGTTCTGAGGTTATGCAGATTGAGCTCTTGATCGGGAAAGAAATGCTCGAGGATACGCATTGAACATTGATACTCCTCTTCGGTCACATGGTAATAGGGACGTTTACGACGAGGAGTTGCTATCCTGCACGTAGCACCAGTTCTGGCACAGTAACGACATGGTCCAGGCACTTGGAAATATCAGCATACCCACCAGTCAGAACTTTGGAAGTGATGACAGTCGCCCAATGGATGGACCGGATCTAGCATACCTGGATCGATGCACTGGATGAACTATTAGCGGCTTGGCGGGTGAAGATGGTGCATTTCGGCCATGGAGAAGAGTAGAGATCTTGCCTTTGTCTTCCTGCTCCTGCACCTGTCACAACTGCTATGTACTCTATGATTTCCCGGCACTCTGTTCGCTAGCAGTGGCTGTTGCTGTTGCTGATGGAGTGGTGGCAGTGGTGCTTGTTGTGGAGGAGGTCCCACCGGTCTAGCTTCCGCCATGTCTAAAGTGCACTTGCCGAGCGCGTATATGGCACTCCCTACAAGGACAGTGCAGAGATTGGTATCATGAGATGGGAAATATGGAAGAGAATACGGAGCAGACGATTTTGCAACTAGTGTGCATCACCGAACAGTACGGACGAAGGATAGAGGTGGCGAAAGCGGGGATCTGTTGGGGGCATGTGGGGTCCTTAACTTAAGAGAGCCAACCTGCAGGGACAAAGTTCGCGATGGCTCGGCAACTGTGCGAAGTCATCGCCAAACCAGACCAATCCCCAGGCTAATACCAATGCAGTCACTCTCAACATACGCGAGCCCCTGAGGGAGATCCTGAAGGAACAGCAATCAGGTTTTCTAGAAATATGTAATCAATCATTTTTGAATATTTTGCATATCAATGTCGATCTTGGCTGATGACAGGATGGTTGTGATGGTTTCAACATGCGATGCCTACGAGATCTTGATGCAGACAGTCTTGATCTCGAGGAAATTGTTGAGCGAGTAGTTAGGCTCTCCCTCCCTTCCAGTCCCTGACGATTTGTAACCACCAAACGGCATATCTCGTCCAGTCGTAGGGCTTGTGCAGTTGACTCCAATTGTTCCCGCCTCGAGGCCCTTGGCGAACCGCAGCGCGCGATCGATGTTCTTTGTGTACACCGCAGCGTAAAGTCCGTATTCGGTATCGTTGGCCTTCTTCAACACCTCCTCTTCCGTCTTAAACACATTGATGTTTACGACAGGTCCGAAAACTTCCTCCTTCATAATCTGCGCATCTTCGGGTGTGTTGGTGAAGATGGTAGGCTGGATATAGTACCCTTCGCGGTCGGACGGAGCGCTTCCACCTATCAGAAGCTCCCCAGACTGTTTCCCCATCTCAAGGTATCGCAACACAGTCTTGTGCTGCACCTCATCAGCCTGGGGGCCATGGCTAGTGCCCTTTTCGAGCGGGTCGCCAATCGCGACGTTCTTCCATTGGTCCTTGAATAGATCGATATATTTTTGCGCAATAGTATCTTGAACATAGACACGGGAGTTCGCCATGCAAACCTGGCCACTGTTCCATTGGATGCTGTATGCAGTCTCCTTTACTGCTGCTTCGAGGTCTGCATCCTCAAAAACCACCGCAGGTGACTTTCCACCTAGTTCTAGGAAGACTTGCTTCAGGTTAGATTTAGCTGCAGCTGCTTGGATTAGACGTCCAGTGCGACCGGAGCCAGTGAACGATAGTGCGCGAACATCCATATGATGGCTGAGGATGGACCCAGAGACATTACCAAAGCCGGTAATGATGTTGATCACACCAGGGGGAAAACCTGCCTTTTGGACCAGGGTAGCCAATTTGGCAGACTGTGATCTCATCAGCCCTATCCATCGAATTGGGACGAAGACTACATACCGTCAGTGGTGCCTTTTCACTGCTCTTTAGAACGACCGTGTTTCCAACGATCAATGCAGGAGCTAGTTTGCTGGCGAGGAAGAGCAATGGTACGTTCCACGGAATGATCGCAGCAACTACGCCATATGGCTGGCGTAGGGTCAAGTTGATGAAGCCTGGAGTTTGCACGCTCGTGGTGCCTTGTACGGAATATCCGACCTCGGAATAATGCTCCCACTTTGAAGCGCATGCATAGGCGTCGAAGAATGCTCCCAGAGGTTTTCCCATTGAAGCTGCCTCCAAGGCTCCCAGCTCGTCATTGGCCTCGCGAATAAGAGCAGCAAGCTTCTTGAAGTACGGGGCACGTTGATCTGGGGAAAGGGCCGACCATGATGGAAATGCAGCCTTTGCAGCGGCGACAGCTCTGTCAGTGTCTTCCTCGGATGCTTCATGTACTGCTTGACATGAGCATCTGGTGCAACGGAGCGAATGATTATAACATATTTACAAACCTTTCGCAACGAGTTTCAAGGTAGCTGGATTATGAATATCGAATGTCTTTCCATTAGAGGATTCGGCAAACTACAGAACTGATTAGAACTGGAATAGCTATCGACATTCTCGCTTGTACCTCTCCGTTGATGAAGAGACGAGTCTCAATTTTCTCAGGCAGACCCATTGTTCCGGACTGTACAATTGATGAAACGTTTGTATGCAGATAATTCTATCTGTATCTTGCAAGCTTCAACCTAATTGAGGTCTTAATTAATCGAGGATGCTGGAAAGGAGTTGTTGATCAAAGCTTTTGGTACTTGTATGAATGAAGTCGAAGTAACGAAGAGGAATCCAAATTGGTCCTTCGCTATGAAATGTTAATCTGGATGCTGAGCTGGGTATAGAAACGATAACTGTTACACGTAGGAGCGACTACTAATCGGATGGATCGGAAGGTTGTTGGCGAGGGGCCTCTCGCTGTCACGACCCCACATGATGATCGTTTTGGCTGTTCGGAGGGGCCAAATGCTAGCGCTTAGTCCCCCCCGCTCAAGACTTATCCCAGCTTGGGGATACCTTCAACACGTCGGTTTAATTGCACCGTGTACCCAGCACTTCCTTTAATTGATTGCCGGACCAATGGATGGAATTTGTTTGCGGAGGTAGCTCGGAATTATCCCAATTGTGTCCTGGGGCGAGATCAATGCTTGCAGCATCCATTTGCTCGCGCAGGCGGCGGTGTTAGCTACAGCCCTAAGGAAGCTTCTGTCGTGAATATCAATCCTAAATCAGCTTAAGAAGGACGAACTCCGTCTTCGAAACTTCATTCATTCAGACAAAATACCAGAAGCTACTTCTTCATTGTCCAATAATCAATATACAACATGAGTGACATTGAAGAGCTCAAGAAGGTGGTTGCTCAATTGCAGAAAGAGGTTACCCGATTAGGTGGTAAGTAATCGATAAGAGCTCATATAATGGCTTAGTAATCCACAATTGCTGAAGCTCTCCAGATCAAGAAGAAGTCCGCAAACTCCAGTACAAGTACGGTTACTATCTCGACAAATGCCTGTACAAGGAGGTAAGGTTCTCGGACACATATTTGAGGATTTACGACTAATGAAATGTCTCCAGGTCGCCGAGCTTTACTCCAACCATCCGGACACTTGTGTTGAATTCCTAGGCGGCCGGTATAATGGCAAGGACGGTGTCAAACGGCTGTACATCGGTCGCTTCGCCAAATCCTTCGTGGCAGGTCGTAATGGCCCTGTGCATGGGTTCTTACTAGACCATCCCCAAATCCAGGGTATCGTCGATGTCAACCCTGAGGGGACACGCGCCAAGGGCCGGTTCCGTAGCATGATGTCTGCTGGTACCCATGAAAGTATCAAGGACACACATCCTCGTGGACTTGTCCAGTGGTGGGAGGGTGGTATATATGAGAATGAGTACATCAAAGAGGATGGTGTATGGAAGATCTTCAGATTGAAGTATTTCCCATTTTGGCATGCTACTTTCGAGAAGGGGTGGTCATACACGAAGCCGAACTATGTTCCCTTTCTGTCAACCACCTATCCCGAGGACCCGAATGGTCCAAATGAGCTCTGTGAGAATCCTATGTTGTGGCCAGACACCCGGGTGGTTCCGTTCCACTATGAGCATCCAATCACAGGCGAGCAGGTAGCAGATGATGATCTGAGGGCACCGGAGTATGGTCAAGACCCCAGCTCGAGTACTCCCGCGCTCAAGTTGAGCAAGCCTGCGTCTGATCCATAGGTTCAATTTATATCCACTTCTTTTACGAGCAAAAACAAGCGAACTCAATGCAATTCGATTCGTGCAGTGAGACAAGCCAATTTTCAGAAGTCTTGCGAACGTTCCCCATACACGGTGTTGGACTTGTAGGCCGCCAATTCTGGCGGCAATTGATTGCGAAGGCATCTATCATCTTCCCTATAGTCCTCTCCCCTATTTTACACCCTATCTCGTACTCTTGCGTTGATGTAGGTGCATTATGATCGGCAGAGTTGAATATTATTTTGTAGCAACACGACTTACTGTCTGAACAAGCATGTCAAGCTAGCCATCATATTGAATCTCCAGTGCAACTCACTGTGTCTGTGTACTCCGTTGTAGGTAGTGCCTGCTCTTTGCTCCAATTCTGGCCTGTTTCGCGTAAAATATATGGTCCTTCAGCATACAAGTAAATATCGTTCTCTCCGCAAGTAGTGAGTAGCAGCCGAACGAGTTGATAGTCGAAACTTCAATTGTTGACTGAGTAGTTGAGATATCAATTTCAAGGTAGTCTATCATTGATATCTGATTTCCTCTTCCTTCTGATCAGTAATTTCCAAACTTCAAGCATCACACGTTCTTAGTCAAAGCCTGGCACATGCAAATGTCGACAGCCAAAGAAATTATTTTCATTTGCATGTAGGAGTTCAAGATCTTAGTCTGCATAACTTGATATATATGACTTCCGATAATGTTTATTTGGATCATATGGCTCCTCGCCTAATATGAGATCTTTGGAGTCATTACCACTGCTTGTATTTCCTCTCTAGTTATAGCGATTACACCTCAAGAGGTAACTTGAATAGTCTGATCGCATTAATTCTCCCTACAGCCTCCTTCTGGTCTTCAGGCAGATCAACACCTTTCCACCAAGTCTGACCTTCTTCCACGGTCTCATATGGTGTATCTATACATCAATTAGTCCGTTGTTGGCGCATTTTGTGGCTCTACTTACCAATTGCATAAAGACATCGATCCAATCCAATTTCCTCAATACAGAACTTCAGTCCACGAGTGTTATAATTCCCTGATGTCGTGATAGACACATTGTGGGTGAAATAATAGGAATAGTCTTGCTTCATCGGCCTTGATCCTCTCTTCCAAGGATGATTGATCCAATGGCTGGCCCTCCAAAGATTGAACGGAATACTAACACTATGTTAGATAAGCCGAGGGTCTGCATTTTGCATAACTTACCCTTCACCGAGATGTCCTGCTACTATCTGGATCTTAGGATACTTGTCAAGAAACCCCGAAGACATGACCGCATAGAGATGCCAACTCAAATCGAGATGGAATTGCACACCAGCACCTAACAAATGCTTGCGATCGCCATATTTTGTTCCCGCTTGGAGATCTTGCTGGATGGCATATCGGGGGTGAAAGTAGATCGGGACATCAAGTTCTTCGACAGTCTTCCAGAATATATCGTAATCAGGGGTGTCGAAGTAAACTTTCTCATCCCCATTTGCGCCCTTCGATTGGAAATCATTGACCAGTCCGCCGAACATGCCTAGCTCTTTCACTGCTCGCCGCAGTTCGTCTGCTGCATCCTGGGCATTGTGCATCGACAGTGCAGCCAATGCACCGAAGCGTTGCGGGTTCTTCTTGACTTCACCAGCAAGATAATCATTTGCGACTGACGCCAGCTTCTTTGCCTTGGCTTCATCTGGCTCGCCTTGGGCCCCGGGAGCTGTCAATGAGAGTAGCATGTATTCCACGCCATGCTCGTCCATCTTTTGCAGACGTTCTCCATGGATATCGAGAAGCCTCTTTTCGTGAGCTGACAACCCTGTTGTCTGATCGCTACCTGGCCTCATCAAGTTTTGGAACTGGGCGAAGCTATGGGCTTCAACACCAGCCTGATCTATGATCGCTTCTTCGATTGCTATCGTGCCTCTCATGGTGCCTTGTTTGAGAGCAATCTTTGATAGAAGTTGTAACGGAGCAAGTGCAATTGAATAAAGAAGGTGCTAAGACTAGAGATATCGAATCCTTTCGGTGCTCAATACCTTGGACCTCGAATTCTTCTGCTATCCAGCAGGGACGTATCACCATCAACTACATACATTGCGTGCATCCGTCCGCCCCGCCATATTACCATACATGCGACGCCCCATGCAAGTACCGGGTATCGTTGAGGTATATGTTCGTGGCGCAGATTAAGCTTTCAAACATATATCGGTGGTATATGACCGACGCTCTCATACATGTTCGAGACTCGGGTTAATTTGGCCGATGGGAAGTGAACCCTGTCTTTCACTCGGAGCTACCCCGCGTTCTACTATTCCCCACATCGTCCCAAACGGGAAGTCTAAAAAATGGTCAGGAGTGTAGGTATGCTGTTTCCGGGCCATGTGGGAACATTGCGCTTTCAAGAATATCAATAGGCCGAGGTTCGAAATTATCTGCGACCTTGTTACACGATAGAGGAATCGACAACCACTCGCCAATTGACATGGCACACATTTTTGCGCTAGCTGAGCCAGCAAGACCAGCATATCATGAGGGTAATCGTAATGGAGATCAAGTTAAATTCCCAGACACTGGATTTTTCCAAGGATTCAATAAGCCCTCACGTTTAGAAGCCGACATCTTCGAGCTGGAAACCACGGGCGAAATTCCAAAGGACATCAACGGCACGTTCTATCGCATACAGCCGGACCATCGTTTCCCACCATTATTCGAAGAAGACATCCATTTCAATGGCGATGGGTCGGTTTCCGCGTTCCGGTTCGAGAATGGACATGTGGATTTCCGACAGCGATATGTGCATACTGATCGCTTCAAAGCGGAGACAAAGGCTAGAAAGGCATTGCTTGGGAAATACAGAAATCCATACACGGACAACGAGATGGTCAAAGGAATAATCAGAACGGCGAGTAATACAAACATCACGTTTTGGCGTGGGGTCCTGCTCGCGTCGAAAGAAGATGGCCCACCTTTTGCCATGGATCCCGTAACACTGGAGACTATTGGACGCTACGATTTCGACGGTCAAGTTCAGTCTCCTACTTTTACAGCGCATCCTAAATTCGATCCTGATACTGGAGAGATGGTTTGCTGGGGGTATGAAGCCGGAGGTGATGGCCACGATGCAAGCTGCGATATTGTAGTCTACACCATCGACAAGGACGGCAAGAAAACGGAGGAGTGCTGGTACAAAGCACCTTTCTGCGGAATGATACATGATGGTGCTATCACAAAGAACTTCCTTATTTTACCTTTGACACCAATCAAAGCGGATGCTGAGAGACTGAAGAGGGGAGGGAATCATTTCGCTTGGGATCCGAATGAGGACCAGTGGTATGGTATTGTTCCACGTCGCGGTGGCAAGCCTGACGATATCATCTGGCTGCGTGCAGACAATGGTAGGTGTTTTTATTTTCCTCAAGTCTGTCTCGGATGCTAACATGCGTAAGGTTTCCACGGCCACGTCGCTGGTTCATACGAAGATGAAGAGGGCAAAATCGTAGTCGATTTAACCGTCGCCTCAGACAACGTATTCTTTTTCTTCCCGCCAGACAACCCAACACCGACACCAACAACCCTTCTTCAACGCAACAAACTAATTTCTGATACATACCGCTGGAAATTCGACCCAAAGGCTCCCACGAACACCCGTGTCACGCCTACTCTCATCTACGGCATCAACGGCGAATTCTCGCGGGTCGATGACCGCTACCTCACGCACAAATACAACCACTTCTGGCAATGTCAGATTGACCCAACACGGCCTTACGATTTTCCCAAGTGCGGTCCCCCAGCTGGCGGTTTATTCAACGTGATCGGTCATTTTGAATGGGACAGCTTATCTACAAGCGATGGTGAAAAGAAAGAGCCGGTCAAAGACACATGGTGGGCAGGTCCAACAACGACATTCCAGGAGCCGGTCTTTGTGCCAAAGGAGGGGAGCAACAAGGAAGGAGAGGGGTACCTTATCGCTCTCCTAAATCATCTAGACGTTCTACGAAACGATATTTTGATCTTCGATGCACTGAATATCAGTAAGGGCCCGCTTGCAGCAATACATCTGCCCGTTAAGTTGAGATTGGGTCTGCATGGAAATTTTATTGAGCAGAGGGAAATTGATGAATGGGCTGAGAGAAGGAAGGAGGGGGGAGATATTGGCCCGGCTAAGCCTGCTAAGGAGCCGCTTCCGTGGCAAAAGAAGTTCTTTGAGGAGCATGGGTTGACTGGTGTGAAGGCTTTAGAAGGTCACAGTACTGCTAATGGGAGGGTCGGAGTAAATGGGCACTAGGTGCTCTGTGAACATAGTCACACTTCCTTTTCGCCGTAGACGTAGCCAATAAAAGGCAAATCTTCGAGACCACAGGGCTTGTCAAATAATCCATTAGTCTATCTGTTGTTTCGTTTTGAAGACCATTCCAAAGGATTATCTATCAACACCTGGTACGCCTCGCTATAACGCTGGACCATGTTTGAACATAGCGTATTTAGGTGCTTCGAGATTCCTCCTATAGATCACCAATGATTGTACGCCTGTCCGAGTGTACTCAATGCGCTTCCAGCAGGGTTAAGGAGAAAGCCGGGGGCCGCCCAAAACATAGCATAGCGGTGGACGTCAGGCTGGCTATCCAGCCATGGGAGTACTACGCTCAAGAACCCAAGTATCTGTGCATCCGAACCAAACACACCGAACTCTGTGATCCAGATCGGCCGAGTCTTAGCAATGTTCCGAGTATCGATGACATGGCGCTTGAAAAGCTCGACGTCGGAGTATGAACCGTACCTTCGAATCACTTAGATAAGCTCTGTACGTTTTCTTTTATGAGGCAGTTACATACCAATGAATACAGACGAAGTCTATCTTGCAGTCAGTGCAACCTTCGAGGAACAGCTTGAGATACTCGACCCCTACTGGCCCTCTGTTGCCAATCCGACGACCGTTGGTAACTGCAGGAGAGCCGATCAAGACCTTCTTGTCATAACGACGGAGCGGCTCCATCCATCTCTTATGTGCAGCGACGATTTTACCAAGATTGAGCATACATGCGCCTCCGTTGCTATTGATGGTTTGTAAGTACACGCATGGGCCAAGTTTGTTATCAAAATAGGAATGCATATTCATACCCGCACTGATCTGGCTCATTGAAAGACAGCACATGGGTGGTTCCAGGGCCCGCCTTCGCGTATATGTCCACATTCGCGAACCAGTCGCGAGTAAGGCTTGGTGCATCGCTCCAGAGCATCGGAACAAATTCGTACGGACCGGCCGGGCCTTTGAAGGAAGATGCCCAATTGTACATCCACGTAGTTCGGTGTCCATTTGTGTTGAATGACTTTGTAAAAGACGCATCGTTGAAAGACACTCCCCTACGATTGTTACCGGCAGTCTCCGATACAGATGCGACTTGGGTCTGATTCCAGAACATTGGAGCAGCACGGACATACATGCTGACAAGAGACGAGAAACAAAAGAGCAAGCCCAAAGGCGTTGTGTCGGCGAACATTGTCGTAGTCGAGGTATGGGTGGGTGACAGTGTCGGTGTGTACCATAGAACCCTGGGGGTTTATGTAGAGAGGTAAACAGGACTGAAAGATGGTACTGCAAGCGAGATTTTATCGTGTATTCACGTCTGTGCTTGATGCAAGTGAGTGAAATGAGCTCAACTTCCTCACTGGTTGCCTTCACTGGACCCCTTTTGGCCTGAGGCTGGCCGGATTGACGACTAAAGATCCAATGGATATATTGCTAGGATAGATGCAGCATGAAGATACCTGAATGTAGTTTTCCAGACTGCCGAGCTACATGGCGAACAGTATAAATGAGTGTCGATTCTCGATATCCCAGGCAGAAACATAATGGGATAGTGGGGGAGCCATTGGGCGAAAGTGAATATAAATAGTGCCTACAGTGCCACTTTGCCTATGAGAGTTGGTTGATCCTGTTCATTGCGCCCGTTGTTACAGTCTTGAAAATTACCTCAACAACATCAGAGCCTACTTCTCCATCATAGTTTTATCGAGTCGATAGAATAATGATCATGTCCCTATACAACATCCGCAGAAGATATATGGAGAGAATCTGGACTCGGACTCCAATATTCTATAGTACCATTGCAATCCCGTCGTCTAATGCATCAGTACAGTACTTCTGGGCTTCGGGTGAGGGCCTCGCCCCAGGGAAGGTTCTACTACATTCACCTGAAGGTTAATGATTCTTAAACTACCAATTTAGTGTTGATCATTGAGATATCTGCACAACGATGTACTTCAACAGGGTACAACAGTTACCCAACCGTCCTCCATAACCGCCACACGCCCATTGTAGGCACAAATACGGACACTTGTGTCGAGAACATCCATATTATGGAATCGAAGAAGGGTTGTATCACGGGCTTGTTGGTGAGATGATGGGCAGGATTTAAATCCCATTAAACATTTTTGTTGCTGAAGAGGATGCATGTTCGTAACACCCCAGCTGCTTCAATATTTGAAGATATAAAAAGCACACTGCCACCGCTACTTTGACTGATGTACTGTGGCAGCCACCGCAACGGCGAAAATGAAATGAAGAATCAACACCGAGGGCAACGTACGAAGTTTTCTACGGCATGGCGACGGACATACCCTTCATGCATATCGACACATCGGCAAATTGGAACACTGAGTTCGAACCTGCATCTGCTACTTTCAAACGATGCGAGCGAATCTAAAGCACCGGAGTTTACAATTTAGGATCGCTATATTCTCCGTAGGGGGATGACAACACGTAGAACAAGGCCACCCGAGAACCGTTGGGGTACTCAAGGCTTTCTTTTCGATGTAGATTCGAGGGCGTTATAGTTGCAATTAACAAGTGTGGCTTGTTTCCAGAATGGACATAGGGCGAGCAGGAGTATTTCATACGAAATAGTTACCGTCGGACCCTTTTCACTACTAGTTATCGCAAGGGAAGGCGTAAAGGAAACTCAACCTTTCGTTCCGTTTCACGAGTTTGTAGAGGCATCTATTCCGTGGTGGACTAGGCCTAAAGAGAGAGAAATTACCGATATAGCTCTGAGAGATAAGACAGAAGGATTTGGAGGTAACTACATATGTTACTAATCTACATACATACTTGTACTGGTCGTATGTGCAATTCTGTTAAGTATGTCGCAGTGGTCGCCTAGTTAATGTCGAAACCAATTAACTAAAGGCTGTATCTACTTTGAATCGTGCTCGTTGAGGGATATGATGATGGAGTATGGAGTAGAGGTGAAGATCTTCCAAAGAATCTCATACGAAAATACCATCATTTCGACGAATCGAATTACGTCGTTGAGGTTTTCGAGAACTTATAGTGCTGCTTGTTATCGCATTACTCCCCTGCGACGTTGATTTCAGCCTCGTGATTGGCGCAGCCATCTACAGATCGTTATTCGCCTCAAACCATGCGACCGACAATCTTCAATCCTCTCATCACGCAGAGCATATCTATTCGCATTTTCTCCGTTTCGTGATACGTCCTGTCACCTCAATACAATTCCATCAAAAGCCCCAATCACCATTTAACCCTCCATCCTCGTCCTCCCTCCGTCTGACGCATCTAGTTCCATCTCCGCCTGGTCCCAAGATATGCCATAGTGCAACCCCACAGTACACGTTTCTTAGATTGACCAGTCGAGACGATCGCAATAGATGAGTTAATCAATCCTCGACATTTTCCCGTGGTTGCGCCAATCTAACGACCCCGGCAAGCGAGCGAGAATGCTTGCTCCATGCAAGCCTCGATAATAATGGCCGGCGGTGGCGTCGGAAATCACACCTTATTTAATTCTAGAAAATAAAAGAGATAATGCAGTGGGGTTTCGACGGAGCTTCGTTGGAATTAATTGATAGGAAGTCTGTTCACCTCGTCGCCCCGAGTTTCTTTGCTGCCAGAAATTCGTTGGAAAATTCGGTACCGCATATGCAACAACGGGGTTCATCGCGGTTCAAACATGTTGATAACATGTCGGTTCTGTCGCGCTCCATCACCCGTACTGCGGTTCTGAGCACCCTAGTCTTCGTCCTGTGTGCCATCGTTCTGTTCTCTGCCGACAGCAGAGATCACCAAAGAGCGCATCATGGACGACAGTCGCACCGCCATGCCGTATCGAGCGCGAAGTCTTCGCAGGCGGAGAAAGCGCTCGAACGGATGGACCTCACAGAAGCGCAATGCAACAATGCATTCCCCAGCTTGAACATACCGATCCAGGACTCGGTAGCGCGTGGCAAGTTCGTCTTCAACGTGTCTGATCCTGAGTACAAAGGCTTGGTGCAAGGCCGTATACGGAACAACCAGGTACGCATACATTCCTTGATGTGATCCCCCGCAGTTTCTAATAGCTTTCTTCAGCTCTATGTGCTTTCTGTTGCGCCAGACACAGTCCCTGATATCCTCCATCAGCGAACGGCCATCTTGCAACAGATCCACCGAGCACTTTTGACAGCGCCGGAACGAGTCCCAGACACCCATTTCGCGTTCGTCATCAACGACAGTCCCAAGAATAATTCCTGGACGTTCGCTCGCGAGAATAAGAACTCGAGCAGCTACAACACATGGCTGATGCCGCATTTTGGATTCTGGTCATGGGAGAGAGACGGCCTCGGTACGATGGACGACATCATGCAGCGCATCGACGACATCGAAAGAGTCAGAGTGTGGGACGAGAAGCTTGCGAAGCCGGTGTGGAGAGGCACGGTTTGGTTCAACCCGTTGGCGTACCCGAACCTACGCAAGGATCTGGTGAAACAGGCTGGAGGCAAGGCGTGGGCGAATGTGCAAGCACTGAGGAAATCCTCCGCCGGCGACAACGGGCTGAAGATCGAGGATTTTTGCAAGCATAAGTATGTGGTGTACACGGAGGGCGTGACGTATTCTGGGAGGCTGCCGTATCACCAGGCGTGTGAGAGCGTGCTGCTCACTGCTCCACTGACGTACCTAACGACAACGGCGTACTGGATAAAACCGATAAATGCCGATGTTCTCTTCTCATCCTTTGGTTATAGAGAGGCATCGAGAGCGAAGCCGAATGTTGTTCCGTTACTACCAACTGTGAAGGACTGGCGGGAAGCTAACGCGATCTACATTGCACCCGACTCGTCGAATTTGGAATCCACCATCGCGCTCTTGGAAAAGAACCCAGATGTTGCAAAGCGAATAGCGAGGAGCCAGAGGAGCACGGCCGTAGAAAGAGGATTTCTTCGCCCTGCGGCAGAAGTGTGCTATTGGAGAGCACTCATTCGTGGGTGGGCTTCAGTTGCAGAGATTGAAGGCGGGGGTTGGGGCGAGGATGTGGGTGAGAGGTTCGAGACATGGATAGTAAAGCAGGTGGTAGCATCGCAGGAGAGTGGTAGAGGAAGAACACGGTGGGACAGCAAGCATACCAAAGGAACACAGTTAGTGTCATGATTCCAACAGTTAGGTTCATAAAAGATGCACATACAAAGACAAAGTCACAGTGAAGAAGACATAATGTTGTGAGAGGGTGTTTATTGTTTTGATTGCTATCTGAAGATGAAAATGTTCGCTGTAATACTTGACTCAAACCTTGATGCTTGCCTGGGATGTTGTGTTGATGTTGGATGTTAGATGTTGGATGTTGGATGTTGATGTTGGATGTTGAAAGTTGAAGTTGAAAGTTGGATGTTGAAAGTGGATGTTGAAAGTTGAGGATTGGATGTTGTAAAGTTGAGTGAGAAAGAGTAGTGGTTGATGTTTGGTTGGTTGGTTGATTGGATGTTGGATGTCGAAAGCCTAAGCAGGCACCATTGATAATAACCATGTCGAAGGCCTAAGCAGGCAACCCTGATGATACCCATATGTTGAAGGCCTAAGCAGGCAACCACGATAGATACCGAGCATATAGGTAATCGAAACCCAGTCACCGGCTAGAGAGTCCACAATTCAACAATCTGCGTAACAGATGTAACGATTTGAACGAGGCTAGCTCAAGCTCAAACTGAAACAGAGATGCAAGAGGCAGCTATGAACAGTTGATAGGCCACAGACACAAAACACAGAGTGTAATATGCTGCTCAAATTCCACACAGTCAACTGTTCAATCCGGAAATCACAGAACATATGACCATATTCATGTGAAGTCCAAGCCAATGACACTGTCTCTATTCTTGACCTGAGCAAGCAGTCACGAAGAGTGCAAGCCGCTGAAAGAGGTGCAGTGAACATTGGCTTCAACAAGGAGTCGAGTCGAAAATTGGCAGATCGGAAAACGGCAAATCGGGAAATGTCGAATCGGAAAGTTGAGTGTTTTTGAAGTCGAGGAGGCAGGCAAGCATCTAGGTTGAGTGAAGCAGAACAGAAGAACAAAAAAGAAAACAAAAAAGCAAGAAGCAAGAACGCTGAAAAACTGTAATCGTCAGTAGGGAAAGGTTAGTGAGAAAGGAAGAAGACATACATGAACATCTTGAAGTTGAGAGCGATGGTGTGAATGAGGTGAAGAAGCCAAGCTTATGAAGTCATGTCGATGATGATTCATGTTGAAGTTCAAGCATGATCGAGGTTGGTTGTGGTGGTAGATGGTATGGTTGGTAGTGGATGATCACATGAAGTGAAGGTGATGATACATCATGATGATGTTCATTGAGGTCGACAACTAAGAAGACATGTTAGAAGAAGGAGAAGAAGAACAATGATGGACATGAGTGAAGGACATACATGACTGAAGCTGAAAGGCTGATCAAGCATTGATGGTGGTTGAAGTCAAGCTTGGTTGGTTCCATGTTGGTCAAGTGAAGGTTGGATGTTGACATAAGCATGAAGCTTAAGTGAAGGTGGATGATGTTGATGACCAAAGAAGATGTTGTGGATGGAGGTCATGTTGGAAAGAGACCGATGGAAGAAGACATGACTTGAAATGACTCTTGAAAGAGTGGAAGAAGTGGTGGGTTGGTGTGTGGGAAGAAGAGGAGATCGTGGGAAACGTATGGGGGGGAGAGTTTATATACTCTCAGTGGTGCTAAGCGAGAAATGATCATGTGACGAGCAGTCTAACGGTATTGAGCTGTCGCGATGCGTCCAATATTACCGGAAATGGGGTTTGAAGCCTGAGGGAGCGTCAATTGTTGCCTGAAGTGGCGGGTGGAAGGCCACAGAAGGGCAGGTGAAGGTGGAAAATTGAGGCGGGAGTCGGTAGGACGAAGCTTCAGGATCATGAGGGAATACGGCTTTAAGCGACGGGATTTTCGTTTCTGGGCGATAATAAAGTTATAGATGGAGAGATGAAGCAATAGAGAATGCCCATACGTGAGATTTTGTGACTGAAGTGAGGTTTGCGGCAAGCGCAGCTTGAAGCTGTACGGCCTCAAAAGCTTGAAGCTCTCGCGATGGCAGGTAGAGCTCCCAGAGCAGAGCCTTGCAGCCAATGCATCACGTTGGATCTTTTGAGATGAAGGGAGGGAACTACGAAGTAGAGCATCACGAGTAAGATAGGCACGATTCAAAGTAGACTGAGTTTCAAAATCACCCCAATATGGGGGAGGAACAGTGAGGCCGGAAACTGAGGGTATACACAACATCACGAAGCCGTCTGAAAACTTTCAGTGCGAGAGCATGGCGCGATAACCTGCCAGAGACTCCGGGCTGCGTTGAGTAACATCCCTTTACAAGAGCTTGCATTTCAAAGCCGAAGCTGGCGAGCACATCTGGCCGAGCATCACTTCATGATCTCAAGACATAAACAGCATAAAAAGGCCAGCATCACAAAGTTGAAGCCAGCACTACCTTCTACAGAGCCTCTCGAGACTTCTCTGGCACGCCCTTCCTCACTTTACGACCCTGGCAACAGCGCATGAACGGAGTGTATGTACCAGTGATATTAGCTACCCGGACGGCACATCATAACCTCAATACAAGGACAGCAAAACAAGACCTTAGATCTCGTAATCAAACACTATCATATTTCTGGCACCACTGCTACTCAAAGATCCTCCATGAATCCGCCCAGACAGCCCATGCCCGCCGCATACCCCCAATCCCAACCTTCGACATCGAGACCTTTCCACCTCCATCCCAGAGCTCACACATATGCCATTACGCTTCCAAAGCCCTCCCTGATAAACTTACCTACCTTACAGCCTACTAGACACCGAAAGTCCTCGCCGTGCTTCAGCTAAACTTGCGTACGCCGTCAGTGACCGACCAGCAGCACACCCACGAGCGCAAGGCTACCTCACGTACGCGACACGGCACTTGACACTAGAGTCCTCATATTCGCCGAGAAATCGAGACCTGCATCATATGAGCGAGTCATCTTCATGGTGGCAGCAAGCTTAAATCGAAGCCTTCGACTTTGATGCCTGTGGGACTGGGAAGACATGGTGTAGGTGCGCTTCTGGGACCTAGATGTATGCACGACACTGGAACATAGTCGCATGTTAAAGGTTCGTATAGTTCATGTCATTAATTCTAGAAACGCTATCACATATCTAAATCGTGCCACCGCTGCTCTTTCATTACCAGCATACCTCTTCCTTTTCCAAATCGACGAGCTGGGCATTTTCCGCTTGCCTCCGCCTTTTAATACGCTGTCCAGTTCCACGCGTAGAGTCTAAATCCACATCATGCGCAATCTATATCTAAGCAACACTCCATCCTCTTACATCAAAGGACGAGCGGGGAGGTCAGGACATCAATTACACCCAGCCCAACCTCCTCCCACAGATGCTAACACCACCCAGCACAGCACTGACACCCGTAAACATAACCAACGGCCCATACTCCGTCCCATACAATCCCTTGCTCCCTACGTCCCCGCTCCTCGCAAGCGCTTCGCTCACAGGACCGCAAACCACGTTGCCGATCCCGCGACCCGCCGCCAGCGCCGCAAACACCATGATCCTTCCGTCAGAGCGGCCGGTGGACTTCTGCACGGCGGCCATGATACCCGGGTAGGTGCTCGTGAAGGAGCCAGCGAAGAAGCCGTAGGAGACGCAGAAGATGAGGAGGGGCGCCATGGAGGTGGCGAAGCCCCAGATGAGGAAGACGGAGAGGGAGGTGCCGATGGTGGAGACGGCGATGCAGGTGGTGACGTGCCAGCGGTCGATTATGGTACCCATGAAGACGCAGCCGAAGACGGAGGCGACGTTGAAGCAGATGAGGGTGAGCGCGGAGATGGCGTTGCTGGCGCCGATGGAGGTCGCGATCGTGGGGAGGTAGATCGAGGGGACGAAGTAGCCGAGCCCTTCAAGGATGTTGCCGAGTTGGAGGAGGAGGAAGGTGCGGTTGGTGAGGAAGTCGAAGTTGAAGGAGCGGTGGTTCGAGGCTTGGGATACCGGGAGACGCGGCTTGATGTAGATGGTTAAGGGTGCGGTTGCGACGAAGAGGACGACGGCCCACACGCGGAGAGTTGTGCGGAAGCCGTGCTTGTTCAGAAGGTATTGGAGGAGAAGAGGGATGACAACTCCACCGAGTCCAGTTCCTGCCTATGATCTGGTTAGCAACCAAGCCCCGATAGCTTCATACATTGATATTGAGAGACATTATCCCATGTTAAAAGCTGATTGGGAACTCAATGATGCACAAACTTACCCACATAACACCAAACGCCAAACCCTTCTTCTTAACGAACCACTCGTCCATAAACTGGATCGTAGGACTGTAACCAATCGCACCGCCCACGGCGTAGAAGAACCCTTGACTGATGATCAACTGCGGCACAGTCTGGCAAAGACTACTAAGTCCCAACGACAGGCACATGATCAACAAACCTATGACAACACAGTAGCGCCTCGACTTGGGATATCTCGTCTGGAGGCCGAACACCAACGGAGCGGAGAGATACATGAAGCCCATGGCGCAGGTTCCGATGACGGCAATGTTGCGGGAGCCTTGGAAGGGAGGGTTGTTGGAATAGTACTCCTGGAAGATACCGTATGAGAATGGGAATCCTGTACAATTTGACAATCAGCATGACAGTTCCTTAATTGAGAGCGATATCTTTGTTTGTGCCGACTGGACTTGGGAACTTGACTCACCCCAGACTAGGACTTCAATCATGAACGCGGCGAACAGGAAACCCCATGCGTCTTTCCCGCCGTCGACTGGAGGCAGTGCGGATTCATTCTCATGGACTCCATCAGATACTGATAATTGCTCCAATTCAATGGCGGAGCCGTTGCGTGAGAGGTCGTTCGGAGTTTGTGGCAGCGAGGGGAGAATGCCGAGTTCGGCGTTGCTGGGTCCCATTATGGAAAGACGGATCAACTCGCTGGGGAGTCAATTAGGTCAATGAATGATCCTCCGCAAATATTTTTCAAATCAACTGCTCGGACGAGGAATTGAAATAGATGTAGTGTTTAAAAAACCAGCTGTGGTGAGGAATATCGGTATTTAAACAAGACCTTAGGAGTTCAATTGGCATTTAATTCCGAAGCTTGGGAGAATAGTGGATCTACGGGATGGGGGGAAAGGAACGGTTATTGGCGTAGACGACAGCGGGTCCTAAAACCTATTCGAGGTAGCATTCCCGTGTTACTCTTTCGATCTTCACTTCGTATGAGAGAAAATATTTGTTCTATTTGTGGGGGGAATGGTTCTTTTTCAAGAATATGTCTGATCGTGCACAGGGCATCACAGTCTTTCGTCGCTTGTATGCGGCAGGGCGTGGGAAACTGTGGAGTATGCACGCTCGGGCCGATTGGGACTAACGATGTTTACGAGATCGTGAGCGGTGACAGGTACGGTTCTAGAATGGTGACAGATATTGTGAACACGAGCACGATGTAGAAATTTTCATTTGTTGCATTATTGTATGATTTCCTATGACGCACAGTGTATATACGTACAGCGCAGCTGTCTCGCTAAGTCTTCGTATACATGAAAAAATTTATGTCTGCTTTGACGCCCGCTAGCTTTGCCATGCCATCCTTCGATATTCAAACAGTTGAAGGAGAAAGAACTAAGAAAAGGTGATTTTTGCTGAGAAGAATAGAATGACCGTAAGACCACGGCGATGTGCGCAAAGATGCCATCGATAACCGTCTATCTCACAGCATGTCCCATCCTGAATGTAGCTGAGTCCTTGTCCCAACCGCCTTCGCCCTCAGCTCGTCCTCTATGAGGGTAATAGCGCTCATCACCTGCATCGCTCCGGCTCCTTCTCTTCTTTGTATGTTGCCTTGCGCCATATCCACCGAGTAGCAAGCCTGCTGCTGTCCCTAGCCCCGGCACAATAGCGTCGCCAATTAGACCACCGACGCCGGCTCCCAGAAAGGTGTTGCGGTCTTTCTCTCTACGCTCTGATCGCGATTTGTGGTGTCGAGAATGGTGGTGGTCACGGTCGCGATCAAGGCTCGATGACCGGCTTCTGGATCGGTCGTATGAGCGAGAGTGAGAGTCACGATTCTTGCGCCGTCGGCGATGCCTGGTTGAGTGGTCGCTGTCCGATGGAATCGAGCGTCCGTCGGAGGAATCAGAGTCGTACAATTCGTCCTCAAACCGGACTCGTTGAACCCGCGGGGGTTGAGAGTGACTGCGATGGTGCTGAAGTGGTGCACCTAGGTGGTCGGACTGAGAAGATTGTTTCGGGGGGGGCGGAAAGTACTGTGGCTTCATGGTGTCCAACTCTGGGTACGGAGGCACAGATATCTGAGGTGGTGCATGTTGAGGGTATTGGCTATGGGAAGTTTGCTGCGGGAACTGTTGATGTTGGTAGCCGGGCTGCTGATTGTATTCCGAGTATGCTGGTGGCGGCGGTTGATTATTCGACTGGAACGGTTGGCTTATTTGATTCGAGGGCCGCTGGAACTGATATTGAGAGTGTTGAGGAGGATAGGGTTGTTGGGTTAAGCTAGGTTGACTACCCGCACTGGGGTTGTAGTATTCCATGGCAGTCATCGTGAATTGTATTGATCGATGAAATGTCGGGTGTTGTGCTTCGTAAGACACTGGAATATATCTATTGATTAGGAGTGAATAGTAGTGGCGTAGGCAAAATCTAGTCTACATCGCCCGAGACAGGTAACGGTCTCGTGCCGGTGTCATCGGAGCACCAACTTCGCCTTGTATACGTCATACCATCGTCTTCACCGGCGAAAGGTTATCCTGTGGTCTGCCTGAAGTCGCCATCGGGTGGATCGGAATGGTCTTGGCTGTGAGGTTTGCTCGGCAGCTATTCGCAAGGCTGCGGTAAGCACGCAGTGATCCACATTCAACGAACGACGGCCCATGTTAGCCGAACTATTTCCATGTTCGTGGCCACCAAATGAATCACAAGACTTTCGTACGAGCAAGAAGATAAAAGTGTATGCTGAATTACGGGGTATCTGAAGAAGTAGCAACACGTGTGAAGATTATGTTTATGCTGTGACGAGAGCGAGTTCTAGGACGATCATTGTCCGAGAGGAATCCAAGACAAGGAAGATCAACGCCAAGAAGTGAACTAAGGTAGATTGTGCCGGGCCAATCACAATCACAGACTCGCACGCAGAGATATTGGTAAACTGCAATGCATACTGGACACCATTCAGGTTTTTGCGTCCTGTGCCAGAACAGGCTGAGCTGTGTCTTTTTGGGTCGAATTTGCTTCGAGGTCGTCTAGGGGCCGGTTTTCGTATCCTTTCGGCACTGGCACTCCCTCAACCTTCTTGACGTATTTGCCTTCGTGATACATCATGATGCCACCTGCAGCAGCGACAGTACACCCTAAGCCGACGAACAAGCCGGTCGCCCACGATGGTCGGTCATATCTATTGTAATGCCACATGTAGAAGCACAGCACGATTTGGAACAGAGTATTCCACATGTTCATCCAGACAACGAAGTCCATTTTCCATCCTGATGTCGGCGGAGCATGGATCCCAGTCGGTGGTGGGTCGGGGATTTTGCTATGCGGGATCGGTACGGACGGATCTTCAGGGCTGACGTTTGTCATTTTTGCAAGTGCAGGCAAGCTATCCGAACCTGGGAGACGAAACCATCCTCGGTGGATGCCGGCGAGTCTTCGAATACCTGTCAACTTGCGCTTGGAACCTCCCAACCTCCACATACCCCACCAGTAGACGTCTCTGGTCCTCCATGGGGCCAATCCGAATCCCGTCACGCAGAATAGCGAGTTCAGAATCTGCGAATCGATCTCGACCCATATCCTTCGCGGCGAATTTATGTCGTCGCAGGTTGGTGTGCACATGGCTGGGGCTGCGTTGCAAAGCAGCAGGAAGAGCATGCCACCCCATGCAACGATGTTGAGGGAATAGATTGTTATCAAGAACCCAGCCGGAGTGAGGAACCATTTCCAAAAGGCTTTGAGGCCGATCACAGTCGATGTTTTCCAGGGGACCTTAGGTGGAGGAATGTAGCCATTCGAGTACTGTACAGAACGCAACGTTAGTCGGATTGACACTGAGGGTACATAGGAAATCCTTACCTGGCGTTCATTGAGAGGTCGCCGCGATTCGTCGTGACCGTCTCTATCCCTCTCCATCAACTCAGAGCTCTCCTTTTGGTATGAAGCTGGTCTATAATCACGCGCAATCTCATCGCGCTTGGGCTCTTCTGTGAATATTTGGGTCGCGGCGCTTTCGCGAGTAGGAATAACACTCATCTCCTCTTCCGTGACGGCGGGGAAAGGCTCCGTTCCGACCGCTGCGGTTTGTAGTCCAGAGGAGCTTGTCTTGGTAGGTTGTTTACCCGCTGGAGATTGCGTTGCGCTTTCCGTTGTAGCGACGGGCGTGGTGCTCGATTTCCTCGCATTCTTTCCGCTCTCTGAGGCGAGGCTCGCGCGCCTTCCTGCATTGCGCCTTTGTGACTCTTCATCCCACCCTGCGGTGCCAAATGTTCCTCCGCGAATCTCTGAGATGGATGGTGCTTTGGATGCGGTCTGCCCGGTAGCGGCCCACATGCCTAGCGGCGCATCGGCCTCCATGAGCTTGACACTAGCTGTCCGAATACGATTTGTGGCTGAAGTGATTGATGCATTGGTAGAGGTGCGTGAACGTCGCTGGGGCGTTGTAGAAGATTGCGCGGCGGTGTCAGTTGGAGAGGATTGTTGAGGCGACTGGATAGATGCTGGCTGTGGAAAGGGGACTGGTGTTGGTATGTTTGCGGCGTTTGGAGGCGCCATGGTGGGCGGGGTGATGGTAGGAACTTAGGAATGGAACGCAGGAGAGAGAATTGTTGGGTCGGACGATTGATTGAATGAATGGTAGAGAAGGAACAACGAATGTTGCTGTTGTTATTGTCCCAGGGCGATTCGCGTGGCGTACGTCAAGCCAAGCAGGGCAATGTGGCACTGGATGATGTTGATGTGAGTACCCCTAGCAGTTGTGCCCTGGCGAGATCCTGGTGTTGCAGGTTTATAACGTGTCAGCTGGTATACGACAAGGGCATTGTCAAGAATGTTAAACCGTGTAAAAAGGAAAAATGCAAGATGGAGAAAGAAAATCAAGAAAAAGACGATGGAATAAAATGAGAATGAAACTGGGGTGACTGGGGTGACTTTGTATCTGCACGATCAGGTCAGGGCACTTGTACTTTCGTAGAATTGTGCCAGCCCAGGCCTTCGAACCGACCCCGGATGATGATTCGATGCAGGGCTGGGCTGGACCAACAAAGTTTCAATCCTACCCAAGCCATTCGAAACCATCAATCGGAGGCTATCTCGGCGCCATTAGAGCCGTTCAAGCCATTCAAGCCATTGATGCCCCCATTTACGGCCTTTAGTGGAGCGACGCCACGTCTTTGCCATCCCCATTGAAGTCTGGTGCAGATCATGTATACGCGTATTCGGGAGGCTGACGGCATGCGATTCGTGCATCCCCACCGTACAGCGTACAATTATCCGCACGTATATCGTACACACACGTACTCGTTTTTCGCTCCCAGCTACGGGTACCTAAGACTGGCCCTACTAGTAGATACTAAGGGACTTAGACGCGATATAAAAAAACCTTCCGTGGCCACGCCGTACTCATCATACATGTAGCGCAGTGAAAAGAAAACTCTACCAACTACGCAAGATCTCGGGGAAGATAATTTGCAGAATTGTTCATTGATCAATTGTTTCATCGGCTAATCTTAGGTATTCGCAAGACCATGACGCTGCCCAGGTTGCTAGCAAGCTAAGTAGTGAATGTGTGTGGTGAAGCATCCGGGACGTGCCAAATGCTTCAGGGTATCAAGTATACATATTGAGGTAATGAGAAACGTCATCCGCAAGGCCGGCACCAACGCGTTTGCCCACTCAAAGCAAAGTCCACGCGAATCCGAAAGTAATGGACAGTCCAGACAAAGCCACTGCAAAGAGACCCGACTTCCCGTCTCCACCAAATCGGCCGTGGGGAGCGGCACCAGGGGACTCGGAGGGCGTTGAAGAGCCGCTTGGAGAACCACTTGCACTGCCGCTTGGTGTCGGAGTGGTTCCTCCCGACGTCGATGCAGACGCACCCGATGAGGAGAGTCCTGTCGAGATGGGAGTCTCTCCTTGAGGAATCGACATGATGCCGGATACGGTGTCAGTGGAGATGGGAGTCTCCCCCTGCGGTATCGACATGATGCCCGTTACTGACTCTGTGGGCGATGTAAAGATTGGCAAGATGCTCATGATGCCCTCCGTAGTCGAGCCTGAAAAGTACGTAAGAATGGAAGTCTGGGGTTGACAATGGCCATTGGTTAATTCTTATCCTTACCGGGAGGGCCCACTGTGGGCGACGCCTGGAAGTTTGTGGTGTCTGTTTGGATACTGAAGATTTGCTCGGTCGTCTCCTGTGCCGAAACGGCACTAGCGAGGAGCAGAAGGGTAGCTGGTGCTACGTATTTGACCATATTGATTGATGAATTAATGGATTGATGGATCTGATAGATGGAGTGATCGATAGATGCAACGAGTATCGACCTTGTGAGTATTCGAACTGGTATGATGTTGAAGGGTCCCAATGGCTTAATGGGATAGTTACTACGACTATGATGAGGAAAGGAAACAATGGTGATGGCGAAGGTAAATGTAAATGGGGTCAAAGGGTAAGAAGAGACAAACGGATGCCTGAGAAGTAATCAATGTGAATTGGCGGACATTACGTATGCGTACACACTGGGCACTGATGGGCATTGGTGGATTGAGTACACGATGTGACTATCCTATTGCTTGTTGCTTGTAATAGTTACTGACCTACCTGACCCAACCTAGTGCGGATATGGCCATGACGGCGAATGATGGCTATTCGGTGGTCCGAGTGGCTTAGCGGAGGTGGAGATCTTCCCTCCTTCCCGCAACAGTAACGACCCTCCTTCATTCTCTCTCTCTATTTTTTTTTATTCCTTACCCTTTCCCCTTCTGACGCCCAGAGGTCAGCCAGGTCAGATCTCAGATCACTACCAATTACTACTCGCAATTCCTCCTTGCGATGACGCACCCCGTACACATGAAACCGGCTGTACTGCCTGCCCCGCTCCAATCGCTTGTCACCGACCCAAAGCTGCAATCATCCACTACTCACCTGCCCGCTTTGCACTCGCTCGCCGTCCAAATCGAGCACAACCTGCAATATCAGCACTCGTGGACTGCTCTGCGCATCCATACCCATTCTCCTCTCACCAATGAACTACTTCCCCGTCCCTTAGTTTCTGGCGTACCACCGGAGCGAGCCTACATCGACCCAGATGAGCAGATCGAGCTGCTGAAGAAGGCAGACCAGAAACGGAAGGCAGCGACGGATGATAAGAGCGACAGCAAGCCAATCCTTGAGTTCGAGGCTCAGCCGGAGCGCGAATGGGTACTTCCCACCAGACTGAGCGAGAAATGGACCCTTCATCAACTACACGATGTGTTCACTGGCATAAGCATTGTCCCACCCGAGAATGAGACATCCCCCACGACCTCGACCAATCCTTGGAGAACCTCAAAACGAGCCATATTAGCTACGGTAGACACTGACAGCACAGTCGTCTACTACGTCATTCACGAAGGCATGATCAAGCCGAGACAGAATTGATTCCAAACATCAACCAAGGCTGCGGGCCATCTCCAGCTTCCCTTCTCGACTCGAAATAAAACCTCGCATGCGCGCGTGTACAGACAGGTTCCTTAGCGTTCATTATGCACCTTCAGGTGTAGAGAGATCATATTGCCAATTGCAGTGTGTCACCAGGAGGAGTTACAACATCTGTTCCATGCGCCAGATGCCTTTTTCCAAGCCCTGTTCAAGCTTCATAACACAAGGTCACGGTAGGCATAGTAGTCGTCCCGCAATCGCCTTGAGAAGGAGATCTGAATATGGTCTACTTCGGAAACATCGACATTCTATTTATTCAAGGGATCGCTGGCAGTACTCTATCACCCGGCGCTGGTTGCTCGTAGAAGAGCGACATGTCAACATCTGACTCTGGGGGCAACTGGCGTTCCTCTGCCCACTTTCGAATGGCCTCGAAGTCACGGCACTTATGCCGCGTATTGAAGTCAACAAATGGCAATGGCTTTGCCATATCTTTTGCCTGCCACCATACTTGGCCAAGAACGCCAACGTCCGTGACGCACATCAACTGCTGTCTGAGGATATCCAAGCAGTGCGTAACATGGTAGCGTACGATATACTCAGTATTCGAGAAAGCACCCTCTTTCTTGTCGCGATAATATTCGTAGTTCCACCATAATGCTTTCCGAAGAAGATTCTACCGGAGTTAGATATCAGCATCACCATTTTGAACCTCGCCTTTCGACGTACCAAGCAATGTATGTGATGCAATCCTTCCACATTGGCGGGGAAGCCACCTCCATAGATCTGGCTGATCTTGACCTGATCTGATCGAATTCCGGTCTTCTCCGCCTCACTCGCTGGGATAACAACGCTCCGATCTACGGAATATTAGCATCTTGATTACGTGCGAAGACTCTGGTAGTCACAATCAGCTCCTAGTGCCGCCCAAGCAGCATCCACTTCTGGCCCAGCTGCCTGTCTATAAACAGTTTCATGCAAGAATGATCCATTATACTGTCGAACGTGCCAACCTGGTTTGACTTCTTTGACAATTGGCGCTGTAAAGCGTTAGCCTTGCCTCGAAAAGCAGCTATGATCGATTGCTGATAGCACCACTTACAGTAACTTGATACGTGATTCAAGCAGGCAACGTCGATATCGTCAACAAATTGCGCATCTTTCAAAACCAAACAGACCAATATTGTGATACTCAGATATATCGCTGAACAGATAAACGTAGTTTTTACGGCGATTTTGGCCTCAGAATCATGCCTTCGACGACGTTTTCGTGCGAACCTCGATGTCACGATGTCAGCCTCAGATAGGAGGGCATCATCGTCATTCGCTTCTGAACCTTGATGACCTTTTGCCGGCTTCTGGAAAAAGCGTTGAAACATGAGGAGTGTTGGAGCAATCGTTAGTGTAGAAAGCAGAGAAAGTGAGTTATGTTGATCGTCTCTGATTCAGCTCCATAGGTGCTCGGTTGGTGCTCGATTGGCCATCGCATTCACGTCAGTCGTCATCGGAAGAGTAACCTCTATGAAGAACGCAAACAATTCTGGGCCGTTATCTGGACCACACAGTTGCAATATGGATACAACGTAGCAATCACGTAGCCGTAACACTTTAGCTCACCATTGAACTCCGACCACGTCTACAATTACCCTAGACCTTCAGAATTCTTTCTCTCTTCAGCATAGTGTTGTGTCAATCTGCTAAGTCGCAACCCTGAATGCCGTCGAACGGTCCGCAAAGGCCTTCCACGGGATTTAGAAGAACATTAGCGTTGCACGATGCGTACTTGGTCGCGCGAATTGCAATGATCTTCAGGCACTATGTGTTCACTACGGTTCTATCCCGTCATTCACAAACCTCCGGCCACTGATGAGTTGTCTCAAACTACCGCCGTCGCGGTAAATCTCTCCATCAAAGACCATCGTACTCTACTCATGCCTGAACTCCAAACTGGAGCAAACGTATACCGAATTCCGCCTTAAGTTAATATGCGCCTCGTATCAATGATTTGCTTGTGTTTCCTCAATAACGGCTATTTATTCGGAAACTAGTTACCTATGGCGGAGGCACCCGTCGCCCATCTGCACATATGGTTACGCAAGGCATTTGGTTTCGTAGGTACGCTGTAGTATTCCCTAGCTCCAACACCAGTTCAGTGGAATCATTGCACTAATCAGTACCTGGTCTGTTGTCACGATGCTATTTTCAATCTATCTTGCCGTGAACAACCATCCTGTCATCATCGATTCGATTACACAAGCACATACACCCGGCGGGTACGACGCCGTTCGCCACCAAACTATGCTCCATGCTCTTCTCCAACGTTCTTATACTTCAAGTTGTCGGATCTGCTAGGGGTTCTCGTGTTTGATCAAACAGGGTTGATGAACACAGGTCCTTCTGATCATATGATAACATACAAAATAGCGACAAAACCTCCCGCGCTCGCAAGAACTGGTGTAAATCGCGAAATCTCTGAATGTTGCTACCCATCATTGAACGTCCTCTTCGTGTATCAAGGGTCAGATAAGAGTAATTGCGAAGTTACGACGCCTTTTGTATTTAAGTCCTTCATCTCAACCCACTCGACGTCTACCTCCTTACCGACCTTCATAGTCAAATACACCACTCGAACAAATCTCATTGTGTTGCTCGTTATTTGAATCCTTTTCAAAATTCCTAAATCAAAAGCTTAACGAACCTTCTGCCACTTTTTCGCCTACCGCCACACAGTGTGAATACGGAAATGATGCATTCTCTCAACATGCTGCTCATCGTTCTGGTGAGCTTTGCATCCGTAGGATATGCAGCGCCAATGTCATCATCGAAGTCCAAGCCTATGGAGATGATGGCTGAATCTGCGGGCGAACAAGCTAAACGCGGCCAGGCGGAGAAGTATGATGCATACAGCTCATATGACCCGTACAGTGCGTACACAGACTACAGACTGTATCCTCCTGGTGCAATGGACGAGGGCGAGAATGCCAAACGTATGTTGAACACTTCCATATTTCTCCCTCTGAATTCATACTTCCACAACAACTCCCTCACGCATGACTTGCTTCATTCTTTGATACTAATACTTATCATGTAGGCGACATCCCAGCCGAGAACATGAACATGTCTCCAAACATGGTCCCGGAAATGCCCAACCCAATGGATCACAAAAGAGCAGCCATGATGACCACCAACCCCATGTCAATGATGCAAGAAGCCACCTCCTCTGGTGAAGCCCAGACGAAGGCCAAACGCATGGAACCTGTCGACACTGAGCTGAGAAAACGAGAGGATTACTCGTGGTACTCGCGATATAAGTGAGTCTTTTCTCCATTAACCTACTTGGATATGCTTTCATTCTGACCATTACTTCTCGCCAACAGCGACTACTCCACCTACGGAATCTACGATGCCAATGTCGAAAAGCAGGCCCGAGAAGAACACGCCAACCCGCGAGATGACGATGGCAACATGAACATGATGAATACGAACATGAACGAAAACATGAACATGAACGCGCAGCACACCGACGCCGAGATGCCAGCAGAGAAACGACAGGAATACAGCAGTTACGAGTAAAGCCTCCCTCCCCTTTCCCCCTCTCTCCCTTCACTCTTAAACACTCCACATTCCCACCCCATCACCACCAACAACAACACCTTAGCTAACGGAAACAAACCCAGTCCCTACGCCGCATACGGCAGATACCCCCAGCCAGATATAGCCAACGCAAAGCGCTCCGCCTCCACGCCCATGACTCCGAAGCAGCGACTCGAGCAAATGGAAGCCATGATGCGGGAGATCAGAATGGACGTCATGACGGCCGCCGACGAAGGCGACGATGCCGATACGTCGTCCGTGATGATGATGTCCAATGTTGAGACGCGCGACGTGTCTTCCTCCTCTATGGCGGAGAGGATCAGGGCAATGGAGGCGATGGTGCAGGGCATGAAGATGGAAATCGGTATGGGGATGGGGATGCAGGGACGTAGGGACGTCATGACGAAGGCTGATATGGCGATGGTGGAGAAGTTGGAGAGTATGAAGGATGGGGGTATGGGGAACGGGATGTGAATGAACTTTTCACAATTGCTACGAGAGGACAGACATGGGAGGAGAGGAAATTGTGGAAGTCTTGCTGTAGATGGATGGGGTTGCTATGTGGCGAGGAAGTGGAAGTGGATGTAGTCTTTCGTTTCGAGATGTAGAGGGGAGTATAGTACGATCGTTAGCAATTCCAACTCCTTCTCATTTCATTCACGTCAAGTATGCATATCGTGAAGTGTATGTACGTTTGTCGTCCTTCCTCGTCTATATCGAACGTCACGAGATCCCCACACAACGAAAACTCCAACAAACATCCTTCTTCACATTTCAAGCAGTACTCCTTCACTATACGCAAATCTACTTTTCCCCTCCCTCTTCTCTCGCGTCTTCTCCTTCTCTTCCACTTGGCCAATCAAACCATGGGCACGAATACATACATATATACAGGTACCTACCTCACAGAAGCTCAAAACCCCGTGACGAACAATCCACATCCCCTCCCCCCCACCGCACCACGCAGAAAGCGGCGAAGTTTCCCGACCAATCCCGCCGTGTTGTTCTCAAAGCGCCCCTTGCGCCTTGTACCTACCTTGTATTATAAAGACAGACAGACCCATACGCATCTGGGGTATTCTCTACGTACCTACCTACCCTACCCATCTACGTGGAGAAGAAAAAAAACGGGGCAGGAATAAGGGTAAATAAAGGAAAATGCGGGGTTGGGTGTTTGAATGGAAGGCGGTGAAGGTTAGGTTATGACTGAGTGGAGCAAGGAAAGAAAAGGTATATATTGCAGAAGCTTGGGGGATGTACATTTGGGATTGTTGTAAGGGGAAGATGTGCGCGAGGTTCAGTACGAATGACACTGACCCGTGATGTTCGAACATCATGTTCGTCGATTGTTACGGGGTAGATGGCCTACAGAAGATGCATACAAGAAGTTGATATCAGGCATCAATTCGATGAGTTGGATGGAAGTGGTATGAGATCGACCGTATGCTGTGAGGTTTCTCTCGGGAAGCCTGAATGATGTCGATTGTCGTCGATGTACTCTGCACTGTGTAGACGTTGTCGCCTTCTGTGCATACCACCACGGACATAAAGCTTACAGCATTCACACACATCTGGATCTCCTCCGCCACCACGTATGTACCTCTTACACAGCGCGATCGTCAAGCATACCTACCAAGATCGACCCCAGCTTTCCCTCCCGGTGGTCTTTGCATTCGCGTCGCGTCTTCAGGTACAGGGTCACATTGCTTGCTTGCTTTGGTAGGCGGGCGGCGGGGTTTTCTGAATTTCCTGCGGCTGCATGATGCCCTCAGCAGGCAAATCAGATTAATTTGGGCGTCGGTGCAGCGGTGTGGTGCATCCTCTGTGTTACATTGGGGGCGAATTTGGAGGACGATAGGTAGGTAGGCCTTCCGCTCGCATGGCATTGATGAGTGTCTGACTATGACCGCGTGCGGACGAAAGGGATATACTTCAGCGGGTAGATTGCATAACCGCGTGGAGAGTGAAGGAAGGGGGGAGGGTCGCGTTGATGAAGGAGTGGCCGGAGTAGCGAACACGGGCAATATTTTGCCATAGATTCGTGCAGATGGAGCGCGCATGGCAGCGAGCAAACACGTGCACGGTGCGTAATTGACAAAGTAGGAAAATGAAAGAAGTAAATTGAGGCAGAGGCGATTTATTAGATGGAGAGGAAGAAAGCGAAAGTTGGTCATGTACTGTATGTGACGGGCTCGAAAGGTCGCGTCTAAGGACGAGCAAAGATTAGCCAGAATTCGACCACTTACGTGTTCGGAAACTTGTGAATTTGTAGATTGGTTAAATTTCCCGCACAATGTACACAGTGTATGTGGTTCTAGAAATCGGGGGCCTAGATGGTCGTGTATTCGAGGTGCAGGGAGGAACTCAAAGCTACGGCTGAAAGATGCGTGGTGGTCAGGGCGAGGAAGAGTATGTTTCTGGAAGGTCGACTGCGCACACTTTAGGATTCCTGGTGTAGGATCGACAGCTTTCCCGCCAACCAGCTGTACACCGACCGTTCGAATCAGGCAGGATGAAAGAGACCGGGGAGGGATGGAAGAAGCCGGATTGATACAGGACAGGTCAGGTTGCAGTGCTCAAGATCCGTAAAGGCATGATGGGATTGGCATGGCTGGGAAGAGAGGTGCTGCGCAAATCAGTAAATTTGACATGGCCGTTCTCATTCGCGCGCGCGTCTTGTCCTCGAGCTCCTCGTGACGCTCGGAACAAGGACGTAAATTGGAAAATGCATAGGTGACGATCGACATCCATAGATGGGTGGATGGTTGGGTACGTGGCAGCGGTGCGGATGATTGTAGGGATGGCGGTTTTGTTAACCGGTCTTTGTGGTATGGAAGATTGCGTGTAATTAGTATGGAAAAGTAAGTGGAAGAATATGGAGTTGCGATGATGATAGTAATAATGACAATAATAAGAGAGACGTATGTAGCGAAATCCCTAGATCACCGAATTAGTCCATGGATCCCAAAGAGTGAGGAGAAAGTAGACGGAGGAAGACGGAGAGAGACGGAACGGGAGGATAATCACAGCATGGAAGTACTATGGAAGCTGCAATCGAAGAGGGGAACGAGCGCTAATTTACATTGCAAGTACATCCTACTGAGCCTGTGGTTAAGTATCTACGTAAATGGGGAAAGAGAAATACAGAATAGAGGATTAAGGAGGTAGAGGAGTAATTAAGGGTAAACATGTGAAATGTGCAGTTGCTGCAGGTGAATGCATGTGTATACCTACATACTCCTGTAGTGTGTACACTATGAACACCAAAGCGTATGTCTGTGACTACATGAGTACGAGCATGATAATGAGATTCTAGATTTGCCCCGCGAAAAAGCAAAAATGTACGCATCTCGTCTATCCCCTCTGGGGCAAAGACGTGGCAGACACAGCTGCCTGCATCTGACCAGTAAAGAAAGGTAATTATCTTGAATGTCCAGACTGTCCAGAGTAGAACCTACAATATCTGCATATTCAGTACAAGGTGCACGAACTCGCCTGTTGCTTGGTTAGCTGGGCGAGTTTGAGCTTGATACGTCCTTATTGCAATCTGACGGTGGTGACAATATCTCGAGCTGACGAATGCAACGATGCCATGGACAAGCAAGTAAGCAGCATGATGATAATGACGAGGAAGACGATGCATCCTTCCAAGTTTGGCAACCATTCATGGGTGTTCTCTTGATCTTACTCCCCCCTGATGCACTGTTTGGAGGTTCCTTTCTCCGGGACAGCAGCCAATACTTGCTGTGACGTTGACGATGAGAGGGAGGGATGGCTTTGGTATTTTGGATTTGTGATGTCTGAGTAATGAGTAATAGGGAAGGGGAGTCTCGACCTCTAATTTGATGGAAAGGAACCGTGAACTGGCCGGGGCTGCCGTTGCTGGAAGCCGGAATGCGACCGATGTGGGGAGGACGCCATCATGTCCATCTCTCTCAATAGTAATGTCCATCTCCATCCCGATTAGTTGACTATTCTACTTGTCTGCGGCGCCAACCCTGGGCTAGAGGGACGGAAACTGCAGGGAACAGACATGTTCTTGTAACGAAGATGGTCTTGGGCTCTCTAGCATGCACACCACAATACATTATGCAGTGCAGTGCAGTATTACTCCACTCTTTTCGCCTGGCTTGGGAGAGAATGATGAATGACCAGAAGGGCTGGTGGAGTTTCTTGTATGGAGATGGGTACGCAGATCATCACACAAAGAGGAGGAAAGGAGACAGGCAAAAAAAGCATTGAAGCAACAGTAATACTCGTGACAACTACACATTTGATGTATGTACGAGAGTATGTATTGTACATACAGCACGCGACCCCGTGACCTGGCCGGCCCGAGGTGTAATCCCTCATATCCTGTTCCCATTCCTTTTCGTCACCATCGCCCACCCTGAACCTGATGGTGATCCTGGATTTCAGAACCGTCCAGTCCGAGTCCTTCCATTCCATCCTTGATCTGTCAAACCATACAAGATTGCACTAGACATTTTACTGGGGCGTTCGTTGTTCGTTCGGTCTATGTTCGCAAAGTCTAGTACAGTATCGGATACCCGCACTCCCACACATTCATTCACCCACATATATGCACATGGAATCCTGCTGCATCTATTCCGAACACCCCTACCTTTCCCTCCTCCACCAGTCACAAGCCCACTTGACCATTATTATGTATGACTGTGAGTGCTAAAGTACCTGTATATATTTGCGGAATTGTGTATTGTATGTATTGTGTCTGTGTGTGTAGTTATTGGGCTAGCCCCGGCCGAGGTAGACGAAGAGTTAGTCCAGCCCCGGGGGTTACGGCGTATGGGCGTACGCCACTACAATCCTCACACTCACAGTTACAGTACACACTACGACTAAGTACCTGGATATTCTCTACCTAATGCCCACACACAACCCTCCATTTACTCATCACTCGTACATCATCAACTTCAAAAGACTAGTAGTCTCTTTCCAAGTCTTTTCCTCTATTACGAGCATATTTTGCTGTGTGTGAGCTTTGTGAGTTGTCGTCTATAGACAATAAGACACACAGACTACCTACGTACCCCTCCAGGCCACCTGCGGCTCTCTCCTTAACCTCTACATACCATACTACTACCTACTACTACCTAGTCGTCCTCCTCCTCCCTCCTGTCGTAGCTCCCTCCCATCCCATCCCTCTCTCCCTCTCTCCCTCTCTCCTACTCGCTGCTCCTCCTGCTCCTCCACCTTCCATCTCCACACTTTCTTCCCCGCCGATCCGCCCTCCGATTCTCACAACCCAACCTTTGCAAATCAACAATCTCTCCCACAACCAACACCATTACCAGCCTCACCCTCCGTATGCCCAAACCCACGCGCCAACGTCGTAATTAAAAACACACCTCCTATACTACCCTCTTCCTCAATATGCTTGCGCTGCTGGAGCTCTACCGCTACCACTGAAGAACCCTAGTCGACTCTTCTTCTCATCCACCAATCCTCCGCGTCCTTCCATCCCATGATACTTTCGCCGCCCACCTCTGCACCTTGATCAGAGACGCCGGCCGTCGAGGAATATGGGCGATTCCGGCGCAACTGCTATGACAACGACTTCATCGCACTCGCTGGCCAATATTGATCACGACGACCCCCTCGCTTTCAACGAATACGGCCTTCCGGAGCTTCGAACCTCCCACCATTCTCCTCCCCTACCTTCCAACAGCCCCTCCGCAATCATGGCCTCTTTCTCCGACTTCCCCTCCATGACTTTTGGCCAAAATGCCGCCTACACCACCTACGACCGATCACAAATGCGCGTCAGCCCGACCATCAAAACCAACCTCCAACAAACCCACCGGGGAAGCATAAGCACCTTGAGCGAGGACAACATCCCTGGCAGTGCCCATCCACACCGATTGAGCATCGGCAGTACGGGCAACTACGGTCAGGATGGGAATAATACCAGCCCTGAAAGCGCACCTGCGCTGGGCCTCCTAGCTATTGGAGACCCTCTCCACGACCCTTCAACAATGGGCCTGAAATTGGAGGACGGTATCGACATGGAGGGCGCAGACGGTTCGACGTCAAAGAAGGACAAGAACGACCCACAAGATACTCCAGCATGGAGTGAAATGAAGACGAAAGCTGGAAAGGATCGGAAGCGACTTCCCCTTGCGTGCATCGCCTGTCGGCGGAAGAAGATACGATGTTCGGGAGAGAAACCAGCTTGCAAGCATTGCTTGCGGAGCCGGATACCGTGCGTTTACAAAGTGACGACAAGGAAAGCGGCACCACGGACAGACTACATGGCAATGCTCGACAAGCGCTTGCGACGTATGGAAGATCGCGTCATCAAGCTCATACCCAAGGAGAGCTTACCGTCAGTTTCCGGCGTGGGGAGATCGGTCGTGAAGCCTGCCCTACCAGGAGCCCCTCCGAAGACACCAACCACCAAAAAGCGAGCCGCCGAAGAGGCTTTCGGTAACGACTTGGACGAGTGGTCCAAATCGAAAGCTATAGGCCCAGATGCTGCGGGCTCGGCGTCGCGCGCAAAGGAAGGCGACGACACCAGCTTGCTAACCGAAGGTGCCGACAGCCTTCCGCCAAAGGAAATCCAGGAGCATCTGGCCGAAGTCTACTTTGACCATGTTTACGGCCAAAGTTACCCACTCTTACACAAACCAAGCTTCATGAGGAAATTAGCCCAAGGAAATGTACCGCCAGTACTGATTTTAGCCATCTGTGCCATCTCGGCCCGGTTTTCCACACATCCAAAGCTTCGGACAGAGCCAGCCTTCTTACGCGGAGACGACTGGGCAGAACGCGCACGTGAGATATCACTGAAGCGGTTCGACACGCCCAACATTACCATCCTCATCGTGTATCTGCTCCTTGGTCTACACGAGTTCGGCACGTGCCAAGGTGGTCGGAGTTGGATGTTTGGCGGTATGGCTCAGAGGATGGCCTACGCCTTGCAGCTACACAAGGAATTGGCATTCGATCCCACGGTGAATGAACCCGATCGAAAGCCGCTTAGCCCTACGGATCGTGAGATTCGACGGCGAGTCATGTGGTCCTGTTTCCTCATGGATCGTTTCAACTCATCGGGAACCGATCGACCTCTCTTTGTCAACGAACAGTACATTGAAGTCCAGCTGCCGATGAAGGAGAACTTGTTCTTGGACCAGGTGCAAGCGCCGACGGAAAACCTTGACGGCAAGGTCCCCAACCCGGTCCCACCGGACAGTGGCCAGCCTTCGAACGCGCGAGAGAACATGGGCGTTGCTGCATACACCATTCGTCTGGTCTGCATATGGGGAAAACTGGTGAAGTACATGAACCTAGGCGGAAAAGAGAAAGAAGTGGAATCGATGTGGTCTCCTAAGTCCACATTTTTGAACATCAAGAAGGAAGTGAAGGAATTTAGAGACGCGTTACCAGAAATGCTGGTCTACAACCCTGAAAACTTGAAGAGCCACGCCATTGGCAAGACCGCCAACCACTTCCTTTACCTCCACATCCTCTATCAGCAGATCATTCTCTTCATGCACAGATTTTCGTTCCCGACCCGAGCGGACAGCCGCCCGCCGAAAGACATGCCCCGCGATTTCATTACCGAATCTGCACGAACTGCGTTGGAGGCTGCCAACCAGATCTCCATCCTCATCAATGAAGCCATGGATTACAATGTGGTGGCTCCATTTGCCGGTTACTCCGCTTTCTTCTCATCCACAGTCCACGTCCATGGCATCTTCTCAAAGAGTGCGAAACTTGAAGCACAGTCAAAGAAATACCTGGCGTACAATGTCAAGTATTTGAGCAAAATGAAGAAGCACTGGGGCATGTTTCACTACATTGCCGAGAACCTGAAAGATTTGTATAGACAACATGCCGATGCGCATCTGCGTGGACCCACGACGGCGACCGACAAATCTGGAAAGGGCGTGATCTTCCAGTATGGTGACTGGTTTGATCGCTATCCGCGTGGAGTCTCGAAGGAGGACTACGAAGACGCCGCCGAGCCACCTTCAAATGAACCGGGCACAGATGCAGTCTTGAGCCAAAAGAGTGACCTTCAGAGCGTGGAGGAGTTCTTCGCATCGTTATCGCCGCCCTCGAAGACCGACCAACAACGCAAGCAGGCTCGCAAGAACAAATCGAAATCAGTTTCCAAGGCCGAGGCACCGGTGATGAATGCCAACGAGACCGCTCAGCTGCAGCAGGCGCAACAAATGCACCAGCATCACCTTCAACAACAGATGGGTCATATCCAGATCGCTCCCCAAGACCCGATGGACGCCTCTGCGTTTGATCCTAGTTACTTCTCCACCGCCAACCAACAACAGCAGTTTATTCCCGGCTTCGAGCATCAACACCAGCAACATGCCCTCTCCATGCTTGCAACCTCTCCCACATCTCTCCTGCCACCGCAAATGGACCTCTCCCCATTCCCTGAATTCTCTGCCCATCCGAACAGCGCTGGTCTATGGAACATTGATCCGATGGGTATGGGCGGTGGCTTCCTCGACCCCAGCAATGCTTGGTTCCTGCCATTCAACATGGAGCCACCCACTCTAGGTGACGATGGGGGCGTCTTCGGGCCAGCCGGATTCGACTTTGGCCTCAATACCGGACCGCCAGTGGACATGGGCATGAATGGCCATATGGGTCACCGCGCGAGTGTTAGCCACCCTGGCGGTACGCCTATGGATGGGCTAGAGGGCCTTGATGGAGGCCGTTGATAGGCGTTAGCCGACACGAATCATCACGTATATTATCCATGACATATCACGACTATTTCGGCTTTTATACGACTCCTTCACACGACATACCTTAAGCGACCTACTCTTCTTTGTCTAGGAACCGCACTGTCGAATAACTTCTCCTTCTTTGTGCAATTTTTCTTTGTCACTGTCAAGATACGTCTTGATTTACTATCGGATTGGAGACCATCGTTTCGCTTGGGATGGCGGATTTGATTCAGATACCAGATATATGAGCGAGGTGTCCCTTGTGTGGTTTTATTTATTCTGTCGGCCTAAGATGTACAGTACTAGTAGTTGTCGAGCTTCCACGCTTCGTTTGTTGTTTCTACAGATGCAGATACATATCATCGTCGCCTTGAGCATACCAATTGGAATACAACTCTTTCATCCATATTCTGTCCCGAAACTTCGCCTATGCAAGTGATGCTAACGACACATCGTTACTTATGAATATCATGTTCTAGCAATCTACCACTCCATGCATCTATCTAACCAAGTCGAAATGAACAGCGATATGAATCTGCACGCTCTCGCTACACTTCACAATCGAGCTCGCTCAGCCTGCAAGCTCGCGACGACTTCATCAAACCTCTCATACGCATCCGCCTCTGCGTCGAAATTGAGCAGCCACGCCTCCCTCGTCAAGTGAATAGCCTCGGGCGTCTTGCGGATCTCGTCCCAATTCGCCTTATGCCACTTCTCTCTCGTCTTGACGCCCGTAGCCTGCGCCTTGTGGACCCTCTCGTACCTGATCTTCTCGAACGCCCTCACCCCAAGCGCCGCCTTATCCTTCCCAGCTTTCTCCAGACACGCCGCGAGCACAACACCATCCTCGATAGACTGGCTCGCTCCTTGAATCGAAGTCGGCAAGAACGGATGCGCCGCGTCCCCAATCAACGCGATCCTCGCCTTGGGCGAGATGAACGTCGGCAGCGGATCTCTAAACACCAACTTATGATCAATCAATCTCGCGTCCTTCGGCGTCGCCCTCACAATCTCCTGCACAACCGGCGCCCACCCCTCCACATACTTCAAGCAGTCCTCGATCTTCCCCGGAAACTGCCAACTCTCCTCGATATTCCCATCGTCCACATGCGTAAACACCCAATTAAACTCCCTCCCGTCCTTCAACGACGACGCCAGAAAATGCAAATCCGGTCCAATCCACCCAGAATGCGTATCCCCGCTCTCCACCAGATGCCTCAACACCTCATTCCCCCTAATCGCCTCCCCCTTAAACCACGCCCTGTAAACCGCATACCCAGAACTCTTCGGCTTATCCTCAAACCCCAGCACAATCTTCCGCCCTCGACTCCTCACCCCCTCCGCCGCCACCACCACATCCGCCTCAATCCTCTCCCCCTCCCCCGTTACCACCCCAGCCCCCCCATCACTCTCAAAATAATCCACAACCCTCACCCCAAACCTCACCTGCACCCCCTGGCTTACAAGCGCATCATACATAATCCCATGCAACTCGCCACGATGCCCATTCACCCGCGGCCCCCACCCCTTCTCCCCCGCAAACGACTGCCGCGTCACGAACTCGCCGCGCCAGTGGTACAAGTCCAGCCAGGAGGTTTGCCGCGCGACAGCCTGCATGGCGGCGAGGACCCCCGGCCACCGCGCGAAGTGCCGCGCGCCGTTCGGGTCGAACGAGATGATGTCGCCGTAGCGGGTTATCTCGTCCACGGAGGGGGACTTGTCGACGATGGTGATGGAGTGCCCTTTGCGGAGGCATTCGAGGGCCAGGGCGATGCCGGCGAAGCCGGCGCCGACTATTAGGACGGTGGTCTGTGGGGGGGTTGGTGGTGTTGTCATGGTTTCTGGGATGAAGAGGGGTGATGGGTGAGGTTGTGATGTTGTGGGTTTGATTATGGGAGATGAATTGATGTCGTCGGAGAGAGACTTGGATGGACGAGCAGAGAGACAGACAAATGGATGTATAGAGGTTTACGATTTCGAGATCAATGGTACGCAGGATCAGATCAGATCAAAGATATCTCATACCCTCGCCGTCCACGATATCAACATTAGTAGTGGTGGTGGTAGTACGAAGTAGTGGAGCAGCAGCAAATGCGAACGTGCGACGTCGGCGGGAGGGTTTTATCAATGTATGGGGAATGGGATTGGAAATGCGGGATGTGAGCGTAAGGCGGCTAAATCGTCGCATATCCCATGCAGGAAGATGGAATTGGGAATTGGTGGTGAGCGAGGAAAGGTTGGAGGTGCAGTGCCCCACATTGCCGCACTCCCGCACTGGGCGAGCGAGCGAGCGGGCGTGGGTGAGGTGAGGTGAGGTGAGATGGGCAGAGGAGGAGGACGTGAGAGGACGGTGACAAGACGAATCTGCATACAGACAAACGTACAGGCAAGGTTTATCATTTGGCGAGGCGGTTGACTAGCTATAGTGTAGGTACCATTGAGGTTGAAGTATGGGTGGTGATCAATTACCTGTTCTGGTTAGTCTCGTTAGTATGGTGAATTGCCCCACCATAGCAGCTTGAACAATAGAGTTAGGTTTGTATCCTTTCTTTGGTACCACTGTCGATATCTAGTTGGTATATTTCTTTCACCGTCATACCGCAAGATGCATGGCCCCGTCTCCAGTTTCACAGGAACACTTTGCCCTTCATGATTCGTTATGTTCGACGCTAAAATGATCTATCACATCGGCAGGGAATCAATAGATCTGTTTTGGTATAGCTCAGCCCGATCACTGACAATGTTTGCTCCTTAAAAATGCTCCCAAAACGTACTTCGACCCTTTTCTCCCTGGATTTTTAGATTCTTTTCCTCTGAAGCAAGACCCAGTGCGATTGCTACGAAATCCAACTGTCTATTTTAACTTCCATTGACTGAGACTTCGAAGCAATGGCCGACTCCGAAGCTTGCACCTGTATCTTTTGCAGGATATCCGAAGAGAGCGAGACCCCCAGCAGGAATCGCTGTGCCTGTTGCAAGAAGACTGCGGGCGGCGAGACCCCCCGCATGAAACGCTGCTCCAAATGCTCGGCGACATACTACTGCTCCCACGAGTGCCAGCAGTCTGACTGGAAACTCCACAAGAAGACCTGCTCTCCTCCATCAACCCGTCGCTCCAACGAAACGACACCACCGACCAGTGGTTCCAACGGACCGACACTATCAAGCAGTCGCTCCAACGGAACTACACCAAGACCAACGACAAACAACACCCCCGTACCAGCACCAACATCCAAGGCCCTCGAAGCACACATCGCCAAACCCTTCACCCGTCTTGACAACCATACCTACCTCCACGGCCGTACCGATAAGGACGTCTTCAAACTGCTCGTCGACTGCTTCCGCCTCCGCCAGACAGACAACCGCAACTTCGAAGGCATCGCACCCAGCGACAGCATCGACGGCATCTACGCTCACTTCCACAACTTCCTCTGCCGCGCCGTTGCCCTGCCCGTGGGCCTCCTCCCCCCAAGCTGGAACGCAGCCAAGCTAGACGAATGCGAGAGCTTCGGTCTCTCCGCGGAGGGCGACGCTGACTTCAGCAATTTGAGGCGTGGGCCGGTCGGGCGAAGGGACATCGTAGAGCACTACGGCGACGCGTGGATGCCGATACAGTTGAGGATGCTGGGGCAGACGGTGTATCAGAAGGGGCCTGGGTGCTATGATAGCACGAACTTGAGGCGCTTGTTGGTGCAGAGCGAGATTTTTGACGATGCGGAAGCGGCGGGGGAGCAGATCATTATGGTCTCGCTGCATCGTCGACGTTAGGAGAGGCCGTGGGATGATAACTGGTTCGGAGGAGAATGATTGCTGTTGGAAGGATGCGGCGTGCATGTAAGAAGAGATATTAATTAGTGATTTGTGATCTAGACCAAAATACAACAGCTTCTTTTCCTTCGCAGAGCGGAATGTCAATAGCGTGAAACTTTTCTCGTTTCGATTCAAATCGTATTTGACAGTAGGGTCTCGCCAATCATGTCATATCGAAGACACGTTCAAGGCAGAAGTGGGATCGGCCATCCCAAGAGCCTTTTTACTTCACAATCTCTTCACATTTGAAAGTAACGGACAAGTCTAACCCCAAGATGATGCAGTGATTTCCATCAACCAACGCCAAAATGGCTGTCCCTTTCCCAGTAGAAACGAGCTATATAGATATTCATACTTGTGGATTAGCAATAGATGGATGCAATATCCTCAGGAAACGGCAAGTCCCCACGCTGTCTCATACCATCTTAGTGTATTTTGACACTAAGAGTAATCTTGCTCAAATACAGGATCTATGACCAATATTCCTCATGTTAGGGCACATCAGAAATGCCTTTTTCTTTTCACTGTGTATGGGGAGTGTGGTCACGAACTCACTCTCTTCCAATCACCAAATCCTGTGTCAGGTATCGAATCATGTTACTTTCCAGAACTTTCTTTTACTTTCAGTCTTGAAATCTCCTTCACTCTTGATGCCGTTACACGTGACTCGATAAGCGAGAGGATCCGTGCTCATAGGTTCCAGGTATATAAACCCCCTCCTACCGCTCTGGCTTTCCTTCTCTTTCCTTCTTCGTTTTCTCTAGTGGGTCTGCAGTTTGGACAGTGTTGCAAGCATTCGAAAAGCGAGAAAGTCTTGTCGATCCAGATGGTGAGGACAGCGCAACATTCCAGGAACCTTACATCGCACTGCGTAAGGACTGAGACAGCTTGACTGCTTGACCCTGCTGGACCGGGAAGACTTGGACTTGGAGACCTAAACATTTCGGTGATCAGGCTCCTCTATGTCCGCCTAGAGCCACGGATTGATATTCTGTTTTGCAACATTTGGTCTCCGTTTGACTCGACCACGACTTGAGATCTCATTCATCCTTTGGCTGAGGATTAGAAGCCACGCAGTATGCACCCCGATATTCAGTCGGACTTGCTCGGTGCCTCACTATCATGGTAGCTTTTCAGATACCACTTTCCCTTTTTTTCATTGATTAACTCGGCTTGCTGAGTTCTCAAGGAAGAAGCTCGATTTGTGGCTACTCGATATGGGTACTCGCCTGGACCTACTAGCAAAACCGAAGGATTTCTGACAGCATCATCACCTTTCTAATGTGAAGCTGTCCAGCCTGAGGCCATTCGTTTCTCAATCCATTACACTGTACTTTGAGGTAGGATTCTAAGCAACATTTCCCGAACGTTCGTGGTGAAAACTTGAGCGCGTTGCGATCAGAATTTGCCACCTTAGAGGTGATTATCACCTTCACCTGAGCCTTGCCTGTCCGAGCGCCTCCGTCCTATTGCATATTCAAGTCTTCCTCCCTTCTCCATCTACCTCAGCAACTAACGACTGCCATTAACGCAACCACGAACCAGCGCCTTCACTTCCCAACGCCAATCTCTTCAGTCTTGTTCTCAGTCTTGCTCGTGTATCATATACCGTGCACCGAAGCAGTTCCTTCGCGATGGAAGTGAATGAAAATCACCACGGTTATCTAGAGAGCGATGTCGAGAAGTCTCACCCAACCCAGACGCTTCACCATGATCCGCTCTTCAGCTGCCAGGTAGCCGAGGCGAACAAGGAAATACTGGCGCAGCGTAAAGTAGTTCTAAGGGAACAACGACTTGTCGACGAGTACAAGAGCTACAACGCTCGCCCGGTGATTCTCTTTCGCAAGTAAACCCGACAAAATTGTTTGTTGATTAGCTCACTAACTATCAGCTAGAGGACGAGCAGGGCACAGACGAGAGGGTCGTTCAAGAACTTATAGATGCTCAAGCTAGAGTGATCGAGAGCCAAGCCAGTCTCATCGGTCTATGTAAGTTCAGAAGCACGATGGTCACCCAATGACTCGCTGACCTCCTTGTAGATGATACCAATATGGCAGCTAAAATTGCCCAACTCGAAGCGGCATTAGCCGCAAGCAACGAGCGAGTGTCGAAAAAAGAGAGCGATGTGATGCTTCTTTCGCAGGCAATGAACGAAATGAAGCTCAGATATGACCAAGCTGAGCATAAGAAGGGCAAGAAGGTGAGGGTCTGATTGGCGAGATGGACCAGCAAGCAGAACTTCTAAGAGAGTAACTTGCTGCCAAAAAGCTTGAGCAAATCATTATGTTCTCGCTGCATCGTCTATGTTAGGAGAGGCCGTGGAGTGGAATGGTAACTGGTTCAGACAAGTGTATGCTCGATCCTGAGACATCAAATCTTCTCTCTTCTCGTAGATGTAGAAGGCAACTTGGAAAGTAAAGAATACATTCGTGTCCGGAAGCTAGCTGAACTTACTTTGCCTTGTCTTCTCCCTTGTGTTTACTACCTATATAGCCAGTGTCGCGTATAGACGCCTCTGTATTGCTGCTTGGCTGTTAATGAGCTGGATCACAACTAAACGCGTGACAGACACTTACCATATCGGAAGAACTGGCCCGTAATCTTGCTGTAATCCTCAAACAGCTCCCTCGAACCCTGATCCAGCTTGGTCACCCGCTCGAGCAAAAGTCTGTGGGGGCCTTCTGGACGAATGTCTGGGCTGCCTTCATCATGGCCAGACACTCGAGTGTTGTCGCTGATTGTGGGAACGCCATTCTGCATATTTTCATCCATGATGATGTCAAATTGTATGAGCCAAGAAATAGAAAATGTACTTGGTATGTCAAGAGGTGCGTCAGTGATGTAGAAAGGTTGTGGGTTGAGGTATATATAAGGTTGAAGGGAAGGCCGTCAGCTAGGCGAAGCTGTTGGTAGGGTGATGAAGGCAGTTTCCAGGTAACAAAGCCCAAGCAAACATGCGGATATTTGCCACCGTCAGCCTAAAAGGAATCACGTTTTTGATGAGGGGTTTGGTACAATTATCAGGGTAGAATTGAAAGAATCTGCCGGGAGCGTCCAATGATCCCGCAGCCTCCAGACAACCTACCCATACAAACGAATAGCAAGGTCATGCGTCACTATTTCGAGCTTCTTCCTTGAATACTCAGCAAGCTGAGCGAATCAATGAAAAAAAAAAAGAAATAATGGTAAACATCTTGATACCACGAAGGAAGTGAGGCACCGAGCAAATCCGAAAATCGGGGTGCATATTGCGCGGCTTCTAACCCTCAGCCAGAGGGAGAACATAACCTTGCTCTGGAGGTAGTCTGCGGGCCCAAGAAACTCGGTGCCTGCATTGTTGCGGTCGCAAGTCGCGGTCGGACAATACGAGCCCTGATGGCACCTTCAAATGCTAGAGGCAAGCCAGATGACATGCATGGCAGGTGTTGGTGGTTCTTGCTGATCCATCAGTTGCTTCCGGGCCCATGAGCGGACATAGAGGAGCCTGATCACCGAAGTGCTGAGAGGTCCAAGTCCAAGCCTTCCGTCCGGCAGGGTCAAACAGTCTCGGTCCTTACGCAGTGCAATGTAAGGTTCCTGGAATGCTAACCTCACGGTCTGGATCGAAAAGACTTTGTTGTTGCGCTTGGTGACATGTGCGTACAACTGTACAAGAGACATCCGCTTGAAGAGAAGAAGAAGAAAAGAAGAGGAAACTGAGGGCGGAGAGGAAAGGTTTATATACCTGGAAGCAGGGGGCACGGATCAGCTCGCTTGGGGAGTCACGTGCTACACTGAATGGAGAGTGAAGGAGAGTGACTGATAGAATGTGCGCGAATAGCAAGACCTATTGGTCGAGAAACCCGTCTATTGTGTTATTGAGAAAACCGTTGTTGCTGCCTGGAAACCCCAGCCTCCCCCAATTGCACGAAATTTACCCACTCACTTCTATACTTTCACTTGCTTCCAACACTTCCACTTACTTCCACACTTCTACCTTCTGCTACGCCTTTACCTATCTTTTCCCTTCGACTCATTTCGACTCACTCCTCCGCTTCCACACTTCAACTCACATCTACACTTCCGCCTTCCAACACACGGGCTGCAACACCCATCCGCACTCACGATCTTGGACGCGATCATCACGAAGACCGTCAACAAGATGAAACATGATGAAGACACTATTGTATGTTGAGACTAAATTACTAACCTGCTCCTTCGCCAAATACTAACTCACGGGCGCACACAGCAGAGATTGCGAGATCAATTGAAGCTCGAACAAGACGAAAACCAACGATTGCGATCCGAGCGCGAGTCCATGGAAGATGACCAGGATGCCTTGGTGGTGTCCGTAATGGGACTCATCACCTTAAACCTCGAAAAGTCAGTTGAGATAAAAAAAGGCCTCGTTGAGATAAAAAAGGGCCTCGAGAAGTCAGTTGAGATAAACAAATTGAGGGGTGAGCTCGACCTCCTGACGCTTCGAGCGAGAGACCTTAACAGCCAACTTGCTCAATGTCACTGCGGACCGAATGCATTGAGTCCTAATCACGGACAAGGCGATCGCAATGAGTACGTTCTAGCTCTTTGAAGTCTTCCACAGACGGATCTTCCAACACTGACTCTCTCTAGTCCCCAAACCCGCCCAGACTCATCGTTCACAAACGCAAGTAAATCAAACATACTTTGCACATTCTGCTACAGACACGACCTCGAGTGCGATACGGGCACTCCCTGACAGAATTGCGCCCGAGTGGGAAAGAATTGCAAGCGAACCAGGTGCAAGAACTATACGGCAGGAACCTGCATGGTGTATCGCTGTTCTCGCGTACATGAAGGCGACGACTTTCCCAATGTAGTCAGGACCGTCCATGTGAGCAAATCTGCATATGCGAAAGGCAGGAAGACATACGTTCCTGGGAAAAGAAAGCGAGGCGGTGGCGACAAAGATGATACAGATGATGGAGAAGATGGAGATGATGGAGATGATCATCAGGGAGGCAGCACAGGAGGAAACGGAAGACTCATGACTGGCGATGGTCGTGCTAGACGACGAAGAAGGATAGCCGCTTCATGAAAAGGGTACACCGTATACTTGTACCTCTTTGCTGCAAAAGTCCGATGTCCCTAGGTGCGTGCTTGATAGCAGGGGTGGAGACACAATTGGTGTAAGATGGGGGAAGGTTCCATGACGATACAATATCTTGCTCTAAAGCCAAAACAAATACCTTGTAAATGACTCTCCTCCTCGCATTAAATGTTTATCACGAATGCCTGGGTTCTCAAATGAAGAGCGCTGAAGACATGAAGTCACAACAAGCTCAGCTGTATACCATTTTCGGCAAAGTGGCTTCCCCACTCGGCCCTCTTCCGATTACGTCAGTTCCGTCCCTCAAGGTTCCTCGTACTGTGTTGACAGCTTCAACGTTCCCAACCTTGTCCAGTTTCTTCGTGAATACTACATCGCCTGTCTCTTGCAATGTCATCACAACAACAACAATCTTCGTTTCAACCTCCTCGCCGTACCGGCACCGAGAATCTTCTCCCGCAAGGCCAAGAACGCTCCGAACAAGTCGAGACCATGCAGTCTTACGAAGCGGCTGCCCCGCAAAGCGAAGACGACGTGAATCAAGCCATCTTGCAGCGCGAGTTCCCCAATATTGATGGGAGTTTAATCGCCGCGATATACGGAGATTCGAAGAGCCTCAGCGCTACACGAGAAATGCTTCAAGAACTTTCGAGCAACGAACCGAACCCCGCAAATTGATTGACACCACCGTCCGTCATGAGACCTGTTCGGTCAGGGAACGAATTTTCGGAGAGAGTACAGTCGGTACTGGCGAGGTTGTGGATAACGAATGAGCGCATGGTTCAGCTTCTGTCACGATCAAGCGGGATTATTCTATGCATATAGAGCTCATAGCGGGTCTAAGCTTAGCTGGAATTTACATGTTATGCCCCGAATCCCCACTTGCACGGCCGAATCACCCCAAAGCTATAGACATTCACTCCACCTGTAACAAGATAATAATTCAACGCTGCTCAAGATCCCTTGGTATCCGGCCCTTCCCACGATGGACCTGCTGCGTATTGCTGGCATTGATTACAAGGTTTACCAGGAAATGATCGTTCGCATCTTTCTGTATAGGGAAATTGTACAGTCGTCACTTTACCACTCTCTACTTTACTTGCAATTTCCTTCGCTTGTTTTCGTCTTCCCTTGGCCCCTACTAGCAGGGCTTCCATCAACAAGCCGATCGGAATGTAACGGAGCCAAAGGAGGAGGCATCCATCCCGTATTCGAGAAGTGTCTCGTTGAAAAGGACACTTCGAGTCTGAAGTAATGTGCAATACCCCTCACACTAAAAGATATTCCCATCTCCAAGTATCAAACCATGACGAAATTGTTCAGCCTGGCTTCTGCTTGGCTTTTACATTGCAGAAATCTTTTGCTTCTTGCAATCACCGTCATCAAAGGTTGAGAAGCCAGAGAGAACTTGACGCCAAATCGACCCTGCATATATCCTTTCATCTACTAATGTTAAACAGACATGGAACCGCTAAGGAATGTAGTATAAAGCAAGATTTCGCCCAGCCAACATCCGGGCAAGTCGGTCTAGGTGAACAAGCTCATATTCCTCGATCTCAAGAAACACCCTTACAAAAGTTCAATTTGGGTTCAATTTGGGTTCAATTTCCCAACAACAGTCACTCCAGTATAATAATGGTAGATACACTGATGAAATGGCTTGGAAAGAACAGAAAAAAGGCTCGTAAACCAAGAGAAAACGGTTGACTTGACTAGCAAGCTTCATCCTATCTCTTTCCATTCCGTGATCTCAAGGCCAAAGACTCATAATATCATCAGCAACACTAGCTCACCAAGCACAATGGCCTCCATCGACTCTCAGATCCTGCACCAAGGCATCAGCATCAACAAACTCACGCAAGCTCAAACACGCAGTACTTACAGCCCCCGTCATATAACTGCTCCCTTCCCCCAACAGAAACAAGCAAGGCGCCCTGAACTCCTGCACCTGACTCACCCTCCCCAGCATATTCTGCCGCGCCCACTCATCCGTCAACCCTCTCTTGCGCGCCGCCTCGCTGATCGGCGTCTCGATGTGTCCCGGGCTGAGCGAGTTCACGCGAATAGGCGGGTACGCTTTGCGAGGTTCCATGGAGGGGTTCGGGTTCGTGTCGCTCGGCGTGCTTCCCGGGAATGTGTTCTGCGGGTGGCCCCATTCCGCGGCCAGAGAGCGGGTCAGTTGGTGCAAGGCGGATTTCGAGGCGTTGTAGGCGGATGTGTTGATTCCCTTGTGATGTAGAGGTCAGTGGGCGGGCGGGGAATGTCACGGTTTGTGCTTGTTTGCTTGCTACTCACCCTGTTCGAGACCCATCCGCTCATGCTCGCTATGAGGACGATACTTCCAGTCACGTTGGCCCGATGCATATCCCTACCTACAGCCTGGGCTACAAGAAATGTCCCAGTGACATTCACGTCGAGAATCTTCCGGAACACATTGATGTCGTAGTCGACAGCGTCGCCTTCACCCGATATGCCCGCGCACGCGACCAATCCGCGCAAGGGAAACCGAACGTCTTCGCGTATTCTATCAAACAGTGGTGGGATTGTCTCGGCTTCAGTGACGTCAGCCTGGTAGTAAAATGCCTTCGTGTTGTTGATCTTTGCTGTTTCCTCTATGTCCTCTGCATTGCATATTTAGCGATTAGTACTAAGTATACAAATGGGGAGATCCTAGATGATTCTGACCCCATTGCGCTGCGTTGGGGGATTGGGCGACGTCTAACAGTACAATGTCCCCGCCGCTTTCGAGAATGGCTTTTCCGACGCAGAGGCCTACTGCGCCTGCACCTCCAGACACTGTATGTATAGTTAGCGATTTAGTGGGTTGATTCTGTAAGGGCATGTTACATAGGATAGTTCTCCCATCAAGTCGAAATAGATCTCGTGTAGGAACGTCGACGGGTGCTGGATGTGTCATAATGAATGTATTCAACGAAAGGTAGAGTGAAACACTAAATTATTGACATCTGATAATCGCTTTGCGTTATGAAAGAGCATTGTTAACCCTGGAGAAAGGTCGCAGCTACGTCAGCGTTCGGTGATTGGGGTGACATGCATGTAGGACGACGTGGGGTACGGTACGACGGCCTTTATCCACATACCCCGCAAAGCTTTCCAATCCCCTAGATAATGTTCAATTCGTATTGGAGACCCTTGAAGATTATCTTAGGACAAGTATCTGTCTAGCAGAATATACTGATCCTCGCGGATTTCGCACTCCAGACATGGGCCAATGAATAGCCAAACCATTGCTAGTAGTTTGGATAGCATACATGTACACTACTACTAGAACAGTTCCCCTATTTCCTTTGTACCATCAACGCGAAACTGTGTTCTAGTAACAAGACGCAATGTTGCACCTCTATCACGAAGTTCAGTCATTCAATAGGACTGTTGCATCAATCCACGTCACCAACACTCCATTCACGCAGATTTTATGACATCAAAACGGGAACCTGGTCATTTATGTACAAGTAACGTGGGTATCTTTATTAATCTTTAAAAAGTTCTATCGTTCTGTGCGAAGAAGAGTATTATCTATAATTCTGCGCCGACATCTCCCCAACAGGCGCATAGCCCTGTGCATTATGTGCAGCCGGCGGGGGATACGTCGTCTCCCCCTGGACCGTACTGCCCGGCATTTCCGCCGCGTAGTTCGCCTGGCTGGGGAGCTCCTGGGGCGGAACCTGCTGGTGATCCTGAGGGGCGTATAGTTCGTGGGCGCCGCCTTGCGGGGCAACGGGTGCATATGCGTAGGCGTCGGAGGGCGGTTTTGTAGAGTTGTTATTGTAGTAGCCGGCGTATTCGTAGGGGGTGTTGTTGTAGGCGGTGTTTGTTCCGTCGAGTTCTGGCTTGTCGAGAGGGGCTTCCGATCCGGAGACACCACCGCCATTGCCTCCTGTGCGTCCTGCTGCTAGTTGACGGTTCTTGCGTCGTCGGTAGAGGAGGAATGCGGCGACGCCCATGCCTGCGAGTGCTACGGCTGAGACGCCGATGCCAATGCCTGCTTTTGCTCCTGTGCTGAGCCCGTCGTCTTGGTTGATTGGGTTTGGCGATTGAGATGGTGGTGGGCTGTTAGTTATGACGGGTGCTGCTGTCTCGCCGTTGGCGATGGTGAAGGTCCATGTCTCGGTGACCGTGGTCTGCGCACTGGGAGCAACGGTGCTGGTCAAGGTAGTGGTCGATGTCGATGTCCTTGTTTCTGTGTAGAATTCGGTGAATATGCCGGTTGCCGATGTGGTCGTGCTCGTGGTGACTGTTGTTGTCACGGTTTGCGTTTTCTTTGGATAGACACTCTGTCTGGGGACGAGATCTCTTAGACGGAGGAAATTGTGGTGCTCAGATGCTGATGTTGCTCTTGCGAGAACGGCTTGCTGCCGCGGTTGAGGAGTTTCGACTGGAGGAGCGGGAGGAGCGGTCATGCGCGGTGCGCGTCTCTTTTTATTGTTATTGTCTTCAGTGACGGTGGTGAAGACTGCATGTGTCGAAGTCATTGCTCCAAGATCAGTGGTCGTGAGTATGGTCGTCCATGTCTCCGTCTTGGTTTCAGTGGTCTTGGGGACTCTGGTCGCAACAGGAGCAGATCCCTCCGTGATGACATTGGTGCGTGTCGTGGTGGTTGTCGTAAAGACACTTCTCCAAGGTCAGTTTTGCAAGTAGAAAGTGCAAAATATTGGGAGTACTTACGTGCTCTGCATGCAATATGTCTCGTCTTTTCCATCTCCACATAATTTTCCCGAATTGCAACACCAACCTTTGCCAGACGCATTGGGGTTGTTGCAACAAGCAGCACCATCGCTACACACGCCTCCTTGAGGTAGCGTACACCCACGCTTGAACAAATTGACGATCTTGTAATGCGCCTTCTCATCGTATTCAGGGTTGGGGCTGTAGTCGAATTCGAAACCTCCAAGAGAAGCTCCTATCGGAAGGTTTTGCGGGGCGAGATCCTGAAGACCGGCAAGCGGGCTGGCGAATGCTCGAGGTGCTGCTACCAGACTGCATAGTAGTGCGAGCAGCATCATTGATGGTGGTTTGCGTGAACAGCCCTTAGTAGGCATGTTTTGTGTTCGCGTGCTGTGAGGGACTTGCGAAGTCTTGAAAGTATAGATTAAGCTCGCGTGGGCGAAGGGGTATAGGGAAGGTAAATATTAGATATTATTCCTCATTTACCCCAGCCACTCGGTCGTCGCCGTAACGCTGGGAAGTTCAAACTCTACTACATACAGTCTAGATGGGCGCCGTTGTGGATCCTATTCTTACCAGGCTCTGGGACGCGGGAAGCCAGTCGCTCGAGGCGCAGTTGAATGCTGGTACATTCGGTCATCGGCATAGCCACTACAAGTGCTCGTGCTGCGCTCAAGATAGCAGTTTGTACATATGATTCGCAGAGAGCATTTGATATTCTACAATAATATTTCACAAATAAATCAATTCTTTCTACAGAAAACATGTATCGCTCCTTTCTGCGCGAACATTGACATGTTGCGCTCAATATCCCCTGAAATCAAAGCATCGAACCTTCAAAGACAGAGGAAGGATCAGAATGCAAGCATCTCGCAAAATTACGCCTACTTCCTAGTGCCAGAAACAAGAGGAGACTGGCGGCCTTACGGGGCGACCTGACCCAATAACGTTTCCAATCGTCTCGTGAATTTGTAGATCTGCACCACCTCATCAAACGTTGGCGCGAGGGCGAGATCCAAAGATAGTCACGGCTTGCAAGGTTCGCCTTACGGAGGCCTAAATGTTCACGCAGATGGATACCTTCGGTGTGTGATTACATAGATACATTCACCAGCGCTCGTAGCTACTCCCTTACCTCATCATTGATCGAGGCGATTTAATTCAGCCTCACGTCTTATGCGGGTAATTGATCGTTCCGAGAGATCGGCAGTCAGAGACGATGTTAGCACAATACAGGAAGGGTGGTGCAGTCGACGACAATACAATACGAAATGTCCACGACTGGATTTGGCAAACGGAAAGATCTCGTTAAGAGCGACTAACAATCCTACTGGCCTGATCCTTCTAAATCATCACGATGTTTGTAATCCAGGCATACCCACTTGCACAATCTAAACGCATCTATGACTTCCGCGGCGAACCGGCGCGCCTTGTGATTCTTTCCCAACGCATGACTGCCGTGCAAAACCATAAGTAGCGAAGAACGAATAATTGCACACCACAATTCACCTGATGCAGAAAACGAAAATGCCCCCAGCAAAACAAAACATTGCTTATCTCCATCGGCTGGACAAAGTCGACCTTGGTTGAGGACTTTTAGCTTCCGAAGACGGGGGAAAAGGAAAATAGGGAAAAAGTGGGTCCGAAAGCCATCTCCGAACATCGATATCCCATGATTACCATCATCATCTCCACGAGCAACGTCCGAATAATCCAATGTGGATGAAAAACAATCAATCAATCAAATAAACGACATCTCCGCATCATTCCAGGAAAAGGCCAAAAAAAATCTCGATCTATCACCGAAAGAAGGAATCCAAACCCTCGCATCCCCGCACAGGAAGCTTCAGAAAAGAGATAGATAAGATATAAAAAAAAGGAAACATGAGCGCCCAACAACCCACACCGAACCTATCCTCCCACCTCACAGCCCTCTTCGCCAACACTCCAGACCAACAGAAGCCCACCTCACTCCTCACCTCCGTGCTGCCAACCCTCATCTCCTCCATCGGATCCGTCGCCAATGCCCTCCGCACGACGCAAGGCGTGTCGCAGGTCGGCACGGCCAACGCCTTCGGCGACGACCAATTGAACGTCGACGTCATCGCCGAGGATATCCTGCGCGACGCCATCGCCTCCTGCCCATCCATCCGCACCGCGAGCAGCGAGGAAGATCCAGTCGAGAAGGCCGTGCAGCATAAGCATCGCGACGGTGCCACCCCGCACGCCAACGCGGGAGATGAAGTGTACACGATTGCATTCGACCCGCTCGACGGCAGTTCCATCATCGCACTGGAGCGTCGGCGCCATCATCGGCATCTGGCGGGGCGAGTCGGCGCTGAACTCGGATCCCTCGACGCAGCAGATCGGCGCTATCTTGGGGGTGTTTGGGCCCAGAACTACGGCTGTCGTTGCGTTGAGGGTTCCCGGGACAGGGGTCGATGTCTGCTTCGAGGTCGCGGTTAGTGACGGCGCGAGCGAGTTCCCCGTTGTACGTCCGTCGATCAAGCTTGACGATGCGCCGTTCAAGACGAGGTATTTCGCGCCAGCGAACCTGCGTGCTGCGGGTGAGGAGCCGAGGTATATGGCGTTGTTGAATCACTTCATTGAGAACAGGTACACGCTTCGGTATTGTGGCGGGTTGGTGCCGGATATCGTGCATGCGTTGGTCAAGGGTCATGGCGTGTATGTTTCGCCTGTCACGGCGACGAGTAAGGCGAAGCTGAGGAGGCTGTATGAGTTGGCGCCCATCGCGCTTATAATGGAGTGTGCGGGAGGTATGGCGGTCGATGCGAGTGATGGGAAGAATGTGCTTGAGAGGCAGATTGGCGATACGGATGAGAGAGCGGGGTTGATCTGTGGAACAAAGGAAGAGGTGGAGTTTGTTAGGAAGTCACTGTTGGAATAGATGTCGTGACAGGTGATGCTTTGTACGAATCTCTTAAATACATAGATACGCTAGATATTGAAACAGACGCCTGACGCTGAATACTACGCTCCGTTTATCATTTCCCAGCAAGACTTGCACCACTTCCAACATCCTATTACACAAAAGATACAAATGATAGAATTGGTTACTCAGGCGCAACAAAAGTACTTGGACACGATCTGATGTGAACTTTCGTCGAATAGGCATGTCCAAAGTCATGTTCACCGTTTGATAAATCGAGTTGTAGCAAGGCGAAGTTTTCTGTCATTGGAAGTGAATGAACCGGTATCGATCGAATCACTCTGTCCCCCAGCCTTGCTATATCCATCTGTTAAGTCCTATGCTACCCTATCTAATGCCTTCCAGGCTACTATGCAAGAAAATGTGAAAAACAAAGGGAATGGGGATATCGATGTAATAATTTTGTCCGCCGCACACTTTCCTCTTCTGCTCTCCTCTCCTCTTCTTTTCTTCTGAACTTCTTCTCCAGGTCTCTGGTCATGGTCTTCCTTAAGTCTTTCTTCATCATGACGCCCAATCATCGTGCAACCCTCCAGGCTCCATGACCTTTCACGTGATATTCTCGGACTACTCCGAGGTATCCATCCGACAGTTGCAGTCCCTCAACTGCTCCTCCAATTTTGCGATCTCCACCTCTTGTCTCTTGAGCTTCTCTAGTGCCATTTCTATGATACGGGCCTTGTTAATGTTCTGCCCTTTTTTACCACCTTTGATGGCCGTCTTGCCTTCCGCGTCGGCCTCAGTCTCAGTTGGCACATCCCTCATGACCCCGTCCTTGGCTTCCCCATCGCCTCGAGAGACGACAAAACAGCTGGTCCCGCTTCCAAAGGTTACTTCGCCGTCGAAAATGAACTCGGCGAGATCGACCATGGCAGACTTCATGCGGTCACGACGAGCCTGCTCCGCTGCGCGGTGAGTCGCACGCCGCATCATAACGCCCGTCGCCATGGCGGTCGAGAAGTGCAGGCCCATCTCTGCGTGACGGCCTTCGGCGATCCATTCGTAGTTTGACTTTTGAGCAAGCAGGTCTGCTTGGTTTGTTGAATTTGTGGAGGTGGAAGCTGTTTGGAGGTGTCAGTGATGCACATCCCGTGTTGTAGTAATACGATGCAAGCAGCGACCCAGTCAAGCCCGTGGATACACAAAACCCTCAAACATCTCCTTGAGTATATCTCTTTCTTTGGCGTTGTTTGACTCTACCTGGAAGGGATGTATCATGTGAAAAGTGGATCTCTCTTACCTGTATCAGACAAGATGGAGGGAGCATTGGAGGAAGAATGTTTGGGGATGGGTATCTTGAATTGCGGTGGCACGGGTGATCCCGACACACCAGATATTGACGAACGTTCCGAACTTGAGTAACTGAGTGGTGTGGCTACATCTCTGGCGGGACTATGCTGTCTCCTCCTCTTCTTGAATAACTGTGGCCAGGCACGACTGAGAGGGCCTGTGCGAGGCGGACTACTACTGGCCCCATTGGTTGCAAATTGCTGATGTGCGTCCATCATCCATAGGAGTGCGAGAGAACTATAGGACGAATGGTGTACACAGTCGGATAGGACTTAGGGCATCGAAGTCTTCCTAGAAAGTAACGAGAGTAAGTTGGCGATATGGGGATGGGATAATAGGAAAGGTCCCACGAATGCAGGGACCCCGCCGTAAACGCCCAGAATTGGTCCTTCCGCTTAAGATATGGAGTGGGCGTCGGAAGGTTGAGATGTTGATCGTGTGAGCCGCTTGGGTCCTGGTTAGCGAGGAGATGGAGGCTTGCGTTGAGAACAATCCAGAACGGAGGAGCAGACAGGGTAGAACAAAAGGAGACGAAGGGACGATAGAACGGTGATGAATAGAAGGTTCAGGATGCTTCAAGTCAACGCTGTGGATGACTGTTCAGGGATTCATTGATGAAGTCGAAGGCTTTTTTGGACAGATATGTCTCGCAAGTCGAACTGTGGACTGTCTTTGGCTTCGCCCATGTTGGTTGGATTGAGGGGGGCACACGAGTAGCCAAATAGTTGAAGGCTCATGTCACCATACGGTGAGGTGGAACAAGATCCCTCCGACAAAAGCATGTGTTGCAATAGGGTGTAGTGGTATGGGGGGGTTGTGGTGTTGACCAGTAAGAGTGAAGTCGATGCCCACGTGTTTGGCGCCAAGGACCCCAGGCATAAGGGGTAGGGGGAGGGGGTTTACGGACAAGCGAATTGGGCCATGTCCCAAGAAGGGAAGAATTGAGGATTATAACGATTCCAGCAAGGAATATTTGAAAGAACGTGTCCCACTTCCCCTCCCTTGCTTGCTGATCAGATAATGGATGAATACTTTGTCATCTTCTTAGACGGATTCTAATGGCTGCCAGTGACATTCCGGCCAACCCCAGAGCTTACAACGTATTCCCAAACTTTATCCCAACAGTATTCAATGTAAAATCCTTTAAGACGCAGGATATCATTGCCTCTTACCTGGCCAGATACTCTTGCATCTTGCCACCAAATCTAAAGGCTAATTGTTGCTTGATACTTTTGAAGTCTCGGTGCAACAATTGAGTGGCTGGGAATTTATAGACACCTGGAAATCCCTACGGTGGATAATCCACTCTAGCCCAATACCAGATTAATACCGAGCCCTATACTATGTAGCTCAATGAATCGTCTGACGCAAGTTCTCAACGATTTGAACCAGGAAAAAAAGGAAGATTTGAATTCGCTAAACTGATGCACGCTCACTTCGATGATGACCATCGCTACTACTCGTATGCGAATCCTGTAGCTCGTATTCATCCTTATGCTTGATGCTCATCTCATCCAGAGCGGAAAGCCCGTCATCTATGATATCCTCATCCAACATCTCGTCGTTGAGAAGCTTGGGGTTGAAGGCGAATGCGCCCTTCGGCACAAACGTGGACGTCATTACCAGCACAAATATGATCGTAAACTGTACTCCCGCAACGTTGGTGATGGCTGGTCGAATATCTTGGTTGTTGCTATTCGAAACATTATCAATGTATGTTCCGAGGAGTGGTGAAGTGATCGCATAGATCACAATGTATGTGCAATAAAGGAAAGCCATGACAGCGCCTAAGGCCGACACATTCTTCGTCTTCGACTCGATTCGAGCAAGTGACGCTTGTATGTAAGCAGCAAGCGAAACGTCACCAGCTGCCCATCCGAAGGACTATTCCATGTCAGCACGAAGTGCGCTAAAGAAACTACAGCAAGACTTACGATGGGAAGGAACGTTGCAGCAACAATCCATGCAGATTGAACGTTCCCCATTGGCGGATTCCAAAAAGGTAGATACCAGACCACGAGAAGCATCAAAGAATCCAGTCGAAGCCACGGCATCGGTGTAGTAACTAGATCGTTGAAGAGGAAGACGAATAGCGCACCAAACAGTTCACCCAAATTCGACCCGCCCACCATAATCTGTGACCATGCAGAGTTACCAAGATAGCGACGGGCAATGGCGGGAGCAAGTCCGTTCTCAAGGTACCTGTGACCATACAGAGCGATAGCGTACCCGGGAAGCAGCCAGATAAACTTTCGGTTGGTGAAGATGATCTTTGCACCAGTATAGACAGACTCGAAGAAGAGCCAGAAGCCACTGACAACGGCCATTAGATAGTTCGGGTCTTCAGGATCGCGAGGTGGCCGCTCTTTCTGGAAACCGGACTCTTGGATGAAGAACCATACAATCGATGCGGCCGAGAAGAAGATTGGTGTGATTATGAAGGAAAAATTGTTTCCGAATCGAGGGATGAGTACGAGAGCCGTGCAGAAAGCTCCAGCGGTTCCGGAAACCTCATAGAAAATGTGCACCATGGCATCCATTTGTCTGAGTTTCAGAGCGTTGCCGCCCACAATATCCCTCGGAATGACCCTACGAATAAGTTCGACCATGCCATAGACGATACCGCATACGCAAAAGATTGGAATCATGCCATCCGTGTTGTAGTTACCGTAGTAGCTAAAATCGTTCTTCGCGTGATCCTTGGTGTATCCCGCCGGGAGGAAGTGACCGCCAGTCGAGGCGTCAATGATCATAAGTAAAGCGCTGAAAATACCGAAGACCAAAACGGCACAGGCCAGAACGTTCTTCGTGGGATATCTCTTGACCAGTGGTGCGATTAGGATGGAGCCAACGCACTGGAAGGCCTGGTTGAGTCCAGTTAACAGACCAACCCGACCAAATGTGATAGATGGGGTGTTTGTAACTCTTGCAAGCTCGTCGTATCGGTTCGTCGCGAGAGCTACAACAGAACCGTTGAAGGCTTCTAGACCGAATTTATAGAGCATGATCCCTAAGATGTATATAGCCATGTTCCGCTTCTCCACTGGGCCTGCAGGAGGTTAGTAGGCAATAGGAAGGCATGCAAGGGAGATCTAAGACTGACTGAAGCGCTTCCACGATTCGGATATGGTTCCCCATATTCGGACCCCCATGGCGATGTCCCGGACGATCGTGTGCTGGAAATGCTATGGGTCGCTGGCTACCTACGTTTTTCGACTTGAATGCAGTAGGCAGGCACGAGCGGAGCCAGAGCAAGAACAAGGGAGTTTATACCCCACGATCGTAGTTGGGACGGACGACGAAAGTGGTTGTAAAGTGGGCCAATAGCCGTGCAGTTGACCAGCATGTGCAAGAATATAACCCACAGTGGCACTGCTCAGTGGCAGAGAGCGAGGGATTTGCTGGGCTTGCTGAGCTTGCTTCTCGTTGGTGTTAAGAGGTGGACATCTGTGCCAGGCCAAGCGAAGACCAAGGGGATACCAGGGGGAAGCCAGTCGGGCAAGCCAGGGTATCATACAAGTTGGTCGTTCTACGGAGACTTTAAAGAAAGTTGAGGTCGAGGAAGGATGAGTGGGTTTAATGAATTAAAGTGGTGAGATCGGTCGGGTCCATGGAGAAGTGCATGTTCCTGGTGGGCTGGCAATGTGGGCGTGCGTGGTCGGGGTCTTCACAAGGCTGTAGGGGTAGCGGACATAGGAAAGGTACAATGATGGGCTGCATAATGGAGACTCAAGAGCGTGCAAATCAGACATAGTGTAAGCAGTATTGCCGGTATGTTCTGGCCGTATAGTGGTCGTAGTGCTGTCGAGGTCTACTATAATTCTGTGGTGAGTATGTGTAGCGTATGGGAATAGTGAATAGAACTGAACGTATCCAGACGAGGCGTCGTCGAGTGAAAGGCCTAGTGCTTGGCTACTGGAGCATTTCCAACCAACCAAACCGAGGGAGGCGACCACGTTCCGCGCCAACGGTTCCGCTACACTTCCACCCCCGTCCCACCTATTCGGCCACAATTGCTGCAGGGTCAAGTCTCGTCTCAGAACTCAGGAGGCATTACTCGTATGTACTATATTATAGAACCTTCAGTAAAGATCAAGTCACCTACAATGCCGAACTTGCACATCAATATGATGTATTGTCATTATTAGGAATTATGAACTCCCCAAGCTACCGAATACTGACTACCCTTTGATTTCGTACCAACGATTGTTACAAGTGCATAACGGAAAGATCCCACGCTATGTCTACAACAATGGTAGATTGTTTGCTTTTCGTTGAGATTGCGGAAGAAACGGCCAATCCCATGCATCTAAGTGGTGCAACACTTTTAGTTATCGATTAGCTATGCCGATGAAGGCTTTGGCCAGGTACGTTCAGCGAACGAAATCCTCACACTAGATCGTAACCAACTTGAAGAAATGCCTATGCTCCATTCGCGGTAGGCCGGGCACGCGCATCGAAGGAGTCGTACCTGTGACGCTTCCATGAATGAGCTCTCTCTCTCTCTCGTCTCTCGAGACTGCATCTTATCATTCGTTCATCTTGCTTCCTCGAACGCGAACATAGCGCGTGCATTTGAAGACACGCTGGTTGCGCAGGACTTCGCTGACGTTGTTCTCAATCGGACTCATCATCATATTCCTTCTCGCTTTCTCTCCTCTTCTTCTCCTTCTCGCGGCGCAGTTCCTCTTCCTCTTCTTCACCCCTCTTTGCCAATGATTCACGGAGTCTTTCCTCCTGCTTCCGCCAGTGGCTTCCTTCTTCGTAGTCTTGACTGATCCCTAATGCTTTCCGGAGACGCTCGCTTTCCTCCATCTTTGCTTTCGCGAGATCGTGAACTTGATGTGACTTCAGGTTTCGCGCGTTTGGTCCAGCACCTTTGCCAGCCTGTCGCTCGGCCTCTAACTTCTTGCGCAGAGCATCGCATCGGTCATCGATCTCATCTTCATCGACCCTTGAAGTTGGTTAGCGATCGGAGAGTATCGCGAGATGTAGGAGGATCATACCCTTCTTCTTCGAGCTTGTCCCTGAGCTCGAATACCTTAACCTCAATCTCCCGCTTCGCTTCATGTTCGAGGATCTCTTGATCAGGTTGCCGTGGGCGGTGCTTCGCCTGGTCCCATTCCTTTGGATACGGTGCGGCTCGGTCGCGTGGCTTGAGAAGAGAACGGTTCTTCTGGACGTAACCGGAGGTGCCACTGCCTCGTGGAGTAGACAGACCGACGTTCTCAGACATGTTCAAAATGCTAGCTCGGTGTTGAGCCTCAAAGGGGCGAAAGAGTTAGGTGCGGCGTGATGATGAATGATCGTGAAGTTTATGGTGGTGAATGCAAACGGCTGACAATCCATCTAACTAATTGTTCTAGAAGGTTGCGGAGAAGGCGCGGAGGTTCTACAAGTGGTCCGTGTGCTCAGCCCCGCCATCACTGGTAGAATTTCGAAGAGTCAACGGAACTAGTAATTGTATGAATGACAGTACTGCGCCATGGGACCAAAACCTCAACACAAATTTCCTCATAAACACCTGCTCATTCTGCAGCGATCTTTGCTATACCCAGATCCTCCGCCATGAGCTCATCAATCACCAAAGAGTCTGAACTCTTCCCCACAGAGATGGATGCGGGTGGATTGACGGACAAGGCCAAACAAAATCGACTCCCGTTTCCCCCGGTCACCAAAAGGCATATAATGAACTGCTCATATCACAGCTGGCATCCCAAGTAAGTACTTAAAATCTATCCACAATGTAATTTATCCAGGGATGCTAACATATCGACAGATACCGAACAATTACACCCAAAGCACGCCTCATTCCCTTGCCTGGCGCATTCCTCGAGTATCTTCGCGCAGACGGAATAGTCCTCCCTCCCGAGGAGGCAGACAATCCAGAATGGTCAGATGGAGACAGTGGTATCTTTTCCGGTGCCGACAACGAGGCAGGCGACGACGGTGACGATGACGAGAATTTCGACCCATCTACTCAGTGGCGAAATACACATGAGGAGGTCGCGAGGATCATAGAAGAGTTGGGCGGCAAGGTTGCGCCGAAGTTGAACTGGTCGGCACCGAAAGATGCGACCTGGATAAATGCAACGAACAGCATGCAGTGCAGCACTCCGAACGATATCTACCTGATGTTAAAGTCCAGCGATTTCATCACACATGACCTGCAACAAGTTTTCGACGACACGGAGCCTGACGACCCTACTGACACGAACTCCGATCCAGTGGCATCCGGCATCTCATCAATACCGTATCATCTAATCCTCCGGAAGTGGATTACCCTCAATCCGTCAGTCGAGTTCCGAGTCTTTGTCCGCAATCGTAAAATCATTGCCATCTGCCAGCGTGACTTGAATCATTTCGACTTTCTATTTAGCATGCAGGACAGGTTACGTCAAGAAATTCAAGACTTCTTCAGCATTCGGATAAAAGATACTTTCCCAGACGACAATTTCACATTTGACGTCTACATCCCGCCACCCCATAACCGCGTCTGGCTGATTGATGTCAACCCCTGGGCTCCTCGAACTGATCCGCTATTGTTCGCATGGCTGGAGCTCCTCGAGATGCCTGAGCCTGCGGATCCCGTTTCATACTCAACGGATGAGTCGGAGGAGGATGAGGTAATCGAGCCTCTGTTCGTGCCAGAGTTTCGACTAGTGAGGAAAGACGATCCAGAAGCATATGGCTTCGTAACCCCACAGTTCAGCGCCCACAAAATGCCGAAAGATGTAGTAGACGCAAGTCAAGGCGGCGAGGGTGTTTTGCGGGAATTTGCAAACAATTGGAAGGAGGCGCAGCGTCTTGCGGAGGAGCAGAGGAGAGAAGATAGCGAGGACGATTGATCGTTTTTAGTACGAAGCAACGACCCGGCGTAAAATGATTCAAAGGCGTCAATTGCTTAATGCATGCATGATATCAAAAGATTTCTCTCGCGTTTGACTTTTGCAGAGCCTAAGCACAAGTGTCTGAATACAATCACTGACTACAAGGTTCGATTCATCATCTTTGCCTTACCTTTCCTATGCTAGTGATATTCACATACATGATAGCATTTATTTCTGCGATGTCACTATAAATACTTTTGCAACTCGATGTAACTTAAGAAGATTTTGTGACGGCTACTGAAGACACGGGCATATAGAAGAGAAGATAGATAAAATGGTAGAGTTGTACGCAGCGAGACATTCTAATCTAGAGTTCACCTGGGAAAATAGAACTGGAAAAATAGAACTGGGAAAATAGAACTGGGAAAATAGAACTGGGAAAATAGAACTGGGAAAATAGAATCGCCGATATTGTACTACGTAGTTGCTGGACCAATCAACAGGGTCCCTACGTGGACCCCATTGCTCAGATTACTTTCGTATCCCTCTTGATACTTCGTGTAGCCGGATAACCTCGAAAGCAGATTCTCTTCGCGATAATTGAGATCTAATAATGGTTATTAGCGGAATCTAGATGGGGACATAGGCAATAGTTAACGTTAGGTAGGTAGGTAGTTATCGGTCGTTTGATGGGATGACTAAGCAAACATCGGGGATTTGCTGCTCCGATTGGGACAACTTGACAACTCGCCCCTCTACCTCGAGAAGCCGACAGCTTGTACAATGGCGTCCGAGACGGACGATCCACGAACCTTCCAGACTTGGGAGGATGCCTTCCAATATCCTGTTCCTGTTGTTAGGAAGCTTGAGCAGCAGCTCAGAAGCAATGGGAGCGAGAATCGGGAGAAGCTGCGTTCCCTTGTCGGGTGAGTACACATGCCATTGTTTATTCATTGAGGAGGAAGCTAACTATATTACCAGAGCGAGCTACCGCGATTTACTCTCTACCGCAGAGATGATCATTGACATGGAAGATCGCATGTCTACAGTCGAAACCCAGGTTGCGCGCATTAGTCGGAATTGCAACACGAGGAACATCGATCGCATCGCCAGCAACGCAGCGAAATTGCAGCAGCATAGCCGGACTCAGGATGCAGTACGATACACATTTGCTTCGCAGATCGCGGTATTAAGGAGTTGTCCCGTCGTCATAGCCAGGTTACTGGAGAAGGGAGAAGGGCTACTTGTTCCCGCCAAAGTGTTGGTCATTGGAAGGCTTCTACACAAGGCCCTATCACAATCGAGTAGGAAGGCCGAGATTATCGATAAATTAAGGGATAGGCTTGGATCACTGAGAGGAAAACTGTTGCGCCGCATCGACGACAGATTGCTCAGTAAAAGCGAGACAGGCCATGCCAGCAGTACCGATGGAATAAACTCGCTCGTGGAAACGCTGTGTGCCTATTCTTTAGCCACCACATCTGCCCCCACATTTGTGTTACGGCATTTCCTCGACGCTAGAAAAGAAGAGATCATCAGATCCGTCCGACAGGTGGAAGGGCTCAAGGAAAATGCAGTTTCGGCTTTGAAGCTTTGTGTGCAGACTTGCCTTGACACACAAAGCGTGTTCCCTAGACGATTAGCTGACTCTTTGTTGAAACTCAAGTCGCAGCATCTTGTCCAGGATCCTGACGTACGTGCTTTATATGAGCTCAACCTCGACATCCACGATAAATGGATTGGCCAAGAAGCAAGGAACTATACCCCGCAACCTCGACATGATGAATTGCAACGCACCGACGCTGAGAAATTGCTCCAATCCTGGTCTAAGGATGTGATTGCTGCATTTTTGAAAGAGATCAGAGCTACACTCGAATCAGTAAACGATCTAAATGAAGTCGCAGAACTCAGGCAAGAATTAATTGAGACCTGGATCGGCAGTGGCTCAAGGATGGTCGGCGTAAAGAGCAGGAATGTACTTGATGATCTACGGGACATCTTGAATACTCGATTGGAAAGCATTATGAGAATAAGAGCGCAGGCATTGAAGGCTGTTGTTGACCGCATATCGTCCGCACTGTCAGCGCCTACTAGTTTGAAAGATGCGTCGGATGAATCCCTATGGACCACGACTCTACCTGATTTGTCAGATGGCGCCCGGGTCTTCAAGACAAGTGTGGTGAACACGTACCACGGTCGCGACCGTGCGGTGCTCGAGATCGTGGGCGCATATGAAAAATGGGTGGATTCTTTCCTCGAAGTCAAAGCAATCATCAAGTCAATGAAGGAGGCACGGTGGGACGATCCGTTCACGGAAGAAGTAGATCTCGAAGATTCGGACGATGATTTCGACAACACGAAACAAGTGTTACTCAGCGCTGATGACCCGCAGTTGTTGGAAGAGACAAGTCGTGATTCGTTACAGCAGGCATTGAAGGTCTTGGGAAAAGAATTCTCTAAGTTTGCAGTTCAGAGCACAGAGAACCAAGAGAAGCTGGATCTCGGAAAGGTCACATTCCTCTTACGCGTCATCCGTGAGATATGTGACCGCGTCCCAGGTCTGCGGCTCAATGAGCGTTCGACAGACTTGGACATGCCATTCGGCGAAGATACATTGAAACCTCTACATTCTGCTCTCGCACAACATATTATCAAATCGCCCCTGAAGACCTATCATCAAGCGGTCCTGGGTATTGCAAACCGGAAATCAAAGAGCGATATTCTCTGGGAAGGTGCTCCATCGCTACCCGCTCAACCTTCGCCTGCTGCGTTTCGATTTTTGCAGCAATTGGTTCGGACCATGGGCGGATTTGGTAGTGATCTTTGGGCTCCGCATTGTGTCCATATCCTCAAGAGCGCTGCACATCAAAATATCGTCGAAACATGGCGCGAGTGTGGCAAGCAAGAGGAAAATCAAAGCGACGAGGCCAATGGCCGTGAAGATGGCAATTTAGAGAAGCAGAACGGAACTGCGGATCCCCCTGAAGACTCTAAAGATCCCCCACGCAGCTCAGAAAAGCCCAACTCCAATGAGATCAGACTTGTCAAGCAGAAACAACTCATATTCGACATACTCTTTGTTGAATGTTTCTTGGTCACGAGTGGACCCTCAGACAACACTAGATTCTCCCTCGAAGACCTGTGCAAAGCTGCGGAAGTTGACGAGAGCGGGAGAAAGAGACTCAAGGAAAAGGCACTTGAATATCATAAGAAGACTTATTTGCTTTTCGCATTGTTGGCTTGAAGCGCTTTCCAACCAAATATACCCCTGCTATTTGTAGCATTTCACTTGCCTAGCATACAAAGGAAGAAATAGAGTCAATCTCATAAATGACCGCTCAGTGTGTTTACACTTCTCTATACCACATGAAACCATTTGTTGTGATAGGATAGCCCGTATAAGCCCATAACACTGACAGCGGTAACTATACAGAAGCCGGTTCTACGCATGCACGCCGTCCCGAAGCCTATCTCACTCCTTTCAACGGTCTTACCATTCACAGGACACGAATGCTGTCAATTCGTAATTACAGCATTGGACGCAGTCTCGGCATGCTGCACATCATCCTACTAATAATTGAGTACGAACTGTTGAACTGTTTTTCCATTTCCTTGCATAGATACGCTGCAGTGGAAATAGCGATCTTCTGTTGTGTGACGCACACCTTGGTAACACTGGTCTCCGTGCAAGCCTCATATGCTATTCTTATAAGACGCGCAGGACAACCCCACAGTCAGCGCTATTGCTTTCATTTCAAATGCCACATTCCCCTCATCCGTCCAACTGGTTTTCAATTGAACTCCGCATTGTGTTTACGCATATCACGGATGAGTTCAAAGGCGACTTCCGGCATTGCGCGTCGTGGTGCATGCTGCGGTCGGGTATTGGCTCCTTCGACTCTTTCTTTCTGGATAGGGACGGAGGATCAGAGAAGCGGAGAGGCTCAATGTCATTGTCGCCATGCTGGTTTCAATCGCGCTGTTGATTTACTCGACAAGAATCTATCTACTTATAAGACGGCGCCGATGTTTCTAAATCGATGAATAGTAATTGTTGAGTTAGTAAGAGTTCCATCAGTGTTCTCCGTTTTCTGTGTTTTTTGAGTCTAATAATATGGTCATTGTAGATTTACAAGGTTGTAACATATGCAACATACAGAGGGCATCCCCGTCCACATTTTGTAACCGGCGCCACAACACTGTGTCCTCGTAATCCACGAGGGGCTTCCAAATTTGAACCATCACCCAACAAAACATGGCCGGGTTGAGTCCTAAAGAATTGGCGGCTGATGCTTAAGCTATGATGTACGGAGTGCTCAGCACGTGTGATGCCATAGGCTCTACTCAGGGTCATCATGACAGATGTCAAATGCTTCTCTTTCTTAGGGCTGCATGCAATGACACTTCTCTTCCGAATGGCCCATTGAAAGCATCCTTTTCTTGGAACTATCAAGCGAGCAATATGGATGTTCATCAACCTTTTGATAGCTTAATCTTCACATCTGTCGCGCATCGGTCTCGGATTGCTACGACCCCAACCATTGCTACAAGTATTTTCCTTGCATCCATTTCCGTGTCATATGTGTATAGAAGATGCCTCAGTTCAAGATTCAGAGCACTTTCTACACATCTTCACGCTCGGGTTTGTGTAAGGTATCTGGTTACACTGAACCATGCTTTTGGCGCGCTAGTCCGAGAACCTGGCTTTTGCGTGCAGCGTCGCGATAATTTGTCTGCGGATATTTAATTGCGTGAGAGAACAAGATGCATGGTTGAGGTGGAATACTTGAAAAATTAGATTGAGTTGCATCTTGACTGATAACTATTTGGTTTAAAGGCCAGAAGCAGCTTGCTTCTAAAAGGTTGCAGACAAGTCGCGCTTTCTCATCGTATCTCGAAAGTGTCTCGGAATCATTGTTGCCGATGCACGTTAGCATTGTAGCCATTGTTACGCAGAAAGGTATATCCTCCTCTACCAGCCGCAGAAGGGTGCACTTGTCCCTCCTTCTATCACACTTTCGATGATGTCTCAGATCTATCTCCACATCGGCAATGCCAGCAAAAGCCCAAGATCACACTTATAATGGAGCCGAGATGAGATCATCATCAAGGTTCATTCTCTAAATATTGTCTTCTTGAGTCTGAGTTCTGCTGCCTGGTGTTGCAACTCCAACTCTTCCGAAACTCTCTTAATCCATCTCTTTGACTAACGAACGCTGACCCACGTATTTTCATCAGCATCATAATGTCTGTCGGCATCACAATCGCCTGTTTCCCCATGCTCGAGTCCTTGCTTCTGGTATTGCTCAACTTCTTCGCCACGTTCGTCCCCAAACGCCAGACTGAACCCGAATCAACAAGAACCGATCGTCCAGAGTGCGACTATACGCGGCGGTTCAATCTCGCAACCATATTCAGGCGCCCAAAACCCGCCTACCTTCGATCAAACTCCGACTATGATCCCATTCAAGGGAACAGTCGATTCCTCGAAAGATACCACGATCCAGGCTCGAACGTGACGTTCGATCTCTACCGCTCCGCTCCGCCGCGTCTTCCACGTACGTGGGAGTCGCACACTCGAACGCCGAACAGAGCCTCGTCACTCACCAACTTCAGCCTGCCTTTCTCTGTTGATCAGAGGGACCACTCATATTCTGCCGTCAGGTCGTCCAGAGCGAGTTTTGGGACAGGAGAGTTCATCGGGATGGACTTATCGGACATTGGGTCGGGGATCGGATACGCCGTGAGCATTACGAGCGGTGACACGGTGAGCGAGGAGATCAACCAAGACCGTCAAAGTCTTGATGGTAAAGACGACATTCCACCAGTTCCTAAGATGAAGGACTTTGCGAATGACATGCCAGGCATTGTGCGTACAACAACCACGTACATCACTGTTAAGTAGTGTGGTTTCGTTTAGGTTACGTCCTTCTAGTTCGGTTTTGATCTTTTGGCGGGAGGCGTGTAGCGGTTATGGTTGAGAGTTGGAGCCTCATGTTAGAAGCATTTGGTACTGAATACATATTTAAGCACATGACGTTCAAATGAATGTTTAATAACAGAACTGTTCTCGGTCATGTGTTATCTGCGTTAGGCGGCTTGGGAGAATTTCCTGGCCAGGGACCCTTAATCGAAGCTACACGAGATCCAAGTATATGCTTCAAAGAATCTCTGGATAGAATATTAGCATAACTGCTGGTATAGGTGAGGCTTGTTAAGCCCTTTCACACTTGCCAAGTTAATAGTATTATTCATTGAAGTCCGAATATACATCGTCACGTGATGGCGAATGAAGAGTGTTGAGAGTAATGATAATTAAACAGTCCCCTCGACTCTAAGAGATAGGCAATGATAATATATAAATGTAAACATCCAGTTGCTTTTCAAAGAAGAACTAAATCAAATATGTCGCTCTTGAGTGCCTCACAGGATGAGGAAAGTGGGGGCCACTCAGAGCTCGTTGGGACACGAACAATGTTCGATGGTTCTGTCCAGTAAGCTTGAAAGTTTATTCTGATGCGGAATATACCATGTGAATCGTGTCACTGCCGTTAGTTGCATTGTCTCAAGGTCGCCCCGCCCCATCTATACGTAGAGTATGCGATATTACTAGGCAAGCATTGTAAGCCGTTGAACAAACAAATATTGTTTCGCATATGACGCGGTGGAGTTCCGCTCTATCATGCTGATTCCCCAGCATCTGCAATGAATAGTCAAAGCTTACGTACTGCATACTCGACAGGCATCAAATCCTGACCATCGAACTCGCTCAAGGATTTTCTTCCTGTGGAAGTACGTACAGAGGCTCGGTCCATGTCGTGACAATTACCATCGTGGCGGAGACGCATCCTTCCTCGAACCACCTGAACATCAGGTTCTGGAACTTTCATTTTCGTCCGCCTCAGGGTTGCATCGCATGATTTCCGAGTTGATGGAGTACAAGGCTGGATGCACGTGGTTAACACACTGCACAAAACGAGGCGTTGCCGTCCCGACCAAACCTATGGTTTCAACCTCCTGCGATCTTTGAGTTCTGTGATGCCAACGCTAGAATTCTATCTGCAGCAAGTCAACAATGCTGTGAATTATAGGAACGAGGGAAAGCTGACGTAGGCCAGTTCTTACTGTTACGTTTGCTGCCACAGCAACGTTCTCAAACAAGATTGCGCTGATAATGTACCTCGTAGCAATATGGCCATTTCGGTATACCGAACATTCATCCGCCTTGTGTTCTGTGGATCAGTCATGCCGGCCATAGACGAGTCGAATGGGGGCCGCGGAAGTAATCAGCGGTGCACAGAGCTGGCCAGCCCTCCTGCTTGGTCGTTCTCCTTGGTCCGCTGTGCCAATGCGAGGTGGCAAACCATCATAGCATTTTCAAGTAGTCGGAGATCTACTCCGTAATAGATCCAACATTCGCAATTATATGGAGAATAGTAATAGTCCCGAGCGTAAGTAAGGGCAAGGTGCCAGCGGTAGAATAGTGTCGAGGATTAGAAGTGGGTTAGCGAGGGATAGCGACAAGGGACTAACCTCATACATAAGTATAAGTCGGATCCTCCTCTCGGGTTCGGCTCTCCGCTAGAGGAGTCCGACATCACAACCACTCACAATCTGATGCTGAGACTGTCAATACGCATTGAACCATTCAAATACCATTGACTCCATTGGCCAAGCGCGTATCATCGCAGGAGCGTTGTCCCTCCGATGCAGTCCTAAGACGACCCACTCCAACTCGGCGACTACCAGATCACACCGGTACTTGATAATATGGACTATTCAGAACATCATGGCGCCGCGCCGGTTTGCCCAAGGCCGGAAGGCCTTTGAGAATGCCATGTAGCCTGATGAGCCAATTGCTGACGTGCCAATGGAAGCGATTACTTTCAGCTCAACAGTCGTATCTCCTGAGCGCGACGCCACAAGCCATTAGACATCAGCCTTGTAGTCAGACCGATTGTTGGAGCGTTGCAGTGCTTACTGAATACATGCTAGGTAACATTGCCAGTTGGGGGGCATTTGTGTTGCATTTCTATTCGCTCCAGGTCGCCTAATGGAAAAGCTTCTTTGCGCCGCAGACGCACTGAGCTCTCTGAAGGACCCGTGGGGCCGCAACGATCGTCATTGACGATTCTAGTCTAGGAACCTTCCTTGGCCATTCCACATTATCTCTAGCGAATGTTTTCCCTAACAGCAATAGGTAGATCTTTCGAGTAGACGGATTGCTGCGATATCCACTTTGTAAGACTTAAATAATGGTCTCGTTTCTAATAAAAGATGTACTTTTTGTGAGTTGTGTGACCAAGGACAATGGTAAGTGTACGTCTTCATGATGTAGCTAGGTGTGTTGTGCTTTCATGTACGGAATCAACATACGCACTCTGGAGTACTTCGAAGCAGCTAAGGTGGCTTCGCAGATCTATTACTCCTAGCGTTACTCGACTTTCCCGTTCGAGCGAGTGCTCTAGCAGCACTGCGTCCAAACTTGGGATCAGCAAGCCTGGCTGGCTGTCAGGCTGCTAGCAAGCACATGTATGACAAGAGATCTTCGCTTTTCTGTCCCGGAATAGCATTATTCCCAGGAAAGCTCCTCGCCGATATCTACTGTGCATATCTGCATGGCTCGCTGGACACGCCAGGGCAGTCTTGTCATGGACCAACCGCAGACGCCTCGGCAAGGCTCCAGGGGTTTACTTGCTGCATGACCGGAAAATCCGGTGAATTTGTATCTGTATTCGCTAATTCCGCATGTATTGGTTTTCTTATATCAAACATATAAAGATGTTGACGATTCCAGTTCCTCCAGCCTAGTCTATCCGATCGGTACTCTTCCGTCGTTATCATACTCTCCTTCTACTTCTCCATTCTTTTGTTCCAAGAGGAGGTGTCAATACTTATCATAATGTATATTTCAACGGCCCTCGTATCACTTCTAGTTGCGTCCAGCACTACCCAAGCTCTCCAGCTCTCTGATGTATCCGCGAGTGCTTCTAATGCCATTTCGGAACTCAAGCGAGCGCCAATCATATCAAACCTGATATCTCTCTTCAGTCGTCAGAAGGGAGGGTCATGTCCCGCAGTATGGTCCGAGATCTCTGAGACTCTTACCGCACAGTTTCTTGCAGACGGTCAATGTACGGACGCTGCTCGTGCTGCCATTCGCGGCGCCTTCCACGACTGCTTCAATGGCGCCTGTGATGGATCTCTTATTCTCGCGGGCGAATGCTCGAGAACGGAGAACAGAGGGCTTGAGCGATTGTGTGACAACCTTGGTAATCTCGCGTCTGAGAAAGACGTCGGTGTTGCTGATCTGATTCAATTCGCCGGTGGTCAGTTCCTCCTGATACATCTCACACCTTACCCACCAAGACTCACAAACCAATACAGCCCACGCAATCAAAACGTGTCCAGGAGGCCCCACGATCCCCGTCAAAGTCGGGCGCAAAGACTCCAGCGAACCCAATCCCGAAGGTGTCCTCCCCTCGGCCAATGCGTCCGCCAGCGACCTGATGCGCTTGTTCGGAAGCAAAGGATTCTCTCCTATCGACCTCGCCGCGCTCGTTGGCGCTCACACGGCCGGAAGACAGCGAACTGTCGATCCTACCCAGGCCGGCGCTACGTTTGACTCGACTCCAGGGCAGTGGGATAACAAGTTCTACACGGAGACGCTGAAGAAGGAGGCACCTTTCACCATCCCAGCGGACAGGAATCTGGCAGACCACCCAGTGACTGGCTTAACCTTCAAGGCATTCTCTCTCAGTCAGGCAGCCTGGGCTATCGCGTTCGTGCCTGCAATGACCAAGATGAGCATGATTGGTGTCAGTGGCTCCTTAACGGATTGCACTTCTGCTCTTCCGGGTGGAAGTAGCAAGAGGGACGTTCGGGCTGCTCCATTGTTTGATCGCACGTAATGTAATCTCTCTTTTGATGGTTTCTCTTCAAAGAGCTTCTTTCTTCTTTCTTTCAAGATATTCAAGTAACGCATCTTCTTGGCCTGTGTATCTGATTCCGGCGTATATAAGGCGTTGTGGGATGGTAGACGTGCAACATGATTGTGACGTAGTAGGAGCTATTGCGTACAATCGGATGGTACTACCAGTCAGGACACCCAGGGTTAATACATGGTCAGTAAGGTTGGTCTGGCGTATTAGCATTTCAGCGGTCGCTACGGTGGATTTGGAAAGTCATCAATCTACAATCTTCGTTCAAAAATCGAAACATTTTCCTCTGATTTGTAGCTTGGTGTAGCCACTATGGTCTGGTGAGAATGCGACTCATGCCATGTTGCTATGAGGTGGAAAGATAGGCTCTGCAATTCTTCTGTACCGCTCTTCGCAACTTTAGTGTTATCATAGTTTCACCAACTCAATACACGCTCGTGGTCTATAATCCCCCAACAGTGCTCTCTACTGTCAACGGACACTGCATGACCGTAAATCACCAGAATCCAGATCCTGCAACCTCTCCGAACTAAACCCACGACTCCCAGGAACATATCCGCTACGTTCCGATAGTTCAACCCGGCCAGGCTCAGCCCCTAGTAGTCTTCCTGCACAAATATACGCTGTCCAGGAACAAGCGCTCCCTCTGGGCTAGATCTCGGCTTCTGGCCGTTCAACTGTACCTAGTTGTACTGATTGGTTGAACGCAAGTGTCGTGAAATCGCCATTTGGTAGAACTCATTTCATCGACAACATCGACAGTGGCAGTGAGTAATCAGCTTCATCTGCGTGACTCTTGCTTAGCAATCGGGCGTATCGATACCTCATCGACATGCGAGACATCACGGAAAGTCTTGTAGTCGCCAACATCCACTTGCGACAAACATACGTCCACATCGGTGAACCAAACTCTCTCAACGTCGATGATCATCCGTCGCACATGCGCGATGTCAGCACGTTTGGCACGTTTACCAGCACACAGCAGCAGCGTGCCTATGAAACACGGAAACGGTAGACGATGGAAAGTTAAATGCAGGAACAGGAACAGGCTCCTCCCGGGCCTACTGGTGGCTCTTCCATACCTTGCACTCACATGTACATGCCGTTCGGACTCGGATGTGGAGAAGGGAGGGAGGGGGCACGGGGGTTCCTATAGGCGGATTTGACGTTCCGAGTGCGGTGATTGGGTGGTTGGGTTGTGGCTATAGTGTGTGGATTTCCCGATTCGGTTTCAACTAGCAGGAAGGCTGTATGGGTTTTATATTTGAGGTTGCTGCGAGGGGGTTTGATGTGTGTGTGTGTTGTGGTGATCTTGCTAAGCCTCGTTGTGAGAGTCGGGCCAAGTAGTGGGATTGAGGCTGGAGCGCGCCATTGATTTGGGGTTGAGCCAATTAGTAGTGCGTGAGCATTCTTGGACACTTCGTATCTGTAACAGGCAATTGTAAATTGCACCTCCGCGCCGCATCGGTTAACAGAAGTAACGCCCGGTTGAATGATTTGGCGTGGAAATGTCTGGTTTCAGGAAGTGGGCAGACTCATTTTGATATTACTAGTCTATTGAAAGTCTTGTCGAAGAGCATTTCCTTGCCCTTCAGCCTACGCATGGTGGTACTATTTTCAATGCCCCAGAGGAACAACTCGCAGGGAAAGGAATGGCACGTGAATGACGGGTATTTAACATTAAAATCTACATAGAGGCCTGAAGTTCTATTTGGATCGGTTCGTCATAAACCCTCTAATATGGTATCGTATGCGCTGTAGGCTAGTAGCTATACATGACTGCTGGGACAAGACGTCCTGATGAACTGGTTGAAGGAGAAGGACGTTATTGACGGATAGACTGAAAGTTATAGGTGCCAGCACCTTGCTCAGAATACTGCAATGCCCATTCTGCATCTTGCGCCTCAAAATGTCGAGACACTGCTCATTCCGGCTGTTTCCTGTGATCAAACCCACTTGGCGAAACATTCCTCGTTGATGACGGACGATATGAGCTTAAATGCCCAGAATTCACTGCCACACTCCGAGTCGCCGGTTCCTGATATGATCGGCCCTATTTGAAAATCAGTGACTGCTCGTGATTTTTTGGAAGCGTATTGGCTACTTCAGAAGGTAGCTCAATATATGGCAATTGCACAATAAGTGCAAAGCCTTAAAGAAAGAAATAGGAACTTACAGATGAGCTCCAATTTCAGGTCACTCAGCATGTCCCACCAATTCCACTCCGGTGCCCCGACAGTCAGTCCATTGCTCCATCCCTGCATGACAGAGTCTTCTTTCCCACTTTCTGCGCTTGCTGAGAAGGCATCCAGTTTGTCCCATGGTATATCCATATTCAGTTCTTCGCGACCTCGGGAGTTTGTCAAATTATGTAGCGGATTTGATTCTGTTAGTTGTTTGTGTTTTGCCAAATATGAAAAGCATAGCTCGCGCTCGGTGCTTGCTGGCCGACTGACTAGTGCCAGGATGATAAGCGGTGTAAGTATGTGACGAAGAAACGTCAGGTCGACATCGTCGTGAAGAGCGGTCAAGCTTTGTACTAAAGTGAAAAAAGCTTTGTTGTGGAGTTCATAACGTTCATGCCAAAGATCCGATTCTAGATATGGTGAGGGAAGCGGTGATGGACTTCTTGACCATGGTTCATTGAAGTATGGACCAACAGTGAGAAAGTCCGAGAGGCTTTCCGGATCCGATGCATCTTCAGGAACGTCGGTAAAAGGGGAATTCTCGTGAAATTGGAAATAACTATCCAAATCTGTACTCGGGTCTGGCAGATCCAGTTCATATCCAGCCGGCGTACTGGTCGACGAATTGGATTGATAGGTAGGCGGTGTAAGCTTTTGTCGACCAAAGTACAAATAGCGCAAGCAAAGTATTGTAATTGCTGCCTTCCAAGCAGAGCCGCACAAGTTCTGACGACGGGTTCTTTCCCTACTAAAGTAATGAATTAGCGGCTGTTTCTATAAGTTCGGGAACAACGTCGTACGCTTCTGCATTTTGACTATAGTCACCTATCATTAGCTGCGACCCATCTTCAGGCTGGAAAGAAAGTATGTGATGTAGAATCTTGTCGCGCTTATTGGTCTCTTCGATTGTAATATGACCTGAGCTTCCGAGTACCTTCGAGGCAAAGTATCCAATATCCCATACAGCCAGCGTGAGGGGTGTGGGACATGGATTGAAGAATCTCTTCTGTACGCTAGAAGCGTGACACAACAAATCGACAGCTTTTCGACAAGCCTGTTTTGGTCGTGTTATGGAGTACGGAGAGAGTATGATCCAGAAAGTTTCAATGTGCGCAGCATGCATAAGTGGCGACTGCAAGTGCGGGTAGTGTAGGTAGAGATTCTCGATGCCGCCAAAGGAATGCATGACTTGCGATGTACCTTGGAAATGAAGCCGCCATCTACTCAGACCGTGCTCGAGAAGCTGAATGGATGTTATTGACTACGATGCGTTGAAATAGTACCGAGATACTTACGTCCATGGCGAATATCAACAAACCACAGGCAACAATCAAATCTGGTGACGTATCCTGTGGGCTCTGTAGAAGAGTGTTGAAATGTTGGAAGACCCTCACTTTAGTCTCCAAGGCCAGGTGCTCGGTAGCCTGATCACCGGGACTGCACGAAGCCATGTGGACGGCTGCATTCCTGGCTGCATTTAGTAGACATAGACGATAAAGTGATTGGCCTAACCAACCCAAGAATGCAGGCAACCAATGCACGAGGTAGGGTCTTGATATTTTCCGAAGTCAGGGGTGCAATAGCACGTGCGATGAAGGTCGGTTGGCTGGGCGTGGTTTGCTCGGAGCAAATGACGGAGTTGTCTGGCGGCGTACAGTGTCAGAGGGGATGGCGATGTTCAGTATGATGGTTCTTGTAGCTAAACCTACGATGATTGACAAGTTTCTGGAATGTTGAGTCATCCAGTATGCCACGATTTGAGGATTGATCAAGCGATGGCAGACCAACATGTTGTGCTTCTTTCATGGTTGAAATGGAGGGCACTTTGATAGAACTGCGGACAGCATTGACAACATTCCCTAATTCATCAATCAAAGAATGACTGGATATAGGGAATATGACTTACCATCAACAACTGGTTGTCTTTTTCCTTTCAATTTTCCTCTCACGGCTACCCCATCTGCCCACCTCAATGGTTTCTGGTATCCTAGGCACTGCACTCCCTTCTTGGCACACTTCGCACAGGACGGAAGTATTCGATCACATTTGACGTGGCGTCGTCTGCACGTGTAGCACGGTTCCTGCGATAATTCCGGCATTTCCCCACTAAATGTGGTCCCCTTTGGCGAGCTGCTGGATCAAGGTGTTCTGTCACGCTTTGGTTGACAGAAATGTATGATGCTGTGGAAGAAGGTACAATGGTTCTGATGGGCTTCAAATCATAGATGGGCGTATCATTGTTTGGCCTGAAGGCACGTCAGACGTCTTTATAACAACCTAAGAATGAACACTTCATAGATTTGGCAGATGGTGACCGCAGGCCAGTATCCGTGCGCATACCCAGATACGTTAAGGCTGAGGGTTGAGTGATGCCATCTAGGCGGGAGAAGGATTGGAGAGACAGGGCGACAAGGGCTACATGTGGAGAAGGATGCCGGCGGCAGGATGCAGCAAGAGTTGGGTTTGAGCGGCTGCGATCGTCGGACATTCCATGGACCTCTGCTTCTGAGTGCCATCTGATTCGATGCAAGCGCAAAATTGAGTAATCACTTCATGGAGAGTCTGCAGTCAAGGCTAGCGAGGAGCATTCGAGAAGTCTGGGAAGTTCGTCGCTGCATGCCCAATTCTAGTTAGCGCTTATCGCTGTCACCGCATCAATACGGTCGCCCTTCGGATGTCTGTATACAGCCACAGGGTTGGTGGTCTACACTTGTCGCAGCGACTGATGTGCAGGAACATGCATCGAAGCGTGGTAGAATTACACGGGTTGAATAACAGCCCAATAGGGAAGAAAGACAACCGTGGCGCAGCAGGTCCCAAGATATAGATGAACGTCATATTGAAGACATGAGACCGCACGCCCCATAGAGCTGTACTTGACAATGTAACCGCCAGAGTGACATGAGGAGGAGTTCCCATGGAATCGCGGTGAGAAAGTGGATCGGGGCAAGGGGATAGTGGAGTAGGATTAGGAGCACTAGAAGCATGAAAAGCACTATCAGGAGGTGAGAAAGATGAATTGGAAGAGGCGGTGCTTGAATTAAGGTAGAGACTAAGGGGGGCCTCTAACTTATTCCGATGTTGGCTCAGAGTCCACAGCCAACCAGGAGCTCTGATTCCCTTCCATAAACGTCGGATGGTCCGTGTCAGGCCTGTTCTCTAATCCCTGCACTACCGAGATCTTGAGCCGCCCTACCATGTGTACATATGACGCGCCTCCCATAGACCGTTAGACTTAGAGACAACGTTTCTATCTTTCCACTCACCATCTCTCGATTCACCGTACGGTCGGGGTTGTCCCGTCTATAACAAAGCCAAGATCCTCTGGCGGCGGTGTTGTCATGGACTTTCCAGCCATGTCGCTTAGAAACCACCCGCCTTGTGGCGAGCTGAGTTGTTAGTTCTCCAATGCTGGAACGGCTTAGTCTTACCAGTCTCCCGGGATTCAGACCTCTCTTCAATCATCTTCGCCGGCACATAAGACTAGAACTCGATCTTCATCCGTTCCGCTGCACAGGAGACGGCGATATCACAGGAGATGACATGCATTGCCAACGTCCACGCAGGCTTAAGGCGTCTCATGCCGTGTGCGAGATCATCGAGCCGTCAGACTCTTCGTTCATAGTTTCTCATCCATCATTTCCACATCGCTCTTTGACTATCGATTCATCTTTCGTTGCTAGATCGAGGCTCGGACAGAAGTCATCCGCGAGCGAAATGCCGCGGCATTATTGCATAGGACGAAGGAATAGTGCTACGGCAGACGGAAGGGATCGACACTAGAGCACATCTCCTAGGAAGTATGGTGAGCGAGAATACCAAAGTCGAACTACTCATAGAGATATTACAGTGCGAGTATCCGACGAGGAGCATACCAAAACCAGTGTCTTTGATCTGCTGACACAGGCGTACAAACTATATGATCGCGCTGGACATTCACGTTCTCTTTCTCACCACTGCACATGCACCCTCACTCCATGTACCGACGAGAGAGCACATCCAATGAGTGGATTTGTAAAGAGATATATCACTAGGGATCGCCCGACCTTTCCGAAGACAGCCTCATCTCCTTTTATTGCCTGTAATGCCTACGTCGCACCACGGTGCCTTCGATATTCCAACGCCTCTGGTCTCTGCTAGTGTGTGGATGGCGCGAAGATCTATCCAGAGGCATATACAATGGTAGCAGTTACATTCCACTTTTCCAGAGGGACTGACCGATGCTAGCACCGAAAAACACGCATTAACTTGGGCAAGGCTGGTCCCTACCCTCATATATTGGCTTCATGCTCATGACGAATGCTGTATAGCTGCATCTCTCTACTGAGACAATGGGTCATGTAGTTTAGAGCGCTTGGTACCACCCACCACCGGAGATGTGAAACCAGGTTCCCGGAACTGATATCGCCAAGGCGCTGCTTGGACTTCTACGAAAAAGCGCATTGAGCAGAAGGTATCTCGTGTTCATCGATGGGGAATGGGACGATCTGGGGTGGAGACTGCCCACTGTTGCTTTCCCAAGGAACCACCACACGCGTTCACGGGAACGTACATGTGCACCACCAAAACCTCGACGATACTCCGTCCTCAACCTTGGAATTTCTGGAGAAAGCACGCGCAACAAGGTCTTAGTAGATCCCTATCCAACTAAGAATAGCTGGCTTTTTCTTTGTCGCACAGAGGTTGTCATTGTCACGCGCAGCCCAGTTACACGAGCATACTAATCCGATTGCAGCGGGATGCCTTCTGCGCCCTTTCCCGAAGTCTCGCTAATTCCCTTTTCCCGCGAATTACTTTCTTTTTCTCGCAATGCACGATGGTGGTTCGTTTATTCGGGAGAAGAAGTCTGGTAGAGTCAATAGATTAGAAAGTCACGGCCAGTGCGCGCGCGGCCATTTTACTGTTACCGCAAATCCGCAAATCTCCAACCTAGTCACCACCTTGCCCACCACTACCACCATTCTACCACCACCACCACGAGCATAATCGTGGTCCCCTTCGCCCCTCGCTCACTCACTCCCTTCCCACAGCCTCCTCAGCTAGTAGAGTCAGTCATCAAGATCAGAATCACTGCAACCTCACATCGACCGACCCATCCCAGTGGTAATGAACAATGCCTTACCCACGCGGTGATGTTACAGCTGGTGGCCTTGTCTCTTTACTATGTCTGTTTACTTCACCGAGAGATTGATTACGTGCCTCGGGGGATGAAGGGAGTCATGAGTGACATATAAAATCCCCCCTCCTTTTCGTCCTCAGTATCTCCTTCCCTTTTCTCTACCACACCAACCACTCACTACAACAGCACCTTCCCTATCTTCTTCGGACAACCTCGGACATACATAACACCGTCTCCACACGAACAAGAATATAAAAATCCCATCTCCTAAAAAAAGCAAGCTTCTCTCATCAAGCCAACCGACCTTTCAAATCCATCAACCAAACCACAACGCAAATCAAAAGAAACCATGCACTTCCCATCCTTCTCCATCACCGCCATCTTCCTTGCGGGCATGGCTGTAGCCGCCCCCTTGATCGAGAGCCGCCACAAGGGCATGGTAGACACGCCCGACCACCGCGACGTCGGCGTCGTCTTCACCGGCAAGGGCTACACCGGCCGGTCTACCCTCCTCATGGAGTCCAAGAGGGAAGAGCCCGCTTGCATCAGCCTTGAGCCCGTTTCTAGAGGGCAAGTTCATCCCCCCTTCCCCGTTTCCCCATCCCTATTGCCCTCTATCAATCACTCACTAACGCATGAAACCACCACACAGCGGCGTCCAAGTCTCCTCCGTCCAAGTCTGCAAGGCCGTCACCTGCGCCCTGTACGAGGGCGCCGGCTGCACAGGCTTTGCGGTCAAGTTCGAGGGCCACCAGAACGTCACGGACGTCGAGTCCCGGATCCCGGACGGCAGGAACGGCAAAACTCACGGCCGCTTCTTGTCCTACGCGTGCGGCGAGGCCGTCGAGAAGATTCCGGCAAAGGAGTTCAGCGTCGTAAGTGCTCTCGTCTGATTCTTCGAATTTCACAGACGTCACTGCTGTAAGAGGAAGGAAGGAACGTGGACTAACAGTGACGCAGACATTCGTCGACGGGGAATGCGAGTAGACTGTTCTCTCTCTTTTCGTGGAAACGGTCCTTTATCGTTCAATCGTTCGTCGAGTCTTTTCGGTGCCGGTGTTTTTTCTCTAATGTTCACAGTGGTGTTGTCGGACGTCGGAGTTTTACTATACCAAACATACATACAGTGAGTGAGTGATTGTCGTTCGCTACAACGCAAACAATGGCAAGGGGAAACAACATACATATACAGTGGCAGGAAGGTGATAGAGAGAGATGCAGCTGGTGAGGTGCAAGTATATATTAGTTATTAAGCAGAGCATCTGGTGGTGGTGGCGGAGTCACTCTTTTCATTCATTCAAATGGTTTCCCGTACTTTCTCTTTCGTCGGACTTCGACCTTTGTATTACAATATGGAATTTCATCATACACTGCTCCGTACTGTTCCTTCCATTTCTGAATCACCGTGCCACACGTCCTTCCACGTGTACTGACAGCATCACGGACACTCAACAACAGCAAACACAACAGCACACACGACTAGAAACTCCAAGGTGAGAGAGAGAAAAAGTAAGGGGTTGTGGTATTATAGAACGAAAAAAGAAGGAAGCCCATTCGCTCCCATATATGCTATCTCTGTGCTTTCAAACACGCGCGGCGGAAAAGACGTTATGTGTGGTGTTGATCAGTCCAGTCCAGTCACATCTTTACCCAACCTTCCACCGATCAAAGGTTTTCCCTATCCCATGTCCTTCCACCCCCTCTTCTAATGCAACAGTCGCAGCAACTCGACTTGACAGATAAAAAAGGCAAACAGCCAGACAGAAAACCCCTTTGATGAAGATGCGGACAAAAACATCGCTTTCCCATGCATGCATGCCTAAGAAAAACACAAAAAAGACGACCAGTAGGTCCGAGGATATTTACGAGTAGTGGAGAGGTGTGATGCCCTGGAACAGACAAGTCGACTCCATGGAGTGAGTGCGGACGAGTGTTGTGGGGTGAGGGTGTAGGTTCGGGTGCGTGTGACTAGATTTCGCCGCGCTCGCCACCGCCTGACGAGTAGACATCCATTGTGCATGACCTGATGTAGGGGCACAGCAGTACAGCAAGAAGCAATTCGCTTTCGATTCGTGACTTGGGGGGCCAGGGCCTAGGCGTTTCCCGGCCGCTATTCAGGTGGCGGCGTCGGCAGATCCTCTTCTGCGGGCTTACGCTCTGGACTCGGGGGGCTGACGATGGTAGCTGGGGCGCCCTCGCCTGCCGTGGTGGCGCCATCGTTGCCGTCGGAGGCAATGCTTGTTCGTTTCGACCCTTCTTCGCCTTCCTCGGGAATGGTGCCTGGGCTTGTGATGCTTCCGTCCTCTGTGCGCTGACTGGTTGCTTGCTGTCGGCGTCGTCTTCGCCTTTCCCTCTCGGAATCTGCGGATTCTCGTCTGCGTCGTACAGACAACGATCCATCCTTGTTCAGCCCACCCTGCAAGCCTTCGAGCATAGCCGCTGCACGGTCGGCCACATCGGGTGCCTCTGTAGGGCTGGTCACTGAATTCGACATGTCGCTCTCTGCTGTCTCCGATTGTGGGCTCAACATGCCCTTGGTAGGGTCGTTGCTGGCGCCCTCTTCGTTGTCCATGTTGACTTCGAGCTCGGGAATCTGTTGCCCGGACGCGACGCGAACTTGATGACGGTCCTTTAGGCGAGCACGTCGTCGACGATCGCGTTGGTCTCGCGCTTCTGGCTTTGCAGCACGTAGTTTCTGGAGCAGGTCGTCCATGGCACCCGTTGAAGCCGGAGATTTGGGCGCATCTGAGTCCGCAGCAAGGCCGACAGACAAAGGACTTGCCCCTGCTTTGCGGCGCATCGAGGCTTCGTTGCGGCGATGTGTCTCCTCCATCTGGATGTTCTTCTCCTTGGATTTCTACATGTGTGTCAGTAACGCAGCAGAGAAACTTCTGCGTACAAAGGAAACGTACCTTCCACTCGAGGACAAATTGAGCCAGCTTAGCGAAGAAATCGCGCCTGGCACTGTCGTCCTGTGGGTCTTCTCCGTAGAAAGCCATGATATCATCATATGACTTCTGCATATCCTCGAGGAACACTTGCAATTGCTCCGCCTTGCGTCTTGCCTCCTTCATATTACGCTGCACGACGATGGCAACCTTGTCTTCGGGATGGAATTTGCTGGGATCCGACAGATTACCGGCGTCGAGCGACATCTGAACGTTCTTGATATTGTCGATGTACTTCTTGGCGTCGCCGATGAGCTGTTCGACATTGATCTTTTTGGCTGCAATGACGCCGCCAATCTCATCGGTGAATGTCTCCCATCCTGGGTATTGGTTTCGGACAATGCGTTCAACAAGGTCTGCAAAGGTAGACTCGTTCTTGTCATCCTTCAACATTCCAAGTCTAGAAAGGGTGGAGAGTTTGAAGCCATTGGCTTGCTTGTTGGCGTCGTTCATGAAGTTACCGATATCAAGGATCAAACCAAGCACACTGATCAAACTGGACGAACTTCTCAGACTGTCGGCCACTCGCGAGACCTCGAGAAGCTTCGCCGAAATTTCATCATACTCCGTCTCATACGTTCGCGTGAGTGCCAAAGCCCGCATTCTGCTCTTCCAATAATGATGGAGCTCGTAGGCAGTCAGAAGGTAGATCTGATCTTCCCTGGTGAGCTCCTCGGGGTTTTGCTCGCGCTTGCTTTCGGCAGCATTGGCACCCGTCCAGTCTTTCGAATATGGAGCCATGAGCTTGGACGTGTTGTCCGGGATATCACAGAAGTCATTCTTCTGTAGGAACTCCATCACGACAGGGTCATCCAGGATCTTCTTGTCGCAGTGGATGATCATGTTCACAAGTTCATCCGCTGAGTACGTAGAGAACTTGGCCATGCTGATCTGGAAGTTGTGCATGAGGTCGCGGGAGATGATCTGCTTCTTGTCGTCTTTCTTGCCACCCTTCTTGCCGATCGCCTTGATCTCCTTTGCGAGGAAGAGCTTCTCAACTTCTTCCAAGACACCTTTGTTCGAGAGTTCTCGGTATTTCTCCTCCTTCTCCTCTGAAGTTGGCGCATGCGATGCCCATACTGTCGAATGGGGAGCATCCACCTTCTCCCAATGCAAGGCCTTGAGCTTCTTCTTAGGTCGCACACCTGGCAGATTGATGGTTGGGGCCGAGGTGAAGCTGTTCTTCGGCAGAAACCCTGGCCTTTTGGCTCCTGGCATAGGGGGAGGGGGAGGCGGAGGAGGCGGAGGAGGCGCTGAGCCATCTGTTTGCCCTGGCATAGGCGGTGGGGGAGGAATCTTACCTGGAAATCCGAGCTGACCTGGAGGTGGAGGTGGTGGTGGAGGGGGAACACCCTTTGCACCGGGCATTGGTGGGGGAGGAGGGATGCTGTTGGAGAATCCAAGCTTCCCTGGTGGCGGAGGAGGAGGTGGTGGGATGGGTGCACCAATCTTTGGAGCATCTGATGAAGCTGGCCCAGATGCGTCTGCAGTTGCATCTCCACCAGTAACTTCATCGTCGGCATCGATTTTCTTGACTTTGGCTGCGATCTCACCAAGGAGACCTGTAGCCTGGTTGGCACTAAGCTTAGGCTTGTGCATCTGCACCAGCCTGGGCTTCTCGATGATAATGTCATCGTCGTCCTCGTTATCTTCCAACATGGTTTCGTCTTCATCATCATCGTTCCTTGCAACAGGCTTCCTACGTGGTACACCACTCTTCGCCCTCGCCGAACCAAGGTAGCTGGGGTTGAGTCCTCCAAAGTCCTGTTCGGTGGCTTCTCCTGGAGCGCCTTCCATTCTTTCTCTTAATTCTCGGAGTTTCTCGCTGGGCACGACCTGCTGGAAAGCCTTGCCCTCGAGTGTCGCTTGCGTCCGGGCTCTCTGCAGCTGGATTTCGAGTCTGTTCATCAAGCGCTCGCGATCCATAATACCCTGCATCTGGGTAGGGTCCGTGGCTCCCAAGCCTTCCTTGCCTGACTTCTTCGCTGCAGAAGCTGCCACATCCTGAGCGTCCCTAAGCATGAGATACAGCTCACGGGTCTCCAACTCGTTGCGCTGTAACTCTTGGGCTCGTATCCGTTGTGCCTCCGCCAATTCCGCCTTCATCTGTTCAACCTGGCGCCCACGGAGTTCGATGATTCGCGCTTGCTCTTCCAACTGCTTCTGAAGTCTTTGAACCATGCCATCTGCACCAAGTTCAAGCTGGGCTTTCATCTCATCGCGTTCTGCGATGGCCGAATCGGCAATCTGTCTTGCCTCAATGGCCTCATCTCGAACCTGCCTGGCCTCGGAGTCGGTATATAACTTGTCGAGTAATGACTGGACAGTGAAATTCAAACTTTGCTTCAGATCCATATCAGGTAGTCGACGGTCCATTGCGACGTAACTCAGCATGGAGTCGACCAATTGGAACATCTTGAGACGATCTTCACCATCTGTATCACGAATGAGAAGCAAATGTTGCATAGCCGAAAGGAAGTAGTCCTGGCTCCTGCTGCCTCCAATCTTCTGCATGATGGCATCCGCGATCTGTGAAGGGTCGTTAAGGTCCTTGGCTTCTCCCTCGATACTATCAACCATGGAGCTGTTCTCGCGCTCGAGGATGTCCTCATAGTCAATGGCTTCATTGGCTCGGTAATGTTCGATCTGCTTGTCGATGACCTCGTACTGGAAGCCTTCCATCTTCGAGAAGACGCGCTTGATACCGCATGCAGTGAACTGTGCCCTGATGTGGACACGAAGCTGAATATCCCGTTCCGGTGCGTCCACAATCATGTTGATCAAGAAAAGTGTTGCAATCGCATATTCCATGAGCAGGTTCTCGATACCGATACCTCCACTTCGCACTTCGTCCGAGGCACCAACCATAGAGCCCAATTTTCCTCGACCATCAATTGTGACTTCGACCACGCGCATCCATGAATCGAACCGTCCATTTTCTCCATATTGCGACTTGAGATTGTCGAGTGATTGAAGCACCTTCTCATGACCCTGACCTTCTCCCCAATGGCAAAGGAAGGTAAGGACATCCGAAGCCAATTTTCTCGTATTTAATCGAGACGAGGTTAACGATCCGCAAAGTGCCTGGATAATGTTGGGATGTGCAAGGGCATTGTCGGCTCCGTATTTGTTGTTCATCAAAGCCTTCAAGCACTTGATGATCTCATACTCCCGCTCGACATCATTCTCGGCCTTCTGTTGGAGTGTGCTGGGTACTGGAGACGGGCCCTGTCCTTTCCTTCGATTGATTTTGGCAAGTACATTGGTGAGCGCGATCTGGCCCTGTGCGTCGATGAAACCTCTGACCCAGGCAATAGGTTGCGTCCTTAGACTGATTTCCAAACTCGACATCTGCTTGACGGTGATGGAGTTATCCATAACCTTCTTGACATACCATTCCGGCGATCCTTCCTCCTCAGCTCTAGCCAAGATGTCTGGGTTTCCGGGGAAATACGTATTGCGATTTGTTTGTCTCTTCTTCTCTTCATGTTTATATTCAGCCAACTTGTCCTGGTACACCAACGTCCACTTCTTGTCGATTTTGTAAGCCTCCATCTGTCGCCTTGCCTGTTCCGGTAAACTCTTCCACCCTCTCTTGACCATCAAGTTCATGAATTCCTGCTCCACTACATGGTCCGGCGGCCTTTGAATGCTGAACGTGTTTTGTCCAAATACTCCCTGCGAGGGGCTCGAATGTAGCAAATTGCGGTGGGAATCGCGGGGGGTCGCGATTGCGGTGGGAAGGAGGCTCCCTGCGTCCAAGCCGATTGAAGAGAAAGTAGATTGCGATGCGTTATTAGGATAGTATATGTTCGAGTGGCGGGATTTGGAGTCATTGGAGTATATGCTGGCTTGGTCGGACGACGTGCGCGTGTTCGCGGACGAGTCGGTGCCTGCGTATGTGAAATTATTAGTATTAGCATTCCCGTTGCTGCCGCGTCCCTGGCCCCATTGCTGCATCGACACGCCTCGGTCGCCGGGCTGGCTAGACGCGATTGTAGTACCCCCTGCGTGAGGAGGGGGGCGAGGAGCAGAGCCGTTGGAAGGCGGCGGGGCGGATGGGTTGAAGACGGGATATTGGTGAAAGTCTCCTCCGCCCTTATTCAGGTGGTGCGGCAGCGGTTCGCCATGCCGGGAGGAGTCTTCGGTGTGCCTCTGCGGAGTAGGATCGTATGAGCCCATCGAGGACATGATGCCAGCATGCATTGCTAGGCCTGGGTCCACGGCGATCGAGGTAGGTCGGTCTATCGAGGCCACCGAGCTGGAGTGTCTGTGGGAGTGACGAGAGGATTGTGAGCCAGCAGCGCTGCCCGGTGGACTCTGCGTGGCCGGTGCCAGGAAAGAATCATTGGGGTTGGCTTTGTCCTTGTGGAGCCTGCGTCCAAAGAACTTGCCGGCGGATGATTGTCTCCCCTTGCCATCCTGTGACGTGCTTGAAGGCATCGTCTCCCGTCGTATTATGCGTTAAGCGTTCGTCCTGGCTGGTCGTCGCCGCGACGAGAGGTGTCTTCTGAGGGGGTATAATGCCCAGCCGATATTGGGCTTCCTCTCACTAACTGCGAGTACGAGAGGGGCGAGGGGTATCAGGAAGCAGCCTTTTTCGGCGCGCCAGAGTGGGCAGACAGGCGGCCCAGCGGTCCAAGGCAGGGTGAAACACAATCGGTCACCTCTGCGAAGACGAGGGCGGTGGGATGAGGGGAAGGGAAAACGATGGTTCGCAAGGAGTTGGTGGAGGTCGTAGGCGGGTCGCAGGTGCGGTCGGGGTGTTGCCGACGAGCCAGGCCAGGCCAGCGGCGGTTGCGCTCAGTCGAGTCTCCGGCCTATCAGTGTGCACGCGCGCAAACAGGGTAGCGTTTGAATTTGGAAGAGATTATTAAAATGTTATGTTTATCAGGATCGGGATTTCGAAAAGTAAAAACAACAGAAGACTTGAATTTGATACTTGTAGTCGTGGTAGGAGTTGTTGTGGTAGAGGGATGGGCACAAGACCCCTACAAAGTCAAGATAAGCCAGAACAAAAATAAAAAGAGACGAGATGGTGAAGAGAAGAGACACGATACTGTACGTGGGTCAAGAGTGTTCCGTAGCCTAGTGGAACATTTGAATTCTCAAGTTTGCCTTCATGTCATCCATCTTATTCTTAGGTATACCTTGTCCTCTACTCCCTACACAAATACTTTGCATCTCGTAAGTTCTATGTATCATAAGAGTTGCCGGATTGGGAATGAGACTTCTCCTGAAACCAAACTCAGACCGACCACGACTAAACAAGTAAGGCAACTAAGCTTCAAGACTCAAGACAGCTGAAAGATCACGCAAACCTACTAGATACCTACGGAAGAGACAGGCCGCTGATCATTTACTCGCTAGTTAACTGCGAACATACCAGAAATAGGAAGACCAACTACCAATCAACTAATTCAATCACTGTGAATTGATGATATGTCTAGACTACAACACGGTGAAGACCTGCGCTGCGATACCCATCCATCCAGATGCAGGTGTGCTTTGATCGCCGACCGTCTCGTGTCAAGTCGTTAATCCCCGTCCCCTTCTCGTACTCCAGGTTTGCAGAGCGCACGCCGTACCCGTTGGCAGCAGTTAGCCACAGTAGAGGCCGTAAAACTGGCCGTCCGTAGTACGATCGGTTTCCAATAACGTTAGCAGATGCGCTGGCTTTTGCTGTGCCTGCGATACCCATCTCCTCGTACCTAAACTACTTACCACGAGCTTTGTTCGGACCTCACCACACCTCGTCGTCTTACTTTCAGCCTCCAAACCCTCCCTCATCCATCATCATCAACCCGCGACACACCCACCTCCGACTCAGCTGGCGTCGAACCAACGCCTTCCCACGCTCGCTCTCACATCCCCCGATCCTCCAGCTAGACTACCGTGTACTCAGCAGCGGGTGCGCAACGGCGTGCGCGTTCCTGGCGTCAGCACCACCCTCAACCAACGCAACCTATCCTCCCAACCAAGAACCAACAACTCGCCCACGAGACTCGCCAGCGGCCCAGACGCAAAGAAGGCACACTTTCATTCTTACGCAACAATAAACATCAACAATAAATAAACGGCGGCACACAAAAACATGGCGGGATTCACTCATTTCTTAAAGGTATGCATTACTCCGTTCCACGCATACACGCGCGCACCCCCCACGCCCGCGGAGGAGGGAAGACTCTACTCGACCTTTGGACTCGATAACTAGTTCCTCCCTCTGATTCGGTGCTGGCGGTGATGTCGCTCGCATTCCATTCCCATTCCCAGTGTCCTGGGTCTCGTCTTCTCGGGATGGGAGAATCCACTACGCCGCACCCTATATCCCTCCAGGACTATTCCTTAACTGACAACGATGCATATAGACGATGTTCGTCCCCCTCTTCACAGCCGCGATACTCTACGTCCTCGTCGCGTGGGTCATCGTGCCCTTCGTGCGGCGGCACCGCAGCCGCTACAGCCAGTACCTCCCCGTGACGTCCAACGTCGCGGACACGACGGCGTCGTGGCGGACCCGGGTCTCGGACGCCGTGTACAACCTGTTCGTGCCGACGGGGTGGGCGGCGAGGTGGAGGCAGCGGAGGCTGGTGGATGGGAGTGGTGGGGTCGGGGAGAACCCGGAGGACGAGTTATTTGACGATGAGGAGGGGGAGGGGATGGTCGGGTTCGATCCGATTGATGAGAGGAGGAGGGAGGCGCTGGAGCAGAGGAGGAGTATGATGGGCGAGGAGGATAGGAGGTTGAGTAGGGAGTTGGAACAGGGGTTTAAGGACGATAGCGACGATGAGCATGAGGATGAGAGGAGGCGGTCGCTGTCGAGGTCGAGATAACTATGTGAGGCGACTGCGTTCATATCTGAGCCGTATTATTGCGGACGGTGAACTGTTGTTTGAAATATCTCTGTCAGATATGATTTCTGTGCTTCTTTTCGATACCCATCACCGTCGTCACTTCATCGCATTTAGGAAGTTCGCAAGCAACGCGGCGCTTTTTCATCACAGTGGGACTTGCATAGAAAGGCGTAATTCTACTTTATTCATTATTGTTCATACAGAAATTGGATGCACCCAGTGCGCCAAAGAACAGAGCATTATTTTATTTGAACTCGAAAATCGTTCATTTCTTCTCACGCTGGCCGTAGGCCTTGGTGGCGTAGTCTCCGTTGTGGACGATGAGATCCTCGGGCCTGTAGTCGTGGCGGCCAGAGAAGTAGGAGTCGAGGATGGCCTTGGTGCCGGCAGCGTATCGCTTTGGGGTGTTAGCTTAGATTCGATATCAGGGCACATGTAGAGTTCTTACCTTTTGGGCATCGATGGAGGTACCAGACATGTGAGGAACCATGGCGTTGCCTCCACCCCAGGGGTTCTTAGCAGTGCGGAGTGGGTGGTCCTTGGGAGCAGGCTGGGGGAACCAGACATCACCACCGTATCCACGGAGGTGACCGCTCTTGAGGGCATCAGCGACGTCCTCCTTGACAACGATAGCACCACGGGCAGTGTTGATGAGCCATGAGCCTAGATGTATATGTCAGTCATGCGCCATGGCTCGGTCATTCGGAAAGTAACATACCCTTCTTCATCTTGGCGATGAGGTCCTTGTTGAAGAGACCGCGAGTCTTCTCGTGGAGTGGGCAGTTGATGGTGACAACATCGCACTGTGCCAAAAGCTCCTCGAGGGTGTCGACCCTGCGGCAGCCAATCTCCTTCTCAACCTCGGGGCTCAAAGGCTGGTAATCGAAGTACAGAAGCTCCTTGCAGTCGAAGGGCTTGAGACGGCGGAGCACACGCTCACCAATGCGGCCAACAGCGACGGTACCGACGACCTTGTTCTCCAAGTCGTACTCGTTCTTGGCGACCTCAGCGACGTTCCAGTCTCCGCGCTCGATCTGCTCGTGGGCGGGGACGAAGTTGCGGACGAGGGTGAGGATGGTCATGACGACGTGCTCGGCGACGGAGACGACGTTGGATCCAGTGACTTCGGCAACGGTGATACCGCCATTGGTCTTGTTGGCAGCGTTGAGGTCGACGTGATCGGAACCGATACCAGCAGTAACAGCGATCTTGAGGTTCTTGGCCTTAGCCAGGCGCTCGGCGGTGAGGTATCCAGGGTGGAATCTGGTTGACCATCATGTAAGCTTGCATTCGTTCATTCATTGATCGACCACCGTGCCAGACCGGCTGATGTGCAGTCGGGCGCTTTAATAATGACAATAACAAAGTGATCTGGAATGTTCAAATGGGGAGAGCTCTGGAAGCAAGGGGACTGCGGGGCTCGCTTGCTTAGTAGTGCGGGGTAGCTCCGACGCGCCGGGACTCGTAATTAGGCTTAGGGTACTTGTACATAACAAAAAGTACTTACGGGGTGGTGATGATGACCTCTGCATCAACGAGGTGCTTGTCGAACTCAGAGCCCTCACCCTCCTTGTCGGAGGTGGTTACGAGCTCGTGGCCTTGGTCCTCGAGCCATTTCCTGATACCAAGCTCGTTCTCAGTGGTTCCGAGAAGCTGGGGCTCCTGCTCGGCGTGGATGCCACCCTAGATGCATTGTTAGTTGTCTGAATCTCTTTCTATGTCTCATGCAGATCGCACGAGGGAATTGCAATTGGTACTTACATCGTAGAGGACGAGAAGAACTTTTCCCTGTTGAGTAGCGGTTGCGGTTAGCGTTCTGAAAGCATTGGGTTGTCGTAGGAATTGGTTTCCGGACGTGAGTCGTGGACCAGCACGCGCGGAGAGGACAGAAGAGGCAGGACGGGCAAGCCGTGAAACAGAGCGGAGAAATACCATTGTGAAGTATTGATGAGATGTGAGATTGAAGAAGGAGTAGAGCTTCTTAAGTACTGTAGAGAACTGGTGTTCCTAGAGTGCGTAGAGATGACGGAGGAAAGAGGGGTGGTGTTTGGATAGGTTTATATGTCAACCGCACAAGGTGACGTATCCGAAAATAGAATGAAGAAGAGTTGGAGGATTGGAACTTTTGCACAAAAGAGGAAGATGTCGGATGGAGAAACAAAAAGATCACGACAGCATGAGGGGTAGCTTTTTATATTGGCAAGAATGCCGGGTACGGGGTGTGGTTAGGTACCGCAAGTATCCATCTATCCATCGAGGTGTCTCCCTCCCTTCGCCTTCGCTTTCCTCAAATCGGTACGCAAGAAGGGGTAAAGGGAAGGGAAAGGGTAGTACGGACTTAGTTTCCCCACTTCATTATTGTGCAGGAGTGGATGAGTGGGTTGGGCAGGGCATGGCAGGCTGTGTGGATGTGTTGCAGATGCCTCTCTTAGTCTCTTAGTGTCTAGTAGGCGACTGGTGGAGTTGGTGGATGCTTCCAGTCTCGACGGACATCAATGTCGTCTTTGGGAATAAACACCTCACACACGCCGCATCTGCACTCACAGTCTCACACACACTCAAACGGAGACGATGCGGGGTTGCAGCGAATGGTTCTGGCGGCTTCATTGACGCGCCAGGGGTTGGAACCTAAGTTGCTTAGCCGTTCGATCATGGTCATTTGGCCCCGCTGCTAGGTTGGACATTATCATCTTTCCAGATATCGGTAGTAGAGTTTTGGAAGGTATTACCTCCTTAGGTACATTCATCCCACCCGGATTTGCTTTGCACATAGCTCGGCAGCTGCTCGGTCGAGCTCACGATGCTTCACATTTCATGCCAACGTCAACCGCGCGTTGCGGACTACGTAAGTCTGTGGAGAACGATGCAAATAGAATTCCGGGTCATCCATTCCCTCCGCTCTGATGGTACGAGAAACTGTCCGATGGGAAACAATATCATCCACATTTCGAGCAGGTTGTGTACACAGTACAATCTCCAGACCAGATACGAACTACTACTTTCGACTTAGTAGCCGCCGATGGCCGCTTGGGAGATTCGATGCGATGCGATGCGATGCGGGACAACGGAGGATGCTCAAACACGGCAGTCCACATCAATCACATCACATCACATCTGCGAGATCACTATTCGAAGACGTAATATTGACACTCTGCAATTGATGATCATTCAAATCAAACTCAATCATCCATCTCATCATTCATATCAAGTATATATCCGCAGTGGCAGCCCAAACATTCATCAACCGTGATGTTGCAAGTTCTCTTAGGAGTAGGATAATGATGCTATATCCAGCATGCCAGCCTTGCTGTAAGGCGCGGGTATCCACGCTTCGATGGTCGAACATGGTGCTCGTATCTACGAGTGGTAACGACCACGCTGACGAGGCGTTCGCCTAGATCCAGGGCTTCTTGGGAGTGAGCGGCTGAAGGATGGGGAAAGACTCGGCGGGATGCCCGGCGGCTGCGGGAGAGCGTGTGCGTGATGATCATTCGTGTTCTTCTGTGGTTTGTCTGGAGAGACTGGTCTTTGGTGTGCGGAGTTAGTTGCGGCTACGAGATGTCTCCAAGTCATGGCCGCTCATTTCCCCGAGATCGCCCATCTCTCGGCTCAAGCGAGCCCTTTCTTCGGAGAATGGTTATAGCTCGGTCACCTTCGGGATTCGCTCTACTTAAGACGAACAACCCTCTGAGTATCATAGAACGTTGATGATGCTTCCCATTGTCCTTGCGCGACATCAGCTTCGTGGAAAAATATGAGTAAAGGAGTATGAACATCCCGAACATCTCCTCTCCATGTCAATAAACTAACCTTCCCAGTTTCCACCAATGCATAACTGAATGTTCCAACATTGTCTGCGCAACTTCATGTTCAACCAGTCGCCCCGAACTTTGAGCGAACAATAGGCCTCCACGCACTACGCTCCGGCTCCGGAGCGCGCCATGGCATCTGGACCCTCATGCCATCTACAGCCTCCCAACAATGACTTGCAGCATACGATCATCAGGTCTACGGCCCACTGTTTAAAGACGTCAGACTGCCCAAAGAAGAGTTGGGAACGGCTTGCCTTGCTGAGAAGGAGATCGCAGAGCGATTCACCTCCGACACGGTACGACGCATAGGTGACCGGATTTTGATCTTAAACAAGATTACGGCAAAGACTACGGCAATGGTACCGGCAGGGCGAGCAACCGGTTGAGTTGATTTCACACAATCTTGCCCGACATCCAACTTCCCCATTCTTGTGACAGCAGGCATCTATCTACACGTCCATCGCATCCGCCGTACGCGACACATGGACAAACTGGACCACATTTGGAACAACTTCTTGAGTCTGATTATGACCTGCTGGTCGAACTGTCCCATCTAACATTGCAATTGCACGAGCCAACGCAGCAAATCACGTCCACAGCCCACAGCGACTTTCCAAATCGTGAGGCCTATGCAAAAAGATATCATGTACCAACTCTTGTGAGCTTGTACATGTCTGAGGATCGAGTATTCGCCACCGACATTGTTGTGACCTCTCCTCCAATTGCAGAGACGTCGTGACTGGACCAGGGAAACAATGACAATTTCGCCCATTCCGATGCGATCGTTCCGATATCTATCAACAGCTATTGAACCACACCACAGCGTCCAGTACGATACGGATTTACAACGATAATTCAATTCTACATCGAAGCATATAGTCGACGTCGCGAAAACACTGAGTTTTACGGACCAGCTATGGAATGCTCTTTGTATACAACAATGCCTTGCGCCCGCCACCTGCTTTGGACTACTTACTATGGAATCACCTGCCCAATTGCAACAGCTATTTCCGCCGTCCGCGAAATCTGATCATGAAGAGGACCACGGCACCCTTTTTCGTGGTATCTCTGTGAATTGCTAACAGGACCCAACACACTCCGAATGCGTCTATCCTGCTTTGCATAACGTTCCTATACCATGCATACCACTATGTTTCACATACTGAAAATATCCAGAAGCATTATATCATTGGAAGAACGAATGAATCTTAAGACCTTTCCCACGTGTATAATTTCGTCTATCTATGTTTCCGCAACAATATATATATACCATAGCTTAACCAATTTTGGCAGTCAAGGCCATCATGTGACTTCTCCTACATACAACAACACCCTTAGTATACAAAACACGCATATGACGCTTAGCGTTGATCCACAACCAATATCTACAAGGCGAATTAGTGTATCGATGCATTTGGCCGTTCCTCTCGACCAAGAACCTAGTGCCAGATCCCTGAACCTCATCCCATTCCAACCTCAATCAAGCCATCGCAGAAAGGCCGTCTAGAGTATCATCAAGCTTCCTCTCCATCTCCTCCCTCGCACTCTCCCTGACCATCGTCTTATTTCTCTGAATCCTCACCCTTTCAAGCGTCCCAAAAGGTAAAAGCACACTACTCTTCAACTCCCAATTCCCCTCACCGTCGAACTCATCAATCCAATCAATCGTAATCCACCTAAGACTCTTCGCTCCGGTCCTTAAGACCCTCACCAGCAGCCCAGCCAGCTCTTGCACCTTGGAAACACAGTCCTCGAGCTCGATAGGCGCATACTTAAGCGCCCCTATCGACGTCTCCATGCGCATGCTAGCCAGCTCGACGCGCACTAGAATCCTCTGCACGTGCCGGAGTCGGACTGACCTTGACAACCTCCGATACGTGGGGTCGAAGCGCCATTCATCGGCATGCGGCGTGAGGGGCCCGACCTCGAAGGCGTGATCCCACAGTTCGGCGTGGAGCTGTTGGCACGCCAGCGAGAGGTTCACGGGGGGCTGGAGGCCGTGATATGCCAAGAATCCGGACTCCAGGGGTAATTGGAGAGGTTGAGGTGCATCGTAGTGAGTCTCGTCGATGTCGTCAGGGGCTTCGATGTCGGTGTAGACGATGATGCTGAAGCTGTTGGTCCCACGCAGGTAGTCGTAGATGATTTCTCTGAGCTCCCGCGGGAGATTCAGAAGTGGACAGCCATTGGGCTGGGAGAATGTCGACAGGGTTTGGGTGCTTCCCGCCTGGCTGTTGTCCCGTCCTGGAGTGCCTGGATCGCTGTCTTTGGAGGGAAGGACGCTAGTGAGGCTATGGACTTTCCAAAACCGGGAGAGGCGAGAAGAGAGATTCCTCTTTCTGGGTTCAATTTGCCTTTTGTCGACGTTTTTGCCGTTGAGAGCCATTTGCTTGGTAAGTCGAGGACCAAGCTGCAGCGGCGTACATTGCGCATTCAGACACAGGCGCTGACGACGACGAACACACTGTCTGTATTGTGGCTGGGTTGGGGTGCTGGCCTGACCATTTAGCGAACCTTCCCCAAACCGGTTTAGCCAATCCCGTTGCTCTCCATCAAATTACCATGTACAATTTTGGCGAGTATGTAAAACATCCTGAACTGTTCACATGTACTCGTCCCCCATAGTCCTCTGCTTACAGAGAAATGACATATGTCACGTCTCCCATGTCAGCCTGTACGGATAAAAAACACCCCGCCTTTTGAGCATCCTCCGCATCTGCCGGATTTCTCGATACCTAATATACACAACCCTCCAATATTTCGACAAACATTCTTCCGATTGGCCTTGTTTCGCTGGTGGCTTGCTGTGGCGTGGCCATCGTGCTCTGCTTGTGCGACCGTCAAGAACCTGTCTTCCGTGTCCTTTCCCTTGCGACTCTGATAATTTCAAATCGAACCCCGACCAACTCTCCCCGCTGTCGCGTCCGGCTGAAGTACTGATAGACGTTGAACGACGTCGCAGGCGAAGCGAGCTTCACTTGATAAACCCGTCGAGCAGGGAAAAATTCGAATATTGTGCTACGGAGACGTCAACGACAGCGACCCACTGTGCTCGGTTCCTCTTGGGATCGTCATTTATCGTGCAGCTCGTGACTGGGGAAAGTAAGGAAACACCCCGACCCAAGCCTGGTCCATGGTTTCTCCAGAAATTAATACTGTGCCGTTCCAGGTAGTAGCGGCCGGTTTGGCAATATAAAAGAGGCGAGGGACGTCACGCAGACAACCTACGATACTTGTATATACTATAAGCCAGCCGGTCGATCCCTCGTTACCTATCTCCTCCACGATATCAAGATGATCGGACTTGTAGCTATATCCGTTGTATGCTTTCTAGCAACTTTTTCGCGGGCTGGATCAGTCACGCAAGATGATTTTACCGGTGTTGGACGGATTCATGTTCTCAAGTCCGACGACTGGAAGACAGCCAACCCTTCCCAGATCATAGGATGCTTGGATGATCTAGGCAGATTCGTCAGTGGAGAGAAGAAAGAGGATTGCGGTGTTTTCGCACACATAAACACCTACCCGAGCACGTTGTCGAGTAGCAAAGGGAACTGTAGCTTCACGAATTCCAAGGCCGAGAAGAACTTGGACAGCTACTACGGAAGAAGAGACAGCGCCTGGTCTTGCGCACCAGGGAACGTTGCAAAGCCTATGGATGCGCTTTACACTCTCGTAAGTGACAACATTTTCTTGAGCTCTTTCTCTGTTCGAGAATAATTTCTAGCAGTGTGGAATCATTGTAGAGAGATACACAGTACTCCCTGTTGATGCTAGCATTCATGATCGACCCATCACGCTAACTTGAATTAGGATGGCTTCGAGTATCCATTCCTTTGCTTTGGAGACATCGCGTGCTTCTATGATTCAAAAGAAGCGCCACAGAAGGGAGAGAACACATCTCTCTGGCAATTCCGATGGGGCTCTATGCAGCGAGGGGTTCCGGAAGGTCACATACAGCTTCAGCTGATGTGGGAGAAGATCGGGGACCTGACGAAGAAAGCCAACACAGAGAAGGCCCCCAGTCGGTTGATGGGATTCTCGAACGTCTTGCAGACACTTTTCCGTGGCCCAGAGATGGATGCTTGATTTTGGCAGAGCATATCAAGTCCAATTCTTTTCATTTAACGGGAATGTACTCCGTACTTCGTACTCTGTAGATATGCAGCACTATACAGTAGCTGCCCAGGCGGACCAAATGCGGCGCGGGCCGAGAAGAGCTTCATGAATCCACTACGGCCGCGGTAGGCCCATACGAGCGATATCAGGAAACTTCGGTCTTTTTTGCCTTATGGCCGGGTACAATAACTTGTAGCTATCATAATATAATTATCATGCGAAATGAAATATGTCCACAACGTCATGGCTAAACCTGTTCCTGGATTTACTTGTTTTGGAGGCGCATTTATAATCGTTCGGCGAAGGAGGGGGACAGACCGAGTGGCTTTTGATTGGCCGTAAGGATTCAGCTTATGCGACCACAAGCCATTCCTCGCTCCCTCGCTGTGTCGGCGTTAACCACAACCTCATGGTCCGAGCTTAGAAAACAACAATGGCTTTACAAATGTCGACATCGATATTTACGCCCGACGAAAGGGTTGCAAAGCATGTATATAAGAGAAGCATGTTCAATAACATTAACTTCCATCATCCAAGTCAACTCAAACATTAAACACAACATTCCAACAATCTTCGAACAACATACAATATTCACAATATCTATCATCAAATCCAAAACATCAATATCAATACTTTTAAATAATCACATCACTTCACATAACCAATCTCACAATAAACCAAACACAAGATCATATTTTTACACAATGGTCAAATACGCAGAAATTCTCTCCTCCAACAAGGCCTTCTTCTCGGAGAAGTCTTCCCAAAACCTGACCGCCGTCTTCGTAGGCGCCACCAACGGCATCGGCCTGGGCGCCTTGCGTGCTTTCGCACGACATACATCTGGCACCCCTGCGACCATCTACGTAGTCGGACGAACTGAGAAGCAACTCTCCAGCCTCAAAGAAACAATCACATCTATCAATACATCCGCGACATTCATCCCCGTCCTGGCAACCGACCTCACAACCCTCGAAGATGCCAAGCTCGCCGCCGACGAGATCGCACGCCACGTCTCGAGGCAACAGGACGCGAAAGTCGACCTCCTCATCATGTCCCCTGGATACGTGGGGTTGAACAGAGAAGACAACGGCTCCGGCGTCGACCGCGTGCAGTCGATTCGATTCTACTCCCGCATGGTCTTTTTGAACACTCTTGCGCCGTATCTAAGGAAATCAAGCCATGCAAGAGTAGTGAGCGTACTGGCTGGCGGACTTGAGGGAAATTTGTTTCTAGACGACATGGCGCTAGAGAAGAACTTCAGCCTCCCGAAGGCTGCTGATCACGGTGCTTCGGAGGTGTCGTTGTACTTGGAGGAGTTCGCTAAGAGACCCGAGAATCAGTCCATCTCTCTCGTCCATGAGTTCCCCGGTTTGACGGGCGGAACGGGCCTTTCTATCAAAGGTCTGCCAGGCTGGGCGCAGTTTCTCTTCGATCATGTCGCAACTTTCATCTTCAAGATTATCGGATACTCTGTTGACGAGGCGGGCGAGAGGGCACTGTACGCTGCGACGACGCCAAAGTTCTCCCGTGACCTAGAACAGGCGGAAAAGGGCAGTGATGGTGTGGTCGGAAGCGGTGCATACATCGTGCATTCCGATTCGAGCGCCATCCCGAGCAATAAGGTTTTGGATAGTCTGCGGGGTGAAGGGGCCGGACAGAAGGTTTGGGAATGGACTTCGCAGGTCCTGTCAAAAGTGAATTCGTCCTAAAAAGTTATAAAAGAGCAGGTGACGGGGGTAAAAATAAATAGATAATGTGTAATGATTCCTTTGACGTATAGTATACCCCAAAAGGTTATATGGAATAGACATAGACAATAATTGAACATCAACCAAAATTACATTGCTACATTGATGCCCACTCATGATTCTGAAGCATATATTTGGGCCCCTCTTCATCGATGGAAGTATTAGGCGATGCCTTCTCTCTGACTGCAATGTCTTTCGAGACAAGCGACATATTGTATACAGATAATTTTCACACCAATTTTGTAGAATACGCCACAGTCGATCCAGGGACAATTCTTCGATTCGCCAGCATATGCTCCGCCATCTTAAGCCAACAACCTATTAGCAGTCAACAGTACACCGCTGACAACTTACTATCCTCCTATCAGCACTACTATCCCGGTACTCCTTTCCCTCATCAACGTTCTTCGAGCCACTTCCCGCCGCCACCTCAACCCGTTCCTATCGCTCGCACGAGGCTTTGGCGTATTGCACCCTTCAGGGTCCGACCTACGTCACCAGCATCACGAAAGGGCTGCAAGGAAATAACATCTCCAGCGCCTGCGAATCCTCCGGAAATACGACGAGGAGGAGTGCAGGAGGAGTGGCTAGTGGCAGGTGGATGCTGATCAGTCATCGCGCTGTGTACCCACAAGAGCACCCCCAGAGCGGCTAGCGTGAGTCGAAACTCGGACATCGGATCTGAACTGCATATCGCATCGCCTGCTGGAGCCGTGAGGGAGATCCTTTTACGGGGGTTCTCGAAACCTTCTCGATGGAGAAGTCGGCGAGAGTGCAGAGTCTTGGAATATAATGTATTTTGCTTGGAAAAGAATCTTAATGAAGGGATTCGTACGAACCTGAACGATTTGACTAGCCTCGTCCGGTTAGATGCTCGTTCAGAAGAGAAGCAGATGAAAGAGGCATTTTTCGGAAATAATTTTTCCTTCTCTTCATGTCTCAATGAAACCTATATAATCCTTTTTACATTGAAATGCACTCCTGAATACTTGGCGTTGCGATTATATTCATGGATAAAGCGTTATTTAATCCATTCTGCTACGAGTTAGCTACCTAGGTAGGTAGGTATCGTGAGCGGATGACGTAGGTGAGAGCCATATAAGCGAACGAGTCGTTTTACTTGTAATTGCTTGTATTTCTAACTAAAAAGGCGGTAGCAGGGTTGTGCAGCACGTACTTGGGGATTCGTACTCGTATCTCTCCCGGTGAATAGCGCAATAGCCAATTTGACGCCCTGTTGCGCTAATTTTCTGCTTCTCTGCATGCCGCATACCTCCGAGCTGCAGATAACACGATTTCGAGAATCCGCCGATATCTCGAGACGACACAGACCCCACGCGGTCTGCTGTGTTCTATATCCGTATCTTTTCAGGTACCTACTGGTTAAGTAATCCCGGCCTCTCGGCGAATTTCTGTTGAAATTCGTTATCCGTGACCTCCGCCAAATACGGGGCGAGCTGTTACCAAACCAGCTGTCCGGTTTCGGTCTGAACCGCAGTTGTGAAAAGTTGGACAGTGCCAGCATAACGCAAATTGAGTGCTGGGAGAAATGAAGCAATCCAGATCGTTGAGGTTTCCAATATCAATAATTGAAGTTTCTGCACTTGTCGACCAAAGGTAAGAGTCTGTTGTGCATGTTCTAGTCATCGATTTCGTGCCCAGAGACCTAGAAACTCTCTACCAAAGTACGACTGAGGAGTCCAGTGCGCATCTCAACCCGACTACCAGTGTGTGGAATGCTACGAGTATGTACCATGAAGAATGTTTCCCCGGTTTGTGGTTACGAATACGGCAAGGCTAGAGATGTTTCGCCTCTCATCACTCTTGGCACCTCAAAAGACGAACGCATTCAATGATGGAATGGCATGGCATTGCACTATTCCTCTTTTCCAATTGATACTCGAAATTGCCGTGGAGATTGAGTCGGAGTAGGAACAAGATCTTTTATGCTACGACGATCATCAAATGGCTCCATTGTCGAGTTATGTACATGCATAGTTATACACAGACTGGACAACTCCGCAGCGCAAACAACATCCATGACAAAGACGGGCGATCGAGCTAACTAATAAATCCTCTTCGGTCTTCTATTGTGCCAGCTACGGCCGAGCTCTGGTGAGCGAACAGGCGACCATTAAAGGAATCCTGGTGTTGGGGCCGTCCTCTCGCCCTCTCTTCAAGGATGTGATACCGCTAGCCCCAACGCTAACCGTGCAGAAAGCTTGTCCTCTACAAATCAAAGCTTGTCGTGGCTGACATCTATCCGGCCCACCCGCCCTATGCCGCCCACCCCCAACCACCAAACAATGCTTGACTGATCACACCCGCGTCATCCCCCGCAGTATTTTCCCGTCCCTTTGATTCATAGCAACTGTTGAAGGGGCAATGTTTATTACCGGTCAACAGTATCCCTTGACCGTTGTCAGAAACCTGTCGAGGGGGTGGCATGTTGCTGCTATTGCTTCAATTGCTTCAAGATGGTCACATGGAGCCGTGAGGCGTCCTCTCACGAAGTCAGGATGGTCCACCGGTGTCAAGAAACGAAATGGAACTGCTTGCGGCATTTTCTTTCGCTTCTTCCTCCATGGTCACGGGTAGCTAAAGACCCAAACCAATCAGTATTGGTGCAAGAAACCCATCGGCTTCATCATATTGAACACTTGCCCTATTCGGTCCCAAGTGTATCAATTCGCGCAGAGCTTCCGGTCGGATCTGCCGGCTTGAGACAGTGATTTGCTCTTTCTCTCATGGTCCACGGAAAAGTCTAATATTTGAAAATACGAGCCATTGTTGAACCCGACGTCAGTCAGAGCGCCTCCACGCGTTGGCTTCATATAAACCCATCTTCCCCTCTCTGCCTTGTCCACCAGCGCCAACTTGATACCCTCGCCAGTGACCGTGCTTTGGCAGCTTCGATTCCACCGCCGCTCACAGAGGCCCCTCCAGGTGTATCTTTTCATCGACAGCAAAAAGGTCAATAGCAATTGTCGCCCATCATGAAGATACATTTCGGAAACCAAGAGCACCCGCAGCACGCGCAAAATGACGACGTCGAGAGAGCAGAGCACCCGCGAGCAATGTCGACCGCGACATCTCACAGGAAGTCCATTGTGAGCATGGCTGAATTCGAGGGAATGGATGAATATTCCGCTCTACAGAAGTACATTCAGTACTACCGAGACCCTCGAACACTATCAGCCAATGACGATACGACACCCAAGAAAAATCCATGGTGGGCTTTCTGGAGGAAGAAGAATAACCCTAACCCCAAAGCTCCTGTCCCGGATTCTAAACTCGTGCCGGAGGAGTGGCTCAATACCGACATTCGCCAAGGTATTACCACTGAAGAAGCCGAGCTCCGTCGCAAACGCTCGGGATGGAACGAGATCTCGTCTGAGAAGGAGAACATGTTCAAGAAGTTTCTCGGTTATTTCAATGGTCCCATTCTATGGGGTAAGTTAGTCTGCACGTGCACGCCAAACAACATTCTGACAATTGCCAGTTATGGAACTTGCTGCTCTGCTTGCCGCTGGTCTTGGCGATTGGATCGACTTCGGAGTTATCTGTGGTATTCTTTTGCTCAACGCCTTCGTCGGTTGGTACCAGGAGAAACAAGCTGCCGATGTCGTCGCTAGTCTCAAGGGTGACATTGCCATGAAGGCAACGGTGATTCGTGACGGCCACCCTCAGACAATTCTCGCTAGAGAAATCGTACCTGGTGATATTGTATGTGAACCCTTATCATTGAGATGGAAATTTTTGCTAATTTGTTAGATCATCATTGAGGAAGGCCAAACTGTCCCTGCAGACGCTCGCTTGATTTGTGATTACAATTCTCCGGAAGACTTCGCCATCTACAACAAACTCAAGGAAGAAGAAGGCTTCTCTGATGAAGATGATCCAGACGACGAGAAGGCCGACCACGATGATGATGATGACGAGGGAAGACCTATTACCCAAGGACATTCCCTCGTCGCTTGCGATCAATCTGCTATCACTGGAGAATCCCTCGCTGTCGAGAAGTATATGGGAGAAATTGCCTACTACACTACTGGTGCCAAGCGCGGAAAGGCTTATGCTATCGCTGTAACAAGTGCTAAGACTTCATTCGTTGGTCGCACCGCTTCGCTTGTCGAGGGCGCAAAAGATCAAGGTCATTTCAAGGCAATCATGAACTCGATCGGTACGAGTCTTTTGGTTTTGGTCATCTTCTTCATCCTCATCGCTTGGATTGGAGGTTTCTTCCGTCATCTGCGAATTGCTGAGGCACGACCTGGCTGGGGCGATTCCGAGACTCTGCTCCACTGGGCTTTGATCATGTTCATCATTGGTGTTCCCGTCGGGTAAGTGTCACCAATCTGTCAATGGAGAATCGAGCTAACTATGTTGCAGTCTTCCTGTTGTCACAACCACCACTCTGGCTGTCGGTGCTGCATACTTGGCCGAACACAAGGCCATTGTGCAAAAGTTGACTGCTATCGAGTCTCTTGCTGGTGTTGACGTACTTTGCTCTGACAAGACTGGTACTTTGACAGCTAACCAGTTGAGTATCCGTGAACCTTATGTTGCCGAGGGCCAGGACGTGAACTGGATGATGGCCGTTGCTGCACTCGCATCTTCCCACAATCTCAAGTCGCTCGACCCCATCGACAAGATCACGCTTCTCACCATCAGACGTTACCCCAAGGCTCGTGACATTCTTGCTGAGGGCTGGAGGACTGAGAAATTCACACCCTTTGATCCCGTCTCCAAGCGCATCACCGCCGTCTGCCACTTGGGCCCTGATAAGTACGTCTGCGCTAAGGGAGCACCAAAGGCAATCCTCAACTTGACCAACTGCGATCCCGAGACTGCCAAACTCTTCAGGGACAAGACTGCCGAATTTGCGCGCAGAGGTTTCCGTGCCCTTGGTGTTGCTTACCAGAAGAACGATGGCGACTGGATTCTCCTCGGATTGCTCTCTATGTTTGACCCCCCTCGTGAGGATACCGCCCAGACTATCGTCGAGGCTCAGCAACTCGGTGTTCCCGTTAAGATGTTGACGTAAGTGAAAGCACGAGACTCCTCATAGAAACTGAAACTGACTGTTTGTAGTGGTGATGCTATTGCTATTGCTAAGGAAACTTGCAAGATGTTGGCACTCGGCACAAAGGTTTACAACTCTCAGAAGCTCATTCATGGTTAGTAGTATGATATCCGATTATAGTATATTCGCTAACGACTCTATTACACAGGTGGTCTTAGTGGTACCACTCAGCATGATCTTGTTGAACGCGCGGATGGTTTTGCCGAAGTCTTCCCCGAGCACAAATACCAAGTCGTCGAAATGTTGCAACAGCGTGGACATTTGACTGCTATGACTGGTGACGGTAAGTTTCTAGATCATCAACTACTGGAGGCACTTTAGCTAATATTATCAGGTGTCAACGACGCTCCATCCTTGAAGAAAGCCGATTGCGGTATTGCTGTCGAGGGTGCTTCCGAAGCCGCTCAAGCTGCCGCCGATATTGTCTTCCTTGCTCCTGGTCTCAGCACCATCGTTTTGGCCATCAAGATCTCCCGTCAAATCTTCCAGCGTATGAAGGCTTACATCCAGTACCGTATCGCTCTCTGCTTGCATCTTGAGATCTACTTGGCCCTGTCCATGATCATCTTGCGAGAGACTGTCCGAGCTGATCTCATTGTCTTCATCGCTCTGTTCGCTGATCTTGCAACCGTCGCTGTGGCTTACGATGTAAGTTCTCGCCCTAAATCATTCTCTCTTCAATTCTAACACAATTTCTAGAACGCTCACTCTGAAGAACGCCCCGTCGAGTGGCAGCTTCCCAAGATTTGGTTCATTTCCGTTATCCTTGGTATATTGCTTGCATTGGCAACCTGGGTCGTTCGCGCCACGATGTTCCTCCCCAACGGCGGCATCATCCAGAACTTCGGTTCCGTCCAGGAAGTCCTCTTCCTCGAGATCGCTCTCACTGAGAACTGGCTCATCTTCGTCACTCGTGGTGGCAAGACTCTTCCCTCGCTCCAACTCGTCTTTGCCATTCTCGGTGTCGACGCCATCGCCACGCTCTTCTGTCTCTTCGGCTGGCTCTCCGGCAGGCCTGAGATCACCTCGCCCAACTCGTCCTGGAAGCAGCGCGAGGACGGCTGGGTTGACATTGTCACCGTCGTCGTCATCTGGGCCTACTCCATCGGCGTCACCATCATCATCGCCATCGTCTACTACCTCCTCAACAAGATCCAGTGGCTCGACGACCTAGGCCGCAAGGACCGCAGCCGCAAGGATCCCGCCGTCGAGAACATGATCGCTGCTCTCAGCAAGTTGGCCCTCGAGCACGGCACTGACAAGCACGGCGTGGAGAGGTACGTCCTCGCGCCCAAGGCGGCCGAGGAGGAAGAGGATGAGTAGTTTTTCTGATGAAGCTAAATGAGCGCGCTACTTTCCGAGTGTGTTGCTGCTCTTTTGGAAGTTGTTCAGGCCATTAATAGATGACCACGCATAATACGCCTGAGCTTTTGTAATATAGGATAATGATTAATTCAAGTTTTTTTTTTCTTTTTTTGAACTACCTTCGCCATGCCATGCCATGCCAATGATATATGCCGTAACTCCCCAAAATCCCCAGACCGCCATGCCATGCCAGTAATACTTGCCATATCCCCCAAACCCCAGGTTACTCCCTAAGATATATAGTTATGTGTAAGGCTTCTCAAACCTTAGAGTAGTAATTAGTAAGAGTATTCTTCTGCGACGGCGCCCCCTTCTTCGGACTCTCCGCCTTCTTCCTCGTATTCTCCCCAACCCCCATAAGCTTCTTCAACTCCTCCCACTCCGCCTTCCCCACGATCCCCCCACTCGCCTCCTTATGCCCCCTCGCGAAACTCTCCCCCAACCTCTCCCTCAGATCCCGATGGCCCTCAACGATCCCCTCCAACTTCGCAATGATATCCACCTTGTCCTCGCCCTCCCTCGCCCGCGCACTCTTCGCCACCCTGCACGAGAAATTGACTTTCCCGGGGAGGTACCCCTCGTTGGCGCACATGACCACTTCCAACTTGTCGGACTTGAGGAACCCGGCCCAGCGGGTTGCGATGACTGGGTGGACCTGGGCTAGGGAGTTGATGGTCAGGACCGCGATGGTGGCGTCGGCGGAGAACTTGGGGGGCGTGTGCGTGCATCGCTCGGTCTCGCGCGCGACCTCTGAAGACGCGGCGTTGAGCTTATGGTTGGAGATGATAGTGCTGGGGCCGGAGGTTGCGGCGATGATGGCGGTCCAGGCGTCAGAGACGTTGTACTCGGCGGTGCGGCGGGGGGCGTTGAGGAGGGAGACTGCGCTGTTGATGGTTTTCTTGGGGTGGTCTTTGAAGGTCGAGGTCATTTCCGGGAATGGAGGGAGCCATTTGAGTGTGGTTCCTAGGTCGCCGTGGGTTCCTACAGCACAGAGCCAGGATATTTTGGATTCGAGCTGAGGGTGTAGAGGTAGGCAGATGTGGTAGGTGAGGAGAGAGCTTGTTGCTACCGGTGGACAGTCATGAGCTGTAACGTATTCTGCTCCGGCGGGGAATCCGTTTTCCTCGGCGTGATGGTGGTCGATGATGAGGCATTGAGCAGGAGAGTCGATCAATGATCCCGACTTCCGAGATCCTTGGTCGAGGACGAAGACATATGATGGCTCGAGAGCAGCGATAGCATCTCGTGTGGTTTCATCGAAAACTGTCTCTCCCTTCTTCGGGAAGTAAACTGATATATTGGATGCCGAGAGTCCTAACGTCGTGAGTGTGTGGTGGAGTATAGCACCAGAGGATAGCCCATCGGCATCTTTATCTGGAAGAATCACTGTTGACTTTTGAGATTTGGCACTGATTGTCGTCAGAAAATGAGGCATTGAATACTCTCAATCTGTAGCAATATGAGATACTTGCCATTCCATGATAATCTCCCTCGCGCGGTCAATCTGTCCTTGCGGAGCTGGCCACACAGTTTCACCTGAGTCATCCCTGCGTGAAGGTGTGAGGTGATATTCGGGAATGACGACTTTGTTTCTCTTTGCTTTTGATGCTGGTTCGTCTCCAGCCTTTCGCTTTTTTGGGCTTGCCATGGTTGATTGTTGGTGAAAGTAGCGGAAAGGTGAGAGGATATGTATTGGTTTCCGATGGGGCTTTATAGTTTGCAAGTGTCGAGTGTGAGAAAGGCCCCTCCGCCAGCTGAGCATCATTTCTTGTATTCGTCCTCAAGAGGTAAAAGATATATACTATGTCTTTGTGCTAGGTACATACTTCGATAGTGAAAGGCACGTGCTAATTGATCGATGACGTAGATGTTATTAGAATGCGCTAATCGAATCTAAGACTATGATGCCTTTTGTCTCTCGATTCTCAGCGATCATAGAGTGGCACATTGCCATGTAGTAGTACTTTGGGTAGCCATATAATCATATCAAGCTTTCTCTCTCAAGATAAATATGTACTCGCCAACCCACACCCTCATTTCTCCGCCATTGGCCGTCGGCATCCTGAGCAACCATTTACCGACAACACTACTCCAGGCTCCAACACACATCCAAACTGAAGCTGACGCTCCCGTACTATATTTCATTCCTGTGCAACCCGCCACTCCCCTATCCTACTCATCCACCCCAAACATCACACGATTCAGTCACACAAGCAAAAAAGTCCAAAAAAACAAAATACATACAACAGCGGGGATTCGCTGATGGTCACCCACTCAACTACTAGTCCGCCGGTACTATGCTTAAGTATGGCTGAGCGAACGGGAAGCCCTGTTTTCATAGTCCAATGGTCGTATGTGAAGGGATTGCCTTTTTCTTTACCCTATAACGCATTGCTATACTGATGCGGGATCGAAGCACAAGGTTGAAGGAGGTGAATACATATGAGATACATGGTTATCACTCTCAATCCTCCCCTTCACCCATCTCTAAGTTTGTGATCCCTCAGAACGTACAGTGTTCGCAACGATATCATACGTATTGACCACATCCGTTGCTCTCATGTCTGGGCCAATCACGTTTCCTTTAGCACCTTGTCGGTCGCATGATTGGGAAAGGTGGAAGTTAGGGATTGCTCTTTTTGGAATGAAGGCAAGAGGAGTAGCAATACTGTGCATGTACGTTTGCAAGCTATGAGTTCGTCTGCAGATGCTTGACTATATAGATAGTATCAATTCTGCTATACGTTAAAACGTAGGGTCAATTACCATCTGGAGCTCGAAGATTTGATTGATCCGAGTCCAGAAGGAGCGGAAATCATACTCATAGTCTAGTAGATAGAGAACATGATGTTCGCAGACTTTGTCAACACCGAAGCAACCAGGCATGACCAAAGGATTAATGCCTTGTATCTTGATAGCAAGCAGGTTAATGATGAGTATAAGCAGTCGAAACATTTTATCGCCGAACGTAGAGATAGTTATCATGGGTGCAAAGACATTTGTCAGACCTCCACTTCGGGAAATCGTCTGGGGAAGCATGGCCGTGTACCTCGCATCTAATACTTACCTAGGTACTCAACCTCCATCTTCACCAATACTTATCTCCTATTCCCCACGCGCGCGATGCTCATCTTACCACCCATACACGCTCCTTATACCCATGAGCCCTTCCTCTCCCAGAAATCTCACCCCAAACCACCCATCTTCATTCCTTCCCCCGCCCTTTCTCTCCAAAGGGCGCTGCAAACCACACCCAGACACGACCAAAACGGCGAAACCGTCAGATCGCGACCTTTCAAACCATGTTGCCAACAGCTAACTTCGTAGAAGCTGGCAGGATGTTTGGCCAACTCAAGCCTAGAAGCATGCAAGGCCCACCGGGTAAACGGCCCTGGTCTCCAGCTGGCAAGCCGGTGGGTTAGGTACTAGGTAGACATGCGCTGACGTTCTACCCATACACAACATAGCTACGTGTGTGTCAGTTACCTAGAGAACTCCACCAAAGGGACTAGAATCGCGAGATAAGCGGGTTCGACGGTGTATAAAAAGTGAGTTTCCTAGTCGTACCACTGCGTCAAGCAAGATACTCCATTTATTTTCCGGGAACTAAGCATTTGCGCAGACCGAATTTGGCGTATACAAACATTGCTATCGGAAAAATTCTTGTGTACCATCATACGAGATCCCCGCAACGGAAAAGAAAACAGAATGTCAGGCTACGATGAATCAACACCGACCTTCACATTCGAGCACCCGGAATTGGGCTCCATGACCGGAGTAATCGCACCGAATAACGTCGTCCAGTTCCGCGCCGTGCCATACGCAACATTACCGGGCCGCTTCCAGCATTCCGCCCTGCTCGAGGATCTGTCAAGTACGAATCGGGACTTCACGAAGCCAGGGTAAATCAACCTCCCTTTGGATGCTAAACGTGAGGGAGAAAAGAAAGGAGAAGTGCTGATCGATATTCTTCACCATAGTTTCGCATGTCCACAGACCTGGGCTCCAGATGCATTCGTCGGAGGTCTTCTCCCAGGCGAACCCATACCCGAGGCCGATGAATTCAAAAGCCTGATTATCCAGGTCAACGTCCCCTTGGAGGTGCTTCGATCTTACTCCTCGGGAACACCGTCATCGAAGATCCCCGTCATGCTGTATCTGCACGGCGGCGGCTTTGTCCTAGGTAAGATCGACGGCGCCCACAACACTGCCTTCATGGTCGAGCAGTCTATCGCGGACAAGACGCCTGTGATCGGAGCAAGTTTCCAGTACCGACTCGGCGCGCTGGGATTCCTCAAGACGCCGCAGGGAGATACGAATTTCGGCCTGTATGATCAGCGGAACGCGCTCCTCTGGGTGCAGAAATTCATCGGCGGATTTGGAGGAGACGCCGCAAGGACGACTGTGTTCGGGGAGTCGGCGGGCTCGATGTCGATTTGTGCACATATGCTTGCTGCTCCTCCGCCTTCGGGCCCGCTGTTCCAGAGGGCCATTCTGATGTCTGGGGTCGTCGGTCCGATGACTGCGCCTGTGCCGTTTGAAGAAGCGGATGAGCTGTTTGATCTGCTTTTGAAGACTTTGGGTATCCAAGAGACAGGGCAGGCAGGTCTAGATAAGGCCAGAGAGGTTGATGTGCAGGCCATTGTTAATGCAACTGCGCACCTCTCGGGCGTAGGGCAGATATTTTTCCCAACTCATGACGAGGCTTGGTTTGGAAAGACACCCGTGGCTTGGGATCGAGGCCTGGAGTTGCTTGAGCAGTGCGAATGGGTGAACGACATCGTGCTGGGATCGACGGGATTTGAGGTACGTCTTCGTGTTGTGAGATCTAGGACATAATTTCTAACTGACAACTCCCACTTTCACAGGGCCAATCATCCTTTGGAATCGCGGCGGGCGTGCAACCCAACCATTTCATCAAAGCTTTGGAAGAGAAAATTGGCAAAGAAAACGCCAACATTGTCTTCGAGGCGTACAACATCGTACCCGACATGGATCCAATCCTCTTCCTTACCCCCGCGATGCGGTGGCTGGGCGATACTCTGTTCGATGGTAAGAGACTCCCCTTCCGCCTGTGAAACCAAACACGGAATAACACCATACATAGCACCAAACCATAATCTCGCCCGACTAGCCAGCAGAAATCCTGCTAAGAAATTATATCGCTACGTCTTTGACGTGAGAAATCCTTTCCCAGGCCACGGACTATATCAACAAGCGCACCACTGGGTCGACGTCTACTTCGTCTTCCGATCCTTCCTGTTCAGGTACCCGACACAGAGGCTGAAGAATATCTCCAACCGCCACGCTCAGCTGTGGATCGAATTCGCGAACGGGAAAGAGCCCTGGACGCAATACAAGTACAATGGTAACACGGATGAGGTGATTATGGTCGCTGACGAGCGGGATGAATGGTCGGAGAAGACAGTGAAGGCATATGAGGCGGTCGCCGAAGTTAGGTTTGAGCGATTGGAGGCGTTGACGGATAGTTGGAAGGATGAGAGAGGGAAGAGGTTCTTGCCGTTCAGGATCGAGCCGTTGTCATCGAAGAAATTGACATGATTCGTGGAACCACAATATACACATCACCTGGTGCAACAGCTACCTCTGCAACTGGATTCAGTGATAAAAACATGATCATTAACTATTTATTCATTCTTACGAGACAATGACTGCACTACTTCTCCCTCTTCCCAGATCTCCTCCTAACAAGCCCCTTGTCACCCTCCCTAGCACTCTCCATGCTCGTGCCGATCCCCGAATCCGTCAATGCGGCGGCCGCAGAAGGCGAAATCGGCTCTTCTAGCAGGAAATCGTCATCCTCCTCTTCGTCGTCTGCTTCGGCCCCCGTGGCTCTGGTGGGTATGTCGTCTAATGCCGGCGTGCCTCTGTCTTCCTCTTTGATCTTCCGACTTGTGGATTCTGAGGGTGAGCTGTATTGCAATGGCTGTTGTGAAGGTAGTGTTGGGAATGTGCGTGACGTATCCGATAGAGGCGTTGATGGGGTGGATGAATCGTCTGTCTTGGGCGTCACTGTACCCTCGTCACCTCCTTCGAGCTTTATGCGTTTCTCTTTCTTGATCCGATGGTTGGACGTTTCATCTTCGTGTCTGCCGCCAAACATGATGGAAAATAGTCCCCAGGTCATGAGCAATATTCCCATCTCCACGCTCCAGAACAATCCCGTGAAGACAACCAAAGAGGTGAGTTTGTAATGGAACATGACCCATCTCATACCTTCAAGCCTGGCCGAGACTTTCACCGCGACGTTGTACACTTCCAAAGGCGTCTTACTTCTGACTTCCAACCTCACGGACGCGGGAATATTCCTCCACCCTTTGTCGAATTCGACTCCCTCCATCATTCCGACGACAACCTTCTCTCTCTCATCCCCCCAACCAATCACATAGATCGGCATCCTCGCGATCCTCCACGCCAACTCCGTGATCCAACTCCTGTACGTCAATATACCAGGTCTCCTCGACCTCGCCAGAACCACTGCCTTCTCTTTCCCAACGTTCCCCAGACCATCAGTTGCAGGGGAACCCTGACCCCCACTGACACCCTCTTTAGCCGTGCCAGCCTCCCCACCCTCTGAGAAGTCATCGACATCCCATTCCTCGCCGTATCCAAGCATCTGCTTCACGCCCCCTCCCACGGTGACCGGCGCCCTCATCTCGAGCCCAAGCATCCAGTTCCCTGCATCGAGGTTCCGCTCGCTGCGCGGGAGCACCATCTCGACGCTGACATCGTACTTCTGGCGACTGACCAGTCCTGCCACGTTCGCGATTCCGTAGGGGAACTTTATCACTAGATTCGTGGAAGGCATGTAGGTTTTGAAGTTTCTGTTGACATGATGCAGGGCGGGGGTGGTGCGCAGGTCGTATTGTAGGTATACGGGCACGGTGACGCCTCGGACGGGAATGTAGGAAAAGTAGAACGTCGTGTAGGCTAGAACGGCTACGCCAAAGAGAACAAAGGACGTGAGGAGGACGAGTGCGGTGCGAAGGTAGGTGCGCAGAAACGCTGGAGAGGTTGCGATGTAGAAAGGCGTCAGGACAGCATCCTGTGGCGCGCGTTGTTAGCACTCCTCAGATAGTAGAATAATCGCATTGTCAATCGAGATACAAAAAAAGATCGAAGGTAAAACTGACTGTTGCGTATGCGACTAAAGGCCAGCGAGACCTGTATCCTTCATCAGACTGACCCATTATGGGCGTTCAAGATACCTTCTGCTGGATGGTGGATGTTGACAAAATGTGAGGTGACGTCGGTGTCTCGCTCGTCTCTGTGCTCAAGCTCGGTCCCTGACCGGCTCGCGTGTCATGCTTCGTTATTGCCAAGCAAGCGATAGATGGGTTCATTTACTTTCATGTGACAGTCGATACAGTAGGTAGTCATAGGTACTACTACAAACAAACATAAAATGATTGAACATCACGACTGCAATAAGCACACAATGTATAATGTTTGGTTCGTTATTGTATCTCCATATGGAAGACAAAGTACACTGATCTACTCCTACACACAATGGGAAGATCTTGCATGCGCTTCTCGTATCCGGACTCCAATAAAATCCAGCCTCCGAGTGTATGGCACAAGACCTCGCGGTCTCATACCATGGACTGATTCCGATCTCTCGAACTCCATAATCCCATCCATCCTGAGCACATGATATCATCCAAGATCCACCTAACTCCGAGGGGGACATTGAAACTGAGGACAGGAGAAGCGCTCTGCCAACAAAAGAAAGAAATCAAGGGTAATGAAAGTGAGGAAATCATCCATATAACATGGAAGGGAAATGGGCAAGGACAAGTCGCGTCAATGATACTCTAAAAAGGTAACATCTGCTTTTTGCGGCCAGTCGCCGCCATATCAATACAGGCCTACGAAATAACAGGAAGTAGAAAAGGCCGTGGATATCGTGAAGTTATGCGGCTGCATAACCCAAAATTCTTTTGGAAGGTCTACTCAAGCATAAAAACTAACGTTCTCAGCAAGAGCATTGAATACACATTATTGACCGTGGGGATGAGGACCACCGAGGGATCGCGGTAGATACACACTAGGAGAATGTACCCATTGGAGGTCCACGACGGGAATTCATGACGGATGATTGGAGCCTGCTAGTCGCCTTTGCTACTCCAGCGAAAGGAGAATTGCGGTGTTTCCTGGGCATGGTGCTTCGCTTCCGAAGGGGCGACATGAGTGCCTCAGCGGATCGGCCGGAACGAATTGGCTTTGAGACCGAAGCTCGCACGTGTGGGTCGTGAGGAAGACGGGCGATGTCGCGGTAGCGGTTTTGGTTGTTTCGGAATGCAGTGACGTTGGCTCTGTCGAAATGTTCCAGCATGGCATCGGAGACGTTGCGTGAGACTGAAGAAGGGGTCTCGGCATATGGGGTAGGTTGGGCTGGAGTCGAACCCTGAGCTGCCGCCCGGGCGGTAGCTGGGGTTGTTGGGACGTCCGTTTCATCATCTTGGTCGATATCGGTATCGTCTCCGTCGGGTCCGAAGTCCATAAAATCAGCCAGATTGAGATCGTCCTCGTAGTCCTCGTCGTCGTCGTACTCGTCGTCATCACTCATGACATTGCCATTTTCAATGTTGACGAACGGATAGAAAGCTTCGGGTGGTCCAATGCTGTCACCCCCAAACATCAAAGCATTGTTCTGGCTATTGCCAAACAAGCCTGAGAACATGATGTCTGAGCCCATGAAGGCATTGCTGAGCATATCGTTGTTGATCTCGCTGTCGGATGCATTCAGCTGCAGGAGAGATGCTCGCGGGCTGTTGTTTGCGGTGCTGCTGGTGCTGTCGTATGAAATTTGAAGGCCGAGAGCAGACCTGGGGCGGTAGAAGGTGATAGTCTTGGTGAACCTATCGGTAACGGCAATCGCCTTGCTGCTGTCGTCATGGATGAAAACTCCACGGGGTGGAGGAACAACAGAGCCACGCCTAAATGGATTGGGACTTGATACTCTAGAAGTGGGGGCTGATGCTGGGCGACGAAGTACAGACCTCTTTGTTCGAGGAGTTCTTGGGTTGGGAGGTTCATCGCCAAAATCAGAATCATACTCGTCAGTAGTGTCACCCATGTCGGCTGAGAAAGTTTGTTAGCAAATAAGGAAACAACGAGCAAGCAGGATGTCAGCATACTTTCATATCCGCTTGAGCCCGGGTCAGAGGAATCGTCAAGCTCGTTGGCATTCAGGGATCCCAGGTTGTGAGGCTCGTCCTGTCCGACGTCCCAGTAGGACTGCTCGGATATGTCGGACGGCAGATCGGCAACATCAGAGTCAATGTCTTCTAGAAGAAGCTCCTGGTAAATACTAGGGGGAAGCTTTTCTTGCTCCATGAAAAGATCTGGGAAAGTGGAACTATCGAGCTCCGACGACGTATCGCTGGAGCTGTCTGATACTTGAACCTCGTCATCGAAACGCACACGTTTCGCGGAACTATCAGAGAATTTTCTTTTAGAGAGTGGTTCTGGGGAAGCGGGAAGGGGGGGTTCGGCTTCAAAAAATTGACCAAATCCATGATCGGTGGGAGCAAAATCAAGGTCAGTGAAAGTGAGCGGATCTCCCATGGACAAGCTCAGGATGTCGTCGCTGCCATAGCTTCCAATGCTATGTCGTCGACCAAGGTCGAATTGGGCCGAGAACAGGTCATTGCCATGCTGCTCTTCTTCTTGAATGATGAAATGTTCTTCTTCCTGCTCCATCATCTCAGGATCAGTCTCGTCGTCGGGGACTTCCAGTACACCACTATAATCTTCATCATCGTCTAAGTCATTGTTTTCATCATCTGAGCTGGCAATAGCGTTCTCATCCACACCATTGGATGCTTCTTGATAAGTTAGTAGTCCGTTGTCGACAGTACGACTCAGCCTTCGGGCCATCTTAGGGCGAGGGAAAGCTGAGGGTCCGTCTTCATCTCCGAATAGGACAGAAGTGCTGGAGAGATTGCTGAATGTACGCTTCTTATTGTTGGCGTTGTTACGAAACAGATTCATGATGGAATCATTACTGTTCGTGCGCCCCGCCCCATGGGATACAACCTCGTCGTGAGAGTCGTCACCATCAGCGGGCTCAATGCGAATGGCAGGGCGAAGACCTTTACCCTTGCCAAGACCATGAGACGGGGCAAAAATGTCTGCATCGTCGTCATCTTCTTTGTCGTCTTCTTGACTAGCACTACTGTCTTCCTCATCATCTTCGTTTGCTTCGTCTTCAGAGTTGGATTGGCTGTTGCTGCCACTGCCATTGTGTTGCTTGCTTCCCTGTGTGGTATCATCCGAAGGGGAGCGTTCGATGCGGTGGCGAGGCATATCATGGGACAGCATATGCTCATGCAAGAGCTTGCCGCCATTGGCCTGCGCTGAGGTTCGCATTTTTGTTTGGTTTGCCATTGTGAATTGAGTGTGTTTGTAGTAGGTATTGGAGAGCGGGTTATGTGTCGAAGTCGTAGATAAAGTGATTCGAGATAAGAGGAGGGATTAGAGTCGTGGGGGAAAAGGTATCTTCGGATGGAGAAGAGGATTATCGGAGGGGTCAGGAAGGGATACAAGGAAACGGCGTTCGTTTGGTAAAATCTTGTGGTATACTGGTGTCCGAAAGGCTCTTAACTATGTTGAGCCCTTATGCGGATGTCGATGTTCTTGAGGGCGGCGTTGAGACGGTAGAACAGACAATGCGAAAGTGATATCGGTGGTGTAGCAGGCCAGACGATGTGTCAAATTGATAGTGATCGAGTGCGGGTAGTATTGCTACTCGCCAGTCGAAGGATTTGTATCGTCGTCGTAGAGGTTGAAATTCTCGTGAGCTGTGCCGGCTGGGAAGGCCCGCGATAGGCGGCGGACCTCCCAGAGGGGATTTAGAGCTCAGCGATGGCCTGCGGCATTGTCTCGACGAAGAAGGGATATGTATAGGGTAAGTTGATATGGGTTACTTGTTGTTTCTGGATTGGGACTTTTGGAGTGTAGTGGTTATGGAGGGGATGGAACAGAAAGAAAGGAAGAAGAAGAAGAAAAGGCAAGGTGACAACGGCGGGAGGAATGATTTTTGGAGAGATGGGGCGCTATACCTGTTTGGGTATGGGGCTAACCCGAGGGAGAGGCAGAAGCAGCGGTGAGATTTGGATGAGTCGTCAGAGGTGGAGGAAGGAACCGGCGGGAGTTGCGAATGCGACCAATCACAGCACGTTATTTCCCCTCTACTATTATTATGACCTTGCTCAAGGACGTCGACCTTTCGACATGATTGACCTTTGATGTTGGCCTCTCCACGGAATCAATCCTCTGATTGACCATTATTACCTTGTCCCATACGCCATGTGTTCATCGAGCCCCTCGGATGACTCCCATCTAACAGACAGGACCAGCCAATTAATGCCTTGTTGACATCTCTGACTCCCCTTCCAAGACATTATTACCCATTTGGGCTAAGCGACGACCCCACACATAACTTCAAAATTCTATCCATGCTTTTTTGCGCTTCATCTTCATCACACTCGCAACTTTCGACTTCGATTGAAGCAGAAACACCAGCACCACCATCACGACAACATCGAGTGACGAAACGACGACAACAACAACAGCCGCAGGGTGGCCAAAACACCACCCCAGTCGCGTGCCTACCTGCCTGCTCGCCTGCAACCCGAGGGGCAAGGTAGGAAAAACCACCATGGCTTGATGACCCCACCGGGCCACTCATGAATAGCACAAAATAGCCTCCTAGTGCTGTGCTAAAACCCATGCCGGCGCCCAACCAAAGGCATCTTACATCCGCAGGACGCTGCTTAGAGCCCAGAGCCAATGCTTACCACTGCGAAGCCACTGAGGTGCCGCCGATGGTGTCAAGCAAGGTAACTGCAAAAAGAGGGCAAACGGCCTGTTGGTGAGCCCACTACTCACGCTAGCCCATCGTACTTTTTTCAGAATCAGAAAAAAAACCACCCTTCGTACTGGACAATCGACAACGGAAGAATGCAATTGGTGCCAAGTAAAACACTGGCCGGTCTCTGCGACGCCCATCCTTGCCAGTCACTGCAGCGCGGATAGATTGATCATTATTGAATCCATGTCAGATCCTCTGTTTTCGTCGTCATGGCCTAGTATCTTTTCTTTCTTTCTCTTTCTTCTCCCCTCTTCTGCAACCGCTTAATTAAACACCCCATCATCATGAGCAGTAGCACCAATTGCTATATGTGCACGCTTAGCTTCTTCTTCATTACGATCGCCTTGCAGGAGCAGCCGGCCGTAAAAAAAAGTCCAGAAAACAAGACAGAAACGCCGCGGCTAGCTCTGGTGAGTACGGAGGCCTCATTGACCGGCCCTACTTGGGCCTTTCCATCATCATCCGCAGCGGATCCTTTCAACCTCGTAACTAGACTTAGCCTTAAGAAGTTTTTTTTTCTTCTTTCAATCATCATAACGTGCCTCGAAATGACAGCATACTCCGCACTGGTGACTTTGCCTACTAACAACGGATCCCTTAGTGGTCAATGACGAAAGAAATCGTATCTGACTAGGAGAAGAGTGAGCGAAGATCCTCCGTACAGCTTTCTGCAACCGTGCCGACATAACCTACGAAGATCCGAGTGCCATTGGTGCATACATGCCTCGTAGCTATCCGTACGTACACAGTATGCTGTGCACCTCTCTGCCGTCCGCTATATGCACATGCCCTTGCCTGCGGTGCTCCCCGGCGACGTCCGCCGTCTCTGCATTGTAACATCCGAGCTCCTCGCCCTCACGTGTAGAATAAGTGCCTAGTTACTCCGTACTCATGAATAGACTACGAGCTCCCATACCTAGCCCCGATTTAGGTAATTATGTTGTACATAGCTACCTCCCTACAAAGGTCAAACTCTGGGGGACGCTCGCCGTCGTGCACGCAATAGCACTGCAATCCACTGCACTGCACAGACATTCTCCTCCCACTAAAACACCTTCCAAAACCTCCACTTCACGATTAAACTAATCAGTCCACGATATCTCCGTATCAAACCAGGTCCCTGCCCGACCGACCGATAGTTGCCAAACGCCCTCAGGGACCCCTCTGTTGCATACGTAGCCGTAGCTGTTATGCCCCTCCCTCTCTCCCCTCCCTTTGCACATTCCGGCGCCAAAAACCTCGTCACCGTGAGTCCAATACGTACCGTACCGTGTTGTACGTACCCTGCCAGAGATACATCTGTCTGCCCAGGTACCCACTCTCCCTGCAGATACAATACAAACAGCGGTGTACCGGTCCCATCTCGCCCGCCACGAAACGAGCACCTCTCCCTCTTCCAAGATCCTCCACTACTTCTTCTTGCCCCTCACAACAAGAAAAAAACAGGGTCCAAATCCCCACCTAGACTAGATGAATAAGTCAATTGTATGTGAAATGTGTACACTAGACGAAGCTTCTACTTCGAACGAATGATTCATGGCCGTACATGTGTAGACTCCCTACGGTATACGTATGTACGGAGAAAAAAAAAAGAAAGTCCACCGTGCTACCGCCACGCCACGCCATGCAAGACATAGGATGGTTAGTTAGCTTCGGGTCTTCTTAGGCCAGCCCTATGTATTGATTTTGTTTTGTCTGGTCCCGTGATGGGAGTTGCTAGACGTCGAAGTGGGTGCTTTGTATGAATGTGAGTGAGTATGTGGGAGGGGGGATTGGCGGTGTACATGGCATCGTTTCTGACAATTTTTGTTCCAATTGGTTTCTCCGTATGGGAACGAAGGTAAGTGCATCAAGGGTCCAGTATGGAGCATCACGTGGTGGCATTAGAAGGCGGAGAGGAATCGTGTCAATTACATTTTTTTTCTTTTGGATTCTATCTAGGCACCAGGGACGTGGATACATACGGGGCGGTGACTGCGCTCTCCGCCGAGCAGTGGATCCGCGCCCACGTAACCTCGAAAACTTCCTGCCTACTCTGGCAGCCGGCTGGGTACATCTAGAGCGGAATGCTAACTACTTTGTGGGTCCTCCGAAATGCCGATCATACTGCGAGGCAGCGGAGGAGCCTCGAGTTCCGCCACCTGGGCGAGGGAACCGAAGTCCCTCACGATGTCTTCGTGCTCGGAGCCCATGTAGTAGAGCATCTTTGCCGCCCACCGCAGCGTCTCGCGGGCCTGCAGGCGCGTATCGCTGGTTGGGGCAGCGTCGTTGGCGTCTTGCTCGGCCAATTCTTGCTGCGCTTTGCGGATGATGGCCCAGACTGTCTGTCTGTTGGCGGATACTCGTCCCTGGAGGACGAGCCTGGAGCCAGAGGCTTGCTGGATCACGATGTTGTCTGGCTGGCGTGCGTATTCTTCGCTCGGCCCTGCGCGGAAACGAGGCATGGTGGGCACTCCGCCAGGGCTTTTGTATGTTTCGTATGCTTTTGGTGCATCGTGGCACCATTTTTCGGCCAATTCCATGCCTTTGAAACTCCCATATCCGTCCAAGACACCTTGCAGGACCTCATTGAAGTTCTTCGTAGATAGTGTGATTTTCAAGCGTGCAGACATGGCAAGGAATTTCGAGGCGAAGTCTTTCCATGTCGAATCCACTGAAGAAAGAATGCCGAGCATGCAATATACTTCACTTCTCAATTCATGCATGAGGAAGTGCTCCCAGTCGAAAAGCAACGATTCGAAGGCTTCACATGCCTTCTCTCTGCCTTTCGATTGTGCATCGTTGGACAATCGAAGAAGTTCCGCTACAAACGTGGCGATGATTATAGGTCGAGGCTGATATTGGGGATTCTTGCTCATGTATCCCTGCATCCCCTTCACAGACTCCCAGTTCTGTAGTCGGATCTGGCAACAGATCAAAGCAATTACGAGCGGAGGTGGAAGCTGTTGAGCATTGGATGCACTGCTCCAAGCTCCAGTCTTTTTCACAATCTCCATGACCAGGTCGTTGTCTCCAGACAGCGTACCATATTTGACAAGGGACGCGGCCATGTTCCAGTGCGCATACATTTCACGCTTTATCAACGGGCCATCCAAGGCGTCGGAATCCAAGAATGCACGTCCGAGATCGTACAGCTTAGCATCGGTGGCAAGATCAAGCAGCCGAGCTAGGAGAGGGATCGGGAGTTGCGGCTCGAAAGCAGGAAACTCGACCGGCGAATCGGCACTGAGCTGAGAGTTCTCGGGGGTGCCTGTCCTCAGTGATTCGAAGAATCGTTCTACAGACCTCTGCTTGTTTGCGTCGGTGAACTCTTGCAAAGTGTTGAGTGTGGTCATTGCGCCTGATATTCCCCCGAGCTTGACAAATGAGCGCATGGTACGATGAAGGATGCTGATGGACGTTGCCGAAGGCTCGAAGAAGTAGGGCGGTGAAGCACCAGGTCCTGCAGTTCGAGGAGGCGCATTTGCGGAGGCCACTTCGGAACCAAATCGAGATGCTAGATCAACGAGTTTGAGCGCAAGCTCTGGACGCGTCTCCGGAACGATGCCTCCGGATTCGATCAAGCGGACGACTATGGTATCCCAATTGGCGTACCCTAGGCTAAGGGCGTTTGTATCTAAGATTTGTTTCAAGCTCTTGATATGGTCAATTAATTCATCAGGATCGGTTCCTCGAGCGCCAACACCGACACGAACCAAACTGACAAGGCCATCGATGAACGCCGTGACTATTTCACTGCTGATTGTATGATGCGCTCGTGCGCGATCCTGGGCTTTCGTTGCTTCCACTTGGGCTCGTTGCCCGAAAAGTCGCCAGCCTGGAGCAGATTCTTCTTGCTCGGCGTTCAATAACTCCCGCCAGCTGATGAGCTTCCATGGAGAATCCCCACCTCTTGCGTGCATTTTCTCCAAGATGACTGCACCGTCTAGTATCCAGCCGCCATGTAAACAAGACCAAAGTACCAACTCAAGCCAAAGTTCCGGCGCGACTTCTTGGACTTGTACTTTATACCGTGAACCAGGAATCTCATGTCCGAGAAAATAGGATGCGTTCTTACGATCTTTAGCGTGTGTGGCGGAAGCCTCGTGGGCTCTCCATGAGGCATCGGAGAGAGCAGTAAGTATCTTGGACGATAGAAGATGGAGTGTGGGCGGCTGTTGTATGGCATGACTGTCTGGGAAAGGTCTTTGCGTATAGATTGAGTCAGGGATTAAACCTGCATGGTGGAGGTAGGCGATAATCTCCAGCACGTGCAACATAACCTTGGGTTCTCCAGATTTGCCATCCTGTGTCGCTGCAAGAATCATGAAGCCTAAGCTGCGCCAGACCAGTCCTAGAGCTTTCTTCACCGAGACGTGTCCGGGATCAATTGAATCAGGGGCTGCTGTAGCTTCATCTAAACTGCATTGCAGCGAAGTCGCCACCGTACGTGAATGGGATATGACAATGGGTGCCCCAGTGAGCGCATCCAACGAGCCCGGCACTGAGTCTTCCGACTCCAGAAATGGAAGCGGTTCAGGTCGTAGACTAGGCTCACTTGTATGAACTCCATCCTCCATAAGCTTTTTCACGATCCACACCACAGTCGGCCACTGCTTATTGACCAATCCTATATGGCTCAACAGGTCATGTCTGGAAGCATGTGCTTCATTCAGATACCGTGCAAAATCGACAGAGGATAGTTTGTAATGGGTTTCTTGATCTTGTTGAGTGGCATCCGAGAGGCCTCGCAAATGGGACGGGAGGAAGAGGTCGAGATTCTTCAGCCATGAGTGTATGTCGTCACGAACATATGGGTTTGGTAGAGGTATCTGGGTAGTGATGAAGGATCTCGCTTGGTCGGCGTAAACGGATGGATGGAGTCCACGAAAGGTAGAGGTAGGATTCGATACAACATGATCATCTATGCGACGAGGCCTGGTGGTACTGGTATCGGCATTTGTACTGGTAGTCAGAGGACGACATGGCAGTCGAGCAGCGGCGGGAACGAGGAAATCGGGGACGGTGAGGGCGGAAGGAGATCTTCGACTTGTTGTCCGAAAAGCGTGCGTTAAGGCGCTGCGAGACCATGCGTTGGCAGTGCACATTGAAGGTCGAGGGATTGAGAGGTGGGTTGGTGGGTGGTGGTCAGTCGTAGGATGGCAATTGACAATAATTTCATTTTTTCGATGGTTGACGACATTGGATGTTCCCGCGTCCCGACGCGAAATTCTATCAGATGGGAGAGTCGTTGTCATTGGACGGAGGGGTTGAGATGGTCAATGCTCGGGAGCAGCTCCTCCCCCCTGTCTCAGTGTTGCAGGCAAACTTATGGGATGCTGTCACTGCCTACGCCTACTTACGCCTACTTAATTTATACCTACTCTGTTTCCATCCCTTCACTCACTCACTCACTCTCCAACTCTCATACACATACCTTTTTCTCTGTCTATCTGAAGAAGGAGAACCGCTTTTCCTGTCGCTCTACTATTTGCATCGCCAAGTCGCGTCTACCGTTTACTTCCGTAAACAGTGGTAGGTCTACTATCGTTAGACGTCACGCGTTTCGAGCCAGTCGATACCTCACGACAACGCTCAAAAGCTTCAATTACCACCCAAACAGAACGTGCTGCAGCGCGTCCAACACACAAGATGCCCGAAGGCTACCGCGTAGGTATGTACTAGTCCTCCGATTCATTTCCCTAACTGTACAATTATCGTGAAGATTATATCGGAATCACCTTGAACAAAACATGCTCACTTCTTCAAACAGAAATTTGCCCCAACAACCGTGCCGTGTGCAAAAACAAGGAATGCAAAGATGCTGCGGTCAAGATTCTGAAGGGCGAGCTACGTTTTGGCACGCTCTTCACTCTGCCCGGCACAGACCACACCAGTTTTGCCTACAAACACTGGTAAGTGATTCCAACATTATCGGTCTGCAATCGCTAACATCACCAAATAGGGGATGCGTCACTCCAGCACAGATCAAGAACCTGCAGAGCTTCACGGATTCCAACCTCGATATTGTTGATGGCTACGATGAGTTGCCAGACGACTTGCAGGCCAAAGTCAAGTTTGCTATCGAGAATGGCCATGTCCCCGACGAGGACTGGAAGGGTGTAAGTAGAAAATTTTGAGCCACAAAGGCTTCACCTTCTGACATGTGGTAGGACGTTGAGGTAAATCGACCTGGTGAAGCTGGGTTCCGTGTCAAAGCCTCCAAGAAGAAGGCAGACAAGGATGCCGACGAAGTATGTGATCACATTCGTTCTCATTACTGGTCTGCTGATCTAACTTCGCATAGGACGACAAGCCCAGCAAGAAGCGCGGACGCGGCAAAAAGGCTGCTGATGAAGAGGATGAAGCCCCAGCTCCCAAAAAGGCTCGTGGTAAACAAGCAGCTACCAAAGCAGCAAAAGCTGCAGATGAGGAGCCCAAAATCAAGAAGCCTCGCGCGAAGAAGGCTGCTGTCAAGGCTGAAGAGGACGATGTCGAAGAGGTAGTGGCAAAGCCGAAGAAGGGTCGCGGCAAGAAGGCTCCCGTCGAACCTGTCGAAGATGATGTTAATGAAGAGGAGGAAGCACCCGCCCCTAAGAAAACGCGCGGAAAGGCGGCTCCAAAGGCCAGTGCTCCCCGAACTAAGAAGGCTGCTGTCATGAAAGATGAGAGTGGCGAGGATGAGGTTATAGAGGAGGTAAAACCCAAGCGCGGGAAGAAAGCTGCAGCAAAAGATGAGCAGAAGCCCGCACCCCAGAAGAGGTAATGTTTTCTGCCAATTGATCCCCACGAGCCAACTGACCAACCACTAGGGGCAGAAGAAAGGCCACAGCGGACGAGTAGGTGGTTCATAAGGCTCTTCGCTTTTCCAAGACGCAGAAGTCCTGCGATCATGTTCACGGCGTAATTCGGATTGAAATGATGGGAATGTCTGATATTCGCACGAGGGTGGATAATCATCATCGCAATCCCACGATCCATCTCCAACTATAATACCCGGTTGCTTGTATTTCAAGCCAACGTCGATAATCATAGAATGTCGGAATTGATAGCATAATAATGAATACTCGCTGTCGACATCGACGTCGCCTTTCCTCATATGTCAACTAACTGTTCTGCGTTGACACCCCTACCACTTCTCTTCATACTGCCATAATTATCTATGATCACCCCTACGACCAGCCAAAAATGCGCCCATACTCCACGTAACATCACCCTTCACCCAATCACCAAACCGCCACCTTCCAACTGCCCTCCTACCCCCCGCCAACCTCCTCCTCTCCCCCCGCTCCACCAGCAAAGTCGCCACGATCGCTAACACAACCACAGCCATGATAATCACCAGCACGATTGCCAGCGCGGGCATCACTTGTCCAACTTTCTTTCCCTTGCTGGGCGGCCAGTCATGAGGCGCCTCGCACGTTCTCAGTAGAGGCAGCACGGAGCTATCGACGATCGTAAGCTGACTACACAGACCAACCAGTGCATTCGAAGTGTTGTCATACCTTGACGGAGTCATCGCCATACTCTTATAGCTCAGCGGCCCACAGAAGTCCTGAATTTTGATAGAGGACGCAACGGTGCAATACGTACGATCAAACGTCGTGGTTCTGTTGTGAGGTTCTTTTCCTTCTTTATACGACGATCCTTGGCTTTTCTTCGACAGATATCAAAACACGCGATTTTGCGTCGCCCCAGGAGGATTTCCGGTGAGGGTAGTGGAGATGTGCTGGATTGTTTTTTTAGATTTTTTGAAGGGGTTGGAGGGTAGACGTCATACTGGATATTCACAATAGTCATGTCACCGATGAGGAGGGCTGTTACACACATGCTGGATCATTGAATGTATGGCGTATATGGGAATGACGGTTGGTCGTTTGATATCGGTACTTGAGTGTTCGAGAGTAGACTCCAATATACTTCTCAAAGAAACATCTAATAAAATCTCTTGAATTAAAACCATGATTAAACCTTTTTAAAATATGCAGTACAGCAAAACCAAAACGGCAAATAGACAGATAAGACACTTTTGTGCCACATCTATCTACAACCCCTCTAACAAACGGGCCACTGCCACCTCCTCCCCTCCCGGAGCTTCGAGTTATCTATGCGCTTTGGCCTCGGTGAACATGCTGATGGTATAAGTAGCCGTGAGGCTGGAGAGGAGAGAATCAACCTCCATGCCTTAGGACTACGTTCCGTATGGCTCAAGGTTGTCTGGAGTGTGGATTTTGATGTTACTCATGCGTGCCGGTACAGCGATATCCCGAACGACGAGTTAGTTTGGGAGCAATGACAGTTTCGTCCAGGTGAGTTGATATCAAACGATCCAAGGGAATATATCTGTTTTGCAATAGTGACCACTCACTTTTAACTCTGTTTACCATCCAGCATTTTCAATGCCAGGTGCTGCTACAAATTCGCTTTAATCGGTATATACGGCACAGTGATTTCGGAGGAGACTGGTCTATGAGAGGTCTTTCATCTTGGTTGATTGGCATGAATCTCGCGGTTGTTATGATTCGCAGCAGAGAGAAATTATTCTTTCAGCACTCTTAGATCAGGCTTTCAGATGGATGCCCTGATGTAATCAATAGTAGGTACCGTGATGACGTTTCCGAGGCCTAGATTAGAAACATAGTTTATCGCTATCGTTAGCAGCTTATGCGCCATAGTTCTAGACGGAGTCGCCCCATGATGAGACCAGATGTTGGGGTGTGGGATGTGGGGCATATGTTCCATCATTTCGTCGACAATTATTGTCCAGCTGCTGTGCGAGGGCTGCATGTACTGCGGCCATATTGTTCACTGTGTAGCTAATGGCATTCAATCTGTTTTGTCTCTTTTTAGGTTATAATTCGCTCAAACTTGCCGAGGGGCATACGGATCAGCATGTGAGCCAGATCTGATAAATCAAAGACCGAGTCTCTCGAGTTAATTCCGGACGACGCTGATATTATGCCATACAATTGCCTCAACGTCTACGTGGTATCTAATGACTGCATCGACGCAGGTCTCTGCGTAGCATCTTAATTTGACTTTTCTCTCTCAACAACAAATTCACTCAAACTCTTGTCTCTCAAACTATCATTCATTCGAACATGTGGCCAATGGACCCCCGCCAGTGATGACTACATGCTTGCATATGACATCGCTTATTTCGAAAATCTGCCTTTGTACTGCGTGAGTATTACTTATAGAGGACGAGCAAGGATAAAAGCGTAGCGAGAGATATAAATTGCGATAGCATGGATAGTTTAAAATATCGTAAATTAATTGCGCTCGACATGTAAGCCTATCTGCAAAGCTTACTCTTTAAACGAAATCTTTAAATACACGTGCAGCCTATGTTAATATGTTCATTAGCAAAATGTGTGCGGCAGCGGCAACCACCGCCGGTTTCTTCCTTTACATGCGGCTATCTATCTGCGGGGAAGAATGGGAAGACGCGCGCACTTTGGGTTTGAAAGATTGAAGCGATCGGCAGTTTGTTCACATATTGTTTAATCTATTATGAGGATCCTGAGGAGCCGTTCGCACGGAGATTTGAGCTCATTGTTCGCTCTCGTCAGCATGAAAGGCGGGGGTGAGACGTCTACGGGTAGAAGTCGCTTGTCGAACCTGATAAGCTGCAATAGCAAATTTGATTGCCATTTATGGAAAGCAGACGATCCAATTTGCTTCCGCTTACGATATTACAGCCAAAAACGGGTGTTCGACAGTCTGCATGATAGGAACGGATGACGTTTCTATTACTCGACCATTTCTTAGATACTTTGCTTAGGTACGCAGTTGATGAAATGGTACACTAGGCGGGAACCAGCCAACGGTGTTTGTAGGGCCCATTGTGTTCCTGAAGGACGACAAGACTACGGGTACCTGGATGACTGTGCTTATTGCTCCATCTTTCGTTCAACTCACTCCACCTGCCTGCAGTCCGTACGGACTCATCTGCATTCGGCAATTGCCGTTGTCATGATGTGATCCATTGGAGGAGCATGCACGCCGGACCTACCTATTCAGCCAACGCGCGTAGACGAAAACTCTTCATCAACTTCGCAGCACGATTGTGTAGCAAGCCGATCGCACAATCAACTAGCTACATATCGAGAAGGAACTGAACAGCCAAGACGGTTGCGTGTTGCGTAGATCTGTAGCAGAAAACGCCACTTCCCTCGTGTAAAACGTCGTTTACTCGTCATCCGCGGACCGTCCGGGAGAATGTGAGCGGAGTGCACTAGATTGAAAGACTTACGCTGCACGTCTGAATAATATAGGTGGCATGGTCACGCCTCGCCCGGAAGCAGTTCTTCGATTACTATCTGGTTTTACAATCTCGAAAATCCAATTGGTCGAAAACTTGCGCTGGGAGAAGCGGACAATGGAGCCGGAGGAAGTAGAAATCATACTTTTTCTTCAGCTAATGCACGATTAGATTATACGAATATGAATTCTTCGTCCGAAGTAAGTTTCTTTACTCCAATCCATCAAGAATATGGTCATCTTTCGAGTACGTGGTCTGTTGAGGGTTGCACTGCATTAGAAACTTTTGAAAAAGCCATTGTTATCATCCACGAATCAGAAATGGCGACGGCCCGTCTTTTTCCAACATTTTGCTTCAACATGGCAAAATGTGGAGGATAAGCAATTATCGATAGTGTAAAAATCTGCACTCTCATCAACAAACCTGCAGCTTCCGAGGCTTCGCAACGTATCCTGCTCCGTACTTGCATCCGGATGTAATCGATAAGGGTGTTCCCCACGTCCACCACTTCATTAGGCGTGCTACGTTGCCTTCATCTATTTGGCCCTTCGGCACGTTTCGCGGATCATGCTCAAACAGGGTAGAACAGCTCATCTCGAGGACAGCCATGTGCGACTCGACATCTTGCGCATCTAACTAGAATTAGCGGAAACATGGCGCCAGGTCATCGGGAAGGAGGAAAGCCTCCCTGTGAGACGGAGTAGGGCCTTGAAGATCACCCATGGATGATGACCCCACAATCACAGTTAGGTTGTTTTATCACGATAAGGTTCCGGTGGCCTCTTTGTATGAGATGATCAGTGTTTGAGGAAACAGAAACAATAGATCTCATGATCGAACTCTCAAAGATATTGTTAATTGAATCCTTTCTCGCCATGCTCATCTACTGTGTAAGCATCGGTGAGTGACAGACACAAGAGTACGAAATTTAGTATGGAGCTCTAATTAGAAACGGGCCTTCTGTGGCCAAGGAAGAGATTTCGAGAATGGCTCATTTGCCTTCCATAGAAATTGGCCTTCGGGTCATGCTATGTCTTTTCTTAAACAACGCATGCAAGGTCAGTTTGAGCTGTCGCTGCCGAGACAAAGTGCCATTGTTTTACTATTCTCGACCAATGGACACAAAGACGGGGGTGAATTGTTTGACAATGGCTTTCACTGGTCCAACGAACCGGAACAGAGTTTTTGTTTTTTACTTTTCGCTTTAACGCGAGAGTTTTTTGTTAGCTTCAAGGGAGATGTGCGTTGGCACGTTTCACGATGTTGAAGATTACCGCCCGAACGACAGACAGTACGGAGTAGAGCAGGTACAACGGCGGCCTCCACCCGAGTGTGGGTTTTGGATGATCGATCTACGTGTTGGATGGGGAGGTTTTCCGAGCGTTGATGGGTTGTCAGTGCATGTGTTCGGGACCAGCCAGCGTCTACGTCTAGGAACAGCGCGCGAGATGTACGGCAACGTACGCACACGTCACTCGCGTGGCCCGGCGTGTCGCACCACGATGGGAGAGATGGCATTCAACAGGTCTCGAAGCTCTCCACAAATGATTCTCTGTTCGATCCCCACAGGCGCGGTACGGTAGGTTCTAAAAGTCTTTTTGTTGGGCATGTTACGTACTGGAGGACTGGGCTGGACTTGACTGGGATTGAAGTAAACTGGAGACTGGCGACTACCTACCTACTCCGTACAAGAGAAAGAAAAAGACGAGAAGGAGGAGGATGGACATGCATGGGCTGAAACGCGGCAAAGTGCGTACTCTACGGCCATGATCAGGGGGGAGAGTAGCAGCAGTGTGCTCTGGTCCTCTGCCACCATCACCACTCTAGCACAACAATCACAACCACGACAACTAACGTACTGTGTACGAGTCTGTTAAAGTTGGACTTAGCGCAGTGCAAGGAATATCAAGCAAGAAAACGGCTCAGTCGGGAAAACATCCATGCATTCGCCAATCAGCATCTCAATTCCCCTTTTTGAAACGCTCCATCATCTATCCAAGTCTAGCGGCCGCCACCGCGCATGTCTAGTAGGATGGCTTGATGCCTCATAGGGACAGAGGCAGTTCTCACGACCATTACCCCTGCAGTAGCCAATTTAACCATGATATTGAACGAATTGCAGTCAACACCAGACAAGACCAGACGACATGGTCAACACAGGTCAACACCTACGCTTACGATATTCGTAAACCCACCCCCTCTGAGATTGAATTCTCCGGGCTCTCTGGCGATCCTGCCAACTCTTCACTTTCCTTTTTACGGAAGTTATTAATGGTCCCGTACAGGTTCCAAGCCAGGCCCCAGGCGGCTTGTGCAATTCAAATGAAAGGAGTGCACCTAGGCCCAAAGGTTCTTTGAAGTGGTCCAGTCGGGGGATGCCTGTGGCGCCCACCCCCTTCCCATCCCGTATTGCCAGAGCATGCCATCTCCCGTGTCGTTATAAAGTACTTGAAGGGAGCCCACCCTCGCTCATCAGAAAGTCTGCGACTTCGACATCCACTCATTCCCTCGGAAACACATTCTTTTCACGTCCTCAGGACCTATTCACTCATTATCCAAGCGCTAAGTTCAGCTGCTTTACAGTACAATCCCTCCAACACCAAGGAATAAACATACCATTGTCGAAGCCCAACTCAAGTCTTTCATAACCACCAAAAAAACCAACCTTCAACTATCAAAATGTACTCCCTCAACGCTCTCGCTCTCCTTGCCTTCACCGGCTCCGTCCTCGCGGCTCCCGTAGCCCAGGGCAACGTCGCCGTCGTCTACGAGACTGTCGTCCACACTGCCGTCGTCACCGTCGAGGCCCAGGCTCCCGCCCCTACCCCTGCTCCCCAGCCCCAGCAGCCCAAGGAGAACATCGTCTATGTTACCGTCAAGAAGCCCGCCAACAACAAGCCCCAGCAGCCCAAGCCTACCCCCACCCCTACTCCCGTCTACGAGGCTCCCGCTCCTTCTTCCGTCGTCGAGGAGGTCCCTGAGCCCACTGAGCCCGCTCCTGCTCCTGCTCCTGCCCCATCCAAGGAGGGCTACATGGCCGTCGTCGATGAGTGGCGTGCTAAGCTCGGCCTCAAGGCTCTCATTGAGGATGCTACTCTCGCTGCCAACGCCTACAAGACCGCCAAGGATGGCAACGGCCAGATGGTCCATCAGCTCAACCCCGGATCCATGGGTCAGGTTCTTGCCCCCGGTCCCGAGGACGAGTTCGAGCACTGCTTCGTCGGTGGATGGCTCTGCGAGATCCCCACCCTCCCCGGCCTCAACGGTGTCTGCGCTACTCAGTCCGAGGGCTGGTACTACACCTCCACCGGCCACGCTGACATCCTCACCTCCGGCGGATACTCCAAGATCGGCTGCGGCTGGGCTGGCAACATCTGGGCCTGCGATCTCGCATAAGTAACGACCGTTGTGGGCGTTGTTGAGCAATGAGACCTACGACCGGGGTTCAATTCTTCACAGGAGAGATATGGCGTTCGTGTGCCGGAACTCATTCTTGTATCTAACTGTTACATGGGGCCTTTTTTCACCTTTCTAGTTACAGGTCCCATCGCATATATCGGATTTAGCATCTGAATTCATCCATCAGTTTCCAAAGTTCTTTTTGAAATATCTTTGCCATGATTGCCAAATGTGAATGTGATTGTATCGTTATTCGTTGATCTTTGTTGATCCTTTGTTGACCCAGAACAATAATGTTGTTGATGTCTCAGGGGTTGTGAACTGAATGGCTGGGATTCCCATGGGCTGAAAAAGAAAACCGACTAGGCTCAATCGAACCACGACTTTTATGCCGCTGTCATGTGTGCCGAACTGACATTCAGGAACAGGAACATCCCATCCAGGAACAGGTACAGATCGTCGCTCAGCAATTTCGCGAACACGGGTATGTGATTGGGAAATAATTTTACGACCCCAAACCGAACCCCCCCAAAGTCTTCTATCGGCGATTTTCGTCAAGGGTCGTTTGACTCGAGCAGTGTGCAGTCCTTCTTCCGGACTTGTCGTCGCATCTCATTGCTCGCCCAAATGTATTGACATCTAATCCCCTTTCGCTTCTTTCGATTCCAATCTCTGCCACATTGAGCGCACTCAGCTCTGCCACGTCTCCTTGGCCCCTCGGCGGTCGTAGCGACCATACTAATTCGACTCTCTGTAAGATAAGCGTCGGCACGAATCCTCCCCCTTTTTAGTAACCTTCTTTAGTCGAGCTAAGGATCACAATGTAGCCTTACGAACAAATCAGTTAGCCGTGCCTGACCCCGAAATGATGAATACGAAGAACCCTTTCCAACCGTCAACGTAGTTGCTGTTGCATCGCGAAAAGGAATGGGGCTCAACGACTCGGGAACCAAAATTGCAATGTTAATGCGCGACATAGGTAGTGTAGTTTCCAACAACTCTCTGGCCGCTGTCCGAACAAAGTTACCGACACCATTGCAGTGCGCAACCTTGATTCTAAGGCCTCTAACAGCATAAAATGTGGAACTGACTCGCACTGTTCAATCTCCACGATGTCCAGTGATCATCTCCGCATGTAATTACCAGCAGTCAAATCAAACAATTCAATTCCTTCGGCAGCCCGGCCGGCGTGCGAACCATGGCGAACCATCATTCCATCTGCAAATTAATGCGATGGAAATCTAATCTTACCAGAGATTCAATTCATTCACTGATCATCTTAACGTCACGAGTAATGGCTCTATGCATTTACAATATGACACGATTCCCATTCACTATGCTTGCGCAAAGCCAACATGACCGCGCATGTCATGTCCCTGTAGAAGAAGCAAATCAAACATGTCGCGTATTCAATCTTAAAGAGACCCCAGGAACGCTGACCGAACGGAGAGGAGCGTGGGCTTATTTCTGCGCCGCAATACCCGGCCCTATTCGTCTCCACACTGCACAGTGCAGTGCATAGCAGTTTGTACCTACCTACCCGTATCTCACGACCGCATCCGCATCCGCATCCTCCGCCACTGAAGGATCACGATGCTGATGACAGGGAGCAGGAGAGTAAAGTCTTAGAGAAGAGGATTGTTAGGAGGATTCTACGTAGGTAACTAAATAATAAGCCTAAACAACTTTCCGCCTTGTGACCACGCGGCCGCCCCAGGATGGTAAACTCCGTCGCATATTGTACCTACTTGCGTCTACTTGCACTATGTCTATGTAGCCTTATATTTTTGTGTTTAGGATCCCCTCCTACTAATTATTGATCCTACTTAACGAACTGCTGGAACTGGGGCGTTTAAACTCTATGTCCATATGACGGCAAAGTTGTTCTAGCGAAAATTCTCTATACTCCTCCATACACTGCTGTCCTATTAGACTTTCTCGCCAAACGCCGTCGCGATTGATTAGGGCTGAAGCGCAACGTGGTGTGCGGTCGTCATTTGTGGTACAGCAACTCCGTAGTGTACCCAGTGGATTCTCTCGGGTGTGTGGTGTTCGCTGTTTGTGTTCCCCTTGCAGCAACAAACGTCAGCTCGATCGTATTGTGGCGAGCGCGCGCGCCCACGCGCTATTGTCGCACACGATGTTGGGGTTTCGTGATGTGTAACGTGGTGCCTTTTTCTCCCCACCGATTCCTAAGCGGAGAACAACATCTCGTGTGACTTCTGTAGAAGTCCGGAGAGAGAAAACGTGGGCTTGATCTGAAAACGGAAGTCTGGGCTCGGGGCGTTTAGAGGAGAGGAGAGGTAGGGGTGGGCGAGGCATGTCGAGACGATAGGTAAGAGGTAGGCGTTATAGGTGGCTTTCGTTTCCTTTTCGCAGAACGTAGTGATGGCTTAGGCGGCGCAATTGGTGGTTAGCTGTAGTTACAAACATGTTTGCGCCCGCAGTGCGTCAAATGCGCCATCTACGGAGTATGTACAGATTACTCTGGTTTCTTATCTAGATGGCTGGTAGGGTGTTTATTGGATTCTGCGCCTTTTGGGGTTCTATTCCAATCCGTTATTGTAGTTCATATGTTTGCAGCTGTTTATGACGATCGCCTACGCGCCGGCGCATAATGGGTAGGAAACTAGCGAATCGCCCACGCGCGCCAGCTGACACTTCAAGGGTCTGGCATGATTCGGGGGTCGATAGAATCCCATCTTATTGTTATCCAATAGTTGGGGCATTTGGCCATGTTCCACGACCGGTAGTCGTCAACGACTCGAGATGGTCAATTTCACAAGGCGCTATGGAAACAGCGCATGATCACTGTGTCGTTGAATGACTACCGGACTTGGAAACATTGGACACCCCATGTCAGTCAGTCAGTCAGTTCTGGAGACTCCAGCTGTAATCCACCCTATAAGGCGATCCACGAGAATTACTACGCTAACCCATGCCACGATAGAAGAAAATGAGACGAAAGAGGCGTTACAAGAATACACGGCTGTTAGCGTGCAGATCTGGAATCCTCATCGCGTGCCCTCGCCCCAATTGAACTCTTTCGACACCGTGATTCCACTTGGTTCCTCCCTACTCGCAGGGCTATCGCCGCCGTGCCTCGAATGTGTCTTACTTTCCGTGCCTTCGATGACCGTCGTGGTGAAGCACATTTCGTGCCTGTCAGGTCTGAGAGAACCCTCTTGCGTGTGTTGGCCATTCGTTGTCAACCGCCCCGTTGCAGAGTGATCATCCTCCTGCCCCTCGTTCTGGTTGTTGTCGTCGTCCTCATCGCCCATACGTGTTTCTTCGAGATCGTTCATTCTACTAGGTTTCCGTGTGCTCTTTTTGGATATCGTCTCTAACGTGTCTAGCGGCTGCGACCCATCTCCGCGCGAGAGCCTCTTCCTGGGCGCCGGTACGTGGCCGAAGTACTTGCGCAGTATGAACATCAGCAGTGGTCGCAAGGTCGGTAGACAGCCGGAGATGATGCCGATTGACGGTTCGACGCTGGACCAGATGAAGACGTCGCTCTTCGCCCAGCTGATATCAGTCGTTTGGGTGAGGTGCACGATGGTCACGATCCGATACAGAGAGGCGAAGCAGACACTGTCTCCGTGAGCAAGATGATCCAATACTTCCCACCCGGTGGAAGGGGGGAATGCGCGTGGAGTGGTTACAAGCTACCAAGGCCAAACATGAAGAACACTGCGACCTTTGCGGTCTTGGTCATGTTCAGCATCCATACGTTGCGGACCGGCACCATGAGAATGCATATGTCGCCGATGAGATTCGTGATGCCGATGCCAAGGTAGAACTGCGATCCAGTAAGTCGATTGTGAGTCCTGTATTGGATACACTTGAAAGGAATCATTGACCTTTGCCTCGTCAACTTGGAGTACCCCCTCGGCTCCGTACCACTGGTCCCAGTAATACGACAGAGGCTTCGTGTACAGCGGAAGCACAATGTGGTTCGCGATCAGATATCCAGTGGTCAGGAATACGCACCACCATCCCATCCAAGACATGCCGAATATGCGACGGTAGAGTGCAATGATGGAATACTTGATCGTACAGACACTCCATGCGTAGATGTAGACGTATGCAAAGGTGATCTGGCTATTGTCATTACTGCGATGTTACACGGGAAGCATGCAGACAAGAGGCGGTGGCCTACGATGGTTATCTTTCGCATCTCGTAGGGTGTCAAAACGTAGATATGCTTTCCCAATCCAAAGAAGCCTCCTATCCTGGATCAGTGGACTATCGTGGCTACGAAGGCGGGTTTACATACCAGCGATACAACAAGCAAGATTCCCGGCATTCAGGGCCTGTAGTGATAAGTCACACATTCATGAAGATGGAAAGGTAATGCTTACAAGCCCAATGAACATTAGATAGTCATCCAGACCCAGGCCCGCCCTTTGGAATCTGAGGCGGGTGATCAACCGCAATCCGACAAAGATGGCCGACAAGATGAATAGCACAATTCCAGTGGCATTGTTGCTCACCGTACGTGATTCTTGTACATCTAGGCCTGGAGGGGGATTTGAGAAGTAATCGACGGCCATTGCACAAGTTCAAGTCCTGCACATGAGGCTTTGCAAAACGAGCGATAGCAGCAGCGTCACGATGGGATCCGCGGACCAACTTTATGAGCAGTACGTTACATTGAACGTAGGCTGAAAGGCACAAAAGACTGGGTACAGCATTCTACTATACTTTGGCGCACCATGTTTGCGGAGCCCGTGGTCTGTTTTCACTAGAGACGCTGCAGAGGTGTACCAGAAACCCAGCGAATCCACACATCTCCACCTCATGCGATTGCAAACCCTTTGAGCGAAGGTCGCAGGCGGTCTGTCACATCTAGCACGGGGAACGAGCCGAAGTGACACAAGGCCGGACAGGAACGTTGGAGGAAGCCTCTGCTGTGGATGGGCTTGGACGACGTATGAGACTTAGCCGTTTGCGGGTGAGATAAAGTGAGATGTGGTCTGGGATTGGTCGATGATGGATGGTCGAGTGACAGTTGGAATATGGTTTCGCTTAGAGATGGAGAATGGACGATGCCCCGCCCGATTTGTTAGCCACCATGGCTGGCTATGGCAATTGATAGACATTGGATACCTCAATATCTACTTGGACCACTCGTCGACCCTGATAGAGCAGATGTCGACGCATTCATAGGGAGAGCAAATAAGGCATGACATGCTTGAAAGGTAGTCATGGTATCTGGCTTTGCCCAGAATGCTCAGGCACCCCGCAGATCAACAACTCGTCTATTGCACCGTATTGTGCTTAGCTGGCTATCAATGAGGAGATATTCTTTCTTTTTCCTTTTGTCGCGCCACCGCGAAACCCATCACCACCATCCCTCTCCCTCGAGACAGACCTGGCCCTCTTTGTCACCTTCGACTGCACCTGCATAATCGTCTGAGACATCTCGACGCAGATGGCACCGAGCACGCCCAAGTTTAAGGTGGCAGCGGCCCACGCCGCCCCTGTCTTCATGGATAAGAAAGCCACAATCAAGAAAGTTATCCGTCTCATCGAGCAGGCTGCACAAGACGAAATCAAGCTGGTTGTGTTCCCAGAGACATTCGTTCCTGGTTATCCCGTGAGTCAGATTTCCCTAGCGCCTGTGACACCACAGGGGAACAATATGCAGGCCTAATCCCTTTACTTATCGTCTCCGCAGTACTGGATAGAGTGTTATCCCCCGCTGAAACAGGTCGGCGCTCTAGCCAAGTACGCCGAAGAGAGCGTGGTGGTTGAGAACAACAACGAAGACGTCGGCGCCATTCAGGATGCCTGTCGACGATCCAGTGTAGCTATCAACCTAGGTATCTCGGAACGCATGGCTGGCGGCCACACCCTGTTTAATTCTCAGGTCATCATTGACAGCGATGGCTCTATTCTGGGCGTCCATCGGAAGCTTCAACCGACCTATGTTGAGCGTCTGGTATGGGCCCAAGGTAACGGCAGCTCTCTTCGCAATTGGCCTCTCTCGCTGGGGTACAACCTTGGTGGGCTTGCTTGCTGGGAGCACACTATGAATGGAGCCCGACAGGCCCTCATCTCGCAGAACCAGCATATCCACGCTGGTGCATGGCCGGCACTATCAACCATGGCAGGCTTCGAGGCCGTTGCAGATGCACAGATCGAAGCATTGATGAAGACACACGCTCTGACCGCACAGGTCTTTGTCATCACCGCATCAAACTATGTCGATGACACCTGCCTTGACTGGATGAAGGAGAATCTGGGCGAGCAGGATCTCGTCAAAGCTGGTGGGGGCTGGTCCTCTGTTCTGCATCCATTCTGTGCGTTTATTGCTGGTCCGCATACCGGTGCTGAAGAGAAACTTGTACAGGGTGAGGTCGATATGTCCGAGCTGGGTGCGGTCAAGGTATGGATTGATGCTGCTGGCCATTACCAGCGTCCAGAGATCCTACAGTTCAACTTCGATTCACGCCCACTCTGGGCAGATGAGAAGAAAAGAACTTTCAAGCCCCGATGGGAGGATAAGAATGGGTCCGAAGATGTCGAGGCTGATTTGAATTAATGTTTTGTTCTTTCGGACTCTGTAAGTTTCAATTAGCAAGCAATAACGCTAAGTAACGACCTCATGTTGCGTTGAATTTTTGACATTAGCCCTAGCAAGTTTTACGTTTAGTCGAGCAGAAGCAAACATGAATCTTTCCGGACCTCTTTCCCACGGATTCGGTACTGTTTTCAGAAACTTTTATGCACCAAACTGTGATACTTTCAATTCGAGTAACCATGATGATAGAAAGAATAGCAGTCATACATGTCAGTCGTAATGGGTGGTTTTGACCAGCTACAACCGATCAAAAAGAAACCCCCCTTCACCGTATGGATCTTCTGGTTCAGAGATAAACACATGACTTCCAACATAATACGCATGGCCTTCTACCCTGACCCTAATAGGAGTCGAAAGCATACTCTCCTTCAAATACAACTCTGGCACCTCCTCCACCGCAGTCCCCACAAAACCCCCCTTCCCCTCCTTCGCATTAGAAACCAGCGTATGATACGTCCAAGACTGCCCCATCTTCAACTTACCCGTCGCAACCGCAAATGCAATCCTCGCAGCCACCGCACTCCCAGTCGGCGAGCGGTCGATCTGCTGATCTGCGAAATAGCACAGTCCAGTCTCTGCTCCCTCGGCCCCAGACAACACTCTCCCAATGCTCTTGTCTTGCACCATGACCGTGTAAAGAGAGCTCAAATCGTCTTCCTCGGGATGTTTCATGTACTTCTGATACCGCGGGTCGGAGTTGACGATTGCTTTGAGCTTCCGTGTTGCGGTGTTCAGTGCTTCATGGCGAACGGGTGGACGCAAGCCGTCGTTGAATCCAAGTTCTTTGGCAGAGACTAGACAGGTGAAAGCGCCGCCGTAGCAGAATCCGACCTTGACGTGGTCTCGGTCTTGCAGTTCCGGCCATCGGTCGCCCGGTGGAATCTCAATTGCTATGTCCTGTCCGGTAGCGAACGATGGAACGCAGATGAATGAGACAGGACGAGACGGATCAGATCGCGAAAGATCGTCTGTGACTGGAACCGTGACCACGACGAGACCGCATGGCGCGTGCAAGTTCAGTGTCGCGGTCTTCGTTGCCGGGTCACATTTGATCTCGTTCCTCTGCGGAAAGACACTGACGTCGTGTGTGTCGACCAGGAATCGTCCGAGCGCGATCGTGGCATGTCCGCACATGGTACTGTATCCTTCATTGTGGGTGAATAACACGCCGATATGTGCGTCGCCCGTTTCTGTGAGCTCGGTTCTGGGCCGAAGGATGGCGCCGTACATGTCTGCATGGCCGGCTGGCTCGAGCATCAAGCGCTTGCGGATGTGGTCATGTTGGGATTTCGCTTGGCGTTTCTGCTGTAATAGTGTTCCAGAAAGGTCGGGGTAGCCTTTGATGACTATCCTCGTGGGTTCACCTGTGGTGTGCATGTCAATGCATGTGATGGGCTCCCTTGCATCGCGGTGGAGATTTATGACGTCCATTTTGAGAGGCGACGTTAATTAGGCGAAAAATGGGGGGACTTTTTCTTGTTGTAAGTACTGTTCAGATGAGGAAAATGCGAAAGTGGTATCGAATTAAAACACAATCTATGTACATGATATAAGATGGCAGTCCCGAAAGGGTACTTGTCGAGTGGAGCATTGGTTGATGTCCACCGGTACCGGACCGAACGCGGGTTGCGTAGCCGATGACCGACACAAACCGCACGTCTGCCAACGTCTTCTCCACACAACCACAGGAGACGTGCCAATTACCATGAGAAGCTCTCTTCGCTCAATCTCAGAACAGCACCATGTCTGGCTAATGCTGAGACGGCGACCCTCACGTCGTCCGACATTCCTGCTGGCCCGCACACGACTACAGTAGTACCACCCGTCGAGCTATTGAGCTCCGTTTCAAGAACCCTTCGCACGTCGAATCTCTCGCCAACAGAAACATTGACTTCAATGTTAGCCCAATTTGACTGGCCATTCTTTCTTGTGCCTTGTTGTCCCAGCATTTTCTCCACGGATTCAACCAACGATTCCGTACGAACACCCCAGAAGAGCTTAGCTTTGCCCAATGGAGAACATAAGGAATTGGCATGATCTAGCAGTGGCAAGACAGCTGTGATTCCGACCCCTCCAGCAAAGAATATTACGTTCGGATATTCCAGTGATGGTTTTGCAACGGGCGATGGGATGATAGACATCTGTTCCGGTCCATAAGACGATTCCACAAGGACGAGAGTTCCGCTGGTCGATGAGGCAACTCTCTCTAACTGCGATGTTAATCCTCCATGGCGACGAACGAAGAACGTGATTCCAGCTCCACGTGTAGGTTGCACAATATTGTGAGATTTTACGACGTTACCCTCCTTATCCAGCTCCTCGGATGGAGCATCCGACTTCGATCCCGATCGTTCGAAGCTCAGAGCACGTGATAGACCTTGACCAGATACCGCAGCCACGGAGAAAGGATGGTTCTCCCAGACACGCCACGTGAGGCCGGGGAAGTATAGATATGCCTGTCCGCTCGCTTGTACTCCTGGGATATCGACTTTGAGGTAATCCTCATCAACAACCGTGACGTATGCCCTCTTGAACCCGTTTCGAAGAACTCGCAATGGTCGGGCAAAGAAGCGATCGAATCCCCAAATGACGAACGCGATATATACCCAGGTTTCATATCCCCACTGCCATGTGAATCGGTAGTAAATGTGCAACAAGCACCCGATCATGGACAGAATTGCAATTACCACATGGGACGCAAGGAAAAGCTCATACATCTTCTGTCGGATCGGAAGGATTGACAATGGAAGTAGAATTACCAAGGCCATAGTTGCTACGATGCCCCAGATCCAATACTCGAGGGCTGCCTGCTCTGCGTGTGCCTCTGCACCTTGGGCAAGGTAAATCTGTAGCCAGACTGCCGAGTGGAGGCAAGCCTGAAGGGTGCAAATGAACGCAATCCAACGGTGTACTAACAAGAAAGTGGAGTGCGACCAATTCGTCAAGTATAACAAAATGTTATTGCGGCTCGAGTACAGAACCGTCAGGCCGAGATTTGCAAAGCTGAGGACGCCGACGCGGTTACCGAAGTAAGCAGTGACTTCCTCCGGCTTGTGGCCATACCATGAGTTTGGCCAAGTGATGTGATATCCAACAGCTGAGAGGAGGATGTTGATAATCCAGATATAGGCAATGAAGAGTGCTTGTCCACGAGTCGGGACAATTCCCATGCCGAAGACTGGAACCGAATGGGAATGGCCGAAAGCTGGTGGATCGATGAAGTATGCATAGAATTTACTGACGAAAGACTGCGGCAAGGGTAGGAACCGGAATAGCGAGAAGACGGTGGGAATGACAGAGCAACTGATGAGCAAGACCAGACTGACAAAAGGTTAGCACCAAGGGTCGGACGGGGTCTATGAGGCCTACCCATATGTATTTGATCTTTTCTCGGTAATATCGTAACCTCCATCGCCATTGAGTTTAGCCAGCCACGAATCCTCGTCAACGAGAGATGTTGTATTCAAGTAATCGTCCTCGCTGATGATCGTGGTGGGTGGCTCGTCGACATTGGCTAGGGCACGTTGATATGAGATTTTGGGAGAGGGTTGACCTGGCTGTCTGCCAACCAGATAGTGCTCCCACCAGCCCTCGAGCTTGGACATGGTTTCGCTTTGGCAATGAGTGGAAATGCACCATGCTAGAGTCTGTAGGAACGGATCGTTGGTGGCATAGCAAAGGGGCGAAGGCGTTTCCATTTCCATGTCTGCATGATGTGATTGCCCACCGGTTCCAGCATCACCGCAGTGTAACATCCATCCGGTAACAACATCGCGACATGCAAAAGCGCAGGGAGGATCGTACATGCGAATTCCATATCCAATCAGACCATGTTGCGTACGTCCTTGCGAGATGTGGGCAATTGCGGGTGCCGCCAGAAGAGATAGAAGCGAAAGGGACTTCATGATTGCGAAAGACAGTTTCTCCAAACCGGTGCCAGAGCCTGAAACTGAATCTCAATGAGATGAGACATGCTGGGAGGGTCTCATTATTATTTATTTTGAGAGCATCTGATATGGAGATAGACATTATTCAAAGGCAAGTGGTTGTGGTTGTGGAGTAACAAGATGCCAAGCTCGTTGAGCAAGAATGAGGGAGTTTTAGTTATTCCTTGATTGGGTAGTCCTGCAGCCAGGAATTCATGTCGCTCGGATGGTTCCCGAGGCACTAACGTGTGCTGGCTAGGGTAACGGTAAGCTCATACATAAATCTGCTCATAGGCTTGCGGTGGACATAGCAGGCTGAAGGGTATGTAGAGTACATAGGGCATAGAAGGGAACATTCATTTGTCTAGACCCTGGCTCCGGTAGAAACTCTCACCCACCATGGCAAAGTCGCTTAACCATCCGGGGCATTTGTAAAGTGGCTTGAAAAGAGCTCAGATCCACAGAATTGACCATTGACAATGCTTCGAATCAATTTTTTCTTTTATCTAATGCTGTGATTGTGGGCTTTTGAGCCACTGTGGAGTGGCAAGTCTCACGAGCATCCCCACTTACGCTAGAATATGCTCAAATACGAGATATGCTGGGATTGAGTCCTCATACAATCTCCTGTATGGTGACTCGTGCCAGTATCTGGAAAAGAAAAGCAAGATAGTCATGCCATGCGTGGTGGTCCACGTGGAAACCGCTAGGTCGGAATGCGTTATGTTGGCATGCCGAAGAACCAACACGATGTGGATATTCGATCAAAATATGCTCAGGACTTCTTGTTCTTCTACTCCACTAAGAGTCGGTGTAACGATAATGATAGCCAAATGAGTGGTGGCAACGGCATGCTATTGTAGCTACCACACCACCGGAAGACTTAGACTCACGTCGTGTTGGAGCGTTTATTCCGTGTGGAAACGGAATAGAACACTACATCTATTGAACAGATATGCTCATAGGTTTCAGATTGTCGCGAGATAACTCTTCTATCGCTTTAAATTTGTACAAAAGGGCAGGGTAACCGTTGTCCAACTTATACGACCCGTCTTACATAGCTCGTACTAACCATTAGATTTCCCTTTTATGTGGTGAGCTATGTTCTACGATGATTCCTGGACAGACACTGGTGTACTAGAGGGAATGACTGAAATCTCTGGTAGCCGGAGTACGACAAGAATCAATCGGAATATTGATAGCATATAGTCGGAGTACATCCGCATTCAGGGCAATACCACGACGATCAAAGCTTCAAGCTTTCCTCTCTCCCAGTCAGATATGAAAGGAGTACTAACCAGGACAATCAAGATGCAATATTTCCGCGCATGGCAGACATGTGCATTTTCGTTCATCTGGACATCCAATTCCCCGGACGAACTGGCCTACATTCGCTGGCCGCCTGACTAATACGGAACCTATGGTAGCCTTCCGTCAAATAACAGGCTCAGACCACATATATACCATGTGTGCACGGTGTAGAAGAGCCACGTGCCAATCAGGTTGGGAAGTCAGCACTTTACCGGTCCGCGGAGACGAGATCGTGGTGCTACGTAACCAAATGTGCATAGCCGTACCAGTATATCTATGTCTCGGTTCCCACCGTACATGAAAACCTGCAGACCTCACCATTGCACGAAAAACTCTGGCCCGCGATTAAGGCAGTGTTCTTTTCGTGGAAGGCCTTGCTGCTCGTCCACAATTGGTGATTGGACGGATGAATACATGATCGACAGCTAAACCGTTTCCGCATACTAACATTCACACATACTGCACGAATAGTATGCCTTGCAGTACTCAAACGACATATTATATAGCACGAACGGCTCGCGATGGGAGTACAATGCTTGATTGCACATAGCAAGGCAGATTTAATGTATTTTGAAGCTTTCTTCGGTCAGCTTTACATTGTCACCCAGCATACGCAAGTCGGATTATTGGCTCGCCTGATATGGAATCATCTCAGTTTGCGATTGGCTAAAATATGTTTGTAGGATTCTACTGCAGGTGATAGTTCTCGAGAATTAGAGGGGAAACCTGGATCTCGGATTCCATTCATTAATTTTACGAGGTAGATTTAATCAATATGTACGTTCCACGCGCTGTAAGTGTGTTCCTAGACTTCAATGGTTACTATTTCGCATCCTTCTCTGACGTAGGATCGAGGGGCTGAGCTCAATAGGAACATGTACCGGTAAACCGAACACCGAAATGCGAACCACGCGAGAGCTGTTACACCAGAACGCGGAGCAAGTAATATAGTCAGATCAACGATATAAAGACTTGTCGGGATGATATCTATCTACCATGGAAATCACCCCTTTCGCACTGATCAATCGGCCACGATGTATTTTTTCATTTTTCTGATTTCGTTCACCGTCGCCAGTGCTTCTGCCATCTCGAACACCACGCAGGATTGTAAATGCGTATGCCTACTACCACTTGAAATAATACCATGCTTCAAGAGCTAACAAAACCAGGTACCTGGCGATTCCTGCTGGCCCTCTACCTCCGACTTCTCCGCGCTGAATGACACACTATCCGGCCACCTCATCCAGGCCATTCCACCAGCCTCTGTCTGCTACCAATCGGAGCCAAACTACGATGAGGCAGCCTGCAACCAAATACTATCCAGCTGGTTCAGCTCTGATTTCCATGCTGCCGACCCCATCAGCATTGGCTGGCCATGGTGGGCCAGAAACCCCTGTCCCCCCATTTTCCCAAACGGCACTTCCGTCACTCTAGATCCTGATGCCGAAAAGAAAGGCTGCAGCATAGGCGCTTATCCTGTCTACTCCGTGAACGCTACCACGGAGGAGCATGTCGTGGAGACTGTGAAGTGGGCTGCGGAGAAGAACATCAGACTGGTGATCAAGAGTACGGGCCACAGCTTTCAGGGGAGAAGTACTGGATTCGGTTCTATCGTCATCTGGACGCACCATATGCGGGGTTTCGAGTGGCACGACAGCTTTAAGGGTGAGCAGTGTGCAAGCAATGCAAGTGTTACGGCTGCCACCATCGCTGCTGGTGAGAGAGTCCGGGATATATACACGGCGGCGGACAAGCACAACTCTGTAATCGTTGGAGGGTCAGAACAGGCTGTAGGAGTCATGGGATGGTTTACTGGAGGAGGTATATCAACCCTTTTTGTTTCCTATACTCTCCCAGAGACTAACGTGAACCTCAAGGGCATGGTCCTCTTTCGTCTACCTATGGCTTCGGCGTCGACAACGTCCTCGAGTTCCGCATTGTAACTCCCGATGGCAAAATAGTAACCGCCAACCCATGCCTCAACCCCGACCTATTCTGGGCCGTCCGCGGTGGCGGCGGCTCCACATTCGGCGTCGTCACATCAGTCACGATGCGGGCATACCCGTCTCCACGCGTGACGCGCCACAGCTTCGCTCTATCACTGCTTAGCCTAGACAACGAGACTCTCTTCTGGGATCTTGTAGCCGAAGTCTTCAGCGAACTCCCACGCCAAAAGCAAGGCGGCATGCAGGGATACGCCTCCCTCGTGCCCCCCGTCCCAGGAGCAAACCCATTCAATGGACCGAACGACCCTCCGACTTGGGCATTGATGTGGAGCCATAATGCATACGACAAGCCCAACGGGACAGTCGAATCCCTCGTCGCGCCCATGTTAGAGAAATTGGATCCATACAACGGGTCCGCAATTTTCTACCTCTCCGAAGTCCGCCAATACCCAAATTTCTTCACCGCCTGGGACACGACCGGCACCCAGAACGTGGCTATCAGCGGGATGAACATAGCTTCGCGGCTGTTGACTGCGGAGTCGCTAACGCGCGACAAGAAGCAGCTCGCGAGGCTGCTGCAAAAGGCTGCGGCTAGGTCTCCAGATGGCAGTTATGCGTTGATACAGTCACATTTGGTTGCGAACGATAGGCACGAGCTTGCGGATCAGGTGTCTGCTACTGCGGCTTGGAGAGATGCGGTGGTTAGCTTTCTCGTCATTGAGGGCTTCAAGGATTCGAGCACGTTCGAGGAGGCGCGGCCGGTGTTGGATAGATTGACGTATGAGAGGCTTGCTGCGTTGAAGTCTTTGGCCCCGGAGAGTGGAGCATATTTCAACGAGGTAGGTTTGATCACTCTGCCAAATCTGAACAAAGGTACTAATGTGTGGATGTAGGCCGATCCATTCGACCCGAACTGGCAATACGAATACTGGGGAAAGAACTACGAAAGACTCAGCCAGATCAAAAAGAGCTATGATCCTCAAGGTTTGTTATGGTGTCTTAGTTGTGTGGGCAGCGAAGAGTGGACGGCCAATCCAAGTGGACAATTGTGCAAAGCATCTACGAAGCAAGAAGGCCAAATCTTGCTAGCATAAATTGTGTCTGTCGTCAGTACTAATGTCGCACGCCCTATTCTGATTGTCACCCTTGATACGTGCCTTCAGTGCAATGTGTTAAACCTTGTAGTCAACGCCATAAGGTTCAACAAAAAATCACGTCACTACAGATTCTCAAGAAACGTAGAGCTCATGAACAAATACAAGATATATTTTCCCCGTATAAACCTCGCAGATCTCAGAAGATAATACAGTACAAGAACAGTCCATCCCGAAACCGAAGCTATGATATTCAATTACACTCTGCACGATTATGAACTAGGAGTGGCATCAGTAACGGTGCCGCTCTCGCTGGTATCCTTCTTAGTCTCCTCGTTCTTCTTCGCGGCAGCCATCTGCCAGGCTGGGATAGCAGCACGGCCGTTGGGCATCCTTCCATACGAAGGGGTAGCTGGCTTTTCAGCAGCTGGTGTGGATGGGGCTGGTGTTGATGAAGTTGCAGGTCCGCTGGCGCTGGAGCTTGCGTTGTCAGTGGTGGTAGTGCTGGTGGAAGGCTGTTCGCTAGGGGTAGCAACTGGTGTCGATTGCTGAGCGGGCGTTGAGCTAGTAGAGGTACCGTTGACTGCGTTCTGGTTTGAATTGATGCCGTAGTAGGGTGGGACAGACGACACAGGTCGGGGTGCACCTGCACCCATCCTGTTGCCGACCAAGGTCTTAAGGCTCTTCAACTCGTTCGAAAGCTCCTTTAGTCTTGTATCCGTGGTCTCTTTCTGAGCATCTAGAGCCTTGGGGATCAAATCTCTCAGGCCTCGCACGTCATCCTCAATGCGTCGGTTATCGTCACCTTGTCTCTTTGACGACTCCTTCAAGGTCACTAGGGCGCTCTCAACCTCTCCCAGAGTAGCATCTAGTTTATTTGTTCTCGCCTCTTCTGATTCCTTGAGAGCGGCAGTATCCGCACTCAATTGGTCAAGTAGATCGAACGCCTTCTTGAATGACTCATCAACTGAGGCCTTATCCTGCTCCAATTGTGGTTGCGTGGGTGGGGAGATGAGAGGAATGATATAGCGCTTGGCTGTGAAGTAAAGACCGTAGCCTACGCCGCCCATCACCGTTGCCATGATGAAGTAGTCGCGCCAGTCGCGCTTTGGTGGCCTAGTTCCTTGTTAGATTTGTTGCTTCCGTTGGGGTGGTGAACCATACTCAGGAGCAGGAGGCGGCTGCTGCCAGTAACCCTGCTGAGGGTATCCTCCATATTGTGCTGTAGGCGGGGGCGGCTGCCTGTATGCATAGCTCGGTGGTGGTGAAGACGATGCTTGTGATGGAGGAGAAGAAGGGTGGCTGGGGTCTTCAGCTGCGCGCGCTAACGAGACATCGATCTCTTCTTGGGTGAGGTTCTTCGACTGGAGGAAGGCGATGCGCTTTTCGACAGGCGCGTTGGCTACAGAAGGGTCCTGGAGAACTATTCAAAGTGTCAGATGCATGTGATATAGTGTTCCTTGTTGAAGCCGAACATACAGGAGACCTATCGTCATGTTAGTGAATGGCGCGCGCAAAGGAGAGCGAACGAGGGCAGACTTACAGCTGATGTGATGAGGTCCTCGCGGACCATCGTGACTACCTCTGCCTCAAACTGAGGTTCATAAATGAGGGAAGTCAAAGGATCGAAAGTCGAGCGTTGAAGTAGTTGGGATGGGAGCCGTCGTGAAATGGCAATGGCAATGGCACGGAATTGCCTCGGCTTCTGCTTGGATGCACGCACGGACCATCAACTGATCTTCACTTCAATTTTGCTGACTATTCTCCGCTCTCCGCACTGAATCGACATCTCCACATCGGCTACCATTCCGAAGGCCGATATTGAGCACGATGGTATCAATCCTTTCTTCCCCATGATGTTATTTACATTTGAAGCCCAAATTTTGCGTTTAATGGAAGTACACATTGGCTTTGAACGGAAGCATCCTATTCTCAATTGCTCCAATACTAGATAGGGGTTTAGTATTACTCTCAATGTAGTCTATCTGAAGGAAACGTTTTTCTCTTGTCCCGATTCTCTTCCTGAAGTGCAATATGTATATTACTTAATACCATGGGTACTGCGTTGGGGATTAGGTCAGAGAAGCTTTGTAGTTATGCACATATCTTTCCGATTGTCTATGGGTATCATTTTTCGTTTGAGCACGTGTAGCCTTTCCGATCCTCCAAACACCGTCTGACATAGAGATCATGGATCTAGAACATTCCCATGCTATACTATCGCCAGAGACCAGCAAGCCGTGCTGCCGACCAGCAGGCTCAAGAATACCATGTAGTCTACTAATACTTCGCATGCTGCATTCTAGTCGAGAAGACCCTCACGTCTCATCTGCTCTCTCTCCTGCTTCATGATCTCATACCAATCGATAATCCGTTCACCGGCGTGAGCTCGAAGCGTGGGTAACATTGTGGCATCGTATCTTGAGCTGTTGTGGCCCTCGGTCGTGTTGGGGTCGTCGTAGACTGGGCAGTGGATGATTTCTATCTTGATGCCGCCACGTTGTATTCGTTTGGGGATTTGAATAGGTGTTGGACGGTGCTTTTGGTGCTTCTGTGCCTTGAGGTGCCTGCGCTTCTCGCGATTGAGTAGATCCATCTTCGAGTGATGTGTTAGCTTGGAAGGTGACATGTACGGAAAATGAGATCTTTTCGCAAATAAAATCTTTGGATGTGTTGGTAGGGTTTGCCAGTTGACCTGCACGTCGCAGCAGTGATAACAACTGAGCAACTATTGGTCGCGAGGAGTACGCAGGAACTTGAAAATGCTACTAAAGCTAGGCCAGATACTTATAGTCCTAGATAGAGCATCAATCGATTCGTGAAATTGGGCCATACCGGATCGGATACAGTCGTAGAGGCGGAGCAGGAGTAGTTGCGAATGAAAGCGCAAACACCGGGAGACAGAAGACCTTAAGTATAAGGAAATGTATGTTTACTGCCAGACTCTTTTCATTTTGGGAGTGAAGAAAGGTGAATTGCTGCCTGAAAGTATTGTACACTTGTCGATTTCTAAAAAGATGCTACTGAATAGTAATTGCCAGCAACTCTTCAGAATTGGAATTTATGAATTGCTGATATGTTATGAATTTGCTCAAATTAGTGAATGTTCTGGAGTGAAGTGTAAAATTAGCAATTTCAAAAGGCACGGATAACAAATGATTGAGAGGCGGAGCAGTGAGTGAAACGAAACAAAGTAACTTCACATGGACCCGATATGTTTCGTACAACAAGGATTGGAATTGAGTGAAATTGTTTCAACATCGTTTGTACAATTAAATCAACTAATAACTCCTCAAGGTATCATAGAGTGTATCATAATGTTTGCTGTGGACCATATAGCTATGGTATACATCTCAAACATTTACTTTCGGATGGCAGATGTACCATCGTCTGGACCTGGAAGACCCTCCTCGTCTCCTGGCTCAGCATAGGTACCTGGGAAGGTGAGCTGGGATCCTTCAGTGATTCATAACTTTACTACTTACCAGCCTTCTTAGTTGCGCCTCGAGTACGGGAGTCGAGGATATTATCATCATCGATGGCCTCACGATCATCGCGAGCTGACATTTGTCAGATTTCATGATTCCAATGATCAGCAGTGTAGAAAAACATACCAAGTTGCTCGTCTGAATCGGCGGTAGCAGGATCGATTGGATCTTCGATGGGAGCGGAGTCGCTCTGTACGGGAATCTGGCACTGGCCTGAACGGCTCTTGTAGTCATCGTCCATGGAGTCGCCAGCGGGGCCCTGGGCGAAGTCGTTCTGTTGCTCGTACTGATCGTCGGCGGACATGATGAATATGTTGGTGGTATGATAAGAAAATTTGGGAAAGTGACCAAAAATGTGAATAGAGTGTTGTTGTATGAGAATTTGAGAATCTGAGAATGAAATTGAGAAATCAAGGGCGCAATTCAACGAGTTTATATGTTTGTTGAGGCATTATCAAGTACGTCATGCTTCGTGTATGCCGTTGCACCTGCATTTGATCGCATTCTACCCCATCCTAGGTGGATCGAAGAATTCCATGTGTGATCATACTTTCTCGTGGTCAAACACCATGACAACATAGTCTAGAATTAGTGTCCTAAAGAAGTGCGAGGAATCCCGCGCCATGGTAAACCAAGATCGATCCGGGGTGAAAGACCAATGATGAAGCGCGATGCTATCACGGATTCTGACTGCAGTGGATAAGTGTCGCCAGTGCTTCTATGCGAAAGCGCCTCGTAAGACGCACGGAAACTAACAAAGTCTAGTATGAGCATTTTCATACTGGCTTCTTCAAACATACACCGATTGATTCAGTCAGACAGCGATTACTTGTCGGGTGGAGAAAAAAAAGAGCGTCATAGTCTTCGCACAATTACTTCATCAACCCATCTACCCCAATTGTTGCACTTCAACGCGTTCATTGTTGTTCAGCTGCTGCAAGGAGCAACAGCAAAGAGAACTCAGCGCTATCCATCTCCACTAAGGTGTATCAGACGTCAAGACTTCGATGACTGGGTCTAGCGTCAGGCACATCGTGCATCTAGGAAGGATGATCGACCAGGCGGACCATCGGCAATCTTGGTGGCTGAGATCAAATGGACGTGTCTTTTAACGATGGCGTAAACGGACCCAAAGTCGCGACGTTGGAGGAAATCTGAGTTTACGTGACGTGGGAGACGTGAAGCTTTGACGCGAAATATCGTGACGAAATGCATCCCATTATCCACCCTTTTTGGGTTTAGGGCATACCCGATCCAGGGTAAACATCGATTTCACAATGCGATCACGACAAGATACGGATTATTGTAGGGTTTCAGAGAGATCCTGACTTTATTCTGATGGAGGTCACCCGGTTGCGTAATTTAAAATGCACTGCTCAGCGATTTGGAAGGCGCATCACGTGCCTTCACTTGAATATCACCCGCATCACCGAATCTCATCGCATGGCAACAGAGACGTTCACCATACTAAGCAGCAATCATAATCCAGGTGCCAAGCAGTTCGCTTTTCGCTCCACTTCATCTGTGCTAACAAAGGAAAGATCACAATAGGTTTCTCTATCACGGCAGTCGAATGGTTTACAATCATTGAGTGTGCTTTCTACGAAAGGTAATTATAACTGTGCACACCGGATACAAATCTTTCACGGTCTTACTTTGCATCAAGCACTGACACATGTGTCCAGAAAAGTTATCATTCAGTCTTCAAGTCGCTATTCTCCAATGCTGCTAAACCAAAGCCATACCAACCTCACAACTCATATTGGCAAACGGGAGCCCCGTACACTCAATCTATATCAAACGCGAGCCGCTATGCATAAATCAATCCTTCTACCATCACAACATGATCGTCATTACATCCTCATTCACCCTTCCCAAGACCAGTGTTACCTCAGACCCCTTCCCTCAAGAACTGCTTAACCCTATCACCCCAGATAGCAGCCCTCTTGTAGACCTTCATCTCGGGAACATTACCCCTCCCGAGCCCATCAATCGCCTCACACAGCATCTCCCCAGACCCTTCATCTCTCAACTCCCTCAGCGGATACTGATACGTCTTGAATGAAAACACTAACGCGCGAGTGTTGGGCAACCGATGCAGAGTCTGCCTCTCACACCTCACGACAGTCTGGTCTATATCGATCTCGTCATCTGCAGACGGGGGCGGTAAGCCATCATTCAGGGCTGCCCTGTCCGCCTCGGAGATGTGGTTGCCGTCGAGGCAGAAGAGCCGCTTGTGTGTGGTTATCGTCCAGTTTGCGCGCTTGACGATCTTGCCGATGGGTAGGTTGGCGAAGTAGCGGTCCATCGACTTCTCCATCTTCTCGCTGTAATTCGGGACCGGGGTGTGGATTTCGGCGAGCTTCATGCCGAGCTTCTTGAGGGTGGAGAAGCCGGAGGGGAAGCAGGTCACGAAGCCTTGGAGGCGGTATTTGTCGTCGTCCTCTGGGGTAGAGGGTGGGAGGAGGAAGAGGAAGTCGGAGTCAACGTTGCTACCGAGCAACTCGAGTGCAGATTGGGATGTGGTAGGTTTGAGGGGGAGATGAAGGTTTGTTACTTTGTTGTGAAGGCCAGCTGGCGTGAGTGTGTAGACTGTGGGGAAGCGTGTCGGTAGGTAGGTCTCTACCATCCAGGTGTAGAATTCGAACACGGCTGGGTCAACTATAGGGTTCAAGGCGAGGACGTTGGTGCCCTCTTCCTCGATGAGCTTCTGCCGGAGAGCGATTCGTGAAGCGTAGGTCTTATCCATCGCGACGAGGTCTGAGAGAGTGGAATTCTCGATAGCTAGGTTGATCAGACATGTCACTGGATGGCCGTTGCGACCCTATTGAGGGTCATTGAGGACTTACACATTGTAAGATGGTATTTTGGCTTGAAGGGACGAAATTTGATTGGCTCTTCTTGCTCCAGATCGAGATGCGGAAGAGCTTCGATCTGGTAATATGCGTCTTCTTTCGCATCATTGGGCTTTTCAGTTTCCAAGATTGACTGCTGTACATGGTCAATGACATATCGCATGCTGCGAGGATCAAACTCACTGCTAGTGCTCGCCTTTTTCCGATACTTCTAAACACCACCCACAGCACACTGATGATGACAGCTAGCCATAGCTGAGGCATTCTGATTAGGTCGATTTGATACATGATTGTCGAGGACGTGCTATCTGCGGCAGTACGACTTAGCTCTTATGCTTGCGGCAGGAGCACCTTTTCTATACAGAAGTATCACAACCAAACGTATATATTTTCCGTTTTGGTCATGGTCATGATGCTAGAAACATTGTTATGCAAAGATGATTGACGCTTCAAACGCCTCCTTTGTGTTCATAGGAAAGGTTGCTGTGGGGTGGCCGACCCCGCCTTTGGTACTGATAACGTCTGGGGAGGGACCGGAGACCTGACCAGCGCGTTTAGGGCGTCTAAGGGTCGAGCACAACATTTACTTGCAAGAGCAGGTCGCTTAGAAGCGGCTTGAAGTGATACAACACTAAGATCATCTGCAAAAAGCATATCATTACTGATAGTAGCAATGCTTCTGGGTACGCCGATCTCGGTTGGCTCTTCGAATCACAGGCATGGGTCAAGACCCGGAAGATAGAATCTGCTGGTATACCGAAATATATCTAAACTCTTATTGCTATGAATGGTCCAAGTATAACTGCGAGCACTTCTGTGCAATCTCAACGACATACAGTGGCTCCTTGTGTTGATATGGGATTGGCTTTGGCTGCAACTTGACCTCAAAGAGTGGTCGTAAGTTAACGGAGACGGATGTCTCTTGGCCACATGGAGCCTTGCCTCCACAATGGTGGGGGCCAACCACTAGAGTTAAGTGGCCATACATCGTCCATCATCACAGAACTGGCTGTGGACACTGTTCAGTACCCATGACTGAACACTCGACTTCGAGGTAGCATCATCGGTCGCGTGACCGCATTTCTGATATGAAGCGTAAACGAAGCGACCATCAGCACATTGAAATTTAAGTCCAAGATTGTCTAGATCTTCTAGAACCGCTGATATATGCAATTAAGGGCACGCCCGCTCAGCGTGCCGGACAAGGCGATGGCCCGGGATTCCTGAAATGGATCCCGAATTTCTACGGGAAACAATCCCATGTGACTTGGAGGCAGAGGTTTCAACGATTGAGACACGGCATATGGGAAGCTACGTGTGCCCACGATAGTGTTCCTCGTCTCGATAACGCCAGGGAAAGCCAGCAAGCATAGAGTTATGACCATGGCTATGATTGCATCATGAGCAGGACAGAGAACCACTAAGATGTGCCATGGGTGCGTCAAAATCTCATGAGCTTGCGATTTCTTCCTTCAATCCGTCTTTGGTGTTTCGCAAACGTGGATCCGACTTATCCGACCTGTCACCACCTGTTGATTCTGCGTTCGGTTGTGGACGGCGGGCAAGGCTAAATCGTCGACGGTGACCGCTCGGGCGCTCTGTAAGGCTGGGAGCGCGTGGACGAGCTTTGCCCCGGGCGCGGCCGCCTATTAATGGTATCTCGTGGGTAACAGAGCGACCGGTATAAAGAATGACATCGTAGACAAGGAGGGCAGCCCAAGGGCCGATGCAGATGATACCGAGGAGCAACTAGAGAGCAAAAAGTGTTAGTCAGACCGGTAACAGACGCGCGAGCATTGAAGAATAGATATAGAGCCTTACAAATAGGCGGGTGATCCAGGTTTCGAGGGCGCTGAAGCTTTCTGGTAGAATTGATAGGAGGCCCATGTTGAGGGGTGTGGTGGAGTGATGGATGTGGAAATTGACGCCTGCTGACAGGTATGAGGGCGAGTGTGTGTGAACGACAGACGAGTGACGCCGTGGCAAAGGAATCAATCAAAGAAGGAAGGGCAGTAGCGAAAGAAGACTTGATCTTGAAATATTGTTGAGTCGAGTACTGAGTAGAGTTGAGATGAGTGCCTGTATCGTACTCTAACCCTAAGTTTGTTGGTGTTTCAGTTCAGGGTTCAAGAAAAAGTCGACCAATCCAATCAGGGCTTGGAGGTGAATTCCATGGACTTGGTCCGTGTAGGTATTTCCTTAACCCTTTTCGTCTTAGTCTACATTTTCCCTCGCAGTCTCATACCCGAACCAAAGTCCCAAAGGGCGGGAAGTGGACCCTCCCATTCCCTTATCCTTATCCTTAACGTTTTCTTTATTTGAACAACTCTCTATTAAACAATATATCAGCTATGGAGTAAGGAATCAATACACTACATATGAGAACTGTCCAACATAGAACGGAGTAGACCATAGTTTCTGACTCACGTTTACTATGGCCTCAATCATGGAATATGTTCAACTTCTAGATACTCCCTCCCCGTCCATAAGGGCGGAGAGCACCACTTTGATATCCCTGGATACGACCAGATTGAAAGCACCCAATTTGGTCGAGTGCTACCAATTTTTAGATCTCAACAGTATAAACACTACTAATTCTTCTTATTCCAGGATAATTGGAAATAATTATGGTCAAAATGGTAGAACAAGAACAAGAACGGACCAAAGACGGGAAGAAAAAGATGAAGATTACGAAGAAGAAGGCAGAATATAAGAAGGCACGAGCATCTCCGCCTTCCATGCATACTGTTTGCCTCAGCCGTTTACTCTCATGCACTGTGACGATTCGGCACAGGAGGGGGGGAGGGCGGGAAAACAGTCCAATCAGCATCCAGAGTCGACCAAGCAGGCAGACATCCAATGCATCCCCAGGTGTCAACTCACATGCCTTATCCCTCCCATCTTTCGTCCCCCTTCCCATCCCCTTCCCTTTCCCTCCCACACCTATCCCCACATCTTCCAGAGTCATGTCAGCTTGCTGACTCTTCCAGCTCAAAGTCTTGTCCAACTCACACCAGAGCAGTAATTGTTCTTCACCAAACACTCGCCTCTTGATGCTGCAAACCTTCCATCTCCAGCCCTTTCCTTCGGATCTGCCTTGTCTGGTCTGGTCTTCCATAAACTGTATCGATATCCCTAGCTGATCTGTTCCGGGATAACTGACCGCTTTGCCTCTACCGGTCATAGTGGGGTAGACAGCTCTTCCGATCAATACACCGCGGAGCCTCCAGATAGCTGCAGCCTAACACCTCAAGTCAGGTGTAACCCCCGATATCTCACTTTGGCTGCTGAAGACCTCTGCTCTCCTTCTCTCCCATCTGATCTCTGTTCCGCTTTCACATCTCTATCACCTCCAACATTTCTAACAACACCCTTCGTGTCTCTCCGATCGTTCAACACAATACGAAACGACCTCTATCCACTGCTTGTTGCCGCTGGTGTACCCTACTTACCTACGTGTTGCTGCACACAGGGTTGGTTCATCGGCCGTCATGGCGGAGCTTGAATTCCTTGCAGCAAATCCAAATGAGTATCGGGACTCGACAATAAGCGTTCTTCTTCCTGACGGCCCCATTGTTCGCGTGGCAGATGTATCCTACCTTTTCATCACTAGCAAATGTCCATTACTCTCCTACACTTTCGAAAGCTCGCTCGACGGTGGCTACCAAGCATGTATCGAGGTCACATCTGAAGCCGCCATGGTTCGCTTGCTGCGCTACATCTATACGGACAGCTACCTAACGTCGGATGAAGAAAGTACCCTCAATATCTCGCTGCTCACGCACGTGGAGACATACAAAATCGCACGAGACTATGACCTCCCAGCACTTCAGCTTGCAGCAAATTCTAGCCTCACTCGTGCTGTTGAAATCTCATGCAGCGTACCAAATCCGCCTTCCGGACTATGTGATACGATACGTTTCGTTTACAAGCATCTCGCCGCAGAACAGTGTCTCTTAGATACTCTGCTGAACTACTGCGTCTCTGCTTTTAGATATCATCGCTTCGGTACGGACCCGGAGTTCCAACGAGTTGCTTTTGAGATTCCCAAATTCCATCAGGACATATGCATAACAAATCACGAGCGCGATTTCCAGGATGAAGGTAAGTCAATGTCACCACAAAGCGTCTCTTCCGCTCACAGTACGCAGGCGCCTCGGACATTGTTGCAATGTCTGCCTCTCGTCCACACGACAGGTCGATAGCCCTATTTGACATGGATGCGCGCACTCACGCTGAATTCCACTTCGACGACACTTTCGATCCCCAACTTCGCGACGTAGTTGATGAGAGCCATTCCCCAAAACGGCGCAAGACATACACGGGCGGTACCTTTTACGTAGTCCATCAATATAAGAACACCGAAATTTTGGAAGTCTTCTCTGAAAGCGAGCAGTCTGATGAGGATGATGGCTTTACGCTGGTCCACCGCCCTACCGTATCGGCAAAGCCAAGCAACGCCTGCCAAAGCCCGGGACAGACCAGCAACACCGACTGCAATGACAGTTTGTATGGCTCTGATGACGATTTTCCACCAAGAACAGCCGTTGCCGCTACTAATATCCCAATACGGGCGAAAACTACACCTCCTCCTTCTCCTACTTCTTCCATGGCCGCGAAAACGCATATCACGCGTACAGTTGCAACATCAGCGATTGACTCCAGTGATGATGAGTGGACCTCGGTTCCGTCCCCATCGAATCTTGGATTGAATACCAAATAGACCTTGACATATCAAGATGATCATGCATGCATAACTTCAAAACTGGCGCATTGGACGTTTTAGGAGCAACATACAGGGGTTTGAATAATTTGGCATGATAATCTTTTATCAATGGCTTCTAGTACAGCTTTTTACAAGAAGCTTATGTTGTTATGTAGACGAAATGTCATGGACATCGTCGGAAACTTTTGACGTGCAATGGCAGGTATATGATTTTAGGATGAGAACATTTCAAAAGGAGTTCATTTCCAGCACCGAACACAGTGGTGGGTCTAAGATTCATCCAGAACAATTCCAGGATTAATATGAAAAATACCAACCTTCTTTCCTCCTAAGATCGAATACTCTCATTTGTGATGGAAAGCCCATTATATGGTCTGTTATGTTATGCCCTGACAGTCCGTTCAGGACCTTCACCAAACAAGCCATGTCGTTCATGCGTTCGAAGCGCGCACCTATCGTAAAGACATGCTCTATATCACGGTTGCGGTTGCGCCTTTTTGTACACCACCTGCCTACAACCATGTTCCTCCTAAGATAGAAGGAAGGCCAAAAAATGTATCTATGCATCACAAAATCCACCATGATGCCTCGTATCAACAATCCTCCAACAACACCACAACATCTCTTTCCACAGTCGATACAGTCACATTGCTAAAAGAAAAAGCATTTATTCCCACCATTCGTTTCCATAAACACACGTCGCTTTTCAACATGGCAAACAACATGATAGAACTGGAAACTTTCCCGCCGCTCGACCTTTCGATGCGACCACCCTCAGACAGCAGTCTTGATGTTCAACCAGGACTGCTGCGACGTTGGCACCTCACCAAAAAGCGTGTTCTCGTAATTGTCGCTGTCATAGGCAACGCCCTGATGGTTGGTGTCGGAGTGTAGGACTATCCCCTCTTTTACTACTACCGCCCTGGGTGCGATCGTTGATATCCAAATAGGTGGCAAATCCTCACGGTTACGACTGAAAAGCATCGAAGGGAGATCCAAAGGAAGCGACCAGACGCCGAGACCCTGTTGTTCATTTTCGCTTCCTTCGGTCTGATTACCATACTCTTCTTTGCCCTTCGCTATCTTCTCGAGTGGATTATGGATTACTTTTTGTATGTTCGGACATGGGTAAGTTGTCATCCTCGAATGGAGATTTTCTGACGAAGGCTTGTCCATCTCTTCAGACAGTATGAGTTAATAATGGATGCTGACTCTGGGTGTTTTTGTTTCCCATAGGCACGGGGGAATAGGGATCAAGAACACGATGTGAGCTCTCAGAGAACAGAGTCCTGGGTAAGGACGGTGGAGTTGGAGGTTTCGGGTGGATCCCTTCCTGAAGCTTGAGATCACTTTTGTTTAAACTATATCGTTTGGATTAGTTTTTTATACATTGCTGGAAAGAATGGTCTTTCGCTGCTGTCTTGGCCTTCGTTCACTTAGGATCGTAATCGATATTCTCGTTTACACAATCTTTCGAATGCAGTCCATCCTACTCTGACTCGATCCATTCCGTTTAATAACTATCAGTGAGCAAGTAGTATACATGATATGTTATCGTCACCGCACATAGAACCTGCAAGAGGCTTAATCAATTGATCGAGACCATGCACCATCCACACGACACGATAGGCGCACTAATGATAAGATCCAAAAGCCTAGTGCATGCCATGAATCAGTAACCCCCACTATCGCACGCCATACTCACGGCACTCACCGTCAAACATAGGTCACGATACGGCGCTTGTCGGCAAATGCCTTTAATCACACCCACCTATGTATCCACTTAGTCCCTTAGACCCCGATTGAACAATCGCAGCTCGCAAAAAGGAAAAGAAAATACCTGTGAGAGAAAGTATCATCACCGCGACCTGTTGTGATAGTTACGTAGTCCAACGGCCAAGACACCGGAAGAACACACCCGTTGCATCGTAGCGCATCATCCACACAAAAGCACCACGATGCATGCACTCCTGGACGTACGCAAGCGCTCGGCCAGCCCCACTACCAGTATATTAAATAAAGATACTCCCCTTCACCGTAGACCTAGGAGGCTAGCTGGATTAGCTCGGCAGGATCCGACGAATGGCTGCAGCATCCGATAGTTATTCGTGGTCAGTTGATACAGACTTGGTGCTTGAAATGATTCATGGGATTGATTCTTTCTTTGCTTTTGTCTGGGTCTTTGCATAGGTATGCGACCAAGTACACAGGAACATTTGTGGAAGTTGTTCGTTCTGGTAAAGCTGCGAGAGGATGTACTTGTTTGAGGAGAAAGAGTGGATTTTGCATGGCCTGGACTGGTTCACGACAGTTGGAATTATTATTGTCTCCGTTTCTCCTTGGAGACATCATCGTCGTGGTATGTAGTGTTAACATAATAAATTAACGACCCATCGGATCGCGACCTATCAAAGTCTAGGTTTCGTAAGAGAAAGTAAAAAAGAAGGGCCGTTACTTCATTTGGGGGCCGTTTGTTCGGTGGAAGGGTTCAGGTTGTTCATTCCGGCCATGGTGCTATACGTTTGGCCTGACTTTGGGCCAATGACTAGTGGGATATAATGGCAACTTTATTCGCCCTCCGGTCCCTAATCTTAGATCCGATTTCGACGGAGTCGTGGGCACCGCGTAGACATTGATGTGGCGTTGCAACGACGAACGAATATTCTCTACTACAAGTATCTAGAAGTGCTCGACTGTTGTTAATCATTCAAGCGTCTATTAGGCAAGCAAGGTAGAGCAATGGCCTTTTCTCCAGACAAGAAGCGAAAACGGTTAATGATGTGCATGGTCCGATAGGCGACTACCTTTAAAGATCCGATTTGACCGAATGATACTCCGTAGACTCGTCTCGAGACGGATTCGAACAGGGTAGAAACGTGAATATCTTAGCTCTGCCGTGGGACTAGAACACGTTCCCGCTTCTTCGCTTGGTATACCCGTTCTCGGAGTTCTCTTCCGGGAATAATGCACCTATAATCTCGATCGATTCAGCTTGTTGTACGTAACTTCACCCCAGTTATTGATGAGAACTGAGACGCGTGAAAGGCACACGGAGGATGCCGGGATGGGGGCTTGCGATGATTAGTATAGGGTCCCACGCTAGCATTTTCGAAAGTAAAGTTCAGTTCAGAGATGCCAGGGTTGTACCAATCTGCAGTAGGATATCTAGTCAGTTTTCTTGGAAGATGCTTTTCGCTATCATTGCCAAAAAGCCTGAAAGAGAAAGTAGGCGACAAATCGTATCCATCTATGCCCGCTTCGGAGTAGAACGCAGAGGCACATGCGTCCGCGGAGTCCAGGTTTAGACGATTGCTTGTAACCCCCTCTGTGCAGATAGTGTATCATACGATACATAGAAGTATAGGGGTGTATGTTCATGATAGGCTCCACCATGGGGAAAGCCAGGATGCCAGCACTCGGCGATGTTGCTCTGGTTGGACGACCACGAGCCCAGTTTGTTGGCTTTTTCTTCGGATCGCGCAGATAGCTATGGATGTAAACACTGGCTCGCTGTGCCACGAGGACGCCCTAATGCACTATTGCCATTAATCGTCCCGAGAATCTGGGTTGCGCACGTAGGATGAGATAGTGTGGGCTTGATGGCTGGTGGGCGTTTCGGCAACCGGCACAGCCTGGTGTCGGCATTGTAGCATATCAATTAATGCCTGTTCAGATCGGTGATGGATTTACGGCTGAAGCTGAGGTTGTTCTCCTCTGGTTTGTCCATTTGGGTTATATAACACAGGCTGGGAGAGCGAAAGCGACCTGAGAGTCAGTTTTTTGTTCATATGTTTGTATTCGCTGGACATTCGACGATAAATCCATCATTTGGCTCTTTAAAGAGTAGAGAAGTAAAGCAGAGCAAGGCCTGCGATCGCAGGTTGCGAGGCTCTTTAGCGGGATCGACATGGTTGCTAGTGTGAGGGGAAAGCGTAACGGATGACTCGTTCCACCACGCGGGAAGGCGTGCAAACCCACTGCACTGAGGCAGGATGCTTGAGGGTGCGCCGCAAATGAAAATAGCTGCGGGGCGCCAGCTAAACGGGTGTATGCTACCGCCTCCGATCACAACTGGCTCCATTCTAGGTAAGCATGGTGAACAGTCGAAACGAGCTACTCTAACTCACACCATCGATGCCTTGTTACTCATGGTCCACCTAGTCGAGTGGGACCAAGGAAGGTATATAGAGAAGGCTGGTCGCTCTAATTTTATCAGGTGTACATATACATACTTGATAAGTAGGTCTATAATCACTACCTAATATTAACTTTCCCTTCCACCCATCTGTTCGCTATTTACCTTTCCTATCATACATACAAGAACAATGATCTGCAGACAACCACCCTCAAGGACTCTCCGATACAGCGATAGAAACGTTGGTACTTTTGTATCAGACAAACCACGGACGCCAGAATAAAGATGTGAACGCTCAGAAAAGAGAGGGAAAAGAAAGAATGAAAAAGAAGCAGTGGAAGAAAGAAAGGAAAATGTGTCTGCTCATGCGCAGAACATCATTCAAGGCCGCCATGTAACGCTAGCCAGCGTATTCACAAGAAAGAGTTCAGGCGTGGACATCTCCCACCACCTGCGGACGGATCATACTTTGAGTGCCTTCATCGGGATGAAGTCTCCAATTTGGGGCATGAGCTCCACGGCTTTGGCATCGAGTGTCCAATTGTCCAAGTCGCTAATATGATTTTCAAAGAGGGGGCTCAGCTTCGTACAACCGGCTTCCATATCCCAATAATGGCAGGCATCATCCGCGTATGGCCAATTTGTTCCTACGAATCCAACAAAAGCACCGACAACAAACTCGCCAGGATGTTGATAGAGGTATTGGCGTAATGGAGGCCTGTTCATGATGATTAGTCGGCGCGCTGCCACGACTTTCGGACAACCTTACCATGGTAGAAGGTCTATCAAAATGTCGTATGGGCCACAATCTTGCTGAGCCAAAGGCATCAACCAATCGGGCATTGAGTTCAGGTTAGCCACGGAGGGCCAGATAAGCCACTGATATGTTGTCAGTACATTGTCAATGTGCTTGTGCTTGACAGGCTTCAAGAACCTACCCTCATCATCTTGGTCAACAGGTACGTTGACGCCAGTCGGGTTGGTATAGGCACCGCAGGCAACAGCTTGTTGACGATTCGAGAAGCCCAGGTAGGTACAGACTGCCCTTCTTGAGGATCCATGAATCCTAAGAGTATGCTGTCCACATCTATTTCACTCCTTCCAAATATCTGTACATGATCCCACCCATTGGAAAGCATCTCTCGCTTCGTCCGTCGGTAGAATGCGCAGTCGAAACTGAATTTGCCAATGTCGGTCGCTTCGTTAATGTTAAACGGGGCGGTACCGTCCATTGCGCCGGGATTGAATCCTCCAAAAACTGGTTGACTTTGTTCCCTACTTCTTCCGTCAAATGTCAGTCACTTTGTTGTTTCAACTGATCTCAATGTTGCATTTGCCGCTTACCTATCTTCTCGTGAAGAGCCATCGTACGAAGAAGCTGTCAGGCTATGTGATGGCCTCCGCAGTCCCTCGCTCGCTGGTGTGGACAACGACTCCTGTTCTTGAAGTTGGGTTTGCTGCTCAGGAGTATCCTAACAAGGGGTAAGCCACTGGACCGGGTCTATTTCACACGCAGCGTTAAGCTTACCTGCAAAGACTTTTTGATCTCTTCTGCCGAATGATGTGCAAATCCATTCTTCTCCAACTCGGTCGCCCAACTTGCCGCGGTAGCTCGGTCTGGCGCCATTGTTAACAATGATACAACAGATTTCATATCATCCAACTCCTTGGCTAGTCGCCGCACATGCGCCCTTAATTGTGTGGTGGTCTTTCCATCTTCAGCTACATCATATACGCAGATGAGGTTTTTAGTTTGGCACGTATTGCATTTGGGTCGGACTCCGTCGCACTGGATCACTTCGTCAATACCGCTCCACTCCCATGGGCTTACCTAGGATCAAAACTGACCTTGGACTTCCTCTTCCTGCAGCTCTCGCATGCAATGGAGGTGATCTTTCCACGAGGCGTGCGCAGAGCGTAGGTGCCCGAGATCGGAGATTGGTGCTGTGCTCTCTGGCTCGCAAGAGTGCCGCCCAGGCCCTGTTTGGGCGCGAGAGGAGCTTTGTGTCCTACGATTGCTGATGCTGGCTGCGCACGCAGTGCCAAAGAGGCGGCAACCGATGTATCGAGATGGATCGATGCACGGGAACCTTCCCAGGAGTTGGGTTCCTGACTGTTGCGACGTCAGTAGAGGGTTCAACAACGCGCCAAGGCCACGTCAATTCGTGGGAATGTCGAAAATCGCCGCTCGCATTCCTCCGATCGGATCCATGTTCATGCCGTCTCCCCGTCGTCGGTGCAATCCAAGAGCCAGAAAAATGGTGGTATTGGCAGACTTGAGGTTTCTCTGTCAGGATGGAATCGTTCAGCAGGCATGGATTGGCATCTCCGACAGAACGATGCGGGCAAGAACAACAACTAACCCTGGATTGGCCATCGATGGAGTTTGCCAGAGTTTATTGATATCTTTGTTGTGAATGACATTCTCTACCACTCCGAATACTAACACTTCCACGCTCGCCGCAAGCAGTTGCGGTGTGCAGGAAGTAGGCCGCTCTTTCTTCAGCCAACTGCGGTGCTGGTCGTGAAACCCTTTATATTTCCTGGGCCTTTCCAATCCACGGATTGAGGGGTGGATCTTTTCTGAAAACAGTTCCAACCTCGCGAAGGAACGAGGCGTGTTCGCCGCGGTTAAAGGATGTGTACTTCGGTCCTTGGTAGTAGGCGCCTGGCCCCCCACTGGTAGAAAGATGGACGCCGCCCGTTGGAACCAAGGTGATCGCAATGGCGAGATAACGTCGAGAGATGCAAATCGAAAAGGAAATGAGACGGAAGGCCCAAGCTTACCTGTGAAATGAGTGGGAGTGTATCACGGCCTCCGATGCACGACGTAGCAGTCTTCCACCGTCCGGGGTCAACCCCTCCAGTGCATTCGGCAGACTGCTGCCGCCATACCAATAACTCGAGCCTGCGATTCGAAGGATGAGATTCTGGATCGTTTGATAGGGCTGGATGGGGCGTGTCGCTTACCAGGGGACGAATTCGGGGATTCTGAAGGCATGAATGCAATCATATCTTTGGATGGAACATCCAGCTGATGAGCGAAAATTGCAGTTGAGATGGATTACCGTCGTGTCTATTCGTTCGTCAAGACCATGGGAAGCGAAGTGGCATGCGCGCTTTGGGGCCCTCAGGTCTATATTGTTCGCAAGGTTGTATATGGAGTACCACCGAATTCAATCAATCCCCTACACTACTCACTCAACACTGATGACCAGGCGAACCTGAACCGGGACGGAATCTCAAAATACGCTGCTCACCTAACCACCATTAACGAGGCGGATGCAGGTCGGATCTAGTGTCTAGCGGACCAAAGCCAACAAACCGCGGGGAAGACGGCTTAGCATGCGGCACTGTCGGAATTGGCCAGACCGGACACCTCCGCAAGTTGTCACTAGGGAGGATTGAATGCTCGAAATCACATCCAACAAGTTCGTAATGGTTCGGGTTCAACTCTACTTTGCCCCTCGAGCTCACCAGTGCTTGTCCCTGCGCACCATCTGGCGGATGCTGCTCGTAGTGTGTCAGTTCCAACTTCACTGGGCCCCCCTTAATTCCACCACTAATGCCCAAGCATAAAATCCAACGTGCAATCAAGAGGACAAACACAAGCAACAAGAGGAAGATACATTTAGAAACGCAGCCACTATCGACATCGTATTGACTTTGCTTCCTTGCACCATGAAGTCTGTTTAGACTGATATGCGGCTATCGATTTGTGGACTGGCACTACACACTTCTCGATCAACGAGATCTAGGCCTTGCAGTAGGCGACGCCGCTGAAGGCTTGCGGGCTTTTTGGTTGCTTGTCATCAGGAATACTTTTCCACAAAGGCGGGAGTCGATGGCCAAAGCCGGTAACGACAGTACCCAGAATCGGTCCGATCTAAGGGCGTCTCAGCTTGCTGCAACGCACTGCCTCAACGTTGCTCTGGGAGCAGTGAAGATCAACAGAACTAGGTGCGTCCTTGGTTATCGACACCCTGGGCATCATGACGTGGGCAGCGAATTGCAGAATTTTGACCTTGTCGTAGGGCTTCGCAGATTGACCGGGCACTGCATCTCAGAAGAACCTTGAGATCGATCACATTCTTCCGCGCTCGCACCAGAGCCCTGCAAGACTCTGCTGCCATGTATCACATGCTACCTGCATCCTGCTTAGGTCGTGTTGGGATACAAAGCCGGGCATTGCATGCCGCGAGGAAGCGGAATGCACATCCGCGCCTTTGCTCAAGATGATCTCCCCTGCTGTGTGAATAGCTTCGAGTCCAGTTGCCGCACGGCACAAAATCGTTAACCTGTTGACTAACGGTCGAACGCCATCTGCACATCTCCCGTCGTTCCAACTGCACCTAACAGCCGGGAGATTGCAAACATTGTGTCAGGTGGTTCTTCGGATTACCCAAACAATCAATGAGGGTTTCTGTTAGACTTGCGCAGGTTGCATGGTAGGAAAACTCAAAAACCGCTGCCCTAGCAGCAGTATCGTCCCTCGGCTTGTGAGGGTTTGGGTCGGATCGCATACTGGACTGAAACTTGACCTCAATGAGCAGGTCTATCCTCAACTGACGTACAATTATTGGTTAGGCCCTAATTTGCGTGCCGTACCTGGAGGGGATTATCGTTCAGGGTGGACCCTCGAGAGTACGCGAATTGAAGACTGAATGGGCCACTATGCCCAGTAGTTGAACGCGTCGCTGCTGCCAATACGCCGAATATCCTACCGCCGAATAGGCCCTTGTAGCTCGGCTGCTTTGAAGGGCTAGTGACAGATTGATCGACGGCGAAAACTTTGTATTTTCGGGCCTGGAGATCAACTGTAAACAGCAAATAGCAACGGATATAGATACGATTACAATGAACCGTTTGCTCGATGGAATAGTTGCAGGGGTCAAGCAGCTCCTTGAGAAACACGCAAGGGATCCGACGGAGGCTCGCGATGATTCCACATTGCGCATTTCAACCTTGTTGATGTAGTTTGGTTCCGTTCACGGGCCCTATGGGTTGAGGACACAAAGTTCTGTTCAGCTAGTATAGCTTCCCCCGCAGCACTTCGTCAACTCTATTCCAGCGCCATGCCCTTTCGTCGAATCGCATACGGACAATGATAAGCTAAACACGAGCTAGACTATCTTTAGATGAGGGTCTCCGCTTCCACCGTGAAGTTGGCCATATGAACTATTACAGCTATGACGACGCTGCATTTTGACTGGACTGGCGACCTGCAATAATCACACCAGGCCGAGCAGTTAACCTCCATTGGTCTGCCGTCTTGTCTCGCAACCTTAATTCCGCGAGTGAGTCGATGCTGTGGTTGCAATATGCCGAGAGACTAAATTCGATGGAGATCTCTGAAGTCCTCTCCTCTCTTTCAAGACTACAGATCTTGGGCCAAAGTGGCTGAGCATGGTTTATGTCTGAGCAAGTAGAACGCTTCCCATAAACAGCCTCTGAACCAGGGTACGGAACTCATCAAACCTAAACCGGTTATGTTTTACGCCCATAGTCACCTCCCACCATGTCTATCAAGCCCTCGGAGTCGAAGCACGTGCCTCGAGTTCTATGAAATCCCCGCTCCGATGAGTTGGGAATCACAACGGCCGACCGTCTGCTGCACCGTGATCCCGGATATCTGGCACCCCCATCCGACGCGAGACGAGCTCCACCAGCCTGCGACTACCCTGGCGATCGCTCTAGCAAAAGGCTTGTCTGTAGACATCTCTCTCCAATGATTGGATTCACATGCTTCGCCATTGTAGCCTCCAAGGGTCCAGAACCTGACATAGCAACAGTTGATGCTGTCTCGAATGTAAATCATCATCATCATCAAATGTCAGTGACAACGAGTCACGATGGCATTGTTTCCTCAATGTGGTTTTGGCATCTCTTACGAGTAGGTAGTAGTGTCAGTGCCGTACCGCTATGAATCACGAGCCATGCGGCCTGGTAGTATGCCCTTTCGAATGGGACTCTTCATCATTGGTATGTGCCCCAGTGGAGTCTCAAGTTCTCCTTTCTGTCAAGAATGTAACGGTTTGCTCTTCATGCCCCACCTTTACTCCTTACTATGACCATGGTTGAAATGTTTGGGAAAGACTCGGCTGTACAAGCATGTCCATATAGCCGAACGCAGGGTTTTCGACGTGTTAGATTGTTTCTTGTTTTGTCAATGATCTCCTTCTCACAAGGGTTTGGCCCATTGTGGTACGATACGAAGAGGCGCTGAAGTGTGATATGGAATAAATGGCAACACTCTTCAGGCTCCCGTTGCTAGTACAAGGTCTAGCAACTCGGCACGTTCAATGCGATGGACCGTGATCGCCAAAAAGTGGGCTTGCCCTGAGCTACAGCCTCCTGCAGTTGCATTGCCACTACTCCGCCAAATGTTCCAGGGTTAAAGTCGTTGAAAATCGTTGGGACGTGGCTTCGGGCGAACGCTGGTGACGGTAACCCATCCGAAATCCATCGGCTCTTTTAGCTTTTCGTAGCTATGTTATTGTTGGTTTTGATGTGATCAATGGCGGCTGGGAATAACATGATCTCCTAAATCGTAACAGCGATATAGGGAATTACATTCCATGTCCTCTCATGATTTTCTCACAGGTACAAGCATCACATGAAGTCGCTAAAGTGGAGCCGTTCCGGATTGCCAGCCAGGGTTGTGTCACCCATGGTATATGATCTCCTGCGATACCGAAGATTTCCGGTTGGAGCGGCCTCGTTCGCCTACGATGAGGAGGGCATCGGAGGGTTTGTTTCTTTTACGAAAGATCTACATTGCATGCGGTCAGGGCAACAGGGCTGTGAACTGTGATTACTCATGATCTGTGCTAGGCCAGGCTGTTGCATGCAAAGTGCGTGAACCCCTCTTGCCCTCTTCTTGAGATTCCTACCTACTTTCTTTGTTCAAGCTCAAATTCCCTCGTATCTTAGCCGTTATAACGACGAAGACCGACAGAAAGTTCATTCAATCGCAGGGAGAGGTCACCCGATACTCTGGACGTGCTTGTAGAATGTACTGTACTTTATATCTGGTGTCATGAATTGACATTATCGACCATTCATATATACAACCGTTGTGCTCATGAGCATACTCTGTACGAATCTGGTAGTGTTCCAGCCAGTACCGACCCATTGGATCGTATTCATGAGTTTAACGAATAGGCACTTCGACAATAAGCAGCAACATTGAGAAAATCATGCTGAAACAGACATGGGTTTGTACATCTCAATAACCACCTAGATAGGTACCGACTTGACCTGCAAGTGCTCGTAGTGAACTAATGGGAAGCTGATCCGAAATCGACGAATGCATACACGCATATACACGCACGTGACAGTGTCTTATCCTTATCATCACATGACATTGATTGCCAAGGCGCTAGTGTGCTCCCCAGGAAAATGTTCATGATGGCATCGGCGGTCGCGACTGGCACCAAACGAGGTGCTACCTCTCTCTCACCTCACGAACCCCTCAGTCAACAGCCACAACCACCCTCACACAGTCGCACCATCTTTTCCTAAGATTGTGCGCCTGCGTCGTTGGTTGGCTGCTCTTGTCTCACTTGCGGTCACTTCTGCCACACGCGCTCTGACGTGCGGCAGACGGAGCCGTTCTCCTACGAGATAACAGTCAGTTGCAAAGAGAATCACTTCTCCGAACCTGAATTACTTCGCTAACAGCAAACACCCCACTTGCGATTGCAGGAGCCACAATCTCACCTTAAGGATCGTATAACGATTCCGCCATGGCCTCACCAATGAGCTCCGCATCGGAGGGTGAGATTCTCGAACCTGCGCAGAAGGCAAACACTGCGTCTCATAATGCATCCGAATCAACGGTTGACCAGGCAAACAGTACATTCGGCCTTGATGGAACTTCAGATATGGATGGTATGTTAAAACTTACTCCCCCAAAAACAACCTGCCAGTTGTTGACCCCCCAATCAGACGTCCGTTATGGCCGTCGCAACATAAGTCGTTCCCCTTCACCCTATCGTCGCAAGCCTGATCGATCCCCTTCCCCATATCGTCGCAAGTCTGATCGGTCTCCTTCCCCGTACCGTCGTGGTCGCCATGATCGCTCTCCTTCACCTTTCAGACATGGCAGAGATGGCCAGGGACGTGGAAGTAATGCCCCGTTCTCGTACAAACGCAAGGCCTCTCCTCATCGACATGAGAGGCCAGAGAAACGGTATAACACAGACAGAGATAAGCACTACAGCGCCCGCGAAAATGAGAATCGACGCGACCGACGATCTAGTTTGCATAAAGACCGCGAGAATGGCGCAAGCCATAATCCTTCGTTCCGCCCATCTTATGCCGCCAACGATCAAAATACCGCCATATCCAAGTCCTCGACCATCCCAACACAATCTAAATCTCAGTATGCTTCCAGGAACGGCAACGGCTATCGCAGCTCTCGATCCAAAACCCCAGACCTCGGAACTGATAACAAATTGCCTGGCGCGGCTCCTTCTGCTGCTGAGAAACATGCAGATGTGGAAATGACAAGTGAGGCAGACAACGAGCCTGATCTGACTCCTGCCATTTTACAAGATGTAGCTCCGTCCAACGAAACGAGAGAAGAGAAGAGACGAAGATGGGCAGCGAAGCGAGCGCAACATGCAGAATCCAACCTGCTTCAAAAGGCAGTACTAACGAACGCCTCTGAGGCTACCACACCCAACATTGGCTCACCTGCTGCCCCTACCAGTTCAGTGAATTCGCCCCCTCCGCTGTCACCTGGCTTATCGGATATGGACTCTATGCCTGCCTCGCCGGATGTTATGATTATTGATAAACAAGAAGCTGCCAACAATGGAGCAAGCCCAGCCACCAATAGCCCATCTGCTTCCAACTATGACCCCACTCAGGATATGCTCGATGATCGCCTAAGGGCTGAACAGCGTACCCAAGTATCAGAGATGTCTGCAAGCGCGTATGACGAAACTAATCCCAACGCACTTTCCACCCTTCCATCTGAGAAAGCAAAACCTGCCAAGAAGAAGAAAAAGGAAATCGACATGTTCGCATTCTCTGATGACGATGATGATGACGATGAGGAAGAAGATGGCGAGGGGCACGACGGACTTGATGCTCCCACTAAAGGTACTGTGCTGGATGCAAAACTCTTGGACAACTGGGACGACCCCGAGGGTTATTACAAGATCATTAGCAATGAGCTGGTAAACTCGGGTCGGTATCGCATGATAAAGGGCCTCGGTCGGGGTGTCTTTGCCAATGTTGCACAAGCCGAGGACGTCAGTGGTAAATCAGGTGAATTGGTTGCTATTAAGATCATTCGCAAAAACGATGCGATGCGTAAGGCCAGTTCGAAGGAGATGGACTTTCTTCAGCGGCTTAACGACGCCGATCCGCATGACAAAAGGCATATCATCCGACTCTTCGGATCGTTTGATCACAAAGGTCATCTCTGCATCGTCTTCGAACACATGTCGAAGAACTTGAGAGATCTGCTGAAAGAAGAAACCAGCGGCCATGGTCTCTCTCTGCAAGCCGTCAAGACATACGCCCGTCAGATGTTTAGCGGACTCAAACACCTACAGGATTGCCAGATCATCCATGCTGATCTCAAACCTGACAACGTTCTCGTATCACTCGACAAGAAGACCGTGAAGCTTTGCGATTTAGGAACAGCAGCCGACAAGCGTGACAACAACGAGCCCACACCCTATCTCGTGAGTCGTTTCTATCGATCGCCAGAAATTATTCTCGGCATGGACATAGGATATGGAATTGACATGTGGGCCATTGGATGTACCATCTATGAGTTGTGGACTGGCAAGATCCTTTTCCCTGGACGGTCCAACAATCAGATGGTGAAGGTAATCATGGAATGCATGGGTTGGCCCAGCGAGAAACTTCTGAAGAAGGGTCAACTCTCAGGACAGCACTTCGAGCCTGGTCCCCCTCTCACATTCATCAGTCGTGAGGTCGATCAGCTTGGCAATGTAAGTACCCTGCTTGACAGCTTGAAAGACAACCTGCTAACTTCCTGTAAGCCTATCATTCGGAAGATCGAACAGCATCGTATGGCGCCTCGTCCACTCAAGGCGAGGATCCATGATGCGGGCCGGGGCATCACTGGCAATGGGCCAAGCACGGCGGATCTTAACGACTTTGCAGATCTGCTAACCGCATGCCTGAACTGGAACTTTGAGAAGCGCATCCAATCGAAGGACGCACTTGCCCACAAGTTCTTCATGAACAAGACGCTCATGCCTAGGGCGGCGGTGGCCAAACCCTCGCTCCATAAGCGACCGTTTACAGGTGGCGTCCGTCGTTAGGCCGGATAGACCGTTCCGCCCCTCACCACCACCATCAGTATCTGGGGACGGAATACTCGTACCTACACCTAGTCAAGAATGCTAGGGTACCGTAGGCATACTGTACTTAATATCATGACACTCAAGGCAGGGATCAATCAAATGTCACTAGTAGGATCAAAGTAACATACATAATCAATTCTATAAACCCACCGTTCCTCCACCATGCATTCTCGTGCCGTGCCGTCCTCTATCTAACCATTGCCCTGAAACATGACCACTACGCCATTATCTTGCCCTGCATCTCTTCGCTCGGTGTGGCGCCTATCAGTCCTAACTAATTTTCTAACATTGATAGCGATCCGCTATGGCTTTGGCTCTGGTTCTTGCTCTGGTATGAAGCCACGCCCGCGCTCACTACGCACTCAACCCGGCAATGACTTGGAAAAGACACCTTGGGTACCGTACCCAAATCAACTAAACAGACACACAATCGAACCCTATCGTCCCACTCTCCCATCCCCCTTCTTCTTCTGCTCTTATTTCTCTTTTATTCCAATGAAAAACAAGAAAAAAGTTTCCTTCAACCCCATCTTGACGACGAAACGTTCAGCACAAAGACAAACCTAGGTTGGTGAAATCCATACCCAGAGCCTCTCAGAGAAGCACGGTTATTACATTGAATGAATAAAATGGGACGATCGATGCAGAAAGAAGAAAAGTCTTACAAGATTTCCCTTTCCTCACTCTCCCCGTCTTGAAATCAAAACATCTTAGATCTAAAAAGTGTACATAGTTAAGTAACGCCCCAAAAAAGAAGAAAAGAGTAGCCCCAGCCAGCAGCCCCCCGGAATGAGGCCCCCAGAATGACCCATCCGCCATTTCTTGTCGCTAGTAGCTCGTGGCCCAAGGAGTTCGTTCCTCGCGATCCACTCACTCCCACCCGTTTGTATCTCCGCTCCCCCAGCCCCAGCCTCGGCCCACCCCTTGCCTTGGGTCGAAAGGGTCAGGGTCCGGGTCGGCGCGCCTCCGATAGGACGTTTTTTGCTGTATGTACGGAATGGTTATTGCATGGTTTGGTAGTTAAGCTCATTGCGGGACATATCATGCACATGCTCGCGCGCGATCGGGCCTTTTTTTTTTCTTCTTCTTCCCTTTCGACGATCGATGATCTGCATAGTTGTTGTTTGAGAGGGTGTGTGGGTGTGGGTGTGTCATTGGGGGGTGACTACCTAGGTATAAAAGGAGGGCTTGTGATCGTTTTCTACATTAGAAATTCATGCATGGGATTTCCTTTTTTTCTGGCAACACAATACACGAATTTCTCACAACAGCTATTTGTTCATTGTAGCTCCTTGCATTGCTGGTACGTGGTATTCGGGGCCTCTGTTTTTGTGAAGACCATTTTCCAGTCTCAAAGTACCAGGGATAGAATATGAAGAGAAGAAGAAAGAGGAGGAAACATTCAGTACAATGGATGGAGGAAAGAAGAAAAGTATATGGGGTATAGAATTGGTATCTCGCCGCAAAACAATCGCACATCACCGTCTACGATAGAAGGAAAGGAGGATACAAGAGAAAAGAGAAAAAGAAGACCCAGGAAGGAAACAGGTATTCCTCCAAAATGGTCGACGTAGCCAGTTCAAACCCATGCCCAGCAATGGCTGTCTGGAATAGAATGTGACATGGACTAGGAAAAGAAAACCGGGCGGTATTAGGAAACCTCGCCCGTATCAATCGGAGTTTGGTTCAATCTTGTCGACCAATCCATCCTCTCACGATGTGACCCTTCGAACCCAGAGTGCACTCTCCTGTGATGGGTCCGCCTGTTCCCTCTTCTTCCACGCTCGGTGAAGCTTCAGACCCAAGTCATGTTCCTCGCGCTTGATCTCGGCCAACTCATCCTCAAAGTCCTTCTTTCGCTTATCAACTATTCGCATACGCTTGAAGTCCGTTACCAGAGGATTTGGTGGAGCCGCATTATACAAATCCTGAAGCAGCCTGTGCACGTTCGAACGCCGAATGCGCAGGTCTTCCATTTGCGCCTCTAGCGTGTCGATGTGGTCAACGGCGCTAATCTCAGTGGGCGGGCGAGGTAGAGCCTTCTGCGTGCTGGTCGAAATTGTCGATAAAGGCCGAGGCGATGGAGGGTCTGCCGATGCCATGGTGGTAGGCTGTGTGGTAGAACCTCCTATGGGTTTGCGGGTTGGGGTTTTATCAGACGCTGGGACCGGGCGGCGACGATTCAAGATCGCTGAAGCTGCGGGCATTGGCTCTTGGTCAGGATTCTTCGCAAAGGATGGGACAGGTGGTGGTGGAGAAGGTGGTGGAGAATGCTGGTAGGTCGTGCTCGTGTTGTACGTTGTCCAACTGAAGCGGCTTGCGGGACCGGTATCCTTATCGCCTACTGACTGTGGAGTGTTCTCGATGGAATTGCTCGTAGTTGCGCCCTTTGCCGTCGTAGGGGAGTCATAAGTATGGCCGGTGCCCGAAACACCTGGACGGTTCGCTGTCGCAGCGCCTGTCCGTTTATTGATCGGTGTCAATGGATCAGCACCGTGCAGTGAGTCGGGAGATGCGAGACCTTGATTTACTGGATTATTCGGACTGGTAGGCGAGTTGACTCCCACTTTTAGGGGAACGGTAGGTTTTATGGGGTTGTCATGCGTGTCATACTCTTCGAGGGGGTCTGCGACATGTGAGGTGTCACCAGGGACAGGACTACGCCCGGAAGTAGCTGCAAGCGAGTCTTGCGCATTCGTCGGAGATGAACCAACACTTCGAGGGTCTGGTTTTCGCTGAATAACTGCTGAGGCTTTTCTTCCAGGATTATCTCGAATAGGTTGCACGATTTCTCCCCGTCCACTCGCTCCCTTCCATGGTTCTCGGGGTTTTGATACAGTCGTGTCAACTGCTGGCGGCCGTGTGCCAAAGCGCGTTGCTCGCTCGTACAGCGATTGATTTCTTCTTGACGTTTCCGGTCCTCCACTCACGGATACTTGATAACCCATGGGCCGTTGCTTGGAAGGTGGCGACAGTCCTGTTTTGGCATAGACTCCAGGGTTGACCTGTCCTGGCCTGCCGGCAGTGCTGGACGTGGGTTCTCCGGAATAGGCATCCCACCGAACCTTATCGTTTGGTGCTACTTTTCCACCCCAGAACTTTTGCGCCGAAGGCTCAGGCTCGTTGCCTCGTACCTTCGCGGGTGCTTTGCGAAGTACGGGAATGTTGCTCCCTCCGTGCTGCGCTTGCCGACTGCGAGACTCGTCCACTGGGGATACATCGCGCATTGAACGAAATCTTCTTGGTTGATCCGGGTTCTGGACGCGTTCAGGCTCTGGTGAACTAGGGGGTGAGATGTCGTGACCCAGATGATGACGAATGGTCTCGTGCTGATACTCCTCTGGTAAGCCTGGCTGTGAGTAGACAGAGGAGACGGTAGGGACTTCTGATGCGCGATAGCCGGGTTCGTCGGACGGAGAATATGTACCACTAATCCAGCGTCAGTTGGCAGGCCAAGGGGTGGGAATATATATGTACTTACTCGTATGGTGGGGACTGCGAGGAGTCATAATTAGGCTGGGGATTGGCATTTTGGTAGCCGGAAACATTCGGGATGTGCCTGAGTTGATCTTCATCGTAGGTAGTTTCAACAAGCACAGGGTTCCCTATCTGCTTCTCCTTGTCCCGTCCATACCCCTGGAACCGCTTCCACATGTTAAATCTAGTGAGACGGATTAGTACAGCATCTTCAACTAAGAACAGTCGCAAATAAAACGAGCAAAATAGGTGCAGTGGCCAGTGTTTATGTCGAAACCAGTCATCCATCAATGAAGTGTAACTAATGCTGTGGGTGATTGGCTTATTATTATCGTTCCGTCTGGTGATAGGCAGTGCCCTCTTCGACCTGCTTGCTCAGACTTGGATGCTTGAACCTCAGCAGTTGGTTCGTTTCCTACCATCTGTACTGAATGGTAATGGATGTCCTCTTAGTCTTCTCGAAGAAGGATAACTAGAGGGAGCAGCCTCCTCTGGACCATATTGGAATCACCCAGATTTCATTGTGCTGTTTTCTTGAAGCACAGAATCCTTCGAGAGTGCATGATCAATCCCGGTTGAAGGATCCCGGAAGGGGTTTTCAGTTGGGCGACGGGTGGGAAGTGTAGGTGCAACCGTTCCTGGGGGAGGTAAAGGTTTTATCTCAGAATTGGTGATGCTGAACAAATTTGTTCGACGCCGTTTATTCTCCTGTAGCTCAAACTCTTTTTGAAGCCGGGGATCGTTCTGGACCCACAAACGGGACCGCACTGGACGTGAGATGTTCCGGTGATATTGTGAACGCAGGATGTAGAACCAAGCATGGATTATGCCCGGAACAAGCCATGTGGGGATCCAAAGGATGACGTTGGTGATAATACATGTCGACGAAGCCCCGTCGAGATATATTGCTAGCGGAGGGCACAGAATGGCGAGCAGAAGAAGATAAGTCTTTGTCCGTTTCCGAGTCCTAGGTAGAGCCACAAAGGGAGCTTGAGGTGCTGGCTTTTCTGCCACACTGGCCATCGCGCGGATTTCCTTGTAACAACTGTGGACAGAATGGAGTTTCGGTGAAGATGAAGGCGATGGTGCGACTGGATTTGGCAATATAGGAACGAGACCACAGTGGAGAGAGAATGTTAAGAATGCAGAGACCGAATGGAGACAGGGATTCGGTCTCAGATGCTCCAGAGGTAAAGATGCGGATGATGTTGAAAATGTTTTGATAGAGGAAGGGTGGAAACAAAGTCAAAGGAAACAAGGAAAATATACACTTACCGATCAAGAGGTGTTGAGTAAGAAAGAGGTAGTAGAAGAGCTGAAGGAGTTGCTGTTGCTTGGGTGATTGCGACGAAAGGCGCAATGAGGACAGACAAGGCTATTGAGAGAACGAGAGCAGCATCGATGATGGAGGCAACCGAAGGATGATAAGAGAAGGCAAACAAACGGTCCGAGTCCAAGTGCAGGTGCAAATGCAAATGCAGGTGTAAGTGCAGTTGCAGTTGCAGTTGCAGGGAAGATGGGAATGGAAATGGAGGTGGAAACGACGATCAGCAGTCACGGAGTCCTCGTAGTAATTAATAGAGAGAAAGAAAGCAGATGGAGGGCGCCACAGATCAGCCCCCGGACCTTGGCGAAAGCGTGTTCTGAGTGTGAAGATGTGGTGAACGTGACAATCCGTGGTGGTCGACGGACGAGAGTAATCCTCGCAACTCGATGGGTGGATGACGAGTGAGTTGGAGGCGCAGCGCTTTTGCGTGTGTATACCGGTCCCTAGGTATGTATGTATGTCTGTGTGTTTGTATGGGTATTCGTTTGTTTTCAGCTCGAGTTAGCTGGATCTTAGGTCGTGGATGGGTGGTTTTGGAAGACTCGAAAGCGCATGTGAGGAGAGTTTAGAGTTCAGGCATAGAAGACCAGAGGTTGCCAAATGTACAGATGTTGTTTCTTGGGATATTTGGGGATCCCTTGAAGATGGAAGTGGACGAATGAGAAGACGAATACGACGCCGAAATGAACAATCTGAAGGCGTTTCAGGCTCTCTAATGTCGGTGTTTCAGGAATGATTCGCGGGCAGGCCAGCTTATAAAGGGGGGATCTAACGGTTGTAGCGGGCCTCCTCTGCGCTTAATCGGACTGTAGGGAAATAAGAAAGAGATAATAGGCAGGTGATTGTGTAGTTGTGCACTTTGCGATGTCGGGAAGTTATTCTATGGACTATTCCTGTACATACATACTCGTCTTGTCAGATGATAATTCACAAAGCGGGTGATGTTGCCTTGTTTATGATCAAGGTATGCACTCGTACTCGTGAATTCACTGTGGCCTGAGAGCCATGAAAGAAGGAAAAAGGCAATTACGAGTAGCATACTCCCATGCGTGAACTTGGGGGTCAGCTTCGGACTTCGAAGGGTTTCTAGAAGTGATATTTAATTGCCTAGATGGCACTTCGTTGGTGGTTGCATCATCGTCATCATCACTACCATCTCCATCGCCGGCCCGCCGCCTGCCAGTCAATTACCGCCCCGCCCCGCCAAAAACACCCCAACTAACAAATAATAACACCATCAACCTCATCCCACCACAACGTCGCACAGCTTCTTCAGGTTCCCGTACATCCCATATATTGTATTCCATTGCAACCACCATACCATGGCAGATGGTAAGAGTCGTGCAATCCCCCATTTGGGGCAAGGCTAACGGACAACTACAGCGTCATCTCCACCGCCTGCCGCAGAGGTGTAAGCAACCACCCCCAATCCCGTCACCTATTTCCCTATCATTCTCCGCTAACAGCTATCGCTCAGAGCCTCTCCGGTCACTCCCATCAATCTGATCCTCCTCACCCTGTTCGTATTCCTGGTCTACCTCCGCCTCAAGCCCGCGAAGCCTCAAGCTCTCCCCAGAGCACCACCACCCACCGTCTTCCGAACATTCACCCCACCGGAACTCTTCCCCTACAATGGACTGAACGAGATGCCCGTTTACCTGGCCGTGAAGGGTCAGGTCTTTGACGTCACCTCTGGAAAGAACTTTTACGGACCCGGCGGTCCCTACGCCAACTTCGCCGGTCGCGATGCCAGCCGTGGCCTTGCGCATGGCAGTTTTGACGAAGACATGCTGACTAGCGACCTCGATGGACCCCTTGATCCCCTCGATGACCTTAATGACGAACAGCTCGAAGCTCTCCGCGGATGGGAAGAGCGTTTCTTGGAGAAGTACCTCGTCGTCGGAAAGTTGGTGCCTGTGGGCGCAAAGTAACCAAGACCGAGTTTGCCAAGTAGAACTATCGATTCACCGGACGCATTGAAGGACATCGTTTGACGGGGAAGACGTCGGAGAAAGTAGGATCAATCTTTATGAAAGATAATGGAAAGTACGGATCAATAAAAGAAGCAACATTACCGGACAGACAATCTGTTCGAGCGGTTGAAGAAATCGCATACAGTACTCTACTCTTTTTGGGCTTTCTTCGACTTCTAATACTGCTGTCACTTTTGACAACTAATTCTTTTGAGTAAAGTGAAATTGTTCGAACAGGAGTAGGAACTGATCCAAGTTAGGTGTAGACCCTCTTATGAAGCCAATGTGCACACTTCTCCAGATTTTTTCACAACACAGCACATTATCAGGGGCAGTGAGTTCTGGTCATATCCTCAGCCCAACCGTAGACCTGGAATCAGGGATCACGAGGCGCCAACCCTCCATAGAGCGAGCCAGATCCAGGGCCAATAAGACATTGTGTCACATACTATTGTAATCTTTGCAGATCTCACATTCCTTTTGGGCGAATAACCGCTCACATCTGGCGGACCCCTGGACCATTCGATCACTCGCAGAGGGAGTTGAGCAGCCAACGCAAGGCATGACTTATGCCATGCTCGATGATGAATGATACAAACAGTCCTTCCCCGAAAAGAGTTTTATGTCGAAAATAGGACAAATCTCAAGGATGCGTTTACCATGCCCCGGCAGTGTTTCAGCCTCAATGCAGGGTGCCCAGCGTGCCTATAATCGATGTCTCGCGTCCACAGATTTGTATACACTCTCGATGGGGACTAGCGCTTTGAGAGTTGTTATTGTGTCGACCTCTCACTTCTTCCTCTTCACGATTCCCACTCTCTCACCTCACTTCTTCCTTACTTCCCCTTTGTACAGATCGATCAAGATCTGAGGATAGACCCTATACCTACCATTCAAATTCTACACAAGATTCAATTCTGCTCAACATGGCACCCACCACTACCAAGACCGCTGCTCCCAAGACGAAGACCACCGACGCAGGAGTGAAGAAAGGTCGCGGCGCACCCAAAGGTGCTCGAAAGGCCAACGCGAAGAACGCCATGGCTAAGATGCAGGCTTTCTGTGAGTGTTTCGATATCTACTTCCCGCACGTAAAAAGACGCGTCCCAGCGCGTCCTCTGTCATCTTTATAAAGACACTTTCTTCGCAGTGCGCACATGAAAGACACACTGACAATCATACAGTCAAGAAGCACCGTTCTGAGTATAAAGATCTATCTTTCGGTGACCAGCAGAAGGAGCTTGGAAAGAAGGTACGCTTCCATCATGTCTTTACACTGCAGAGGGGCTTCGTAGTACAGCACTACGCTTTCTCCTTCGCTGCACAGATCTCGAATCACTTCTCCGATCGACATCGGCAGGTGGGAGATCATCCTCTGTGCCTTCCCAGAGCAATGATTTGGACATGAAACTGACATATTCATGCAGTGGAAGGCATCACCCGAGAACCCAAAGAATAGCACTTAGACCTTCAATGATTTCGCCACTTGGGAACGGTGATTGCACTACGAAAGGGTCCCTTTTCAGAGATACACATCTGAACCCGCCGTGGCACGTGAGATTCCTCTTTCCGGGCTGTGCCACCGTCATGTCGTCCCGGGTGATTTAGTCTAGAGCGAGACACTTGTCCGTTACACGAAGCACGAGTTTTTCTTTGTATTTTCTTTTCTTTGCGTTACCTATTTTCCACTGTTTTTTTTTTCTTTGTTCTCGAGGTTCATCGGGTACTGGGATATGTATTTGAAAGTCTACTGGATTGTCTGGACAACAGGGGCGGACAGGTTGCAGGATCCATCTTTCATAGGATGGAAGGACGGATGGGAACATGCGAGTGGGCAGCAGCAGCGGGTAGGGACAGCGCGCAGAGGTTGAAAGATCGACGCACGCACGAGACCAGGGGATCTCATTACAAGTCGGATTAGAGCCCTCCCCAGCGGCCAATATGGAAAATTACGACTTCTTTTCTTCCTCGCACGAATTGCTCGCATTGCGCTTGCTTGCTTGTGTGTTCGTTCCTGCATAACACGTACTATGCAATATTCGCTTCAGGCTAATTGGCGGCCGGCAGCAGCAATGTGCGGATGCATGATCCTGGGAACAAATTGTCAGCGTTCGCCTTGGGGTGGCGCGTTACCGTACGAGCTGTGCTGGAAATTAGGGTGCTTGATGTTTTTCGGATTCTATTTGGCCGTGCCGCAGACAGAGCAAGCAGACGACGCTCGAATGCCTCCGAGGAGAAGACCGAAAGACGACGAGGGACTGTTGGTTCATTTCACCCTGACTAGGTTATGTTTTCTTTTCGCAACCAGCCAGAGTCAGTAATTTCGATTGTGTGATTGCGCGCGTTCGTTGGTGGAGATCAAAATCAAACAAAGGCCACGGTCCGATCTACCTTGTCTCCCGGCGATGAGTTGCTTCTAGAATATCTGCAGCGCGATGCTCGATAGTGATGAGTGCCGGGGTTGCGCTGCGCTGCGTCGTAGACTTGAGCAGTCATGCTCGCAATCCACTCGTCTATCTATACTTATATTAGAAGGTGGCCAGGGAGGTCAATCCAATCACAGAGAGCTTTCACATTCTGAAAGTCCGGCTTTTGATTCGAGCTGGAGAGTACTCCGTACAGAGAGCGACCTGCTGTCGAGATATACAATACTCACGAAAGGGCATTAGCCGGAGAGGACGGTCCGTCCCGAGCCATGACGGCTGTTCGGGAGTGTGTGTCTGCGACCACAGATCACTCATATGAAGAATGAACTCATCCTACATGTAAAAATGTGTACCTAGTTTTACATGATACATACAATTCACAGCTAACTTCAACTTCTTCCCATTATGCCATCATACCACCTTACCAATCCATCAGTCAATACTTAGTAACATAGAGAAATCGAGACGTAGAGAAGTCGATGCCCCACATTCCGCATGCCGACTTGCCCCTCCGAAGACCCCCATTCCCCATAATTCCCCCCCAAAGCCAGGCCAGGGTCTAAGCGGGGAAACTTGATCGTCGTCATCATCATCATCATCCTCACTTACTCGTAACTCTTTTCTCTTACAACACCTGTACAATAATACTCGTACAAGCATGACCACCAGTTCCTAGTTTCCAATTGAGCCTATGAGAAGTTAGAAATATACCTCTCATTTCTAATTGTCAGCTTCATCTTGTGACACACCACTTAGTCCGCGGAATACGTCCGCTATCTATCTCGCTCTCTTTCCCATCCTCAACCTCATTGCTCTAACTCAGTACTTATCGTATACAAAACTTCACGCTGCTGACCTAGCTATCTATAACTGATACACATCACCTCCACCATAACCTCCTCTCTCAATTCCCCCTCCCCTTCCACCTCAACCTCACCCACCACTCCAACCCAAACCGCAACCATGCCACCGCCGCCCACCACCCCCATCCTCAAAGACCTCACCATCTCCAACATCACCGAAAACGTCCACCTCATCAACGCGCAAACCCCCTCCCCGCGCCTCCTCTACATCCTCGAGCGCCTCGTCACCCACCTCCACGACTTCGCGCGCGAAACCCGCCTCAGCACCCCGGAATGGATGGCCGGCATCGAGTTCCTCACCGCCGTCGGGCAAAAATGCACCGACGTGCGCCAGGAATTCATCCTCCTGTCCGACACTCTCGGCTTGTCCCTCCTCGTCGACGCTATCTCGCATCCGAAGCCGCCCGCGAGCACCGAGGGCACGGTGCTGGGCCCGTATCACACGCACGCTGCGCCGGATGTGGAGCTCGGGGAGAGTATCACCGTGGATCCGGAGGGGGAGAGGTTGCTGTGTGTGTGTAGTGTGAGGGACACAGCGGGCAGGCCGGTGGAGGGGGTCAAGGTGGATGTGTGGGAGACGGATTCGAAGGGGGTTTATGATGTGCAGTATGAGGGGTGGACGGGGGAGAAGGCGGACGGGCGGGCGGTGCTGAGGACGGATGCGGAGGGGAGGTTTTGGTATCGCGCGATTGTGCCGGTGCCGTATAGGATTCCGGAGGATGGGCCGGTGGGCAAGATGTGAGGATCTCTGTTATACTCATACGATCCCTGCAAATGAATCGGTGGTGAACTGGGAAGTGAATGGCAGAGCTGATGGAGGGATAGGTTAAAACTACTCGGGAGACATCCCTGGCGTCCGAGCCACATGCACTTCATGTTCGAGAAGCCGGGCTACGACCACCTCATCACGTATGTCCCCCCCCTTCTCCCCTCTCAATCCTCCCCTCAAACTAACCACCCCCTCCTCCAAACAGAGCCCTCTACCTCCGCGGCGACCCCTACGAAACCACCGACGCCGTCTTCGGCGTCAAGGAGTCCCTGATCGTCGACCTGGGCGTCGTGAGCGCCGAACAAGCGGCACAGTACGGCGTCGAGGAGGGGACCAAGCTGTTGACGTACGACTTCGTGCTCGTGTCGGAGGCGGAGACGAGGCGGTTGCGGGATGAGGAGGCGAGGAAGGCGATGAAGGCGCTGGGAAGGGATGATATGTTGATTATTGATGGGTTGCCGGTGCCGGATGTGGATTGAATTGGGGGTGAAGGGTTAAAGTTGCGAAGTGATGTTGGATTCGAGGGGTGGGTGAGTAAGAGGGGTTGTGTGTGGTAAGTGCATATAAAAAGGACGAATATGAGCGATCTGACACTCTATACGACTTCAAAGTTAACGATATATAGGTCAAAAATCGAGTTAGCTTTTTGTTTTACTTAGCTGACCATACTGTAACGCTATTCGATGCATTCTGTCACTTTCCTTCGAAAGAAACAATTGATGACAAGACGCAGACGCAGATGCAATCCCGCGATTCAAATTCCAATTCCAATGTCCCTCCAACGCCAATTCCAATGCAGCCAACCTGGTATCTCCAAAGCCATGAACGAGAACCAAAAGGAAAACCCCAAAACACCCGCAGTACAACTCACTCCGCACCCACCATAACACTCCTCACCCACTCACTAAAACCCCCCTCAACACTCTTACTAAACGCAACCCAAAACGCCATAACCTCACTCCTGGGCCTCTGACAACTCTCCACCAACGCCCTCACATCCACCCTCCTCAACCCCCCCACCCTCATCAACTGCACCACCCACTGAAGATCAATCCCGCCCGCACTCCCCGCCCCCTCCTCGCCAAAAAACCTCCCCCCCGTCCACTCCCTTTGAACCCGTCCCAGCACCTCAAACTCCTCCCTCCGTATCCCCCTCACGCCCTCCCACCCATCATCCTCCCCCACAGGCCTCCCCGCCACAACCCCCAACTCCAACTCCCGCACCTCCATCGAAGCGAGAAACGCACACATACCCTTCCACTCCGCGCGATCGAACTCCTTGGTATACGGCAGCGCTTTCTTGGTGATCTGCACGCGCGCGACGTGCGCTCTCGCCCAGGGGGTGAGGTCCGAGAAGAAGGGCACGAGGGCCTCGATGTTGGCGTGGAAGGCGAAGGTGTAGGAGGAGTAGAGGACTTTGGAGGCTTCGGCGTGGATCTGGCGGCACACGGGGAGGAGGGAGGGGATGGTGGAGCGGAGGTGGGAGGTGTAGGGGGAGAGGAGGACGCGGTAGGTTGTTGGGATTGTGGAGGTTTGGAAGGGTCCTGTGGGGGGACTGTTAGTCGTCTGGTTTGTTCGTGGACGTAAAGGACGAAACGACTCGCAAAGGAGAACGATGTCAAGAGAAAGTTCAGGAAAAGAAAGAAGGAAAAAAAAGGCAGATATCTTACGATCAAACGCGCTGGGATCCCACTCACCAGTCCTAACACGATACGTCGACCTTCGCCTCCACCTCGCACCCCCTCCCGCTCCTCCTCCCGCGCCTCCCCCGAGGAACGGATCGATGGTCCGCACCGTCAGCGTGAAAGGGTCGTTGTTCGTGTCGGACGAGTAGTAGGTGTGGTAGTCCGGCATCAGGTTGGCGACGCTGGAGGCGTGCGTCGAGGAGGGCTTGTCGGACGGGAGGAGCAGGTATTCGTAGATCATGAGGCGGATTTCAAGGGGGAGGAGGCGGAGGAAGGGGGAGGTTTGTTGTTGATGCATTGGTTCGACCATTGGGTTTTCCTTTTTCTGTTTGGTCTTTCTCGTACTGGGGTTTTGTGATGGTGTTGGATGTTGGATGTATGTACAGTGGAGATGGGAATCGAGGAATTGACGAAAACAGGATCTCAGGCAGTAAAATGTGCGAAAAGAGGGGGAATAAAGGCAAGTTGTTCAGCTGCGGCGCAGACTATATTAGGTTTTCTCGGGATGTCTGGATGAGGGACGAGGAAGTACTTTTGAGGCTTCGGAAAGGCCTAGCTCTTGCGCCAACACGACCTCGTATATTTGGAATGATAAGATCGATTTACGAGGCGAAAGGACGGGGAATTGAAACGGACGCTACGTAGGCTATTTAAGAATGGTTAGGAGAGTCGGTGAGGTATTATTCCCATTACGATGGATGAGTAGTGGGTGGTTGTGGTGGAGTGAGATGGATATACCCCATGGGCCATCAAGGTACCAGCTGAGCTGATAACCTACGCGGCGTCACAAATGAAAAATCCACCTACGCATCTTCACCATACAACTGTCGATGTCGTAATGATAACGCTATTCCACATGGGGCAAGGTACAGGCGAAAGAATAGCAAATACAAGTGGGGTTGTAAGGCTGCGTCTAACCCATCCTGGCAAGACCCAACCTACTAATTGGAATCTTCCGGTCTCTCAATCGTCCAGGAGGGAAACCAGAGCGGTGAATGTTCGATCCTTTACAGTATTTCTCCGCCACGGAACGGGAGACGAGTTTTTGATTCTCAAATACCTGCTCAGCTATTCATCATCCATTATCAAGGCTGATACTGGCGTCCCTTGGTAGAATCCCAACAACATGTACATACCTACTCAAGTAAACACAGTCCCTTGCCACCACCATTCACGCCCATCCAAATCCCATCTTTTCGCGTGCACCATTCCCTAGGTATCAAACAGCATATCACAAAGTCCTAAAGACCGAGAACCCTCCATACCCATAATCACCCCCTTAGCCCCCAACATTCGGCGAAAAGAGGGAATTCAATCGCGCGTAACGCGTACCTGCATCCCCAACATCTCGATTGACTTACCTCCCTTCCGAGCTCCCCGACAGGCAGGTCCGACTCCCCCAAAAAGGGCCCTTGAGCGTTAATACTAGAGTATCATCACCCATGGAAGAGAGCGGAACGGATAAACTATAGTTAGCAATACAAGTAATGCACCTCGGAGATCTCTCGTGTATCTGTCGAGACATGATGGCCACATGGCCAGGCTGGGTAGACAGATGCGATTCGCTTACGCTTCGCTTCGTTGGTGCGGCTCCCTGCCGGATGCTGTGTTTGCGAGAAGTGAAATACGAGCTTTTTTTTCGCAAGAGTTCCGGAGATCGGAAACTAAGGATTCGAGTGGATGACGTCGTTTTTTTCGTTGGTAGGGATTCACTCAAGTGCAATAGAGGTGGTAAGGCACACAGACGTCACTTCTCAGGAGATATCTACATGAAAACAAGGTTCGGCGAAAATCATGCATCGTCAATTCATCGTGCATTTCCTTTTTAAGTCCCAGCGTGTTTTTAAGAGATAAAGTATGCTGCTGCTGGTCGAGGGGGGGAGGTTTATTCTACCCTACCCTACACTGTAAATATACGAGCTTTGGGGAAAATATTCCGATCCGTATTCCCTCCTTCCTAGATTCATAATCCTCAGGTCGTTTTTGGCAACCTACTTCCCAATTGAGATGACGAGTTAACCCTTTCGTATTCTTTTGAGAGGGAACCCAGTCCATCCTCGTGTGGTCAGGAGTTGTTTATGCGAATTTGCAGGTCCTTTGACTATCCCAAGGAAGACACCAGGGGTCAGGGGGTTCATGATCATATCAAACAAAAACAGTCAAATGGAACATAAGGAAAAATATCCAGGGGTGGTGGGGTTGAAAATGTTCGAGAAGAAGACAAGAAGCACATTAAAAGGAGCAAGAGCAAGAGAGCGCATTTTTTGGGGGCGGTTCTGGGAACCCCTTCCTCGGTGCCCCTCCCCAGGATTTTGGGGAGAGGCCCGGGAAGATTAAACATTTGGTTGTTTTGTTGTTTGTTGTGGTTGTTGGTTGTTGTTCGTGGTTGGTAGGCGGAGATGGTAAGTAAGGAAAATAGTCAACTGCAAACACCCAGCGTGGCCGGACAAGTGCGCCAGAATCCCTTTACGATCGATAGATAAGTGACAGATGAGAGAAGGAGAGAGAGATAGTGAGATAGTGAGAGAGGATGCCAGAGAGGTGTAGAAGGAAAATCCCGAGACAAGAGAAAATGACAACCAAAAGAGAAAACCTTGGAGTTCCCAAATAATTCATCATAGTACAAGGCAGAGGCAATGCTAAAGTTGCTTTGCCGTTGGAACGTTAAAAGAAAACCCGCCTTCGCCCTATCGCTCATACAAAAGCATTGATGTTGAAGGATCCCACCAATGCTATATATTTATTCCCTACTCCTCGAGTCCCAAGAAAGTATTTAGTGCTGGCCACCGTAGTTACCGCCCCATCCTCCGCGACCGTAGCTGCCATAGTTTCCATAGCCGCTGAAGTTGCCATAGTTGCCGCCGTAGCCGCCTCCCTGGTGGCTACCAGCGCCCTGGTGACCGAGTCCACCGAGGCCACCATACTGATGACCCAAGTGGCTGGGGTATCCGCCGAAACCTTGCTGCTGGCCGGGGAGACCACCTTGACCACCCTGGCTGGGGGTGTTGTTGGTGGAAGATCCAGGACGGCCTTGCTGGGCTCCAAGTGCAGATGGGCTAGGTCCAGTAGCCTTGGGCTCTCCAAATGGCTTCAAAGAATCCTCAGTGCTGGCCTGCTGTCCAACCTGTTGCTGGCCATACGACGAGCTCTGGTTGGGGTATCCGGCTTGAGAACGTCCAAGTACATCAGGGAAACCTCCGTAACCACCAGCGGTGGCACCATGCTGGTTCTGCGAGGTTCCTGATGCCGATCTTCCAAATTCACCCAATCCTCCACCTAGTCCGCTCTCACGGCCTTGCACAGAGGTTGCTCCGAATCCACCGGCGTTAGCAGGGGACGAGGAGTGCTGGTTATCGTAGGATGCTTGGGGAGACATGCCATAGTGGTGAGGCTGTCCGTACATTCCCTTGTTGCCGAAACCGCCATAACCACCCTGACCGTACATGCCACCGAACTGGCTCATCCAAGCAGCATATTGCGGGGTGTTGTAGATGGGGTGGTTGTTGTATGGGTAACCACCAGTGTGTTGTCCAGGCTGATGTTGCTGAGGCATGTGCTGGCCTTGAGAAGCTGGTCCGCTAGGGTGCTGATTGCCTGCAGCAGGGTTAGGAGTGGTGTGTCCGCTGTTCTGAGCATCGTTGTAGCGACCTTGGGTCTGTTTGGTTGTTAGTAACGTTACAATGAGAAGAGAAAATGAATTGAAGTGTCACTTTCAACCAAAGAAAACATACCTGTTGCTGGCTGCCGGGGAAGGAAGAATCGGCACCAAATGCGCTGTTCGTGCGCTGTTGTGCTGAGCCGGCTTCTTGTTGGCTAGGGGTGCTCTGTTGGCCGTAACCGCCGTAGTAGTTTTGATAAGCAGAGCGTTGCTCTGCCGTAAGGTACTGTGATCCGAAGCTGTCTGGTGCAGACGAGAATCCGCCAGCCTGTGACTGGGGCTGGCTCTGCTGGCTCTGCTGCTGGTTATAGTCGTACTGGCTCTGGGGAGCTTGCTGACCAAAGGGATCGTATGGCTTTTGGGGTGGAGCGGAAGCATCGGCCTGGATGCCACTCTGGCCATAGCGACCGAATTGGTTGTAGTTTCCTTGCGGTCCTTGGTTTTGCACTGGCTGTGCTCCAAGTGGCTCGGAAGGCGATTGTTGCGAAATAGGTTGCTGTTGGGGAACAGGGGGCAATCCTGGAGCTTGCTTCGGCGTAGCAATGCTATCTTGGGGTTGGCTATCTGAGGCCGAGGGGCCCTGGCGAGGTGCTGGAGGCAATGCTGCACGAGGCTGGGCAACAGGCGAATGCTGAGGGGGTTGAGTCCTAGTCTCGGCGTCCTCCCTATCTTCGTCAACGTCAAGGTTGTCAGCGTCAGCTTCGCCATTCAAGCCCAAGCTGCCAAACTGAACAGCAGCCCTGTCGACGGCATGGTTACCGGGCAGGACGACTGCCTCCTGCTGTTCCAAAAGTCTCCTCTGGTAGCTGGCACTGCGGTGAGGGGTACCAGTGGCCTTGAGCGCAGTCGTTGCAAATCCTCCAATGGCAGGGCGGCCAATGGGTGCCTGAGAGGTGCTGAGGGGAGTAGCAACGCCAATGTCCCTCGAACTGGCAACAGTGCTGGCGGCTGTCTCCGTAGGTGGGGGATGCGACTCGTCCGGCAAATGCTCCACGTTATCCTTCGTCAGCTCATCCTTGGATGGAGTGAGTTCAACTTCTGGCACAGGCTCGTCTGCTGGCTTCTCGGGCGTTGCCACGGGTGGCTGTTCTGTTGTGACAGGAGGTTCTGCTGGTATTTCATCTGCCACGGGAGGAATCGGCAACTCTTCCGCTTCAACCGCCGCTTCTTGCGCTACGTCATGGGCAGCTGTCTCTGCAGGTACTGGGACTGGTTGTTCTTTGGGAGGTGCTGGCTGCGCCGCAGGCTTGGGGGGAGCTGGTGCTGGCTTGGGGGTAGCGAACATGCTAGCCCACGTCTTCTTCGGTGGTGCAGCAGGAGCGGGTGCAGCCTTCGGGACCTCAGGTTCGGCGGGAGCAGCAGCAGCACTCTGGTCGTTATCTTTTCCTTCAGATATACCCCAAGCATCGGCTGTAGAAACAGAGGTTGCGCCGCCGCCGGTGCGGGCTCCATTCGTTGCTCCTCCCCGAGCTCCACCACGGAATCCACCGCGGCCACGGTCAGTACCACGGCTGCGACCACCACGAACGCTGTCGCCGCCACGTCGATCTCCACGGATACCGCGCTGCGAAGAAGCAGCATCTGCTGGGGCAGGAGCCTCCTTCACTTTCGAGCGCGCCCGATCTTTGGTCTTCTTCACTTCAGCGAACTGGGAAACATTACCTAGCACGCAGCTCGTTAGCGAATATGTCAATGGCAAACGCGATGCAAAATACTCGACATTGCACCTGGCCCACAGCGTTAGATGGGGGAGATGGCAGACTTACCCTCACTGATTTTTTCGATCGTAGCTGAGAGGTCGCCGTCAGATTCTTCAATGGCAAGGACGAGATCGGCATCGGTCCAGTCTGGGAACACCTCCTTGAGTGTAGACAACTGCGATTGGTAACGGCGCTTGAGCTCGCCGAGTTCGCCTTCATTTGCAGATGTATCGACTGATGAAAGGTCGCCGTTGGCTTGTTTGCTTGATCGTGGGCCTCGAGATCCAAGTCCACCGCGACCGCCGCCGCGGGTCGTGGTCCTGCCGCGGACAGGCCGAGATTGTATGTCAGACATGTGTGTGTTTGGTTTTGTGATGTGAGTAATAAGTCGCTAGGACTTGTGGGGGTGGGAAAGGTGGGTGGTGGTGAGAGTGCAGGTGTGAAGATGACGAGGTCAGGGAGGTAAAGTCGAGGTTGCTAAATGGGCAAGCAAACGGCTTGGCGCTCTGACGAGAGTGCTCAAAGGCCTTGGATTGGCGGTTCGTCGCGCTCGAAGGGATTCGCTGGGTTTGTGTGGTTGGGCTGAGTTCGATGAAGGTTTGGGGGTTGCAAGACGAGAGAGCAAGAAGGCGGGTGCACTTCACTCTCCAGCTAGGTAAGGTTGTGAGCGGCAGGTGGGTCACGTGAGTCAACCCGCCCCAAGTTTAGAACGCTTTTGTGTGAGCCTGTGAGGTAAGGGCAGCTGGGTGGGCAGGTGAGAGGCCAGGGCTGGTAAGTGGGCTGGCGACCTTTACCCGTATTCTCGTACTCGGACCTCTCTCGTCTCGTCTCGTCAGTCGGATCATCAATCAACGACGACCTGTCACGGCCACACCATCCCCCTCATATACGCCCACATCGAATCGCAGCACATCCACCGAGGAATACGTTACATTCTCGTGCAGAATACAGCCCAACATGCAGTCCCCCGCTGCGGCACGGAGGGTCTTCAGCATGCTGGCATCCAAGATCCACCCGCAACTCCCGCTGTCTCCTCGCGAAAGCCAGCAACTCCTCAATCTTCTTACCACCTCCTTCCGAGCCCATCTCGACCGTGAGCACCCAGTGAGTCGCTCAGAAGGCGGTCAGAACCAGAAGTTGCTCCCAGCTCCCCCTCGAGGCTTGCGGAATGCGCCATCGAGTCATCCTGTTACGTCGCAGGGCTCTACTCATGAACACATCGACTCGATCCTTTCCAATCCGTTGTTTGCTTCCAGGCCACGAAGGACATCGGATTCCAATATTAGCGATGCACGAGAAGTGCTCCAAGACCCATTGGGCTGGTTCATGGGCCTGGTAGCCATGGGAAATGCCGACATAGCCAAGGCAGATTTATGCCTGTCTATTCTCTACAAAGAACCGCTGGACTTGAGGAATTTCAACTCGACACATCCAGCTGCCATATCACGACCGGGGACAAAGATCGCGGAATGGTTGTGGGCTAGTGGGTCAGATAATTCATTGGAATTCTTCAGCAACACCCAACTCGTACGCCGTTTAGTACCACTCCTTATTGCTGAGGGCCAATCCTTCCGATTGTGGCAATGGCTTGAATTTGTTCCTGCACGCGATGTCTCATATACCAAAGAACAGGAGAAAATAGTAGCCATCTTCAAGCACATTATTACGAAGAACCTAATGGCTGCCACAATCGTCCAAAACCGTGGACTTGACGAAGCATTCATGGTCTTTGCGCGAGCATTCAGAATTTTATCGACATCAGAACAAGCCCACCAAGGACGCATCCTGCGTCGTGCAGGATCTATGCTCACAGATTACATTATTGCCAACCCATCCTTACCCACGACAACTGCATTCTACGAATCATTCATGGAGTCATCTAAGACATGGGGTGGAGTCTGGTCACGAGGGATCAACGCTAGTTTATGGCTCTTCCATCCCTCCAAGCGCAGCGCACAACCCGGTTTGGAATTCTTAAAAGACCCAGCGGGAGCCACATTGCGCATGAAGAAGGCCACGAAGGAAAGAAGAGACTTCCTGGTGCAGCTTTGCCTAGGAGTCGCACGACAGTTACTCGCAGACAAGAACTACCAGGACGCCCAATTCGTCCTGCACTTCTCCCGGGAGCACTTCCCCGAACTTCTTGGCGCCACAGGCGAGCATGCAGCGGTCCGAAAGCGAGAGGGCGCACGACAGGCACTCGAAGAGCGGAAACGCAAGGAAACGGAGAATCTGGCAATGTTGGATCGAGTGCTTCCTACATGAGCCCTACGTCAACCTCCCCGGCGTTCAATCGCAATAATGGGCAATTTCTTTGTATATAGCTTCATGACATCACGAATATACCCCACAAACATTTTAAACTTCGAAAAGTCTGACCGAAAGTACTTCCTAACTCTCGCACTTCTTCTAAGTCCTCTTAGTCGGTGATTGTCATCACGCATTTCCCGATTTGGCTCAGGGTCCTCCTTAGTCACGATCGATCTCCAACTCTGGCACTACTACGTAATATGAAGTCACAGGCAAGATCGAAAGATTGGTAATGATGTGTGTGTGAACGTTTGGAAATGAACTACCTTTTTCTAGTGCAAGAAAATGATGTAGTTGTGAGATATCATTGCAGATGACGATGCTATATGCTTTTGTTCGCAGATGCTCAGAAGCTATTGACATGTGAGATACATGAAAAAACGAGACGACAGGATATAATGTATGAGTTTTCTGGATAACAATCCCCAGCTCATATTTACAAAAGAAAATAAAAGAAATACAATCAAAACGCCAGTTCTATGCATAGATAATTCGTGAAAAGCCTTTCATGTGCTGCAGCAATTGCCCCGAAGAGAAGGCGTCTACTCGACAGCAGAGACGTCGTGGTGGAGGACGGGGTTGATCTTCTCGTCGAACTCGAACTTGAAGTCCTGGCCGAGCTCCTTCTTCATGGCGGTGGTGACGGCCTCGAGGACGTTCTTGAAGACGCCGAAGCTGGCGGGGTTCTCCTCGTCGTTGTCGCCGCCCTGGAAGACACCGGTGCGGACGAGGCAGGTGTTCCAGCCGTACATGTTGCCGCCGACGATGTCGGATGCGGGGTTGTCGCCGATCATGTAGATGTTCTTGGGCAGCTTCTCGTCGTTGTGGATCTGCTCCATCCAGCTGGCGATGACCTCGTCGGCATACTTGTAGGTGGCCAGCTCGGGCTTTCCGTAGACGACACGCTCGAGGTCGGCACCGGTGATGGCCTTGTACATGGCCTCGAGACCGATGCGGAAGGTTCCCTGGCTCATGCGGGGAATGGGGTGCTCGGTGGGGCACAACATGTCACCCTGGGAGAAGTAGATGGGGATGCGCTGGGAGACGGGGTCCTTGGCGACGGTGCCGAGACGGCCGTCCTCGCTGCGGAGGAGATCCATGATGATTTGCATATCGGTTGCGTAGTCGCGGCTGTCAGAGAAGACCATGATGGCTTCGATGTTGGTCTTGGAGAAGTCGCGGGGGCGGGAGGTGGCACGCTCCTCCTCAGTGAAGACGCGGTAGGGTGCGATGGTAGGGTCCCAGGCGACGATGTCGTTGGGGACAACGATGTCCTGGAAGCCGTATTGCTCAGCGACCTCACGGCACTTGTAGCCCTCACCACCAACGACGAGGACGGTCTTGTAGTACTCGGACAAAGCCCGCATGGGAGTGTGGGACTGGATGAATTGGTCGGTGGAGATGGGATTCTTCAGGATGCCAGAGAGCTGCTGCACGCGAGGCTCCTCGGGCTTTCCGGATCCGTTGGTGAGGAAGATGTGGGGGATCTTGATACCGAGCTGGTTGTCACCGTTCAAGATCTCAAGGACACGCTTGCCCTCTGGGATGAGTCGGTCTCCGTGAACGAGCACACCGTCAATATCGAAGACGAAGGCCATATCCTTGGCAGCACGAACAGTCTCGTGGGCGAGATCCTGAACTTGGGCGGCGAGGATGTCACGGGATGGTTGGATCGGTGGCATGCCAGGACGAGCAGGCTTGCCATCAGGGTAGTGGACGGAGGACAACCTTGACTGCCTCTTGGAGCGGGGGATGGGGAGGGAAACTCCAAAGGAGTTTCTTGATCCTCGACGCTCCTTCATTGATGGGGAGAGGGAAAGGTTGTGCATGTATTGTTGAGCATCAGAGATAGATGATCGTGTAGCGGGGACTTCAATGGCATTGTGAGTACCATTAGCATCAGAGGGAATGCTCAAAGTAGCTTGAGAGTCTCTGTGCTGGGTAGCCTGAGCGGCGGGCACGCCGAAGTCAGAGTCCTCGAAGGCAGGCATGATGATAAGATGCGTCTGCTCAAAACGAATTTAGAAAAGTCTGGGATTTATGAATGTGAAGATAGAGACTTGATGAGTTATAGTATGATGATAGATGTTTGAGTTGGAGTTGAACAGGATGATGATTGAGAAGTGGGTTCAGGGTCCTCTTGAATATATACCATTCTCCACAGTCCTTACTCCGCAGTGATGCTCTCTATCATGAGCATAATAATCTCAAAGGACAGAGCCTTCACAGAGCCTTCCCTATGCCGCCCTATCCCGTTCCTCTCCGAGTCCCAAAACACTGGACACTGATAGGGATCCACCACTCAACGTAGACGACATCATCGAGCACATGCAATACGAAAACGCCGCTGGATTAGTTAGCACGGGTGGCACCGAAGTACAGGCTGTGAGAGCGTGTCCGGCATGTGGTTATGCCGTCATAAGCGTGGTAGACACAACGTGTATCAAAGGTGTGATCCACAAACTGTAGTTTGGAGAGCTATGAGTGGCGAAGGGTCCAGAAGATTTGGCCGAGAATGGTTGCGAGTGAGGATTTCGTTACAAGGCTCATTGCTTGTATCCACAAGCTCCGCCGAGATTAAACAGCGAGGGATGCGATAGGCCGATCAACAGGGAAAGGATGGGCAGATTGATGGACGGTTGTCCCTTCATAATAAGGGTTTTCCTGCAGAACTCCTACCGTTGGTTGGCAGGGTCACCGAGTGGTAGGCGGAGGCGTTAGCCAACCATGATGGCATTTGACATGATTGTGGCATTCTGAATGGTGAGGGAGAGTGACGTTAGAAAATATGGGTCCACCATAGATGAAAGGAAGTATCCGAACGTCACTGTTAACGGTTTAGTCGCGAGTTAGCGCTTCGCCTGGTCAGGTTTTAGTTCGCCGAACTTCCCCACCTTTATCGGCTTCTGGTTGCGGCTCTGTTCCCAATCGGGCTTGGTTCCCTCTTTTTTGATCCATCTCGTCTAACAAATTCCCTACTCTCTCACTGCTCTTCACCAAATCATAGCTTGGCCCAGGGGCCCGCCCGAAGAATATCCCACTTCAAATCTCCATTGTTGAGCTCCATTCGTTTCCCTTCTAGAGTTATTCTTGGTGTCCGTCTCTCGAGGTGTGGAGGTCCAGCACACCAAACACTCCACCCTGATGTCATCCGCGGAGATCTATATCGACCAGCGGTGTGAAACTTCCTAAGTTGTTGAGACAGAAATTGTGGATTTTCACCGGATCCGATCCGACAGTCTCTGTGACGAAATTTTTCCAATCTCTTGGAGAGAGTATAGCAACATTATCGGTGTTTGTCGTTACGAGGATCGAATCGGACTTATCCTTCGAGAATTAAAAATTGACTTTTGCCTCTTTTCGTCATAATCAGTCCAGCCTGTATATTATCAGCAATAACTCACGTCTCCTTTCATACCTCCTTCATACCTACTCACTCTACTCTGTGCTTTCATCACGTTGCTTTCCTTATCTATCTCTTATCTCATACCAACATCCCACCAACATGGCAGCCTCCACACCCCTCGCCAATCAGAAGACCTATACCCTTAACAATGGTGTTGTAATTCCCGCTGTCGGTTTCGGAACCTTCGCCAACGAGGGTGCAAAGGGCGAGACGTACCAGGCCGTCACCAAGGCCCTCGAGGTTGGATACCGCCACCTCGACTGTGCATGGTTTTACCAGAACGAAGATGAAGTCGGTGATGCCGTCCGCGATTTCCTCAAGGCCAACCCTAGCGTGAAGCGCAGCGATCTGTTCATCTGCACGAAAGTCTGGCAACATCTCCACGAGCCCGATGAGGTGAAATGGTCGTTCCAGAGCTCGCTTGACAAGCTCAAGATGGACTACATTGACCTCTTCCTCGTCCACTGGCCCATCGCCGCCGTCAGCGACGACAACCACATGCCCAAGATCGGCGAGGACGGCAAATACATCATCAAGAAGGACCTCACCGAAAACCCTGAGCCAACATGGCGCGCCATGGAGGAGATCTACCGCTCTGGCAAGGCCCGCGCGATCGGTGTTTCAAACTGGACCGTTGCAGGACTGAAGCAGCTCTTCAGCTTCGCAGAGGTCAAGCCCGCCGTTAACCAGATCGAAATTCACCCCTTCCTTCCCAATTCCGAGCTCGTCGACTTCTGCCTTCAGAACCACGTCGTCCCTGCAGCCTACTCTCCTCTTGGATCTCAAAATCAGATCCCCAGCACTGGCGAGAAGGTCCGAACAAACCCAGTCCTCAACAAGGTCGCCGAGCGCAGCGGTTTCGACCTCGCTCAGGTCCTCCTCGCCTGGGGTTTGAGGAGAGGGTACGTGGTGCTGCCTAAGAGCTCCACTCCCAAGCGTATCGAGAGCAATTGGCAGATTCCTGAGCTGAGCCAGGAGGACTTCGAGGCCATCGAGGAGGTTGCACGAGGACGACACACTCGTTTCGTCAACATGAAGGACACTTTCGGTTACAATGTCTGGCCCGAGGAGGATTAGAGTACTCATTGATTGAGTAGAGCATAAAGCGGTAAACAACAGGCGCGAGCTTTAGAAAGTATCGCTCTTTCGTCGCTACTTGCTGGCAAGCTCACCAAGACGAATGGCGGTTTTGTTGAAAAGTTATGATACCAAGGAGCTGTATTTTTAGTATTTGCAGACCTACTTCCCACGATGAATGACACTATATCTTATCATTGAGCCATGATTTCCTAAGCATGCGTATCGTTGAAATGTTGATCCTCGGTCCACACGTGGTGAACTACTCGTAGCGGTTTACCCCGCCCCCTCATTTTCACATTATCGTGGGGTTTGGGTGTGTATCGTGAGACCTCAGAGTATACCAGAATTGTCATTTTATATCATACAATAGGCAAAAAAGGCTGCATGTGCAATCTAGGCGGCGCTTACATGACCACAGAGAAGGTATGTAGATACATAGAAGGATTCAGGGGGAAAGTGGTTTTGGGCAGGTAAGGATCTTGGATTCTCAAGGAAGGCAGGCGCTCGTCCTCGCCCTGGGTTATCGATATTGCAAATCAAGGTTAGCGCCTTAGCAAAGTAGATCGCGACATCGATGTGAATCCTTCGATTCATTTCGTTAGTTACTTCCTGTTCCTATTCAATTCATCAATCATTATAACACTCATTATGCTATCCAACACGCGCGTCGCGGCCTTTAAACACCTCGATTAAATGCATCCGCTAAAAAGCTCTGCGACTAGCAGTCAATCCCACAGCGTCCCCTTTTCCAATCTCCCGGGATGCCCGCTAACACAGTTGTATGGGGTTACCTGGTGAACACCACCAGCTCGCGGCAGGGTCATTGGCCTTCAAAATCTCTTTCTTGACATGGCCCATCCTCGACAGGTCCTGTTTTTCGGTATCGCGGGAGACCCTGTCCAGTCGGGGCATGCTCAGCTTGCCTTCCGCCGTACACCGACGCGTTTCGAACCCCTAACAGCGTATAACCACAGCTCGTGCTCGGTACGCATCTATGAACGCAATGAAAAGATACTGGGATTGGACCACGTCTAAAAGCCACTCGGTAAGGAAAGCCCTCGGGAGTAGATCCATCGCGATGTCCGTGGGGTCTCTGTAAGGCGAAATCGCATGGACTGGACGGCGGTACCCTTTGAGGCGTTCTTTTCACAAGACAATTTCTACCTGCATGCATTTCCCTACACAAAAAAGGCAGGTAGGGTTACTTCCAGCTCTCCACCCAACAAGATGTACATGTACATGCCGCGCGTGCATCGAAGAGGCTGTTGGGGGACAACAACCGGCTACCGCATTTGCTCGGAAGCTTGGTGAACGCATTCGATTGGAGGGCTTCAACGACGGCGGATCGTCAACAGGGGTCGCTTGGGAAACCGAGCGAATCGAAGCCAATCGTATTGCATGAATCGTATGCTTAATTCCATCCTGAAAGTGTACTGAGGCACTCCCTACCTATGTTCGAAAACTTGAGCACCTAAAAGTTTGATTAGCACAATACAAACTGCTACGAAAGCGTCGTACGAAGCGTTGTTGTGGGACCTGTTCTTCATGCAGGTACCGTTGTCGCCTGCCTGATCCAGATACCCGTAGCAAATTTCCGCGACGTTGGCTGGTATAGCCGCTTCGAATGTCTCTTTTCTCACTGTATGAACCCGTCCAGTACGACGACTTAAAACCAGCCTTCGTGACGCTATCATAGCCAAGTGGCTTGTTAGCATGGCGCCGTCGCTGTTACGACAAATCACGGCCAAACATCCGTCCTATCATCACAATGTTTATGCTGTCTACGCTCTCTGTCAAAATTATCCGGGCTGCCCTAGTCTTGCAGCATGATTCGTTAGGTGGCTTAATATGTTGAACATGATTGCTTGCAGATCGCCTAGGTCTGATGTAAAGTCGATCAAGTGGCTGGAGTACTCACTATTGCATCCCGTCACTGACGAAACCCTGTAGGGCAGGCCAGGAGCAACCCAGCACTTAGATATTTGCCGCTCGCGGGAAATTCCAAGAGGCCCGCCTGGCTAGGGACTTGGTGTCTCACAGAGTTCTCCTTAACTTACGGATTCCCGCTGGAGTGGTATCGCGATTCCTCTGATACATTAGTTTGCAGGATAGTGTCTGTTTCCCTCTGCGCCAGTACTTGCGACCTGAAAGCCTCGCGGCCATGGTCCAACAATGGAGTCGCGAATCCATATTCGCGCGAAGCACCTTCAGAGAGTAAGTTGAAAACCAAGACATGAGTGCGATGATGTGTTGGAATACTTGCTCTGCACCTGTGAGAACGTGCTAATGTTATATCGCGTTGCCCAGTTCAAACGAAACGCGACCACTCACTGCCAGCGCAGCGGATAATCGCAAATTCTTTCCAACAAGACCATTGCACCCTCAATTATCTAGCCACTCTTTTCATCCACAAGACCCTTCTCGGCCGACTGTTCCTGCTTTCGCACTGCCCGTTATCGATTACCATGTTCCGCATCTCACGCAGACCCCTTGGGAACTTGAGCGCAGCAGAAGGAATTCATTATGGCGTCGGTCGAAGCCAGCACCTATGTTTCCAGCAGCAGTATTCAAAAATCTACCGAGGGAGGTCTATGATGCCATTATAGCACAGCTTGAACTGTTACGAGTCGCGCATGATTATCGCTGTCCCTCATGTTACTTGAAGGATCTCTACAGCTTATCACTGACAAGCCGCGCCTGGGACAGGGCCGCCACTGCAGTAATGTATGTCATTCATTATCTTATCTGTTTCTATGTTTGTCATTGGCTAACGAGCAATAAAGGTACTCGAGAGTTTGGGTTTCGACAAACGAGGAGCACCCGAAATTGCCAAAACTCAAGATCAAAGGAGCAGCACGTCTCAAACTCCTCAGGCGGACACTTCGAGAGCGACGTGGCCTATCAGCACTTGTTCGCGAGCTCCATCTGTCGGAATTTCAATGGCTATATCAATCGGCTAGCATCGACCGCGAGGAAATCGTCAATTTGGTCGCCTCACTTGTATACGCATGTCCAAACCTGGAGCGCATAGTAGGATTCCATGCACCATACTCTCCCTCCTTCGACAGGCTGTCACAAGCCTTATCGACGCGAAAAAATATGAAAGAGCGCATTTGGGTCCTTTCTGGTGTCGACGATGATGAATCTGATGAAGAGGAGGATATTACACAACATTATTACCATGCAGCATGTGATCCCACTGAGCGGTTCCTCGAACTGAACTCACAGTACAGAAAATTGACGACATTGGTTCTGCATCAGGGCCAGCTACGTCCTGACATTTCTCCAACGTTCCGTGCCATTGTTGGCACTTGTCGACAACTCCCTGCCTTGCGCCACCTTACTCTCTCTGGACTACCGGCAGCTACGTTTTCCAATTTGGCCCTGAACTCTCTCCCTCCATACTTAGAGTCTCTACGATTGGAGAACCTACCAGGTATTAGCGACAAAGGGTTGGTTCGACTAAGCACTTCATCGAGTCGCCTTTCACTGCAAAACCTTTCACTTATCAATCTTGAGATCGCCAACCTAACGACCATTTCCGGCATCTTGTGCGAAAGATTTCCCCAATTGCGGAACTTTACATTTTCCCAATATAGAAGTTTATATCTACCATCAAACTTGGAACTGCCTTTTCTTCGATCAAAGACAGTATCCTACATCCACTGGGAGATCCGCTCCCAAGCCAGTCCTCTGCCTACCAATCTTCCATCAATCACAAGTCGAGAGACATTGCCCCAATTTCCTTTCGGCAATGCGGAACCTTTATGCTGTCTGGCAACGTCACTTCTAGCAGCAAGTATTAGGAACGGTCTGTTCCCATCTCTTCGCAACATTCGCATTCCACATGATCCCCAGGGTCGCGTTCAGGAGACATGTAAACCGCTAGCTACAGCTGTTCTACCTACAGATCTCGACCCGTTCAACGCGACGAATCGACGCTCAGTCATCACTGCTGAGCAAGAACAACCCAACCTCGCCCACCTGAAGTCCAAGGAGCGAGCGGATTCTGCCAAATCCTTCCCAGCGATTCTGGAAGCTGCATTCAAGGACCACAAGAAATCATCCATCTCGTCCATCCCCTCAACCACCGTCAGCAGTAACACGATAACCTCCAACAGCGCCCGCCCTATATTGCCCATCCATTCCCGACTCGCAGCTCAAGCCCGTATTGTCGCAGCCCGTCGCCAGCCCACCGTCACTATCCAAGTCACTGACCCAGCGGGGACGACAAGGGTCAGCAATTCAACATCTGGCTTCATGGGAAAGCTTGGATCGAACATCAACTACGATCTGCTCCCAGATCGCGCTAGACTTTGTACCGAGCCATTCGGCGATGCTTTCGAAGACGACGACGACGAAAGTGAGGGGAAGAATGCATGGCTCACTGTTGTCAGAGATCTCGCAGGCGGAGATCGAGATTTGGCGGGTCGATCACATTTTGTAGCCGCGCCATGTGGTCACATTTTACACTCCAGCAAGAGCACGTTGACCGCTGAGGATCTCTTTTAGTTGATATCTCTCCCTTGACTCATTCTTTCGACTCAGACGATTCTCCTTTCCCATCTTAACCAAACAATTCTTCACGAGTTTCGGCACGACTTCACTATTTCAACGGTTTACCTCATATACCATTTCATTTCGGCGCCACATATTTTCCATTCACAACCAACAACACACCAGTCACAACCATCCTTGACGTTACGAGATCTCCCCACACGCCGCCTCCTCCTCTTTATCCACCAAGGATCATCATTTTCACTTTTGCACCATACGACTCTAACACACTTTAATACCTTGCATATCACCATAAAAACGACGCCGTTACATAATGTCACTCTTCCCCTTATGTCTAATACCCCCATCTTATCGCGAGAATGGCGCGTTGACGTTTTCCGTCTTTAAAAGAAACGCATGAATGTTTTCCTTCCTACTTCGATATCCCATCATGTATGCCTTTCTAATATCCCCACTACGTGCCGAGAACCACACCGTAGAGAGAAAAAATTACTGTTTTGCATCTTGAGTCTTCCCTACATAAGAATACAAATAAACTAGTGACGACATTATTCTTTAGCTATCCTATTATCCTAGCAAGCCCTGAAATCTGAAAATACTGTTGCGCTGCGAACTCTATTAACTGTGCTAGATAGTTTACAGTATTAAAACATAGTCGGCAGAGGATGGATTATTAATTATATCAACAGGAATGTCTCTAGCCCCGCATAGCCAAGCATGCTGCAGCATCCGGGTCGAGAAGTCAAGTAATAAGCATTCACTTTCGCTGTCTCTATTCTCCACCTTAACCTTCTCACTTTAGTGGCCGGTAGTTGCAACTATGAGTTCGCTGTTGCTTACAACACCACCCAATACTTCACCGCCGCTTCTGCGACTCCCGTCTGAGTTGCACTTGGCAATCATCTCGTTTCTCCCAGATCTCAAGGACGCCAAAGGCGAGCATGATCTAGCACTTCTCCAACTTCGCCGAACAAATCGTTACTTTCGCAACCTTGTACCTCCCCCTACCCACAACGATCTTCTCTCTCTCGAGTTAGCTTTGTGCAAGTACTCAGTATACGCCTGTAAATTCTGTCTTCGTCTCCAGCCAAAGACAAAGTTTGCTTATGCTATGCTCAAAGGCAAAACAGGAGTCAATGGCAAAGCACGGGATAGAAGATTTTGTGCAGAGTGCGGATTCGATACTACAGAGGTCGGGCAAAGTCAGCGGTATTGCCCTGGTACAAAAGCATGTGTCAACGGAGTCAATTGGATATGGTGCAAGCGTTGCAAGATCGTAAAAAAAGGGGAAGAGGCGACTTCAGTGTGTGTAGGGTTATGTAAGGAGTGCTGTAGATGCAGTTTGGAATATGGCAGTCCATTACATCTGAGGGCTCTAACACCACTACGAACAAGTAGTAGGCCGCCAGAAGCGAGCTCGGGGCGCATTCGCTTAAACACTAGCGATGAAGATAGCGATGGGGATGATAAGATTGACGAGTATGATTTTTGGGAAGAACAGTTTCAGCTTGTGCAGCAGGAAGACGATGATTGGCGTGCGCTGTAGGGACTTTCTAGCCCATCGAGTACTCCATAGAGGTGTGCTGTCACGAACGAAAAGGGGGGAAAATAAGAGGCAAATTGAAAGAGCATGGACGGAACGAGCGACAGCACGGTCAACGACACGCTTTTCGGCATCGGAGGCCGATGTGCAAGCAGAGCTCCAGTAGGTATGCGCGTTGCAAAAATCCTATATCCACGCGGGTTCAACACGTTCCAAGCTTCCAGAAGAAAGGGTCGACATTAGTTTGCCTATTTTGCATCTCTATGTGTAGCAAACACTGGCTCCTTTGTCGTGCCCCCTCATTGTTGGACTGTAGGTACATGATACTTGGCACGTTGCTGGGCAAGCAGCGCTCATCTTAAGCATAGAATAGTAATAACAAAAGATAAGAAGTTAAATATCTTTAGTAGAAGGAAGGGGCAGCATAAGAACCTTTTAAGTAGAGTTATTAATAAGGTTAAGAGGAGGGAACGAAATTAGACTAAGGATCTGCTATTGCCTGGTAGCTAATAGATTACCGAAGCCTCCTGGCGTGAACTGGGCAAAGGGACTTGAGAAACGGTGTCTAGAAATTATAGCAATAAAGAGCAGACCGCAAGACTGGAATCGATATAACATCTATGATCAAGCTGTACGCTGGTTTGAGATTATGGCAAAGGAACTAGAGAATCTGGCTCTTTAACTAGAGAATGTCTATAACATGGATGAGACTGGGATTATGCTAAGCATGCTAAGCTCCATCAAAGTGCTCTTATACTGAAGATAAAGACTTTCCTTTCTCTTTCTCTCCAAATAGGTAGAGGGGGAAGTCCATAGCCGTGCCTGAAACGATGGAAAATAATAACAACAAGAAGAAAAGGGACAAAGAATTGGCAAAGCATAATGATGACATCGTTATGCCTACGGTCCGCCTGCCGTATGTCTCGGTGAGTGTGGGTGCTCTGTTGTTTGAACTAATGATTGTGGGCTGAGGATAGAGGGTTAACGGGTTGGCATGTGTGTTTGTTTCTGTGATGGGAGAAGAGTGTGAGAGGGAAAAATTGCTTGGGGGCTTGGAGGAAGTTGACATTGTGCAGTTCCCATGTCATTGAGACTTGTTGAATCACAGTTGCAACGAAAACAATGCTCGAACGACAAACAGCGTATCATTCTGATAGTTAATAGGTTTTTACTCTAATAAGTGTGAACTACCGATCAATCTTTGATCTCCGTTCTCCTGATCCCTCTTTCCTGGATCTTTGCGACGAGTTTCCCAAATTGTCTCGTCGCTGTTGTGCCCCCCCTTCCCGCCAAACCGCCTTTTCCCAATTTTGATGTGAATCTCTCTCCATTCTTTCCTGTGAGTCTGACTCGGGGGTGATGATGATGATGTAAAACCAACCAAGTAACCAAACCGCACCGTTGATGATAAATCTATTGAATGAAATGATAAAACAGAACCAAAAAAGGACCGAAGACCCAAAAGCATGTGTAAGAGGAATGAATAAGATGTGTTGATAACGCCGAAATGGGATAAGCCTGTGAAGGTTTCTTTCTGAGGTATTTAATGAACAAAAAAACTCCACCCATGCAAAAATGCGACTTTCGTTGAGGAAATAAGAGGTATTCCAGGCAGAATTCTCATGCAACCACGGGAAGCATATTCCGGTGAGGGCGTGAGGCTGTGGAGTTGGAGCGGGTCTAGGTAACTCTCATGCTGACTTCTACGCAGCCGGAACCCTTGACTTGTCGCCGCCGCGTTCAATCCAGGCAGGCTCAATGATTGCGTCCAGCGAGGCGTGGATGATTTTGTATGCAGTGCGAATGGTGCCGTCGGACACATCGACCACGTCGCCGATCTGCTTTGGATTGCGTGGTTGGCCCATGAAATGTGCGATGAGGTAGATGCAGGCGCCAGTGATGGAGAGGGGTGAACGTCCTGCGGCCACGCCAAGGCGAGTGACTTTTGCTGCGGCTTCCTGCGCCACAATGCTGGTCTGCTGCGAAAGACCCAGCTTATTGCAAGCACGCCCAATAAGCGCTGATGCCTCGGTCGACGCAGTTTGCTTGAACGAAGACGAGCTCATGATGGCGCCGTTGCCAGCAGTCTTGGGGCCCTTCTCGGTCTGGAGCTCCTTGGAAAGGTAGGATTCCAGGGTCTTGAAGGTACGTCCAATCTCTTTCTTGGAGACACTTGTCAACTTGAAGATCTCTCTGAAGGATCGAGGGACTTCGTGTTGTCGGCAGGCAATCAAAATACAGCCCGCAATGATCGCATCTTGCGACTTGCCCTTGAAGATCTTCTGGTCATCCGCCTTCTTGTATAGCAGTTTTGTGGTGTCTGCAACCACCTTGGGGATATTGGCACTCTCACAGAGCGTGCTGATCTGGTTGTATGCGGCTTGCAGATTCTTGTTCGACTTGTCAAGGTTGCTCTTGTTCTGCGCGCGAGACAGTTCCCGAACCCGCAGGCCGCCGTCACCGAAACCAATCTCAGTATGCAGCTGGGAGCCGTTCAGAAGAGGGTTGGCAGCGTCTCCGATACGAGAAGGGTCATCGTTGCCCTGGTCGTCGTTCGAGAAGGTTCGCCACTCTTCATTCACAGTTAGCATATGGTCATTGCAAAGATTTGGGTATGTGCAGAGGCGGTAAGTATCTTACCACTCCTCGTATCTATTGTGCGGTCTGCCAGTACTCTACCACACGAGCCACAGACGGTGTCGCCGTTGGAGAACTCCTCTACTAGGTTGGGCGGGTTTTCCCTGCAATCGGGGCATATCATCAAGACATTCAAATCCTCGCGCCACTCCTCTTCCTGTGGCTGTCGAGGAGTCTCCTCCACAATGACCTCTCCTGGAGAGAGCTGACGGCCGTCAGCGGCGAAGCCTGGAGCATAGGCCATCATTGTTTGTATGGGAGAGTCACGAGCGAGCGGAGTTAAGTATCGATGAGATTCGGGCTGTAGTCAAATGAAGGCTAAGTTTGTAGATTTCTTTTTGATAGCGAGCGTGATTCAAGCTGGGTCAAGTGATGCGCAAAGTGCGCGAGTGAAGCTGTGACTGATGGTGAAGTCGAGGCTTCAAAGAGCGAGTAAGAAGGGTGCTCTGGATTACTGCGCTCTCTACCGAGCGGTCCTCGACACGGTATGCGGTATATATATTCTAAAGATCGTCGGAGATAGTGACTATGGCGATGAATTGTCGTCTTCTAGTAACGAGAGTGAGTCGTGGGTTGGTGTCGGGTTTGATGGTGATGTCGAGGCAGAGGAGGACAGAAGGGCAGCCTAAGTAGAGCGAAAGGATGGAGGCCGGTCGTTGGGAGCGCACGTGACCTGCTAGATTCATTCGGTCGAAGGAAACCTATGGCGGATGACTAAGCCCTGCTCAGGCAGAGAGCAGCAGCCGAGAAAGGTGCAACTTCGACTTTTCCGAAGACCAACAGCTCCCATCACCGACAGCTCCCCCGCCTCCAAATCCAACACAATGCTTGCGCAATCCATCAGGGCTTCGGTACGTGGGATCCAATTCGATCCAAAGATGTGACTCCCTGACCAGAAAGCAGCGCCAGACGCTCGTACGCGTCGCCCGGCAGCAACCTGCCTTCGTCGCCCGACGCACCTTCATCGTCCCTACGGCCGTCCGACAAGGTATTCATCCCAATTGGTGCTGGAAACCATGCGACTGAAGTCAATTGACACAATGTAGTCGACCTCGTGCAGGACCTTTACCTCAAGGAGCTCAAGGCCTACAAGGCACCGCAGGTCAAGGCCTCCGATGCGGAGGGCCATGTCCAGACGTTCACGATCCCCAAGGCTCCCGCCTCGCCCGAGGAGACCGACATCGCAAGCGAGTTGAAGGCATACGAGACCCAGCAGGTCGAGCTCGAGGGTGCCACGACCGAGGACGGCGCCGCCCCCGTGGAGGAGGACTGGTTCGAGGAGGAAGAGGAGGAGACTGCTGCTGCTCATTAGGTTGCAAGCGTCATCATCGTTGCGGCATCATTGTACTAAAAAGGTCCTATGACTGTGTCTATAACACCTGGGCAAGAGGTCTTCCAATGCATATTTCAAACAAAAGAGATCATATCCTCGAAATGCGGACTCTGATTGGGTTTCAGTGACTACTAACAGAATAGTCGTACATTGAAGCGAGCATGACAAACGAAGCAATTCGAAGCAAGGCTTAGTGCCATCAGTCGATCATGTTCGGGCTGTTTGATGTAGTACAGCATTGACTTGCTAATTGTGGCGAGGTCGAGTTGGGAGGGATGGTCATTTGACAAACATCGATTCTCCCAAACTTCCTTTATGCGACACACGACCACCACCACCACTCACACACTGTAGACCCCAACCTATGTTCTCCTCTGGTTGCATCATCAGGCAAGATTGCAACACAACACAGCAACAGTGAATCAATGCCCTGCCCTGCCCCTCCCCCACCCAGAAAGCACCAAACATGAAACGAGATAGAGGGAAGCTGACCTGATCACGCGGCCTTCACAACGACATCCCCAGTCGCTCGATGCCTACATACCCATACAATACCTAATACCTAACAAACCGTGCATGTTTCCGTGACCAGTCGAGCAAAAGCGATCACACAGCATTGTTTCTTTCTTTTCTTTTTCCCCCGTGGCACAATGCCAGTACCACAAATTCTGTAATGTTTGCCCGACTCTTCTTCTTTATTTCCTTTCTGTGTACCGTATCTGTATCAGAAGCAACAAGGTAGAGAGGTAGGTGCCATCTCGCCCATTCAGATGTATGAAAGGTAGATTCCTAGCAAATCGGCACATCAAATTATACAATAGCCCCATCTCTCGTAGGACCGGAAGACATGCCGAAGCAGTCGGCATTGTTTGTTCTCAAGGTCATGTCATGACTACCATTGTGGTGTTTCTAAGGGATGGGATGGTATAGGATGGTGGATTAGCAGTAGCAGTAATAACGGCAATAGCAGAAACTGTGGATCGAAATGATTCAGTATCCTGCGCCTGATGGGTGACGGATGATGGTATATAGTACAGTATCTTATAGTAACATAAGAATATCGGTAAAGCACGAAGAAGGAAGAAGGAAACAGGAAACAGGACCGCAAAGTGGAGCCGACGGTGCAACTATGTACATACCCGCAGTACCTGCGATTGAACAAAGCGCATCGGCTTCATGAGATGTGCTATGGGCATTGTACTGTGTAGAGTCAAGTCGGACGGAGCGGCAAAGGGGATGTGGATATGTATGGATTGATGAATGGGGAAATGCCAAATGGGATGGGATGTTGGGACGTCATGTGCACCGTTCTCTGCTCAAGGCACTCGGCTCGGGCCTCAGCGCTCTCGGTGCCCTCAGCGTTGGAGAGAAAGGGACCAAGGTATTACTATCAACGATATGTGCAGAGGTGGTATGTTAGTTATGGTCAGGGGGGAGTAAGTTACTGAGTGCACATTGTATCAGTGCACATGCAACAACAGTACCCAGTAACAAGCAAATAGACGAGAAGTGGAACAAGAACAATAATCCTACGTGCAAGTAACCACAGTAAATAAATGATGATGACGATGATAATCTAACAATCCTAAAGGGGGTTGCAAGGAATCAACCAAGGCACGAAAAGGATGGATTGATGGGGACCATGGATGATGACTTCGACCCATGCAGGCACGCATGTTAACTGGAGGTTTGTATAGGCGCGCGCCGACGACGGACGAGAGAGATGAATGGGCTTTTCGCACGTTGGCAGTTGGAAGCGCCTGTGAGGTCGCATCGATTATTACTCGCAGCTGGTGGGTATGTAAGTAGGAAGCGTAGCCTTGAAGGTTCCGGGTCCGAAGTGTGACGTTCGAGGGCTAGGAAATTGCGAACAGCAGTGGTATAATTAATTATGTATACCGTTTCCCTTTTTGTGCATGGGGTTAGGAGGCTCAGTCAGATGTTTGATGTATGATGAGATGTAACTGTGATCGGTCTAGTAGAGTTACAATGGAATTCCATTTCCATTCTGCTTAGGTAGCTACAAGACAGGTAACTAATTCTTTAGTGATAATGATGTGCCTCGTACACAGTAAAGACACTCGGTCAAGAGTGCCGTCGCCGCCGCCATCGCCGCCGTCACAGTTGGTGTGGTTATGGTGTTGGAGGGTGGAAATGACCAGGGGAAGAAGTTAAGAAATGGGCTTAGGGGGAGGCAGTGGATTCGGGAGTGGACGCCGCACAGCACAGTTACCGCAGTAGTTACTACACAGAGTCATGGCATGGCATGGCACCAGGCAAACAAATGGCACACCCTCCTTTGGGAACAGTGGCGGTTAGTTTCGCCACGAGGGAGCTTCCATTTTTTCTTTCCATTTTATTTTTACACAGGTTAGGATAGGGATGCTTTATTCGGGTGTAAGACATGACATAACGCCTGTCTTTATTTGGGGGGTTTGAAGGGTGTTTGACTATGGTTCAAGCAGATAGCTGAGAATGCGATCACCAGGGAACAGAAGAGGAATATGCACAAATGTGAAAATGTGATGGACAAGAAGAGAAGGGATTTGTTAATTAGAGGGAAGGGAGGGATTAGTTCCGTTACAGGCAAAGGCGTGGGCATGGTATGGGAAGGGAAGGATTGGCTTGTCATGTCGAATGTACCAAAATTAACTCGGATCGCCGCCAAAGCGAAGACGATCTCACCCGCCGTCATACTCGTACTTGTTCTCGTATGTATGTACATTCCCTACAGTCCTCTGTCTGCCAGCACGAGTACGGGCATAGCCATAATTCACAGCCTACTTACTCGTACTGTACCAAGTGATTGTACACTGTGCATACTGTACGATGCGAATGTACAATAAATAATACGACAAGCATGGCATGGTAGTGAATGAATCTATACATACAAGGACTAGAAAGGCACAAAACTTGAATGGACCCTGGCCTAATCACAGACACACCTTGACCTGGACAGTCGACCTTGACCTTGGCCATCATCTTGTTGAACAGGTTGTTGAACTCGTACCTAGACCTTCGTACGGATTCAGAACAATCACCGCCATTTCCTTATTCACTCACTATTCACCGCGATCGATCGACCACTGTTGTAGTTAGCGACATCTGCGACAACCCAAAACCCACTCCACTCAGTCCACTCATCTCACCGTCCACCGCACCCTCCACCTAATTTCGGGAGAAGTCACCAACACAACTTCTTCTCATCTCTTCGTCCCCCATCCTTCCTGTCTTGCTTGTTCCTGTTCAAGTTGCCCTTGTTGAAAGCTCACACGTTTCCGGACTGCTCCCTGATCAATACCTGCCTGCTTTTCCTACCTAATTCCCTTGATTAGACTCGCCCAATAATCCATCAATCCCGCCTGCTTCCAGTCTGTCGCTACTCCGTCATACTCAACCACAATACTCGAACACTACACAGCAATACACAACTGTACAGACACAACAATACAACTACACTACACTACATTATCCTCCGTACTATACGCCTCTCCATCTAAAACACTCCCCTCCGGACGTTCCCTAGCCGATCGAACCGCTCGCTCCGCCTGCAGTCGCGCTTCTGAAACACCCTTTGTACATACGCCCCGCTGACTCTCTCCGGCCGCCCTCACAGCCTGAGCGGCTCCACCTCCAAACGCCAGGCCACCTCCGACTTCTTACTTCTGACTTTACACTTCACACTTCTTACTTTAGGACTTCTGACCACGCCACATACGCCTGCTACCGAACAAGGAATGCGATGAGCGAGGCATACTCGTTGATATAGACCCTTCCCGCCAGACCTGGCCGACCCCCAGGAACGAAGAACCGACTTGCACGGTTGCCATACTTCACCATGGAGGTCGCTCCAGCTCTCACCGGGCACCAGATGCTAGCCAATGCCACTCGCGGCAGGAACAGGAGTGCTTCGGACGCTTTCCCCCCGACCGAACGAGAACCCCAATCTACACAGCTTCCGAAGGCTGCGAGCTACACCTACTTTCCCCGTGTCAAAGACCTCGACGATCCACCACTACTCGAACTCAAGGGCACAATATCGGAGGAGGAACTGAAGACAACATCGATCAATGGCGACGGGTCCTCGAGGTCGTCCGCCGACTCGAGCCCCAGCTCCGAGGATGCGCCCAAGGAACAGATGCCGGAGCTCCGGCCTGCCAATGCTCGTCGAATGTCGAGGATTCTTTCATTCTCGAGTAAGAGCAGAGATCCCTCGCAGGAGCCGAAGCCCTCACGCAACCGACTCGATTCCCCCGCCGCGAATGCCGACTCGCCCAAGTCCATGTCACCTGCCCGATCATTCACGAAGCTGCGGAGGAAGTCTTGGATTTCACAGTCAAGGTCATCTTCACCTACAAAGGAAAACAAGAAAGCGAGCGCGAAGGAGCAGAAGGATGGTCAGCAGGACAAGGCAGCAGGCACGGCAGTGAAGAGCGCGGATCCAAGAAAGACTTCATTGACAGTCGAGGCGAGCAAGCGCAAAATGTCACTGACTGCACCAAGCATTCCTGAGAAGGCCCGGACCAAGGACACCGCAGTAAAGGACCAGGACACCCAGAGTCGCGTGCTAACGAAAAAGTCAAAGAGACCGCTGAGCGGACTTTTCACATCTTCCACCGAGCCGCAGGTGCATACAACGGCCGCTGATGCGCCTTCTGTCCCCCAACTACCAAAGTCGTTCTCCACCGAAAAGCTGCCCGCCTTCCCGCAATCCCCGACGACACCATCCCACATCCCTCCGATCCCTCGTAATCTCTCCTCGGACAAGCTCAAGGGCGCCAAAACGGAGCCTCGCAAGAAAGACGAGCTCTGGACTGTGTACCGGACGTTGGAGGCGGACCTTCGAAAGTAAGTGAAAAATAATAAGCTCCGGAAGCTATCCTGTTTGCTAACAGAGCTATCTAAGATTCCAATCCAAATCCACCTCCCTCAAGGCGAATGTGCTTCGCACGACTTTGCTACCGTTCCTTCGCTCATACCTTAGCCATCCCTCAAACCAGAAGCTGCGACCGGAGGATCTTGATCGACGTGTCAATATCTTGAATGGCTGGTGGACGACCCTCATGGACCTCCTTGCGGGGAAAAACAATCAATCCATTTCCGGAACCGACCGACCCGCCATTTTGGAAGGAATAGCTGGAATCATGGAACGACCCGAATGGCGAACGGCTCCTTCCTCCTATTCCGCACCTGCAGATCGTGCAGAGACGTCATCGGCGACGACGGTGCAAACAGCGGCGTCTACTTCGTCGAGTTCCTCGGACTTCCTCGCCGAGTCGGTATACCACAATGTTCGCAATATCTTTACCTCGAATCTGCTGGCCCAGATGACATTTGTCATTGACAAGATGTCGTTGCGAAATGCAGCCGCCAGCTTGGTCACATTCTGTGGCAAAACCTGTGCCTATGCATTTTGCTTCTGTCCAGGAGTCGCCGACATCTTGGTCCGCCTGTGGAACCCGTCAATCGATTTGTTGAAACGCGTCTTTCAAGAATCTGGAGTATCGAGACAAGACCGACTCGAGGCAGTTTCCGACCGCGTTGTGTCGAGGTTCCCTCCAACGCTTCACTCGCTCAAGTTCCAATCTCTGGCTAAATTGGCCCGCCTCCTGCGACAGCCTGCGAACTTCCCTCTAGGAACGGGAAATCTTGATTGGTACGGCAGCTGGGTAAAGCGCTGGTCCGGCGCCGAGAGCGACATGTTTTACGTCTTTGCAAAGCATTACCACATCCTAGTAACAGAGTTCCTGCCTGGTGAGACCACCGACGCCGAAAGGATGTGCGTCCCTGGCCTGATACTGGTCCACGCACAGATTTTGTTCAACATAGATGCCACAATAAACCGACACACCGCGCCGCAGCAGCCCGAAGAGGTGGTTCACATTGCTTCATCGATAACCTTTGACGATGTTCTGGGTGATCCGGATACTTCTGTATCGTCGACATTACCGATCCCGCCTACGAACGTGACCAGGCAGATGGCAGAAAACCGGCTGATCATGCTCATACGCGATCTGCTGGCAGAGAGGAATTCACACTTGAATACCGCAAGACGAACTTTTGCGGAGAGCTTTGGCCGACTGATGAAAGCCGCGGCTAAGAGAGTGTCACTGTACGACAACAATGCCTGCTATACTCTGTGCGATTTCATGGAAGAGGCTTTCGTGATCCTGGTCCGTTACGAGCAACTCAACGCACACCACCACTCCGTCCTGGAATGGCCATTCTGGCTTTCAGTATGCAAGCAGATGGCGGCGAGCCAGAACACCGCAACCGAGATCAAGCTCTACTCATTCCTCTACACCGCATGGCCTACGATCGTCGTTAACGAGGACCGCAAAACAAGCCTTTGCTTAGATTTCCTGTTGGAGCCCGACTTTTTCGAGAGCAGATTCAACCACTGGTGCCCGATGGTTCGATCCTATTTCATGCGATTACTGTGTTGGAGAGTTGCGCGATTCGACGGCGACGGATCCGCTGCTGAAATGTACGTCCCTCCCCTTCATACTTTGTTTGTAATTGATGCTAACATTGATACAGCACGATTATCAAAGCATTGAGCGATCGCTTGCGCTCCGTCTGGTCTCACTATCTTTGGCTTCACCAGGACGCCGAAACCAAAGAAGTCGTTCTCCCATCGACGACCGCCTGCAACCCCGCCCCTGGTCGACGCTTTCTCATCATTCGTAACGATAACCCTGCAGTATCTAGTTCCGGTCCCTTCATCTCGTTCGATGGAGTTCTTCAATCACCTACATCCAGGCGACTATCTGCCTCGCCTTCTGTCCCCGATATCGAGAACCGGCCTGTCTCCGCACAGTCCACAGATTCAGACCTTGCCGAAGAGGAACCCAACAAAGGCGGACGCTGGAGCTTGTTCCGTAATCTCATTGGCGGATCCAAACAGTCTCCGAAGGCCAAAAGCTCACCGCCGAAAAAGGAAAATGACAAGTCGACAAGTCATGCTGCAGCGGACACATCAGCCGGCGCATCGCAAGACAAGGCTGTCCCGAGCGAACCTGCACCCTCGCACCGCAGCTATAGTTTCCGTTTCTCCCTAGAGTGGGTTGATAAACGATTCGGAGTGTATCAAAACATGCGTCTCAGTCCCCCGCGACTTCCGCTACCCGCACAGACATTACTGCAGGACGAAAAACACAACATCCAACCCGCGGATCGCGTCAAGCCAATCGGGCCTGCGACTAGCTCGTCCCGCTATGCTGGCAGAGCTCTGGCAGAGTGGACCTTCATCTCCCACGAATGTCAGAATTTCTTCGACCGTCGAAAGAACGAAGGCGTGCCTTCTAATAAGCTGGTCGAAACCCCAACTCTGGCTGTTGAGGCTTTTAGAAGACCAGGATAGATCTCCTCTGGACTAACTGTGTTGGCCGGCTAGCCCAAACACTACGACAGCAGTTCGCTTCATCCATCAACCTGCCCTTGTTGCCTTCCGGTTCTTTTGCTCGAATCCAGAATTTTGCGCACTTAGAACATGCACAGGGGGTGGGGCGGCATATCTTGCATATTGTAAATATACGATCTGCATAGTCTTCTTCTTCTTCTCTTTGGTGTTTTTGTTTTGTTTGGCCAACCTCCCCACATATCTGTGCATGCGTCTCATGTCCAACGATAACTCGGCAACTTCACTACCCGTGTGTATGCCGCCCATTGACCATTCATATCCCCCTCATCAAAAGATCTGTCTCTTCCTACACACGGTCCATTATACTTTGCGCTACAGGACAGGTCCACCCATACGCATCCCCTCCCATCGAATTATACCAATCCTAACATCTTTATTCGCCCTTGCAAAACGCAATTTTCTCTGTCTGTCTGTCTCTCGGCATTTGTGGGCGTCCTTCTCTTTTTCTTTTCTTTCTTTTCTCTCGGGTCCCCCAATTGGTGGGACGGAGGAGTTCGGCCAGTCCCAACTAAACCACTCCCTTGAACTCGTATATCATGAATATCTCTTTTTCTTCCTCCGTCTACTAGAATCAAGGTCGGTGGGGCTTTTTTTTTTTTTACAATGGGAACCCGGTACACAGGATAGTACTACGGGACGGGATGGAACGGGACGACAGTTCCCAGCGTACAAGTTATGTACGGAGTACATAGAGTACATATACATAGGTACGAAAGCATACAACAACATAAAGTTTACTACACATAAAGTCAACATCTCATGAAAGTCTACTACTCAACCCCCGCCCTTATATTGTGATCCACTCCCCCCATCGATCCAAGATTGAAAACATGTTTTTGATATCGTCGTCATCAACATCAGTCCATACCCCCAAACCTTACCTTCAGTATCAACCCAAGGTAAGGTAAGGTAAGGTAAGGTATTTCACCTCAACCCAGGGTGGCGTATAAAAAGACTTATCCATTCACGATCACACTTCTCCTTTACACTTTCTACTACTGCGAAGGCTAAATGAAATCCAAGATCCCAAACCCCAAAAGAGAACCGAGCCACTCATGCGATATCTACCCTAAGTTTCGTAGGTAGGTGAAGTTTCCAAAAGGGGGAAAGAAAGAAGGACACAAAACACTGTTTCCACATGGAAGGCATAGCTGATGCGTTTTACTTTTATTCGGATGGTCATGGTTATGAAAAGGGTAATTACTAAATTGCGATACATATGTATCTTTCTTCCGTATATACGATATTCCCTACACTTATGAACGTAGAGACATCTTCTTCTTTCCCGTGGCATAGATGCCATCGGGCACTCCACATCTACGCCACCGCAACCTCATGATCAATATCCTCCGCCGTATACTTCCCCATATGCCTGGGCGGAACCTTCTTCTCAAAAAGCGTATTAATCTGATCGAACGACTTGCCCTTAAGCTCCGGCACGTAAAAGAAGCAACCGACCGTCGCCAACGCCGCGAGACCTCCAAACACGAACCCGACCTTCCCCTTCAAGTTGGCCTCGTCTGGGTTCACCATGTACGGGATAGCGATGTTCATCGCGATGCCGAGGGCGGACTGTGTGGCGGTTGCGAGCGCGGTCGTGTTGCCGCGGAGCGACGGGTTGGATGTCTCGCCGAGGAGGACGAAGGCGAGCGCGCCGATGGTGTTGAAGTAGACGAAGGCGTAGATGACGGTCGCGGCGGCTTGGACCCATTTCGCGCCGCTGGAGGGGACGACGTCCATGATGCCGATGAGGAGGAGGAGGGCCGTGAGGACGCACATGCCGAGGAGGAAGTTGGATCTGCGGCCGTAGCGGTTGACGGTGAACCAGGAGAGGATGTTGCCGAGGACGCCGCAGGCGGTGACGCCGACGCCGAGGTCGAAGCTGCGGGAGGGGTCGAGCCCCGCGAGCTGGAAGAAGTAGCTGCTGTATCCGAGGACGAAGATGATGCCGACGAGGTGCTGGCAGACGAAGACGCCGGTCGAGATGCCCGTGCGGATGAGGTTGGTGCCGCGGAAGCACTCGAGGATGCTGGGTTGGGCCGCCTCGGCGTGGGACTCGTGGGAAGCTTTCATGGCGGCGACTTTCACGGCTACGGGCTTGTGGGCGCCCCAGAGCTGCTGCATGGCGTGCTCTGCTTCTTCGTAGCGCCCCTTGCGGACGAGGTACCATGGGGATTCAGGGGCGAACCACACACCGGCGAGGAGAAAGACGGCGAAGAAGAGTTGGAGGGCGAAGGGGCCGCGGTAGGCCCATCTGTCGTCACGCTCGCCGAAGCCTTTAACAGCGGCGTTGGAGAGGAGTTGGCCCAGTGCGATTCCGAGGTTGACACCAGCCGTAGCCAGACCTCGAAGGACGACCGGTGTGATCTGGTGTATCAATCAGTCAGTCACTGCAACCTCTATGAAACCAAATCACCACAACAACTTACCTCAGACGTCACAAGCGGCCCAATCGACAAATAGAAACCCAACCCAAACCCAAGGACCAACTTGCTCATCAGAAACCCAACCTTCGACGCCGTCACGACCTGTCCCACGATACCGCCAGCACACACGACGGCGCCAATCGCCAACGCGTACTTCCGCCCGATGCGGTCCGCCGTCCACGCGCACAGGAACCCGCCAAAGAACTGCCCGACGGAGCTCACGACGTTGAAGGAAGTCTGCCATACCGCCGGCAGGACGGGCTGGCCCTCGAAGATGTAGCCGAAGTCGCGGCGGAAGGCGGGCACCGAGATCATGGCGCCGTTGACTTGGGCGTCGAAGCCCCTGAGAACAACACATGAGTGGACGTTTTTGGATATATGGTGATGGTCAGGTTTAAGGGGGACTTACCATCCAACAGCAGACATGGCGTAGAAGAAGGACCACCACACCAGCGATGGGTGGTTCTTCATGACATAGCGAAACGTGAGGCCCTCTTCGTCGGTGCGGTCGGCGAGGAGAGCGGCTTCGTCGACGACGACAGGGTTGCCGGACTTGCTGATGCTTTCGTTCCGCACGACGGTCTCGGAGTCGGTCTTCTCCATCATGATGGTGGTGACGATGATTCAAGTGTGGAGTTCCAATTGATGGGGGTTGCTGATCGCGGATGAGGGGGTGGTGGAAATGTGGGTTTCATGGGGAAGATATAGTTGAGTCGATTGTTGCCAATTATGAGTCTCGGTGATGATCATGAGATGTTGCAGTCGTGATAATTCATTGCATTGAGGTCGATTGTTCGATCGGATAAAGGCCAGGGCCAGAAGACCGACACTCCCCGGACGACATGTCAGTGAGAGGAGAAGCAGGATGAGGTTTGTGGAACAAAACTGGTAAAGTCCAGACTACGCCAACACACACATTGGGCGTGGCTTGCTTTCCGAGCAACGAAGCTACGCCGAACTTGCCAATCTCAGCTACGAAGGTGTAGGTAACGTTCATCATGTAGAATTCGGGCCGGAGGTGTCAAGTTTGCGCCTAGCGTTGAGTCCAGGCATGCACCATCCGATTCGACTTGGTGAACTCCGTATGCACTCGTATTCCCAACCAAGGTCCGGGGTCGGCTGGGGTAGGCGGGGAAGCTGTTTAGTGCGGCTTTATTACTTGTCGATTCAATGCACTGGATCGATTCTTTGTGAGAGGTCGAAGATCGTGAGGAGATGTCAGAGATCATTTCAAATTGTGCTCTACCGTAAGAATCAGGACATACTCCTTACCAAACACTCTATCAGTGTATTCTATAAATTCCAATGCATACATTTGCCAATGACCACAACGTTAGAAGAAGAGTTTCATCTAAGATTAGTTATTATGTGGTGTGACCTGATCTCTAGAGTGGTGATTGAAGGACCAGCCAGATTGGTGTATGGCACATAGTACGAGCAGCATGTAACCATTGCTCTTCTTCCTGATCGATCGTTACCCGTCGTCATTCCAGAACATGACAATAAAACCGAAGAGGCTGAAAAGTCACATTTAACCGTACGCTAACCCCAGATTTGCAACGCTAACAACCCGGATGGTGAACGTGGGGCCAGCACGTTCGTTGCACGTCAATTAGAAAAGCCGACACTCCCCATGCATCCCTCCGACCACACATCCCCAATACCCCGACTTTTCCAGACGTTACCAGGAGCCGCAATGAGCCATCGGCCCACTTGCACTCGCACGTGTGCATAGACACAGACGACAGACAGCAGCAGCAATTAACCTACCCCTGGACATGGACGTCGGATCCGGGACCTCCAAACGTCCCGCACCCCGTGGGACAGCCGCGTATCCTCGCAAAAGAGCCGTAGCTGCATGCCAGACCTGCCGATCGCGAAAGACGAAATGCGACAACCGCCGACCTACGTGCTCGTTCTGCGAGCGCGCAGGCGCGACGTGTAATTATTCAACGCAAGATCTCTCTGCGTATGATCCAGCTAGCTTGGCTATTCTCGACCGGCTGGACAACTTGGAGAGAAGCTTGAAACATCAGATATCACTGGTTCCTGCGTCTATTGCATCTGCTTCTCCGGGTACTTCGCCGAGCACGATTATGGTGCCTTCGCCAGCTGTGCATGATGAGACGTCGTCTAACCATGCTACTGGAAACGTTTCTATTTCTGAGGGTTCATCACTAGCAATCACTGTTGAACATATTCTAGCCTGGCCTGTCTTCGAAGGACAGTTTCAAGAACAAACAAATCTAGCCCAGCTACTTCGCACATCGAGGCAACTAGATCAACCTGGTAACGCGAACTTTGACTTGGACATTGGGACATGTCGGCGCCTGTTAGAGAGTTGCTTCGAGCACGTTCTCAGCAAGAACCCCGTACTCGAGGAAGATTCACTTCGAAAGACAATGAACTCCGTATGCATGAACGGGGTCGAATGGACCTCTGAATCCTGCCTCGTTCTCCTCGTCTGCGCTCTCGGCTCCATCGCATCGCCAGATGCCACGCCCTCGGATTGGATCGTAGCGCGATCGTACTTCAGCGCCGCGCAGCGTCGAATCGGCATGCTCCTAACATCCCCCGGCCTGATAGCCGCGCAGTGCTACTTCCTCGCAGGGGTGTACTTCATGTACAGCATCTCGCCGCTCGAGGCGTGGCGCATGTTCGCGCAGGCCGTGACCTGCATATACCCCGAGTACCCGGTCTCCACGCCACCGGGCCAGTACTCGCTAGAAGAATGCGTCTACTGGTCGTGCTGGAAGTCCGAGGTCGAGCTGCGGATGAATCTTAGATTATCCAGCTTCGGGGGCGGTGGGGTGGTAGGCGACCAGTATCCACAGCATATCCCAGAGCCACCGGTTACAACTGATGCGTCGCATGAGCCGAAGTGGTACTACTACCTCGCGGACATTTCGCTCAGGCGGCTCGAGTTGAACATTCGAGATACGGTGTCTGCTATCCTGAAACGGAAGACGAGCATGGGGTCAAGGTATAGAGAGTTGGTGCGCGTTGTTCCAACGCTAGAAGAACAATTACAGGACTGGGTGCGCTCGAGTCCAGATATTTTCACTGTTCACGAATCTGAGGAGACGATTTTACAATTCATCATAGGCGGTCGTTTGCTCGACAGCTATGATGTGCTTTACATTCCCTTCCTCGAGGCAGCTCTATCGACTCCGTCATTCAGTGAAGACGTCGCCTCCCTGGTAGACGACTATGCACGCAAAGCACTTGACTGTTGTGCAGAGCGGTTTCGTGAACGAAAACCTGGGTTCGCGACCCGTCACCATGGCACCTGGCTGATGCTCCGCACTTCGACCAGGAGCTCTCTTATGATATTGGCGACCTGCATCTCTGGGCGGTTGGATCTGCTGCCGGATGGGTGGCAGAATGCGCTTGCAGTTGCGGCGTATTCGTTGAATATATGGAAAGACGAATCTTATGATGTAAAGGCTCAATTGGAGATTATCCTTTCATTGAGTGCGAAAGTAGGACTCGATCTGTCGGCAGACATGAACGGTCGTTGAAGAGTGCTCGTCTACTACGACCATCAATGGTCATTCGCTGAGGTTGATAACCGACAGGGATGGCGCGCGGAATGTCGGTTATGGCGGGGAATGTCGCCTTCGACGTACACGCGGAGTGTCGGCCAACCCCTCAAAGCCGGCCCCTTGATGATGATTGGTCCCCGACTAGTGAATGGTCGGATCGCAGCTACAAGACGACATTTACATAAGAACGTATGGAACGCTTTTCGACGAAGCCAGAAACAAGAAGAGCAGCGTCGTTCACTTTGTACATTTCAACACATTCTACCGTCTTCGCTTGACAACCCTCACATTGGTACGACAGCGAAAATGGCTTCGAACACAAGCTCAAGTTCTCCAAATTCACGGAATGGCTGGACCCGGTCGAACTCGATCCTGCGAGTCTCGGGCACTTCCATTGTCGATGGCGATGGCAACAAAGTCATCCTCAAAGGCGTGGGACTAGGCGGTCACCTCAACATGGAGAACTTCATCACAGGCTTTACAGGCCACGAGCATGAGCACCGCGAAGCACTTACAGCCGTACTCGGCAAAGAGAAGGCCGACTTCTACTTCGGACGCTTCCTGGATTACTTCTTCACAGATAAAGACGCCGAGTTCCTTGCCTCACTCGGCCTTAACAGCATCCGCGTGCCCATCAACTACCGGCACTTCGAAGACGACATGAACCCAGGCGTCATAAAACCCGAAGGCTTCCGCCTCCTGGACCGCATCGTCAACATCTGCGCCCGGCACAACATCTACGTGATCATCGACCTCCACACCGCACCCGGCGGCCAAAACCAAGACTGGCACTGCGACTCCGGCATCACGAAGGCCCTCTTCTGGAAATTCAAAAACTTCCAAGACCGCGTCGCGAACCTGTGGTTTGAAATCGCAAAGCACTACCGCGGCAACCCGGTCATCGCAGGCTACAACCCCCTCAACGAGCCGTCCGACCCGGACCACGTCAACCTCATCGCGTTCTACGCGCGCGTCGAGAAGGTCATCCGCATCGTCGACCCGGAGCACATGCTCTTCATCGACGGCAACACGTACTCGATGGACTTCACGCGGTTCCCCAAGACGCCGCTGCCCAACGCCGTCTACGCATGCCACGACTACTCGTTCCTCGGCTTCCCGCGCGGGGGAACCTACACGGGGACCCCCGAGCAGAAGGCCAAGCTAAGGTCATCGTTCGAAAGGAAGGTCAAGTTCATGCGGGACGCGGGCGTGCCGATTTATAACGGCGAGTTTGGGCCTGTGTATGCGTCCGCGGAGGAGAACGGTATGAGCGCTGCGCAGGTCAATGAGTGTCGTGTTGCGCTGCTGAGGGAGCAGTTGAGCATCTACCGCGAGACGGACGTCAATTGGAGTATCTGGACGTACAAGGATATTAACTACCAGGGTATGGTGTACGCGGACGAGGGGTCGGCGTATATGAAGTTGCTCGCGCCGTTTATACAGAAGAAGAAGGATCTTAGTGCGGATTTCTGGGGGTCGAACGATGATAAGGTGAAGGAGAGGTATGAGCCGTTGTTTAAGGCGTTCAGGGAGTGGGTGCCGGAGCATCTGCATAATAAGAAGTATCCCAGTCCGCTGTGGACGATAGAGAGGCATGTCGAGCGGGTGGTGAGGGAGACGCTGCTTAGTGAGTACCTTGGATGGGAGATGGCGGAGTATTTTGACGGGAAGAGTGAGGAGGAGCTGGATGAGCTGGCGGCGTCGTATAAGTTTGAGAATTGCAAGGTTAGAGACGAGCTGAACGCAGCGTTGAGTGAGGATGCGAAGGCTACAGGGAAAAGCTCGAGGCTGTAGTCTGGCATTTTTAAAGCGTACGAGTTTTCATGAAGAGATGAGGAGGTTTTCATACAATTTCATGAGCAGATGATGAGCTATTCATCCATCACCAAAGTTGGGTTCGCTGGTGTCCGGACACCATGAATAGGGTTAGATATGGAAACCATCAGATTATGTTTAGCCTGCCATTTTATTGCACAAATACAATAGGATGGAACTTTCACTTTGAAACTTTGGGAGACTATGCGTGCCTTTATGATTTGGTTTATCGTGCATAGCCTACATTTAAACCAACGAAGCCCGAAGCCATCCAGGAATGTAGAAAATATGCACATATGTATTGACCTCAAGTACCCAATCCAACAACTCCAATCGCAAAGCATACCCAATCCAATTTCGGGCAGCACAACCCAAAACCCCTCTTTCTTCACCAATCGATTAAGGGAAAATGTCGAAATGCTCAGCCATAGACAGACATTTTTTGTCGCGTATTTCCCTATTGGGAAGCCTGCTCGGCAAATTTCCCAATATCGTAATTCCCCAACTGAACCTAGTCGAGCCGAACATATTGCTCGCAGTCCTCTCTCCAAAACGAAGCAACGCAACAAGATGGCGTGTCGGGGCGCAAATCATAAGGCTTTAAACAAAGTTCCGAGGATCTGTGGAGGAAATTAGGACGCCCTGATTGTCTATATAAAGTGTCGTGCGTGCCGCTTGTGTCCTCAATGACCGTTTGACTTCAATTGTTGTTACTCTTCAACACTACATATGAACAAATACCTTTCGTCAGACAGCAAATGCACGGCCTCGGATATGCACGCACACCAGGTACCTCTCGTTCTAGGCAGCCTCACCTGAGTCTGGAGGATCAGAGCATGAGATGAACGGTCCTCTGTCTCTGCGCAACTCACGTCTTCTGATCAAAGCCAGCCGCTATGGAATGGACTTCTCTCAATTGCCTACCTTCCCTTCAGCTCCCGAAAATAACTCGAACGTTCGCTCGGTGAAAAGAGCGGAGTTAGTTGCCTTTTGCACCTGAACAAAAATTGCCTCCAGCTCTCGAGACGAGACGAGACTTCCCACGACGATGGCCGCGCGTGGGGCGCGAAATCTGCAAATTCTCTCTTGCTGTGCTGCAGCATTACTTGGTGCAGTTCCGGATATAACCTTGCACACCGGTGCCACCTCTATTGCTTTACCTTGCCTCACCTCCAAGCCACAACAAATGCAATTACTTACCCCTCAGCGAACAAAGAAATATTACTCAACAGCAGCCAACAGCCAGTCCATCGAGAAGGATACCCAATCCAGGAGGTAATACCACCGAGATAAGCTATGAGTAGCGCTAGGTACGCGCTACTCGGGAAGGCCCATCCATGCTCATGCCCCATGCCATACACCACCAAAGCCTTTCTGCTTAGGATGTTGCTTGCGAGCGAGCGAGCGAGCCTTTCGAAACTTAATTTTCTGGAGTCGAGGGTAGTGGGCTATTGCGCGATATCGGTCCTAGCTATTCGCCCATATGGTCGAGGGGTCCAGCGTACTGGACTTTTGGGCAGCAGGTTGGGACGAACCTATCACGTTGGGGACCTCGAATCACGCTGGGTAAGCAGCGTATGTGGTCAAGTACCAGGGACGTCACAAACGGCTGAACAGATGATGACCTGGTGTCGTGCGGTGAGGTGGAAGGTATATTGCGTGAGGGGTGTGATTGGGAATGCGGGCATCGCATAGAACAGTCATTCACCAACGACGTGGTACTTCTGACCCTACCCGTAGTTTAAGCGTTTGGTCCTGTTTGTTGCTTGCTTGGTTGCTTATTATTCTCAATTCAGCTGGATGACTCGACAGGCTATCTCCGCCCACATGCCAAGATCCTTTTTCTTTCTTCTGGATCTGTGTCATCAGGGGGAAGCCTGCAATGCATCCTCAATTTCGGCGTTTCATTGGTACCAGGAGTGATCGCATTGGGTGGTGTCTGTCTCGATCTGGCTTACACAGTATGGCCAACTCATGAAGATCATGCCCTATGATCATCGTCCGACTGTCTTCCTTGTAAAACACTTCATTTCTCGACCCAGGAGGAGAGGAGAATCGATAGCCTGTCTGCATTGGTTCAGAGAGTAAGCGGCGATAAGCACAGAGGTACAGTTTCATTGCTTGTCATTGTTGTATGATGTTGCTGTGTCTGAACTCTGGATGGCATGGTACGTAGATAATTCTACAAGGCTGAATCCTGTGGACAAGGCATAGCGATATTATCGATACGGCATTGAACGATAGAGGGGGGAAACGGGACGCTTACCGCCAGACGCGGTTATACCGCAGGCAGATGGATGTAATACACAGGCTGGCCGTAGAGTAATAGTCAGGTAATAGATGGGGCAGAAAGAAGAGTAGAAGAGAGAGGGGGGGCCAGTTGAGGGGCCAAAAGGCGAAGGGCCAAACAAGCTTAACCCGAACCCCGGGACCTGACGGACAGGGCAGGCACCACCCACCATCCCCCCCCAAGCCAACCCAGCTACCCAGACTGCAGACACACGATCATCTCCATCCCAATAATCCCATCACATTCCATCCCATCACGTCCCATCCTACCCTACCTATCTTATCCAATACCTCATCTCCATCGCATCTACATCCATCTACTCCTTCTCCTTAATCCTTCTTACCCTCTGCTCAGCCACATATCATTGCTGCACGCTACCAGTGTCGTTGCTCCAGCTCCTGCATGACATGCTCTTACGCCAATTCGCGTTATATAACCCACCAAACCACCTCCACCAGCCTCACAATGCTGCCTGTTGGCCTTAATACCTCCTGCCCCAGATCGCTCTAACCTCTCTCCCCTTTTTTGATATCCCATATATTCTGTACGCTCTCATAGTCCATCATTATGGCTGTTGCTATGGACGACAACAAACTACGCCAATTAGAGCGTCAGTTTAAACTACGTGTCAAGACAGGTTGCGAAACGTGCAGGTAAAACTTCCAAATGCCTTCTCCTGGTTGCTTATATAATGATCGTCGCTTCTCCCAACTGATGTCTCTATCATTTCTGGAGAGGGTATCACGGCGGGTGGACACGTCCAAGAACAATGTTCGCTGATCATACTCCAGGATACGGCGTGTAAAGTGTGACGAGACAAAACCAGAATGTAATCGTTGCACAAAAACTGGCCGCAGGTGCGAGGGATACAGGCATGTTGCCAGAACAAACAATAGCAGTGCCTCTTTGGCTGCCTCCATTCGAAATTCATCTTTCTTAGTCGTCCCGCAAAGACCATCTGTTGCGATTATTCCTCGAAATCCTTCAAGGAGTCTCTCGCCCGAAGCTTCTGAAAATCGCTCCTTCTTCTACTTCCAGAACCACACTCTGCCAAAGTGGACTGAGTTCTTCGATTCGGAACTGTGGAGCCAAAAGATATTGCAATTAAGTCATTCCGTGCCGGCCATCAAGCATGGAGTCCTGGCTTTGAGTACGTTGCACGAACGTTTCGAGAGCACTACGCCAATTTTCAGCACTCAGTCAAGCGATTTTGCTTTTGCTCAGTACGCCCAGGCTGTGTCGCACTCCAATGATCTACTGACTGCCCACCAACGGGGCAGGGTCGACTTGGAGAAAGTACTGATAGCATGCGTTATTTTCGTCTGCTATGAGAACTTGGCTGGCAACTACAGGCAGGCGAACATGCACCTTCGAAATGGACTGCGAATATTTTCCCAACACAAGCTTAAGCTGCAAGGGACACCGGCAGAAGATGCCATTGCCAATGTTCTTTATCGATTCGACCTACAAGCAATGACGTTTTCCGATAATGCCTCACCGTACGATTACCGTCTCGATGATCCGCCTGAGTGTCCACAAGTGCCGCACATGTATACTGAAAATGCTACCGCCCGGAACGATCTTGTGGGACTTCTTCGATGTATGATGTGGATCTCAGGCGTGGCCAACATCAACCCACATGCACCCGAGCATCCAGTTTGGTTACAGATATATACCCGCTTGATGGGCTCGTTCGAAGCATGGGAGTCTACTTTCAGTGTCTACCAGCAAAACGTTCCGCCTCATGAGCAAGGTAACCCCAAGATCTACGCGGGCAACACGTTGTTGAAAATATACGCAATCATGGCTCGAATCGTCGTAGCAGCAGGTGCTGGTTTAAGAACAGAACTATCATGGGACTCGTTCGATGATTCGTTCAAGACCATCATTGACCTAGCAGAGACTCTACCGGTTCTCAACCCTACCCAGTCCCGATCTTCATCGCATGCCTCATCTTCCCCGCCAGGGGATAGTCCTGGGAACGCGACAGCTCTGCCAACGAGGACCCGCAACATTGCCCCCAACCCAGCCACCACCTCAACCACGCCATCTCCAGGCGCTTCCGCGTTTTCTTTGTCTTCAGAGCCATCCCCGCAACTGCGCTCGCCTACACCTGGTGAAACCCCCGGTGGATCGAAATCCAAAAAGAAGCCTTCATCATTCTCTCCATCTTTCGAACTCTCCCCTATCGTCCCTCTGTTTGTAACAGCCTGTCGATGTCGGGATCCGGTTTTACGGAGGCGAGCAATTGCCGTACTTCTAAACTGCAGGAGAAGGGAGGGCGTCTGGGACTCGGTGGGCGCGGGCATGGTCGCCTTGCAATGCCTCAAGTTAGAAGAAGGTATAGGCGAATTGGTCGAGCTAGGGCCCGATAATTGGTTGCCCCTGAGTCCGAAATGTAGAGATGCAGCCGACATTCCTGAGAGGAGACGAGTACAGGACGTCTTCGTTTCAGTCAATGCGCCCGAGCGGCAAATAGGTGTGAACTACCTACTGCGGAGTGGAGAAAGTTTCGATCGGTATGTGAAATTCTGACCTCGTGCTGCACGCAGTACATACACTAGACCGCTACGGTTGCACTGTTCTGGGCTTTTGTTTCTTGTTTGTTCCTTTGAAAGCGTTGCATGATATCCATACTTCTGTGTCGAAATGAACTATAATGTCTTTATCGCTGCATGCCTAATCCAATCATCTGGCCTGTTCAGTAAATGTATTACCCTCCTAAGATGTATTATTGCCCATCTTCACCGATTGCGTCCACATTTTCATGTACAATATAGACTGCACACAATATCTAACTGCTTCTAGACCGTGCCCGCAGCTTGCAGAAAGCTGGGACGAGATTGGGAACCTGTTTGGCGCAAGATATTGCGCAACACTCTGTTTGAGTTTTCGAAGAGGCCTGAACTATTCTGGGCTGTGGGATCGCGAACCCCTGCAACTGTCAGCGCCAAATTCTCCTTTCACCCCCTGACCGCGAGACTCTGGAACCTCACTCGTCGACTGGAAACATTGGACCAGTAATCATGCACGAGGCGATTAGCATTGCGGGCTGCGCCACTCGTTCTCGTCCTCCTCGTTCCAAGGATGTCAGCTTTTTGTCCGTGTTCAAACTGGGGTCCTGGGCATGTAACTCAACGAAGCGAACCTGCCGCAACTGCAGGCCATCCGATGATGCTTGCCTTCGCCCCGGCCCGGGCATACGGGTGGGTAGATCGGGTATAAGGTTCTTTCGGTGCCTAACGCATCCTTCGCACTCCTTCATATTATACCCGCCAATTCCCAAGGATCACCTCGAGAGAAGGACATGATGTTCCCATAGGAAGACAAATCTCTGTACATTGAAATGCTACACCAATGGTGCTCAGACGTGGAATCATCGGGAGTGACGCGTTCTGGAATGTAGATAATGGGTGCCTACATTTCCACCTGAGACTCGACCAACAGGGCGAACATTGCGATCGTAGTACGTACCGACATCAATACCAAGTAAAACTCGCGGAAGTTAAATCCTCCCAAGTATCCATCCGACTGCATATGTATGCATGGGCCAGCGCCTCGTAAGGCTCATCAACCATAAGCCGCTTAACGTACGTCACGTTCAGACGTCGTCGACGTGCGCCACGAACCAATTTACATGTAACCTCAATCAATAGATCTCATAGATCACGACATATACATATGCAAATGTAGAGAGGACGTCACGTTGACGGCGATCATCGCGTCACTGTCAGCGTGAAACCAAGTATCACACTTTCACCGGTCGCGAGCTTCTTACAAGAATCACATACATATCCTCATATTACTGGCCTGTGGTGTCATTAAAGTGCTTACCCATGTTTCTGGTTTGTACAGCCGAACTCGTACATCAAGTTTGGTTCTTGAATACTTCGTACCTATGCTACCATTCGAAGCACGTGGGAGCAGAAACAATGTCCCATCCGCCTTGGTTTTTTGCCTTGTATAATGTATATTCGGATAGATAGTGCCGCGCACGATACCTACACCGCCAGCGCTGAATCGCACCAAAGCTGATGTGATGCCACGTTTTGTTGGAGGTCATTTGATGGCTAATGCGGACTCGATCACAATTCGCGAGAACAAGGCAAACGGTTTCCACACGTGCAGCGCCATAGGATTTATTGTACGATGATAGCCGCTTCGGACTCGGATTCTAGGCTTCTCAATTCGCAGAATTCTAGAATTCTTCCATCCGCGCGTGCGTTATACTCGGTGTTTCGTGGCGCGAAAAACAAATGATGTTTAGTTTCAAATGGAATGTTACCTCGATCAAAAACCCAAGGCATTATGAAAGCCTGCCAAGTTGGCAAGAAACCACGTCGCTTGCACAAGAATTAGAGATATGATGAAATTCACTTCATCATATGACACTTATATACAATATGAGATCTTCCGAGCACCGCTGATTGGTGGACTACGTAAATTAATCTACAAGTATTTTCATACCCTGGTCGACTTTGTATTTGATGTACACCTAACCACTTCGAACATCACCATCACTATCCTCATACCAAATCACCAAACGACGCTCAAAGAATCACAATTCCCACCTCATCAATAGTCCTCAAAGTCAGCTCTTCACAAAAAATCTCCCTACGAGCAATCTACTCACCAACCCCTACCCATCTCTACAAAACACCAACCCCACGAAAGCATCCCTCACTTTCCCAGATGCCCGACTAATTAATCTACTCCATACTCCCCATCCCCACTTTTAAATCGTCAATCCGCCATTACACAAGAAACAATTCCCCGATGATTTACCACCAGTAACCTACCCTTGCCATGCCTCTATCAAACATAAACATACCTATCCACATTCACAACTTCATTTTCATTCCCTTCCCCCGGCCTCAGACCCCTGCCCCAAATAGGTTCCCTTAGAAGCACAAGACCGAACAAACCTCCATAGAGCATCCCCCATTCCCTAACTCGCCACCTCTCCTCCGAACGTCCGGCTCTAGAAGTAGATCCCCAAGCCGCCACGTCGTCTGGGTTATACAAGCCCGAGATATCTTTCCCCCGAACTCTAGCTCTCCTTCACCCTTCTCTCTTGACGTGATCGTGTCTCGGGGCATTCATACACCGGCGCTTGTCCTTCCATTCGTGCGGAAAATTTACGTCGGGAGCATGTGTGGGGATGGGAAAGTGAATCCGGGGTAATTTCTTTATCAATCTAATATTGAGAGTGGAAGAATAGTGAAGTCGTATGTATATATAATTACATAAATACAATGCCCCATGTATATATAAGTAATAGGGTATGACCCGGGTTTTGTCTTATTGCTTCTACCAATCTTGTTTCGATTCGTACGTGGGCTTTTGGAAGTTGACGTCGTCTGTTTGCTAGGATACACTACTAGTGAGAAGGAAGCATCAAAGTCAAGAATAGGAAGGGAGAGATACAACAATGGTTGCTACTCAATTCCTATACGCGCTCGGTCTGGCGACGACAGCCCTCGGCGCACCTCATGTCGAGAAGCGCGCGCAGACTGTCTGGCTCGCAGGCGACTCCACCATGGCGAAGGCTAGCGGCACGCAGCAAGGTACTTTACCGTCCCCCCAACTCTTCATCTACAAAGTGCAAAAGCCCCAGGACTAACACGACACCACCACACAGGCTGGGGCGTCTACCTCCCGTACTCCCTGTCCCTCCCTGTCACCAACAACGCCATCGGCGGGCGCTCCGCCCGCTCCTTCACCGTCGAAGGCCGCTTCCAGACGATCATTGACAGCGTGAAGGCGAACGACATCGTGATCATCGAGTTCGGGCACAACGACGGGGGTTCCCTGAACGGCCAGGACAACGGCCGCACCGCGTGCCCCGGCGCCGGGGACGAGACGTGCCAGTCGACGTACAACGGGCAGGCCGTCACGGTGCTCACGTACCCGAAGTACCTGACCAACGCTGGCAAGGCGCTCGTGGCGAAGGGCGCGAAGGTCATTATTTCGTCGCCGACGCCGAATAATCCCTGGGAGGGGGGCAGCTTTAGCTATGCGCCGGGCAGGTTTACGACGTATTCAAGGGACGTGGCGAAGGCGATTGGCGCGAATGCGATTTTCGTGGATCATGGACAGTATACGGCGAATATCTTCCAGACGCTGGGTAAGGCGAAGGTGGATGCTTTCTTCCCGAACGATCATACGCATACGAGTCCTGCGGGTGCGGATGTTGTGCAGAGGGCTTTCGTGAAGGGGTTGCTTTGCCAGGGTGGTGGGTTCTTGAATGGGTTCATCAAGAATTCGACGGCGTCGGTTGAGGGGAAGTGCATATAGGTGGATTGTTTGGATCAAGGGGGATTCACAACTTGTAAATAGTATTGATTGTGAATACCTCATATCCCTCGAGCTCTATGACCTGTACACGACTTATACGAGCCAATTATTGCAAGTGCATGCTTCTTTTTGAGCTTGAGGTTCGAATGCTGTTCGAACTCAGAATGCTGTCCGAATTCAAAGTAGGTAAAATGGAAGGATGGACCATGTGATATTGGCAAAGGATCATATCCATAAGGTTTGAAGATCGCCTGTGTGCCAATTGAGTCTGTCTCTCGCTTTGAGGTGATCCTGACTCTTAAGTGTGATGTATTTCCATCAAGGTCGTCGACTGGTGCTACATGAACCTGGTCGCCATGTACGGTTGTGAATTGCAAAAGCAGCCAACCTTCAAGATCAAGGCAAATTGCCGGCCCGGCGATTCCCACCAACGGCCGTAAAAACAAGTTTTCGAGTACTCGTACGCCGAAACTTTCATATCCTGTAAAGTGTTTCCTTCTGCCTTCTCATCTTCCCCCAATAGTGAAGCCTCTCGTCATGTAGTCCGCACTGTTTCCGGCCTTGGGCTTCGCATCTCGGCTAGAGAACAGACTCTTGACATTGTCGTTCTGTTCCAACTTTCTCTTCTTATTCTTTTGCTCCTGTTCTTCCAACACTTTCCGTGTCAACGAAGCAGTGGAAGCATTCTTGATACCATTCTTGGGCACCTCGACTGATTTTGCCTTCTCCTTCTTATCTGACTTCTTCTCCTCTCCCGAAGAGGGATCTTTCGATTTGACACCCTCGCCGTTGGCATCAACTCCATTGGCCTCCTTCTCAGCATTCTTCTTCCTCTTCTTGCTACCCGGTGCTTTCTTGAGCGCATGTGTCAGACCCTTCTCTTTCAATGTCTTGGTCCTTAAAGACAACCTAGCGATATCTGTCGGTGTAATTGGTAGGATCGGGATGATATCGTTCTCGGCATACGCTTCATTGCACTACATTGAAGGTTAGTCTCGATCGCCCTAACAGCAAACACCATCGCCGTAAGTAGACTTACCTGCAAACAAGTCTCTCCGCTGACCTCCTTGACCACGCTCCCCGCAAAGGCATGACCACAAGGTACGAGATACACACCCTTACTCCCAGGCCCCAACTCCCTCCCCGTGATCGGGCAAACCCACCTCTCCTTCCTCCCACTACCACCATTCGCAGTCTGCGCCTGCGCCTCTTCGCCACTATCAATCTCAAACTTAACCTCCACGACATCCTTCAAGCTCTTCACCCTTCCCTCGAGCATCTTCTCCTGCTCCGCCTTCGCCGCGCCATCCTCCGCGAGCAGGAACTCGATGATGGAATCTTTGTTGTACAGCACGCCCGCGGCGTCGGAGACCACGGGGCGCGAGAGCGGTTTCCGCGTGAGCGGATCATGCGACCAGGCGTATTCTTGCTGCTCGTTTTGGACTTCTTTGACTTGTGTGGTTGTGAGCGCCTTTGCGGCTTCCTTGACGAGCTCGCGGCGGGTGGGTATCGAGCCTCCGTCGTTACCCATGGTCGCGGGTTGTATTGAAGTGAATTCAGAGGTGTTGGGGAATGTTTTCTCTGTTTGCGGATTGTAGAGAGAGAGTGTTGAGATTGCTGTTGACGAAAGTCTCACGGAGGTGTCAAAGGGCTCCGAATGCTTGGCCCCGCACGGACCAGATGTTCACGACTGTCGATGGTTGCGAGTATAAATTGATTGCGAAAGACGTCCAGAGAAATGGATCTTCGGATGAGCCAGAGTGTTTGTTCCTTCAAAATGAATGAACCATGCTTAATTCGTGACTATTTGGGCAATGGAGTCGTACGATTCGTTTCTATCTAATCTAATTAAGATCCGGTATTCACCTAGGCATCTTGATAACTATACTACATCGTAATATACAAAGGGTATACTGTACAAATGTGCTGATTAAAATGTGACATCAACATGGCAGCAAGTGGTTGGTCATAATTGCCACTATAGCTTATACTCGTTCAGGGGTATCGGGGGAATCGTCCTTGGTAGCTTTGGAGTCATGCTCCTTTGTAGGGGTTGACGATTCTGTTGCCCCTGTTTTGTTTTCACCGGCTCCCAAAGTCCTGTTCTTCCTTTCCTTCTCTTTGAAAATAGTCCTTTGCAGAAACGACCCAAGGCGTGATCTCTCTTCTTTGAAGAGTCGTTTTTGCTCTTCGGAGATTGCGTCAGAGAGAACAACACTATCCATGAGAGCGTATATCTTTCTCAGTGCAGCGAGTGCATCGTCTCTTTGAGCGCCTCGAAGTGGATAAGCGCCAGCCTTGTCACCCTTTGCTGCTGCGCCAACGGTAAGCTGGAGCCGAATGTTGGATGCGAGAGGGTAAACACGAGTAAGGGCATGGACTTTGTCGCTTCCTGTGCCCAACGGAAAGCTCATTGCAAGCTCAGCATACATAGCGACGGCTTTGGGATCGACATCTTCCATAGTTTGTGCCATCATCTCTAGCAGTTCCGTCGCATGCTGGAGAGAGTGGTGGTTGTTCTTGTCCCGCACACAGGTGCTCATCGCTATCCTGAAGGTTCCGGGATGGGGTGCCAGAGCCTTTGCTTGAAATCCGGACTTGATAAGCTCCACTGCCTTAGCAGAGGAGCGGTTCTGGCGCAATATCCTCAACCGAGCATTGAGGTTGTTGGCGTCCGGAACAATAGCGTAGGTGCCAGTATCGGTCAAAAGATCCCAGTATGCGTTGGCTGCTTTGCCAGCAACGATCTTCTGACAGGCCTCTTGAACCATGGAAAGTGTGTTGTTGGAGGGTTTTGTGTACAATGAAGCACCGGAGCCGTTGTTGCCTGTTCGAACGAGGGATAGAAACTCTTCGCCGCGAATCGGCTTTCCTGTCGGACTCACATGATCATCTTTGCGGTACTGCTCTAATATCGAGGGGGCACGCAATTCAGGATACCCGGCTTCCAACCGCGCCGTCGATCCTAAACGCGGTACTAAACGCGGGATGTCCATTGTCTGCTCTACCAGAGACAGTACGTCGTCCCAGTCCCGAGGTCGAGCACCGACCAGGAGGAGCCGCCCCATCGCGCAAACAAGTTTTTCTTCCAGTAGCAGCGATCCGGCCTTCCATTTCATGACAACGTCATGCCAGACTCGACGACCTTCCATTACACCAGCGTCTCTTCGCTTGGCTACTTCCTCCTCGCTTTCGCCAACGGGTACACCCACCAGCAGGCTCTGACGGATTGCGTTGAGGATTGTTGCGTAAGTGATTGCATTCGCCGCGGCCGGTCCGCTTTCTGGAATTTTCGCTGCCACTCCCCACAGCGCATCCATGTCCAACGATCTGGCGCATACTTTGAGCATCGCATTTGTGTGTATAATAGATGGCTGCACTCGCGAGTTTGGGGCGGACAGGGAATGGTACACGGATAACGCTTTGCCGAGAGAACCAGAGTGCTGGGCGTTCAGGGCGAGGCCTCGGAGAATGATGGAATATGTGTACGAGTCGGGGAACTGGGCGCGTTTTTTCATCTATGTTGAATATTAGCAATGTTCGTCGCTAGTGATTGAGGTGTCATACGTCGTTGTACACGCCTAATGCTACAGACACACGTCCGTTCAAGAGATAGTGATTTATGATGTGATTCCAAGCAACAGTTGATTGCATCGAATGACTGGCCATTCGCACAAGCTGCAGCATTTCCGTGTCCTTGCCCTTTGCCAACTCTTTCTGCACGAAGTTCGCCAACTCGAGCGGGTCCGTGAGATGCTGCAATTCCTTCTTGCGTCGGTTGAAGTCGGTGGTTGATACTGATGGGTCTCGCCGACCCATCTTCCTGGGTGGGAAGGCAGCGGGCGCAACCGAGTCTTGTGCTGGAGGTCGGCGTTGTGTGAGGCTTTTCCTTGCCTTCATTCTAATATTTGCTGCCTGGGGTGACTCGCTCCATGAGTCGGTTTTGGGGCCCGAGTATCTCACAGATCGCGCGGGGCGAGCATATTCGGGAATGAGGTTGGAGGGCGTTTGGAAAGACCTCCGTTGGCCATGTCTAAGTACGGATGGTGCGTCACGACGGAGACGCTGAGTTGCGGAAGGGCTGGTATCGAGGGCCTGAATGCATCGCCAGAGACAGGCACGACAATTGAGCATGGTCGCAGAGGTGGGGTGGAGAAGCAATGGAGGATTGGAGACAATTTAATTATTTCGTCAAGGAAAAAGTCGCTGGGCCAAAATGGGACTTAACGCTTAACGCGCTCGTTCAGGACGTTCAATGAGGTCACGTGAGAGCCTGATTGCGCGCATCGCGGCAGACCCTGCGGAAGAATAGAAACAAACAATCAAAGCAAAGCAACGTCACATATGAAGAAACGATATCTCTGCCATGAGCCCGTCATCGCGACAATTCAATGCGACGACTTCGTTCATTTTATTCATCACGATCATGCCTCCCGCGCGGCTATGGAAGAATGTTAGAGCCTAATTCGACCTCCACAGACCTAGCTCACGGTGGGAGTGTCCAAGGATGCTCGAGGCGTGTCCGTCTGGCATGGATCCATCCAGTGTTAACCCTCTGCAATAGTACGGCACCGAACGAGCACTATTGTAGCCGGGCGGGAGATCGCTGACAGGTTATTTACATGGCAATCAAGGGTCAATTACTCTAGTACGTTCCGGCAATTAGCACAAGGACGGAGGTTAGACGCTGGCAAGGCAAGACAGGGCAAGGCAGGACAGGCAAGGTCAAGCAGAACACCGACAGGGCAGGGCAGGGCAGGGCAAGGCAAGGCAGGGTAGTCATTTGAGGCCTTCAAGCATTCAGGCATTAACAGTTGCTCATGGTGGGAAAGCCCGCGCTGCTGGGACAGAAATGGTTGCTTTCTACCCTGATTAGCGCACGACGTCGCTCACCGTCCACCACCATCATCATCCAACTACGAGGTTACTACCGTCCACTACTTGTCCCAGTCCTCTCCTGGCTTAGAAGAACAGCCTACCTACGACCTCGCCTCATGCCGCCGCCAGCGTTCGCCTTTCGCCCTGCTAGCTGCTGTATGTACGAGTGGTCGCACTGGCACTGACACCGACACAGACACCGTCCGCTTCCAATGGCCACCAACGTGGCGGGACAGGCTTGCTGGAACACACACACACACGCACACACACCACCCCCCTCACCCCCCTTCCCCCATAGCACACGAGCGATCCACGACTCCGGTTCGCGACTACAGTATGTGCATGCACGAAATGGAGCGGTCGTCTTGTGTGCGCAAGCCCTGGTGGGAGGGGCCACGTCGATCATGGCTTGAGCCGTTTTTGCTTCTTCGCAGGAGCGGTCGCACAGAGGAGCTCGATGGAGATGGAGTGAGGGCGCACCGTCGTTTGCGCCCGAGAGAGGGCAACGAGACAATAGGAGGAGGATTCGTGCGACGATGGGCTCCAATCTCGCTGCGTGTGCACATTGCGCAGCGTATCATGTCTTCAGTACGATGTGATTTTGAAACTGTGCAGCAGCAGAGGGCATAGGTTCGTAACGACGACATTGATTGTTGGCACGATGATGTGCATGTACGGAGGAGTATTGACTGCCATGTTACCCCACAAAACAAACACAAACAACAATAACAACATCGTGAGATCCGTCGCTGCAGCACCCGGACCGTAGAAATGACCTGCAGCCGACCGCAAGCCTACCACCTAACCCACCCACCACAGCTGTGTACAATACCTACGTACATACCGACGACATGCAGCAAGCCTCACACGCGAAGACACGCCTTACACTCGGCTTCCCGACGTAAGTAAGATGGCAAGGGCCAGGCGATCCGTACTATGACTGCACGGAGCCGAATCCTCTTGCTGCTGTGTAACGACACCAGTCCACGCTTCCAACGCCAGGTGAGAAGCGCTCGCACGCACAGTACATTAGCCTCCCGCCCGTCAGTTCGGCACGCCGTTGCTTCGTTTGCACCCTGGCCTGGTGAGCCTAGTCGAGGGTCGTCCTTCAACTAAGGAAAAAGCAACTTCTGCGCTGTCTGGGAGTTAAAAAAGGTTAAATCTGACCTGGGGAGCCGCTAGAGGCAGATCTCGCAGCTAGACAGGGCGATCTTAGCGGCTGTCATTCCATTTGGTTATTTGGACGTCAGACATAAAATAGGTGTCTATAGAAGTGCAAAGGACTGCGCGGATGCTTCGTGCATGCAACGACATTTTCCCCGAGAAAAAGCATTGGTACTCTGCTCTGCTCTGCTGGCTGCACACTGTACTGCTACCATGTACTGTACGCAGATGTGCATTGTAGCATTCCACTCTCCTCTCTTTTCCTGTCAGCCATCCATCCATTCCCCACCCGGGCCAGCCATCCAGCGCGAAACCCATCATGCGCCCAATTGTGAAAGTTTAAAAGAAGAAAAAGGCTTTCTCGAGGTCCCACTACTCGCAATGTCGTGCTGCAGTGCTCCGACCACAATCCTACGTACGTACGTACGTCTACCCCGTACATGCAAGCTCACAGGACAGAGCGAGCGAGCGAGCCCAATTGACCCTCCCCGATGATGGGGAACCTCAGTGACCTGTCCGACAATCACGCTCGCAGCGTACGCAACCCTTTCGAAAAGGAGTGGGATAACAACAATAACAAGCAGGCAGCCCAATGCTTTCATCCGGAACTGTCGCCTTTGTCACTGGGAGGTATGCGGCGCGCGCATGACCACCCCAGAATACCGTTCATCGATGGACACAACAGCTCTTTTGCCTTGTCGTGCAGCAATGTGATTGATCCCAAATGTCTCTTGCTCATCCTCCACTCGCCCACTCACTCTTTTGCCTTGTCTTTTCGTATTTCAAAACCTCAGTCACGATGGATGTTGTCGAATACGGAATCGGAATCGCCGTCGCTGGGGCTGCTGTGCTGCGCTTCCTTCAGCCAACCAATGGATGGGACTTCTGATGCCAATGCATTCACCAAGATACGAGTATCACCACCACATCATTGTGTCTGTGTATGTATGTATGTGTGTGTGTCACACGCACACACTCACTGCCCGTCATTATCCGCATCCTCACAAGAAAATCTAATTATACACCCTACCCTTGCCTTCCCTCTGCCCTCATCTGCACCCGTACTTCCGTATTGAAGTGCGAATCCGAGGGATTGATTACCTTCCGATCAAAGAGAAGAGAAGAACGAGCAAAGCAAGGCGTGCGAGCTCGTCACACGCCCGCCCCATTCACCATCCGGGCTGCTTTTGCTGTGTTGGGCGGGCGCGCGCCTTGGGACTTGACTTGAACTGTATGGATACCCAAGCAAGAGCTGCCCAAGTAAATCCTCCGCGTTGAATGCCCGCAAACAGCATCAACGCAGAGCGGAAAGCAAAAGCATCGATCTATCTAATCCTTTCCTTTACGGAAGCAAACTAAAAGCAGAAAACAGTCCATGTATTTGAATAACAATAAAATTTATTCCGTACATACTTTGCATTCGTTGTCCGAAGCGGAAGCCCGCTGCGCTCCATTGTTCCCCCCCACCATTTCCTCCCATCAACCCACCCACCCACCCATCCGCGTTTCTCCGCCGCCCACCTTTTCTACCATTTTCCATTTCAGAGTCTCCCCTTGTCTTCCCTCTTCTAGGTATTTCATTAAAAACGTCGAAATTCCGAACTCGGCGTCGTCGTCGTTGTTGGGGCAAATATTGTGTGAGGTGCCGCGGCTTTCCGCCTCGGGGGGCGACTTGGGGGAAGCGAGGCCCGGACAGCCCCCCCTCCTCTCCCCGGCGGGACCTCCCAAACGTTGCGAAAATAAAAACGTGCGTGCGAATGTGAAAACTCGCTCACCAGGAAACAGGCTTGTGGGAAGAAAAAAACGGGCGTGTGGGAAATGGAAATGGAATTAGATCGGATCGATATTCGATGGCGTTGTTTTTGGATCGTGGTAGCTGGGCTGCCTTAGGGGGTGGCGGTTTACCTGGGGAGCGGGTGCGGGTGCGTTGGCTATGTTGACGACATGCCTTGCCTTGCCTTGCTGAGTTTCCGCCTGAGGGCGCGACGACGCAGCGTGTGATTGTAGTAATTCAAGTTTTGTAGGTCGGTTGAGAAGGAGGAGAAGATGATGTATTAGATAGATTAAAAAACAATTAAAAGTGTTGCGCTGTGCGATTGGGGTGTCAAAAGTGTCAATCAAGTGTCAAATGTAAAACGAGACGAAACATCGAGCAGGCATGCATGGCAAGGCATATCACGACATGTGCTCTACGTACGTACGGGTCTATACCATGTAATTATTCAGAAAACACATTGTTGAAAAACCACACATTGAATTCATTGTGAAGCAGAAGAAGGTAGTAGTATGAACAGCGAACGAACAAGTCAAAGGCCCCGGGTCCTGCGAAGGGGGGAAGCCCAATTTCAATCTACGAGTGTGTGTGTGTATGTCTTTCTGCAACTACCACCATCTCCGCGTCTCTCTCTGTACGTGAGTATCGACCCCTCTCTGTATGTGTACTGTGGAAAACTTCGCAGGAAAAGGAATAAAGGAAGAGAGAAGAAAAAACATGACAATGATGGCAGAGGTGCGGTAGCTAGACAGCCACGCAACTACTACTACCACCATCGAGCGTTGGCCCATCCAAATAAAATCCAGGTTCAATCCGTTTCCATGGTTGTAGAAAAACCGTCGCCACTCACTCTTCCCTCCACGCAGATAACCCTCGGTTTCTTCCCATTTCCTTCCCCCGCCCCATAGAACACCTCGTGAAATGAATGATACAGCCGCCACCGGGTGAAAATGCATTGGACAGAAGAAGAAAAGGAAGAAAAAGGTGGACATTATATGCAGAAACCGTGCCATGCTCCTCAAGGAAGATACCAGACCCAGACATCCTCCACGCGAGAAAAATGGTGTAAGAAACTGCAAGGCGTTTTATGACGAGACAAGTTAGACCGTGTAGGATTGCTTTTTCCCTGTTTTTTCCTTGTTTTTTTGACGCATTGATTGTTGGAAAGTGGTTTGTGATTTGCGCATGTGTTTGCTGAAACATCAACCCGTATCAAATCGTATAACTACTTCGGTCCTAATGACCCTGTTGGTACATCTGCGGGTTCTGCCCGTAGGGAGATTGGGGGTAGCTGTTGCTGTTAGTGCTAGAACCGCGATAGCTGCTAGCGGGGCCATACTGTGCCATTCCCTCGGCCAACCCAGGGCTCTGAGTGCCGTATTGAGGGCCAGAGTTGTTGCCAGAAGCGGCAGGCTGGTAACCGATCGGTGGGAGTTGAGGGTGACCTCCGGGTGCTTGACCTGGGATGCCGACCTGTCGTACTTGACCGTAGACAGGCTGCTCACCAGGGTTTTCGTGGGTGGCGCGACCCTCGGCGGCGCGCTGCCTCTCCTCGTCGGCCTTGCGGGCAGCCTCCTCCTCCTTCTTCTTGGCCTTCCACTCCTTTCGGATTTCCTTGAACTCTGTGACGAAGTTGTTAGTCTCTAGACCTATAATATGTGTATTATAGGATCGGTGAGTGCCAAGATGTAGACAGCAAGGGTCGACAGATGCTAGCTTGAGTTGTTTGAGGCTATCCGTTCCAGCGGGAACACCATCAAAATAGGCGCAGCACCAACACGACCTCGAGTGCTAACCTAGCGCCATCAAGCACCAAAACCCGGGAGAACGTAAGCAACAATAATAAAATAAATCAACGCACCTTCTGGGGTTCGCTTCGCTCCATGCGACTGCATTGTGACGTGCGCGTTCAGATGGTTAAGCGTGCCATATGCCTTTTCGCATCCGTTCCAGCCACACTTGTACATGCGCTCAATCTCCTCATAACGCCTGCGGGGTCGCTTATGTTGCTGAGCACCGGGAATCGGCACAAACGAATATACTGTCGATAATGGGTGACCGCCCTGTCCGTACTAGTTAGCCAAGTCTACTATGAGTTATGCTCGAGTATTCTCCAAAATATACGCGTCTCAATGGATTGCCGACGCGTGCGGACGCGTCATCGGATGATCAGAGACTTTCGTAGAGGGAACCTACTGTTGGAGGTCGCTGCACAGGAGACACCATCGCGGGCGCGGGTGCACCGGATGAGGCTGGATGGCCGTACGGCAGGCCGTGAGGGTACTGAGCCTGAGCAGCGGCCCAGTCTGGTCGCTGTGCAGGATACATTGGGGTCTGGGGGTGCCCTTGATAGTGCTGCATTTCGCTGTGGTGCGGTGTGTAGGGCGAGTACTGCCCATGCTGTGGGTAGGTCGGGCTCGTAGCTGCGGCGATGGAAGGATCTATAGGTACATTGTCGTCAGATTTGAGTTGCGATTGCTGATGGTCAAGGTGTGAGCCATCTGGTAAAGGCATTGACGGACTCTGTGGTTGCGCCATATTGGCAGCGTTTGCTCCTTGCGGGCTTTGCTGGTATGGACGTTGAATATACTCCGGAAAGCTGCCTGAGCGAGCAGACGAAGGATTGATCGCGTATTCGGAGGTGGGGGTCGCGGAGGAAGAGAAGTTCGCGGCGCGTGGATCTTGTCCTTGAGGCGGAGGAGGATATTGCGCAGCAGATGCTTGATCTGCGAGAGAACCTTCAGAGGGAGGTTCAGGAAATGTTGGATAGGGCGAATGCAAACCTGACTGCGGATATTCCGATTGTCTTCCGTCCATAGACTGTGTCGATGGGATAGGGTTGAAGTTGCACCTCGTAGGCTGTAGGGAGCTTAGGAGGGCTTGGGTAGGTTGCGCGCTGACGGAAGAAAGAGGAATGGCCGTAGAGATATGACGGTTTGTCAACCGTCGCCGGGTGATTTGCCGCGGACACTGGGGAGTAGGCAGCTAGAAGGCAGAGGCAGGACGGAAAGAGCCAAGGGTGGTGCACAGCCAGAGTACCGGAGAATGCAAATGTTGACAGACACGATAGCGTGGACCTTAAACGCGGATGATTTGCAGACGGTGTGCTTTCCCAGGATGTCCAGATGGAGGGGGACAAGTGGTTCGGCAGATTCAGCGCCGTCGAAGATAACGCACCGAAGACGCAACCTCTCGAGAGAAGGAGAGACGAGAGCAAAGAGGGTCTAGCAGGGCAAAGAAAGAGAAGAGCAGGGAAGTGGCCGGTAGAACTAGTGAGGTATTGGGCAGTCGGATCAGAACCTCTCGAATCGCGGAGAGCCTGGGTGCGGTGCAAGTGCGGTGCAAGTGCGGTGCAGTACGATGGAGTGCAGTGCAGCGCAGTGCAGTGTAGTGTGTAGTGTGGATGGAAAGTTGCAACGCAGAGGTAGCACGAGTTGTCTGCTAGCGGTGAATGAGCTCGAACCTGGGTGTGGTGAGCAGGGGGGGCTCGTCGTGGTGGTGGTGGACCTGGTGGTGGACGACGAAGAGAGCTGCAACTAGCGGCAACGCGGTTCGATGTGGTCGTGAATACGGTGGCGTGTGCCCTGGAATAGTGTGGCACCAATGGAGTAGAAAGGACGGGTCGCCGCTTGCCCAGGCTGACTTAGCACACCTGATGAAGTAATGTTCGTACTAGAGCTAGGGGCCTGACGATGACAAGACTTTTACGAAGCCTGGCCGGGGTTGGTATGGGATGCGACGGGGGATGGGATGAGAAGGAAAATGGGTAGGGTTATGGGTATGGCCCGTATTGGTATTGGTATGGATGAGTACTGTGTATGGTTATGGGTTGCGCAGAGATCGGTTGAGCCGAGCCGTGCTGATGGGATGGGATGGCAGGATGGGTGGGTGGGAGGGGTGGGTGGTAAGGGTTGTCGTTCTGGGAAGCGCACACTAAACGAAGACGCAGACGGCACCTGGCGTATTTGGCGCAAGAAGACTGGCGCAAAAAAAAAAAAGAAGGAAGATGAGGAAGAGGGCGTGTGGTTGGTGTGGATCCGGGAGGCAAAGCTGGATCGAGCGACGGAATTTTTTTTCCTGGTAACAATGCGCGATACAGAGACCGCCGAAGGTTCCGCACCGGTCGCGTTGCTGCTCTACTCTTCTCTTGGTACCTATTTCCACGTACGTACGTGAAGAGCAGGTAAGAGCGGAGAAGGGTAGGAAATCCTGGGTGGGAAGCTGTGCTGGCTGCGTGCTGCTCGCTGCTTGCTGCTCACTGCGGCCAGACGAGTGAATAGTCGGCCCGTCGTCGGTTTAGGTTTCACGCTTTCACTCTTTCACGCCTCCACTCTTGAGCTTCCCAAAAGTCTGCACGCAGTAGTCCGACGATTCCTTGACGAGCCAGGACTTTCCCTTTCCTAATACCTCAGGTGCGCCGAGAGAGCCGGAACGTGATCAGCCTCTGGTCCGGCCGCTTTTCCGCGCAGAGAATAATGGGACTACCTATGGAGTACTAGGTACTCAGGTCGGTCAAGGTGAGAATGATACTTGACTCCACTCCACCTTGCGGACGACAATTGGCAGAGTCTAGAGAGCAAAGACTCGACCCTCACAAAGAGATCACGAGGTAGATGGGACGGTAGGGATGGCAGATGCCCTCTTTCGGCGTTCCAGATGTGGGTCGGAATAGATGGAGAGGGCGAATTGAGCGAAGGGCGATCTGGTGTGATATCGCACGTCCCTTGGTGATGCTCACTCTCGAATCTCCCACTGACTGACTATGTGTGTCTGTTGTGGTGGGTAGTGGGTGGGCTGCCACTGCTGTTTGTCCCCGGGTACCTACTTCTTTGACACTGTTAGTACGCAATCGACTGCATTGAAATGCAGCACTTGTCAGAACGGGAGCGCAGATAAGGGAACGATCCACCAACACGCAAGGCTATCTAGTACGCTGATGCGTCTGATGCGTGATGGGTGCGGGTACGGTGGGGAGGAGTGGAATCGCTCGTCGCTTGAGAGCCAACTACCCCATGAGATCAGGGCGCGACGTGTTAAGCAACACGCTTCGCTCAAGGCCGGACGCGGGTTTGCACGTGTAGAGGCACGGGGGGAACGCGCGCGCGCAAGGCCAGAGAGAATGCAGAACAGAGGCAAGGCTCGATCGGACAGATCTTTGGGGCTGGCGGCGGGCAGAATCGCGCAAGCTGCTGGCGAACGGCTGATGGCCTTTGGGGGGTTAAGGTCCAGGAAGGGGGACGTGTGTCAGAGAGGGAGACGGTGGTTGATGACAGGCGGTTGGCCCGTGAAAGGGCCTGACCAGGTGAAAGGGAAGAGAGAGGGAGTGTAGTGCGAAGAGTGGAGTGTAGGAGAGGAGAGATACGTACGGAGAGAGGTTGAAAGTAGAGAGAGCGTAGCCTGAGTCTGGTTTAGCGTGGGAGGTTGATAGACTCGTAGTGCGTCTTTATGATTGATGGTACTGGACTGGACTGGACTGGGCTGGTCCCGAGGAGCTCGATTAGTGCGAAAGGGAAGCAGTTAGGTTGGGTTAGGTTTAGGGTAAGGCGGAGAGTTGATATCGAGCTACGAATTACGAGTAATGTAATGAGCAGCAACGAGAACAACTAGTACTCGTAGTAGCAGTAGTAGAATGGGGAAAGTGTGAAGAGGTCGAAGCTAGAGAGTAGCGGGATCGTGTTGGGTTGATTGAAATTAGAAAGGTTGGTTGTATGTGGTTGTGATTGATGATGAAGAGAAGAGAGATTCGCGATGGAGTCTAGGGCAGAAGTGGGAAGGTGGGAAAATAAGAGAGAGCGAGAGAGAGAGAGAGGGACTATCTACTCGGTACTCGTACTAGGTAGTAGTAAGTGAAAAAACACGAGCGAGAAGAGAGAGAGACCGAGCGAGAGAGCGGGGGAGGATGGATGATAACGTGAATTCGTGATTGTTGTGTGCGAATGACTAATCAACCATCCAGTCATTCATCCAGTCACTTTTACAATAACAATAAGGTAACTCACTCATCCCGTCCTCATATGCACAGTACACAGTACACAGTACACAGTACCCATCATCTTGCTAAAATTACATGTACATACACACAGTGTGTACGAGGTACGGGGTACCTAGATGCCCAGATAGGTATCTATCTGGTTACCTGTATTCACAATAATGTAGATCTTGATATCTACCCTTGCCCTCTGTATCACCCAATTTGTACACTACTCGTACCTAGGTAGGTACCACTATCTAGCATCTACCACCATTACTAGCACTACTATTATTACTAGATACTGCAATTATTACAAGTACTACTCCGTAGTCACTGTAGACTTGCTGTGTAGACTATCGTCATCAGGTTAGCATGCCATGTCGTCAGGTAATATTAGGCTCCTATATTGCATTTATTTATATACACGTATAGAGTTCTCGCATATTGCAATAGTAATGATTACAAAGTACTCTATCTTCGACTTTCCCATGGAGTACAAGAGGTAACTAATAATGAGCCTCGGTGCTTTGGCGATAGGCGGTGGACACTGGAGAGTGGGCGGTGGGCGGTATGGCGGAACGCTGTAGGCGGGAGGAGGAAGGCGGTGACGGGAAGAGGAAGGAAACAACATCAAACAACAACAATAACGACCATCCATTGCTCCTTCCCTCTCGCCAATGATGCCAATATTCACTCCTAGAGTCATCACCCGTCCCTCGTCATTCTTCATCTTCACCTTAATCATCTTGATCATCTTCATCTTCATTTCTTCATCATCATCGTCATCGTCATCCTCACCATCATCATTGTCAATTGTCATCCATACCCACGCGATCCCTTGTCGATGGCAATGACTCTTATCCACCCCCATACGTGCACAAACCAATCACTATGGCACAGTATGTGCAACAAACACTGTCACATTTTTCATATCATCATACCATCATATCATCATCGCTTCCAGTACGGAACATTATTGCTTGAATCTTTGAACCCTGTCCCCCACCCACCAGGGCCCCCGGGGTCACCACCATCAAAAAATACCAATCTTTGACCGCCCAACCCCAGTCATCGTACAGCACTGTCTTTTCCGCCACCAATCCCTCGCTGGTGATGTGCTGTCCTGGCTGATGGCTGGGTCTGCGGGCATTGCTTGGACTGCAGTGTGCGCTACACCATTTTTACTGGGGGGTCTGCCTAGGGTGGGTGAATGTGTGCTCGAAGGTAGCCTCGCGTTTTCGCCCACTTGCAGCTGGGAAGGAGCATCACACAAGGCCACCATCCACCCAACCCATCAGCATATGGATTCCTCTCTCCCTGGGGTCTCACCGTAGGCCACTCTTCAATATCCAGAGGCGACTATGAGGCTGAAGACTAACTGCACGCTATCTTTCGGCAAGGACAGGGCTACCAAATGTCTCGCCGCAAGCTAAAACAACATCTACACTAATGATTTAGATATCCTCATGTTTCGTCTGTCGAGACATCACGACGACTGTTTGTTCAGAGAGTGACTTTTCTCACGATGAAACCCCCCCTGCGGCCCTGCCCAAGCGGCCTTTCTCACCTCCTCCCACTCAGCCATTCATACTTTCGAATGAGGAGGGATGCAGGGAGATGAGTGCGGAGCCAATTCCGGGACGCGTGTCCGCCGATGCGTCTTCGCGAGCCAATATTGGCTCGCGCGGGAGACAGGTCGAAACGGGCAATGAAGACTGCGTACTCAGCGGACGGGCCAGCAACAAATCGAAGGGCAAACCTTCCTGGTCGTTGCCGGGAATACCGCCATTTCCTGTCGCTTGTCGTTGGGTAGATACCTCACACTGCATTCGCATTACTTACCCACCGCAGCCTGTGATCTCAGTGCTGCGGGTGCCTTGATACACATCTTGTCGCCTCTTGCGCGACAATCACAAACGCTCTCTCATGGATGTTTATGAACACAGGGACAGTCACAACAGGACGTCCCTAGGTCAGCAATCGTGCAGGGCAAACCGTCCTCACATCGGACCACCTGGTGCTGAGTCGTGAACTGGCACGATGCGCCGTAACGATACCTACGTATCGCCCGCAGTATCTTGTGCAATGCTTCTGGCTCTCATTGCGCCATGGTCGCGTCTGCCTACCCAAGACGTATGGTCTTCTTCACCTGCAACTCAATATTGTACGCACTGTGCGGTGTGTCTGCAAGTCTGCCAGTCTGCATGCATGAGTGGGAATAATAGCAGAGGTATCGCATCGTAGCCCCACTGAAACTGGTCGCCTTCCCTTTCCTTGTTCCTCACCTGCCATGTCATTCTTCGCTCGTCAATTGTTCACGTTTCCGGCCTCGCACACATACGGTGTTGATTTTACGTGCAGTACTCGGTCCTACCATGTTTTCACGTCCCAAAAAACCCGCTGCAGTCGGTTCTGGTACGGAGTACGGAGTACTTTCTAGCTATAACGACGAGTATTGGGTCCTGCCAACAATTGCATGTCAGCAGACTCAAATGTCCTGCGTGTGTCCTGCGGCCTCAGACCTATCCTGGGATGCCTCCGTGCATATTGCTCTGCGAATGGCTGGGCTGACACAGGGAGAGACAGACACACGCCTTTTGGCCGCGACTCCACCGCGCGTACAGCCCGCGGACGACAGCATCAATTGATTATTATTGGGATGAGAAGGAGGTGCGGATAATGAACTGTCTCGCTAACCTTCCTGTAATCCATCTGCGAGAAAGCGGGGCTCATCCGTGTTCCTTGTGTCCCTTTCATTATCGTTGCTGCATCCTGCCGCCTGTCTCAGCATCATGATCTTGCTCTCCGCCCTCCTGCTGCCGTGATTAGCTGCCATGGATGGTGGTTCGTCGGAATGTTGTCCGGATCCGACGTCGCCGAGAGGTCTCGTTGCTTCCTCGGTTTGTTCATGCCAACAAACCATGGTAGCATTAACGAATTCCCTTTGCTCTCATGAACAATTCGCACAAATTACGTACTGTGTGAGCCATGGCATCTTCAAAGTATGAGCGACTAGTGCATGCAATATCAAACCATGTTGTTCATGGGATGGTGTATCACTTGTTGTTCGATGGCGGTCTTTGCACCACCAGCCATCCTTCTCCGGGAATAGCGACATGTCCTTGTACTCGCACCGTCTAATTCTTGTTTGAACGACGTTGGAACACAGGTCGTTTCTATCAAAGAAATCACCATCTCAACCTATCAACCACGCGAAGATCACAGCTGTTCCATCTGACCAAAAACAACGCCTGCCAAGTGATGGTATCTTTCACGGCACAAGATTGCACTCTGTAAATTTTCCTTTTCATTCAGACCCTCCAGAAGGTGAGCACGGTCCTCTGGGCTTACAGTTGGGGGTATTTGGAATGCTTTCTCATTGGGGCTTGATGATGGATGCCCGCCCGCCCTTGCGCCTTCAAGGAATCTTCTTTCAGGTGCCGCTTCATGACGCACTGCACCATCGGAACAGTACGGAGGACCTGTACTGAAGTCAAGGTTTGCGCGAATCACCGTTACTGAACCCAGATCATGATGGCAGAGAACCGTTCTTTGTTGACAGATTCAATCATTCACCCGCATTGCTGCGAAATATGTTTGCATATTCGCAGCATGGGACACTTCCGGTATGTCGCCGACAACCTCGGCGATGTTACCCTACCACATTGAATGAACCCTCTTTCCCTAGAGGCCGCAATAGCATGGATGAAGAGAGAAATCACCAGAAAGAATTGCCCTTATGGGAACAAAGATATGTTCGTACGAGCACCGAATCACAGAAAGCAGATAGCTGTGTTCGTGGCCGCCATGCAGCCACGGCCACCAGCTCTGGGCGCTTCCAACTGCTTCTTCCTTCGATTGCTCGGAGCCTCTCGGCAGCAATCGCATAGATGCAGAAGTCATCGTGACGATACTTGGCACCACCGCAGCTACTTGTGGGTCTCCCAAATTGTGCAAGACGACATTTGGCAATGGTAGCCAATGGTCAAAATACCTACACACAAAACCTCTCACGGCCCAGCGATCCATCGGACGAGCGCTCATTTGGAGGCGGGTCACACTAACAAGGGCAACCCCCTGGCCCATAGTGGGTCTGTGGCGCTCCCAAGCCTTCGGCCTAATAGGGGTCAGTATTTGACCGAAAGATACTCACGTGGCGGAATCGTGCAGATGAGACCTTGCAAAGTGTGGAGATCTTGGACGACCAACTGGCCTCATCGCCCGACACCCATGTCGGCACATTTCCGGACAACCGGGTTTGGCATACCGCCGCGAACGACCGTAGTTGAGGCCACCGGGCTTAATACTCCCTTCAATGATTACCTGATGATGGAGGAATCACTTGCGATGGAAAGCAGAGCGATAGCGATAGCGATATCGCCCAAGTCGTACCAGGGTGCGAGGAGAGCAGTGCAGCATCCTACTCTACCCTGCATCATGAACACACACACACGCATCTGCCACCAATGTCCACAATCGGATCTGCATTTTTTTCAATGCTGCAGCACATGCGTCTGCATTGCATAAAATTTCAGGATGCCTTATTGAACCAACGGCCGACCTTCCTATTGCAAAACGCAGTTACATACCTGATCACAACTGATTGACCAAGAAACGAGATTCCATGCCATGCTTCGGCATGGAGATAAGATGTGTTGTACGAACCGCTCTGTGGCCCGCCGTTGACACGATGTCTCGCAGTCAGCATCATTGCCGTGCAGCTCAACCCAGCCGCGCGTGGTTGAGGCATTATTCACGATCATTCGATGCAAAATGATAATTCGTCACGAATACCAGCTCGCGAGGAGCTGATTAGTGCGGGAGATCCCAATGTATGTGCAGCATCACTCAGGGCCACTCCAGAGCCCCAGAATTGCCTTCAGATGATAATGCCTTTTTTCGTGTTGATATTCGCTACCCTTCAGTAGTGCTTCCCATCTCAATCTGGCGCTACCGCTAGATAGGACTCGATCCTGTTCACAGCGAGCTTCTCTGCCGTTCAGTACAACTCTCGTGTGCTTCTCTCCTGTCAACGCTGTGGTCTACAAAAGTCGCCGAGCAAATCAATGTGATGCTTCTCCTCCAAGTACACCGAGAATTGTCCATTGAGAGGGTGGGCTCCTGCAGCTTTCTGCAAAGACTACGAAGCGACATAACTAACTATTGTTGATATTGATGACATAACCTCAAGGCGCTATTCGCGTTCGCAAACTCAAATGCTCGCCGCAGATCTCCGACTATTCGACCGACCGCCCGACTGTTCGCCTTGCCATACCTCAGCCTGGACTCACGATTCACTGCCCAAGGCTTTGCGGCTTCCACTCAAGAGGCGCCTCTGTCCCCATCCGTCCCGGAAGCTGCACCACCACCACCAGAAATATGTTGACATTATTATTGCAACGCGCCACAAGAGCGCCCTGGAATCTGCCAAGTTCAATGTTTCATTCTCCGTCCCCAATCTTACTCCGCTAGAACGACCGTAGAACAACCGACTGCACTGACCCAGCACCCTCCATCGGTAATGGTTGGATGAAGCGATAGCGTTGGTCGGGATATGCTGAATCCTGAGCGTTCGATATTCAAGAACCCTGATCATGAGCTAGGCCATCTTGTGTACGACCTGCATCCTTGCACAGGCACTTCTCCACACAATGACTTCGCTCGTAATGCCGCTAACATTTGAGTGGATTAATGTTATTGAGCCAAAAATTCGCAACAGTCGGTCACTTTTCGGTCAAAGCTTGTCTCCGGTGCCCCTCCACCAACATCATCATACTTTCGATATCTCCAATTCTTTTTTTTTCCTTTTCCATCTTGGGCGCTGATGGGCAAGGACGTGAAATACGGTTACCCTTCCCCATCTCATCACGCATGATCTCATGAAAATTTGCCGTTCCCCATCTCGAGTCAGTATGAGTTCATGTCCCAGATTATGAGGCACGGTCTCATTGCCTTTGGCCCATAACTTTTCGTACTGCTTACCCGCTTCACCCCCCACTTGTTCTTGAATCAATGAATTGCGACGACCCGCTGGAAATAGAGCTGCCATGACTTGTGATCCGGCCGGAAGGGAATGTGTATTATGGGATTGGCAGGAATTTTCTTTTCTCCACGAATGCAACCCTTGTCGATTGCTCGCATCGATTACTGAAATGTCATTGAGGCCGAAGGAGGTCGGGGAGTGAATTTTTTTCCTTCCCTCGCTTCCGATATCGTTGCTGACAGGGACGAGTCGGATGCAATTGCTGGGCAACAGATGCAGACGCGTGATATGGATCCAGAACTCGAAAAAAACCTGGGAGAGGAAGGCCTACTCGCAGGGGAAGGTGTACCGATCTACGAACCCTCGTCGCGGAGGAGAGGCCGTTGGAAGCTCTAGTCTACAGGATCTCCGCCAGATGCTGTTGGCTTACAGCTCGCTCACCTCCATCTACACTTGAGCGAGTCGAGTTTCGCCCACGTCCTGCACGTATTCGTGTCTAGCAGGGTGAGAGAGGGAAATCAAGCATTTTTCGAGCCTGCCGGACCCCAACGAACGAACGCATCGGCTAGCATGGGGGTCGATTCGTGACAGGACACCGTCTGTTGCCTACGAGCGACCAACCTGCAGCTCGCTCCTTCGCTTGCAGGCTTCTGCCAGCACTGTCAACACGAGCACGTTGTGCCCACGTGCTGCTACTACAGTATGAACGCCTACGGATTTCCTCCAGCGAGCCCGACTTATCTTAGATTGCGATAGGAAGTGCACCCTGAGTATTGATCCATGTGCGAATCTCACAGCTAGAACAAATATCTTCCATAGCTTCTCACTATAGTCCCCATGATCAGGGTAACTGCTAACACTACATGGACCGACGGTAGTCGTAGTAATTCGTGTACTAGCTAGTTCGTTGTGGCATCAGACAAATCTTAGACCTTGTGAACTGTATCCCTGATATATATAACAGATCCATAACCACCAGAAGTACAATTCTGTAGTCTATTGAACCATCTAATAGAACACAATCTCAAATCTACTCTCCCTCCGTCCAGAAATTCAATTACAATCAATCAAACATCAATCTCCTTCCTTTTCTACCAATTCACCTACAGAAACCATAAAACAACTAAGTAAACAACAAACACGCTTGATACTTCATATTCCCCCGTAAAAAAAACCATACGAACCCCACCCAAAAATAACCGTCCTCGTTCCTTCTACAAGTAGAAGAAAACCTTAACCCTTCCCTGCATTCCCTACACTCACCGATCACAAAACAAACCACCCGTCCCACTCCCGTCCCGTCGTCCCGGCTTGCCATAACAAACACACACACAGGACGCAGAGCAGAGAGACGGCAAGCCACCAACACCGCCTACCAAGAAAACCCTCGTACAATGCACAGTACATAAAACGTCTGATTCTCCCGCGATCTTGGGCGCCCGAAGCGAAGTGTCCAACCCCGTTTCGGCGCCCGGAACGACGTCGAAGCGAGGGGACCAATTCGTACGTGCATATATGTAGGTGTAGATGTAGACGTATGCGTACAAAACAATGCATGACACGACACGAGCAAGTCTAAACTTCTCAGTGCACCTGCATAATTGTCACGGGTGAGAACGCTTCGTTACGGGTGCTCGGTGTCCGTTACGTCTAGTCACGTCATGTATTGTGTCGTCCCGGTGACCGGGAGGGAGGGAAGCTTCGGATCGTGTATGGGATGTGTATTTTGTTGTGGTTGGGGATATGTGTATAGGTATGTGTGAACTTTATGTGTTGTATAGTGCATGATCTATGCGGATGGGTTATGGTTGATGTATAACAATTGTAGTTGTGATATAAAACACAAGCCTTGAACCATGATGATTATATTTTATATCAGCGTGGATGGTGTACAATAGGAAAGAGCCAAGCTCCTGCGTATATTCAATGTTTGCATTTGATGTTTTCGTTTCTGGAAAATGTGTTGCGTGCGTGATTCTACATTTATATATATACACTCTAAGACCACTGATACAATTACATACCCTACATCCACGCATGACTACCATATGTCTACACCATACCCCTATCCGTCACTCCTATTAACTTCACTCCTAGATAGCAGACATTTGGGTATTTATGACACTCTGCTGTTTAGCTATTGTTTGTGTACACGGTGATACATTCACTCGATGTCGAATGAAGACAAATAAACAAAACAATTTTTCGTAGTTTCATGTATCTAGTCCATTTGTATATTAATTAATACATCCTTTTCCTTCTTATGAGTTCGGTTTTATGTCTATTGCAGTCCTCCATTTTCCCAAAACTTTAATTTTCATTTTTTCTTACATGGGTATCAACCAAACCCATACCAACAACAACTAAAAGACCCACAACCCTCAAAAAGACCACGAATATAACATTGATTTAAACTAAAACCAACACCAAAGAACCAGGAACGAAAAACCACAGTAACCAAACCCAATATATACTTCACTATCACATCCATTTTATTTCCCCCCTTCCGTCCTTGATCATTGAGACTTCTGTAGATAGATCGTCGATACCAGCAACGTGAAATTCACGAAAACCCACCTCATGAAACCCACGCTTGAGAGTAAAGGATGTACATTGCTATGGAGTTAAACGAGGAAGATAGAGGTTGCGTTCGAGAATGGCGAATGTTGTTAACGTTATGATGAGCCAGGAGTTATGGGCGTTATTTGAAGTGAGGACTTGTGGAGTCATTCGACGCTGGATCGAGGGTATGTGTGCGTTTGTCTATATCACATGAAGCGCGAAGGAGGATCTGTGATTCGATCATTGTAGGATCGGATGGTGGTAGGGTCAAGGGTTCTGGACATTCCATGCCAGGAAACTGTATCAAAAAGTCTGTAGGATGCTAACTCGAGAACAGCTGCATGCTCCTGGGCGTAACATATGGTCGTGTCATGTTAGGCACCGCGTATCACTCATGTTATAACCATCACGTAGAAAAGAACGAAACAGATAAATCATATCAAGGTATATTCTATGTCCCGATCGGAAAATGTGAACTATTAACAAACTTTTGTCGGGATGAATAACGTCAAGACACCACTTTGCTCCTGAATGCCAGTGAACCACCGCGAAAAATACTAGGAAAAAAAGAAAAGCAATGGCAAGGCTGCATGTTGCAGCACTTTGACGGGAAAGTATCGAAAATGCCAGTCTAATGGAAATCATGCCTGAGGGTTAAGGGCCTAGAGAAAACCCCACTTCCGTTTTTCCGTAGGGCTCAGAGAGAATATTACAAGGACGAAAGGGCCTCAGCAGGTAGGCACCCGGGTTAAAGAATCTCTATGTCAAAACGCCATAATGAAAGAGGTATCGCTATCGCAGTCACATTGGTGCCGAACGTGCTAGCGCAGTGGTAGTCAACGGGGGTAGGACCGCGAAGGTGGATCGTGGTCTACCAGCGGCTGTTACGGACAGGTGCATTGTTGCTTCCAGTCCAGTCTAGATTCAAGGGTTAGCAAACGTTCATTTGAAACAATTCTTAGGATGACTTACTGCCTCCTCCACCACGGTGTCCACCACGGCCACGACCGCCACCCCATCGACCACCGCCTCCGCCACCGTAGCGCGCCATCTCATGCAGCTTGGGGTCAATTTGTTGCTTGGACTCGGTAAGTACAGAGACGAGATCACGAGCCTGCTTAGAGTCTGCGACGAGGTTAGCATACTGTTCAATTGGAAGAAAGACGGAGGCAACTTACTGTCGGTGGTGAAGAGGGTAATGGCGGTACCCTTGGCTCCGGCACGACCGGTACGACCAATGCGGTGAACATAATCTTCCGAGTTGTTCGGGTAGTCATAGTTGAGCACATGGGTGATGTTACGTACATCTTGAAAAAGGAAATGTTAGCATCTCAGTAAATAGGGTAATCAAAAGCGACCAAAATATGGATCGCGTGAAGCTGAAGAATGTTGCAAGCAACCGTCTCAGCGCGCTACAAGTGCATGGCATGGGTCCAGTAGGAAAGGCTGCGAAAATCTCCTGGTCCAGGAAACCTTGGAAGAGACTGCGACTTGCGTGAGTCAAATTGAATCTCATCATGCTTCAGGCACATTTCAGCATTACCTGAAACCTGAAACAGAAATCGGCGAAGACAGCAGCTTCGCCGATACACCCAAGGATCCCTGGCTATCAGTTACGAGAACACAATAAGCCCTGGACAATGTCATGGTGTACCATCCGCGGATGGTACATGGAAAGCGCACGAGACGTATCGAGCAGAGCACCTTTACAGATCACGCAGTAAGATATATCGGGGGGCTTAGTGATGCCCGGGGGGGAGGGGGGAGGGGAGTGGGATTTGTTTTCATACCAATACCACGGGAAGCCACATCGGTGGCGACCATAATGGGGCTGTTTCCTGTCTTGAATTCGTTCAGAACCCAATCACGCTCGTTTTGCTGCTTGTCACCGTGGATAGCTGCGGGACATTATTAGCTTGGGTGATTTTAAATGTCAAAGTGGTGAACTTACACAATGCTGGCCAGCCGTCTTGACGAAGGAATCGTGTAATCTCGTCGGCAACGCGCTTGGTACCTGTGAAGATCAAGATCTTGTTGTTCTTATCGTCCATGATAGTCTCCAAGTGCTTGGTCATGCGGTCACGCTTCTCGAACTCAGACACCACCTCAACGATCTGTTGGATGCGGTGGTTAGCAGAGAGATCCATGGAGCCGATGTTGACCTGGATCCAATCTTTCTGGTAGTCAGCAGCCAACTGGCGAACCTCCTTGGGCCATGTGGCAGACCACATGCAAGTCTGACGATCGGGGCGAATCTGTCCAATGATCTTGCGGATCTGGGGCTCGAAACCCATGTCAAGCATGCGATCGGCCTCATCAAGCACAAGGTAAGTGACACGACGCAAGTTAGTCTTGCCGGCCTCCAACATATCGATCAAACGTCCGGGGGTAGCAATGCAGACTTCTACACCGCGAGCAAGGTCACGAATCTGAGGGCCCTTGGGGACACCACCGTAGACGCAAGTGTTTCGGATACGAGATGACTTTCCGAACTTGCTGATTTCCTGCTGAATTTGAACGGCCAACTCACGCGTAGGGGCGAGGATGAGCACAATGGGACCGTCGCCTGGCGCGAGAAGAGGCTGTGCGTTGATGTGGACGATGGCGGGGAGGCAGTAGGTAAGGGTCTTTCCAGATCCAGTCTCGGCAATACCGACGACGTCACGTCCGGAAAGAGCCATGGGCCAACCTTGAGATTGGATGGCAGTGGGCTTTGCAAAACCTTGTGCCTTGACCTCGTTCATAACGTATGCTGGGAAACCGGCCTCGTCGAATGTGGTAACGGGCTTAGGGACGTTCTTGCCCTGGATGGTCATCTGACTGGCTTTTCGGAACTCGTCTACCTCAGCAGGCGTTCGGGCAGTGACTGCGGGATCTTCCTTGTAGAACGACTTCTCAAACTTGGGGAGGGCATCGAGATCTGGTGAGATTAGTAACTTGCATATCCAAGTAGATGGTTGATTCAACATACCCCATTCTTGCTGCTTCAGGCCCTGGCCGAGGTTGGACATGCGGTCGCCGCCACCTCCGTAGCCGCCGCCTCCATATCCACCACCACCACCACCTCCTCCACCGTATCCGCCGCGGCCACCGCCATAGCCGTTCGAGTGGCCATTGCCGTATCCACCGCCGTTAGAGTAGCCGTTGCTGCCACCGTATCTGATAGATAGTTAGTGAGATGCTCCTAAAGTTGATCGGATAGAAGGGGGATTTCTACGCTGAAACAGAAAGAATGTCGACACCACTTTCATCAATATAGAAAGAGATGGATGGACACGATCTGCGCGTAGAAATCATCAATAAAGAAAATCGCGTGCTGGACAGGGCCACCGATGACACCAATGATGCTTTTCTTGCTTGAAGATACTCGCATACCCATACGCAGTAGTGTATTGGTTGTAATGGTGATTGTAAGCCCCGTATCCACCGCTTTGTTCGCCGTACCCGTTGCCGTTGGAGTGGCCGTTGCGACCTCCGTAACCTCCGTCGTAAGACATGGTTGATGATCTTTCAGTAGGGACTGGTGAAAAGACAGACTATGAGGCAGACGAGGGAGTGTATCCTGTCTCTATTTCGCGAAGTCGCGAGAAAACTGTAAGTAGCGACCTGGGAGAGTCACTGAAAACTTGAAAAAGGGAGAGATCACACGAAGAAAGATGTTGATCTTGTGGTGAGGGAGATGAGAGTGAAGGAGAAAAGTTGGGCGTTGCAGTTTGCCTCGCCCTTTCAAAACTTTTAGGGTCTGCGCCGCCAAGGAAGGAGCTAACTGTAAGTGGCAAAAAAGGGTTTGTTGTCACGTGATAGTAATCGATGCGGTTTTGCCGGCCCTAGAGGAGAGAAAGAAAAACAAAGAGAGTGACTAGAGAAAAAAAAAGGAAAAGTCTATCATTATTTCTTGCTAGCCTACGATAGACGCGCACCATTTGCTGCTAGCCCCATGTCCCAGAACCCTCTCTCCATCTATCGTCATCAGTCATCCGTATGGCTCTTATGTTTGAACAACCGAAAGGGGTCCTCACCTTAGTAGCATGGATGAAAATCTCCGCTAGTTCATCGATCCTTGAGACAGACTGCTTTTGTGCATGTCCCTCAATTAAGTCTACAGAACTTCATCAGTCTATTGGTAGATACCGTTGTTGTGTGCTTACCTGATCCGTTTCGAACTGCCTCAACATAGTCGTTTCCGATGTATGTCTCAATCCATTTCCAGTACTTGTTTCCATCCCTTTTGGATTTTGGATCATCATAAAGTCGGCGCGCAATGATGCCATATCCGATGAGACATGGTAGAAGCGCTATTTGTAGAGCCAACCAGTCCTCTGATTGACCGACATCCAAGACATACCTGTCTCTGAAGTGAGTGAATGTTCAGCCCGACTTGAAGTTGTATACTTGCCTTGTGTATGCAGTGCACGCTGGGCAAGGTTAGTAATGTATATTCCTGTTCTGGCCATTGTGACTTAAATACCTTGATCTTCTTCCTGTTTCTCGATATCATCCACTGATAAGCCGTGTTCTCGGCAATATTCAATGTGCAACTTCATCTCTTCCTGCAAATGAAGCACTTGTTGCGCAGACTGGTGGTATAGTTGGCATGAGTTCCAGTGTTGAGGCCGAGTCAACTTACCCGTCCAATGTCTGTTATTGATTTTGATTTGTATGAAGCCAATGCATTTGCACGAGCGAATTGTATCTGTAGACGTATTAGTATATGAGCCTTAAAAATGATTGCATTCTCTTACCAGGAAGAGATAATCTTGAATCAGATAGTGGCTGAAATTCTCAATAGGAAGTGACCCATCGGCAAGCTGCTGAACGAATAAGTGCTCTGTATATTCCTTCCACGGCCCGCGCACGTCTTCTCGATCAAGTAGATATGGAATGAAACCGCCTCTGATCTTGTAAGTCACAGCAAGTATAGATTGTGTATCAACTTACGGAGAGAATGGTAGAGTGTACACAGAGTGGAAATGATTGATAGGACCATTGCCGCAACCAAGATCTTGGCTTGTCTTGATTCCTGCCTCGATGTAGAGGTTAGCTTTCTTGACAGCAGCTATGATCTCCAGACCATATGCAAGATTGCAAGCAATTGCCGCTAAGAAAACGTCAGCAATGTGATACCAATCCGATATCAATGACGTACATGCTAGAGAGCAACCTGTTCCGTGAGTGTTTTTGGTTTTCAAGTAATCAGATTCCATCAAGGTTGCGTCTCCATCACCATAGAGCACATTAAGTACAATATGTTGATCCGCCTCCTCTTTGGATACAAGGCGACCCTTGGTAAGAGGTAGATGACCTCCTTTAAGAAGGACATATCTTGGGCCCAACTGTTGTATCGATTTGGCGATGGAGATGATATCGTCAACATTCTGCGGTTCTTTGAATGGGACACCTGCAATCTCTAGAAGCAGCTTAGCTTCTGGTAGATTGGGCGTCAAGATTGTTGTTAAAGGCAGAAGATCTTTGATCAGGGTCGACACGGCTTCTTTGGGCAATAATTGTGAGCCACTCGTTGAGATCATCACCTGATTGCATTAGTGCACCCTTGATATATAGGAGCATACGGAAATGTGTTACTGGATCGACCACGGAGACTTTGACATTGTGACGTCGAAAACTATCGGCAACAACACGTACTGCATCTACGGATGCTAGCATACCTGCAACGAATTAGCAATGTTGGATGCAAGAGATCATTAGATCAACCTGTCTTGACAACATCAACGCCAATATCCTCAATGCAAGCATCAATTTGCTTTTGCAGAAATGGTGGAGGTGTGTAATGTATGTCGACCACTCCTAAAGTATTTTGGGCCGTCAACGCTGTGGTTGCCGTCATTGCATAACACCCATGAGTAGCGATGACCTTTTGGTCCGCCTCGAGGCCCCTGTCCAATTGTAAGTTATGCCCTGTGGTCCTAATTGGGAATATGGACATACGCTCCACCTGAGCTATCCGAACCGGCAATGACAAGGATCCTTTTTCGAGCCATTGGGAGGATTGATACTGTATCCAATAAAGTTGCCCTTTTGCGGGTTACACTGAGAAATTCTTTGCAACCCCGCGCGCCATTGTCGACCTAACTAAGCGAGTAATACGTCAGGCTCGTATCCAGCAGTGCAAATAATATCATAATCGAGTTCCAGGTGTATAATATATTTCTGATATGACATTTTTCATTTTGTGATATATAGCTCTTACAGGAATATATTTGGGGCTTTCGTAAATCCCATAATGTTCGCGACCTCTTACTCTCACTGACATGCGTTCTTACATACTGTGTAGTCGCTTGCAACAAGCGATGCATCTTACACTTGATTATTGTGCTTTATCTAAGGATTTTCATTTCGGAAGCTAGATCTACATATTCTAATGCTTGCAACATGAGACAAGTCAGAAAAGGAGGACTCGAAGGTCACCACAGACCCTGAACCTGAGACACCCTCTGAGTGGGTGCGACCGCTTCAACATTCTCATCTTCGGTCTCAGTTCGCGATAGTGTACCGCTATCTCTGAAGGTTGGAAAAACTGTGTTTGCATTTTCAGTGCTTGCGTCCCAACCTAGCGTTTCCTCTTCTTCGTTGTAGTCGACAGGTTCCCACTGTGCATCTTCTTCCTCATCATTCACGAAGAGGCTATCCGGATTAGATTCCACAGGCTTAGGAGACGCTTGTCGCCTCGCTGCAGTTGCGCGACGCCGTGCAGAGAGTCGGGATGCAGGCTCACTCGGTGGTGGCATTTCAGATCGGTCTGAGCGGAAGCTTCTATTGTCCACCGAAGCAGAATGTGCCCGGGACGCTGCACGGCTAGGCATTTGCTGAGGAATAGGGGTAGGAGTTGCACCACCCTGGTAGTCACCAGAGGTCATGAGTGTGAACTCGCCCAATATACCATGCTCATTGCCATACCAGAATTTCAAAGGTCGTGTTGGCACTGAGTAGTTCGCTCTGAGATCTGATTTAAGGGTGTCTGCATGCGTGACAATCGCTTTGAAATCTTTGACGCTGATGATGATATGCAGTCCTGGTTGTACATCGAACTCTGCAAAGTCACTGGTATTTACGGCAACTGCGGTCACAAGCGGATGTTTCAAAATTTCTTTCCCGTTCGTGATCTTCTCGGTATAGCTTTTGAAGACAGCACGGCCGTCCTCGCCTGCGAAGATGTCAAGCATCTCGGTCTTTGTGCCAAAATACTCGATGTATTCCCTGAGCACACCCGAGTTGATACGCCAACGATTTTTGGCAGCGTTGGCATCGAAAAGCGCATGCATGACCTCGACAGACTCATAAGTCAACTTGTAAGTCTTGACAACTCCTTGATTGCAGATCATCTTGACAATGAATCGGCAGTGCGTCTCATCGGGACGGTCCTGGATGCTGACTTCGCAGCGATCAATAGCGCCGTCTCTGCCCAAGGGATCGTACAGTCGTCCCTTGAAGACGGATAGCAAGGCTTTGGAGTACATGCGAAAAGTGAAGCGGCCATCTGAACCGCTTTGTGAGGTGTTGAATTCATAGGACTCGAAACATCTGGTTGCGTCCAATGTGAATGAGGCATATGCTGATTTCGAAGAATTCAAAGCAGTGAGTGTGAGCTGCGAGGAACGTAAACGGTTGGAATGATGGCAAGATCGCATTTTGGATGGATACTTACCCTTTCCTTCCGTGCCTCGAAAGCGACAGTGTCGCTGAATTTGCCCAAACATACGAGAACATCGTGAACCCTGGCGGCCGTCTCAGGCGTAAGGGAGAAGTTCAATACTACCATTGTAGCTCATGGTCGAAGAAGTTAACCCGAAACGCTATACTCTCGAGGCGTCCAAGTACCTTTCTACTCACCAGTATAGTAAGAGGTAAGACGAGAAGGAAACTCCCATGTGCTTTCGCGCGTCTTTTCCGAAAACGCGCTAGTCGCTAATCGACGTCACCCAGAGACGCGCTCCCCCAACACTTAACTATCCATGATTACAACAACTCCATTGTCAAAAACTCATCTTTGAAGATGAGTGCCGCACTTCCTGACGATATTTTCCACCTTTTGTGTGAAGAACTTGCTGTTCAAAAAGATTTTGACACGCTCTTCGCCTGTGCTTGTGCAGGCAGAATACTAGCCGTGCCAGCACTTACGAATTTGTACAGGTATTGGCACCCCTTCATTTTTTCTCTGCTATTCCAAAATATTAGGCATTGGCACACTGATTAATATAATACAATAGATCACATCACTTGGCTCCCATAATTGGTGGCGGAGAAGATGAAGCTGTGCCTTTTGTAACGAAACAATTGCTCGTTCTCAAATGGTCAATCCTCTGGAAGTCTATCATAGCATCAAGTTTGAATGCAACTCTATTCCCCTACTGTCGCTATATAAAGCATTTGGATTTTCGAGACCTCCAGAATCTGTTCTATGATGACAAATTTAGGGGCAAAGTTTCCAAGTCAGTTTCTTTGGCTTCCACTACAGAGTTGATAGCTGATGTTTGATACAGCCAATTCTTTTCCGGGCCGTTGTCAAGATTTCACATGACGGAGAGAGTGTCTCGGGGCAAGCGCAATTTTGATGTACTAAACGTCGTACCCATTTTGGATGCCATTGGGGAGGGTAAGCGCCTCATTCAACATCCCTCGACCCTGCTAATTCTCCTGAAGAAGTTACAAAGCATACGCCCATGATTGAAGTTATCAGTGGTAAATGTGCGTATCACTCACCCCAACATTATGTGCCTTTATTAATGGATTAAAAGTGGTTTCATCTGCCTTGGTCCGATGGGCACCACGAATTCCTCGCCTTCAGACGCTAGAGCTTGAGGATGGCGTACCACTCGAGGATGAACTGGTACATGCTTCAATACAGCAGCACTGTCCTCATTTTAGTTCCCTTAGTATATTCGGATGGTTTGTACCCATGTCTTGCAAGTCTTGACCATGCACTAAGATCGTCTAGGGCAGCTCAAGAGCGTGATCACAAACTATCCACATTTCTCAGCGCACTGAGGCCACAATCACTGAGGTCATTGGAAACCATTCGCGATATTGGTGTTGGAGCCGAAACATTCCTCGCCTTGAGTACTCACAGCAAATCACTGAAAGAACTCGAACTTTGCATATCTGAGGACGCATTGCCACACCTGTCTCTACTACAAGGATGCACGGCGCTTGAAAATCTACGTATTGAAGATACTCTGGGCACGACCAACCTTGAGAAGACCCAGAATGATGTGTTTTTAGATATGGTCAGCTGGTTGAGAAATTGCAGCAATATACGCCGCATCAGCTTCAGTAGGCTTCAGTCAGCTTCCGCCATCATCACTCCACTATGCTTGGATCCAACTATCAAGATACGTCAACTAGAACTAAATCAAGGCGCTTACGTGCCAAAAGACTGTCAGACCTTCCACCAAGCGCTGGCCAATCAGGCATCTTCTTTGGAGGATCTATCTCTTACCGGCGATACGGACGGGATGTTTCGAGATGATATCGACATCATTGTCGACTCATTGAAACAGCTCACCCAGCTACGCGAGCTGAAATTAGTTCTTGTCCAGGAAGTCTTCCACGATGAACATCTCATATCTATACTCGGCAACATGAAGCTTCTAGAAGATGTCTACATCACTGGCATGGAGATCAAAGATGAGGTTCTAGACTGTGTTGCCAAACTCGACAATCTAAAGAGCGTCTCATTCTCAGGAATATCGAAGTTCACGACTGACGGTCTACTTGAATTCGTTTCAGAACTTGGACCTGGAAACAGAGGCATCCGCGTCATGGTCGATATGGCGGACCCTGAGACCTTGTTATCTGATGAAGAGGTAAACCTTGTCCGTGAGAGCCTCTGGGAGAAGGCTGGTGGTACATTGGAATATATCCCATTCAAAGGTAAGACTTAGATTGGATTTCGAGTGTCTTAATTAACCAATTACAGATCCAAACGTTCCGGACTTCGATGAATCAGATTCAGACTAGACTAGCGACGTTTGTTGCGGCAAATCAGGGATGGTCACGTTGAAGCATGCATTGTTAGGAGTGCCATGGCCTGGTGCACTAGATTGTTCGAGTATGGAGTTTGCGTCTTGGATATTATTGGTGTCTAGGTTACGGGTCTAAAATGTTGGAGTAATGAAGCTCGATCTTCACCAAGTCTATTGGTGGGCTGGGCAGGGAGTCTTACGCGCCCAATCTGTAGAAACATACGATCCTAATAGGAACGGTTTTATTCGATTGTTATGAAGTACATTTATCAAGATCCCCACACAACTGAATACCGTAGATGCTATTCGATATTTTGTTGTACTGTCAACTCCACCACATCATTTACTTCGGCCAAGTTAGACGACTGACTGCGCACTTCAGTAAGTACGAAACTAGTCGCCTGGGCTGCACCAATCGACAAAATGCTGCCTGGAATGTCGATTTCGTTCCATCTGCCGGTGACACAACACCTGGGCATAGCAGGAGGCGGATCCATGGTAGACACATCTCCGCAATTGCCGTGCTCGCCCCAACCCCAAGAGATCAGTTTAGAGGGAGAAGTGTCCGAAGCTCGAGTGAGCGCGAGAACATGTTCCGAACCAATGGCGATCTGATCAAGTGGTGGTAATCCAGGCGGGACTAGTTGGTAGAGGAACTCCTTGCCCCAAGCTTGCAGAGTGCCGTCCTGGTATAAGACGTAGATGGCGTTCCAAGTAGCGCCAATGTCCTTCCAATTTTGAATGGAAGCTGGCATGTTGCTTTTCAAGCCGCCCTTGTCCTGACCTAGGATCAAATGTCTACCGTCCGCTGGATCTGCTACAATGTACGTGAACTCCTTGCCGCATACAATCTTGACAGCTTCGAAGCCTATATCTGGAAGTTGTCTCGGTTCGGATATTTTCTTTGTACTCGATTCCTGGAGATCACCTAATTGGCTCTTATTCGCTTTCCCCCAACCCCAGACTTGTCCGTTCTTGAGCACTGCTACATAATGGGAATGACCTGCCGCGAATGAGCGCACCTGATCTGGTAGAGGATCGAGTGGATCTAGGTATGATCCCGCTGATGACCGAACGGTGCGGATCTCTGCTGTGCTTATGCATGCTCCGCGGCCCAGCTCGCCATCTAAACCCTTTCCCTCGGTATGGATAACTTCATTGAGCGCTTCCGTAGCTGAACCTTGAAGCACATACGCAGAGGAATCCCAAGTCGCTGCACAGAACGCAACATCGTTGCGCTTGAGAGTAAATTCGCAGAGGCTGGTCTGCGCCGGGTCCTCTATAGCTGCGACCTTGGAGTTGGGAGGGGAGGAATTGAAGTAGCCTAGCTGGCGGTCTGTATTTTGACCAGCAACGAAGACATTGCCGTGTTCATCCTGTAAGAGTGTATGCTTTGAACCGCCCACAATGGACATGGACCAAAAGCTGGCTCCCCGAATTGCTCGAGTAGGTATGAATACCTTCTCCTCTTTGCATCCGGTGCCTAGTTGCCCTTCATCATTGGCTCCAAATACGAAGAGATCGCACCGGGTTGATTTATCACCTCCAGACATTTTTGAATAATATTGGGAAGAACCAGGATCTCGATTGAACCGTAACTATTGGATCTGACCAAAGACCGGAGTAGGATTTGAAGTGATGGACAAATGAATCGATTGTAGTTCGCCATGCCCAAAGATCGGTTCTACAAATAGAAAATATATTCAAAATCCAAGATCTCGAACAGGAAAACAAATTGCATCAAACTATAAGCATATTTTCATACATGCCTGGCTACTTGCATCAAGTCCAAAGCATTATGAAGCACAAATACTTGTTGCACAATAATTGTGAAGTCCTCCTCGTACAGTTGTACTTGGCGCATCCGTAGTCTTTCGGGTGGTGGGATTTTCAAACCACGCTAATGCATGTATGACTAAGGAATCAGCTAAGCACACCGCAAGTGCCCAGGCTGAATCTTCCCGAGGGGGCTAGCGCGCCGCACACTCGAATTCTGAATCTCCAACGTTTCTTTCTACCGACGACGACATTGTTCAACACCACGCCCACATCAACCACCCTTAACGCACGTTACCGGAGAACAGTCGCCCAACATGGCCACCCAAAGCGTGCAATGCTTCGGCAAGAAGAAGACCGCGACTGGTACGAGACGCTCCCTTGACGCCCACGATACCGTCTGAGAAAGTTTGAATCAAATTGGCTAACATAACCTCACTGTAGCTGTCGCCCACTGCAAGGTACATCTCCAATGCCTCGACCGACCAGACGAACGAACAGAATACTAAATACATCGTGAACAGGCCGGAAAGGGACTCATCAAGGTCAACGGAAAGCCCCTCTCGCTCGTCCAGCCCGAGCTCCTCCGCTTCAAGGTCTACGAGCCCGTCCTCATCCTTGGTGTTGACAAATTCGGTACGCAACAAAAATATTCTCCACATCCTTCACACACACGCAGGAGACAGATATTGACAATTGGGAATTACAGCCGACGTTGACATCCGAGTTCGCGTCTCTGGTGGTGGTCACACCTCGCAAATCTACGCCATCCGTCAAGCCATCGCCAAGTCCATCGTCGCCTACTACCAGAAATACGTCGACGAGCACAGCAAGAACCAGCTCAAGCAGGCTCTCGTCCAGTACGACCGAACCCTCCTCGTCGCCGACAACAGGCGGTGCGAGCCCAAGAAGTTCGGCGGTCCCGGTGCGCGTGCGAGGTACCAAAAGTCTTACCGTTAAGCGAAGGATTCGGATCTGCGGGGGCAATGGTTGCGGTGTTTTATCGTGGGCTTTTCATGGGTCTCATGGGTCTCTTTCGCAGTTCTATGACTGGGTGCTTTGCGGCATAGTGCGGGCATTCAAATGGACTCGCGTCTTGTGACGATACAAAAAGAATATATTGGTTGCAAGGCACAAGATATATGATTATGTTATGATAACAGAACAACCGTGCTGGTGTTATACACGCAATGACTTGTGGGAAAATGACAATCATGCAGCCGCCTAAGAGGCTCGTTTTGCCTACGACAAGATATTGATCCTGCGCCATCGCTTGCAAGCATCACACGAAAACCGCTGAAATTACTATGCTCTCGCTTTGATTGATGTTTCTCTATCGTGCCGCCTAGCTGAGCGATCAACCGTCGCTGCCGCTGCTCCTGAATGCAGCACACAAGGCTGCATACTGGTGGGTAAGATCCAGCACGTGCTGAGGCAAACTTGTTCCCTGGATGATGCTTCGAACCTTGACAGCACCCTCTTCTTCAATCAACTTGCGAATCGTGTAGAGGAGTGATGGAGAGAACTGTAAGTGAATGTTAGTGTGCATTCCCAGGATGTACCATCTAGTAATGTGGATCTTACTTCAGAATACCACCGGTATTGCCATGTGACAAGTCGGATCAACGCGCCACAGGTATCACGAACATTATGCTGATTTTCGTTCAATTTCAGAACGCCCCTCATTCCTTTAGGGCTGAACTTCATCTGCAAGCAGTTCTCGTAAGCTTCGGCGGCCTCCTCATTGTGGTGGAGTCGCTCCGCAAGCTCTCCCAGGATCTCCCATTCTTCTGCTGATTTCTTATACAGCAGTTGCTGTTGTCGATACTGAGCCATCTCGGTTCGCCATATGGTGTACACACGGAGATCCTCGTAAAGAACCATAAACAGATTGTCGAGCCAGCGTTCGCAAAGTCGCTTATTCTGGAAGTGGGTGTAATTAGGCTGTTGGTCCGGCTCCTCACTACCACCGGCTTTGACGACCTCCGATGCTACAGTGTGACCAGGCTTCTCGATTGATTCCCCGGCCTCGTCTCCAGCGGTGGATGATTCAGCGTTTGCCTGCTCACCTTCTGAGTCAGAGGGAACCTCCTTCTCTTCTACTTGCCCATGTTCGGCGTCTCCATTGATGGTAGGGGTGGGTGACCGGAGAGCGGTTGTACTCGCAGTGCGTGACTGTGGCTGATGTGAGATGGTCTGCTTCTCGTGTCGATACTCTTCCTCCATGACGAAGACCTGACTACGTATCCGAAGCAACTGATCCCATCCGATCTTCTTCGTTATCTCCGTCAAGAGGATATATGCCTTGAGGAAAGTTCCCTTGAAGCCTGCAGCGTGGAGCTTGCGGAGAGTTGGGTGTACCAATTCAATGTCGTCGACATTGCTGTCCTCGATTTCGTCGCACATAGCTTCTGGCATGATGGGCAAGTACACCCTTTGGGGCTCAGGCATTCGGGGTGCATCTTTGTCTTGATACGTAAACATAGGGCAAGAGTTGAGAGTAAGAAGTGCAAGATCCCACTGCTCTAGAGCAACATAGATCTCGGCCAATCGTGCCCATGTCCCGAATTCACTTGGTGCAGAGACGACGCTTCTCTTAGCAATCTCAAGAGCGAGATCGCTTCGGCCCTTTTTGTTACAAAATTCCGCTTGACAGTCGAGTAGCGAATAGTCCATTGGGAGTTCCTGAATAGCCTCGTGAAGTAGCTGGACCGCTTTGACCTCTTCGTCCGCTTGAATGTAGACACGCGCCAGTAGAGAGGATATTTCCGGGTCCCGCGTTCGCAATTTCTCGAACAGGTTGATACCGGAGGCGTATCGTCCTGTTGTGTGTATGTAGTTGAGCAGTCCCGTGGTAAGATGATTTGAAACCAGGTTGGGTACTTGGATCTCGGGGTCGGAGCCTAGTTGCCAGCCTGAAGGAGATGTCAATTGCTAGCTTTGGAGGTGTGAGCAGAACACGTACCATTAAAGAAGAGCCTCTCGGCAGCCTCGAGAAACTTATGCTCGCTCTCCGTGCTGGTGATAGGGTTGAATCTCCGAACACCAACAATCTTCTTGATGGTGTCCCCTGAGCCATCATCGGCATAAGAGTATGCGCGTAACACACTGCATAGATATGTTTCCAACCATAGCTCGTCTGTTGCTACCTTCTTGTCTCCGCGCTCGTCAATGCAGTAACTCTCCACGGTACCTGGAATGTAGACTTGGACGCGCATATCGAGACGAGAGAATGCATTGTAACAGCAGTAGAGGCCAGAGACGACCTTGTGCTGCTTGTCATGCGGCGAATATGTTAAGGTGTTGATGTAGGCAGCTAAGCTTGCGGACGAAGAAGCGTCTATGCCCGTGACATGGTGATATACCCCGACCTTGATGTCAATTAGCTACAATCCAGAGAGGTCCAATCCTCCAAGGTGTTGGGTTTAGAGGAATAACAACATGTCCTCACCTGCTTCGTTGCTGATTTGATCGGCTGCTTGATCAAATGTACCAAGTCTGGTGGGCCTAGCTCCCTTAATGTCTGAAGGGACTCTGCGCGAGCTTCAATGGCTGTGTGAAGCTCATCTTCATAGATCCTGATTAAGCGAAGTCAGCGAAGTCCCTGGGTGTACGGCTGTTTGATGTTCAAGGCTACTAGGTAGCATTCTCCATGGATCCCAAGCAAGCGATAGAAGCATATCCAGGCCCATAGGATGCGGGCGTGGGGGCGGGGAAGATGATGTTGAATCTCGAAAAGTAGAGATGGATGCATACTCAGGAACCGCGGGCGCTGTAACCATTGCGAGGCTGGTGCGTGCGGGCGCACGTGAAGATTCAACAAGAAGATCAGGAGGTTCGGCAGAATAGCATGGACGCTTGCTATGCGTAAGAGGCAAGATTGCGGGAGGAACGTTGGATAGACAGACTTGGGCTTGTATGAAGTCGACAGCTGGAAACAACAAATGGCTTGCGGTCGTTCGGCGGCGTGCGCACGGGCCGGCTCTCTCTCGAAGACGACGGCTAGTTACCTTTACCTTTACCTTACTGGACTGATCCCTGCCCGCCTTAGGCTTGTTGCCCTGAACTCTTTGGAGCTCCCCGGCCACCACCAGCGAGAGCCGCGACCGCTAAGCAATCAATCCTCCCCGCGACGCGACTCCCGCATCACATCCCATCGCATCCCATCGCATCAACAAACCACCACAACGATCAACCTCCACGAATACCATGCAGATGACGCAGACCATATCTACCTATTGTCATAGATGGTAGTACCTCGACTAATGTCTGGCACCTGCACCGGCCTTCTCTATTCCATTTAATTGTCCTTTACTCTCACCCTTCAGAAAATGGTAGGTTTCATATTTATTATCTGTACACATCTATCACCTTGCCAGTGATATTCGCACTCTGCAATGCCCATCGGCCCCTTTTGAAGCTAAAGTGAATCCATAGTCTGCGTTCAAAGCGCTCAATCTTGACTCGGAGAATGAATCAGAAGATGAGGTCGACAACACCAAAGAGATCCAAACCGAGGAAGCCCTGAAGCTATACGTAACCGCCCTCAAATACCAATCCGAAGGCCCCGAATCATTCGATAAAGCCGCCGCAGCCTACAAAGAACTATTCGAGTCGGAAGTATTCAAATACACCGAATCTCTCTCGGAGTGGAAACGGCATGAGTTATTCGGAGATAGCTTGGTATTTGATTCCATACTTGAAGATGAGTTCGAGGCTGGTCCAGTTCAGTTGACAGGCGCGAACGAAAGCGCCCCGAATACACTCCCACAAATACTCCACCTCTCATACAAGAACCATGGCCAGTTCATGCTACAGACGATGCAACATTATCTCCAGGAGCACGGCACAGTACCCCAGGATCAAGGCTCGACTCATGTACTTAGCGCGCTGCAGCAATTCGCGGAGGCTCTGGATAAGGAAGACACTGATTTGGATCTCTGGCTGAGGACTGCGTCGGTCGCCGCACTGCTCGGTAGTCATCGCATTACACGATTTTGTCTCGAGGCCGTTCTGGATGGCGATGACGAGCTGCTTGATAGCATACTTCGGCTGCCTGGTCTCGAAGAAGGCTTCGCTGGCCAGCAGCTGCGAGAATTGGTCGCAAAACTCGAGGACAGCCTCTCATTACAGCAGGCTCCCCTGTCATACATGCCACGCAAAAAGCTTTCTGAGCTGATCAAGAAGCGATTGAATCCATACCCCTTCGCGCCGCTGCCTTCGGAGGTATCAAAGACGAATCCATCAAACGCTACTGAACGAGAGCCGGAGCGCATCCTTTTGGCCCCTGCAAAATGGGACTGGGCGGGGCTTGGAGAGGCAATTCTTCACCACTTTCTGGCAGACCAAGGGGGATACATTGAGCCTGTCGCCGGTGCATGTATCAACATTGATATCCCATCAGATGTCTCTGTTGATGATCCTAGCGGCGACGAGCCAACCCTAGACGATCCTTCTGCGGAGACGATCGAGGAGCAAGCCGAGCCTTCAAAGGAAGAGCAGGCTGTTGCGACAACAAATGAGCAGGGAGACGTTTCCACGGGCAACAATGTCAAGGAGATTGATGCAAAAGAAGACGAGGAACAGGGCGGCGCTGCTACTCCACCAGGTCCGACACCGGCGTCTAGGAAGCGCTCAACGGACTCTGCTGGATTTCCAGAAGCAGAAGGTGGCCGTGGACGGAGCAAAAGACTTCGAGCACGAGATTCTTTCGCCGCCGAGGGCAGCGCTGGGGCCGAACCCGGTCCCCTGGATGCAGCGAAACAGCTTGAAGACAAGCTCTACGCCTTCATACACGCAGACAAGTGCCTCTATGAAATCGTCAATGACATCTTTGAAAGACTGGATGTTGAATCCCTTGGAAGCCCCGAAGAATTGAGAGTGCTCCTGTCCAATCCTCAATCCGAGACCTCATCTGTCAACGGCGTCGATAAGGCTGCCTCTGATATGTACAATGCGTTGCAGAGCGGAGATGCCAAGATTGCTGGAGTGTTACTGAGCAGCGAGCCTGTTGATCTGGGTGGCATGTCACGAGAAGCAGGCCTGAATGCTTTCTTGGGTTATGCAAAATCCAGCAACTCACGAGCTTGTAGCAAGCCAATTCTTGGGCGCGAACGGCTGGGTGCATTCTCCCGCAACGTCAATGATACATGGCTTTCTATCAAAGAGGTTGCTCTTACCTGGCTTGAGAACCTACTAGCTCCGAATGCTCTGCTAAACACCCCATGCTTAGGGCCAGAAAGCAAATCTGGCTATATGGACTATCGCTGGGCGGAAGATCTGAAACGGCACCTCGTCCAAATTATTGTGAACTTTGACGACTATATCTACGAGTACTTCCTTGCACGACTAGAGCAAATCAACGCGGAGGTTCTTGTAAGGTCTGTTGACGCACAAAAACGTCTTCCAACCGGGGAACTTCTCTCAACCAATGAGTCAGCGCAGATAGAAGTGATCGAGACAATTTTCGAGCTCCACTTGGACATTTATTCACTCATCCGGCACCCGCACAGTGGGGTAGATGTAGTCACACAAACGGTACAGAAGCACCGTCTCCACAGATGGTGCGCGCTTGCTCGAGATGCAATGCACCTTCGTTCGAGCTGCATGCCGACTGACGAGATGGATGAGCTGGCCCTGCGTCACGTCTGGGCTTTTGTATTTCAAATGAGTGTCAACGATGATATTTCTCCCGAGCTAGTTATCCACGCTATGGGAGAGCTGAAAGGCATCTTCGAATCTCGGGATGGACTTGTAATCGAGGTGCAGAACAATGCAGTAATGCCAGAACTGTCTGTTGCAGCTATTGATCGCGAGCTAGCCCGAATCAGTATGAAAGATTTCTTTCTGAGGGTATTCGATCAAGATGAGAAAGATCCCGTCACAGTAATCGAGAGTCTCGAGCCCATCTTGGAACCTGCAGAGGAACCGCTGGAGGAGCCCGAGAATGATCAGCATCCGAACGAGCAAACAGAAAGCGAGGTCATCAGTGATACTGCGGCTGTCCAGGCGGACGTCAACATGCAAAGCCCACCAACTCCCATTGTGGAATCGTCTGTTGCTCGATCTCCCTCTCAGGAAATGAAGAAATTTCTAGACACAGCGTCCATTTCGCTTCGGCTGTCCCTTTGGCAGCGCCTCCGAGAAGCATATGAGGCCATAGAGTACCCACCCAAGGTCATGTCGTGCTATTTGCGTAGCATCGAAATCCTCATCGCTGAGTTCAAATCCCCTGCACATCTTGACAGCCCGGATTCAGATAGATACGTAAAAGTGTTGAGTAGGCTTCGCATTATCGACGAGGTCTTGGCCAAGATCCTGCACATCATTAAGGATGATAGCACAACAGCATTCGACTGCCTTACCTACAAGCACCTCCAGACGTCAATCACAACCATCTCTGAGCTGCTCAGAATTCTCCATGCTGGAAATTTTCTGGAGGATTTGGTACGGGTCGGAAACTGTTCGTTACCCAGATTTGAAGGCTATCCTCAAGCAACATTCCTGACAATCACGGCACGACTCCATGACATGCAACTCCGTGCCTGGATGCTCCAATACTTCTTACTCAGGGAGGGGACTCTCCAAAACCCCTCAGCATTTCCCACACCGTCTGAAGACAAGTTTGAATTCCTTCGCCATGTTCATCACGCCACCGGCGTGCGAAGCTTCTGTCATGCCTCTGGACGACTTTTCTTGCGTCTTGCCAAGGACGAGATCTTAGCTATGGATGATGTTATCGATGGTAACACGCGAGATACCGAGCTCGCCCAGGTCCTCCACGATCTCTACGGACTGAAGATCTTCATACAGCCTGGTGATTGCCATGAGTATAACTCTGTCCCAGAGGTCCTGGAGCGAAAGATGGCCTCCCAACTATTATCGTTCGTTCTTTCACAAGCCAACAAGATCAACATCAAAGACCTACCGAAGACAGATCTCAAGACGACCATTGATAAGGTTCATGGAGCGCTCGGTCGGCTCAAACCCAATGAAGACATAGTTCTTAACCGCAAGGTTTTGACGACGTATTTAAAATCTCCCATTAATCCCGTGGCGCTATTTAATTGCATCAAAGGCATTGGTTCATTGTCTACTAGGTTCATACCGGATAGCGTCGCAGTCACAGCTTCTAAAGGTTGGTATTATCTGATGGGAAACATTGCACTCAGCAAGTTTCGTTCTCAAAAACGACTTACCCAGGGTCCGACGGAAGATCTCAACTTTGCGCAGGCGTTCTTCTTGCAAGACCTAGAGTATTCCGTAGACAGATGGGAGACCTGGTACAGATTGGCTCAGGCCAATGACGCTCAGCTTGAAGAATGTGTGTCTTGGACCGCGGAAAAGATGAATAGCAACAGCGTTGAGTTGATCCATTTTCAACGCGCAGCTATTCATTGTTACGTTATGGCAACAGCGTGTGCTGTTCGCGATGCAGATGTTGCACCTCAGACTCTCGCCAAAGTGGCAGAGCTGTACACCGATTTCGGGAATAGGATCTACTCTTCCTCGAGAGAACCCTTCAACATGAGTGCGTTCAAAATTCGCGACACGGAAAAGAAATATTACAGTGGTAGAGAGTCTCATGTGGTATACCAACATGAACCTTTCGTGGCCTTGAGTGAGTATACAGCCTGGAAATTTGCCAGCGTGCTCTACAAGCGAGCGATCAACGGCAACCCCGACAAGTGGTGGTACGTACAAGAATTCGATGAAGTACGAAACAAGCTGATGTTGTTTAGGAACCATTACATGCTTGCAAAATGCCTTTGGAAGATGTATACGCATAATACCAAAGCGGCAGCACAGGCCGCGCAAGATGGCCAGGTCTTCACTTCGCCGAGCGGACCAACGTGGGAGCAAGCGGTCGAAGCACTTGTCAATGCAATCGAGAGTCTTCCGGAGAAAAGAGAAAGAGGCCGTGAACCAATCTTAGAGCCTCATTACAAACTCGCCTCTATCGCACACAAGCTTTTCCAACGCAAGGTAATCGATCATGAAAAGGCCTGCGAGATTATCAAGAACACCCACTACGTTCAAAACATCGGCGGTCCAGAGAATGCCGATGATTGGGAACGTTACATCCTTGCCGTGATCAAAGCACTTCGGACGGCAGACAAGTCCGCCTGGCACCATCGCATGATAGCTCGCGCCGCCCACATCATCTATGATGACTCGACTGAGGCAATGGTTGCATACGGTGCTAAACATGAGCTCACCCAGCAAATGTTTACGAAGACGATGACCGTACAAGTTTGGAAGCCGGAGCATGAACGCCCCGGACGGCATTTCGTGTACACAACGCGTTATACTCACTTTTTCATAGAACTTCTGACTAAGACCACGGACAAGGCCAATTTCGAGGCCTTAGCTAAGCGCGTCCGACGGAAGCACACAGACTTCTTCGAACACTCAAAGCTCTGGCAAGAGCTTTGCTCGCAATATCTTAAACTTTTGCGGAACGTACTCGGCAAGATCCCCAACGGCCATGAAGACGCCGTTTTCAAATCTGTCAACTACGAGGAGTTCTCGATCATGGCAGCTCGATTGGAAGCTTGGTGCCAGGACAACAATACTCAGCACCCAGTGCTGGATACTTTGCGCGACGCAATCGAGCTAAAGCGTCTCAATAATGGACTGATGAAATCGACAGCCATTGACGACCTTATCGGAGATACTTATGCAATGCTGTATTCTCAGATTGGACCAACCCTTAGTGCGCTTCCTCAGGAGCAGCAAGGACAGCAGCAGTCCTCAGCATCAGGCCAACAGACAAATGCGCCTACGGACACGACCACGGATACCTCTTCCGCACAGGCGCCACCCCAATTGGACGGATCCACTGAGAGTGCGAACTTGCCGTTCTCCATCTATCACCCCAACCAGCTTTCGCAGCCGCCGTCTGCGGACAACACTGCACGTCCTCGTGCGAAGGCTGTAGGCCGACGCGAGGTCCAACGAAGGGCGGAGGGCGCCTCCGCGAAGCCTTCAGCAACGGTCCCTGCCACTACCCACGCCACTATGACGATACGTTCACCGTCAGCACATGTGCACCCACAAGTTGTTATACCGGTCCGCGCATCCCCAGCAAAGCACGAGGCAAACAGTCAATCGCCCATCAAATCCAATGCTCAACTTCAGATCCCCGCCAGCGGAAGTGTCACGGCTCCCGGAAGCGTCGCCAACGCAGACAGCAGTGCTCCTCCTTCAGTGCACGACGATGCAGATGACGAGAGCGAGCTCAGCGAGCTGGACGACTCGGAAGTCAGGGAGATGGAAGAAACCGTCGACGTGAACGATTCTCTGCTGGAGGGCGAGGTGTCTTCAAACCCGATGTTTCCGTATCTGAACTCGCGGAAGACGGTGGACGATGCAGATGATTCAGACAATGCGGTCGACGATACAAGCGAGGCACAGTATGAGACTGCGGAAGAGGTTGTGGAAGACATTTGATCGTCTTTTGTCCTCCGCTGTCCTTCCTTGTAATTTTTATTGCTCTTTTTGATTCAAATCAGGTGGGGGGCATGGATGGCGTTAAGGAATTCATCAGGTACATATGGGCTATGTCGCCCACTCGTGCATGGCACATTGAAAATGGAAATGAGCAAAGGTTTTGCTTTCGGGATACCCTTATGAAAAGTCGAGGGATGTGTACTATAGCAGGGGAGAGATTGGCGTTGACGGAATTGGCGTTCACGGTTCAATTAGTACCACGGTAGTGGATATGATAACTTCAACATTTTACTTTCCGCAGTTTGGTGATACAATAGAAAGATGAATTGCACTTTCCATGGCTAAGGATAGTCTGATTCAAGGAAGTTTGATTTGACTGGTGTATGGACTCTTGAATGCAGTGAAGAGTAATCAATCAATTAGATATACTTTTATGTACTTTGATTGTACATAGTTGCACGTGCTTCGGCGTCTCCCGTCTCCCGTCTTCCGAATCTGCAGGCCAAGGAGGCATATCGAGATGATCTCTCCTCAAGTCACTTGTAGTAACACAACTACACTGTACGAGTAGTTATGAGTACTGTGTATGATTATTGGATTCCCCTTACTGCGCGCTCTTCTGGTAGCACGCATTCCTATAGTCCCAATACCACAGTTAACCTTATGAACACTAGTACAATAATTAAAAAGGAGCATATTTTTGTGACTAGAACATGGATAGGATTTATTGTATATACCAAGAGGCAGGCCTTAAGACATTGTCAGCCATGGTTTGGCATGTGCCCATGTCAGGTAACCACACGAGCAATGACGTGCCGAGATCAATCACATCTCCCGTCCACTCTTAAACGTCTACCCTGCCCACTGCCGCAGTCTAGTTAAACAGTTACCCTTCCCATCCCACAATAAAACATCATACCCCATTCACCATACGCGTCCCCCTCGGTCTTCCAATGCTCCGTCATCCGCGGTAGACGTACCAAACCCTTCCAAAGACCCGACCCGAACCCTTCATAGCGTATGATGCGCCACCGAAAGGCTCGATCCAGCCGTCGTCAGCGTAGCGATCCAGCCCAACCGTAGTATTCTTACTCTTATATCAAGTCCCGAACGCCGCCTCCACTAGCTCCGAACGAATGCTTCTCACTCCTCGAACCTACGCCCTCGCACAAATCCCCGACGAGGGTCGCAAAGAAGCAGAGCCTTCCTATTTCCTCCTGACTCCCTCGCGAAAGGAGCTGTTCCACGAGGAGCAACGCGCACGAAGGATGCTGCTGCTGCACCAGACCGGCAACGTCAAGGTCGGAGAGGTCGTCCGGTATGTCCAGGAACGAACCCAATGACGCAAACGTTCACATATTTTTTTTCCTCTTCACTAGGCAGGGCAAATACTGACAATGCGCATAGATATACGGTCACATATACCCCCTCCGAAGACCGAATACTACCTTCTCCCCCCTTTCTATATGTCAAAATACGAAATGGCGCTGCAATCCCCTTGCGTGCTGCCTATCTCCACGGACCCTACACACTGCACGTCGCTGCGTACCCTTCCACATTCAATCCCAACAAAAAAGTCGAGTCTCCGAAGAGAGATGGAGTGCCGGAATTCGAGCCAAACCTCAAGGCAGGCGGCACATGGACCGCCAGATTGACAGTCCCGGAGAGCATTCGCGAAGTCGGCGGAGGCAGACAGGTGCAGCCTAGGGAAGGAGAGCTGCCGAAGAGCGCAACCTGGATCATTGAGATCGCGTCACAAATTATCTTCTCGCAGTCGGCTTCTGTGAGCTACGAGTTGCTGGTCGCGCGAGACGAACGGTCGTTGGATCTGGGGTTCACAGCGGTTACTGGAAATTCCCACGGAGCGCCCGGCCAGGTTCACGATCACCAGCCTGGCAAACGTGCACATACTTCGCATCACAATACACAACCAAAAGGCGTTTATTCAAGAGCGGTCCGGTTAGTCGTTGAAGATACCTCAAGCTTGTGGGATAAGCCGCAGCTACCCGAAGAGATTCGAGCGGAGACAACTGCACGTGAGGATCAACATGCTGGAGAAAGTTCGAAGGATGCACAAGAGGAGACCAAAAAGAAGAAAAAGAAGAAGATACATCTCGTCATTCTCACTCACGGATTACACAGCAATCTCGGTGCGGACATGTTGTATCTCAAGGAAAGCATCGACGCAACTGCCAAACAGGCCAGAGAGGACCGGCGCCAGAGACGACGCGAAGAAGCGCAGGGCAAAGGCACGTCTACTGGAGACAAAACGGACACATCCACTGCTCCCCTATCCGGAGGTCAAGAGTCTGTCCCAGACGAAGGCGGTGATGAAGATGAGGAGGAAGTGGTAGTTAGGGGTTTCAGCGACAATGTCATCCGCACAGAACGAGGAATACAGTATCTCGGGAAACGAATGGCCAAATACGTGTTGGGATTGACATACCCTGATCAGCCGTTCTTACCTCTGAAGAAATCCATGGGCAAGAAGATATCTACCACATTTTCTCCTGTTAAGGACAAGGATAAGGACAAGGCAGATGAAGGCATTCCCGCACACGCAGGCAGCAGTGTCAAACACCCAACGCAAGACCTTCCGGACAGAGCATATCAGTTCACGAGCATAAGTTTTGTAGGACACTCTTTAGGTGGCCTGGTCCAGACTTACGCCATCGCATATATCCACAAGCACTCGCCACAATTCTTCGAAAATATCAAGCCAATCAACTTCATTACGCTCGCCACTCCGTTCCTAGGACTCAGCAACGAAAACCCAATGTATGTCAAGTTCGCACTAGACTTCGGCCTCGTTGGTCGGACCGGACGGGACCTGGGATTGACGTGGAGGGCGCCCACCATAGCAAAGAGTGGATGGACGGCGATGGTGGGTGGGCTAGGGACTCAGGCGCAGAAGGACCAGAACCAGGGCGACCCTGGCGCAAAACCTCTACTGCGTATATTGCCAACAGGACCTGCGCATCTGGTCCTCAGGAAGTTCCGCAACCGCACGGTGTATTCCAACGTTGTCAACGATGGCATCGTGCCCCTGCGGACCAGTTGTCTTTTATTCCTTGATTGGAGGGGGCTCGGCCGAGTTGAAAAGGCGAGGAGAGAGAACGGACTCATTGGGACCGTTGCAGGTTGGGGTTGGGGTCAGTTGACAGGTCAAAATTCGTCTCCTAATCCGTCAAGAGTCGGGTTAGCAGAAGACGAGGCTGATCGAGGGGAGTCGCCGTCTTTCAGCGGCGACGATACAGCAGTGCCGCAGCCCGGTGCAGACGTGACGAACCAGGACGTGGAAGCATACACTACAGAACCCGAATCCCATCAATTTCTGAATGGTCAGAAGCAGGATTCGGATGGGAAAACTCTCACTGTCCCTGCACAATCAAATCAATCAGCTCTCATGACGCTTTGGGGGTACATTCGACCTTCGGGAAAGCACACGGCGAAAGACAAGAAGATGTTCAAGAGAAGCCAGACGATTCAAATGGACTCGCCCGAACCAAGCGCTGCCTCCAGCTCGGAGGTCTCACTGTCTAACGATCCTGAAAGCTCCAGGAAAAGGCCGATTGCCACGCGAGGAGACTCAATCCTGGATGATCCAGCGAACGTTGCGGCGCCTCCTAAGACTACCATTTTTGAGTCCGCGGGCGATTTGCTTAGCCCTCCAGTGCCCCCAACTAATTGGTTAATCGACCCTTCAACGCGTGCACGAACGATCTTTCATGATCGCATTTATCATCCTGAGGATATACCTCCGCCTCCGGTCAAGCGTCCAAAGCCAGCCCGCTCGTTCTCGAGTGAGAATAGTATCGCGTCCAATGCATCATCTGCGAGCAACTCTGAAGAAAGCGGCGTGCGTGTTGAAGAGAAGATCGCTCGTGCTTACCATCGAGACCTGTCATGGCGAAAGGTTTTGGTTAGCCTAGAACCTGATGCGCATAATAACATTGTTGTTCGACGCATGTTTGCTAACGCCTATGGGTGGCCGGTGATTAAGCATCTCTGCGATACCCATTTCGCCGACACATACGCTGCCGAAACTCGAGATGAGCTTGAGCCGGCTCTTGATCGCGCCAAGGGCATGCATGAACCAGTCAAGGAGGACGGCGAGCACGTGAAAGGTCAAAATGATTCACATCCTCCCATCGAACGTACTGAGAGTGAGCTTCGAGAAGTAGCCGACGAACTGTCACCCCTCCAGACCCGGGCACCAGCGAACAGACTACACACGGCCGACAGCACTCGAAGCACAGTTTCTGGACAGTGGGATGATTCCTACTTTGAAGTGACTTCGGACGACGATGACGACGAACATGATGACCGAAACGCTTTCCAGAAGTTCCTCCAGCTTCAACCAGCGAGGAGTAGGGGCAGTTCACCCACATCACCCAGTTTTACAAAGACACCTGATGGCCAAGGCACGAGCGAGGCTGAGATCGCGGATTTTCTCTCTACATCTCCCATCAACGTAGATGTCCATCGTGGTCTGGGCGCTTCCCCAAAGAAACCACCAACCTCACCCCGCGAGCCTGATGCCCTCGAGGCAATGGGACGAAGGAAATCCCAGACCCATGCAGGATCGGTCCCAGCATCTCCACGGACGCCAGCCGGGCCAACGACTGGGCTTGGTTTGCGCACTACATCTTTGGAGACAAACATACCCGTTTCGCCAGGTGAAGGGCATGCACAAAGTGGAAGCGGGGGTGGGAGCGTCGTGGAGCAGGTGACACGGATGAGCTTGGGCAAAGATCGTGCAGACGAATGATTCTGCGATCTATTCACATGAGTAATGTTATATGTTTTATCTGATTTTACAGGCGTTGGATGGCATATTGTTCGCAACGAGGCGCGTTGGGATTGGGGTTTTGGTGGCTGCACTCTCCTGCTATATACCCAGAGTAGAATATCTCGTTTTGTATACATCGTTTTCATTCTCACCAACTACTTCGACTTCGAAACTTTTCATGTGTGCTTTCTTGTGCTCAGAGGAGTCATAAGTGTCGACGGTCGGACGTTTGTCACTGACGCACTCTTGCCTCCTTCACTTGTTTCTTCCCATGCCATGTCCTTCACTTTCCACTGACTGTCTGGCCAACGCAACCGCATAACAACACTCGACTCGAGCTGCCTTCACTTTTACCTTTACTAGTGTTGTTGCCTCGCGCCGTGCACTTTCCTTTCCACCTACCTACTTCTGCTCCTCGCGTCAACCTCGTCGCTGAAATTCTCACCACCTTCCCTCACTCTTTCCGTGGTGTTTGTTTCGAGCAGCGTCGACCTTTCTCTTCTTGATCGTTCTTTCCTTTCAAAAGCTCTCCACGACCATCACTTCGGTGCTTCTTTCCTCAGTATCCAACTGCAGTCAATGTAGCCTGTCACGCGATGGCCTACGAAACGCACAATCCGTCAGTGCCTCTGCGCTCCAATTCCACCGCGAATCACGTCCCGCGACGTCTACCAGGAAACCACCCAAGCTCAAGCCTCAGTCAAAGCATCACCACGCCTGACTTCCGACAATTGGCAGCCTTTGACACCGACATGGGCGGCAGTGGGCCTCATGCTGCGAGACTTCACCCACCGCCGCCGCACAATACCTTGCAAACGCCAGCCGCGCTGGAGGCCATCGCACCACAATTCTTGAAAGCTTCGTCTTCTTCTACTTCTTCTAAATCTTCGGATACGGCAGTACGCAGCAAGGGCCATAGCTTTCTCAATGTCTTCAAATCCAAGGCACGGTCTCGCAGCTCCGACAAGTCAAACGGCCATCGCAGCCCCATGACCTTCACTCCTTCCCACCCTCTCCCTCCTGCCCCTCCTCCTCGTAGTCCCCACAGCCCCGGAGATACCTACGCAGTGCCCGCAGGTGGATTCATGTCACCGAAAGCCGCGCGCATCCTCGGCCTCGAGCTCGACGACCAGTACCAGTTCTCTCACTCTCCGGGCGGACAACGCATGCAGACCCTAGACACCAACATCCACGGCGGCAAGCAGACAGACAGAGTCGAGCAGCGACGTCCCGTTACCGCGACGACTCCCTCGGGAGCGGGATGGAACGCCCTTCGTAAGCGGAGGTCACTGCCGTTTCTGAATGCCGAAAGACAGGGCGCGGAGCATCGGTCGCGGTTCATTGAGGAGGGAGTCCAGCATCTCAAGGTTGGGCCGGCGGTCACCACGACGACGAAGTCGAGGTCGCTTGGGAAGGCGCTCGAGATGCTGGGATTGCCGTCTGGTTCGAAGCGGTCGAAGAGTGTGGAACGTAGTGACGACGACGGAGCTGCTGTGTCGCTGCGCCATGCGCAACAACCGGAGGTCGACATGTATGCCGTGGACTTTCAACAGGTACATGATGCAAATGATGGATTTGAACAGGAACTTCCAAGGAGGGTGTTGCATTCTCAGCCTAAACGTCAACACGGTGGACGGAAAAAGAAGGCAGCTAGGGCCGTCGATGTCATGCATTCTATCGAGGAGGCTTCGCATTCTTCACTGAGCAGCGAGTATAGGGGAGAAGCGGCAAAGCCTGAGAAGTGTCTTGAAGCTATCACTGAGGTGGAGCCGCAGGTTGAGAAGTGGCCTAACCGCCGACTGAGGAGGTCGCTCACTGAGTCGGCTATCATTCCGATGTACTACTTGAATGCTAACAATAGCACATTCTATGAGGAGAACAACGGGGATAAAGAGGATGAAGGTGACAATGATGAGGCATATGATGAGGACGACGAGGACGATGACCTCGAAGTGGAGGTGGACACCTCGCAACAAGATGTTTTTGGTACGTTGGATGTTTTGGACTGTCATGGACTTCGACCTACCAGCTGCGATTTCAAGATTGTAGTCGGAGGCATAAAGCTCTCTGCATAATTCTCCCATATCCATCTACATACAGAACATGCTAATGTTCCCGTTTAGGTCCTGGTCCGAGTCTTATTCGTCAAGATCCCTTCCAGCAGCATGGTCTACCTTCCGGAAAGATCCAGTCTAAGAGCCCTCTGCAACATATTGAGCATAAGCTCCTTGACCGATGTGAGCAGGCTATGAAGCTACCACTTCCCAGTATCCAGATAGATGCAGCGACTTCCACTCCCAGGCCCAGTCCTTACAAGGAGGATTCTGGACTCGACAGCGCTCGAAAGTCACAAGCAGATTTGTTCTTCAAGCTACAGCAAGCACATAGAGAATCGATGAGCGAGCTTGGAGATATCCAACGCCGTGTCAGTGGTATGCATCTCCAGGATTACATCGGGGATATATCAAGCAGTGTAACTGATGACACAGATGACGGATCCGAGTGTGAATCTCTAATCTCGATCAACTGTAGCATTGATCTGGACGAGGAACCTGAGTTGTGTTGGGCGAATGGAATGACAGTTACTCGGGTCACGCCTGGCATGGTCAAACTTGTCGACATTAAGCCTCCGAAACAAGGTGCCCCAATACAAGCTGGCCCAATCAGAAGAGTGAGTCCCCGGCGATCCAAGTCTTTCGATAAAACCAAGAGGAATGCCGTGGTGGATGCTCCGGGCCTCCGGTTGCCAATTGCAGATGTGGGTTCCTCATACTTTACATCAGAGATACAATGACTGATTGATATAGTACCCTCTCGACCAAGAGTTCCGAAGCTCCCAATATGAATTCTCCCGCGAGAAAAAGGCCAGACTCCCAAGGGAAGAATCGCAAAGACTAGTCAACAGCTGGATTACCTCCACCTCTCCAAGAGCCCGACGCCCCTATTCCACCATCGATAGTGACGTCCTCGCCGACCAAGACCTTGATGAGCCCCCGACCCCACCCATGAAAGGCGACAACAAACCCTACCGCCACGACTGCGTCCACAGCGGCCACATCTTCCGCGCCATCAGCCTCAGAAACACCCCCGACGAAGTCGAGATGAACCGCCTAGGCGTCCGTCCCTACCTCCGCACACTCTCCGGCGTCAAGCAACACGTCCACATCCCCGTCCACTGCGACGAATGCAGCGAAGACGTCCAAGACGAGCTGTGGGAGTGCGAGATCCCCATCTGCCACGTCAGCATGTGCGTTGACTGCGCGACCAAGAGGGAGGTCGAGTTCGAGACGAGGGCTATCCAGAGTCGCAGCGACCTCAGCGGAGAGCGGAAGTGAGTGAAGATGAGACGGCGTATGAATGATTGATTGAATGATTGGGAAAATGAAAGGATGGGAGTTCCGGTATGGTATGATGAGCGTTTGCTTGCTTGGTAATGTGCAACGAGTATTTTGTGTACGAGTAATTCTTCAAACTGGGACGGATGGATGGATGGGTGGCGTTTCTGGCGGTGGCAAAATATTGAGCAAATGGGAAATCGTACAGTGAATGCGGGATTCAACAACGTAGGGACTTTGGTTTTTTTCTTTCCTGTCTTCTTTTGCTATCCAAAGGGCGAACGAATGGACTGGACTCAGGAGAATGAGGATGGCGAATGAGGGGATTGCGGGAATGTCTGAGGGTCGATGAACGATGATTAATGTATGCAAGCAAGTAGGCGTGTGTGCTATTTAGGCATGCCTGGCCTATATGTAACCCTTGATTCAAATGTAATTTTTAAATGTAAAACAGTGCGAGAGAGTTGATGATGAATATGTTCATGTGTACTTTGCGTATAGGGCGTAAAATAAGGTTCATATACAACTGAATATTCTAATATCAAGTATCGCGAGCAAGCAAGACAAGCAAGACAAGCAGGCAGGGTATCCATCGTAAACACGTTCGTTAATAACCAAGTTCCCAACACGCCCCCCTTCCAAACACCCTTACACCAACTCCCCAAATCCACAAAGTCAAATCAAGTCAGCGAACTCACGACTCCATCCCCTCATCATCGTACTCCTCCTCCTTCGCCCCACCAACAGCGTCATCGTCGTCGTAAGCAGCGTCTTCTTCGGCGGCCATCATGAGGTCCTGCTCCTCGCAGCTCTTCTCGACCTCGTCGGCGATGAATTGTTCGTACTCCTCGAGCGACCGCTGGATGTGCAGCTTGAAGCGCACGATGTCGTCGAGCATGCGCTCGATCTGCGTGTGGAGCTCCTCGCGGAGCTGGTTGGCGCGCACGGTGAGCTGCTCGTACCTATTTCGTCTCTGTCAGTACTTCATAATTACTGTAAGGGTTAAGGGGGGAAAGGGGAAAAACGCACTCGATATTAACCGCCATCTCCTTCTGAATCATCAGCTGCACGTTCTCGCCGAGGTTCGCGCGCATGCGGCCCAGCTCCTTCTCCATCTTCTCGATCTGCGCGTCCGAGGCTGTCTTCTGGGTGCTCGTGATCTCGCGCAGCTTGTCGAGTTCCTCTTCCGCCTGCTTGACGCGGTACTCGAGGGCTTGGACTTCGGCGTTCTTGTCGTCCATGGCTTCTTTGATCTTGTCGAGGAGCTCGTGGTTGTTCATGTCGGCTTCGAGGGCGGCGTTGCGGCGCTCTGCGATGTCCTTGCGGAGGAGGGAGATGTTGGTTTTCACGGTGCCGCGGAGGTCGAGGTTGAGGAGGTGGTGCGGGGAGTAGCCGGTCGAGGCGTCGGAGAGGAGGCGGTCGGAGGGTTCCTGCGTAGATGCGCCCATCTGGGAGCCGGAGAAGTTGGGCCCGTCGTTGACGGTCAGCGCGAGCTCGTATTCGATGCCCTTTGCGTTGGCGGCCGTGGAAGGGATCACGCCGATTTGGTAGCCTAGGTTGTTGTATTTCTCGACGGTTTGCTCAAGCTCGTCGAGCTTGCGGGACGCGGCGAGTTCCTTTTCGGCGACGCGCTTTTTGGATTCTTCGACGCGTGCGGAGGCAGCTTGGAGGGAGGATTCGAGGCGTTCTTTCTCCGTGGCCATGCGGTCGATGTCGGAGATGGTCATGCCTTGTTGGTCGATGATGGCTTGGAGTTCTTGCTGCTCGCGCTCTGAGGCTTCTAGTGCTGCCTCGACGAGTTGGATCTCCTTGTCGAGGATGGTCGCTCGGCTTGTGTATTTCTCCACCTTGGCTTCCATGGAGTTGTTGTAGTTCTCAAACTTGACCCTGTCGTCCTCCAAGATTCGGATTTGCTCTTCTAGTTTTGCGATTCGTGGGCCGGACTTTCCGAGCTCGTCGATCTGGTCCTGGAGGTATTTGTGCTCAGCCTCAAGCAGTTGAACTTGCTCGCGATGGTGGGCATTGGCCTCGTCGAAGCGGGCGGCCATCTTTTCTACGTGCGGTTGCACGAGGCGAGCTTGTGCGTCCTCGTCGTCGTCCTCATCTTCTGCCGAAAGCCACGTCCTATAGGCGTCCGAGAGGAAATCGAAGATGATGCGGTCTCCTGAGACGTCGTAGCCAGCCTCGAAGCACGCTTCGTCGTATGACCCGGATTCGTATGCGTCCATCATGCGTGCGAGCTGCATCATCCAGTGAAGAAGTCCCAGGAAGGTCGACCAGTTGTTTCCACCCACTGCGGCGATCTGTGACTTCATGATGGACTTCTCGAAGGGATAGCGCATTTGCTTCAGCAGCACGGGCACCTCCTGGTCAATAGATTTCTGGAATCGATATGAAGGGTCGATGCGGTGATACAGCCATTGGAACATGCAGTTGAAGTCCTTCTGTGTCGGAGAGGTCATGGCTTTTGCCGATAGCGAGTGTTTCGATTCCATCTCGAAGTTGTTGTGTGTGAGGTATTCTAGCAGATCTTGCGCCATCTGCGAGCGCGTGGACGCATCTTTGAGTCGTCGTGGATCCGCAGGTGGTGCAGCTGGTAACGGCGCGGTTGCGAAAAACGACTGCTTGACGCCGGTCTGGCCAGGTCCGTGTGACGGTCGCGTTTTGAAAACACTGCTTCGTCGCTGGGTGTCTTGGTTCATAATTGAAGCGGAAGGCGCTGGCGTTTGGAAAATCGATCCAGGCGCAAGACTCTTCCTCGCCGCGCTCCCCGCGCCGAACATGTTGCTTGTGGAGTGGCGTTGCACGGATTGGAATCCCATCTCAGCCAAATTATTTCCAGAAGACGAGCGCTGGAAGACGGGTTGTGCGGGTCGAGCAGCGAGCGACATCCGTGAGCCAGACTGTGATCGTCCGTGTTGTGAGGTGAACTGGCCGCCCATGTTCATGTTGGAGACGGAGCTGGTGCGCTTCATGGCTGAGGAGGGCATGGGAATCGCCGAAAGGTTGTTGTTTACTGCACCGAGAGTCTGGAGCGAGAATTAGCATGATTGTTACATCGTCGCAGGTTGTGTGTGTGTTGTTGCGCGCGAAAGCTACGTACCTCGCGTGGGCGACGGACTGAGAAGATGCCCGTATCTTGGGCCATAGTATGTAGAGGTGTGTCGCGATGTGCTTAGGAGCTCGAATACAGGGTGCGCGATGCTTTACTGTTCGAGATGTTGCAAAGTGCAAGTAGTCGAGGTGTGTGTGTATATCGTTGTCAGTAGCTTGGGCATTCTCCAGTGTTAGTGTTGACGATGTTGGTGTTGTTGTGTTGTTGTTCGCGCTTAGCGCCATAGCAACCTGGACCCTGATTGGACCGCGTCGGACATTGTTTTGGTTCCTCTTCATTGGCTTCTGAGTATGGCATAACATAGACAAATCAGATAAAAGAACAGAAATATAAACAAAGTAAAAATGATGTCTTTATGTAGGCTATTGGGGGGATCATCTGACAAAGGAGATGGGTACTTCTGCTTTGGAAGTAGAAGGGAAAAGGGCACTTCCAACAATAACGTGGATAGTGCACAGCAGTGTGTACATGTACACCCGTGAACGAATGCTAGTTATGAAACAAGAGGATGGGCAAGAAGTCGCTACCAAGCCGCCGAATATCTGATCTCCTCCCCAGTCGCCTGTACTTCAGCCCAAATTTAGGATCCATTCTAGATCTAGCCCTGAAAAGAAGCAGAGTGCAATTCCAGAATCCACCACCGCTACGTCTGTCCTGTTGTTCAACTGTCCGACTGGGGTATCGTGTATGCAAGTCAAAAAAAGATTAATAAAATATCCACAATCTCTCAAACTCCTCCAATATCCGGTGTGTGGCTTAAAGAATATCGACAAATGTCATAAAACTCAACTGTCCGAGACCGTCGTGAAAATTATTCCATCGCTTGCTCATGTGGGATGGTGTTTTTTTGTTTATTTTATGTTTTTGAACATATCGTCGGCTTCGAAGGTGAATGCATCGTCACTCGCGCCGAACGCTTTGAGCTCGGGCAGAGCTGGGGGCGGGGGTCCCTTCTTCTGGGGAGGAGGCGCCGGTTTGGCGATTGTGTGTTGGCCATTGGTGGGTTGTGTGATGTTCTCCTTGCCCTCTGTCAATTGCCCCATTCCGAACGTGCTCTTCCTCCTCCCAAACCAGCTGCCGCTCTTCTTCCTTTGCAGACTCGGCTGACTGGCGATGGTGCTGGGAGAGCCTGGTCGATCCGACCTCAGGCTATCGGACGACGACATAGGGCGGAAACCGAGGAATTTGCGAACTGAATTTGGTCGGCGGCCGGTCGGACTCGATGGGGAGAGCATGCTGTGGTCATCGTCGTTCGTGACTGACTTGTCGAGCTTTGGATCGCTGGCCGAGTCGTCCGCATCACGGAGCGGTGGCGTCTCCCCGTTCTGAGGGAAAGTGGATGACTTTGGAGTCGGATGCGAGGAGAGAGGACCCTTCCCAGGTGTTGGGGGTCGCGGGGTATCAGGTGGAGAGTCCGGGGGCGCCGGAATGGAAGTGCCTTCGGTGAGGGAGAAATTGATGGGACTCAAGGTGAGTGGCTGGTACTTCTTTTCCCCTGCCATGTTGTCTTGTTGGTAGCGAACGTCGTCGTTCTCTTTTGGCGAAGCAACCGCAATGACAGACCGAATTCCTTGGATTCACGATATGATATGCGCGATGGCAGCAGGTAAGGCAGGAAGGTGAGGAACGAAGAAACGAATGTCGCAACGCGCGTTGGGTGGAGAACGATCTCAGGAGTTGAGCCGGAGAGCGGAGGTGACGGACAGGGTTGCCGGTCGCAAGCTTGGGTAGTGAATGGGGAGAGGTGAGTGGTGGATGATGGATGGTGGTGGGTGCGTGAACAGTAATTCCTTAGTAGCAAGTTTAACTGAGTAGTGACCGTAGGTGTAGGGTAGATGGTAGGAGTTGTGCGTGGTGGCGAGGCACGCTGCGAGACCGTGGGACGATTGGTCCTTTTGTTTGAAATGTTTTGAAACAATCGTAAACACGATCCAAACAGAGAGATGGGGAATGAGCGATGGCTCTTGTTTGGATAAATAATTATGAAGAGCAGCCAGGCTCAGGGTTGCCTCTTTTTCTTTTTTTCGCCCGTTACGGCTACGGGAGAGGACTGTGAGGCACAGGCAGGGACAGCCCAAGCTAAACCAAAAGGGGAAGCTCCACAGCCGTTTCAGGGTCAATGTCAGGGCAGAGGCAGGGTTGGCAGGAGAAGAAGGATTGGCTTATACTGTAACTGTCTAAGGGAACCTAAACACTAATAAAGTCCTAAGGTAGGGCAGCAGAACGGCGTAAATGGCGTGAAAGGGACTTTGCCTCTTTGCTCCCGTTATTTGCGGGCGCCATCGACTTCGCTACCCAACTGTTAAAATAAGATGTGAAGATGGTTGGTTGGCTGAGAACAAAGATATCCAGGTACCTGACCTGACCTAACCTGCCCTTTGTGTTTGTCCCTAGATCTACAGAATATCTATCTGCTTACCATCTTCCCATCCACTCATCAGCAAACAGCATCTTGTTAGGATTTCCTAGCGTGTGGCACTGCAATCCAATGCTGCTGTCTGTCCTCTTCTCACACTCCTCAGCTCCTATTCCTATCACACCCCGGACTCCTGATTTATGCTGTGCACAATATAGACACTGTGCTTCCTCCGGACGACCAGTCAAATCAGGCCGGAAAGGAATCCTTGTCCGTACGACAGCTGCAGTAATCCAGGCTCCCCCGCCGTCGTCCAGTGAACCGTAAACAAAGAGTCCGCCAACGACAACCTCTACGTTTACTCCCCAATAATGCCCGCTTGTCGTTTCCCCATCACCGGGTCTTACGCTGCTGCAGCTCGTCCAGTTCGGAAATCTCATCTAACAATTGAACCGTTTCTGCCGGATTCGCGATCCATGCCGTGGTGCAGGCCAACCGCGCCTTGAAGTCGTTTGCGCCGGCGGACAAGAACTGGTCGCCAACATGTAATGTTTTGCCGCCCTCGATGCCGCCAAAGTATCGTTGGCAGGCCAGGACACCCCAGGACTTGTCACCAATGTCTACAAAAACATCGTTTCCACCTAACAAACGCGTCAGCAGGAACCTATCTAAATAGAAGGGTGGGAGACTATACCATTGAAAGCGCAGAATGGCAGGCGTGAGCCAACCGCGGACATTTCCTGTTAGATGTTAGTCCTTCATAGTCCGACCCATATGACGTCGCAACGCACCAGAATCTTTTGCGTGATGAGCACAGTCTCCTCCAGGGTCTCTCGGCAGAACTTGTGGCCGTCTTGAGGTATGATACCCACTGCCCTATCTTTCCGAACAACCGTGGCTTGCATGCGCATGTTCTTGACTGTGTCCCTCAACGATGCCTCAGCCAGGTCGAGCAGCTCCGTGATATCCGCGTCCTGCCACATAAGCATCTCTTCCAACAGCCACTCCGATCGAGGCACCCATTTCAGGAAATCCGGAGTGTCGCCCGTGAACTTGAAGCAGTAGTTGCTCTCACCACCCAAGACGATGAGACCTTGCTTGTTGGCGGCCGGCATGTCGGAAGCATGCAGAGCATCCAGCAACCCGTACAAACGATCATAGTAGCGGCGAGCTTCTGTATATCCTGCGGCTGTTACAATACCAATCTTGGAACCATTGCGCATCAGCTTTAAGATTCGAGGTATCACCGGGTTGTCAGGCGTCAGACACTGCCCGTCATCGTAGAGCGTAACGTCACCATCGAATGTGACTAGTTCCAAAGGACCGCCTCGAACCAAGCTCATGACCTGTGCGGTGTTGAGTATCAACCTGACATCGTTGAATGAGGGCGGCACAAATCGTCTGTAACTAATGTAGCGGCGCTGGTCCTGCCATATGAATGCATCATGCAATGCGAGCGGCGTGAAGAAATTGGCGACGGAGGGTACCAGCAATTTCAGCTTGGAACGATCATGGGTACCTTCTTGCTGATGCTTGACTATGACAATACTCAGAACAAAATTCCTCCTTAGGCTCTGATATAGCAATGCTTCTATCCGCCCGTAGCAGAGTACTTGACGGTTTGAGAATGGCACGCTATGTAATGCAACTTACTATGGTCATTGATCAGCTCTTCCACGTCTCGCAAAATCTCAGCATATCGCCTCTGGGTGGTCAAAGCCATTTGATCCACCGACGCATGGTGTGCTTCGAAGACAGCTGTTGGCTGCGAGTGCAGAACGAATGGCACAGCCAGGAGCCCCTAGAGAGCTGTCAACCTATGTGATGCTTCCACACCCCAAACTGCCTGCATACCTTGATCCATTCAATCTACACATGTTAGTATGTTCTTGACGTAAGTTGAACTCATGATCTCACCAATTGATCTCGACGATGCGTCTGGGCGAAGTGTTAGCCATCAGTAATCCCCGTACTCATACGGCCAGCAACGCACCTTGAGGGCATCTACGGGAAGCTATGTCAGCTATACGTGTTCATTGGAATGTGAGGGAAAGGTCACGATAAACCGTAGATAAAGAGGCGGTCTAACTTACATTCAACCCTATATCTAGTCGTCATTTTGAACAATATACTTCAGATTCAAGAGTAAGTGTAGGAGTGTCAATCTGTTGATGTGTACAGTTTCAAGCGGGCAAGCTGTTTGACCCATGCCACAGCGACATCAAGAGCTATGGTTATCGATAAAGCAACTTCTAACCGGACTTGGTGTGGTGTTCTCCGTTGGCATTGGTCCCCTCGTCGGAGGTCACCGATTCCTTCAGCATTGGCTGACCTCGTGACTCGACTCCGCTTCCACATGATCACCTGGAACAAACGCGTCGCGCTACGGGATAGTCATTTCACTTAGCTCCAGGTACCTCGTAGGTCTTTGCATAATTCATTATTGTCATTATTGATAAGGTAAGGTAACAGCCCAAGGTCAATTGTGGCATAAGCACACTGCAGCACCGCCTTTCGGGGTCTTATCGATAAGACCCTCGAAGCTTTGAACCAAGCTCCGTCTGATCTACAAAACATTGACCACTGACCTCCCCTCCACCATCCAACATCGGAAGAGAAGAACGACGTCCCTGTACCTCTCGCTCACAACAAGGCTCGACGCAATGGCGCCGAACGAATCTACCGTGGCTCTGCGACCATGGCCCGCGCCCGCCAAAGACGAGACATCCTTTGAGCATGTCTTCGACCAGGTGCATCGCCTCGCGCTCCAGCGCGGCCATCTTCGCTCCGTCACCGAGAAGGGCCTGCAGGAGGAGATTGACGCAGGACAGGATATCGCGGGAGACATCATCGAAGGCGTGGAAAAGGAGGATGGCGCCGAGGACAAGAAGTCGGCTCAGACGCGGGAGGAGAGGCGGGTACAGGTCATTGAGACTCGCATGGAGATGCACAAGAAGCTAGAGTGCGTTGAGATGCTAAGATGCAGTATATGAAAGAGTGTTGCTGATTTGACATCAGGTTTGCGAAATTCGCCGCTTCGAATGCGCTGGATCTCGTGTCGCTGGTTTTAACGAAGGATTCTACCAAGAAGATTCCCGAGAATGCGTTCAGTCCCATGTTCAAGCAGCAGAAATTGCCCGCTGCATCTTTTGGAATCGATAGGGTCAATGAAGGAGCGAAGAAACCACAAGATCAGCAAAGGGAGGAGCAATTGGCAGCAATGCAGTCGCTTGCTGCGAAAGGATCGCGCATGAAGACGTTGGATAATTCCGTGGATGATTTACTCCGCGCCGCGACAAACCTGGAGACCGAAGTACGCAAGGAGACCAAGTATTGGAACGAGCTTCTATCTATATCCCAAAAGGGTTGGTCTCTGCAAAAGCAACAGAGGAGAGATCAACGACAAGCGCCTTTCCTAGTTCGATTCGGTGAGCCCGAAGCCAGCGGCCAGTTCAGAGCTCGCGGCGCTGCTCCTCTCCGAATGGCCAAAGAGGGAGGAATCGTGCTGGACCCGGCTCTTCGATTGAACCCGAAGACCATGCGCATAAGAATCAAAGAAGGGAATGATATTACGGGCAGTTCCAGCTTACCAGCGCAAGGAGATACCTCCAATATAGGGATCGAGAAAGCCATCCAATTTGCCCGAGATTCATTGTTCGAGGAAGAGCTGTATCACGAGCTGGCCATAGAAAGCCGCCAACTCGTATCGTATGGTGTGGAAGTTAAGAATTCTGTCATCAACATCTTGATTCCTGCCTCAAGCAGCACCGCGAGTGATCGAACAATCCTGATTGACTGCGTGGAACGAGACGGTGAATTGGGCACTTCTGAAGCGCTTCCACAGGATGGTCTGGCTCGCAATGTAGCCGAAGCACTGCGACTCCTGCTCGCGCATGACCATCGCATGCGTCTATACCGAAGATCACGACTTCCCCCGCCACTATCTCAACAGAAACGAGCTACACCCAGTCCACCATTACTCCGACCTTTACTCTCCTTCATCTACCATATCCAGGCTGTAGACTCATTACGCAACTACCTAGACAACCTCGTCAACGTCCTCGCAAGCGCAGGCCTACAAGTATCCCTCGACTTCTCCCGCGAGACCTCCTGGGCCACACTCACCTCACACCTCCAATCCTCCAAATCCGCCGACCTCTTCGCCATCGACCAACTCCTCGAAACCTTCATCCACCCCTCCGACGGCCTCGCAACCCTCAGCCTCCCCTCCTCCGTCGGCTCTGCCACCGAAAAACTCACCATCGCCACCAAAACGACAATCGGCCCGCCAACCTACGGCGTAGGCTTCAAAGTCACCCTCCCCCCGTCCCTCATAACCGTCCTCGACCTCTCCGAAGACCAGCCCCGCGACTTCCGCTTCTCCACCGTCGAAGCCGTCACCTCGTACCTCGACTGGGTCGTCGCGCTCGACATCACGCACACGCTGCTCGTCAAGGAGTACCCCAAGCTCGCGTCCATCCAGAGTAACGAGCCGCGCGTCACGATCGCGCGCTGGGAGAAGAGGAAGCGGTTCGATAAGGAGATTAGCGTGGAGTTGAGCGGGGGGACGCTCAAGTTGGAGGCTTTCGAGGCGCATTTTACGAAGGGGACGCCCGGGGTGGAGGAGTTCACGTGGGATGGGAGGGGGTTGGGTAAGGGGGTGTCGTTTAAGGAGAAGGTTCATGGGTTTGTGACGGAAGCGTAGTTGAGTACATTTCACTGAAATATCGACCGTTGATATGAAGAGTCTTGGGTTGACTTGGATGTGCCTATATCAAGTCCGAAATGAAAGATACTTCAATACATTTTCCTCCACAGAACACTCTGCAATGTCCCACTCACTGTTAAGCAGCTTTTAGTGATGTATAATTCATGTCATGCATTTTTGTAGCGGTGTACCGAAACCCACTTCTATATAGATAGATGGTAAATACGCTATCTTCATCCTCAATCTCTTGAATCTTCCAACATATACACAGAAATCATCCAATCCCAATCAACACTCTCCCCCTACGTCTTCCCAAAGACAAAAACCCCCTTCCCCTCCCGATACCCCTCCAGCGTATCCTTAACCTTCGCAATCAACTCCTCCCCCTTAGTCTCCCACTCCCACTTCACCTCCTCGACCGGCGTATCCCTAAACGCGCCCTTCCTCGTCAAATCCAGCACGTCCTCCACCGTCGCCTTCTTCTCCTCGGGGTGTCTCGCACTCCACTTGCTCACCCAGTACCCATGGAAATGTATGTCCTTGAAGATCAGCATACTCGCCGGGATAGTAAGCGGCTGCTTCGACATAGCACCGTACGTAACAAAATGCGCCTCACTAGCCAGCACCTTCGCCATCGCGGTCGCCGGTTTCCCGCCCACGCAATTGAGCGCAAGCCGAATCGGCTTGCCGCCCGTCTCCTCCTTGACTCTGTCGCGGAACCCTTGCGCCTGGAGCTCCTCGTCCGTGACGACGACGTCCGCGCCGATGGCCAGGAGGTCCTTCTTGAGGGCGTCCTCGGCGGCCTTGTCGCTCCGCGCGCGGACGACGTTGATGCTCCTGAGACCCCACGCGCGGCCGAGCTGGATCGCCGCGCGCCCGACGCCCGAGTTCGCGCCGTTCTGGACGAACCAGTCGCCCTCGTCGAGCGCCACGAAGTCCTTCAGCATGCGGTACGCGGTGCAGGGGTTGACGCTCACGGTGCCGGCTTGGATGGGCGTGATGCCGTCGCGCGCGGCGTCGGAGAGCAGCACGACGTCCGAGGGGGTTGCGGAGGCGTGCGTGCGCCAGGTGCCGAAGCCGGGGGACGCCATGATGACCCAGTCGCCGCGTTTGAAGCCGGCGGACCGCGCGGCGTCGCCGAGGGAGATGATTTCGGCGACGCCTTCGTTGCCGGCGACGGCGATGGGGGAGGCCGTGCCGAGGGAGGTCGTGAAGTTGGGTTTTGAGGGATATACGCCTTGGATTTGGTTGATGTCGGCTGGGTTGATGGGGGACGCGAGGTAGCGGAGGGTCATTTGGTTGCCGTGGGGCGGGGAGATGGAGTGCGTGTGGAGGGAGAGGACGCTCGAGGGGTCGCCGTAGGAGGGGAATGTGAGGGCTTTGGATTGTTCGTAGCCATAGGCACTGATGGAGCGGCGTTGTTGTTGGTTGTGGTTATGGGTGATGTGGTGCGGGGAATGGGTTGTTGATGCTAGGCGGAGGCATTGTGGTGAGGTGATGCGTGATGTGCGGGAGAGCAGCGAGGCTGTCGGTATCGCTCTTGTCGCCATTGTTGTGGTTGGGCTGGTGGAATTGCAATTGATGCAGAGGTGGTGGTGGGGTGAGGGAGATAGGAAGAAGAGTTGAGGAGCTCTGATGTTTATGGAGCTATGACGTCTCGCCAGGCCGAGGTAGGGCTTCCGGATAGTCGCTCTGGAGACGAATCGAGGTAAGGCACCGTGCTTGATGGAATTCACGATAGATACAGGTAAAATAGGAGCAGGAAGGAAATATACGTAATAATATGCATTCGTTATCATCAATTCCACATTTTCCGTTGTCGTTGTTGATCAACGTTGCGCCTTTTAAGACTTTAATGAGTTATCTACAAAAGTGTCATCATAAAAAAATGAAGTGGTCCGGAAAGAAAACATCCTGTGTCGAACACCCTCTATCTAATAAGCTATTACATCGAAATCAGAAACCGTTCAGCCAGTACTGGCAAAAGGCTCTAGAAGTTGTTCACGCGGGAAGAGTGCATGTTGATTCGTCATGCTGGTGGCCCGAGAGGGTCTTGATATCGGGAAGCTGTGGGGGATCGGGACGTCCTGAAAGGATGTTCACAACTTTCTTCAAGTTCATCCAGAACTCATCACGAGGTCGTCGGCGCTTGAAGTCCGTCTCCTTCCGCTCGACCTGTTCCATGGGCGAGAACATGACCTTCGCACCCCTAATACCGATGACGACGGCCGACTCCGGATCTTCATCAATGTCTTGATGAGAGACGCCGGCGTAAGATTCGAGATGGCGCAGAGCACGTACGCCGAATCGAACTGCACGGACTCGGTCCATCGGAGAAGGTGTAGTTCCTTGTTGGAAATGGCCTGGCACACCATGACGGGACTCGAACTTGCCCTTGCCTGACTCTGCAATCATTTCCGCAATGTGCTGTACAGAGTAGACTTTGCTTGCTTTCTCATTGACAAGGATGATCTTTCCTGCGCGGTTCTGTCCCTTGTCCTTGATGAATACCTCACGGAGGTAATCAATGTCGTGATCGAGCATTTTGATGTTGATGCCATCCTCTGGCGTGTAGACTGCAACAGCACCAATGCTGAGACCCGCGACGGTAGCCTAATCATCAAGTCAGTAAATATCTCGAAATACAAAATCTACGCATGCTTACGATATAACCGCTCTCGCCACCTTGAGTCTCGATGACGAAGACTCGTCGTCGAGATGCGGAGGCAGACTGTCGGCAAGCGTCGCAGTACTCAATCAGAGCATTGAGACAGGTGTCACTACCGATAGAGTATTCGGTTCCTGGTACGTTATTCGAGAGCGTGGCTGGTATGATGACCATCGGGATCTTGAAAGACTTGTAGTGTGCGCGGCCCTTGCGGAGCTCAGATACAGCAGTGAATGCTTCGAATCCTCCAACAACAAATAGTCCCTGGATGTCGTACTTCTTGAAAACGTAGCTGACCGTCTCAAGGTCCTCACTTGGAAGGCCACGGTTGGTTCCGATCTCACTACCGCCCTTGCTTGCCCAGCTTTCGGCGTCGAGCCAGCTGATCTCCCGTACAGCGCCCACTGGTTCGTCAGAGTGATGCCGGATGAGACCGGGGAAACCGTTGTGTAGAGCCAATGGTGTGTGGCCGCGGGCCAAACAGTACGCAACAGCTGCGCGAGTGGCTACGAAGTATTAGCTTCCATTCTGTCCATTATCAGGGTGGTTCAGGTAATTACCAGCGTTCATGCCACCTGCCGGAGCACCGACGTGAATAATACCAATGCGCATTCTCTTCTCCTTGGGAAGCATCAGCTCAGGCTGATTGGACATTGTGGTAATCTGGTATGATCGGTAGTACTCGGCGAATTCCGCATCGCGGAGCTTCATAGCGGTTTGGAAGTCCTTTGCTTCGATAGCTTCGGCGACCTTCTTCGTCTGAGCGACTGCTTCGAGTAATGGTCGTCGTTCGATCTTGTTCTCGACCATGCAGATGACAGGAGAGGGAGTCTCAGGGGTTGCCTAGTAAGTGTGAGCAATTAGTCCAGGGTACTATGTAGGTGGATTAAACTGTAGAATGTACCTCCAAAACGGCCTTGACGGCCTCAACACCTTGAAGGGTGGCAAGCATACGGTCATAGGCACAGGGAGTTCCACCTCGCTGCACATGGCCCAATGTTGTGACCCTTGTGTCGAGTCCAGCCTTTTGTGAAAGGAGGTCCTGAAGAGGTCAGTATGTACCAATAATGCGACATTCCGAGAGCTCATACCTTGACCATTGTGGGTGAGATCTTGGTCAAGTTCTGGTCATGGGCACCCTCGGCGACGATGACGATTGTCTTACGCTTTCCCTTGGCACGGTGCCTCTTGACGACTGCGAATGTGTTAACATTATTACGGGGGAGAGAAAAAAGAGTGAGTTCGGACCTTCGCACATCTCATCCTGCCAATTTTCGCTTGGTGGGTTCTCGGGAATGAAGATGTAATCAGCACCGGTGCTGACACCAGCCATCAACGCCAACCAACCACAATGTCGGCCCATAACTTCAATGACGAAAGCCCTCTGGTGGGAGGTTGCGGTGGTGTCCACCGAGTCAATAGCCTCGCAAATACGTGCGAGGGAAGAGTAGCATCCAATGGTGGCATCAGTCATGCTGAGATCGTTATCGATCGATCCAACAAGACCGACGATGTTGAGATGTTGGAATGGCTGGCAGTCCTGGGCAGTGAGCTGGTTGGTGTTGACCAATTCCTCGAGCAGGCTCGGCCACTCTGCTCTGAACTTATCGGCACCCGTCAATGAACCGTCACCGCCGCAGATGATGAGCGCATCAATGCCCTTGAGTATCATGTTCTTCGCCGCCGTTAGACGACCAGGTCGTTCGTAGAAGGACATGCAGCGAGCGGTGCCGATGAGGGTTCCGCCTTCGCCCAGGAAGCCACGGACATCCTCCCACTTCATTTCCTTGATCATGTCACCGCCTTGTACGAGTCCATCGTAGCCCTCGTAGACAGCATAGGCTTCGCAATCGTAATGTATAGCCATGCGGACAATGGCACGAACAGCGCCATTCATGCCGGGAGCATCACCACCAGAGGTCATGACTGCGATCCTGCGCTTGTTGCCGCTGAGCGGCGCGGGGGGAGCTTCTGTGGGCGCCATGTTGAGCGCCTGTATAAGTGTGAGTACGGACGGTAGCTTGTGAATGTGTAGACCTGGGAGAAGGGTCGCGGGAAAGATGGTGAAAGGAGGCTCAGGCCTGTAATTCGGAGGAAAGACCGGCTTGATATAGGAATTGGAGATGGAAGAAGGGGTGAGATCGATTGAGGTGAGTGATGATGTAGCCGGAATGTTGAGGTAAGCTCCGACCTAGCTAGTCAACCCCGCCGGTGCTACTTCAGTAAGAGAGATTTGAAAGGGGAAAAGAATATGGTGAACAGAGGTGAGATTGAGAGGAGGAGGGAGGAGTAATTGTTGAAGTGAAGAAGAAAGTTGGGATGGAAAGGGAGAGGGAGGTATGACGGAGGCTGAGGGTTGCCAATGTCTAAATAGGTGAAACTGGGGCCCTTTGCACGGCGAGCGATATCAATTTTGGAAAAGGAAGAATTTCAGGTGAAGAGGTTGCGCTCACCAAGTCAACCAAGTCCAACAAGGGCATGACGTTGGGAGGGGCATTTCGGTGGGGGTAAAGGGTTAATCCCCATTGGGACTAGCGGTAACTCACCCAGCAGGGATAGTCGGTCATCCCATCGTTGCCGCCGACGCCGACGCCTCTTCATCCTTTTCATCCTCCTCCAACAAGAAAACAGGACACGACAAGACTGGACAAGACAAGACAAGACCAAGTCATTCACAGTCAATCATTCAATCAATCAATCGCAGCCGTGCCGTCACTCATGTGTCTCTCTATGCATGTCCCCTACATATCAATCAACTACTACTGTAACATCCTGAATAAAACATCAGATCATGTTTTATTCCCCATCCCACTGCATTCAATCAACCCCGTCACTTCTCCCAGCACATGTCTTCCTCTTCTAACCTTACTCTCCATCCTTCAATCCTTCCTCTATTTCTTGGCCGAACGTCAAGTCGGCCTTGACCTCTCTGGCATCGCCATCTTCCGGCCGGTACATGAGAGAGCCTCTTTTCCATTCTCTTTCTTAGATGATTTGATTAGACAGACCTATGCCGTTACGCCGGAGCCACCCCACTATTGCCCGCCCACGTCCTACACACTCGATTTTTTTTCTTTTCTTTTCGACGGTATGAATCAAATTGTTAAGCCTAATAGGCGATTCGTCGCTATCGGCCTATCGGGAATACTCCCTATAGTAATCCAAATTATACATGGGCCGTGGCTCTCGACCCAACTCGCAACCCACGAGAAGGTGACTGTCATGTGCTTTATCTCGAGACACGACAGAGCGATCGGCCACTACCAAAAGTGTACGAATTCAACATTTTATTTTCTTGACTCGTCAGCAGGCACGTAGAGATCCTCATCCAATCTACAGATACCCGTGGGATGCTCTTAGCTCCGGCCGAGCACTGCGAGATTACAATTGTATGATGTGAAGTACATGGGTATCGAAAGACTCGGCTGCATCGTGTACGCGATGCTCCGGGTATGCTGTCCACGTCGCACCGCCATTCCATAGCATTGGATAGACTTTGGACTAGGCGCTCATTGCGTCTGCCCATCCCGCTCATTGTAAAGTGCCACATTGGCAAGCTCGACTTGCACCCTCAAGCTCTCATTCTCACTGTTCTTTTCCTCAACCTCTCGGGTGCGCTGCGCCAGAGCCTGTCGCAACTCTGTGACCTCTTTTCTGAGTCGCTCAACCTCGGTCTCTTCCTGCCTGGTGACATGCTGAAGTGCATCATTACATTGAGCTACCAGCATCGGATCTATCTCTGGAAAGGCCCGAGGAGGAGCTATTGCGCCGCCACGTATTTCTTCGCGGGGCTCTTGGGACATCTGGGGTATGTCCTGGGATCTGTGGCTGGGATTAGAAGCCCTTTCATGCTCACCCTCATCCTCATCACCGGTTAGCCCCTCGCCAACTTCCTGACCCGCTGCCTTCCTGGCTCGCTTAATCTGAGCTCGGATGTTGTAGATATCGCGCTTGAAGATATGTATTCCTGGGAGTCGTAGCTCTAGGATCCTCAACGTCAGACCCACACCCCGGTCTCTACCTTGATACGCTCCAGGTTTGCGCATCATTTCTTGCTCCACAATCTTCCACACCAGTCCTCCCCGCTCTAGGCTGTGGCTGGGAGTTCCATTCTCGCATGGTGTGTCCTGCTGTTGCGTGTCCTGGCCTCCAACACTATAACTTTGAGAGACGCCCTCCAAACGCTCCTCCTTCGCAGTGACACCTCCGACACCGATTCGTCCTCCATGCATGCCCCAAGTCCTTTTCCGCTGAGAGGCCCACCCTTCAATCGAGCGGCCAGGGTGGTTGTGCAGAGGCTCTCCGACTCTGAGCAGCCATGTCCCATCTTCTTGCTTCTTGCCTTCAACCCACATCTTACAGCCCGTCTTGTAGCTGACGCGATTCTTTCTAACCCTCGTCTCGGCCGTCAATTTGTGTGTGTTCTTAGGCGCTCCATAGCACACGCATGCAAGCTTGATCCGCGATCGGTTCTTCGCCGTGGTGTTTATGCTCAAGGCATATCCGTGTGCGGAGGCATGTGCTTGGGCGAAATCGTATAATGTCTGCCACGTAGGATGCACACTGTCAGGCGGCGGGAGCATGTCAAATTCATCATCAGGAGTGCTGTCTAATTCTTGGGACAATGCCTCAGTGTGTGTTGTACTGGGAGTGGGCCTCAATGGCCGAAGGTTGAACGCGTGATGCTCTGAGGAGGAAAGAAGGTCCTGATCCCTAAGTCTGCTGGCTAACCGAACCTCAACTGGTATGCTAGACCCTCGTTGTAATTGGCCGTGCTCTATATTCGATTGTGCATGGGACTCGAAGTCCTCGCTATGGGGTTGAGGCTCGCCATTCGCGCGCGCAAAGTCCGAGACCTCATGCTCGATTGCATGCTCGATGCTCTGTGTCGTGGGTGAAGCCAGAGGAACGGAGGAGCTTGAATTTACATTCTGGTGTGAGTGGACAGAGCTCTCGTGTGAGGGCTTGTGAGGAGGAAGAGAGTTCATATCCCGCATGGTCGCGGATACTTTCGGTGATCGCTGTTGCTTCATATGGAGCGAGTACCTACGATTTGGAGCGGGATGCCAAGAGCTGAGCACTAGATCACGTGCCTTCTGCTGTGCCGCAGATGGATTACATTCCACTTTAGGTATTTATTCAGTTCCTCTTTCGTAGGAGTATTTGATTATTCTACTCGTCCTAGGCGTATATAAGATCCTTATCATTAAATCGTCGTGGTGAGACATTGACTCATCTGCGCTCATGATTATCAACCCTCATCTGCGCTCATGAACATCAACCCTCATCTGCGCTCATGAACATCAACCCTCATCTGCGCTCATGAACATCAACCCACATGTTCGAGATGGCGAACAGCCCCATGACATTGAAAACCTCCCAAGGTTTATGAGGATTCGTAAGAGCGAAATCGAAATTCCTCAGCAGCTCAAAGATAGTCTTATGGATCTCGAGCATTGCAACGACCTTGCCTAGACACTGCCAGCGCCCATGACCAAAAATCATATCATTGGTTTTGTACATTCGGGCCAGTCGCTCCTGCTCTCCGGGAATGGACTCATCCACGAACCACCGCTCCGGTCGAAAGACAGTCGAGTCTTCACCATAGAGTTTCGTGTTGTTCCGATGCATTGTGAATGCGGAATAGCCAATCATGGTGCCACCCGGAATGAAGTGCTCTTTGCCGTCGACGATCACTACATCGCCTCCTTTAGGAGCAACTCGGGAAAAGAGATTGGCAACCGGGGGATGGACACGCAATCCCTCACGGATGACTGCAGAAAGATACGGAAGCGTGCGAGCTTCGGCGTCAGATATGATGCCAGGTGCTGCAGGTGCCTTGCCAGCCTTCACCGCGTCGTCGATTTCGGCTTGGAGCTTCGCATATACTCGGGGATGGCTCATGATGTAGAGCATGATGATTCGCAAGGCTGCCGCCGTGGTGTCTGATCCTGCTAAGATCTGCTCAAAGGCCTCTTGGAAGAGATCGTCTCCGGTCAAGCCATGGCGAATGAAGGATGCCAGCATATCGGAACGTTCCTTGGTTGACCGCTCAGTGCGAGAGCTTACGACCTTCCTCGCCTCAGCCATCATTCTTCCAAAACCAGATTCGTCCTTCTCAGAGGGGCTTATGGCTTTCCCGAGGATAGGGACATCCCGAAGCCAAGAGATCCCTAGGCCAAAAGACAGATTAGCGATCCGAAGACCCTCCTCGGAGGCTTTGAGGTAATCGTTGATGTCGGTATCAGCCTTCAAGTCTCTAAACGACTGTCCTAGGCCAACGCCACTGATTACATCAAGCGTGAGGTACTGGATCTTGGATGCTAGGTCCATGGGCTTTGATACTCGCCCAGACGATGCCGGTGCAGCATATTTGGAACGGATCAGATGAACCAGCTCTTGCACGTGCTCATCAATCGAGGACTCCAGTTCCGGATTCTCTTTGCCAGCATACTATCTCGATGTTAGTGGATAGTCACTTCAGCTGGCACATTGATCATTACCCCTGACGCCATCTTTTTCCTTCGAGCATCATGCTTATCGTTATCACATTCGGTGAAGACGTTGTCTTTGCCTGGATCGAAACGAGCGGCATGGTAGTACCAACCAGCGCGGGAATAGGGCGATCGCACCGCATTGATATGCGCCCACAGCTCCGGAGATGATGTGATGAGATGGTTGGGGGCGACCCTGGCGATCGATCCTGCAAAGGACGTAAGTCAGTGTCACGATCCTCTGCTCTGCAGCATGTCCATGTGGTACCGTATTGAGCTGTCACATCTCCATAATATGTGTGGCAGTCTCCACTAATAACTGCTTTTGAATGCCAGAGCCAGGAAATCCCGGTGCTGAACGGCCCTCTGAAGTGCCTCAGACGCCAGTATTGTCGGCAACGCTCGGCCGCGAAGTAACAGAAGGCAATCGACAGGGTCAGATAGACCAGATTTCGCGAAGCATATCCTAACGCGGCGTCGACTGCATCTGAAAACATGGTGTGGGAAGCTTTTCTTTTACGAAGGATCAGGCTGATCCGACCAGGAGGGAGGATCAAGATATGCTCCACAGGTCGCCCGGTCATTATAAATGCGCGCAACTCGTTAGATTTGGACCCATCTGTTCTCCTTAGGCCAGTCACATCACAGCAGTTTCTCGATAGCGCGACTTGACGCAGGAGATAGCGCCAGGTGCGGGCAAACGACACGATCCGTAACTAGGGCCCACGCGGTCGCCACGCCCTCCACGCGGAGACCCTTTACTGCAACGGGCGGAAGACGCAGAAGCGCTTTTTCCACGTCGTCAAATAATGTGCAGGTTTTTTCTTTTTTGTGTACCTTGGAATCGTATGTGGCAGGCTAGCCTGCTGACAGCCGCAACTTTCGAGTTGAGGGGGTGGAGGGTCTAGGTCGGTGTGCCACGGGTAGTGCTTTTCTTTTGGCGACTCGTGGGCCATTTCAACGGCCGTCCCCAGCTTCGTTTCGTACAACCGGTCATATCATTTTCTCCTCTCAACACATTCATCCACATCCTGGGGTAGGCTGTATAGACCATATACCCCCAGATTTTAGCACGATAGGATCGTTCAACCTTGCATCGATCCGTCCGCGCACCTCACAAGATCGCGTTCGTCTTACATTTTCGCTTCCCGGCTGAATTGGCGCAATCTATTGTCATTGGCCCGAGTAGACGTCCACCATGGCAGCTCTGCCTGTCGGCGCAAGCAACCCCCCCGCAGAAACGGCAACCCCAGTAGTGACAGCGACAGTAACGGAGCCAGAAACTGCTGTGCAGGATAGCGATGACCATACGGTGAATCCTGTAATCCCAGTACAGGTACGTCAGCAGCGCGAATGTCTTGTATGCCTTGAATGCGTGTTGCTTCATTGCTCTTAAATATTTCGATCACACCACCAACAAATATCAAGTTGGCTTCTTTGCGATCGCCAACATTGCATGGCAAAGGAAGAAGAGAGTTGGAACAGACCGACTTAGCCCCGTCTGTAGTCATTGTCCTTGCCGGAACTGGTCTTCAGCTCATGCAGACCAAGATTTGTACTCCAATGGATGCAACCATCTAACAACACCATAGGATGCGCCCACAACAACGGATGAAGAGGAAAATGACGACACAGGCGATTCTGCATATGGCGATGACGAGGACGCATGGTCTGATACCACAACCATTCCATCAACGATTATGCGACACAGATACCAGCATGGACGCCGTTACCACAAGTTTCGCGAAGGCGAATACTGGGGTCCTAACGATGAAGAGCAGAACGACCAACTTGACATAGCTCATCAAATGTTTCTAATCCTTCTCAACCAAAAGTTACACCTCGCGCCTCTCCAGAATCCCCAAAGAGTGATCGACCTCGGCTGTGGTACAGGTATCTGGGCAATTGACTTGTAATACCCCCTAAGTCCTTTACCATTGCATCGCCAAATAGCTAACGAAAGCAATAGCGCAGATGAAAACCCCTCCGCAGAAGTCATCGGCGTGGACCTCTCGCCAATCCAACCTTCATTCTCCCCGCCCAACTGCAAATTCGAAATCGACGATGTGACAAGTCCATGGACGTACCCACGCGACCATTTCGACTTCGTCAACATCCGCTCACTGTACGGCAGCATCGCCGACTTCCCGGCGCTCTACCGTCAGGTCTATGACCATCTTGTGCCAGGCGGATGGTTCCACCAGCTCGAAATGAGCATCCAATTCAAATCCGACGACGGCACTCTCACGCCCGATCACCCCCTCAGCCAATGGAGCGATGTGTTCCACGAGGCCGGCGAGAGGTTCGGCAAGAGCTTCAAAGACGTCTTCAATCTCGGCAAATGGGCGAAAGAAACCGGGTTCACAGACGTTGAAGAGAGGTGGTATAAAGTCCCAGTCGGTGGGTGGAGCAGTGATGAAGAGATGAGGGTGCTGGGAAGGTGGAACCTTTTACATTGCACGCAGGGCGCCGAGGGCTGGGGACTTTTCTTGTTAACGAACGTCATGAAGGTAACGTTCATCATCTTTTCATGCATCGTCGTCTCCAGTTGTGGGCTAACCCTCGTCGAATCAAAACAGTGGACCATAGAAGAGGCACAAGTCTTCATCGCAAAGTTTCGCAACGGCCTGAAACAAAAAGCTGTGCATGCATACTTCGAAGTGTAAGTCTCCTTGCCTTCTTCTCTTACCCCGCTCCCTTTTCTATTTGTTTGCTTTGGGTTCGCGGTAGGTTACTGACGCCTTTTCGTCCAGCGTCGTCGTATATGGCCGGAAACCAGACAACACGGCATCATAATCTAACATCCCTTTTAAACACAACGACTCATAGAACGCGATTTTCCACGTCCGTAGTACCGAGGAAGTGTGGTGGTGCTTTTTCCTTCCTCGACTCTTCTAGCGAAATCAGTAATTAATAGCGAATCTTTTCCTGAAAGCAAAATTATTAAATCGAATTTATCTATCTAATTTTCCCTCTCAAACATGGATGTACATGTCATGTGTGGGAGTACGTATTCACAGCGCCTTGGGTAATTATCCTCGTTCATTATTCTCATTAGGGAAGGGGAAAGTCATGTGCTCCATTTCTCATAACCAAGCAAGTAGAACAAAATATCAGGTCGGGGGATATCAATCTACAACTGAAAGAAAAAGGGACGCTCGTTGTGTCATCGTCGTCATTCATGCCCGCACCACGCCATCAGAAACCTACTTGTTCCCAGGCACAGGCAGCGGATCCTCCCGCGCCGGTGTCTCAGGCAAGGGGACAGATTTCGGGTCTGGAAGATGCGCGACGGAGGGGAGGTCGTTGACCGCGGCTGTGGCAGCAACATCGACGTCCCTGTCGTTATCGTCCCCGATGATGAGCGGTGGCTCTGGCTTCTCCCTGCTGCTTTCGCCCTTCTCGATCGCAGATGCGGATGCCTCTCCGCCTCCGCTTCCGGCGTCGTTGTCGGTGAAGGATGAGGCGCTGCTGGCGAATGCGGAGTCGCCTTCCTGGGCGGCGAGGCCTTCTTTCTCGAGGCGTGTCTCGCGGCCGCGCTTGTGGCAGTACCAGAAGACGAACATGAGGACTGCGGATAAGACAATTAGTACATGGACTTCTGAATATGCGGAAGGGGGGGTTGAGGGACTTACGGAACACAGCGAGACTGAGAATAACGTTCGTGCCAGTCATGAGCGCCGGGAACCTCAATTTGAGGAAATTGAGGATGCTCTTCAACATCGTGGCGACGGCTCCCTGCGCGGAGATGAGTTGTTTGAGGCTCGGGATCTTGGGCTTCGAGGGCTTGAAGCCGGACTTCTGTTTCGCGTCGAAGCCTGGCTTTTCGGCCGTGGCTGCGAGGATCTCTGGGCCGAGCGCGGCTGTCATTTTGGTGGGGAGGCTCTTGACGAGGTTTTGTAGGAACGGGGGCAGGCTTTCGTACATCTTCTTCATTTGGGTCTCGGACTCGGTGAAGAGCTTCGTCATATCGTCGTATGCTGTTGGGGCGCCGTTGACGACGTCCTTGAGGACGAGCTTGAATTTGTTCAGTAGCTCTTCCGACTCCTTGGAGAAGCTGAAGACGCGGTTGTTGACGGCGCTGAGGTTGAGTTGGTCGAGGATTTGGGTGAGGTCCTGGTTCTCCTTCTCGACTTCGTCTGCCTCAGACACTTTGGCGGCCTCTGCGGCTGCCATGAGGTCGTCGGCCGCTCTCGCCTTGTCCTTGCTCGTGACTTTGTCTTTGCCTTTGGATTCCTTCTCTTTCCCTTTGTCCTTATCGCCCGTCTTTCGCAGCCGTGAGAAATACGACATCACGCTTTCTTTCCTGCTGAGCCCGCCCTTCTGTGCATCAACCTCCGGTGGGCTCACGGGAAGCGGTACAGCGTTCGCTCCGTCCATGATCGCCTCCTGCGCATCCTTGCCGACCTTCTTCTCTCCTCCGTCCAGCACGACGACAGGTCGTGTAGGCAGCGGCGGCGCTGGACCTTCCGGCTCCTGTGCGATCGCAGCTAGCCGCTGCAGGAACTTCTCGTCTTCCTCGTCGAGCACTGGCGATGCGGCCGGCTCCTCGCTAGGTGCAGTCACGGCGGGGGCCGGTGGAGCAGTGGTGGGAACCTCAGTTGTGGTTACATCATCCTGCTTCGACTGGCGCCGTAGCTTCTTGTTGATATATGCGAGAGACATTGTCCCGCGTCTTCGTATTCGTGGTATGTGTCGTTGCGCGCGCTCGTGTCAGGCTGTAAGACAGATCGGATAGCGGCACGGAAATGCTTGGGGGGAAAAGTTGGAAAGCAACGTTGGAGGGAGGCTTTTTAAACCAGGGTGTGGGAGGCGAGAGGCGTTGTTGTAGGGAGATCTACATAGGCTTTTGATGCAAGTGTTGTTGATCTTGCGTGTGAACAAGCGATGACGTACATACGTGGAGCCAGATCTTTGTGCGCCACTTGGATACACAGCCACATCTGGGGGTAATTGAGTATGCGCCAATCAGTGTGCTCGGTGCTGGAAATGGTCGCTGGGGGTAAACTTTTATTGGAGATGAACTCTGGTCGAGATGGTTCTCAAACTTGTGATTTTGGCCTCTACTCTTGTGTGCTACCCGTCCGGGAGCGATTCATGTGAATGTAACTACCACTTTGACACTGATGCTACTTGGCAGTACGATCGATTGATTTTACTATATCTTTACGTCGACTAGATGGCCTACTTTATGATACTGACTAGGACTTGTCTGCAAGACCTCTTGTATGGCTCTCGTTGTTATTTCTATTCTTTTTGTTTGTGTAAACAGTTCCTAGGGCATCATGCTGCTATTTTGATAGAAAGACACCAACACATCATTGGCTCAACAACAGTGATATCAACCAATAAGATAAATTTCCCACTCTGAGTGAATAATCTCAGTCACACTTTTACCTATCATTTTTGGTTGAGACTCACCTGCCGGTTGCTGGGTTAACGCTCTTGAAGTGAAGGAAACCCCAATTTGCCTCTCTGCGTCCAACCAACGTGGCAACGCAGGAAAATCACCCAAGTATCCTCTATAAAAGCTCACTTCCCCAGAGTTTTGCAATCCTTCCTTCCACAATTTCCCATCAGCTTCAAGGTGGGGTATCAAGCTAACATGTCGAACTTCCAGATGTTCACTCTCGACGACGATGGTGAGTTATCAAGAACTGATTTATCTACCTTGACATTACTAACTGAATTAGCTATGGACACTGGTGAACCAAAGGAGGGGCCGGCTCTACGAGAACTGGAAAAGAAAAGCTCAGTAAGAAAATCAGTGCGCTTAAAGGTCTGACTATATCAACTAACGGTAACAGCCCGACCAGGATCTCGAGGACTCTGATGGCTGGGAAGATGTTACCATGAATGACCCCGATTTCAAAGAAGAAGCGGGAGAGGATGAGGAAGTGGATGAGGACGAGGACGAGGACGAGGACGACGGAAGCACGGAATCCAAGCCCAAACACAAACGTGCCAAAGTCCAAGGCCGCCGACGCAAGCGTACCACCTTACTTGCACAAACCGACACCACCAATTCATTTGTTCTCCTCGACGACGGGCCCACCGATGAGGGTAAGAAGAGCCAGCCCTCTCGTGCGCTAGGAACATTCGGTCGCCGCCCAAACCTACCCCGAATCAGTCATACGAGGAGGATTACAGCCGAGCTCGACAGCGACGATGAGCTTATTATAACCATGCGCGATAAAGGTTACTCCGACCAGCAGATTGCGGACCACCTATCGAAAGAAGGTCGAACTCGGTACGAGCGCAAATCCGTTGCCACGCGAATTGGCCGCATCAAGTTGGCGCAGGCAAAGAACATCGACAACCTGTTGGAACAGGGTCTGAAAGAATGGAAATACGAAGACGATGTACGACTTCTCGAAGCATACGCTCTGGCAGATGTCCAAGTGAACTACGAGATCGAGCGTGCGCGGGCATGGCGCTTCAAGAAGGTGTCGGACCAGATGCGTCGAGCAGATAAGGATTGTATCTTCTCCGAGAAGGCGTGCAGGGACCGGTACCAGGCTCTGATGAATGGAACTGCTAAAATCCCCACAGCACTGGATGATGATCCTGAAGCTCGACGTAAAGAGGTGGAGGCTCTGCACCAGAAACAAGAGGAGAAACAAGCGGCCGAAGCTCTCAAAATGCAGAAGAAGGCAGAAAAGGAACAAACTTTTCGAGATAAGCAGCTCGAGCGTAGCGCTGAAAAGGCTAAAGCGGCTGCTACCATGCAGGCCGCGAGGCTTAAAGAGAACGTTGAGCGGAGTTTGAAGCGCGCTCAGGAGGCCCAACTCAAATTACAACGAGCAGAGGACAACAGAATCGCTCGGGACAAGCAATTGGCCGATGTTCGTGCACGAAAAGTAGCTGCTAAGGATGGTAAGGTGAAACAAACCCACAATGAGAATCCAAACCCGAGTTTCTCGTTGAAGGAAGACACGGAGAAGGCCTCAAAGAGCGCAAATGATGGTCCTTCAACTCCTCGAAGTGCTCTCTCTATGAAGCATCTTCAGGAATTGTGCAGGCGCCGATACCTACCTGAAGAAGCCCAAACTACCCAAGAGCTGGTAAAACGTCTCGAGGACGCCGATAATAAGTGCTCCCTTCAGCAGCTCAAGACTGAGTGTCGCTCAAGGGGCTTGAACGTCACTGGTAATAAGAGCGACCTCAGACGTCAGCTTGCAGTTGCAGATGCCAAATTGTTCGCCTCTGAATCCGAGGAACGGGCTTAGATGCAATCCTTTGGCGAGTGTCAGCTTCGGGCAGGAGAAATCTTTGGGAGAGGTTAGCAAGATAGGAAGGCCTGGATGTTCTTGGAGAGGGCAGTATGAAGGATTGCTTATGCACTGCGGTAATCCAGATCTTTACAAGGTCCGAGGAAAGAACCAGTCTATCCATTATCTCTCTCAGGCCTAGCTGCTTAACTGGTAGCACATAAGAATATCAACATTAATTTTGGTATTACGCTAGAAGCGGGCCAAATGTGACTCGATTGACCAACCATTGTTATCCTATATGATTGACCTCCTTTTCAAGTACAAACAGATGAACAAGAGTTTGTATTTGAGGCCTTTCTCATTAGAGCGTTATTTCGGGGACTTCGATGGCCCATGCTTCTTTACTCCGTCGTTCCCTATTGCAAAATCAGTGGTAAATTGTCCTAGATTTGGGCGTCATTAGTCTATGGGATAAAGTTAGTTAGATGCTTAGGGGAATGTTTCGCAATACCAAAATAGGTAGCCATGGGAAACATGTACTTGTAATTCTTAAGAAATGGGGTCTCCCGCCACCAAGATCCTAATGACTGCTACAAGTGGAAATAAGAGGCGCCTCGGGACCATTCACTGTATCCGTGCCCGGAATATCCAGACTAGGCGAAGCCGGCCATAGTGTGTCAATTCCTGGTTAGAACAAGGGGCCACCCCGCACTCCACAAAGATCCCCACCCCGCATCCGCACTCGTCTATGACGCTAGAACACGTCGGATGATTGCTAAACTTCACGGTGGCGTGTTCCCGGGTCTGTTGCCGCAGTCAATTCCATCAATGGCTTTGCACTATCGTCGTATAGCCTTTAAGTTGGCCAATTGAACTTCAATCGGACCAAGGGACAAGAAGGAAAACCGGACGCATCTGCTGGTGAAGTTTTGGAATTGATGTCTCTCGTAGTGATCATCGTGTCGTATAGACCGACTAGGTGTAAATACTGATCTGCAAGTAGCGTGGAATTAGTCTAAGACCTGGGATGCACACAGGTCAGAGGGGTAATGACATGACTAGATAAAACCCCTAATGATGCCCGCTGTTTCTTTTTAAATCTGTTCTTCTCTTTTGTATATACCCAGATATCCTTTTTGCTGTTCTTTTTGAATCGATATCTACGACCTACTGGCCAACCATGGTGCATTTCAGGACTGACATCGCCGCTGTGAATCCCCATGCGGATCCGGGGAACGACACATACGCGAAGAACCTCGAGACGGATGTATTGATTGTGGGAGCTGGGTTCGGTGGCATCTATCTTATGCACAAGCTGAGACAACTAGGCTTCAAGTGCAAGATATATGAAGCTGGAAAGGAACTTGGAGGCATTTGGCACTGGAATTGTTACCCTGGTGCTCGCGTGGACACCCAAGTGCCAATCTACGAATACTCTCTTCCTGAAGTCTGGAAGGTATGTAATCAGCTCAGATATTCTTGACAAAGACTGACGTAGCACATAGGACTGGACTTGGTCGGAACGTTATCCAGGCTTTGCGGAGCTTCGTAAATACTTTGAGCATGTCGACAATGTTTTAGACATCAAGAAGGATGTAGCGTTCGATACCAGGGTTGTCGGTGCCCAATACGACAAGCCTTCTTCGAGATGGGTCATTGAAACAGAGGATGGACGTTCAGCAAAAGCAAAGTACCTCCTCCTAGCAACCGGCTTTGCCGCTAAGCGACACTTCCCCGATTGGATGGGCATGGACAAGTTCCAGGGTGAAATTCATCATTCATCATTCTGGCCAGATGCCGGCGTCGATGTAAAGGGAAAACGCGTCGCTGTGGTTGGGACCGGCTCGACGGGTGTACAGATTGCACAAGAAACCGCAAAGACGGCCGCATCCGTCACAGTGTTCCAGAGGACCCCTAATCTAGCACTTCCCATGCAGCAAAAGCCGATCACGAAGGAGGAACAGCAACAGAGAAAATCCAAATATCCTGAAATCTACAAAAACCGGATGACTACCTTTGCCGGCTTCCAATACGACTTCGTCGAGAAGAATACATTCGATGACAGCCCGGAAGAGCGCGAGAAGTTCTACCAGGAACGATTTGACAATGGTGGTTTCGAGTTCTGGCTTGCGAATTATAAGGACCTGCTTTTCGATAAAGAGGCCAACAGGCAAGCGTATGATTTTTGGGCAAAGAAAACCCGGGCCAGGATATCGGATCCTAGGAAGAGGGACATTCTCGCACCCGTCGAGCCACCTCATGCCTTTGGAACGAAAAGACCATCTCTTGAACAGAATTACTATGAAATGCTCGACAAACCCGAAAATGATGTAGTTGACATAAAGAAGACACCCATCGTCGAAGTCACTGAAACCGGTATCAAGACTGAAGACGGCAAGCTTCGAGAGTTCGATGTGATTGCTTTGGCGACTGGCTTCGATTCTGTTACAGGAGGCATGAAGAATATGGGCCTCAAAGATGTCGACGGTGTACCACTGTCGGAAAAGTGGAAGATGGGTACCTGGTCGTATTTGGGCATGACATGCTCTGGTTTCCCGTGAGTGCTCAATTCAGACGTTATGGATCGTTGGCTAATAAAATGATAGGAACATGTTCTTCTTATATGGCGCACAAGGACCTACAGCGTTCAGCAATGGTCCAAGCTGCGTAGAATGCCAGGGAGATTGGATTGTGGATGCAATGAAGAAGCTCAAAGACGAGGATATCAAGTACATGGACGCAACCAAGGAAGCTGAAGAGCAATGGCGACAGAGAGTGACAGAGCTTTCGGACAAGACGCTTTTCCCTGGCACGTCGTCTTGGTACATGGGAGCTAATATTCCTGGAAAGCCAAGAGAACAGCTGAACTTTGCTGGAGGTATCCCATTGTACGAGAAAGAATGCCGTGAGGCTTTAGATAACGGATTTGAAGGTTTCGTTACAGCGTAAACCACTATGTCGAGGACCTCATGATGTAGATTTTTTGTGCCCATCTTAGCTAGCGAAATACGTTATTGAATTGTCCTTTTCTTTATCAAGAAATTAAAATTTGATTTGCATAATCACTCAAAAACCCACAGTCGTTCGTTGTGTCCATTTTGTGACGAGAACGCAAGCACGTGTCAGACGAAGCAACATTCGGAAGTAGATGGTCCGTGCTTCGGCGCGACATCATGACGTACCGAAGCCGAAGTCGATGATAATTGTTTTCGACTTTACGGGAACAACTCTTCATGGACCTCTCGCGCGCTAAGCCCATACAATTCCCTGAATGATGAGGGCGCCCTTTTTCGTCGCCCGTCGAATATTAAGCCAGGGTGCTCGGCAATCAGGAACCCACGCCGCCCGCTGTTCGGCGCGCCACTTCTCCGGTCGATCCACGTTCCTTCGAAACCACTTCTCGACCCCACGATTTCCCGGAAAGACAATTCTATGGTCCGGTGCAGCTGGGGCGGCTGGAGCAGCTGGAGCCACCCTGAGCCCGCTTGCTTTTGTGGCTATAGGCCATGATGAGTCGGAGAATGGAGACAAAACACATGAGGAGGCAATGCTGGAGGCATCGCGGAAAGAGCTGAAGGCCCAGGTGCCCAAATCGATTCAAAACTCGAAAAAATATCGGAGAGGCATATACTTCTTTGTCGACTACTATATAATAGAGCCAATTATGACTGGAATACGCTTTCTTCACCTTGTCGTCATCTTCGTACCAGTCCTAGCTACTGTTCCCGTTATCTGGATAGGCAAAAGGCGATCGGATAGAGACAACGAGAGGATCGGAACGCTTTGGTGGTATGCATTCTTGGTTAAGTCTATGGAGCGTGCTGGCGCAGCTTTTATCAAGGTAAAGCCGGAACCATATAGTTCAATGAATCTGCGATTAACGAGCATCAGCTGGGCCAATGGGCTGCTTCACGAACAGACATATTCCCTACCGAACTCTGTAGAGTTATGTCTACCCTACACTCTCACGCCCCTGCCCACTCCCTGGAAGTAACGATGCGTACGGTCGAAAAAGCGTTCGGTGGCCGGTCTTTCGATGATATCTTCGAAGAATTCGATGAGACACCGCTGGGTGTAGGTGCCATTGCGCAAGTCTACAAGGCTAAACTTAAATCTGATCTTTCTGCGGACGATGTCGGTATCGAGCACGAACCACCAAATTTGCGGCAGATAATACGGAAGAATGTAGAGGTAACATTGAAGAGTACCCCTCAAAGAATACCTTCCAGTCATGTTGCGGTTAAGGTGCTCCACCCGAGAATCGAAAAGATCGTGAGGCGGGATCTGCGCATCATGGCGTTCTTTGCTTCCATGATCAACATTATTCCTACGATGGAATGGTTGTCGTTCCCCGATGAAGTGCAGCAATTTGGAGAAATGATGCGATTGCAACTGGACATGCGGATCGAAGCAGCAAATTTGACAATGTTTAGGCAAAACTTTAAGGATCGAAGTACCGCTTGGTTCCCTTATCCTTATACAGACTATACGACCCGAGAAGTTTTGATCGAGGAATTTGCGCAGGGAATACCACTCGAGCATTTTCTTCATAATGGGGGTGGCGTGTTCCAAAAGGATATTGCGAACGAGGGATTAGACGCGTTCTTGACCATGGTGCTCATTGATAATTTCATACATGCGGATCTTCACCCTGGAAACATCATGGTCCGATTCTACGAGCCCGAACAATTAGACGTTTCTATTCTCAGCCGTAAGAAAGAGAGGACCACTAGCCCCAGGAATTCACCGGACGTTACGGAGGAGGTATTAGAAAGATTACGGCCTTTTAGACATAAGCCGAAGGAGTGGCTGAATACACTTCGCGAAATCGATGATGAGGGTTACCGGCCACAACTTATCTTCATCGACACCGGATTGGTCACGGAGCTCAATGGAAAGAATCGCACAAATTTCCTGGATCTTTTCAAAGCTGTGGCAGAGTTCGACGGCTACAAAGCTGGTCACCTTATGGTTGAGCGTTGCAGACAGCCCGAAGCTGTGATCGACGCTGAGGTTTTTGCTCTACGTATGCAGCATCTAGTCTTGGGAGTTAAGAGCCGTACATTTGCTTTAGGAAACATCAAGATCGGAGATATCCTCAATGAGGTTCTCTCAATGGTACGAAACCACCACGTCCGCCTTGAGGGTGATTTCGTCAACGTCGTTTTAAGTATCCTCTTACTTGAGGGCATTGGCAGAAGTTTGAACCCCGAGTTAGACTTGTTCGCTGGGTATGTTTATCATCATGTTAAAGCATCAATGGCTAATTTTATACAGTGCCTTACCTATCCTACGGCAGCTTGGTACGCAGAGTGGCGGCTCCATGATTCGTGGCGGCGATTTCTCCATGCTCAAAGTCTGGGCAGGTCTGGAGGCTCGTAGCTTCCTCCAAGCCTCCGTCGAAACCGTGAGTGGATTATTATCTCTATCTTCAGTCAGTAACTTACAATTTTTAAGGTTGAACGATGCGTGAAATACGACCAGCTGTCGCCCAACATATAAACGCCCGCACCCTACGTATTGCATGCTCTCGGCGATACGATAGTGTCGATTTCTTCATACAGCATCTCCCATCCTTCCAAACGTACATATTGCATTGGCATTTTGCTATGTCAACCTTTCCCCTCAGTTCACCTTGTACAAATAGATCCATCGCATTCCAGGAGTTGGCAGCAGGGCGGCGCTTCTAGTGAGGGATATACCAAGCGTCCCTATTACCACATTTAGACAATATCAACGGACTCGATCCCCGTAAATATTGACTGTAAAGAATAATAACTTACACACTCAAGATCCAAGAATTCATCTGTCTATATTTAGTAAATTCAAAGTTGAGTGCACGTACCATATACGTCATTTCGGTGGTGACGGCTAGCTATGCCCAGTTCAGTAAATACTCGGAGCTCCTTCAGCCTTCAGCTTACATTCGAGATCCCCGCAGTGAAACCAATTCAAACTCACAGCAAGTGGAGCCAACATAGATACCACCGATATACAAATTCTCTCATCTAATTTAGTTCGTCAACACCGTATCCGTGCATTGCATAAGTAGCCAGCAATTCCTTTCACTCGGCCAGAACCATAGCCCTCGCTCGACTTTCACCACCTAGACCATCTATCATGGAAGCAGTGGCAGGAGCCCTCTACGCCGCCGACAACCTCCTTCAAGGTGCAGCCGCTCTGGCAACAGGAATTCTCTACCCGACTCTCCCTCTGAAATCAAATATATCTCACATCACCTCCGTCCCCATACCCATCAGCCAGCACACCATTTCCGTAGTCAAAGGCCGCGCGTACATCTTTGGCGGCGAGAACGCCCCAGGCCAATTAGCAAACAATGACATGCACGTCGTGATTCTCCCCTCCAGCGGCGTTCTGGAAGCAGACTACACGACGATATCTCCGCGGGCAGCCGTAGCCGGCGGCGCAGTACCCGCTGCCAGGAAGGGCCACACTGCCGTCGTGATCGGTGACACGATATATGTCTTCGGCGGCGAGGGAGTCCCTGAACCGGAGAATGGAAGGGTTTGGGCGTTCAGTACCGTGGCGAACAGTTGGAGCTATCTTGACCCTTCGCCGGGGACGCTTTTCCCGTCACAGAGAACGGGACATGCAGCTGCGGGCGCGGATTTCCCGGGGCCAAGGGATGTGGTGTTCAAGGAGCGGGCGCCGCAGCAACCGGCTGACCCTGCGAAGGCCGTGCCTGAGCCGGCGGATGACGATTCATGGGGCACGTTGTTCGTGGTCGGTGGAAAGGACGTCGAGAAGGGCGAGCTGCTCAATGACGCACTAGCGTTCGATATCAGAACGAGGATGTGGTCGAACGTTCCCAGTCCTCCAGGTCAACCGCGGGAGGGCGCTTCCATAGACGTCGTGGGCAAGAGATTGTATCGATTCGGCGGGAAGGGCGTCGAGACGTTTGCGTCTGGCGGAATGGACTTCGTGGATGTCAGTCCTGTGTGGAAACATGCCGAGGGTGGCACCACGCCATTGACGACCGGTTGGGATTGGGAGGAGATTCGGGTTGGCGAGGGCGATGCACCGCAGGCTAGATCATCCGCAGGCTTGGTCAGTGTTACGACCGGCCAGGGCCGTCATTATCTTCTCATTATTGGTGGCGAGGGGGAGACGTCCACTTTCTTTGATGATATATGGTCTTTCCAGCTTCCGCCTGAGGGGTATTCGGCTGCGGCGGTCAAGGATCAAACTAGGGCGGCTATCAAGAAAGACACGTATGAGGGGAAATGGGCGGAACTGAACTACAAATTCGTAGATGCGACTGGCGAGGAGACGAAAGAGATTCCAGGGCAGCCGAAGCGTGGGCTGGGTATCAGGGGTCATTTTGCAGCGACAAAGGGCACAGAAGTTGACGGTGCGAGCGTTGTTGCTTGGGGTGGTGTGGATAAGGACGGCAAGGTCCTCGGGGATGGATGGCTCATCACTGTAGAGAGGTAGCGAGGCGTCATATCTATGTTCTTCTACTCATATGTAACATTAGGCCTTCATGAACTTCCAGCGAGAAACAATAAATCAATACCATGGATTATACGTGACCATAATAACTGGGGCACTCAAAAAAGAAGATATCCTTTCCTGTTCCCGTTGACTGAAACCGAAATACACTCAATCGTAACTGTCTTTCGAATAGGTTTAAAGAATATCAATGCCAGATGCTTGCAAACACCTTCCGTAGATGTGCTTAGCATCCGGTTTGTTCGATCAAAATCTCGCCTGCTCAGAGTTGTTCAAGTCTGTACAAACCTCCTCACAGGTGCATGGCATACTTCTCCAAATGTTTTTTCATAACTCTCCGCGAAACGTTTGTATTCATGGAACATAGGTTCAAACCCTTCCTTCTTATCATGTCGCTTCTGGATCATCTGGATCCGCTGAGACTCCATCATCAACGGACACTTCCTCACCTTCCATTCGAGAAATGGGCGCCAGATGGATATCACCTCAATCGCCTCACGGTCATGAAATGTGTTTATTTCAATCGGTGGCGATGTGTACCACACATCTGAAATCTTGCACACGAAGCGGATTGACTTTAGTCCCGATGGTAGGTCCTCCATTGCCTCTATCAACCGTGCATGCGAGTAAATCTCCGGCTGTCCCGGGCGTCTCACCTCGAAGACTTTCGTCCTCCGGGGGACCTGAAGTATGAGTTCTTCCAGGGATTCCGGGAGGATACTGGCCAGCGTCGGTGTAACAGGTTGGGAGCCTAATAGCAGGAGTTCCGAGATCAGTAACGTTTTGAGTTTTTTGAATGGTTGGAAGGACCCCATCGTTGCTAGGTCGCGGCCGAATAAGGTGATTGCACGCTCGATGATCGATGGGAGGGCCTGGAGTGCTTGGGCGGCACGAACGGGTAAGTCGTCTTCTTCGTCTGTTTCGTTGTTTGGTACTCTGTCGCTACTGACAAAACTGTCGGGAAGAAATGCAACAATGCTAGCTCGCTCTAAGGTATCGGTGAAATTCGAGAAGCTTTCAAGAACTCCTTCTATGCTCTTGACGTCATAAATCTCGAAGGCGAAATTGCGGATACCTTTTATAGGATGCAGGAAGTAGGCCCATTGGTCGAATCGGTGGCTTTCAATGATTGTCAAGCTGTGAAGATTGATCTCAATTTGATTACCTCGGGCGCCAACGAAGAGCCGGAATTCGTCACGAGGGTGGTACGAACCCCGACCATCTATCGTAAGAGATTGCAACGGAGTGACATTTTCAACTTGAAGTAATGGGAATGGAGCAGGCGAAATTCCTACGTGCCAACGGTCTGGGAGTCGAATCTCAAGATGGCGTAATTTCTGGAATATGAGAGGAGGACTGTGGCCTCGTACTCTGCAAAAGAGATTCTTGCCGTTTGTGTATGGACCAAGTCGGACGGTACATGATTCAAGATTCGGGAGGAGCACTAATAATACGCATACAAGTGCTTCCCAGAAATCGGAAGAACCTTGGAACAGGCCTCGACGAAAACACTCTGCAACCGGTTTCGAAAGTGATTGTTTCAGGAGCTGTGCTGCGAGCGGCAAGTCAAGGTAAGGTGTATTTTCATCCTTGAGCCAATTCGTGGTCACTATGCTTGTCGACAATGACTGCACTTTAGCTCCAATGCTTTGATCGTCCAATAAAAGTGTACGAAGTAAACGATAGAGTCGTGGGGAGGGTTGTTGGCGTGTTCCTGGCTCAATCGAAATATTTCGGTACAAAGGCTCCCGACATATTTTGGCAAATGTCCGATCGCATAGTGCTAATGCTGATAGTGTAGATGTTCGATCTGTGGCGTTTTCGAATTGTGCAATGTGCAATACCACCTCATTCTGGAGCTCGGCGGGGAGGGTTGAGAGCATTGTGATTGCTATATCGATGCTCCACTCACAAGGGTCTTCTATTATGAGAATTAGGATGAGACGACAAGTTCACACTTTGCTCACTCACCCTTGATATAACGTCAGTTCGAGATTTTGAAGCCTGGGTCGAGAGAATGCGATATGATCTGTGAGCTAATGGCTGCCGTTGTCATCGATCCACTGATGCCTCTAGAGCGTCGCTACTTTTGCCTTTGTGTATCAAGGCCCACGAGATCTACCTCACTTCGTGTGAAATGAAAGTCAGGCTGAAGAAGCTTGTGATCTGAGCGAGAACTAGAAAAACAAATACTGTGTAAAGTTACACATGAGAACATCACGTGATATAAGTCGGTGCCTGGCCAATCACAGATCAAATTGAATGACCAGAGTGACAGTAGCGATCTTGATATAGTAGGAGCGGACTTCTGGACTAATTTGCTGGTTTGAAGGTCGCTATCAGTCCCTATGAAATGAGTGAAGGGCTGCGTTCCGAGATAGCGACTTTGTTCCTTGGCAGGTACCTGAGTGGGCGAGTTTGCATCTTTGACCTGCATATCCAAGGCCCAGGACCAGCGACAACCACCAAAGCAGTTACAGTTAATAGCAAAATAAAAGAGTTAGTTGACAGACGAATTGCTGATTTCATTTGATCTACGACTCATGGTTGTAGATATGGTTTTACTTTTTATCGACTTATGGGGGTATGTTTACCCCTCCTGAATGCCGAGAATTCTCGACATTACCCTTCAGAAACAGTGTATTTGACACTAGAAAAAGAACATGCATATAGCTTTCCAAGATGTTGAACAAGAACTGATCTCCACAACCCCACCCAATGAATCTCCTCAAACAAGAACGCCGTGTTGAAAGCAGCATTCGATTTTCAACAATACAAACATCGCTAAATCATCAAAAGATTCTTTTCATACCGATCGCCTACGGCTGGCCGGGCCAGACGGAATCGGCGATGCTTCGGACAAGCTGCAGCTTCTTCCTCATGTCCTCGTAGCCGAGCGCATTGCCCTCGGCGTGCGATGCGAACCCGCACTGGGGCGACACGCAGATCTGTTGAAGAGCATCCTCCTTCGACTGGCCAGTGCCCTTGGCGATGTATTCGGCGGCTTGCTGGACGCGAGAGATCATCTCGTCCTTGTTCTCAAGCTCGGGGAACTTGGACGTGACGACACCGAGAACGACGTTCTTGTTCTTGGGGAGTTCGGCAAGGGGCTCGAAACCACCGGCGCGGGGAGTATCGTACTCGAGGTAGTAAGTGTCGACGTTCAAGTCCTGTGGAGTTTAGTCAATCATGCATCTATTGCTGGATCGAATTCCGGCTCACCTGGAAAAGTTTCTTCGCAATGATGTCGTAGGCACCCTCAGAGAAATGACGGCTGCCAACGTAGTTTCCACGGCACAAGTGAATTCCAAGGTGCATGTCCTCTGGTCGCTCGAAACACTTATTGTAGAATTTTACGTAGGCGTCAAACATCTCATCAGCAGTTTTATCGTTGGCCTTGTCCGCAGCCCAGCCCTCTAACATAGACTCCGAGCAGAAGTCTGGAAAGCGCGTTAAAGAGTGCATGAAGGAGTGGCACGAAGTACTTACAAGCAAGGTTGGGATCATCAATCTGAATGTTCCTAATACCTTGACCATGGAGGAATTTCAATTCCTCCTGGTAGGCTTTGGCAACATCCTCAAAGTATTGCTCGTCGTTAGCATATACCTCCTTAGGGTATGCTCGGCCGGCCTTGTATCTAAAGTGGTACCAGCTTGGGGAGATCATGGTAATCTTGATATTCTTCCACTCGCTTTCAGGGACCTGCTTCTTCATGATGTCGACCTCCCTTTGGTAGCTGGAGTGACCTGGATGTCGAATTTTGTCCACGCAGACTGTGACCGCGTTTGGGATCTCCTTGGATTCAAGGAAAGACTTAACATCGGGTGCGTATTCGCGGAAGATGGACTGGTCGTATCCCTTCAGAACGCCAAGCTGGAGCTCCTTCATGCCATGAAGCTCCTCGAAAAAGGTACCCCAAAACATGTGCCTAAAGAACTTTTAGCAAGAGCAGTACGTGAGCCCCAATTAGTGCGAAACCTGCCTAGCATATTCTCCACTGGAAATGATGTGAAAACCGGCGTCTTTCTGCAGTTTTACGACTTCCGCAATTGACTTATCCTCCAAAGGTTCAAGGTCTGCGGTGGTAGCTTTGCCCGCAGCGACGTCATATCGCTTCTGAACGAGCTCTTGCGGTCGGAGCAACGAGCCAACGTGCTCAGCGCGGAAGGGTGGGTTTCTCTTTGCAGCAGACATTTTCGTGAAGAAGTTGTGGAAGTTGGCTGAATGAAATGGGGCGAAGGCCACATAAATGAAGGCGACCTTGGTCCCTGAACATGGCCCCGCTCATGTAGGATGTGGGGGGTGGGGAGATAGATTGTGGATGACGCGCGAAAGAACATCTGCCGTGATCTCGAGATGTAGGCGAAGTATAAATTGCGACGATGTCCCCCCACGATCTTTTGACGAAAGAATGGTCATGTCTGTTTCCCTTTCCCACCTACTAGTTCGCCTCCCAGGCATGACACGATTCGTGCACTGTACTTGACAGACAGTAGCGTTTCCCTATGCTGTACTGCCACACTGCATAGGCTCGGAACGTCGGAATTTAACCACTCGAACGGAACATGTGGGGTCACCTATGCAGGACGGCCTTTCAACGACGTCAACTTTATCAATGGATATAGTCCAAAATCGCCTGGACACTGAAGTATCATGAGCCTGCGCCGCACCAATATGCTCTCGCTGTCTGGAGGTCATAAGATCGAGTATAGACCCTCAGATAGCCACATGTGCTTGTACATTAGGCCCGACAATGAGAATTGGAGCATTCCGAGAGCCACAGAGTCGGGACCAGTATTTCGCTAGGCGTGACATGACCTGCGTTGCCACGTTTTCATGAAGGTCGACTATGGGGATCCTTGTCATCGTGGGGCACTTGACTGACAAAAATAATACGAGCAAGTCAAATAGCTTATAATCATCGGCATGCCACTCGGTAGGCGGACGTTTACTCGCTCGTCCGAAGGCGACCACGTATTCTCGCTTATATACTTACTTTGTAATTGTAAAAAAATCCAAATGGCCGAGAATCATAGACGGGATGCCTTCATGACATTACCTTCCTATGGTGGCTAAAGTGTTACGACTCCAGGCTAGCATTAGCGCAGAACTTGACTCAATACGGTGATTGAATTGGATTTAATGCTGCCGGAGACTTTGAAAAATCAATGACACGAGAGATAAAGGCCAAATTACGAACCCGAGAGAGTATTCGGCGCAAGATATACGAGGGTGTACCAATCCTTTGACCGAACGGTATTGGAATCTTACGCCAGCAACAGTGGGCACGATGATACCATCCGTCATGGCGACATGATGATAAAGTCTGCGACCGCCCTTTGCGTAATCCGTGTCTTCAATTTGCTTTCTCTGTTTTTTTAGGAGCGATTTTGCCCTCAGTCCTCTAGAAATTCGTTCCATTACCGACATTATGACGCGCGTTCTCCTCACAGGCGGCAGTGGTTTCATTGCATCGCATGTACTCGACCTCCTTCTTAAGCGTGGATACTCTGTTGTCACCACTGTTCGCAGTCAAGACAAAGCCGACAAGATCAAGGCCTCCTACCAGAGCAATTATGACAACGGTCAGCTCGATTTCGCCATCGTACAAGACATAGCTCAATTAGGAGCTTTCGACCAGGCTGTCGTTTCTGAGCCTCCATTTGACGTTGTAGTCCACACTGCAAGCCCATGTCATTTCAACATTACAGATGTTAAGAAAGATCTACTCGACCCAGCAATGAATGGGACAGTCGGCATCCTGAAAAGTGTTAAAGCGCATGCTCCTTCGGTGAAGCATGTGGTTTATACATCATCTTTCTCTGCGATTATGAACCCTGGCAAAGGCGACTGGCCGGGTCACGCATTTTCAGAAGCCGACTGGAACCCGATAACTGAGGAAGAGGCATATAAGAGCCCACTAAATGGTTACCGAGGAAGTAAGACCTTCGCCGAACGAGCTGCGTGGGAGTTCATGGAGAAGGAGAAGCCAAACTTTACGTTCGCTACGATCAACCCTCCTGTCGTCGTTGGCCCAGTCGTGAGTGTTCCCAGAGTCTGCAGAGGCCGCTGATAGTGACTAACTGCGTTACAGATCCACAGCATTGATAGCCTCGACAAGCTCAATACTTCAAATCAAGGCGTATTGAAGGCTGCTTCCGGCAAATGGAAAGACGTGATACAACCCACCGGAGTGTATCTATGGGTTGATGTCCGTGACGTAGCCGAAGCACACATCCAGGCCTTTGAGAAACCCGAGGCCGCGAACAAGCGATTCTTCACCACTGCAGGTGTATATTCCAACAAGGAAATAGCCGCGATCATCAAGAAACACTTTCCGGAACTCAAAGATTTGGCGACCGAGTCAACACCAGGTGGAGACTATCCCGAGAGCAGTCGCGATGCGCTATACACATACAATAACAAGCGGACAGTAGACATCTTGGGGCTACAGTACATGGAGCTTGAGAGGTCCATCGTGGACACTGTGAAGTCATTTCAGGGCCTCGGTCTATAGCGAGTAGCTAAACAAATCAATTGAAAGTGACGGAGTCATAGACATTCCTCAAATCTTGCTAGCTACGCCTCAGGTGTGTTCATGGCCCTTGAACCATCGATGGGCGATCGTGATTGAATGTACTCAATGTTGCATGCAGGGATTAAAGTATTGCAAAGCGGAATATGATGTAGAGATAAGATTTATATTGAATGTTCGACTATGATCAACTTTTGATGATATTGGAATTGAATACATCTAAGACATGGTAGTTAGCACCTGTCTTCAATGTATCCTCTGGAAATGTAAAGTAAGGTTTGCAAGGAGTAAATCAGATTGTTGAGCTTGAACTTGGTTTGATACTTCATTGTCGAAGACTCGGAAGTTATCGTTTGAAGAGTTGATCATCATTAGAAATGCGAGGAAAGAGAATGTGTGCTTACATTACTGAACCTGTAGTTTGCCACCATTCGCTGCTTGAATGCTGATGATTCGGATCAAAACATATCGGTAGTGATTGTAGCACGTTACAGGTTATGGTGGCTTTGCGGTGCAACTGCAATCGCAATTACAATGGATGTAATAGCAGGTGAGAAAAAAAGAAGAGATGAGGGAACGAGTTTGGAGAAGAAGAAACTCGAAAAGCTCTGGCCAACGGCACGGTGTAACAGATTCACCGGCCGTAGTGCTGCCCCACCATCCGGGTGCCTCGTCCCTCACCAAGCCAGCACGTCAGGCACTGCGCTACAAACCCACCTCCTGCACTTCTTCAAACAGACATCCCATTGAGTCAATCGCCTTCCAATACAAGCTCTCACGAGTGTGCATTCGCCAAAAGCCATATACCCTTTCTATCCAAGTCTTCTGTTTCCACGCGATCAAAATGGCCGGTATGTTTGTTGCGACCGACCCCGCTCCATAAACATAAACAGTGCGCAATTTTTGCTAACAGACATCCAGAGTTCGAAACTATTGGCAGTACGTTACCCTTCTTTAACTACTATTTAATAGCCGCTTGCTCCAAACCTTCTGCGAACCATAAGACGGCAAACCTGAGATATCCAAATGTTGACCCGTGTTAGAGCAATTCGTTGAGTTCTACTACAAGACCTTCGATGAGAACCGCGCGAACCTCGCTGCTCTCTACGTGAGTATATTGGATGATTGGACAAGGCAATAAAGATATGCTGATGCTAGGTGCTGTAGCGCGACAACTCGATGCTCACATTCGAGCAACAGCCAGTGATGGGTACAGCTGGTATCGTTGAGAAACTCCAGGTAAGCTTCTGTGCGGTACTGAGGTGTCAGGAGACAACTAATGGTCATAGAACTTGCCCTTCCAGCAGGTAGTGCACCGTACCGATACCATCGACGCTCAACCCGCGGACGACGCAGGCGCTGGCATCTTGCTTTTGGTTACTGGAGCATTGCAGGTAAGTTGATTGCCCTGGACTCTTTGCACGCTCCTGGATCACTCATGGTACAATAGGTGGATGGTCAGGACAAGCCCATGAGCTTCACCCAAACTTTCCAGCTCAAGAAGGATGGCAACGGCCAATGGTTCGTCTTCAACGACCTTTTCCGACTCGTCTATCCCGCTGCATGAGCGTCTGCTCCCTGAATCTAGTACTTCATTTTCCTACACATAGCGCGAATGCAATAATGTGAGGAAGCGTGCAGAATGCCGTGCTGAAAAGATATTGGCATGCGACCTGTCTTTGATGCGTCGGCCAAAAGGTTTAGATAGTGGTGATTCCTGGGCCAATACCTCTACGTCATTGAGGAATCACTTTTTGTTTGTTCAGAAATCATTTTGGATTAAATCCAATCAAATATATCCCGAGACATCACATTTCCAATAATCTGAGGCTCAAGATGAGAACCTATATATATACATCCATATGGGGTTAACCGAGACTTATCCGCATTCCGGAGGTTAGCCCACGTGATACTCCGCATTGTACCCGGAATCCCTCTGTGGATAATGTCACATCCGGTCGAGCCCTTAACCGCATCAACTTGCCGAAACTCTTCTCCGTCCCTCTGCCTCGAGCTCAAGCTTTAGTTCGCTTCGAACACCATGCATTCTCCATCTTTATCCGCAACCTTTTGGCCTTTTCCGACCTTTCTTCACATATTAATGCTATCCGTTCCTTCAATTGGCGTTGTTTACTACTGAACATCTTCAACTTGGGAAAATGGCGGGTTTCGTACAGAAAGGTATCAAGAACATCCTCCAGAAGAACCCCAATGATGTGGTGTTCCTCTCCGCACTTCGAACGCCTATAACGCGAGCGAAGAAGGGTGGATTGCGGGATGCATACGATCACGAGTTGCTTGGTGCAGTACGTCTATCAATCTCATGTTCATTCTGCACGGAGTCCTAATTTCTTGTCTGTTTGGCAGGTTCTCAAAGCTACCATCACCCGATTCCCCAACCTCGACCCCGCAAAGATAGACGATGTATGCGTCGGAACCGTTCTTGCAGAACTGGGTGGATCCAAGGCTGGCCGTATGGCGGCAAATCACATCGGAATACCTACCACGACTTCCTTCAGTACTGTAAACCGTGCCTGTGCCTCGGGTCTCTCCGCCATTACATCGATAGCGAACTCGATTGCGGTGGGCCAGATCGATGTCGGAATAGCGGGAGGTATGGAGAGCATGACGAGGAACTATGGAAGCCGAGCAATTCCAACAGAGCTCTGGCCTGAACTGAAGGACAGCCCTGTCAAAGACGCAAGAGATTGTATAATGAACATGGGAATCACAAGCGAGAATGTCGCGGAGCGATATGGCGTCAGCCGAGCAGACCAGGATGCGCTCGCCGCTCAATCACAACAGCGGGCTGCCAAAGCTCAAGCATCCGGAGTTTTCGATGCGGAAATCGTCCCGGTGACGACACGCTGGATTGACCCAGAGGTTCCAGAGGATGTCAAGGAAATAACCGTAACAAAAGATGATGGTATCCGAGCCAACACAACCATTGAGAAGCTCTCCGCTATGAAGCCGGCCTTCAAACCCGATGGTGCCAGCACTGCCGGAAACAGCTCCCAAGTCTCGGACGGTGCATCGGCAGCTTTGATGATGCGACGTTCGACCGCGGCCACTCTTGGGTTAACCGACCAGATCATTGGCAAATGGGCCGGAACACAAGTTGTTGGTTGCAAGCCCGACGAGATGGGTATCGGACCAGCTCTAGCAATTCCTAAGCTCCTCGAATATACTGGCATCACCACCGATGATGTTGGAATCTGGGAGATCAACGAGGCTTTCGCAAGCCAGGCGCTTCACTGCATCCGGACGCTCGGTTTGGAGGGCCGCATGGACAAAGTCAATCCAAATGGCGGTGCCATTGCATTGGGCCATCCTCTCGGAGCAACAAGTGGAAGAATGTTGGCAACCTTGCTCAATGAGCTAGGACGAAGTGGCGAGCAAGTCGGCGTCATTAGCAAGTGCATCGGCACGGGAATGGGAATGGCAAGTTTGATTGTCAGGGAATAGAGCCAGTGTCAGACGTGATGATGAAAAAGATTAAATGAATCATGGGTCCCCAACTGTATATACAACCCCGGATGGTAGCCGTCGCAAAGAATCTTGAGTTAAGGTTTCGCGTATAAATGCCAATTCAGCAAAAGATTATCAATAACCAATCCAAAATATTTTACAAAAAAATACATCAATCTCCGCCTGTGCTCTTTTTGTTCTTCTTCTTGGATCTTTGGTTCAGAATCTCATCGAGATAGCTACCCGGCCTAGACACAGCTTTTCGAGATTTCGGCTTCGGCTTGAGTGCTTCAACGTCGTCATCGGACGTGGCCCGATCATCCTGCTGAGCCACTGTCTGGTTCGCTGGCGATGTCACTCCCTCTGAAAGCTCGTTCGCATCTGGCGTTTCTGAGGACACTGGGATTGTTTTTGACCTCTTGGATTTGAAATGTGCTGCTCTGCCCTCGTCCTCGTCCTCACTATCCTCTTTCTTAAGATATCTGGCTGGATTCTTTTGAGCATTGAGATTGGTTTTCGGCGCTTGTTTGGCAGCAATGTGCGCCTTAGCAGCCCTCTTTCCCATAAGCTGCTGTAGGAGCTTGTCATTTGACGTCAGAGTGCGACGCGTAAAACTACCATCCGCAACGTCTTTTGGAATCTTCCCTCCGACGCCAAGCCTAGTCAATTGTCAGGTACAATGTATGTTTATACACGATAATGACCGGGAGCGTACTGTTCGAATCCCGATTCTCTGTCTTCTAGTTCCGCTCGCTCTTCTTCCGCCTTTAACTTTTCCACATTAGGTTCTTCTGGCATAGACCCTAGCATGGCTGCCAGTGACTTTTGGTGTTTGGCCAATGCCAGATTGACCTTATTGAACAACACATCGCCTTCGTTATTCCTTTTTGACATTGTGCTGAATTTCCCTTCGGTTGCTCCTCCGATAATACTAACAAAGCCGTTTGGGCCGAGGTGCATATTAATGCGAGCGATAATATATAGTAGAGTTGAGACATTTTCGAGGCTAATCAAGCTAATCGTTTGGGTGCGAACGGGCTTGGCAAAACACCTCCGCAACCAACCTGCGACCTCTGAGGAAAGATATCATCAAGCTTCTACATCTACCCTCATCCTCCCAAGTCACCCCCTCATCCTGCTTTCTGTTTGTCTGTTCCGCAGACAACATGTACAAGCTTGCACGATCCCGGCCGCTCGCGAGCGCTCTCCGCGCTGTCGCTGTACGTTGCAATTCCCGCCAGAACGCTCACTGTGGCGCCTCTGACGCCAGTCTGCATGCAATTGAGATTGAAAAAATTGACAATTCGTAGGAGACCCCACTGAAGCGATCAGTGATCCAGCAGAGCAGAACTCTTGCTATCCATGAGTACAGGTCCGCGAACCTCCTCAAGACGGTACAGCTGCCCTCCCGAACAACCATACATTACCGAGGCCGCAGAGAATTCGACTGACCACACAATTCAGTATGGCATTGGTGTCCCCGCTGGTGATGTCGCCACCAACGCAGCGGAAGCAGAGAAAGTAGCCAAGTCGATCAGTATGCCATAATGCCCTCTGCAAGAGTTTATACGGAGCACTCCGAACTAACGGACACAAAGGCGGTGACGACATGGTTATCAAGGCACAAGTCCTTGCCGGAGGTCGTGGAAAGGGAACTTTCGACAACGGCTTCAAGGGCGGTGTCAGAGTTGTCTACTCGTATGGTAGCCGCTCAGCATGAAAATTGGTTGCGACTAACAGTACCCGTAGTCCCCGGGAAGCCTCGATTCTCGCAGACCAAATGATCGGTCACAAGCTCATCACCAAGCAAACTGGAGCCGCTGGACGTCTCTGCAACGCTGTCTACATTGTCGAGCGCAAGTTTGCTCGTCGCGAGTTCTACCTTGCTGTTCTTATGGACCGTGCCTCACAAGGACCCGTCATTGTCGCCTCGTCGCAAGGTGGCATGGACATCGAGGCCGTAGCCAAGGAGCACCCCGAGGCCATCATCACCACACCAATTGACATCCACACCGGTGTTACCGACGAAATCGCACGCAACATCGCCACCGAGCTTGGATTCTCCGAGCAATGCATCGAGGACGCCAAGGACACCATCCAGAAGCTCTACAAGGTCTTCATGGAGCGTGATGCCACCCAGATTGAGATCAACCCTCTCTCCGAGACCACCGACCACCAGGTTCTCGCCATGGATGCTAAGCTCAACTTCGATGACAACGCCGATTTCCGCCAGAAGGAGGTTTTCGACTGGAGGGATGTTTCCCAGGAGGATGCTGATGAGGTCAAGGCCGGCGAGTGGGGCTTGAACTTCATCAAGCTTGACGGTGACATTGGCTGCCTTGTCAATGGTGCTGGTTTGGCTATGGCTACTATGGATATCATCAAGCTCAACGGTGGTAACCCAGCCAACTTCTTGGATGTTGGTGGAGGTGCCACCCCCGAGGCCATCAAGCAGGCTTTCGAGCTCATCACTAGCGACCCCAAGGTCACTGCTATCTTCGTCAACATCTTCGGAGGTATCGTTAGGTGTGACGCCATCGCTAAGGGATTGATTTCCGTCGTTGAGAGCATGAACTTGAGAATCCCCATCATTGCTAGGTTGCAGGGTACCAACATGGAGCAGGCACACCAACTGGTGAGTACCATCATCTACCATCTCGATCTCGGGCTACTCCGGAGCCCCGATCTATTTTCGTGTGCAATGAAGCTAACTTATGAACCTTTCCCCATCTCCAGCTCAACGAGTCCGGCCTCAAGATCTTCTCCATCGACGACCTCCAGTCCGCGGCCGAGAAGTCGGTGCAGTTCTCCAAGGTTGTCAAGATGGCCCGTGACATTGACGTTGGCGTCGAGTTCACTCTCGGTATCTAAACCCTCAAATCATCATCACCGTCATCACCATCATCGTCTTTTTGATACCTTGATCATATCTCTTCCTCTTTGTACTTTGTGTCGTCGCCCGCGAGATTACTTTCAGGCTGACTCCTTTTTCCTTTGGGCTGAATCGAAGGCCGTTAGGGGCCCTCCTCCCTCCTTCTCCCTCTCACTCACACACAAACTCATACACCTTTGGAATGTCATACATATACGAATAGATAAAGGCTCGGCCGCTTCCCACACGCAAACACGCATGTAAACATGTACTATCGAGTATTCATACAGCCATCTAACCCATAGCAACTTCTCCTCTTGTCTTGTGATATCAAGAAACTATACTCATCATTCATCACCCCCAAACACCCGATTCCGATGTAGAAATGTCTACAGCAAGAATCCACCCAATGCCACAATCCCATCCACCAATGCAAAGAAACAGCTCCCCCGTCCCGTGCCTTAGTGTCCCGTTAAGCGAGGCGGCAGAATAGTCGTTTTGTGTGGACCCATTAACTATAAGTGCATTACGTGCTGATTGGACACAGCAACTACAATGAGCGTACACTGCCATGAATCGTCTTTTACATCATCTCCAAATATCTAATCGAGCGCGAATACAATCAGTAAAAAGTGCACAACTGTGCATAAGTACAACTTTTACATTCAATGCGAGATAGGTAGAGACGATCCATCTCAGGCGGGCTGTGAACAAGGCGAACCAGAGGACGTCAAACATCGATACAAAAGCACCGACTTATCCATCCCCTACGAATGTCAAATTCCACGCCGATGGAGATGTTCCTAGTTTCTAGTCAACATCGTGAATACGACGATACTTTGCGAAGTATACATATCTGGTGCAAGCCAGATGTGCAGAATAGGTCTTCAGCCCCAGATTCCCGCCCGTAGGAAACACTTCTCGAAGGGAACCCAAACATCAAATTCCTCCAACAATACAACCCACTCTATCCGTCAAATCCAGCACATACGACCAAAGGCCTGAGAAAGCGAGGAACCCCGTCCGATCTTCCATATCTAAGCTCCTGACCGGCCTGTTAGTAGCCACGTGGGTGACCAGTGGCGAATCCAGGCTGTTGTATGTCTTCTTTTTTTTGCCGAAGTGTTTGTTTGGGTCGAGTCAATTCGACGACAGTATAGGAGGGTTAGTTGAACAGAATGAGCACATACGACCAAAGGCACGAGAGAACGAGGAACCCCGTCTGATCTTCCATATCTAAGCTCCTGACCGGCCTGCTAGTAGCCACGTGGGTGACCAGTGGCGAATCCGGGCTGTTGTATGTCTCTTTTTTTTTGCTGATGTGTACGTATGTAATAAGAAGAGGATTGAATTCGTAGTGATATGTATGATCAGTTGATTGCGTCACTGCTATCTAGTTAGTATGAATAACGTATCATTCGTGGGCATACATACGATGCGATGCTCATGAAGCAAAGCGAGATAATTGAGACCAACCGTGATTGAGGTTGCCGAACGTGAGATTTAATTCGTACTTTGGTGATGAAACATCGTTTAGATTAGATTTGACCTCAGTACTGTTCTTACACGTCCCAAATAACCCTTCTTAAAAGGCCAGTCTCCACTTTCGAACTTTTACTATTGGAGGAACGAAGTGGCCTCACCTTTTATTAGGATCGTGTCCCCAATAGGCCAAAGCAGCCAGATGCTGTCCTTGGTAGCACGCACTTTAGGTACCTGGGCAAATTTCCAATACCAAAGCCATACGGCTCGATGCCATATGATACTGGTGATCTAGAAAAAGGCATGCAAGCTTCGCATGGATACATGGTGTGCCAGTGAAAGTCCATCAAAGCACCTAGGACACCCGAAGCAGAAGGGCGCTCGTTGGGGAGGACCTTCAACATACCGGCTATTAGGTGCCGAAAGGTGCTGTCAACCCTTGATGTCGCTTTGGAGTACTCGATTTGCCCAGGAAGACGTCCCTCATGGACAGTAATATGATATGCGCCATCTAGGATACCCGCAGGTGCTATCCGAGGGAAAAGGGCAACTAGAACCTCCAAGAACACACATCCGAGAGAGAATATGTCTGCAGACCTATTTCGGTCACCCCAGTCCGCGACTTCGGGTGCACAATATCGTCTAGTGAACGATCCTGGGTTGTCACCTGTAGTGCTTTGTGCTTCCAGGAACTCTCTCGATATTCCGAAGTCGGTGTATAAAACGTGTCCATCGTGGACTAGAATGTTCTGCGGCTTGATATCTTTATGTCGTACTCCTTGTCCATGCATGAAAGCCAATCCGGAGGCAAGACATCCAAAAGCGCGATTCAGCACAGCAACGTGATGTAACTGAGACGCTGCATTTCCCCAGTCTCGATGATGTGCTAGAAAATCTGCTAAATTCCCTCCATCTGCGACTGGTGATACGATAAGGACAAGATCGCGTCTCGTCGTGTACGTTGCGAACAGCGTCGTGGTATGTGGGTGGTCGCCGAGTCGTCGCATAACTTTGACTTCGTTATGGAACTGCTCTCTCAACCTCTTGCGATCTCGATACGAGATGTCCCTTAAGGTCTTACGTGCATAGACCAACCCTGTGTTCATATCCTGGACCCTTTCTACGATTGCACTGCCTCCAGAACCTAGATTCTCGATGTGTTGGTACGGGAGCGACTTCACATCGATGTCATCTAGCTCTAGATCCGATCCTTCTGTAATCTCAAGATAGGGCGATTGCCCGAGGAATCTCCAGAGACTCTGCATCACGTAGACGACCGGATCGTTCGTTTTTGACTCGTTGTTCACTTGTTCAACGATGACGTACACACATATCCAGCTCAAATAGAGGTCTAATTGACGTTAGCATTGAATAAGTTCCGTTCGTACATCATGAATTTTCAGACTAACAGTTTGTACGATCTTAAGTGTCCCTTGACAGCATAGCTCAGCCTTGCGTGGTACCAGGACGGATGCAAGCAACGTAGTCGATAACACCTAAAGGAGTAGTCTTGTAGTAAGATGGATGCCTGAATGATAGTTTAACATCAATAGATGCTGGACATCAGAAATACTATGCGGAGATCCAGCACAAAGGAAGAAGATGGAGGGGGTTGTGGGGTTTTGGGCAGGCTGAGCCCAAAATCCCAATACAGGTTCAATCGGCGATTGGATAGGTTGCCGATGTGACGTGCCAGTCAGTTTCAAGCATTTCGAGATCGAGCTCACCGGATGAAACCCTTATCTCTCTTGCATGCCGTCATAGCAATTTAGCACACTCTTCTCTAGCTGCCGGGTCTTCATGCATTTTTAGAGCAGAGCAGTTCATGTGAAGCTCACTCTCAGCAACCATTCTGTACTTCTCAATAATTCCTGTAGTTTTATTGTGTTGTTCTTTGTGATGCATCGCTCGAGGTCTCGTTTGGAAAGGGCAACATCGGTGGATTATCTTGGCTCACATTTTGAGAGGACTATGATCTTCTGTGTGATTTGCAAGCTAGTGTTTGTTTATTTATCCAACATGCCGTTCGCAGTTTCCTCAACTTATACTCGGAAGATGTGAAAGTTAATCATTGGTAGCTCTTCCCTTACACACAATCTGGCACCATTGGGAAGCCAACAGACTCATAATTATGACCGGTAAACTAATTAACATCACAACCGGCCTCAAGGAGCTAACACTGATTCACAGTTGTCACCATGTCACAGAGACCGCAGCAAAAAAAAACCACATAGAAAGCATCTTCATCTATTCCGTCCCCATTTCACACTCATCCCTATGGGGCGTGAGGAACAATTATAATACACAGCACCCCTCCTCTCCTCCTCATTCAGTAGTGCAGAAAATCGGGAGGAGTTCCTAGTCGAATACTACTGGTTATAGACTATGGACTCCCCATCTGCCTTTGCCCCCCAAGGACGAAAGCACCGCTAAAATGCCACAGTAGATCAGATCGCACACTCTCGAGTACTCGAGCCCTCCACCGCCGGAAAAGAATTGAAAAAAGGAAAAGACCTAGGCACCCGAATACCACGCATGCCCTAAGGGGAATAAAGAGAAAAATGTCATTTGATGCTTGTGTGGAATTCCCTTTGAAAAAAAAAACACCTTGCTACTCCAGGAGGAACGAGCACTGTCGTTTGAAACCGATGAATGTAATACTACCAAGAAGCAAAGGGAAGGATGTGATATGGATCACCAGAAACTACACCAACCGATGTAGTGCTGGCACAGATTCTCCAAGTTTGTGGCCTCCTTGATGAGACGATCGACCTGAGCGTAGACATTCAACTCCTCTCCGGGCTTGAAGTCGCGGCCAGTCAGCTTCTCCTTGATGCGAGAGAGCACTTGCAGGGCGCGAGCGTTTTGGACCTCCTTGGCTTCGGCATCATTGGGAGGTGCGACACTGGATCGGTGGCGGCCGCGCACAAGAGAGCTCATGTGCTCAGCATCGCCGATGATAGATTGTCGGCGCTCAGAGGGGAAGTTGGGTTCGGGCGGCGACTCGCGGTTGCCGAGTCTCCATGTGAGCAGTGGATCGTGGATGAACTATTTCATGTTAGCATTGAGTCAAAAGATCATAAGGAAGTATAGACTTACAGCTTCAAGGACAGCCATGACAGACTCCTTGTTATTACGCAACACCCGCATTACATGCTCACATGTGGTCCTGTAGCTTCCTTCGATGTTGCTGACTTCCATAGCGTACGTCAACATTCGAGTAAGACGGAACGGCACTCGTTCAGGGTACTTCTCACGGTGCATGGCAACCTCGAAACAGTCACCAAAATCGATATGAACAATCTTTCCAGTGACTCGGTCAAGCATTAGATTGGAAGGATGACGATCTCCCAAGCCAAGGATATAACCGACCATTGACATGACTGCGAGGGACCGGGTGTAGTTTGTTCTACGGTCAAGCCAAGCTTCGGAACTCTTGCTCTTGAGCCATAGGACCCGGTACAAATCTTGACCAGTTGTGTTGTCCAGTGCATAACCGAACACTTCCACTTTCTGCATAAGAGTGAGGCAGTCATAGTCAGGAGCCATCTGGAGCATGATACGGTGCTCAATGTTTAGGAGAATCTTTCGACTGTCACGGTATTCTCTGATGAGGACATGGAGTGTGTCGCTGTTGGGCACGAAGCCGAGGAGTCCAGATTGTGTGGACAGTGGAATGGCAGAGTAGCGTGCAATGTTCAAATGACGCTTGCGGCTCTCCGTGTCGTTCATGAGGAGGGTGTTACAGAGGCCGAAAAGTTGCATGACACGTTCATCCTGTCGTATATCTTCATGACCCTTCAAGATATGGGTGTGGGCCTTGCCGTCGTTACCCCTCATTTCCAATTTCCTTGGTCTTTGCTTCGACTGAATCACTGTAGCAACGGGATCGAAGGAGGCAATGCGAATAATCGGCTTGCCAACTTGATACGTTCCGGGAACAGCCAGCTCTAGATCATGTGCGTCTTTCAACTTAGGCGAGACGTACTGAAGCTCTAGGCTCATGAGTGATGGCAATTGGCGAGCAATCTTGCGGAAGACCTGGTAGTACAGATCCCAAGCTTGATTGAGATCGCCCATCTCGCCAGACGTACGGAAAGTATTGCACCAGTCACGAGCCTCTTGTAGCTCTCGACCAAACGACTGAATGAAAGATATCTCCCTAAGTGTCTCTGGGCCTTTGTCGAGCATTGCGTGCAGAGGTGCGAGCACGGCAAACATGCCGTCTACGTTGTGGTCGCCGAAGTAAAGCCTGGATGCTTCCTCTAGACCTTCGTGCCATTGCTCGTGCCACAAAACGGCGATACGAATAAGCTCCGTGCTGACAAGATCGGCCTGTTCTACAAGCTTGGGAGAGTGTTCTCGCATGGCCTCCATTAGCTCCTTTGCTGATCGCTGGCGACGTGATACATCGGACTTCATGGACACAGTCAAAGGGAAGACCAGAGCTTGGGGATGTGCTTTGCCGACTTCGACCAAGAGTTGATGGATGGACTGTCGAACGGTAGGATTTGGCTGATTGATACGAGCAAGCAATTGTGGAATGACTTCAAGCCAGGTGTCAATCGGGACGGTCTTAGTGCCCTCGGCGATTGTACGATTGACTTCTGGCAGTCCACCGTGGCTGAACCACAGCGTAAGGAGACGAAGAGTATCCTGCAGTGAGCTCGTAGATGACAAAGCAATAGACTTGAAGAAGCCTTGTATGGCGGGGACGACGTGGTCGTGAACAACATTCGGCGGAATCTCCGTTGTCTCACGATCGGCCTTAGACGTCATGGAATTGACGACCTCGAAGTTGGCCAGAGCCCATGCATGCCAGGCCTTGTACCAGCCTTGGTTGTATCGCGTTGCAGCAGCGTAGGCAGATAGAATCTCATGGACTTGATCATGGTCCCATTCGCCGTGGTACAGGTCAGCCTGCCAATCACCCTGCTTGAGGTAGCATTTGGCTAGGAGGCGGTGGCATTCCGCGAGTTCAGCCGGCGACCCTCCAGCGCCCGAATTGGTGAGCAAACTGGATCCATTCAGGCCGTTGATACCGTTAGCAGCGGCGAAAGGATTCATAGAATTGGCAGCATTGCCATTGGCCATCGCATTCATGCCGTTGATTCCATTGATTCCATTCATACCATTAATCCCGTTCATTCCATTCATTCCATTCTGCATCATGGGGTTCTGTGCAGCGCGTGCTCTCATAGCGAGGTCTTCGGACAGTCGGGACGTGAAATCCTTCAGAGACTCTAGGGCTTCTCCTTTGTGAACTCCACCAGCTGCTACCCACATGAACTTATAGGTTGCGTATGATACAGGCCATGGTATCTCGTGAGCATGCTCCCGAACATGAGTGAAGATGTTACCTCCATCGATGCCTAACAGCTTCTGGAGGGCCTTTTCTGCTAGTGTAGGGCGCTCGTTCTTGCGGCAGAGGTTCGTGTATTTGATCCACATCTCCATGCTCTCCTCTGGGCTGATGACTAGTTGTCGAACCTTCATCATTCGCTGCCAGACTTCGGGGTTGGGCTGGAGACCCTTGAGACGTTTCATCCAGGTAGCGCGCATACTGGCCTTCTTCTCTTCGTTGTTTTCGCACTGCTTGTATTGGATGATCTCCTCCAACTCGGCCATCATCTGCACACGGATCATAGGGAGGTAGGCTCGCTGGTAGGATTCACCAAGCAACGAGCTCAGCTCGGTATCAAGACCCTTCCGGGCTTTGCTGATTTCTTCTGCGGCCACTTCGAAGCGGTTGTTGTGGATATTGAGAATGGATGCGAAGAAAGCTCTATCGGGTGATTGCTCCTTCATGACAGCCAAATAGGCGTCCATGTCCGCAAACTTGGCCAGACCCCATGCGGCAGTCGCTGCGAGAGGTGCGATGGCTTTGCGGTATTCTTGAGAAGCGTTCGCCCACTTCTCCTTTGAGAGGCTTGATAGTAGGTCCCATTCACCGAGGGCGTGCAAGCAACGCATTTTACCCATCGTGATTTCAAATGAGTCAGGATCGTCTTTCTCTTTTCGCTGGTACGATTGCAGCGCCTCTTCCCATTTATGCAGCTTTTCGAACCATGTCTCTTTCAGCTCTACGTCTTGGTAACCTTGAGCTTTTCGCAGGATACCAAAAGCGGCGTCAGTCTGTTGTAGTTGGTTGTTGATGCTGATGAGTGCTTCTACTGCACTGGCATTTTGCTCGGCGTTGAACTCAAGTTCCTTGTAGTGCAGCGCCTTTGCGAAGGCATGGCATTTTCCAGCATACATGCCCAGGATCCGCACATCGATAGGCAAGGCCTTGTCATCGTGCTCCATAAACTCGGCCAAATTGAGTAGAATCTGGAGAATTTCGGGAGGGATGTTGGGAGAAGTGAGCGCAGTTTCAATCGAACGCACCAGCTCCTCCTGATATTGATCGTACAATTCAGTCCAGCATGAAACGAAGGCAGAATTGAAGAGGCTGCGTGCGATCGGATTGTAAATACTAGCAAGTGGTGTGCATGCTCGGAGTGCCTGTTGTGGTGACTCTCGAAGCAACTCAATGGAGAATCGCCTCATCCATTCCACCCAATCTTCTTTGGTGGTTTTCGACGACGCTTCCCATGCCTGCTTCAAGTGCTGTTGATTGACAGCCAATTTCTTGGTAAGAATTTCGGCCGGATTGAGGTCTTCGTCATCCTCCCCGTATCGCTCGCCTGGGCTCAAATCTTGTGGAAGAGATTCTCCCTTTTGTAGCTTGGACACAATGAGAGAATAGTTGGAGTGAGGTACTTTGCTCTTCTCCAATATCTTGTTCACAGTCGGAACAAAGTGGGTATAGTCAGGTCCCAACTGGTAAACGAGAGCGCAAAGTGTCTCCAAAGCGGTGGTTTTCAGTGAAGACTCCGAGCCTGCAAGGACACGGCACAACGGATGAATGATCCGCGCTGCGAACTCAGAAATGTTAACTTGTTTAGACAAACGACCAAGGGTCTCAATAGCCTGTCTGCGGATGGCCGTAGGCTGACCAGATTTGTCAAACATGCGGATGATCACAGGAATGATCAGATGCATGTATTCTTCGGCACTGGAACCGAAAACCAAGAATGCGTGCAATACCTTCTCTGAAGGTAGGCGCTTCCCAGTTTGATCGGCGTCCAAGACACTTAGCATGAGCGGGAGTACATCCGCTAAGTACACCTTGAACTCTCCTTCCAAGGAGCGAGCTATGGATTCGATAAGGGATAGAATGGTGGCTTGGAGATTTGGGTTCGGCTCCCAGAAATCTTGGATAGCCTTGAGAATGTCCCTGAGATACGGGCGAATGTGCTGGCGGACGATCTTAACAAGACCGCTGAGTTGGTTGAAGTAGCCCTCTACACGTCCCACAGGCGCTCCTCGAATGACTGTCAAAAAGCCCGGAACGACCTGGTTCAAGAAAGGAACACACTTGAGACCCATAGTCGCATAGATGTTCATAACAGCGTCGACAATAGCGCTGTGGTATTGCGCAAGGGAGTTGTCCTTCAGCAATGACATCAAAGTGCTAATGACAATAGTAGGATAGTACTCTTCATTGGACGGTGTGACGCCTTGCATGATCAAAGACACATCGGTAACTGCCTGGGACTCGGCGATCAAGTGTTTATCTGGCGATTGCTCGATGATCTTCTGGTACTCGTCGGGGTCGAGAGCTCCCAATGTTCCCATTAACCGGACTGTTTCGCGTCGAAGCTCGCCTTCTGGCTCGGCTTTGACGATGGTCATGAGTATGTTCATAAGCTCAGGATAGTCGCGGTAGGGTTCCATGACATAGCCTGCGTTGGTGGCAATCTGGCCCAGAGTTCGTAGAGCCGAAAATCGTTTTGAATTCGACCCCAGATCCTGCATGAATTCGAGTATGATTGGCATGATTTCGGGGATGTATTTCGTCATATTCTCACCACCAACCGTGGCTAGGTCTCCGATGGCCTTTATAGTTGTGGACGCAACTTCTGGATTAGAGTCTCTTGTTTTTGGTAACAAGACAGAGACAATCGGATCCACCAAAGGTTTGATCAGATAATCAGCTGCCCCGACAAGATGACTGATTAGTTTTGCGCTCTCCTCTTTATTCCTAGGGCTATTCGAGTATTGCACTTCGGTCAGAAGTTGGAGAAGAACCTTGCGGAGTGAAGGGAAAACATAGGCTGGGTTGATTCGTGTAAGTCGACCAATGATCGACATGGCAGCCTCACGGATCGCAAAGACCTCATCATTCAGAGCAAGGAATAAGGTTCTGACATTGTCAGCCTTTCCTAGATGACGATCAAACCGAGCGTCGAGGGCCATGAGAACCTCCCAACGGATCTCGGGGTCAATGTCACCAACGCCAACGGTGAGCAATTTCTCGATTATATCTCCGACAACCTTGGTTGCGTGCATGCTTGTCTGATGTACGATCGGGTCCTTAACGAAGAGCTGACAGCAGGTCAAAGCCGCGCGCTTTCGGATCTCAGTATTATCGGCTTCGACGTAGCGAATGGCAACATCGCGGACGAATTCGTTCAGAAGATGGCCCGTGAAGTCGAAGCTGCCTAATGTGTGGAGGGCAAGTGCAATTTCTTGCTCCTTTGCCTGAATGATTGTGGGGTCTTTGTGATCGCGCGTCCAGATTTGAGGTGGTTGTGATCCTTGATAAGGGTTACCCAAAGGCAAGAAGTGTCGACCAGCGAGAATCTGGCTCAAGAGGTCAAGCAACTTTTCTTGGATGATAGGTCGACAAGGAGGAACGTAATGCGCCATATCGACAAGAGCTTGGAACAAGGAATCGCTGAGGCCACATGAGAACATGGGATCTAGGAGTCGTTCGACGTTTTTGCTTAACGCTTGACCAACGGCAGCAGCAACCATGCTAAGACATGAGAAGATAGGAGCTTCGTTGATTGCGATTTTGTTTCGTGCTTTAGCCGCAAGACCCTCTTGGATAAAACCTAAGATTCCGTCGATATATGGCGCAATAGCAACGCCCACGGCATTCGCGATTTGCCCAATAGCAAGGAAAGCCTTGTCCCGGTCGCGGTCCTTCCGGATAAGGCCTTGGAGGTGTAGCATACATTGGTGGAGATACTTGGTGGCGAAATCGGTCGGTGAATAGCTTGCTAAGATAGGAATGATAAGAACCACTTCTCTTCTAACAAGACCGTCGCGGTGGTCACGATATTTCAAGACTGTCTCGGCAGTCTCCCTGTACTTCTGCTCGCCCAAGAACATGGCGCTCTTATGCAATAGCTCCTTCATCGTAAGCAAGGATCCGTGTATAGCTTCGTTCGTGTTTATTTGGAACCCCTTAAGTATCTCATCATACACTCTTCCAAACCACTGTGCTCGCAGTTGTGAATCTCGAGGAGATATGATCTCGAAACACGCGCTGATTGCCTCGGCGGCGGATTCACGGATGAGCACTTTGGGATCTCGAAGTGCGACCCAGATGACCTCGAAGATTTGCGCAATCCACTGATACATGAGAGTTGGCGAGTTCTTGGAGAGTTCCCGGATGATCAATACGGCAGCGAAGCGGCGGTTCTCGGTACGCTCTAGCTGGAGCCATTCCAGGGCAGCTTTGACCTCGGCCTCGACGAGTTCTGCGGTCAGTGTTCCACCAGGCTTTGCTAACCTTCCTAGTGTCTTCGCTGCAACTATCATGGCGGCATAGTCGTTGCCTCGCATGATACTTCGCAGGTAGCTTGCGAAGCGGGTCGTCTTCTGGCCCGCATCGTCGCCTTTGAAATCCACCAGGGCATTAAGGGCGTGGAGACCGCCGATGCGGTCATTCGAATCGCTACCGTTTACGATGAGGGCGGATATTCGGAGGTTGACTTCGCTATAGAAGTTCTGGAAGACGCTGGGTGCGAGCTCTGTGTGACAGCATTAATCCAAAGAGAGGCGGGCGGGGAAGGCATGCTAATTCGTTCACCCACCTCGGTGCGCAGCTTCAACTGTCAAGCGCAATTGTAGAGCTGACTTCTGTCGGGCATCATCATTTCTAGTTTTCGTCAATCAGAATTAACATCCACAGTATTGAAGGGGTAGCTACTTACTTTGAGCGGAGGTCCTGCACGACGCGCTCTAAGCTCGCTGTAGAGGGAGCAGGTGCCGCCATAATGTCGACTTCACCTGAGGCGCGAGGCGAGGGATAAGGAAAGCTTTCGGGCTTCCATAGACAGTGGTGTGAGGAGGTAACGGAACGGGGGCGAGATTCAAAGGGAATTAATGTCTATGTTGACGTTGGGTCGGTCGTTGCGCACAGCTATACTGGTCACCGCGGACCCGATAGGGACTAGTGGGTGCCACGTGATATCGATCACCGCTGACTTATCGAGCAAGAGTGGGAAATGGCTAGTGAATAATATTCCATATCCGTGGGTTAGGCAGTGATAATAATAATAATACATTTCATCGTCTACGTAGCAATATAAGGTTGACTAGCTCGAACAGGCTTTCCGTCACGCAAAGCAGCTCCGGGCCACCCAATAGCGCTGTGGTCACAAGCCCAGCCACTGGATCATATCCCCATGCATTCACCGCGCTCTCATCCATGGATTACTCCCTCCGCAACATGTCTGACAATTCCCGCTGCCTCACTGAAGAATATACCCTTGAGTATCGTCTCCCCTTCCTCAACAGCCCACACACCAGCGTCCATAAGCTTATGTCTCCATCTATTCTGTTCGGCGTGTGATAAGTCATCCCATTGTTTTGCCTCTGCATGTCTCTTAACTACTTCCTCTGTATCCGCATGGACCTCCGTATTCAACGAGGCATCGGTTTCAGGGTCGTCGTGAATTACCACTGCTTTCTCTGCGCTACTCTCATCCCCGGCGTGGAGATCCAAGATGTCTTTGATTCGGCGCGTCGCCTGCTCAACCGGAACTTTGATATTCTCTGCGGCTGCTTCGAGTTTTGCACTGGCTACACGGCTTTCGTGCATGATGGCACCTGGAGGCTTGAGGCCACTGGCAGCTTTAGTCAGGCCGGTGGGGAGGTATGCCTTAGTGAGGTTGCCCTGAGGATCAAGGAGAGATTGCACCATCAGAGCGACGAAGAGCAGGACAAAGAATGCGCCGGTAGATGTGACGACTTTGTAAATCGTCCCGGCATGAGGAGATTGTAGTATATATCGAGTTCCGGCTTTTGATGAGGTAAACTTCAACTCGAAAGTCTCGACTGAAATGCTGTTGCCCAGAGATGTGCTTGCCAACCGAAGGTACTGAGCTTTTGGTTTGCCAGCTGTCGATTTTGCGGCAACAAGGAAAGGCGAAAAAACAGCCTTGGTCAATTGGAATGGATGAACATCCCGGTACGTAGCGAACGAAACGAAACTGCCAAGGCTATTCCGACTGCTACCCAGATAATCGATCGAGTATATCGACAAGCTGCAGTCATGGCCAGCGACAGCAACTACTGATTGGTATGCGCCGTTATCGTCGGCATCTAACCGGGCAACGTCCAAGTCAACCGCGGCCTTCACATGTCCGGGCAATCGTTTGCGCATAGTTATGCTGCCCGCGCCCTCGTCATAAAGGCGGAGTACCAGTAACTCTACGCCTGTCCTGTTATGAGCGTTGGAAAGTAGTAGGATGTGTGATGGGCTAAGAAACCGTATGCCTCTCAACTTAGGCCTGCCCTTCTTCTCAAAAACACTATCAAAATTAGCATATCGAGGTAGTGATAAGAAATAATTGCCTACTCACTCGGGAAACGGTACTTCGTACAGCTTTCGTACGTCTTTCTTGGACCCGTGAACGACAGACAGATATACACTCTGATCTGTTACATAGACCACATGAAATTTGCCGTCCTCGACCTCGAGAATATCAATATCATTCGCCTCTTGTCCTTTATGAAGGGGTATCCTCTGTATGACCTCAGATGCATTGGGTTTGGTCGAAGTGGCCGGGAATATCACAATTTCATTCTCGTCGCCTCCAAGGGAAGACGCGACAGCTCCAATCCTCTTGCTACCCGATTTACCGAGCTTCGGGGGAGACAAACGGACAAGCCTTTGATATACCTCCTTCTTTGCGGTTGCGGACGTCGGGGGAGTGAACAGCGACGACTTGCCCAGAAACTCTAGCTTCCCACTTGCTTTTTCCCCCTTTTCCTTTGGGTATTTGACTTCGAACGAGCGAAAATGCTCATTATTTCCTTTCGAGCGATCTACCTCCGAGGAGTTGATGCCAGCGTACAGAATGATTCCATCCTTCGTTGCCAAACTCTCTAGACATGTTACTGAATCCTCATCGCGTGAGAGGTCTATTTCGGCTATCGAGTCGAGCTTTGGGGAGCGCGAGGACGTATCGAAGACGGATATGGCATTGGGAACACCGCTACGGCCTGAAAGTCTCTATCAGTATCTGCGATGCGCATTGTAGTTTTGTGTCGCATACCAGCTCCTCCTCCACCACCGACCGCTAGGATTGCAGGATTGTTATATGCGAATGTTGCGGCGAATATAGGGTATTTTGTTTCGGCCTTGGAGACTGTTGTTTGTGACATTGGAACTGTTTGCGGCGCGCGCACGCTTCTCTATCAATTGCGATCGAAAATCTATTGTATGTTTTCACTTTTGAAGGGAATCGAAGGTTGTGCTGGAGGAGACTAAGAGGTAGGACCAAAGAATATTACGAGGTTATGATTGCTTTTGTGCGCGCGGATAGGAGTGGAGTGTGGAAGGCCTGCGCAACTCTCAGCTCGAACAGACAGTATACCACGTTGCGGAAGTTCGTCATCGGAGGTCTGGACGCTCCCGTCATTCCCACTCGTACCAAACCGGATCGAAATAGCGGCGTATAGTTACGCTTAACTTTATTGGGACGATCGAATGCATTTTCTTGGCACTACGAGTAAAGACACAAATACCTACTATGGGCACTTATATCTTGAATTAGCATCGAACATCCAGAATGCAAGGAGAAATCAAGTCAAGAGTCCTAGTCTAACCCGCGTATTAAATTCAGCAAAACCGAGAGCAAGTGATGAGCAGCGCATCAGTACGGTATCTACGTCCGTTAACCCCCTTCATTCCACCCATTTACCACTGCTGGTTTTGGAGTCGTGGCTCTTTGCAAGCGCAAACAGCTCGTCCGTGACAGTAATTAAGGAAGACCATAAAACCTAGCCTGCAATGAGGACATATGTGGTTGCCCACGCCCAGCTGTATCGTTTCAAATCATCCTGTTCTTCTTTCATTTTCCCATTCTTTACATTGATCGTTCACCAAATGAAGTCATCCGCAATAAGCAGCACCAAAAGCAACGCTAAACCAAATCCCCTCCCCCTTCAAAGATTGGTGTCAAGAAACGCCGTTCCAGCTATATACTCCGAATCGTGCGGGCATGCTCGCTAAAATAGTGTCAGAGGAAAGCTAGAAAGATCTTGACGGCTATTAAGTTTTTTTTTTTCTCTAAGGCGTATTGTGATATCAACTCTTGAAAAGACGCTCATTGCTGACCAGGAACTGGTGCTCCATTAAGAGCTGCCGCTTGGCCCTCAGCGATTGCTTGAGCAATTACATCGGCCTGGTGAACGGCAGCCTGAACAATCTGTTGCTCCTCGGGATTCAGGTTCTTGGTCAGGTTCTCATAGAGAGCTGGCTGCTCCTGCTGAAGCCTCAGGAGAGCATGTTTGAACATGCTGTAAGGCTCGACCTTGTCAAGTGGCGTCTCCAAGAGGCTCTCCTCCTCAAGTTCGTCATCGTCGTCGTCTACCACAGAGGTAAACTTTTGTGCCTCTTCGTTCAAGAACTCGAGATAGGCTGCACTCTCGTCTTTGACATCATCTTCAGTCTCGTCGGCCTCGTTGTTCCAATCGTTGTCCTGTTCCCACTCTTCATCCTCATCATCATCGAAGTCGTTGCCGAACTCGAAGTTCTCTTCCTTCTTAGCTTCTTCACGGTCTGTATCCAACAATTAGCCTCGACGCAAAGGAAATTTTTCGCAAAAGTACTTACTCTTCAGGGCCGCAGGAAGTGTTTGGAATAGTCGGACAATGCCTTGGAGCAGACGTGGCCAGCCTTGCTGAACGCTAACTGGTACATTCTGACCTTGAAGGGTCAACAGCGAGCAGATAGCCGAAATGCACAACTTCTTGTCGTGAACACGTGTGAAGCTGTCAATGCTCGAGAACCATAGGCTGAAAAACTTGTTCGTCCAGTTGTTGCTCTCCAGGACGTGTAGTGCCAATTCTGGGTTGTAGTAGATGGCATTGACAACGACTTCCATCAAGTGAATTCGCAAGGACTTGACCTTGGTCTCCTCGTTCGTAAGAACAGTCATGGTCAAGGCAATGAACTCCGGAACGTATTGATCCACGTGGCCTCGCATATTCAGCATGATGATCTCGGCCAGCTTGCAACCACAGATGCGGTCAACGCCTCCAACTTTGTCATCCTTGAAAATTGTTCGGACCATGTCGACCATTGCATCAAGATAGTTACGGTTCTCGGTAAGCATTTGAGTGCCGTAGTTCACGAAGTTCTCGAGGGCAGGAAGCATATCTGACATGATTTAGTGTTGATCAAGAGCATCGAATTCATAGATGACGCACCTTCCAAGTATAGCTCGGCACCGGCCTTGAATGTCCTGTGAATCAATTCAAAGGCTTGCCACATTGTTGGAGAAATGCTCTTGGCAGCAAATGTGCAGCTGTCAATGATCTCAAAGACCTCATTGTACAAATCTGACTTTTGCGTAAGTTTTCAAGCGCATGGTAAAAATAGTGACGAATAGCATACCGTAAAGTTTGTTTTCCAAAGTAATGGTGATGACAGGCATCAAGATAGTCTCGAGATGAAGAAGGACATCTGGAGTACTTTCTAGAGTGAGAATTAGTGTACCAATGGTCTGCAACACGCCCAGCGCAGTGATGCTCTTCTCATCCAAGAAATCTCCAAATTCGTTCTCGTCGTCCTTGCCTTGATTTCGAGACAACAACTCGCCAACTATCCGGAGATAAGTATCACGCAACTGCTCGCTTAGCGCGACTGCGAATGGTGTGAGTTCCGGAGCAAAGACCTCTACGAAGTCCTCCATGACATTGGCCAGTGCGTCTACATCCACCTCGTTGGCAAGTTTCAAGAGTTGTTGCATGACTTGAGGAATGTTGGTCTTCATGTTGGTGCGAATAATGTCGTGGCGGATCAAAGGCTGGAGGGCCAGTGCTGCTGCGACTCGGACCGGCAAAGCCTCATCTGCCATAGACTCCAGGATATTCCGGTAAATGATGATTAGGTTATTGGGATCCTTGAAGTCAAGTTGCTCGAATTTCTCCAGTGTGTCGCATGCACGGGCTCGGAGGAAACCGTGGGGGCTGCGGAATTCAGGGAAGACATGTCGAACGAAGAAGTATTCCACTTGGTCGGCAATCGGGCTCTTCTTTCCAAGGATTACGCCGGATAGAGTTCCAATCATGCGGAGCGCGCCCTCTTTTTCCCGTGGGTTCTTTTGGTTGTCAGGTGCAGCCTCGTACGCGTTCACTATGCCATTGACGAAGTTGAGCACACTGAAAGTCTGTTTTCGGCGGCTCTTCGTCAGGGTGACAAGGAAGTTGGTCGCAGCAACATCGGGTGATGTGACTTCTTCATAAAAGTTGAGCTTCCTGTGCAAGTACTCTTGTGGTTCCGATTCAAAGAGCTCGATGTCGTCGTCCGACTGGCAGAGAACTGGGAAAATGAGATGAGAAATAAGGTTGTCGGTATGCGGTTTGAGAAGGTTCCACATCGATTTCGGCTTGATGCATTCATCCAAGAAATTAAGCGTATAGTAAAGACTAGCCTTCGAGAGCCAGACGGTTTTCGACACCCACTTCTCAACTTGCGCAAGGTAAATCTTGAGGATCTCGGGCGCGAAGTTGGCAATGAAGTACTTCGCGACTTCGGAATAGTCGGCGTCGTTGCCTTTGCCTAGGGCACTTGGGTTGCCATATCTACACCCCACCGTCAGTGCAACACAATACTGGAGTGCGAGATTCAACCTACCTGACAAACAGTCTGTTAAGATTTGCGTATGCCCACTTCTTCGCCTTCCACCAGTGGTTCGTCTCACGTTCGTCGACGTCCTCGGGAAGAGCTGTCTCCGGAGGTTCCTTGCCCACAACATTTAGGAAAAGCGTACACCACCCAATCAAGGTTCCCTGTTCACGGAGAGAAGCCGGAAGATCAAACTGTGTCGATCGTCAGTTCATGTTCGGTGCAGCATAATGATTAGGCATTCTTACGTAGATAGCATGCTTGTAAACCTTCAAGACAGTACGCAAGATCTCGCCTGCCTCTAGACTGGTTTCATTCGCAAGCGAATTGCCGATGTTCAACAATTGAGGGAATGATAGCGCGACGATCTTATCAAAGTCTGCTCGGTTCTCGCCTGACTTGAATCTGTATATCTTGCAGATAGCCAACAGGCATTGGACGCCCGCAAATACCGACTGGACATCCTGTGCATTGAGGAGTTGTATCGTAAGATCGAGGAAGTTCGGCCATCGTGCGGGGAAATCGTACGCGAGGATCTTCTGGAGGGTAGGGATGAGTTGGACACGGACCTGTGGCTGGGCTGCCACGAGGATGGGGACGAGGCGATTGCGAAAAGACTGCTTCTCTTCCTCTGGGATGGGTTTGGCGGTGCTGAATTCTTCTGCGGGAGACCAGCCTTTGGAAACCCGGTTCTTTAGGTAGACGACAGCTAGAAAGAGGCGATTAGTCTCTTGTGGACGCCCTTCTGTGATTGCGGGGCGCGGTGAGCTCACTGGATAATCTGACGCCATTATCTTGCTCGGCTTCAAGGATATTTAGAAGAGCATCTGTAAATCCGGGCTTCTCTTCGGCCTAGACGCGGATTGTCAGTGACATCCGGACAGTAGTAAGTTGATTTGGAGATGTGTAAGGCGGATGCACGCACATGCTTCAGGTCGAGCTCCGACTGCTGGCGGATGGCAGCATTCGGATCGAGCGTGGCCTGAATGCGGTCCCGCAAGAAGCCCACTTCCATACTGACGTCCTATCTTCTACAGATTTGGGGTATCGGTGTAAGTCGCGCAAAAACCGAGGGCGACGGACGGAAATAGGTGGTTTGGGGAAAAAATTTGGCCCTCCCAAGTCGTTGCAGAGAAGGACGAGGGGCAACTGTGCGAAAGAATTGTGGCCCTGGGCGGCGACCCTCTCTTCCAGGTTAAGCGTGCCAAGCACGTGGCTACCGTATCTAATCAGCTAGAGGCCCGCCGTCAGCCAAACCATCGTACTCGTATTTTGTCTCTTCCCCCTCATAAAAAGCCCAGCCAGTCTCCGTTCTGATGACCTGATGTCTGGTTTTATCCATCTTCTCCATACTTGTTAACTAGTAACATGATATCACGGGTTTTCACGTCTGTAAAGACAGTGAGGCTAGGCCTTGCACCTGTCCGTTTTGACACACCCATCTCTCAAACACACACACCAATAATCGTCAATAGGCCGCATTTAGTTCGTATATATTTTGACAGCTCATGCAATAATGACCAGTATTTTTGGAAGCATCTCATGAAGTGAAGGCCAGCAGGATTAGCATATGTGATAAACGTAATTGCTTGCTCCAGCACCCTAAGCAAATATCAACAGCACAAGCATTCGGCCCATTCATGACATCAAATGTGTCGCACATAATTCAAACATCAAAAGTCGCAAGGCATCAATGCTATGTAGCAAGGAAGGTATATAAGGGCAGTCTAGACTGCTAGGGTTTGATTTAGAACTGTCCTTTTTTGAGTGAGAATCAACCTCCACGATTTTCTTCTACAAATAGATACTGAAGTATCCAGTTGTGGAAGCGTGTGCCCTTTTATCATACGGTTACTACAAGCGTCGTTGGCAGGCCCATGCACCGGACATGCTTCGTAATACAACTGCTCAGTAGAGTTGACTGATATCACCACTTTACGCGTACGTGTGGGAGGGGGAATCTATAGATAGAGACTGGCGCAATTACAGATGTCCCTGTTTCAGTGGGTTAGTGTTTCAAGCACATGAGCCCATATCGCATGACAAACTTACCTCTTAATAAGTTCCTGACATGTCCCCATCTTCTGGAACAGTGTGGGGTCCCCAATAATTCGTGCCGCATTTTTGACCTCTCTGCACGTCTCGTCCAGACGCGTGATGACACGAACAATCGTGCCTTCCATGACATCTGTCAAGTCGGTGATGCGATTGAATGACATGCCCCTTGCCCATTCGTACACAACCTCCACCATACCCCACCTCGGGTCACTCACGAAGTCATTAGAGTCATCTGAAGGGAGGATGACTTGATGCACCGTTTGAAGATGGTTGACCTTCTCGGAAATTTCGATGATCTTCGCTTTGCCTCTCTCCAAATTAGCTGTTAGAGTGGGCTTGGACTCGGTCTTCTCTTGGAACACAAAGACAGAAAGCAAGGCGACGATCTCTTCAGGCTCATATTCGGCCAGAACATTCTCGAGAATCAATTCGGTGAGAACCAGCTCGTCAGCAGAGTGAATCTCGCAAGCAACCTTGCCCTTGAGTTCCACTCTATTGGCCTCATCTATGAAGCCCAGATCCTTCAAGACCGAGATTCTTTGCTCGTAGTCGGGTAAGAGCTGAAGATTCTGATCCGACATCAGTTGACGAAGTTGCAATATGTTTTCTTTGATGATCCACTCATCATGCTCCATTGCAAAATGCTTGAGGAAATCAGGGCATTTCAAACACTCTCGTTCTGAGGCGGTCTGGCCTTCACGCTTCCTAGCATCGACTATGTCACGGAAACTGAGGCTCTTGATCTTATCATAACTAAATTCGTCCCAGTCGTTGTAATCCCAAGATGTGCACAATGGCACGAATTGGTCCCTCGCAAGTGTTAGTGCTTGCTTGCTCTTGTTCACGTTTCGCACGGATTCCGGAAAGTCGATGATGATTCCAGTAAGACATTCGATGTCGTTCAGCGGTATCAAAGCAGGCTTGAGGATCATTTCTTTCTCATTGTGGGGTAAAGTCCGGAAATACTTTGCGAATTGGTGCAGATATGGGAGGAGGTCGTCAGCTTTGCGTTGCTCATGTCGCGAGATTTCAAGCACCTGGACGGTGGGCTCATTACCCTTACTGACGCCGTCCTGGAGCAGCATGCCGGCCGTTCGTAGACCGTCCTTCTTATAGACGATAAGTCGCCTGGCACCAAATAGTTTCCTCCCCATTGGATGAATAAGAAGAGCCAAATGGAGGTCGTTAGTCAGACGTTGATAATTCATACAAGCTTGATGACATTGTTCGAGATCGATGTCGCAGATCTTGCATGGCTCTCGCTTTACTTTCTCGAGATCGGCCTCTGACAAAAGAACCTTTTTCTCATGCTCAGGTAGAAGTGCTTGGGTGGCATTCTCGCTGAAACTTCGTTTGATCATCTCCTCGATCTTCAAAGCTTCTACCCGTAAAAGATTTAGAATCATGTTGTACGTCAACCTGAACTGAGACCTCAGTTTTGTGGGGTCGCCGAGCATCATCTGTTTAAGCCTGGCAACGGGGGGCGCTTCGTCGGCTCCGGGAGCCACTACAATGACGGTTCCGACAGTGTCGAGTCCTCGGCGTCCTGCTCTACCAGCCATTTGGGTATATTCTCCTGGAAGCAAATCGCGGAACTCGCGCCCATCGTGTTTACGGAAGCCTGAGAAGACTACCGTTCTTGTAGGTAGATTCAGACCCATGGCGAATGTCTCGGTAGCGAAGAGAATTTTGACAAGAGATTTGGCAAACAATATCTCTACCACTTCCTTGATAATCGGCAACATGCCACCGTGATGCACGGCTATTCCACGACTAAGTAGCTCTCTGAGATGGCGAATCTGGGGAAGGCCTCGGTCCTCTGGACTTAGGCGAGCCAGGGACTTCTCGATTGTCATGTGGATTGCACTCTTTTCTTTCGCTGTGCAATAATCGATGTTGGAGAGAGCGTTGGCATTCTCTTCGCACCTTTTCTTGGAGAAAACGAATATGCACGCAGGCAGGAGCTCTTTCTGCCGCAGATGTGCGACAAGATGAACCCAGATATTACGATCCTGGGCTGCCGTTGTCCTGCCTCCTCCGCGTCCAGTGCGGGCAATGTTACCACGTCCTCTCTGCGCTGGTGGTCCACCTCCCCGCTGTGCACCTCCACGCTGACCTCCCTGTTGACCCCTTCCGCGCTGATTCTGACCTCTACCTCCGCCACCTCGCTGGCTTCCGCCTCTAGGAGCGTCGGCCTGATTTGTTGGGGCTTTCACCTTGTCCTTGCCAGAAAGTGCATCATTTGCATCTTTCCATCCATTATCCAGGAACTTTTTATCCGAAGAAACAATCTTATACATTGCTTTGTTGGCCCACAAATAGTGCTCCAATGGGATAGGACGTTTAGGAGTCGAGATGACGTAGATATCTTTCTTCTTGGTTCGACCTACCCACGAAGCGAACTCGTATGTATTGGGCACTGTAGCGGAAAGCAGAATAAGTGTCACATGTTCTGGAAGCATAATGATGACTTCCTCCCAGACTACGCCACGCTCCAGATCATTAACGTAATGCACTTCGTCAAAAATGACGAACTCGACATCTCTGATCAGATCAGCACCACGATACAGCATGCTTCGGAGAATTTCGGTCGTCATGATCAGACAGCTCGCTTCAGGCCGAATCTGAACATCTCCGGTTAAGATTCCAACATCATCGAATGTGAGACGGAAATCTCTGAACTTTTGGTTGCTTAGTGCTTTTATGGGCGAAGTGTAGATCGCCTTGGTCATATGCTTCGCTGCGAGAGCTATTGCATATTCGGCAACAACTGTCTTTCCCGCAGATGTATGCGCTGCAACGAAGACAGAGTCACCATGTTCCAGATGATAGACAGCTTCTTTCTGGAATGTGTCGAGCTCAAACGGATATTCCCTAGCCATCTCGGGAACCAACTCACGGAAGTTGGTGATATCACGATTGACGTCAACCATATGAGCCCACTCTCTTCCGCCTTCCCTATTTGCGGCCATTGAGAGGGGCCCATGGGGAGCTAATGCTGGGAACTCGATGGGCAGGAGAGCATCGATTTCGTCGTCTTGGGGTCCATCGTCCGTGGCGGGAATCTGGTTCTTGTTTGCGTCTAATTGGATTGGATCTTCTTCATCTTCCTCCTCCTTGGAAGGTTGAGGCTCCTCTTCCAGCGTGTCCTCAATTTCTTTGGCAGCCTTTGCGTCTACGAGAGGCTTCTTTTCAAGGTTCAATCCGCGCGAGAATCCAGGGGCGATTTCTAGAAGACCACCTTCGGCAGTAAGATTTATCACTCGGTCGAGTGCATTCGTCTTCTTGGTCCTGTTTCCATCTTGCCGTAGGATGACTTCGTCTTCGATAGCTGCTATTGCTTCTACACCATCCAGGCCACCGGGGGCAAAAGGGAAGAAACCCGCTGCGCCACGAACAAATTCAGCTCTGTTCGCCGGTTTTCTCAACAAAGAAGTAGAATTTTTGGCAGTGGCGGAATTTGCAGGCACCGTGACTTCTCGATAACCAGTGACACGACCTTCCAAACCTTCACGTGTAAATCGAATAATGGTACGGGTCTGGGTAGGGGCGATCTCGAATAACCCACGATAATTTGTGGGTGCATCCCATCGCTGTTGTAGACGGTTTAGCCATCGCGTATTAAAGGAACTCGATGGAGTCAGGAACTCGTCTTCCAACTCTTTCTTGATAGCATCCTTGGTCTTCTTTTGTCGCTTCAGCGGGCGTTGCTCGTTGAGAAGATCGTCGATAGAATCCGGTGCTCCCTTCGCGGCAACGTGGTTCAGTTGCAGCCTGTTGAACACCCCCGCAAGGTCCTCCATCGCGGTGAATGTCTGAGGTTGAATGTGACGGAAAGCTTCAGCACGAGATGGTGATGTCAAACAAACCTCGTGGTGCCTGGATGCCAAGCATGATGTCGGTGTGCATTTTGCCGACCGCGGGGCACTACGACCCTTGCAAGGGCAAGATGGAGGGGATTGACCCAGCATGAGTAAACACGCGCTCACAGTTCATGTGATATTGTGGTTTTGGACATATAATGTATCACACATTGAAAATGGCTTCTAAAGCCCAATAATTCATGTACAATCGTAACCATGAGTTTCCTCCCAGAAGAACGCCTCGCTATGCAAAATTGAACTACCAAGTGAATGAGGACGACCAAAAGCCACACGTTACGTATCAACTGGTCTCCGTGGTCCGACGCCAGCAATTGTGCCATGAAACCTTCCTAACGGCATATATGCATCTACCGGATCGATCTTCAGTCTACCACATCCCCTCCAGCTCCGCCATGGCTTCCATGTCATCTGCAAACGGATCATCCTCTGGAGGAGGGCCAGCAGACACGGTTCGTTTTGGTATGGGATTGTGTGTCATCTCACTCTCTGCTAGCAATGCGTCCAAGTCGTCGTCGTCATCAGGATAATCACCGAGATTTTCGGTGGGTTGCGGCATATTGTGGCTAGGCCTCTCATCCAAATTACTCGAAGTGCGTAGATTCTGAGCAGCATCTCCATGTAACACGCCTTCCATTGCCTCGGCATTCGGGGCGGTCTCCGCGTTGGCAGACTGCTGATTGTTCTGTTCCACAGTGTTGTCGACCGATTGCTCGACTGTTTCTTCAGCATCAGACGCTGCATTGTAGCCGGGTTTCCCCTCGTTTATCCATTCCTTTCGCATATACTGAGTCCGTTTCGAATGTCCCAGCTTTTCGATCATCACCAGGCCATCCGCAAATTTCGCACGAGGGTAGAGGTCGTCGAGCCATAGCTGGTACATGTTAAGCATTCGCGCAATATCTCCGTACTGCAACTTGTCAGCGTCTGTTCACCCACACAATTCCGAAGTGGAAAGGGCAGTACCTCATGACCTTTGCCTTTTAATCTCAAGCGATCCTTGGATATTCTTCTCAATTTGGATATTCCAGCATCAGAGAGGAGCCTGTAGATGTTAGCATCGTGATAGTCTAGAAGTCGCGAGCAGGAGTCTTACAGGGTCTCATCCAGTTTAGGTATTGGCCTTCTCTGTTTCACAACTGTAATCTCTTGATCAAGACCTAGGGCATCGTCTTTGGGCGGCGGCTTTTGAGGCCCATTCGCCGTATTCCCGTTTGTTGCGTTTACGTTCTCATCATCTAAATTTCCCAGGATATCGTCGAGATCGTCAGGTGGTGGACTTCCGCGAAATGCAAGATCAGTGGTGGCCATTGTAGAGAAAACTCAATTATAAAAGTGAGACTTGGGTGGATGCTCAACTTGATATTCAAAATGCCGTTGCATAATTGCGATCGGGAATACGCGTCAAAACTCCGAGGACGCGTCGTGTAAGTGCCAAGACTAATGACATAATCAAGGCTCGTGTGGGCAACGTTAGTGCGAAACTTATTAGAACGACAATCCTGGAGACAGGGTTCACAAAGAGCACACAAACAACGACTTCACGCGCAAGGGCATTTTCGCATGTAAACCGCGGAAGAAACGATCGACAAAGACAGGGAGTCTTCTATATTGTGATAAGAGGTCACATTGCTCATCGTCGCTCTCAGTGTGGTCCATAAATCCTTCACTACTCCGATTCATGCCAGCGTATAGACTATATCAAATAATCTTTCCTCGAAAACTTCCACATCATAGACGGCGCTATGGCTGTCCCAGAGAATACGCCATCAGATGCATTGGTTTACAGGTTAAACGGACTTCTACAGAAAGCCCGGTCGGTTAAGCCTAGTTCGACTATTGATCCACCTCTTCAGGTGTCTGAACTTGTCAAAAATGATGAGGCACTTTTTGTTCCTGTGGTTGACAATAAGGACGCACATACACTTGCATTCGAGAAAGCAGCGAAGCACATTTTCTATGCTAGGCTCGTAAGCTTGTCGACCTTCACATACATTACATCACGAGACTCACCATAAGTAGGGAACTTCAGCAATAGAATCTTCGGATTTCGTGGACATCTGGAATCTATTGGATATTCTACAATATTGCGGAGATAGAGGTAATTCCTGGAAGCCGAAAACAACGAAGCGAATCTAATACCACTACTAGATGTCTGCTCACCACAATTGGTCCTGCTCTTAATTGAGGAATTACTCGACAGCCAGTCAATATCAGGCTGCAGGATCGTCTTCAATTTCCTCGAGTCTCGACGAGAAGCAATAATAGCTGTAAGTACCTCATTATATCCTTCCATTATCGTGGAGCTGATATTGGATGCATAGAACACATCGAAGAATAAAGACCTGGTGATCCTGCGTCTATGCAACGAACTTCTCAGAAGGCTGTCCCGCGCCGAGGACCCGGTGTTTTGCGGCCGTGTCTATATTTTCCTCTTCCAAAGCTTTCCCTTGGGCGACAAGAGCTCCGTCAATCTGCGAGGCAATTTCCACGTAGAAAATGTCACAACGTTCGAGGATTATCTGAAGGCCTCTAGCAATAAGTCGGATTCGATGCAAGTAGACCCGGTGGAAGGTTCGGACGACTTGAAGGAAAAGGCAGGGCTTGATGGGGATGCCCTGAAATCCTCTGAAGCAGATAAGTCAACATTGAAGGAAGGGACAACTACTATGGATATCGACGATTTATACCCCGTCTTTTGGTCGCTCCAACAATCGTTCTCGAATCCTCCTCGACTGTTTGAAGAGGAACAATTTAAGGAGTTCCAGAAAAGTCTGCAGGCAACCTTAGCCAAGTTCAAGGAGGTTCCCAAGGTCATCCAGTCTGGAGACTCAGAGCGTAAGAAGGGGGAGAAGGCTCGTGGAGATGACGATCAAGGAGAATTTGCAAGCTCGTTCAACCCCAAATACCTGACGAGCCGGGATCTCTTCAAGCTAGAGGTTGGTGGATGCTTTCTCAGCACCGTGGAACTAGAACTGATTGCATGCAGCTGAGCGACCTTGCGTTCCAAAGGCACATCCTCGTGCAGGCGCTTATCCTGATAGACTTCCTCTTGACACTAACAGAGAAGTCGAAAACCCAGGGCTATTACCAGAACGCGCAGAAAGCGATGCAATACAGTTTCACACTGCGTGAGGAAGACGTGAGTCTATGCGAACCCTTCCCTCCCCCGCAATGGCGCTCCCCGTGCCACTATGATCGTCATCTTTCGGCTGACCACAGAGCACAGACCGAATGGGCGTTGGGCATCAAGAACTCGATTGCAAATTACCTGCAGGACGGTCCAGATGGGAAGTTCTACTATCGAATGGTGGATACCGTATTGTCCCGCGATAAGAACTGGGTAAGATGGAAAATGGAGAACTGCCAGCCATTCACTCGTGATAGAGTCTCCACAAAAGATTTCCTGGAGGCAAAATCTGGGGCACAGGACGAGCTTGGCCGTAAGAGGCTCGCAAAGCCTCTGGGTTCGAGCAGCGCCCTCCAGTTTCTGTCGAACACTGATGCCGAAAAGGGGCTCACACAGTTGCAGCAATCTGACAGGTACGTTCCGGACGTCCGGCAACGCAGGCTGTTTTGCATGAGCTCACAGATAATCAGATTCTCTACGCCAAGTGCAGAGTCATATGCAACGAAGATTCGAATGACAGAGCTGGACCTGGACATGGTTACATCGGATGAGGAAAAGCGCCAACTGGAGGAGAGCAAAACAAGTAATTCATGGCGCGGGCTTCGACTTGCATCCAAGAGCCGGTTGAGCTCATTTGACAGGCTTGAACATGGTAAAGGTTTGGAGAGGCTCTTTCAGCCGGTCACTTCGATTGAGGCGGCTGGCGAAACGGATGGCAGGGATTCGGTTCCGCAAGAACAGCATCAAAGCGTTGAGGAGCAGCGGGCCGGCGAACAAAGTCAAGTGACTACGGAATCAGTGGCGGAGTAGAACAAGGGCAACAGGCACATCGACGGGATAGGTATCAATTGTCGAGGACAGTGCAAAGCTTGCATCTGCCATGAAGCGTTTCTGTTTACGATGATGTGCAGGAAGGAAGCAGTGGCGTTTTTCCTTTGGATGTTTGTGCAAGGGGAGACATGGGTGGAATCTGATGGCAGAGCCGTGCATGACCCCGAGCGATCCTCCACGATATCGATACGATCGTGACCCGGCAGCAGAGCATTTTCTCAGCATACCCTCTGTTCGACTGAGCCACTCAAAGTGCAACAGCCACGAATGGCGATTAGGTGGAAGATTGCGGCGCGGATGGATCCATAGGGCTTGCGCCGCAGCTTGATGAATTGTGACCTGGATGATTGAACTCACTCCAGGAAATCGCACAGTTGTGCCAGGCTCAAGCTCTGCAACACTCTCGAAGAACCGAGGAGCACGGCGAGCAGTTCCTGGCTCGCTATGTGCTGCTGCCCGGCACTCATTCTATTGCTGCACGCAAATAGTGGTAGAGGGCGGCCCGGGGGGTAATGAGTAACAACCAGCGGGTGCGATGATGGGGTGCATCGCAAATATTGGCCGAACTTCAGGCTCATTGAGAATGCGCTGTCAGCATATCGAGACCATTGAAGTGGGCGATTCTGCAGCGTCCCGAAATGAAAGGGAACTCTGTGCATCGTCGCGTCTGAGGAGCCCTGTCACTCTGCTGCCATCGACCCTGTCGCCGTGTACCGACAACAATGTGGGAGCCTCTGCGAGCTCACTACGATTCCACGCCCGCCTCAAGCTTGTCAAGTGCAAGCGAAGCATCCATGGCGGCCATCAAACCTCCATCTGGCCAGTCAGCTATGTAAATAACCGCAGTGGAGTCGGGCAAAGGTGGGTGGTTTCGAACCGTATGCTCCTCTCATTTCCCCTGCCCGCGGTGCGGCGGCCGTCCGTGACCGCTCATGGGGTCAGCCCGTCGAACCACGGCTTGGCATTGTATGGAGAGGCAGCGGGATGAACAAGAACATGGTGGTGGTGGTGGGAAACCTCCACTGGCATTGCTCACTGAGATTGCGACTATTTTCGGTGCACGAAACCACCAGCGTCGCCCGTCTGCTTCAAGGTGCTTGCATACGTCCACGCTTACACTGGATAACGCTCACAAACATGCACACGCCGCATTGCCAGCATTTGAAAACAAAGGTGCAAACTGGAAACTGGAAACTAGAAACTAACTATGCTTGGTGCCGTGAGGACTGTGCCGTTGCGTTTCCTGCGCTGTCTTTGAGCTACCTAAACTGTGCATACACAGAATGATTTAGAACAAGCAATTAGTACACCTGTTTCGTCGCAAATACTCGCTTATCCGTCCGCGCCTGCGCGGCACACACACACACACAGAGTACTCGCTGCCAACATACAATAGCGTATCGGCTGAACGTCTGCTTTTGGAACGGCGGCCGGGCGCCCTCAGGCTCGCGCTCGAATCCATACCTGGCTGCTGATCACTGCGGAAGGTGTTCAACGCGCCATGACGGCCATGACAGCCATGGGCCATGGGTAATGGGTGGCTTGTTGTTTTGCAGCGATCATGGCCTGGCGAGAGCGGATCGCCCCTGCGTCTGGATTAAAGGAAATTGTAGCCGCCTCACCCAGCCAAACAACAACATGTTCTCATGCCGGCTGCTTGGGTGTCTAATGAACCCACTCTGGTGTGCCCCGGCACAACACCGCGACCCAGTCGATGGTCACGTTGTGTCCAACGTTACGCCGTCAACCACCACCGGGCGATTACCTAGGTATCCCTAGGTATGAACAGTCCTGCTGTGCTGCCGCGCTATACCTGCGTGACGTCGAGTAGCCCTTTGCAATATTCTGGAAGCAGCATTTTCCCGGAGCGGGCCGAGCTTTTGGCCGTTGGATCTCATCGGCCAGCCAGATCTGTCGCTCGTTCTCTGCGCTCCCATTGGCAGCACTTTGTACACTAGGCGCCCTCACTTGCACCGATCGCGCAGGTGCAGTGCCCTTAGCAGTACTTCGTACAGAGGGTGAAAGGGTACTGGCAGAGCCCTGGAGTGTAATGGTCGCAGCAGGGCCACCAATCCAGCGAGCTACAGTACAATCCTGTAAGCTATCTGACAGAGCAAACTTGTGCTCTGTTTAGGACGCGGGCGCCGGCTCCTTTGACGCCCGAAGAGGTTCGGCCTTTATGCACCGTAGTGGGCGCCATGGGCGGCTCAAAAAAGAGGTTGCAAGGCTGACGATGTTCCTGACGCAATCTCGGGGGAGCATCAAGCATGGCCGTGGCTGTTGCGAAATGTGAGGAGAAGGCATTGTTTTCAAGCCACAGCGGGTGACCCATTGAGGTTTGATAGGCACGCTCACAAGTTGGCAAGGTCACAATGGTTACTCAACAGCTCGACAGCATAGGAGCGAGCATGGTGTAGCATGGTGAGCACGCTGCACCACGCGTGGAATGGTGTACCTCCTCTCCTCCACCCTTCTCACCATCACCACCACCACCGAGATGCTCCACCACTCCCACTACCATCGGCGGCATCCAGCACACACCACACCCAGCGCCAGTGCCCACGGACCTCCCTCTAAAGCAGCGAGTCCCCGCAACAAGCGTTGCCGAGCCCTGTAGCATCCATGTCACTATGCCTGGAGCTCCCGTTGTGCTATGGCCATGCATCTGCCAATAATGGTATCCCCATCTGCCTCGACTTGCGATTGCTCCACGCCATGGCGAAGGCCTTGCTCGTCGGCGGTTTTCTCACGGACCCCTGGCCCCTCTCTGCGCATTCTGCATGCCGTGGGCGTCGTCAATGTTCGCGCACTGCTCACATTCTCCTTCGAGAAGAACACCCTTGTAGGGGCCAGCACACCGAATTGCATCGTCCGTCGATTCGCCAGCAGTTGCACCGTTATCCCTACATCTTGAAGGCTCACGTCCCGAGGTACCGCACCCCTGTATTCTTCCCCTCTGCACTGGGGGTCTTGCTGCCCTCAAGGTCTGTCACGCCTCTCGTGGTGTAACAAACTGGCTCCAGATCCTCGAAGGATATCATGTTTCCCTAAGAGGACGCTGCCCTGGCAGTGGTCTGACCCCAGCCTTTGGACCTCCCTTAACCTCGATTTATCCGGATCGTCAACCTCCAAAGTGCCGTCAAGCCCTTTCTGTCTGAATGATCTGTCCGTCCCTCCCCTGCTGCCATCGCTGATATAGCCTCCGGCGCGTTCCTGAGCTCTCTAGCAAAGGGCAAGGTACAGTTGACCAGAACTTCTGGACGCTTGCACATATATCGAGCTAGCTGTCTTCTTACCTTCACTCTTCACATCATTCGGTCACCGTCAGTCTTTCCTTGGGCCTACGGTATCACACTCTCCCCCTTCGACAACTTCTATTTCGAGTAAAGGTTACACCAGACCACCGCGCCCCAATCCTGACTTGGGGGGTGCGACATCAGCCATTCAATTCAGCCTTGATTCTGCATATCAGCAACCCAATCCTCTTCAACACGGCACTCTCAGATCTGTTTGTCCCAAACAGACCTGCGACCTTAACGCATTGAGCTACCTATACTATCGATACTGTTCTTAAAGCATCGCAAACACCTCTTCTTTCTTCGCCGATCACCCGCTTCCAACCCCGCACTGGGCTTGGAGACTGATCAAGTGTGTGTGGCAAACTGCTATCAGATCCTTTCCTCCTGTAGCCTGTTCGTGGACAGTTCATCTCGTTCTCGATCCGAGCTACACGGTGCAAGTACAGTGAAAGGGAATAAGCTCAGAGGTCACCCGCTTCGTTTCTCCGGTGTAATCAAAGGTTATATTTCGGGCAGTTCAAGGTAGGCAACTCGAGCGTCTGCGCTCTGACCGTTTGCTGACTATGCAGTCTACTAGGGAACGGTGCAGCCTTAGAGCTAATTACAACTAAACTCCCCGATATCCATCTTTGAAAGGTGCCAATGGTGGACGGAAACCTTTTCATTCCGCTCTCTCCGCCAAGCTCGCCGCGTATGTCTGTGTACAGCACGACACCTGCAGAGAACGACTGGCCATCCTCGGACATCAAGGCACTGGACGCCGCCTCTACACACTCTGATAGCGATATGGCGCTGCTTCAGGCCGAAGTTAACGGGCATAACTTCGATTTGAAGCGCCCATTGCTTCGCACACACAAGAGCTTCCCGTACTCTCTCGACACTAAGCACAGTCTAACCAACGGGTGTTCGTCTCCTACCCGGGTCGGTCTTAGTAACATCGATGAGCTCGACACGACTGATATGCCAACGGTCACCTTTGGTGGTTCAGCTCCTGCTAGCCCTGTATCAAGGTTGACTCCACCATCGCCCCATGATCCTCTCAATGGCGACAGGAGCGATCCGCAGGGTGATGAGATTATCCTTGACGACAAGGACGACCTTTGCGATGACTCGATCAAGGATGAAGACAAACCCCCCATCTCTGCAGCCGAGCTCCGGGCTCAGAAGCGCAAGATGAAGCGGTTCAGGTAGGCATCCCAATAGACCTCGAACAACATCTGCTAACCCTCACACTAGGCTTACCCACAATCAGACCCGCTTTCTCATGAGCGAGTTTGCTCGACAGGCACATCCAGATGCCGCTCACCGTGAGCGCTTAGCCCGAGAAATTCCTGGCCTTAGCCCACGACAGGTTCAGGTCTGGTTCCAGAACAGGTGAGTGAAGGAGCTAAAAAGGATGCGACACATTCGAATGTGGATTCACTGACCCGAATAAAGGCGAGCCAAACTCAAGAGACTCACTAGCGACGACCGCGAGCGTATGATGAGGTCAAGGGCCTTGCCGGAGGATTTCGATATGGCTCAGGCCCTGCACTCTCCTTTCGGAAGTGGCCATGGGCTCGGAACTCCTTTGACTTCTCCCGGTTCTTTCACTCCAGGCTTTCCCGAAGGCAACATGATGCGCCCTCTGAGCATCGACACCCTCCGACGCGGACCTATGGACTCCCACATCTCACCAACAGGCATCAGCCCAGCTTTCGGAGGCTTCACCTTCACGCCACCACAATCTGCCACCGACACACTATCGCCAGTATCCGCCCACGAGGGTTCGCCATTCGGTTTCCCCTCTACACAGCTGGAAGGCAGTCCCAGAACGTCGAACCCGTTCTCCATGTCGACCAGCGGCGCCCCAGCATACGCGGCACATCACAGCATCCCTCGCCTCTCCCTTCATGCTGATCGAGTGGTCAGAAGCCGTGCAGAGTCTCTGTCTTCACCCCTCCGAGCAAGCATGAGCTACACACACGGACATGACTCTGGCTTGAGCTCAGCCGACTCCACTGGCCATCTCGAGCGGCCATCTCTAGGGGGTGATCACAACCAACGGTCATACTCAAGCTCTATGATGCCATACGGCCTTGGATACTCATACTCTCCCGTGCCGGGGTTCCAAGCATCCAGCAATTCACGGATGCGGTCGTTCTCTGGCAGCGTACCACGCCGCATCGAGCTGAGCACCCACTACACTCCCAGCCGCAGCTCAACTACACCCCAGACAGCTACTTTCCCTACCTACACAAGTTCGCCTTTGGTCACTCCACAGAGCTTCGCCATGCCGCAGCTCAGCGCACCGCACCACATTACATCCTTCCAGAACTCGTACCTACGGAACGATTCAAGCCAGAACGATCAGTATCCGGGTGTAGGCGCCGTTCTGGGTGAGGTGATTGAGAACTCCAATCAAGACACCGACGACTCCAACGACCAATTATCACATTCCTACTGAGGGAATGCGTGGCTCACGTTATTCAAAGGCGTTTTTGTGTGGGACTAGTTGGTTATTTTGGGCGGGATTAACTTTGAAATTTGGCACAAAAGCGTAAAAGACGACATTACGAAACACGGATGGCTAGCTATGGGATGGAAATGCGGCCATGTTCGATCTGGTCTGTATGATTTGACGGCTATGGATGGACCTTGTCTGATTGCTGCACTGCGCACATTGACATTTACTTTTCTTCGATCGAGATATCACGCCCTTGGTGGCTGTTTCACACTTCCCTCTTCTTTTCCTGCGCCATTTGCGTTGTCATGCGTTCCGAAACCTCGGGTGGGTCGCTGGCGTCCGCTGTGTTTTCGCGTTTCTTCCCTGGATCGGACCGGAGTTTGACCTTGTCTTCCTTCCTGCTTCCCTGTTGGAAACGGGCCTTGCCTTGTTTGTATTTTTTTCTCACTTCTGCAGAGAGCCAGCTGCACTGCCTGGATACCCTTCTTGTATCTACTTTCTTTCCGGGTCCACCACTCTCCGAGACAGTCAGTGGTGGAGCACCGTTTTATTTTATTTTTTCTCTTCTTGTCGTACAAATTTTGTCTGATTCCGATTCTACTGGGGTAAGGGTATAACAGCCGGTCCACCTTGTCTTCTTTTTTTCCTTATCCTTCTACTTCTTTTCTAAACGACAACCATATATACCTGAACAAAAGCCCCGACACTGCACAAAAGCTTCAAGTTTGCCAGTGCAGAACAGGGGGGTAAAACAACAATGAAATACGAGTTAATGACAACCAAAAATCTTCTATCTTCCTGTGCATGCCTTGATCATCCCATCTCATCCCCACCACCACACTCAGATGTCTCGAGGCGCCCGCCTCTCTACCCCAAATAGCAATGCAAAAGTGGGCCGTCACCCACGGGCGCACCCCCCACCCCACGCAATCTTCCCTTCCCCCCGTCTCCCCTCCCCCATTAACATTTTTGCCATCGGGAAATACAAAGACATGCGATCGTTAATTATTGGGAGGCGACAGCATAGCGTCGCAGGCGCGAAGGCGAAATACACAGCGCCGGGGGCTCAGGCTGAGGCTGGGGATGGGATTGGATCGGAGGGGGTGCGTGGTTGGCGGGTGCTCCGTTTTAGGTACGTACCTTAATATCCAAGCGACCGTTGTACATACCGTATACAGTACAGATACATACAGTTGACTACTGCACTCATGTATGTACGTATGTACAGACCATGCCTTTGCCTTGCAACCCCGTTTCGTTTCTCCACAAAAATTTTCACTTCCAATTCTCGACTGAGATGCCAGGCGACATCGGAGATGAGACGGTGATTTGCTTGCTTGTTTGCTGCATGAGGTTACAGACTGTAGGAGTGCGAGGGTTTTGTGCTCGGGAATAACGAGGGACGGAGGGCATGAGAGTACGAGAGGTACAAAGTTCGTCTTGTTTGGGGCTTGGAGAAGGGGGTAATAGAATACGCTGTAAGTATCTACCTAGGTATACATGGAGGCCAGTGGGGATGTAGTAGTTGTGCATGCTAAGTACACAACGCACTCAGTCGGTCCGGCAGGCACTGTGCCAGCCAGCCAGCCAGCCAGCCAGCCAGCGCACGCAAAATGTGTGATGTCTACTCTGTACTCCGTATAGTTATCTATGTCTGTATGTGTGTGTACCACGCAACACAAAGGAAAAACAAACAAATGTCTTTCCATCTTCACTCCTACTTGACTTCAAGCCTGATGAACAAGTTCGATCTCAACTGCGAGCATGTCCGCGCTCTCGCTCTCTTCTATCTTCCCAGCATCTTTAAAAAAGAAAGGAAGAATATCAAGTACCTCCATACGGAGCACATCCGAAGAAAAAGGAAAAGAAAGCCAATCCATCCCTCCACAAGATTCTCCCCAAGTACATGCCTGCCCATGCCCACCGTATTCGAAGAGCACATAGTCAATCCTTCGATCAAAGATCTCGCGCACAAATAATCCACCTACGTTCATTATTCCTCGCCTCCTCCCCGTCCCCTCCCTCCAAACCCGGAGCCAGAACCTCCCAGTCCCTCCTCGGACAAGTAGTTTTAGCCACCAGTCCAGGTCTCTCGGTTCTGCTGGGCCCGGCTCATGATCGAAAGATTTCAAGAGGCAGAGGCGAGGCGGAGGCGAGATCGTTCATCTTAGTCTACTAACAACTTGTTTTGCCGCCACACTACATACATACTAGAGTTCGGTACCAGTTGCGTTCGGGTTCGGGTTTGTTGATGAGAATAAGGCAGTGATATGATCTGACTTAACATTCACCGTTAATGCTACTCCTACTGCCAGGCTACTGCTAAATGCGATACTCTGAGTCCTCCCGTCTTTCGCAGAACATGTGACCCCTCCATAATACAAACCTCTAGAAGCACCAACACCTGCAGATTTCCGTTTCATGCGGGGCGAATGGGGGAGGGAAACACTCATCGAATAGATTTTTCCGACGCTCCGCTGCTGTCGTTCCTGGATTCCAGGGTCCCCCCTTCTCCTCTCTCTCTCTCTCGTAAAAGCAAAGAGCAGGAGAGGGGGGAAAAGACAAGGACAGGTGTGTATGCGGGATGCACGTATGCGGGTATGTGGACACTTACTTTGCCTCTGCATGATTTGCTTGCTTGCTTGCTTGAATTACGGCGAAGGTGACTGGAGGACTACTGCTGCGGAAGAATGTTCCATACCTATCTGCACACATCGCATCCCCCGTGCCACTATCCCACCAAGCATCTTGCGTTCTATCCGACCGATCATCCGTCCTCAACTCAGCTAGCTAGTCCCCCCATTCAATTTTCCCTGATCGACAAAGCAGGTCGGACGGGTAAGGACGCCTTCGAAGGAAGTAAGGGTCTGGCAATATACGGCTTCTCGTACACGAGAGCGGGAAGATGTGCTAAGGTTAGGTTGGGTGAGGGGAACGGGAAGGGAAGGGAAGGGAGGGGAGGGGATCTGCTTCCATGGAAATGCTGCACATGATCGATCACGTTTAGAACGGTGAGGGGGATGGGGTTGTTGTACTACTGTAGATAGTTACTAGGGGAGGGAGGAGCAATCTATGTGTGCTCTCTCCATCTCCACACTTTCTAGGGTTGTATGGGGGTCAGTCAAGCTGCATGGAGGTTTTTTCTTCTCTCTCTCTCTCTCTCTCTTGGTGTTGTGTGTGTGCGTGCGTGTGGGTGCGGACGGGACTGGACTGGACGGAAATGAACTTGCACATGGGAACTTCCGTCTCCATGTCCTCCATGTCCTGATGTCTGATGTTTCTATTTTACCCCAGATGCATTTATATCAACTTGGTGTGGGGGGTTGAATTTTCTCTCCGCTTTGTGTGACTGTCGATGCTGATACTACCAATGATTCGATCGGTTGGCTTCTATGGCTCAGGGACCGCATTCCGTGCAGCCTTCCATTCGTATATTATTATCTGGGGAAAGAGGGGGATAGAGACGGCATGGGGTCGGGATGGAAGGACAGGATGGATAAATTGGCTTTCCGAGGACCCTTCTGAAGAGTTTTGATCGGTCTGTGGTGCATAGGAGGGTTAAAGTTTGGTTATTTTCTCCTTAGTAGCGCGATTGCCCTACCATGCTATCCGTGTGTAAGTATGTGCGAGAGATGATGTTCGGATTACTACAACTAGACAAGTAGTGATTGATGATGCTGACCCTTTGCGCCGAGAGGTGGTTTGTGTGGGGATGTCGAAGATGAGGGGAGCATAAAGCGGCTCCTTCATGCAGGTTTGTGATAGCGTGGTGAATTTGATTGAGGTTCTGTTTTTACCCCAGGTCTCTTTTTCGCCTGCACCAGACGCTGATGGATGGTTAGCAGGCTTGTCTCGTTCGGATTCTGTCTGGCTGCTTTTTGCGGGGCAGCTTGGATGGCGGGAGAATTCTACTATAGGCTGCTCTCTCTCCCTCTCGTTCGGCTGGTCTTCGTCAAGGGCGAGGGTAGCGTTATTGCATGCATGCAAACGAGCAGACGGACCAGCAGTGACAATAATGCGGAGGGGAGGGTGTGGGATGATGGAGGTGGATTTTTTAGAGTTCATTAGAGTTATTGCAAGGCAAGTCGAGCCGCATCTGCGGTTGATTGAGCCATATCCACAGTTCTCTCGCTGATGCAGGTGGGAGAGATTTAGATTGCCTGGCCTTGCTTGTACAGCTGGAGATTGATTGATGAAGGCCGGGTCTTGAGTCTTGGTCTGGGGTGGTAGTACTCTACTGTGGGTGAGGAGGGCACGGCGACAAGGATCGTGGCCTGACTATGCTGTGTCTGTGAGTGTGATTGCAGATGGACAAGGACTAGGTCGTGGACATGGAGCCGCGGGTGATTTTTTTCCTCATCTTCGTCGTCGTAGATCTTAGGCTTAATTGCTGTTCGGCCGGGACGAAGCAGCGAATGGGAATGGTCGGCGGTAGACAACAACCGGCTGTCTTCCTCCAAGGCTTCGAGAAGATCGGGTCGACGTGGGGAGGTCTTGTGATCAGACCATGATATGGTTTGGTAGGGTTTGGCCTTGTTCCTGTTGCTTGCTTGATCCTCTTCTTTGCTTGTTCTCTTGCTTGCTTGCTTGCATTCATTTACGCCTGGGATGGAGATGGACAGGACGGGAGTGGGATTGGACAGGACTATGTGATGAACCATCGAGATTGAATGTGGCGGTGTGATTGGGGTTTTCCAGACCATTCTGTACGACTTCCATCAGGTTATTCGAGAATACAAACTTGGTACTATGGTCCAGCATGGAGGATATTATGTAAGGTCTTTCCCCGGAGCAGAACGAGTACAGTTTAGATCGAGCGAGCGCGTGCACACGCGCCCTGTGTTCTCTCCTTGAGCTCGAGCATGAGGCTGAACGAATGAACATTTGGCCACAAGAAACCAAGCTCCATCCCTCATCTAGGGCTCACGCTTGAGCTCAGATCGGGGTATGCAAACCTCATTCGTATCGAACCGTCGGTAAGTTGATCCGAAAGCGCCTCTTTTTCGCTTTCATGATCTGGAGTGCATGAAGCGACTGCAACGTATGTACATGCTTGAACCCTTACAACGTACAGTATTGTATGGTCGCATATCGCGCGCTGACCGGATCGAAGGGAATGAAGTAAGCAGGCACAGGCAAGGAGAGGAGACGATCACAATAGTAGGAGTCTTAAGAGAGGCCCAGTAGGGAAACGAAAAGAATTGTCCGTGTGGTGCATGTCGCGCAGGAGGCGTTGCGGGACGCCGTTCCTGATCACTGATGAGTAAGACCTCGTATCTGGGCAGCGAGCTCTACGATGCGAATGATGTGAATGATGGAGAAAAGGGTACTCCGTCTGTACTGGCATCCCATATGGAGGCGGATCGATGGCTCCCGCGTTAGCCTTGTCTTGTCTTGAATAGACTTGCTTTGCTTTGCTTTGCCTTGCCCTGACCTGCCCTGCCTCGCGCGCGCACGCAACGCACACACACACTCCAAGGGGATAGTTTTATTGGCAGTGAGATGCGAAATGCGGCGGTACCTTAAGACGAAGATCCGCTCGAAGGACTGATCAGCACCGAGTACACTCCACTGCCATTTCCCCCCACCCCGGACTTAGGGACATCATCATGGGAACGGAAGAGGTATTATTGAAGGATTTTGTGGGGTTAGATCAGAGAAATGCATATGCAAAATCCGAATGCGACATGATACAATCAATACATACCACATACTTAGGTCCTACAGGCTACCGTCCATTGCACGCCGGCTTCATGTGTTAACGGCAGGCGAGACGCCAATGTCCGAAAGGGTGAGCGTGGTGTAGAATAATGCATGACAACCAGAAAGAAGCAGGTGTCTTTTGGGTTGACAGGCCACCGCAGTCGATCCGGCGATGGTCTAATAGTGAATGTGCACTGTGTACTTGGAGTGTGTAGACTGTAGGACGTAGTCGGAACGAGAAGGCGAAGGCGATGCTACCTCCTACTCCTGGATACAGTGTGTTTCGCTATTGGGGGAGGAGCTGGTTCCGTTTCGTCTGAGGATGTTCGTTTCTTTCCGTATTCACACACTAACACACACACACCATCTTTCTCTCTTACTCACCCTCTCTCTTTCGCTCCCTCACACGCATGTACATCGTTGGGGCGCAGGTCAGCGATGGTTTGGATTGGTGGAACACCTTTTCGAGCTTCTCGCGGAATCACGTGCCGAACAACAATGCGCCGCCGCCAATAGTAACAATCATACTCACCTAGACTTGAGGTGATGTACCAGCTTGCACCTTGAAACAGGTATGGGCTGCTGCTGCCGACACGCTCACATGTTAGACATCCGGCTTGTGACCAGTCGGCGACTGTACTGACAGCAGCAGGGACCACGTCCAAGACCGAGCCAAAGCTGATGGTGGATGAAGATGGCGTCGCAAGATGCAAGAAACCCCAAACGGCCGAAAGAGCAAGGAAATTCGTTGTATTCGTAGGAGAATGGTGTGGCCGATGAATGTGTGGTTACTGCTATGAACCTAGACAGCAGCATGGACCAAAAGAAGAAGAAAAAACAATGCCCATCGCGGGCTGGACACACCCAGAAACACGGCGCATCAATCGCATTGTTCAAGAGTGGTCCTTTCTTATCGCGAATCTATCGTTTCTTCTATCCCCAGGGACCCTCGCGATGCTCGTGCTACGAGAGTGGAGTACGACTTCAAACACCAATCTCCCTCGTCTATGGGTGGGTAGGGACATGGACGTGTTGGGTTTGGTCTCCCGACCTTCCTATTCCCCGTCCGCATCCATCGTGTCTTGTCGTGTCGTGTCGTTCGACGGTGCCAAAAGGATCAAAAAGGCTCGCGAGAGGCGTCCTTTAGTGCTCTGCTCACGGCGGGCCTTGTGGGAGGTGGGAGGGGGGGTGGAGGAAGGGAGACTGCCCTGGCCTGGTATGTTCGTGCCGTGCGTCCTGCAGCTCTTGTTCTCCGAGACTTGTGCTTGACTCGTTCGCTGATCGTACAAGCCCCTTCATGCAACCTCCCGAACCGTTAGGATCGGTGGATGTGTTCCGTACAGCAGTGTACCTATGTACAGCAGCATTCGCATGCGGTGCATCCGATGAAAAAGGAGAAGTACGGAGTAGAAGGTGCAGAAGAAGAGTGCGCAACAGCATTCACCTGTCAAATGTGTAGATCAATCTCATCGTCGGCGGGTGCTACACGACGTACGTTAGGATTGAACTCACCATTCACTAGGGACGATACACAGTATGTACTGTACATGCATTCCCCTCGTATTATACCGTACATGGCACAAGAATCGTTAGCTTCGGATTACATCGAAAGCGCAAGCCTCATCCGTCGTAAAAGCGGCGTGAACTCGCCAACACCCATTTCCATCACCATCACCATCACTACCATCATCATCAGCATCACCTCCCACCAGTCACATTCGTTCGTTGCCGCATCACCATTGGGCATTCCACGCCTCAAGCACAACGACCCCCTAACCTCTGAGTCCCGTCTCTCGGGCTCCTACACCTACAAAAGCGTCATTCCGCCCCCTTCAGTACAAGCCCGTCCGAGAATATGTAACCCGCATACATCTCGCTAGCCATTACTTGCCTGCCTGCTGGCTTGCTCGAGCTTGTGTCCGTACGCCGTCTGCCGCGGCCGTGCAAAAGAGGAAGAAGAAAAATAATGGCACCAATGGCGAGCGAGCAGCACCATCCACATGCGCCCACCGCTCTCATTGTAGTAGTTACCTGAACTCCTGGCAGCTTCAAGTCCCGAGGACCTCATGGTAGTATTCAACAATTCTCTGGAATTATTGCAAGAAATGGTGCATTGGGTTCGAGGTTGGGTTGGGCTTTCTGTCGTGTAGCCTTTCAATATTTTATTCAATTTCTTTTTTTCCACATTTTCCCAGGGCCAGGTTCGGAAACAAACTATGTTAAGCTACTGCTGCTGCTGTGTACTTGCACTTACACTTAGGCATTGCGCATGCTGCAGCACAACTTAGTCTTGGACACGACATATGACTTCTTGCTTGCTGCTGCACAACGGAAACGTCTGTTCCGCGTGGCGCAGAGCGAAGCAAACCGACAGGCACGGAATGTGATGGCGAAAAGCTTCCGGACGTTTTCTGTCTTGTCCTCCATTTCCCCCAATCGCTCTCCTCTTGCGCCCAACGCTTACGCAGGGCGGGATTGTTTGTGTAACTGCGACGATGGACGATGATGATGGGGGGTGACGATAATGATGTGCAAGTGCGTACCTCCGCAAATCTCATACTCTTGCAATGCATACGTCAATGCAATCACCTGCAGACATGCATACATACCGATAATAATGCGAATTGCACAGAGGACCTTTACGTTGAACTTCGCCGCTCACGCCCCATTGAATTACCCATGCCTTCGGTACTCAACCAGGTATGATGTTCATTTCGTTTCCGACCAAAGATCCGGAAAACATGTATTCCAATCCTCCCCCTACACACACCTCTTCTCCCTCATAGCAATACAGACCCATACATACGTCCTTCGATGAGATGGCTATTATCTTGTTGCTTAAACAACGCCGCAATGCATCGTAATCCCGACCGACACTGTTCCCATCCCGACACGTGAAAGTAGAACAACTGCGTACTCGTACCTAGGCCCTTTGCACCACCACACAACGCGCATCAAAACGCCACACGCCCCATCCTCGAAATTTGATCAATCTCCCATTGCCTTTTCAACATTTTCAGGGAGATTACCGTTTTGCTGCGTGCATACGGCGTACATTTTGACGTTCTAGAGCCCATGCCGTGCGAAGGAGACACAGCGTCGACATTTCGGCCGTGTGCGACATGTCAGTATCTGACATGTTATGTGCATACATGTAATGTACGAAGTAGCGTCTTTCCGTGTGGCTGAGTGGATGCCTGCATGGAGGGAGGGAGGGAGGGATATCAGCAGTGGGCATGCAGTGTGGGGACGGGAGGTGTGGTGATGACGTAGGGAGCCGATGCGGGTGGGAAATTGTGGGCTTTTGGGTTTTCGTTGGAGGGTTTGTTGAAGGTGGGATCGTTGGAGTGTTGAGGTGGCTTTTGATTGCGAGGAGATGTTGGGCTGGTGGTTATGTCTTTCCTTTGGTGCTAAGGAGTGTCGTGTGGTATTTCGTACCGCACGCGGTGTGTGACATCAACTTGAACTGGGAATTGGACTTGGGACATACCTACGGTCCTTCCTTTCCTTCCTTTTGTTCTCTCTAGGACATATCAATAGAGACTCTGTTCCCTGATGCCATTATCTACACATAAATTCTAAAAACACGTAAAAGAAAATGCATACACATCTGTATACATCTTGTTAGAGTTACGTCCTATTCTACCCCGTGAAAGGAGATCTGTATAGATGAGAGGTATTAAATCAATTACAGGAGGTAAATTTCAAGAGAAGGGTGTACTTGCAGTTAATTGAAAGTGTATAAGGCCGGTTTTTCTTGTCTTGTCTTGCGTTTTGGATGCATATAGACATGCAGATATACAGGAATACAGATATACAGATATACTTCCTTCCTCCTATAACTACACTATCCTATTCACGATCTAGTCTTTGAAATATGAACGAGTAGATAAGATATCTCTAAAAGCTGCTCCTTCTCTCCCTGTAATAGGTACAAAAAAAAGTATCGATGGTATGATATGTATCCAAAATCCCAAATAAATCTACATCGTAGAAACCCACTTCACAAGACAACTTACACCTTCTTTTCTTCCCCTCCTTACTTTTCACAGACCAAAGAGAAGGGAATGTTAGCCGGTGTGAATAGTTTTAATTTTCCTTTCCTTTCTTGAAGCTAACAACACCAGAAAGAAAGGAGGGAAGGGAGAGTCTGTGACAGAATGGTTAGATCAAGAGTAGGTAGGTGGATGAGTAGGTGCATAGAGTGTGAATAATTAGGTTTATTTCTACTCTTTCCTTTCTCTGTTCCTTTTTCTCTTTCTGAAGTTTCAGTTAATTTGGCTAGATTGGCTACTTGGTTATGAGAGGCTCAGGGAATGGATTGTAGGTGGGTATGTTGGTATAGCGTCAGTCTATTCACTGACAATATCTCGATCTCAGTGTGTGACTAATGTAAGGAAAGTTAGAGGGCAATTAAGAGTACAGTAATGGGGATGAGTATCTTCTGGAGAGGTAGTCTTCGTATTCCGCGTCTTTGTTCGTTGTCGATAGCTACTACTGAAGGCTAAGTGAAACGAACCATGGGATTAACTGTCGCCAATGTGGAGTGAGTTTGTAGGCTTTGAAGGTGCAGATGAAAATGAGATGAACTACTACAGTTATTTCGACATAGGTACTCCTTTTTTTCTTTCGCCTTTTCTGCGAGACTGAATAGTTGCGGCTAGAATTCAACTTGTATCACAAAGACGAGAGGTAGAGTTTATAGGTAGGAGGTACTCGTAATTGTTATAGTGTTTAAACCTACAAGTAATAGGCCAGTATTAAACTAATTCATTAATAGTCTGATTGATTTAGTGAAGTTCAGTGAAGGGTATTAATTCAGTGAAGGGTATTAATTCAGTGAAGGGTATTAATCCAGTGAAGGGTAATAGTTGAGTAAAGGATGATATTTGAGTAAAGGGTGATGGTTCAGTGAAGAGTATTGATTCAGTGAACAACATGTTAACTGATTTACCAACCCTACATCACAACTTCATTACTTCATCAGTCACTTCATCCATTCCCCGACTCACACATCAACCATCTCTACTTCCATCTCCACCCATCACCACACCAACCCTAACATCCAGTTCCTTGACTGACCAACCACACCAGCCTACGTTATCTACCTCATGCCTCCACTCTGGCCCCCAAAGCTTAGATTTCTTGTCGTTAATTCAACACGTTGACCTCGTCGGTTCCGGCGTCCATTTGCGCTGGCCTTTTCTTTGCGGTTGAGGGGAGTGGTGAGGGGGGATTGTGTCATGGATAGATTGATAGAATGGTAGACGAATAGATGGTTATGAATGGAGTGAGGTGGGTAAGGGTGTTGGTATATCGAAACCAGCATGCTCGAGTCGGGCAAAGTAGTGGTAGAGCGTGGGACATGACAAAATTGTGGGACTCAGTGAAGACGGATGTGTGATGAATTGATCGATATGCTGGACTCTTTCTGCCCCGAGATGAACGGTGAATGTAGTAGCACTGGTGACCGTCAAGGTGGGGAAGTAGCTACGAGGGGGTGCACCATTCCTCGTTCTTGAATTCATAACGGAGAGCTCAGGGTCATCAGTGAGAACAAACTTTTCCTACACTGCTTGAAGGCTGGAGGTGGAACAGTGATGATGACCTGTCTTCCAAATTTCTACGGCTGCTCCGAAAGAGAGCACTCGTGAGTGCGCAGGATACGCTACTTCTTTCTGCTAGGCAAACAAAAGAGAAGTGGGATAGAGGTGCGCTGGTACGAGAAAAAGCATCACGGCGTGGAATAGATCGAGATCGAGGATTCTACTGATGTTGAGGGACGGAAGGCGGAAGTTGATCAAGCATGTTTGTATGGTGCTATGAGATAGGCAATTATGTCTCAGGGAAGTTGGCGACAAAGAACAAATGACACAGCATGGAATCGATAGAGGAGTTCTTCTTGCATAGAATTTAGAAGTCGGCTGGACTTGGTATGGACAGTGATTCGCGATGTCAAAGTGTGACCCAGCGAACGATTGACTGATTTTGGAATAGCAATACTGTCGTTTGATGGTTTCCAGGGATATGGCAGAGTGCCAGCCAGCAGTTCCAGGTGATTAGGAGTGGCTAGGTAATTGTACATTATAATCTCAGCGACGGGTTGACTAGCATCAGAGTGATAATCTCATCAATCGCGAAATGCTGAAGACTTGACACCGTGCCAGCTAACAGTAGGTAAATGATACGAGGTAGTAAAGTACCGGTATCACCGGTCTTCTCTCATCCAAAGTGAAATGTTCACTCGGGTTTCCAATTACCGCCATCATTATTCCCATATTCCCCTTTCTCATATCACTTGTCTCTCACTCCAACAGAAAATGACACGATCATAGATCAGCAAACCATACGAAATACTCAGCATCATAAACTGATTCGATTCCAGCTTCGAAAGAGGTCTATCATTCTGTTGCCGTAACATCACCCAATAACATACATATAACGCTCCTCGAGCAGCGGTAGTGGACTTTCCATCTACAGCTAACTCACGCTCTCACATACCAATCAGTCGATCACACGCCCTCACATGCCAATTCCAGACCGAGAACTTGCCCTATAAAAATTCCTATCTCCAGATCTACCGTGAGGCATGGTCTCGACACGTTCTTCCACAGCTACCTTGCCGTGCAAGATCGTATGTGCTATCTTTTCCCAGATTATTGTCAAGCAAGCTTGAGACATTGAATTGAGATTACGCGTATCGGAAGGGTAAGCTGGGAGGTATGATTGAGCTGAGCATTGGACGCTGTGGGTTTCAGCAGCGCCTATCTCATGATTATGATCATCATCGCTTCTTTGTGTCTTGGTTGCTGTCCTAGATATATCAACCCTCCTATCTGCATTTCGCATTGCAAAATCTTGTACTATGAATGCTTATATTAGAGCCGCTGCATCGTTCGTAGATGAAATTCATGGCATCTGAAGTTCACGCCATTGACCAAGGCATCTTTATGTCCGATTCCCTGAGAAGCGATGAGGATATGTTGAGTAAGAATTTATTATGGTAGTTCAAGCAGAACACCGTCTTTTTGACTTTGTGATATCTGAAGATGGAGAAGTAGGATTATGCGGTAGAGGTGTCAACTTTCCCATGCTTGACGGAGTCATAAACATCAGCATGCAAAAGCATTCGTCGCAATAGCAACATTATCTTTTCTCCAACGCCTCCTTCAATTGATATGTACCCATCTAGATTCTACATAGTACGTACCTGATATATCCCTGCAAAGTCCAAGCACGCACGCCCGCCCAGGGCCTCCCAGCGTCCCCTCCCCTCCCTCTCCCTATCTCCCCGGAGAGGGGGGCCCTCCTATTCAATTCTCCTATCCCACGGGCCAGCCACGAGTCGTCTGCTCGAGTACTCCTACCTACGCATTGACATCGCAGCGTACGATTGCTATCGACGGGTAGACCATCTGCGCGTATGTGCGTACGTGCGTGTCAATGGCGAGGCGAGTCAGTCAGTCCATAAACCACCTACCTCCTACCCGTCGACCTGGTAACGCGCGCGCGCGCGCTGAGACGAGGCTGCCATTTATAGGAGGAACAAGTTATGGCAGAACGATAATTAGTTACTTATAATGTACAAGAACAGGAAATATAGGTTGGGCGCGGGGCACGGGAATAGCGAGGTGGTTGATTTGATTTGATATGTTTCCTGCGTTGTATGTATGTATGTATGTAGGTTCGGCAGTTTAGATTGGGGGCAACGGGGTGTGATGCGGGTTGGGGAAGCCGAGCCGAGACGAGACAGGTTGAGATGGGGCGGTGCGGGATGAGGCGAGAGGGAGGTAGGACGAGGGGATGGTTGTCTTTTTTGTTTTATTTTCTTTTGTTTCAGCTATTGTGTTTTACTTTGTTGACGTGGAGAAAGGTAACTATTGATTGATGTGTCTACCTTGGTACGTACCAAGGCAGGGCAGGAGATAAAGAAAGAGGTGGTTATCCGGTGTCCGGGATGAGGCATGTATATGTACCTGTTAGCTCCAAAAAAAGAAATATTTACTTCAAGGGAAGGGATGGTGTAATCATAAATATCGAATGATCAGGCAGCCGAATAAAAGACTCAGGTCAAGTATGATATCCTTTCCTGATGATACCTAGGTAGTATTCTTCTTGATAACAATAATTATTACCATTACTGTAGACATTGATTACAGTTATCGAGATGCTTCCGTAGCACCGTAGGTAACTACATGAGACTGGAGATGTCCGCATCGTCATCGTCATAGCCACAGTCGCAGTCACAGTCATCGTCCTCGTCATCACCCTCACCACCTATAACATGTGAGGAACAGAACATGGATGATGATGGCTGCGTTTGACAGGGCCGGGATTGATGACTCGGACCGGTCCTGTGATTGAAGACATGACTGAGCGTAACGGATTGTACGGAGTTTACAGCATTATTCCCTTCTCTGGAGAAAAGGAAACCCAGCCCTACCATCCATCCTTATGCTTCTTGTTTTCCCTTGGTGTTGTGTTGGCCACCACCATTTTCTACTTGTATTTAGTATTGGTGACGGTGGAATGTTGGCCGACGCCAATCTGTTGGACACTACGCTCTGTTAGCCACACCACACTACTGCCTCAGACTCCTTCTTTCTCATTAGCTACAGACTGACAGATGATGGATGATGCACATGGGACATATGTCATCGCCATCGCCACGCCTAGCTACCCTTGTGCCCGCACTGCGCACTGCGCATGTTTGCTCATAGCCCGGGCATTCACAGATTCACGTTCATATTCACGTAATTGATACACAGGCAGGTGAATGGAGACGGGCAGAGAACACAGGTTCCCCTCTACCCCTCCCCCCCACTCTCGCCTTTTCTAGGTAACTAAAATAAAAATTATCGACGAGTGGATAATGGGTTAGCAGTAGTTATCGACTATCCAAGTCTGCCAGTATCCGGTTCCTACGAATATGGATGGTGGATCCTCGGTTGGGAGATGCGTTGGGCACACACATTGAATTTTCTATCCATTCCCTTCACCATCATCGCCCTCATGGACCATCATGTCGATAAATAAAAAATTGAAGATGATAGAGAGGTGGAATATAATCATCTATTAATACTGTGACTTTTTCAATGCTGCCAATGTGGTTGAATCGTCATCCTTCGATCAAAATAATACTTTGATCGAAATAGTCAATGATGATGCACGTGCACGCCGTCAGCCAACCAACCGGGTAGTGAATAGAGGCATCCTTCTACTGTTCTACTAGGACTAGTCCTAGTCCTCCGTATCAACCCTTTCACATAACCAGACGGTACAGTAATAATGGTGAATACAATGGATTGAATTGAACAGTAACAGTCTACGATACGATAGGTTGATTGTTTCAGCTTCACCAATAAACATTTGGAGAATTGTCTGGTTTCACTATCATGATTTGTCCGGGTGCCGGGTCGGGCGTTTCCCTTTTCCATCCCTCCGTTTCTTTACCTTGCGCCCACACACAGACTTGTATGAGGTACTGGTTGGTACCTACACACAGACTCTTACTATTACCCTCGACTCTGTAACACACGGACACGCAACACACAGACGCTCTCACTCTCTTGGTTATCAGTTACTCGTAACCCAGAGGTAGTTAACGACTAGGTAAATAATTACTTGTGGTTGGTGTGTCAGTAGTGAGTACAAAGCAGTAGAGTGAGTGAGAGGCACAGAGGGTACATAGTTGCCTGATCCCGGTACGTGGATTGGGCGGACGTCGGCTTTAGCGAGCAACAGAATAATTTTCTCCCTCAACTCAACTGAACTAATCAATTCAATTCGCCCGCAAAAAGTTGAGCCCCGTCTCTCCTCCCTCCCACCCAACATTTCTTCATCACGAAGACCATCCCCCCTCCTCTTCCTCCTTCTCTCCTCCATCATCAGCAACGGCCAGTGTACTTCGTCACTCGAGCCGTTTGCCCTGACTGATTTCGCAGTTTCATCTGTTGAAATCCACGTCCCCGAGGACCATCTCCCCCCGTCATCGAACCTTTGGCTCGCTTCTTTCACTTTGTGTGTGAAGGAAGTCCCAATAGTAGTTCTGACAGAGTCTCTTCCCGACGACGCCCCTTCCCTTTTTTTCTTCCCTTCACCTCCACCCACACAAGGAGCCTGTGATTTTTCTTTCGGTCCTTCGACTCGATTGATCCTTCGCTCCCAACCCTTTACTTCGCCTTTGACCTTTCTCATCGGCGCCCTCCTCTTCCTCTCTTCAGTCGACACCCGCTGTTGCGCCGTCAAACCGCCAACCCGTCGCTTTTAATTCCTCCCCGTCATACTTTCTCGGCCAGCCGCGAATTTGACATTCAACGCCCGTCGCCATCCTCACTCGCAACCACGACCAGCGGCCCATCGCCATCGCCATCGTCAACTGCGAGCCCTCCTGCGATTCCTCAATCCTCTCTCACTCACCCTTTGCGCCTTCCTCGCTCGACGACCTCGACGTCCACGACCACTCCCCACGACCTTCTAATGAGTGCATCCGTCCCGAACGCGCAAACTCCCACGATCGCCGCTTCCCAGAACGCTACCGCAGCGCCTGCTCCCTCCACAGGATCATCCGCCAACGTGGCCGCTGGAACGGCTCAACCCACTGCCCGCTCGTACGCCAACGCGACTAAGAAGGTCTCATCTCCTCCGATCGCGTCCAGTGCTACGCCGCCCGTGGCAGTGGGAGGACAGCAGAACCCGCAGCATGGAAAGCGCGCTTCGGTTTCCCCGGTGAACGGAAAGACACCCATCCAGCCTGCCGTACCCACCATGGCTCCCACCATCGTGAACAGCAGCAGCGCAAATGGCACTCCCTCCCAAGGTGATCACAGCCGCAAGTCTTCCGTCACCATCTCCGCCGCTGGAACAAGTGGCTTCATCCCCAACGGTGGCCCCGTTGCCAACAGGGCCCCCTCGGGCTTGAAATTCGGCGCAATGAGCGGCTCTCCTGCTCCCGCCCACGCAGCACCTGCTCAGGTTCCTCAGGACCAGCAAGGCGCGATGCAGGTCCCGAACCCTCGCGTGGCCTCTCCTGCCCACTCGCCGACTCCTATTCCCCAGTTCAGCGGTGGCAAGCCCAGCTCGACAGGACTGCCTGACCGTCCAGGCCTATCGTTCGGTGGCGGTAGCGAGGGTGCTGAGCCAAATGTAAGTTTGCCCAACAGTTTTCCATTGCAACTTTTTTTTCCCCCAGCAGAGCGGGTGTGAACTTTTTGTTGGAACCAGTACTGACATATAATTTTCTAGGCTCGCACCCCTTCGCAGCCCAACGCCAACAATTTGCCCCAAGCGCAACATCTGCGCCGTCAGAGCTCGCAATCTGCTCACTCGGATTCCATGGGCAACAACTTCAACAACAATCGCCCCTACCAGCAGAACAGCGGACGCGGCCGTGGCAGTTTCGGTCCTAGCTACAACCCAATGGGCCACTCTCCCCAGCCATTCCGTCCTTCCCCACACCAGCCGCGAGGCAACCCAGCTTCTGGTTTCCAACCTCAAGTTCCTCCGCCAGGCTCGCCATACCGCTCTCCCGCGATGCCTCCGGCTCAGATCCATCAGCAACCACAGTTCGCCGGCCAATACTATCCTCCTCATACCGGCTATCAGCCACCGGTTCGTACACCTTCTCATATGCTCAACAATTTCTCATTTCCTCCTCATCAATTTTCTTCTTCTTCTTCTCCTTCTTCTCCTCCTCCTTCTTCTCTCGGGTTTGCGAATCAGTCCCAGTTTGCGGACAACATTTCCTTTCAGCAATTGCCTGCGTCTCGAGTCGACTCTCCTGCAAGTGTGAGGGAGCCCACCTTCCATCCATCTGCCGGGCAGTCAGACTTCCTGATTCCATCTCAATCTCCTAATTTCTCTTTCAATCAACATTACAACTCCTATCTAACAGTACTCAACGAGCAGGGCATGTACGGTGCGCCGAACACGATGGATCCCTACCAGCAATCGTTCTACCCTCACCAGCAGTACCCGATGCCGATGCAGGGCATGCAGCAGAGCATCTACGCCACGAGCCCCAGCCGCGGTCCCGCTTTCCCTCACATGCCGCCTACGTACATGGGAGGTTACCAGCAGCCCCAGCCTCAGAGCATGTCTCGCACCCCGTCCAACATGTCTGAGCGACCCACCTCTGCCGTTGCTCAGCCCTCGACTCCCTCCATGCCTCACGTCTCTACTCACAATCCCACTCCCAGCGTAGGATCGAACAGCCCAGCACCAGCGTCGAGCTTCTCGCTTCCACCCAAGAAGGCCAGCAAGGCCATCATCATCAAGAACCCCGATGGCGAGGTCCTCAACTTCGATAAGAAATCTGCTTCCCCCGCTCCTCCCAAGTCTCCTGTCGTCGTCGCCACGCCAACCCCTCCGCCGCGAGTTCCCAGCGCCACCGGATCTACTCACAGCCGCAGCGAGAGCACCATAACCAAGACGGACGACGAGAAGAAGGCCGAGTTCCGACGCCAGGTAGCCGAGAATCTCGCCCGTGAAGAGGCCGAGAAGAAGGCTGCTGAGGAGGCTGAGACCAAGGCGAAGGAGGAGGCCGAGAAGGCAGCTAAGGAGGCTGAAGAGAAGGCCGCCAAGGAGAAGGAGGAGGCAGAGGCCGCCGAGAAGGCCAAGGCCGATGAGGAGCAGAAGAAGCTGGACGCAGAGGCAGCGAAGAAGAAGGAAGAGGAAGAGTTCGAGCGCATGATTGCCGAGATGGAAGCCCAGGAGAAGGAAGAGGAGGAGAGGGAGCGGGCTTTCAAGGAGAAGAAGGCTGCCGAGAAGGCCGCCGAGGCCGGCAAGCTCGAGGAGCAGCGAAAGAAGGAGGACGAGCGCCTGAGGAAGCTCGAGGCAGAGGCCGAGGCTCGCGAGGCCGCAAAGGGAGGGCAGCAAGACGAGGAGGCTGCCAAACTCTTCGCTGGCCTCAAGAAGAACACCCAGTTCGGCCCTGGTGCTACTTTGGGAGCCACCGACAGCGGTGCCTCCACTCCCACCGAGTCTGCTGCTCCTACCCCTACCCAGCCAAAGATCTCCGCTCCCAAGCCCAAGCCGGCCAACCTCAAGATCGATCCCAGCAAGGCTGTCGAGCCTGCTCAGCCAACTCCCGCCATGCAGTCCCTCAAGTCGGCTCGCTTCCTCCAGGTCAGGAACGAGCTGATCAACTACCCCGAGGGTATCAAGTCTCCTAATCCCGCGCTCAACCCCTCGCACAAGAGCAAGGGCCGCCAGTACGACAAGGACTTCTTGCTCCAATTCCAGGATGTCTTCAAGGAGAAGCCATCTGTCGATTGGGACATGAAGCTCAAGGAGACCGTTGGCGACTCCACCGACTCCGCTCGTCCTCCCAATTCCGCACGACCAGGCGGCATGTCCAGCCGTCAAGCCTCGCACAAGGGTGTCGTTCCACCATCAATGGGCAACTTCGGTGCCAGCGGTGGCTTCAGGCCCTCTCTTCCCCCCAACACCACTTCCGAGGAGCGCTTCAAGATGTCCAACAACCGCCCCATGGTCAACCCTCTTGCGGCAGTCATCGGTGGCCGCCCAGGTGGCTTCCCCGTTCCTCCCCAGATGGTCCGCAATGGCTCTTTCCAGAACGTGTCTGGCCGTGCTGGTAGCTCCGGCGGCCGTGGCTCTAGGCGAGGCAAGGAGGGAGGCAGCAAGACCTCCAAGAAGGAGGAGGCAGCTATGCCTTTGACCGCCGGCATGGACATCAAGGCCCTCGAGAGGAGCCAGACTGGTTGGAAACCCACCGCACAGTCCGGCGCCCCCGCCCAGCCTACCACTGGCCACATGGCTCCTGATCTGGTGCAACGTAAGGTCAAGGCTGCTTTGAACAAGATGACTCCCGAGAAGTTCGACAAGATCTCCGACCAGATTCTCGAGATCTCCGCCCAGTCGAGGGATGAGTCTGACGGACGCACTCTCCGACAGGTCATTGCCTTGACGTTCGAGAAGGCCTGTGACGAGAGCCACTGGTCCAGCCTCTACGCCCGATTCTGCCAGAAGATGCTTGCCACCATGCCTACTGACATCCGTGACGAGACCATCAAGGACAAGGCTGGCAACCCCGTTGTTGGTGGTGCACTCTTCAGGAAGTACCTCCTCAACCGCTGTCAAGAGGAGTTCGAGCGTGGTTGGGAGGTCAACCTGCCCACCAAGCCCGAGGAGGCTGCCCAGGAGGCTGCTCTTCTGTCTGACGAGTACTACATCGCCGCCGCTGCCAAGCGTAAGGGTCTCGGTCTCATCCAGTTCATCGGTGAGCTTTACAAGCTCGGTATGCTTACTCTCAGGATTATGCACGAGTGTGTGCTCAAGCTCCTCGACTTTGAGGGCGAGCCTGACGAGTCGGCTATTGAGAGTTTGGTATGTATACTTCGTCACATTGGTATGGTCATCACTAACGTCATATGCAGGTCAAACTTCTTCGTACTGTCGGTTTCACTATGTCTCAGAATGCCGAGTCGGGCAACAAGATGATTCAAGTAAGTAGACCTTCCCCATCCAAACACTGCCTGCCCATTGCCACTGCCCCTTTTGAATATATCCTAATGTGAACAGGTCTACTTTGAGCGTATCCACAAGATCATTGAGATGCCTGGATTGAACTCCCGTCTCAAGTTCTCTCTCATGGATTGTAAGTTGAACTCTTATCATGAGGCGTTAGACACATGCTAACAATGTCACAGTGGACGATCTCAGGAAAGCTGGCTGGAGGGATTCCAAGGGCGACGCAAAGGGCCCCAAGACCATTGCAGAGATCCATCAAGAAGCTGCTGCCGCTCAGCAAGCCAAGGAGATGGAGCGACAGCGTTCCAACCAGCGTGGTGGTGCCCGTCCTCCCGTTGGACGCGGCGATGCTCGATCATTCTCCGGAAACATGCCACCACCTCAAGACTACCCCAGTGGTCGTGTGCAGATGGACGACCTCCGCAAGCTCTCCAAGGGTGCGTCTGGACGTAACATCAACAGCTCCAGCTCTTTCGGTCCTTCCATGCTCGGTAGCCGAAGCAGCAGTGGCCGTCGTGGCCTCGGTCCAGGTGGTATGATCGGTCGCGGAGATGAGTCTGGTGGTTCATCCCGCACCGCCACTCCAGTTCAGAAAGAGAAGGAGTCTACTACGCACATGAACTCTTTCAGGTAAGACAACCCACTGCACGAGAACCTTGAGTGTAATCGATACTAACCATCACCAGTGCGCTTGCCGCTCTAGAGAACAGCGAAGGCGCGGGCGAAGTTGGCTCTCCACCTTCAACGGCTTCATCGCCACCGGTGCAGAAGTCGGCTCCCGCACCGGCCGAGTCCAAGGAATAGGCCCAACGCCTTCCAGGATTACCTTCTTCTTACCGATGCCATGGTTTTTCGAGCGTGTTAAAGGTTATACCCATAGACGGCCAAACACGCGGTAATCTAATCTCTGTTGCATAGACGGGGCATTGCGCATTTGATTGCATTTTGCGGGGTTCATTTTCAGCATTGTGTCAGAGGATCGATCGAACGAACAAAAGTTTCTGTTTTGTTGCCCGAGGGGGGGGTCCCACGGTCACAAAAAATGGATAAAGGGGGGGATCGGGGTTGGCGGTGTTTTTCTTCCGCGGACCTTTTTCATGCCTCCTCCCTTCTTTCTCCCTCCGACCTCTTTCTTCTTTTTTTTATAATGCGATGGTTCTTTTTTTCATCATCTTTTCTTCTTCTTCCCCCTTTCGATGGATGGACGGATGGGTTATACTTTCGACAAACGGCGTTTCCGGGCGTGCGCGGTGGGGCTCTTTGAGAAACTCTGAACCTTACGTTTTGCCTGTGTGTGTGTAGTGTGTGAGTGCGTGTATGGATGGATGGATTGGGAGGATAGGGGGGGGATCAATGTCTGGTTTTTCTTCTCTCTTCCGCCCGACGTCCTGATACTTTTATATCATCTCTCACTTTTCATGTCTGATAGTCGGTGACTGCTGCTACTGCTTCATTATCACAGATTAGAGGGTGCAAAACAAACTTTCACTACTACGTCTTCCATTGTTGTTTCTGATCGTGTGCACTACGTGTGCTTGTATTTCTCTCCTTTGTCTCTTTTTTATACGACGTAGGGAGGTGGGGGAGAGTAGGATAGGATGTGATGTGATGGGGTAGGGCGATGTGGTTGTAATTGGAGTGTTCGAGATGGTTTGCATGTATATATGAATGTGAATGTACGTTTATACATACATACATACTCGTACTGTCCTAGTTACAAGAAATCTCATGTTAAATTGAAAAGACAAAATAGAGGTATAATGGTGTCGCTTGACAGAGACCTAGACAGACAACGCAGACAAACATACACCGTTCTGCTATTTCGCCTAAGCAAAAAGGAAAATTGAAGACAGCATGAGCAAGATAAACTACTGTCATAGATTGCATAAACCTAATACTCGTACATATGTACGGTCATTTAGGAGGTAGGGAACGACATACGCGCATGGATTCACAAAGGCAAAAAGGCCAAAATAGTAAACGTCAACACTTTGTTCTTTTTCCTTTTGCATATATGAGATACATCGTACGTGCGAGTACAACACACATTTCGATGCACGAGGTCTTTCCTCCAGAGAACGCAAAGCACAAGTTGGTTGCATTCTTCCAACGTCATCCCCATTGGCCACAACCATTAGGTGTTGAACCGTGGATCGCAACGCATCTCCGATGGGCACACGCATGTGGCGCCCAACGTCTGCCCACGCACAAGGATCGAGAAAATCAATACCCACTCGCTTTGCCTCCATAACCTTCCACGTGTAAGTACTCGTACTCAACGACAGGCGGGAGCGAGGGAACGAGGGAGGCAGATCCCTGGCGCCGATGATGTGCATTCGATTCGATTTCGCCCTACCCACTCTACCTCACAACTACGCAACGCAACGCGACCAATCCGCGGAGCTGGAGATGCAGCCTTATGCGTTTCATAGGATGCTGCGATCGATGGGATCGAGGCGGTGGTCATTGGACGGGAAGGACGTTTGGGAGATTTGTCCGTTTCGATGGGATGTGGTGGAGGGTGGAGGAGGGTTGGCTACGTCATAGGGCTATGATGTAGCTGTCTCAGATGTGCTGCGGAGAGAGAGTATCAGACACATCGCTAGTGCTACCGCTGTTAATTACAGCGACACTTAACTAGCTATAAAGGCATTTATGGGTAGCTGTTTGGCTACTTACATAACAATCGACTTTCCATACTCTACTACATATTTAACTTAAATATCTAACTGAACTCAACTCAACCCATCTTTCCCACGAAAACATACCAAACGAACCTCGAACTCTTTATACAACTCCTTGATATAAGAAAAGAAAAACAAACATGTCCGACCAACCGTCCCAAAACCAACAAAAGGGTCCGTCTCGCCACTCCACCTCTCCCTCCCCTTCCCCATAACCTCCCCCATAACCTCCACCCCAATCCCCCCCCCAAACTCAAACCCATAAACTAACATCTCCACCCCAAACAGGCTTCTTCAGCACCGCAGCCGGCGGCATCGGTACGTCTCCCCTCCCCTCCCCTTCCTCCCCCTTTTCCCCAAAACATGCTAAAAGAAGTATATAGGAAACACCCTAGGCACCGCAACCGACACGCTAGGAAAAGGCCTCTCGGGCGCCACCGACACGCTCGGCAACACCGTGTCTGGCCTTGGAAAGGGTGTCGGGGACACTGTTACCGGTGTCACGGGGGGTTTGGGGGATACGACGAAAGGTACGTGAATCAACCCTAAGGAAAGGGGGATGGGTGCTAATGGGTGGGTGTGAAATAGCGGCGGGGAATGCGGTTTCGGGAACGACGAAGGCGGGGGGCGAGGCGGTGGGGTTGAAGAGGGAGGATCCGAATGTGCCGCAGTAGGTCGGTTGACTGTGTTTGGGAGAGGGGGGGATGAGATTGTACGATATGATGTGGAAGAGTGGACGGAGGTGGCGATGGGGAACGATGTGGGCTGAAATTGATAATGAAATGATACGGCAATGCAAATGAATGGATTGGTTTAATTTCATGTGTGGGATGTATGTGTGATTTGTTGTCGTTGTACGAATAGTGGAAGCGTTGTATAAGAAATCTGTATAAATGTTGTATGTTTGTATATGTCCCTGTATATGAAGAAAGGACCGGAGATCTACGTTGCTGTAAACTCAAGATATAGTGACGGAGATGCCTGAAGGGAAACACCAGAAAGGAAATGTCGTGAACGCCCGTTAACACCATGTATCGCCCAAGTGTCGTCAAGTTGATATCCCGGCCCACCACACCGCTCCCTTCCACAGTCCTACCACCCAAACTTCTCAACCTGCACACTCACATCCACCCCCGAAGCCATCAACCCAGCACACGAATTCCTCACATCCCTCACCATACCATCCGGGCCCGACACTACCACCCCCGTCCTCCCCTCCCTCGCCGCCCACTCCTCCACAATACCCCTAACATCTGGCCTGCCCGCCTCGCTCGTCGGCGGCGTCACCAGCACCTCGAGCCCCCACTCCCGAAGCTCCTTCATCTTCTCTGCGGGAACCCACGACGCGTGGGACGCAGAATGCACGACCCAGAGCAGGCGGACTTTCCTACCCGTCCGAGAGCCCCTCGCGGTCTCGATGTCGTCGAGGGTGGGGTGGAGGAGCGCCCAGAGGAGCGGGTACGCGACTGCGATGCCCGATCCGCCTGCGACGACGACGGCGGTGTCGGAGTCCTCGAGGACGTCGAGGGCGTGCGAGGAGCCGTACGGCCCGTCGAGACGGATTCGGGTGGTTGGGTGAGAGCGTGCGTAGTCGAGGAGGGTGCGTGTGAAGCCGGATGAGCCTTGTGCGCGGATGAGGAGGTTGAACCAGGCGTGGGGTTTAGATGAGGGGGATGATGGGTCGGAAGTGGGTGCGGCGGAGAAGATGGTGAAGGGGTGGGATTGGAAAATGTATTTTTTGGAGATCGAGGGTACGGTTAGGAAGACGTGGTCGTTGGGTTTCCAGCCGTGGGCCATTGAGGTGCCGGTGAGGATGTTGTGGGGTTTGTTTGGGGAGGTGGCGACGTCCCAGTTCGATGAGAGAACGATTGTCTCGTCGTCTTCGAGGACGGTGAGGTTGGCGGGGTGGGAGGAGGATTTCAGCCAGAGACGGTGGACGATGCGGTCGGCGGTGAAGATGATGGCTGAGATGATTATGTATGGGCGTGCGCCGTGGTGGTGGAAGAAGACAAGGACTAGTGCTGCAAGCTGTAGGAAGACATGCGTTGCGAGGAACACTTCGTAGCAGCGCTTCCTGAAGCTCCCTAGGGATGTAAAGTAGAGCACCACGTAGGACATGAAAGCCGTCAGACCCGTCAAGATGATTCTCTCGAAGAGTAGATGCATGAGCGTCTGGCCCATTCGCCGAAGCAGCATGTACCAGACCAGAATGATCCCAAGGAAATGCAAGAGTGCCGCCAGTACCAGGAGCTCGCCCACGCGGCGATGGAAGATGTTTAGCGATTCATACGAATGTCCCGTCAGGAACTTGATAGGTTGGTTCTTTGCAGCGAGGAGGTAGAGCAGAGGGAGATTGGCGACGATGAGCATTCCGCAGCGATCAGTGAAGACGAATATATACATCAATTCGTGTGGAACCCCGTAGATGCTGTAGAAGACATTAAGACCCAGGTAGAACAGGACGAAGATAGACACCGAATTTGGCGGGAGCGTCTTGTTGATGATTGGTATCGGTGGCGGTTGATATTGAAGCCCAGACCTGATAAGGTAGAATGATTTCTTGAGACTCGATCTGGTGTATCGTTTTCGAGATCCACCAATGGAAAGGAGGGGAGTCTCTTCATCCGGAGGTTCGATGCTTTTCTTAGCATCTGGAGGGGTTACAGTCCCCTCGATGGTGCTACTACTCGACGACCATACATCATCCGGTGCATCTTGCGGGACCTCCTCTTTCTTGATCTTGAGGTCTCTTTGCCTGATCTTTCGCCGGCGGGCTAGTGCATACTTCTCTCCCCAGTGCCAGGATGTGAATACTACCAAGATCACCAAAAGAGCGAGGTTGTATGTCGGGACAAGTCTTCTCGAAAACAGTATCGCCTCAATCAGCTTGCGGAATCGCGGATCACGGCCGGCGCCCGGACCTTCGCCGCCGCCAGACTCTCCTTCTGTAGCATGAGAGATGTCGGACGATGCTGTAGCGTACAAGGAAAATCTAAGGACGTCCCGCGTCCATGAAAGCGGGAGGGAATCCATGGGCGGGTATGATGTTGTTTCGAGTACCTACCTAGGTCGATGATGAAAGGAAGATCTGATAAGATCGGGTGAGACCAGCTGATATGTCGTGATGTCATAAGCGCAGAGTGGGCGGTTCAATTCATCACGCCTTAGCGCTTTGGGTTCCGGCGAACGGCCGTCGTCTAGGTCACTGCGTTCGACACTCATTGCATAGATTGCCAAATTCGGTAAACATTGTATTCGCTTGAGCTGGTAAGAATAATCGACAGACTCTATTGTCATACCTGCACGATAGATACAACCTGTCTGAATTTATTGCATTCGTTGGTATCAAATTTTTACCATCGGACAGAAAATTGGGATCATTCGAATATACGAGGTATTGGTACTTACTTCAACATGAAGATGGAATGCTTGCAAGATAATGTGTTTCTATTTTGATAAGACAGTAGTAATCTATTTGTTTGACCACTCGGCCTTCTTCTTTGCGGCAAAAGCTGTCATGCCAATCTTCTGGTCCTCGCTACCGAAAAGACCATGGAAAACCCTCCTCTCAAACTCAACACCCTCTCGAATACCAAGATCCTGGCTCTTGTTAACCACCTCCTTAGCTGCCTTGACAGCAATCTGGCTGTAGCCAGCTATCTTTGCTGCCGTGGCCAAGGCGCCATCAACACACTCCTGAGGAGTCTCAAAGACCTTGGCTACAAGACCCCACTCGCCCGCTTGCTTGGACGAAATGTTATCTCCTGTGAGTATGACTTCCATGGCTCTTGACTTTCCAATCGCTTTGGTCAACCTTTGAGACCCACCAGCACCGGGGATGACACCAAGCTTGATCTCCGGTTGGCCAAATACTGCACTGTTGCTGGCATACACAATGTCACCCATCATAGCCAATTCACAACCTCCGCCAAGTGCATATCCGTTTACTGCCGTGATGAGAGGCTTCTTCAAGAATGTGACGAGGTCTGACCATGTCTCAATGAAATCAGCGCCATATGCATCCGCGAAGGAGAGATCCTTCATCTCTTTGATATCGGCGCCGGCAGCGAAAGCGCGCTCCGAACCGGTGAGAACGATGGCTGAGATACTGTTATCGGCCTGGTAGTTTCGGAGAGCGGAGTTGAGTTCGAGGATCAGAGGGGTGCAGAGGGCATTGAGAGCTTTAGGTCGGTTGAGCTCGACTAAGTGACGTTAGTATGTGCATGCGCAAGACCAATATGGTTCGAATTGTGTTTATTGCAGGCTGCTCTCCATGGGCGGAATGCATATTAGAGTTTAAGAGAGTGATGTAACTGACTGAATCCAACACCCGGTTTCGGTGAGGAAACCTTGATATGCTCGTAGGATTTCCCCTCCGCATACGTCCTAACATATCTGGGGAATGCTGCTGCTCGGAATTGGGATGCTACCCTCGTTGAAGCTCGTAGTGACTGCATGTTTATAATTTTTCAAGGGCGTCTTAACAAAGAAAAAAGCAATTGCTCTCCAACAACTGAGAATATCTCAAGAATGTAGAAAAATCAGTTGTTAAGAACTCGTGAAGACGGGGAGGATAGCATCGGCAGACCTCGGTAGTGACGACAAAGCTCTCCCGGGTACCGCACTAGACGCATGCGGTAAGGCATGGATTGCCCCTTCCAAGGATGGCACGGCCCAATGGTCTGGGCAAATGATAGTCAACCACAGCCTCAAGAACACGCAGCCACTTTTGCGATCTTGCGCTCAACAACTTCAACCTTTCCACGACAACGAAGTACGACTAGTTATAGCCTTCGGGGACGACCGAAATATCAAGGAATCATACAGAATCAGATATCACGACCGCCGCTATGGACGCTCCGGAGCCAGATACCCCTTTCGCCGCTGTTACTGCGCAAACGACGAAATTTGGCAGGGTGCGTAGACCATCAATCGCATGGACATCGTCTTTCGAAGAATACGATTGCGATGAGCCATGGAAGATTCTCTAATGAATGGATTTCGCTGACAGGGGATGGTGTTTCAGATATTTCAAAGTTACTTGGACAAGTCGACACCTTTCACCACCTACAGATGGGTTGGCACAGGGGTTCTCTTCCTCTTTTTCGCCCTCCGGATATTCATCGCGCAAGGCTGGTACATTGGTACGCTCTTAATCCTACACAATCGGACAAATACAATTGAATCAACCGTTCTAACAACCCCGCAGTTGCCTATTCTCTAGGCATCTACCTCCTCAATCTCTTCCTCGCCTTCCTCTCACCGAAATTCGACCCTTCGCTCGAACAAGATGAGGGAATGGAGGACGGACAAGCCGGTGGACTCCCCACCAAGGAGGAGGAGGAGTTCCGACCTTTTGTCCGCAGGCTTCCAGAGTTCAAGTTCTGGTACAGCACGACCAAAGCGATCGCCATTGGCTTCGTCTGCAGCTGGTTCGAGGTCTTCAACTTGCCAGTCTTCTGGCCCGTCTTGGTGGTATACTGGTTGATTCTCTTTGGATTGACGAGTAAGTTCTGGCAAAGCAGTCGTGCTGCAATCATCCTCGATATCAACATTCGCTGACTTTAGACTACAGTGCGACGACAAATCCAGCACATGATCAAGTACCGTTACGTTCCCTTCACCGTCGGAAAGACGCGCTACCCAGGCGCCGCGAAATAAATGCCATTCATTTTCGTTTGAGCAGCGGTGGCAGCAATAGTAGCTGGGGGCGAAATAATTTGGCTTGCGGATTATCATCTTCAGCCCCACCAATTTTTCTGGAACTAGCATTTTTGTAAAGCATAGAACTACTTTCGCTTCTTATACCAGGCTGCGACAACTTTCTAACCTCCATATTTTTTGGGTCGCAAAGGTTTGCAGTCGGGAAGGATGAAAAGAACGGTAAGACTACGACGTCTTTAACGGATGGATGGATGGTGGAAACGGCGCACGAAACTAGATTTTGTACAGATAATGAGACTATTTGTCTCAAGTTTGTCATGTATTGATATGCAGAGTATGTGATGCGAAACATCCAATCAGGGTTTTCTGATTTCACCAGTCTTAGATACGAGTGGCTGAGACTGTGAGGACTATCAGACGGTTCCCGAGTGCCTGGCATGACTCGAGACAGACGCAAGTATATACGAATCCAAACATCTGTCTTACACACCCAGTTCCTTGAGCACACCATCCTGCCCAAACCTCGCGATCTTGAATCTAGAAAGCCAATCATCGCGATTGATATAAGCTCCACAGATCCTCCTCTTCCCCGTGAACGAACTGCGCCCATGCATAACCCTCCAATTATCAAAGATCAGAATCCTGCCCGGGACAAGCTGCTCCCAATACTCATTCTCCTTCAACTTCAGCAGATCGTTGAACTTGCGCGCCGCATCGTACCACTCCTCGACCCTCTCGATCGGCAGCTCGATGCCCGCGCGGTCGGACGAGTTCCAGCGCACGCGCAGCAACCTCCCAGTCGCGGGGTCATGCTCGAGCACGGGGAATCCGCGGTACGGCTGGATTGAGATGCCATCGTTGCCTGAAGCGTGGGCGTAAACGTTCACGTCAGAGAGAATGTCGTATGCTTTCGGATCCTGTTTCTGCAGGTCGGCAGCGGCTTTGAAGCCATCGACGAGCAGGGAGGCGCCGCCCTCGCCGTCGGTGTGCGATATCAAGTGGAAGGCCTGGAGTCCCGCCGGGTCGGAGAAGTAGGTGTTGTCGGTATGGGCTTCGAGCGCGATGTTGGTGTACGCGGTGTCCGCCGAGGCGAGGTCCGCGGTAAAGTCGTAGAAGCCGCCGTAGTGCGTCTCGCGGATGAAGGCGATCTTCTTGAGCACATCTTGCGTGGTTTGGAGGAGGAAGTCCGGGTCTCGGCCATCGCTTGAGGGAATCTCGACGTAGCAGAATCCGTGCTCGCGCTGGGGATGAGGGGTTAGTGTTGAAGATTTGGGATAAATGGAAGGAGTGGAAGGCGTACGATCTTGATGACAAGGTCTTCGAGGCCAGTGCCCTGGTTGATGTCGGCTGCGGATACAAGTGGTGGATTCTTTGATATCGTGCTGTCCCATAGACTCGTCCTGGAAATGGCGTTAGTAGATGTTCATAGATAATCGCGATTTGTAGTCTACGCACTTCGTGAGTCCTTGACGGATAGTAGATCGTGATTCTGCATCGCCAGCTACTGATCTCAGTAATGAACCAGGAAGAACACTTTGGTGGCCGTCGTTCCCTTTTGTTGATTAGCAACCAAATCTGTATATTGATTGTGCCCTGAAGACATACATGTGATATTGACGCTTTGGTCAGTGCCCACTTCGGCGGAGTCAATTGCAAGATCCTTGGGTATCTATACATAGTCAGATTACAGCACATGGCAGGAAGATAAAGGGGAAATATCTACGTTGAAAGTATCAAGGAGACGTTGTCGAGTAGCTTCATGGATACATTCGTGGCACTGGCAGTTGTCTCTACGCCACTGTCAATAATGTACAGTAGAATTGGTACGGACATGGTTACCTCAACCAGATATTGGGACTATACTTGTTAGCTTAATATTGAATTATGGGAATGGATGAAGTCCTACACTTCCTTTCCGTCGACTTGGACATGATTGTTAGTCACTTTGATATCGACGTTTTGATAAAGATTATCGGCAAGTATGACGTCCTCACGAACCCCCTATCAATTCATTGTTAGTTTGGAAGTACTTTCCGGTCAAGAAAATGTATCGTGTCTTACTCGCTCCAATGTCGCAAACTGACGTTTCGCGTTCGGAACAGCTGAGGTCACACGGGGCAAAGGAATCCTCTTTGAGACATCCGATACCCGTCTTAATTGAGTACAAGAGCTCACAGGCGCAATTGTCGTAGTGGACAGAGCCTGAACATTCAGTAAGCCAAATTAGAAAAGTAATTGACCATAATCATACCTGGTTTGTCGGACGCAAGAAGTTGCTGTATTCCTGATTATTAAAAGGCTGTTGATCTTGATATGGAAATGTGTCGCATTACCTTTGGCGGACTGCTCGTCTTGCTGCTACCATAGACCGCATATTGAGTCGTAATGATGTGTTGGCCAGCAAAAATGTATTCCCAATGACTATGTACAAGGTGACAAACGACCGTTCTTATCCTCACAAAAGAAAAAGAGAAATAAAGATAGAAGAGTTTCAATTGCTCTGCGTAGTGAGGGGTGAGTGGATTGGTGGTACGAGAAAGGGCAAGTGGAAGTAGAAGCTCGGCATACTAGATACGAAATACGATCGGGTCGGGGGACTCCGCACTCTGCCATTCATTGGACGCGGAACAGCTCCCAAAGCGAGGACCCCGCAGAACTGCCAGTCTGAGCAAAGACAAAAGAATTGGCAAAAAAAGGCAAAAAAAGAATTGTTATTTGCGACACCAGAGGGACTCGAACCCTCAATCTTTGCCACCGGAAAGCAACGCCTTACCATTAGGCCATGGTGCCTTAGCTTGACAATAAAGAAATTTTGAAACTAAAATAAATATATTCCCAATAAAAGAGCTGATAGTTGTTCACATCACGTACGTGAGGATTTCGAAGGTCAAAAATAATTAAATAAGAGCAGCAGCAGTTCTTACATGAGTGGCGAGCAATATTGTTAGGCGAGCAGCTGCGGAAATCGTCCTACTACCCTAGTCATGGTCATGGCATTCCGTGATGTACATGAGCTTGCTCGCACTCTTCACTAGGCTTATACTGATATTAGACATTCAGAAAGGTAAAAAATACTCCGCTGGTCAAAATAAGAGCATGTCAGCTATAAATTCAATTATTTTAAATTTCAATTCCTAGATACTAGGTGAAGTGCCCTGAATGATATTGATTGGCTTGTACCTCCAGGTCGCGCCAAGCCCGCCGAATAGTAATCCCGGAGCTCTTCATGTTCGTAATCGTGAGCTGCCTTCCGACAGCTTTCACTATCAACATTACAAACAACTCATCTCACCTTTCGATTTGTATCCTGCGAAGACTTTCTGAGATACTCCGACACAACCTCCACACACTTGAACCTCCGCTCCCACTCAGTCTTTCGTAGCAGTATCCGCCACCGCCATGTCAACACTTGAGGACCTCGATGACCTTGAGCGCGAGGAGAAGGAAGAGAAGAGAGACGAGAAGAAGAAGGACGGTGGCGATAATAAAGATGGAAAGAAGGCGGACGGAGACGAGGATATGAAGGATGCTGAGCCCGAGGAAGAGATCTTGGACGAGGAGATTCTCAACTCAAGTACACGAGACATCATCGCACGAAAACGGCTGCTCGAGAACGACATGAGGATTATGAAGAGCGAGTTCCAAAGATTAACGCACGAGAAGGCATCAATGAACGAGAAGATCCGGGATAATCTGGATAAGATCGAGAACAACAGGTAAGCACATGGTGTCTGTTGAGGCTGAGGTGCCCCGCCTGAGCTCTTTCTAACAGACATGCAGGCAACTTCCATATCTCGTCGGAAACGTCGTCGAGATTCTAGACCTAGACGTCACAGCTGAAGCCGCCGAAGAGGGTGCAAACATCGACCTGGACGCCACCCGGGTGGGCAAATCCGCAGTCATCAAGACCTCCACGCGACAGACCATCTTCTTGCCACTCATCGGCCTGGTCGACCATGAAAAACTGAAGCCCGGTGATCTCATTGGTGTCAACAAAGACTCATACCTTGTTCTCGATACACTGCCCGCCGAGTACGACAGCAGAGTGAAGGCCATGGAGGTGGATGAGAAGCCCACAGAGAAGTACACAGATGTCGGCGGCTTAGACAAGCAGATTGAGGAACTTGTGGAGGCTGTTGTCTGGCCCATGAAGGAGGCAGAGCGGTTCAAGAAGATTGGCATCAAAGCACCAAAAGGTATGGCATTGAATCGTATTTGTGAAGGGGAATAACTAATGAACCCAGGTGCCCTGATGTACGGCCCTCCCGGAACTGGTAAGACACTTCTTGCCAGAGCCTGCGCTGCCCAAACCGACGCAACTTTCCTCAAACTTGCCGGTCCACAACTTGTGCAAATGTTCATTGGAGATGGTGCCAAGCTCGTCCGTGACTGCTTCGCCCTCGCCAAGGAGAAGGCTCCCTCAATTATCTTCATCGACGAGTTGGATGCCGTCGGTACTAAGCGATTCGATTCGGAGAAGTCTGGTGATCGTGAGGTGCAAAGAACCATGTTGGAGCTTCTGAACCAGTTGGACGGTTTCGCATCGGATGATCGCGTCAAGGTTCTTGCTGCCACGAACCGTATCGATGTGCTTGACCCCGCGCTGCTGCGATCAGGTCGTCTTGACAGGAAGATCGAGTTCCCTCTGCCGAACGAGGAGGCACGAGCACAGATCTTGCGCATTCACTCACGAAAGATGACGGTTGATGATGGTGTCAACTGGCCAGAATTAGCTCGCAGTACAGACGAATTCGGTGGTGCCCAGCTCAAGGCGGTTTGTGTGGAAGCCGGTATGATCGCTCTACGGTCAGGACAACAAAAGATCAGCCACGAGCATTACGTGGATGCTATCTCTGAAGTCCAGGTATGTTTGCGTCCCAGCCCAACCACCCGCGTGGATTTTCGTATTGTTGTGATTGCTAACACCCCTCTCCAGGCCAAGAAGAAGGATACCGTCAACTTCTACGCGTAGTGGGGCACATGGTGGGGGTTGTCTGGTTTTGGACCCGGCGCGTGCTTGAGCGTCTCAAGATTGAGGCCCGGCCTGTGTACTCATAATAGATAGCAGCTAGTAATGACGGATCAAGTCGCCCACGAGCGATTGACCAACCCGCATTAGCAACATTTTCAAGTGGACTTGTGTGGGGATGCAGCAGCAGATCCTTTTATGGAGTTATTCAATCACAGGATAACTGTTGTGATGTATTTGCAGCCGAGTTAACCCGAGTTCTGACAGAGGCGACTGGATAATCGGAGGTATTAATGAAGAGATGCATTTTGGCGTGGCATGTGTGTATGTATGTGTCTGAAGGAGTGGGTTGCGTATACGGGACCCGCACAACAAGATGCATGTATCATGTATGTATGTTTATATTGATTGATATATGTATCAAGGTACAAAACAAGCCTCAGTTCATCAGGGAGGAAAACATAAGATTTTGGGGGGCAAGGGGTTGACTCTAAGATAGATCATTCGCATTGAAGGGCTGAATTGCCTCCGGCGCTTTATCTTGGAACAATGGATCTGTCTGTTATTCGGTACGATTGTAGAGACGGGAGCGGCCTGTTATGAATATGATAGACATGGCGGCAATGCCTTAGACAGATTGAAGTGTTTGTTAGGGAATAGTAGGTAGATGGCTGTCCTGCTGTTTGTTCCATGGTGAACGAATGGATGCCCACGCTTCTCCCACTCGGGCGCTGATTGGCCAGATTTGACCATTGCGAAAGGGTCCAACCTCGACCTCAACCTCAACCATGCGACCACCATGGAACAAACACGATCATCCACCACCTGTCCACCAACTATCAACAACTACTAATCGTTCCTTACGGATTCTTCGTCCAGCCACGAGGAACTAACATTTGCCTTGATAGGCCAACCCATCCTCGCGTATGACCCCTCCCCTCATGGCCCCATGGGTATGAGATACTCTCGAATCTGGAGACCCTTCATCATCGGTTCCATTACGGTGCCTACATATGTACCCATACCATAACCGCTGGTAGCGGCCGGAACATTCCCTTACTCACTTACACACTTCGCCCTAATGATGCATCTCATGAACCCTACAAGTACAGCCACGGCTTGCCACGCCGTTTTCAGGGTTAGGACGATCAGTCCAGCATGTGCTCACGTCAATTGGCTGATAGGTTTCACCATTCAATTGCCTTCCCTCTTGACAGAATGTTGGATATGGATAATCTAGTATCGTGGTTAATCATGTGGAGAGCCACCATGACTACCCGACTTCGGTCGTAGTCCCGACATTGGTGTTGCTGTTGTTGCTGTTCAGCATTTAAGTACCATGTACGGTGCCCTCGCGCAAGATGCTCTTGTTCTGTTCCTCCAAGGCATCCACTCTTCTCTTTCAACCTTTCTTTGAGTCTATCGTGACCATGAGTCTCACGGCGTTCATCCCCCGTGACCCTCTTCATCTCATCTCCCTCTCTCTTGGTGTCGTTGGCCTCTTCCTTGCTACCATCTTCGTGTTAGCATTGAGGCCAAAGGGCAAGAATGGCGAAGTAAGCACTTTGCAAGCCTACCTCAAGTTCGCTTGGGTGTGTTTCTTCAAGCCACACACTGGTGATAAATCTGGAAGCCAACAGGATGCTTTGGTGCGTTTGAGCACCCGAGATATTCGTGATAATCTTGTATCTCATACTTGTGTTTAGGAGAGCTTCTACAACGCTCAGGCTGATGTCTACGATGCTACTCGCGCACGGCTTCTCCGTGGTCGCGAGGACATGTTGGGACTCGCAGCTTCTCAGCTTAAACACCGCGCTGAAGAGGGCTTGATCTCTCAGCGACCCGTCTGGGTTGACGTGAGTAGCACCAAAAATGTTATAATCCCGACTTACGCTAAATTCTACTAGATTGGTGGTGGAACTGGTCACAAGTAAAGACCCAGCGCTCTAAGATTTAATTGAAGTGATCGATTAACGGATTTTAGTGTTGAACAGATGGGCAAATTCCTTTCTGTTCCTGATTTTTTCCGCTCAGTTTGTATGTCATAGCCCAATGCGCCCACCCGTATGACTCTCGCTAAGTCTGCCCAGACGTCGTCGACTTCTCCCCAAGCCTGTGCGAGATGGCTCGTCAGCGCTTTGAACGACTTGGCTGGAAAAATGTCAAGGTCGTTTGTCAAGATGCTCGTGCTTTCCGTCTGCATGAACACGAGAAGGAGGCCTTCCAACGTAAGGAGAACAACCTCAAGGGCCAGAATGTCCGTGATCTCGATGAGAACGCGGATGCTGGAGGTGCTGAGCTCGTAACCATGAGCTATGCCCTATCCATGATTCCCGAGTTCTACCCTGTGATCGACTCTATCTCTTCTCTCGTTTCTCCTAATGGTATCATTGGTGTCGTCGATTTCTACGTCCAGAACCAGATTGATTACCAAAGCCGCAACTACACGGGCGGTGTCATTGACCGACACTGCATGTGGATCTCGAGGGTTTTCTGGCGCACATGGTTCGAGATTGACCGTGTTAATCTTGAGCCAGCTCGTCGGGTGAGTTAATACTGTTCAAGTTCTATAAAATCCCCCGCTGACTTGTCCAGGATTACTTGGAGTACCGCTTCGGTACTGTGCTCAGCGTGAATGCTCGCAACAGCATGTTTGGTGTTCACATTCCATACTACATCTGGATTGGTTGCTCAAAAGACCACGGTGCTTCTACCCAAAAGCTTGCTGAGATCGATGCTGCTGCGACCGAGTCACCATACCTTTCTGCTCTTGATCTTCAGACTGGCGTGACTGATGTGGAAGTTCGTTCCAAAGCCTATGAGTCGGCTATTGTCAACTTGCAATCAAGCCTCCCGCTACCTGCTACATGGTATGTCTAATCTTCGCGGATTCAGCACCGATCATATCGCCTGACCATTCTAGGTATCAAAACCATCACTGGCGAATCTACTACGATCATCAGCTCCCCAAGCACACTCGCTTCAACAACAGCTATATCTACGCTTTCACCTGGGAGGACGACCAAGCTGATGCACGCCTCCTCAAGGTACGCGCAGACGATGTCGTTCTTGCCATCGGCTCTGCTGGTGACAACATCTTGTCCTTCTGCCTTGAAGCTCCTCGCCGAGTTCATGCTGTCGATTTGAACCCATCTCAGAACCATCTACTCGAACTCAAGGTTGCCGCTTTCTCTGCACTTCCCTATTCCGATGTCTGGAAGATGTTCGGTGAGGGCCATCACCCCGAGTTCCGCAATCTCCTTGTCAACAAGCTCAGCCCACACATGTCGAGTCTTGCTTTCCAATTTTGGCTGCAAAACGGTCCCGATGTTTTCGGGAACAAATCTAAGGGACTTTACTACACTGGAGGTTCTGGCAACGCTCTCACTCTTATCGGTTGGCTCTTCCGCGTCCTCGGAATGGGCGATGAGGTGAAGAAATTATGCGCCGCACAAACCCTTGCTGAGCAGCGCGAGATCTGGCAACGCAGTATCAAATCCGTTCTCCACTCCAAGCTCCTTACATGGGTCGTCCTAGGCAACGAGAAGTGGCTCTGGAAAGCCCTCGGCGTGCCACCAGCACAGCGCAACATGATTGAGGAAGACTACAAGAAGGCCGTCAAGACAGGAGCCACTCAGACCAGCGGCTCCGGACACGCCATCTACGAATACGTCCTCAACACCTTCGAGCCCGTCGTCAACACCACCCTCCTCAGCACCTCAAACCACTACTACCTCCTCTCTCTCCTCGGCAAATACACTCCTACATCCCACCCAACCTACCTCTCCCCCAAATCCCACGTCAAGCTCAGCAAGTCATCCGCCTTCAACGGCCTCCGCATCCACACCGACGAAATCAGCGAGGTCATCTCCCGCATGCGTCCCAGCACACTGACCATCGTCGTTGTGATGGACAGCATGGACTGGTTCCCGCCAGAGGGCAAGCAGGCCATCCGACAGATCCAGGCGCTCAACCGTGCGCTGAAGGTCAGGGGCCGAGTGATGCTTAGGAGTGCCGGCCTGGAGCCGTGGTACGTCAAGGTGTTTGAGAGCGAGGGCTTCAGCTGCAAGAGGGTTGCTGCGAGAATCCCAGGTTCCTGCATCGATCGGTAAGTCTATTATTCCCTTCCCACCTCTTCTGTCATTTTTCTATTGTGAAACCTTGAGAAATGTCGATGGGCTAACTTGTGATTGTCCTAGGGTGAACATGTATGCCTCTACCTGGATCTGCACCAAGGAGCAGGGCACCGAATCGGAGGAGATCAAGGACCGACTGAGGAAGAGTTCGCTGGCTGGACTCAGCCTCGGCGATCCTGCCATGTCATAGAGCATTGCAGCGCCTCGCAAAAGTCGGCACTATTCGACTGAGGTGTTCCGATGGTATCATGGGAGTACCTCCGCCATGACCTGAATCACGTGATAAATGCTTCCTCCTTTTGCCCATTCACAATAGAACCTTTAAATGATACCTTGAGAATATAAGAATCAAAGATGAAATAATAAAAAAATTGTTGATACATCCTGACTTGCTTGGCTCCTGACTGAAGGAACCTGAGTTCTTCTTTCGTTATATACACGTACTCTGTCGGATTCTTGCATTTGGCGCAAAAGAAACTAGAAGTGAAAAAACGAATCTGATGGATGTTTTTCTTTGCTTGAAGTTTTTTTTTTTCGTTGCCTTTTCCCGCTCAACCTTCTCGATTCTCTCCCAACACCTCGGATATTTTCGCGAGGTGTCGAGCCACAAAACACCCCTCCCAACGAACCACTCTATTTCGCCGCCCTCTCCTGCTCAAGCTCCAACTCAGCCTGGCGGTAGTACTTGGCGGTATCGACGCCGTGGTACGGGTGGTTGACGAGGTTGGGCCAGGGGATGACGTGGGCAAAGACGGCCGAGTACCTCGAGTTCCTGTGGGAGACACCCTGGAGGTACTCTGACATTTCCGATTTTCCGTAGAGCGGCTCTCCGCGCTTGACCTTGTCGACCATCTCCCTCATGTCCATCTCAACCTCGCGGCGATTCTCGCGCGCACCGTAGAAGCGATCTGTGTTGGTCGACCAATCAGCGCTCGCACATTTGGGGTTACGAAACCCACGGGGAGGGGAGAGGATAAGTACGTACGAGATGATCTCGAGCAGACGAACATGAACATTCCTGTGAGGCCAATTGCGCCGCTCAAGCGTAGAATGGGTGGAAATCCTCCCTTTCCGACGAAGGAGGGGGAGACTCGCTCCCAGTAGAGCATCAATGCTGGGGAGAGCGCTCCAACGGCGGCGCCTGCCGCCCAGTCGCCTGGTCGAGCATATCGGATGACGCGAGAGATGTGACTGTTTGTCCTTGTCAGTGTGGAATTGGAAGGCGGGAGAGGGCTGGCGGTTACGGGTCGTTGTCAATGAGCTGTGATGTTGAATTAGCTATGATGTTGGTAACGATGATTCGGTTTCCAATTGGGGGCTCACAGGGTACTCTCCCGTGGGGATCTTGTCCGCAATGAGAGGCTGCGCTTCTTGCGCTGCTTGTGTCGACTGTGCCATTGTGATTGTGATTGAGGCGTGGGAAATGGGGAGATTTCTGGGGCTCGGGCGGAGGTTCGCTTTGGCGTACTTACGAGAGGTGAGGTTCGGTGGAAGTCTTGGCATCAAAACGTAGTGCTGGTCCGAGCTTCGATTTTCCTTAGCGCGCAATCGAATGGGAGAGAGCTTTCAAACTTGCGACCACCGGGCGAACGATGAGCGCGTCTGTTGTCCGTTGCGCCTCCGAATCCCTACCGAAGAGTTCATACTAGACACAAAGGAGACGCGAAACCATGGAAGATATCGAGCAAAGCGCCCCTGTTGGCGCGCAGGACGGCGCGTCTACCGGATCTGCGAGGCTTCATGCCCGGCCAACGGTCACTGATCTGAACGGGGAGAACCACTTTGCGCAGGTCGCGAAGAAGAATTGGCTAGGCAGCTCGTCGAAGGCGCCTAGGGTCAGACCTGAAGTGGTCAAGAAAGAGTTATGGGACGAGTTGGAACAGATCGACTTTACGTACGCTTCGTTACTTGCATTGGAGAATCTGCAGCTGTTGGAGAAGTATCTTTGGCCTGGGTTCACGGAGGACGCGTCGAATTATCATCACCTACTTCTGGCCCTTATGATCAATGTCAAGAGGAGGGAAAACTTGACTTCATGGGGTAAGAGCTCATTCGATTCCGATGTTAGAGGGCCTGATGCTAACTTTTCCTAGATCACTTCTCTTCAAAGCCAGCCGAGTTCTCTGCCTTCTTCCGTCGCATCCTATCTATGACCGTCGATTCGTCTCAGCCTACAAAGATCCGAACCCAACTTCTATCCTTCGTCATCGGCGCATTCCAATCCTTGGACAGTGGTCTTGTGCGCAAAGAATGCGCCCCGCTGGTGTCAATCTCAATATGGCAGAACCTGCACGCGGACGCAGCACGAGAACAACTATTTGAGAAGAGTCCGATGCTCAAGAAGGCATGGCGAGCAGCATCTAAGCGTTTCGATGCAGGCGACGAGGCTTTACAAGGCAGGCTCCGGTTTGAGCGATCATGGTTATACACTCTCATCCTGGATTTCCTGGACCGCCTTTACAATAGCACTACGAAGGACGAAATCAAGGATAATCTGGCCTATTCAGAGCGATTCATCGAGCTTTTGACGGACTTGCAGAGCCAACTGCCCACAAGGAGATACGTTAACTCGTTGATCAAGGACCTGAACTTGCTATCGGCTATTCGATTGTCGCCCATATATACCGACGAGGATCATGGGCTATTCAGGGATCTATTCCACCTTTTCAGCCACTTCACATACTTCCCGATCGAGGACCAGACTGGACGACAACTCACAAAACTGGAGTACGACCAGGAACACTACGATTCATTGACAAAATTGCAACGAGTTGGGTTCGCAACATTTGAGGAAAAGCTACAGCTTCTGGTATTGGCAAACTTCGGCAGTATTGGCAACAGGGAGGAGCTGAGTGGACATCTGCAGACGCTCGACGATGATGAGCTCATCCAGCTATGCACGTTGATGGGCTTGCGAACAGAGTACCCTTCATCTACCTTCTTAGTTCGCGACCGCGCTTTCTACTTGGAGGCTCTAATTTCTGTCGTCGAACAGCGACCCACGTTCAAGGACATTGTCCGAGAGATGCGCGTGCTGCCAACAGAACGGATCCTATACGAGTCGACTTTCCTACGGAACGAGTCTTACAACGGCACAAGCCCGCTCGCGATACCCAAACTCAACCTACAGTATCTCACGATGGGCGATTTCCTTTGGAGGTCGTTCATTCTGTACCGCTGTGAGACATTCTATGGCATTCGCAAAGATATGGAGGATGTGGTCAAACGGGTTCAACCGCGCGGGATCGGAGCAAGCACCAAGTTCAACGGCTTCTCAAGGATGTCTATTCCCATCTCCAAGCCCGCCATTATAGATGTAGGCATGGAGCTCGTTGGTGAAGATCACCCATCTCGTGTTCGCGCAGAGGTCATTCTGGATGTGAGCCGTCTTCAATTTCCGGTTCGACGGGAATGGGAATCACTTAGGCCCGATGACGTTGTCTTCCTCCTTGTTGTGGAAGGTTCGGACGACACGTCGATGCGGAATGGTCATAGTCATAAGAATTCTGGAGAGGAGCTAGGCCTGCGGACGTTGCGATGTGCTGAGGTCGTTCAAGTGCTGGACGACAACGGCAAACCTCTCCGCGAGCAGAGCCACCAAGACGGAAACCGCTCTCGAGCACGGCAACGCAGACTCATACTCAACATCGACGCCAAGCAATACAAGGAGGACATGGATCGCGTAGCGCAAGGAAGACCAAATGTTTACGAGAACATCAACCTGATTGTTCGCCGACGTGGGCGGGAGAATAACTTCCGGCCCATCCTCGAATCCATCAAGCGCCTTACGCTCTCGGACATCCCAGCACCATCATGGCTCCAGGAAGTTTTCCTAGGCTATGGCGATCCCTCGTCTGCAAACTATACCCGACTCCCTAACCGACTGCAATCAATAGACTTCCGCGATACCTTTTTGGACTGGCAGCACCTAATCGAGTCATGGCCAGGCAAATCTATCGAACCGCATGAAGAAGCTCAATCATCTTTTGGGCCTCCATACATAGTCGAGTTCCCCGCAGCTGAACCAGAGGCCCCTCCTGCAAGACCATCGAAGAAGCGGCGTCGTGATCAGGTCGAGGTTGCACAACCTGTGCATGAATCTCTGCATGTGTCGACATACAAACCCCCCAACACAGGCCCTTACCCTGCAGATGCTCCTAAGCTAAATAGTGTGCGGTTTACCCCTGCTCAAGTTGAAGCGATCAGTTCTGGGACGCAGCCTGGTCTGACGGTGGTAGTCGGCCCACCGGGTACCGGAAAGACGGACGTTGCGACCCAAATTATATCTAATATATACCACAACTTTCCGGAACAGCGGACATTGCTCATTGCGCACAGCAACCAGGCGCTCAACCAGCTCTTCCAGAAGATCGTCGCCCTCGATATTGACGAGCGACATCTCCTGCGTTTGGGTCATGGAGAAGAGGAGCTGGAGACTGAAGCAAGCTATAGTAAACATGGCCGTGTAGAGTCCTTCCTCGAAAGGGGATCTTACTATTTGTCCGAAGTAGACCGTCTGGCAAAGAGTCTTGGTGCTCCAGGTGCTCATGGACAGTCATGCGAAACAGCGGGTTATTTCAATCTTGTCTATGTTAAACCACGATGGACAAGATACTGGGACGATGCCCAGTCCGAAGAGTCTACCAAGGAACAAATCGTCCAGGAGTTCCCATTCCAAGATTACTTCTCTACGGCGCCTCAGCCTTTGTTTCCCCCAGATGCGTCACAGGAAGAAGTGTTGGACATTGCCCACGGCTGCTATCACCATGTTGAGAAAATCTTCACTGAACTCGAGGACATTCGTCCATTCGAGATCCTGCGAAACCCGCGGGATAAGGCTAACTACCTGTTGATCAAGGAGGCTCGCATCATTGCAATGACATCGACACACGCTGCTATGCGACGACAGGAGATCGCATCGTTAGGTTTCCACTATGACAATGTTGTCATGGAGGAAGCTGCGCAGATCACAGAGATTGAGAACTTCATCCCTCTTGCGCTGCAGAACCCACAAAATGGCGAATTGCCCTTGCAGCGCATTGTCCTATGTGGTGATCACCTCCAGAACTCGCCCATCATCCAGAATCTGGCCTTCAGACAGTATGCTAACCTTGAGCAATCGCTCTTCTTGCGTCTTGTCCGCCTTGGTGTGCCAACCATCATGCTCGACCAACAGGGTCGTGCCCGCCCTTCCATTGCAGAGCTGTACAAGTGGCGCTACCCGAAACTCGGCAACCTGCCATCTACAAAGACGAACCCCGAATACACGATCGCAAACGCTGGTTTCAGGTATGACTACCAGTTCATCAACGTGCCCGACTACAAAGGTAAAGGCGAGATGGAGCCAACGCCCCACTTCATCCAGAACTTGGGCGAGGCAGAGTACGCAGTTGCACTGTTCATGTACATGCGACTACTCGGCTACCCAGCCAGCAAGATCAGTATCCTGACCACGTACGCGGGACAAAGAGCGCTCATCAAGGATGTACTCGACCACCGATGCAAGGGAAACAGGATGTTCGGGCTGCCACGCATAGTCGCAACGGTCGACAAGTACCAGGGCGAACAAAACGACTGTAAGTCATCTCCCCTCCCCATAATCATCCTCAACTCGAGCAATGCTAATTTCCCCGCTCACAGACATAATCCTCTCCCTCGTTCGCACCCGCAGCATAGGCTACCTCCGCGACATCCGCCGCCTGACCGTCGCGCTGTCCCGCGCCCGCCTGGGCCTGTACATCCTAGGCCGCCGCGACGTCTTCGAGTCGTGCTTCGAGCTCAAGCCCGCCTTCGACGTCCTCCTCTCCAAGCCCGACTCCCTCACCCTCGTCATGGACGAGATGTTCGGCGAGACGTCCCGCACTGTCGACCAGCAGGTCCCTGAGGGCGGCGAGGCCGTCATGCAGGGTGTCGAGCACTTGGGCAAGTACGTGTTCGAGATGACCAAGGCGAAGGTCGAGGCGATGAAGGCTAATGGTGGAGTCTTGCCGCCTTCTGCGGCGCAGGAGGAGTCGGTGATGGATGTCGATGGCGATGAGGATGCGGATCGTGAGGATAAGGTCTTGGTGGATGCCGGTGCTGGTGACGATGACGAGGATTTGGGACCTGAGGAAGACGGTGCGTAAACGGGACGAGTGAGCCACTGCAGTGGTTCCAACCTTTTAAAAGTAATAGGAGAACCCCCTTCGGAGTGTGTCACTTGTTGGATGGGGATTGTAAGCATATTTGTCGCGTTGAACTCATCTTGGGGACACGAATGGTTTCAATATTTAGAGTGCATAATCGGGGTGTTCAAGACTTGTATGTTTTATTTTAACAATTATCTGTAAAAGAAAGATACCAAAACCTTATTTCAGAAAAGAGAAAATAGTAATTATCATGCGAATATGGCTTCAGAGCAGTGTTCGTTCTTTGCAAGGATGATACATATCTGACTTGCTTCATCCGTTGAGGAAGTGCAGGTTTACAATCTTGATTTGTTTTGTAGTTCATTGATGTACCCGAGCGGCACAGATATTATTAGATTATCATCATAAAGGGTACCTGGCGACCTGCACAACTCCTATCGTTCCAAATTACAAAACGAAAGAGCCCATACGCCTCGACTCCGTATCGCTCAGTGGAACTCAATACTCCTGCGATAGATGCTTCTTTGATCTGCAACCGTGGCTTTACTTGTCCCTCATCCAACTCTTCTAGGATCACATAGATTGTTCATCGACTTGAGCGCGAGCTACCTTATTCAGAACCGTTGTCATGCTGCAACCTTTGATCCCTCCATAGGTGTAATTTGAGGCAAATTGGGAATTTCCTTGAATCATCCTTTGACTGTGCCTAGAGATGTTCATCCCGGACTGGCGCTTTTTTGCGCCTCTGCCCATTTCTGTCATAGACCAATCGAACAAAAATTTGGTGATTGCTCGTCCTACAAGAGCTCAAGTGAGCTTCAACGGTAAGCGCAACGCGATTGTCCAACTTGATCGAGATGCTGCCAGAAGGAGCAGCTTCATAACGCAACGTCACTATGCCATGATCCCGCCTCTTTATCGCTGTGCCTTCTTCTTGAGATATAAACTGATCTGCTCCACCCGATCCACAAAGAAAACCTTTCTCGAATCGTTCCTCCAAACCAGCACACCCAGGCTCTCCGCATAATTAGCCAGGTCACGGTACTCGGCATCGCTGTGGAACTCCTTCATCAAGTACCCGATCGACGTTTCCACACGCTCGCCTTCGTATTCCCACAGCCTGATTTGATCCATAACGGTTGGGGGGAGGAAGGGCCGTTGCTTCTGCATCTGTGGGTGGGCGTTCGAGTTCAGGTACGATATAATCTGCTGTGAAGAGATGCCAAGTTTGACTGCTCGGGTTATGGATTCTTTCGTCAATTTTCCGGATACAAGGTTTGGGAATCGGGTCGTGAGTTTTGTGAACAGTGAGAGGACAGCAATCTGCAGGAGAGAGGAGGTGTATGCATATATACGATAATTCGTCTCCACGATGATAAAACCTTGCTGAGAAGAGTTTCGGGTGGATGACGAGCCAGTCAGTGCGTTAGAGATTGGCTCTGCGGATGCAAGCGCACCAGCATCAGAGGTAAGGGTAACTGCAAGGCGAGTCGGATAGAAGGTAGAAGCGTTCTTCGAGGAGCGGTAAACAATGCCAAAGGCAGACAAATCCTCAAGCATCTGCAGTTGGGTAGGCGACAGCGTGGAAGTCGTGTAATCCTGACCAAGTTCGAGGGAACCTAGCATGAACAGAAAAGAGAGAACCTCGGTCTCCTGCATGCCTAGATCTGGGGCGTGCTTAAGATATACGATCAACAGACTCCAGACTTGCGCATTTGTCTCCTGTAGCACGAAAGTAAAACCTGCTCTTGTAATGCTCACTCTTCCATGCGCCTGTTGAATGAATTCTCCCATCTTCAGCAGCGTGATTGTCCCATTCCCAATCTCGTTCTCCGCGCGGCTTCCAGTTTGTAATCCGACCGTACTTCCGACCATGTAAAACAAGATGTTCTCCCACTTCCGTCGCGCATATTCGTCCAGAAAGGCCACGCTGACCTTATCCTGATCGGGTGTATTCGCAGGAACGCCGAAGGAACGATGGGTGCCGCTACCTTGTAGAGCTTGTCGGAGCGATCGTTGAAATCCCGGATAGAGCTCGTAGGAGCGTTGATTGTTGGCGTCCTGTTTCAGAACAATGATGTGCAACTGTTCCAGGACAGCCAGCGACTTTTCCTTGTCTTTCTTTGCTGAAGGGCGAAACCAGTCGTTGAGTGCGCCCACCGAGAATGGGTGTGGCATGTAGAGCATCGCCATGACTATCGACTTCGCTAAGTGTTGTAAGCCATTGCAAGCTGTCATAAGGTGCGATATACCGACAACATACCTAAATGGGGCAGCATGCAACGATACACAGCCAGCGCTGTTGCAGGCTGTTCGTAAAGCTTGGTGTGTGTTTGCCTAGGCAAAAGCTCTAGATATTCTAGAGCTTGGGAGGAGGAGGCCGACATCTTATTTGATTGCGATGCGGTATCTCTAAAGGCTGTTTATCTGTATATCATTATATGGGTGGTGTCGAACTGTAGGACGCGTCCCGAAGAAAGTTGTGAGGTTAAAGTACAAAAGCGCGAGGCAGTGGACATCCATGAACAACGGATCTGCAGCACGGGCCATGCATAGGGCTGAGGAAGCTCCGTTCCCATTGCCGAGCTCAACGTCGGTTCGTCCCTCTGTCACCACCAAACATTGCAATTGGGATCATGCCTGCATTAAAGTTTGTGCGATCAGTAAGCCATTCAAGAGAGACTGAAATTATCCATTCACCAATTAACAATTCATTATTAGGTTTGGGAATCCTTTCGAGCAACTTCAGGCCTGGAGCCAAGGTTAGATACCCCCACGTCCTATGCTTCACTTATGCAATGAAGACGGAAAGCTAAATATTTCGCTACTACGATAGATTGCTGGATGGGGTAAGTGGTCTATCTCAAGATTATAGTCATTCAGTTTGGAGTGTACAGCCCTCAAAAGTGACTCATTTGCTGACTTTGGGCATAGCTTCGTGTGACCCATGCCACCCCAGGCCGCGTGAAGTTTGAGCTTGATATCCAAAAAGAGCACACTGTAAGAGATAATACTGCATCAACAATTTGATTGTATTCTAAATTATTCGAAGAATCGTCTCAACATCCTTCATGGTGGCACCATAGCTAGTATGGTCGATTTAGGGGGATCTCTGGCGGTAGCCTCCCGCGGCCTCTATGCAACTGGCGTATCTACAGACCTTAATGTAACATATCTGAGTTCCGGAGGAAAGGTTGGGGACCTCATTCGTGCTGAAGTTACATGTGACAAATGTAAGTGATATCACAGTATCAGGTGCATCATCAATTGTAATTGGCTGACATTGTCATCAAGTTGGCAAAACGTTAGCATATACATCTATTCAGTTCAAGAATAGCAAGGATGAAGTTTTCGCTCGAGGTAGCCATACAAAATATGTAGCTCTAGCTTGGAAAGAGCCAAAGAACATAGTTGAAGAGCTTTCGCCAAAGAGTGAAAAGAAAGAATAGAAAAATTAGAAATATCACTTATAGCTTACGCAGCTCTGTAAATTAAAATCAAAAAAACTTATTTGGCTACAGAAAAAGTGTTCAATTACATCTCACACAGTAGTGAAGTGCAATTTCTTGAGAAAAGCCTTCCAAAGAAGATCCATCCCCAGAAAATAATACCACCACCAGGAGGGTGCTGTTCCAGTAACAATCTCGAGGGACTTATCCTGGTACCGGTTTATGGGCTCCTATCTCGTCCGAAATGCCTCTTCTAGAGTAGGTGTTCACAGAGTCCACGACATTCATCGATCCGTCTCCCTGATTCGTCAAAGAATTTGGCCCAAGCATGTCCCAGATGATCTCATGGAAAATTGTCTCCATTTGCTCTGTTCGACTCATCGCGCGCGAACAGGTATGACTGTTCTTCGGTGCGATTCCACCCCTTTCCCTTTAGTAGATTCACAAAGCTGTTCTTTCGCGGTGTTAGCTTTCGGACGGCCCGCGTGAAGCCTCCTTCTTTTGTAGTCTTGTTGTCATTCTGTGTAGGCATAGATAATGGCGGGAGTTGCGTCATCGCACCTAGAACATGATGTTCTCGGCGATATCTGGACTCAAATGCCTACAAGATTGTCAGTACGATCCTCATATTTCAGTGTATGGTACCGAGATTCCTTACCCATAAGCTACAAGCAGCTTGCCTAGTAGCGCAAAGTTCTCGCAATTGAACAAATATAAGACAGGCTGCAGTGGCCTCGTCATCCAGCTTCAAACCCAGTGCTCCATCTGATTTAGCCAGAGGATTGAGCTCTGCCTTCATTGCTTCGGTGCGCCATTGATCAAATCGTGTCTGGAAACGTCCCGCCCACCACGCTGGTGGCATCGAATCTTGAATCTGCGTCTCGAGATGCGAGTTAGCGTCATTGCCTGCAGAAACGGAATTTGAGAAGGAAAATTCAAATTGAGATAAGGGCTTGTTGGAGGACCCGAGAACATTTCGGCCGTTCTGGCGGTCGTCAAAACTAATGTCACCGCTGTCCGGATCGGTCTGGAAGGGCGAAGATTGTGCAGATCTTGAAAGCTCCGGCACAGAAGAGGACGATGGTGGTGGACTCGCTTCCTGTACAGTATCCAATGTTAGATGCCTTCTGGAAAAGCTTGGAGATCGCCGACCCCGGAATGTCGTCAAATCAGGTTGAGAGAGACCCATGAATCGTTCGGGGATGCGTGGAACTGGTGGAACATCCTCACATGCCGTACGTATGGTATGGAATGTGGATGAACGAGGCAGCCTCACCTTATAGCTAGAGTCTCTGGACCTTAATGCACGTCGTGGTCCATGACTCTTAGTTGGCGTGCTGTCCAGTGTGTCTTTACCTAGCTCAATGTCTGTGCATGATCTGGGCAATCCGACACTACCACTTGAAAGACTACTTTGTCCTGTTGCTTGTGGACTGACAGGCCCCATGAGACGAGTCTGAGTAATTAGGACGTTGGAAGTCATTGTCTCAATGTCTGCATGCTGATTGTTGTGCTTCGTGTTACGTTTTGCTGATTTGACGCCATTATTGACCTTCAGACGACGATCGTGCATGCAGTGCGAATCCAGGACAGCTCTGGAGGACTCTCCTTCTCCATTCTCACTCCTATTTGTTCCTTGTTCATGGGATTGTATTGATTGTATCCTGCCTAGCGGATGCAAGCTTCCATGCCTTTGGATATTTTCTTTCTTTTGTGGTGTCCATCGGCTAGTATTGCGAAAGCCCGGCTTCTGTGGCGTATACGGTACTTTCGATGCATCAGAATTCCTATTCGTACCAACTCTCGGCGTTTTACGCAAAGTCATGAATGACTTCTGTGGTGTTGATTTCAATAGGTTGGGCGTTGTATGTGATCTGGAGGAGGCGTTGGATGGCGCAAGTGTTCTTGGCTGCGCAAATGCAATCCCTGCCTGTATGTCTTTCGTATGCTTGGAGGTGACATCGCGTAGATATTGACGGGGGCTACCGTTGCTTTTGGGTGGACTAGGAGTCGGGATTCTTGTGGGCGTATTGCGAACGAACCGCCTCGCCGTCTGAGGGGGCACTGGTGAAGAATCTGGCCCGTCCATGTTGTTCACAGAGGACTCGGTGCCGTTTCTACTGGGCCGAGGGATATAACTGAGGGTATCTGAACGTATACTTGGACGAGGCGTTCCCTGCGACTCTATATGGGGGAGGTTGAGGTTACTGACGAGGTGGCTGGAGGACTTCACTTGGGAGTCGTGGCATTCACGTTCGCTTGTGGTTGCATCCGTCAACAGTGAAGTATTTTCAACCGTAGGGACCAGTGCGGCAGGTTCTTCTACAGCTTTTTCCCTCTCTGGTGAGTCTCTTAATAGAGGTTGCGAAGCCAGTGACTCTACGTTTGCCGGTTGCTGACCGTGGGAAGTCTTGCGCTGCTGCGACAAAGGGTTTGAGATGAAGTATAATCCATAGCTCAGCTTGCGACGAAATCGTGCTCCGACATTATTCTCACTCGGATCAACGATGCTCTGCTGTTGAACGCTCTGCTTGTTCTTTCGACCTGCCATGGACGATGATGGACTGCCGGGAGTTTCCCAACGAGCCCGCAGTTGCTCGAATCTTTCCCTGTCTGGGTATGTGAGCATTTTGTTGTAGCTAAACAAATGATTGAGTTTGGTTGAACTTACATCGAGAGAAGCTTATGGAGAGCTTGAAGGTGGGTGAGAGAAGGAGGTGAGGATCGCAAGAGTTTTGGAAGGTGCGGCGGATTAGGTCAAACGGGTCGACGTAAACAACACAACAATCAAGACAAGGTGAAGGCAAGTGAAGGCAAACGCAAACTCGTTCACGTGGAATGGGAAAGAGCGCAATCACCTATCTAGCCACACAATCTTGGTTTGTACTTGGTCCTGTATGATGCATGTAATTGGCTCCACTGGTTAGCGTACGAGTACAGTGATTGAGTGTAAGAGAAAAGCATCTATCATTGCTATGAAGGGTATGCAACGCCGTAACCATGGAGTTCGTAACACCACCCAATGCGTCAGTAAAGCTTGAAAATGCTGTACAGCTGTTATCCCAAGCATATGCCTACTCCGAGTCACTATCAATAACAAATCCACCTCTCGTTTGCCGTGCTGCTGGTCTGCGGGCTACGGGTATGTCATCCTCCTCGTCTTCTTCCGCATCTACCACAATCGCACCTTGACTTTTGGTCGCCGAAGGGCTGCCGCGAGCCTCACCGAGACGATCTCCGCTGCTAGCATCGTGAGATGATAACGGGGTATCCATAGCCTCCTCCTCTTCTTCTGCGTTATCGGTCTGCAGGTCGACCTCATTTTCATCCGAAGATGCCCCACTGCTCACATTCACAACCTCATCTTCCCCATCGCTACTATCATCCGTGTCGAATGGCCTGGATCTTCTTTTTGGTGGCGATTTCCGTCTCTTGCTCTCTCCTTTTGGTTGGCCGTTCATTTTTCGCTTCCTCGACGTTTCGGATTCATCACCAGCAATCGCCACCGACTCTTTGAACTTTGCCAAGGTACCTTCGCGAATGGCCTTTTCCCGCTCAAAAAATTCTCGATCCCGCTCATCATCGGTTTCGTCGTCAGAATCATGCACAAACATGGTACTCTTGACTTTCCGCAATTTCTCAATCTCCTTCTTTCGTCGAGCATCAGCACGTGCTGCTTTCTCTTCATCGTCAAGCTCCACGGGAGTTCGCTCTCGTCGGCGTCGTGTTAGCTTTTTCTTCTTTCTAGTTGACGTTCCAGCTGTTGGAGCATCGAGCGCGTACTCTCCGCGATCCTCTTCTGAATCGTGATCGATGCCGTCAGAGTCATCGTCGAAATCCGCCTTACGTCTACTGGATTGACGCGCTGCGGCAGCCTTGCTTCGAAGAAAGTCCTCAGCAGACTTTCCGTCTTCGTAGGTTGGGGGGTCGAATTCGAACTTGCGGATCAGATCGATGGAGCTCTGAAGGTCTGCAGCACTAAGTGACGCAGGAATGAGCCAAGCGGCGTCTGGGTCGCTCTGCTCCCCTAGCCTGGTAAATCCCACGAGCTTCAGGAGCAACCGAAGCTTGTTGTCCTTGAACATTGCTATACGGCGCTCTTCGTTGTCGGCTTTGACCCCTGTACACTATTAGTATCAAAATAAGTCAGTCCATATCAGGGGTCTACTCACAGATAACGGGAGGTTTAGGTGCCTCTTCCTCCTCTCCGGCATCTGGAAGTACGTCGCTTTCTGCTCGTTGAGCTGCTTCGGTTTCTTTACGTGCCGCTTCCATCTCTTCCCAACCCTTTCGCTCCTCGACCGCGGAAGAAAGAACATCTCGCACCCACTGCACAGAATCCACCTTCTGTTGGTTCACTAGCACACTGACAGCAACACCAATCTCATCCGACTTTTCCATGCCAGGCTTGACTTCAAGTTCTGCAGGTGCACGTGGGGTCCGTGTCGGCAACTCCTTGTCGTGTCCATGCTCTAAGAAATATATTGTGGCTGGTATTTTGCTGAACAGCATTTCGACGATGAGTTCTGGTCGGTCCTGTACGCGCTTGACCACGGATCGGAAGAAATGCCTTATGAACTCTTCCCACTCCTTGTACGATGGCGACGCGGGATCCAGACCTTCTGGGCCCTTGATCATCTTATTGAAAAGATGAAGAATGTCAACCCGGTACAGCAAAACGCCTATCTCCATCTTGAAGGCTGCTCTGTAGAAGAAACGATGCGCACGCTTCAACTGCTCGTGGTTGAGCTCCCTGAAGAACTTGGTGAAAGCAACAAAGGTGTTCACGCTGCTCTGATTCACGAATTTGGCTGAAAAGCGAGCAAAGTCGAATTTCCGTTCTGTGCTCGTTCGCTGAGCTTCCGCGATATCCTCTGTTTCCGATACGTGTCCCTCTTCACCTTCTACACCTTGTGCCTGATCATTCTTTTTCTTAATTTTTCGCGCGCGCTTTCGAGATCGAACTTGCAAGTCGACATTCTGCTTTGCGTATCGCTCAAGCATACGTAAGAAGACATGCGATAGCTCTGTGCAGGCATCCAAATAGCCGAAACCTTGGTCCTTATATGATCGAAGGATCTGAACGACTAGATCGTGGGTTGACTCTTCGTAGAAGATACGATTCAGAATGTTTTCTGCAATCTCCTGATCTTCCTCCAATCCGGCTTCGGACATCTCTTGTACAGTCAATAAGATTTGTGTGAAGCACTTCATGCCCGCATTCAGGTCCTGCCATGCTTTCTCGCTCTGACTCTTGTGCGTGAATCTATTCAACAGAACGAATGTCTTCTGGTTCATGACCTCCGCCACCAATCCGTAGCTTTCGTCCTCGGCTGTCAAGACTTCCGCGCTTTTTGGATCGGCTGCCCGCTCTTTGATCGTCCGTCGTCGTGCACATTCTGCCTTGAGAAACCAAGATACTAGATAGAAGTATTGTCGTGAGTGTCGTATCTCGACTCGTTCGGTTTCACGCTCCATGGCTTGTCTGATATGTAGGAACAGCGGATTAAAGGAGGAGTCAAGAAATTCCTCGACAAAAGCCTTCAAGCTTTTGCGCGCCGATGAAGTCAATCCAATGGGAAGATCGAACTCCTCCCTTTCGTCGTTTTCATCTTTCTTGCGCCTTCCACCTTTTGGTTTGTTCCACTTCTTCGTTGTATCCATCTTTTCCATGCTCTTTTGTGCTTTGCCTAGAACATCCTGCCCCGAAAGCGTCGATACCTTCTCGTCATCACGCTTGATCCATATCATAGTCCCAAACCGGTTGTGCCTGGTGGGAGCAGTCCGCGCGTAGCTAGCCAGCATCGCCTTCTCCTTCGATATCAGATCTTTTAGTTCGGATGTGTTGCTTGAATTCAATTTCTTTTCTTCCATGAATAGCTTCTCGGCATCTACACCTTTGAGCAGAAAAAAGAGGATCTCAAGAAGGACGACGTCCTGGTTCACAAAATCCTCCCCGATAGAAGATGCGACACTCAATATGACCTGGAAGATATCCTGCTCCTGGAATGTATCTATGGTGGCTGATCTCGAGACTTCCGCTTCGTCTATGTCCATGGGCACACTCTTCGGTGGAGCAAGCATTGCAATGTTACGTATGAAATAAAGGGCAATTCGAATTACTCCTTCGTCTCGTTGGGACCGCTCACGCAGAGGAACAGCCATGGAGGGGAGAGCAATGCGTACGGCGGTCTGTAGTATTCGGGCGCGATCGAAGTGTAATATAGCACGCTTGTAGCCAATCTGAGCCAGTTCGAGGTACGGACCATGACGGTATTGATGTGCGGTAGCCTCGAGAGGATCTATTTCGAAGGGCCAGGTGAGGGGTACGAGGATTTCCACTGTTGTTTGTTAGAATTGTACCACAGCTCGTCACCAAGGACACCTACAGCATGCAACCGCAAGTTTATGTTTCAATGTATCGTGAACCCGTTCTGATATTTTCGCCAGGATCTCCAGTAAGTCACCCTTCACCAGATTTGCCTCTGCCATGGATCGTGCCACATCTCGCCTGTTATGTTTTGCATCCACAAGTTTGAGCCACTTCCTCAAGTCCTTCAAACACACCATAGCATCATCTCCGAGTGCATATGTGCCATCGTCGCCAATTCCACCGAGCTGCAATGACCAATTAGTGGTAGTTTTGGGGACATCTGCAATAGGATACTCACAGCAGAGACGAGACTGTAGATATGTGCGCGAACCTCCGGATCGACCAGAGGATCCCTCGCCCATTCATCCAGTGTAGTCTGCGCCATTGTCGTGGTTGACGTTTTTACAAGGAGTTGGTTATCAACTGACAACGACAATGCGTCCCACACTCAATAGACCATTACGGGTTAAGACGCGTCGCGCCAGACGCGTAAAGTGATAAATTTAGGTGCAAAGGAAGCAAACACGCCAAGACCTGTGGCTGCGGGTAAACGATCCCTGCCTATGTTTGCCCACCTGTGCCACACCCTGGTTCCCGACGTCATTGGACCTCGGTCGGTTGTAAACGGTCTAACAAAACAGTTCAGTTCGATTAATTGAGTTTCACATGTCCACCGATCCTTTACAGCAATTTTCTGCCCAAACCTCCGTCTTTGTTCACACGACAAAATGTCCATGTCTTCGGTCTCCAGGAATGTGCTTCGTTGCGTGGCAAAGCGACAATGCCGCAGCTTCAGCTCCACACCGTCTGTCGGAGCAGCTGCCGAGGTCAAGAAGCTTGGGGTTATCGGTGCGGGACAAATGGTGCGCAGATCTTGCTCATGAAATAGAAACGAACGAGCAATTGACATTTCCAGGGACTCGGAATAGCTTTGGTAGCCGCGCAAAGAGCGTCTCTTCCCGTCAAGTTGATCGACAATTCACAAGTATCAATCGACAAGGGCCTCAAATTTGCAGATAAACTACTTGAGAAGGACGTGGCCAAGCAAAGAATCTCTAAAGAGGATGCCGCTGCTGCTTGGGGACGCATCACCTCCGGCACATCTCTGGAAGACCTTTCCGATGTCGACTTTGTAATCGAGGCTGTTCCCGTATGCTGTCCTCCCATTCAATTGATCGCTTTCGTGGTGAGTTGACTCTGTTAACATGGCATAGGAAATCCCAGACTTGAAGTCAAAGATCTTTTCCCAATTGGCTCAAATATGCCCCTCTCATGCGATCCTCGCAACGAACACTTCCTCGATTTCCATTACCAAGATCGCCGCATCCACCACCACAGATCCTACTGATTTGTCCGCCTCGTCTCGCGTAATCAGCACGCATTTCATGAACCCCGTGCCCATCCAGAAGGGTGTGGAGATTATCACTGGCCTGCAAACATCTCAGGACACCATCGACACCGCCATTGAGCTCTGCAAGAAGATGGGCAAGATCCCTTCAACAAGCGCGGATTCACCCGGATTCCTGGCCAACCGTATTCTCATGCCATACATCAACGAGGCTATCATCTGCTTAGAGACCGGCGTAGGCACCAGGGAAGATATTGATAGCATCATGAAGAACGGAACAAATGTCCCTATGGGCCCTCTTCAACTTGCCGACTTCATCGGCATCGACACCTGCCTCTCCATCATGAAGGTTTTGTACAATGACACTGGCGACTCGAAGTACAGGCCTGCTGTGCTCTTGAAGAAGATGGTGGATGCAGGGTGGCTGGGCAAGAAGAGTGGTAAGGGCTTTTACGACTACTAGAGTCAAAACATAATATATCAAAACTTCTTCTACTACGCTGAAATGGCCCCCAGGAAGAAAAACACTTTGTCAATGGGGAAGTGCGTTCCTTACTCGTATGCCATTATCTCCGCGCCCTGAAGTGTTCGTACGTAGGGTTTTAGAAGCACCTACTAAAGCCTCTCAAACTCGCTTGGTAAACTCTCTCCCTTAACCCAAGCCGATACGCCTTGAGCAAAGAGCTCTGGTAACTGCAAGTCCCACGCATGTACTGCCTCCCTCAACACAACTGCACCAGACCCATCATCAGGCCACGCCTCGTCCTGGATAGTCCGTCTGCTTCTCAATGCATCGGCCGTCTTCTCTATCATCGGCACGTCATCCCCTTTCGCACCCGCGATAGATAGAGTCCGGACCTTCAACTGTCGCACTTGATCCAAACTGAACGCCGTGATCCACGGGAACATATCCAGCATCAGCTCCCAAGTGACATTGGCCCTCAGTTCTGCTATCAATTCGCTGCTAACATTTAGGCCTTGGTACCGAAATACCCACTCGGGGAGCCAATCCAGCATAATTCTCATACTATAATAGGTAAATCTTGGCCATTTCGACATCAACGCGCGTGCACCAGCAACTGGAGCAGCACCTGATACAAAGAGCGAGAGTACAAGGTCGGGCTGGTCCAACGCTAGGCATTGGCCTATGAAGCCGCCCATGGAGACACCAACAACATGAGCTTTTCCGCCGTGGGCGTGCGACTGAATGAGTTGTGCGACATGCCGGGCAGAGTTCTCGGTTGTGCCCGGTTTGATATGGCGTGATGTGGAATGCAATGGTAGGTCGGGCAGAAGGACGTGGAAGTCAGAGAGGTGCGGAAGGACGAGCGCATACTCGAGACCACAGCTGAAGCCACCGTGGAGAAGGATAATAGTTGTCGGCTTGTCGTCATTCCAGGAGGTAAATGACAATGTTGCGGCGGGAGAGTCTGCTGGTAACGATGAGGCCATGGCGACCAATGCGAAGATAGACAATCTTTGAGCGGGAGATAATAAGCGCAAAGATTCAGACCTTCTTATACATGCCAACGCTACCTACGCTCAAGCGCGAGGCTCTTGTGAGTAGAGTCTAATTGGCAAGGGGAATTGTCGTGCGATGTGAAGGAAGCATTGGTCCGGATCCGAAAGACCCATGCAACCGAGCCGCCCCAGACTCCGCAGAAGTGTAACCTCGCACTTTCTATCCATTATAGGTTCTCAGGTTTCAACTTATAATTTCCTCCTAAAATTTAACTAGACACGCAAATTTCTATAAATAAATGTCTTTCATAAAGAGCCCATTTGATATGTGTCTTACCATAAACCCTTTATGAATTTACTACAGGGTAGGTAGTGCGAGTTGCGCAGCAGTCATACCTCAAACGAGGTGTAGGATATTGCCAAGTACTTTTAAGGCAACCCATGGGCCATCGTTACAAGCAAAAGCATCTATAAGAACAAGGGAAGGAATGGACTTTGGTGTGATGAAGTTGGTGGTCTTACCTGGTCCCTGTACTTCCTAAGAGGTCGTCTTAAAGCAGAAGAGGTCTTCACCTAAGACAGATGAACTTTCATGATAAAGTAACAGTTCACAATTACGACCATTCTAGGGCTCAATACACATCTAAAATACTAGGAGGTGCTCTTTACAACGACAACACGAAGTAGAGTCGTAGGATGAGGCGGAAGCATTTGGAGATCTGATCAACAAAGTCCTAATAGGCCTTACTCTATCTCCACTGCATTCTTTCAAACCCATTATCACTTTGCGCGATCTCTCCATCTTCCGCAACTACACATCCATAGTAATTCAATGTTGAAGAGAATCGTAGTATAGCTTTTTATCTGTTGAATACTGCTGTTGTTTGAAAGCAAGGCAGTGTTTCCAAAAGTGATGATATTTCAAAAGCCCATAGTGACCAGGCTGATATCGTTCGATTCTACCAAGAGACGTATTAGAAAATCTCTATTTTGTCTTCCCTTGTAAACAATCTCGGACACATATCGCTCTAGTAGGGAACGAATGATAATTGTTGGATTCTCTTTGGCCTGTGGAGAGCCTCGTCACATTGATATTGAGACTGATGTGCGGCTGTCGAGGACTAGAAAACAACAGGGGTGCAATTCCATTCTGGCATAAATGTTAGCATTCGTTCTCTTGATATATGGGTACGCACAAGTTCCAATATATGTGAGTTATTCGTCATTTCGTTGAGGTATTCGTTGTAAATTCTCTCCTTCCTTAAAGGGTGCCGGCAGGGTACAACATTTGAATGCATAGGAGATGAGAGTAAAATATTTAACATTTTATTAATGTGATTAATTTTGTACCAAAATCAAAGAGAGAATCAATTTAGTAGTAAGAAGAAGAGACATTAGTACAAATTACCATCTCATCAGAATATCCTTCACCAAGTGCTTCACCTGAAACGCCGTTTCCAACAGAGCAAGCCTCATATCCTCTGACCCAAGAACCATCACGCGGCTTCTTCTTTCCCTCCCCTGAGTCTAGACTTCAGGAGTGATCGTTCGCCGCATCGGCGTTAACATCGGCTCCCTCTTTCTTGGAGACAATCCCACAGGCGCTATCAACCAAGGTTGGAAGCTCTGAAAGGAAAGGCAAGGCCATCCCCCTCGTCAATCTGGCACCCTCTTCAGGGCCCCTCTCATCATCGTCCGAAGACGCAAATATTCCAGTATTGTACCTCCTCCACTCGGGGAGGCCATTGCTCATTCCGAAGCCCTCCAGTATGAGGTCATCGGTGTCGAGATCAGAATCTTCCATATTGTCGATGGTCTCATCCCGGGAAAAGTTCTCCCAGGCGAGCTGTTGGGAAGATAGGCTCTTTGTGATCGAGCGATTGTCTTCCAACTGCTTTGGTTGGGAAGGTGTGTACCGTTGGTCGACGTCCGGTACCTCAATCCCATCCATGATGGCCCTGACTCTTTGGGAAGCGGCAATCTTGGGGAAAATCGGAAGTGGCGAGCGTGGCCGGTTGTCGTTGCTTTTCCAGTGACGGAGACGGGTCAATGGGGGAGCTGCGTCGATTTCTTCTTGGGTAAGGATTGGATCATGAAGATTTCTTGCAGGCTGCGCCTCCATTCCGTTCTGGCTCTCGTTTTCGCTTCCTTGGTTTCTGGGTCGGGCTTGCGGGATTATGAGTGACAACCCGATTTTCTTCATCTTGATCTTCTTCGCCTGGGGAGTATTGCCGTTTGGGGAAGTGGGTTGTTCGCCCATCGGTTGTGGTGTCGAATCTGTGGAAGACATTAGCATTGTTGGAGCTGGTGATGAGGAGCACTCACCTGATACTTGTGGTCTTTTCGATTTAGATGCCCGACTTCCGGCCACTGGAGTCTTACGGGGCCTGTTGGTGTGTTTGGCTGGTATTTTGTCCATGGCTGTTGACAGTTGTATCGGGAGTTCTGAGGCAAGCGGTACTTTGAGATGCACTGATGATAGGCTTTGCTGTTGCAGTGTGGATGAACAACGAGTTGAGTTGAGTTGGACTTGCGTCTCTCTTTCTTATAGGGAGAACACGGGTCATGGGGAACCGGAAGCAATTCAACAATTTGAACCCAACAAATATTGACGATGATGGTTGTGAGTCACGATATCATAGTTTTCCTTTCACTCCCAATACCGATCAATCTCACGCCTGCCGCTTTTGTGCAGCTGCTTTGTAAGTCGGGGCAAGCACCCGCTCCATCGCTAGAGTCTTGTAAAATGTTTGAAGCTGGTGCAGTTCCTCCTCATGCTCCTATTGGGCTCAGTGCTAACACCCAGGTATGGAATATTACTACATGTAACGAAGCCATCATATCGTACACAAAATTGACACTACACAGTAAAACGCATAGGGAGACCTTAACTGGATTCTAATTCGAAGGCAGCCACGATGCCCATTTATTATCTTCAACATAACAATAACGATGCAACACAAAATATAGACAATTCATATGTGACCTTCAAAACTACTATTACATTTTGGCATCACTTGATGAAACTCATGACCAACGTACAACTAGATGCAACCTAGAATGTTCTCTTAGATCACTAGCTGAGTACAGGATGCTTTCGGTGACTCATGGGCTGATATTGACTTAAGAATCATCCTCCGAGCCATTCTCATCCCATGGCATCTGGCAACCGCATGGCCATTGGTTAGCCAATAGTCCAGGGCACATCTCCCTGAACTCTGTCTCTGACCACTACCCTTTCTCAAGCATCTCAAGATTTTCCTCCATGATTTGGCGACCGATACCAGTGTAAAGACTGGGGCCATTCCCTAAACCCATCGTTCTCGCTCGGAGTCTCATCCGTGCTTCCCTGGCTTATGGTAAGGTAGCTGGGCTTACAACATGTTGACGGCGCTCTGAACCCCCTGAGATGGCTTAGTTGACAGTTCGGGGGTCTTGTCGACCTTCAGTGGCTGGTCCCTTTCCGCAGAGCCTGCAACCGTGGGACTGCCAACCAGGTCAGATATCTGCTCGACTCTTAAAAATTAATCGCACGTTGAGGGACACGTTGAGGGATGGGGCGCTTCGGGCGCGTTGGAGGCTGGTGATTGCTCCAGGCTCTTGGTAGATGCAGCAATCGGCTGCGCAGTTGGAGGTCTATTACTCGTCAAAAATTCTAGGTCCTTGATTGATTTCAGCTTTGACCGCTGGATTTGAACTTCCCTTTTTTGGCAATCAGAAGGCCCTCGAGGTCCTTTCTCTTGCTACATTCGCTCTGCATTGATCGAACGCTTGGGTTCAATGCTCTGTTCCTGATCATCTTGAGCAGCTTGAGTAGATTTGCCAAATGCGGGTTCCTCCACCCACTTGGATGATCCATCGACAGATCTTTGACTTTGTTTACCTCCGCATTTCCTTATACTTCTCCTCACCAGCATGAGACCTCACGATCTAACGAGGACCTAGTAGGGAACGCTTCTCCAGGTGCTCGGGAGTGCATAGCTTTCGCTTTCTTCCAACGTGTTCGTAATGTGGGAGGAGGATGTCACCATGTTGAGGAGATTCCGTGCTGGAACTTGTTGAGTCGCTAGTAAATCGTGAGTCAACACTGGCCCTGTTCGCGTTGTTTACGGCAGCATGGTTACTCTGTCGAGGCATTTGGGACGGTAGCGTCGTTGTCGCAGGAATTGAGTCACCACTGATCATCCCAGCTTTTCGGTCCATGTATTGGGGACTCATGATGATAGAGGTGATGAGGAAGATGTTAAGCGTGTGGAAGAATTGTTGTCTTGTGAGGAGCTGATGAATAGTGAGGAAGTGACGCTTGATGAGGAAGGACAAGACAGTGAACAAGTATAGGGGGAAGGAGCTGGATGTAGCATTCAATACCCAGAGTCACAAATCTGAAATAAATCTTGAAGGGCTTTACTTCAACAAAAAATATTTCGCCGCTATATTGCGGGTTGATATTTTACATGATAATCTGGGTGGATGGAACTAGGATACAGCATAACCATATCAACTGTGAATTGGTCTCGAATTCTCACCTTGAGGATATTGTATGTTTTAAAATAAACTCATTCTAGGAATTACTCCTAATGATTATAGAAACAGAATGTGCTAGGGGAGGCTCATCACATATTCCCTCTCTTCTATGGAATTGGGACAAGGCATATCAATGTCAACTGTAGAAACGGCTTCAAATTTGAAACATTGGGTGGTTTTTGTCTAAATGTATCAAATTCGATTGAATGAAGAGGAGATTCAAATGCTATAGAACAGATTGTATTCAGATTTGGGTATTGAGTATTAGATATTGAATGACAAATGAACTATCAAACAGCAAAGCAGAACACGGTAGAGTCTTTGCTCAATACCGGAAATTTACCAGGTTTCCGTACCGGTCGTACTTCCGAATGAAGATTCCTCCATCTCTCTTCATTTGGAAGTTCTTTGCAGTCCTCCAATCAGCCTCCTCCTCTTCCTTCTCCTCGTCACCCTCCTCGTCATCCTCCTCCTCGTCATCCTCATCACTTACGCTCTCCCCTCCATCCGAGCCTCCAGACATATCCATGGATATGTCTTCGCCCTCTTCGACCTTGACACGGACACCCGCTGATGCGGGGCCGTTGGCAGTGCCCGTCGCCTCACTGTTGGCGACGGTTGCCTCTTTGGCCGCCGGGAAGGCGACCTCTTGCTTTGTTGAGGCCACTCCTTTGCCCTGGAGTGCCTCGGCCTTCATGCGTTCTCTTCTCTCAGCGTGGCATCGCCTGAGAGCAGCTCGGCGGCCAGCAGCTCGTGCTTCCAAGGTCTTTTCCGCCGGCACCTTTGGGAGTTCAACTCCCATGGCAGTTTGAACGGAATGAGCCATCTGTAGGTGACAGTCAGTCAATTTTCGAATACAGCTGCTTCAAGAGGCCAGTACTTACTGTTATGTGTTTGTGTGTGTTTGCGTGTGTGTGTGTGATGGTGGTGGTGATGGTGTTGAGTTGATTGTTTTGTGGGAGCTGTGGTGAGAGTTGTGGTGAGTGGTGAGGTGATTGTGTTGGAAGATTTGTGTTCGCTGTTGTGTGGAGCTGTGTTGGGATGAAGGAAAGAGAAAGAGAAGGTGGATTCATCTCCCTTCATATACACCAGAAGTTCGTCAACAGAAGTCGATTGTTGAGAAGGTAGGTTCCGTCGTCAATTGGATTTCGTTGTTGAGAAGATCAGTCACAGTTCCAAACCGTGGTAGATGATGAACCGCAGAAATTCCAAAGAATCAATAAACGTGAGGGCAATAAACGTGAAGGGTACCTGTCGGTGACGATCGGTTGGTAGTGATCGATAGATCTGATTGGTATTTGGGGACTTTGAAGTACCAAGAGAGTATCGAACTCAATATGTGATGGGTTCTGGTCGTGGTAGTTTCGCACCTTTATTGTCATATTTGATGCTTTCCAATGTCTTGCTCTAGTCTGGTCGCCTTCACGTTGTCTAAACACTGAACAGTTGAGACAAAAGTTCACAGACCAACGAAGCCTCTTCGGAAAACACACGGAGGTTTGGAACGCATTTGGGCTACCACTGCCTGGCCTCTACATCCATTTTTGGTGTGGTAGGAAGCCCCTTCCGTGATGACCACTACACAGTTTGCACTGCCTCAAAACTCTGGCTCTAAATCTTGTACAATGAAAAAATTGACCAGTATAGAAGATACTACTAGAAAATACACAATACGACTTGTCATTGCAGACTAAAGACTGAATGCAACCGCGAAAATCATTATAATAGATACTCTATTGTCTCGGTTTCGGTAAACAGCTCTGAGCAAAGATTATTGTAGTTGATACAGTGATTTTTGAATAGATTATTGAAAAGTGAACTAGATATTTCTAGCTACCTCATGTAGCGCCCGTGTTGAGCCCTCACCATTACGATGACAAGTTGATGGTTCTCCTGTCTTGAAGCGTGATCCCATACAGCATCAGTGCACCCCACATCTAGCATGCATGGACGTTTTGGACATCTTGAGATTCCCCAAGCTTGGGCAAGTAGAAATTACGTAGACTTCAAATGGAGACCTCCCAGAAACAAAACATTTGAGCTATGATGTATGAAATAGCGAACTGTTGTCTTAGCAGTGAATACGCATACAATAACAAGCGCCAAGCCCAGGAGGTTGGATGTCGGTAAAACTAAACGCCGACGCATCTCGGGGGTGTTTGCGGCGTTTGGAGCATGGATTGGCCATGGGGGCAAAAGGTCTAACTTTCCAGACCAGACACGGAGGCCTACAGAAGTAAAGCACACGACACATCAACACCCCTTTTCGCTACCACATAACTTATCAACTAATTTACTTGCTTTTCTCCTTCTAACGACCGTCACGTACATCTATCGAATATATCTCGACTTCTCCTCGCTGCCTGTTCGCCCCCTACTCTCCGAGCGGCGACGAGTCCTGAAAGCGAACCAACGTCCGACACAAAGGGTTACAGAATAAAGACGACAATATGGGTGCCGTGTTCTCATCGCTGAAGAACTTGATGTACGGGAAGAAAGAGATCAGGATATTGATATTAGGACTTGTATGCTTGCAGCGCGACCACCACTCGACCGGACGGCTTCGCTGATGACAAATGTGCAGGACAATGCGGGCAAGACAACTCTCCTCTACAGACTCAAGGTGCGATGATACTCGAGCAGGATTCCGGTCCACGAGAACTGACGTCTAGTCAAAGATCGGCGAGGTCGTAACAACAATACCAACAATCGGCTTCAACGTAGAATCAGTAGCGTACGGCAAGCTCAACTTCAATGTCTGGGTAGGTCAACCAACATATCAGCGATGATCCGACTTCCCGTTTCTAATATTGCCTCTCCAGGATCTCGGTGGCCAAACATCCATCCGCCCCTACTGGCGATGCTACTATGCGAACACTGCCGCCGTCGTCTTCGTGATCGATAGCACCGATATCGACCGTCTCCAGACCGCCGCCGAGGAGCTTTCTGCCATGCTGAACGAGGACGAGCTACGCGACGCTGCGCTACTCGTGTTCGCGAACAAGCAGGATCAGCCGGGCGCGAAGGGTGCCGGCGAGATCTCAGAAGCTTTGCGCCTCGGCGAGTTGAAGGACCGCAACTGGAGTATCGTAGCTTGCTCAGCGATCGATGGGCGCGGTGTCACGGAAGGCATGGATTGGTTGAGCGTATGTCGACTCCATCCCTATTTGCGAAAATTACACGAGCTAATAGATATTCAGTCAACTGTCAGCGCTGAGAGCTGAGTACGCAGGCAGATATAGCAACGTAGGTTGGGTTCTTGGGGACGCGGCGATTGTTATCAACAGCATGGAGGCGTTACGGGCGTTTCGCATCTCTCGTAAGAGGGGCTTACAACAACAACAAGGAGGGAAAGTGTCGATTTATCTAGACTTCATGCGCGAGAGTTATACATGAATTGGAAGTGCTCTGATTCCATGGCCACTTCTGGTGAAATTTTTCGAGAATACGTATACGATGATGTACAACGCTTTATCTACAGTACTTAATCTTCAATCCCAACATAGAGACCTCACTATATCATTCTCATACATGCATGCCCAAAACATGTCCCTGCGAGATATCCTCCCCAAATGTACCCAAGGTATCAGAAATAATATCCATCAAACTCCATCGCCCATGATGCACCCAATCCTAAGCCATGCCCATAGTATCGTCTAAAAGGAGAAAAGAAATCCAGAATCCCACAACAGAACCGGGAAACACCTAATAATGCTCCCACGTCCCAATGTGGCTTCCCAACACTCTCGTCTTTGTCCAATCGACCCCGTAACTGTACGGCGCAAGAACGGGTTCCTCATCGATACCGCAGTGGTCGTCGCCGTCTCGCCCGCTGAACCAACCCAACGCGTACGTCTTGCCTTGCTTCTCGAGATGCTTCGTCATCTGCGTGCTATCATATTTCTCTGCGTCAACGAAATTGACAAGCATCTTCGACTGGTGGATGAACGCGAGGACGGAGGCGATGGTGCCGATCTGCCTGGGCATGAATTTCTGGGAGCGGCGCTTGAGGGCCAGGGCGGCGATGCAGATGAGGACGATGAGGATGAGAATGACGAGCATGAAAGAAATCCAGAAGGAGCGGAAGGTCTCGCCGCTGTTGTAACGGTCGTGCGGGTCATCGTCGTGGTCCTCTTCCCCGCCGTTGCCGGGAATAAACTTCTTACCGTCGACGGTGAAGGAGGAGACGCAGACGGTTAGAATCTCGGTGAGGATCGAGCCCATGCCCACGGCGGCGACGAGGTAGTGCCTGTTCATGAGGGCTTTGAAAGGGAGGAAGATGGGATTCGTGCCGGTGTAATCGAGGGTCAGAGTTTTGGCAGGGGCGCGTCGGTTGGACAGGACGTAGAAGGGTTCTAACATTCGAATGGCACAGTTCATGGCTCCCCAGAGAAGTTTGACGATCGTTGCGAGGGCGGTGAGGAGGAAGGGGAGCTGTTCTGTTACTGTGTTCGCACCATCGACAAACATGAAAACGGGAATCGAGGCCGTGAAGGCTACGATGTAGCCTATGAATGGAATCCCCGCTATTGGCCTCAACATCATAGGCCGTGGGTCGGACCCATGCTCGTGAATCCTCTCTTTACTATTCCGGATATATTCTCCCTGCCATAAAGCGCTCTTGTGGAGAATGTATCGGCGATGCCGAAGTTGCTTGTGAATCTTGTTGAGGGGTGCTGTGTCCAATCCGTGAAAATCCGCTAGAATATGACTCCTTGTGGCCATGGCTGCGACGCCAGCAATACCCTTGGGGTCAGATAGAAGTCCACTTTTCCGACGCATCTCGTACATCAGTACGGAACCACATATGGCCACGAAAACCAAGCAAGCGGTCACAGCTCTTGACCAGGGAGGGTCGATCCGTATCGATTTCCAGTCCTCGGCTTTGCGATCTTTTTGCTTCGGGTAGATGTTGACAGATGCTGATTGCAGCACAGGCACCAGACTGCTGGCGATCAGTGTCGCAAGCGATATGTAAATTACAGCATACTGCTTGTGCCGGAGAGCCCTTAGCGGCACAAGCCATGACATGAACGTTACATAGTCCATGTTAAGAGACTCAGCAGCTGTGGCACCACTCTTCTTCGATAGTTGGTAGAAGGGCTCCAAACGCTTGACTTCGAAGTCGGTAATTTGCCAGAGAATGCCGTATATGACGAAAAATAGCACGGGTGCGTATTTCCAAGTGAAATATTCCAGAACAGTGAGGTCTCCAGGCTTTTTGAACCTAATCAGGCCGTTGGTTTCATCTTCCCTAGATCTTTTCATGGACAGTTGACAGAGGAACTCTTGCACTCCGGCGAGTATAAGGGCGATGATGACGAGGAATGAGAGCCAAGGCCAGCCCATGGAGAATGGTCGCCATGCGGGCATATCTGGATCTGCAAATAATCAGCACACTGCAAAATCCAATTGCCAAACTGTGACTTACCTTCAGGGAAGTAATAGCTGGTCTTTGACCCGTCGTCGTTCTGATTTATGGTAAGTGCGCTGCGCGTCTCGAAGTCTCCTCCTCCAAAGGTGTCACTGATATCGATGGGGACATCCGCAACAGCGACAATACCTCCAGATTTCTCTGCCTCTTGTTGCGCTGCTTCATTTGCAGTGAAATCCGAATTTGAGATGCCTCGCTTGTGGCCAATCTTTTGCTCTGGTGCTCCCGGTTTGTGTGTGAATGGCACCTCGACAATGGAGGACATTCCTGCACCTAGTTGGGCCTCCAGCCGTTCGAACTCGGCAGCGTAGCCAGCTTCATTCAGCTGGCGTTGCTGTTCAAAACCATCGGCCACTGTTTGTTTCTTCTGTCCGGTCGAGCCAAAGCTCTTCATTGGTAGGCCATCATAGCCGCTAAGATCGTACCCAACAGGCTCCTCAACCTCTTGAACTCCTCTAAGCCGTACCCTTCCGCTTTCCTCATCGTCTAACCTATTGTACTCCCCTCCTCTTGCGCGCGCACTTCGCAAGGATGTGAGCCTATTAAGAAGTCGTTTAGTCCCGCTAGCTTGGGAAACCTGAGAAGACTGCTGGTCGAAATGGTCGGGGGTGGAATTGTAGGACGTATCCTCGGAGAAGGAAGGAGGCGCGGGCGCGCGGGGTATCCTATACGATGTATCGGATGCTGGTATGAGAGGCGAAGGATATGAAGTTCGCCGTGAAGAAGGGATATCAGGGCTAGAAATGACTGAAGGTGGACGCGAGGGAAACAGCTGGGAAAGTCTATCGGAACCTGAGGTGTTCTTGCGGGTCAAAGGTGGTCGGCTGGGCAGAGGCGGGGTGCCTCGATCAATGGCCGGCGATCCTGTCCTGAGTGCTGTTGGAACTGAATCGGAGGACGTATGTCTTGACTGCGCCGGAGATCCGACCTGGAGGGGCGAGGGAACACCTTCCATTGCTGCTCCAGGTCTATCTGTGCCTCAGTGGGGTTCGTTTGCGTATGCGCAAGGCTGAACTATTCTGGGATACGCCCACTAGGAACACAGCGAAGTAGCCCTTGACACAAAATGGTCGAGTGAATAGACTTGGATCCTAGGCCATAGGCACATCTAAGGATATGAGGGAAGAGGAGTGTCGACGACGAACGATCAAGAGGTATTGCGAGGGGAAAGTGATTGATCGTAGGACAGACGCATTGTACCTGGAACCATACAAGTACAATAACTAATACAGCCTTGTTGTTGTACAGCCGCCAATACGAGGTAGTCACAGGGTTGTGGAGCCTAGCGAAGACCAGGAGAGGAAGCGTTATGCCTGACCGGTCACCATAGGTAGGAAGTGTTAGAACAACGTCGAGGAGGAGCCACCCAGAAAGGAGGATGGATTCAAAATTGGGGAAACCGCCCTTCGCTGCGGTGCAACTTTCAGCCCGGTAGCCAGTCTTGTCCCACAACAGCCGAGCCGACAGGCATTAACGCCAGGAACTTGACTTGGGGGGCCCAATACCAGGTTGGCGGGCAGGGGAAATCGTGGAGTAATAGAGCAATCAGAGCTCAATCAAATAATGCCTTGCACGTTGTTGATGCAGACCGTAGACGACAAGGTGTTCCAGATTTCATTTTATCATTTCGAGCTGCTTTGGAGAAGATCGTCAAGTGTGCGAGATACTTTCCAAAAATATAATTTGATCCAGCCGCAGACGAGGATTATTGAGGCTTGAGGCGTCGGGCGCCGGTACTGATTGCTTGATCTAGCGCCTCGACATGGGTGGGCCCCTATTGGGGGCTGAAGCACTTGTGACCTGGTGCAGCGCAGGGTAAAAGTCATGATTTCGGGCCTCGTATCGCAAAAACGGCCTCGACATTGTTGATCTCGGGTATGGGCATGTTGGTAATGTTTTGAAAAGCGAGTGACGTTCAGATCATGAAGACGCGGATTACCCTAGGTAGAAATTTCCCCGAACTCCCAAGAATGATTTAATCAATAAGCGGGAGATTCGCGCCAGGATCTTACGGCGCTACAAACTCAGATTACCTGAGATTTGAGAGGCCCTTGAATCTCCTCAGAGTTGAGTTGACGCACTTGAATGACTTTTGGCGCTAACCCGATATCGGCGGAGGAGCCAAGTTATGTCTGGGAGCGATATAACATGTTCAGGCCCCAGGCAACCCGAATGCATAATGAAAGATTGGAGTGCTTAAGTTCGAACGCAACTCAGGGCTCGTATGGGATTTTTGTTTGCATATTTGGTTCAATGACTGACATCTTCATCGACGCCACTGGATTGGGGGCCAGAAAATATACTACAGCATAGTCTCCATTATCTCCAGCAAAGCCGAGGTGGAACAGCTGTAAAAGACAAGTATTAATCAGGCCCGAGAAACGAGGCAATACCTAGCACTGTTAGTCGGTATAACCGGCGTTTCTTTATCAAGCAGCACACCGCGAAACGCATAAATCAACCAGCCACTACAAATTCATTAGGAGTATTCAAGCGAAACGTGCACAAAGTCAATGAAGAACGAGACGGTCTCGCTTTCCTGCTCTCGGGTGCGGCTGAGATGACCTAGAGGCTGAGACAATTTGATCTAGAACGAAGTGGAACGTGGTTTGGTCGCTTCTGGAATTCGGAAATCGGGATCGGAAAAGGAGCGGTTGCCGGCGTGCAAAGCGTAGAGTGGTCGTCTTTCGCATCATATTTTCCCCAACATACATCCATAACACGGGTCGAGTATCCAGGTTACACCATACGAAGCAAATGAAGTTGTCGAAATGTGTCGCGGTGACCTCGTATTGATTCTACAGAGTCCCACTAGGCTGGCCATACGACGTGTGCCATTACGACATCAAGCCGTTGTCTCAACCAAATCTGCATGCTCTTTTTGTTGACCATGAAATGCACAAAGTCCGATCCTTCGGTGAACTCCCTAGTCCAAATAAATTTGAAAGTCGTCATCCGCCGCGCCAGTCGTTCACGTTCACATCCCAATTCCACATCATCATCGACCGGATTACGTTTATCGCAGACGCCTGGCTTCACGCTCGGACTCGAGGAGGCAGAGGATATCGTTCTCGCGGACTGTTGACCTATTGTTAGTCCACAACTTCGCAAACTCGCATTCGGGGAATCTGGTGGGACATGCCTGGGCCCTTGACGTTACGGATGATTGATCGGGTGGTGTCGTCCATGAACCTGAAAAGAATTTCCATCAGCCTTTTATATCCCCAGTAGCCATCATTTTTGTCCAAAAACTTACTCAACGCGGACTTGAGTAACACCACCACGAGATCCAGTTCGACCAAGAACACGGGTCCTAATCATATCATGAGTATTCGTATGTTCGTCTGCGGTACGCTGCATTTTCGCTGTCGTAGAACTCACACTTTGACCAACTGTTAAAGACATTTCGTTAGCGCAAAGTTTCCTTTAACACAATTCCCTGGACAATCGCTCACCTTGACGGGGGCCTTAGCAGTGTCAGCCATTTTTGATGATTCCGATACGGTTTATGGAGTCGGAGGAGGGTTCGAAGATGCGGTCCTGTGGGCTGATAACGGCGTGCGAAGAGATGCGCTCGTAGTGAATTAGCAAAGCTGGTGCGAAATTCGTTAAGCGAGCGGGTGCCAAGTGGTGGCTCGGATTATCTGTCGGGCCGACCTAGTCCGTCGAGAAGCAACTACCAAACAGGACATTGTCAGGACTACAAGTAATCAACATCGTCAGAGCATGAAATCAATTTCGAGGGACTATAATGTTTTGAAATTGCAATCTGTGAGGCGTTTCAAAATCGAACCTGTTTCGCTCATCTTTCACCGGTGCTGGTTCATCAGCATCACCTTTCGCTATATGAGCCCTCGCGCAACACCCATATAGCAGTGAGCCCTTTCAGCATCCTTTTGTGTCTTATATAGACAATATCTATCTATTCAATTTCAATTCGCAGAGAGAAAAAAGCCATTTCGCTTCCCGTTACTCCATATGGCTCGTAGTGTCTTGCTTCAATTCACCATGCGTCCGTGCACCAAGGGCTGAAAAGGGCTGTGCATCGCATCACTTAGAGACGTCGTTCTTAGCATATATACCTAGGTGCTCAAGTGATTCACATAGCTCTACGTATTGTAACAATTCTATTGATTTCTATACGATGTTGTTGGAGAGGCATTGATAAAGAGTCTGTCCCTGATCTAGCAATCCACAGAAGTAAATCCATACTCGTTCCTTACCAAATTTAAGACCATCTCGACTCTACAGAAGCATCTAAGCAAAGTTCAAATCTAACGATCGAATTCGACATCGTTCAAGTAAAAGCTACAATTTTACTAGGGTCCCCAGAAACATTCACATATCCTCAATCATCAAATCAATACCCTCCCATTCCGATCAAGAGGAGAAGAAACAGAAGACAGAAACCCACATCTCACAACTCACAGCCATGACGTCCCCAACTCCATCTCCAGCACAACCTCTAGCACCTTCACCACCGTCTCCTCCGCCATACCGCCAAATCCGCGCCCACCGTCCCACCCCTTCAACCCTAATCGTCTACCAAGCCTACTCCACCACCATCGCCACCGCCGCCGTCGCAGACCAGAACCTCTCCGCGAGCCCCTCCTTCAAAACGACACGCATGACGTGGATCAAACCCTCCTGGGCCTGGGTCCTCTACCGCAGCGGCTACTCATACAAGGACTCGCGACAGTCGCGCATCCTCGCCATCGAGATGACGGTCGATGCGTTTGAGGGGTTACTCCGGAAGGCGGTGGTAGGGGAGGGCAGGGGGCGGGAGGAGGGGAAGGTGAGGGTGCAATGGGATCCGGAGAGGGATGTTTGGATGGGGAAGTTGGGGTTCAGGAGCATTCAGGTGGGGATTCCGGGGGTATTGGTGGAGGGGTGGGTGGAGGGGATTGTGGGGATTACGGACGTTACGGAGAGGGCGAGGGAGTTGAAGAGGGTTGTTGATGAGGAGGGGGAAGTTGGGTTGGGCGAGTTGGTGGAGAGGGGGCTGGTGCCGGTTGAGACGGAGGTTGTGGTGGATGAGGAGTTGAGGGGGATATTGAGGATGGAGAGAGGGAGGGAGGAGGGCGAGGGCGAGGGTGAGGTCAGTTGATTTTGGGGGGTTGATTCGAAATGAATACCCTACGGGATGTATGATTGATGTAATGGCATCACGGAATGTCGACAGTCATGGAATGTGAGGAAAATGTGTATAAGCTTCGTGTGTACTCACTACAACTAGGTGTAGCAAAGGATATCTTACTTTTGGCCGTCTATTTTCTGAGGATAATTTGAGAAGCACTGCTTCTAATTCTTCCCTCGATGCTTTTGGGTTGGAGATCATCTAGTCTCCCCTTTGAGTTCATACAGCTCTTCGCCCCGTTTCTCTTCCGCGGCATTCTCTTTTACGTGAGCATCCAGCCACCTTATTGTCTCTTCGACACCCAAAGGTCCCCAAGCAATAATGTCTGCGTTCCTCTGCCCAGCGAGCACTCCAAATGCCTGTACCAGCAGGCCGTCAGTGTTGAGCCCCTCTGGAGCCCAGAGCAGGTTGATGGTTTGGGCTATTTCGTCCCAGCTGCGTACGATGTCCCGACTTGCGCTCATGAGCGTCTTGTGTTGCTGAACGCGTGCGTCGATCTCTTCTTGGGTTTTCGTTTCTTGTTGCCATACTAGGGGAGAGGTTAGTTCAAAGATTGCTCGCAACATTGAATTCGACTCCCTTGACGTACATTTACCTGCCACCTCGAGATCCGCAAGGTGTCTGCGAAGTTCGATCCATACAAGGAACACGCGATCGTGCGCGGCAAAAAGGGGCACATTGTTGATGGCGGTGCGGGCATGCGAGGGTCGGACGTCATCTCTCCAGGCAGTCTCAAGACGCCGAAGAAGTATGCTTTCATCCCACCGCGGCCCATTCTCTGTCGGGTATATGTATTTACGGAACGCGTAAAGAAGTTCAGGGTCGAGGGTGCGGACCGTTGGAGGTTGCGGGGGCATGTTTGAAGGGGGTAGTGGTCTATCTTCAAGAAAGTTGGATGCTAATGTATTTAGTTCGGAACTTATTCGATTTACCAAAGGAGGAAGTGAGCGTGTCGGATGCTGATGAGGTGCGATGGCTGGTGGGTGCTGTATCGGTGGTGGTGGCGGTGGTGGTGGATGTCGTGGGCCATGATCTGTTGCTGGACCATTTTGCGATTGGTGTGAGAGAGGGCTTATCCGCCATGGGAGTGTACTATGCCCTTGTGACGAAGTTATCGGACTGTCACTCGATGGTAATGGGCTTGCACTGGTTGAAGGAGTGTATTGACCGTGAGGTGCTGTGTCGAGCCTGAGGACTTGCATATGGCGCGGAGGATGTCCATAAGTAGCAGCACTGTGATTGGAGAACTGAATAGGAGGCCTCCTGTGATCCATAGGATATCCATGTGGAAGTGCAGGCGCGATCAACACTGGTGGAATGATGTCCATTGGACTTGGATGCTCATCTTTGAATTTAATTCTATCCTCCTTTTTCTTTCGCTCACGATCCAGCCGTCCACGCGCATGGATGACATTGCATGCCTTCAGGCCGATCCACCTTGAGATATAAAGTCAGCTTACATATTATAGTAGTGTACGATGATCGGCGAGACGCATTGCAGAGAAGTCGTAAATCATACGAAAATGACACGTTTTACGCCCAATATCTTTGGCCGTTCCACGTGAGTGGGATTAGGGAGAGGTTCATGTTCTGGTGGTGCACTTACCAATGTAGGACCGTCCGTATGCTGCATTTCATTAGCACCAGCACTGAAGACTAGAGATGTAAATACACTTACAGTTCACGATCCTCCTCATTGTCAAAGTAAAGATCTCGAGGATAGTAGAACGGTTCAATATCTGGCTCTCCCATCTTGACCAAATGGTCCCTGTTACCCATTCTGCCCCAAATCGCCGCCCCATGTTTGTTCAAAAGATGATCTGTTTCCGCACGCAGACTATCAGGAGCCCCCAAGATCTCAACCAGCTCATCCGGATCCTTGGGCAGCTCCGAGACAATGTTGGTCATATCCAGTACTAGCTCTTTCACCAGGGGACTATCGAAATTGGTTTTGCCGCGCTTGTTGGAGCTCCATTTCGCACGCAGTCCCAGCCGTTCGATCAATTCATGCATCTTCAGACGGGATCTGTTTTTCATTATGTCTTGCCAGTCCTGGCGGGTCGCATATTGCATGGTTCCGGACGCCATGATGGCTGTTGAATCACATGCACAGCGGAGGCACTACAACAAAACGATGTAGCTGCCGCTTGCAAGAGGAGGATTATTACCCCACAGGTGATTGAAGGATCCTTCGAGGGCGAGCCTTCCGAACTTTGTGAGCAACCTCCAATTCACCTGATTGAATCTAGCGGCCGACTCGAAATAATTATTTACAATAGTTACTCCAAGGCTAGGGTTGGAGGTGCTCTTGGCGCATGTGCTGAATGGACTGCCACGCCTAACCCAAGGTCGTATCGCGCGGTGTAATCGTCTTGTCAGCAGGGCGGGCGCTGCTATAGAGCGAACGGTCGGTGGTAGTCCCGTACCATCTAAGGGTAGTGCGGTGTATATGTGTGCGTGTATGTTTGTGCGTATGAGCCTGGAGTGATTGTGTGCGGCTGGCGAAGGAAGAGGAAAGTCAATGGAGGTTATGCTATCCACATACTCAGTACCACGAGATACCCCGTACTACAAGGTATTACGAGACGAGACACTCCAAACTACTCCAATACAATCCTTGGGAGAAAGCCAGCCAATCCTTGTCGTGTTGGGAGATTGTAGTGCGGGAAGGCGCACAGTCGCGGCCTGAAAGAGGAAAAGAGAATGTGAAGATGAAGAGAAGAGGAAAAAACAAAATAAACAGACTAGGGAGTCCTTTCCTTTCTGAGCACGCTTTGGTGTGCGTTGTAACTTGTGCCTGTCGTGCCCGTCTGTCGTGGGCGCTGATGATTGAAGATGAAATAAATGGAGGCTTTCAATTCGTGTAGTTGCCGGGGACGATCTCCATTGGAAGATCACGAAAGTCACGAATGCGGGTGTTAGTACCCAACAATGATGCGTCACAAGAGGTCGAGTTTTCTCATTCCGTTGTTTGGCGCTCCGTGGTAGCACCGAGACCCTCCCGGTTACAAGGAGACAGGAGAAAAGCCTCCGTCGATCAGTCGGCCAAATGCTTAGATGAGACTGTTGCTAATGAGGATGGAGACTGATGGGGACGATGGGAAGGAAGGGGGGAAAGAAGATAGGGAATAGGACAACACGGATTGGGAACTAGAGCAGGTGTAAACTGGGAATTAGAGTCTCAGATTCATGTAGACTTTACTGTGTAAAGAGAGATGGGGACGGGTAACTATTTTCTTTTGCACCCACCAACTACCGGTAGGGGATGGAATTGAACCAAAAGGCTTAAGCTAAGAGTAAGACTAGACACAAAGTAGGGCAAGAGACAATCTGGACGCCTGGGAATGAGTGAATGATGAGAGCTAAGTTGCGGTACCGGTAGCTATGCTCCACTTCCTCACACATCCTTTCCTAGGTAGTTATCCTTCACGATTGACAGGCTCAATGGTTATAACTCCGTTCCCACTGTCATAGACTCATCATGTACTCCGTACCTGTTGACAAGCTGGGTGCTCCTTGGTACCGACACATACCAAGCCCACCTGATGGCGTCCTTTGAGGAGCTGGGCGACGTATTCCATCTGACTAGGGAATTGTTCTACTTGGTACGGAGTAGTTAGTTAGTGACTTGAGGAAGCTGATTACTCTATGTTTTTTTTCTAGGCCTGAATATTTGCTTCCTTTGCTTGGCCGTTCTACACAATCTTATTAATGCTACTCGTATGCCACTACCAATCCTCCCTTCCTACGGAGCACTATGTATAGCTCCCCGAAAGCATAGGATCAGAAGATGCAGAGGTTAGACAAATCATACCGTTCATAAGCACGACATCACAACACATCCCAGACCGAGCAAGCAAACCAAACCACGGTGCGAAACACATGCCCTACTCGCGCAGCCATTACCGCACCGCCACACGCCCCGATTCGTTCTGGCCAACAGCATTCCTTGCTCTTTTGTGTGTGCTTTTCCATCTATGCCGTGTATTCTGTGTATGTCGTGTGCTTCCAAGTTCCCCCCCAGGCCCCCTCCCCTACCCTCCTCTCCCTCCCCCCTGCAGCTCCGGCAGGGTTTCCGAAATGCAAATCGACAACACGTCTACTCAATGCAGGCAGCTGGCTGTACGAAAGTGTGAGAACCAGTAATCAGCATCGGACTAGACCCATCCATATCCATCTATGGCTTTTCTCAGCCGTTGATCATTGTGTGTTATCCACACAGTACGGAATGTTCCGTATTTATCTACTCCGTATTGCATCCAACAATCCATCTGACACAGTAAAGCAACATGTATGTAGAATCTGGAATCTGGATTGTTGGATGATGTTTTGCAGTGGCGCGCGTCATCATCATTTCACATTATTCCTATGGAGGAGTGGCGCATCTGAAACCTCCTAGCCTAACTCTGTGTGTATACCGCTGTGTATACGCGGCCACCGCGCCCAGACTCCCATTCGTCTCCTCTCTCTCCCACATTCCAGGGCGATAGACTACTTGTACAGTACGAGGCAGTAGCCGAATGTGTAATGACGGCTCCGGGCTCCACGTAAGTACTTGCACCGTTACTAGTACATAGGTACATACGTAGGTTGGTACGCGTGGATGCGGAATTTCAAACACAAGACACGGATAAGTGGTCTTGAGTCTTGACTTTTTTTGATTCTTCTTCTTTTGCTTTGGCCATAGGGGGTGGGGTCCGACTTTGAGAAGGGGGGAGGGGGAGATACGGTGCAGAGGGAAGGGAGCGGAAGGGGATAGGATTGGTGTTTGTGCAACAAACTGGCTGGATAGAGATTGCAGACTGGCGAGAACCATTTCGGAGTACTGCACATACAGCTGTGGTCACGGTGCAGTGCTGATCGCCTGTCTACACGGTCTCTACGGAGTACATTATCCCTATTCACTCCCGTACTCTGACAATCTGATTGTGTGCGCGCATGTACCACACTATCACAGGACAGTAAAGTACAGCCAAAAGTATGTAGAGTATGTACAAGTGTACAAAGCAATATGCACGGCTACGCGTAAAATTAAATAGTGTACTTGTAAGTGGGTGGACAGGGGCTGCAAGGTCCTTCAGTCAGCATCCGTGTGTCTGTCTAGTGCTCAGGCTGTCCTCCGATGTTGGGTAATCGGTTCCCCCGCTGTCGGGGCCCATAAATCTGCATAATTCGAAAAGTCAGAATCGTTTGAAAATATCAAGGATGACGGCAGGGATAGAACTTTGTATACTTGGGAACTGCTACCTAGTAACTACTGGACTTGGCCTGGGCCTCCCTCTGTATGTAGGGGCGTACAATACAAGCAAGTAGGGCGGGAGTTACTCGTACAGTAGTACCAGTACTCCGTACATTAAAAATGTTCGACAAAACAAGCGAGTCCTGGCATGGATGATGGCCATGCTCCATGGTCCATGGCCCACCGATTGTGAGAGCAGCGACCAGGTTCATTATAGCGCGAGTCATAAGTGTGTAGTAATGGAACCGGGGGGCCACAGTCTCATGCAAGCCAGCAAGTTTCTTTGTGTGAACTTTCTTTCCTTCTTTCTGTTTCGTCTTCCTTGTAATCAGTGCATCTGCCGGACATCAGGCATCCCCAGTCGTTGGTGTTAAGATGGCTGCCACAGCATGTGTCTGCCTTTCGTATAGACATAATTACTTTTTCCCACGTAGCTGATGTGTTATTTGATCGTATACGGAGGACGAAGTAACTATGTACTCCAGACAATGTATTTACTGTAACAGGTATTCGGATAGTGATGAGTCCCAACCCTCGGATGCATCAAGTACTGCTATCGATCATTGGTTCCTGTATAGCATCCCTCGCTGGTGCGAGTAACCTATCTATTTACCCATCAAATATTGATAGAAAGAGATTGTAACCACCTACCCGTCAATCTACCCAAATAGACGAGTGTCAACTAGCTCTTGAGTATGTTTGTGGTAGCAAGGTGTGGGTCAGACACACCAAAGTTGTCCCCATGCCACACCAAATCTATGCATATCCCTTTCGTGTGCCTCACTCTTGATGCTTCATTGCTCGCCCTTCGATATGTATGTGACTGTTTTGTTGACGGTCGTCACTCACATGGCTGTGATTAGACTAGTCTGGACGAGTGATATTGAGTACTACATACGTTCTCGTCAATCGTAAACTATTGGTATGAAGAGAAAGTAGATAGGATTGTCAATCATAGGCGGGTAGCTTCCGGTCTAACCCCCCGGACATTGGCCGAATGATTGGTCCAAGGATGAGGAAAAGGTGAATACCATAGCCATCTGCCTCCAAGGTCTACCACACAGTACTTACTAGCCTACTGGGTATGGGTAGTATTACTCGTAGTGGATGTTCTTGGTGGTAACTTGGTAATTGAATCTGAACGATGAACAAATAGTCCCCGAATACGCTACCAGAAATAAGGAATTTAGTGGGACGTCTAGTCCCCCCTTATCCTGTCCTGTTCTGTCTTCCTACACAGTACGACTACGAGGCCAGTTCCCATCATCATCATCATCATCCTCTCCCATGAGTTCCATCCTTTTCTTCCCATCCACTACTGACATCCACTAAGTACTGTCACCCCCAATAATACTACGACTAAGTACGAGTATCCCCATCTCTACCCCCTCCCCCCTCCTATCCCTATCCCTATCCAATCCTGTCCCATCCTATTCCTGTTCCATCATCATCATCACCACAAACTCCCATCATCCTTGCAGAAATTCTAATCTTTTCCAAGTCGCGTTTCCTTAGCCCTTCCTCTGCCTACTTTGTAGTCTACTATACCAATCGTACATTTTCCCTTTCTACCATCCTATCCCACTGCATGTCACATCCTACCATCCATCCGATGGTCGTGCATCTCTTCTGACACGTCCTTCGTCATCGTGCGCATCTATCTACCGTTCCTCTTTCCTTTCCCTTCATTCCCTAGTTTCTCATACTATTTTCTTCTTCTCTACTCCGTACTCCGTATCTCTTTTTCAAACCCTATACCCTTCTACGACTACCATCACCCACCACACACAACAGATACACAGTACACAAACAGACACCCAACTCCCTTCACTCCCTTCTTTTCTCACGTTCATATACACGCCCTCATACACTATCATTCCTGTTGGAACGCTCCATGCGCGAACAACTCCACAGCTCGCATATCAAATCCTTCCTCTGGTGCCCATCCTGCCGTAGGCCCAAGTTCCGCCTTCACCAGTAGGCCGCTTAATCCGGCGTCGCGCATGTGCATGTCATTACATATCAGTACCATACGCATAGTTACTGCCTGCACACTCACAGTAGTTTACTCTACGCAGTAAATACCCTTGCCCCGCCAGAATCATTCACCAAAGAGGGAAAACACCAACCTTTGAACACCTAATATCTATTCAAACGCCTACCGATTCATCTCATTGTCGTCCCTCACCAGCACCTCTGCGGAGCGCGCGCGTTCTCAATTTCTTTCCCGACTTTTCCCTCTCTCTTTTCATGACAACCGCCTCGTCGACGATGGAGGACCCCCCGCCTGTCCGCTGGGATCGAGCCAAATGGATTACCGTCTTCAGTAGCCACAGCCCTACCATTCGCGAGATCACAGAATGTTTAGGCCTCTCACGCGCGCCATCCACATCCACAACAAACCGCGGCATCCCCAAGTTTGACGCGCCAGAGTCCAAGAAGATCTCCAGCGAAGTACAGCGCCTGTCTAAAGATCTTCCCAAGGACCGCGATGCCCTTCTCGACTTTGCAGCAGACCCGCATTCCCTGGACAATGAACTGAACGAATTACTCTCCACTTTGGGTCCTGCTATCTGGGGCAGACACGCAGACCGCAACCGCTTGCTAGTCCCGCCAGACCCAACAAAGAAGACTTACTACAAGGACCTCTACTACGAGGATCCAGAAGATCGAGCAATGTAAGTTCTTACATTCTACCAGACCGGTAGAAATGACTCCTTTCCCTTCTTCTCCAAAAATTATTACCAGCAGTCACCTGACTTCGTACTAGTCTACAAATCCACCTTCACCGATGGGTCATCATAAAAGCATGCTACTATATTCGGAACATGAAGCTCAAACGTACTTCAGCTGCCGACGAATATGAGATTGTTGCTGATATTGATGTCGACTCCCCCGGTCACCATAGGCTATTGGTAAGCTTTTCCTCCCCTCTTATTTTGCTCATTGCACTTTCTTACATAACTCATAGTCACCATCCCAAACTCCAAGATCCGGCACACCCGTATATGCTGAATCGGATTACGGAACAACTAACCCTGCCAATCCATTGAAACGGAAGAGCGACACCTATAGATCGTATTCTGACGGAGAGGACAATACTGGCTTCGAGAATAGTTCCACTTTCAAGAGACGGCCGTATGACAGCGCGACGATGCCCATCCAGAGACATAGCCCGCGCAAACCCATACCCTCAGCAAGACTCAGTTCTGAAAACATTCCACCAAGCCTCAGTCCGACCAACCACTTCCAACCGCACATTAAGCCTGACAATCCAAACCCAGATGTCGGCAGGTTGCTTAGTCCTCTTTCCAATAGCGCCTTGAATGGAACCTCAAGGCCCCCCAACCCTCCTCCAGCAGCGTTCACATCCGCCAATATCAATGCCCCGGCCACTAACTTCCCACCTGCAAATCGCCAAAGTCCGTCGATTACACCGCCCGGTCACCATTCCCATCCTTTGATTGCGCCCGCCGTGCAACCAGTCTCCGCTCCAAGCCACTACTCCAGTCCTTACTCAACTCCCATAGCTCCACTTCCTCCAATTGTCCCTAACCCTTCTGAACCTAGGCCTCTGGAGGGGGCGCGTCCTCCAATTGCGCCTTCATCACTTCGTGATAGTAACCGAAACAGCAGTTCCAGTATTCATACACCAGGCCATACCCCACCTGGTCTTCACGCTTCCACTACATCAACGAAGTTACCGAGCTTGTTGGCTCCAGCCCTAGGACCGGCATCAGGGCCGACATCAGGACCACCAAGTACACATACTCCTTTCCATGTACATGGAATCGCTCCGTTGTCCCATGCTCGAGCGCCGTCGCATACACCTCCTTCAACCTCTACGCACCCCACGCTTCCCGTCAATGGTGCCGTTCGTGGGCCACCGTCCTTGCCTCCCAGTGGAACAATCGCGCATCCGCCACCACCCGCACTCGCTCAGGCACCGGTACCGGCCCTCGCACCAGCACCAGCACCAGCACCGCCGATGAATGGATACGTAGTCCCTCCAATTCAACACGGCTCGACCAGCTCCCGCCTACCTAGTGTCAAGGACACGACGCTCTTGCAATGCGAGCTACTAGGACTTCTCATGAGATATTTCTTCCCCCGTAATGGACCCCCGTGCGAGGAAGGAGAGCTGCTATACAACCTCGAGTACGTGTGGGCCCAGAACGAACCCGTCTTCGCTCGTGTTATGGGGACATTGTTCGAGTATCAGCGCAGGGTATTCTTCGCATGGGTGGACGAGCGACGAAAGATTAGCCAGCTACAGAACGCAATGTCCGGCCACCCCATTCTGCACGCATCCGAGATGGTGGATCGACTACTCGCGATGAACGACCTGCGGGTGATGCGACTGAAGTGGAAGGCTATGAAGTCGCACGACGGAAACAACACTCTATCGCCCGAAGATATCCTTTGCAAGACGCTCGCCACTATGACCAAGACCGAGGGCACCGAGCATCTGTTCAAGGACGGGCTGGATAGAGTCAACGAGAGCATTTTCGGATTCCTCAAGTCGGAAGATATGAAGATTTCCATGCACCTGAAGCAGCAAGCAGAGTAGCACGGCCGGACAATTGAAACGGCCAGTTGCTAAAGGTGTAAGGTGTTGAGTGGGCTAACGAAAAGTTAGACAGGTTCTTGACGTTTATATTTCCTTTGCCGTTACATTAGGCCTTATCTGCATACTTCCTGCAGTCATTTGTTAATCTCCTGCAAGCGGCTTCGATTCTCATTTTCTTCTGTCTGCAGTCATTCTGTTTAGCGACGGCGCAAGGGCTTGTTAACCTGTATAGTATATATTTCCATTCTCAGTCTTCGACCAACATTGCTCTGCCGTGCATAGCAGCGGACTTGATAGGGGCTACTTTAAAAGATACATTTCTGGTTCAGGGTGGCTATCTGAAAATACCTCCATAAGGCCATTGTTTGGGCCAGAGTTCAGTACGACGCGGGTAGAGATTCGCGAAAACAAATTCAATAGAACTAGAGAACATTGTGTCCAATATCATGATTGCGTGAGTTGTTACACAGATTGGCGAAATGGTTGCCGTCCAATGCGATGTTGTGTACGCAGTGCTCATATGATGTGCCTCCTAGGCAGCAAATACTTATCGTAGCAGGTGCTTTAGGGATATTGATGTGATGGATCTTGGATGACCCCTGCGATCATCCATCCAATCTATCTGGACAATATCCTCACATCGAATCCTTCCGCATTGGCGCTGGCGATCAACATGTAACCTCGACTATTATGGAGGCTCCAGACTGTCTGGAGGTCCGGTGCAACCATTTATCCGATGCGCCCCAAGCCTCCAGGTGTGTGTGCCCGCAGGTGCAGCCTCACCAGCCGCTCTAGAGGCCATCGAAGGCCCTCAGCCTTGTTCCTTGTGCGACTCGGAAGTCCGCCCCCATCCTCCCCATCCACCCTCCACTCTGAGCCATGCATCTGCCTGTTCCTTCCATAACACCCTCTTTATCGACATTCCCCCTCCCTCTCCCCTTCTCACTGCGGATACCCTCTTCATAGCATCGTTTTTCTTTTTACATTACATTAACGCCCGGCATGTATCGTTTTCACTCCTACTGCTAGCTGAGAATATCATTTACACATTCTTTCATGCGGCATGGTCCTTCGCCTGTTTGTTCAGCCTAGTAAGTCCCTCCATGAATCCCGACCACGCAATCTACCTCTGCAACATAAATCTCTAACAGCTGAGAGCAGACGAGGGCAAGCACTGGATTGTTCCCAAACGCCATGAACCCCTACCCGCAAACTCGACGATAGAAAACTCCGTCGTCGCATCCACCGCCCTCGCCGCGGCATACACATCCTACTCGCGGGGTTTCTCGAGAAGGATTGGACACACGGGCGGGCTTTCGGCGCCTGCAACATTCATCAGGGCATCTGCAAGAGCGGGGATATGGTGTGCGTGCATCGGCGCGGCCACGAATTGGTACTATCATTATGCCTTCACGACTCCCGTGGTCGAGCTCTCGCAGGTGGAGACAACGCCCTGGAAGGTCTGGGAGAAGACAGACAAGTACACCGTCGATGATGGGTTTCTTGCTGGCGCGGGCGTCGGTCTCGCGTCTGGACTCGTCTCCGCCGTCTTTCTCAGGAGGATGCCAGTGTCGTGGTTTGCGAAATGCGTGGGCATGACGAACGTGGGCGCCTTCGCGGGTATAACGGGGTCGCACGCATATTTCCACTACAAGGGCGAGAGACAGACTGCCGCTACTGCGCTGGAGGAATGGAAGAAGAGGAGGAACATGGAGTTCCACTGGATATACTGGAACAAGCTGTTCATGTCGAGGCTGCCGCCGCTGTGGCAGGGATATGTAGTGTTCAACGGAATTTTCAAAGCGAACTCACTGCCCGAAGAAGCGCTTAAGACGCCCGAAAAGTACGGTGTCGTGGGTATCGCTGCCCCGGCTGAACAACAAGAATCATCTGCAGACGGCGCAGCACAGCCAACAGCAGAGGAAGAATATACAGGGTACTACTTCAAATCCTACGACCATTCCGAGAACTTACGAAACATCAACCTCGAACTTACACGCAGTACGCTGAAGGACATGTATGAAAACAAGACTCGATTGCTCGAAGACAGCCAGTGGGTGATAGCAGAACTCGGCCGCAAGCAGCACGAGTACTGCCACCTCGACTCCCAAGCCGACGATGACGAGCGCCAGCGCCGCCAGCGCGAGATCCAACTCCTCGAACTCACGTTTAACAGACTCCGCATCGACGCCGACCAAGTCGCGCGAAAGATCGAGCTCTGGGAGCTCGCCGTCCAGCAGAAGGTAGCATGGGAGTCATCCTCCACCGACAAATCGACACCCGCACCCTCCTCGTCTCTCAAATCCGACGACACCGCCGCCGCCATAAAAGCCTGGACGGCGCCCCAGGTCCACATCAACCCCGCCGCGCACATCCCCTCCCAGTCCGTCGAGGAATTCATCAAGTTCCGCGACCAACTCGTCTCCGAGATCGCCACCTTCGAAGCCAAGGAGAAGACGTCCACGGGTAAGGACCGCAAGAACGTGACTTCCGACCTCAAGGACGCGAGGGCGCTGCTCCGCGCGGCCGACATGCTGATCTGGGAGTCGGAAAATAAGGTCAAGAAGCTTCAGCAGGCGCAGGAAGCCGCGGCGACCGTCAGCGCTGCCTCGAAGGAGAAGCAACAACAGCAACAGCAACAGCAGGTCGAGCAAAGCTCGAAGTACCAAGACAAGGACATCCCCGTCCCCGCAGACTCAGGAATCAAGAAATCAACCTCATCGTCCGTCGTAGACAAGGAGGCCGCCGACGAGGTCAAGGAACCGAATAAGGAGAACATGGCCCAAGACGAGACGGACGCGCCCAATGCCGCTGCCAACATCGATAAAGATGAGGACTGAAAACTAAAGCAATAATGGGCTTTTTAATTTCTATAGATACAAATCGTAGCGTACCAAAACGTTTTAGGCATTTTCACCATGTTTCTCTCTGATCTGTTTTTTTTTTTCGTCTTCTTCTCGATTTAGCGAGTGAGCGTACATTTTCGTCGAATACATACACATATACGTTTTTCTTCCATCTATGCCCTTTTTCTCTATTGGAGTTTGTGATATACATATTGAGGTTCGCAGCGAGTGATTTACTAACCGATTACTTAGCAATGTTTCTGCACTCAATATTGAAATTCACGCACGCACAAGGAGGAAAATAAAAAAAAACCTATTTCTGCGAGGAGAAAGGTTTTCGATTAGATTTTCTAACTACGTAGGCAAGGTTCTATATCGTCGACATCATCCTCCTCCCTGTTTCTCAAGTACGCCGCCCGCCGACGACAAGTTTAGGCTGCCTGACGCGGACCTCTGCTAACCTCGCATTATAGGGAATCGGCAGTGGCTGCGGGCGAACGTTGGGCGCGGGCACGCCTAGGAGGGCCATTATGGGGGTGGGGTACTGCATGAGTGTGTCGTCGCTGGCGCGGGAACGGAGGGAGGTCTGGCTGCTTGTTGGCGGTTGGGATGATTCTGAGGGCGAGTCGCCGTGGGGGAAGGTGCTGCTTGTTTGGCTGAGGGATTGGGACCGTGGCCGTGGTGGTGGTGGTGGTGGTGGTGGTGGTGCAGGATGGGGGACGAATTGGTTTGGTGAGGGGCTGGCGTCTTTGGTGATGATGTTGGAAGACGGCTTCGATCCGGACTGAGGAGGTAGATCCCTTTTGACGCCAGAGTTGCTCTTGTTGATGGCTGTTTCCCTCGCGAGAGGCAAGCGATGGACCTGCGAGATCTTGGAGTCCACACGGTTGAGGTCATGCGCGGCCTGGAAGACGCGTGAGCACCAGTTGTGAAGCTCTTTGCTAGCTCCCAGTATCTGCTTCCCCTGGCCGTCCACGAGTGGAGGAACTTCTCCCCCATGGTCAACGATATCGTTCCGGGTGATGTCCGTCATTTGCTTGCATACAATGCAGAGAGGGAAGAAGCGCTGGTATTCATCGTAGATGTCTGGTGGTATCGTCTGGCAGGTTTTGCATCGATGAATGGTCGGACATTTAGAGAGCGTGGGTGGAGGTTCCCTTTGATGAAGAACTGGATGTTGCTTCTGGCTGGGCTTGGACGAAACAGTCATTATCGCGGACCCTACGAAGCGATGGCAGCGATTGCAGAAGTGGCTAGGGCCAGAGCAAGGTGATCGTGGATTGTATGAACCGGAAACCTTGCATGTATTACATGCAGTATCTGCTGATAGCGGTCCTTGGGCTTTTGCACGAATATGGGATGTGCCGTTAATTGAGCTACCACGGGTCATGCTCAGCAATTGTGAGAGTTCTGTCCTCGGTGGTCGCAGAGACTGTTTTCCGTCATCATTGATAATCGGTCCTGACTGGTCGCGATCTGTTCCATGTGCTTTACTGGTGTTCTCGTCCACGGTAGATTGTGCGACTGAACGTTTCTCATGTCGAAGGGCTATTTTTGGTATGGCATCGCGGTCTGGTCGCGCACGTGTGGGTTCTTGACATTGTTCACCCATCCGTGGATAAGGTGATGGCTTGCGATGAATATTGAGAGCCGTTTGATGGGGAGCTTCTCCAGGGATTTGATAATCGTGGGAAGGATCAAGTAGCCGGCCTGCGAGTGTATTGAGTTGAGAGCGGGGAGAAAGCCGTCTGCCGTCCTCTGTCCGCCGGAAACTTAATCCAACAGTGGTGTTGTACTCGGGGTTGTCTGAAATGATAGAGCTCCTCACTTCTGGATGTGGTGTCCCGCACGGCATGGTCTGCAGTGGAGTAATATCGACCGATCATGGCAATACAGAGGGAGAGAGTTGCCTGGCCGCCAGCCTTATGAAGAGACAGGGAAAGACAATGTCCCAGCGCAAAGACATTGTCTGAGATAGTCATGTCTCACACCTGCAGGAACGATTCAGACAGGTAAATATGCATGGGTAAGGTCGGACAACGCAAGGGAGGCGAATGCAGTCCTTCACTCCCCTGCATTTTCCGATTGTCTTCTGTCCATCTCGGCGTTGACCTCTTCAACGGTCAGTGGTACTTTTCGATCCGCCCACTTCGCCTTTTCAGCGGTTGCAAATGTTTCCACGCTCAGCAACCCGACCACCAAAAATCCCAACTCTTCCCGATCTGTGTCAAATATTGTCCACCAATCTACACCTGGCAACTTCACGTTGGTTTCTTTAGCCGCTAAGTATATGGCGGCAGTAGCCAGTGTTGGAGGTTGGTGTGTCAGAAGCAGAAGCTGTGGACTCAGGAGTGCGGAGTTCAAATGTGCGAACGTTCGTTTCGCCAGGTCAGTTGCGCCGGGATCGTCGAAGGCACTGAGAGCTTGTAGATAAGTGATGGCAAGAGTATATGGCAGTGTAACCTGTAGCTGAAAACCCAGTACTTTCAAGATCTGTTTCTCCATGTTGAACAATGTGCTTCGTCGCCGCTCATACGTCCCAGGAGAGACATAGTATTCCTCCGGGTTGTTTTCCCTCCATAGCTGTTCGAGATCGGCGTACGTGGAGGGAATCGTATCGAGAAAGGCGTAGACGTTGACTATGCTTCGTGCAGACTTGGGGAAAGCAGAGAGCTTTGCTGCGAGGTATAGGGATCCCGCCGATATGTGCTGTCACTTGTATAAGCTATCGTTGCATAAGTTGGGTTGAGAGGAACTAACCGCAGCACCAAATTCAGCCAAGCTGCCTCCCTCAGGGCCGATCCAAAACCTCGTGAACAATATAATTGCCTGTGCAATAACTTCCTGTGGTAATCGAAGCAAGACGCCAGCGGCCTGTGTGAGCCTCGCGCCAGCAAAGCGAATAGATTCCTCAAGGTCGACGGGAATCCCGTCGAGCTGTGAGCCTGACGTTTCAAGCTGCTCAACCGTTGCCTGAAAGTTAGCCAGAGGCGAGGCCTGCATTTTGCGTATTTGTCAAAAGCCTTGAGGCGCTGGTATGGAACAATTGGAGTGGAGTATAGAGTGATGTTTCTGCCGTGCGGTTGGAGCTTGCATGTCGATCATTGAGGCTAAACCCAATCGGTAGCTATATTTATCTTGCTCCTCAGGGAAGCAAGACTACGTACCTTGGTTACTGGATGATTTGAAGGCATGACAATTGAATTGGAAAACCATCCCAGATTCTAGTCCTTCGATTATGACAATAATTCCCCGTCGGAATCTTTCCAGAGCCAAACAGAGCTTCAGGAACCGGCACTTGTACTTCATTTGTCAGACGATTTGGAAGACATCATAATATTATGATAGATGCGTTTCAAGGCTTATAGCTTTTTCTCACCGATGATCGAAAGAAAGAAAAGATAATAGAAAGGCTGATAGGGGGTGGATTGCTTGGGGGGGGTTTCATGTCATCATGTTATGTTCATGCGAACCCCCTCACCCCGCGTGAGCGACGTGAACAAAGCCACCTATAGTAGGCATATTATCATAAGATGTATAGACTGCGATATTTGCTTCATTTGATTTATCCGCATAACGGGGATGAAGATATAATATAGCGGATGCCAGCCTGAGTAAGATTACCTTCATAGTTTATCATAGTGTATCCATTTCGCATCATTGGTACTGTCACTCGCTTGTGTGATTGAGCCCGATAAAGTGCAAAGAAGATGAGCATCTGCGTTCATAACTTGTACAATTGCTAAACATAGGCATACAACTATCGGCTGACGGCAGATTTCAAGACGTAATGATCTGAAAGCCCCTCTCATATGCAGACGTTCCACCACCAACGAACGCCCCGGGAAGAAGACAATAATACAATTCTTATAGATGTCTTAGATATAATTAAAATTGGAAAATATTCGTGCTGAGTATTATGGTAACAGGAAGTTCGCAATCCCCTATGGGTGTCCTTGTCCGTGGACGTCTATGACCCTGCCCACTGCAAGGTGTCTCTCTTCAATGCCCCGCCCACTGGGTACCCTCACCCCTATATCGCAGCACATCTGCTGCAAGACAATCTGCGGAATGGGTGCCCGACCTTCCAATTGCATATCGTCTTCCGGATCTAGCGATGGGCCCAGCTTGAGGTGTATGTTGGGTGGAATTGAAGCCATCAGCTCGCGGAAGAAAGCACGAAAGACGAAGTGTGCGTCGTGCCAGGTTCGCAGCTCGGTGCGCGCCCAGTCGTAATATCTCGGGTGGAAGGTCGGGATGATACGAAGAAGTCTGAGGGAAGGAAAGTTGGCGAAGAAGGTCGACCAGTCGACGTAGCTGTTCATCCTTTCGACGTCTTTGAGTTGTAGTTCGAGCTGCATTTTGCTGATTCGGCCAAGGTTCCATCCGTAGGGCGTGTCTATTGTGGTGATGGGGAAGTTGTCCAGGGATATTGCGAACCAGTTTTGGTAGAGGTAGTCGCTAGCTTCGAAATGGAGCAGACGTGATGTCTGTAAAAGGTTGAGGTGGACAACGGGCTCTGATGCCGGTTCTCTGGGAGCAAGTGGTCGACGTCCACTTTGGATCCTTTTCAGATTCAACCTCTCTCGAGTGCGTTGGGATGTCACTCGCTTCTTCTGTCCGCGGAGAATTGATTTTGCCTCAAGAATGGGAACTGATTTGCCGCGTCGGATAACCAAATATGAATAAACGTGATCTCGCACCTCCCTAGGTAAGTCGAAAAACCGAAATGGTTGAGTAGGAACTCTCTGGCTTGACTGACGATCACCAATACGAGGTCTGAGTAAAGTCAGTTTGAGACCATAATTTATGTTAAATCATCCGAGAGACATACGGGATAGGAGCATACGAAAATCGATGATCGGCCGTACGCTGTCTGGAGGGAGACGAAGCAATCGAATTGATACTCTCGATTCGGCTATTGAGAGACCACTCCCTGCATTTGCGCTCTGGATTCCTGCGAAGGGCCATCATTGATGAGTGGAATTGATGAATCTGGTGTGTGAATATCAGTACTTAGATACCTACGCAGAGTAGAAATTTACGAGAACCCAGAAATGAATAGCTCACCTTGACCATATTACAGCAACAAGCAACATCCTTCCACATACAATGTACAGTCGGTGGACCCGACACACTATGTGTGCGCCTAGGTATACGGACCATGATTGGAATATCAGACCGGCGATCCTAGCTGCCAAAAGACCGTGCGGTTCGCGATGAACCGAACTTGAGGTCGAGCGGTCGAGAGGTCGAGGAACGGGCAACATCCGATATTTGAAGGGCGCGTGCGCATTGTATAGGAGTAGCTCATAACGTATATCACGAACTACAATCTGTGGAAAATGGAATTTCAGAAACAACCCAAGCTTAGCGAGCAAACGAAGATCAGGCATCTGGAGGGGCGTCCCTTAAGTGGGATGTTATGGCTTAATGTTTCAGGCCGAATTTCTTATTGGCGATAACGAACGCATTAATGTAACGGCGTGGTAATAATAGAAACGCCTATATGTGGTGGAACAGGTCGATTATTAGACGTATGACGCGGTTAACTGTCTTCTCCCACGACTTTGGCGTGCCTGAAATATTTCATGCCCACCCACGCAACCACAACCCAGACCCAGGCCATGACCGCTGTACATAACATCAATGCTGGATAGTAGCCTGTAATGGGCAGTGTAGCATCGTCCTCGAGCTCCGGAGGGGCATACGGAGTCTCCCCTACATCCCACGCCCAGCTCCACACTCCGAGACAGGAGCCCATGCCTACGACGAATACTATCCAAGTCACTATGAGTACAACCCACCCCCACCACTCCGTCTCGCTATAGTCCCAATCGTCATCCATTACTGCGTCCGTCGGGGTGTTCACAACGGTCAATGACGAGGTTTGGCCCGAGCGATTCGACCGACGCCTCTGCAATGCGGAGGAAAGAGGCGACTGACGCTGCACCACGCCATACGAAGAACTGCTACTCAAAACCGTGGGACGGTAGAAGGAAAGACTCTCGTCGTCGTCTGTCGTAGATGCATACGGACCGACCGGACTTTCAAGAGGAGATGTTTCCAGGATGCGCGGTGTGGGTTGGTCATTGTCGTACTCCTTGCCATGATCATTGAGGTTGAGATTGCTAATTGAAGGGTTCGCAAGTCTGCCATCCTGTGACCAGCCGCTATCGGATGACGAATTGAAAGACGCATTTTCATAGCCGAAGCGTTGGGATGCTGGATCGTGGTCGAATTGCGGAGGGCCGCTCGCACCATTGATACTAGGCGTTGGCTGTTGGGCATTGAGACGTTCTTGTTGATTGAGTATCGAGTTCCGCCGCTCGCGCATCATTTTCCCAGTTGCAAGGCGGCGCAGAGAGCCCTTCCTTTTGCGGCCTTGACTCTGGCGCAGGGCGTTCGCGATGGATGATGAGCCTGGCTTGGGGTTTTCGCTGGCGTTGTCCCCCGCAGGTCCCGTGGGTTCCTTTGTTGGTGGCCATTGTGAGGTGAGGTCCTTGGGTGAAGTCTTCAGAAAGGGAAGACTCGCTAGCAGATTGCCGGAAATGCTCCGCCTGTGACTTCCTCCCTGGCTTTTATCGTTCTCTGAACGTATCTTCTTCACGGGTACTACGGTGCCATGGTCGACGCTGTCATCGCCACGATGTTGTGTGGGTGTACCATTTTCCATCCTTCTTGTCCATGACCAGAATTAGTTCCTTTCACGTGCTCATGCGCTATATTCCATCGTCCAGCGGCGGGACAGGATGTCTTTGAAGATAGTCTTCAAAAAGGTTAGGAAGAGTTTCCTGAGGAAAACTGACGATGACGAGACGAGGTTCAATGAACAAGACTCCTGAAAGAGGCGGGTGCCAAGGCGTGTGACCCCGGACTTGGCCGCGTGTAATTTGATGAATTTAATGCACGAGAGTCGAGACTAGTAATCCATCACTCAGGATGATTGTCACTCTAACTCAGGCTAGCCAGCCACGGTAGTTACCTTCTCACTTGTACTCTACTGAGTCTACTCACCTACCTAAAGTCATTAGTGATTAGCCGTACTCCGTATCTAGAACCACCTTATCTAGACCCCTCTACCTCCGCCGGCGTCAATCCGCGTCAACTACATTTGTTACTCTTCGTTTTTTTCTTCTACTTCTTCTTTCCATGTCTTCTTGTTGAATGACACACGCTCCTTTCACGTCGCTCCCTTCAGTCTATCGCGATGGCATCGTCAATGCCTCTCCCTCTGCCTCCGCGCACTCCGACGCCGCCTCCTGACGAGGAGGAGGCCCACGAGCAACCTACCGGTCTGGGTTTCGATAACTTCTTGTCTCCCACGAGACCGAGTTTCAGTAGCAACACGCTTTCTCCAATGTCAGCATCTTTTGGAGAGCGTTATGGTCCATTGGCACCAAGCGATTCCGCTTCCCAGCGACAAACACCCAGCACCGTCTTCAGTCCCTCGAGCGCAACATTTCCATTCACACCCGCAAGCGCTTTGAGTGGCATGAGCGAAGGGGAAGCAGCTTCGAATGGACCAGACAGCGCGCCCAATCCATTCAATTTCCAGTCTGTTCAGTACATGCCTAACAAACCGCAGGCTAACAAATCTGTACGTTGTTGGGATGTCTAAAGCTTCCGGTTTTGTACTAATTGTAGCAGGATGTTGGACGACGACGAGGACATAAATACAAGCACAGCAGTGTCTCCCACCAAATCTTCCTCGAACCACCCTCGCGCGCTCCTCTCCAATTACCTGCTTCGCTTCCCATCCCTACGTTCAAGGAATACCGTTCGAGCATGTCTAGGGAACAAACATTGCGCTTAGGATGGTGCTTCGGCCACTTGATGGTTGCGGGTCTCGTTCAGTGGGGTGCACACGAGTCTTTAGCACTCACGGTTCTATCCCGACTGATCTTCTATGACGCACTCGGTGCGTTCCTTTGCGTGGGAGTCGACGTAGGATCTAATTTCGAGGTGTGGAAGCGCTCTACTGTACGTCATCCGTTTGGATTTGAGCGTTCTGAGGTGGTCGCCGGACTCGCCATGTCTGTGGGACTACTCTTCATGGGCCTAGACCTCATCTCCCACGGTCTTACGCACGCTCTCGAAGACAAAGGCGACCACCAACCGCATCACGGCCACTCGCATGGACGTGTCTCTCCTGGCAGCATCGACCTCGCCGCCCTGAGTGGCATTGTCTCGACTCTGATATCCGCATTGGTCCTGAAGAACCACGCTCGCATCGGGAAGGTGATGCGACTGAGCGCCATCGCCAACCTCCCATCCGTCTTAAGCAACCCTTCGCATTTTCTCACGCTGTCCTGCTCCGCACTCCTGCTACTCCTACCGCTCCTGAGCATACAGATGTACGTCTGGCTCGACCGAACGCTTTCATTCTCCGTCGCCATCGCCATGGTAGCACTGGGCTGGATACAAGGCTGGACGCTGGGCAAGATGCTCCTGATGTCTTACTCGGGCCCAGGCGTCTCGGACGTCCTGTACGACATCCAGACCGATCCGGCCGTGAGCTCTGTAGAAGAAGCCAAGTTCTGGCAGGTGCACTATGGACTGTGCCAGGCGAACCTGAAGCTTCGGGTGCGGAATCTGGAGGAGATTGGGCGGCTCAGAGATCGCATTGGGAGCATGGTTCGGAACCGTCTCGGCGGCGGGTACGGGAGCAGCAGTAGTGGGCAGAAGTGGGAGGTTTCGACTCAGATCACGCTGGAAAAGGACTGAGATCGAGACATACTCAGAATCATATCTACGAAACCTTTGCTCTGCTTGCAATCAATATACCCCTTTATTTGCTGTTCCCATCTTCTGGCATGTAGTCATTGAAACCCGTGAAGAAGGCAGAGAGGCGACGAGATGTATAGACTGTATTCGGATGCCCGTCATGTGGCAAGTCAGGTCCCGGGACTCTTATTAGATTGGGTGGATGGATGCCCGACCGGGATCGACCACAGTAACTGGGCAGTCATTCCTGTGCGCCGACATGTGGACGACGAGAGATGTGAGCGTATGATAACTTCCTCATGCTGCCAGACATACATCATCGGATAGGTGCAGCGACTTGTCATCGTGACTGATTTGATATCATACCGTCCGAAAGGAGACAGCCTCTTTTGGGGTGGCTGTAGAGTAAGACACATGGCAGCGGGGGCGATGTCTGTGCTTGTAAATGGTATGCAAGCAGTTTGCAAGTAGTATTAGGTATATAAAGTCGTACATCATAGTACATACCGTATGTATTGGTTATTGGGTCACTGTAGACTGTTGTGTAAGGTAAGTCATCATCATTATTTTTGTACTTCATCTATGCAACTGCATCTGCAACTATTCCGGGCACATCCCCTCCCCTCTACAATTACAGTTTCCAGCCAGCCCAGCCCAGTCCAGCCGGTGCCAGGCCGCCCGCCCGCTAAACTTCCCTAACCCGTCCCGCGTGCCTGTAGTTAGGCTGTAGCCTGTAATAGTCCTTGTTCCTGTGCCTGTGCTGGTGTGTTCCCTGATCCCAAAGTTTGTGTGTGTCTTACTTTTGGGTGGTCTTTAGGGTCGTCTTGTCGTCTTGTCGTTTGCACAGATCGTCAGGGTATCCGCACCTGATGCTCACCGCCCAAAGCCATTCTGTCACCATTTTCTGGGGGTGGCAGGGAAAAGGATAGGAAAAAGGAAGGGGGCAGAAACAAATCAACGAACGAAAAAAAAAACAAAAAAAGGGCCATTACCAAAGAAGAAAACCAACTCCCAAGAGGCAAATTCACTCGTGCGTTGGTCAGCGAGAGAGAGCGAGGGACCCGTCGTTAACCTCCGACCCTGTCCTCCTGCTCCTAATCCCGTCCTGTCCTGTCCAACCGGTCCTGGACTCTCGACGACGATTGCATATTGCAGGTGGTGCGCGTTGTTGTTCGCTGTCGCTGTCACTCGATCATCCCCAAAAATTCCACCCACTCACGCCCCTCCACACGCACATTTCGCCGCCCTGCCTGCAACTGCAACGCTGCCTGAGAGCGCCCGCCAGCGTCTAGTTCCTGCAAGGCTGGCACGACGCCTGTATATACCCGCGGGGTGCCCCCAGGCATGGCCGGCGGTCGGGTAGAGCGTGATCCCAGGCCCTACTACGACAATCACCACCAGTATTCCGCCGACGAAGCAGACAACGCAAACGAGAAGGATCGCGACCGCGAGCGAAGGGGTCACCGAAGACATCGCCACCATCGACACCGGGACTGGTGGGACGAAGATAGCGAGGACGAATACGCTGCTGCCAAGCGCGAGCGAAGAGAACGCCGTCGAGCTGAGGAGGTTCGACGGGACGCCGCGATAGACATCGATGAATTAGCAGAGCGCCGCGACCCGTATCCTACTCGACCAGAGTCAGATCGACCGCGAGAATCGAAACGCATGGCACAGGAAGTCACAGTGGAGAGGGTGAAGGGCACATCGCGAGGCAGCAAGAGGGATGTACGACAGGACGGGACGAGACGCAAGAAGAGGAGGGAGAAGGTGGTTGCAGAGGTGGTTGATGGGTACGATTATGAGCAACCAAGATCAAGAGGTATCATAGAAGAGGTGACGGTCCGACGATCGTCTGCGCCTAGGAGGAGTGATGAGGGAGGATCTTCCAGCAGAACGATGCACACCCCACGTTCTGGTTCTAATTCAACTTCTGTCAGGAGAGCCGACGAACCCAGGCTCAGGAGGTAAGGTCTGCTTGGACGTTCGGTCTGAAAATGTACTAATCGACTCATAGGAGTACCTCCGCGCGAGAACCAAATAGGGTCTACATGGCAAGCAGGCCTTCCGTCCGGCGCACCAGCACTGTCAAAATTCCAGTGACAGCCCCAACCACGCCAGTGAGATCCCATTCCACCAAAGAGCCACGCCATGCCTCCGCACATCGACGAAGCAACACCGGCCTGTTCGCATCGCTATTCGGACCTCCGCCGAAAACGACGATAATTCCAAAGGAGACCCCGAAGTAAGCTTATTGTTTCTTTTTCAGCTCACGTGCGCTCTTCTGACTTTTGGTAGGGTCGAGTGTCTTATCTGCATGAACGATGAGGTGCCAATCAACAAGACGGCTAAACTTGGCTGCGGCCACCATATGTGCCATTCTTGTCTCAAGCGACAGTTCACCCTGTCGGTATCTGACCCACAGCATATGCCGCCAAAGTGCTGCACCGAGGAGCACATCCCTCTCAAGCATGTCGACCGTTTGTTCGACGATAAATTCAAGAGACTTTGGAATAAGAAATATCAGGAGTATACGTCGTCTAATCGTATTTACTGTCCCATGAAGGGGTGCGGAGAGTGGATCAAGCCATCCAAGATTAAACTCGATATGACCACTGGTCGCAAGTACGCACGCTGCGGCCGTTGCAGCACGAAGGTTTGCGTGCTGTGCAGCAGCAGATTCCACACGCGGCGGGAGTGTCCTCGAGATGAGGAGACCAATCGCATCGTCCAGATGGCCAAAGACCAAGGCTGGCAGAGGTGTTACAAGTGCAAGGCAATTGTTGAACTCAAGGAGGGTTGCAACCACATGACTTGGTGAGTATTCTTTTTGTGTGCATGCAGGCGTAGATGATCGTTTTGCTAACGTGGATATAGTCGCTGTACGGCCCAGTTCTGTATGATGTGTGCCTTACCTTGGAAAACATGTAATTGCCCATGGTTCACCTACCAAAATCTGGACGACGAAGACCGACTAAACGATATGCGAGTTCCCACACATGATGTAGTGGAAGTGATCGAAGAATTCTCCGAGCCCGAACCAGCACCCGTTCGAAGAAGCAGCACCAGAGTCCGCCATCGTGGAGAGCGAGATGGCGATCGTATAGACGAGAGTTTGGCAGGACACCTACGTTCCCAGCTCAGGATGGGGCCGACGCCAGAGAGGTCAGATATGAGCAGAGGAGAACCAGCAGCGCAAGTCTATGGTCTGGGTAATTCAGGAGGCCATCATATGAATGAGTCCTACGCGGTGCGACCCCTTGCGACGGCAGCAGCTCGAGCAGCAACCCGCACGACGACTCCACGGTTTTTCAGCCGCCGCACTAGTGTGCGCGAACCCCCACGGACTGTCCGTTCCGCAGCACCTGTGGCCACGGCGTCAGCGATGGCCGGACTCTCCCGCGACGGCACCAAGCGCGGCGCAAACCGAGTCGGAACATGGCTCACCCATGTTCAAGTAGACGCCGAGGCGATTGCGACAGCCCCGCGAGGTGTCGAAGTGGACGATTGGAGATGGGAGGGATCGGTCGCCGGGATTGACTGATCGTGCAGCATATTCTTTTTGATTTGGACATCCATTTACACCAAGCGAGCGCGCGCGCAAGTCAAATGAACGTTTGTTTCATTTCATTTATAATTTGGACATTTGAACGGATCGCATCTTGGGCCTTTGTATGTATTATTGTTGTTGTTATTTTGTCTTTCCCTTCTTTGGCAACGAACGTACGCATAGAGCACGATACCCACGACATTTTAGAGAAAATCAATCTGCACCACCACCGAACAACGATCTACAGAATATAATACGTTTCCACTCTAGGTCACTACAACTGCTACAATGCTCACTTGAGAATTGCGCGATGTCGAACAGTTCATAATGGTGACGTCGACTGGGCGAATTGCTTGGCTCGGAGAGCTATCATATTGACGTCACGTTGATCAGTACCCTTAGAGCATTCCAAACTGCCTCGTGCTACCCCGTATCTACCAAACTATCTCGTAGCTTACCTTCGAAACCATCTTCCACAAAAAGGGAATCCAAACCAATCTACTCACCAATCTCCATATCCCAATTCATCGCCATCCAATCCAGCAATCCCACAAAGAAACCCTTGGAATCCACCATAACCATGTCATTCCTACGCCCCATATCAATCGTACGCACCTCCGCCCTCAGACCGCTCTCTCGACGAGCAGCAGCAGCAGCAGCGCCACGAGCCTACGTCCCCGTCCGCCTCGCCCACCAGGACTACGGCAGCGGCGACGGCAACCCGGTCGGCGAGAACCCGCAGCAGCAGGGCAAGAATCCCCGTTCAGAGCTCGAGCACCCGGGACCTCCGGCGCCGAAGGTCGGACAGGGGAAGTCGTCGTCGTCGTCGTCGAGTTCCTCGTCGTCGAAGTCTGGTGAAGAGAAGGGCGGGCACAGGACTGGTGGTAAGGGAAGTAACAGGGATAGTCCTTCCAGCAGCAGTGGAGGAAGTGGAAGTGGAAGCAAAGGCACAAAAGGTGCGCAGCCGAAGATCCTGAACGAGAACCCTCCCGGCGAGCACGACGAGAGCGTGCGGCAGCACAACAAGGAGATGGAGCAGAGGGCTGAGAAGGCGCACGAGCAGGTTAGCAACGAGGACGCGAAGAAGGATAAGGTGTCGCCGAAGTTCTGGTCCGGTGAGTCAATGATGAGTCCTTGAAAAGATGCAAAGGCTTTTGAGAATGTTGTTTGCTGATTGTGAGGATAGGTCAAGGTGGTGCGGATAAAGATCCTTGAAGGAAGGGAGAATGAATATGGGTGAGGATGGCAAGGCAACCTGGAAATACGATCTATAACTAATTGGTGGCTCTGTGCAATACTGGCGTTTATTCGTGCATTTCAAAATCCAAATGTATTTATTACTTGTATTTATTTACTATCATTGCGGCAAGGAAGAATTGACTATAGAACGCGACACGAATGAACCATTGTTGTTGTGAAAATGATACAACTGTGTACCCGGTATGCATGACGCACTGACGCGATGATTGGTGTTTGTTTACTCCCACTTGCTTCCGCCTAGCTACGATGGCATCATGCATTCATACATCCAAAAGCTTCACCCCCGGACTGATAATTTGAACGAGAAGCTGAAGGACGGCGAACAATCATGGTTAAAAGCGAAAAATAACATCTGTTAGCATACAGATGGATAGGGTGGTAGCATGTGAAGATTCTTGATGTTTTTTGTTTTATGCGGGAATATGATGTCAGCGGCTTTAGCGGGCGATTCCCCCGCAAAGTCAACGATCGCGATGGCCATGAGGGACGATGATGGGAGATTCTGACAATTCGCATCATTGGGAACCCCGCTATTACGAGTAAGGCACCAGAGAGAAGTCAAATCCCCCGTCTGAAGTAGGAGAGTAACAGTGTTACGATCAAAACATTGGCCAGGATGAGTCGTCTTTTATTCTTCATCCTTGCTCCAGTAGTCCTTGTGTAGGCATCAGCTTGATTGTTGTTTGGATTATGGTTGCGGTTACGTTATGTATGTACTGTGTACCGTCTCGTAGTACGAAGAATTGCGTGTGTGAAATGTATGAGGTACGTGCGTGGGCGTGTTTGTGGTCAAAAAACGTTGTAACTACGTCACGTCTGATTTCCCATTTGTCTTCGCCTCTCCACTTCTTTCCCTTGTCTTCCCTCACTCTCACTCTCTTACACTCTTCCCTTAATAAAACCTACATTCCTCCCTCTTCATTACGCTTCCCAATATACAACCTTCTCCTCGCTCTCATCTATTCCATATACCCCCTCCTCTACTTCTTACCCAAAGAGGTAACTCTATCAAACACTCAGCATGAAGTTCTCCCTCAGCTCCGCCTTTACGGTGGCCCTCGCCGCACAAGGCGCTGTTGCCAGCAGTTGGTTTGGCAAACCTGGTGCGTTTTGTACGAGCACTTGTTTTCCTATGTCTACCCTTTACCCATTCATCTGGTCGTGTATATGGCAGCTCTAACGACTGGGTTTCCAGTGTACAACAAATGGCACGAGACGGAGCTTGAGCGGTGGTTGAACGACTACAACATCCCTCACCCCACTCCTTCAGACCGCAAGGATCTCGAGAACCTTGTCAAGGACAACTGGAACGACAAGATTGTTACTCCCTACAACAGCTGGGATGCTCAGACTCTTCAGAACTACTTGACCCTCAAGGGCCAACAGGCAAAGAAGGGCACTGAGAAGAACGCACAGAGCCTCGCTCAACAGGTTCAAGCGATCTGGGAAGAGACTGAGGACTCTGCCAACACTGCCTACTCCAGCGTCAAGGACTGGATCTTTGACAGGTACATCACTCGTACATGTACATCACTGTAGCTGCAATCCAAATACTAACGAAGCGTAGCTGGACCGATTCCCAGCTCAAGGCCTTCGCTGACAAGCACGGAATCCCCGTCCCTCAACCCCGCCAGCGCGACAGCCTTCTCAAGGTTGTCCGTGAGAACTACCAGACCGCCGCCAACAAGATCTCGGAGACTGCCGCCTATCCCGGTGACTGGCTCTACGCTTCCTGGTCTGACTCTGACCTTAAGTCCTGGTTTGACGAGCGTGGCTACCCCGTTCCCCAACCCTCAAACCGCGATGCTTTGATTGCCAACATTCGCCGCAACTCTCGCCTTGCCAGCCTGAACTTGCAGAGCGCTTACGCTTCAGCCTCTTCCTCCGCCGCCTCCGCTCAGCAGAGCCTCAGCGATGCTCTCCTCGACTCTTGGTCTGACAGCCAGATTAAGGAGTGGGCCGACAAGAACGGTATCAAGGTTCCCCAAGGCTCTAAGCGCAATGAGCTTCTTGCCCTCGCCCGCAAGCACCGCGCTCAGCTCTATGGTGATAACGTTTCCGCCTCGGCTTCCAAGGCCTACGGTGCTGCTACTTCCAGCGCCAACGCACAGTACGCCCAGGCTACCAACGTCTTCGCTGGATACACCGACTGGATCAAGGCTCAGCTCGGCATCGCGACCGGCTACGAGGCTAGCGCCAGCATCGCCAGTGCTTCCATCTCCAAGAGCGCCGCCTCCGTATCTGCTTCTGCCTCCAATGTTGCGTCCGCTGCCTCCAAGTCGGCCCAGAAGGGTTACGATGCCGCCGCAGAGAGCGCCAAGAAGGCCCAGGACCGCATCAAGGAGGAGTTGTAGATGAAGAAAGCAACATCATATTCAACCAGTGTGGAGGCAGTCGCACACAGGGTACCCTAGCCTCTTTCTTGATGTATGACGACTTACGACGCAAGAACCTCAATATCAGTAGCTTTAATTAAACAGGTGGACTGGACGCCCCGGGATGGGCAATTGTAACTCTAGCTTAAAAACTTATTCCCCTTTGGTAGGAGTTTTCATGAGTGGGCAAAGGAAGAATTTCCTTGGTTCTACGCTTCGGTATGGTTTGGTGGTTCAAGTTCATTCGACTTTTTCCTTTACTTTTTTGGTATGCCACCTACATAGCATCACTTAGTGAATGGGAGATGATAGTACTCATGCACAGTCTGATTGACATTTGATTGGTTGAGGTTGTGATTCATCGTGTCCATTTGCTATTTCCAGGACTAGGCAACGTCCGTGGAGTTGCTTTCCTCTTTGTCTTCACGCAGAAGGTGCATCGGCGCAGTCCTTCACCTCTACAGGAAATATTTTGCTCTACCTAATAACAACCCAACGTCTTGCGTTTATTTATGGTCTCACTCCCACAGCAACTTCACTACCCTCCACAATCTTCTTCACAACAATCAGGGGCCTATATTTGTCTGATGAGACGTCTTAAAGGACGCAACGATTCACTAAATAGGCCTCACCATGACAAAGAGAAGTGGAAATCGAGGCACAGGTCCCAAAGCCTCCGCGGCGAACTTGATCCCGCTCGGCAACGCGAGACGGCTGGGAAGATCCTCTGGCGATGATGGCATCTCAACAACCATAAGCGATGATCGCCATGAGAATTCGCGACATTTCGAGCGTAGCTCTGAGCGGGTTTTTCAAATGCCGCCGCGACGAGAAGATCAACGGGCTGCATACGCGGTGACTGCCTCATCTGAGATTGAAAGTTATTCGCTGCACGATGGTACAAAGTCGCACACATCCAGCCAGCCGGTCTCTGAGCGGGCTGACCGAAGTCACCAAGGCAACGTCCATAGCTCGAGACTCGCACTGCTGAGTGAGGGCTCGACGTCCCAAGAGATGGGCCCGAGTGATCGACAGGACCACCACTTCGCTGGGCGGCCTCGCAAGCAAAGTGACAAAAGCACCAGGGATAGAATCCGTGAGGCGCCGAGGAAGGGCCACCGGCGCGGAAAGAAACATGTGTCGTCGTCGGAGCTGAAAAGGTGGCATACTGAGGACGCAGGAAGAGGAGGGGGAAATGGTGTTAAGCGCAAAGCTACGGCGTCGAACCTCATTCCTCTCGGACGGCCTGATCGGTTGGCGCGTGATACGCGAGGCGATCAAAGGAAGAGGGATCATATTGAGGAGGAGGTTCATACTTCTCCGACTGGCCGGCGTGTTCATTTTGTGGACGAAAAGACCAGTACGCCGGCCGTACCCCGAAGCGAGGAAAGTGAACATGAAAGGGCTTCGAATGACACTGAAGAGACCATGGTTTTAGAGACAACACCATATACAAGCACTGCGAAGTCGGATTCTGGATACGACGATACCATTTCTCTCTTTGATCGTGTCCTGGGTCACTGCGAGGGATCAAAGTTCCAAGAATATATGGCTTTTGACAAACAAGAGCTATGTTCCAAAGCCGAACAGTACGCTATGCCCGCGCGATTTCGACTTCTTGGAACAAAGGAACATATCGCACATTGGCTTGCATGCATGACCGAAGTTATGGCCTGGACTACAGAGGAACGTTCGCACATCCTCAGCCGAGATTTCGGAGCCTGGAAGGCGAGCTGGGGCGACACTGACGCCAAACAGCACCGCTTTTTGTCAACAACATACTGGGCCATGGGTATATGCAAGCGTTTGGGTCTGCTAGACAAGACAAAGCAAGAGGTGATTGATATGGCGCGGGAAATGGGAGTCAAGGTCAATGATGCCGAAGAGGGCTTTGAGCTTGTGTGGGCCATGGAGGTTATGCAGAATTCGAACGACAAGACAAGTGTCCCTGCCGAATTGGAAGCACCAAACATATATTCGACAGTGGAGGTGAGCCAGGAGGACCAAGTCAAGGAGAGATTGTTGGAGAAGAGGACGTTGGAAGTTGGGGCTTGTGAAGCGCATTCGTCGCCACCGAAAAGGTTGAAGAGCGTCTGAGGGACTGATATGACCCATGAAAGTTGCTCGTGTTCGTCGACGTATTCGAGAGCATTTTCACAGTCGAGTAAATGGGAGGGTCCAATGGGCCTTGAAGTTGCAAACCTTTACAATGGTATTGGAGCGGAGCAGTGTAGCCTATCCTGTATATCCCATGAACACAAAAACATCAAAGTACTAGTATCCATGACATGAAAAGGGCAATTTTGGTGTGAATAAATTCCGAGTGGAGAGGTAAGCCCTACATATACAGAAAACCCCTTCCTACCACTACTTAAGACTCGCGATCACAACACTCAGCATCTTACTATCATACCTCACCACCTCCGTAATCTTCAACCCAGCCCTCTCCAGCAGCCCCTCAAACTCCGACCTCGTCCTCTCCCCGCCCCCCAAACAAGCCATCATCGTGACATCCATATACGCACACTGCCACGGGACCCCCTCATCCGGCAACACCACCTCATCAATCACAACCCTAGACTCTTCTGCCATCGCCGGCACAATCGCCTTCAATATCCGCACGCACTCCTCATCCGACCAATCGTGCAAGACATGCCTCAGATAGTAAATCTTCGCCCCTTGAACCGGCTGCTCAGTAAAGAAATCATGCATCTGGAACTCGACGCCCTCCACGTCTTCAAGACGCCGCCGTTCGTCCGACGCCATCCCATCCAACGTCTCCTTCAGATCCTGCACGACGAACCTCGCGGCCGCCAGCTCGGGGAACTTGCGCCGCACGCCGACGGCCTGGTGTCCGAACCCGCCGCCCACGTCGACCATCGCGACGGTAGTCGGCGTCACAGCGGCACCGCCGCCGATGGCGGAAGCGACAGGGTAGACGTCGAACCATTGAGAGGGGCGGGAGATAGCCATGGCGTGCGCGAGCGACTTCATCTGCTCCGGGTTCGCGCGCAGCCAGTCGAAGGGCGCGAGCGGGGTGTCGAAGGCGAGGTGGAAGGGGAGGTCGGTGTTGGAGGTCATGGGCTGGTAGGCGTGGGTGGTGAGGTAGGTGGGGAGTTCGAGGGCTACGCGGCCGTGGAGGTCGAATCTGAACGATGTCAGTGGGTTGGTCTACATGTTTCTTGTCTCTCGTGCTGTAAATAGGGGGAGAAGGGGAGTAACGCACCCGTGGTCCATGGCCCCCGAGACGTTTTCGTTTGCGAGGATAGTGGTCATACGGTTCGATTTGAAGGCATCTTTGCCCGCCTCATGGATGAAGCCGAACGCGGCCGTCGCGCGGAGCAAATGGCCCAGCAGGCCTCGATCTGCTCCCGTTTCCTTCGCAAAGTGCTCCAGCGTCAGTGGTTCCTCTTCTTTACCGCGACTTGCGAGGGTTTCGAAAATGTGAAGGTTGTGGCCGATCCTTATGAGGGCCATTTGGAGGAACTGATTGTGTTCCGTGTTAGTCACATTGGGCAATTGAGGTAATATATGATGGTCGGTGGTGATTGTCTCGTCAGGTGAAGAGACAAAGAGATAGGATAGGAGAGTACTGCTTACACCGCTGCCTACACGGCACACAATGTCCCACTCAGTCGAGAGGTCGTTCTGCAGGTCGCGGAGTTGGACATGGATGGCTCGTTGCTGGTCTTCGTCGGCGGCTGTGTACAGCTCGCGGATCTGAGCCGTTATGGAGTCCATATTGTTCTTCACTTTTCCTCAATGCTTGAACTTCTTCTCTTTTTCTTTGCTCCGAGTATTTCTTTGGGATTGAAGGAGGTTTCTTTACGCGATGGAGTGTTTCTTGAATGTTTAAAGTTGGTCATATTGTTCGTGCCATATCGAATTTATGTACTTTGGTAATACACCGAATAGCCCGAATTCAGCGACCTGGTAACCCCGTAACGGTGCGCCTGAAATCCTTCTCTTATTAGGCAACGATGTTATAGAAAACTTCATACTGGCGAGAGATCAGCACTTGCCATTAGTAGATGATGGTGTTGCGGGTAGGTTGTGGTCTTGCCTGGTGTTTGGTAAAATGTTGACGTCAGACTAGTGGAGTTTGAACGAGATTGTTTTTCTGACAATCAAGATAGGCGAATGTAAACGAAGGGGCGACTGAACAGATTATATACCTGTATTGTCTCGTTCAGATTAACATCTAGAAATCCGAGGTTTGATGGTCTAATCCGTTGTTTTGATGTGCATTGCGGCACGTTGGCAGAATACTTCTGTAATTCTCTTCTTTCATAGAAGTACTGTTAATAAAGTTTCGTGTTGTCCTCGTGATAGACTGCGCGAGATCTTCCTCGAACAGCAGCCTTCCGAAGAAATTGTAAATTTCAGGAGAAGTAACAAGCATTTTGTTCTGACAGGAGAGCAGGTATGACATTGTATCGACTGACCTAAAAGGTAGAGAGGCATGAGGTAGAGAAGTCGCATCAAGACTTACGCCTGCCGCCCGTCCCGCAGATCATACCAGCCTAGGTAATGCACAAAGTGCCCCACAAGGTGCCCCGCAGGTTTGCTGCATTCAATTACTATTCTCCTTTTCGTACACAGTATATAGACGTAGCTACGCCTCTTACGTTGCCTTGTAAATGTATATCGACGGTACGCCGCATGGCTGCATTTCGTATCCATTGCATTCCGGGCCCAGATCAGTCGTCGGCTAACCTATATTAACACGGACCGGCGTCTACCCGCATAGTGTATTGTACGAGATACGTACGCTACTAATAGCTATATCCCTGCAGGTCCCGGTCCTGGATGTGGGGATTGATGGGATGCCACGTTCTGTTCATCATGGGGACCTTTCATAGTGGGGTGCTGCCATAAATAGATGATATATGGTACGTTTATGGGGTGAAGTTTGCCAAAGTAAATAGCAAACATTATGTTGTACTGTATGGAAAATATGTGTTGAAGAATATTGATGTTTACAGTTGGTAGATACTTTCGCGAGGCGATGTATTATGCGCTCTCCGATTCATATAACTCATTCCAGAAGTAGATATCGCTCAACATCTCTTCAGGTAGATTGATCGGAGTTCGTATTTGAACATGAACATGTACTGCAGCCTTCCAGCCAAAGAATTCGGACATCTCCCAGTCAATGACAGCGGACAATTCTGTGATTATCAACGATGCAATTTGACAACAGACATCATTGTGCACGAAGCTAAGGTCTGGGACTTTGATGTCTTTCGAGAAGATAGGGTCTCTTCTAAGCTCGTCAGTTGTGAGTGTCGTTGATTAGGAGGTGATATGAAGTACGAGGACAGAAAATGGCTCCGTGAACAGCGTATAATGTTGTAGAACCCCCACAGCTTGCAGGCGTCTATGCATGCACGGACTGTAATTACCTATTATGTAGGTACATATCTTGGTTAACTGCACCCTGCTCGCATGAATCCTTTCGAGAAACTCAGTTGGGGGTTTGATTTGTTGCAGTACCAAAGTATTCTTTGGGTTAAATTCCCGGTTAAACATAAGACATACGCTTAGGCGGGCTTTTGCCATTCAATTCCTTTTAGTAGGCGCAAGACTCCCTGCGGTGACATAACGGGGCGGTGATCAATGAGATAGGTTTATGAGTGTGTGGGTGTGAAACAGCACCTTGTTATCTGGGAATGTCATTAAGAATAAGGATGCCTAGCTATATTCGAAGGTATAAGGTCTTCCCCCCAGACCTGGCTACAATGTAGGAATTTTTCAGTGCTGACCGAGTCTGGTGAACGGGAGCTGACTAGCTTGTAATGGCTCTAAAGTCCCAGAGTTTCATGGTGACCTTTTCCTAGCCACATCTTGTAATCATTCTTTTTACAATGAACCACATACTGAGTCCAAATCTTCGGATCGCTGCGTTTAATTTGCATTGGTAGGATTATCATCAGTATGAAAATATTTCTTTCCTCTAGAGTTGCCGCTTTGCCTATAAAGTTATTTCGTGGGCAAGTTAAAGAAATATAGATCTCGTTTGGTAGGAACCTTTCAATAGATGAATGATGATATTAATACATTTCAATGTATCGTCAATATCTACTTGACGATTTCGAATGTAACAGGTTATACTGATCGGTGAAAAGGTTGCTTACAGCATATACACGCGCAAAGATGGCATGCCATTATCCTGATCCAGAGGGCTTGCTTACGCCCTCATATGCTCCCCACTATCATCCATGCATGCTGGCTCCTATTGTCGGGCCTACCCGTACCGCGTCTCTTCCATCCTCCTGCTGTGCCTTGCATGTTTAATCAATTCCCGCACGAGTGCACTAACAGCAATTGTGGTACGAAGCTCCACATTCATCTTACACTTGGATTCGTATGGATAATTGGGGGCCTCCATGCGAAGCCTTACCGTGACAACTATCTTGGCATGCTTACTCTTGCATCGTTCGTACCATGGAGACGCCTTTGGTTCCAGTTCTGGACATCGCCATGGTTTCGTACATGTATGCACAATATTCCGCATGGTGCGTATCCAATTTACCATAGATGCTGCACTGGGTCCGCCGCCTGTCTCCTGCATCATGGTCGCCGTCTTGCATATATGGCATTTACACGGTAAGATCGAGCAGTGCCATATAAAATCGGACAAACAGACGCCATTGTTCGGAAATTTTCTTTTGCGCGCACTTAGATGTTTTTTAGTAGCGTTAGCTAGGGCCCCACAATGTTTCAACTATCTTCAGTCTTTTTCGTGCTGCTCCTGGCTTCACAGCATGTCACTGCAATCAACTTCCCCTACGAACGCACCACACTGAAGGATTCCGACATCGGAAACAACTCGGACATAGCATTTGGTGATCCAAAAAAACCTGTTAGCAAAGCGAGATGTCGAGTCTATCCTGGAGATGCGGACTGGCCTTCGAATGCGAAGTGGGATAGATTCAACGCCACTCTTGGAGGAGCACTGATCAGGGGAATTCCACCTTCCGCAGCTTGCTACCAAGGCCCGTATTATAATCCTACCAAATGTAACGAAGCTAGACGAGGCTTGTCCAGCTCTCTGTATACGTGAGTTTTGCTTTGTTGAATCATCCTATGAATTTGTTGAACACTAACACCCATCGTAGTGGTGATGACCCTGTCGTACCAAACGCACCATGGCAGCTGGGTAATCCATGCCCGATCCCACCTGTGGGTTTGAACGAAACAACGCCAATCTACAATTGCAATATAACTGCATATCCAGCGTACGTGGTGAACGTAACGACAGTCAAGCATATTCAACAGGCAGTCAACTTTGCACGCAACAACAATCTTCGTATCACCATCAAGTCAGTATTCTTACATTTCCTTGCTCTGGGGAAGGTAACTGAGGGCCAAATAGGAACACTGGCCACGATTGGCTCGGGCGAAGTACTGGTGGAGGCGCTCTCCAGATCTGGACACGTCACCTGACTGACTTCGAATATCTTCCTTCTGTGACGGTTGGAAGATATCGAGGACGAGCAGCGAGAGTCGGCGTCGCCCTTGAGCAGTACATGCATTATCCCCACATGGTCGCGAACAATATTACGATGTTAACTCCAGGATCGTCAACGGTCGGTGCCTACGGAGGGTTCATGCAAGGAGGCGGTTTTGGTTATGTTACGTCTAAATATGGTCTCATGGCTGACCAAGTGCTATCGTTCGAGGTCGTGACAGCAGATGGAAGGTTTGTCCATGCTGGCCACGATGAGAACAAGGACTTATTCTGGGCGATTCGTGGTGGTGGTCCTGGTACGTTAAATCTGGAGCATTTTTTGAAATCACCTCTAATTACCACTAGGAAACTTTGGCATAGTAACTTCAGCGCTGGTGAAGGCGTACGATCCGGCTCCTGTATCAGAAGTCCTGTTCAACCTGCAAACAAACCCCGTGGTAGGAAATTCGTCAAACACATTCCAGGTACCGGACAAAGAGTTATTCTGGAGAGCTGTCAAGATCTACTTCGCTCAACTCCCTCGAATGGCAGACGTAGGTGGTAATGGCTGGAATAACCTCACCCCTGGACGTTCTGGTGGAAGTAACCAGACCCAGACGCTACAGCTGACGGGTCGTTATACGCTGCCTGGTTTCAAGTTAGCTGACGCAAGGGCTTTCTTCGCTCCAGTCTTCCGCGAGCTGAGAGAGGCAGGTGTCAAAATAACCCCCGTGGAGCCGACGTTCTATGAGACGTATGCCAAGTACATCTTTCGACCACAAGGACCAGGAGAGAGCGCCGGCGGAGGTCGGTTCGGTTCGCGGCTCATCCCACGCGAGAATCTCGAGGACATTGATTCCAAAGTGTTCAACGATACTATTGGCTCCTTCCGCACTCTGGTCGAAGAGGGCGGTTATCCATTCCACTCAGTCGACTTTACGCCTACCGAGGAAGTCGCAGGATGGCCCGGAGCAGATAACGCAGTAAATCCCGCCCTTCGCAATGCCATCATGCATGTTACGAGCTACGATACCGGATCGTATGGCCCAGAGGCCTCACCCGCTCAACAGATTGCGAGTCACGCCCGTCACACATCATACATACAGAAGATCAGGGATGTGACGCCAGGCAGTGGAGCATACATGAATGAGGTTGACACTGAAGAACCGAATTTTCAACAGAGCCTTTACGGCGACAATTGGGAGCGTTTGTCGGACATTAAGGTGAATAGAGATCCGTGGAGTATTTTCTATGCCGTTACGATGGTTGGTAGTCAGAATTGGAAGGTCGAGGGCACACAAGGCCTACCGACGCAACAGGGGAGGCTCTGCAGAGTCGCGGCGTGAGAAACCTTTCTTGACAGCTGGGGCAGGTTCGCTTTTAGTCTTTGACAGCTTGGAAGAGGTCGAACGAGCGCATCCATGTTACAAGTTATCTAGACGCGTTTGGCGCTGGCGATAGTGCAGGGACATACATATCCAATTCATTTGCGCCTAGTAACAATACAAAATACTATGATACAGATAACCGTGGTTTCCAGAACTCCAAATGTCAATGATACGCCGCCATCATACTTTGTGGCAGCGCGTTGTACGCCTATTCATGTAACGATTGGAGCGAAGGCATGGAGATGTGGGCTAGAATGCCATACAAGAAGCGCTCTCAAGAGGCTTTATGCAGAGCAAAATGCTGCTAATGCTCGTGTTGTTGCGTACATTCCTGTACACATTCGCTGAAGATACGAAGCGTTTAAAAGGGCGTTCAGGGTATCATCCAAAAGCGACAGTGTGCCAACATGGGCTTAGGTGATTTCGTAGACTTTAGCCGAATGTAGTGCTGTGATGCTATTTCGTCAACGAAGTCGCATGATCTGAGTAGGTCGAAGTGACCGGTCTGGTCCATAAAGAACATCCCACTAGCAAGTCTTCAGTGCTTTGGTTCATCAACTGCCGCTCCATGCGAATTCTTGCTACTGCTACCCTTCATTCCATTCACCAACTGCCGGCCCATGAGCCTCGAGATCTCCATTGCGTAGTCTCTGATTCTCATCCTCTGCTCATGCTCTAGTCTTCTGGAAGCTTCGATCTCGTCACTTTCCAAAGTTGTCGAATAGACGGGTGGAGCATTCGAGTGGTGGTAACTCCGTGAGGAGTGCCCATAGTCCGATGCATCGGACGAGGATGTTGACGATATAGATGGGAATTGATGCAGTGTTGATAACTCTGAGTTACTTGAGTCGCCTGATCTGCGGCGCTCTCTTTCTGTGACGGAGATGTTGTAGGGTGTTGTTGACTTTGCCATGTTGGTGTATGTATCGAGACAGGATTGGTAGAGAACGAAGGTCAAGATATGTATTCTTCGTATGAGTATGCAAAGCAGTACTTGCTGGCAGATGGTGGACTAGCAGCACACAAGATTGACAATAGGATTGGGATATGTATGAGTATGTAGAAGCAATTCAGGGTCCAAGTCAAAGGTCAATTTCATCAAAGCTAGTAACCGTGAACCTGCATGAAGACATCTCTCTTCGACCTGCATGCCCTTTTTAACATTTGAGTGAATCCCATCTAACGTCATTTGATCTTTCCCGCTCCCAGCACTGTTGATGCGCCGCTTCACAGACGCCTTTGCTGATCGCTTACCGCATCGGGAAAGATCTGTATCACCTACGCGATTAATGCTTACCCCAGGTTCCTACGAATCGAACGATGAGTAACGAAAACGCTGCATTGTTGCAGACTAGAATAACTTCACGAGATTCGACCTGTCCTGTAGGCAACAGCGCGATTTGATTCAAAATGAAGAGCTGTATCATATCATTTCGGACCTTGATGTTAGAGGCGATAAGGTGAGGAATTCCCGTGAAGGCATCGAAATGATGTCATCGAGAAACACCACCAAAACACCCTCAGACATCGTCATGATCAACAATCCCTTCGCTAATCCCCTCCCGTTCCCCCAGACGGGCCAATTCTCATTCGAAGACTTATCACACCACGATCGGTGCGGAGCATTGATCTGCAGGCTACCACTGTCTCACATTGCTACACGGCATACTCACTCATCTTCGATCTTGCTCGATGATGGGGATTACACAAATCTACCTGTGCTCCCTGAAATGGCATGTGGATGAATATAGCCATTCTTCAGATGATCTGTGTCACCTCATGGGTAGTTTCTGATCATCTTTGCATTCGCCGGCTATTATTCTGTATGGTCGGTATATCATGGTCTTGATATTGCAGGTGTCTAAATTGGACAGATACATGTAAGTCATGCCGCGCATAGCTGGCTCGGATTCCTTCCCACTTTTGTAACGTCGACTCCACGGAGGGAGATCGGCGGTCGGTTATGTTGGTGGACGCTTTGCTACCCATAACTCGTCTGTAAAGGTATGCCTTTTGTTGAATGGCACTATCGTTAGCTGGCCCCCAAACTATCTACGATTACTTACACAGTACTGTTCATCGACGCATTTGCATGTCGTTTGATTTGTTGAGCAAAAATAGCCTATCTAATCATCCGAGGACTCGTACGAGTACAATTTAGCAAATAAGACGAAAATGAAGAGATGATGAAAGAACAGGTATGCTCCGCGGCGGTAGATCGTACCCTTTTCCTTTCTTTTCTTCTCCTCTAAGTTGCCCACGGCCGGTGCCTTTAATTAGGAATATTGATATCCTAGCACTCCTGGCATAGCTTACGAGTATGATTTTAGGAATCAGAGCTACCACTTCCGGAAATAATGCACGTGACATTGCGATTTCGTCATGCGAGTATGGAGAACATTACAACACAGTAAGCAATACGAAATGATTAATATGCGTACTAACTACTCGTACCAGCAGTAGTTAAACTAACATACCTCGTATTGGAAAACGGGTGAAAATTCACATTTTAAGGCACATTGACAGAATCATCGCAAACAGAAAGGTATCATGATTGCAGACCATAAATTCGTAAACTTCATCTTGCCCAAGATCTTTCGACCATCGGCAAGGTCTCATCTAGGTCGTAATGAAGAAATAAAAAGACATGCTACTCATACAATGGTGATAGTCTCCCCGAGGACCTATGCAATACATTGACCTGACCCCAAGTCAGGCACCCCAAAAAGATATCCATCTACTTCAACTTTCCGAGCATGTTTGCCTTCCAGCTCTCCATCTTTCCGCTCCTTCCCTGCTGTTGCACCACCTTGGGGTGCGACATGGGTGCCGTGAAGTGGCCGCTGGCCCTCCTGATCTCGGGCTCTGCCGACCTCGATGGCGAGCGGCTAGAGTTGCGGTTGGACCTCTGGGCATTGGCTTGCTCTGGAGTGAGGAATTCCGAGTCGCCGGAGGTGGATGTGCGTGGTGAGTTTGCGTTTGCGAATGCTTCGGCTTCTTCGAGCATAGAGGGTCGGCGGTCTGATTGGTTGATTGTTAGTCTTTGGATTGGGTGATTGGGTTGAAGGATAGGGAATGGAGAACATACTTCGAGTTGCGTGCTGGTACTCCTTGACTTCCATCTCCCTTTGCCTCTCGTCCATCATGTTGTCGTTGATAGCAGAGGTGTTGGTGTTGTTGTTATATTGGGAATTCATGTTCATATTTTGTGGTTGAACTGATGGGTTTCGATTTTGATAGTTTGATAGAATGGTTGGATGCAAGATGCTTCAAGTGAATTTGTTCTGTAGAAGGTTTTCTGCTTCCCAATCGGGGCTTATTCGTCCCTCTTATATACCCTCAAGACTACGAAGCTTTCCATCGTTGAAAGAATGACGACGTCACATATGCGGACCCTCACAGCGGCGATATAGTATTGTCACGGTTACCAAGACCGACCAAGAGCAGTAGTCTCTCAGCGTCAAGAATCGCCCAGAGCAGCAAAAGTATTTAAATGTGGCGTGCCAGGGCTTGGAGGCTCACTTAAAGTTGCTGGGTACTAACCGGGAGCGGCGATTTCGTATGTTTTGTGGGTCGCAAAGCCCCACGATGACGGATTATTCGGCTTGGTCCAGACGTTCTAGGCACCCGGACTGTAACTTGTAATCATGTGTGGTTATTACTTGTGTGGCGTGGACAGGTGCAATGCAGGGAGTTGCCTTGTCGTCTAATACCTCTGAGATTTCTTAAGAGTTGGGCCCAGGTATATCATGCCATGGGATTCTGGAGATTGTCGTCTTTCGCATATGACATCGCCGTACCAGATTTCGCCCATCATCCATATGAGGATCAACGGATCTGAGAGAACAGACCCCTAATAACCAAGCACTCGATATCCCGATACATTAAACTTTCGCTGTGATTTCCATTTTTCGTCCGTCTGATCTAATAAATCCACGATTTATTACAGCTCTAGGGTACCGATTCTGCTTCCTGCACTGCCTCCCACACCCCAAGGCCCTTCAGCCACTCTTTTCCTGATCATGGCAATGACATCCTGTCTTCCTCCGTCCTTCTCTAGCCTCTCGCCAAGAGCTTGTAATACATCGAATTTCGCCATCGCGACTTGGTAGGCTGCATTTTCGGCGTCACCTCGTCCTCCGACAAGATTCGAAAAGGTCGTCGCAGGCTTCATCAAGTACGGCAGCACTCCGCCACTGATGCTAGGTTCAAGCACAGCGTCAACTCCAGTTTTTGGGAATTGTTGTAACTGCTGGTATATGGGGTCATTTTCCTCAATTACAACGGATGACGCTTGCGTGTCCCAGCTCGATGTGATGATGGATCGTAGAAGGGTCAGCGCCGCAAGCGCGTTCTCCTTCATTGCAATCAGGTCTGCATGCTTGACAATATCTGTGAAGAAGCTTGTGTTCCGAGAGTAATATAACGCAGTCAGAAGGCGCGCAAACACTCTCTCTGTGACATTACGTTCCCTTTGAGTACTTGTAATTACTGGTTGGGGAAAGGTGATGGGTTCCTGCGATGCTTTAGCTAAATCTGAGAATGTTGGAGGTTGATGTATTTACTGCAGGAGGCCCATGGAATACGGTCGCAAGTGTCTTGAGAGCATCTGGATTTGTTCGAGATATGGGAATGTCCAACAACACTGCATCATTCCAAGCCAGACCCGTAGATTTCCGTGGAACGAGAGTAGCACGCGGCATGGAGGCAAGTACGCTGAGATCATTCGGCTCACACCTGCTGATATTGCGATGTATGTATTGTCGTATGCTTTGCATCTCTGGGCTTTGCTCGAAATCAACTGGGTATGTTGATGCATATTCGCTGATGTAGTGCGCTGTCCGGCTACTGAGAAAAGAGTGCTCGAGTCCAGGACTGTCGCTGGTATGGAACTCTATGATCTGCTTGTGGATGCCTTGGTCCTTCAAGAAGTCTAGAGAAAGACTGGAGTGTTGATTCCTAACTACTGGTCAGCCAATATTGCAAAAAGGAAAACCCACCATGAACAATCTGAAAGGACATACGTGAGATGTGGAGTGTCTTTGATTGCTGTGATCAAATCGCTATAGAAGCTTAAGAGAGTCATGTGCATCAGAATGTCATCTGCTGCGTCTACCATCTTTAATGAGGCATAATGGAGCAGCCCTTGATCGTCCGCCAGGCCAACATTCCTTTCAAGCTCTGGGTTGAAAGAGGAAGTCACGGCCTTCCAGTCCATCTTTCCTACATGCGGTAGCCACTCCAACAATCTTGCTTGGGCAATAGTCCGGTCGCGCTTGGCCAACGAGGGCTCGGCAGTGACAGTGAGCTTTGCGAAGGTAGTGTAGTGGTAATAGAGCGAGTATATGTCACTGTCATGAAAGAGACGTTTCCATATTGGAGCCGAGCCATATTGGTAGAGTTGTTCGTGGTGAGGATGAGGTCCTGGTTCGTCCTTGGATATACGAAGCAGAGAAAGAAGAAGTTGAGAGGCCTGTGTGCTGATACCTGCATCTGGTGAGCACAGCCAGAGTCGGACAATGGCATAGATCACCCCCGGCCTATTTGCTAACGCTGCTGCATCAGAGGGGCCCGCTGCGGCCTTTCCTAGAAGGGTCAGGATGAGGCTATGGAATAGCGTTGCTTCAAGGTTCAGGCCTATCTCAAACTCCACCTCTTTGATATCTTCAAACCGATAGGGTACAGCCAGTTTGATGATGAAATGTGTTAGAGGCGTAGGGTCTTGTTGGAGTTTTGGGAGCAGGCTGGCTAACTGTAGGAACAACGGTTGAGTCTCCTTCCATATCTTAGTGCGGTATTCGGACGTGCTTGTGAAGAGTTCACATTGTTCCAACAATTCGGTATCAAGATTTGTGGTGGGGTCTTGATCTATTTGTAACAAATGGTCTGAAAGCTGTTTTAACACAACGGCTGAAGAGTCTGCCATCTCTCGTAGCTTCAACGGTCCAGTGCCAAGGATTGCTGCAATATGTGAATGCCTCGCGCAACGTTTCAACGTATATAGACCGCTCCGTAGTGTGTGGGCCTATAGGATGATGGTCTCTGTGATGGAATGTATCATCGACTAGAGACGAAGGTGAGATGAATAATAGTGACAGGGTATGGGTACGACGATTAGTATAAGAGGTAGTTACGGAGTAGTAAGGCAAGTAAGGAAAGGTAGGCAGTTGGGTGAAGCGCGCGGGGGCGCGGCTGGACCTGCTTTTTGGTGCCCCACCCCGCCAAACCCGCTAGAATTGCCTTAGTCTCCGCCTGGCGCTTCTGCTCCCCAAAATTCTTACTGTTCCTACATCACATCTCGAATTCTTTCCCTCTCCACTACGTTTACGATTCCAAATACCACGTCTCACCCGTTTGACCTCGACAGGTCTCATTAGCGACTCTTTGAATTACCCACGGCGGCTTGAACACAAGCGCAACAAATGCCGCCAGGTCGAGGCGGTCGCGGCGGCGGCAGAGGAGGGCGAGGCGGAGGAGGCTTCAACCCAGCACGAGGGACTATCAGTATCGCTGGAATTGAATTGAATTGGGATCTATCGGGACTAGAGATTCCAAGAGGCCCTGCCGAACGTTTCCCTGTAAGTTACTACCCTTTGGCCCTAATGGCAGTGGGGTGGCGCATAGCTATCCGCGGTCGTCGCATTTGCGCCGTGAGTCAAAATCACGAGCCGCTGAACGCGCGCAAACATTTTCCCCTATCCTAATTCAAAGGCATACTCTATATGAGGATATACAACCTTTTGACAGACTAACATGCCTGTAGAAAGCTCCTCCACCGCAAGCACCACCTCCAAGCGAGGACGATAGCGCCGCCGTAAAACACTCCCTCGCAGTCCGCGACACCATCCACGAAGGCTCCTTCTATACTATTCTCAACGATGGCATGACAACTGGACTGAAGCGCAAAGTGGGAGAAGATGGCCCCACTGAGACATCGCTGTTCAATCCCTTCACGGACAACCAGACGTATACCTCGAAGTATTTGAAGGTTCGGCGCAGGATACCGAAGCTAGATACGCGTCCATATGGTGAGCTTCTACAGACATAACCGGTTATGATGGTCAAGGATAATCAAACTTACATATGAGAATAACAGTCGCGGACCTTTTCCCTCCCGAGTTGCGCTCTATCCTGGATCATTCTGGAACAACTGCAAATGGCGATACCTCTGGTGATCGGCCCAACAAAAAGCGGAAGGTCTTGCAGATCTCCAAGGGTAATGCAGTAACCCAGATCGAACGCTATATCAAGGACGAAGAACAACGGACGAAATTGATGGAGGAGCGCGGAGAAGATGATGAAGACGCGGATCTTGATGACGAGGAGCAGGACGATGACAAGCCGGACGCCGTGGACGAAGAGGACAACTGGTCCGCCGTGTCCAGCGACTCAGAAGAGTCTGGAGATGATTACAACGCGGAACAGTATTTCGATAACGGTGAAGACGACGATGTCGATGAGGACGACCCATACGACAATACTTATTAAGACCCTGGGGGATCTCATTTAGTTGGTGGAACGACAAAAACAAGCATAGCATGGCATGGCATTGCATCAGGAGTTTGGGCAGATACCCTTTTTAGTTGAAAACATCTCTCTATCTACATCTGCAACCTCTCATCTTCCGGCATCATCCGCTTCTTGGTCCGTTACACTGACATGTAGAGACCTAACTCAGAAAAGCAGCATGAAGATCGCGACGGTTATTCCCGTGCGGGGAATCATCCGAGCCAGGAGCCCCAGTGAACAGACTGGTAGCATTCCTGATGATGGTAACAACGTTCAAAATATCTTGCAACCCAATTGTTTGATTCTTCTTCGACCATCCAAGCACCTCCGGAAGTCGTTCATTTTCTGCGGTAACAATATCGTTAGTTATCTACTCACGATATAATAAGCAGGTCGAGTAGCACTCACCGAAAAAGTACTCAACAAGCGCCCTATCCACCGTGCCCTTCTGCATGTCTCCAAAGGCAATGACCGGTGCCGCAACCTCACCAAGACTAAACTCCTCAGTCGTCTTGGAGAATGTGTAGTTCGGGTTGAAGGCCCTTGACTCGATCTGTCTGGCCAACTTGCTGTTGGCGAGCATTTGGGCAGTGAGTAATGGAGCAGTCCAGTAGGACTTGGTTGTGTCAAAGACGCTCTGGTTGAATATGTGATTGTTTCCGAAGAAAGCGTCGGTTCGACTATGTTTGTACGAGATCATGTCAACATCTCCTTGGTGGTGGTAAGTAATTGGGCATGGTCGACTTACCTCAAGCTGGCATCGTGTTCGAGGACGTTATGGCGGTTGAGGTGGTCACTGCAAGCAGTTCATCAGCAGTAAACGGCCTAAGTTGGGAGTCATGAGAAACTTACAGCGTGAAGAATGTAGCGTTGGGTTCCGGGTTGGCAATGATAGCCTGCTCCCACATCAAAGACGCAAGATCGGCATCGAAGTTCAATCCTGCTCCTATACCACGAATTGCATTCTCCTTAGTGATGTTTCTGCCATCATGAGGAAGAAAGCCGTGGTTGGCCAAAGTGTTCATCATTGGACAAGGTCCACGGACTGTTGGGCGTTCAGCATCGTTCAGCATCAATAGCTTGGGCAGAGACTCAGTCTTGACATACAGTCATTTGGCCCTGGTGGGTGCCAACTCAAGTGTGACCCGGTTCCATACTGCGGATGAGCAGAGGCAGACAGTAGCAGCGCTTGTGCTGTGGTAAGAAGAGAGAGCTTCATTTCGGAAGGAGGGAGTGCTTTCTGGTCGCTAGAGTCGTCTCCTCGAATGAGATCTGCCGCAATGGTAACGAAGAAAAAGAACAGTAGGAATACTCCATTCTTATACATTGTATCTACCACCCTGAGTGATCAATCCCATGCAAATTGATTGTTGCACAATGTACAAAACTTCATCGTCATGGACGATCATCGCCGTTGCTAGGTTCTAGCTCCAACTTTCTGTCAGGGACCGTTGTCAATAGCTCGAGGATACGTAGCCAATGTGACGAAAGATAATTACCGCTGACGCGTTTCAAGGCGCAAGAAATGGGACTGGTCGAGCTGGTCACAATGTAACCGTTGAGCGTTTTCAGTTCTATACGGCGTACCTCGCACTCGGTCTCGCTCGCATTGTCAGTTACGCCGTATTCGTCTGATTTGATCCCTGTAACCAACCAAAGTTCTCTCCTGTGCAGGCCAGCGCCCGAAGGGGCTAGGCTACTTTTAAATCAAGTTAGTGCGAGAGATCACGAATACCCTTTCTCGCACTCTCTTTCTAACTACCAGATTGGGACATGCATATACAATCGTCCTCTGCACTATATGGATCTGCACAGGAGCAGCGGACAATTTATCCGCGACGAGAAGCTTCCGCCACTCCCGCAGATGCTATTCCTAATACCCAACGTAGTTTCCTGGGGCTCGTAGTTGGCTACTGTTTATCAGTTGCGCATTTGTAAGAAGAACGGGCTACCAGGTGCGCGTGAAGATTCTTGGCTGAGTGAAAGTAGCATAAATGAATCGATCGACATTAAACAAACAGAAAAGTAACTGGGATTATGGAAATTGAAACTAGCGTTGAGCCGTCCATCTTCATTAACGACCAATCAAGTCAGCTCTTTCTTCCTCCCGTTGTTCCAATAGCCTTGCTAGCTCGTCAAATTGTACAGGTTTGGTGATATAAAAATCTACACCAGCCGTAAAAGCATCTTCCTCGTCCCTTCCGCTGGCAAGTCCAGTCAATGCCACTATTACGGAGGGATCGGCATACGATATGCCACCTCTTTCCTGTTCAATACAACGGATCTGCCGTGTGGCTTCAAATCCATCCATCACTGGCATTGAAAGGTCTATAGCAGTTGTTACCATATGATTGGAGAGCTGAAAAGGGGGCAAGAGTAATGCGAGAGTTTCCTTACCCATGAAAATCATGTCAAATCCACTCGGGGACCCCTTGAATGCTTTCACCGCTTTCTCTCCGTTGTTGGCTTGGTCTACATTATGATACCCGTGCTTTCCGAGAAATGCTTCCAGCAGCCTCAGGTTGAGTGTGTTGTCGTCAACGAGTAGAATACGAAGCTTCCTAGGCACGTCGTCAGAGACTGATAAAGGAGCATCTCTGGTCGATGGCGGGAATATAGATTGCCGAGCCGTATTGGTATTCAGATGAGTTGCAACCTGCCTTGGAGCTATGGTCGAGGGCATCCCAGGCAGATCGCCGAACGATTTGGGTGATATCGAGCGCTCTACCCATTTGACACCATGCATGGTCTTGACGGAATTTTTCCTTTCTTTGTGTGTCTCCAACAACATCTCAACATGTTTCTGGACCCGCCCGTCACTGTCCTGCTGCCTAAGCTCGCGCAGTTTGTTAATACAAACCAGGACTGCATTTGCTACATTGTTTGGGCCTAGCGGTCGCGGTATCCTCTCCCACTTCTGATATCCCTGTACTAATTTCATAGGGTTCGCTAGATTCTTTTGTGTCACTACAATGCTGAGGAGGATGCCACTTTTGCCATATGTGTCAGCGGTCGAGTTTACCAGTTCAAAGACCTCCTCATTGCCCTCGTCAACTAGAATGATATCTGGTGAGGACTCAGTTGTCCCCTCAACAATGGTGCAGTGGAACCAATCCCGTAGGTATGATGTTAACGAACTTTTGACTGGATCTGGCAAACCGAAAACGACGACTGTGAGGCGCTGCTGGCGGATAAGGGAGATTTTTTGTTCAAGGGCCAATGCTGATTTGTCGCTGATTTCAACGGTAGGTTCGGCCAGTCGCATTGGTATTCTGAGTTTAATCTCGGTACCCTTGCCTACTTCGCTTTTGACATGGATTTCGCCTGCAAGTAAAGATACTAGACTTTTGACAATGGACATACCCAGCCCGACTCCATGTGATGTTGCGGTATCTTCCTGGGTGAAGGGGACGAAGAGTTGATTTTCCAGGAAATCTTTGGAGATTCCCTTTCCAGTATCTTGGATAGTCAGAATTAGAGTTCTCCCATCAATCTGATCATTGCTATTGGCATCCCCATCTTGACTATTCTTTGACGAGGACATTTTGACTTCAACTGAGCCCTCGGAGGTGTACTTCAGTGCATTGCCGACCAAATTCACAATGATACGGCGCAATGCTCCAGGCTCCGTATAGTAGGACCAGTTGTCTTCATAGTCGACGTAGAGAGCGACAGTAACATTGCTGTTACTGATGTACTGGCTGAAAGATTGGCCGGCTTCGAGCACCCCCACGATCTCCTCGCAAAGCATTGCAACATTGGTGCGAATGTAAAGGCCCTCGTAGTCTCGGTCTGGCCCCGAACCGGATAATCTTCTGTCTTGGAGTGCCCACTCCGTATCCGGAGGGCGTCTTTGACGGTACTTGTGCTGCCGACGCTCAAACTGATTGATCTTCGCGTAAGACAGGACACTTGTGAGAGTTTCATGGAGAGTGGAGCCACACGTAGTAATAGTGTCGACTAAAGCATTTTGTAGAGTGCTCAGGCCTGTGTCTTGCAAGAGTTGCACCGCACCCAAGATTCCGTGCAGCGGGGTTCCTATTTCGTCAGTCTCAAGTATACATCAGAAGACTGGACGATGTCATACTTAGCTCATGGCTTACAGATGAGACAAAGGTCTCTTGTTGTTTCACGGCGGCAGCCGAGTCAGTTCTTGATATTTCCGACTCCACTACGCGCAAGAAGCTCTTCAGAGATCGAAGGTCCATTACAGGCTCAAAAGTTGGGAAGCCAGCATTCCTCCACACGAAGCAGGCTGCTAGCCGCTTGACAGAGGTGGGATCCTTGAGTGGTTGAAACATAAGCTGCTTTGCACTTGGGAAAGCCTTCGTCAACTTCTCCGCTTCCCTATTCTGATCACCCCCGACGAGCATGTCCCCGTCCACAAGGGTCATTTTGGTGCCCTGTAGATACCAAATTGCCCCGGTAGGATGGCGGTCCATAAGCCTTTGCAGGAAGCCCTCGTTTATTGTCGACAGACCCCGCGCAACCCCCGAATCAGATGTTTCTGCCACGTCGGTTTCGTCATGAAATGAAGCACCTAAGAGTAACGCCAGCTGCTTTACCTTAACACCCCTCTGATATTCAGCGCTTGTGAAAACTCTTGTATGGCTTTGAATCTTATCCTGTCTCTTGTATTGATATCTTCTTTTCCGGTGGCCTGGGCTGTTGTCTGTGGGTGGGATGGACTTTTGCTTCTCTCGAAGGATAGCTTGACGAGTCACTGCCGTGATTTCCTTATTTAGCTCTTGTTCAGTCTCGCTAACGGGCTGTACACCTCCATGGTATCCAACAAGGCCATCTACGAAGACAGCACCGTCAACCTCCATAGCTTGCTGGAGACACTGAGCGGCCCTACGGAACAACTTTCGGTATACCGTTTCGCCCTGTAATCTACCTCTTTTATTGTTGTGGCTGGCTTCTGCTTTCAGTGTACGGGCATCTTGCTCGTTGTCTTCTTGCGCAATTCGTTCGTCTCGCTCCAGCTCTGCCCGTACAAGCCTTTGTGATTCCTCACCCTGAATCTCCGGGTTATCCTCTCCGACAAGTGGTGGCTCTGCGATGCGCAGAGGAGCCAGGCGCTTCTTACTCCTTTTATGCTCTAACCCTACTATCGTCTTTCTAATGGGCGGTTCCTCTATCGCTTGAGCTGTAAGGACATGAGTCTGTACAAAGATCTCCAACTCTTCTTGTATGCTGACCCATCTTTCGTGAAAACACTTCTCTCGAGTAAGATCCATTAGTTCTATGCACCTGGAAGCTACCTCTTCAAGAGCTTTAATCTCTACTATGCGCAGTTTCTTCCGTTCACAGCCATCAACTAGGAAAACAACGCCAATGCCGATGCCGTGTTTCGTAAGAATAGGTGTGCCGGCGTAAAATCCGAGGTGAGGTGGTCCATTTACAGACGACAGATTGGAAGTCAGGTTCAATTCTTTCATCGCGGCCACTTTAAAGATCCTGTGATTGAAAGACCCTGGCGATAATTTGTCCGGAAAGATCGTCTGCTGCATCATCCACTGCCACGTCTGCCAGTCTGACATCGTTCTTCCCAGCCAGTCGTGATTATTTGCGCAGAAGGGGACTATGCAATAGGGTTCCAAACCATCCCTATGCATGCCTGCTAAAAAGATCTGTGTTGTGCCATCTGTCAAAACGACAAAAGCACCTTGCGCTGCTGTAGTCAAGGATCAGCGCGCCGTCATCGTGGTCATTGAGGTAAGAACTTGCCGCATCGCTCCAACAGAAGCTGGATATGACTGCTGAGAGCTTCGTACAGAGGGGAGGTCTTTGAAGGACTGCTGTGATCATGATCGATGAACAAATGCCGATATCTACATGATAAGAATAAGCGAAACTCTACAAATGGGAGCTGGGTATGTACTTATTGAATTCATACTCTTGACGTATATTCTGGGGGGAAGGCATGTCTAGGGCATGCACACATATTTTCATCTATAGCAGGACAACAGAGGAGGCTTGATATATGTGTAGAATCTCCAGCTTCTTGAGAGTTGTAAACAAACTCATGTTTGACCACCTCAAGGTCACCCGCAAGCCCAGATTGCTCTGTTTCTCTTTGAGGAACGAAACACGTTTGATTGATGTCTTATATCTAGCATCGTATGCGATGTTTCATTGGCAGATCTGAGGTTTGCACTAACATGGCGATTCATGTTGAAGTCTAGAGCTAACGAAGAACGGTCTTCCTTAAGATTTGTCTTATGTGTAATCTTCACGAACTTACGAAAACGTCGAGGGATGGATTTTTCCTATCGTCCACTACAATTTCTATTTAGTTCTCAGATTCGTACCGAATATGGCTGAACCTCGGCGTGACGTACTGAGCAAACTCACTCTCGTCGAGCGGATCGTTGGGGCTTAAGCTTAAAGTTAAGCTTCCCCAGAGAATTTCAATCTGTCCAATGAACATCGTGGAATCGGTGCCTTGCGTCGACACTAACCGTGTTCAGCTTACCATCACTAACCATCTTGCCCGTCACGACGACGTCATATCGACGCGAAAGCTTCAATGTTTTGTAACACGTGCAAGCTGTTACAATTCAATAAATTGCAACGTCCGCTCCTTCTCCTGCTTCTCCTCATCACCCTTTTCAGCCAACATATCTCGTCTCGTGGGCTTGATATCTCATCACCCAAATCAGGTTGAATTCATCATTGGCATCAATTGCTCACCTATCATCACGATGTTCCCTCGACGATTCGCCGCCGAAGCTGGCAGTGCAACCCGAGCTTTACGGAGGCCAATGCCTCGGTCGGTAGCAAATGCTCGAGTCCGAACCCAGAACGCGCGTTTCCAGTCCACATCCGCAAATAGCAGCAGCTCCAACGCTTCGAGTTCGGGGTCTCCAGCACTCGTTGGAGCTCTGACAGGCTCTCTGACTACATTCACCCTTGGCTACCTATGGTACCGTCAATCAGGCGCCCGCGACTTGCTAGCAGCTACCAAAACTACCAAAGATTATGTCAACACTGCCTCACAAAAGCTGAAAGAGGCCACTCCCGAGCCTAACGAAGCTTTGCAATGGCTACGCCAAACTGCTACTAGCTATGCTATGTTCATTCCCGGGGCTCGAGCGTATGTAGATGCTGCGTTCAACGACATTGATGCTATTCGCGCGAAACATGGAGATGAGGTCGACAAGATCGTGTCCGATGCATACTCCGAGCTTCGCAATATCGCCCAAAAGGGTGACCTCAGCTTGCTCACTGCCCAGAAGGCCTGGAATGTGATCATCAAGCACCTCGGTCGTATCGGAGATTTAACAGGAGATGCCGCACAGCAGATAATGGACAACCATCCTCAATTGAAGGAAAAGGTCGGCGGAAATCTTGATACCTTGAAGCAATTGGGAGACAAATACGGACCCGAAGCAAAGAAAGAGGTTGATAGGACTTGGCAGCAGATTGGCGATATCGTCAAGACAGGAGTCAGTGCCCAGAACATCGAGAAGATCCAAAAGGTCGTACAGGAGAAGGTGGACAAGATCAAGCAGCTCGGTGATGAGGCATGGAAGAAGGGCATGGAGAAAGCCAAACCTTATTTGGACAAGAACCCTACTGCTAAGAAGCTAATAGAGGAGAACGAAGACGCGCTGAAGTCGGGTAACGTACAAGAACTGTACGAAAAGGTCAAGCAGGCTGTCGAAAAAGGCGATACTGGAGACCTTGAGGGTTATATCAAGAAGTTCACCGACAAAGCAAAGGATAGTGGCCTCGGTGACGTCGAACAATATTTGAAGAAGATCCCTGGAGGTGATCAAATCCTGCCAAAGCTCAGCCAGCTACAAGAGGTTGCCGAGAAGCATGGAGACGAGGCACAACGTATATTGAAGGAGGCTGTCAATGAAATATCCGAGGTTCTCAAAAAGAAGGGAGACGAAGCTACCAATTTGGCCAAGAAGGCCAAAGACGATAGCAAGAAATGAGCATCGTCGGCATATCTTATGCTTTGACGGTTTCTGATCAGATGATGAGTGTCACTGATCTTTGTAGCACTAGCATTTGCTTCTCCATATTGCATCATACAAAATCAAGATATTAATGTATTAAATAACTATTGATCATCCGTCACATTGTATCTGTCAACTCATTCATGAAGTGTCCAGTATTTACTGGCTTTTATCATACAAGAGTTCGCCCTATCCTCTGCCTAGCCTTACCGCTCCTGGTGGAGGAAGAAAATGTTGTACTTCTCCGTGCACTTGTCGTAAATCCCATGTTGGCCCACTCAAACTCGTAAGACTAGGGTCAGATGACTGGTCAAGACAGCGAACTGGCTGAGTTACACCACGCATGCTTGAATCCGGCGTTCTCAGTCCCCACTTAAATCCTTTGAGCATACAAAACAGAGGTTTTCGAGTCATTGCCGTCCAACGGTGCATGCTTGCAGGACGAACCCAGCAGATTACACTGGGCCCTAGGTACAGGAGAATCCTCCTACAATGAAAACTTACTTATGGATTGTAGGCCCTGAAGGAATTGTTCAAGGCTGGAAACGGTTCGTATGGTATGACTTGACATCTCAAAGTTATATCAGAAGTAAATACTGGCTTTCAGTCAAAAGAGGCTACTGTTGAAGTGATCACAGAGATTATGAGCAACCCGGACTGGGATCCGGCGATGATTTAAAACTTGAAAACAAGTAGACAAGTCGAGTATTGTGGTGGAGGTTCATTTACTAAGACAGCCGCTGCCAGACCCACATGAATGGTCCTTCACCCCGACGATCATTATAACCTTATTTGGTGTAGCCGTTCTACAATTGCAATACCTTCCGTCTTGCCGGCTCGCCTAACGACTGGGGGATCCTATGTAACAGTTGCACTGACGCTGGTAAACATCGTCTAACCTGTAATGCATGTCTCGCTTCTACAAGTCCTTTAGCACCCGCTACAAATGTGCATGATTTACCCCTCAACCGTCCCGCCCGCGGCATTTATTGTCCCGCGAAATAGCAGCGCGATTCCCCAGAGGCTGGTCGCCTAATAGTGTAGGTTTGCCGCAACCCTTTTTGGTTCCTCCTGTTCATCATCATTGGGAAGAGAGAGAGATGATCTCTTTGACTTTTAGGGGGAACGTCTAATAATTGCAGCGTATGCTATAGTTATGAATTCTCCTGATCTGACCAGCCTAGGAGACATGGAGAAATGGATTGCCTTTATAAAAGTACACTTGGTCCATAGTCCCCCTAAACATTCACATTCGGGTCGACTTTGGATTCGGTGCATTTCGAAACAATGGCGATTGATATCGCTATAGAATGTCGGGCAGAGTATGGTGTTGGTACATGCATCATTCTATTGCGTTTCTTCACCAGATGTAAGACGGTCGGATGGCGAAATCTTTATTGGGACGATTTTTTCGCTTTTACCGCGTGGGTTTTCTTCACTCTCATCTATGCAATGGTTGAGTTCCTTGGTCAGTGAATCAATTTATCATTAGTTCCAGTAGTTATTGACTTTCGGATCAGGTGTTGTTGGTGCTCCAATTGCAATGACCCAAGAGCAACGTGAAGCACTGCCCGACGCAATGAAGAAGTCATTTCGGGAGGGTGCGAAGGGAATGTTTGCATCTTTTTATTTTCTCATTTTTCTAGTATGGAGTTTAAAAGGCACATTGATCTTTCTTTTCCTCCATCTGACGTAAGTCGGCAGGCAGAGAAAACACATACTCCCTCTGAATTGAATTAACATTGAACTTAGAAAAAATACGAAAATGCATCGATACGTTCAAGCTGTCGGAGTCGTCTCGATCGTCTGTTGTGTTGCAGCCCTCATAACTCAAACTACCCACTGCCTTCCATTGAAGCGTAACTGGCAGATTCTTCCTGATCCTGGCAAAGAATGCTCTGCGGGAATCATTATCAATATTGTCATCGCCATCGGTAATGTTCTGTAGGTCTTTCCATGCCACTCGACAATTTTAACATATGGAAACTAATTGTTGTATGCAGAGTGGACTGTCTTTTACTTGTTGTGCCCATCAAGATGCTCAAGGATGCTCACATGAGTTTGTGGCGGTAAGACGTATTCCTTCATATCACAGATTTAATGCTGATGAGATTTATCACTATAGAAAAGCTAGAATCATGTTTCTTCTCTCCCTAGGCCTATTCGTCATAGGCATGGCCATTGCACGATGCATCCTTTCGATCGGAACCTCTGTGCAAGTAGCTCTAGCCTCTGTATGGGCTCAAAGAGAAGCACTTGTGTCCATCTTCGCGGTCAACGCACCTGTTCTCAATACCCTATTTAAGAGAGAAACCTGGACAACCCAAAAGTCAAATTCGAAGTATAGCAACGGATACGCATCGAATGGAGGGCACTCTAAAGGGAACGATAGTACTCTCGGACCGAAGAAACATGACCATATCGAGATTTACAAGATGACAGACATCGAGACGAGCAGCAGGGAATCAACCTCAGAGTTGGTGAATGCTTCGATGGTGGAGTGGCAAAGCCATGCACGTTCGGGAAAGAAGAGTGGCAGCTACAGTGGGCCAATGGGGTAATCAATGCCTTCAAAGGAACCTACTTGGGAACCCTAAGACCAATTATTGTATATTACTTCCAGACAGACAACTTTGCAAAATCTGTCCCCTTAGATAGATATCTTCAGCTGTGTGCACCCAATCGCATTGGAGAGCGTCAAACAAAGATTTGGTTCAACGATACTGGTTACAAAGGCCCGTATCATCATCACCTACCTGCTCGATTCTTTATCAAGAGTGAATTAAAGTGGATTTTTGGGCCCTTCTCATACGAGTCAGTATCGCCTCATTGCGACGTTCCCATTGATCCCGATCCCCGTAATAATCCCAGCTCCTCCCCACAGTGCACCAACAAGGCCCTTCCCTCGTGCCGTTAGCAACCGGCAATCCTTTGGAGGCGAGTCAATTTGCTGCTGAATGTATTCGACCGTTGCATAACATGATTCGTGTAGGTGTACATGTACAAAGTATCGGTGCGTGCTCCCATTTGCATCGAGATCCTTCACCCCCAACCTTTTCGTTTATGATATCTTAATAAGCCTGTTTCACCCAAGATGTTATTATCGCAATCAAACAATATTGTTCAGAGCTTGGATACGATTCATCCTGTACAATTCTCTAACGATGCAGAAAGATTTGCTGCAAAGGAATCCGCGCGGCGTTTGCTGCAACGCCTCGAAACACCTTTTGAGCAGGGATGGAGGCTTTCATTCGAAACTCCTGTTCTCATTGCGGGGGTTCAGATGATTCTTGACCTTGGTATATGGAAGAAATGGACAGAGAACGACAAGCAGAATCCAGGACAGGCTGTCACGATCCACCAGCTTATAAAGTGGGCGAATGCAAACGTGGACGAAAACCTTCTACGTAAGTGTTTTTCACTTGCCGAGGGCTCTTAGATACATAAATATGAATTAACGCTATCAAGGTCGCTTTTTGAAACATCTCGCGGGACTATATATCCTCGAGGAGACTGATGTCGACACATTCAAGCCAACACCGTATTCTTTATCCCTTGGTGATACTGTTTCCCACACGGACCAAATCACCCAATGTGGGTAAGAGATTCCATTAAATTAACACGTTCTTCATTAAGACTAACAATGTGCAGTACAGACCACACCATTCCAACTGGAATCAATCTTCCTCGGTTTTTACAGAAGTATGACCACCAAGAACCAGTCGACAAGGCCAAGCTGGACAACTACACCGACATGACTGGTGGCACTGACTTCTTCGCAACGTGCGCATCCGATCCAGTCGGCAAAGGATCTAGTTTTATTGGACTCATGACTGCGCTCCGAAACCACAAGATGCCTTGGACTGAGGTTTACGACACGACAGAACTGGTCGCTGGTGCAGATCTCAAGGCTGGCAATCCTTTATTTGTCGATATCGGAGGTGCCCACGGCCTGGACACCGCGCGCCTTTTGGAGAAACACCCAGACCTTCCCTCAGATGTATTGATACTTCAAGATACCCCTGAAGTGGTTGCGATGAACGTGGAAAACCTCGACCCGCGCATCAAGAAGCAAGCTTATGATTTCTTTACTCCGCAGCCGCAGCTCCACAGCCGCGCGTACTTCTTCCACGCTGTGCCGCACGACTGGCCTGATGCAGACTGCGTGCGCATGTTCTCGAACGTGAAGACTGCGTTCAAGCCGGGGTATAGTAAGCTGTTGATCTATGAGGTTGTCTTGCCCAAGAAGGGAGCGACGAGTTTGATGACAACGTTAGATTTGCAACTCATGAACTGTACAAGTGGATTGGAGAGGACGGAGGAACATTGGGGCAGGCTTTTGGAAGAGGCAGGGTTCAAGATTGTGGGGATCTCGAAGCATCCGAGGGCAGTTGAGAGTGTGATCGAAGCCGATTTGGCATAAATGGGACGGGTCTGTCATCGCGATGCACATTGTATCTTGATGCATTGAGGACACCATAGACACTCAGCGTTACATATTAGACATCATTGATAATTGATTAAGATGCAAACATGGCAATAGAGTTCAAGAAGTGACGATGAAAGAACACCCGGTGTTATTGATCGGGAAATAGTCATTAGCAGCCGCATCAAGATACACGTGTGGAATGAAAAGGGTTCGATCAAATTGAAAAGAACTAGGCAAACAGCATCTATGGAGGGGGTAACTTGGAATCTCAAAACGCCACTAAACACCTGCTGGTATCTCTACAAAAGGTTTCGGTGTAGCAAAACGAAGCGGCTTTGCGTAATAATCCAGAAGTTGGAAAATCTCAGGGTTCGTCGTATTATACGCAGTCGTCAGGCAGCGCTTGCCTCCAATCCATTTCATTTCCCCACCTGGGCCGAGTCTCTTCCTCATCGTGCGATAGTATTCAACGGCGTGCTTGTTCGCCTTACGTTCCGCGCCCTTTGCTTTGATGGTCACATATCCAGCGAGGTTCAGCCATACAGCTATGTCCAAGAAGCTCTCTGCCTGCATTCCTTCGGGTAGATCTGTCTCGTCGTTTCTGATGTTTTCCTGGTGTTCGATTATGGCAGCAAATCCGACCTCATCAAGATAGGTTGTACGGACTTTGTTGTCCTTTTCCTGAAGTCGCAGTGCGTACTCGATGCACCAGGCCAACTCCTCCCAAATGGCGATATGTGTCTTACCCATGGGTCCGCGCTCCAAACGGGCGGTTTTGAGTGCCCAGAGTCTTGAATTCGCCCAGCATTCATCCGACTCGAAGTAGCCATTGCCAGTGATGTGCAGTATTTGTTCCTGAATTCTTTGCGAGTGAATAAAGTCCTTGAAACATTTGTGGGCATAGGTAACTTTGAGTTGCTTCTCCTTCAGCTTGCCGTGCCTCCCATCATCGGTCGACTCGGATGCTTCAAAGACTGCAAGGAAATCTCTGCACTGGTTGCTCAGTAGAGAGTGCATGTGATCGACCCTCTGCGTGACTTCTGATTCGCGCAAAGGACGATGCTCAGCAGTGATTCCGGATCGCGTGTTTGGGTCGAAGGCGAAAGACAATTCTAGGATATCGGGATAGCCATGAGCATCGACGAGGCTAAATAGTCGGGCTGCGTGTTCGAGGTCCGTACTTTCTAGGCTAGACAGAATGTGTTGAAGAAGATTATCGAGATCCGGAGGTAGAGCATCAACTCGTTCGCGGAATGTCATAAGGTCTGGTGGCTCATATGTATCCTGTAGAACAAATGAGACTGCCAGGGAAGCCCACAGGAAATTGCCGTCGGCCTTCTTAACCATTCTGCCAATTACATCTCGCTCTGGAGTTCCTGAAAGAGCCTCGCTACAGATTCCAACCCATTTCTCGTCTTGCTCAAAGACACTCTTCAGGTAAACCTCGATATCGCCCTTCGTGTACAAGTCGAGCTCGAAAGATGGTCGGTCCTGGAACGCACCTCTAAATGCGGGTGAGCCACGGCTTGAAACTACAATCTTGACATTATCGCGCTTCGTCACAGTCTCGAGTAGACTGATCAATGCTTCTGGGTAGCCCTCGAGCTCGTCCAGTCCATCGACCATGAAGAAGAACTTCTTAGTAATGTCGGAGATCATCAACTCGAAGGCACGGCGAAGGTCCCCAAAAGTCAACGGCTGCATGCCTCCTCCAAATGCAGCAAATTGCTCCCACCTTTCCGCGAAGAGCCACTGAACGATTGCGGGATCCCTTTGCAAAGGTCCATGAATCATATCCTGAAGGCTTTCGAAAAGTAATGATCTGAGGAGACCTTCACTGGAATTCTGCAGCTCTGTTCCGCAGTCCCAGAATGAGAAACCGGCAATGATTCCGGGCGACGCACCCGACCAACGTTCTAGGCTTTCGAAGCTTTTAGAATTGCGGAACCAATGTTTCATCCAAGTACTTTTGCCTGAACCAGGTTGTCCTATGCAAGAGTCAGAGAGGGAATCACAAGACTTGAAAGCCATGTCGTACCTGTCACCCAGAACAGATTCTGTCCGCTCTTTTCACCCAACCACGAGAGAAACCGGTCTTCACCGTCGCCATAATCCTTGATAGACCATTCGAGAGTCCCTGGGTATGCCGGCTCAATGCTCTGCAAGCGATCGTTCATTGCCGGGAATTGAATTGCATCGAAAACGTCAGCACAGAAGACAGCTTCTCTCTCAGCTTGGCTCAGCTTGTCAACAAGTTTCGAGAACTCTTCAACATTCTTCTTGTTCTTCGATTTCCAGTCATTCGTATGGATCGCATCCATCGCATCATTCTGCCACTTCTCCACATGATGGATCCTGCCATCTTCTTCGCTGAATACTGGGAGCCCAGTCTCCGCAGACTGGTCGAGATATTGTCTATTCACAATCAGACACGATTTAAAACACCAGATGTCACCTCTTACCGGAGTGCGACCATTAGCGCAATATCGACATCCTTCCTAACATCCCTAAACTTCTTCTTGATACCTGTGATTTCCTTCTTCTTCCACACGGTCGACAAAGCCTCTCGAACGGTCTGCCACTTCGGATCAGCAAAGGAACCTCGCGCCTGCGCCTGCAGCACCGCATTGATCAAAGTAGTAGTCAACGTCTTGGTCTCGTCGCTGAGCTTCAGCATTTCCTCCGCGGCATCGCTCAATTTCGGCCTCTTTGGGTCCGTCGACATCCTCTTGAGATCATTCTGGTCGATGTTGAGGGAGAGTCGGAAAAGGTTGTTGGCGGCATTCTGCAAGATGGTCGAGTTGTCAATGGGTTCTCCATCAGCCGGCTGGTGGATTACATTGTCCTGGGAGGTGATCTTAACTGAGAAGTCGATGATTTGAATGATGCTTGACGCAAGCCCGACCGCTGGAAGAGGCTTCATGATGGAATTGAATGTGGAGATTAGTTAGTAACTATGGGAGTGTGAAAATAGTGTAAATGTCAGAACGACGGCCACCATGCTTTCAATCGCAGTGTAATACTGTACCTCAGGGCACAGTAGATGGCTCGGTGACCGTCAGAGACTAGCATGCTTCTAAAACTCCGAGACTAGCTCGAACAAGTCATTGGAGTAAGCGAATTCCTATTTGTGTTGCCGACCATACTGAAACGGGTAATCCCATGTCTCAAATCGATAAGTCCGTTCACTGTGGATCCTATGATTGTGTCGTAAATTGATACTGCAAAGTGTACTGTTCTTTGTCCGATATCATATATATACAAGCGGATCGACGCTCAATCTGTATTGGCAATCGACATATCCCTTTCTCATCCTAGACCAAAGTTTCAAACTTTACGCCGCAGCAGCCCTTTGAAGAAATCAAAACTATTGCTGTCGCTCTGAAGTTGCACAATACGCCCTGTTGGCCGGTCCTCCCATCCAAGCTCCTCCGCAAGAAGTAAGCCCCAGTCTCTGGTGATGCCCTTGATCTTCGCTTTCATGCCGTCATGTGTCTCTAACGTGACGATCTGGTCTGTGTGCAACCACGCCTCGTAGTATTCGGCCTCCATGTCGCGGGAGAACCCGACACGCAAGAAATCCGAGTACAGGTCCTCAAAGCTAGCGAGGATCGATGCAAGGAGTTTCTCATATGTGAAAGCTTTCAATCCTGCAGCCGTCGCAAGCTGATTGAGTGATGTCGTGGGGAGCGCATTGGCCAAGTTCAATCCAATACCAGTGACTACATCGTATGACGAGCCGCTGTAGCTTGAATTTGTCAAGATACCACCAATCTTCACAATTGGGTTTGTAGAGCTTCCAGGAATCTGCGCATAGATGTCATTCGGCCATTTGAGTTTGACTGAGACTTTCTCGTAACCAGGGGCGTAGTTCTTTACACCCCGAACGATGGCCATTGCTGCCAGATACTGGATGAAAACAACGGATGTTGATTGAGAGTCTTGGAAGGAATGGTGAATGACCGTGGAGAAAGCCAACGAGCCAGGTGGGCCGATCCAAACGTTCGACCCTCGGCCGCGGGCGGCTATCGACGTGGTGGCAATCAAGGTAAAGCCGTTGGGCAAGTTGCGCAAAAGGGATGGGTTCTTCTCGAGGAGAGTGTTGGTTGAAGTCACTACTTCTCCATACATCAGATGCTTTCCGAAAGCACCTTGAGCGTTGCGGAGTTTAGAATGGTAGTGAACAAGGTTAGCGTAGTACGAATCGTGATGGAAGAAAGGTGTCTGTTGCGTCGTGGGGTGGTGTTGATCGTGAAGTATCAGCTTCTTGACGATCTTATCGTGCTCGATGATTTGGTCCTTAGTTGTCGATTTAGTATACTCGATTCGTTCAAGTATCTCTTTCCTCTTGCCGTCCTTCTCGCCGTCCTCCTTGCCAGTGAGTGCAGCTGGCAGTACCCCCTCCACGACGTCCACTGCCTTTCTAAGCTCTTTGACTCCCCAAGCGGCGGCCCCCTGTTTCTCCAGTTGGAAAACATCGTTTTCGCCCTTGATGAAGTCTTCTCCATCAACTACAGTAATGATCTCTTGCCATGAGGCAGCGAGTTGCGTGACGTCTGCAGCCGTATAAGACGAGAGATGCAGGCTGGAGAGGGGAGGTACCACATATTCCTCTTGATTGACCTTGAGGCCGAACTTCTCGAGCAGAAGTTTCATAAACGCTACGCGAGTAGAGTTTGTTTTCTCGATAGCATCAATAGCTTCCGAGTATGCTGGTAATTTTGGTGATTTGGTCAAGTTGGCGGGGGCGAACCTATTGAGGTTATTATAGATCTTGATACGAAGGGTTTGTGAGACTTACTCTGGATGCGGTCCTGTGAGGATTGCGCTGCCTTCGCCAACCTTCCGATATACAACTGCTGCCGCAGCGTCGCCGGAATCGACATGCAAATCCTCGGTGTAGCTTGCCAGCACTTCAACGCCGTGACTTTCGAGCTTCTTGGCATCAACGAAAACGCCTCCTCCATTGTAGTAACTTTTGAAACTTCCTGGAAGATCGCTTTTTGCAGTAGGCAGCGCCTCTCCATGGATCTTGAGGTCTACAGCACGCGCACCAGCCTCGGAGTTATATACGAACCCAGCGAAGGCCAGCCCTCTGCAAATCCCAGGAAAGAATCCGAGCTCACGGTCTCCAACGACTGCCATCTTCTTGTCGTCTACCTCGAATTCGCACTTGGCGCTGCCAAAGTAACCGCCGGCGCAGAAACCCAAGTAATTTCCACCACGATTGACATACTGGGTGATCCGGCGGTTACCCTCGCCATTGAGAGTTCGACAGTAACCTAGATCCGCCCCTCCTGGGAAAACAAGTAGTGCACACGAAGCGGACCAAGGCTCTTTCAAGATGATCTCACTCGTGACTGGGATGACCACATAGGTTGGAGAGAGTAGGCGGCGTAAAGTGTAAATGCAATGGCGTACTGATTCGGTCGTTGTTCCACTCCCTATTTATGATTAATAAGTATTACAATATGAGAGGATTTATAGACCATGATTCGAAAACTCACCCGAATATACCAAAACATTCATCTTTTTGGTCGCCATTGTGCTCAACACAGGCCAACCTCGGCGCCCCAGTCCTCCGAGGATCAACCGGAAGGAAGCTCTACTCGTACTCGGAACCCTCACACCACTGACGGCGCACTGAAACACAAGCAAAAGATGTCAAACAATCCCGAGAAGGCGGCTGCTTCCCAGGCGGCGATTGATGATGATGAACCGGACGATTGGTGTGTATTGTCGGCCGCAGTCGTGAGTGGGGCACCCGAGTAATGACGTGACCACAGGGACAAGAGAATCTTCAGCACCGGGTGCTCTGGTATGTTTGTAGAGGCCTAGAGTGCGACAATTTCGGCTCCCTGGCTGACTCTTTTCTAGATGAAAATGCGAAATTGACGGATTGCTACTACGAGAAGAAAGATTGGCGAGTGTGTAAGAAGGAGGTGCGTGGAGGCGTCTTGTCTGTTAGCTTAGCTCGGAATCCGAGCTGCTGCCGAGCCATGGTCGGAATTGATGTGTGTGGATTTTCACTAACAGGCGTGTAGATGGAGATCTTTCGAGAATGCTGGAAGAGGCATGGTAACAACGAGAGAACGTCATCTAAGGATGTTTGAATGCAAGATATTGTATTTTGACGCTGTATTACAAATTGTACAAGATTACCACTCTGGCACACGATGTTTCCGAACTACCCGAGTATCAAAGATTAGTAGCCAAGGTTCGCATTGAACAATCGCCAGTCCACGGAATGAGCCTATAGTCATAATGGGACATAATCGCTGATAGCTAGACATTTTCACCCCTCATTGACAGTGATGCGAGCATTTCGTCTGTATCCCGACTCATGTTCCTGCATTCTGCGCAGGACTGACCTTTACCATCAAAGAGGGCTTATCCCACAGCACATATGCTTTCTGGTTAACCCAGTCGTCACTTTCAGGGCATAGCTCCAAATCGAAGTTATAGAACACCTTGGTTAGGATCAAGCGCATCTCATGATATGCCATGCTGGTGGTGGTGTTAGAAATACAGTCTAAGAGAAAGCAGATGAATAAAGACTTACTTCTTCCCAAGGCAATCACGCGAGCCAACAGAGAACGGCTGAAGGGCACTCAAGACGTCATCCTTGTAGCGCTCATCCCCCAGCCATCGATCAGGGACGAAGAGCTCGGGGTCTTTGAAGTACGAAGGGGAGTTGTACATCACCAAATGGGGCGCGGCAACAGTGAACTAGAATACATTCGTCAGTATAAATTCGACCCAAAGAATAAAACGCGCTCACATCAGGAGGGACAAAGTCACCACAGATAGTCGATCCATCCTTAGGAGTTCGGTGTGGCAAGCCAATGGCAACAGGCGGGTACTTGCGGAAAGCCTCCTTGATGCAAGCGTTGAGGTAGGGTAACCTGGCCGCAACCTCCATATTGATATCCTCTGAGCTTGACCATGCACCTCGGATCTCCTCCTGGAGCTTCTTCATGACGGTCGGATTCTTGAGCATGAAGTACGTGAAGCCAGAGACGAGAGTGGCAGTCGTTTCAGTTCCGGCAACCATGAAGAGGGAGGCGTTAGCATCCATTTGGCCTCGACTGAGGCCCTTGCCTTTGTCCTCCGAATCAAGAATCAGGCTCCAGAGATCAACGCCCTCAGCTTGCCTCCCTTTCTCCAATCTCTTGGTGACCCGGGAGACGCAGTATTGGAAGTGTTCGTATCGCTTCTTCAACTTCTTTTCTGGGACCAACTTCTTGTATGCCTTGTATAGTATGGGATAATGGTGCAAGAGCGCTAGACGAGAACCCAACTTGAGTGCCTTGAAAATGATGGACACCCAAGGGTCATACTCAGCGTTATCTAGCATGTGAAGCGGTTCGCCAAAGGTGAGATCTCCCATGACATCGAAAGTCGTGAAGTTGTACATCCTCACCATATCGAATTTACCCTCACTATCCGGTTTGTTGCGTAGGACTGAGACGAGCTGATCAACATACTTGATGAACAATGGCTCCTGGTCTTTCAGCGCTCGATCAGAAAAGGCTGGGGAGAACATGCGACGGGTCTTGTAGTGCTCTCCATTGTCCGGCGTGGCTATAAGGGAATAGTGGCCGTTGACTGCTCTTCCGAAGCGGGAGAAGTCCTTTGGTGGTGGGGATCCTTTGGTGCCTCTTGTTCCGTGGCCGTAGATGTCCTTCCAAGCGTTGGGATTGATAAAGCTCAGCTCGTCCGGGGAGACGCGCACTACTTCACCGTGCTTTTCGTGGAGTTCTTTGAGATACAAGTGCACTTCGCCCTTGAACCGAGCTCGGAGATGCGGGATACGGGTGAATGCTGACAATTTGGGTCCTGGGAATTTGCTCAGAGGGTGGAAGTATACTCGCTGGATCCCTCTGAGGATGAAGCGTGCGATCAGCTAGGAAATGGATTAGAATCGTTACAAAACTTTCGTGAGCGGAGTCCTAACAATCGTGAAGATAGCGGCGATGATCCGACCCACGGAGACATTGTGCAGTACTCTCAGCACGCTCAAGGTCGGAGGGACATTGTATGTGGTTGCCATCATGAGTCTGGCAATATTTGCAGTGGACCCAGATGAATGAGTGATTGAAGTGAGAGGGAATCAAGATGGTGGGACCAGCAAGGTCTTAAAGTAGGTAGCAGTGAGTACGAGTAGGTAGGTGAAGCTGAGCTGCAATTGGCCTGGATGCTCGGACAGAAAGTGGAAATCACTAAAAGGTAAAGCTGGATAAGCACCACATCAACATGTAGGCGCAACAGCCACGGCGGGTCGGGCACCGTCCGCTGCTTTACGACAGGGCTGACCCTTGAGACATGTCTGTTCTGGTAAATTGTATCACAGGCAATACAGCATCCCAATAATCGATTCCTATGCATCATTCCTGGTAACATGGAGCAGATGACCAAATGTTGAAGCTGTGTTCGGAGCGTCGGACGATTGCGCCACCGCGAGAGACCGAATCCTATGCAAGGCTTCCCTTTTGTGATTCAACAATCTACATAGACGTTTCGAATTTATATATTGTACAGCTCTTCCAATGGATTCGAGGATGCGGGTACCTGCAAACCAGGAGCATGCCATTCGTATACGCGACCCTCCGATTCGTCCAGCTGCATCGGACCTTCATGCCTTTGTCCCCATTGTTCGCTTTCATTACGTGGTGTACGTGTATGATTACGATTCTATCTTTTACTATTCGTACCATACAAATTACTCGTACCAAAGAAGCCGTTATAGGTGCAGTAAATCTCATTGCTGGAAATGCTCGTTCCTGTTAGGGGCGTACGTACACCCATTCGGCAAGATTATCGCCACCATTGTTCTGATCAGCTGTGTGATGATGTAGCTCTAAATCTGAGAGTCTTCGGCATTTTCTGTTAATTGGGGTGACTTCTGGATGTTGATGAATGATGTCGTTCTTATAGTTGCGGGGTTCGTAGATGTCTACACACGACGTCAGGATGAAGGACCATTGGCTCGCGCCGGATTAGGCAAAGACCGGGCGCCACTACCGTCGCGATGTCAGTTTGAGTAGTTTGATGGATAGTTCGAGAAAACAAAGTTACCTTTCGAATTTCGACGACAGGAAGAAAGCAATCCACCATGTTGACCGCGCCAATCCGAAGGAGCATTGGACTTCTTATCCCCAGCGCCTCGTCCCGAGCAGCACCGCTGGCCTACCGGTCACAACAAGTACAAGCCCGGGCATTCTCTGCATCCCCGATCACCGCCGCATACGCGACGACGCAGACCCGCCGAGCTCCAGCAGCAGCAACCGCCGCCTCGAAATCCGCTACGACCTCATCGAAGACTTCCTCAGCGACTCCCCAGCGAACAGTGGTGGCCACACCAGGTCCAGCCAGCGAGCCAGCACCCCCCACCGCACGCAACACCACCGCCGACGCCGCAAGCAAGGCCGCACAATCCCAACGCTCACTGACCGATGGCCTCTCCGACCAGCCACTCTCGACCGAGGGCGTCCCCGCGATAGACTGGACGCGCTCGTACCACGGCCTCGGAGACGTCGCCTTCTCCAAGGAGCAGCAGGAGACCCTCCTCGCGCCCCTCGACGTAGACGACGTCGAGGTCAAGCCAGACGGCATCCTGTACCTCCCCGAGATCAAGTACCGCAGGATACTCAACAAGACGTTCGGTCCTGGGGGGTGGGGCCTCGCGCCCAGGGGAGAGAGCATCGTGACTGGGAAGCTCGTCACGCGGGAATACGGCATGGTGGTTCAGGGAAGGTACTTCATCGCCTCTTTCTCCCAAATAGACGGGCGCGGACATTGAATACTGACATGTGTGATAACGACAGACTCGTATCCATCGCCCGCGGCGAGCAACAATACTTCGATCCCGACGGCATCCCCACCGCGACCGAGGGCTGCAAGTCCAACGCCCTGATGCGCTGCTGCAAGGACCTGGGCATCGCCTCGGAGCTCTGGGACCCCCGCTTCATACGGAAGTTCATGCGGGAGTCCACGAAAGAGGTCTGGGTCGAGCACGTCACGACGAAGCGCAAGAAGAAGATCGTCATCCGCAAGGACGACGTCGTCAAGTATCCTTTCAAGGAGTCGAAGGCGTAAAGAAGATATGATTTGGCAGACACTTGGATTCCGACTCCGACCCCAATGTAGATGTACGATTTCTTATGACGAAGATAAAAAGAAGCGAGATGACGGGGAATTTAATTTTCTCTCTTTCCATCAATTGGATTTTCTTTCCCCATAGTATTGCGCAGCGTGGGGGGACATTGAGCATTACTTTCATGATAACAATACTACCCAACACGAATCTCACATCCAGCAAAGCATGTACATATAGATCTATCATATAAATTACACGAAAGACTTCACAAAAGGAAAACAACGCCTGCACATCCCCTGATCTACACAGTAATATGTATGAAAGCCCTGTTGTTCGTATATGTGTATCTGTGTAAGAGCCTGAGAGGAGAGAATCGGTGGTATGTATGTATGCGCGCCAATTAGCGTCTGTCTCGATAGATACCTACCTAGCCCTACCCTACTTTATATGACGTATATATACTCCTTTTTTCCAATCATCGTAGAAAAGATAGTGAAGATAGGTTTCGAAAGCATCAAAAGGGAGGGAGGTTGGGGAAGGAAAGCCGGGGACTCCACCGCAATCGGATGGGCAAAAGAAAAATCGGAAGAAGAGGAGAAACCCTTTTTGTCTACCTCATAATAAACCCAGCCCACCAAACCCGAAGAGATTCGCATACATCCCCCTTTCCCCCCTCGCCCGCCAGAAAAGCCCATCGAACCAGCAAGCAAGAGAACTCAAATCATTAGGCCATTTTGCGCACACGAAGAAACATGTTGATCGACGTCTAGCGACCTCCATCGTACCCCGTAGACCTCCCCTGGGAAGAAGAAGACTGGCTGTGATCTTTGCCGTACGCGAGCGGGTCGTCTGGAATCGGCTGTCCCTGGCGCCAGTTCCACGGCATCCACCCGCTGCTCGTCCTCCTGCCCAGCGCGGGGGGAGTAGTCGGGTAAGGGGGGCGGTCGGAACCGATCTCATCCCTCTCGATCCTGTCGAACTCGCCTTCGCTCCTGTTCCTCGAGAGTCCGGGTCCTCCGCTGCTTCCTCCCTCGTAGTACCTGCTACCGCTGTCCCTTGCGGTCCTTAGGTTGTCCTGCTCGCGGTCGAACGCCTGCATGAGGGTCTCCAGTCGCTGCCGCTGGCTTGCGACGTAGCTCATCCGGTCGTCGTTGTTGCGGATGCTCTCTGGGATAAGCGTGGAGCCGCGGCTCAGCTCCGCTGCCTGAGCGCCCTGGTTGCCGGCGTACATTGCGCCGGCGCCGCTGAGAGCCTGCGAGAGAAGGTTCGTGAAGTTGTCGCCGCCGCGGGCGGACGGCATGGCAAACCGGCTCATGAAGTTCTGCGCGTAGGTCTGTCCTGTGGCGGGTGGGGTGTCCGGCTTCTTGGGCGCGAAGCCGAGCACGTTGACTTTGATCCATTCGACGGCTTTCTCGGCGTAGATGAGCCCCGCGGCCTTCGCCTTGGAGTGCGTGTCCGTGATGAAGTCGTCAATCTCCCGCTCGTGGTGGTACAGGAGCGGCTCAATGTGCTCGGTGTAGAGGTAGGTGGCGCCTTGGGACCCGGGCATGATGAGGTAGACGTGGAGGAAGAGTCGGAGCCATGAGTAGAAGGGAACCCAGCTGAGGATGAAGTCGAAGGTGTTTTCTACGGTGTGGAAGAGCATGAGGACCATGAAGTATATCAGCCATGGTGCCAGGACGGCCGGGTCAGATGTGTGGAGGGCTTTGTAGGAAGCGAAGACGGGGAAGAGGACGGTGAGTGCGACGCTGGTGAGTTCGTTAGCAATTGTAATATCTCTACGCTTTCAGAGCGAGTGGGTGTAATTCCAGAGGGCATGCGACAACCGATACGGCCGTTTCGCTGCCGTCGTATCGTCGTATTTGCAATGCATTGCAGAGAGTACTCACGTCAGGCCGTCAGCAATGAAGCCAAACATGGTGGCAGATCTCGAGTCTCAGCAAATGTCTGGTAAGACTGTGAAGAGAAAGAGTGATAAGGAAAAATAGAGACAGGTGAAAGCTTTGAGAGAGGCGACCTATACGGTACTGCCCAAAGGTGGAGCAAGGCTACCTTTCTGTGATGTAAGCGTCGGTAGGTACGGACTTTTGGAGCTGTCGGAGCCCCCGCCATGCGTGCCTTTGGTTCCGGTGCAGAGACAAAGTGACGCACTGCACTCTTGTTATGAAGGGGAAGCGGGGACCATGGCGGCGCGTGCACTCTCGACGGAAACAGTCAGAATTGTTCCTCTGACCGCAAGCAATAGTGTCGCATGTGGTTACACAGTGGAACGTGTTTGTTGCACAGAAAGAAACATTTGGAAGCCTGAAATTGAAGTGTCACCCCGAGCAGCCTGCCAAGGCATGAGGATCAAGAAAGTCGAATACATTTCAGAAAGCTCGAGGATGCCCCCATGTCGAACCACAGCCACCGTGGGCCCCAACAACAGCTTACCCGTGAGAGATTACTGCTTTTAGACGGGGTATCGCAGGAGAATGGATGCCTTGATACTTTCACGCATTACTGACAGACTGGGTGTATCAATAAGTACCTAGGTACGCTACGGCACGCAGAGCATCGTCATGTGTCCAGTCTTCACGATCACCAGCACGCAATCAACAAAATTTGCATCAAGCATAGCATTCAAGTAATTATCGGGCCGTGTACTGTGTCCTAGGTCTCGTTGACCGTCTTCCAACGTCAAGATCCCTTAGCATCCGTCCCGGGAGGAGACCACCAGAAGCTTGATAGGGTATTACGCATCGTTTACTATTACAATGAAATAATTAATGGACCACTGGTCCAAGCATCCAAAATAAAGGGAAAAAGTCGCCTGGTCTACTTCAACTCGCCGTCTCGTGGAGTGATGTTGTAGTGGAATGGCGGTTTGGCCTGGCTGGCCTTCTCTGCATCGAATATCCAGATGCCGTTGGTAAGACTGTCGTTGATCTGCTCACCAATCTTGCCGGCAAGATTCTCGAGTAATGGAGCCTTATCAGTCCTCGAAAAGAACCTTCGCTCCCATTCACGGTTCTCCTCCTTCTCCTTCTTTCTCAGCTCTCGCTGGCTGTTCTCGATGATCGACTTCTCCTGGCCCGCAAGATCCGTATCGCCGCCGTTGATAGCATCGGCCACCTTCTTCCAAGCCCGGCGAGACTCCATCTCGTCTTGGTCTTCAATCTCAGCTACGATCAAGGGCGTGACTGGAGTGGCCTTAGGGCTGTACCGCTCAACTACTTTCTTGGTTTTGGTGTCTTTGATCTCGAATTCATCTGTCCACTGGCCATCTGCCGTGTACAGAATGTCCTTCTCCTTTCCTTCAGCATACAATGACGCAGTGAACGTATTCTTCTTTCCTGATAGCCATCCCTTCCCGCTGTATTCGATCTTGGCGGTGTATCCTGAAGAGGATTGGATCATGGAGTAGCGGTTTAATTCGACGTACGGTGAGCCAGTGATGAGGCCTTCGATGTGGAGGGAAGGAAGGGTGATCAGGTAGTCCTCGTCGTATTCATCGATATGGAGGATTGCATGGCCGATTTGCTGGTAGGGACAATTAGCGACCCAATTTCACCTTTCGCAAGGTCAGAACAAACCTTGACGTTAATCGTGCGCGAGAACGATGCCTTCTGAGCATTGTACCCCTGAAGGCGTACGCCTGCCTTGCTATTCCAAATGCAGTATGCGGTGACGGGTGGGTGGTGGCTACGTGGGTCAGTCGTCACGCGACCCTCAAGCGATCTTGGTGATGCTTTACCTGACTTGCTCACTTACGAGCTGTGTAGTTCCCGCCTCATCCTCCCATTTACCCAAGAAAAGTTCTCCCAGGAACGGATTCAGGGGTTTCTTCTCCGTTCCAAGCTTCTCACTGCGGCTAGCGTATTGTTGTTTGAGCGTGCTCAGGAACCACTTCAGCACCAACGCAGCGCGCTTCGCGGGGTCCTTTTCAGCAGCAGGAGCAATGAAGACGGAGGGATGCTCAGCCCAGTAGGAAGAGAACTCGACCAGAGACTTGGTGGATAGGATGAAAGGCGGTGCGGTCATGGAAGAGAGGTCGCCATTGAACGATGCGATTGACTGTGCTAGCGTTAGCATTGCGGTCACTAGAATAAACAGAGGCGTGTTTGGCCGCGCATCGAAGCTCACAATCTCGATAATAGGTCGTAGGATTGCAAAGAACGTGGCTCCGATGTCGTTCAAGATCTAATCAAGCAGCGAGGGGTCGGAAACCCACCTTTAAGAAACTCGACCACGAGCCCCTTGCTTGGGGTGGTACAGCGGCGCCTTCTTTGTCGCTCATGGTTGAAGCAATTGTCTGAAGTATTCTAGGGGGAGAGGTAGTGTTCGAGGAGGTGATGTAAGGTGAGGTGAAAGGGGAGAGGAGAGAAGAGGGTCTTGTAGATCGTATAGGTCGTGTAGGTTAAAGTAGGTAATACTTGTAGTTTAGGTAGGGAAAGACTGTGGGGCAATTCCGAAATGTTGGAGTAAGTTTAAGACTTAGGATGGTCGATGGTCGAACCGCGTGGCGGAGCGGGCAAGACGTCATGCTAAAAGGGAAGCTTGTCCGACAGGGGTACGCAACCTACACAACCACACAACCTACGCAACACGCGCCGTGGTTGGAGCAATCGCATCTCTCTTGGATGTCGCCTAGGCAGGTGGACGCATCACATCGGTGGCGTAGACCTCTGTTAGATTAAGAGCAAACACAACGTCAGTCAGTACCTGTCTGTCCGTCCCTGCAGATTAAGCCCGTGCAAACATCATGTGTAGTTGCAAGCAGTACATAGTGGAACTCAAAGAATTTTGGTTATCATTATTAAGAACTGGCACTACTGAGTAGATCAATCCAGCCATATGGTACTTTTTTTAATCTCTCAACTACTAATTCACGCTCCACTGTTCCATGCAATCGTGTCTCGTCAAAATGTTAAAGAAAACTCTTCGCCTAAAAACCCAACACTGTACGCTCAATGAAGCTTTCTACGTCTTAACATCGGGCTCGGTGCGGCCGATGTATTCCTGGAACTTCAACAGGCTAGTTGCGAGCTGCACATTGTCCTTGAGGTAGTCTTGTGCGTCCAAGTCGAACTTAGACTCATCAGACTCGTACTTCTCAATGTAGAGACGGATGGTAGCACCGCTGCTGCCAGTTCCGGAAAGACGAACGACGATGCGGCTGCCATCGTCGAACTTGACGAAGATACCCTGGTTCTTGGATACACTGCCATCGAGATCAGTGTATGAGAAGTCATCGGCCTCGACGACCTTGCGTCCAGAGAGGCTGGAGCCCAAGAACTCGTCCTTCTTTGTGGTGATGAGCTCCTTGATGTTTGCGACGACCTTGTTGGCACCCTCGGTCTCGACACCCTCGTAATCGTATCGGGTGAAGAAAGTGCGGCCGTAGGTCTTCCAGAAGTCCTTTTGCACGGAAGCGATGCTGGGTGTGCTTCCGGTTTGCTGTCCAACACCAGCGAGAATGTTGAGCCATGCAACAATGGCCCAGAGACCGTCCTTCTCACGGATGTGGTTGCTACCAGTACCGAAGCTCTCCTCGCCGCAGATGTTCATCTTATCGGCATCGAAAAGACCACAGAAGAACTTCCAGCCCGTAGGCACCTCGTAAGACTGGACGCCCTTCTTCTTGGCGACAAGGTCGATGGCTCCAGAGGTTGGCATACTACGAGCAAGACCGTAGATACCCTGCTTCTTGAACCAGGGGATCAAATCGGAGTGATGAGCAATGATGGCCAGACTGTCGCCTGGGGAAACAAACGAGTTTGCTCCGTAGATCATGTTACGATCACCGTCACCGTCGCTGGCGGCACCGAAGTGGACACCATTCTTGTCGACGGCATCGACGAGAGACTTAGCATAGACAAGGTTGGGGTCAGGGTGGTGACCACCGAAGTCTGGCTTAGGAACGCAGTTTTGGGTGCTGTTGGGAATTCCGAGCTCCTTCTCGAAGATGTCGATTCCGTACTGTCCAGTAACACCGCTCAGGCCATCGAAGAGCACCTTGAAGTCGGGGTGCTGCTTGATGAAGGACTTGATCAAATCGAAGTCGAAGATGTTCTTCAGCATCTCAAGGTAGTCCTTGGTAGAGTGGACAATCTCGACTTCAAGATTGCCATACTTCTGGGTGCCGATTGTAGAGAGGTCGACATCAGGGATGTCAGCGATCTTGTAGGAGGTGAGGGTCTTGGAGGTCTCGTAGATCTTGTTGGTAACGCTCTCGGGAGCTGGGGCACCGTTGGCCAAGTTGTACTTGATACCGAAATCCTCGTCGGGACCTCGTCATTGTCAGCAAGTCTGAGTAGAGCCGTTCTAGGGTTCGGAAGGTCACCTACCTCCTGGGTTGTGACTGGCAGTCAGAAGGATACCTCCAGTAGCCTGGCGTATCCTGATGATGTTGCTAGCTGCGGGTGTGCTGAGAATGCCGTCCTGGCCGATCAAAAGCTTCTTGACGCCATATGCGGCACCGATCTTTGCGATCAACTGGGTGACCTCTGGGTTCCAGTACCGACCGTCACCACCGATGACAAGAGTGGAGCCCTCGACGCCCTCCGGGATGGAGAGGAGGATGCTGGCGACAAAGGCCTCGCTGTAGTTTTGTTGCTGGAAGACCTTGACCTTCTTACGCAGACCAGAGCTGGTGCGGAACCACAAGTCAGCCATGATCGTCCGGAGAACGCATTGGGGGTGGAATCGACTCCAAGAAGGGGATAATGGATATGTGATGGTATGAGAACGCGCGGGAAGCAATCTCTAAAGCCATAGCGAGTTGCATGGGAATAAAACGACAGGTCATGGGAGGGCAGGAAAGACGGAGATGCAGCGTGGACAGCCGAAAGTTTGTTTGGTAACTTACGTTCCGGGTTTCTGGTCGGTAAAGGGTTTCAAGGAGACAGTATTGACGCTCATTGTGAGTGGATAAGCAGTTCAGGCTGTTAAGGAAGGGGGGAAATTGAGAGTTAGATTGATTGATGCGTGGGTGGATGAAGAAGAGGAGGAGGGAGAATATGAGGAGATGTTGAGAGGGAAAGGCTGGAGGGTGAAAGGTAGGTAGGGACGTAGTAGGCTAACTGGACTGGTCTACCTAGGTAAGCTAAGGGAAAGGATGTTATTGAGGGGCAATAATGAGGAAGATGATTATGGCAATCACTATGGCAATGGGCTATAGATTTTCTCCGTACTATCTACTAATGGAAAACATTGAAAACGCCACCAGAGCGACGAGACCATTGACCTGATTGACCATGACCGTGTACCATTGAACAACTGTACAAGAGCACCTCCGTTGGCTGGCGGAGGTGGGCGTAGGTTGGCATAGTGGGGGTTCTAGAGATGACGCACTGACCTACTCGGTAATGTGTTGAGGGCAATTGAGCGACGACCAGCATCCCAGCTGTTGTGACGAGTATGAGTTATGATCTTATCCTCCATAGGGAAGCTACGATGGAACGAGTAACGAGGAAGGAGGCTAATGCACACAAACTTCCCCCATCCCAACACCTTTTCTCTCCTCAAAGCTCAACCCTCCCACACTTGTCGCAATTGTTAGCCACCCGATCGGCACACTAGATGACCTTCTCGCCCCGTTCTCTCGTTCCATTCTTTTCCTAAAAAGAATCAAAATCTACACTAACTGACGTTCACTCAATTCTTTCCACAAGCCTCGTCGTTCTCGACCTCTCATCTCTCCCACGCCTCTCCGTCTTCCCCTGTACCTGGGCTGGGGCTGAGAGACTCCATCATCCAATTGCTTTAAGCGACTTCAACAAAAATAAAAAACAAAGCCAAGAAGAAAAAAAGCATTCCATTATCGGGTCTGGCCAAGTTGGATCCGAGGACCCTACCGAGACAAGAAACGGCTACCCATCTGCATCATCGGCACAAAGTCTGGCGGTAAAACACTCGGCACGAGCCTCTATCAGACATCCACTGTACAGAGTACTGCATACGAGTAGTATACTACCTATCTACCCGGACATCCCTGGTCATTCAATTGCTGCAAATCATACACGGGTCCGACCTCAACACTTGAAGGCATCACAATTTGTATACATATACAAATTCATATGGGCAATATCATTGCGCACTCGCCTACCTCCGATCTACTTGACTAGTCGTCTTCTTCCGTTGGCCAAAGTGTATCTATATTTGGCGGCTCGACCATAGAAATTACCCTCGCCTCAATACATTTAGTATTCTCTAATATGGGCATACCGGGTCTCGCGACAAGTCTCGAGCCATATGCGGCACGGTTCACTTCTACTGAATTGGGTGGCCATTCTGCAATCCTCGATGGTCCAGCTTTTGCCTACCATGCGCACAAGCTGGCCTCAGATACCAACAGTACACGTCCCCCAACCTACGCAGAAGTCCATGCAATAGCTATTCGTTGGCTAAATGCTTTGGAGACCCTCAACATCAAGGTGTGAGTGAATTGTCGCCTTCGTATGTTCCAAACCTCTCTCCACTTTCAACGTCCTGCCATCTCACAGCCATATCAATCTCTCTCCGCGGCGAATGCAATAAACCCGATACATCCATGCACCTAGATCATAGGTTTTCTACTAGATGTCACGCCTTTCTTCGTTTTTAGATCCGCGATTTTCTCATTATCAGATTGATTGCGGCGGATAGATTCTACCTGGCAGTTGCAAACGGTGCCTCTGCTTTGCCTTGCATTTGCATACTGCACTAGGCAAATATATACCTGTACATTGCATGATGCAGCAATATATAAGTCGATCATTGCTAACATAATATGCACTAGGTCTGCGATCCTATTCGATGGCGCTTTGCCGAGCTCGAAGAAGAATGAGAGGTTTGCAAGACTGCAACAGATGATCAAGCGCATGGTTCAGCTTCGACACTCTTGTCCCGCGACAGCTTGTCCGGTTCCCACCTCACTCGGCTCCATTGCTTTTGCGTTTCTCGCACCATCTCTCATGGAAGCCTTGCAGCTGACCAAATATGCCGCGTGTACTCGCATTGTGCCAGGCGAAGCGGATGACTGGTGCGCGTACTATGCTAAGAAGTCACCGCGGAGTGTCATATTTACGGGCGATACTGATCTCCTTCTTTTTGACTATCCGCCTGAGACCGTGCTAATATTCTTCAAGGATGTCCTTGGCCTCGCCATTTCAGACTTGAAAGCGTATTCACCATCCCAGTTGTGCCAACGTCTAGAACTGAAAAGTCTGGCCACGTTGGCATATGCCATTACTGTAGACCGTTGGAAGACCATGAACGAGAATATCCAGGTTGCTCGCACTTGCGACCTCTCGTCCGATTCTTACATAGACTTTAGTAGGCGATACCAGCACATCGTAGCACCGTCACCCACGGTAGAGAAGACAGGCATAACTTCTGCTTTGCAATGCCTGGATGTCAGATTCTCTGAATTTGTACACCAGGCCCTTGCACCACCCGAACTGGCCCCGGACGTATACCTGCCATTACTATTTGAGGATCCGAATGAGGCATCTGCCTGGAAACTGGGACTAGATGTTCGGTTGCTCGCATACTCGTTAGTGATGCCCCAGCCAAAGAAGGTAGTTCGTGAGTACACACGGCGAGCACAGGATGCTGCGGTCCAGGTGCACTCCCTTCCCGTGCCAGATGCAGCCAGACTCGTCGGAGCAAACCTCCTTGACACTCTCGCAGCATGGAGTGTGCCAGAGTTAACTGCCCGGCAACGCTGGTATCTGGTTTCTTTCAGGATCTCCACGGAGTCCATCAAACCGCCGCACTCTTTTCTCGTAGAGCGCGTTATTCAGGACGATTTCGACAACACCTGGTCCTATGTCCACTTGAATGCTCGCTTGCAGGCGACCCTTTACTCTTTAAGGATGCTGAAGCAGAGTATAGAGATCTGGTCAGGGATAGACCATGAGCATACGGATCCGACTATGTGTGAAACTATAGAAGCCTTGAGGGGTTCCCTGAGTACGCTCCCTTCTATCGCTGATCTCTTTGGCGTGCCGGGTCAGTCCTCGTCGCCACCCGAGACTAACGCGGACCTACATCCGATCATCAAACAGGTCTATCAATCCGCGGGCATAGACCGGGAAGACCTGTTCGAAGAACCCAAATCGAAGAGGCAGAGGAAGAGAGAAAAGGAGAGGAGGAGGAAGGAGGAACGTGCACAGGAGGGTCGTCGAGAGCACAGTAGTAGTAATATATTCAGTCTGCTCCAGCAGAGGAGCAACGCTTGATGCTCCAAACTGCTTGTCTTATCTGTATATCATGCGTACGATGCGATGCGATGCAATGCGAGGCGGCAGAGTGAGAGTTGAAAACAAGACATTAACTAAGAAAACAAAAGGCAGTTCTCGTAAGCTATCGTGACAGAAAAGTCCATTCTTCCTGGACATCGTCGTAATCGTCCTCTTTCCGCCAACACCACCAATCCGATCTTCGAGTGACGCTGGAGGTGCGCCGTTGTACTTTGAAAAATTGGTTTCCCCCCTCTCTCTCCTCCATCATCATCGTCATCGTCAGATAATGTAAAATATGTACGTCGAAAGGGAAGATATTCTAACGCCACAGCGCGTCTTCTATCCTCAGGTACCACGTCCACGAACGATTGGCCGATCAATTGATCGTCGTCCCTTGCTCCTCAATTCGCTGTCTTGCACGCCACGTCGTCTTTGGTTCCCGTAGCTCACATATTCTCCCTGAACATCGACCTCCTCTCCGTAGGACTGTTCTCCGCACTACCACTCGTCGGCACCTTCTTCAGCGCTGGATTCTGGGCGCCAGCAGCCGAAGCACCACCATAACTCGTGTCCTGCCCGTGGTCCAACGGCCTGGGACTCACGCCGCGCAGACTCGCCGCATTATCATCGCCGAACGGATCCCTCGCGCTCCTGCCATCCGTATGCAGACTCTCCTCCTCATACTCCCTCGTCCTGCTCCTCCCCCGCTGTTGCTGATGCTGCTCGACCTCGTACCCCCCGGCGGCGCCGGGATATCCCGTCGCGCCTCCTCCGCCGTACCCCGTATTCGCACCATGGTATCCCGTATTGTTGTCGGCCGGCGCATGCAAGCCCAACTCCTGCTCCTCATAGTACGCCTCGTCGCCGACCCTCGCACTCCACGCCTCGTCCGGGTCGAGCCTGTGGCCGCCCGCGCCGCGGCCCCTCGCGGAATTGTACGACGACGAGGGCTCCTCGTAAGCCCCCGCCGCCTGGCGGTTGTTGCGGTTCTTGAACTTGCGGATCTGCGTCTCGATGAAGCCGCGGATGCCGCCGGGCGCGGGCGCTGGGTAGTTGGGCGCCGAGGACGAGCGGTCGAAGGGGTTGAGGGATGGGGGAGGCAGGCCCAGGCGTGAGGCGCGGATGCGTGACCATAGGACCCAGCCGCCGTAGCCGCCGATCAGGGCGATGATGAGGATTATGAGGAAGACCCAGCCGCCGTTCATGGTGGTGGTTCGGGGGTTGGAGTTGTCGCTGTTGTTGTTGTGTGGATGTGAGGGGAGAGGGGGTTTATGTGCTGCGGGCGCTCATGCGAGGGGAGGTTGTTCTGCCCGGGTGGTGCGGGTGAGCCGCGTGAGATTTGGTCCGGGGAGACCTGGTGGTGGTGATGCTGGGGGGTTTGGTGTTGAGGTTCGTTGTGTTGAGTTGATGTTGGTGGAAAGCGACGGGGTGGTTTTTCTTTTCAATTGATAGGAGTATTTTCTAGGGTGAGGCTGAGGTATGGTGATTGAATTATAGCTGAGGGCGTTTCTGGTGGCGTTACGCCTCAATTGGTAGGGCCGTAATGGTGGTGATGGTGGTAAATGGTAGTGGGTAATGGTGGGTGATTGTTAGACAGACGATCGAAGGGACCGGCTGAGCTGGGAAAGAGCAGAGAGTAGCAGCAGAGTAGAGCAAGCTTGCCTAGAAAGAAGTTGGTTGGTTGGAGAGCACGACCCGACGAAAGATGACGTAAGGCCACTGTCGCACAAGGAACTACGTATGTACGAGGCGAGGTATGCCTAACCCCACGGTAAGCTTGCCGCGATAGTAGTCCCTCAGCAGACCACGAAGTAAATATTCAAACCACTTCAACAATGGTCCCGATAAAATGGATTAATGTTATTCTATGTGCACGAGTTTGACAATACTTGTCTCAAGTTCATACGAAGACAGACATTGAGAGGTATACAGAGTACAAGATTGATACCTAAATTACTGTAATGGTAGGTATCTATTAGTGTTCAGTACAAGGCCACTGCGCCTCTTGGGCTAGTCTGGTAATGCTGATAACTACTACTATCCGGGTATAGCCAGCCGAGTGGGTCATCCTAAGCGAGTCGAATGGGAAGCCCCCGACGAATTGCGTATTGAAGCACGACAGCATCCAGTTATCGTGGCTATTACTCCGTACATCTTATGATTGTTAAGCAAAACAACAATTGTCCATCTATTCGCATGTTTAGTTATTCCGCACACCTGCAATCGATAGCCTCCTCATTGTAGTCACCATGACTACTCAACCCGAGCACTTCACCTTTCGAACTAGTGGGGGAGACGACATCGCCATAGACAGTAAAGACTTGGTAGCAGTTGTGCCCGACCAAGATGGTTCGGCTTCCACCATCGTCTATGTGGAGCAAGACCCTACCGATCCTACAAAGCTCCCCACTATCATTTTCAAAGAGGAATCCACCTTCAATTCCGATGTTCCCAATCCCCAAGCGTTCACTACACCGGAAGAGACCCACGTCTTGATATCTACCGGATCAGGAAAGAGAGAAGCCGAGCGATTCTACAACGAATCCACCAAACCGATCCTCTCCGCTCTTTTTCCACAGCAATCGGAGAAATTCCATATCCACACGACAGAGTCCGAGTCAACTATACTAGACCTCACAAATAATGTCTTCTTTCCAATCGCCAACGCCGGTCGACCACTGCGTATCATCCTTCTGTCCGGAGATGGCGGGATAATCGACCTGGTGAACGGTCTCTCATCTCAGCCCTTGTCTGCCTCGTACATTCCTCCTCAAGTCGTTCTGTTACCGCTAGGTACCGCGAACGCCCTCTATCACTCGATAGTCGCCGGTAGAGAGAACACATGGGGCCTCCAGGCCTTGACCTCCAACGAATATGAATCGCTTCCAATATTCACAGCTTCTTTCTCTCCTGGATCCCGAATACTGGCAGACGAAGCACGCAAGGAGCTAGAACTCCCCAAGGACCCAGAAACCGGCCATCAGGTCTTGCATGGCACCGTCGTGGGCAGCTGGGGCATGCATGCTTCGCTCGTGGCTGACAGCGACACCACGGAGTACCGCAAGTTCGGCATCGACAGGTTCAAAATGGCGGCTAAGGAGGCATTGTATCCTGCGGATGGGTCCCCGCCTCACCCTTACAAAGCCAAAGTCTCTGTTCTCAAGGGTGACAGCTGGGAAGATCTGCCGGCCGAGGAACACATGTACGTTCTAGCAACCATGGTCTCCAACCTCGAGAAGCCGTTCACCATATCGCCCTCTACAAAGCCTCTGGACGGAAGTCTACACCTCATCCACTTTGGTCCGGCGAGTGGAGATGAAGCGATGAGGATCATGGGATTGGCGTATCAAGGTGGAAAGCATGTCGATGATCCATCGGTGCGCTACGAAGCTATCGACGGGTTGCGCATCCAGTTCGAAGGCAGAGAGGAAGATGCAAGATGGCGCCGTATTTGCATTGATGGCAAGATCGTTCGCGTAGATAAGGATGGGTGGGTGGAGCTGCGGAAGGAGTCAAGGAGGGTGCTTGAGATTGCCTCAGTGTAATGACGTTCTAAGCAGCATAGCAGCATAGCAGCGGTGGTCAGTATAGTTGATACTGAATATAGTCAATGGTTATGTTTTGTAGAGCGATGTGAGAAATTCAATGCCATTGTGGCATGGCAGACAACTGGGTGCCTAGCATGCTCAAAATCTCCCAACTGGAAGGGCGTTGTCTTTGTAGATCCTCTCTATCTCCCTTGCTTCTGGATCGAATTCTTCTCATTCTTTCAAATGGTTGTTGTGTTGCTCGAAAATTGGCCCATGTAATGCTACAGGCCATCACCAATCTCACTAACCTTCAATTTCCAAAGACCCATGACCACTGACTTGTGATCCTTTTCACCCCGATCGCTGAGCAAGGCATCCCAGATACCCCCAGGCTTCCTGCAATTCGCTGCACACCCGAAAGACGCGGCGTAATCACAGGGTGCTCGGCAAGCGGTATTGGTCAGATTCTGCCGTCCGCATCCCCCGCGTCAAGCTCTCCCACCACCCCAAGTATTTAAACACTCCCATTTCCCACCAACTTCCTCCACTCCCACACTCTTCATTTTACTCCCAAAATCTTCTTGAGATTTTCCTGATACGTTTACTAATTTTTCCCACACTTTTACGACACTTTGTGCTTTACCCCTTTTTTGCTTACATCATCACGTTCACCCTTCCATCCCCTCGAAGAACAACCACCATACTCCCCGCTTCTTCTCTTCATCGTCACCATGCCAGAACTCGCATTGCAGCCAGGCTCGTGGGTCTTCGTGACTGGAGTCAATGGTCTCATCGGCAGCCACATCGCCGACCAGCTCCTCGCCCGCGGCTACAATGTCCGCGGCGCAGTCCGCGACGTCGAGAAGTGCAACTGGCTGAAGGAGTACTTCGACGACAAGTACAGCCAGCAAGACGCTGCTAAATTCGAGCTCGTCGCCGTCCCCGACATGGCTGTAGAAGGCTGCTACGACGATGTCGTTAAAGGTGACATACACACTCCCTTCACATTTCTCTTCCACAGTCACAACGAGATCCCATGAAACACCACTGACAGCGAACCTAGGAACCCACGGCTTCATCCACGTCGCCTCGCCCCTCCACGGACCCGACGCCAGAGTCCTCGTCCCCCTGACCGTTCAAGGCGCCCTCAACGCCGCGAAAGCAGCCGCAAAGACGCCCACTGTAACCCGCTTCGTCTTCACGTCGTCGTCCATCGCAGCCACGATCCCAAAACCAAACGTCAAATTCTCAATCGACGCGTCGAGCTTCAACGACGCAGCCGTGGAGAAAGCCTTCAACTACCCGGCCGACGAGCCGCAGGAACTGAAGGGCATGTACAACTACGCGGCGCTGAAGACGGCCGCCGAGCGCGCGATGTGGAAGTTCGTCAACGAGGAGAAGCCGGGCTTCGTGTTTAACTCTGTCGTATGTCTCCCCTGTCCCCCCCTTCTTTCTCCCTCTCTTCCGAACACACACACACTCTCTCAAAGCAATGCTAACACAAACACAAAACGCCAGCTCCCAAACGCAAACTACGGCAAAGTCCTGATCCCAACACAACAAGGCACGCCCTCGACCATCGCATGGGCGCACGCGGCATTCACAGGCGAACTGTGGGACTTGCACCGCAGTAGAATCCCACCCCGTACGCATCCCCCCTTCCCCAACAAACGAACCTCATCAAAAGACCAACGCCCTACTAACCGAGCGACGACAGAGTACTTCATCGACACCGTCGACACCGCACTCCTGCACGTCTCGGCGCTCATCCACGCTTCCGTGTCCAACGAACGGCTCTTCGGGTTCGCGGAGCCGTTTCACTGGGATAAGATACTGGGTATCTTCCGGCGCATCTACCCGGAGAGGACGTTCCCGGCGGACGACCCGGCGGATGACAGGAGGGATCTTATGACGGTGCCGAATAAGAGGGCGGAGGAGGTGTTGGGGTGGGTTAAGGGGGGTGGGGAGGGGTGGACGGGGTTGGAGGTTAGTTTGCGGGAGATGAGTGAGGCGTGGGTTTAGAGGGTGGAGGGGGGCTTTGGTGAAGTTGAGGCGGAGTGTGGGATCGTGAGGAAGTGTGATGGGCGATTGGGTTCCTTGTGCTGCATGTGACTAGGGGTAGATCTTGAGCAAGTCCGACCAGTCACACATTTCTTGTCTAGCATAAGGTACTAGCAGGCTGCCACGACAGATCTCACTCAAAATATCAACGATAGCCTCCGAAACTTGCTCAGTGAAGCTCCGGGATTTCAACCGGGTACCTATTGTAATATTGTACGATGTCTACCTCCAGCACACTGCAATTTCTCTCGTTGGCTACCATGGATAAATCCTTCCTATCAGGAGAAACCCCCAACCCACCATCTTTGCCGGAAGCTTTCGCTAACCCGCGCTCGAAGGTTGTAAATGAGACATAAAGGAAAATTGAGGAAAGGAAAATGGTGTGACAAAAAGATCATATCTGATAATACGGCAGCCCACCCTTTTAACGCCAACAATTGTTCCTTTAGTTGCAATGAGAAAAACCGAGAAAAAAAACACCATGATGCATTGTCTGAGTGCCACTCTATTGGATAGGCTGCTGGCCTAGGGAATTGACTGTATGAATGTCCCCCACATGCTTGGAGTCCAGCCCCTTTGTTGTCTCGTTGGGTACAGCCTCGACCTGGGGTACTGGTTCGATGGCGTCGTCCTCTTCTGCCGATGCCTTCGCCGGCCGGATGGTCAAAACGCTTTCTTCTAGAGCCTCCGAAGGCTGAGATTCTATGTGGCTTCCACACTTGTCTGGAGAAGGGTCAACTGCAGTGTCGGTGGTGGTGTGTTCCGCTCCTTCACCATTCAGCACAGGGTCAGATTTATTTGTCGAACCAGTCTTAGCAGTTTCTGTGGTATCCGCAATGTTTTCGATGAACTGTGGACCATCTGACCCCTCTTTGCTGTCAGTAGCGATCACATCCTCGAGTCTCCGGAAATTGAACATGGGCTCAGTGTCTGGGTTGTTTTCTTCTGGTGTCTCGTTCAAACTAACACCAGACGCATTGGGGCTTTGTCCATAGGTGGAACCTGAAGCTTCGACTGGACCTCCCTGTTGGAACGAATCCTGCACTGAGTCTGTGATAGAGGATGCGGACGAGGAATCGTTCGATATCTGGCGCAGAGCGGAGCGGTGGGATGAAGCCTCGCTAAAGGGTTCAAATGGAGACGCCTTGCCTGATTCCAGAGTTTCTTTCTGTATCTGTGCACGGCTTTGTTCCAGGTGCTTTTGTGGAGCATCCTTGGGGCTCTCTGAGTTCAAGGTGGATGTGGGTTCGCTTAAGGGGTTGAAATCAACCGAGCCGCCTGATCGATCCACACCCTTTCCTTTACCTACCGGTGTCACCGAACTGGAAACCTGAGCATCGCTGTCTGCTTCCATACTTGAAGCTGGGAAAAATCCAGTCTTACGTGCTGCTTTCTCAGCCTTCTTGGCTTCTTTAGCCTTTCTCTTCTCCTCTTTCTTGTATTCCTTGGCCGCCTCTTTCTCTTCCTTTCGTTTCCTTTCTTCCTCTGCTGCAAGACTCAACCGTATGGCCTCCATCATCATGAGCTCCTCAAGATCTTCTAGTCGAGTGCCTCGTCTCGAACTCTGGCGTCCAGCGGTCAGGTCAGACTGGCCATCAGCCCTACCTGCTTGACCCTCATTACCCGGAGCGCCAGCCCCCGAAGTTGATGCATCGCCTTCCAGTCGAGGGGTCCCTCGACCACTGCTGCCCGCACTGTCGTTCCCAAATAACGTGGTTCGTCTTCTTCTCCCAAGGCTAAACCCTCGGCTATCTGAAGCCTGTAAATTGCCCATCATATAGGCAGCATTATGCAGAGCCGTCGCTGCGGCTGCTCGGCGCAACGCATGTGCCCGCGCATCTGCTAACTTCTTCGCCCAGTCCGGTCGCACACGGTCTGTCGTTATCACGGTTGAATCGTTAGCCGCCAAAGACGTTGCTCGTCTTCTTCCAGGCGACACGAGCGCTGTTGAGCCCAAAGATGTTGTAGACGACATTGCAGAAGCAGCGCTTGCGAGTTTGTTGCTTTGACTGGCATACGCCAAGCCTCTTCGGAAAGGTGGAGGATCATAAGTGATACCAAACTCGGGCTGTACGCAAAATGGACACGCAGCAGGTTCGGACACTAGTTGATTGTCCTCCTGCGAATCTGCAGGCGGAGCGGACTCGCCTTCATCGCCGTGGTGCTCCGGTGGATGGGGATCGGGACGTTTTATCTGCACAAAGCACTCGGAACAGATCGGTTGATCGCAGCAGCGAGTTTTGTTGAGATAGGGAGGGTAATACAAGAAACAGATAGGGCACTCTGATGCATTCTTATAGAGGAATGCTTCGATGCGTTGACCGTTCACGTGAGGGTCTTTGGGCAATTGTATCTCTTGTGGTGTCATATCAGTCTGCGAACTATTGCGGGATCCGGTGGTCAGAGCAGCGAGAGTCTTAGCACGGCCACGGAAGAATGGAGACGAAGAGCCTGATGCAGCGATTGGAGAGGTAGGGGAAGGAAGCGAGAATGCCGGGTGCGAAGGAGACAGACTTGTTGAGCGATCCGAGTTCTGTGACATGGATCGGCCAGAGATAGGGACTGTGAGGTTATTGATGTTGGGGTTGGAACCTCGAGGATTCCAATCGGGGCTTAGGTTGTTTGTTCTGTCTGGCTCTTCGGGTGGCACTTCGTCAGCAGCAGGCAAAGGCAGATCGTTTACTACCGCTACAAGTTGATATTCGGTCCAAGTGTCCGAATGGTCGTTAATGCCTTTCCAGAAGGGAGCAAGCCGCCGCTCAATCTGTCTATCGTGAGAAATCGAAAATGCGCGTGGACTGTTCTAGCCTTACCTGCAGTTGCCGCACAACTGGTTTACTAAAGTCCTCTGGGCCAGTGTAGGTGCCCAATGTGACCAGATAGCCGCCATCGACGCCCTCTTCCCGAATGCTACGCTCTCGCTCTTGAGCTCTTAGAGCACGCTCTTTCTCCAGTTTGCGAGCTTCGCGCTCAACCTTGGTCTCCCTACGCGGTTCGGTAGCCGGATCGCGATCTCGCTCTCTTTCCCTTTCAGACCCTCCTATTCCGAGGAACGACAGATCGGGTCTACTTCCTCGTCCCGATCTTGATCCATACACGCCGCTGTGGGAGCGCGAGTGTGAGGAACCTCCACCAGCATTGCCGGTGGGGGAGACAGGAGGCATGCGAGAGCCAGCAACATGGCCCTGGTTCCGTGAACCTGCGTGGGCCTCTTTTGCCTGACTATTTCCCATGTCGCGGAGTCTTTTGTGGTGTTGTTTTGATTATCGATGAGTTAGAGGAAAGGCGAGGCGAGGTGAGGATCGAGGCAGATTCCCCTTCGATAAGACTTGATGGGTTCGTATGCGAAGGAAGGCGCGAAATCGGAGGTGTCGTTATTATTATCGGTGTGAAATGTGTGAATGGGTGGGTGGGGAGGGGGGGGGGTCAGAGAGATAAGGCGTGTCACAAGGACATGATAGATTGAGGCAAGATGCGAACGCAAGATGGCTACGCGGTTGTCATGAGTTGCTGGGTGGAGGTTATGCGGGCGGGCGGACGCGGGTAGGGGTCGCGGATTGCCGTTGTAGGTCGCATGCGCAGTGGATGAGACAATGTAGAGGTAGGATGAGGGGATTGAGGATGGTCGCGCGAGGGCTGGAGTGGGTGGGTGAGAGAGTGGAGGAGGAAGTGTGGGAGAGGAACGAAGAAGAAGAGTGAGTAGGTAAGTAGTAGGTGGAGGTGTGATGTCGATGATGGCTAGGAGGAGGGTTTAACCCAACATGCATACGAGTGAAAGGTTAGGTATTACCTTGTAGTTTATGCCAGAAATCTTGGCTGGTCGATCTTCCTCTTCTGGCTTTGCCCTTTTCCTTCCTGTTGCCGTGTTTTCCTTTTCAGACAGAGCCTCTGACTCTCGTGTGCCTTGATTCTTGATGAGTTGGGTTGGGTACAAGAGATGTCGGGTTATTGGTAGGGCCGATGGATGTACCTCGTACAAGTAGCAAGCACACAGTCATGGAAGGAAGGGGAAGGAACCGGGGGGATGGGGGGGCAGAAAGAGGGGAGGAAGGCGCGACCGACCCGGGTCGAGTTCATCATTCTGTAATACAAATACTCACCAGCTTGTTACCAGCTTGTAGCCAGTAACACTAACAATAAGCGTAATTACCTCCATCACTCAAGTAACGATTACTACGACAACTAGTACTACTCCTCATAAACTCTACTACTACTACTACTACGACATACGAGATATATTGATCAACTCTTCTACAGGTTACAAAGTCTGAGGAAGAGCTCCATTCTCTGCTCTGGCTGGACCTTTGAGCTTGATCTGCTTGGCTTCCAAGGCACCGCGCGCCCATTGTCCAGCCAGCCCGGCACGCCGCGGGGAAGTGCATACACGCGCCCACTCAGCCACTATCTACTCCATATTCCATCTATTGTGTGTACTCCGTACTCGTCACCGTTACTGCTCTCTTTCAGCCCAAATCAGCATGGACAGGTCCAGAACAAGCAACAACAGTAATGTTTCCTCCAAAGAACAGCCCATTCAATAATCACCAATTCAATTCAATTCCAATCATTCCATTCCCCTCCACAGATCATCCCCCAATTCGGCACCAGAGGCCACGCACTGGGCTAACCCGAATCAGGATAGACCCTTTCTACACGTCATCCTTCCACTCCAACCATCCATCATCCATCATCCATCTTATCAGGCCCAAGATCAAAGCCCACTTCCACCCACTAACTACTCCTCATACGAGTAACTACAACCAAGTATCTCATGCCGTACCTGCGTATACCGTATCAAGATGACATGTATACACTCTTCCGGTTTCTACTAATTCTCATGGTCATTCTGGCGTCAACGCATAATCTAGCCCAACACTTACTAAGCTTCCACCATCGTATAACCTGAATCCTCCACTGCTGCTGACTTATGCTAAACGCGGCAACCTGATTCGTCGCTGTGCATGGAGAAAGGGAAAAGGAATTTATCTCTTCGGTCAACATTGTAACATGCCCTGGGGTCTAACTCATTACCAATGTTACGAAACGTTCCAATTGAAAAAGAAGATCGGCTATGAATTTCTTTTCTCCATTGCGCTTTCACAGAAAAAGCGAATCGACCTTCATAACTTGGAATTGACCATACATTTTGTGGAGCCACATCCATCAGTATGTCTGACGTCTTCTTAGCCAATGACGAAGTCTCTGGAGAGTTGGTCTATTGCATCTTCCAAAATCGATTGATATGAACAGAGTAAAGCATCCAGAAAGATAACCTTGGACATGAAAAGCTCGGATGATCAAAGGACATATGCATTTGCATTCACATCGGTGGGCCAAGAGCTCATGGTTAGGGACTTCTATTTCCATTTACAAGGTCCCTATTCTGACCGGCCAAGTAAACCTCTCTTCCGCCTCCTTGAACTAATCATCACGAACCCCCATAGACGCCGCCAATCCAATGACCTACCCTCGCTCAAAGCGTTCCAAAAGTCCAAGACGACTGCCAGTGATACTTGTCACCAGGACCGAAGATCTGCTTCTTAAGACGACCCCACTCAGGACTACCCGCCAAGTCAGCAATGGTCACTCCAATACTGTGGAAAAATTGTGAGACTTACTGGTTGATTCCGTCGACATAGTCCTGCGACTCAATGGCGATGCAGCCATCCCTGGGGATGAACTTATCCGTCTGGTTGGCCTTGCCAGTGCCCTGGGTGTCCTTGAACTCAGACTTCCCGTCGTTCCAGTTGCAAGTGTAGATGACGATGCCGTCCTGGTTGGTCCTGAGGTCGGCCTTGATGCCGCTCCAGGCGCTGGCGAGTGTCGCGACGACCGCGTCCCTCGGCCTGTCGTCGTCGTGCGCCCAGTTGCCGTTGTAACCGTGGCAGCCGCCGCCGCAGTGGTTCTCGAAGTTGCTGTTGCCGGACGCGAAGCCCAGCTGGTGGGGCTTCGACCAGAAGTCGTCGATGGCGTTCTCGGGCACCTTTGCGATCTCGCCGGTGGGGAGGGCGTTGGCGTCCGCGACCATCACGCGCTTGGCATACGGCATGTGGAGGGTGTGGTTCCAGATCGTGCGGTTGCCGTTGGGGTTGGAGAAGGCGTCGAGCTGGAAGTAGGTGTGCTGTGTCACTTGGATGGGGGTCTTGACGTCGAGGGACGCAGCGTCGATCTCGATGTTCCATTTGTTCTTCGAGACGGAGTAGGTCACGCTGGCGTCGATGGCACCGGGCATGCCGACTGTCCTGTTGGCTGGGTCGTGGTACGTGAAGGTGATGGACTTCTTGGTCACCTTGCCGACCTTCCAGAAGTTGAACGACCAGTTGTTGGGGCCGCTGTGGAGCGTGTTCGGGCCATCGTTCTTCACGGTGTGATATGTCGTGTTGTCAATCGTGAAGGTACCGTTGCCAATTCGGTTGGCATAACGTCCAGGAATGGCATTGTAAACGGGATGGCCCGGATCGACGGCTGAAGGCAAATCAGTCAAGCTCTGAGACGAAAACTATATTGACTATCTACTCACGATAAAACGAGGTGTTGTCATAGCCGAGCACAATGTCGCGCTCGACACCGTTCTTATCTATTATTTGTAAGCTGACATTGGTCGTTCGCGATGATGACATGCGTCTTGAGCTACGAACCCTTGACATAGAGATTTGTCAAAGTTGCGGCGTAGGGTATGAACTGTCAGCTTGGTCAGTGTCGTTCAATTGCAATCATGGATACACGAAAGATTTAGGTGGCCATTGGACAACCACAAGTCCTCTGAGGAGGAAAAACATGAAGTACAAAGCAGTAACTGTGAGTACAATTCGCATTGACAAGCAATTGAAAGAGACTGCTCTATACACATACCTGAGCTCGAATGCCCTCTGCCTCAATTGTGTATCGACCATCCGCGTCCGGTTCAGGTGCAGCATAGACAGCAGACACCGCCGCCGACGCAGCAAACAAACAGGACGAGTACCTCATTATTCTTTCCGTACCTTTACAAAGTCCCTTGGGTATTCGAATAAATAGAGAAGAAGAAGAATCGTAGCAAGCCCACAGAAAGCGCCCACGGATGATCCCCCCGCAACCTCTTTATAACAAAAAGTCCCCCTCCCCCCAAGCTTCCCCTGCGTTACGGTCCACGGGCCCCCAGGGAATTGAGTACCAATCTACCAAGCTCATAGCTTTCTCTATAATCTGGGGTAAAATAGGTATGAATTCCGGGATTCCCTAATCTAAAAGCAATATGTGTGAGGAGAACCCTTGCAGGGAAATATCCAGGGTACCGCACGCTGATGTGAGAAGAAAGAGTCTTGGTAAGTTAAGTACTTCCCGCAACGGGGATAAATCCGTGGCAAGGGAAGCATTTTCTAGAAAGAGTCGTTTCGACATGTTCCCTGGAAGCACGAGTGATTTGCAGATTATCCACCGCGGAGGGTGGAATTGCTCTGCGGGGCCCTATAAGAGTCGGTTGTTTTCGCCGTCCGAGGTGGCTATGTATTGACGAATGGGGTTAGCACCGTACGGCAGTGTAATACTAAGGCTCGACAAGGAAACGAAGATGATATTCCCCTGCCATCTACAGTAAGAGGAGGGCAGATTGATCGCAGGTTGTGTTCTGTTGCCTGGTAGCCATGTAGCGCTCGAAAACCCTTCTTTTCGCTGCACCGCCTCATGATGAAGCTCTTTCACAGTAGCAAGTACATTTAAACACAATCTCCCACCGGCGCCACAAACTCTCAATCTCTTCCAATTCTCCATATTGGTTTCTTAGCTGTCACCTCACAAAACTTCCAACGCTTACTCCCGTGTACCCGCTCGCTTAATATTACACCTTCCTCTTTACACCTGCTATACGGGATACTCCTAAGTACCTAACCCATCCCCGCGCCTTGCCAGGGCTGAACACTACAATGGGTCTCTGCAGCGTCTGCGAGACGATCGAATTCGAGCATGTCCCTGCACTACCAAAGCACTTAGATGCCGGGTACTCATCCCCGTGGAAAGGCCTCATCCGCCTGTCGTCGAACCTGTATTTCGCCAAAGCGCGTAAGAATGGAGAAGCGACGGAAGGCGAAGAGGAGCTGAAGAAGGAGGCAATTACCCAACCACTAGGCGTCCCGTTCCATAAATCGTTTGACGAGCTCGGGGTGGCAGCCGAGCATTGCTCAATATGCTCGCTCGTCCGCCGGGGCGTGGCGGATTGTTTAGCCGCGCTTGAAGAGGCGCAGAAAGATAGTATATATAATTATTACAAGAGGCGGAAGCAATCCAGCGATCCAGAGGGGCCCATGTGGCTAGCGAGGAGACCGGATGGGAGCGATGGGTTTATTGTTATTTGTGCTGATGGTGACTACAATGCGTGGCTGCTGGCTGGTATAGCGTTCTGCGTAGAAGGTGGGGCTCATTTATCCTTAAGCTTTGAAAGATTACCATGCTGAATACCGTATAGAAGATGATCCATTAAGCAAGTCTCTTCCCGGACGCATCATTCAGAAAGACTCGAGGTCCGAGAAGTCTGTGGCCAGAACGCTGGATTGGGTCTCCGAATGCAACGACCACCACACTTCGCCCAGATGCTCGTTTGGGGACGAAGAACTCCCCAAGCGGGTCCTCGATCTAGGGTTAAACACATCGTCGGATAGCATTAAGCTTTTTGAGACGAATGGCGAAGTGGGAAAGTACACTGCATTGAGCCATATGTGGGGCCAGCATCGTCACTTCATCACCACAAAGGCTTCCATCCACGCACACAAACAAAATATATCCATAAGTGACCTGCCCGCAACCTTCCAGGACGCAGTAAACTTCACCCGTAGGCTGGGCGTCCGCTATCTATGGATCGACAGCATTTGCATATGCCAGGATGACGGACCCGATTGGGAGAGGGAGAGTGCTCGGATGGCGCAGATCTACACCAACGCATACCTCGTCCTTGCCGCGACTGGATCCTCAAGTGACTCGGCTGGTTTCTTCATCGAACGTTCTCCTCCTGAATATACAAATTTCGAGTACACCTGGAATGGAACGAAGGGTACGATCTACGCAAGCTTGACAAGCAGTGATGATTCCGCAAGCGAGCACTCCGGTGAATCTATCGACAATGATCCACTTTCCAAGCGCGGTTGGGCACTGCAAGAAAGGTTCCTCGCTCGCAGGACTTTGCACTCCGGCAGCAAGCAGTTCGCCTTCGAATGTTCCCAACAGTACAAGAGCGAAGACGGCTTCCGAGGCAAATCACGCTTCAACGAGTTGGCCGCAAAGGACGAAGACGAATCCGAGTCCACCTACCGGGGCCCGACGAAATGGCATAACCTCTTGAACGACTACTACCCCAGGAAGCTGACCAAGGAGTCCGACAAACTGCCCGCCATCTCCGGCATCGTGCGGGCCTTCAGCCAGAAATACAACGACGAGTACGTCGCCGGGCTCTGGCGATCCAACCTCATGGAGGGCCTACTATGGCAAGCCATGGGCGCAAGCACAGGCAACACTTCCAGGCCGACAGAGTATCGAGCCCCGTCATGGTCGTGGGCATCCATGGATGGACCCTTCGGGAACTTGGGCGTCGGACGGGATTTCCTCGACCCAACGGCCCGCTGGATCGACGTCGCGGAGATCGGAGACTGCCACGTCGAGCTCAAGGGCGAGAATCCGTACGGCGAGGTCACGGACGGGTACATCACCATCACGGCGCCGCTGGAGCGACTGGAAGCCAGCGGGGAAAAGGAACGGGATTGGGAGACGGTGCCTCACAAGCGGGCGTTCAGGGCGAAGACGAAGAACGGTCTCCCGTTTGGTGCGTACTGTATGTTCGATACGATTGACGATGATGCCGCCGCGAAGCTGGAGCTCTTCGCGCTCATCCTGGTGCGGAGAATGACGGTCAAGGACGAGCCTGACGATCGAACGTACCAGGCGATTCTTATCACGCCGGTTGAGGGAGAAGAAGAAGGCGTGTACAGGCGAGTTGGGAAATGGCTTCCCAGTTATGAGGATTTGGGGGAGTGCGACTGGATGGAGGACAAGACCAAACGCACGACTGTAAAACTGATTTGACGTCTTTCAAACCAACTGGAGACGGTATCAATGCATTATGATTGCATTATTCTCCACCATTGAGCCATTACACGCTTGCAATCTCGAGGTAGTCAGAAGTAAAGCACATAGCCAGAATTGGCAAAGTCGTTTATTGTACATAGAACTCAAACAAGCAAAGACATGAATGATAACTCGTAGCATTTGAATGGGTATATTTTTCCGAATCGGCATAAAACATGTCGTGACTTTCCAAGCCATCCTTCCTTCCTTCCTTCCCTGGCAACCAACAATATTCCTTCCCAACTCTAAGGCAACATCTCCCCACGCTGGTAGCACTTCCTGTGTGCCTTGCAGCATGCACCCAGCTCCGGGAGTTCCCTCGGCACGCATCCTTCTACGACTCAAGACGGAGCCAACGACCCCCCTCCCCCGCGTCTTTCTCGACGCCGCTGTGGGGAGAGTAGGGCACGAGCGTGTGTGGTGGTCCGTTCTGGGGTGCCTCGCCGCTATCTGGTTAAGTGTGGGCTAACCAGCTGTCTGCCTCTGTCTGTCTTCCTTCCTTCGCTCGACTACTCGCACCAAGCAATTGGCACCCATCGGTTGGCCTGGATAGAATGTATGTGTGTATGTATGTATCGCGATGATGGTTCGATGGTGCGAAACGCAGGGATGTGTCATGAATCCTGGACTTTTTCAATCGCCTTGATGAATGAAGAAGGAGAAAGCGCTCGGTTATGGTATTAAAGGTAATAATAGTAACAAGAAGATGAAGAAGAAGACGATGACGACGCTGGCAACGCGGAGAATCAAAAATGGGCGCGAATATCCTTGTAAGAAAGCAGAGCGGACGACGGCTGGGACAAGAGTTGGAGGAGTCCCTCAGAGGAGGTCCTTAGGACGGACATTGAGTTGCGGAGGAGGGACTGTGGTCGGCCTGGCCTGTAGAGGTCCAGCACGGTGAGGAACCAGCACGCGATTTGGACGAGGAGAAGAAGCGAGATGCAGACGCGGAAAGACGAGGTTTTGGACATGATGAGATGACTTTTATGACGTGAGAATAGGATGAATATTTTTGCAAAATTGGAGTTGAGCGAAGGGTCAATTGAGAATGCGAGGATGGTATGTATAGTGTTCCTAATGAACGGCGGTAAGGTTGCTGAGGAAGAGGAACAGCGGTCAGGAATCAGGATAAAGTAGCCTGTTCATAAGAGGCGGTGGTGCCGTACCACGAAGTAAATTTGTACATGAAGGAAAAGTTGACAGGTTAGCGAAATCTTGTTCAGGATATGTGGAGTTGTTACACGACACTGTGCATGAAAGTTGTCCTCTTTGAGTGCTGGATCGGCACAGGAGGCAAAGCCGGGGGGTTGGCAGTTGGGTTGGTTCATCAACGGTAAAAGTGACGGAATAATCGATAGATGGCATGTTTCGCCCACGTGGACACTTTTATGTATTTTAGGACTGTTTCCCATATGTCCGGTTATTGAGTAGTGTTGTTTTAGTAACTCCTAGGAAATGGTACATTATAGTACACAGTGTTCCGTAGACGGAAGATGAGACGAGAGAGTGACAGAGGGAGAGTCACCGAGTGTGGGTGGGTGTGACAGTGTGTGAGAGGGGAAAAGAGAGAGAAAGAGGCCGAAGCATCTGTGGCTAGATGGGACAGTTAATGCTTAGAGACGCTAAGCTCATCCACTAAACCGGATTGGGACTGGATACTATCAAGATGCAGGGTCCAGATCTTTTGGAACCTCGTCTCGTCTCGTCTCGTCTCGTTGGCCTCGTCCCTCCATCAAACACAAATACGAAATGGAAACAGACTTTGAATCCTTCTCATCATCCTTCCTTCCATCCATTCATCCTCTTCATCAATTCCCTCGCCAATTCTGCCATCAATTACATCTTCATCTCTCATGGTTGGGCAGGTCACCATTACTCACAGGTGGGCGTAATTGACGCAATCAACAGTACCTACATCCCCCAGTAATAATGTTCTGGAATCCCCAACACCCACACATGGGCGTAGAGGCGTAGATTCAGTAGAGGCAGATAGGTGGATTATCTCACTACTACCGAGTCCCGTACTCTTAGCGCTGGTGTTCCTCAGCTTCCCTAATCGATTACAATGTCGTGCTCAGTTTAGCGTCGCCGTACCTATCGTTCTTCTGGGACGACATCCGGGCCTGTGAATCCTTTTGTCCTGATCCGTACAAGGTTCGTGATAGGCATGTCACCGCCATACATATACTTGTAATCGTGGGACGGGGCCTTTCTCCGGCGCCTTGATGACCAGACAATTCTCTTTCTGGCAATGCGCAGCGCGCGCAAATGGGAACACACTCTCGTTTGATTGCTTTTGGATGTCATCTCACAATGCAACTCATGTCTGCTACCTCCCAATGGCCCAGCCAGGATTCCATCATCCGGCTCTGCTAATCTCAATTTAGTGCCCACGGCGGCTCTGCCCATGTGCACAATAGTACCAGTTGCCTTTTGTGGGTAGAGCGCTCCCGTGTGGCGGTAGTCTACAGGAACGGCCCAAAGATACGGACTAGGTACACACGATGGGTCTGGGGAAGTCGTTTGTATCTTGAGGGTCGAGACCACCCGTTTACCTGCCTTCATCGTGATTAGCTTGCTCTGTTCTGGGGTCTTAATCGTCGCGCTCCCCGGATAGGTACTTTTATATACCTCCCTTAAGGCGTTCCTTTCCTCTTCACAAAGCCTGTTCTTCTTTGCCTTGTCCTGAGTCTGCCTTATCCTCAGTCTACATACCTACACAATGTCCATATAAAAGCATCTCAGTTGTTCTATCTTTCCCTCAGTCCATCATCCCTCAGTCCCTCAGCCCTTCGAACCTCAATCCCAGCCATATACGCTTCACTATCACCATGGAGGACACTAAACAGCAACAACCTCCTCAGCAGAGGATCATACTGGACCGCTCAATTTCCTCGACGTCCACGATCGTAACGCTCTCACCTCTCTCGGAGAAGGAGAAAGAGTCTTGCATTGTTGTAGAGACTCAGATCTCAAGTGTCGACTCAGACGAGGAGCTGGATGCGCAAGGAACGCCAAAATCGCGCCATCCACGATTGCAAAAGTTGGCGGGTTTTGCAAAGCTAAAGAGCTTGTGGACGCCATCAAGTACAGATGAGGAGTCCCAGACGAACTCCAGGCGATTCATCATTACCCGACGGTGGCTGATCATCCTCGCGGCTCTGATCTCCTTTGGCATCATCGCAGGACTGTAAGCCTCTAACCCACAATCACGTATACTGTGTACATACTGACATTTTTATACAGAACCTATGTTGCCTTTGTAGCGTCGTTGATCCGACGGCTCAACCCTCCGCAGCCATCTAATGGTCTCCAACGCATCCTAAAGGACTGGAAGGAGCCCACTGCCGAAGGTGCCTACACGTTCGACTGGATGGATGATTTTAGCCGCGACATTGTGCCCAAGAACTGCCACTCGCACAATGACTATTGGCGCTCCGTTCCTTTGTACGAGGCTCTTGCAGCTGGCTGCTCGAGCGTCGAAGCAGACGTCTGGCTCACAGAAGACAGTGACTTCCTCGTCAGCCATACCCGGAAGCAGGCCGCGAAAGAACGAACACTGAACAGTCTTTTCCTAGACCCCATCACCAACATCTTCAACCAGCGAAATGTCTCCGTAGCGTCGACTGAAGATAAGGAAGTGGGAATGTTCGACGTGGATCCGAACGTGACCACCACGTTGCTCATCGACATGAAGGCCGACGGACAAAAAGCATTCCCTGTGTTGCTCGAGAAACTACGACCTCTCCACGAGAAGGGCTGGCTCACATATTTCGACGGCACCAAAGTTGTGCGTGGCCCCCTGACCATTGTCGGGTCTGGCAGGACACCGTTCGATCTCGTTAAAGCCATGGACAACGACCGCTTTGTATTCTTCGACGCGCCCTTGAGCGACATCGCGAACCCGGAGTACACGACCGAGAACTCCTACTACGCCAGCACGAAGCTCTACAATGCGATTGGGCGTATCTGGTTCAATGTGCTCGCTCCGAACCAGGTCGAGACGTTGAAGACGCAGATCAAGGCCGCTGCGGACAAAGGCCTTGTCTCCCGTTACTGGGACTTGCCTGCGTGGCCCATCTCGCTGCGAGACAAGGTATGGTTTACGCTCACGGCGAACAGTGTCGGCGTGCTGAATGTCGATGATCTTGTCAGCGCAACGCGCTGGAACTGGAACTGGTGCATTGTCGCGGGCATTCGACTTTGCGGTAACAGTTAGCTGAAGTCATCACGCAAAGTTTATGATGGATTAGGTGGAGGACGGCGTTTCTTGGGGATGGGGATATACCATTTGTTTTTAGCATTTCAGCGATCCTGATTTTGTTCATGTCACGTAACGATTTCCTCTATGCAATCTATAGAAAATAGATGAGACGAAATGCAACTTGTACCATGATTGCCCAGACCGATCCTATCTACCGCAAATGAAAATCCAGCAACCCAGTACCTGGCGTATGGTTTCATCGCCAAGGTGATGATCGGCATGTACATGTACTCTATTCGTAGGGCTGAGGACCAGAACGACCCAAAGTGAGCAACCATGACGCTAATGATACAACATCCCCGCGGCCACCAGAACTCTCCCACTTCCCTTCCACACCACCCAGACAAGAACACATACCATGTCCACAGATATGCAAATAAATCCCCAGCGAGCGAAACAGCTCGCAGAGAACCTAGCCAGCATATCCTCGCGCGTCAATGCAGCTAGCAAGTCTGGAAAGAAGGTCAGTTGTTCCATCCACACACAGTCGCTCATCCATCCCGACATCACCATTACACAACAAGAAAAAGAGCTCTATACCTCGACCCACCACCACCCCAAACCCTCCAATATACCATATCAATTTTTCTAACCACTCAACCCCCCCCAAAACAGATCCGCCTAATCGCCGTCTCGAAGCTCAAGCCCGCAACCGACATCCTCTCCCTCCACCAACCACCACCACCGCAATCGCCCTCCTCCGCCTCCGCCTCCGCCTCCCCCTCCCCACAACCACACTCCCACTTCGGCGAAAACTATGTCCAGGAGCTCCTCGAGAAATCCCGCATCCTGCCCCGCTCGATACGCTGGCACATGATCGGTGGCCTCCAGTCGAACAAGTGCAAGCAACTCGCGGAGCAGATCCCGAACCTCTGGTGCGTGAGCAGCGTGGACAGCGAGAAGAAAGCCAACGAACTCGAGAAGGGGCGGAAAGCCCTCGCGCTCGCCTCCCCCCAAGAGGAGCAATTGAGGATCATGGTGCAGGTGAACACGAGCGGAGAGGAGAACAAGTCTGGTGTCGAGCCCGAGGACGCGCTGGCGCTGTGCAGACACGTCGTGGATAAGTGTCCGCACTTGCGGCTCACGGGGCTGATGACGATCGGTGCGATTGCGAGGAGTAAGGCGACGACGGAGGAGAATGAGAATGAGGATTTTGTGAGGTTGAGGGAGACGAGGGATCGGGTTGCTAAGGAGCTGGGGTGGGAGGAGGGGAGGCTGGAGTTGAGTATGGGGATGAGTGCGGACTTTGAGGGTGCGATTGCGCAGGGGAGTGATGAGGTGAGGGTGGGTAGTGATATCTTTGGGGAGAGGCCTGCGAAGAAGGATGCTGTGATATAGAATCGAGAATGGTAGCCGTCTCGAGAGTGACTATGGCGTATAGAACGATTCTCCAGCGCCGAAGGTCCAGAACGGCGGTTCATTGCTATGCTGATACTAACGGTGAAGCACTCTCACGTCAAAGATCTGTTTAGGTAGGTTAAATGAACTGTGCACGTGGAAATATTGGTACATTCTATTTACATTTACACCCCCTCCTCATCTCAAGCTCTTGCCTTGATGAGATCTGCCGCCTTCTCTCCCACGGCGTACATAGTAGCTTGAATATGCGTCGCGGGGATCAATGGTAAAATGCTAGCATCCACGACGCTCAAGTTCTCGACTCCGTACACCAACAAGTCGCTGCCCACAACGCCGCCAAAGTTCTCGGGCAACATGCTGCAGGTTCCCGACATGTGCGCGAACGAAGGCATGAGCAGACCACCTCCAATCAACGCATTGAGGATCTCCTCGTCGGACTGTGCCGCCGCGCCGGGCACCAATTCCGTCGGGGAGAAGACGGACAGGACTTCGTTCTTCCAGTGGCGCCTCGTCCACTGGATCATCGTGAGCATCAGCTTCTTGTCGATCGGGTTCTGGAACGAGTTGAAGTGCACGACGGGGTTTCCATTCTTGTTCGCTGCGTCGAGAGTGACGCTGCCTCGGGAGAACGGGCGCTGCAGGGCGTTGACGGCGAAGCCGGATGGTCCCATGGGGAACTCGCCTACGGCGGCATCCTCGCCTGAAAGCATTTCTGCGAGGATGGCTTTCTGGGCCTCGTATCCCCTGAGCAGGTTCTCGTCGGCGTATGCGGCGGGCAAGAAGTCCTGCGATGTCTGGCTCGTGACTTCGTTGACGATGGTTTGGGAGTTGTTGCTGATGTGCTTCAGGGCCAGGAATGCAAGGCTGTTTCCGTGTGCGTTGGTGTATGGGCCCGTCTTGTTGACGACGTATTCTTCCCACGCCGTCGCGTTGAAGGTTGCGTTCTCGGCTAAGCTGTTGGGGTTGGGGAAGGAGAGGTTCTTGAGGTCGAAGATCATGAATGCGGTGGGGTGGTCTTGGAGACCGGCACCGACTGCAGGGAAATCTTTCTTTACTTCGACGCCCGCGGCTTCGAGGACATTCTTGGGCCCGATACCGCTGAGCTGGAGTAGCTGTGGGGTGAAGACGGCGCCGGCAGCGAGGATGACTTCCTTCTTGGCCCAGACTTTGGAGGTGACGTTAGATGAAGAGGCAGTGAATTGGACTCCTTTGGCGGAGAGTCCGTCGAAGAGGATCTCGTTGACCTTGTGGCCTGTCACAAGGTGGAGGTTGGAGCGAGTCTGGATAGGATCGTAGTAAGCGTTGCGAGCGTGAGATCGTGTTTGCGTCTTGGGTTCGAGTGCTGTAGGGATCCAGAATCCACCTTTGCAGTGTCAGTAACCTTTCAAATGTATAATGACAGAATACACATACCGACTGCGTTTCCAGAAGCATGTTCGATGGGCAGAGGAACATTCTCTTTCCTGAACGAATCCCAGATAGTCTTTGTGTCTGGGTATTCGAAGTTCGGCATGGAGGCTTGCAATGGGCCATCTGTGCCGTAGAAGGAGGCATCAAAGGTAATGTTGAATTCCTCAATCAACGAATCCATAGGTGGGGTCCATGTTGTTGACTTCTTGAAGTAGTGGAGTAGACTCTCCCATCCCCAGCCTTCATTACCCAGCTTCTCCCAAGCATCGTAGTCGGCGGCTGCAGCCCGATCAAAAGCCATGCCATTGACAACAGAACCTCCACCCACTACGTTGCCGACAGTAACGAGGAAGGAAGCATTTCCCAATTGAGCCTCGGGCGCAGATTGGATATCGTACATGAGAGCATTGTTGTTGCTGTTCGCGGACTGGGGAATCAGAGTTGCGGGATCATTATTGATTTCTCCATTCTCAATGACAAGAACGGTGTCTATAGCCTAATAAGAGATCGTCGAAGTTATATGAAAGCTAGTGAACATACGCGCTGGATTTTCGCTGAGGCGATTGGCTACCACCAAACCTGTGAGACCGCCACCGACAATCACGTAGTCGAAGGTCGCATTCTGGATGCCAGTTGAATTGTCAACACGCTTGTAGTATGGGAAAGCAACTGCGGTAGAGAGAAGAGAAGAGAAACAGATCAAGCTTTGGCGTACGGGACCCATGGTTGTGAATGTCAATGAATGGTTTCAAAAGAGTGACGTCTGTACAAGAAAATACAGAAATAAAAACGAAAGACTAGAGGAACTACGCCGATTGGAATAGAAGCTCTTGCTCTCCCCAAACCCACGGCAGCACTGTCCTAATTATACTGGCTGGGTACTAACATGACAAGCAGACCACCCTGGAGGGGGCATCTAGAAGCACTAGGAGGCGCAGGCATATTTTACTCAAATTGCGTCTGCCAAACACGTGGAGCAGACGCTAGATAGGACGTAGATGACATGCTTGATGGGCTACAAGGTGAGCATGCTCTGATTGAGTATCGCCCGAGCATCGGAAGTACCTCACCGGCGTTCGCTAGCAGAGAAACGGCACGGTACTTGAGGAAGCGAGCGGAGCAATTGAACTGATGGAGGAGAAAAGTGGGGAGTGACATGAGGGACCAAATCATTTGAGTACCTAGGGGAAGGAGATGAGGATGTGATGCTTGGTGGTGATGTTTCGAGATCAAAGACTAGATGGAGTAAGGAAGGTCGAAGGAGGTGGAATTGGGCCAATGGGACGAGCCGCGCCATTCGCGGGACGTTAGCCGCGTGCACAACCATTCGCCTGGCTACAAACACTCCCTGGTATGAGACGACGTGTACCCGGCGCGCATTATTGGCCTCATGTTCCTTTCATGCTTTGCCCCGGTCTCATCTCGTATCTTGGGGCGGCAATGGGGCCCAGGACCGAAAATTAGGAGGTCGATCAATCGAGCAACACCACCAGTAGATCCCTTTAATTTATATTTCTGCCGCTGCTGACTAGGTACCTAGGTACCAACGTATAGTGAATGTTCGCCCCGTAGGAACGCGTGACAACGATTCTCCCGCCATTAACTGGTTCTACGGTTGAATTCAACAACGAGAATGATGCATACAGTCAAAGCACGTGGGGAAAAACAACGACACCTTGATAGAAATGGCCATCAATGGCGTGAGATTAGACTGTACTCTTTTGGAAGGCCACGGACGCTCGGCAGCACAATGTCAATCATAGTCGCCCCGAACCGGGGACCGTGCCACTGTTCAAAACGTCAAACATCATGCAGATATTGATGCTAGCACCGCATTCACCTAAACTCAGCAGCTTCGATACTCGCTTAGCTTGATCTATTCTTTCACTCCTTGGCCTATACTATACCCTAGGCTTGACGGGACCATAGCCGGCCATATAGATGACGACCTCGCCATCAATAGAACGGGTGGGGACATCTCGCGTATCCAAGGCCGCTGGATATAACCGACAGTAATAATTGAGTCAATGGCGGTGGTGAAGATGCAGATTGACACCCTCGACCGTCCAAGTAGTGTGAGATTCATGTATGCTCGCAATAGAATTCAGCCGCTCTGCACCGGTATCGCTATTTTTGCTGTACAGACATAGCTTTTCAACCATTCAAATGCATCGTAGAGACGAAACTCTGTCCATGGCTCCGTATATGCCCGCCGAACGAAATTAACTACTCCACACTAGGATAACAATGACACTTCCGCTTCTTCCCTCTCCGACTCCAACCAAGGTTCCACCGAATTACAATAGGGCGTAGTAATATATTGTCAGCCAAAATGCTGCCCGACAATGTCTGCAAAGTTATTGATATATGTTTACTCCACGAAACCTTCGATGCCCTGAGACAGCCGCTCCTCCATCGCTTTGACAAGCACAGGCGGTACAGCTTCGTCAGTGGCGCGAACAGTGATTCGGAACATCTAGTTATGTCAGACATGATTATCTTTGTCCAGCAATGGCTGTAACGTACCTGTGTATCGAAGTTGGGTTCTAATCTCAGCAGACACCCGAACTTGCCGCCCTCGCTTGTGTGCAACACCGTAGCTCCGACAATGTTCTTTCCGTTAGGATCGACACCATCCAAGATACCCCATTTGAAGCCTTTGACCACTCTTCGCACATACTCCATGTTCATGGTTCGGTTCCTATCTACAAGGCCGAAAATGGCTTGAGCCTCGCGAGGTTCACCGCCAATCTGCTTCCAGCGCTTGAAGAAATCCTCGGCACTGAGCTCAGCAGAATCCATGTACTTGTGGAGGACAACAGGCAGTTGGAGAGTAAGAGCCTGGAGGGCACCAGCGAGGTAAGAGATACGGACTGTGGGAGGTACCGTGAATATGTTCTTAGCTTCAAACATAATCGTCTGAGTTGTCTGGCCTTCAGGAGGGATGGATGTATCAGGCAAGCCCTTGATATCAGACTTCAGAGTCTCGGCAGATTGGTTGTCAAGAGTAGTCGTAAACGAGCCCATGGGGAAAGAGGACCGATTGCTGAAGTAGAAGATCACACAACCCAGTTGTCCTCTGTATTCGGTCCGTAGACCAATCTGAATTTGCGCATCTTCATATAGGATGCCCTCAGCCCTGAGCAGAAGACGTTGGTAGCCAGTCTCCCAGTCTGGACTCAAGTGAGCAGCACTGGCAAGATTGGGGGCCTTCAGAACCTTGTTTGTATCGATGCTCAAGTCCAATCCAGCAAGATCGTTGGCTATTGATGTTGTACCATTCGTACCCTTGGTGCCAGTTGGCGAGGCTGGCGAATGGCCAGTGCCAGCATTCGTGAAACTTCGTTTCAGGCCAGTTGCCTGGCGTGCCAAGCCCAACTCTTCGGTGTTAGCATCGCGGCCTCCGACGATCCAGGTTCGCTTGTCACTTGTGGTGGCATGCTTCTGGTGAAGTCTAGAAAGCAGGGCAGACGCTCTTTCCGGGAAAGGCGGCATCTCGTCGCAAACACCCCTTAACAAATCGTCGGTCGGCTGTGTGGCGAGAGCCAGATACTCGCACGCTCTTTGTTGTAATTCGGGATCCAGGGAGTGGCTGTATGCGCGGAAGGTCTGTAGTAGTTGCGGTTTGATTTCTGGGAACAGATTCACAAACTTGATAAAGGACGACAGAATGATAGCTCGCGTTGTTGACGAACAGCCTCGCATCTTGCCGTTGAGAGCCATGTACTGCTCGATTGGCGAGCAGCCTTTACTATCGGCGATCAGATGTCCGAATTCTCCAAGTAGATATCCTCCAATCTTCACAAGCGTTTCGTGACAGTCGTTCTTAACGTATTGAAGGATGTTCTGGGCGGCATATACTTGTAGCTCCTCGTTGTTCGTTACAATTTGGATAACTCGTTGCCAGACTTCATCACTGACGTGGTCGCCTGCCATGGCAATGAGCCGCAGCGATATGTCGACATACCATTGGACGTCAGTCGCATACTTCTCGGTGAGAATGGCAATCTTGAGTACCATCTCTTCCCGGATCGCATAATCGGCGGATTGGAGGTACCTCAGCAATTCGTTGACAATAGCTTGAGCATTCGTAGGATCACACATGCTGTAAAGAAGATCAAGACCCTGTCTTCTCACACTAATGTCTCGATCCCTCAAGGAGCCAATGATAATGCTCTGGTGCTTCTTGATAGGATCCAATGTTTCTGAACGAGCTGCAAGATGCGTCATTGCCTCTAGGCCGAGATATCGAACGTTCGTTTCGCGGGATGCGATGTATTTTCCCAGGCGCGTCGATATCTGAACCATGAGATCCTGTTCTGTGTCGAGATGAATGACAAGGTTGATGGCTTCGAACAACACTGCGTTTTGTGCATTATTTTGCTGCACATTCTTCGGAATATCCATCGCAGAATCCATAATCTTCTGCAGTGCCTCGCGGATGAGTTTTCGGATATGCGAATCCTCTGATCTAATTAATTTCGAGAGAACTTTCGGTATTAGAATCAAATATACGTACCAGGTGGAGGATAGTATTGAAGTAGCCTCAGAAGCTTCACTTGCATCCAGGGGCACGGAACTTTGTAGTAGAAGTAGCCTTCGGAGCATTCGGCATCGACGACTATCCTTTTGAGTCTGTTTGCGGCCTTGACATAGCTGCCTTTGTATTGCTCCTGGTTATCTTGGACGAGTGCCATGACGAGGGACGTCACCGACAATGCGACACCCATATCCGGATCATCCATCAACGAAATAATTCGCTCAGCCCATTCATTCTGAACAATGCCAGGGTACTTCCGGTATAGGCGGAGGAGCGTCAATGCTGCTTTCTTCTTGACAAAGGCTTTGGATGCCCTAATACACGTTAGTTGGGCAATTGTGTTTGTCCTCTGGCTGTACTGACGGGGATATCAAGAGTCGATGCACATCTCCGCTAATAGCCTCTCCCATCTCTTTGCCACCCACATTGGCGATGGCGTGTAGCGCAAGGCAGTTATTGAGTTCATTGTGATCCAGCAGGTCCTTGCGAATACTGTTCACAACCAGGTGCAGGAGCTCGTGCTCTTCATGCAAAAACAATGTGACGGCAAGATAACCGATCTGCTTCTCCGAGTATTTGGTGGCTGAGATGAGATTAACAGCTTCGAGATGTCCGAAATCGACGTTCCAGCCGAGAATGTATATATACAGAAGCTTCTCAGATTAGAATTACGCCATTCGAGGTCTTCGTGGAGTTTGGTATACCTTGCAAACGTATTTCTTTCTCGAATATCCATTCAATCCTCCATCGCGGAATTTTTGTCGAATGTTCGCCAATTCCTTATTGATTCTCTTCTCCTCCAATTCTCGAGCCCTTGCGTTTCTCAAGTCGGCAATGAAGGACACAAGGCCTCTCATTGTGGGCACATTGCCCGAATCCTTACGGCTGAACAGCCCTCCGCCAGCCCCTGACGCCATTTTGGAGGTTGTAGATGTCGATATTCTGATTGCGGGGCGGCTCCCGCCTGGTTTCTAACCTGACAAAACGTGTATGCGATATAACTTTCGGTGGTGGGGGCGACTGTTACTCGACCATGGAATAAATCAGGGGAACGCAGCGATCGCGGTGTGGAGGCGGTGGGGAGTCGCGGCGGAGCTCGGAGGACAACGGAATCTAGGATGACCTTGATATCAAATACATGAAATCGAGAGGGATGGGTGACCGAAGCTCTCAGTCACGAAGTGAACTGCAGCTGGCCTTCTTGCAGCTGTATGCTGTATGGCTGGCGGAAGTGCACCCTGCGCGGGAACGTGGTGGAGGTTGTGCTTGGCGGGAAAGCCATCCGCGCTAAAGGGTCTTCCAGTCCGTCTAAACTCCGTTTGGTAACGACAATCCATGCTTTGATGAAGTTCACTCCGCTACCCGCAAACCCACAAGTCTACAACCCCCGAAGCACTAAAACTTTAGTTCGTTCGAACTCAAATGGTACCTCGACGGCATGCATCATATTATGGATCAAACTTGAAAAGAAAACCAGAGATGAGGTCCTTCACAGAGCCTCATACCATGTGTCGCCACAGAAAGATCACAATTCTGCCTAAGATTCAAATGCAAGCATTGATACATTTCACTCTAGATTCAAGCGGTTGTTGCATTCGATTTCATTTTCCTATTTGGATGAATTGATTATCATTGCATTCGAATCCCTTGACATCTTCAGTGGGCAATTCAAGCTCCTGAATTTCAAGATGATCATGCAGAATACCCATAACGCCAGTCCCACGCCGCCGATGCTAACACGTTCCCGAAGACTACTCCATTGCAGAGATGCAGATAGAAATTAATCTATTTCTTGGTGGTGAAGTCGGTCTCGAGAGAAGACTCGGCATTGCTGCTGGTGCGACCGCAAGTGCACGAACCTTTGACATGGTTAGTACTGCATCGTTCAAGTACATCCTAAGTTTAGCAGGAATCCATACCCTCAGCGCGCTTTCCGCACACACAAGTGCTGGCTGGGAGCTTGTTCTCAGTAGCAGATTTAGTGCAATCTAGTTACGTCATTAGCATCCAGCTTCAGTTGTTTCATCATGGTCAAAACATACTGCACTGGAGAGCTGGCTGCTTGCCGCAAGAGCAGGTTGCCTCCTTGGCACATACGCACTCGCCAGTGGTTTGTCGTCCGCAGCAAGTCATGGTGAAAGTAGTCTTTGAAAGAGACAGTTGATACCCAAAGGTAAGAGTGGATAGGCGCGATGTAGAGAGAATGTTGAAGATTGAGTGAAGTACTTTAAGGTACTTTATGATTGTTGGTTGTTGATGGGATTGAGAGGATTGAAGAAGAAAACTTCGAGAGAGAAGAGCCTCCTCTTTATATTCATTTTGACTTCATCTTTCACTGGTTCTTCCAATACCGGACAGCTGGAGCATCGATGCTGATTTGGTCACGTGGCCGCCTTCAGCAGCCAATCACAGCAATTCGATTTCCAATAATGTGCAACAATCGCCCCCCGAGAAGCTCGGAACACCACCGTGATGATTCACGTTAATTGCCATGTTTTCTATTTGCTCGTTGGTTATCTGGCATTGCTGTAGTAAGATAATCCTTCCCGTTTGTATGCATCGGTGGAGTGAGGCTACCTCGTAAATGTGGCGTCGTGCAACCTTCCGTGCATAAATCGTCATCTGGAACATTTACTCTGCATGCAGGCACATACATATCAGGTGATGAAAGCATAGCAAGAGATCCCCGCCATTTCTTCGTGTTCATAACAATAACTTTTGGTAATTCCTGTCTGGTTATCGATATACCAGGTACCGACTAAAATCTAAGACTATGGAGTTTCGATCTTGCTAGCTAGCTCGCCCTGAAGAGAGCCTATTTTATCTTTCCAAGAGATTTCCACCAGTTCTCCCTAAGGTATTATTAGCTATGTTCAATCGGGTTTTTTATTCGTCCGAGGACAACACTTACTCCATTGTTCGTAAGTCCATGCAGAAGCACAAGTGCATTCTGATGATCCCTTCTCAAGCCTTCTGCCTGACTACCCTCACCCTTTCCTTCCAGAACGAATTCCTTGAGAGCATCGAAGAGCCCTTCGTCGGCATTGAACTCTTCTATCACAAGGCGGGCACCATCTTCGGTCTGCGCCAAAAGCCCTAGGCCCAGAAGTCCCTCGGACCGAGCTTCTGCGAAAAATCGTTGACGAACGAGTCTTGCTACTGGTCGTGCCAGAAGCGGTGTTTGGAATACTTGACTTGTGATTGCCTCAAGGTTGTCGTTTGAGGTCTGATTCTGCCTGAGAAATCTTAATATGGCCACAATAGTCCGTCCGATCTCGATCATCGCATTCTTCATTGATGTACTGGGAACTGGTCCTGAGGGGACAAGAGCTTGACTGGCGACGTGGTATAGAATTGTCGTTGGCGATGGAACTTCCACATCACCAACCTTTGCCGGGACGATGTCCTCAGGAAGAGCCATGGTCACTACTTTTGTGATGTTTTCCACATTGTTAGAGACAAGCTTTCCCAGAATCGCAGCCGCCTCGCCCCGAGTGGATGGGTCCGCGATGACAAGAAGACGGCAGCAGGTCTCAATAAAGCCAACTTCTGCAAGTACTGCCCGATTCAGTTCCGGGTAGGCTAAATGCCGTACGAAGCCAGCGGCTGCATAAGTCAGCGCAGGCGGTTCTGGGGAGTCGAGCAGTTCAAGCAGGGGAACGTGCAATTCCTCGTCTTTGACCATCGATATGCAGGTTGCGTCGGACGTAGCGAGGTTTCCAAGCATGACACAGGCGCACACTGCCGAAGGCAATGCTGGTGACCGACGTAATTGGGTGCTTAGCCTGCGGAGCATTGGGCTTTGGACACTGAAATTGCTGACAAACGAATCCGACGCTGATATTGCAGATAATGAGTTCACCAACTGTACCATCAGAACAACCTCAGCTTCACGGTCAGACTCTTCTTCGGGATCGGTGTGCACGCTTAGGCTTTGAAAAACATCCGATATCTCATCGGGCTCAAGTCGCCCTTCGTAGTCAAACAGTAACTCAACCAATTGGTTGATCGTACCAGGTTTGGTAAGCTTTTGGTGAAATGTCGGAAATTGGAGATAATGCGCCAGAACAGCGACTTGATCGTGATAGTTGTCCTCGTCGTACTGAAGCGTGACCTTCAGAAGGTCTTCGAAAGTTTCCACGGACACATCATCTTCAACTTGCGTGGTCGTGAGCTTCTCTGTAGTCCACCCGATTAGATCAGTGGCATAATCTGTAGCCTCTTCTGGAATTTTGCCTAATGCCAGCAGTTTCGCGACGATGCTGTCGAGTCTGACTGTAGCAGCCTGAGTTTGCGCCGCATCTGTCTAAGTTAATGAGTGGCATACAATGGCACATGTATCTTTACATACCATACTCGTTGCAAAGATTCAAAAGTACTGCAAGAGCAGTCACGGTCAGCGGCGGTTGGCCCAGAAAGCCGACAAGAGCGTCGAACTTGGACAATACTAGCTCTCTGATCTCATCTTGCGAGTCTGTTAGTCTAGTCGCAAGCTGAAAGGACTCAGGCGTACCATTATCAGCAACAGAATTACCAACCACCCTTAGATATTGTTTTGCTAACGCTGTAGCTGTAGATGCGGGATTGAGTTGTTGCAAAATGTAGTCCAGAATGCCGGACGACCGATACGGTTTCTGCCATGCTCCTGGTCACAGTTATGATTCGATCTGCTCATCCTGGTTCCATAGTTGGTGCCTTACGTTGCGTCCCTACAGCGGTTCCGAGAAGCTGAATAGCATTTTCAGCAGACTCAAGATCCTCCTGCTTGATGAAACCATCTACAAGGCCAACTACTTCGCTTAGATGATGGCCATCATTAGCAGGATCCTGTTCGAGGTATGTTGTAAGTTCGCCTATAAACTGCTTGGCATTACTGCTGAAATAGGGCATTTTGGGTGTAAGAAGGTAGATCCGGCTGCGCTCCGCTAGTCTCTCACTGATATTTAAGGAAACATCTTGATATTCTAATCAAAGTCAAAGATGAGAAATTTCGGATAGGCGTGATATTCTCCAGAGCTTATTTTCAGGTTGCAATAACGGTCTAACCTTGCATGGAAATATTGTCGACTTTGGAGCCCAACGAATGGATTCTGCAAGGTCGAGACCGGATTTTCGGCGTTGCAGTGCTGCAAGATGCTTGCATGTAGCTATACCTAATTCAATGGGTGAGTGTGAAATCGCATCAGCAAGGTAGCATTGCTGTTTATGAACGGCTCGGACCGTTCAGGTAGCGAAGCGGGTGATCACGTGTGCTGGCTAATGATGGGCAATACGGTTCTTGGCATGTTCTGTCTCTCAAAAGCTCAACGTACACGACAACAGTGGGGAAACGAAGCAATACACACTCCTTTAGATTTCCATTGTTTACGATCGAATCAGCTCGAACCGGCAAGATGACACGCGCTCAGCAAACCATTTCCATTGCTCTCCTCCTCTCTTCTGTTAGTCGCTATTCCTAGGCTTCTCCGTTCATCATCCCTGACTGTTTGCAGCTATACCTGGCCGTATTCCTCGAGATCGTCTCTTTGCCCGAAAAGATTCAGACTGAGATAATTCCTGTGGTTAGTAATATTCGTTTTGCATGAAACGATCTTGCTAAAGATATTGCCAGATCCCGTTCTGGGCTCTCGTGTCCTTTGGTTCATACCTCCTATTCAAGCTCGGCTTGGGTGTTTTCACCTTCAACGATGTCCCCGAGGCGTACAAGGAATTGATGGCAGAAATTCAGGAGGCACGAACTGATCTGCGTGCCAAGGGTGTTGATGTCGGAGAAGATTGAGGATTCAAACAATTGGCGTGGTGATATACAGAGGCGTGGCGGCATCAACCATCGCGCCCGGTTCAATGATCACGCACTAAGCTCGACGGGTTCTGGAGGTTGCGATTACGGTCAGAGGCAATTAGCCCTGTCATTTCTCCTGTACAGCACCATCTCTTCTTGTCCAGCGATCTATGCGTATGTTTGCTCTTGAGGCGGAATATAACGTTCTAATTACTGAGGGCCTGTTCCTCTTGGTGCTTCTGCCGTAGCTTCTTCTCTGTTCTCATGAACTCTCTAATACCCACTGGGATATCATCAAATAGTTTATCCTGCGATACTTCCGGCGCCCAATTGGTCTCACTGCCACCTCCATCATCGTCCATGCTTATAAGCACGTGTGAAGGTGCTCCAACCTTGACGTTCTTAGCACCGGTCTGCTTTTCCTTTCTCTGGGCCTGCAAGGCCAGGCGTGCTTCCGCACTCTTAGCAGCCCATTCCTCCATGTCGTCGCGGTACATATCCCAAACACAGTTCACACACCCTGACATGCAGCAATTGTCTGGCTCGGTCGGCCGTGGTGGCACTAACACCCCCGCGATCTCCTGTGATTTTGCGTCGATCGCCGCCTTACGTTCTCCTGGCCCTGCGAGCTTCGATCCGAATACGATACGGGCTTTTTCTATAGTCTCTTCTTTCGTAGTCTTAGGAAGTGACTCAGGCAATGGTGGTTCCGGGACTGTGCGGGTCGCGGGTGCTACGCTTCTCAACGGATTGTACAGAAGTTCTATGGTGCAGTTCAGTATGAATGCTTCTTCTATCCACAAGCTCTTGCCACTATGTAGTGATGACAAACCTGCATAGAAACCAGTGATCGGCCTGGCTTGTTCGCCAGGAGCAGCAATATAACCCTTGTATCGGCGCTGTATCCGATTACTTCCCTGTAGTCCCATTCTTTGAGTTCTTGTGGGAGCCAGACTTTGGCTCCATTGTTTGTAACATGAAGCGCACAGTTGGCGGCGCAAATCTAACGGCAGAGCGGAAGGCATAATTCTAGGTGTGACTGGCGGTTGGTGGAAGTGGGTATATAGCTGTGAAAGAGCGACTCAAAAAAAATAGTGTTTGAACTTTAAAGCATGTTTTCGTGCGTCAAGTCTAGAACAAGTGCGATCAGGCAATGGGAGTGTGACTGAGGAGGAACGGGTTCTAGTGAGGTGGGTGAACGGCAAAGATATTGGCAATATGAAGTCATTCTCTCTTCCTTGGTCGGCAAAAATTACCCCCCAAATCCCGACCCTCGGCCTTCGCATCAGCACCACGCGAAACACCCAGGACGCGTCAAACACCACCCCCATTTGTACCACCAAATTACAGATACCACTACAAAGAGCTTTACAGACACCAATGCGTTCCTTGGAATTTCGCATGTCCGCGACACGTCTGAGGACCTGAAAATCTGCTTTCGACTTTGTCAAACCATAAAGAAATTGCGACCACCATGGATCAGCCTGCAAGAAAGAGAAGGAAGACAGCCTCGCCAGGGCAATCGGAGCGCGAATCGAGTCCACTGAAGAAACCTCCCCGCCGACCATCTTTTGCGTCGCCTACGAAAGCGAGCATTTCCCGCTTCAATCCGAGCCTCCTCCCCGCGCGTGCCACATCGCCTGGCAAAGCAGCATCTAGACCAAGTAGTCGCGGCGAGATCTTGAACAGAGGGAAAAGAGCGCGTGATTTTATCTTGGGAGGGAATGAATCTCAGGAGGAATCTGCACAGGGTATCAGACAATCAATTGCTGGCGCAAACGAACGCGCGAATGCGCCGGGAGATCTCACACCTCGCGCGCACCGAATCACACGTACTGGAGATACAACCAAGGGCCGCGACAGAGCTTTGATAAATGAGGATGAGGACCTACCATCTTCGCCTGCCCGGCAGGTGGAGAGTGAGGATCGACCGCGTCGTGGCGTTCTCTTTTCATCTCCAAGCAAACGACCGACGCGGAAACGGCAATTTGGCAAGGCTGTGCCACAGGGCATTGATTCACAAGCAGCTACTCCATTACCCAGGTCCTCCCCGGTTGTAGAGGGTTCCAATGATGCATCTGTAGAGATGGAGGATACGAGGCAGGATGATACGGCTAAGGAGAGAACAACGCCAGATCCTGAGGAAGAAAGCAGGAAGCATGAAAGAGAAACATTACTGCGCGAGTTGAAAGGCCTACAGGATGACATTGGCTGGTGTCGGAACAAGATTGAGCGTTATCAGGAGTCGATCCCCGAAGTCATGGATCAAGCCGAGCGCGATGCTTTGATCTCCTTTATCAACAAACTGGACGAAGCACGCGACGAAGACGAGACATCGAAACCTCCCCTTGTCTCCGACCTTCTATCATCATTCCTCCCTTTTACCGCACAACCTGTATTGGCTCCGCCCCCTGACCCGGACTCAGAGCAACCAATCCCTTCTCACCAACCGGTGGACCTCGACAACCCTTTGCCATATCTCCAAATGTTCACGCCAATGACCATTACCCACCGGACGAAGCTTGCAGCTACATATAAGCCTGGCTCGGGGTCACAAACCGTATATCAAAAGCACGAAATCAACCTCGTAGGACCTTTGAAGCTGCTCAATGCGTCTATCGAGGCGACTGTAGATACTGCCACCCACACAGTCGCCAAGCTCCAGGTGACAGGCCTCTCACAATGGGCAGACCACGAACTCGGAACGTTCATACGCGAGAAGGCCCAATCGAAGGACATCAGCACGGCTTGCTGGGCGATTGGATCGTACTGGGAGATTGCCAAAAAGCGAGCTGAATACCGATACAAATGCGCGACCGCGTTCAAGCATCTCACGCCGGGAAATGCAGGCGAAGACACTGAAAACATGATATTGTCGAGTGCGAAACCGACATCGTCAAACATGTCGCGGAGGGATCTCAACAAGCACTTGGGTCGAGATGTAGTTGTGCTCGAAGACCGGCATATACTGCTGAAGATTACGTGGCGAATTGTGTTCGACTGTACAGGAGAAGCGGAGTCGGAAATCAACATCGAACCTGCTTTTCCTCGAGTTTGTAAGTTACTACTCTCGTATATCTCCTTCGTGGTCCCGGTTTTTAACGAATCAAACAGGGACAGAAACAGACGAAGGACAGAACTTGAAGATGGTGCCGAAGACATTCAATGCTCTGGTGCAACGGAGCGGCGTCTTCGAAGCAACGAAGACCATAGCGGCACTTCTCTTCTCCGAGTAGTCCTCGGAACTTGTTGAATCGAAAGAACTTTTTGGCAACATATCTTCAACACACTGCGACCCAGGATGGTTCAAGAGATGCACATTGTTACGAGAATAGGGACTGGAACTGGAACTGGGACATGGCGTTCATTTGATACCCCAAACACACGACGATTTATGACATTAGCTTCCACAACCTCAATTGATTTTGTATAACGAGACCTCCATCTCATATCTCCCTCTCATCGGCGTGAAGTCCATATCAGTATAAGATGGTCTGCGGACGAAGTCTACCACGCTTGCTACCTCCCCAATGAGTAAACCCCCGTCCGGTAAACCAATTCACCCCCATCAATAGCAACCCCTTGAGACAATGCCACTCCATCCAGTCACATTTCCAGTACCGCGCTCATCAAGGCAGCAGCACAGCTCTTGGCATCCCCGCTACCCGTCGCGCGCTACCGAAAGGGCGGAAGTGATGACTCCCAAACGTCTCCGTACCGAAACTCAGCCTCACGCCTCACAGCTAACAAGCCACCACGAAACATCGGGCTCGTCAACTTTTTCAGCTGGCAAAGCCAGTTCTTCGGTGATTGCTATGTCTTTTTGACAGAAAGTGCCCATTTTCTTTACGGCTAGAATTGCAAATAATACCCAGGACCACAGAAGAAGTGAATTCGGTTCAAGTTAGACAGGTAGGTTGACACGCACGTGCGGTAGAAGGGCGCATGTTGTTAGTCGGGACAATAGATAATTGACTCTTTCCCACGCGCAGAGACTCAACAAAAAGAACAACCAACTTCAACTTTGGAATACGACTATAACTATAACTATAACAACGACCCCTACATACAATCAATCATCAACTTTAATCCAAAAAAACACGACATCCTCAACAGCTTCCCCCACGATACCAGACATCACATCCAATGCAATCAAACACAATAGAAAGAACAACAGACAACCCAGCAACCTACCAACAATGCCACCGAAAGCCCACCTCCCAAAAAGACTCGCAGACCCCTCTACCACCACCACCATGCCATCGAAGAGAGTAACAACACGCTCCATGACCAGCACATCCCTCCGCCCACAAACCTCGACCACCACTGGCAGCGCATCGACCGCGAAATCCACAGTCAAGATGCCGAAAAACGTGGCGTCGAATTTGGCAGCAGCGGCGGCGGTGTCATCTTCCGCGGAGACGAAAGGGGAGCAGAAGGGAAAGGGAGAGGATGAGGGACCGATGTATTTCTGGCGGCCGCACGAGCGGTACGGGTACATGGGTCAGTGGTACGAGAGCGAGTGGGAGGTCGATGGGGCGACGTACGCGACGGCGGAGATGTGGATGATGGTTGGGAAGGCGAGGTTGTTTGGTGATGAGGTTAGTTTTACTTTCTAATCTCTTACAGCTTTTCCTTTCTCCTTTTTGGGAGTGGCGGGTTCTTTTGCGAGGGAGGGGTGACGAGGGTGCAATGGAGACTGACGAGAAGGATAGGACATTGCGAGACAAATACTATCGACGACAGATCCGAAGCTACACAGGGCGCTGGGTCGGCAGGTCGAGAGGTTCGACGAGAAGGTGTGGAATAAGGAGAAGTATCGGATCGTGGTGGAGGGGAACTATCTAAAGTTCACGAAGAGTAAAGATGCAGACGAGCTGAGGAAGATGCTGCTGGCTACTGGGGATAGGGAGCTGGTGGAGGCGAGTCCTAGGGATAGGATTTGGGGGATTGGGTTTGGGGAGAAGAATGCGGGGAAGAATAGGTGAGTATTCTTTGTGTTTTGAGGATTTCATTTGGTTAGTAGGAGAGATACTAATGTTCTGTGCGTTTGGATAGGTATCGATGGGGTCTGAATTTGTTAGGCAAGGCTCTTATGGATGTTAGGAAGAGACTGCGAGAGGAAGACACGGAGACGGAGAAAAAGCAGGGTGAGGTGACCGGACAATCGTAGCGGTCATGTCATCTTTCACAATGAAGAGTGGAAGTGTGCAGATACATCATTAGATTGTTTCAAAGGGTGATGAGAAGAGGAGATTCATTACTTAAATCATTGCAATAGTTGGGTATCGAACATTGGAAGTTAAAAGAATGGGTATCAGAGAATGAAATGTCATCAGAGAATGGAACAACATGTGAGCTTAGCAGGCGCGGAACGCCGCGGTGGGATGAAGTACGTATCGGAATCGATCCAAGGCCAAAACAGTAAATCAGGGTGATCTTGGGCGAGGCTCTGAGGCACTCTTTCTTCCAAATCATCGATGTCTTCGGGAAGCGGAAGAAGATTGCTGTGCGTTAGGTACTGTTTGAGACGGTTCTTCTCATTATCGATCCGCCGTGCAGTCCAGAGACGTACTTCGGGACTCATGCGGTGCTTGTTCTTCACAGTCCACGGCCGCAATCGTTTTTGGCGGGCACGCCCTGAACGAGTGAATATCAGATCCTGATCCATGTAGAGCGAAGCAACAGCGTCAAGCTCTTTGTCATAGACACGATGCTGGGCGGAGAAGTCATTGATGGGGCCAATCCAGAGCTGCTGGCGGCAGAAGAGGTTGAGTGTCTTTCGCCAATTGAAAGAGATCTCTCGTCTCTCGCAGTCTATGGTCAGACCCACGAGATCTGTATCATCCACAATATCCCATATTTTGATGTAGAACGGGGGTCGATCGCCTCGGGCGATGCCTGTCATGTCGCCAACGTTCAGCAAGTAATCGTCCTTTTCGCCTATTAAGAGAGTGTTTCTAAGATATTCATGCTCTTGCTCCCATAGAGGTCGGCCGGCATCGCTGCTGCTCTTGTTGTGAATGATTGGCCTCTGTCGGTGCACCTCCTCGCAGTATCTTTCGATGAATGGTACCCAGCCATGCAGAGATCCGGTCATACGACAGCGTGGCAATTTATTATATGCCCGTTGCTGGAAGACGGCGCGCAGGCCATGACGCTCGAGACGATCGAACACCATGGGAACATGGACATAGTGATACTCTGGACCGCTGATTGTGTGGATGTCACTATAAAAAAGGTCAATGAGTACACCGGGGAGGACGCGGTGAGCGAAGAATTCGTCGACGCAATCGCGCAGGAACTGGGAGACGTTTCGACATGTGGACCAAAGAAAGAGGTCGTCGTCGACCTGGGCGAATACAAGCAACCAGATGTCAATGGGTAGGGACGGGGCGTATTTGGTCATGCTGGTAGATATATTGGATTGATAGCGGTGGCTGACTAGGTACTATGGAACGCTGGCGGAACCAGGCAGTTGGGATATTGACATGACGGATAGCTACCTAGGTACGAGTACGAGGAATGTGTGGGGTGGGATGGTGGCAGAAGCGGGGGCGGAAGGATCTGACTGCAGATGTATTATGCAGTTCAGGAGGCTGAGACGTCCAATATCAAAGCGGAGGAAGGTAGGAAGAGGGCAATAAAAAGAAGGTAATTATGTATTGAGGATGAGGAGGCGAGGTGAGGTGGTGATGATGATATTATCCGCTGAACAACATGACATGCAATAATGTATGACGATACCTTGTATGTCTTAACGTGTACACAGTAAGTGACATGGAAGGAAGCTAAGAGGGCAAGGGGGCCAATCATTCGATCAATTGCGGGGGAGCAGCAGATTGCCAAGGCTCTTGACCACTTTTGATTTGATGGGGAAGGTTGGGAAATTGGGAAGGTGCGGAGGAGGGAAAAAAGAGGGAGGAACGATGGGCCCTGGGGGGAAGAGGGAGAGGAGGCGGAGGAAGGAGGAGAAGAAGGCAAAAAGAGTGGGAAGGAGCAGGTGTGGCAGGGTTATTAGTCCTATCACGTGCAGGGTCTGGCCACCACTGAACTCCTCTTCGAAAACCATTCCATCCTCGGCTCCAACGAAAAACAATTAAGAAACGTCGTGTCTGATTTTCCATGAAGACAGGGCAGGACAAGGACAAGGACGAGGTCGAGACAGATCAGAACAGGACATAATCTCTTGTCCAGCGCGTATACCGCAACTTCCCGTACCCTCCGACCTGCAACAACACCATCGAGATCCATTATTGTCGCTGCTCTGTTGTCTTTCCAGTGTGGTAGACTACCCGTTCGTCCATCATGTCCACCATGATCACGTTCGCAGCCAACAACGAATTCTTCAGGAAACGGAAGCGTGCGTCTGTCCCCTCCCTATTGTTCCCCACAGCCTTGTGCGCGCAGAGCTCCACATGTTCCTCCCATGCGGAGTGTACAAGTAAGGAGTTGGTAGCGACGCCCATGGCGAAAATCAAAAGCAACAACAGAACCGCCAGCCCTGCGAAGCTAATGTCGGAACTAACGTCGCAATAGGCGTCCACAGAGCATGCGAATCTTGTAAGAAACGACGGGTAAGCCCAGCCTGCCGGTGTCTTGTCAAGACGAGACAGGACAGCGCCTCCCCAGATCTGTGGCTGCTGCTAATCGTCCATTCAGAAACGATGCAGCCATACCTTTGATGAAGATACCGACCCCGGAAGCCCTACCAAAAGCGGACACTCCGCAGTCAACCCTACTTCAGACCCTTCTGCATATTCACCAGGCAATCATCACCCTTCTCATCCTCCTCCTACTCATCACCATAATCAGCATAATCATTCTCATCCTCAAAACCATGACCCTAGAGCCCCGCCCCGTCCGGACCCTCACGGTCATGGACATTCCAACTCTACCGCCATGCCACCACATAGCCCACACGAGGATCGTGGCCAGACACCTCCAAATTTCTTAGGCTACCTCAATCCAGAAGCTGTCTTGAGAGAGCAGGTCCATGGAGTCAAGGATCACCGAGGAAAGTCGAGTCATTCTCCTGTCATCCCTCCCGGAGGCCAATGGGTCGATGGCGAAAATGGGAGACCTGCCACCGTCCAACCTGGAGCATCACACTCAAGACTAGATGAGACCAGTCCCCAGTCCACCATTCAAGGTCATCAAGAGACAGCCGTTCAAAGAGCTCTCCATGCATACCTTGATGCCGTGGGCGTTTCCATCTTGCCACCTAGGGCCAGCCAGGATGCTCTGGTCGACATATACTTCGCCTATGTCCATCCCCTTCTTCCTATAGTAGACAAGAACCTTTTCTCGAACTGGTACAGCGAGCACCGGGAACCGCGTCTGTTACTCCAGGCCATATGTGTCGTTGCTTCCAAGCATGCCGATGCAGCACAGCACCTGCAACTCGGCGACGACCCCAGGCGTTTGAGTCCTAGAGATTTCTCCCAGAGACTATACAACTCAGTCATCGCCGGAATCGAGGCCAAACTGGAGAAGAACCGAGTGATACTGATCCAAGTTTTGGCTCTCATATCACTCCACTGTGAAGGCCCTGATGGCGCTGAGCAGGCCTCTATGCACCTTGCTCAGGCTATCCATCACGCCCACACTTTTGGCCTACAGTTCGGCCACCAGTGGAAGAACCAAAAGTCGGACTCACAGGAGAACCTAGAGGACCTCTTCTGGTGTCTTTGGAGCTTAGACAAGATCAATGCTTGCATGAATGGCCGACCCTTGATCATGCACGACCGAGACAACAGCCTGACTAAACTACCCACTGATCCGGAGAAGAGGTCCAGTCCCTTTGGAGTGTGGCTACAGATATCAGAGATGCTAGACAAGGTCATCGATTACTATCGACCAGGAAGATCGGCCGAGGAGACAGGGTGGGAAGGGGACGATTTCTTGGGCTTTGAAGAGATGGTCGGAGACGGCGAAGATAAACTCGAGGGTCCCATTATGAGTCAGTAGTGTATTCCCGTTGATTGCGCCCAGTACTAACTAAGACTTCCAGGCCTCTTGTCCTTGTTCCACCATACCATGTGCATGGCTTCTCACAAATCCCTCTCAATCAACGACCCTGTCAAGTCGACACCTTCCTATGTCCGCCAGAGTCTTTCAGCGACGCGTGTCATCTCTTTACTCAACGCTGAATCCCCGGAATTTCTACCTCCATTGCCCCTGGTGCCATATGCCCTTTCCGTCGCCTTGAGTGTAGTTTACCGACATTTCCGATCGAGGCGCCTGAAGGTACACATCAACCGTGCAACGGACGAACTCAAGCAGTGCGTTACGCTCCTCAACCGCCTTCGGCCTGCATGGTGGTCGGCGGGGACGATGGCAGATCTAGGCACCGCCGTTCTAAACAACGCCGATCGCAACACACGGACTGTGAACACCCCAGCAGCGCCCGTAGACAATTCTCTCGTCCCGCCGAATCAATCTGATCTCAAAGCTGATCATCACCATCATCAAAACCCACATGCCCAACTCCAGCAAGGCTCGTCCCAATGGCAGCACCAACAGCAGTCGTCTCAGCAGCAGCAGAATCAGCACCAGCATCAACACCATCCGTCTATATCTGGTAATAGCGAGTCCTCGCCGATCGATCCTCGCCTCCGCCATGGTAACCAGAGCGCGACGCCTATCCCAAGCCTGCTCAATCCCATGCCAGCGCCGACGCCCGGTCAGCACCCAACGAGCAGCGAGCGGGCGCCCATGCCTCCAGCAGGTTTCGACTTCTCAGAAGCATCGCCCGACTGGCTGAACTTCGACGCCGCATTTGAAAATTTCGAAGGTCTGTTGGGAAGTTCCGGCGCAGACCTCAGCAACGAGCTGTTCCGCCCATTGAACTACGAAGCACTAGAAGGTTTCCTCGATCCTTCGAGTCATCACGTCTAGTCTTAACGAAGTTTTTGAGTCTCGCTAAACCCATTCGCCTTACCTTTCACATTGCTGTGCATATCGTGTTTTGTTACTACTTGTGCTAATTTTTTCTCCTTCTGTACATGATTTGTTCGTATTTTGTTCTCAACCTCAAAGCGATGGCGGCGGATCTTCTTTTTGGGGAAATGGTGTTTGTTGGAAAGCTCAATCGCGTCGGCGCTGTTTGCCTCTCTCCCTCTCTCTCCTCTTGACCTAAGTACTTCTGCGCGACGGCCTCGGCCTCGGCCTCGATCCGTTGCGTACTGCACCTCCCGCGTGTTATAATGTCCATGGAAAACGACGAAATCAAATGCTTCCACACACACACACTTCTGGAATTGTATGTATATACCAACTATGTTTCACTATGCTATATCATGCTATACTATGCTATACTATGCTATACTATGCCATGCCCCGTTCAACGGACGTGTTAAGAAGAGCGAGAAGAAAGAATTTGAGTGACTGCAACATTCTGTTCGATTAACACGCGCACACACATATACATTCATCTCCTCGAGATGTTGGAGCGAAGATATGTCAGGTAGGCATCTAATGAAAAGCGATGCACGATGGAGTAAGTCAGGACAGCAACTTGAAAAAGCACGCGCGTCGCAAGGTATGGAAGAATTCGGGAATCCGGGATAGGTGACGAGATGTTGTTTACTGCTACTGCTACTGCTACTGCTACTGCTACTGCTACTCCTCCCGCCCATCATGACGATGAGGATACGGAGTACTTATCCATAAATGCCTGCTACCACCATTTCTATGAAAGCATATTCCGTATACGCATGTATCATTATCGACGGTCTTCATTGCTCTATAGAGTCCCTACCTAAAGTACTTTACAGTACATGAAGCATCACTCGAAAAAGCCGCCAGTTGTAGCATATGGCACATTGACTTTTCTTGGGCCTCGCTCGCTGCCTGCATCCGTTCTTGGACCCTTATTACAGATCCTCGGCCTTCTATTCTAGAGATCTCATCTTGCCGATATGAGAACGAAACAGGAGGTGCTCTGTTTCCTTGAGGGCCGTCCCAAGCTACTTCTTCATAGAATTTACTCCGTATGTTGCTATGCTAAAGTATAAAGCGCAGCCTCGAGTACCATCTCCGCTCTCCACCTACGCAGTACGACGCGTAATGTGAGCGGACATAGCACCATACGCCGATCCGGACTGAGCATCCTTTCGAAAGCTCATTTTCACTGTACAAAACACTCTTGTCATGTCCATTGAGCTCTTCTCTCCATTCCGGATATCGGACGACGAACCTGATTTCTTTCTACCCAATCGTGCGTACATGATTGTGATAATCGGTGTTCGAGAGTGCGAAGGAGAGAGGGACACGTCGAACCGATACTCGGAAGCACGAGAACGGCCAGGCCTTTCCCCCATCAGTCGTACGCCCAAGGTACAATCTACACGACAGCTATCTCGAGACCCAATCAAACACAGCGGGCTTGGGGAAAAAAGCTTTGACTTTCCGACGACGGCTTGCTGCAAGTGAGTACATAGTCCGTGATTTGCATGTCATGCCGTTATCCATAATAAACATGTGGGGGACTGGACGCCCGTTGGTCGAGCCTTTGATTCGTAGTCCCGAGTTGATGGGAGGGAGGTACGAAAGTCTTTTGGTAAAACTGTGCTTGCATGCACGTCCAGCTGTTGTGGAGTGATTCGACGAAATAAATCCCTAGCAGCGGCGCCGTGAAAAGTTACCATGGGCCTGGGACTTGAAATAATCTCGGCACGGTTGGCGAGGCTGGAGGGTGGGTGTACTGCGTTGGAAAAGCCATTACCCGACTTCGGCAGCGTTCCAAACGTTCCGAGCTTTGATGACTCGGGACCTTGACTTTAGATTGGGCGGCACTGCTTCGGGGTTGCATTCGACTCTTTGCGTTCCGTAAACCATCGCGGCATACCCGATATAGCAGCGAAACGCAACGAAAACGTCGATGTGAGGAGGTGCCTACGTATGTCGGGTAATGTGTAACATTGTAGACGTCGCCTGATGACAGCACAGTGATAAGTATGCGTTCATTGTTATCCGTTAGCCATTCGAAAACAAAGGGAGATATCAAAACGATCAAGGTGAGTGACCTATCAATCATGTGGTTCGACTCTGATACTCACGCCGTTTCACTCAGGCGTAGATGTGTCTCCGTGTACAACATTCCAATCGTCAAAATGTTGAAACTTCCCCACAGATTCTGCAGCAAAAGCTGAGGGAGGTGAACCCAAGCGCCTGTGTCGCCTTGATACTTTGTAACCGCCCATCCCTTCCTCGCGCACCACGGTACGGAGTACATCAGATACTCCGTACACACTTCCTCCCTTATCAGCATTCGAGGAATGTGGACGATAGGCAATACCAAGCGTTTGCCTTCGTACCCTGAGTACGTGTATCATCGAGATATGTAGAACGCGACCTTGTAGTAAGATCAGCTCGGGACATCAGACGGTCAGATGCACCTTTCAATATTCCCTTCTCATCGACGTGCGACTACATGTGCGCCTTCGACCCTCTCCCATGTTCGACAGACTTTTGATGCGTCACAATGTGCTCCGCCACTCTAGACTCATCATTGGAGATGCAATCTTTCGATCCCGGAAATCGCATTCGCCACCGGCGCCCTCTATTTCTGAGTCTTCGATTCGAGAGCACAGCAGTCGGAAAGCCGCAGCGGAAAAGAAGCGTTCGTTCAACCGACACGTATGGGGCACAGTCCACTGTCCTACTACCATTAGAATGTAATGATTGGATCTATACGACTGCTTCCAATCGATAAGAGGGGGCACCGCCTGTCTTCTCGTTCCAGCGTTTTGCATGAGGAAATGCTCCGAAGTGGGGCTCGCACGATAACATGTGTTGACATATGTATACTGGCGCATGTTGTGCGATTCAATGAGCTGGTCCGACCGCTCGATGGGGGAACCCCAAAGTACAGCATGTATTTGCCACTTGGGCTCTTCGCGTCCAGATGGAGACTCCACGTCGTGGGAAGCAGCAGAAAGCCCTTGCGTAACGACCGGAGGAAGACGCTGTGTGAACTTGTGTCACGATGAATGCTATGAGGCGGCTGGGGCGTGCGGAGAAGCTCGCAGAGACAGACCCGCTTTCGATGATGAGAATGCCAAACCTGCGAGTATGAGAAAAGGGTGATCTTCCTGCCCCCTTTGGTCAATATCCTCTGACCCTCTGTCAGATCATGTAACAGGTCGATTGTGGTACGAGACTCAGCCATGCAAGACAAGACACGATGAGCTGGCACGCCAACTCGACTCAAACGCGTCTCGATGTGAAAAGAGAAGGTCGGAATCTATTTCCTACATCTCAGTTGTCGTAAGGGAAGACTGGCATGGATTGGAAGTCTGGTCACCTCCATCATTGCGCGACGTTGAACAGGCCATTCCTGCGGCCGAACCTTGGTTTGAGACTGATAGAAATCGCGGAGGTACATATCCAGCCACCTCAGACCATTGCCGCGATTCGCGGGCATGGCTTGCATTCTGGCAAGATGTGTTAAAGACGGTGACACTGACTCAGGAGTTGCACGAGACTTGGAAAAAGTAATATCCCTGGGTGAAAACAAAACAAAAAACGTCTTCTTGCCGTGCGACCGGAAGAAGCAAATACCGTGTACACTTGAAGGCGTTTTCCGTTAGAACACGCGGACATGTGATATCCTGTAAGGCTGAGCGGGATCCTATCGCAAAGAGGGGAAAAAAGTAAAGTCATTGTCACACGACGAGTGGCGGGATAAAGATGTCGTGACACACTCGCGAAGACCTGCCACCAAGGCCCGAACCTGCTGCCCACCAGACCATGCGTGCTTATGACAAAAGCAAGGAAATCCAATGTAGCCCACCGGAGAAAGCAATGTGCATATGCGCGTGAACACGTTCCACGATGCGCAGACTGGTAACGAAGAAGCTGCTGTCAACGCCGAAGTTTCGATCTGCTTCGCTCAACGGAGAACAGCTGAATGCTCGATGTATGGGCTCACTCCGAACAGCTTGGGGCCATCATCGGATGCAGCCATCAGGCTGATGCATTGTCCTCGGGTGGAAATATCGATAGAGTGATTTGCACATGGCTGGTGGCATCATGTCTCGAGATGATAGGTGTCTTGAGCCGTCTTGAGCTGGAAGAAATGAACGCCTACAATGCTCGCGATATCACCAGTGACGTTGTCCCCATCACCGCTCTATCGATCGATCATATCGAAGATCCACCACGACGCATGTATCAATCAAATGATAGATTACCGTCGATGCCGCAGATGCAGCGCGATAGTACAGGCGATTCTTCGCACGACTCATCTGTCTTACACATGTTCATCAGCCGTTCGAACAATTTCCCAACAATCGTCAAGGACAGAATGGATATACACGATAGAGATTAATCCAGTCACCGGAACAAGCGATCTCAGCCCTGTTTGCGCGCGCGAGGCAGCGCAACGCGCACCCGGACCCGCGCTCCCCGTCAGGCTGGTAGGTATCAACTTAACGATCATGCACTCTATATTATCCGTGCGAATTGGGTGATTGCAACACCCAGCAATCTGGGAGGACGTCCAATATATCACCACATCTCGCCAAAACATGCGCAACGATTAATAGGTTGCGTGGGTGCAGATAGTATCGATACCAAGTTTACTTGATTGAGCGTTAGCGAAAGATTGTCTGTCAGGCTGTCAGCTGGGACGGGGGGTTAGTTCGAAGACCCAGTTCCGTGAAAGCGGGTATTATCTATGTCTGATATTGTTTGTTTGTATCGTTATGTATTGTGAAAGGGGTGGTCACTGGTGACGGGGGGGCGTCGAGAGCGTGGCATCATTACCCATCCCAGGACGCGGAATCGCTTGTCTTCTACTGGCCGCCCTGGAAAAGAATCCCACTACAATGTCGGTACCCGATGCGGATATGGATGAGCATGATCCCCAAACGGTTGATTGCACACGGCGGGCGTGGGTGGAAGTAATAAAAAGCTGCAGCAACGGAGATTCGCTCAACCCAACCCAGCCCAGCAGGGACAAGGCGGTGCGGCATGGTAGAGGGAAAGTGAGATGGGCGAGATGGTTTTCTGCATCTGGTGCAGGTGGCCTGGTATGTTTCTGCTCCGTACTGCGCCGTTGCGTGGACGGATGATCATTGAAGGTGATGATGGTAGTGGTGAAGATGTGACAATACGTCGTTGAGGACGGTTGGTGATCGTGATTTCCGCCCCTAGTTCTTCCTTCCCAACGTGGAAGGAGAAGGTACTTGGCGCCCAAAACACTCAAAGAGGGCATTCACAATTGCAAGCCTTTTCAGAATCGATGACCTCCAAAAAACAAAAATGGTTCCCCAAAGGTGCGGTAAGACGACGGCAAATGAAAGAGTTTGACGTTTGTCCTTCCCACCGTTGCCCCATGCGTGTGCCCAGACAGGAAAAAGCCACCACGAACAAAGTAATCATGGCGCACCTCCAGATGACTTCCGAAAAGCCAATTCTAGCCGAACATGTCATGTCTCTGTTTGCCTGAGGCATTACATGACATGATGTTCAAGGGAACGGGCGACGGCTTGGTCATCACGACGGCTGAAGGATGATGGCTGAGCAAACTGTACTCCCAACAGCCGGTTACCGTATCGAACAAAGGGAACGTCGCGGTCGTTCGTCGGCCAGTGGACGACGCTACAGGAAAGCAAAACGCCCTCTCAAAATCGCCTGTTCATTCTCGGTCCTTTGCATGGTACCAAATGTGTCATCCGATGGAAGTGTGCGTATGTGATGCATTCAAGGCATCTAACGCCCAGCTGCGCAACGTGCCGGTAGATAGTCGGTAAACGAAAGAGGGTGTAGAAACAAACAATGATACATGACCTAGAGTGAGCATAGCCAGACATGAACGAACACTCGGGAGTGTGGCTTTGAGACGTCCATCCATCTCTCAGCCGAACTGAACTGCTAATACTTGCTGTCCTCCGTATATGCGTCATGGTCATCAATCATGTGAAGTAGGTACGAGGAAATGTCGATTCCGTCAAATCCCCTCCGTCGTTCGATTCCTTACCCAGACTCAAGTTCGCCGGTGAGGTGGAAGCCATGCATAACAAATTGATACTCTCCCTACTATGCCACCACCATTCATCGCCGGAAATATCTACACCGGAAGGGCACATGCATTGAGTGGGTTCGCCTGGCTGATTGCTTTGTGCATTCGAATGTTATGGACCCAACAGTCCTTGTCCCGAAGGACTAATACTTTGAAGTGACTCAGCCGATTCGTATACTTTCCTTTCTGCGAGGGAATAAAAAGGTAAAGATGATAATAATGGTGGCTTGAGGCGAATCTCTTCGATCGAGTCACCAGTTCCCAATGATCAATGATGGATCGAAGGAGGTTGATAGATCGCGATGAGAAGTCGACATGCGCCACACTTGACTAGTTGATGGTCTATCCGAGTGTACCTAATCTACTGTGTAGGCATGGTCCAGACTACGCCTCAGGGAGGCGAACAACAAGATGTCCTGCCCGCAACTTGTGTTAAATCCGCTGCTGTACGTAGCGTACTGTAGTGTCGCGAATGTGTAGCATAGTGCGGGTGTAGCGTAGGTGTATTCCACAGTGCATCCTACTCGTACCGTTCTAGGCAGTGTAGGTCAAACGCACATGGTGGGTGTGGGGAAAGAACTCTAAGACAAAGCGCAATTTCATCTCGATGCGATATCCGACATTAACGATAACTATCTGTTTGACACACCAGCCAGGCAGGTTAGGTTCCCATTCGTTTGGCAGTATCAAATGTCAGTAGTGTCGGTGTCGGTGTCGGTGTCGGTCGCGATGATGCATGATCAAATGAACAAGGCCTGTCAAAGGCTGAAAATCTTCAGAGGACGGAACGGGATGGGATGGAACGAGGGACTAGGGTGGGAAGTGGGAAAGACATGCGATAGATTGATATTGAATGCATATCGAGGAGAGACTTCCTGATCGCATGCATGTATGTCTGCCTACATGCAGGACGCAAGACTCAGGATGCAGGACGCAGGATGCAGATTAGTGTGGATAGGATCAGTCTTTAGATAGGTGTGGCCGTAGGTATTCGTTAGAGAGAGTGTGTATAAATCTGGAGAGTGAATGTGTGTATGCATATGATGTGGATGGCCCATGGGGGGATACGGCGGTCTTGGTATCTGTTTGGTGTAAGTTTATATTGCATGTGCAGGTTGGAAGGACTCATGAAGCAAGGTCTTTGTCGGCGGATGGGACACGGCAGGAGCTGATTGGTCGCTTCACTTGGAGCCCCATGCCCATTTAACCTTTTGGTGAACAACTTACGAGCCTACGAAGGTGACACTCCGTTATTATTCGCATCTTGAGCAACACCAAGGCAAAGGCCTGGAAAGCCTGGCAAGCCTGGTAAGCCACCATCCTCCCAGCATCCAACAAGAATCCTCCCTCCCAAGACTCGCATACTCGCATGCTTCGGGCTCAACTAGGCATGCACTTGTATGTTGCGGCAAAGTTAGCGAGAGGGAATAACGGCCGACTAGTCCACTAGAGGTGTGCGTGCGACCTAGGCACGTAGGCTAGGCTTGCTAGGAAATCGTGCCATCCCCAACTACTGCAAGCCGTCCTGCACGTACAATGGATTTGCGGCTGGGCTCGTCACCTTCTCCCATCCCTCATTCTCTTGTCCTCCCGTGGTGTTGCCGACATTTCGTCCGCCACCACTGCGCGGGTCCAGATCATCTCATTGGCCAGCCATTCCTCGATCAACCTCAACGTCAAATGTTATCAATAATGCCAGGAGGGAAAGTCAAGATGCTTCTTTGGAAGGGACACAGCGAGCGAGCCGCTGTCCCCATCCGAACGTATTTGTTAATTTTTCGTTTTGATGTGGGCTTTTGTCCACGCCTTCTTTTCGGGCTGTGGTGCCGTCTTCTACGGTACAAGAAGTGTGAGCTAAAAAGGTTTTGCAACCTGCTCTGGTATCTAGAACATCCTAGGAAATGTGGTGTCGAAATGACAGTTGTAAATGGCAATAGACAGACAGCGTCGTCCCCTTCCAGGCCATCTTGGCCCAATACAGTTCTGAACAAATATGGAAACTCCGTGCAAATGCTGATATCATCGCAGTCCAAACCCCCTGATAAACTTCTTTAAATGTTTCGGTCGTGATGAATGGAAAGAAATAAAAGAAAAACAGAAGAAATAAGAAGGACCAACAAGGCGAGAGCCAAATGAGAAATACATGAATGAGAACAATCTCTCTCGCCATCAAGGCTTCGAACCGCCGAATAATCGAGTTAAAGATGGTAATATAGTTCTAGTCCATGGCCATGGGGGAGGGATCCATCCGGGAAGAATATAAATGTCGGAGGATCCTTGGGAGGTATTGGTAAAGGCCAGTGGTTGTTGGGAGGAAGTTCAAAGTCCAGAAATCTAAGGACGTAAAAAGGAAAATAACGCCACAATCCCCGATCGCACAAACACCGTTGGACGGAAAGAGAAAGCCGCTCAGATCGTCTTATCATCAACTTTTCCGCTGAGGTGAAAGGGTAGGAAACGTATATATATGAACACAGGGGTGAAGAAATAATCCGGGCAGAGACCAACTAGTAAACACGGACGGGAGCAACCATCATGGGCTGCTGGAACGACACGTGCTTCACTAGGTTGGCGGCCTGGTGGAAAAATGGTTGGAACCACGTATTGGTTTGCGGGGGAGGGGAAACGTATGTTTGCTGTGCTGGTCGGGCAGGAACCTTCTGGGCAGCAGCGACGTGAGTGAAAGAAGAAGTCGACGAAGCAGACGAAGCCGACGAGCATGTGGAGAATACAGACTCATTGTCAGAGTTCGAGCTGCCCGACGAGGTAGAGTGTTGAGGATAGGGAAGATCCATGATAGTAGGGTAGACGGGCGCAACAGAGGGAGCGGCAGCCTGGTAGCATCCGTTCAAGGCAGCCTGGTGGACGTAATCCGGTGATGGGTACGCAGGAACAGCCATGTGTGAAGGAGGAGCAGACTTGGAAGCCGTGAAGCGAGGGCATCTCATGATCAGGTCCCTCAGCTCGGGAATCGTGATTCTCTTCGCTGGGTTGAATTCAAAGATACGCTTCAGGATCGAGTCGAGCTCTCCAGAGATGGGCAGAATGGACCTGAGGAACTTGGGATCCTTCATGTAGGCGCGGAAAGTGCTGTCCTCGAAGGAGGCTCGCTTCCATGGGTTGCGTCCACAGGTCAGGTTGACGAGCATGACTCCAAGGCTCCAGACGTCATTGGGCGCTGATGCGTAGCATGAGTAGGCCTTGGGAGCAGCAGTCTGGCATTCTAGAGGTACGTTAGTATCAAATATCAAAAGTGGTTCGCTGTTGCTCGTTGCAAAGTGTTGAATTTACCTGGAGACATGTAAAAGGTAGAGCCGCATCCAAAGTCGGAGGTGATGTGGTCGTTGGTGGCCAGTCCAAAGTCGGCAAGCTTGCAGGTCATTCCATTATCTGTGACTAGGACGTTCTCCGGCTTGAGGTCCCGGTGGTAGATTCCAATGGAGTGGCAGTAGTCTACAGCATCCAGGATTTGGAGGAAAGCCCTCTTGGCAAGAGCATCATTGCCGACATACTTTCCTTGCTCGGTGATGTTCGAGAAGAGATCACCCTCCGGGCAGTACTCGATGACCACAAAGGTGCAGTCGGGAGAATCCAAAATCTTTACCAAAGAAACTACGTTGGGATGGGCACTGGCCTGATGGTGGAGCTGGATCTCTCTTTGCTGGAATTTCTGCTGACGGGGCTCCAAACCTAGTTTGTTGAGCGCCTTGACAGCGTAGGGAATGTTGGTCTGGATGTCCACGGCAGTGTACACTACTCCATAGGCACCTACACCGAGGATTCCGGTCAATTGCAGTCTTCCGGCAAGGAGTTGGCCTAGACGGTCTTCCGGCGCACAAAATCCATTGAGAGTGGGAGATGCTGGTGGGGTCGGTAACATTATGGTTTGAGGGGGATTGGGGATGTTGAAGTCCTCGAAGGTCCAGTGAAGGCCTCAGGGACTTGCAGTAGAGCACTTGGAAGAGGAGGGGGGAGGAAGGGTGAGTGGATGGAGAGAAGAAGAGGCCTTGGTAAATAAGTCGATATCCTATCCAAATTGGGGTGGTTTCCTTTTGGTAGTCCTTGGAGAGAGAGGAAAGAAAATGGACAAGATGAATCAACGTATATATTAGGAGAGATAACCTGATATCATGGAACCTGGGTCCGGGTAGCAAGGGGATGATAGCAGGGCTAGTGGCGAAGAGATGAGGCGAAGTCGAGTGGTGGATTGCGTTGGTAGGTGAGGCTGTGGAATGGACAGTGATGAGGGAGAGTGGAAGATTTGACAACGAACAATCGAGATGAATGTTTGTTGAAAGGAATGTGGGTAGTAGAAGTAGAAGGAAGAGGTGGAGGTAGGTAGGTAGTTAAGAGAGAGAGGTGGAGAGGAAGAGAAGTGTGATAGTGAATTGGATGGAGTAAGGTAGATGAGTGAGGAAGTATGAGTGGTGAGGTGGGATTATGATGTATGTGTATAGTCAGGTAGGGCTCTAGGGTTCGCCGCCTCTCTGAGTCTAGTAGTGTAAGAGGATGTGTGAGTGGTCGGGTTGGTTTATGAGTGTGTGTATGAAGTGTGTGTCTGGGAAGGGACGGCCGGGCGACCAGTAATGAGCAGGAAAGAAGCGGGCGGGTGGGCCCTTGATTGATTGGATGGAAGATGAGAAGAGAAGAAAGAATAACTAAAGTTACCTACAGGCAGGACAGGCTAGACGGGCTAGAGGAGGTGTGGGTGTGTGGATGTGGGTGTGGGTGGCATCAAAGACAGTAGCCCAGACGCAGACGCAGACGCAGACGCAAGACGACGCATACCAAAGACGAGAAGCCTCCCTACCACACCCCCCCCCTACCTGCCTAGTCCCCCCAGTAATGGTAAATATAGGAAAGGATTGGTCTAACAGAAAAGTAAAAAGACCGCGCGCCATGTATCCAACACCCTGGACCAGACCATGACCATGGCCATCCATGCCATCCATGCCATCCATGCCATGCCATGACGAAGACGGGAGGGCGGGCATACAGGGCCACCCAGAGATCAGAGGTGGATGTGGATGGATGCATCATGGGCGTAGTCGACTTACGGTAGAGTCTTAGAGAGAAAAAAAAGAAAAAAGCCCGCCTTGACCCACAGTGAACTAGACGATCCATGCCATCCCATCCTAATTCCATCCCATCCCATACCATGCCATGCCATGCCATGCCATGCTATGTCATGCCCAATCCTGTTGCTCACCCTGAACGGAGACTGGGCAACGGACCATCACCCCATGTTGGCTTGTTCCTCTATGGCGTTGGCGTCGTTGGCGTTGCGAGCAGTTTAGCGTTGGCTTTGGCGTTGGCGTTGGCTCTTGCGTTGGGCGTGCCAAAATGGAAGTCGCAAGAGAGCAGGGGGTTTCCAGGGCATGTCCGCGGGCAATGAAAGGGAAACAGAAGGGTAGGCAGGTAAGATTCAACGAAGCAGGAAAATTGAACAGGGAAGACGAGACGAGACGGGGGTTGGCCTTGGGGTGGTAGGAAGAGGCGTCAAAAGTCAAAATAAGGACCCGATCAAGGGTTTGAAGGGTTTTGCTACGAGTATGGACAATTCAATAGGACGGGCAGGACGGGCAGGACAGGCAAAGGCAGACAGACACAGAGAGAGATAGACGGGCAAGCAAAGCAAGGATGAGAAGGACAAGACTAATTGGTTGAGGTGTAGCCTGCGGTGGTTGGTTGGAGGGAGGCTGTACGGAGTAGGACTGGAGGAGATGATGCATACCTAGGAGGCTGTTCACTTCCTTCGTACGAGTGGAGTTTACTAGACCATACAGTCACCGGCCAGTGTCGGTAGCGTAGGTGTAGTCATAGGGAGGCGAAACACAGTAGAGAAAGAGGAGAAGAGCGTGTGTGACCTACAGACACTTCACTGCACACAGAGGAGAGGAATTTGGGCGACCAGCTGATCGTCCAATCAGAAACATTCATCCTTGCTGAGATTGCCATCGGATCAATGCTCAGCCGTGTTCCATCACACTAAGCCCGCTTGTAACAGACAGACGCAACAAAGACCGTCGCGCACTCAGTCGCAGGTTTTTTTTTTTCCTGCTCATCGGCCACCGCCATGCAGAGGTGAATGACAGCTTGACCGAACCGTCCATATCTCGTGCTATACGATACAGTACGGGATACACGCATGCACTCGTCTACAAACAGAATAAGAAAGATAGATGTGGTGCTAACCCGATACGGTTAGTTGATGTAATCTGTGTGGCAACTTGCCTCTTCACACACATTCACCTTCACCTTCACATTCACTCCCACACACACACAAACAAGCACAACCACAGCAACAAACAACACCACGGCAACCCACCATCATCTCCCCATAATATAACTCCTACTGTACAGCCTTCCACCACCCTATCGTGACAGCCTTCAGCCTACAGCGGCCTTCCTGACCGGCTCGCCCTGGATGTGACTAACCAATTCGCACTCATCCACTTGACTTGACACAGCCTACATCAGCCGCCTACCAATCACCTCCACCTTGCCCGTCAGCAGAGCATGGTTGTCGCATCCGTCGCATGCGTCCTACTCACTAATTCCCGTCCTTGAGTCTGTCCCCTAGCCAAACGAGACATTATTGTGACACACATGCACACGCATCCACGCATACCGCTACACGCATCCACCAAAAGCCCGTCCTGCCTCCCTCCAGTCATACTGTCCAGCCATCCTCCAGCGCAAGTGTCTAACGCCTGTAGTCGTTGCCTACGCAAGATGCTCTGCTTCTGGATACGCCCAGGGTCAGCATCCAGCACTCCAAAGGACCAGCACTCCACCGGCGGCGGAGGAGGCGACATCCACCAAACTACTGAATGACTGATGAACCACCACGGTCAACTATTCGATCGATCAATAATGAATGCCTGGGCTGGACCGGGCTGGTACATGCGATGCTCAACTTAATCTGCTCCCCATGCTTACAGCTGCTGCCACCAGGACTGCACGTACGGCTGTCACGGCTGCTCGATACTACAACGATTCTCGCCACCCATTCTTTCTCTGACTATGGACGTATTCTCCACACGAGTGGTAGGTAGCACTATGTGCTCAGTAAATGCCTCTGCTGCACAACCTCGAGCAAACCCAACTCATCTTCCTGCATACAGCCAGGCGCTGGACCCGAGTATTCTTCATACTGTGTACACGCAGTACTCCGGACGGCACTGCACATGCTCCCTTTCCTTTGTGTACCTAGTCCACTCCATGCCTCTCCGATATGCGTGTCTGTATGATCTCCGTTGTCCGTCTGCTCACTATACATCATCCGCTATCCACTTACCAACGAGGGAAGCCAGCTATGGTACGAGATACCTACACCTACGCCGTACAAAGTACGCAGTAGTAGGCTGGCGTCACACAAGAAATCCACAGTTTGTAGAACTGCGAGCTACACCCTACACAGTGTAGGAAACATCCACTTCGCATGCTCCGGGCCACGCCAGCCCCTGGTGAAGGACAATCCAATAATGCTGGCAGAGTGCGCGCTGCTAATTGCTGTACTGGCCGAAGCGGCCGGCCCTACCGCCTTGATCGTCTCTGATCGCTTCGCTTCCTCGCCCCAAAGAGAAGGCTGAAGGCTGAGGTTAAGCCGTGGCCGGTTAACATGGCCGCCCTCTCCAAGGCCCGCTTAGCCTCCCTGGACTACGTGTTGTGCCCACCCCACCGAAACGCTTACGCCGCACTCGTATCCTAAATGCCCCAACTGGTGATGCACGGGAGGCGTTCGATAGTCTTTTCTATCTTCTCCCTCTCTCTTCTCTTTCGCTCGTTGCTGGCCCACGCAGTGGCATGGCCCACGCTGGCTCCGAGCCCATGACGATACCAGCCGGCCCAGTATGCTGATCTTGCAACGCCGGTGGGCTGCAGCTGCAGAGTTCTGACTGTCATGCCACCATCAAAGCCATTCGTCTCGTTCCATCCGCCTGCTGCCTATCATCATTCCCATGGCATTACGGTATTGTCCATTTGTTCCATGCCAACTCTCCGGCAGATTTGGGCGATGCACCTCGTTCTTTGCTGCACACAGCGAAGCGCATTGGTAGTGCCGCCATCACGTTTCGGTTCTTGCGCTGGTGGGATTATCGCGCCCTGGGTCACTGAGGACGCTCATTGACACAATCTCCTCCGAAAGCCTATTCACGATCCACCACCGTCCACATCTAACTCTCGTCTTTGTCCCTTCCCGTTCCCATCCTCCCTTCAATCTCCAGTTTCCAAACGTGCGGCTTGTCATCCATGGGTATTATGCCGGCCTGCAACGACCCCATGCTTGATCTCTCGTTCCACCGCCCAATGACCCTGGGCGAGCTGTTTCTCCAACAGTTCTGCGGCGCTTTTCTGGCGCTCGTGAACGTTAGGGTTTTGCGGGCTGCCACGAAGTTCATGACACATGGCTTGCCGCTGACCGATTGGTCAAGGGGCAATATTATCGATATCATCGAAAAGAGATGAATGCGTGCATCTATTCGAGGACTTGCACTGTGCTGTATTGGGAGGAGCCACCATTGATGTGCTGCGTGTCCAGTTCCACCTCACCATTTCAACTAGTCACGGATTTTGATTCGTCGCCTTCCATCTAATTATTGGCAATCTTTCGTGTAGAAGCCCGAGCGAGCACTGTGAAGGGTTTCTACACTGTACGCGGTCCCCACTCAAGTGCGCCGCTGACTAACTCGTCTAAGAAGGAAATTTCCTTGCCGAGCGCGGTGAACAATCTGGCCTCTATGATGAGTGGGTCCGCCACGCCTCACCAGAATTTTCGAGAGTTTCGTAGCTGGCAAATGGCGTCGGAGATTATTTACGCATTGATGCCAATCACTGACGCCCATATGTCGGGATTTCAGGGCTGCTCACTGTGTGCTAATCTTGTTTCGTTGCCTTGCCTCTCGTGCTCTAGCAGTGGCAGTCTGCTCGATCCCGGCCGGGTCCTGTGACCTTTCCTTGAACGGGCATCACGGTCACGCTACGAGCCATCATGCTTGTTTGAAGCTGTTGCCATGCTACCGAGTGCCGTCCAGGTTGCCCAGCTTACTACTGGTTCGCCCGTAGATGCTGGCTTATTATTCGATACCAAGAGAGAATGAAAGGATATCACATCACATATCCAAGCGGGAACGTGGCCAATTCTGACTTACTTGCTGTGTTTATTTGGTGGATGTCGACGACAAGGTGCAAAATATTGGGAAATGGGGCAAAACATGCTCCGAGAACTATTGGGTCTTGACTCACCCACACGAGGCAACCGTTCACTCACTGCGATGCTGGGATTCCATTCTGCTTCTCGTCCAGATCGAGTACTTTTGCCGGTCGCATCTTCATTTCGATTCGTATCCCAGCGCCCGTTGGATCATTTAACGAGCCGCTCGGCGTGCTAACCCATGGCTTTAGCAGATGAGATATTGTCACAGTAATCTGGGGCCGGCGAAGCATGGCCAGGGGCTTCTGATGGGAAACGATTGCTGCATCGTGTGCGCATGCATGGTGCGCCAGTGCAAGCTCTCATCATCAAGAAGATCCTGCACGCCTAACGATGTTTGTTATCATCATGATTGTTATTATTTATTTTTCTTCTTGCCCTTTAGAGGACTTGGTCTATCCGGCGTCATCCGTGCAGATGCCCAGACCCGCTTCCCGCTGGCTAAACTCTGTTGACCATGCTTCAGCCATGCTCTGGCATCTGCGAGCGGGAGTCTGAGCGAGAAAAGAAAGGGACTGGCTGCTGATCATTGTCTGAGCTTTTCACACCGTTCCATGGACGGCCTAACCAAACTCATCGCACGCGCATTCTTCATCACGCTGACGGGTAGCATTCATACCCGCTTCATCTTGAACGCTGCACATCGAAATGAGCACGTCTGGTTCTGGCTCGCTAAACAGAAAGGTCCCCATCTTTGGAACCAAAGGCTTGAGCCCGTCCGTTCCACCTCGCGGGTTGTTGGAACTGTAGCAATCAATCTACCTCCCGTAGCAGGATCGAAGTCTTTATACGGTCTACCACGTAAAGTCCTTTCTCCTACCTCGGTTTAAGCCCAACATGGATCCCCTTTTCTCTCAGACTAATTACTGCAAGTAGTAATCAACATCTCATCTATTACACGGAGTACATTGTATGAACACTTGCGACTTGAACAGTCAACGTACGGAGTACAGATGTGACCCATATTTCCAAGGCTTCATCTATTTGTGCACAATGCACTCATCAAAATTCCATATCGCCAATCAGTGTCAGAGCTACCGCAAGACTGAGGCCAATAGAATTTACAAGGTCCTTTGCATCTCATCAAAGGCGCGCGCGGAAGTATACTACCATATGTTCCACACCCTAACAGCCAATCAGTCAAAACTTGCACCGCTCCTCTGGCCATGGTGGAACTGCAGTGGCATTGTGTGTAGTTTTAGATTTCAACACTGGTTGACTCGGAGGCGTTGATCGCTGTCACTTATGAGCTCCCCCGTACGGAACGGGTCAACCGCCCGAATTTCATTTGGATTATTTTCCTTTCTGTTCAAAGGGATACGAGCGTGGAGACAACTCCGCAAACAATAATAATGCTGGAACATGGAGTTGTCGACGTTAATGTCGCACGCTCACCGCTGCTTCAGAATGCCGATTAAGCATTCTTCTATTGCCACATCAGGCATGGCTCGATGGATTCCCAGGCAAACCAGCGCAGAGATCCCCACCGCCCAGTCCTACCATGATCCATCGACAACGCGCGAGATCTTATCGATACGCAAGAGCAACAGAACCATCACCCTTAGTGTACAGCATACGACGGTGTCTCGAGCATCGAGCCTCCAGGCTTCGTGCATTTCCCCTCCATTTGCGTTGGCTG